TTTTCATTTACAAAATTTTTGGCCATAGAGGCTACTTCAGTATTATCCGGCTTACCCCCCGCAAACTTGACTGGCCACAGTCGTTTGCAACGCATCGGGCGGTAGCTTATTGGGCACTGATCGCCCCCGCAAACTTGAGTGCTGCCGCATTTCAGTTTCCACATTTTCATTCACTTTTGCTTCACATTGTACAGTACGTATTTCCAGTGAATGTGCTTCCAGTCGTTTCATATTGTAACGCTTAAGCACTTCAATCGGCGGTTCCTTTGAAACGTCTTTCCATTTACCGTTAAATGTACAGTACTTAGCCGGATGCAACTCGTGACATTTAAAACAGATCGGCTGACCGCTATCGGTTCGCCATTTGTTAACGTCGATTTCGACATTTCCGATCATGTACGGCTTATTACCGTTATTATTGTAGATTTCATAATTTTCATCGTATTCACAGTCGTCATCATTCAAATTACCATTTTCACACTCACTGTACACATATTCACAGTCATCTTCATACTCACAACAGTCATCATTTTCGTACATTTCTCGTTGCACTTTCAGTGCGTACAGCGTTTTCAGCTGTGCCATAACGTCTTCAACAGTCTTAGGTTTTGATATGACCAGCTTGCCATACCACTCCATTCGGGTTTTCTTCAGTCCCTGAACGAGAACTGAAACTCTTTCTTCTTCTTTCGTATCAAGTGTATTAAACCAATTCAGGAAACCATCAACATACGAATTTACCGTGTCTTCCTCTTTGAAGACACGTGCGTACATCGCTTGCCGTACTTCGGCCGGGTCACTCTCCGATGAGAAGTGATTAACTAACAATGTCTTCCAGTAAATCCAGTCTTTATCTGGATTTAATTTTCTGTTTTCGACATACCACAAATACGCGTCACCTTTCAGTGCGTACGACAGTCCTTTTTCAATCAATTGTTTCTCAGTCCAGCCATTCAAATCTTTGCATCGTTCACAGTCCATTATGAAACGTTCTACTTTACCGCTTTCTTGTATACCTTCGTACACTTGCGGGTACTGCAGTTTTTCACGGATAGCAGGTTTTTGTTGCATTTCCTCCATTTTTGTCAACAGAGCTAGCTGACGTTTCATCAGTTCATCTGCTCGTGTTTTTTTGAAAGCGACATTCATTTTCTACACTCCCAGTTTTATTGCGCAGTTTAACCAGTTCAGCTGTTAGAGCACTGTTGCTTATTTCCATGTCTGTATTGCGGCCGTTCAGTGCATGACAGATACGATTTGCGTTACTGTACTTCCTTTGCAAGGCTAGTGCAGTATATAGAGATGCCCAAGCAATCTCTTTTAATTCATTAACATTCATTTCATCATCAATTTTGACATCCCAATACTCAACTGCTGCTTCAAACCTATTCTGGTCAAGCGACAGTTCAATCAATTCCCCCTGCAACGGGTGCATATCACTCCAGAATTCTTCATTTTCTGCGATTCCACCAAACTGTACGGCATTTCCATTTTGAAATAAACCAGTACGTTCAGTTTCGTTTCGATCTGCTGCATTATCGTATGCAGTCGACGCATCACTTTCCATTCTATTCAATTTAGCCGTGTCCATTGCACTGGCTTCAGGTTTTTATCCGGTAAGCTTTTGTCCCTACGCGGAAACTTCAGCTACGCTTTTGTTTTCAGTGTTCGTTACGCTGACTACCGGGTTGACTCTTTTGTTCTAACCCGGATACTTCAGAAAGAGATTTTGATCGTCGGTGTTCTCTCACCGCTCACAGCACTCGCAACTGCTCTGGCTGTATGGCTACGCTACGATAAGGTGCACCTGTATGCTCTCGCTTTTCGCTCTCGCATACAAAACTATAGCTCAAGATTGTGTACACTGTATATGCGCAGGCACTGCTCTGGCATATAAAAAACTTTAGCTCAAGGGAAACTGCTTTCGAACTCTTGTCTACTCACAGTCGGTTACGTAACCGCTACGCTTCAGATTTCTAGGTAACTCTTGCCCTGGCCAGTGGCTACGAGAACCTGCTTCACTATCAGTTCATCAATTCACTTTCGTCATTTCATCAGTTCAATATTCATTTCATTTTCATTTCATTCACTTCAGTGCTCATGGGTCGATCTACAGGTTATCCCTGCATCGCCCTGCTGGCAGGACAAACTGCTCAGCGTCCAGACGGGGCAAAGCCCCCGGACATTTACAGGTTTTCGCCGTGGGTCGCAGGCACGAATCAGCAGGGTTTCCCCTTACCAAAGCGTCGCCAGTACCCGGACTACTAACGTTTAGGCGTCCAGACGGCAGACCAGCTGCCCGGACATCCGTCCAGTCAGTACAGTTGTACCCGGACTGAGCACTTTCTAGAAGCCAACATTCACAATCACAATTTCAATCACAGTTTACTTAGCTAAGCCATCGGAAAGGTTCGAACATCGGTGGGCGCCATGACGGAGAGATCAGTACGATAGGAATAATTACCGTAATAATCTATCCTACCGACCTACTCAACGACAGAGTATGAGCTGATAATCTCAATGTGGCATAGCTAAGTCTACGAATCTATGCGAAGCGAGAACTGCATCTCCGACGATAATTTAATTAGAAACTCCGAAACTGCCAAAACTCGTCCTGAGAGAACTGATGATGTAAAATACTGCCACTCACGAACTTATATAGACACGGCGCATCCGTGTAGAAACCAAACCAAAAGTATATCCGAGCACAAAAGGAAAGATCGAGAATGTACAGCGAATAATAGAAAGTACGAGTCAAGCCGTCACTTTACGTACTGTACTGCTATATTCCGTCACGCATTGTACAGCTGTGACATCCCCGGTCTTGTCCGGATCTACTATTCAACGGGTCAAATGCCCAGACCTGCTGAAACTACAGTGGCATTTCCTGTTTGCCCATCTGGCATCTGGACAGCAAGGGTCAGATCAGCATCGAGTACGACCCAGTTTACGGGCAATCACCTGGAGGAAATAAGTGCCTAGTATGACTGTATACTCGTTTTGCCTATGACCTGTTATTGGGCAAGCAGATTCAAAACGCCAACTACGCCCGGGAGGACGAACTGCGCCACTGGTTTTTAACCATGATCGAAACCGGCACATTGGCGCCTCCTCCCAGATCGCGGGGTCGTAATCCGTGAATGTAAACCACGCTGAGAGGTCATAACTGCACAGCAAAAGCAGCAGATACGGTGGAAGTACGCCGGCGGTTGCATCTGCCCAGCGGATACAGATCAGTTTCGCTGTGAATATTGCTCTGTTACTAAACGATACAATAACTGTCGGTTCTGTTTCTTAAATTCACCATCTCAAGAAATGATGAATTCGACGTACGTAGACGTATGTTCGAGAAATGAACTGAAAAACCGTACAATTTCCAGTTTTTGCCATAACTAGTGGTCGAAAGTATTCTGCAAGATATTCTCTCGCAGTCTACTGTAAGATAATCATGATTCCAGTCTATTCTGTTAGTACTAATTAAATTTCAAAGAAATCGAAATCCAGAAAAGTCACGTTTAAATTCCGAATATTCGGATTTTATTTTACCGCAGTTTAAATTTCGAATACTCGGAATTCATATTGCCCCATTTTGAATTTCGAGTAATCGGAATTCAAATTGCGGCCTTTAAATTTCAAATATTGTATTTGAAAATCTAAAAAAATATATTTAGATTACTTGGAATTGCAAATACTTGAATTTGAATTCCGAGTACTCGGAATTGGTATCGGAATTCTTTCGCATGCAATTTCGAGCACTTGCGGCAACACTACCTACCACGATCTGTCGGCTATTAGTGTGGGAAAGGCTGGCACGGTCGGTAACGATGCTGACTACCGTTTACAGGATGACAAAATGATGGGAGATGCAAGATCATCCCATAGCGATTACGCAACACAAGTTACACAAAACAAGGTTATCGCAGGTGTCTATTAACAAGTACACGTAGCAAGAATCAGCGAGCAACGCAAGCTCAGGAGCAAGAATTCATAAGCGTGGGGCAAGAAGCGCGGAAGGCGCGGAGCAAGATTCGGAGAAAGTTGCAGCAAGACTAATTTCAAGATGTTTCTGACTGTGATATGCGGTCGGTAAAAGTAGGAAAACTAGGATTCTGATCTTCATAACACAACAACCAATAAACAGTAGAGAAAGGCAATTAACACTCCTACTGGCGGTACATCTAATTTCTATCGCTACAATATTTTATTCGCGCAGTCACACTTACTGTGAGCTATCGCGTAGAGTTCACGTCACATTCACAGTGGCCGTAAATTCGTAGTGATAGATTGTCATGTTCATCAGATCTGATCAGGATTCTTGAATTTTCATCCCCCAACATGGAAAACAAACTTTAAATAATATGATGCGTTATAATGCTGGTAGCAGATAAGCAGCCGGCCAGAGAGCTCACAGCATCAGTTAATTTTTGTTTTGATTACGCGAAGTTTTGAAGTCAGTTAATTTTTGCAGATTAGCCACTAATCTGAAAAAATTAACTGGTTCCCTTCAAAAATGTCTCCCTTCAAAAAATTAACTGATTCCCCTAATCTGAAAAAATTAACTGATTTTTAACACATTAAAAATTCCCTTCCATTGAAAGTGCATACTACCAACTCTGTGGAACTTAGGGTGCGTCTCCAATTTGAAGCGAATCTAGCTTTGGTACCGTTGCTCAACCGCACGAGGTGGCTGTATGCAGTGGCCACGCCTACAGATACGGTATGCGAAGCCACCTCGCGAGGTGGAGTTGCTGTATCGCAACGAGATTCGCTTCGAATTCGGGACGAGGCCTTAGAAATTGCAACTTGGAGCACCAAAATCCCAGCCCAGCGATTCCCAGGTAAGTAATCGTCTTTTGTGTATTTCAGTAGCTAACGATACGGCACGGTCTTTCTAACTTTCTACTGCACTGTGAATGCCAGGTTAAGCCACTTGCTACCATCCTTTGCTACTGAGCCCTCCCGCTTGATATTCGTCGATATTATTATTTTAAAATATAAAATTATTTTTGCATAATTCCTAATTCCTATTTACTTTCTAATACGGTGGTTAATTGATACGTAATTGTGCGATTAACAATAACATGTCAGTGTATCTATATAAAATATAGATATTGTATATCATTATAACCGTAAAGAGTGTAGACGAATGCTCTTTCTGTATGTACGTTTTCTGTCCCTTTTTTCTGTGTTTGAAAATATCCTACCTCTAGCTTCGACCTTCTGTGTGGATGAGACTGCAGTAGTTCCTTCCTCGGAAACAGATTAAAATCGATGTGCCTGCTGTTACTGTGCAAGTCACTTGCAGCAAGTGCGCAGTAAGTACAGGCTGTACAGCATCTCCTTGCAAGATGTTCCTTGCAAGATACGCTGCCATTTCTAAAGGGTTAAAGTATCTCTATGGCGCACAGTTGTTAGTAGTAGTACCGTATTATCCCAGTTGGTAGGATTTCTTTTTTTAACAGGATACTGTAATTGTTATATAATGGAAATCTGTGAAGTCCATACTCGTACTTCGTAAAGTACTTAAGTGAAAAGTCCGTGTCCGTATTTTGCTTTTATACATAGAAGTACACTAACCATAAGTAAGCATATTATAATTAGTACCATGGGTTGTTGTTGGTATCTTTCGGAAAGACGGATGATGTTTATGAAGTGGAGCATACATGTTGTGTAATCACCTGCTCAGGCTATTAATCCACCGTGCCTTCCTCGAAGAAATTTAAATTCCCCAAATTTCTGCGGGGATTTAATCTTGTGCACCGTTATCGATCGACCCGGATAAGAATGTCTGGGAATTTTAATTTAACGGCTGGCATGCTGTCCGGAGGAGGAATGCTTCCTCCTGGAATGCTGAACCCCAACACATCCGTTCCCGATGTATCGTCTGCTGATTCTCGAACCGCTGCCCCTATTATAGCAGAATATTTCTCCGAAAAGCATCATCGGGATATGTTGGAATCGTTGTTTCAGTTGCGGAAAAGCCGCGAATTGTGTGACGTAACCATTGTGGTAAACGACAGGCACATTTTTGCTCATCGTGCTGTTCTGGCTGCGTGCAGGTTAGTGGAGCACTCACATCTTATGATCGGTAATACGTGTTTCTCGCGTGCTGTTTTCTTGTCTTCACGTAAATCAGGGGCATTATAATATTTATTAATTAGAGAAGACTTAATTTTGTAAATCTTTATTGGTATTAGATGGTTTTTAGTGTAGCTGTACCTTGTTCGAGTACCACAGAGACATGACAGAATTATGCTGCATAGTGCATACCGTAATTCTGTATGGTTTGCACGGATACCCTTTTCACTGCTCAATTTCTTTCGCGTTCGTTACAGCCCTTATTTTCGGGCGATGTTTACTGGCGATTTATCGGAAAGCAAGCAAGCGGAAATAACTTTAAAGGATATTGATGAAACCGCTGTGGAAGGTATGAGACCTGATGAAGGGTGTCATCTTGGTCAGAGTTCGATGACGTTTTGCATAGCGTATTGCATAGAATCAGCGCTAACGAATGTTTGGTCTAGCGATTAAGCACTGCCTTAATATGTATGTTAAATCTTTATACATTTTTTACGTGCGCGTCATTTAAAAGTGTCTGCAGATCTAATTGATTTCGCATACGCCGGGAAGATATCAATCGAGGAGAGAAATGTGCAAACTCTGCTTCCTGCGGCCTGTCTCCTCCAAATGCAAGAAATCCAGGATAATTGTTGTGATTTCTTAAAAAAGCAGCTTGATCCATCCAATTGCTTGGGAATCAGAAGTTTTGCTGATGCATATTCCTGTCGCGATCTTCTTAAAGCTGCCAATCGTTTCGCGCAGCTGAATTTTTTGGAAGTGGTTTTAAGTGAGGAATTCCTTTTGCTCCCTGTGGCGCAGTTAGTGGATTTGTTAGCCAGTGATGAATTGAATATCAGCAAAGAGGAGCAAGTGTATCAGGTATATGCAGTAGTTAAAAATACCGTATTTTATTTTCTGGTTATAATTTCTCAGCATTTATGCTGGCTCATTCTTCACACTGCTTTAGGCTGCCATATCTTGGATCCGACACGATGTAAAAGAGCGCCGGCAACATGTTTCATCGGTTTTAGAGAAAATCCGTTTGTGCCTAGTCACACCAAAATTCCTGGTCAGTGTCGTGAGTGCGGAATCTCTTTTTAAGAGTGAAGAAAATTGTCGAGAGATGATAGATGAAGCAAAAAACTATCTTTTGCTACCCACCGAGCGCTCTGCAATGCAAGGGCCACATACCAAACCTCGCAGACCAATCGTCCGGGGAGAAATGCTCTACGCTGTCGGTGGGTATTAATTCCTGAAATGTACTTTTAAGTTTTTTTAACGCTCCTGCTGCTGCTTATGTTCATTCGCGTAATTTGAATGGCAGCGCAGTGTTGTTTTCGATTGTATGGTTGTTTTTTTTGCTTACCATGAATGAATCGTTTGGTTTGGTCTTGCCCACTAACTGAAAAAGTGAGTTGTTGTTTTTGCAGGTGGATGGTGCAGTGGAGATGCGATTAATTCCGTGGAAAAATATGATCCTCAACTTAATGAATGGAAACTGATTGCACCCATGTCCAAACGACGTTGTGGAGTCGGGGTGGCGGTACTCAATGATTTATTGTATGCTGTTGGGGGACATGATGGCCAGGCCTACCTGAACTCCGTTGAGCGGTAAGAGTAGACATGATTTCGTATCTGTTTATTTGCAAATAGTCCGTTGTTATCTGTAGATACGACCCACAAACAAATCAGTGGAGTGATAAAGTAGCCCCTACCAGCTCCTGCAGAACTAGTGTCGGTGTTGCCGTAATGGATGGTCACCTTTATGCTGTTGGAGGACAGGTCGGCTCTTGAACTCTTTATTTTACTTTCCTCGATTCTTTATTGATATGGGCTTTTTAGGATGGTGTGTCTTGTTTGAATCTTGTTGAAAAATATGATCCTCAAGCTGACCGGTGGGCGAAAGTGGCCTCTATGAGCACAAAGCGTTTGGGAGTAGCTGTGGCGGTTCTTAATGGTTATCTCTATGCGTGCGGTGGATCTGACGGTGAGATTTCTGTTTGTTTAAAATCCTCGGATCTCTTAATGCATAGATTATTTTTAGGAAGCAACCCCCTCAATACGGTAGAGCGTTATGATCCGCGGACGAATCGATGGCAGACCGTGACGCCAATGGGGACCAGAAGGAAACATTTGGGTTGTGCGGTTTTGAATGGGCATTTGTACGCAGTTGGAGGAAGGTGAGAACCAGAAATGTATTTTAAACCTTTACTATGTTGGCTGGCTACTGGGCACATTATCGTGTTATGCATATAAGTTATGATGATCGCGTCCCTACCGTTCCACAATTTTTGTTTTTGTGCTGTTCTATTTTGTCTGCTTCTGAGATAACTTTACTAGCAACGGTCTCCGGACATTCGGATACATAACATTTTTGCAGGGATGACCATATGGAATTATCTTCTTGTGAGCGCTACGATCCGAAAACTTGTACTTGGGATCCTGTGATTGCCATGAGCAGCCGGCGCAGTGGTGTCGGATTGGCGATCGTTAATGGTTTAATGTTTGCTGTGGGTGGATTTGATGGAAATTACTATTTGAGATCTGCAGAGGTTTTTGATCCCGAAACCGTGGTCTGGCGGCCTTGTGCAACCATGAATTACCGGCGTCTAGGCGGTGGTGTAGCTGTCGTTGGCACTTTTGGTACGGGCAAAACACCTCTAGGTGACCAGCAGAAAATTGGCGGTGCCGTCGATAAGTTGAACAATTTAAATATCAAGCAAGATTCGGATTGAAATCGCCGATTTCTCGCGTATGGTGGTGGAAGCTGTCGGCACAAGTGTTTACGCTTATGATATCTGTTTAAAGTTCTCTACTCTGTTTTCTGATACTTCCTACTTCATTTTTTAATCGGAGTGGTTTTTATTGAGTTTCAGTTATAAATTGCTTATTGGCTGTATAGTTACGCAAATTTAGAGAAATTTCAGAGTTTCGGGATGTTCTACAGATAAAGATATGGGATCGTTTGTGAAAACAGTACTCGTGTACGTAAGCAGGTGTCAGAGCATAAGTCTTAGTTTCTTAGAATAAGTAGAATAAGAAGTTGCATGTTACTTCATAAGTAGTTGCACGTTTTGTATCTAATTTTGATTATTTTTTTCCGTTTCGGTGCTTTTAGTTTTGATTTAGTTATCAATTATTACCTGTACCGTCTACGGGTACCCTCAGTTAAGTCACCTGACACACTAAAAGGTTATCACTTATTAGTGACAAACATAAATTACGCTACATGTATGCACGATCAGGTGCTTAGGAAATGAACATGGCGCAATGAAAACAGTCTGATAACTGTAAAAAGACCTAATCCCATGCTTCTGGTGAAAGTACAACAGCACTACATGCGATAAGACATTAAGAAGTTTACAGTATATCAGCGCTTATAATAACGATCCGAAGGTGGGCTGTCTCCGCTGCCGGTTGTTCAGTTTTCCACTTCTGGTCCATACAGGCAGATTGTGCGTTCTCACCCAACGGTTTCGTTAATTTATTTGCAGACCAGCAGCGTACTAAACGCAAAAAATCTCAATTGTTAACATGAACTCGAGAGTTGCTCTTACATTGTTACTTGTGGCGGTGCACGCGTATGCCCGTCATCCCGTGGACAGTGATTTAGATAGCGATTGGAAAGCGTGGAAAATTCAACATGGTAAGACACTGATTTCAACGTTACAGCCAATGGTTATTCAGCCGCACTCGAGGAAATAAGCCAAACTTATGTGCCTAAATGTTATAACCAGAATATAATATCATTTGACTCATAATGCATAGATGTGCGCTTGGCTTCAAGTTAATACGCCGGGTTTATCTGCAGGAAAAACATACGCCGGCGAAGAGGAACACCATCGACGTATAACGTGGGAAAACAATGTCAAACAAATTACACATCATAACATTCAGTACAGCTTGGGAAAAACCACCTACACTATGGGGGTCAACCAGTTCACCGATCTGGTAAGATATTGTAAACCTGGGGAATTTATTTTTAATTTGAAGAAAAATAAAATAGACGTTAATCTCGTTGTAACTCAGACACTCGATGAGTTCTCTCGACTAAGTCGGACATTCACTGCCTCGCCGCGTACCGGTCTCCGCCACAAACATCGCCGCCATCATCACAAACAGCATTCCGATGCCGCTTGCAAGCCAACATTACTGGACGAAGTGAGCGTCCCGGACGCTGTCGACTGGCGAACGGAAGGCTACGTGACCGTGGTACGAAGCGAACAAGGCTGCATCAGTTCCCAGTACTTCGCCATTAACGGCGCCCTCGAAGGTCAATGGTTCCGCAAAACCGGGCAGTTGAACGCACTGAGTGAACAGAATCTCAAAGACTGTTGTGAAAAAGGTAACGAGTTTGCTATTCGAAAGAAATTCGTTAATGTCTTTAATGTCAACCTTACTGGAATTTCGCAGATCCCACCAAATGTTCCACCTATGTTAACGGAACGTGCACTCTGGATGAAACCTACCAGTACCTAAAAATCAATGGTGTTGAAACGCTCTCGGACTATCCTGATTCGGCACAGCCCGGCAAATGCGCCTATGATCCCAAAAAGAGAGCGGCCACTCTTAGCGGTTACGACTTCATCGACGCCACGGAAAAGCAACTGAAAGTAGCTGTGGCCAGCATTGGTCCGATTGCATCGGCTATGGATTCTTCGCAGCCGTCATTCATGACGTATGCCGGTGGAGTGTACAATGAACCGAACTGCTCCAGCACGAATCTTGATCATGCCGTGCTGATTGTCGGCTACGGCACCGATCCGACGGCAGGTGACTATTGGATCGTGAAGAATTCCTTTGGTCCAGACTGGGGCCTGAAGTGAGTTCAATTGCTTTCTTTAATGTTGTCAGATGAAATGTTTCAACATCAATATCATAAAATATATTATGTAAAAATATTTCTCCTTCCGTTTAGGGGCTATATTTTGATGTCAAGGAACAAAAACAACCAATGCGGAATTGCTACCACTACGACGTATCCGTATTTTTCATGTTAAAATTATTTTGTGAATTTTGCATCTGCCAGTTCTCAGATAGTCGGGAAAACTACATTATTTGACAAAGCTAATTGTGACTGTTCTATGAACAGCTTTTCATAGTTATTTGTCAGGCTTTCGGCAGCCGACAGCTAGTGTGATGTTATTACTGTGATTTTGATTACAATGCAATCAGTTTGTTGTGTGCTGGATGCTAATCTACAAAAGATTACTAACGGCAAGTTGGCAACCATATGCATGGTGCAATTCGATGACCTTTATACTGCATTTTCAAAATATTAACAGGAGTGACCTTTAGGCAGAAAAAAATTGTAAATTCTGTACAACCATAGTAACAAAACGGTTGAAAAATGATCCCTTGTGATATTTTTCTTACTTTTTAAGGTGGACATGCCGGTACGAAAAACATGATGCATAATCCTGTGATAAACAGAAACTTCGCACTGCATTTTTATAAAACTTTGCGCATTGTAGTATCTATTTAATATAGAGTACCGATACCATATTGACCTAAAAATTAAAATTCGATCCAGATATACCATACTTATCAGAAATTGTATACACATCAAATCGGAAACTGTAAAATGCCTTTAGTCGCGGAAACGGATTTCACCATCAAGAAGCATGATTATCCATTTGCCGAACATCACCGGCTGGATTCTCGTGATCTGCCGAAGTACCATGACCCGGCGTATCCCGATGCACTAGATTTTGTACTCCAAGCGGTTTATAATAATGCAACGGAATTCGATGCCGATGCAGCTCGGACGAAAAGTCAAAACCAAAGTAGCAAAGAATTCAACAAGTGCAACTGCCGAAAAATGTACTGTACTTACACAATCTACCATACTTCTATCTGTATTCCATAACCTGTTGTTTGGCTGTTGTTGCCAACCAAAACATAATAACAATAAAATTATTGTGATTCCATAATTGATTTTTTCAGTGAAACTGCAACCACAGCGACACCCAAAAGCCTTACTACTGGACATGTGCACCTTTATATGCAGCATAACAATATCAGAGGAGCCGGACCCATAAGAGTGGCAGAAATGGTGCAAAGAAACCATGAGAATCAATACAAATGTTATACAGGTAATGAAACCTATGTCATATAAATGCCGTTTTATGCTGCCGAGAAGCATCTCAGTTTCAGCCTTGTGAAGTTATCATTTCGAAAACATTACAAAATTTAATTGCAACTGTAATAATTGAAAAATAGACTATCAAGTGTTGAGCCCTTACTTGTACAGAGTTGTATGTGCTTCGCTACCGGCTGCGCATGCTACCGAAAAACCACTTTTAGTGTAAAACTGCAAAAGTATACGACTTATAATATTATTATAGCATAAGCCTAGTAAAACATTTACTAGATCTTTTACTCTAAACTTAACTGAAACGATACGTAGATTCAATTCACGCATCGCAAACCAATAACGGATATTCTCGCCAATCCGGAGGTGGATTTTTCCGTTGGTCCTAGAAAGCGGACCGGAAATCAACTTTTGAATCGTGGAACAAACTGGATGCCGATTTGCTTTCCAAAAGCCTTATGTTTCTGTGTATGTTTATTAATTATCGTTTACGTACTTGCTTTAAATGTTTTTGAGCTGTTAAGACCGAAATTTGGAATGTGGATTGCGACTGAGGATTGATGGAATTGTAACTATATCTTTATGTAGTACTTTTTACGGTATTAAAAATGAAAACGAAGAATGCAAAATAATACGTACGTAATTTACACGAGTAATAACTAAAGTCGAAATATGACGTTAGCATTTACTGTACTAGTAGTTAGCATTTACGTTAGCATTTACTATGTACTTGCGTGTATCGTAATAAACTAATGTTACGAATGATACATATGTTACGAACCGGGGTTTTCTACAAAGATCTTTCTACCGAGCTTTTTTTCTAGGCTTATTACCGCTTATAGTCCAAGGATGATGACTTCAATCTGTCTCAACCTTTCAGTATCGTTTCAGTATGTTATCCGTTATCGATCAATCGTATAATTCATATTAATTTATTATGGACGGATTTAAATGGACAGAAAAGGAGGATACTGGATCGTCTAGTAGTTCTGACTCCGAACGGTCTTCCCGTAAGCGAAAGCATAAGCATGAGAAGGAAAAGAAATCAAAGAAGCCCAAGAAGGAAAGGAAGCATCGACGAGAAAGCAGAGAGAAAACACCAGACGTCGATGTTCCGCAGCCTTCCACTTCGGAACAGCTGAACACGGACCGCAAAACGGGACGCGATGAATGGATGGGAAACTCCGAATCTGCATTTCTTTTCCCATCTGTATCTGCTAGTGAACTTAAACAACAATCGAGAGATGCGAAAGCAGCTGCCAAAGCCGCGCAGCAGGAGGAGACAGCCAAGATTTACCGTTCTCGTGAACTGAACCCGTACTTGCGGGAAAAGGATGAGAAGAGCGAGAAGCTTGCGGAACCAGTCGTACGGAAACCTGTGGGAGATGGCGGAGCTTCTTGGTTGAAGCGTTCTTATGAACGCTTAAAGGAACAGGCTCGGGAAAGCGGAGAATCAGTGGAGATTCTCGCAGCTGAACGATGGGGTTCGCTTGATCGGTTGGTGTCCCTTATCGACGAAGCTGACAAAAACGAGCGCAGCGAACACAGAAGACCGCGGGACTACCGTTCGGAGAGACACGAATGCAGGGATGGACGACCGAGGCATCGTCACACAGACCGTGACAGCAGGAAGACTGAAGAGGAAAACCGGACAGATGAAGACTCTACACGTTCACCGCGGTCGAAGCGTCCGGAACGTCCTTCGTTCGACACTGCTCCCGCTGCCAAATTTAAATTTATTAAACCCGGTGAAGAGCCGTCAGCGGAGTGGAAAAACAGAGATAGGCCAAGCCATTCTTCGTCTTATTCATCAAAAAGTAAACTGAAAAGTGAATCGGTGGACCAGAGTAATACAGTGCCTACCATGCCGAGTGGTTCATTTGCAGCGGAAGTTCAGAAGAATGTAGCGCATGCTGTGGAAAATAACACTGATGTTGGCACAAATATCAGCCAGGCCGATCTGAACAAACTGAACGCACAAATACTCAGAGCTGAAATGATGGGGGATTCCGAAACAGTTGCGCAATTAAAGGCTAAGATCGCCGCGGCGCAATCATCACAAGCGACGCTTGGTGAAGCGAGAAGACCGGAAACAGTGATGCTTTCGCGAACGCATGCCAAAGGATTCAGCTATCCCGTCCAGAGCGGACCGGAATTCCCACTGAAGGGCAAAAAACCGAAAACAGTCAGCCACAACGCCAAAGGCGAGCGAGAACGGTATTTTGCTGACGATGAGAAGTATTCCTTGCAAGATCTGGTCTCCATGGAACGAATGCAGAGTGCCGACGACCAGAATGCCATGTTTGCCAGACTGGCAGGAACTTCGAAAGAGAAGACCGACGATGATTACGGAGTGGACGATGCCTTGATGAAGAAAGCTTTAGGAAAGGAAACTCTGGATCAGATGTCCACCCGAGATCGTGAAAGAGCCATTATGGAACACCGGCAGTTGGGTTCCGCGTTGTCATCTTGTCTGTATTGCCTGGAAGGGCCGAAAGTAGCCAAACACCTCGTGATTAGCATTGGTCACAAAGCGTTATTGATGTTACCGCCGTACACACCGTTAACAGAAGGTCATTGTCTCATTTGCCCAATCCAGCATGTTTCCTGCGCGACACAGGTGGATGAAGATGTTTGGGAAGAGATGCAGAAGTTCCGCTCAGCTGTCTGCCGTATGTTCGCAGAGCACGAAATGGATTGCGTATTCATGGAAACTGCTACGCGCCTCAAGTCGCATCCGCATATGCAGATCGAATGCATTCCGCTGGATAAGGACAACGGCAGCTTGGCTCCAATGTATTTCAGAAAGGCTATTCTCGAAGCGGAAGGAGAATGGACACAGAATAAGAAGCTGGTCGATCTTAGCCGGAAAGGCATCCGGTCATCGGTAAGTGTACACGAAGAAATGTCGTAACGTAAAATTTGCGTTAGTTCCGATTTCTTGGGGGATTTAGGAGGAGTCTTTTAGGAGATCTTTTAGAGTGGGTGGATAGAACTTGTAATGAGTTGCTGAGTTTTTCTTTAAATTGTAGGTTCCGAAAGGTTTGCCATACTTCGCAGTAGATTTCGGAATGCAAGGCGGATATGCACATGTGATTGAGAATGAACAGAAATTCCCTGTATACTTTGGAAAGGAAGTGCTTGGAGGTATGATAGATGTGGAGCCTCGATTGTGGTTGAAAAATATCCCACAAGATTTTAATGAGCAGTTGAAGAACGTTAATAAGTTCGAAAACATGTGGAGGCAGTACGACTTTACCACCGCTAGAAGTGATGGATAAACAGTCTGATCAATTACTGTTAGTTGTTCTCAGTACCAATATGTAGAAAGTCGTTTGATTTTGAATGCTGCTGTTTTAACTTACGTCATTAATATTGGCGTTTTTGTAATCTTTGTGAACGATTCAAGAAATGTCTATCGGCCGCTGTGCACTGTTATCAGTGTCTAGTAAAGTGAGTGTCTCCACTTAAAATAGTTGGAACTTGTAACAGTAACAACATTTAAGTATTGTTTTGATTTGCGTCACCGGATCCAGCGGAAGCGGTTGATTCCTGCTTTTATTTTATTGAGTACGGTACAATACCCCTTCGTGTTAATCGTGAACAAGTGTACGATCAACAGGTGGATGGATTGCAAAACAGATAACACTTCTTACTGAACTATCAAGAACAAGAAGTCAAAAACCGGGACATAGTTTTTAATACAGCTTTAAAATAAAGCAATAAACAGAGCGATTCAAATTCACAGAATTTGCTTAAACAACTGGATAACTGGCAGCCGTGGCGACACCACATTGGTTATTCCTGTTTCGTGCCATTCTGATATATCCCCTGTAGAAAAAGATTTGATTATCAACTTTGTTTGCTATGTAAAAACAAACTAGTTTGTGTCATACGCGCGTGTGTCTAACATTTATTTTGCTACTTACTTTTCTCCCCATGTCGCTCCCCAGCTGTTCTTGACGATCCAGAAGGCTTTTCCAGAATCAGTGCCATAACCCACAGCCAACACTCCGTGGTCCCTAATGGCAGCAAAAAACGAATTATCAGAATTTAAGTTGTACAGTTATAGGCAGAATTTCTACGTTGTGTAACCAACACTCACAGATCACTCAAACCATTCTTGCAGAATGGATCCACGTAGACGCCTCCGCTGTACAGCTGGAAGAGGATGCTGGATGCATCAATGGCAATGCTGACCGGGCCGACGGTGGCCACCGCAACTTGCAGAGCCGTCTCGTTTCCAGATTGAATGTCAACGAAGCCGCTGTCAACCGCGGCTTTGTTCTTGGGGTCGTACATGCACGTCTGATCTTTGGCGACATATGGGTAAGATGCCTCCGAGTCAATGCCGTCGTTGTCCTTAATGTACTGGAAGGCTTGATCCTACATGATATTAAAGGTCACCACTTGCCTGTGCGTGGGTTCTTAAACATTAAACACAGTCAGTTTGCGAAATCTCACCATAAGACCACCGTTGCATCCTTCGTTGCCTTGCTTTTGCGAGCAGTCCACCAGATTCTGTTCGCTCAGCGACGGCAGTTTGCCGGTCTTGCGGAATGTCTGACCTTCCAGGGAACCGGTGGAAGAGAACGCCCAGCAGGAACCGCATTGTCCCTGGTCTTTGACTTCGGTGACATAGCCCTGAGTGCGCCAATCGACGGAATCAGGGATGGCGGCGTTCATGGGCTCCAAAAAGGTGAAACGGCCTTTCTGCTTATTTTCCGCGGTGTATCCGTTCACCATCTCGACGAATTCGCTGTTCAGCTACAAGAGTGCAAAGAGCGTGATCAAGTGCATGTTACCCTTACAACAAATAAATCAAATAAACGGAATCCTTCCTATTAATTAAAGAAGCCGTACTTACCATGTCGCCGAACTTGTTCATGCCCAGCGTGAAGGTGTGTTTACCAAGACTGGCTTGCAGATTGTGGTGTTGAATGGTCCGCAGATTTGATTCCCAGATGGCTCGGCGTTTCACCTCTTCCCGGGTGTTCTTGTACTCTTTGCCTACACAATGACATCGTCGTAATTCGCTTATAATCATCAAAAATTAACCGGTCAGGTACTGTCATGTACCATGTTGAGTCTTCCAATCGGACCAGTCGGCATCGAGATCCTCGTTGAGTGAGTCGAAATCATCGACATCAGCAACTGCGGCAGCAGCGATCGCTACGCCCAACAAAACCAAGAGCAGAGATTTCATTGTGATCCGATTGAGCCTCGATTGAAGTTTGGAAAAGAAAAATGATTTATGGGAGGCTGTAACTATAGAATTGGCTAGCTTATATACCCTACCAAAGAAGCAAACAAGAACACTGCGATTAGAGAAATGTGATGCTCATAGGTGCACTTTATAACGCTACTCACATGCTCCTCAACGCCAACCAGTAGCATTGCCCCGTTAGATAACCGCGCTTTCATTAGGTTATCAGCTGTTTGTTCTGATAAAGAAATGAACAAAGGACACTGGCAGCGGGTTTGCGTTATGTCAAACCTTTTTCTTGTCGGTGTTCGAGGTGCAAATATGCTTAACTTTAGGAATAGATGAACTACGCATTTGACCTACAGAAGCGCCAACATTATGAAAATTTTTATAGCTGCGTTTATAGGAAACGCACGAAGGCAGACGGAAATGTTAATTGCTCAATTACGTTAAATTTAAAACCAGTTAACAGTTATATACCATTAAACTACTATGCATTATGCGCTTTAATTAGTTCTTAGAAACCAGAAATGTCGACAAAAAAACCGAAAATTGTTTTTGTTTTGATGACCACGTTATTCAATTTAGGAGTTGTTTAGCCGCCAGTAATGGTTTCGGTGCGACTCACAAAACAATTAAGTAAAAATGGGAAATCGACTGAAAGGTCAGCAAATAAATAATAAGCACAAAAGAACGCGTACGAGCACGAGTTGCTCAACGGTGTGAGTAGAAATAGCCCACACTAGCTGTACTTACAACACTGCGGCATGCGCAGCTTGCACAATCAACACTTAAAAGTTAAAACTGAAATACGTAAATATTTGAACTCCTAATAATACTTAATATTATAAGACAACGTGCCGCAGAAATTTAATGTATCGTGGCATTCGCGTATAAACGTGGATGGATTTTTACGTAAAGCAATTATGAATTGTTAGTTGCAATATGAGTTTACTTTCCGAATTAAGCAGTTCTACCACCTGCAAGAAGCGATGGTCAAAACAGAATGAAATCTTCAGTCAGACCTTTTCAGCTTTCATCTCATGAATATCTGGAGCTGCAAGTGCATAATTATTGTATACATCGTGTTATAGTAATTTTAATTTTATAGCATATAGTAATTTTATATACAGTAAGCCCCTGTGCAAGCCTGTAAATCGTACATTTCTGTAAAACCATAACCGGAGACGCAGATTATCAAATTGCAGCGCTCCTGATAATTACGGACGAGTAACTAGCTGAGGGTTATCTTCGTTTTTGGCCAGGTAAGGCTTTTCCGATAAGAATGCATTCCAGAACAAACAATCTCAGGGCACTATTAAGCCTTCTGACAGTGATAATAACGGCAAGGATTAAAATTAATTAAACTCTAGATCTTCAATAGTAAACGATCGCGAAGTAGTGCATGACGTATACAGTATAATAATGTAATTCGCTGTTAAACACACCAGTGCATATCTATACTATACCAGGTATGTACTCTGTACATTTGGAACTATTGCTTCCTTGCGCATTAATATAAGCACAACCAACATTTGGATATTTTGATCAACCTAATACTGGTGATTATTTCTACAACATTTTGATTTAACTAGAACGGTTCAGCTTTCGGTCTGCTTTCCGACAAACTTTATTGTCGTCACTTTTCGTTCACATTATAAAGCGAATCAAAAAGCGCAAGATCATGATGGATTTGGCCTGAGCCACATTAAAGTACTTAATGAAGCAATATGTCTGAAGCGTTCACGAAAGTCTAAACGTCAATTTCTCGTCGAACATCAACATTATTGAACGAAGTTCATCACAGATATCTTTTATCGCAGTGCAAGGTGATCATTTGCAACCATGATATTGGCTGACTTAAACGGTGGGGTAGCTGGAAGCGGTGGCAATACCGCACTGGTTGTTCTTGTTGCGGGACATCCAGATGTATCCCCTGCAGAGTAGGATACCGTTAGTATATGTTATGTTCAGTACCTCTCAGAAACAAACTTCCGCCACAATTTAACTTACTTCATGCCCCAGTCAGTGCCCCAAGAGTTCTTGACAATGTAGTAGTCTCCGCCAGTGGCATCAGTGTCGTAACCGACAGCCAAGACACCGTGATCCAGTTCAGTGCTGGAGCAGTCAGGCTCGTTGTACACTCCGCTCTGGTAGAGCTGGAAGGAGTCAGCCGAGGCATCAATGGCCACGGAGATGGGTCCAACGGTGGCGATGGCGGCGGTCAAGGCGGTTTCATTGCCACTGTCAATGTCAACAAAGCCGGTGTCTGAGGCGACCTTCTTGGATGGCTTGTACTTGCAGTCACCATCTTCAGCGGTGTAGGGGTAGTCCTTCTCGGATTCAATACCCTTCTTCTGGATGTAGGTGAAAGCCTGATCCATCAGACCACCATCGCAACCTTCATTACCTGCAAGCGACATCCATCCGGTTAAGCATTGTACGTAAAAGTACAGTCGAGGTCACTTGTATACCTTCATCTCCAGAGCAGTCAACGAGGTTCTGTTCACTGAGGGAAATCAGTTTGCCGGTCTTGTGGAACCTTTACGAAAAAAGCGTAAAATTATTATATCTCTCCTTGAAAACATATGCACTAAGCGCACATTACACTCACCATTGTCCTTCCAAGGAACCGGTGGCAGAGAAAGCCCAGCAGGAACCGCACTGACCCTGATCCTTCACACCGGTGACATAGCCCTTGGTGCGCCAGTCGACGGCAGCGGGGACCTGGGCGTTCAGGGGAGGCAGGAAGGTGACACGGTTGCCCTTCTTCTCGCTCATTTTGAGACCGTTCATCATCTGAACGAATTCGCTGGAAGTCTGAAACAATTCACCGAATATTGGTCAACACATGGTACAGTACATGCTTGATGCATATCGACCACATATGTCTCGAGCGAAGCTTACCAGGTCACCGTATTTGTTCATGCCCAAAGTGTAAGTGACCTCTCCGAGGCTGAAGCGGATGTTATGATGCTCGATCTTCTTCAGATTCTTTTCCCAAATCGAACGACGGAGAAGCTCTTCGGCATCATTTTCGTAGTTCTTGTCTGCAGGACAAAGGTCACTTTATAGCGTAAAAGATTATGACTTCAGCCGCTGCTGCAGGAATTATCAAACTAAAATCGGCGTTTGCTAAGGATGCCGATTTCGAATGTCTGTAGCCGACACTGAGTCGTACAGAAGATAAAATGCGCATGGATGTCTTACTGTGCTTGGTCTTGTAAGCTTCCCAGTCTTCGTTGAGCTCTTCGTTGATGTGGCGGTTCACAGCCGCGGCAGCAAAGCCCAACAGGGCGATGAGAATGATCACCTTCATTATGGATTAGTATTACAGACTGGGAACTTGCTATTTGCACTGTGGAGAATGCAACTGATACCTTCATCCGCCTCCATCTGCTGTTTAAATATGGTATGCATATGGCAGCCGTATTCACCGTCAGATGACTTCTTATCTTTACCCACTTTTTCCTCAGACTGCTGAAAAGATAGCGCTTATCGCTGGAAGAATGGCCATTTTGCAGTAGCTCGCTGCTTTCTTTGGTACGTTTTGGGAGTTGGATGACAGTTCATGCGGTATGCACTTGTCATGATCAGTTTATCAACGATATTGGTTGTAGGTTGTTGGCCGGAGCAGGGGATTCGCTACACCAACCGGCGCAAGCAATTCCACCGCCGTATTCTCCACCACGCAAACAAATTATTTATCGAGACAGCCGGATTGTGCGGCATTATTATCCGTATCAGTAAGGCCACGAGTTGTTATGAAAATCTCTATTTTTTTCTGACTCGTCAGCGGGGACACCCGCACCGAAAAGTGCGTTCACATGATATGTCAAGTCCATGTGAAAAGTCTCGAAGTCCAGTAAAGCTTCTGTAGAATTCAGTCACTACTACTGCAGCCAAAAGTCTCATTTTATTTGTCGATAATGCGCTCACAAGAATCTGTGATAAAACATATTTTGCGAATAGAAGAAATCGCAGGCTTTCGCAACCTGTACAATAGTCTTGGCGCGGACCAGTTTTTCGGTATACAAATGCAGTGCAACTGCGTACGATAAGCACGAAATTTCCAATTTCACTGGATATCCGCTTCTACTACAGTATTACTACATATTACGAATCCGAAGCTTTTAATGGGGACTGCGTAGTAACATGATTTCTTTATGGTTTTTTTGAAGAAGTCCTTGTTTTGTCTTTGGCATACAAATCTGGAATAATGGTGATTTCCGTGCCATTCCGAGGAAAATTTAATTGTTCGTCTCGCCCGTCAGTGTTGACCTGCAGACATGCAGTTAACAGTATTTATGGTGTACGACAGGCTATAAATACGATAACTTGGATCGGCTAATTAAACTTGACGTACTATAATTAAATATGGCGTACGGACGGTAAAAATTAATGGCAAAGTATCATATATGTTTTTGAAGAAGCTTAAGAAGGCCATACCAAATTTGTTGTGGCATAAAACCCAATTTCTTGAGCGGTAGTTAGAGGAAGTTCAAGACGTTCGTAGGGCGCCTTTAACTGCTCGCGTAACAATGCAAGCAACCTTTCTAAACGAATTGGCAAAAATGAAAATCTTTTCCAATGGTTATATTTTAATATTCTTGAGAAATCAATACTTACTTTTTGCAGTAGAATAGGCAATAGTTACGTATGTACCTATCTACATTCTCCATAAATGAAGTACATACACTTGTTGACAGATAATGCAGTTAGTTAATACGCAAAACAATCGCTTAGATACTTACCTTCCCGGAGAGTTTAGTAAATATCACGTTGATTAAAATTTTAGTATGCAGTTAGTACCAGGTGGGTCGATGTCGTCCACATAATCATGGTCAGACATGGGTTTTCTTGTAATAGCCCTTTCTAAAGAGTGTGAAAAGCAGTGCATGCTTACAATTGTTCACGAGACATTGTTATTGCATATAGTTAACCTCGTGGAAGCGGTGGACGGTCATGAAATTCTCTAGCTATGATGTCCTTGTCAGGTTCCAACCGTTTAACTCGTTCTATTAGCTGCTGATCGATTTGTAGTGGGGTCAGCGGGATTTTTTCCCGTTTGGTCGCCATTGATTCGAAAACTGAGAACTGATGTGGCTGGACGAAAGTTTTCAAAAAGACGAACACGTGCAAATCGTAAATTCGGTTTGATTAAGGTCACAGAGAACTGGGCACAACCCTACAGTATCCTTCTAGTATGACCTTCTAGAGAATATCCATGTTAGCATGCTGGTTATTGTATGGACAAGTTCAAGATCAGTTAATTAAACACTCTAAATCTGTTCTCTTTCGGTCATTCTGAGCAAAATTTACTCAGCCAAGTAACATTCTAGCAAAAATTCTGATTTTATTCTTGAAGCGTGATGGGCATGAAAATTTCTATAAATCCATTATCCACACTGACCACACATAATAATAACACAGTTACTGCGAGACTTTTCTGTCTTCATAAACTACACTGGGAATATCAGCCTTTAAAACAGCAAAACCACTTGAACTGCTGCAGTCGCTGCGCGCAACGTAAAGAGGCAGATCAGGATTACTTCTTCCGCGCACAGCGGCGAACAGGTCGGCTAAAGGTATCGTTTTATGATAGTCTGTTACAGCAACATCGAACACTGAATGCATGGAACCGGCATGCTCGCTCTTCCCAAACGCAGTGAACGCCAGATCGAAAGATGACGGAATGGATCCTGCTGGAAGCCGCGCATCTTCCACAGCAGTGGCATAATTTATATTCCTCCAATTATGTTGTTCGAATAAAGGAGGGATCTCGAGCGAAGCGGCAGGTTCGAGAGATAGTTCCGGTTTAGAAGATGCAGCGTGACTGCCGTGACACCACTCAGTCGATGCGCTACCGCAGGCAGATGACTCCTCTATGTAGGGCGATGGTAACAGACACTGAGATACTTCCGGTTGAGTTTTACACTCAACATCCAACACACATCCCTGACTCCATGATTTTTGTTTAGCAGTTCGTTTGTTACAATCCTTGCTCCATTTCAGATCGCCGTACGGACGAAGACAAAGCTGAGTGGTGCGATGTATCTCTGAAAATATTCCGTACCGTTCCGCAAAACATGAAACATGCTTCTCGAACATGGCACGTAGATCTTCAATGCTGAGTGTTGTCGGCTGGTTTGTTGTTTCGCCTGACGAATCGGAAACGCAGATTTCCAAAATGCCCTGTGCAACAAACTGTCATCAGAACACGAAGACTGAAAAACACAAAGCAAGCTATTAAATGATTTGCATTACCATATCGGCGAGAAAAAAGGCCTCTAATGGGGTGAGCAATGTGTACTGGGATCCAGAAATTGCGTCGAAACGATTAACACCGAAAAACTGACTAAACGAACCACGGAATTTTTCCACGCGTACTGTCATATCAGCTGTATTTAACACGCCAACTTTGCCAGCATCCGCGTACCGCGTTTCATCACTAAAAATAAGATACGACAGCCGCTCCAGAAAACAACAATTTGAAATTGGAGAACCGTGATACTGAAAATGAGAAACGTTGATAAGGCGACGCGAGACCGTACCTCTTCTCAAATGAAACTTCACGATATCGTGGATGCCGGAATGCTTTCTCCTTGCATCTATATATTTTATCCAGTCGTTGTTGCAGTCTTTTGGAATCCTTCGGAGCGGAATTCAATTTCGCTCCAAATCGCGGAAGCTTCAGCAATTCAGTCGATAAATGATTTGTCTTCAGCTTCGTCATATCCTCACCCCTATCAAAAGTTTTGTTCGCGCAATTAAAACGAAAACAGTCCATGAGAAAGTTTGCTTGGTAAAGTTTACGTACGATTGAAGTAAGCTGCAAACAGTTTCAGAAGCATCGACTGCATCATCACGAGAACTCCACATTATGGTTTCGGGTTTGGCATTTATTAGGCGAGATTCCCAGATCTTGACGCGAGAGCTTTGGTAAGGACTGACTGTCAGAAAGCTTCCATGCATGTCCCAATTCTTCTATTTTGGTCTAAAAAGGTTAAGAACTACACCAGGTTTCATGACAGTACAAAATTACAAATTATTATCCAACTCAAACGCAATTTCTTGGGAAATTACAGTTATCTACTTGGGAAAAAGATGTATTTACATTTTGCTGCGGTGTTGGCGACCACCGCATCCACGAGCTACGTAGTTTGAGCTTTCATCCCGATTTTCGCAACAATGCGCGAGAACAGCAGTTTTGGATGTTGTTTGCGGTTTAGTGTTTACTACACATTACAAATGTTTACTCATTTTCATTTGGATACTGACTAATAAGTACTTTTTCTACTAACTTGTAAATAACCTTATAGTTAATTTGCTCAGTAAATTGTCGAAGAAATAAATTTTATGAAACGAACTCATTTTATGAAAATGTAACTCCCTTACCGCTGGTTTGTCTTGTGCTTTTCTTCTGGCATCCCGTATCCCATCGGACCGGACCGCCAGTTAATTTCAAGGTTTAAAGAGAGGATTTCAAGGTGATGAAAGTAGGTATTGGCTAGTGGCCTAGTGCCATTCCCATGCCTGACCTGATCATACGGGGTTGAATTTGATTATTTATTCGTAAGTTTATTCCAGACAACAACACGATGCTGCTGAAATTTCGAAGCAGCGCACACCAATTTGGCGCAGCCGCTATCGTTTCTGGTTTTATTTGTAAAACATTAAGACCGGTTGGCCCCGCTGTTTTTGCGTCGCATGGTGTACGATATTCTTCCCATTTTTCCCAACGATCTGCGCGTGCTCTCCCATCGGCCCCGAAATCCCAGGCGAAACCGAATAATGACGATGCACTGCCTCTGGAATTGGATCAGGATTATGCGCACGCGCGGGAATTCATGCGGATTCCCGGAACCCAGCAGCGCCTGTTTTTGGTGCAGCCTAGGCTAACAAAATTCAGTCGAGATAAAAATCGTCGAAATGAGCTAACCACGCTGGAACTGCAGATGGACGAGAACAAAACACTGCTTTCTACCCTGGGATGGACGGTCGAAGACACGATTACCTTGAACGTGGGCTCATACGACAGCTCCTACGTCTTTGGCAGTGGTAACTTCGAGAAGCTGGAGCAAGCGGTGCGAAATTCCCCCGCGGTTTCGGGAATTTTTTTCGGAATTAATATTCTTAAAGCCAAGCAGCTGCGAGCGATGAGGGAAGCTTTTCAACTACCCATTTATGACCGTTATCGCATTGTGCTGGAGATATTCCGGACGCATGCCAAAACCCGCGAGGCCAAACTGCAGGTGGCCCTGGCCGAGCTGCCGTACGTGCGCCATTGTCTTATGGGTTGGAGTGATCCCAGTGTGACAGCCGGTTTGCCTGTGCGTGGTTCTAGTGGAGGCGGAAGCAGTGGAGAAAGCTGGAGGGAAGCGCAGAATAAAATCATACGGGTACGTCGTTATCTTAATATTAAAATAATCGATGATGGCGCACTCCGCACAGGGAAAATGTACTTTTATTGAGTATTGCTACGAAAGATGACCGTGACGTGTGAAGTGTCCCTGTACGTGTATAGAATCAGGAAGGCAAATTGCGGGGGGCTTTGGAAAAGGTTAAAGAAAATCGTCGACGAATTAGGGAAAACCGGATGCGAAGCCAAACCCCTACCATTGCAGTAGTGGGATACACGAATGGCGGCAAAACCTCCCTGATAAAAGCTCTAACGCAGGACAATCGTTTAATACCGGAAGATAAACTGTTCGCCACTTTAGATGTCACCACGCATGGCGGAGTGTTACCCAATAACGTGAAAGTTCTTTACGCGGACACCATCGGGTTCATTTCCGATATTCCCACTTTGCTGATAGCGTCTTTTGGGGCGGTATTAGAGGAAGTGGCCCTGGCGGATGTTGTGGTGCATGTGAGAGATATCAGTCATCCGGATGCTAAATCTCAGAAAGCGACTGTCCTTAACCAACTTAAGGATCTCAACTTACCAGAAAAACTTCTAGAAAATGCTATTGAAGTTTGCAATAAATGCGACAAAATACCGAAGTAAAGTGAAACCTCTTTTATAATTTGCGGCCGTCTGATTTTTAGCTTTATAATCGGGAATGCGATCGCATTGGGTTTACGTTTTACTGGCCTAACCTGACTGTATTTTTGTACATGTATAGATGTTATCGCTAAATGGGGTTGTTATTCACTTGGCTCTTATCGTTTGGTTTTTTTTGTTTTAGAGAATCGTGGTCATCTGACAAAGTTGATGCAGATCCCAATGCTATTTTTGTGTCTGCTACACAAAATATTGGGATCTTTGAACTGAGGCAGAGAGTCGAAGAAGCAGTCATGAAAAATGCTGACCTGTCTGAGAAAGTTTTCCGGATTCCACAAAATGGGAAAGAACTGAGGTAAATCGTTGTTTCGTTGGCTCTGAGTGCATGGTATAATTTTAACGGCATACACAGCAATATGATCGGCATGCACAGTGTCATGGGCTCAAATAATACGGCTTTACGAAATTGTAATCTTTTCGGCTGTTCTTAGCTGGTTATATAGAGAAGCAGATATTTACCGCGTCGAAGCTGATCCTTCCGACTCAGAATATTTGATTGTACACTGCACGGTTACTCCTGAGGTGTTTGCCAGATTTGTTCATGAATTTCGAAAAATTCAAGTACGCAGCCGTCATTATACGCCTCCTTCCCGGGAAGACTCCGTGGATTCCTTGTAGTCAGTGGTCGGGAATCAAAATTACTGCTTTCAGTGCATCTTCCTGTGATGTTTGAAGTAGTGAACTGTTCCGACAATTATCTGGTTGTGAACAGATGAGGGCATTCGACAAGTTGAATTACTATTTTCTAGTAATTTCTGGCCTTCGTTGGCGCAACTATTGTGTACATTATTTTGTAATATCTATATGCTGATAAAGTTTTTATGGTTTGTGGTTTTGCCCTCGTTTATGGATGTTCGTTACAGATTGTCGTACAACATAAATATCAAAATAATAACTTATGAGATAGAGATACAGTAAGTAGGTAATATATTTCACATGATAATCGAAACTTTCCAGTTTTTACTTTTTAGTACTGTACGCCATACCTCACTGACAACTGTAAGAATGATGTACAATACTCTGTATGCTCGTTTGTTCAACGTTTTAATCATTTTACGCTGCATGGTACGCCGGTGAGTCGGTGACCGTTCGTAGGTCTACTTTCGGAACTTTTAAAAGGAAACATGTTCATTAAAAGCTGCTTATTACGGCTTCTCCTAATGCCGACGTTTGTGGGTCCCTTGATATGGCTTGCAAAACTTATAAAAGCCCATTTTCACATTTTATCGAAATTTCAAACGCCAAAACAATCGTAGGCACTCGTGAACAACATGGGACATACGAGTGATACGATATAGCTTCTGGCAACATATATCAGAAAACAACAACACGTATTAGAAAAAAACCGCTAAATGATCAGCTTTCGAAACGCTGGTGGGAAACAGGAGTTGTGGAGGAACACTTTACTGACCAGGCACTTGCATACTTTTATCCATAAATTTCCTTTTTGCAAAACACAGCCACCACTGCCAAAAATATTCCAAGTTAGTGGATATATAAAGAATATTAGCATACTTCGCACTGAAAATAATGTTCGCGCCAACCTTGCTGGGCTTATCCGTTGCAGGATCAATCGCTTTCTCCAGTAATCGCATTCCAGTTTCTTGTCTGAGTTGTTGAAAGTAGGCTCGCATGTTATCTGTCGCAAACAGCTAAGGGAAGTACTTCTACAGCAACCAGTACTCGTAGCTGAATTTTGCTCTTAATATAATCACCACTCAAGCTGCCATTTTTCTACACGGAAGCAGCATCGGCACTCCTACGCATTAGAACTGGTTTCATTTCTAATACCTTCTTCTGCTCGATCTTTCGGTTTCGCATACATGGAAGACAGAGGAAAACCCACTTCACCAGGCAGTGGATAGCTGGATAAGGCCAGCGTGTTCAATTCTTTCGTTGCCGCTGCCCGGTTAGCGCACTGCAATTAGCACAAATAAATTCCCCCGTGGTTAAGAGCTTTTAAAACATAAAAGACAATAGCACGTCCATACCTTTTGCAACTTTTTCAAGCAATCGCTAATGTATAGTGTCACGTATATCAAGGCACGATCGGCTTCGGACTGCAATCATAATTATTCTAATTATGAAGTTTTTATTTCTTGTGCACCGTTCCACACATCAAAATGTTTGATGCTAGACCATTATTATTATTACTAATACTACTGCACCATTCTTCACAAGAACGTACTTTGATTTCGTAGTTCCTGAAAAAAACGTTGGCCTTGTAATAATATAACGCCTCATCGATGATGTCCATAGCATCCCCTGTCACAATAGAAACATTCAGATGACCGATAAAATCGTAAAGTCATAAACGTTTATATTATAGTTAAAATTATAAAATTATTACTAAAGAAAATCACAAACCTTTTGCGCGTTAAACACTTGAATTGGTTCAAACTTCAAACCTTTAATATATACATATACTGCAGGATCGTTTGGCAGTGCTACGATGTCCTGGTATTACCACTAATACCACCTGCATGTCGAAGCCAGTTGATGAAGACTTTTCTAAACATCCTTACCCTCTGCAACCATTTTTGGAGCTGGACCTTTGTAACTAGTTTTGAGTGGCAGTAATGCCATGTTCCCGATTTTTTGAGGACTTGAAAGTTGCGAATGGTAAGCCTGTAAAAAGTAACAAAAAATTGCGTCAAACAACATTTCTCTTGCAAATCACGGGCAAACCTTACTGGCATTCTTCGAAAAATTGTGATCCAAACAAAAAAAGAGTCGTAAACTTAAAAACAAATAAACATTCGACAGAAAACTCTAAAAAATAATTTATTGTCTGATCCACTCTTGATTTGTCAATAAATGAACAAATTCATAATAACAACAATCATCGGAGGCGTACTAAAGACCGTAGTTATATATTCCTTTATTTTAAACTTGTACAAGCAAATGCCATTTACACTTAAACTCAAATATCGAATAGCTAGAACAAGTAAAACAACTCTTCAAGCTCTTTTGAACAACCAACAGTTCCGAGGACAGAAGCGGCATTTCCACGCTGAATTTCAACACTAATACGCTGCCACAAAAAATCGGTAGCGCGCACTTCTCCTGTTTGATCTTTTATGCGTCGGCCAACTTCATTTATGAACTGACGGGTACTGGCGCCGCAACTTCCCATAGTCTCCAAGGACACCGGTTGGAAAAAAAATAACGATCAGTCAATTCCTCGTAATTGCGCCTCTTTCGTTCTTCCGCGTCTTCTGCTGCCGAACCCGCTGTTTCTGATGAGCCGGCGATGTACGATATAGCAAATGTGTCGCACACCGTCACATCCCAAATCAAAGGAAGACCGTTCTTCCAAGGGAAAAGAGACAAACCGTCTGGGCGCTTCCCATTTGACCTGCACAGTCCAGGAGGCTCCAAAATAGTCGGGACTTTTGCCGATCCCAAGCTGCGCTGAATAAGGCTGTTCAGGCTTGCGTGACGCCTGAATCTCCCCTGACTTTTTAAACATGACAAACCATGCAAACCTTGGGCGTCAACTGTTTCACCGCATCGACACTTGTGCTGCTTACAAATCGGAGCTCCCATACGTAAAGCGACTGCGACTCGTAGTCCAGTATCGTCTAAAAGCGTGCCAAGGCTAGCAACAGGCAAAGCCAACAACCAGGCACTGGCATCCTTAGTGGAGACAGCCAACAAGCGAGCAGATGCGATAACGTCGGCGTTCTCCCTCAAGGCTTCCAGTTTCCTGATAGTCAACATGTCTGACCACAAGCGTTGATTGCTTCGATCCCCTATCGCCGGGGCGGATTTTCTTGTTAATTCTTCCCACTGATGTTCTACGTCAAAAGACCGTAGTTGTATGTAATAAATTCAAATGCACAGAGTCCACAGACCAGGCGAACTAGTTAAAAATTAATATCAGCCATATAAAATGCCTCTATGCAGTCTGTGGTACCTATTTTCATTCTCATTACAAAGTTTCCCTGTAAACAGTCGCCACCACCGTAGGACAATTACCTGCCTTATTTACAGTTTCCGATCTCCCACATGTTGTCCGAAATGTCCGTCACCAACTCACCATAACCAACCACGAGTATAACAGACTGTGGTATAATCATTCCGACATTAATTTTAGTTTTCTTATTTTTAATTGGACTTCTGCACCCTTCGCACAGATCCTTACCAAAAAGAAAATGCACATAACTTAATCAGGAATCCGTACCACCTGTTACAAAAGTGTATTGAGATTTGTTTCCCTGAACCATTTCTTTTGCTTTTGGTGCACCCACAACGGGGACCAGTTTTAAAAAATCCAATTTAGAAAACAAAGCAATGGCTTTCTCTCCGGTTGCTGCATTGTCTGATGCTGTCATCATATTGCACACTTCAGAATAATACTGCGGATAGTGGGGTAGTTCGAAGAAAATAATTCGCTGGATTCCTCGGATTCGATATCTAGAATGTTAATCGACAAAATAAGTTACCACAAAAGCAAAAATGTCGTGGTTTATACCTGCGATAAAAATGGAAGCGCTCGGTATAAAGCAAAAATCTCTTTTTGCCATGGAAAAACAAGTCACGGGCTCTGGCCACTTTTGCTGATGATGAATATTCACAAATCTGCACAAAGCTGAGTTCTTCGCGCTTGAAATGGTTTCGGATGCATACAAAATCGAAGTACGAAGGGACAAAAATCATGGTATGGCCGTTGTTTGTATCCAACAATGGCTGCAGTATCTGCAGATTTAACGATACATCTCAGTTATAGTAATTTGCTTAATTATTACTGTACACACCTATATGAACTCTGAAGATACTTACCTTATCCAAAAAATATCGTAACCGAATATCCGCCATTTTCTGTGGATCTTGACTCTGAATTCGATGGAATTCGTGTGGTATAGAAGACATTACTCGCGATAGCGAACGATCGACATCCGAATAGGTAACAGTTACCGACCCTTCATAATCTATCAGAGGTAAAAAACAAGCTTTTAGGTCAAAAGGAAATCGATAAACCGGCATAAAGCTGACAGTTATTTCCTTACTAAAGCAGTGTCGGTTCATTACAGCCTGCATCTCCGGCAATCGGATCGACGAAAACAACAGCGTCTGCCGATAAATTTTGCCCCATCCATTCAGCAGCCACGGACGAATACGAGAAAAATCCACATCTTTCGTGCTGACGGGTAAACGATGGATGTGCTTAAGAATGTGCTAAACACGATGAACATTTTATTGTTAACAGGACAAATACGGTACTTTGCAGAAAAATTGTTACCGAAAGGTGATCCCAGTTCTGCATTAAAAACACATCTGCTTGGTCCAAAATCAGCAATTCTATGGAAGAAAGGAAATCATATTCGTACTTCTTATCCCCTTCGTTTCCAATAATCATTCTAAGCCCCAAAGGCGATGCAATGATAATATCCGCAGCATAGAATTCAGTGTATAGCTTCAACGATTTTTTGGAGCATGCGATTCCGATGCGAAAACAATCATCCGTATTGCCAGAGAAATTGGCCTTAAAATCTGCCGGGCGATCGGGATCATTGGCCACTGGATCAGAGTTGGTCCATCCAAATTCCTCCTCAAAGCGTTTTCGATTCATAATCTGTGTTTTTTCTTTGGCATTCAACAGCTGGCAAAAGATCTGATAAATACGGTAAGCATTATGCCGAAAAGGGAGTAAAATTAGGGTTTTCGGTCGATGATAAGACTGGTCTCGATATTCTGTCGATCTATCTTTCTTTTCTGCAATCTTACTGTTGTGAGAGATTATTTTGTTCCTGGTTCTACAAAAAATATTTCGCAAACATTTCAAACGTTGCTGGATACAAAGTCAAAATGGTGATTACGTACTTTAAAGCATGGTTAAGGACATGTAAACAATAAGCGCGCTTTATATCCAAATCGGTGTCGTGATGTATGTGAAAATGAAACAAATCGACGTAGCTGTTGATGATTCCAAAATATTCATCGCTCACTTCAGACCAGCAGTCACCCGATGAAATATTATTCAACAGGTTTTTTCGCACCTATAAAGCCATTTTCCTTAACATCCGACGATACGAAATTATTTTCATTGCAAAATATAATGTGAACGAATGACTTACGAAGGAGTTTCTTAAATTACAAAGGTACAATTCCGGTTTATTAGGTCCGAGACGACGAATGCTGCATTTCCCCACACACGGAAACTGAAAACTAAAATGAATGACTACAAGATCTTTAAAAAAGATTCATAATCATATGAATTTTCTAATGCTACGAATTTAAATACGGAATTACTAAATATCTCGTAATTATAATCCTTGCCAGACTCACCGTATATTCGTTCTCAGTAAAATCTTTTCGCTGTTGTGCACGTTCCGCAACACTGTCAGGTATCACATGTTCCAAGTGCTTGCCAAACGGATCTGGCGTGGTGAACAACCGAAGTCTTATGCTTCATGATTGCAAATAACATGATGCAATGCACAACAGTAGTTTACCATTCTCAAATCCAACAGCTTTGGGCTGCTCTTCGTCGGCATCGCTCTCGTCTTCTTTTTCACTGGCTTCAGATATTACATCTTCTAAAGAAACATCATCTGCAATTCGCAAATGCTCCGCATTATCGGCGGCGGAGGCCTGTGTGCTTGGCTTCCGAGGAACAATTTCTTCCTTCGGTGTCAAATGCGACGGAGCGGAATAATGCGCACTGTTATCTGAAAAGGGGAATATTGAGTACAAGAAACACGATTACAACTAATGACAACGTATTGGTCTACGTAACTTACCTATAGATGAAGAGCCAAAAGTGTCTCGCAGCGCTACTGATGCTGGCAACTCCGTGTCATCCTCCGCTTCGCTGCCTGCAGAGTTTGTGTGAAGGGAATTCTCAGGTTCTCCATTTTCTGGCCTGGTGCCGGCGGTACCTGCTTGTTTCTTTTTCTTTCTGTAACGACACGAATTTTAACTGGAATTAAAACATGCGTATGTACTAATGAGTGCAGACACATAAATTCTCCTTTGAAAAGTAAAAATCAAAACCCGTACGTGTATCGAAAATTAGAAATATTTCGTATCTACAGCTCTATGGCAGATTCCTTGCAGACTTATCACTTAGGGTGCTCTTCTTGTGTACCTTCGCAGTTTAGGCTCTTTCCACAACCTTCTTTCTTTTTCATCCCCCCCAACCCTTCTCTTCGTCATTATGATGATTTGGATAATACAGAATCTTATTAATCAGTTCTACGAGAGAATAACAAACGCCTCAAAGCTAAAGCAAATGTACCTAAATCCTACAATTCTACGATACTACTGTTGGTTTCTCACGGCCGGCGACTCAGCTGTTCAAAGTCAATCAGAGCTAACTTCCGGTGGCGACCCCCCTATGAGAGCGGTTTCAGTTTAACATTTTCAGGATGGCAAACAGGTAGAAAAACCAAATACACACTCATAATTCACCTTTTTGTCGGTTTCGTGCGTTATTTTATTTTTGTGCGGTATTTTAGTATCAGAAGTCAGAACTGAGTAAGCATTGGTGTTTTAGAATTTTACAATTACATTTTCCTTCAATTTTCTCCAGCTAGCGGGATTTTAGAGTGCGCTGCAAGTGGGCCTGATTGTAAATACAGCATGCGATACGCACAATTGGTGATGGGCCCCGCTGGGAGCGGAAAGGTAAGATTTCGCTACTTGGATTGACAGTTGACTAAGCGCAGAAGCTAAAGACATTATTACTAACAATAAGCTGGGAAGCATAAATTAACTGATTTCTTACCGATGCATTTTGGAAATCATGTACCTATCAGGCCGTAAACTCTGCCTTACGGAAGAAATGTACGTGAAAGGTAAGTTGATAATATTAAGTTGCTTCTTTTAGACGACGTACTGCGCCACTATAATGAATCACTGCAAAGCCATCGGACGAAACGTGCACATTATCAACCTAGATCCGGCAGCAGAGCATTTCGCTTACGAGTCGGTAATTGGAGATATTCGAGAATTAATTGGGATCGATGATGTGACGGAGGACGAAGAACTGCAATTGGGTCCGAATGGAGGACTCGTCTTTTGTCTACAGTATGCATTCATTGCATTGATGCACAGCTAGAGAATTTTTAGATTATTTGCGCAGAAGCATTGTTAATTCACTCTTATCGATTTCAGACATCTCGTGGAAAACATGGAATGGCTGGAAGAAAAATTGGGTTATGTGGATGATGATTACTTTTTGTTTGATTGTCCAGGTAATTGCAGTACATCTACGAAACACAGTTTTCGTAATAATTATAATAAATTGAAAACTGAGACTTGTTTTGCCTTATTTTGACGTTTGGAACAAAAACTTCGTCATCAGGAAAATAAAGCCGGCAAGTTTTCAGGTCAGATCGAACTGTATACTCATCTTCCCATCATGCGCGCCGTCGTCCGACAGCTGGAAAATTGGGATATTCGCGTGTGCGGGGTCTTTCTGTTGGATGCGCATTATTTGAACGAAACAACCAAGTTTTTCTCCGGAGCATTGGTTGCGCTTTCAGCTATGATCAACCTTGAAATACCTCACGTGAATCTCCTAAGTAAAATGGATCTGCTCAACGACCAGGACCGAAACGTTATTCAGAGGTAAAAGTTCCGTTCCAGTTTTACTGCTCATTTTATTCAGTTTAAAGATTAAAGACCAGGCATGAATTTGCGGCCTAGGTGATGGTTGTGGCTTGTGGGTTTGGCATTTTTCATGATTAATTACTGTACAACATCTTTTTCCAAGTTGATTTGCGTGCACGCGTATTTTGAATTCGACAATGTCGAGGATTTTGAACTTTGTAGGTTTTTGGATATGGATACGCATCTTTTAATTGAAGAAGAGGAAGAGCCATGGATTAAAAAGCATCTAAAGTTGACAAAGGCTGTTGCCAGTCTGGTATAGCGTCTTATTCGGTTCATACAAAACCTGTTGGTTTTATGTTCTTGCTTGTCCATTTCAGTTCGATGATTTCGATTACGTATCTTTTCTCCCCTTTGATCAGACGGATGAGGAAGGAATTTCTGAAGTTTTGTTGACCATTGATAGCAGTATTCAGTATGGTGATGATTTGGAGCATAAAGAACCTCCGGTAAAGTTGTTAACCGAGGCTTCCTTTTGTCGCTGCATTCAAGTCGAACCCAATTTTCAAACCAGCGGTCAGTTCGCCTTTAATTTTTTGTTGGTTTTAGGAATTTCTTACGAATGAAGAGATGGATGAAAGGACTGACGACTAGAATGGTTTATTTCGGTGGTATTCTCAACGGCGATGAAAGGCTGACTTAACTTGCATGTACAAGGTTTCTGGCTATTTCTTTGTTCATTATCAAGACGAATATACATAACAGAACTGCTAGATCTGGCCAGAAGGCTATAATCTCTTACGATATAGCCAATTAACGAATAAAAATGATCGAAAACTTGCCGAGTTTGTGTAGTGCAGACTGTAAATTATGGAATGTCAACACTAACAGTATAGAAATCTGTGCAAAAATAATTTTAACAATACTATACAAGCAGGAGCAAATTTCCCACCGCTTAAAGGTGGTCATCTCCCATCGTGGCGATTCATACTCTTGGTACGAGCGCGATGGGCAGTTTACTGGGGACGAGCAAACTCAACATAATTCGCCAGCCCAAGTCTATTTCCTCTCCATCCGTGGGCACAATAGTGTAGCGGTTAAGCAAAGATGTAAACGTTATAAACAACTCCTTCATGGCCATCTGGTCGCCCATGCATGACCTTCTTCCTGCAAAAAAAATGCGGTTCTCCATTGCTTCATCGGAAATATATATTGGGGCAAAGTTTGGAAAATCTAGCAGTGGTTAAAAGTTCTTAATTTCTTACCAAGGCCAAATGGAATAAAATTTTCTGGTCGGAAAGTTTTCCCTTCGGAATTGATAAATCGGGAAGGACGGAATTCATCAGGGTTGTCCCAGAATTTCGGATTCGTATGAATATCCCATATCAGCGACAATACGACTGTGTTTGGAGGAATATGATGGCCTCGGTACGATGTGTACGCTTCATGAGCTACGAAAAGAAAAAGATTTCTCGCTGAAATCAAACTGGATTGCGATACAAGTAACAAAGAGCGCTTCGGTGTCCATGTTAAACAGATAAAAACGTAACATGATTTAGCGGCAAAAGCACCGGCGTAATTAACTTACTTGCACGGGCGTGACCCATGGGAAGTACTGGACGTAAGCGCATCGTCTCCAGTATTGTGGCTTCCGTAAATGGCATGTTTATAATATCGTCGTAATCTGCCAGCTGCTCCTTATCAGAGTACACAGCATCAATTTCCTTCTGCACAGCTCGCTGGATTTCTGGATATTTAGCCATATAGAGGAATGACCAGAGGAGTGAGTATTTGACAGTTTCCGTCCCAGCGCAGAATAAATCCGTCATTGTTTGACGCAGCTGCGGCTCTGTTAATGCAAAAATGTGTACAGCGTGGTAACGCCAAGTTGAAGACAGTGGTTGCCAATTATTAAAATTTTAGAGTTTGGTACTTTTAACCCTCTTATTGCTAAAACTAGTAACGCTATGTTTGGAGAACTGGAAAAACACTCTGTTTTGGTGGATAAACTCTTTCTTGAATTTTTCGGTTTTTTCGGAAGTGGTCACTGAATTTGACCAGTGACCACTTCTGCAAAATGCAAAGGTGGATCAACAAAAAATTACGCAAAAATCCAGATCGTCTGGGTCTCTTTCGTACTTTTATCACCGTAAAGGCTGATATTTGTGCCAACGAACAAAACAAAATTGTTCCATATTCGAATTGGTTTCCGATTCTGCAGGGTCTCCCAAAGGAAGATTCCTGGATGACACAGTAGGTCCCAGATTTTGTTGGACAAGTGTAGTTAACAGCGACTACCCCTGAGCAGACACAAAACTAGGACACCTAACAGTTGTGTCTGTGCGAAAACAGGCCGGAGAAGCCGAATAATGCCTTACAACTGTACAGGAATTTACCACGGCGACCTAAAAATCCCGGCCGGTTTTTGAAAACAGCATATTTTAAAAAAATCCTCTTTCCTGTGGAAGATAAGGAAAGCCAACCACCTTATTTTTTTCTTGAAATAGGAGGAAAAGTACATGAGAAAAAAAACAAACACTGAAAAGTACGAAGAGCGTTAAAAAGTTTCAAGCCAAAATATCCTGAAAACGCTGGTCAGTCGAAATTTCACCGGAAATGAAATTAAAATAAAAATAATATGAGATCTATACAAAAGACAGCGAAAATTTTTTTTCGAATAGGTGAACCGTGAACCATAGTTTTATCCATGATAATTGAGCAGGACCAACAAGTACAGGGAAGTGAGGGGGCGAATTAAATATGCGCTGTCTTCAACTTGGCGTTACCACGCTGTACATGTTAAAAAAATCTGGATGTCTAAGTTATTTCATTTTTTTAACGGCTTCGTTAAACTAAAGATATCGTGTTTTCCAGATTCATTGAGATAACTTTGTGCTCGTAACTACGTATACGACGTCGTATATATATCGTTGGCGAAATTACCTGAAAGAATATGCGAGGCCGCTATAGAGTCTTTTCTGGCCATCTCCTCTTTGTAAATGGTAATTAGCGAATCTGCATGGCTGATTTTTTCTTCCGATTTCTCCGCAATCATGCCGCTGAAGTACTGACACGTAAAGCAATGGTTTTTCCTCATTTTATTCTCCACTTTCTTCCACCACACCGGAATGCGGCGCAGTAGCGGTAAGAATTCAAAGGGCGCGATGAGTTCGCCAACCTGGAATCCTTCCTCGATAATCTTGACGTTTTCCGCGAAATCCGCATCGTCAAACTTCTTGGTCAGACCGAACACGCAGGACGATATGCAGGATCCGGCCAATCGACCCGTTAAACGCTCCAACATAACGCCGCCGTCATCACGCCGGCCGACCACCAGTTGGTTAATGAACTTGAGATACTCATGGACATCGCGGTGAATGATTTCGTTAATGTGCGAAGTTTGGGGCGTAACGGACGTCGGAGCGGCGGTCTTCAAGCCGATTGTGCGGAATGCCGTGAGGATTAAGCGGCGATGCTCGGACCATACATCACCAACCGCCTGAATGATACCTGTTGACAAACAGTATGCCAATTACTGACTGCTGTCGTTGACAAAGCGCGCACTTCTCTCTCGAGCTGTTATTTGTTATCATCGGCTACAAAACACGAGTTGATCAGCCGACAAGTACAGCATCGCTTGGCTGCCGCTAATACATTCAACCGCTCTTCCGGTCAGATGTTTTTGGGCGAGTCTCCTATGCAACAAGTTTGTGTTTTGACACTTCCTAATGCGTATTGTAGTCAATTGTCTGTAAATCATTTTTTGTTTAATACATACTATTACTTATAAAAAATCGCGTTTGCAATTTTTTTCGTCGCCCGGCATTTCGCCGCAGTTTTCGCTCTTCAGCTAGTAGCGATTTGCGAATCCGGTAAATAGTGAATATTACACCGAAATCTCTTATTATTAAAGTAAACTGCTCCTGTAAATTCCTAAACGTTTCTGAGAACAGACTGAGCATTAACATTTTGTAAGAATGTTTGGCTGGCTGTGCACAATGTTGCAACCACAATTAGAATATTACGTAATGGCGTAGCAGTTTCTTTGTAATCTTAAGCCGAAAAGTAATCGTGCGTAGCTGTGTAGCATATTTTATATCCAAAAATATAACCGAGTAGAGAAAATAATTTACTTGCCGGTTGATCACCATTTAGCATTCGATAAACACTGCAGTATTTTCGCTTCTTTACCCGGTTGACAAGTAACGGTATTATTGTTCAGTTCCCAACACTTGCCGGTCTGGTTTGTGCGTTAGCGAAACGAACAGTCTGGTTTGCGTTATCTATCGTTAATATTTCATGGCGCATCTTCAGTTTTATATAACACATTAAGCAAGTGCCGCGATAATGACCTTCAAGCTCGCAGAAATGCCCGCTCGTCTGATATGTCAATTCTGCCTTTTATCTCGATTTGTAAGCGGTATATTTTACAGCCAGCGGTGCACCTTAGTGCAAGACAAATTCAGCAATTAAGCCAATAAAAAGCAATAAATAAAGAATGAACATTACGCTTCATCAACTTATAATTAATATGATAATATGTTAAGATACTTTTTCCTATTTCAACAGACACCTGGTGCATAACTAAAGAATTACTGTGCCCCCAGACGGTTGATTGTAATTCGTACTAAAACTACTTGTTAACTGTAAGAACACAATTTCAAGAATCCATCTGACTTGCTTTCCGATATGGATGTCAGTAAAATGTGGAGATTACTTTTGGTTAGAACGAGCTAGAATATGTGTACACTTATACAGATACTTCACAAATGTTAACAACACGCCGAATTCACTTGATAGTCTTAGTGGAACACAAACGAGTTACATAGGCTGTGCAATGCAAAACAGAAGCTTTTGGGTGTATATTGTTATTTATGCGAAATTATTGTTATGCTTAGTCATATTCAAGTCGGTTATCCGCAAGAACAGGAATATTTGACAAACAGATATTGATGCTTGTGGTTAACGGCTGTTATGCAATCCTTATCTGGAGCTACCGCGTTTTGAAGGTTGTGGAACAAACGAACAGACTTGTTTTACTTCTCGTACTGCGTGCTACGCCGATCACAATCGACAACACTGGTCGTGTAATCACCAGTAGAGTGCAATACTTAATTACGAATTCTAAGTTCTTATTTTTGCATGCAGTGCATTTTATTTTAATTTAATGACTATAACAACACTAGCTACAGTTATATAGCAAATATGGTTACAGGTTACAACAAACAAAATGCAAACGCAAACTGTGGAAATCATAGATGCACAAACCTTTATTCCCAATCATCGTGTCGTCTTTCAGCTTTGAATTCGGTCGAGCCGAAAATGCGGCTAGTTTGTAGGTTTCTCTGAGTATTCCTGGATCACTTATGACAAGAATATTCTTTTGCCCCAGCTCCACAAAGGCCATTCCTCCATATTGATCCGCAAGTGTACTAAAAACGGTGTAGGGATTTTTTCCGGCCATAAAGGGCAGATATCCCAGCCCAGGTACACCCCATGGTCCCGGCGGAAGTTTGGAATCCCGAAAAAAAGTGGAGAAAATGATCCACCTCTTTCTGGAATTTTTTCTTCAAAGACCGTATGAAGTAGAAAGCAACCGCCGAAAACACCGCCACATTAACGAAATAGACAAGCATTGTGTCTGCAGGAACTGCACTGGAATGATATACAAATAATATCGTAAAATGTTACAAATATAAAACTCAACATAAGTAAAAGTAATATTAGTTGACGAAAAGGCAACTCCTGTTTTTAAATACTGGCCGGCAGTTCTTATATTACGGCGATTCAACAAGCAAAGTCAAGTTGCGATCATATGCACAATGTACGCATATCATTCGTACAAATGTACTGTGTGTCGTCGTCGGTAGTGGCCGGCGACTATGAATGATGCGACGTTGATGGCAGATGGACAGTTGCTGCAGCTAAAAAATCCGCCATCCACGTTTTATAAAATGACGACGCTATACCAATCATTTATAACGTAGTGTCATTTTTGTATAACATTACGGGTATCGTATTGTGAATGCTGCACTTATCGTAAAAAGTCACAGCTGCTGATACCTGCTGGGCAAGTATAACCCTGGACTAGCAACGTGATGGGAACCAGTTTCCTCCTGATGAAATGCCATTTATTATTCGTGCAATCTGATGAAAAATTCTTTGACAAAGTATCGATTATTATACGGTAGCTTCTTGCTTTTTCAAGCTTGCTTTCAGATCAGTGGTAAAGCAATTTATTATACATCATCTCGGTTTACTGCCCATAGTTGTAACAGCTGTTAACTGTGTCTGTTGCAGCACAAAATCTGTAAACAGCTTACATAAAAATTTGAGAACAGAACCGCTTTATGTGAAATTTGGTAAACGGTCATCAAAATACGACAGCAGCGAAGTCATGAACTGCGAATGTCCACTTAACCTTGGTTAACCAGCATGGCATTTTAGAGTGCAAGTATGCAAAGAATGTGTTCAAAAATTTTGCACGAAACTGTCAAACACAGAATGATGATTTAAATATTTAATTTTGTGTTGATGGGACCGGCAAGAAGCTGTATAAAACTTCTTACAAATGCACACGTACTTTTTGGGTATGGCAGGGTGCAGTTTTTCACCTTCTATCATCAAACGTGCATGCTGTTTGTTTCGGTACTTAAATACACACTCTTTACATTGTTGCATAAACACGTTCAACAAAATAGTGCATAAAACAAATTTTATTAACATTAGTGAATGGTCTGACCTTTATCACACTATATATCGTCTTTATTATTTGATAACATTTTGCAGTTCCAGATTTTATAATATCGTGGGTGCCTTTTCCAGTGGCAAAATGAACCTCAACGTTGAAGTGTAAATACAAATAATAATGTTATGCTACATTACGCACAGTATCACATGAGTTTGCCAAGGTGCCTACATACTGTATATAGCTACAGGTGATAAACTCTTCTACGAACCTGGCGATGTACGATAAATGACGCTAACTCTTGGGTACGGACCACACTTCCGTCTTCGCCAAAAACTCAGCCGAAGCTTTCGTTTTATAGGTCAAGGTCGTTCTTCCGTAATAACGCGTACAACCTTTGCAACCGCAATCATAATTATGGCCAAAAAGGGAAGAATCCGGCACAACACTTCCATAATTCTGAATATAAATACAAACAAATGTTTAGAATGATCATCTGACTGGTAGATAAAGGAATAATATACGTCGATCCCGGTTATGAATATGTGGATAAAACAAACACTTTTACAAGTGCCACTGAAAGAAAAATCTAAAATAAGTCAATATGATCGAGGTTATTAAATTATTACTACAGTATCTTCTAAAAGCTCCTAAAAGCTAACGCAGTATGCTTTGTGATATATACAGTGTATACGCTAACTGGAAATGGTACAATTATAAGCAAAGCTTTCCGGATTTTGTTCCGTTCCTGTCTGGTGTTCATAATTGTTTAGTTCCATGGTTGCATACCAGGTTGTCTTTGTTTAGTCACAAAGAGAAATGCACTTCGTTTGACGTGGGAAGTATCCTCCCCTTTGTAGCCAACTTAATCTTGTTACCCATGCACTACTCGCAGTATTCGTATCGTTGCTTTTGCAATGACTTTTGTCCCTGTGAATATGCTTGCCGGACACGATCGAATATCAACTTACCTGAAGATGCCAAAAATACGTACCGTACGTACTTGGTACAAAATGAGTATGCCAGCAACTTAAATTAAACGTTCGCAAGGAGTATTTTACTGATTGCGGTGTTGGATGTAAGTACAACATCATCCGTAAATTGTTTTAAATCCGTTCTTTATAAGCTCAGTTTCCACTTTCCAGAAGTCGCACATAATCAGGCAGTATCCATTGTTGAATAGTCAAATCCCTACACTCTCGCTACCAATGTCAATTGGATACAAAAATCGTCATCAATCAGAAAACCGAAACAACGTTGAATTTTTAGAAATCAATAGCCAGAGCTAAAGCGTCTAAAATATTTATGCGGATTCATAAGAATGTACTTGTGTGAAAGAGCTTTTTTTAATATAACAGTAAATGTGTCTTGTATACCCGAATTTCTACTGTGAAATTTTACACTGTGCCATCAACTGCGTACTGATGCGGGATTCACTTTCCAATATACCGTGGACTCCAAATGCCATTTAATCACCGAACTGAGGTGTCTAAAGCTTGAAACCAAAAAATTTCAGAGCTGCAGTAATATCAGTTTTCTTTTATTTTTGACTGAGCTGACGATTTATACAACCAAAACAAATTACACAAATTCAGTGACCTTAATGACATTTTTCGTAAAACAAACAGACCACCCTGGCTGTTACGCATCAACCAAACATTCTGCGAAATTTGCGGCTTCTACCGCAATGCACTCAAACACGTAAAGGTAGAATACTTAATCGTAATTTTGTCATACCGTGCGCTTGGCCACCAATGCGAACAAACTAAGCTTTAGTTCGCGCCGTCAGTGAGAATAAAACAGTAACTTTAGTTCGCCGTCTGTACTTGTAGTTGGAAAGTGCGAATTTCCATTGCTTTCAATGTAACCGTCGTGGATGCGTCGGTTTTCTCGAAATCTGCAATGTACATATGGTTTAACAAGAACAAATTACTGCGAAATTCCAGTACAATGGCATTTACAATAGCAACTTAAAACAAACTGCGCTTGTATACGATGCGTGACATACTTCCTACTTCCGGCACTTTTGGTTGCCTCTCATCGACCTTGTTCCAGTTAAGACGATGGACGCTGTCGAGGGGAATGTTACCGTCGATCGTCATTTCCTGCACAGCAGTGATCTTCATATCGCGTACAATGTTTTGTAAGTCAACAGTGGCCGGCTGCGAGAGAACGGGGTCTTCATCTGGCTCAAAAATGTGTTCTAAACGGATCAGCAAGCTTGAACCTTTCCATTGCTCCAAGCTCAACAAGTGGATATTATCCGGCAGCGAAACCGATACGGCTGAATACTGTGAATAATGAGAAATACTCGCAAATATTGCTCAAAACTGTTACATCAACACATCGCAGTTAATGGAATAAGTAAATCAAACGCTTTACATTTCGTTAATGTTAAAATAATCAACGAACCCATTTCCGATTAAGTAGCGTAACCAAGTGTTTACTGCATAAAATGTACATATAAATTTAAAATTATGTATTTTCTGTATTGTGCGTATATTTAGAGTGCAAATCAATACGCACGGAGGACTGTTTTTCCTGTTTGTCGGAAACGGTGTTGAAAAGAATGGACGGAGCAGCGTAGTGATCGTGCACAAGCATTCGATGTCTTCTGGCAGATTTAGCGCTTTTCGTGAATATCAGGTGATGCCGCCCGCGAACGACCAGCCCTTCCCCCATTCCTGTTTCGTTTAAGGGTTCCGTCACACCCAACCAATCGTCCACTAACAGGCGTCGATGAACCTGCCACGGGAATTTCCATGTATTACAAACATACATAATTATTTTGCACATGAGTGACAACTAAACATTTACCATTAATCATACAAATCTATGAAAAAGTGTTTGTATAATAATAATTTCCGTATTTAATTCCGCAGTCACAAACTGAACAAATTCTTAAATATCACTGGTACTTAAAATTCATATCGGCTCTGCGCTGTAGTTACCACGACAGAATATTGAAAAATAAAATATAATGCAATGAAAATGTATTAAAATTTATTGTTGTATAATATTTGCTCTAGTACCATTAACTCCAGTTGACCATCTTTAAGACTGCTGCCGCCCTGCGGACGATCGGTCAAAACTGTTAAGCGATTTCCTTGCTCCTCATCTTCCAAGAAAATGGAATTCACGACTGGATAATAATTGCTTGCGATTGGCTCCGTATTACTGAGCTCAAACGTTGGGCGAAAATTCCGGCTATTACAAAAGTTAACTTCTACTCTGTGGTCAGGAGAGAAGCTTAAAGTTTGAGTAGGCTTACGTGCGTTTGATAGTCTGCCGTCCATTGGAATCCGTATAGAACGTCCCTTTAGAACTGAGAGATGTCTCGAATCGCGATACAACTTCCTTTCCAATGCCGTCACTGAGGATCAAGCACCAGATTGTTGCTGCGGTTTGAAATTTAAATATCTAAGGGTATAACATGATTTACCTGAGCGGTATAGGACCAACTTGCCACTCAAAATCCACATGTCTGGAGCCAGACAACAACCGAACTGTCTGAGAAACCCAGGTATTGATGTACTGCCGCACTTCCTGGACGTAAGGTCCCTGGAAATAATAAAACAAGGTTAAAGTTCTCTAATGCCCTACAGAAACCAAAAAGGAAAAACATTTGGTCACACACATCGTAGGTTTTCTTTTTGCTTAATAATAGTTATCATGTTTTTATGTGTACGAGTACCTTCACAATCTCGTAAGTCTCGTTTCCGGTCAATAGTCGCAGACAACTGCTTGCATCATCGCCGCTGTTTTGATTCTTTTTTCCTGTTGCACAGTTCGGGCGAGATATGTATGCGCCGGTCGCTCTCCAGTCTTCCTTCGTGTTGTTACCAACAGAACCTTCGTAATATCCAAATGTCTGGTTGATGGCAAGTGTCGTCTGCGTCTCTAGGTTCGTTAGTGATTTCAGCGACCCAGTGACTTGATCAAAGGTCAGAGAAATGAACTGTAACGGCAGAAATCTGCTGCAGTGCAACACGGTACAGTATTGACCAGTTCACCATAAATCGACCGGGCAGAGCCGCAAATAGTATCATAATTGTCATAATTACTGTGCTACATTAAAGAACGCACGTCATTCTGGATGGTGAAATCGCGGTCATCTACTGCCGATCGCTTCGCCCTTTTTGCAAATACTTCAGCTCGGCGAGCTTCGTCTTTCTCCTTTTTGGCGAGTTCTGTAATAATAATTATATAGTTCCGAAAATCGACAAACGTGCGCAAAGAATACAGAACAGAGGAGTGTAGATTTTAAGTAAACTGGGGTATGTCACGGTCAACACAAGCTTTCAGCGACACAAAATGGATGGTATTGTATGTATGGGTACGGGTGCTGCTGCAGGTCAGTCAACAAGCATTATTCCCGATAAAAATCCTAATAATCCCCTAATAATCCCGCATTATTCCCGATAAAAAACAAGCATTATTCCCGATAATAAGCGTTTAACGTTTAAAAATATTACCCATATTATGTTATTTATGAAAATTACGTAAGTATATGGAGGTTTCATTAAACTTAAAAAGATCGTGAACTGGCTAAATGCATATCTTGTGAAGTACTTTGAATCAAACATGTGCTGTAGCCAATGGGCGGAAGCCTCGCTCTGAAAGATATCTCGTGCGTGGCAGTGGTGTTGCGACCGGGAATGGATAAAACATCCTTCGACAACGGAGTGATCTGGTACGGGATGTCCACTCCACCGGCTCCACTGATTTTGTATGTTGCATCTTCCACAGGCAAATGAATCTGTGCATTACGCGTTCTACCAATGGGGTTCCATACTAAAATTTGAATCTGCAAACAGCGGTCATCCGATAGATAAATCGGTGAATTAGTGCTGCGGGAGCTGACAGTTAATGGCCATGGATAATAAAATATCAGCTCTACAGTTCGCTGTTATGTACGCACGGTATCATGCAGTATAGCCTAAAGGAAAGCATTAATTAACGCGGATTCTGAGGCATTTCACAGCCCGCAATTGTACACCGTCTGTTGTGCAAAAGAAATTTTCGATAACATTCACTTTTTGCGCGTTTTTCAGCGAAATGTCTTCCGGCTGCAGGGTTTACCTCGGTAAATTTTTCCGTATGCTTGCATTGACTGATGTTCAGCAGCGTGCAAAATTTGTAATCAGCCGATGTGTTGGACAGCTTATTGATGCCGGCTTTGACCACTTCGTGGCATTCCACAATTCCCCGATGAAGCTGCACGGCATAATCGTCCGTGACGTCCTGTCGGGCGGTGCCACTATGCAGTATGTTTTTGTTTACTTGATATTTTAATTAAGTAAATATCTATGCAGCGGCTGGCGGCACCGTAAATCTTACTGCCTTTTTTAAACCACGGTAAATACAAAACTCTGCCTCCGGCTAATTTATGACTCTCACAAAAGTACTTATACTTAGTCGGATAACTGATTGTTGTTTAGCTTACGTTACTGCATCATGATGCTGTGCGACGCCTAGCGCTTCCCGCAAAATATTGACATCTTTTTGATCTTCAGGACCAAGCTGCGCCAAAGCATCTATTTGTTTGCAGGTTTGCAGGAAAGCGGAACTCTCTCGCTTCCATTCGTTTGAGTGCGGGTCGACTGGTGAAGTAGCCAGTCCAGTAGGTGTGATTTCCGGATGCATAGGGGAAGAAATCGTCAGCCTTAGTTGTCCATGTCACGTTGGCTTGATTAAGCGCGTACAAATAACATGACGGAGTCGAGTAAAAGAGATTCATATTCGATCCATTATTTTGCTGCAGTGATTCCATAAAACACATCATAATAACGATCGTTAATGGGCAAGCCGTAAAATTATATTAAACTGACCTTCTCGTTTATGTACTTGATAAGCTTGTCCAGATTTTTAAACCAGACATGTGCTTGCTGGTAGTTGAAATCGTTCCCCATTGTTACAATCAAATGGTTTGTGGAAAAGTTTTGCGCCTAAAAATAGGCCATGAATTAGAACGGTTGCCGACTGTTTTTTTCTGGCAAAGTTATTACAAACCTGCTCGTTGATAAGCTTCATAAATGTGCTAACTCTTTCATCCAAGTTGTAATCTTCCAGTCTAGGATCATCCTGGTTGAGAAATGGAATAGTATTGAAACATGTTTATTGTTTCCATTGTCAACGCGTGTTATATTTGTATTCGCCGCTATGTACCATAATCGGCGGATCTGAGCAAAGGAGGTCGAAGCAGAAGGAGGGCGGTGGGTAATAGACGTTCGGTAAAATAGCGGTGAAAATATCGGCATCACTGCCCAGTGCGGGGTTCGCTTCCCAGATGTGCTCCATGGTTTTTGTTAATTGTCGTTTCTCCTTATCTTGGTAATCAATGCGCCCCAGAAAAAGGCCATCGAAGCCCATCTGTAATGTACAGATCGCAGGGGTCAAATAGTACAGGTACTTTCACTTCGCACTTCGCACACATAATTAATTAATTTATCTACCTTAGCGGAAATTGATGCATGTTCTCTGGAATGTCCGAACGGGTCAATCTAACGGAAACGAAAAACGGTTTTGAGAGGGATCTTATGACAACCCCGTAAAAGTTTAGTAGTTAGTATTACATCCCTTGTACATATTTGGTTGAGCAGATTATTTTGGTTGAGATCATGAGTATATTTGGTTTTCTATAGGACAAAACTGCGGGCATATTAACTGACTTTATTATAATACTACTGTGTCTTTTAATCCTGCTACTTGATTTACGCAACTAAAAGTGATCGGTAAAAAGTGCGTCAGTGTGTCGGCATATTGCTTATACAAACCTGCCAGCCGATTTTCGGTCTACCACAGGAACTGAAGGTATCATTTAATTTTCGCAATCCCCAGGCGAAATTCTCCACAATCGAAGCATAATGACAAGCGGCTTCATCGTTCATACTCCATCCTCCACTGATAAATTCCAGTCGTCCTTAACAAAAGCTTACAGCTTTACACAAATACAGCGGACAATTAGCCGATTGATTACAATTATGTACCCGCATCCGGTATTTCAGTGCAAGTAAATGAATTAGGTACGTATATCAATATAACTGCATGAGCATATGAAATACATATGCTTCCATATCTACCTTCATTGACCAAACGATGCACTGTGTGATGCATCTGATCGTCCTGCTGCAGCCACCATCTCCAGAAAAATCCCGTTTCCACGTAAATGAAGCGCCTCCGACGGTCAGCTAATAGTGCCTCCACCACCGAATCCAAAATGTACTGCACTCCAGCAATCTGTACGCTGCTTTTTGCTCCGTAATAATACTGATCCACCGTTTTCAGCCACCCGAGATCGTTGTGAGTGTGCGACACAATGTGAACATTGAGCATATTTGGTTTTCCTTTAGGACAAAACTGCGGGCATATTAAACAGATTGATTATAACACCACAGCATCTTAAAAAGTTTCTATAATCTTGTTAAAACTTAGGATTTACGCAAGTAAAATGTTTAATACGATTACGGCCGGTTCTCTAAGACATTAAAAGGCTCACCTCGTAACCGCACTTTTCTCCATCGTGGAATTCCTTCTTGCCATCATATGGTTTTCCGTGGCAAACGCTCCAAAAAATAAAGCAAAGCAGTACTTGCAATAATGAATGCATAGTAAAACTGCAAATAAAAATATCACAACTAAGAAATGGTCAAAAACCGTATGCCGAATTGCTAAGTGCAAAGATTTAGAAACTAAATTAAAAACAAAAACAGTTACTACATACGATTACAGTACTTACTCAGCTGATTTCAATTCAGTCCAATTCAATTTTTCTCATGTAACCTGCAGTACTTTCGTGTAGCGCGTAAAAAAGCGCTCTTACCGTAAGTGCAAACATACATACTTGCTTGTGTATTTAATATTGTTGTTGTTACCTGCGATACGCGTAAATGCACTGCGAAACGGCTGCAGCACCAAAACAACCATCATCCGTCACCAAAACTGTAGTTGTTTACAAAACCAGCAGCACTGCATCATTTTCTTTTAGTACAAGAGTGGTTCATCGTCTCTTGAAGCGAAAACAGTACAGATTTTATCAATATAAATTATATTTAGCTATCACTCAGCGCCCAAAGGTCAAACTTCACTCTAGTCGAATAGTGTGTCCAAATTGTTATGATTGTGGTAGCACCTTGGTGGTAGTATGGTACACATATGCACGTACGATATACCGCAACAATTATGGTATTAAAGGTATCTTGTATCCGTAGTAGTGCAGTGTGTGTTTAATATATAGCGTGTGCTCCATTCAAACCTGTAGTGATAATACTGATTTACTGTTATAATAATAAACTTATTCAACGATAAATTTCGCGATTAATTCGGCACTCTGAAAGACTACGGCTACGTAAGTCTACGTGCCTACGACTACGTTAGTCGATGTTATTCCACTTATTTGCATTAATATTAATGCTGTCACTAAAGCTGCTGACAATTAAAATTATTTTAAGCGGCAGTTTCTTGCTGCAGAACCGACAAACCATGGCATTTTATTACTGCTTTGAGAGCGCACAAATGTCTAAAATTTATGCTAACAAATAGTGGGCTACAATTCTTTAATAAAAGTTGGTGTGCATTTTTTTAGTGTAGTAGGCAGTAACAGTCAATGTGTTGCATGCGGTACGTACAGTACCCTACCTGTTTTATTGTAAAAAAGCAAAACCAAAGCAGGACCAAGTGTATGTACTTAAAGCAAAGCCGATGTAACCTGACTGCATACTTTTACACGTATCACAGTTTGAACAAATCAAATTAAAGGAACAGCTGCAGGGTTGGCAATCACAGATCATAGGTCTTGCTTCAACTAGCCACGATTTCAATACGAAAAGACTTGATTTCCATAGGATTCAGCGTTATTGTAAAATTTTGCCCTGTACCACGATGTTTCCCTGAATGCCGACCTGCAACAAAATAAACACAAACTGAGACTAAAGATCCCCGTTGTCGCGAAGAAGCACATTATCGCTGACCTTGTTTATCAGGAGAATATCCTTCCTTGTTCCATTTAAGCGCATTCACCGCGGTTACCGGCATATTCCCATCTAAAGTGACTTCTTCCACGGAGGCAATCTTAAACGCAGACATCACTTGCTGTAGGTCGAGAGTAACCGGCAGTGACATCACAGGGTCTTCATTCTTTTCAAACAGATGCTCCAGACGTAGTAGAATGTTGCTGCCGGTCCATCGTTCCAAGCTGAGCAGGTGGACGTTACTCGGTAGGGCCAACGATGTAACTGAGCGCAACTAAACGTTCAGTGCTTGAATATAATAGAATTAACTGCAGATAATGAACGCACTGGACTTAAAAACACTTGAACAATCTGATGGGTTTACTTTTTGAACGACCGGAAATTCTTTGTCCTTCTTAACCGGCAAAAAGGCGAATGATGGTTGCCAGTACACTTCCTGCGCTAGCAGACGTTGAATGCTGGCTGCAGTGGCAATTTTCGTAAAGGTCAGATAGTGTTTGCCTCTGACGACCAGCCCTTTCCCATCCGATCCCGGCTCGTTCAGGGCCTCGCCAACTCCAAGCGCATCGTCGTATAATAAACGTCTGTGCATCTAAAGTCATCCATCAGTTTGATGAGCACTCTTCACCGGAACCACTTGAACATTCAAATACGAAAAGTGAACGGAACCCCTATTACTGATTTGTCATTTGAAGTGTAAAAGCAGTTCCCTACTGTTTTTATAGTCGTTTGCTAGCATATGTTCGTATTTTGATTATTTTGTTTTTGTAAGATGTTGGTGTTTGCTCGGTATTCCGGTGAAAGTTTAGTTTCTTGCATTTTTTGGCAAGCGGATATTTTCTCCCTCCCGCCAACTTCCATTGTTTTGATCATGACTTTTTCTCTACTTTGTTTCATTCCGGGTTGGTGTTGATTAAAAGGTAAGAGAGGTTGAAGGACCTGTGTCCACAGGTCTCCCAGTTCCGGTACGTTTGTCTCGTGTTTTGATCATATGCACTAGTACAAAGTAATTCACTATATTTAGGCGATGCAGTCGAGTACACCCAAATCACAATTAATATCAGTTATGATTAGATTTAAAGTGGAGTGCTAAAGTATTTTTAGACTGTTTTCAGACTACATTTTTTCATGTATCGATTACGGAAAATGTTGTCCGCCTTCTGGTTATCGTCCGCTAATTTTTATCATTAGCACACTGACCATCAACTCGATTTGTCCATCCACAGTACTGCTACCTCCTTGTGCGCGCTCGGTCAGGACTGTCAACTGCGTTCCTTGCTTTTCGTCTCGTATATAGATCCGATTTGCAACAGGATAATAATTTCCCGCAACCGGTTCACTGAGATTCACACTGTATGAAGGGCGGAAATCCCGTCTGCAGAACAATTATTACCATCTGATACACTCATTAATAAGCGGTCGCAAAGTGAAGAAATGCAAAACACCGCGTAGTGAACTACGTACTTCCGCTGCAGATCCTCTCGGCCATTGGAATCGGTATAAAACACCCCGTTGTTTATGAAATCCGATGAAAAAACGGAAATGACTTCACGGCCAATGCCATCACTGTAAATAAAAAGATTTCATCCACGTTTTTCCAAACGCTTGAATTAAAAATAATGCTTCTTAGTAAAAATTAATACGAACTCTACAGGGATAGGACCAATTTGCCACTCAAATTCCAGAAAACGTGATTCCTGATGCAGACGAGTTACTTGCGATATCCACGGAGCAAAATACTGTCGCATTTCTTGAACTTCGGAGCCCTACGAGTCATAATTTTCCTTTATAAGCTCGCTATAATAATGTAGATAAATAGACATAAAATGTTGTGCAACAGGTAAACGATGAGATTTTTTCACATTTTTGTTCTCAAAATTAAGAATCGATAATTAGTTTTTTTACTTTACGATCGCAATGGATGCATTTAACCCAACACATTAAGAAGGCCAACAACACGGCTTTAATAATATATACTAACAATGCCCATACCTGAACGATTTCATATGAGCCATTTCCCGCTACAGCAGTGCGACATTGCGTCGCTAATCCCGTGCAATTCGGTCGAAAAATGTATGCGCCAGACGCGCGATACTTTTCTAAAGAATTATTTCCGGCAAAACCGTTGTAGACGGCAAAAGTCTGGTTGAAATTCAGCGTATCTTTGGTTTCCAGGTTTGTTAGAGATTTCACGAGTCCGGTCAGTACGTCAAAGGTCACCGACAGGTACTACAGATATGTATACCACGGATACTGAAAAGGTTCATAATACAAAAAATTGCACAAATGACGCGCCATACGTCGTTCTGGAATACGATATCGTCGTCCAGCGGGTCTGGCACATCAACGACTTCAACGTCTGCTCTAGTCTTGGATGGCCGATTGTGAGTTACAGTTCCTGTTACAAATCATGGTTGCAGTAACACGGTACTATTGTCACATTTTTCAAGTATTACGGTATCAGTACAGTATCGATTAACTGTACAAGGTTCCCACAAAATTTTAACAGCGGATCATGAATAAGTAGACTCATCTTACTGTACACATAATACGTCGAAAAGGTCACTGGGGCCAAGGTTGCGTAGAAGACCAGTTCCTGAGTTGCTGTGCTCGTTCTTTCGGGAATATCCAAAACATTCTTGAAAAGCGGAGTAATTTGAAAGGACACCTGTTGTCCTCCTGAATCAGTGATCATATAATCACCATCCGGCACTGGCAGATGAATGTATTGCTGAAGTTGTCGGGGAATGCTGTTCCACACCAGAAGCGCTACCTGATTACATATAAAGACACACTGTCAGAAATTAAATAGCAGCAAATTAAATATATTCAATAATTTGCAACCGTTTGCTGCGGAATGCGGATTATTCGTACTTTCTTATAATTCTCCGTTACGGCGCATTGGCTGATATTTAACAGGTCACAGAATTTAATCTGCGAAGCCTGGGAAATGTTGGCTAGTTTGGCCAGGCCATCCGCGACAACTTCCTGACACGCTTTGATTCCCACATCCAAACGCTGCGCATAATCATATGCCACCTGTTGCTTCTCTGTGCCTCTGCAGAAAAAAATGAATTAACACTATTTGTGCTAGGATAATACGATTCTGTAAATCGTTTTTCGACATACGCTACCGCATCATGGTGTTGCGCAATACCCAGCTGTCCGCGTAGAACAGCCACTTTTTCCAGTGCGCCGGGATCCAGACCTGCCAAGGCATCGACCTGCTTGCATGTCTGCAGAAAGCCCGAGGCCACTCGCTCGAAGCGTTTTAAAGCCGTCCGGCTGGTGAAGTACCCGGTCCAGTACGTATGACTTCCCGATCCGTACGGGAAGAAATCGTCGGACTTCGCCGGCCACGAAACGTGGGCTTTATTCAGTGCGTTCAAATAGCATGCCGGAGTAGAGTATAACAAATTCACATCCGAACCATTCTTTTGCTGTGAAAAAATAATGTACAGTTACAGACGTGATTTACTAGTATTTGATTTTAATTTCTGCGTCGGACACAAATTGTATGTTGTCATCGCACCTGTTCGTTCACATAGTAGATTAATTTATCCAGGTTCTTAAACCACATATCCGCATTTTGGTAGTTAAAATCCTCTCCCATTGTTACGATAAGGTGATTGGTGGCGTAGATTGTGGCCTTCGCGTAAATTGTATTAAGTATTTACTTGGTTTTTCACATTTTGTATCGAGGTCATCAGTACTCATACATACCTGGTTGTGCATCTGGTCGACGAATGATTTGACCTTTTCATCCACATTGTAGTCGTTTAGTCTGGGATCGTCCTAAAGTCTTAGAGTAAGCCCATGTTCATGGTTCAAACTTTTAAGAACTGCAACATACCATTATAGGAGAATCATGGCACAGTGTGTCAAAACAAAAATGCAAAGGTGGACTGTAGCCATTGGGAAGAATTCCAGCAAATATTTGGCTACGCTGGCCGAGATTCGGACTCGTCGTCCAAATCACCTCCATAGTTCGATTGGCCTCGCGCTGCGCCTTGTCTTGAAAATCAATTCTGCCCAGAAATATTCCATCGAATGCCATCTACGATACGTTACCGCGATTTTGCAGTTGTGCCGTAAAGTTTGCAGTTTGCACTAATTTGTAAATGCTTATATAAATAGATATACCAAAATTAGTTCTATCACAAAGGAAAGTGATTGTGACATAAGCGTAGACCGTACGAATTATACGTACCTCCGATAACAGAGTGGCATGTTGCCGAGAATGACCAAAAGGATCAATCTATAACAATAATCTATAACAATAATCTATAATCTATAAAAATAATCTATAACAATCTATAACAGTAACAATGTACTGGTGTAGTTCTTTGGCTGCTTGGCAGTCAGCGGGGACATTTCCGTCGCTTGCGTGCTTTTAAAAGAAATACCGAATACCGAAATAGCGTTTAAGTTTCTGTTTTTCAGCAGTTTTGTTCCGCAGTTTTGCCCGATAATTGGCTTTAACTATTATGGTTTCGCATCTTACCCACATTTTAACCAAACCTATGCAATGGCGACATCAGTTTTCTACTTTCAAATTTACTAAAAATTGCTCTGTAAGTGTACGACCGTACGAGTATAAATCGCTTTTTTAATAATTGGATTATATAGGTCAGAACGTAAAACACGCTACTCCGATAACGAGTAGATGTCAAAAGTTTCAGACTAGACGAAAAAGAATGGATGGAAGTGCATTCAGCATATTATATCTGTAGAGGGACGTACGTTGACCAAAACCGAAAGGAAGTGCAATCCACATATCTTAATAAATATAGCCACTAGGTAAATATACTGTAGTAATAGTAAAATTCTGCCGAACAAATTTCGGATTTATCGAATTCATGTTATTCTGTGAAGAACTCCAGGTACATTGTTGTTTGTACGCATATACTGCGGTGTATACTTTAATAAGTTTCGGATACGTGAACTTACGCAGTGGATTATAGTTTTAGTTTGTACTATATTATAAGCCATTATGCGTATGCGTTCGGCTTGCATTGTAACATTCCCAGTACAATTTCCCAATATCAGCAAAACTGACCCAAATGTAAGAAATTTGCAATTGTTATACTACTGTTACCGACTTCTACGTACCAAGTAGTAGTAGGCCGGCGTTGCTTACTGCCCGCATCAAAATGACAGCGTTCATATTTAATTTTTTCCGAATGTGTTAAAACTTTGAACTTGCTGCACATAGGGTCATATCTAATTTTCATATTTATAAATCATAACCAGTCATATCTTCCAGTCCCCCCTATGTCGGATGCTGAAATTTTCTATGCACTGTTTAGTTCTCACCTGCCAACCGATTGTCGGCCGCCCGCAAGTTCCGAACGTCTCGTTTAGCTTCCGCAGTCCCCAAGCAAAGTTTTCGATTGTTGAACTGTAGTGAGTTGTTGCCTCGTCATTCATACTCCAAGCTCCGTTTGTAAACGTAAGGCGACCTTTCAGTATGGAGAATTAGTGTGTTGCGCATCGCTCCCATAAAAACATCTATATGCGTGACAAAATTGCCTTTGTATAAGATGCCTTTCTCACCATTGTTTACCAAATTGATGACCGCTGTTTTGGTCGACTCGGCTTGCTCTTGCCACCATCTCCAGAAAAATGCTGTTTCGACATAAGTAAACTTCCTGTTTGAATTCTCGATCAGAGATGCAACAACGGAATCCAAGATGTACTGTCCAAAAGGAAATCGGAATTATTTTCTTGGTAATCAACAAATTTTAACAATTATTCATTTGCAACTGCTTGCTGATGCACATGTACGTACTGCATGGCTCAGTACTGGTTATACGGTAGCTACTACCATATCCCTCTACTTTATAATTATTGTGCACATTATTGCGTATACGGTAGGCAGTTGTGTTACGTGTAGTTGTACACAACAAGGTAACTAATTTATTCCACTTTTTTACCTGAACCCCGGCTTGTTGGATATCGTTTTTAGCACCATAATAGTACTGGTCGACTGTTTTCAACCATCCGACGTCATCGTGAGTATGAGCCACAATGTGGACGTTGATTTTATCCTCTACACCCTCGGAACATGCCTGCATCCAGATTTGCTTATCGCCGATAGGAGTTCCGCGAGTACGGAAATTCAAGTAAATCTTACCGCATATCCACAAGTGGATCTCAATCTTCCATCTTTCAGCACAAAACTATTTGCAACTGCAAGTATAAGGCCGGTTAAAAAAAGTAGTCGTAGTGAGTCCAGCATGATATATGCACCGATCCCAGCCAAAAGGATGAACAAAACTTAAGATTGATTGTTGACAAACAGTTAAATATTCGCGATGCTTATTACAACTTGTAAAATGGTATGTACTACACTGGAACCATTTGTCGATCCTTGTTTGCAAACATAACGCTCACAAGATAATTTTGAGGCACTTGGCCCTAATTACCGAATAATGTGACACCTTTAATAAATACAGAAACGTCGGCAACTGATAACCTGGTCCCGACTTGCTTCGAATTTGCTCGAAACACAAAAGAACGAACTCGTAAACGATAAGCTCAGCGATAAGTAAATCACACTGGATAGAGTACAGGATGTATAATACTCGTATGAGCAACATAATACTAACATTTGTCAGCCCCTAAATCATAAATGAACACTGCGGCAAGCGTTCGCTTAGCTTAACTTTATAAATTTATACTGCAACATGGCAATTATTATGTGAATGCACAAAAATTAGCTACAAAAACATAGATGTATATTATAACAAGTTAAGAAAAGAATCATACATAAACCAGCGAGGCAGCGTGGCGGGATCGTGTAAAAAACCAAACAAGTGGTAACCACAAAACGTATGTACACTGTTAGTATCGTCAAATCGCTCCGTGGGGTCACCAAAATGTAAAGTAAAAAAAGAAAATTCGCAATGAAAGATCGATCAATCATGTTATGTCGACGTTGTCCAATAGATTTGTAACTTCCGTTAACCACCTGGATACCTCCAGTTTCTTCTGCTGAAATGCTTCCAGTTCATTGTCAGATAATACAGGTCTTCGGTCGGCATTCATCGCACCGGTGTTGGACATTCCGTGTTGAGAGTCTGGAGTATTTTCCTGGGAGAATGCAACTTCTGTGGCATCAGTATCAGGCGCATATTCCTCGAATTTCTCCAACAACTCCAGCAAAAGCAATTCAAAATCAGGTAATTCGTCGCTGTACCTTAAAATTACAGGATCGGAACCTGTTGATGCTGGCATAACTGCTGCCACCTTCTCGGAAGCTGCAGCAAAAACATCCCGGTTTCTTTCCTTTTCATTTTCAATTTCAAATAATCCAGCGAAAGGAACTACTTTCGAATTAAACGGTGAACGTGTCCATGATGATTCATGCTCCAACTGCAAACAGTAGAGTAGATAACATATGTCATTTAGCTTGCCTATCGCGGCAAAAAGTATTTCATTACATTACGTAGTGTAGTTCGAAATTTATACAGAAAAGAGGTGCAGGCAATACTTTTGTACAGTACAAACAGAAGTTGTAAACAAACAGTAACTATACAACCAGAAAGCTGAATCACTTTTATCTTATTTTTAATTTATTTAGGGGGTCTTATTATTATCTTTGTTTACTTATCCTCCGTAATTCCCAATGAAATTATAAACTCTTATACAAAAACTTCTATAGCCCTAACAACTTTTTTTTTTATATTAGTTATATTTCCCTTTTTTAAAATACCTTTAATAAATTATACAAACATTTTAACCGTAACCATAAATAATACTTCTAGAATATTCAGCCTTTTGTTAATTTATTTGTTAATTGCCATATGTTTATCAGTAATAATCAGAAGTAAGATAAAAACTCCATTAAAGCAAGAACTAAACTAATGAGAAAATTAAAACCACACCAATTCTAAAAACTTTAAATGCTTCCTTAATTGATTTACCAGCTCCTTCTAATATTACACACTTTTGAAACTTTGGTTCAATACTTGGAACTTGTTTAACAATTCAAATCTTAAGAGGCGTTTTCTTAGCCATACATTATTCTTCTGACATTTCCTTAGCCTTTTCGTGTATTGATCATATTATACGGGATGTAAATTATGGCTGATTTATCCGTCTTATACACGCTAATGGGGCCTCCTTATTCTTTTTTGTTATATTTTTACATATTGGGCGCGGATTATACTTTCATTCGTTCATACTAACAATAACTTGAATCATAGGGATCGTACCTTCAAGAAAGACAGCACTGTAGATGCATCAATCATTTGAAGTAGAGGTTCGCCACAATTTTCCTTCGACATGTTCAACTCCACATTTGCCAGGCACACTTCCACCACTCGGTTCCAAATCCACACAGTATCGCCCAATGACAAATCATCTTGAATTTCTCGTTTTACGGTGCGATAAATTGTCACAAATTGCCCAAACATTTCACTTAGGACACTGCTTAGTGTAGTTATCACAGGATGGGGATTTCGCGCACGATGTTGGATGACCCATAAAAACGATTCCCAAACAGCACACGCCAACACTAAGGATGCATTAGCTTGGGGAACAAAGAAATCTAGCAATAAATCCTCGTTTGTTGTCAAATCTGCAATATCGCTGCGCGTTACTGTCGCATCACAGCAGAATACTACGACCGGTAGAGTGGGACGATTAGCACGAAGTATTTTCAGTTCGTCCATTCGTTCTTTTCCATACTCGAGATCAGAACGTGAGCGGCAAAAAAGCATGACACCATTCAACTCCTTGGCGTACCGTTCAATATTTTCCACTGTACTGTTACCGATAGCCTCCATAAAAATTAACCGCAACGAGCGACCTTCACTTTCGCATGTGAGTTCATGCACTGGATCGGCATTATCACCAGTGACTTGACCGAATTTCACATGGAGCCATCGAGACATTGGTTCATGTTCAGAGTCAATGGACACGACCATGATCATCACAGTACAAACAACCAAATCAGAATTATGCGGCAAACAAAAGATATTCCGCAAAGGAAATGGCGACCATAGCAGTTGACGCTCTTCGTGATAGCGTAGTCGATCCGCAAATTCCACCTGATCATCAGTGGGAACAAGGTCGGCAAAGTGTCGTGTTGGAGATCGAATTTTTCGGATATGATCAATCCAGGAAACAAAAACATTTTTCATTGCAGCTTGAGCTTGGCATATACTTCGTGCATGCAGTAACACGGGATGCGTGGGATTAGGATATCTTCGTAACTCCACCACCTCTATGGGCTTTTTGATGGCGTCTTCAAGAGGAATGGGACTCTCCACTTTTCTGGATGGAGTGCGCTGCAGCGGCCTGGAAATTTCCAAGGATGGCCGCCGGGCCGGGGTTACGGTGACAGGGTCATTTACGTGTACCCGTTTTGCATTCGGAGACTGCGGAATTTCCACTACATCTTCATCCAGTCCATCAGAATCAGAATAAACGCGCTTTCCACGAGTAAATCCAGAAAGTGAAGAGTTAATAGTAGGTAACGACGTACTGGGCAACCGTATCCCCGGGGAACTCTAAAAGCGGAACCAGTACAAATACAGATCAACTAAATCCTCACCTTTTACAAATCCCTCACCCTCCCTCACCCCTCACCCACCTCCCTCACCTTTTAAATCCCTCACCTTTTACACTTGCATGCTAATACTGTTTACGAATGCTTACTTTTTCAAAACCGAACTATCACACTTATTTTCATCTGTCGTAAAATAATTCGGTGAGAGAATACGATGAAATCCGGCTATCAAATTAATTAAAATACTCACAGGAAGCAAGTTTGCAGAAAACTGGAAAGCATTCGAAGGTTGTGCGTATGGGACATCAAAACGCATAGGGCTGACTGATAAAGGTTTAGCTCCGGAGGATAGTGAGTCAAAGCCAAAATCCACGTGGTTCTTAGTAGTCGGAGATCTGGCAGCAGGGGTCTGCTTAACATTTTCCTCCTCTTTCCCGGGGATCACTTCGAACGGATCGATTCCAATGTACAATCCATTGTCATCAAAAGAACAGATCTCGACAATCTGCGGTGCGGGAATTTCTTCCAGTTTCTGCTTGGCTACAGCCTCGGCCATGTTTCCTGGTGCTCGCGCGTGGATGTGTCGGGATAGGGTGCGTTTGTACAGTTTGGGATCAGCTGGATGAAAACCAGTGGGAAATGACACGACACCGTTCTCCCGGTCGATTTCCAGTTTGTTATGCGTACAGAAGCGCAGCATTTCTATGTCCGTCTCAATGCCCAACATCAGCTGCAGTTTTTTCAACCCGATGGCCGATTTCGGATCGCGCGACCTCCCGCCGCCACAGGAACGGTACAGTGCGCGCAGTGCACTGGCTTGCATCACCGGTAAATACAGATGCATCAAACAGGCCAAACAGTAGTCCGCCTGCCGCATCAGGGCAATATAATCCGTATAAGATTTGTTATTCACCGAGCTGATGACTTTCTTAACGAAGACGACTTCCCGGCTTTTGTCAAACTTGGCAGCATCCAGAGTGATCTTCACCAGATCGATGCGATCCGTCCAGATTCGTAAAAACATTTCGTACGCGCGGAATTCCGCCAGATGGGGCGACGCTTCGCCTGCTCGTTCCATTTGATGGTACACGCGCTCCAGACCCGCCAGACAGTCATTAAGATTCTCCAGATTCAGTTTACTGTCGAACTGATTACGATCCACCTCGCAAAACATGTGGAAAGAGACGATATGGAAACGGCACATTTGCTCCAGTATCCTCGCAATTTCCACTCCCGACAGGCGCTGCTGCGTGATCTCTTTGCGGATGGCGCGGATGCGACGCCAAATAAAATCGTACCATCCCGCAGCACATAAAGAACCCTCGGGAATATCCATGGGATTGGCGATAATCTCGCGCAACAGGTAATTCATCGTGGTCTGCAGCGCTTCTTGTGTGCGCAGTTCACTGGGCAAGGGCATTTCTTGATCAGCAGCTTGACGAGAAAAATCCTTCACCATGTATTTTTCTTGTTCAAAAAGGCCAACGCGCTCCTGCTTGATGCGTTCGTAACGTTCTTTCTCGGGACACATTTCAATGCAGGTTCCCTTGAGAAGGGGAGCACTGTCGAGTTCCTCGTCGTAGGAACTGCCTTGAGATTTGGATACGAGCCGAATGATCTTGTCACGGACGTTAAGCAAGTCGTACTTCTCATCGGCACTCGCATGCAGTTTCTTCGTCTTGTCCATCCATTCGCGGTGCAATGCACCGATGGCAGGAGGGCCTGCCATTTTCGGATTTGGACCTACAAAATGCAGTGCGAAGTAGCCTTTAATGTAGACGAAATACCACTGCGCGAAGCCTCGAAATCAAATTCAATCCACAGCACAGTACGACAGCGACCGTTTCACAACAAAAGTACGAGTACGCACCTAGACTTGGAACCGATAATACAGAATTAAAGAAAGACCACAATTATGGAAGGCAGAACTAGGCTAATTATGAGCAAACACTCAATTTAAAAGTAAAATAAGTATCTGAAATTGAGAAATTCGAGGTCCAGCAGTAAACAAAATTCTGAATCGTGAATAAAAAAATTAATTTAAGTGTTAAAATACGCTTGTGCCTTGTGGTTTATTGCGTACGATTTCGAGTTGGCAAGTGTTCCCAGTACAAGTTGTGCTGAAATCTGTGTCCTGCAGGCGGTTGTGCATCTCGCAAGACAGGAATTTATGCCATGGTACCTTACAAAATGACACAAAATTTGATTCATTATTTTATACAACATGTAGATATGTAGTAAAGTAGTTACTACTAGTGACACTTCTCCGTACAAAGCCCAAAAACTGAAGTGGAATTAGAAGCACAAGAAATTTTCATCGAAGTTGATTTGCGGTCCGATTGCTACCAGGCGAGATTATTGTCCAATTATGACGCAATATTTCACACAGTGCATAGTACTATATACAATAAGATCAGAAAGCGGCAAGAGCAATTATTCATTTATCATACAAAAACATCCAGCAATAACTCCCAGTAACACACTAAAACACAACAAAAACTACGGAAACGTAGAAAAAACTGTTTAAACAAAGTTCCGTGGACGAGATAACTGGCACGTGCACTGTAATACCTTCTGTCCATACAAGTAAAAATTACGATTGCGGATTTTCTGCAAACACACACAAATAGCTAAAGTTCCTTTACATTTCACCAGATATGCTGAATTCAACTGACCCTGGAGTAGACTGCAAGCTGAATTCGGCGGCCCTGCACCTCCCTTCTCCAAGCATCGGGATCCTTTTGGGGCTTAGTGATTGCTCTGTACCGTCTAATAAAAGAAAATTACCGAATGAACTACAAGTCGACGACGCGCTGCACGTCAAAATATTAAAAAAACATACGCACCTCTCCGTTTCTTCCCTCGCAGTTTTGAGGGAAATCACATTGCTACGCGCCCACAAGGGCTTCGCATGTTCCGATTTCGCAGAAGGTGCAGCTCTAGGTTCATCACCTCGCACAGGCAGACTCCGCGTTTGCACTGCGTGCTGGCGGTTTGTATCCGTCTTCGAAGTTTTAAAAGTTGACAAAGAATCCGGATGGACATTTTCACCATCGTAGAGAACGTCCCGTTTTTGATGTCTTCGCCGAATCTGCATCTGTCTTTCTTGACAACGACGCATAAATAACTGCTTATGAGAGAGAAAGGCTGTCTGTAAAAATACTAAATGAGCCTTCATGTCGCTTTGGCTGCTTTGTGCATAATACGATTCCAATAAACCTAATAAACATAAAGTTCAGAAAATACCACAAAATAGCAGTTAATATTAAATAATTAAGCATGCAACGACGAAAAACAAAGTACAGACGAGGTACAAAAAGCTGCAGACGTAAACTATAGCAAATGCAAAGAAAATTAATCGAGTAAATATGCTTACTTGAAGGGATATTGGTGAGGGGGGAAACATCAACGGTCCGGCGTATAGAGATCGACTAGCATCAAATTTTTCGGCCGAAATTACTTTATCAAGGTCAGAACCATCACTTTCTCCAAAGACACTACGGTCGTCCTTTTTGGCGCTATCGTGCACATTTACATCGTGAGACAATTCCTGATTAGCGAATCCTCCTTCTTCGTTCCCCGAAATGGCATCTCGCTCACAATCAGAAACATCGTTCTGTGCTCCGGGAAAATTTAACAACAGCGGCGCAATGGGCGAGGTGGCGATATCCTTGGATTTTATTGCATTCGTGTTCTGACTTCCCGCCGCAGAACAAGAACACATTCTTTCACACTGACACAAATCTCCTACCGTTTCACTGTGTGGTGTATGGGCCGAAGTGATGCGCGTCGAAGAAATATTTTCTTCCATCTGATTAGCATCCTTGAGAAGACGATCGCGCTGAGAATCGGCTTCTTTACCCATTCGTAAAGTTCTCCTTAGCAAATCCTGCAAATTATTCCCATCTCGTGATGTCCAGTTTTCCTGCTCAATACCGCTGGCGTGGCTTTCCGTCAATGTTTTGCATGGATCATGACTTTTGGGGCTCGGAAATGCATCATACGAACTGCCAGAATACTCACTGGGAATGCTGCAGTCATCGTCATTCACCAAAGGTTTTTGTGGACACGCACTTTGGTCTTTAGCCCTTATTCCTAGTGATTCCGGCAGCAATTGTTCACTAGAAGAGACGGAGACTTCGTGGGGATATCCACCGTGAAATACTCTAAGGCGTGTTCTTCGCTCAGATTTCAGCTTAGCGTAACGCTCAAACAGCCGATGCATTCGCTCCTCAACCTCGCGAAACATCTGATCGAAAGGACTGGCAGCAGATCGTGAATCAACAATTTGTACGGCGTGCGATTCGCCATGAATCTGCGCTTCCAAGTCAATGAGATCTGCGCAAGACGAACTGGAAGATATCTGAGGATTGTCATTTGCCAAACAGTCCACCATCCCTGAAGATGGTTTCCGGGAACAGAAGGGATCAAATTCCGATAGATCGTCCAGAGCTTTTGAAAAGAGTGAAAGCTGAGACTGGGATCGCTCTTCGGTTTCACAGCTGGGAGAGTCGACGCAGTTGCATATTTGGCCGTCATAGTGGACGCGATTATCGAGTGCCGCGGAAGAAATTGTTAAAGTACCATAAAACCGTTCCATTTGGGGACCTGTGCTGCGCTGGGATCACAACACTACAGAACTGTGAGCATTTTTAAACCTTACTGTGGTTTGTGGGTAACTGCGTCTACTGACAGATAAAGTTCACATTTCAGTAACAAGATTACACGTTGATTTCTTCTAAAACGATGCCATAAACAGAGAAAGTACATCCAAGAATTTAGGAATAAATTCACTTTTAAAAATATCGACTGTGGGTAACACGCAAGAATCAGACTGCTGTCGTCGGCCTCAGCCACCGCCTACGGTAGGCACGCACTTGGTATAAGTACTGACTATTGTCTGACGGACAAATTTGTAGGTTTCGCCTTCGGCGTTTCGCGAATAAGTTTTAGACCAGTCGCAACATAAAAGCAAAAGTTTCCTTCAACCTCGCAAGTTGCGTGTAATAATAAGTGTAGTTGTAATGAACTATATTACGTAATGTAATGTGAGAAAAACGCATAACAACATTTTCGGAAGCCCTACAATGTCAGAAAACTTCTCGTTTTAAAAAAAAGGTTGGCAAAGGTGTCGCCGAATCGATGGAAGAACTACGCGAATCCACATGTGAGAAGATGCGGCCAATTTTCCCTGGAAGTGTGAAAACGGATTTGTTTATTTTCGTTCTATTAAATTCCTGTTACCATTCGACGGGGCTGCCTGGATCACGCTGGATGGAACTCGAGCGCGTTAACACGCTAGCGAATGTGCTCAATACATAAACTTACCAAGTTAGCTACCCTAGGTAGAATGCGCCGAATGGGTGCGAGAAGTATCGCGTGTATTATATCTATATACAGCGATACTACTCATAAGAGTAATAACTTAGTTAGGTTTCATTGTTAGGTTTCAAAAACCTATTATAATTACGTATCTCAAGAAGTGGTTATCATGCCGCATTAGTACTTCAATTTGTGCGTGGTCACTGTCTGTATATTGACACCATAATTATACGAGTACTTACATATAGATATCTACAATATAAGTTAGGGTAGTAATCGGATCCTGCGGTATATTGTAGCTAAACCAAATTCAGAGATTCTGTCGCACGCGAACTTGCAGAAACGTGTTAATTTTAATACGTGTTAATTTTAATGTATCTGTACCTCTACACATATATCGGTGCATATTATTATGCCAGCTTGGTGAATATTAAATTCAGCTTTTATGTTGTATCATTGATCTTGCAACCGTAAATTATTGTAATTACAATTTACACTCCATACATTATATCTACGTATAATGCGTAATGTCCATGTAATATTCCATAATATCATAATATTATAAGATATTGAATGGCCATCGGTCAGCCAGCTCCAGCAGGTTTGAATTGCTGTTTGAAACAGTCGAGGGGTTCCGACGTTATTTTGTAAGTCCGGGAGCGTGGAATGGTCCGTATACAGTATTGGCTACAGTGTTACGAGCACCAGTGTGGCTTAAGGACACGGAAGATCTAGAATGTGCTAATACAGCAACACGCAAGAGAGCAGAAATTATGGCGCAACTAGCGGTGTTTGTTTTTGTAGGAGGGAACTTCCCGATTCTTAACTTGGATTTTGTAATGCTTTTTTGTTTGCAATATTACTCATCATATGAAAAGTATTATGACCATTGATCTCTACACACTGCTGGTATTCATGATTATTAAACAGGTCAACAAACATCCCTGTGCGGCGGTAGTGATTGCGCGTACACTCATTTTTTGGCGGTATACCGCATCTCGTACACGATTATGCCGACATAATAACGACCAGAGATGTTAAAAAACCACAATGGCACGTGATATGTTTTGACAAGCGTAATGGCGTTCGCTTGGACATACGTGCCTTCCGGACTGGATTTATCTGCTTCCGTCAAAACAATGACAGCGTTGTCGCAACAACAGCTTTCGCAGCACGCGATCTGGCACATCTGCTAATTATTACAGTATTGTAAATCCAACCGGAGGGCTACTTGAAGCGGCTGGCTCTACCGGAGCTGGTGGGCTAAAGTTAAACCATTAGCCGCCACATTTAGGTAGTTGCTGTGCACGAATTTCCTTTGATGAGGAAAAACCGAATGAATCATGATCAATCATCAGCTGTTTTTTAACATGTTTATAGCTGGCCTACGAAATTACAATGATATACTGACCGTACGGGGCATAATTATACACCCAAGAAAACACAGAAAACATAGAAAAGCGCTAATGAAAGAAAATCCACAAAATAACTGATTCAGAAGAGAAAATCATACACAATGATTTAGCATTTTGTGCAGCAAAATCCTAAATAAATCCTAAATCCTAGCACTCATTAAAGTTCACACATTTGACACCAGGAAATTAGGGCCATCTTCGGAAAATTTATGCGGCACCTAAATTAATGCACATGTACAACGCACCGCAAGAAGGATTTACTGAAGATAACGTTTCTAGATCTATCTGAAAAAAGTCGAAGTTTACCGCGAAATTTTTGTATCGATTAACTATCGTGGATGTTTTTTATGCGAGTAAGTATTAATTATCATAATATATAAACCGACCTGCTGACATTAATTTATAAGCGTTAAAAACGTACGTACATATTTTTGAGGATTTGCTTACGACGTAAACTACACTTACGTTGAAAGTAAATTATGTACCTGTAAATAACAAAACGAGCTTGCAATTGAGGATCGATATCTTCAAACTTATACGGAAGCACAGAGAAACCAAAAGTATTAATAACCGCAATAATCATAATCTTATTAATTTTGTTAATTTAAGGGTTAATTACGTACAAACGATTATAGTGCAATGCTGCTTTAAAATAGCTTGATAGTTTTTGTATTCTCGTTTTGTGGCATTCCTCGTGAAAATCATAATTTGAAATAGCTGGAACATCATCTATGACAGTATTTGCAGTATAGTTTACATAATTGGAATTTATAAGAGCACCAAATTGCGGTCCTGATTCAGTTAAGTGTTTAACAACACAGGCTTGTGGAAGAAAACGGCAGTAGGTCATAAAAGGTTTTTGACCTCTCGCCTGCATCTGACCACAAACAGTCTGAAACAAGGCCATCGAGCACGGTAGCGGTTGAAGGTCACGGTCACGTACCACCGTTATATACGCTGTCAGTACGGGCGCCATGCGATTTGAAAAGCCCCCATTTCGTTTATTTTAATGCTAATAATGTTTACATCACTAACAAGTTTTTTTAATGCGATTTCACAAAAAAAAACAAATGCTTTCATGACATGAAACTACGAAAGAACTTATATATTAAGGATGTTGGTTGTTTTGGTTTGCCAGTAAAGTCAAACTGTACTCTGTATTTGCCGGGCTGAAAAAAGGAAACCACTGTAAACAAAGAAAATATTCTGGTAGTCATCAGCATGTTTTTAAAATCCAAATGTCCGTGGACGGCTGTCTGCTTGTATCCTGTTTTGCGCACAATATAAAGCCATTCCAAAGACCGTAGTGTCGCGGATTTTAAAGTTATATGCTTAGAATGCCTGGCTGAATTTGGCATCCCAACGCTTGGGATCAAAAGTTCACCAGCATCTGCATGCCCCCTGTAATCAATCCAAAGACTATTCCACACTTGATATTCGATGCATATTATCATTATTCTGTGATGCATAATACGTATGAGTACAAGCGAGTTGCTTGCATTGCTGTGTATACGGTATCTAAATAATTTGCATCTGTCGTGCACATAAAAGCGTACGAACAAAAGCCGTTTAACATTGTATAATTCGTTTTATAAACCGGTAGTTTTTAGTTTGTATATTTAATTTGATGTGTATGCCCAGAACAAAACGGTTTCGAAACTATTTAACGTTCCAAGCTAAATGTGAAAACACAAGTAAATTTCATAGTTATATGCATAATAATATGCCGCTGATTACGTATACCATAAAAAATGTATTATGTGTTGGCAGCAGATTTTAATTTCTTTCTAGTGTGGCTAGCGCAGTTTTGATTTGCTTCGTGCACCATGTACTTAATAAAATCAAATTGAGAGATTTGGCCGGAATTGCTGATAGCCGACCTTGTATAATTCTATATGGAATATATGCCATCAGTCCATAATACCATTTGAACACACTCGGTACTTTCGACAATTATTTTTACTTAACCTTTCTGCACTTTAGAATTACAAAAATTATAACTGTTATAATTTTCAGATGCACGATTCTCAGGCAGGGGTGAATGAACTTTAAATGGAGCATCAAGCGTACGTCTGGTGTAGGTGTTCATGGTTAAAAGAGCACAATACTGTCTGTCGTATGAATGACCACGTGCCGGTGCGTACACATCCTGCACGCTATACACAATTATGTTAATAATTAAGGATGTAAATTTTATGCACAAACTGCTTGTAAAGTGCAGTACTGCAAGCAAGATACGGTCTTTAATTTGTATTTAGACAAGTTGGTGTTAACGGAACTGCATAACCTAATGAATGAGCCACCATACCATAAATTTTTGGAAATCACCTGTTGAGTTAAATGTAACGCCCAGTCTGAAATCTGAACCATTTCAAGTAATATCTGCCAGCACAGGCTCATATTAACCACACTGACATTTGCTGAATAAACTATGTGTATTACATATCGAACTAAAAAGGTCACCGTGAGCAGTGATGACTTTAATTGTAAAATTAATGAACAATTCTGATAAAATTTGTAAACAAATGCAAAGGCGCCCGTTCGTAGTACGAAATGAACCTACATCTGCATAAACAACAAAAAGAATACTTTAATTAATCATAAGTCCAGCGAATCTTTATCGTGGGTGTTAATTACAGTGTTTTCTTTTTTATCTGCTCTAGAACCTCTTAAATAGTACAGCTTGATCTCCAGGCTAAAAACATTAATTTTCTCACAGTGATCTACTGGGTGTTGCGTTTTGCTGGATTTGTTACAGCACATAGCAGATGGCAACTTAAAATTCTTTGGGGTATCTTGCAGTTTAGTCACTAAACTGCATGATATCCCACAGTATTTCATGTTGATATTTAGTGGTTAAAAGTTGGAAATTTTTGCAGTATGGAATTCATGTGATCTATGAAAAGAATTTGGAGTCTGCGGAAAGACTTTTCATGGGTCATGACTAATAACTGAAACTTCTTGTTCGAATACACCCTTTTGATATAAAATGCTAGCTAAAAGGCTTTCGTGCTTGGCAGGAAGTTAGAGAATAAATAGTTGATTTTGTGAACGAGGTTGTCAGATTACTGCATATTGTTGAGGATCGACGCTTACAACAAGTCTTTTTTCGAGTAACTGCTCGAGAGACCTCGCATATCATTCACACGAATGTTAATATTTTACACAGAGGGACAAAACTATTATGTCTGATTGTCATATTTCTGCATCATGTTGCAAGCCTAAACTATATTTTATTTACGAAACACAAAATACTGATAGGAATACATGGACATTAAACCACCAAGCAATGACATCAAGTGTAATACTCGTATTTTAAATAACAAAGTAGATATGGAACTATAATTCAGACAGCATTACACACCATGACACGCAGCCGCAGATTGCAGTTGCAAACTTGCACGTAAGTACGCAGGACGGAAGGGCCATAGATGTTACCGAATAAACTTTTTTCGGGCCCGTATTGTTTTATGATCGACACCAACAGTGAGTGATAATGACAAATTGGAAATGCTGCGGCTTAATGGACAAGATATGTGTGAAAACAACCAGCAATGGACTTCGCGTATATGTCGGAAGCCATGTAACATCTAAACTGCTTTGATTACGGCACAGCCGCAATAGAATAAGTACAACCGCACTAATTAGCCACAACGTTCTGCGCGTAATATCTGTGCCACTATACGCTGGGCGACACCATCAAAATTAATTGGATGGTATAGCGACATGTAATACGGTATGTTGCAGTGAATTACTGTCAGTGGCTAATAATTTCACCTCAAATATAGCAAATTTGTCTATTTTACTGTTGGCAATGTGCGGCTGCTATAGGTGTACTGTGTACATCCTGCAAGAGTTCGAGTTCGATTGGCTGCCCAGCTGACACACCTGCTAATATGGTCTTCTAGGCGGTCAGTATAAATGTCTTCATTCGGTTTTTGTTATGATCACTTGCAGTCGGCTGCTGTAACATCCCAATTACGCTGCGGTTGCAGAAAGGTTTCGACAGTTGCCGTATTCAGCGAACGGAAGGGGTTTTCTTAGCCCAAACTGTCCTAACCGTATGCGATCGCAGTATAAGCCCTTGCCCATATCCATCCGTTTTGGGGAATAACGCGTCCGGTTGTCTTTCCACCTGGCAGCGGATAAGCACATGTAGCATTCAGCCGGCATTCTGGACAACTTTGACCAAAGGTCAAATCATGTACCATCATTCATTCTTCCTTGCTCTTCTTGTGGAATCTGAAGTTACGCCATACCTATTTATTCTCACCAGCGTATTTTTCGTGCTGCGGCGCTTTTTGAAATTTCAGCCGGTTAGCAAGGAGACCACTCAACGCTTACCTGGACCTCGCGGTCTACCATGTGTTGGGTCAGCACTGTCTTTAGCACGCTACCAGAGCAGTCTGCATCTAAAGTTCGCTTCGATGGCAAAAAAATATGGAAACATGTTTAGAATGTCGCTAGGGTCAGCAGAAGTTGTAGTCCTGAGTGATGCGGATCTGATACGAGATGCTTTTCGGATGGAACAATTTTCGGCTCGGCCGGACATGCTGTTTGTAAAGGAAATTGTCAGTGGAAACGGTAAGTCGACATTCGATTCTACTCGTTTCCAGTACAACAATTTTGTAATATTGCAAATTATTGCAATCTTAAGTAATGTTGCGGGGCAGCAGATCCAGATGCTATAATTTTCCATAAGACTGCATTTCAAATTCAGCATTACCGTTAATTTGCTTTATACCTTTGACAAAATTCATGGTATACGGTTATCAAGATCGGGTATTATGATATGACAATCATAGCAGCGCGAATTACCATATTAATACATTGTAGGACGTAACTAAATAAATACATACATTTGTTAAAATGATTTTACGTGAGCGGATTCGTATATTAACGCTTTCGTGAATTTCCTGATTACGTTAGACGAATCCATAAGCAGGCAAATCAAGGCGTATTACATGAGAACAATAAAACACACACGAAAAGGAAGAAACCATGTGAGCGTTACCGTAGCAGGCACTAAGGTCTTGTGCGTGATGGTTCCAAATATTACGAAAATCAGTGGTTATGAATTCAACGAACACAATGCCGGAATGTCATTAAACCTGGCAGCAAATTTATCGCTACCCGAGACTCTGGGAATTTCAGTTTATTATGCAAACACACCGCTAAAAGATAACCCAAGATTCCTTAACTAGAAAATGAATTGTTCTCGCCTAACAATTTAGTGATGTCGATACCATAAATATGTAACAGCTAACGTAGATAAGGTAAATATGAAATGTCAGATTGTGACATTAGCTTTTTTCCTTGCATTTCAAAGCTGACTATAAACAAACTAGATATAAAAAATCCATAAATCTGCGGCAATAATTAAATTAACGATAAGATTAAAATGGGAAATTATTCTTAGTAAAATGAGAGCATGATCTTCGCTTGAAATCGGTATTGGTTCATATTGTGAACGTACGATCAGTCTTGCCACATAATTGCTTGCGCCACTACGATTGAATGATTGGTGTAAGATGTTACGCTGCATTACGGCAATATTGCATAATTAGCGGCACATCGCCTGCACAGCTTTGTGAGCAATAAGAACTGATAATGGGGTTTACGATTAGTGCACACTTTAATACGAACCGAAAGGTTGTTCTTAATAGAAGAAGACTAATTAAATATCTAATCTCTCGAAATAATACATGTAGTATATAAATATCTTTCTCGTCAAGTTTTAATTGTATAAAGAAGTGAAAAAGACGAGCATGCTACTTACGTTACATGCGTTGTTTATAAATCACTGGAGATAATTTTGCAGCGCCCCATATAAAAGGCATTGCCCTATTAAACAGACCCATGGCGACCCTGAAAACCGTTGACCACCACACGTTCTAAATCTTGGTGACCAAAATAACATAAGAAAGGTTTGTTTTTTATTGTCCTAACAAAGCTGTACAAAATTGTGTCGATGACTACGGTGTGACTACAATTATATATAAGGGTAGCAGACTAAACATGCGTTGAGGTGCACTTTTTGTTTTCCGGCATCGTAGGAGATATCGTGTAGTGCTGACAGTCACGAAGCAAATTACGACCAACGTAATACACAAAATAAAAACAAATATTTCCTAAACGACAATGCTGGGTATCAGATGGATGCACAATTATAAGCTGCTATGTACTGCCAAGCTGGGGATAGATGCAATGTACCACGGGAAAGAAACAGATGTTCGAATATTTTGAGATGTTGTTTAAATTTCATACTGAAAGTATGAATATCATCATTGTATGTCACACAACCCGCTTGCATCTATATTAATTTCATTTAAGTTCAATTGTAAGATTGCACAATTCTGCGGGGAAAGCGTATCATGTACTCATAACATATTTTTAAAACAGATTTTTGTGCCTATACCCTGTAACATGTAGGTTGAACGTAACGATAGCAGCGTGAGGGCACAGTTATCCAAGCCATTGCATAACTGTATAAGCAAACCGCATTAATAACAGCGAAATGTGTGTTTTTGTACATTTCGAGACCGATTTCAAGGAATTATTTATTCACTGTTTATTTATCGGAACATCAAGACGCTGTGTATTACACACTCTTGTCTAGTAAATCTTGTGTTACACAGTATTAAACAAACACAGTTACGAATGTTCACTCTAGATTTTAAAGGATTAACCTTGGTTCCAAGGTTGATCAGCTGCATAAAACAATGGTGATAGCTTTGTATCTTTCAAAAATTTTGAACTTGAGCGGTGAAGTATTGTAAATGGTAAGCAAGGCCAAATCAAAATAATGCCGTAACTAAATATGCATAAGCTTGCATGCGTGGGTTTCTTAATACACAATATTGTGTGCGTCGTGCAGACGCATATTTAAAAGCCGGTCTGGATTAAATTTACCCTTTTTTGAGAAAACCGAAATTATTAATAGCTTGTAAATTACTATAAATACTGTTAATATTCAGCAAGGTGGGCAGAAGTACTTGTATCAAATTGCTACTCAGAGTTTATTTATTTTGTAGCAGTTTGCTATTAAGTACTTAGTCGTAAGTGTCTTGCATGGTTAAACGTAGCGGCAAAATGCATATTGGACTCGTGAATACTGTTCTTATGCTGTCTGAAAGTTAATAGACAGGATTATATCAGCTGTGTGACTTGAATCGAATCAGTTTTTATGGCGCCAATAAGAAGAAACAAAAAACCTCATTTTAGGAAATACGTATTGATCAGTACATTGTATATAATCGTAAAATCAATATTAAGTAATACCCTATAGATCTACTACCCGAGTAGCATCTGTATATGCAGCCATACAGTAATGCAGGTGGTACTTATTCTCAGTATGTATACTTCTAGGGGCGAACAGCGCTCACGAAAATACATTCAAATAAAAGAATTATCTATATATGTATGAACTATAAAAGTTATGTACGACAGTACGAGCATACTTCGTAAATCGCAGAGATAATGGACAGCGTCAGTCTCGTTCTCTAATGTATATTGTCTCCAGGCTTTATCCGAAACCAATGCACTTCCGTTAGCAGCTTTTTTAATGGGACTCCGTTCAGTAGCTATGCTGAAACATCTGGTTTCAGGTTTAATTCTGTCGGAAGGAGCCTTATGGAAAGAGCAGCGTCGCTTCGCCTTACAACAGCTGAGACATTTTGGAATGTACAGACTGGCGAAGCAGCAAGATCAGTTAACCGAAAAAATTACCAAAGAAATTCATCAGTTTATGCTTGTTCTGGAAGAGAAACAAGGGATTCCTCTAAATCTGGACAGTTATCTCAGCAGCGTTATGGGCAATATTATCTGCACCATTATCGCTAGCAAACGCTTTGAGTACAGCGATCCCACATTCTCAAAGTGTCTGAAGACTATGGAAGAAGGCTTTCGGCTGGTGCAGTTAGCCATGGGAATCAATTTCATCCCATTTCTCCGCTCCATACCGGTTATGAACAAGATCTATCTGAAGATCAAGCGCAACGATGTTGATACAAAGGCATTCTTTCGTTCGCTCATTTCCGAGCACGCCAAAACAATGGAGCCCGGCAAAACGCGCGATTTCGTCGATGCCTACTTGCACCACATTCAACGGCTGCAGAAAGAAGATCAAGATACAGCATCATATTTCAGTGGTACGTAACGGTCAAAATATCGTATGACTGTCTTTTCCAGTGTAGACATTCCTGAGCATTAACCTTTTTCACAGCAGGTGCACGCCGAGTCGGCTAATTAGTATGCAAGCATAACAACGCAAATGTATCATACCAGTACAACAGCGATGCGTAATCTGACATTTGCTTACAATTGACGCTTTATTGTTTCCCCAATTTTGACAGATGCTCAAATGATGCAATGTGTCATCGACTTGTTTTCCGCTGGAATGGAAACGACCAAGGTGTCCCTGCAGTGGGCATTCCTGTACATTTCCCTGAATTCTGACATACAGTCGCGGCTGCAGCAGGAACTGGACGCTGTGGTCGGCACGGAGCGTCGCCCGACCATGGATGATCTGCCTAACCTGCCTTATATGGAAGCCACCATCTGTGAAGTATTGCGAAAAAGTTCCGTTGCACCGCTAGGTAATAAGCCGCACGGGACTAATTAATATTCTCATAATGCAACGTGCGAATCCATACAGCGACGAGCCAGATGATGTAAACTGGGTCATTAACACCGGCACACTGTAACCCATGCATGCGTAGTGAAACATCAACTGTAATTTGACCAGGCTTTTGGATGGTCCTAATGCTAACTGTATATCGGCGTCGAAAATGTAAACCAAGTCTGTGGCTTGCATGGATACTACTCGACGTAGTAATATCTATATAATTCAGCACAGTAAATATTATTCCGCATCCTTTAGGAAGTCCACATGCCGCAAGCGAGGATACAATTTTCAAAGGTTACCTCATTCCAAAAGGGACAACAATTTTTCCAAATTTCTGGGCAGTTCACAATGATGAAAAGTGAGTTTTAATCACAGAAATAAAAGGTTGTCATTACAAAAAGTATGGTCATTGGCTCAATTAAACGGGAAAATGGTGGAAACAGTACATCCAGTACGTAAGCCTTGCGTTTGCGCTGATTGAATAATATGTACGATGCAGCGCAAGACTATTTCTAATAATACACTCAAAGTTAATTTAATATTATGAAATCATGTCTGTTGTTTGTATAGGCTTTGGAAGGATCCCAAACGATTTGACCCTGAAAGATTTTTAGTTAAAGGGCAGGTCGAAAAACCACCCTTTTTCATGCCCTTCTCTTCAGGTATTAAATTGGCACAACAGAATTTTGTTTCACACAGGATAGATGCAACTAGATCTATCTATATGAAGTATCAAAGATCTGTATGTATCAAAGTGAACTGCAAAATGTATAGTATCAGTGCTGAGTACGGACATATCTAGAGTTTGGATTTTAATCGCAATTGTATCCTAAAACATAGTGGACTAATTTATATTCGCTCATTTTAACTGAGTATTCCCTTTCCAGGACGCAGGGTGTGTTTGGGAGAACAACTGGCCAAAGCGGAAATATTTTTGGTATTCTCTACCGTCTTGCAGCGATTTAGTCTCAGCATACCTGCCTGCGATAAAACTCCCGATTGCGAAGGAGTTTTGGGTATGACCTTAACACCAAAGCCTTACCGCCTACTGGTTACGAAACGCCCGTCCGCGTCGGCACTCCTCAAACCGGCGTAATTGTTCAAATATTCCTAGAAAAAAATGTGATGCTTACTCAAATGCTGAAACCAAAAAGCGACTGCCGTTTCCGTTAGATGTCATTTAATATAAATCGCCAACTAATCCCACTGCGAATTATGATCTTAATAATAATTATTATTGTTAGTTGAAGGCTTGAAGCTCAAGTGCGGCTGATGTTCAGTGGTCTCATGTTCCTTGCATCTGTACATACTTCAGTTTTCTCTAAATTTGCTGCGTTTGTTTCATTTTCTTTAAATACTTGAATCGTAATAGATTAAACTTTAAAGCATTCAGACTGATGCAACGTAAGTATCGCTGCTATCGCACATGGGCAGGCGTTTAAAATCCTGCATTTGCGCGTGTATCTCTGTATAAAAAAAACGCGACCTTGCGAAGTTCATAGCAAAACAGGATTTGCCATATTTTACCAATCGCATGAAGGGAATCGATTGTTAACGAGAATCGCAGGTGGAGCCACATAGGAGTGCTAACTGGTAACAAGGAAACAAAACAAGTTGACAAAAAAATACATACATTTTCGCAAGTACTATTCCGTAAAATTTTGTTTGCCGTTCGTGAGGTACGAATTTGGTTTTGTCGCTTATTGTTAGAGGCGCGATACCGTACAGCCGGTATAGGGGACGTCAAGTCCATGAGAGTGGCCTAAACCCTCCACGCCACTGCGATACAAGAACGCATCACTGCGTTATTGCATCGGTATAATGTCATTTTAATAAGTGCGGCTTCCAGATCCAACAAGTACGCGGGATTATTTTTGTTTTTCTAGTTTTAAGGAAATGAAAATAAGTACAGATTAACCTTATTTAGGTATTAGTTTTCGAAAACGAAAACTAAACGAATCAGCTGTAAGCAGCTTTTAAATACCATGCTCCTAAGTCGATACTGTGCATTATTTTAGTCATCTTTAGCACTGCTGATGCGATTTTGATGCGATTCATACCGCTGTAAAGTATAGAAGTATCCGAAATCCGCCAAAATGGCTGCGGAAGCCACTAGGAACCTTCAGTACGAGTACAAAGCGGTAAGTGAATGTTTAAGTTGAAGCGGCTCATGATTGACAAGCTTCCTTTACCATTATGGAACGATGGGACCCATGAACACGGTTGGTATCTGTCGTAGAACTCCAATTTGGTTCTTCAAGCTGATCGTACTCTTATTGATCGTCGTCCCAAAGATGAACCCACGGGTGAAGTCTTATCTCTTGTTGGTAAATTGGAGGGCAGTATTATGGGAGATCGTGCGGAACGCAACCGTCCCCAGCATCTTTCTGAACGAAAAGTCAAGTAAGTTCAGCGACCTCGAATAATAATAATGCAGTTTTCTGAGTTCTTCGTCAAACTGAACCCTGCTGAATCGAAAAGGCGTTGTTACTTACAAATTTGCGATGATCTGTAAATTTACTGTAGGCGGTTAAAGCGTGATGAGGACCAACGGGATTTCGGTATTCGTAAGGGCGCTTCAATTCTCTCTGCATATTCGGAAGCAACAACGGGCGCAAACTATCGACCCAGGACACTGGAAACACGCCAGACGTACGAAGTGATGCTTCAGTTTATTCAGAGTGCACTGGGTGATCAGGTATGCTCGAACATCTGAGATTTGCCGGCCATTTTTTACAGTTTTTGATTTTTGTACTTTTTTAAGACCATGAACCCTTTTATGTGTGAAAGAGCTTACAAAACAATTTGCGCAGAAATGCTCAGATGAACACAGCCTTTTTTTCTCGCAATTTTCCTGCGCTTTATTTCATCGCTGCTGAATTTAATTATTATTTATAGCCCCGTGATATCCTGTGCGGAGCCGCAGATGAAATTCTGGACACACTGAAAAATGATAAACTAAAAGACAGAGAGAGAAAGAGGGATGTTGAATCGTTAATCGGCCCGTTACCGGAAGAGCGTTTTGCGGTGCTTGTCAATTTGGGCAAGAAAATAACCGACTACGGTGGACCCACGGAGGCCCATGCTGCCCTCATGGATGAGAGTGTGGATGATACAACGGCGGTTAATGTACAGATCGAAGAGTCGGAAGACGAAGATGATGAGGATATCCATGGTGAAATCAAGGAGGATGAAGATGCTGATGAAACGGAAGGGCAGGAAGCGTTTGTGGAATCTACATTGAAAGCTAACGTAAATTATCTTATTCGAATTCGCTGTCGGACGCTTATGAAACAAGCTTTTTCTGATCATTATTTTTTTGCAGCTGGCCCGATCAGAAACAGATACGTTTGCGCGGTTAAACGAGAAGAAGGAGCTCCGTCCCTTGGATATCGATGCCCATTGGCTTCAGCGAGAAATTAGCAAGTCATTCAGCAATTTGAACAAGTATCATGATCCGCTTGTGTCGCAAAATAAAGCCGCGGAAATTCAAAAAATTTTGGACTCAGCTGTGGATGATCGGGATGTGGAGAATCGTCTGGTCATTCTGCTCGGCACCGAGCATTTCGACATTATCAGAACTCTACGAAAACATAGGCAAATGAGTAAGTCACTGAATTTATGAATCCGGTACTGAAATTGCAGTCTAATCACTCAGGTTTATAAACTTACAGTTCTGTGGTGCACGAAGCTACAGTCCGCACAAAGTGATGAAGAAAAAAGCTTAATCAAAGATAGAATGAGGGCCGAACCAGAACTGAACGAGATCTTGCGAGCCCTAGAAAATCCAGACAAGATTGATTTGGTACAAAGAGAGCAACAGCGTCAACGGGAAGTGCGGAAGGCCCGAGTGGCCGAATTGGATATGGAAGTAGATCAGGAGACTGCGGATTCTGGGGGTCAGGTAGCCGGGATGCGCAAAATGCTGGACCTGAACGATCTCACCTTCCAGCAGGGGAGTCATTTTATGGCCAACCGGTCGTGCGATCTTCCTTTAAACACTACACGAACAACGCATAAAGGTAAGGAGATATTTAACCTTCGCCCACCGAATCTAAGCGAAAACAGATTCGCTGGGCTTGTTGTAACAAATATGACCATAACGATGTTAAAACCAATGGGTTTTTATTGGGGTTATTCTGGTGAACATAGGTTAAACACTAAATTACGCGTTACATCGTTTCAGCACATAATACACTAGAAGTAAAGAAGTAGTTGCTCTGTATGTTTTGAATGTCCTGCAAAAGTATTACTATGATAAAAATAAGTGGGTTTGATTTAATTAGGTTATGAAGAATGGCATGTGGCTGCAAAGAAGCCCAAACCCTTTGGAGAAAATGAGGTGAGTGGAACTCACGAACCAACGTTATGTGAATCTGCATTACATCTAGACATCCTTTCTGCAGAAACTTGTGGATATCAGCTCGCTACCAGTTCATGCGCGTGCAGCTTTTGAAGGATTCACACAACTTAATCGAATTCAAAGCCGTTTGAAAGACTACGCGCTGCACCAGGATGAAAACTTACTAGTTTGTGCTCCTACGGTAAGTCCGGCGATTCTATGCTACAGTGTCTAGCGCAGAAACCTTTCGCTTACCTCGTGCTATGGGTGTATTTATTACTGGGTACGAATAGTTACGAAAGGAATACTGGTTTTACCGTGGATGTTCATTTCTGCTGAAAACTTTTTCAGTCGAAATATAACTGCTGCGGTACAGTTTGTTGCTAATAATTTTAGGGCGCAGGAAAGACGAATGTGGCTTTGTTAACCATTCTGCGCGTAATGGAGAACCACATGAATTCAGATGGCACATTTAATGTAGACAAGTTCAAGTGCATCTATATTGCCCCGATGCGATCACTTGTGCAGGAGATGGTCGGCAGTTTCACCAAGGTAAGGATGGTGTACAAATTCGAAATCATTTGGGATCACATTACAATGTGCATAATAAATAATATTATTATGTTGGTGTGATGTTTTCCGTGTAGAGGTTGGAACCTTATAATATCAGGGTTGACGAATTAACTGGAGATCATCAGATGTCTCGCGAGCAAATTGAGGCTACCCAAATTATTGTCTGTACTCCCGAAAAATGGGATATTGTCACTAGACGCTCCGGAGAGCGATTGTATACGAGTCTGGTTCGCCTGATTATTTTTGTAAGTGATACGTGAAATTAATATTAGAGTACATTCTACATAGTAATATGTAGCATTCGTCTATGCATATGCATGTTTAACCATTCATCGTTGTATTGTACAATGTACAGTACGATTTTGGTATTATTTAGGATGAGGTACATCTGCTCCATGATGACCGTGGTCCGGTGTTGGAAGCTTTGGTAGCTCGCACATTGCGAACCATGGAATCATCTCAGGATCCGATAAGATTGGTCGGCTTATCGGCTACGCTACCGAATTATGAAGACGTGGCTGTGTTTTTACGAGTTAATCGCGACAAAGGCCTGTTTTTCTTTGATAACAGGTGAGCTGTAGTGACTAATTATAAGAATCGCAATTTTTCAGAGACTGAATGCCATTTTGATTCTTGATGGCGGTGGCCAGTTAACTGTCACGTTTGATTTGACCAATGCATATACTGTAAGTTATGTGTAATATTTGCTTTTTCTTTTAGTTTTCGACCGGTTCCTCTCGAGCAACAGTACATCGGTATCACCGAAAAGAAGGCCATTAAACGCTTTCAGATCATGAATGATATTGTGTACAACAAAGTAATGGAATACGCTGGAGTAAATCAGGTAAAGTGGTTCTTGAAAATTCGTTTAGTTAATAAAGATGCCTTAAAAGTCAGCGAATGTATCAAATTGAATGGTACATGTCGTTGGAATCTTGAGGCGAAATTGTCGAGAGAATTAGCTTCGAGATATTTTGATGAAACGTTGTTTATCTCCATTGTTCTCTGACAGGTGCTGATTTTTGTGCATTCCCGAAAAGAGACTGCAAAAACAGCAAAGGCCTTGCGAGATGCATGTTTGGAGAGGGATAGCATTTCGGCTTTCTTAAAAGAAGGATCAGCTACTACCGAGCTTTTAAAGCACGAAGCGGGTGAAACTAAGGTAAACTAATTTGAGCATTTATGTCGATAAACGATTGTTTTGGTGCCGGCAGTCTGATATCGAACGGTAAAAAATGAATACGAATGGTTTTTCGCGCACCTTGCTGGTGGAAATCAAATATCGGATCAGCAGAAGTATTGCTCAGTGCTTTCTTTTCTTGTAAAGTACGTGACTAGCGGATGTAATCGATTTTTATCAGGCTTTATGAGTCGTTCGTTTCGCGCAGGCGGAGACTGCTCTGTAATTGAAATGTTATTTCTTTCGTTGCAGAATTTAGATTTAAAAGATCTTTTGCCTTTTGGATTTGGCATTCACCATGCCGGTATGACGCGACCGGATCGTACCTTGGTGGAGGATTTGTTCGGGGATCGGCGAATTCAGGTCCTGGTCTCAACGGCTACGCTGGCTTGGGGTGTGAACTTGCCTGCTCACACGGTCATCATTAAGGGCACGCAGATCTACAGTCCGGAAAAGGGTCGGTGGACGGAATTGGGAGCACTGGACGTAATGCAGATGTTAGGTCGTGCTGGACGACCGCAGTATGACACGAAAGGTGAAGGCATTTTAATCACAAACCACTCGGAACTGCAGTTCTATCTCTCTTTGATGAACCAAAACCTGCCCATTGAAAGCCAGATGATTGGAAAACTGGCCGATTTGCTGAATGCTGAGATAGTGCTCGGAACTATTCAGACGGTGAAGGACGCTGTGGATTGGTTGGGATACACCTACCTTTACGTACGAATGCGACAGAATCCGGGATTGTATGGAATTTCAGTTGACTACAGGGAATTTGATGAAAAATTGGAACAGCGTCGGGCAGATTTGATTCACACTGCGGCTCTGCAGTTGGAAAAGAGTCAACTGATCAAGTACGATAAGAAGAGCGGGCATTTGCAGGTGACGGATTTGGGCAGGATTGCTTCGTATTTCTACTGTACCCATGAAACAATGGCTACTTACAATCAGCTACTGAGACCGACGTTGTCGGAGATTGAATTGTTCCGAATTTTTTCGCTATCGGGAGAGTTCAAGCACATGGCGATCCGTGACGAAGAGAAGCTTGAGCTTCAGAAACTGATGGAACAGGTGCCGATACCAATCAAAGAAGGGATTGATGAACCATCGGCGAAAGTTAACGTGTTGCTACAGGTGAAACAATTAACTGTTTGTTTGACTGGTATGTTTACTTACCTTATTTGAATGTTTGTAGGCGTACATCTCGAATTTGAAACTTGAAGGCTTTTCCCTTATGGCAGACATGGTTTATGTATCGCAGTCAGCCAACCGTTTAATCCGGGCCATTTTTGAAATTGTCCTGCATCGGGGCTGGGCTCAATTGGCGGAAAAAACTCTGTCCTTATGCAAGATGATTGATAGAAGAATGTGGCAGTCCTTATCACCATTACGCCAGTTCCCCAAGATTAATCAAATGTGGGTGAAGAAACTGGAAAAGAAAACGATTTCATGGGAGCGAATGTACGATCTGGATCCTCATGCGCTGGGCGAGTTGGTGGGGGCTAGTCAACAGAAAGTCGGTAAAGATTTGCACCGGGTTATTCATCAGTTCCCTAAGTTGGAACTTTCAGTGCAAATTCAGCCTATAACCCGTTCTACGTTGCGCGTGGAACTGACTATAACTCCGGATTTCCAGTGGAACAAAGATGTTCATGGGGAGTCACAAGGATTTTGGATATTCGTGGAAGACGTGGACTCAGAAATCATTCTACACAATGAGTTCTTTCTTCTGAAGGAAAAATTTGCTGAAGATGAGCATCTGATCAAGTTCTTTGTGCCCATGTTCGAGCCGGTTCCGCCTCAGTACTTTATCCGTGTCGTCTCAGATAAGTGGATCGCATCGGAAACTCAACTAGCGGTATCTTTTCGCCATTTAACGCTGCCAGAAAAAAATCCACCGCCCACGGAATTGTTGGATCTGCAGCCATTGCCCGTGCATGCACTGAGAAATCTTGCGTACGAGTCCTTGTACGACTTTCGGTATTTCAATCCGGTGCAGACGCAAGTTTTCAACTCGTTGTATACCACGGATGACAACACATTTATCGGTACGGTAACGATGGTTGTAGTTGTGGTACTAGTTTGCTGATTTTATTTTTTTTGCAGGGGCACCTACTGGAAGCGGTAAGACAATCTGTGCGGAGTTTGCCATCCTGCGTCTGTTTTCACAGGATCCTGACAACGCCAGGATCGTTTACGTCGCACCGCTTCAAGAAATCGCCGAGAATATCCACAAGGAGTGGGAAAAGAAATTCAGAGAGCTTGGAAAGCGAGTGTGTATACTGACGGGCGACACGTCAGCGGATCTGAAATTGTTGGGCAAAAACAACATCATTATTTCCAATCCGGAATATTGGGATATACTGTCTCGGCGGTGGAAGCAGAGAAAGCATGTTCAGAACATAAATTTGTTCATTGTAGACGAATTGCAGTTGATCGGTGGAGAGCAAGGCCCCGTACTGGAAGTAGTATGCTCCCGGATGCGCTATATGTCTTCGCAGTTGGGCCGAAATATCCGCATCGTCGCGTTGTCGCATTCACTTGCCAATGCCCGGGATGTGGCTCAGTGGCTCGGTTGTTCGCAGTCTAATACGTTTAACTTTCACCCCCAAACACGTCCCGTGCCGTTGGAGCTCCATATCCAAGGATTTAACATCAGCCACAATGCTACGCGGTTGGCAGCGATGAATAAGCCGGTTTTCAATGCAATTGTACGACATTGTCAGAATAAGCAGCCAGTTATTGTGTTCGTTCCCAACCGGAAGATGAGTCGGGTGCAAGCCATCGAGTTGGTGACAGCATCCAGAATTCTTCAGAAGACGAAGAGAAGTGGATTCCTCCATTGTACCGAAAAAGATCTCGAACAGTTTTTTGATCAACTGACTGATAAGGTGAGAACTAAGAATTACTGTACTTGGGTGTATTCAAAAAACCCTTTTCCAGTTGCATAACGGAAGTTAGAACGAACAATACGATACATTATTGATATGGCTAACGTTTTGACAGATTGTGCAAATTTTTACAGACTTTGTGCGATACGTTGTTGAGCGGAATTGGATACATTCATGAAGGGCTAGAGGAACGTGATCGCAAGATCGTTGAGACATTATTCTCGTCTAGTGCCATCCAAGTGTTGGTGGTGTCAAAAGAGCTCTGTTGGTCTTTGCCTGTGAGAGCGCATTTGGTTATTATCATGGATACGCAGTCGTATGATGGGAAAATTCATTCGTATGTGGATTATGCTGTAACTGATGTTATACAGTTAATTGGAGCATTTGCCAATCGTCCACAAGTTGACCAGAAATCCGTGTGTGTGCTGATGTGTCAGACGTCCAAAAAAGAGTTCTTTTTGAAATTCTTGATGAACCCTCTTCCTGTGGAATCCCACTTGGACCACTTCCTTCACGATCCATTCAACGCGGAAATTGTAACGAAGACCGTGGAGAATAAACAAGACGCTGTGGATTACCTGACTTGGACCTTAATGTACCGTCGGATGACCCAAAATCCCAATTATTATTCCTTGCAGAATGTGTCTCACCGGCATTTATCGGACCATTTGTCGGAAGTAGTGGAAAACACCCTGCAAGATCTGGAGAAGTGCAAATGCATATCGATTGAGAAGGAAATGGATTTGCATCCGTTGAATTTGGGCATGATTGCAGCGTACTACAACATCAACTATTCCACTATCGAATTATTTAGTCTGTCGCTGAACCAGAAAACCAAAGTGCGCGGTTTACTTGAAATTATTTCCTCAGCTAGTGAATTCAGTCGTATCCCTGTACGTCAACGGGAAGACAGGTCTTTGAAACTGATCAAGGAAAAGATCCCGTATGGCCCACAATCGAACAAACTGACTGAGCCCCATACCAAAGCGAATTTGCTCCTGCAAGCCCATTTGTCGCGCATCCAAGTTCCACCGGAGATGCAGACCGATCTCAACCAGATTATTTTGGCAAAAATTATGCGTTTAATTTATGCTTGCGTCGATGTCCTGTCATCCAATGGATGGGCGACTCCGGCCATTGCGGCAATGGAGCTCTCGCAGATGGTTACACAGGCACTGTGGAACAAAGATTCGAACTTGAAACAACTGCCGCATTTCACAGCTGAGGTGATCCAACGATGCCAAGCAAAAAAGATTGAGAGCATATTGGACGTGATGGATTTGGAGGATGAGGAACGGAACAGTCTTCTGCAGTTAACGCCAGCACAAATGGCGGATGTAGCCAAATTCTGCAATCGTTATCCCAACATAGATATGGTTCATAACCTAGCTGCTGACAAAGTTAAAATGTAAGTGAAGATAATTTGAGTGTTTTCCTGTAAAGCATACTTTTTGCATTGTACTTTGGCTATGAGTTGGTTTAAGAGTTTTCGTTAGTTAGATTCTTATTTGGTAGCAAATGTTATATTTCAGGGGGGAGAGTGTTGTGGTGGAAGTCGTTTTATCACGCGATGAGGAAGTTGTAGGACCGGTCATCGCGCCTCTTTTTCCACACGTAAGTTTTTTGAGAACTTGAATCTTGGAACAATAGTACAATTTTGAATTTGAAATTTCAGAAACGCGAAGAAGGCTGGTGGATGGTGTTGGCAGAAACGTCGTCTAATACTCTGCTCTCCATCAAGCGTGTAAACGTTACTTCGGCTGAAGTCAAGCTGAAATTGGATTTCTTAGCACCTGAACCAGCCGGGAAACACCACCTTTCTTTGTATTTAATGTCGGATTGTTATATGGGATGTGATCTGGAACATGAGCTAGCGTTGTCTGTGTCAAAATAATGCAGTGTCTTTGATTTGGCTTAGGGGATCATTCCTGTTGAGTTTAGTTTTAATCTGAATCTGCCGCAGTATCAGCTTCGTTGTTGGTGTTCTGATATTCAACTGTTAATTTTGTTTATATGATTTTGATGTGAGTTTATTGCGTTAATCTACGTGTTCACTGTCTTGCTTTACAAGAATACAACGGAGCACCATATTTGCATTTGTAGTGCTGCTGGAACCAGTGTGCTCGAATAATAAATAATGAATACTGGTCTTACATCGCGCTGCACTACTATAGTACAAGTACGGATACTTATCGTTAGTACATAGTATTATTACGTTTTACATAATTGCACAAGCTGTATTTCGGCATCGCGAGTAAATTAAAGGTCTAGTAGGATCACATATCCGCAACAATGTTGGGCGTTTTGATGGAACCTTTAGCGGCAGCGTATATCTGTACTGTATTACGTATTTTTTTATTAATAAGCGACCAAGACATACAAATCAGCAAACATACATGTATGTGTAAATAACACGGTTAAAACTTTTAATGTAACAACAGAAAGAGCTCATTAAACTTCTCTACTCCTTCCATTGTACCAATGACTGAAGCCGCGTTTCCCCGCTGTATTTCCAATGACAAGCGCTGCCTCAGAAATTCATGCGAGCGGATATCTCCCGTATGGTTGCGTAGCCGTTTACCAATTTCTTTGACAATTGCACTAGCCGATGGTCCCCACGGGCCCATTGTCTCAAATGCTAACGCTGCGAAAATGTACCGACCATTTAAGTACGAGTAAAATCTAGACTTTTTTTCTTCCGCCTGTGACGCAGCCGATCCAGCAGTTATCGAGGTGGACTTAATGTGGGAAGAAGCGACAGTATCGTTACATCCCATGCCAGGCACATTCCTCTTTGCCAAGCGAATGTGGTGCAGCCGTCTGGTCGTCGTTCACTCGTGTGTGAGGTGCCGCGTGGTTCCAGTTTAGAAGGAATGCCAGCAGAAACGACAGCTCGAGAAACGATGGCAATGAGACTACCATGTCGTGGATGTCGGCCGGCAGAAAAAGAGCAGGATAAGCCGTGACGTGCATAACGGTCAACTGGCTTGTGGCACTTCATACAATCATGCGGTTCACAGATAACCGCGCCAAGTCTGAGACCACCGGAAATTTTTAGGGTGTCGTCGTCAAGTAAGTTCCCTATATGCGCGGATGGCAAAGCATTGAGCCAAATACCTGCAACCGGAGTAGACTGTGCAAGGAGGTGTGCTCTGTTAATCTCATCGTCGCGATATACTTCCAAAAGAGTGTGCAGCGATGCATTGCAGAGCGGTAGGTCCCAAGACTTCTGTATTTTCCGGAAACCTAATTCAGGAAGTTCTTGAAGGCGAGCATTCAGTTTCCACAAGTTCATAGCTTCTGTGGCATCCACAGGCGGCCGTTCCGGAAGCAGTAACGACACCAGGTCAGATACGGAGTGAAAATATCAGTACGAGGCAAGCGACAACTCTTTCCCATCGCTTTAGTAAATTTATCACTTTCCCTGCTGCATCTTACCCGTGTGCAGGCAGGCGCTCACGTGATACTGATATCGTATCCCTTGTAATCAGCGCTTACTGAGCCGGCGATAAAATCTCGCCTGCCGTGCTCTTCTCTATATTCTTTATCAGTTTGCACAATCACCTGTAGCTGCAAACCGACGTGAAACGGCTGAAATCAAGTAGCACGTGAGCGCCTGCACACGGGTAAGATGCAGCAAGGAAAGTGATAAAATTTACTAAAGCGATGGGAAAGAGTTGTCGCTTGCCTCGTATCAGATACGGAGTATATACCTATATTACGTATCAGTATCAAATATGTATGATGTGTATAGCGTATATAGATACCGGTATATCTATATGCATAATTTTGTTTCGACTTTAATATCAAAGAATTAGGTAACTGACGGAGCCCATGTTCCCACCATTTCATAACCGAAAGGCTGAACAAGACAGCGGTTTAATAGTCAGTAAAGTTCCGTACTTCGGTACCCGTACTCCTGTAGCTTCGAATGTAAAAGTACTATTCCCGCCGCACTTCGCGGCTTTTGCGGCGTGTGCGCTTCGAATGTCGGCGCCATTGTTAAGAACCAGCCGCTATTGCAACTGCAGAATCGATATCGGTTATCCGCTTCCAAGCAAAAGCTGAAATACCATCCCGTAGTTCCGTCGCTTCTCTCAAAATGGAGAATATTTCTGCCGTGCGCTCCGGATCCTAGTCCTCACTGTTGTGCACCGATGACCTTTCTCTAGAGTTATGAAATGCTAGCGATGGCAGCTGACAAAGGTCGTTTGTTTGCAAGTCACGATCCCTCACGTTAACACAGCGGTATTACTAGCACTGTGTTACTACTTACTAGTCACATACAAGACATGCACAGTTATGACATCGATATTTGTTCTCGGGACCGTGGGCGAAGCGGATAAACTAAATGAGATGTTGTAACTCTTTCTTGCATTACCTTGTTATGTTTCGATACGGCGGATACATTGTGCTTTGTGTTGGATTTGACCACTAAAGTTACGTCATCTCGTTTATGACATGAAGCGTCCTTACAATTAGCGTCCTTACAATTAGCTTTATTTAATCGTAACAACTAACAATAAATACGAGTTTCCTAACAATGTGACCGCACTGGCAGACTGGCACCCATGCTGATCCTATTTCGGTGCACCTAAAATCAACGTAAATGTAATGCAAGCGTAATTCAGAGATGGTGGTTTTACAGTAGTCTCCGAAAAAGACTACTGGCAGCGCTGGCAGTGAAACACCAGATTCCGATGAAAATGATTTAAAAATTCGTGCGCAGGAATCTACGCTGGCGGCATTCATCGGTGAATCATTACTCCAGTTTATGCAGTCTTTTGTGGTGCACAATTTTCCGTGAACATTAAGACGAAACGGAATGCCCGTTTCCGTCTTAAATTGAAACTCTTCCATCTGCACTTCACAATCAGTTAGGCCGACACATTGGTCATCGACGCAAGTAAAATGTGTTCATTTCCTGCTGATCGCTATATTTCTACTCTAGCCATTTGACTGGCTGCGCGAAAGGGTTAGGCCTTGTCCCGAATTCAAAGCGAATCTCGCTATGGTACGGTTGCTCAACCGCACGAGTTGGCTGTATGCAGTGGCCACGCCTACAGATACGGTACGCGAAGCCACCTCGCGAGGTGGAGTTGCTGTATCGCACCGAGATTCGCTTTGAATTCGGGACGAGGCCTTAGTTAGAGTTGGTTACTGCGATGTATGCCGCAATGACCCCAATTAAGACGACAGTTGATGCCCTTATAGTTTATATATAGGTAAATCCGGTGATCTGCAATTCATTATATACTGATTTTTGCAGTTAACTGCGCAACTGCCATACATCCACGGATCCACCCACGTTGCCACATTTGTGATTTTTTAATCACGAAGACCTTGTCAAACTGATTTAAATTACTCGATGTAATGGTAGTGCCTAAATTAAACAGGGAAGCTTAAGAACCCAGAAATTCACTTTAATTGTGTCGGGATCATGCATGGTATTAACTTGTGCCTGTAGATATTCTTATTTACATAATAGTTTTCGTAATAAAAATATTTTTGTATACAATAAATGCCACTAACAGAAAATTTAACGCCTCTGTATTGTTGCATATGTCACGGTATGTGTGACGCGATGCCATGCATCGACACATCTACGCCTCTGCACTTCCGCTTTCGTCACACAGTCTATTTTCTTTCAGCGTGCCTATTCCGTTTGAAGACCAATAAAATCGTTGTTATATTTTGCGTCACAGTGTGTAACTTACTCGTTAGATTCCGCAAAATAAATTATAAAACTACATACAGTAATTTGTTGATTGACAAGTTAAATCGTGGCACCGTTATAATGGAAGTCGATGACGCCTTGTCTTCAGACAGCGACGACATGCAGCGAGACGGCAGCGACGACGAATCCGAGGACGAAACTGAGGGACGCGATGAAGAGGAAGACGCGCGGGTCCTTCAGCAACTCTCGCAAGATGTTTGTTGTTACTGGCGAAATCGTTATTTTCGAACTTATTCTAGCCACCGCAGCGCGTTTTTATTGCCACTAAGATCACAACTGGTGTGTTTCGATAGGTGGAAAGTAATCCGTATGCATATGATTCGCATATAAAATTGATTCAGCATGCCAAAGTGTGCGGCGATCTGGAAGTTCTTCGTCAAGCTAGACAGCGTGCCAGTGAATTATTTCCCTTAACAGAAGGTGCGATTTTTTCCTCTGAGATTTCCCATAGTGGCGGTTTGATTTGGGATTTCTGTCTGGAAATTTTCTCGGGACGGTTTTTCCTTACGTTTCCTTTTTGATTTTTCAGAGTTGTGGAAGGCTTGGATTAAGGATGAAACAACACTAATTGACAACGAAAAGGTTGAGGAGCATGAAAAAATCAAAAAATTATATGAAAGAAGTCTCGAGGACTACTTGTGTAAGGGCGGCTTTGTCGCTGTGAATTTAAATCAGTAAACACTTTATAAAGCATAAATTAACTGACTTGCGGTTGTATCGTTACCGTTATTCTGCTGCCATTGGCTTGTTGCTTGTTTTGCAGCGGTCGATCTGTGGTTAGACTATGCCATGTTCTGCCTGCAAGATGTTTCTTCTAACGAAGCCTTGCAACCTGTCCGCGATGTGTTCGAGCGCGCTTTGACGGCGGCCGGCATCCACGTGACCAAGGGAAGTGTCTTGTGGAATAGTTACCTGGAAATCGAGAAAGGCTTCCTGAAGTCGCTCCTGTCGACCGGCGAACAGAACGAAGCGCGCCAGTTGGCCGCTAAGAAACAAATACAACGGGTGAAGGATTTATATAAGCGCCAATTCTCCGTGCCGTTGTTAGGTGGGAGAAAACTGCGGACAGTGCTGGTCCATATTAAGATCACTTGAAAATTTTTTGCAAATTAGAAATTACCATACTGGATTTTTTCATTTTTTTATGTGTTGTTTCGTTTTTTTATTGACTGGTAGCGCTCCTGCTGTTCTCATAGGAATGGACGCAGAATACGCAGAATTTTCGAGTTTTATTGGGGAAGATCCTGATAAAGAGACACAGTTCGCATACGAGAAGGCCAAGGCAAAACTGGAAGAAATCCTACCATTTGAAAAAGACCTGGTAAGTGGTCACTTCGAGGTTTTACGCGGTGCAGCTGCACTGACACTGTTATGATACTTTTTGCTGACCAGCGAAATATGAGCTTTTAATTGTAAGTTCTTTTTAAACCATCGATTTTGTGTTTATGCGGCACACTATATTATTGTTTTGATGTGGTAGGAAAATGCAGATGACAATTCCCAATATAAGGTTTTCATGTCTTATATCGACTATGAACTGTCGGCGAAGGAACCCATTAGGGTACTCAATCTCTATGAACGCGCCTTAACAGTGTACTGCTTATCAGCCGATCTCTGGATCCGATATTTGGAATTCCTGGTGGGCACATGTTTTTTTTCAAACTTTCAACACAGTTTACCTGACCTTTACAGTTGTAGCGAATTACTTGTAATTGTAGGACAAGCAGCTGAAGCAAGAGATTCTGTCCATTTCCGCGCATGAACGTTCCATCCGCAACCTTCCTTGGGTCTTTGAATTATGGCCGAGTTATATGCGGGCGTTGGAGCTGTATGGTCATGATCAACAAGACATTGGTGGTAAGTCCAGTATATTCTTTTTTGGAATATATATTATGTCTTAATTCTTAAATATCATTATCGACAGCGAGGTCAGACTATTTTTTGCGTTAACTTACATTTTCTCGAGAAGAAATTTGTAAAGGCGTCGGTAGGAGAAGTCAGAGCACCAAGCAGTAATGGTAGATTCTCTACGTATTATTTGTTTCGTTAACATTGATAAGGACTTACGGTGGACTGTTTTCTTAGCGTTATTTTCACGAGCCATTTCTACGGCATGTTCCTTGCCTACACATTTTGTGGAGCTGTGGATGTCTTTCTTGTGTTTTTTGAAGCGACGTCTTTCTATTAAAACTAGCGATCCGGCTTTGCTACAAGCGAAACTCGCGGAAGCTGCAGCCGATGTGAAAACTAAAGGTACAGTATTTGTCAGTCGTTCGTGGTGATTTTGGGGTTAAACTTTCAGGGGAATTGCTGCTTTTGCAGAGGTTGATGTGGAGGATCGTATATTGCGTTTTTGGGCATGGATAGAAGCCGAAACCTTTTGTGACGTGAACAAGGGCCGAGAAATTTGGGATCGGTTAATGAAAAATCATCAACGAGAAAGCTCGTACTGGCTGGAGTATTTCCATTTTGAAAGGTATAGCGAGAACTAGTATACTGCTATTCGTGCCTGCAGAAAAGTAAGAATAATTTCAGAAAATTTGGAAATCCAGAGTCCTGCAGGAAGTTGCTCAAAAAAGCTCTTCTACGCAATTTGGATGATGTAGATAAAGTGGCCGAAATGTGGATGCATCTTGAAGAAGAGACTGGTTCGCTGGACGATTGGATGGAAGCCTATCATCTTTGCAGATCCTCTTTAAAAAAACTGCATGAAAGATTGTCTAAAGTTAGGATTGTTAATTGAATTGCGGATGGGTTGGTAGTCAGTAACTATATATGTTCTTTTAATTGTAGAATGCATCTCACCTGAACGAGAACATTGTGTCACGTAAAAAAACTTTTCGCGAGAAAGACGAACCCAAAGGTGGGAAAAAACAGGGTGATCGACCTGTAAGAACAGAGAAACGAAAGGTACAGTACTAAAAAAATCCTGTTCGACATTATGATTTGTTACCAATAATTTGTATTTCGTGACTGATTGTTGTATTCATAGAAATCGGATGCGGTTAACGTGGATAAGCACATGGATTCCGATGGTTTTAAAATTCCGGAAATACCGGTATCACCCGTTCCAAAGAGGAGCAAATTAGCTGCAGGTACGTAACTACGTATTGAAACTGCTTAAGTTTAACACAGTAACGAAAAGGATATATTTTTTTAATTTTCTTTTTTAATGTTATCTTTTTTAATTTTGGCGCAGTATTCGTACCGTTTGAAAATTGTTTGGTTAATGATTAATATAGATGCTTGTGGGGTAAGTGACTGTCTAGGCTTTCCGGTAACATCAAAATACATATCGCTATGCGGTGGCTTTGCTCTGGGTAATCGATTGGAATATTTCGCTAAAATTGCTGCATACATCGCATTTTTCTTATTGCAGCTCCGTCGGGAGTAGAATCGCTTCCTTCTGGAATTTCAGTTTCTCCTGTTCTACCCGAAAGGGATAGAAAAGAGCGAACGATTTTTGTCAGCAATTTGAATTATCAGACATCGGAAGAAACGGTGTATAACTTTTTCCACTCGGTAACTGTGATTGACTAAACTAACTTACAATTGGGGTACATGGTAGTTTGATTTCACGACCTATAATACCATTAGGATTTTCTGACTTTTAGTTAGGTGAAATTAAGGACATTCGGCTGGCAAAAGACGTGCGCGGCCGTTCGCGTGGATTTGGTTTTGTGGAATTTTTCCGGCCTGATGTGGCTAAGGAGGCCCTGGAAATGGATCGTAAAGAAATGGACGGTAGACCCGTGTACATTTCCAAAGACAGCCAACGTGAGCAAAGAGAGACTCATTTTAAAGGATCCGAAGGACATGAAGAGAAGAAGCTGTTTATACGCGGACTGCACATGAAAGTCACGAAGGAGGATGTTGCAGCACTGTTCAAACAAGTACGGTCACTCTCCGCTGTGTGTAAAGTAAATGCCATGCATAAAGATATAATTATTGTTGTTGGATAGAAGTATCGTATTATTATACGGCGTTACGCATAAAGACTATTTTCATAATTATAGTATGATGGGTTGCAAGATGTGCGCATTGTGACCCATAAAAATGGAACATCCAAAGGAATCGCTTACGTTGAATTCAACTCACCGGTATGTCGTGAGAAACGAAGCGGAGATGAAGTTTACCGAAACCGTTTTTTTATCAGAATACTGCGCGTCGGGCATTGCAAGAAATGGACGGCAAAGAAATTTTCGGGAAACCGATGAATATAGCGATCAGTAATCCGCCAGCGAAACCAACGGGAGCTACCAAAAGTGTGAAACCGAGTGACGAGAGTTTCAGACAGATGTAACTGCTCGTAAATCTGTGTGAAATGTTTGCCGTTGTTAATGCATTCTTCATTCTGTTGTAGGCAGCGGAAGTCAAGATCTAATGTCAATTTACTGCCTCGTGCGGTGAGTCTAAAACCATCGACCAGCAGCGCACCAGAAACCAAACCTGAAGGAGACACTGCTAATGCTGCGGCTGCTAATGGCCAAAAATCAAACGCTGACTTTCGCGCTGCTTTGTTGAAACGATGACGAGCGTGTTCAGCTTTCGTTTTATTGATTGTGTTGTGTATGGAGTTCAACATTTGTTGTTGGCATGTATTTAAATGTCGTATAAAATTTGTGCGAATTAACAAGAACAAACCCGCAGACAGTCATGGGAAACGCTTTTACTAAAATCTGGCTCAACAGAGCAATTAATGTGCACAGATAATTTGAACTTGCAACACTGGGAAGGCAAACTATCACCGCCGTTCCTGACTGCTACCAAAAACATCACAGATCAAACAAAATAGCCACATTCAATCAAAAATATGGACACGTCTTCCACTCTTTCATGTACTGTAGTTCGAACTGCAGTGCACCCTCGAATCAGTAAGAGCACCTTAAAAAACTCATTTCTTTGGCATGCATGTGACTCGATTTCCGCGGGTTCAGTTCGCTGATCATGGCTATTTCCGAACTCGAATGTCAAACGGTTCGGAATAACCTATTCCGCACTTGTGCTCGGAACTAAAATAAATAAGAACAAACCGGCCCGGTCTGGTGAGATAGCGTCCATTTATCACTCCCCTGTTTTCTGTTCCGCCGCCGGGTGACCAGACATATGTCAGGTAATCGTTGAATGAGTGGTGGTTCACCTATGAAATAGGAAAGACAATTTAATAATATCCAAATGCGCTTTTAGGACACTATCTATTGGAACCTAATTACTCGTATTAATAAGCCTTCTTCAGCAATTTTGACTAAATCTCGACTCACTTTGTACAAACCGATCCAATCCCAAGATGAATAATGAGTCCCGGACCGAGCAGCGTAGCGGAAATGTCCGTTTTCCCCAACATACCACCTAAGAAAGAAAACATGTTGCTCCACTGGTCCAGCGAAAATACTGTTAAACAGTTAAACAACATACGCATCAATGGGGTCGAACGTCACGAACTGTTCCACACCCTCGCCAAGCTGTAAATATCAGGTTAAAAATTATCACACATACGCGAGAGTAACGGAAAAAGTGACATGTACAGCAGAAATGATATGAAAAAATGATATGTCTATGTACGCAGTTATCGCAAAGAGCGCAAACTACATTTTACAATGGATATCAAAACTTACGAAAATCTGTAGAGTCAGGGTAACTGGTTTATGGTCAGAAATCTTGTGTTCCATATGACTGGTATATTCCAATGGTTGCACTTTCACAGAGTCGTTCAGACTGCGCCACAAAACACGATCACAATAAGAAGGTCGTCGAATTTTGGCAGGATTCCTACAACATCGGAAAGCTTTTTGTTAAAGTTCGCTGAATCAATCTCGCAGTTAAAATAAAAGAATCAAGTAAATGGCACCTCATATCGTAAATATTCCGCCGGCCTTCCACAAATTTATACGTGGGGGGAAACCGAATTTTGGCCTCTTTAAAGGTGCTAAACGCTCCCTCCACAAAGGCTGCCCGTCGTAGTTGATCATGTTTAAGCAGCTTCGGAAAGTTCTCGGTCCTCACGTAATACAATGTTTTATCCTGCGTTATTCCTTCAATTCGGAAATTGAAATCGCCCATCCAAATCACAAAACTAAAGAATTTTCGGTATAAATGTAACCGTGCAGTACTAAAGAGTTGTTTAATACTGCCATGATATGACCTGTGCGTTGATTAGCCAAAACCCCTGAACAGTAAACCGGTGTTTTACTGTTTTCGCTAATCTTGAAATACGGTATTGATCTGAATTTAATTGTAATAAACTTATTTAATTAGATTAACCTTCAAATGCAAGGGCAACTCACTCGTGTTCCAGAATTGTCGATACGTTATGCCGTCGAGGAAAAAGTAAATCGGATAAAATATTTCGATAGTTCTGCAAAAGAATTGATATACCCAATAACAATTTTTCAACCTCGTTTTCTTGATGGGTTTCAAAAATAATGTGCACACAAAAAAGAAGACAAGCACGAATACCTACCCGAACACGATCGTCAAAGGCGTGGTCATGGGGAGATAAATGCGAATTTATCACGCAGATGCTTTTACCGTATGCATCGAAGCTAATCCCGACGGCCCCTTTGTTACCCTGGAAAAAAAACAAGGAACACAAATTTTGTAAACGTAAACCAATTCCTGAACTGCGTTTGCACGCACCCACCAACCAGACGCTCCAAGCCGAAGATAAGCCGTTTCCAGAGAACGGATATGCCGTAAATGATCAGATTTGCAGAAGACGAGAAGAAGGATTCCCTGCAAGCGGATACTCTGCAGCATCATGTAGTTGCGCACCGCCAGACGCCGTTTCAGTGTGGCCTGCCATATTTCCGACATGACAACAAAGTTCATGACAGGCGCCATGGGATTAGCACTTAATTCCTGGAATCTACAGCAGCAAATTTCAAATTTTTTCGGTCAAACAAGTCCGAGCAAACAAACGGGAAATTTACCCGATGAAAATAAGATCGCTTTCCAGTGGTGCTGGTTCAGCATCATCATGCATCTCGTTCTTCATATCGTCATCGTCTTCCAGCTCGGAAATCAGCGAAGCTGAGTCTGACTCGTCTTTCATGCCAATTAATCCCAACAACTCTGTCATATCCTCCTTAGGATGATGTCCAGCTATATTCCAAGTAATGGCACGGATTCTTCAGAAAATAAAAAAAGGCTATTGATTATCTTCAGATTCATTTACTGGGCCTGGCACTACTGCAGAATGAATTTAAAAAATAACTTTTAAAAATTAAATTTAAATTTCAAAATAGTGAAAATTTTTCTCAAAATTAAAAGCGCGATACTTGTAAACAGAACTGAAAACTTTTCAGAACAACAAAAAGTGAAAATCCAATAACTAGACACGTTATTTTCGAAAATAATATGCTGCCGAGCAGCTGAATTTTTTCGAAACTCTGCAGAAGCTCACTTTTGAAAGCAAAACGCAGTTATACGCACATGAAACATACAATTAAAAAATGTAAAGCACTGAAACCCAGGCAATACTAAATTTCGACAAAATCCTTATCGCCAAAAGCTCACTTCAACATCGGCTTATCGGAATCCAAAACGTCTCCAGTTGAATCAAATTCCAGTGCAGGGATGTCGGGAAAGGCTTTGGAAAAGGATTTCCTTCGATACTTTTGGCGTTTGAGCTCTGCTTCCTCTTCTTCCTCATCATCCTGCTCATCATTCTCGCAAAATTTACCATTTCCGGGATTTTTTAAAGGTGCTTCGTGCACACGATTGGCGGCATCGACCAGCTTCACATCGTCGGCAAGCGCGGTATCATGCATGACGGCCCGATCGACGTCCGACGACTGCATGTGGTGATAGTATGCACAGTCCGGATCACTGGGATGATAACGCGATGCGTCGTTGCGGTCGCTATTCGGGAAGGACATGATCAAGATCAAAACATGGAAGATAAGCTTCAAGGGATCTATGGCTGCAGACAGGAAAGCGGAAAACTACAATTGCGATAGACACCAGTAGCAATTACTTATTTGACACTCAGACAGACCCATGAAAATCCTGCTGTACAAGAGGGATGAGGATACGGAGTCGATGTCGAAGACGGGTCGAAAAAGGAATGCGAGGAATCAACCTGATTAGCATAACGTGTCTTGCCGTGTACAGCCTCGACTTCACACTCCCTAAATTCATCCAGACATCCCGACTCCGTTCCCATCTACTGCAATAATCTCCAGACAACCAGCTGATGTCAGTCTGTTTATAATGTTTAACCACTGCTCGTTAAGTCAGAGCGAAAACCTTAGCTGCAACTTTGGAGGCAGAAGGTAATAACCATCGGCAAAACAGCTGAAGTATGATTTTTACTATGGTAAATAAATAAATTTCGATTAACAACGAAAACTCGCCACAGTACAATACAGCGCACTTCACAACCACTGTCAGCGGGAACGTTGAAAAGTACAATAATAGGTACAAACATTAAAGATTTGCCGAGCGGAAAATACCGTTACAAGCAACCGCACGTGGGTTCTGCATACTTTAATGCAGCTACTGTATTACTTGTACAGCCTGTCTTGTACTGTATAATTATATATGTAATTTAATATTATTTTTAAATGCATACCTTTAATAAGTATCGAAGTAAAAGTACAAACTAAAGTACCAGAACCGATGAAGGATGGCGAAAATCAATGAGACCAAACCATTACAGCTCCTTGGGGGCAAATGCCCACTCACGCACCCCGATGTTAGGGGGCCAGTTATCGGGGGTGAACATTTTTCGGTTTCACTAGCGTAAGAACCAACACGTGCGAACAGACTATTGTTACGGCCGTTTTTAGCAGAATAAATTGAAACAAATCTCACAGAGATTCCAATAGATTCGATAATTTAATATTATTGTTTATAAAACAGACATATTTTTAGGCAGCCAAATTCGTTACAAGCAAGTTCCGACATTTGTAAAATCTTACATGCCGCAAACCATGTAATCCTTTCAAGTAGCAAGCAACTGGAAATTTAAGTAATGCAAAATTCATTACAAAACCAGCCTAAATACGGTACGCGCGATTTGGGAGTTCAACTCGGGCGGCAAACGAAATAAACTTACTTATATGTTGTGAGTAACTTGTGACCGATAAAAGGTTGTTTTTCCTACTCACGACAAAATGATGTTGGTATTGAGCTGCCAGTTGGAATAGTTTGGATTTTAGAAACTCTATGTGGAGGTATCATATAAGTTTGGCAAAATAAGGCGTACCCTAACTGGGAATAACACGATCAAACAACATCTGAAATTATATCAATGACCACCGGTAGACGGCTGGACGCCTTTCCTGCATGCAATAATCGCATCATTCACAATGTTAGACAGTCTAAACTTTAAAAGTGGTCTGACTGATTAAACTGATGGTATTTAAACTGATTTGCTTCTTACAATAAGGAAAATATTCAGAGCACCGGTAATTTTTTACGCTTATGAGACCTTTAATCCACTCTCGTTTCAAGCAATCACATGCGTGCAGCCACAAAAAAGAATAAAAGCAATAAAAAATTGATCTTAAACAGGTAAGTACTAAGTACTGGATTCAGCCAATCTTAATCAATAACTGGTACTTACTGTACAATTTTGTTTATGATCTAACTTTTCTGCGGCACAGAAGTAAGCACTACTGTAGAAGCACATTTACTATGAGGAACTTTTATGAGATTATGATACATCGTCCATGGTTCATCCACTCGGATATAAGAAAAACAAATGGTCTGTAAGATAAAAATACTCTGAGTAAGCATCTTTCTACCTGGTTTATATTGTATGACGAGGTTGGTTTCTAACCTGTGCCTTATGGTGAACCTCGACCTTATGAACTACCGGATCAGGAACAGAAATAGAGCCCCGACACTGAACTCCACTCCCATATTATAAATTATCACAGGGATTGCATCACTGGATGAGTCGATCAAAAAGAGCAATCTAAAAAAACTCACACTTAAAACTAAAGAGTACCTACTGTAGTACGACACAGATGGTAATTTTCACCTTGAAGGATCAGGTGTTTGATATGATGTCGAATAAATTTTGCCATGAACTACAGCGTGGACATTTTTTCCCACGTGAAGCTGTCGGATGGGAGTGACTTTGTGTGACTGGTATCCCTCATCAATCAACAAACTGCTGAGATTTTTGACCGGAACGGAATCTGCCAATTGTTTCACCCGTCTTCGGAAACTCTGCAAACAGCGAAACTTAAAAACCGAAAACACTACAATGAATCCTTTACACAAAACGGAAGCGTCATTACAAAATATACAGTACCCTGTCTTTTCCAGATATCAGTTCACTAATAAAGAACAGATACTTCAGCAAATCATTCATTTTGCTTTTAGGATCGTTCCAAGTCGGGTCCAGCACGGAAGCCTTTTCCCACATCGACAAAGCTTCCTGATAGTTCCCATTAAGCAGATTCGCTGTGCCGTAATTGTAATGAAACTCGGCTTGACCGAAAAGCAAAGGAGAGGCAGACTACATCCAGAAAAATAAGTACTTTGTTAAGCAACCCACGAGTGCTCCAGTGCACATGCTTCATGCTTGTGATTTACCTAACCGGTAAGTAGAATAAAATTATACTGTTAATACTTACCGCTTTATTAAAAGCATTTAGCGATTCACAGACAAGGCGCGGTTGAGATTTAATGTTGAAAAACACCAGCAATGCGTTTCCTAAATTGTCTGCAATCAGAATCAGTGATTCAGCATAATTAAGCCACGTCAGATAATCATTTGCTAACTGATAATATATATATACATAAATGTATTGTAAACGATCACGCTTTTGCGTGCGAATGCAGCTGCCAGTCAACAAATTCAGAGATTATCAAAACAGACCGAATTAAAGACTTACACCAGGTCTCCCCATTTTCTGGTGCTCTAGTGACAGCTTCTTTGGCCAACTTAAGCATTCTCAACAGCATTTCACATTTTGCCGTATGATTCTTTTCGTAATTAAGTAGAAGACGCATTGCACAGGATATTTTCAACACCGCAACGACATCACTACGATCCTGCAAAAATGAGTGTTAAACAAAGGGAAAAATTATCAAATAAACCAAGTCTGAGGTTGTCTTAAAACAAAAATAACAACTGAAATATTACAAGCATAGCCGCTTTCTCGAAACATGTCACCGCGGAGAAATAATCACTGCGTTCCCAGAAAAGCTCTCCTAAGGCAATCCACAATGGCGGAAAATGTGCAAGATGTTTGGCCGACTTTTTAAGTTCACCAAACGCTTCGTCAGACCGCTGTCCGTCGACACACAAGCATAGGCTGCGATAAGCATAAAACCAGGAACGATTTCGTGGCTTAAAAATGTCTGCAAAAATCAGTTCAGATATATCTGTGAAACTTAAGGAAGTTTGTACACGCGTTCATGGCAAACCTTTCAAGTGTGAGATTCTTTCTAGGGTCGTGTTCAAAATTTTAGCGATGTCCTGATTCCGCGAAGCAGCTCTTTCAATGGGGAAATAATCGAAGTAATAATCCTTGAATCGAATTAAACGAGTATAGGAATCCTGCAAACTGCCAAATGTTTGGTTCGGCCGTTTGCTACTGGAGGTAATTATTAGTAAGAACGATTATCATAAATTTTAATTTTAATATTTACACAACTGCCAAACGACTCAAATGCACCAGTGAATTAATAACACTATTCTGAAAGGGCAAAAACCAAACGCTGAAACAGCGGTTATATAGTACAAAATTGATCACCAATTAGAACCAAAAACTAGGATAGTGTGGGTACTTATTTATACAAGTACTCGTAACTTACCTGTAAAGTGCGCAAAGCGTTGCTCTCCTGAATGGATGGCTTCCACAAACCGTTCTTAACGGATGAGCAGATATTTTCACGTTCCAGACTCAGTGGCGGAGGAACTGTTTTCTTCTTCTTCTTACGTGTACGACTCGTTATTAGGTATTTCGGCTGGGAAGCAGGAGATCCTGGTCTGCAGTCCCCCGAGAGAGAACCAGATTCCGTTGGTATAGGGCTCGAATTAAAGCAGCGATACACCCTTCCACGAAGGTTGTCATCGGATTTACTCGTGCCTCGGTTCAGATTAGTGCAATTAGTTTGCACAAACTGCTCCAAATCATCTAAATCGTCATCGAAATCCATGTTTACAAAATTTTCCGAGATAATTAGGGATTACCGAGGAAATAGCAGCATGGCAAGGAAGGTGAAGGAACGGAAAACAGAACTTCTTACTGTTATCGTAACTATCGTTGTCTGTTGATGCTAACTGCGGCAGTGACGCAATCGGACCGGTCGCGTTTTGAATGGCTGTCACGTATGAAAGCTGCGCTTGATTTCAGCTTTCTTAAGCGAATTTTATATTTTGCGATTTCATTTCTCATTGTTTTTATCATTTTTATGATTCCGATTTTATTATTTATGTTATCCTAATTTGCGGGTTTAACCGTTATCCAGGGATTTTTTATTCGGGAAAAAACCAATGTATTATGTACTATCAGCTGGACCTTGCAATTACAATTATATGAGTTTAATCTGGGTTTTGTCTTTTGACTGATCTGGATTTGCTGATGATTTTGAGAAATCTTTGCGTGTCTGTGACTTCTTTTTTGTATTATTCGCGAAGCTCGCATTCGTAATTGCAATGGGTTCCACAAGTAAATTAAAAACCAAGTAAGTGAGCCTTTTCTATGTCGAATTCCGAATGACGGGTATGTAAGGATGGAGAATGCAAATGTTGTCACTTTCAGTTTCGCGGTTTGCAAAAAATTCGACCCTTTTTATGTGGCTGGGAAAATAGAGGTAGGCATTCCCAATATCTCTCCACATTGGCCTTGTGGTTTAAATGTTGCTAAATGGGTTCAGATTTCTTCCGACGGAAAAATATTTTCTTCTGCCGGAAATGCACTCAAAGTTTTCGATCCGGCAACCGGGCAAGTGGAGCGCACCATCCAGACTGACGAGCTGGATCTCATAACAGTCTTCACACTGAATCCTGTTACACAAGTCCGTAACACTACTATGGAATTAGTAGTCTTCTGGTATTTGTTTGTTGGTTCTTTTACCGCTTACTTCGGCATGCTAATTCTGCAGAACCTGTTCACGGCCAGCAAAAGCCTTCTGGTAAAAGAATGGGATGTGAATCAGGGCAGCTGCATAAAAACCTGGAAGGTACAACATTTTTAGAATCGGTGTTTTTACAATCGCCTCGCAATTGCGCAGTATAAGTAGGTTATCCGGTATCCGATTTAAGAAACTTTTTAAATTTGTTCTGCTTGGTTCTCTAGGCAGTGCATCGAGCGCCGGTAGTCTCCATGTGCTTCGATCCACTGGGACAAATGCTGGCCACCGGTAGCGGTGATTCAACAGTTAAAATCTGGCATTCCGCGTCCAAGTGCCACACGCACAGCTTCCGTGGATCCCAGGGCGTGGTTAGGTCGGTGCAAATTATTCCATTGAATCCCCTTTGCCGAAATACGCATTTGTTAAAATGTTTCTGTTTCCTTCTAGCGTGCTGAAATTTCATCCTGACCATTCGAAACAGCGGTTGTTTTCCGCTGCAGATGCCGATTACATTATACGTGTCTGGAATTTAAACCCATCCAAACAGTTGGCAGAACTAAAGGGACACTTCAGTGCAGTCACTGACATCCAGATAGCAGCTGGAATGGATCAGCTTATCAGGTGTGATGGTCCTCATGGACATGGTGAAGTGCTCCAGGTTGTTGGATATGGATTGTGAAATCACTGTTTTGTGGTTTCAGTGCCGGGCGTGATAAAGTGCTGATCGTATGGGATCTTCGCAAATTTCTACAGATTAAAACTTTACCCGTTTTTGAGGTAGGTGCTGTAATTTAAGTTATTTAGTATCAATTGTACTCACGGACGTAAGTGTACTGATTAATCAGCGATTCTGTATTATGAACGTGGGAATTCGATTAAAAATTGCAGTTTATGTTCTGTGTGACAGGAAATTGAAAATTTTATAATTTTGCCGTCACAAAACTACCCAGAATTCGGTGCTGACAATGGTGCATTGAATATTTTGTGTGGCGGATCTAGAGGTAAGTTATTATCTGTTCTTTCCTAATGTAATATATGCTGTCTTTTTTGTCACGACACGATCAGTACAGTATTATTTGAAGTGTACTAGTGCATTTTATTCGATTGTCTCAGGTTACCTTTCGGTGTGGGATATTTCGAACAGTCGATTAATTTTTCCAAGTGACCGTTCCGTTCCCCGCCAAACGATTGAAGAATCCAATCGCATACAGCAAATCTGCTTATCCGATGGTTTGGACAAACTCTTTGTCGTGCTAGTCGATCAGAGCATTCTAGTTTATGATTTTCCTGCGTTAACCGTTGAAGTACAGGTATATTTAACGGTATCTTTAAGAGCTTTATTTCCTCGGTATTTATACGAGGTAGTAATTAGCCGTGTTTCAGTTTTCCGGGTTTAATGACAAAATCTACGATATAAAGTTTTTGGACAACGAAAATTTTGCGGTTGTTGCCACAAATTCTCAACGGCTGAAAGTTTATGAATTATGCACCACGCACTGTGTATTTGGAGAGGGACATACGGATATGGTTTTGTGTGTTGCGGTCGTGCCGGAAAGTGGACTGATCATCAGTGGCTCTAAGGTACTACATATCAATGAGTAGATTCTCGCGGCAACAGTTAAAAACACCAGTTCCGCTTACGGGCCTTCAGCACTTACACAGTTCAAAAAAGCAATTTTTCTAGCGTAATTTTACATGCGCATCTCTAGCTCTCTGGCACTGACAATCTCAGTAGATAGATGTAAGTGAATTTTGCAGGATAACAACATTCGGATATGGACTTTCGATGCAAAGAAAAAGAAAATAAAATGTGTCGCCGTCGCTACTGGACATACCAGCTCCGTAGGAGCATTGGTCGCTTCGAGGTGATATTGGTCATCTTGCTCAGCCTTTCGTAATGTTCTAGAGAAACGCAGCTTCCGCAGCTTCCTTTTCGTTGTTTAGATCTAGTAGTCGCCCCTTCTTCATCTCTGGCAGTGAAGATTCCACGATCAAAATGTGGCATTTACGGGTAGAAAAAGAGGGAAAGCGATCAGCATGTTCCGCCGAAGCGGTACATACCGAAGTGGCACATGAAAATGGAATAAATTCTTTGGCCATATCTCCCGATGCGAAATGGGTAGCCAGTGCGGCGAGTGATAAAACCGCAAAAGTGAGCAGCTATGATGCCTATGATAGTATTTTTCCTTCTGGCATTATATCTCATGTTAGCGAACGAAAAAACTGGGATGGGTGGACTCGAAAACACAGGTATCCTACCGCAAGATGCCTTTTTGATGTAATGGAACACTTCTAGGTCTGGAAGAAAGAACCGTTCCAGCTGAAAGGTGTCCTCAGAGGACATCGTCGACCGGTTTGGTGTGTACTTTTCGCACCTCACGATCAGGTAATAAATTTTTGGCACTTGGCACAGCAGGTGATGTGCTGTACGTGATTTCGGAGAATATAACGAATACAACCGTAGATTATAGGAACAAGTTCCGGGGACGGTTCCATACGATTATGGGCGTTGTCCAGCTTGACATGTGTGAAGGTAGGGGCGATTTGCGTCCGATTTGTAGCAAGATCTATATGCAACATTTGCTTGTTTTGTAGACATTTGAGGGTCACGATTGTTCGGTTATGAAGTTTATTTTTCTCTCTCGTGGTCTGCAGATCCTCTCATCGTGAGTTCGTCGTTTCGCTGTTTTTGGATTCGACTGTAAACATTTATTTCGTTCATTACAGCGGATCGGATGGACTTCTGAAGTTGTGGGATGTCAGAAAAAATACTTGTGTAAAAACGTTTGATGAACATGAAAACAAAGTCTGGACAATGTGTGTGTCAGACAGTGAACACCGCATTCTGACAGGAGCAGAAGATTCAGTTTTTTTAATGTGGTCTGATATTACGGAACAAGAGCACGAGGAAGAGCGGAAAAAACTGGATACTTTTATACTTCAGTAAGATACAGTTGAAACGTATTATCGAACCAAGAAGTACAGTGAAACGTTAGTTGATTTTCGCGTCTTTCTGCACGCAGAGAGCAAGAGCTGACGAATCTCCTTGATATGAACGAATATGGGAAAGCCTTTAAGCTGGCGTTAAATCTGGATCAACCTAACCGGCTTTTAAAAATCATTACCGGTAAAAAGCGGGTGGTCGCTTATGTTATTTGCCTGCCGAGATATTTCGGCGGAATACTGTACACATGTCGTCTAGAGTTTCTACAGGGCTTTTGTTTTTGATGATCGGTAGAGATACTGGAAAAAGCGCACCACAACGAAGATCTTCACAGCATTATCCGTGCACTGGAGCACAACCAAATAGGTATGAGTGACCTCTCGCTAACGTTGTATGATTTCTGACAACCAAACTGTTTTGCAGAAAAGCTGCTTATGTATATCATGGCGTGGAATACCAATAGCAAACACACCTTTGCTGCACAGACGACTCTGGCTTGTATTTTCAGTAGTGTACATCCAAAAGACCTTCTAAAATTTTCCAAGATCAAAACCATTGTGGAAGGCCTGCTTCCTTACACTGGTCAGTATTTTCTCGTGAAGTTGTAAATATAATTTGTTGCCATGCGGCTTGAAAATGTATTAGTGTTTCTAAATTCTATGGAGTATGGTCAGCAGAAAAATATGGTTGAAATGCAACAAGTGCAAATGCAACGCAATATATTTATTTGACATTTTGACTCTAATTTGCAGTTCACATAAAACTCGATAATACTGTATTTGCATCTTAAATTTAACTGTAAGTGTTGTACAAGTATAAATCGAATCCCACACATCAATCGATGCTCTGCATCGATTAATGTGTGGGATTTGATTTTGTAAGTATGCGTTATTCAGTACTCACGGTACAGTAATTTTTAAATTTAGATAAAAAATATATATTAATTACGGCAAATTTACGGTATGTTGCAGAGAGACATGCATCGCGTTTGGACCAGCTTAATGTTAACGCTTTGTTTTTCAAGTATGTGTGGAATAACGTTAAGGAGTTAAGCGAAGTGTGATGGCGCAGACTAGTTATTTGATGATTTGTTTCATTTGTCACTTGCTGGATATTGGAACTATAATTTGGAACTATTGGAACTACATATAATGATGGCTGGGTGATTGTTTCAGTTGTGGATTCCCTTTTTAAATTTTAAATAAATGTTTATCGTAAGTTTCGCGGCCTGATATACAGTATTCAGCACTTCACAATCTGCGGTTTTGTCTTCCGCATTATTGCTTTAAGTTTCAGTTTTCTCCCTGGTCAGCTTAATTTATTTATGGTTACAGTTGTACAACCATAGAAACATATGGTGCATTTAATGCATACAGATACATCGAAATGATCGAATGAACGGTACTAACACACCGTTCAATACTGAAAGCATGAGATTGTTCATGACCAACTCAAAAAGTCTTAAAACCACGCGGACTAACGATAATTATCTGCTACAGTAAAAATTACAGAACAGGACGGATAAAAGTCATAAAACAGACAAACATACCGATATCTATGCAATTTTATTTCCGGTGGTGGGATGAACGCTAACGGAATGCAGACGAATGTATCGCAGATTTGGATTATCGTTATCATCCACAATTCTACATAAAGATTCCGTTCGACCCGGCTGAATCCCACTGGGAGGCACACATTCCATCATCGTTAGCCGCGGTCTGTGTCCGCAAATCGAAGCGCCGGCGACGAAGTTATCAGGATTATGGCAGGGCAGATCATCCATTACATTCTTCAGTTCCTTCTGTATTTCATCTTCGACACTTCTGCTTCCATTAGCTTTCGAAAACGCTTCCATTATGAACTAGCAGGAGATAGGATTAACTTTCAATATCTGTCCACAGCAGCTGCTTACAGTTAGTGCTAACCGTAAGGATCACACTTTATAGTTGTGTTTAATTTGCGAAAACATTGGTTTATTTACTTTCTTAAATTCACAATCTGTCGCTAGTCGCTAACATATTCTGTGTGCCAAGATCAGTTGCATCAGCATGGCATAAATGATAAAACCCGCTCCTCCAACCCTGTGCTACTCGTACTTCCGCTTACGATTTTCAAATCTTTAAAAAATTCATTTATAGGGTCGTGTCTATAATAATACCTGGTAATTACTAATTGGTACTTGGTAGTAAATATGCAATCCTTTTTGTGAGTGATGGTTAAAAGAAGTTTTGAGAAGAAATTCTATTCAAAAATATTGATTTCTACTGCACTCTCCTGATTTTGCGCAGGTGATCCTGCACAGTATCATCATTACTTGTGGGTTTTAGATTTTCTTGTTCTCATTATTCTGTCCCTATCGGGCTATGGTTTATGGGTTTAAACACCAAAGCCAGCGTAAAATTAAATGCATTAAAAGTGGATTGATTGTAACCATAAACTCAGTTTCTAATGACTGCGTAATCATTTTGGCGCAAACAAGCCTTTTTTGCGTATTACATGATGGCTGGGCGTTTGGCATTAGTCGATTATGACAATGAAGAGGACAGTTCATCGGAAGTGGCGCAGGTCTCCGCATTGAAGGCCTCCAAAAGACAGTCTGAAGACTGGGCCAAAGCATCTCGCATCACAACTAGCAAGGTGCGTAAAATGCGGAATAACATTTCGATTAACTCATTGTAAATCAATGCATCCTGAATTCTGATTAATGCCGTAATTTTGTACTTATCTTGTTGTGGCACACAGAGGTTGATACTTTCGAAATCAGTTAGGAATGGAGCGTGTTGATTAGGTAACAACCACTTCGCCACCACTGAATAACCCTCGCGACAGGAGATCTCCCGATAGACGAAGCGAAACAAACCGTGCGTTTGACTGTGGCCCCTCTGACGGCGATGAGCGTAGAAGAGAAAGGAATTTGAAAACCCATGACCAGGTAACTAATCAGTAACAGTCTGTAACATCTGTACTACCCCTTGGGGCTTTGCCTAAATAAAAACTGTGCTATTTGAGTGTGGAAAGTGGAAACGGTAACTTGGATTATTTTATGATAAATTAACTTGCCGCCACCTGCGCAAATCTTTGGACTACAAAGCTGTCTTATAATATTATGTTAACAGAATGCTGCAACACTTCGTGAAAAACGTCGAAAGCGCCTCTTTGCGGCTTGGCGTTTAGTTAATACGTTAAAATGTCAACCTTCGTTCTGTTGATTACGTTTTATGTTTACGAAGAATATCTGTCGACATATGTAGGAGCGCGACCGTCGTTCACCGAGGCACTGCGACAGGAGTTCGGGAAGACGGGAAAGTGGCGGCTCTAGCTACGATCGTCACGCCTATAAATCCAGGCACGACCAGAAAAGGTTCTTTCTGCTGTTTTATTTTGGAACACTGTTATATTAGTATTGGTATTTTGACTTTTATTGGCTATTGGTATTTTGACTTGTCAGGTCGCGCAGCAGATCTCCAGAGCGTAGCCAGTATAGTGACAGATACCGCGATTACTCCAAAAATCGTGACAACAGGTAGCACTTGTTAATATTTTCAATGACTTTATTGTAAATTTTATTGATTTTTACGATTTTATGTTTTATCGGCTTCTGTTTTCTGAAGTACTTTTAATAAATCTCGAATTTTTCGCGAAGAAAGACAAAGTGAAGTTACAGGGGTGCTACGCCAAGTTCGGGCACTTGCATAAATTAAATTCGAAAACATTTGTGCGCGCCATAATTTGGGTGAGCAAATAACATTGGCGGGATCGGTGCTGGAGATGACCTCGAAACAAGGTGCATCTCCCATAGGTATGTTAAAAGGTGTCTGTGGAAGAATGCGGTTGCCTAACGCGCTGACCTAGGTAACTTCGAGATATTGCTCTCCATGAATGGGGCATAGACTAAAGTAGAGGATTTTTGCGTCCAACACGATAGTTATTACCTAGGCGGTAAGGTGGAACTGGCGGACGATTGGCCGAAAAAGCCACCAAAGCTGTGGCCAAAAAAAGTTTTGGTTAATGCTGAAACGTGTTTAAACGGGGTGTCGTGGGCTTTTTGTGAAAAAGAAAATGCTAAGCTTATTGTTTCACGCTTAGCGAACGAGATTCTACCTGGGACGAATGCATCCGACATTTCGTGGTTGTCCTGCGAACCCACAAAGGGCACCGTCCTTCATTTTCACAACGGCAGTAGTAATATTGCAAGGGTCACGAATCCTTTGTTCAAATAGATCGATATAAGACGTATTCTTTAAGAACTTTGAATGGCAAACAGCCCAAAATTATCAATTTTGGACAATAGCGTTAGCGGAATTATTAAACAAATTTCAAACGGGAGGAAGTGTACCACGATTCATGGGTCGAGCCGAATTTTTATGCGGGTCTGCTCTAGTTTAAATCCACCTGTAATTCAGACCACGCCCCCAGTGCGACGTCTCGTAGTAAAAAAGATGCGTAAGACATACGGTGATCACACAAAAATTGAGTAACTATAATTTTGTTGGTAGGTGACCTATAGTAATTTTTTAGAAAAACTGCCCGAACTTGGCGTAGCACCCCTGTAGATTGAGTTATTGAGTTAGTTTGATTGAGAAGTTGGACTCATTTGGTTTGCCGTAGCTTGCTAACAATATACCATTAATTTTACAAGTCCTTTCTGTTAGGAAAGTGAAAATGTACAGTAGTAGCAAATGCATGCGACACGTCGGTATCTGGACACTGATTTGATTTTTAGGCACAATGGCTACAGGGAAAAAGAACGAAATTCTCGCGGATTTGAAGAAAAAATGAAGCACATGTATCCCACAAAACAGCTATCCCACGAGGAGCTATCTAAACTGCCTGCCTATATTAATCCAAAGAATGTTAATATATCCAAAGTTATTGAGCAGCAAGAGAAACGTAAATTGCTGTGGCAGGGCAGCAAGGCTAAAAAGGAAGAACCTGGTGTGGATGGAAAAGCTGTAATGTGGCAACATGCAACATTTTCTGGTGACAGCGATGGTGCTGTTGCCACTAAATTCCGAAAACTCATGGGTTTGAAGACAGAAACTGGAGGAACTAGCGAAAGTAATGCTGAGATATTTTGGCGAAATTCTGTGGCTTTATCTTTTTCTGTTTTTTCTGTCGTTTCGTTGGTACGAGATAAAACTGTAAATCCGGAATCTTACAAAAAAAACCAAACTGCTATAGCATATGTAACTTAAGATATTTTGTTTACAAGTAAGGCTTGTTTGAGTTACAGATTTTCAGTGATTGTGACAGTTTCCGTGTTGCATTTTTGATACTTTTTGCAGGATCCGGCGGTAACGCAGTTGCAGATTCTGCTCCATTACCAGATGCAATTCGAAACCAGGAAGAACTAATGTTAAATTTGGATCGACAGTACGAAGTGGCCCGCCTATCTGCTCATACCCAACGCGGTATTGGATTGGGCTTCAATTCACGATGACTGTGTTTTGTAGATTGAAGTTTACGGCGCTTCTTCATAATCTTCAGTTTGTCTCTAATGCGGTGTTTGTTGTAAAATACTGGCTGCGACTGCTTGTTTTGACCATCTAGTATTCTAAAAATTGTTCAAAAAATGGTTCTGAAATGGCTCTAAAAATGGTTTTGACCATGTAGTATTCTAAAAATGCGGCTGTTTGTTTTGACCATTTGGTGTTCTAAAAATGGTTTCTATTTTCTTTCCGGATGGGCTTGTAGTATCTTTTAATTGCGTGGGCGCTGCGCGGCATTTAATACGGGTGCTACCCGAGTAGTAGGTCGACAAAACATGCATGTATTATTATAGTTGAAACCTTTATTCGGAGTTGTCGTGTAAACCTGTAAAATTAGCAAACGTGCGCATCCAAGGAAATTTTAAAGGCCTGTACAAAAATACGGTGAAATACCGTCAGACCGCTCACTAAGGTCCAATAAAGGAAAATTATAAAACACTGAAAAATTAACACGAAAACAGCTTTCCATTAGACAAGGAATTCTGATACAACTTGCTGTTGATAGCTAAAGTTAGCTAACTGATACGACATGCAAACGGTCACGAAAACTGAGCTCGGCTACCTCACACAGCAATACCGTCCAAGCGGGATTCAGTACGTTTCTGCGATGAAATTCCTGGGAGCAGTTTGGACAGAGCTTCGCTATACCGACTAGGGCGGTCATTTCCATTCTTTTGCAAATACAGAGTAACCATCGCATAATCATTATCCACCCATCCCTGCTGATCCACTTCACCTTCGTAAACCACCTCCAACACTTCCACTTGCAGAGTAGATTCCATAAAAGGTGACAGCATACTATAAGCTCCACCGGTTAGTGCTGCCAGCTGCCTATCCTTTTCGATATCACTGCAGTTAATAAAAGCGTCTCCAAGCATGTTAGCAACTTCCGCATCGCAGCACTCCATAGCCAAAGCGGGTATTTTGAACAAATGCTCCTCACAAATCGGGCGAATGTCTTCAAAACGCACGCCCAACACCACCTTGCCGAGATCAAGCAGCAAACAATCACAGCTTTCCACATGAACTGACTGAATTCGCGCACGGTACCAGTCCCCGTTGAAGCAGACTCCCACTAAATCCTTCTCCTGTGGACTATAAAAACCAGAAGTTTAAGTCGAACAATTTGACGGCCGTGGATCAGAAGCATGTGTACTAAGCACACGTGAACTATGTGCATATAATAAACAGGCTTCAATCTAGCAAAAATCAATTATAAAATCAAACTCTTTGCCGTAAAAAATAATAATATAATATGCTTACATGGTCCCCACAACATTCGGCACTCGAGCCATCACATCGCGCAGGGTCTCCTTTAATAAGTCGAGAAACGGACTGGCATCACTCGGCCACAGGTACATCACAGCAGCATTCCCGACAGCCCTCAAAGTCCAAGTGGTGTATGTACCCGCGGCAACGTCGAAATACTTGTTATTTTTGCGCGACACCGGGGCTCTGCACATTGCAAAACAACAAAAAAATTCAGTACACGCAGACGCTTGTACACAGTACAATCAAATCTGAGATGATCGCTGCAACATCTTACAGTTTTGGGCGTTGAAAACCCATCATACTAAGCTTGCGGCCAAGGTCTTTAAACCAACTGACGTCAGGTTTTCGGTATTCCAAGTTAATTTCCGCAAACCCATCCGTGGAATAACGCTGGATGATTCCACGTAAAGCGTAGTCGTTCACAGCGCGATTGAAAACGTTTTCGAACTCCTTGGGGTCATGCGGGAAAAATCCGTAGTCGATTTCCGGCATACGTGCGCGCTTAGCCAGACCTGGGCAGTCAATAACATCTGTATCAGATGGGAACGGATAGATGATGTGGCCCGCTAAAGAAAGGTTCTGAGAGATTCCGTAATCCACGAGTAACACACGGACGATGTCGTTCGGCAGAGTGGCAATGACCTCAGCACGGCACATACGGCCCAATGCATTACCGTTATTCACCAGAACATATTCTCCTCCAGCAGCGCTAAGCAGGAATTACTTATTATACTTTCATTTTATCGCAAGTTTACGTGCATGCCATATATACGGAAGACCGTCACTTTCATTCGAGAAACTACAGGTCTTACCTCTTAAGGGTCGGTTCACCACTGCCAGTACACCAGATCGAAAGAATGCGTTCCATATACTCCAGAAGTCCATCTAGTCTCTCCTTCATTCCCACTTTGCAAGTACGGATCCAGAATGCATTCCAGGCATGAACATGAGTCACTGTGATATCCATCAGGTCCGAATCCTGATACTGACCAGTAAGCCTAGGTAAAAGACGTAGCAGTTTACGATTACATACCGAAAACCTTGTTGAAAAGATTTAAGTTGGAATCTCAAATTTTCGATACATGCAAGTGACGAAACTGACCACAGGACAGTTAACTTACTGAGTTGCAGTGATTTCTTCCATCAGTTCGTTGTACTCCTGTTGCGGGGTCTTACGAGCCGTTAAAGTTTGGCGAAGACTGGTGAAACAAATGCAAATACTGTAACCGGTAGACCAACTCACACTCACTTACTGCTTTCGAGACAGCAAGTAACCATGCGATAAACTAATGGAACTGAACTAATGCAATAAGTTTCTACAGAAGTTGCTTATGTAGTTGTGTTCATAATAAGCTCTGCATGGTGACTGGTGCATACCCCGATGATTCCGGAAATTCGAATGCCGATAACCCTTTGCTCAAACTTCTAGAAAAATGAAAAACGCAACACGAATCTACAGATGCCTATATGCAACTGCCATTGTAGTTTCAAAACAAATGTCACCATCCGGCACTGTAGTCATACGGAAGTCAGTAATGGCGTAAATTGCAGTTGTACGAGTACAAAAAAGGTGACTGCTTGTTGTATTGTTTATAAATTATAATGATGATGATATCGTATGTTCACCAACTGATAACGATTCGTCTATTGATCTGAAAACTTACGCGGCCAGCGTCTTGGGAGTCGATCCACCCAGTCGGTGAGATTTTCCTGCTCCCGCCTTCTCAGAACCACCCCTAAAATATTAATCCCCAAAAAAGAATATACGCGTGGTAGAAATAAGCAAGGAGGATAGAAATTTGTAATAATTCAAACGGTAAAATACGCAAGCAAAAGGATCCAACTACGGCAGAATCATTAATGTGAAAGCGGATGAAGGAATCAGCTGATAACGATTTCGTAGCAGGTCAAATTTAAGCATGCACTTACGGTGAGTTGTAAGCAGAATCCTTTTGCACATCTCCCTGCAGTCTGTCCAGAGCAGCATCAAACCTGCTCTTATCTTCCGGGGTCATGTGAGCGTCGAAACCCGTGGTGGCTGGTTTTTCATCGTCCTACAGAGGAAAAACTCAGCAATTCAGTAAACGGTCACTCACTTGATGCATTTTCTCGAATTCCGTAGAATTCGAAATACCTTATCAACACGACCGAAGAACGCGTGGACTCCAACCATTTTGGCTCTTTAGGACTAAAAAGCGATCGAAGAATAAGAATATTTAAGAATGCTGAGTCAAAATGCAGAGCAGGTTGAAACAAAAGAGTAAGTGTAAATGCAAAACGTAGAACCACTCCTCAGTTCTCACAATTAATCATCTAGCCCACCGCTAATTTCTTACGCAAATCGATCGAAGATTCGCCTTAAAGGTTAAAGGTAAACGTAAAGCGTTTTGCAAAACACGGAAGTTGCTAACCTGGACGGGGACCGATAAAGATACTTTCCTTTACTGTTCCACCGCAACGATGCGAAGAATCTTATTCATTACTGGACAGTATGGAGTCATAACATTAAAAGCGTATACCGTAAGTACTTTATTAATTTTTACAAACGTTACTGTACCCTTACCTGGTAGAAATAATGTTGTGTATTCGATTCTATGCAGTCAGGCGAACGGCAACAACAGCAAAAGTTTAACTTAAAATAAAATTTTAACTTAAAGCAAAATGTGTTTTCAACGTTTTGTGGAAGCAGTTGACCAGTGTTGAGTTCGTCGGACTAACCATAAGATGAGTCGGACTAGTGCGTACAAAGTACGAGCACCGTGCGTACAAAGTACCGTGCGTACAAAGTACTAGTGCGTACAAAGTACGTTTAAATTTTAAACTGACCAATTCACTGATCATGAAGTATGAACCACCAGACTTAGGGGGCATCCATAAATTACGTACGCAGAAAACCACCATTTTTTTCACCCCTTCCTCCCCCTTCGTAGCGGTCCGTCACGTTTGCTTGCCCCGTCCCCCCTGGTTCGTTCAATCGTAATACATGGAGCTGACCACCCCCTCCCCCCAGGGTTCCTCGAGGCCGTCATAGCTTGTCACACTTTTTGGACCCCTCTCACCCTGGTTCGCTGCGTACGTAATTTATGGATCCCCCCTTACCACCTAAAAGAACACGTACGTACGTATACAAGTACGTATAATTAACGATAAGCAACTTTATGAATACTACATAAAATGTCTATCTATATATAAGTATATATAGATACAGTAATTATATAAATATGATATGATATGTATTTAATGCCTAAACATACTTATTATGCACCAGTATTTCGAAGTTTATATTTACCCAATCATTTTTCCCCAGTTTAACACTCCCCATTTACTCAAACCGTAAAAATTATATAGATATAATAAGAAAAATAGTGACATACGAACGCGTATCCAGACATGCCCGGTGAATGGTCCCTTCCCGCGGAGTTTTCTCGCGTACGTTAAATTAATAGTTTCAGACAGTTACGTACATACATTTGCGAACTTCTACCCAATTTAAGATTCTTGCTTGTTATATTATTTTGTACTTTATCCTGCATTACTTTAAGTATGAATTAATATGTTCAGATAAATCTATCATTGCAATATTTTGTAAATGACAAATAACATAGATCACAAGTACAGTCTGCACTCTGCAAACAGGTCTAGTTGTAAGAATAATATTGCATTTAGTGAAGATTGTTGCTACAGGTTATGGTATATTTTGAGTATGTACTTCGATTCTATAATTATAAAACGCGCAGATAAAAACATTATCGGTTTGCGGGAGACTGTCGTGAACATCTGGTGATCGAACTAATGGTAACTTGGTAAGGTAGCAAAAGGCTACTCACAATCAGTACTGACCGTAAGTAGGTGTTATACGATTGAACAATTTGACCTTATGGTTAACGTTAATTTAATCAAACAGATTGATGTCGAATGAACGGGTATTTTGACAAGATACTCTTCTTTTATGGTCAATTTCGGTCTACTGGATAGAAAGCGGTTCGATGACAAATCCGTTTCCTGTAATTATTTTGGGTGTAGATTCACTGTAGAAGGTTGTTTTCATGAATGTGAACGTTCGCTTCCGGGAGAAAAATTACGACCACTTGCTCCGTTCCCGTCGTCCCTGTAACTGTTCTTTTAGTTTTGGGTGCAGTTTTACATTCCAACTCCCCTCTTCATCTGCAAAAACATATGGGTAAACCATAACTATACGCCAAACCTCTCGAGACAAAAAAAGTAAAAAGTAGCAGAGCGTGGTTTCGATCCACGGACCTCTGAGTTATGAGCCCAGCGCGCTAACCTCTGCGCCACTCTGCTAAAAACCGTAAAAATCTTGCCTTAACAAGGTGAAATTTGAAGTTAACTTTCTGAAAATATTGAAAATATTGAGATCTCCATGCGGGCGCGATCTACCTACCTTTTTAAAAATTCTAATTTGAAAAGCATGTGAAGAGCGTGGAAGTACACTAGTATCTCTGCTAGTATACAATACACTAGTATAGTGACCAGTCTCAATTAAATTCGTTGGTCTTTTCTAATATAGTTATTCTGTCTGTTAAATAAGAAGATATCATTTTTTTATGTGATAGTGAATCTGATGGTTGCCATTTGGGTCGGATTTTCGTGACGGAAAAGTTGGGAATACTGAGACAAGACAACCATTCAGCCACAGTGCATCAATGCACGCGCATCATAGTTGTGTGTATGGATTACCTTGAATCAGTTTACTATCTTCTCGCTGTTCTTATGGCTTTTCCGACATTGTTGGCGCTTTATTTCGTTGGTTGGTTAGGATTAGAATTGTTCAAAAACAACTGATGGATGATTTTAACACCGGGCTTCGTCGTGAACTGCATGGAGCAGGCGCATCCGTATCCTTGTAAACAGTAGCGGAATTCCGAAATATTCCAGTCCTTTCATTCCAGTACTCTGTACTTATCCTTTTGCAGAATGGAAATTGTACTTCGGAGTTGTGGTCTCTTTGCATTACCATCAGCTATGCATTCTTTGATTAAAGTGAGCGAATTTTAAATCTCTCGTTCTTGGTATCTCAAGAAATTGCTGGGTGATCAACGAGTAAGTTCTAACTGACGCAGTCACGCAGATGATTTACGGTTACTCGACAGACATCTGAAAGTTCGAAATTATTTCCCATATTCATAGATCATAACCCGTACGTTTTATTAGTGTAAGTTAGAGTACTTAATAATTATTATTTTCAAGGCACGTCGTAAAGCATTAATTGTTACTGCTGCTTACAATTGTTGCTTGCAATATACGGCCAGGGAGACTGCTGCATATTGCAAGCTGAAAACGAAATGCAATCAGCAATGCTTGTCATTTCGCAGTTGCGTTCACTACAGATACATAACTGTAAGACAGGGTTTTGGGGAAAATAACTGTGGCTGTTTAATTTAAATATATTTTCGCCGGTTTTGTTTGGGAATGTAACCTACTGTAACGATAAAAGTTTGTTAACAACTTGTGAGAATTTGTTCTTTAGATTAAGACACATTGCAAACGGATTGAAAACTCACTGATTTACTTTTACTTAATAATATAGAAATCTATGACTTACGAAAACGTTCAGAATTTTAACGCACTTCTTTGCTTTCTCGTTTCACCTTGTAATAACAATGACATTAACCTTCTGGCATCTTCTCTTTATGACATTATTATTGATTTCTAAGATCCGAGTGTAGTAGTCACTGCCGCGCGTTTCATTTTTGGTAAATGTTAGAACTATTCGTTTTTTTGCACATGCGGGTGATGCGACAGCGTTTTTCGGGTACGTATACGAAAGGTGAATATAAGAAATTATATGCGCATATCTCAACGAGTGCAAAACTGCTATACTCGAGCATTGCTCATTTCTTCGAAGAGTGCTACCTGTTATTATAAAATTTACATAGAAAAATGAAAAAAATGATTTATATTTCAGTCTTTGCTGATACAACCCGATGATGAGCCAGTGAAAACATGAACGTCTAGTATTACAGACATGACGCATGACCGGTCGGTGGTCACCTTACATGAATTTCTGTGTTTATTGAATTTTTAGTTAGTAATCTGAGGTAAAAAAGAGACATTTTAAAAGCATGTGGCTGAGCGTTTTATGCCGTCGCGTTCGGCTGTGGCAGTAACTGGTTTGAAATTTTGAATCATCCTGTTATACAACTTCCGGTGACACATTCTGCTGCACAGGCATTGGTCGTCCTCATTTGTCACGTCCCCGATCGCCGTCTGACGTGAATCAGCGTGCGGTACCACCGTACACTATCAATAATAACCAAAGTGTAGCTTTGATATCCATCGCTACTGCTTATTATAACCGGCAGCCCAGCAAGAATGTTTGTCAGTGTGCAAAAGACGAACCGGTCGGCAGACGTAGTGGAAGAAGCTAGAGCGGCACGGGAACAACGTGTCCGCGATAAGCGTCGTCTTGAAGCTGTTGTAATGATTCAGGTAAAAAATTGTTTGGGTGGCACGTGGGTGTCCACTGTAGCTACTAATCGTGGCCTGCCTGTACAGGCGTTTGTCCGGCGATGTCTGTGCGTTAAGCATCTCCGGGCGGAATGCCAGCGGGAATTTGACGAAACCTTTCGCCAGTATGCCGTGCAAAATGACACCAGCCCCACGGTGCCTGTGGATGATGTATTTTCCATGTTACGGGAGTTTTTCTTCATGTTCAATACAAAGGAAGATCGCGAGCGCTTCCGAAATGTGTGCTATTACCTTATTGCTTCCATCGGCTCGGAAAAGCCGCATCTCAACTACATGAGCATTATGCAGAAATCGGAATCTGTTGCGGTATGGAGGAGACAGGTTATAATGATTTTAAAACTATGCGTTCACTATTTGTCGGCACTGAATCCGGATAGCCCTGCGGATGCGCGAGATTTGGTAACATATTCCCAGACCATTATTATGTTGACCCATGCGTCGCAGTGGAAGGCGGTGAAAATTCCCAATGAAATTGTGCAAAAGGTGATGAATAATGTTACCATCAAATGGCTGCAAGAGTTGGTCAGAGTGGGATTATATCCGGCTGTACGGGATGTACTTATGCGTGGATTAGCCAGAACAACACCGACGTTGAATAAGACGACCTTTTTCCCACTGTTGACTTTACTCATGCGACCGATGGTGATGGAGGCCTTCGCTTCCGAAACGGATAAACAGAAAGCCTTGATCTCTTTGCTAAGTGTGCCCGGCTTTATTGTGCATGTGGAAACCATATGTCCGGTGTTTATTGAAACATTCAGGAAGCAAGGTGTCCTTAAGATGTGGATGGAATTATTGACATCGGAAGATGTATGGAAAGTCATGCGGGAGAATATACGGACGGCAAATGCTGCGTTATGTATTACCGCTAATTTGGCCAATATCTTTTGGCTGGAGAAGAGTAAGACAAATGACGTCGATGTGCTGCATGTGGTGTCAACTATTATTTTCTTGTTGGACTTATGTCGAGAATTGAATGCCACTCATCAAAACACGACAATGACCAAGTGGCACGCAGTTCTGGGATGGTCGAGTGACCGTGTGGATCCGTGGTGAGTCAGACACAGTTTTTACAGTGTTGGAGTTATATAAATGTACATATACAATAGACTCCTATAATTAGATGATAACTACTTTCTTTAGGCTTCAAGCTGTGTTCCCATTCATTGATTAAATCTCTGTCGTTTAGAAATATTTTCGAAGCTATGGTATCTGGTAATAATACTATTTACTGTAATTACAGTATATTAAAACATAGTGCAATTTAAATAGCTGGTAGCACATGGAAATTTATCCATGATGTTATTAGCTGCAACGTTAACAGTGCAGATTGAACGTTATTTTTCTGGTTACCTGTTTTCTTATTGATTAACACCCACCAGCGTTGTATCTTTGCTTTTTTTATGCAAACACCAATTAGGATTTGGGCATTTCTGTTTTCTGATTCTTTTATTGTGTTATTAGCTACCATGACTCTATGCAGTACACTACCCAGCAACTCAATCTTATTTGGAAAAGAGAATTCGTAAAAACCGTTTTTGGTAATTCCCTGGAAAGAAAAACGATGAACGGTCCTGTGAGTGCAAAGAAAAATGATCCAACACCGGGGAATTTTAAAGCCACAGGTGAGTGCTGTGTGCAACAATTGTGAACGAAGAAGTGCATCAGTGCTTATTGCATGTTGCTTTTATTTTTAGCCTTGCTTCAACGGCTTGGTCTGCATCATCTTGCCAAAACCTCCACAAAACTGAAGCTGAATGATGGGGAAGTCAGCCGTTTTGCCATTGTCAGCGCGATGTACCAATGTGCCATCAACTGTCTTGTCAATCTTAGACTTCATATTTTGACTGGTATGATCAATTATTTGTTGACTCGGTAATGCTATCCATACGGCTAATTATGCGCTGCAAACAGTTAGTGCTTTTTTGGTGCGGACTGAACTAGCATTAACTTGTTTTACTCACATTTGTTTTACTATGAATTTGTACCATGCCGTTCTGCGTGACATGGTCTTCGATATGCTTTTTTTGAAATTGTTTATTTTATTTGCTCAATTTCGCTTTCTTTGTAATAATCAGAATTTGTAACCTCTTTGCTCATAACAACCTCTTTGCATGAGTTATGTACTGACCACTCTCACAGTCAGCGGGTCACCCTCCTTTTTATGCAGGATTAATAGTGGAAGGCCGATTACCTATGCAACTCTGGAATATTGTTCGTGGTATTGGTGTCGGTCAGTTTGTTGAATTATTGAAACCGACTCCTAACACTTACACGACGGAATTTCAACTGCTTGGGTTATTTTGCAATTTGACCAGTCATCTTATAATGTAAGCGTGCTTGTCTGGAGTTTCAAGGCTTATTAGAGTACGAAGTGTGACATACCGGAATGCTATAACAATATAGAATATGTGCCGCACTTTAGATAGATACAATTTTTGTTTTTAGTCTTATGGATGACCTGGAACTTTACGAGGAGCAGAAAATATTTACCATTAACGATCTTTTGGAAATGTCAAAGTTTTTGAATGACTTGATATTTCGCATTATCTGGGATGGGCTAATGTCATCAGCTCAAATGAGATCCGATCAGCTCTTCACGTCGGCACATCATCTCATGAGGATATTATACGAGCGCGATTCTCGTCGGCGATTTGCCCCGGATGATCACTGGATCATGAAGTAAGTTTTAACTGATAATGACAGACATTTGAAGATGATTACATGTTGCAGCAGTTTTTTTTATAAACTTGCACGATAATTGTGTCAGTTTTGGCTGTTCATTCTGTATATGCGGAATACTCTTTTTCTTGATAATTACATGCGTTAGGCATAGAATGTAACGGAACCTTTAATAAGTATCATGGTACGAGTACAAACTATGCACCAGAACAAAACAACATTTACAAAAGAAACACTTCCTCTATGCTATCCTGATCGGGGATCGTACCCATTACACAAATTGCGTTTCCCCGTTGTATTTGCATAGATATTCGCTGTTTAAAAAACTCTAGAATCATAGAATACGAATCGTTATTACGATATGACTAGACTCACCGCGCGCGTGGAATGAGTTATTGGAGTCTCGGAGCGTTCGTAATTGATAGTTCTATTATGTTCCTGCATTTCGTCAAACATTAGGATCAGTGTTTCGAAGTACACGTATGGTTGCCAGTTTGCACGGAGCGGCACTGTAGGTTATAAAGTACAGTACCTGCTCAGGGAATTTCGCTTCGTTTTTATGAGGGTATAGGTAAATCAAATGGTTGTTCCCATAAAACGGAAATCGTATTTCATTAAAAATGCCATTAATGTTTATCGATTTGTGTTGTGTTGTCGGGCGTGACTATCGATGGTTCCGCACTTTGCGACCATTGAGACGAACCGATGGATCCCGGTGTTCGTATTTGAGGGTCGAGTTGACAGGAAAAGCTTGCTTGAATGTCGTTACACGGTTACTTACTTGCGTTTCCTATTGTTTGAAGGTGTATCAAAGCCAGGTGATGGTCGATGTGTTGAATAACAGTTTAGGGTTGTGTAAAAATACAGTCATGATATTAGTACTTTTACCGTGCCTTAATAAACGAAATAATCGAGCAGTTTTAGTTAGTGTATCGTCTTAGATCCGAAATGGTATGTGCCGGTATGCCGTTTACAATGTAAAAAATTGCAGTTAGAAATATGAGCACTTCGGTACTTGAACTGAACTTACGCACTTTTTATCTATCCGGATTTACTTTCTTTGGTTGTTTTAGTTCACATTAAAATTATGGAGTGGAATTTTCTAAATAGCTATGTAATATTCATTATTACAGTGCTGTGAAGTTTAATTGTAACTGGAGTTCGGCTGATTCAGTTAGTTCTTTTTTCTGATAAGATTTTCGCATACGAAATTGTTAGTACACCTTTCTTATTGCTCTTATTTAACTGATTACATAAGAGAATGTTTTCGTATTTGTACTGCATTCCCTGCCTATACTAAACGGGTGTTTGTAATGCTGACAGTTCAGTTATTGGCGTATAGTGCATACAGCATGTTTATACATACGATCCATTATCGAGCCGAATTGTATTCATTTTTAATTCCTTTACGTCAGGGAAGCCAAAGGAAGTGCATTTTTCAGCGAACTGAAAGAGAATCACAATAACGTGCAGCTATTGTTGGCCTTTGCACCGCACTGTATCCCACATCACGACCGTGTAAAATTGTTTCGACAATGGATCAAAGAGGACAAACAGTCGGATCAAGACAAGCCCACTGCGCCCATTTTGATTGCAGTGCAGCGCCGGCGCATCGTCGAGGACGGATATGGACACATTTCCCGTTTAAAACCCGAAGAATTGAAGGGTGTTATTCGCGTACGCTTTATTAACGCTGAAGGCAAGTTACTCGTATATGGGCGGTATAGATTTGTTACGTTACGTGCTAAATGGTTCCAAAAAAAGGGCCCAAGACGCGTACGGCCTTCATGGGACAGCTAAATTGAGCTAATACAGTTTAATGCATATTTAAATTTAAGTGGGTTGTTTTGAATCGCGTACAGATACTTATTTCCTCATAGCAGGTACCTTTTCTTAATTACCAGTTTTGCTACATCCCCACTATTTTATTTTAAATTATACATATAAGACTGCGTAATATCTTGGATCTAATAACATTCTATGCATGGCAGGGTGCAGAGCCTTTCACCATTCTTTTCTGTGTGTATCCTATACTTTTGTATTAACAAATTTTTATTTACTTAACATGCTAACGTAAAAGCAAATAACTAAGTAAGTAAGTGGCGTATTTTGGAATTGATCTTGTTTAGGGAGAACGGTTTCTTATTCTATACACAATTCATTTTTAGGCATGGCTGAAGCGGGAATTGACCAGGATGGTGTGTTTAAAGAATTTCTGGAGGAAACAATAAAACGTGTGTTCGATCCAAATCTGCACTTATTTAAAACAACTGTGGATAACAGGATTTACCCATCACCCACTTCCGGCATTCAAGATGAGCATCTGCAGCTGTTCAGTTTTGTTGGACGAATTCTGGGCAAAGCGGTGTACGAAGGAATTGTTGTGGATGTACCCCTGGCTAACTTCTTCCTCAGTCAGATTCTTGGCCATCAAGCTGCAAACCCAACATACAGCTATTTTGACGAGTTACCATCATTTGACGTCGAGCTATCACGAATGTTGCAAAACTTGAAACGGTACCAAGGAAAAGTGGAAGAGCTGGAATTGACCTTTTCTTGCGATGAGGACCGGCTAGGTCAGGTCGTTAGTCACGAGCTGATGCCAGGTGGACGGTTTGTGGAGGTTACGGATGATAATAAAATTTCATATATCCATTTAATGGCACATTTTCGAATGCACGGCCAGATTAAGCAGCAGGTCAACGCTTTTACACGGGGCTTTTTGAGCATCATTAAGCCAGAGTGGATCAGTATATTTTCTCCGCCGGAACTGCAAAAGCTCATCTCAGGCGACAGCCAGACTATTGATTTAAAGGATTTACGGAAAGTAGGTCTCGTCATGATTTGCTTGTGTAATTCAAGTAAAAAGCCGCACATTATTTGTAGTCATTACCTCTTAAATCAAACATTTATTGAGTTTGATTGGCTCTGATGATATATTCTGTTACTAGAACACACAGTACTATGGAGGATTTCATAGTTCACATCGCGTTGTTGGATGGTTGTGGGATGTGCTGGAAAATGATTTCAACGAGGAAGAAAGGGGATTGTTTCTGAAATTTGTTACAAGCTGCTCGAAACCACCGCTTTTGGGGTTCTCTTACATGGATCCGCCGTTTTCCATTCGATGTGTGGAAGTTAGCGATGACCAGGTACGGTATAATTAGTTATGTATCTGTACGTGACACAACTCACATAAGGTTCAGATTTGATCATGTTTTTAAGATGGTTTTCTGTTTCGTTATGTTGCAACTGTAAAAATAATGTCTCACAATTCATTAATTTCAATTATCTCAAAATTTGAAGATTATTAGAGCGGTGTCGTCAATCTCTAGTAGTGGATGCACCGAATATTGTGTGACCATGTGAATTCAAACCCCATGAGAGAATGCCACCAGAAATCATTACTGAATTTGACCCAATTACAGGACTCTGGAGATACATTAGGGAGTGTAATACGCGGTTTCTTTACCATTAACCGCAAGAAGATCTCCACTACTCGGCTCCCGACCTCATCGACATGCTTTAATTTATTAAAGCTTCCCAATTATTCGAAAAAGTCAGTCCTCCGGGAGAAGCTACGCTATGCCATTCGGAGTAATGCCGGGTTTGAACTTTCGTGATCGCTCTTGGACAGTTGTAATGTGGTGCTGTAACCCTCTGACTGCAGTCTTTCACGTTAGAACTTTGATATTTCTATTCTTTAATTTGAGAATTCTATTTGCTGTACTGTACAGTGACACTGTGATTAAAAATCGTGGGAATTAACACTGTAACTCAGTGCTGGAAACTGTGATTGGCCGTACATTGTACAAATACCAAAAGAGCACAAAGACTTGGAAAACCGTAAACAGAGTTAAACAAAAGATAAATATTTTAAAAAATATCACCAACTCGTGCCTTGGTTGTACGCTAATCGCCGCATCCGTCGGGTATTGCGATCTTGATCGCGCAATTTCTTCTCCATCTCGGCGTCGGAAAGAACTTCTATGGAAGGCGACCAGGAATCGCAGTCATGGTTACGGAACGGGCAGTCAATGGGTGGCAAAGTAGCATCGCTGTACACTGACTGGTGCCATGTTAATTGTGCGCGAATTGAATAAGCGATGGCTGTCTCAAATTCCCCTCCGAGACCCAAATCAGCGCACAGTCTAGCGGCAAACTGTTCGGGGCTGTTTTGTTGCTCGGCCATATCCCACTCAAACTGATCGTTCAAGGAAATATTCCCAACATGGATATTTAGCTGCAGAAAAAACGAGAGATACGTACACCAAAAACACAATCTTCATTGCGCAAAAACAGCGAGTTAAGTATCCAGTATAGGTATCGGGTTTGATAAAACAAGCTTTTACCTTTATTACCACTCTTTGATCGGTCTGATTATTGAGAAGATTATCCGTGGGAAACGCATCAACCTGCTGCTTAATACTTTGTGCAATGGCAGGAATGAACTGAACCATCGGAAGATCCAAATCTTCGCACAGTATTTCGGCAAACTGCTCCGGCGTAATGAGAAGTTCTGCAAACATAACAATAACAGCCCGCATTAAATTTAAAAGCTTTAGTGTCAATTTTCGAGATGCGATTAGGACGCATTAAAAATTCACGAGAACTTTGGAAACAACCGCAAGGCAACAAATATCATCCAAAAGGCTAAACCAACTTACCGTTTTTATTCCACGTAAATGTATCTCTGAGTTTCACATTATCTATTTCCATATCCAGTCGAATAGGAACGAGAATCTCTTGCTGAGCGGCCTGTTTTGCCATCATCAGCGGGGGTTTATCATCGAAACTAAAGCGCCAGACAACGAATTACATACAGCAATTACTACAATACTACTGTCGCATTCTTTCGCTAACCAAAACTCAGGCGAAGAAACAAAAATGATAAAAACCACTAAAATTACAGAAATCATGCTGTTCGACTTTTTTTGCACAAACGACATCGTTTGAAATTAACTAAAAACGCACCAAAATGGATGATGTCGACCGGGTTGGCGCATTAACTGGCGGGCACGACTGATGGGTGTAGCGCTGGGAACAGCGTCCAAATGATGAGAAGTGGCGGGTTGAGGAGCCCAATTCGAAGCGCGCCGCGACTTCGCTTCTCTGCAAAGTAGCATCTTTACTGCATCTTAAGCACCGGTGCGAAGAATGAAGTACGCACTTTGGCGTCTGAGATATTTCCGCATCCCCAGAAACCAGCCGGTATTTTTCTTCATAACCCGCTAAAATCTCATCCACTTCTTTGGCTTTCACAAGAATCGTATTACTGGATACGGAATGCGAATCCACACCTAGAAAAAATCGCTACGAATGATTTTAAAGTGTGCACAGTAAATATCGTTTGTCAAAAAACTTATGCAGCGCATATGTACAGTGAGCCTCAGTAGACTTCAGTAAGTAATTGAATTTAACACCCACAGGCCACAGCCAATATCGCCATGCATAAGGGTGGGTAAGTACCAACCATATTGCAATCCAATGTATTGCAATGAGAGGACTGCATTTTGTCTGAATCGCATTCAAAGGGCAAGACTGAAGTGATAAATTATGGAAAAGGAAACAATAATGCCGAATATCCCAACACGATTAAAAAGAAAACAACACAAAGAAAATATTTGAACACACTACAAAAAACAAGAAAACGGACTGGTGAGATCTGACTTGTACAGTGTAAAACAACAACATGAAAGAAAAAAAGATTTCGAAAATACGAGTACCTTTCATCTGCGCTAAACGTTTTCTTTCCTCCGGAGTAGTCTGTCGTCTCCAAAGTGCGGGATACTTTCGGTATAATTGGCCTCGAAACATTCGCAAATAATTCCCCACCTGAACGATCAATCGAAGTGTTTAATAAATTTGTTAGAACATTCTTATGTCCTCCAACGAAACATGGTTGACAACAGCAACACAGTACTGTAAGTGTAATTAGTAAGGCTTCTACGAGAAGGAAAGAAATGCTCTTACTACTGATCCAATGTAGTAATCGTCGCCGTCGTCTTCCAGTTTGAAGGGAACGGGTCGACTGCCAAACGTGCTGACCATGGGCCTCCGCGACTTGTCTCCATCCCCATCGACTTCCATTTCCGCATCTGCCTGGCTCTCTGTCTGACGATCTTGAGACGACAGATCATTGTCAGTCTCCATGCCTTCCACTGTGGTCTCGTTACCAGTATCCTCAAAATCTTTGGCTGCCATTCCTAATTTCCACAATTAACATAGCCCACAGGAACGATAAAAAATGTAATATTCCTTTCGCCAGACCGAGACTGTTGTCCACAAGGTATCAATCGTTGCGTCGTACAATCCGCTAACTGCAGTCGAGAATCGAGAATAATAATATTGACATAGTTAATTACCACACAATAGTCAGAAAGCAAGAGGAAAATCGAACCTATTTCGAAGAATTTTCGTACTTTATTCACAACCTTCGCTTTTCATAGTGCTGTAAATGCTAGCAGCCAATTTTAGGCGTAAATCCTTGCTTCTGCAGCATCCTTGGCTAGAATCGGGATTCTGACTGAGGCTGTCTGTCAATGTCAATGAACGGTTCATTATCATTCATTGATTCGAATCCAGATTCTCACAGCCGAAAGCGAATGAATGAATCACGCATTGAGAATGTATTGGTACACGGTCATTTTGGTACACGAGTAGTACAGTACGAGTTCTCCCGTCTAGTACTAATAAGTTGTTTCACTTTTAAATTACAGTGCGATAGTAAATTTTAAGTTCTTTTTTGAGCTTTTGAAAAGTACTCTCAGGCTACAATTAACTTTATGAAATTATGGGTTTTCCCATTTCCTTTTTATTGTTTCAGTTTACTTATTTATTACTAGGTTGAATTAATAACCGTACGAAAACCGACATTTTTTTGCGAATATCTGCAACCTACATGCGCCACTGTCTCGTTTAGTATTTTTACTTTTTATCACTGCTTGTCGCATTTTCAATAAATGATTTCGTCCTTTCTTATTGCTGATTTGCTGCAGTTGCTGATTTGCAGTTGATTTTGCATTTGCGTGAGCACCGTATCTCTGTGGTTCTTTAATCTGCGGTAGCTTTTCCTATCGGATTAAATAATTGTGACGGGTTATCGGGTATCATTATCAGTCTTTGATAATTTATTATCTGGTTTTGCTGTTAAACTGGAATCGCTAAGTTTTGTCCGAGTGGTGAATACTACCATACTGCAACCTAGTATCAAGGTGTTAAAGGATTGGAATCGTACATTTGGAGTTCTGACTTATCAGTCGCAGTGTTATGCCGAAGGACACAACATTTATCTGGAATATCATACATGCAATGTTTTTGAGAATAAGCAGCATTAATGTTTTGGGCACATTGTATGCCTGCGCTGAGTGTGCATAGTACTGCATACACTGGATGATAAGACGTTTGAGGGCTTTGTTTCCAGGCTGTATCTGCAAGATAACAAGATCACAGTATTGGAGCTCCAGTCAGTTGTGCTAGTTTCCCGCAGAAAGAATAAGCTACCAAGTGCAGTAGCCGTGGTACTCCTGCATCAGTTGATAACGACTGCCAACAATTGTACGAGTATCCAACGTGAACCGGATATTTGATTTAGGCTGTGGATTTCGCATTGTAATCCCGAGACAGTACAATTCCAGCTGCAAGCGTGGATCTGTGGTGCAGTGGACAAGGTTCTTTGAGGTTAGTGGTTCTGTTGTTAATGAGTACTCGTATGATTATAATTTTTCAGTGGTCGACAAAATTTATAAATATTTAAAGTCTACAGTTACAGTCTACGGTTATGAGTTAATTGGATTGCAGATTGCTCTACGAGCAGCTGGTTCATCTATCTGTATATGTGCATCAATCATAATGTACTGTACTCGTATCTGCGGGATTTAATTCAATTGAACTTGTTTTTAATTACAGTTACGTAATTATTTTTAAATAATTGCGGTTGTTTGAGGAATCATGTTCTTGAAATAGTCACAATTCACACCGGCGTCGACTTCTGGAAGGCTTTGTGTAGTTTGGTTTTTCAAATACAATGTAAAAAATTAAATAGAAATATTCTATTATTGTATGATTATTTGCAGGTTGCAACAGATAGGGAAATATAATCATGACGCGATTCTATAGATGATGTATGGCGCTGAACTGCGTAGACTTGGTTGTAGAGAACGATATAAACCGTGCGGTAACCCGATGTTGATTTTAGACTGCCCGCAAGCAGTTATGTCTGCTCGTGTAGTGCCGTACGACGCCGATTAAAAACCTGCAAGCTCAACAGTTTATGCCGCAGCTGTTGGCGTCCGTACAGGCAGCGAAGCCAGTCGTTATCGCGTGCGGCGGGCTTCCTGCCGATGAACGGCAGTGATCCAACGATGAGCACGCTGTCGCCCCAATCGGCCCCCGCCAAGGGGGCCACCTATCCCCTGTCCAGCCACTTTGCCACGATGCCCCGATTGCGGCACCATCGCTCGCCCAAACGGAAAAAGTGCATGTACATTGAAACGGATGTGGAGAGTGAAGGGAGCGGGCTGGATACCTTTGACGCGTCCGGTGATGCGACGTGCGCATTGCACTGGAAAGTGGACGATGTAGCTGCACAGTTGACACTCCTTAACCATGCGGTATTTCGTGAGTTATTACCCTTGGATCTGGCTTCCTTGAAGTGGTACGATCCGAGAATGAAAAATTATCCAGAATCTCAACGTGTCAATGCCATAACGACGCGGTTTAATTACGATGGACAGTGGGCAATTTCGGAAATTTTGAAGCAAGAGGTAAATCAGAATAATTAATGTATTTTTTTTGCAATTATAGGGCTTTCGCTTCTGTGATTTCATCAGAGTAAAATTTATACAGCCATGCAATAAATGCAGTTACGTTATGCCAGTCTAGAACTGGAATCAGCGTCTTCTGTTAAAATTTTCTCTTTTCGTAACTTCGTTACGGAAACAGAAAATTAATTTTTGGTAGCAATATATCTGTAAACTACAAATTGTTTCGATATTTTTACATTCGGACCGGCAGAGCTGTGGCTTGTGTGTATATCAAAACATATACTGTAACGCTACTTTGTATCGCTGGCAGACACCCAGGCAGCGGGCAGAAATGTGGAGCCATTTTATCCGGATTGCCGACCGTTTATTTCAGCTGAATAATTTCCACACAAGCTATGCTATATTTTCGGCACTGCTCAGCTCACCCATTGCTCGTTTACATCAAACGCAAGCACTTCTTCCAAAACGCGATAAGGAGACATGTGATTTTCTGGCAGCCAAATTTTCATCGGATAATAACTGGAAAGCATTCAGAGAATATCAAGAAGGGGCGGGATATCCACGATTGCCGCATATCGGTACTCTCATTCCTTGCTAATTGTTTATCTAGCGTAATCGTTTATGTTGGCGTTGACAGGATTCTACAAGACTGATCTGATTCATGCCTATCATGCATATACCAATGTCAATGAGAGACGCAAACGCCTAAAAGCCATTGAGCAGAAAATATTCGATCTCTTTAGCCGGTCCAATTACGGATTTTTGGAAGAGATTCCAGCGCTGCAGTCGTTCCTGAAAAGTTTACGGTATTTGGAAGAGCTGCAGAAGTTTGTCGATGAAGGCAATATCAAATTATCGAAAACACTAGAACCTGATCCAAATGAAAGGGTGTTGGAGCATTCGCCATCCTGTAATGGATCCCGACCGCTGACAGTTAGGGATGTTTTGCTCGGCTCACCCATGGATATACCAAATACGAAAACAAATTTGATCGATGATAGCAACATCGAGGTTCGCGCTGTTGACTTTCTTTCTTTGTAATACAAAATGATAGCTTCTCACATAAAAAATGTAAAATTTTGCTTGATAGAGGTGTAAATTGAAGAATGCACATTTACGTGCATGGAGTAGACCGGAGCGTAGGTATTAGCAATTGACATGCGAATTTTTTTGTCGGTGCATGTAGGTATTTGGTAAACTCCATGCAATTTTGTCGAAACTTGCTTAATATTGTGTTTGATTAGTACAAGAAAATTGTAAGTACGTAATATTGTGACTTAATTAGTGCAAGATCTACGCCCTATTGTGCTTAATATCGGTAATACGTACGGGATTTCTTTACTTACCCCCATAAAGAGACAGGCCCTTGCAGTCTACATGTGATTAGAGTTCATTTTCGTTCCGGTCGATAGCGATGGGAACATTGCAAATTTTGCACGGTCTGATATTCTCGTAGAGGTAGTTTAGTCCCTATTTGTTATCCCATATTGTCCTGTTAGAACATAGATAGTAACACTACCGGAAATTAAAAGCCCGATTATAATTGTGTTTTTGCTTCTTTGCAGGATCTCATTGCAGACGATGCTTTTCTGTTGTCTTCTGGTCACATGCTCAGCCGCAACAATATCGGCAATTTATCCTTACCCAGCAATATGGCCGTATTACAACGCCATTACGACTGGCAAGGTATGTTGGAAAAGAAAACTATTGTTAAAAATGGCCAGTTCCGCTTTCTGCCGCGCTGGAAATCTGTATGGGCAGCCGCGTGGGGATCGAATCTATTTTATTTTTAAGCCCAAAAGCCCCTTCCGTACAGGGGAGCGCGTGCATTTTGAAGGGATTCCTTGTACGGTGTACACAGTGACCGACTGGAAACTGCATATCGGCACCGACGAAACATTGTCGTTCAAACTTCAGTCACCAGATAATGCATTTATTGTTCGCTTTAAAACCCGCACCGTCACAGAGTATCGAGAGTGGATAAAGTTTTTGAAAGCGGCGACCGGAGCACCTTCGAATTTGATAAATTTGGATGGATAAATCAAGTACCAGGTCTCGACGCCGTGGTTGACTATAGTCTAGTGCCACAGTGTCGTGCCGCTTTATATCTTTTTGTTGGTACCATGCAGTTGATCACTCAGTATGTCGTGTGCTTATTTGATTTTAATGTTTTCAGAGTTTTATTAGAGTACTGCCAAGTTTTATTTTCGTTTCGTACTCTTGCGGTTTTTGTATTGAAAAGTTTATGCTCAGTTTATACTGTATGACATGGGATGTGCAATCACTGCAGTATACGACAAGCGCAGTAAAATGTCTGCATCAGCGTTGAATCCTAACTTGTTCTGATGACGCAATTTGGGATGGTGCCATAATATAAACATTTCGATTACGAAATACGTTTCAGTCGCGACAGGGAATGCCCAGGTATCAACAATTATTTAAACATCATCGTCGGTTTTGGGAGCAAAAAGCATAGTTTTGCGTTTCTTGTTCAACTTCCCTTGTTAGTCCTGACGGTGAGCTCATACCAAAAACATATTCACCCGGCTTGAATATTTTGGGATGGTTTGGGTTGTTATTCAAGAGATAAGCAGATAGGTGTGGCACCGGCTGTGCCGGCTTTCTGACGCACAAATCATAAAAGCCATCTAGAAGTGTCGGCAGCATTTTCTCCCGAAAGTACGCATCAATTGCTATTCGCTCCTCAGCAATATTGGAAATCGGTCCATGGAAAATGTCACTGAATCTCGGAAAAAAATGTTGGATTTCTCTTGTTGCCGCAGAAGCATTTACTACAAAATATTAGCGGAACCAGTGGTTAGCATAAGTGTCCAGTTTGAATTAAAGTCGATATACACGCACGACAGTAATAACGTTACCGCTGGCTATTACTGCATTAAATGGACCCGTTTCCCCGAATCTTGCGCATACTGATTGAGGGTTCACCTTTACTGCTTCCGCTGGATCTTCCGGGCCCAAGGCATGCGCCACAGCTTCGAATGCCGAGCCTAAATGACTGACCAACAACACAATAGCGGTGCCCATAAGGGATTGCATTTTATTTTCCACGGATGCAGAGTCTGTTGCCATTTTTCCTCGTTCATCCTTACAAATATACCAAGCCTCGTCGAAACTGATATCAATGCACCGCTCACCATTTATACGGAAGCCATGCTGTTCTAAAGTCTGGATTATCTTTAGCTTCTTGTGTACGGCATGGGGTTTAATAATCATAACCAAATACTGCACAGCAGGTGCCATGAATGCAGATACCAAAGGCTTACAGTACAGTACTCACAAACCACACAAATGATAAGGTTAAATACTTACTTTGTCAAAAGAATTCGGAAAACCTCAATTCGGAATACAGCATTAACTTTGAATGGGTTGTCCAGGAGATTGAAGAATGGTCTTTGTGATACTACTTACGTAAATAACTACAGTAACGAATTAAAAACATTAACCGAATGCGACACTTTTACTTACTAACTGTAATTTTTGCGCAATCTACGTATTTATACGAATACTACTTAGGTGTGCCCGTATTTATATGATTGCTAATTCGGCCCCTCTCCTATGAGGCGAAGGATCACGGCTTATATATACTTCACCAATGTTGCTACTTTGAATTACAACAGGATACTCTCAATGCAGCGGTGAATCCAAGATTGCTGACTTTTGGCCAAGTTGATTTTCCTATGGTCAATCGTAAGCTCGTTAACGTTACCATGGTTCACACTCATTTATAACGCAACCTGACCCCACAGCACACTGGAAATACCTTTGCTCGGAGTATCTCATGTTATTTGTTGCTTGAATTTCAGCCCTAGTCTTGTGCAAGCGCCTGATTTCACCCAAATAATCGAAATAAATTTTATTGCTAATTTACTCGCATAAGGCAGCAATCTGGTTTTAACCACTGCTTAGCATCCTGGCAGCAAACCACGACACTAAATGCTCGATGCGCATTGCTTGTGATTAGCTAACCATGCGTCCCCTTTCTCCAAAAAATTTATATTTACAGGCATACTAGTAACCCTCAAACGGTAACGATAAATATCATTTTTCTGGGCCAACAGAAGCATCATTCTGGGTGGCATTTTTCGACATTTTCGGATTATCCCCGTCACGGCAATCAGGACAAAACCATTTCCCTCTCGGTTTTGCTTTCAAGCCAACGCAAACAAAATGAAACCATTCAATCGTGCAGCTGTCATTATCGCAGCCCACCATATGCCCGTATGAAACATTCCTGCAGACGCAGTAACGCGGCTCGTCCGAATCATTGCGTCCATTCCGTGACGCTTCGCGTTCGCCGTTATTCTGGCGCGCTTTTCCTGCCTCCGATGGAGCTTGATAGGACGGGTCTGACGATTCCTTCGAATCCTCACTGACACTTTCGTCGGATTCGTCTTTGATTTGCTTCTTGGGCACCCGAGTGGATGCACGAGCTGCTCGTCGCTTTTTAGCAGCAGCAGCGGCGGCTTTATTGGGCTTCTTTTCCTTCTCTTTCTCTCGCAGATCTCGGGTTTTAATTTGTATGTCGGCTTTTTTCTCCAGTTTTCGGTTCACGGTAAGTGTCTGTTTGGAGCGGCGCTCTTGCCGAACTTTGTCAGGACTAACGGAACGTTGACTTTCCTGACTTTGTTGAGAATCTTGTCGACGCGGAATCTCCAGCAAAGTGGAGGATTTGGTTTTGCGAATAATGGAGGTTCCATTTGGGCGTTTGGGCAGCAAGGAAGGACGAAGCATTTCGCCTCCAGCCGGTTTTGTTAAAGGAGGTTTCGCAATACCGTCTACAATAACAAATAAATCCTAATGAAAAAAGAGCGCAGTCTGCATCTTGCACAGTTTATGAACAACTACAGTACGTGTTGAACTGGGGTGATTCTTGAGCTAAAAATAACAAGTGGAAATGGAAACAATTAAGTAATAACTGAAGCTAAAAATTAATAAGTGGCACCTCATCGAGCAATTAAACTACCGAATGGTTTTTTGCTCAACTGGAATATTAAGATTAATCAAGGGTTCTAAAAACGAACGATTAAAAAGCCGATTCAATTAAACTTAACCAAATTAAAAAAATTATCTCGGAAAAAGCGGTATAGTACCCTAAAGTACGAGTGTGCGACTGTACGAGACAGTCCTGCAAAATAAAAAACTCCTTACAACTAAATGAGGTAAAACCGCAATATACGGATATGGCCAGATTTGCATAAAATGGACTGATTATTTATGTTTCTTACTCAGAATTTTTTTCTGAGTCGAATGGACCGGGACAACAATGGTTCCGAAGTCACATGACTGAGTTGCAAGCTAATTTGCATACAGGTGCCTTGATATATCTTTTTCAAGAACTGCCTAATAAAAGTAGACATATTGTAGCTTGTTTTGTTCAGAAAAAATTTCGGAGTAGAATGATAATATGATATATAACCCATGCGGATACGATATCACGTGACCAAGTTATGATTTTTTACATTTTTTCCTTATTTTTGACAATCTGTTATTGTGGTGCTTTTGACAGACATGACGTCACTACATACTAGAACTTCATTCGATTCTATTTTTTTATTACAAAGGTAAAGGTCATAACCTTTATGAGAAAATGTCACCTAAAGGTCACCACAAATGTGGCCTTTAATGGTAAAAATCCAGTATAGGGACACCATCTTGATGACGTCATAATAACCTGTTTGCACTCCTTCACAATTTTTTTGAGTCGAATGAGCTGGGACCAAAAGCAAAAAATTGTCGCGTGATTGAGTTAGGAATTTGCATGCAGATTACTAGAGAAATATAAGGATACCATCAGGATAACGTCATAATGACCTGTGTTGCACTTATTCGACTCAAGAATTTTTTTCTGAGTGGAACGAGTCGAGGCCAGAAGCAAAAAAACTTTAACGTGAGCGAGTTCCAAATTTTATGTAAATTAACAAGGAAAATAGTTCGAAACTGAGAAGTCACTTTTTTGGTCTCGTTTAAAAGAATAACATTATGGTGGGGTGTTACTTCTATGGTTTCGTTTAAAGAAAAGAGTAACATTGTTGTCAGTTGTTACTAGTTCTGCCTCGTTTAAAGAAAGGAATAACGTTGTTGTGGAGTGTTACTTCTTTGGTCCCTCTTAAAGAAACGAATAACTTTGTTGTAAGGTATTACTAGTTCTATCTCGTTCAAAGAAAGGAGTAACAGTGTTGTGGGGTGTTACTTCTCTGGTCCCGTTTAAAGAAAGGAATAACATTTTTGTTGGGTGTTACTTCTTTGGTCCCGCTCAAAGAAAGGAATAGCACTGTTGTGGGGTGTTACTTTTCTGGTCCCGTTTAAAAAAAGGAAAGGTATCTGTCTCGCTATAAAGAAAGCGGCAAACTCACTATGAAGATGAAAATGAACAAACTGAAAAGTTCAAAAACAAAGTTACCTGTCTCAGTTTAAAGAATTAAGTAAACTCACTGTGAAAGATAACGCAAAATAGCCTGAAAGGCTCAAATTAAAAGGCATCTGTCTCGCTATAAAGAAAGAAGCAACTTTACTGTAAATATTATACAGACAAACTGAAAAGCGCGAACCGAAAGCCATCTGTCTCGCTTCAAAGAAAGAAGGAACCTAACTAAATATAACTGAATACTTTCGAACTATTATTTTCTACAAGAATCATACTGTGATCAAAACTCACTGCTTTCACTTTGCAGGAAACACCTCGCTCAGAATGTATTGAGTATAACCTTTCCGTGACCTTTGTTCAGCGGCAAGAATCGAATGACGTATTTAGTGACGTCACAACAAACGCAGTTAAAAGAAACGAAATTAAACAAACTGGCCCAACTAGGACAGAAGTTTAAAAAAATTCCTAACATTGTCACGTGACTTCAGATCCGCGTGGGACAATTATCACTCGACTCAGAATTTTTTTCTGAACAAAACAAACTATAAAACGTCCGCTTTGAAAAGCATTTCGGAAATTAACCTTGGGAAACCACCTATATGCAAATTAGCCTAAAACTCGGTCACGTGACTTCGAAACCATCGTTGGCCCGGTCCATTCGACTCAGAAAAAAATTCTGAGTAAGAAACATAAACAATTTTGCCATTTTAATTGTTTTTGACCATATCCGTATCTTGCGGTATTGCCCTAAAGGTAAGGATTACTCACTTGTTGCAGGCACTTTGCGAGATTTCACGCGAGCATCTAGCGGTTGACTCGTGCGATTATCACCTCGTTTAGTCTTTCCTCGGAAAAAACTCTCCGCTCTTCGCCAGTAATCTTCGGTTTCAGTCAAGCTACGATTCGCCTGTTCATCCACTTGATTCCATGTGTGATTCGTGCGGATTTGTTCATCGCACATTTGATCCAGTATCTGATTCAGTTCGCTTACGAAACCAGCCTTTTCTTCGTCCATTAACGTACCGCTGGACAATTTCCTCAAATCTCGTCGACTTCCTTCTGAAGTTTACCCAGATCAGCATCCAACTGGAACGATCTGCTGAGGCCTTTCCCCACAGTGTGAGCGATTCCCCGCTGTAAGGCTAGAAATGAGCTGACGAACTTCTCTGCTACGGCATCGCGATTGCTCGTGATTCCAAAGTCGTACTCCATTGTCATACAATGTCACCTCGCAGTACCAGTTTTGAGTTGCAATTCTTTTTGGTCACTGAATAATTATAACCTATTTACGTACTTGCAAATATCGCGACATATCATATTAGCCAACAATGAGAATGATAACTGTCGTTTCGTAATCAAGATTTTGAGAACTTACCGTCAGAAAGTTCACTGCAATCAGTGCAATGGATACTGGATAGCATTCATGTCAGTATCACTGACATCCTGATAAATTCCTTAAGTTCCCTGGAAAATTGGAAAAGGATAAAATTAAATCTGGTGAACATCGAAAAGTTTTGTACTCGTATTGCAAATTAAATCTGAACAATTTTAAAATTTAACTGCGTTTGTGGAAACGTACTACTGTAGCCTTACAAGTACTGTAATAAAAAGTTAAAAACTAAAAAGAACCTGGACGCACAGTGGAGCACGGTAGAGGATAAACCTGGGTGACACCAGCAATCATGAGAGCGCGCTCAACTATGGAAAGATTGGAAAGCTTTTATGCAGTCAAATTCAGATTAACATTAACTAATTTTGCGTTTATGTATTATTCTTTTGTTAAGAATTCATTGGTGAGAGTGTTTATTAATGCCCAAAATTTAAAATTTTAGACTCAAAACGGGTCCAGTTAAAGACAATTTCTGTTCGGGAGCTGTCCTCTTCATGTACCCTGCGCTACTGAACCTTGTTGTGTTTCACGCATTGCACTGTGACACAACAAAAATTTGTGCTCGAGTTTTTTTTTATACGTACTAAAAAATTTGGATTTAGAATTTAGATCGACCAGTTTTTGTTTGTGATTATTTTTTGTCATTAAGCATACAGTTGGTTCTGACGGGCTGTCGATGTAGATCGTTTTGCGCGATACAATTTGGAGTAATATTGAAGAAGTATTCGATTTCAGGTAAGGGACCTACTACTCTAGTGGAAATAGTGTGTCTGCGGCGACTCTGCGCTACAGGTTGTGTGCCTCTACCGAAGTTCTCAAGATTTCAGATATCATGGTCCCAGGTTTTCAAACATAATAATTGTGGATAAAATAAGTTTTCGTGATCAGTTTTAAAGGATGCGTATTACTGAAAGAATTTTAACTGTTTTTTTTTTAAAACGGTGAAACCCCCGCCAACAACCAGAGTGGTTTCTTTAGGTAGTTCCCGATAAAAGATAATTAAAATTTTGGCTTTCACAGTTTCGACTGCGTTTACGGAGTTCTGACTTATGAGTGTGACAAGTTTCAAAGTAATCAGACTGTGTGCTGCTGTGGTCGAGGATATGATATATTTTTTTCCAGCTGTTTTGTTCACACTGCGCCGGTGTATTTTCTAATCGTTATTACTGTAAATACGTTGATAAAGAACTCGATTGATTACTTGGACGCTGGTTTTGAATGCGCTTTTGTGTACTTAATTTTAGTCTGATAGTAGTCGTACCACCAGCGGAAAAATGGCGATCAGTTCAGCTGAAGGCCGGATTATCAAAATGGAGGTGGATTACTCGGATGCCGTCGCCAAGCAGATCCCGAAGTCTGCGGAGATGGCACGCGCTGGTCAGCTGAACGAAGCCGTCGACGAACTGTTAGCTCTGGAAAAGCTCACTCGTCAAGGCGGTGATGCCATCTCCTCGGGCCACGTCCTCGTGGCTATCGTTAAAATCTGTGCGGACGTGAAGAATTTCGACAAAATGTCCGAAATGATGGTGCTGCTGAGTAAACGGCGCTCGCAGTTCAAACAGGTACTTTGGTTTGCGCATCATGCGTTTTGAGTAGTTTGTAGTTGTAACTTATCACCGATCAATTCCCATTCGAAAGCATTCAAAGCAGTAATAAATGGCGACAGAAAATTAAGTTTACGAATTAGCAAACGAGTCTCCAGGAGGGAAATTCAGTTTAATTTTCAAGAAGCTGCTTGATTATCTTCTGCAATGCTGACAATGGACTTAAACGCTTAGGCCGTTACCAGCATGGTTCAAGAAGTGTGTCGTACGGTGGAGACGGTTCCTGATAGAGCTATGCAGTTGAAGATAATTGAAGCAATCCGATCTGTTACTGAAGGAAAAATCTATGTGGAAGTCGAGCGTGCCCGTATCACGTACAAGTTGTCCCAGATGTTGGAGGCCGAAGGAAAAGTGAAAGAAGCAGCAGAAGTGCTTCAAGAGCTCCAGGTAACTAGCATTAAATTTCGCTATTTCTGGGCGTTTGCTTTTGGGAATTTAAACGACTGCAATTTACTTGATCTCTCAATAAATGATAGATTGAAACTTATGGATCAATGGACCGTCGAGAGAAAATAGAGCTACTGCTGGAACAGATGCGCCTTTGCTTGAACAACAAGGATTACATCCGAACTCAGATAATCAGCCGAAAAATCAGTGTCAGATTCTTTGAAGATGCAGCTCAACAGGTAAAGGCTATTACAGTATTGTGGTTAATCTATGCCATATTTTGCGTTCAGTGCATGTGCTTGTTATAGTTTGCATATTTGCTGAATTTTTACGTAAGATATACTTACGGTTTATATTTACTTGTGGTTTTCAGGATTTGAAACTCAAGTATTATAAACTGATGATTTTGCTTGACGAGCATGACGAAAAGTTCCTAAACGTCTCGCGACATTATAACGCCATATATAAAACAAAGCAGATCTTCGAAAATTTGCCGGATGCTCTTCAGGTGAGATATAGATAATTTATGTACGAATTAGTATCAACAATTTTTGTCGAATGCTACCGTAAGTAATACGTGGATTTTAGAGAGCAGGTGTACTTGTTTCCCTTGGAACGTCCAGGTTAAAAAATAATGCAGAGCGTTTTGGGTATTGTCCCATCTCTTGTTAATTGCAATCATTTAAATTTTGATTTCGAAACCAGTGTTAATTTGTGAAAAGTGTACGTTAAATGAAATTCTCTTTTCAGGCACTTCAGTGCATGATCTCGTACCTTGTACTGGCGCCTTTCGATAATGAACAGTCTGACCTGCTGCACAGAGTTAAGGAAGACAAAAATTTGGACCACATGTTGCCTTATAAGTAAGCTAGGAATTGCGTGTAGCTACAAAGTAGATGCTGTGGTGGCTTCATTGGCTTGTGAATCTGTTAATAAATAATAACCTTATATGTGCCCTTGGTTATTAGGAAGCTGGTGAAGAGTTTCTTGACTAATGAAATCATCCAGTGGAGCAAATTTGTCGCTGAGTTGGAAAAGGATCTGCGACAGGGTTCGAAAGAATTGCCCGCTGTGTATGTTTTCAAACCGGAGGTGGATGGCGGGCCGGCTCGCTGGGAACATCTGCGACAGCGCGTTATTGAACACAATATCCGCATCATGGCCATGTACTATTCGCGTGTGTCCCTTACGCGTTTGGCACAGCTCCTCAGCTTGACCCCCCTGGAATCTGAGGAATATATTGGCAAATTGGTACGAAGCGCTCGTTATAAAATCAGTAGCCTACTGTCGATGGAATGGTAACATTATGGCTTTTGACCTTTTTGTTAGGTCACCAAGAAAACAATTTTTGCTCGCATCGATCGGCCTGATGGTGTCATAGTTTTCCGTCCTCAGAAAAACGTCAACGCCGTCTTAGATGATTGGGCTGGGAATGTGGCGAAACTAATGCAAATGATTAATCAGACAACGCATTTAATTAACAAAGAGGAAATGGTGCATGGTATGGAGCACGTCGTGGCCGCCGGTGCTGACAAAGATTAGCTGGTTTAAATTGTGTATTGTGCAGTTGTTTTCGAGTTTTTGCTTTGATGTAGATCGGTTATTAGGCACATGTACCAGCGTACATTTTTTCCTTAACCTTGGTTGGTAAACTGCTTCAGCTGGATTTGGTATCTGTTTTCTTACTTTTCATAAACTATGCTGATACAAAATAAACACACTAACTTACTGTATGCCAGCTAAACATTTGTAATTACATATTAACTATTTTCGTTCATTCATACTCGTGCTACAGGCCAGAAATTAAGTTTGAAACATCTATACTAACTTTGATTTGCATTTAAGACTTCAGCAGCTGAGGCTTTGCAATATGCTGCGTTTCTAAAATGTTCAAGACAAAGGTTTTTATAGTACTGGTTTTAATTGCAAAGTTCTGTATTTGTGTTGAACTTGCTAAATTTCATATACTAACTATGCTGACAGACTGATGAAATGGCGTTAAAATCATTATAGTTCGTAACTTACTATTCAAAAGCAAAATTTATTTGTTGGATAAGCCTGAAATAATTATAATTTATCATGTTACAACTTACGGAATCAAGAAAATATCGAATCTTACTGTTTAAATTACTGTTCGCAGATTATATTTTGGATTTTATTGAAGTTGCACAGAACAGCGATCGAAATGAAAACTAGGGACAATTAAATCATTTTTCTAAGCAAAACATTGATCTTCTCTTCCCGATTACCGAAATCACCGCCAGTGACGAAGTGGTTGGTCTTCTTTCTCCATCCTCCGGTGGGATTATTCAGCTTGAAGGGCCAAAGGAAGTTGGTCGCCTGCTTGAAATGCGGGCCCACGGTGTAAATCTCGTGGATGATGTCCTCCACGCAAATGATGTTAAACTTGCCTGCAAGAATACAAACGAATACTTAATGCCGCAAGGAATGCGCAAGCACAACAACGCAAATTACCCAAAGCCTTTTCAATGAGGGAGTTGTCGTTCAGTGGAATCCGACGTCCCTGCACTTTGCCATAACCACGCTTGTAAACGAGGTCCCGAATGGTCTTCAAATTGGGATACCCCCAGGCAATGTAGGGATCAGCCAGACGTAGCATGTTCAGCGTAGCCTTGTTCAGTTTGACGAAGACACCGTTGTTGATCTGACGCACACGGAACAGCTTCATCACCTGTCGCGGCTTCGGACTGACGCCGTTCACACCGCGAATACGGACCACAAAGGCCAAGCGGGGCTCATCCGGGACGTAAAAGTTCTTGGCCTTCTTAGCCTGGCGCTTCAGTCTGACTTCATCGCGCTCCTTGGCCCGGTACTCTTTGACATACTGTTCGGCGCGCTTGAAAATCAGTCCCCGGGTCACTTTGGCCTTCTGGCGTCTCTTGATCGCCTTGTTCGCCGCTCGCTGCTTCGCTTCAGCCCCGCGCTTGCGATTCTTCAGCAAAGTCTCCGGGACCGATGGGAGTTTCTTGGGATCCTTGGCAGAAGACTTGCCAGCGGACTTCTCTTTTGGTGCGTCCTTCACTTGGGTCTTCGTTGGGGCTGACATTTTATCCTGGTGGGGAGATAACGCTATTTCACAGATGGAAAGCCACAGGATTAGCTTTTTCTTTATAAGAAAATAAATCTATCCACACTTACCTAGGGAACTGCTGTGACAATCGCTAGAATCTACGTTGAAGTTTGAGGAGCTCCAGCACACCGATTAAGGACGCTGATATGCGCACTCTGCACTGCAGATTGCAGCGCTGCTGCCAAACGGGCTACAGGCTATATGGCTACCGCCTGTCGATGCGGTGTGCGATGTGTTATGGGCGTGAACATAATGGTTTCGTCACCGGATACTTTTTTAAAAAAGAATTCCGGTACATTTATTACCTGATTACCGTACGTACTTCTACAAATTTTTTCAATTTTCTAAGGCTTTTTTAGACTTAAAAATCAGACGTAAGGACGTCAAAAATAATGTCGTTTTTTCTTGAATATTATTCATATTAAACTGCACTCCCTTCGGCCTTCGCCAACTTTGTAAAAATTGACCAGCGTAAACACGCGGATAACCGATAGGGCTGGCAGCACAGTGCCATCTGCTTCTATGAACTGAACCGATTCTGCTGACGCATCGTAGAACAAGAACAGCTTCGAGTTGCTGTTTCTTTCCATTCTGTCAGAACTTGCGATGTGAACAACTGTTGTTTTGCATTTTTCTACCAGAAATTTGTAAATTCGATATATTAGCGAGACTCCGTTGTGTATACTCTGATTATCCTGCTTAATTGGAAAGCTTACCTTCTAACTGGGACTACTTACGTCTCGTCGAAGGAGATTGAATAGACCACAGAGCCGAGCTTACACTAATTTTCGGAAGTGTGGCCATAATCCGCCATATCCATTCGGAAAATGCCTTTAACTACAGCAACAGGCATCCTGGCTATGTTGGATGAGAAAGATCCTAAACTGAAACGTTACGCCCTGGCGTCAATGAACCGCTTAATGGAAGAGTACTGGCCAGAATTCGCTGAGTCGGAATTTATCCGCAAAGTGGAGGTCTTCCAAGAGTCCAAGGAAAATCCTAACGAAGAACGCCAGCTGGCCGCTCTCGTGGCTTCGAAGATCTATTATCATCTAAATTCTTTGGAGCAAGCTCTGCAGAGTGCTCTGGGCGCTGAGGCCATCCTGGACCTGACAGAGCGCAGCGAATTCATTCGAACCATCCTGGCTCGATGTATCGACATCTACATCAAACAACGCCAGGAAAGCGTGGAACATCGCCAAGGTGATGGCCCGGAAGCTGATCCCCGACTGGAGAAGCTTGTTAACCGGTTGATCCAACAATGTTTTGACCATCGCCAATACAAGCAAGCCATGGGTAAATATGGAATAATTTCCTAGCAGATGTGAGAAATAATAAATAGAAATTGGAAAATATGTGTTACCATCAACTGTACGCTTGAATTGCGAATAGCGGATTGGATTCATAGACCTGACTCATGATTTTACTTCTCATTTTTTAGGCCTTGGAATCGAAGCTCGGCGTCTGGATGTATTCGAGAAAGCGGTGACGGAATCAGGCGACCAGCGCGGCATGTTGGGCTATGGGATGCGCATTGCCATGTCACTCGTACAGCATCGTCAGTTCCGCTCGGATCTGTTCAGCAAACTCGTCAGTTTGTACGTCAACGTCCATCCGCCTGACTACATAAATATGGTGCAGTGTCTCATCTTCATGGAGCGCCCTAATGAAGTGGCGGAGATTTTGGCGCGTCTGCTGGAAAAGGACGATCAGCGGTTGATGGCGTATCAACTTGGATTCGATTTGTACGAAAACGGAACACAACAACTCCTTCACTCCATTCGCCTGGCATTGAAAGATAAGGGCACTGGAGTGGTCGGACCAGTAAAGGATGCTATGGAGAAGTTGGATACAATTCTCAGTGGTCAGACTACAATCCAGCTGCACCTGCAGTTTCTGATCCGGAATAACCATACTGATTTGGTTATCTTAAAACATACGAAGGACGCCGTTCGGAATTCGGTTAATCATAATGCAGCCATCGTCGCAAACGGGTTCATGAATTGTGGAACCACTTCGGATGTATTTTTAAGGTACAAAAGTTTTTTTTTATCAGTCTCAGCTGTTTTCGCTTTGTATAATTATTGTCTGGTTCTCAGGGATAATCTGGAATGGTTAGGGCGTGCGACGAATTGGGCCAAGTTTTCGGCTACCGCCAGCTTAGGTGTAATTCATCGGGGACATGAAAAGGATCCATTGAAACTGATGTCGACATACCTTCCCAAAGATGCTGGAGCTGGTTCCTATGCTGAAGGTGGTGGTCTCTATGCCCTCGGATTGATCCATGCTAACCACGGGACGGAGCAGATCGTTGATTATCTTTCTGAGCAGCTGAAAGCGGCGAGCAATGAAATGGTTCGGCATGGTGGTTGCCTCGGGTTGGGATTAGCGGCCATGTCTACCGCACGTGATGATATTTATGAACTCCTGAAGCAGAATTTATTTCAGGACGACGCGATCACAGGTTAGGTCGCCAGACTTATTTTTTTGATAAGTCAAAAGAATGTATTTGTAAAGTCTTTTTTATGTTACGGCATAATCAAATTTTAGCTGGTTGGTCTATGCTGTGTCAGATGTATTTAACCAATTATTTGGTTCAGACTGGAGAAAGAGATTCAACCATTTGATTTTATAGGGGAAGCGGCATCCGTAGCCATGGGTTTGGTCATGTTGGGCTCGCATAACGCTAAGGCGGTTGAGGACATGGTTACCTATGCGCATGAGACCCAGCATGAGAAGATTTTGCGAGGTTTGGCTGTGGCATTGGCCCTGGTGATGTTCGGTCGTCTGGAGGAGGCTGATCCGCTTATTACACAGTTAATGGACGACAAGGATCCTATTATGCGCCGCTGTGCCATGTATACGATTGCTATGGCGTATTGCGGCACTGGGAATAACGAAGCTATTCGGAAACTGCTGCACGTTGCCGTCAGCGACACCGATAATGATGTGAGACGCTCTGCTGTATTGGGCATTGGCTTCTTGCTGTTCCGTCACCCGGAACAGTGCCCCGGTGCTGTAGATTTGCTGGCCGAGAGCTACAATCCGCATGTGCGTTATGGTGCTGCACTGGCTCTTGGGATTGCTTGTGCAGGAACAGGAAGTCGTGAGGCTATCAGCATTCTGGAGCCGATGTTGAATGACACAGTGAATTACGTGCGCCAGGGCGTTTACATTGCATCGGCGATGATTCTCATGCAACACAATGAAGAAACCTGTCCCAAATCCAAAGAATTCCGGGAAAAATATCGCAAAGCCATTGATGATAAGCATGAAGATGTTATGGCACGATTTGGAGCCATAGTGGCGCAAGGCATTATTGATGCAGGTGGACGGAATGTGACGATATCGGCTCAGACCCGAACCGGACACACGTCGTTACCGACCGTGGTTGGTTTGTTCGTTTTTACCCAGTTTTGGTATTGGTTTCCCTTTACCCATTTCTTGTCAATGGCCTTCACTCCTACTTGTTTAATTGCATTGAATAAGGATCTTAAGATGCCAAAAATTAATCTGAAATCTGCTGCGGAGCCGAAGAAATTCGCTTATCCTCCACCCGCGGAAGAAAAGAAAAGTCACACCGTGGAAAAGGTGCAGACAGCGGTATTGAGCATCACTGCGAAACAGCGCCGCAAGGACGAACTGAAAAAGATGAGCGATAGTGGGAAGAGTGACGATAAAATGGATGTTGATGAGGATAAAAAGGAAGAGGGAAAAGCCGATGGAAAAGATGAAGTTACTAAAATGGAGGAGGCTCCCAAAGATCATTTAATACTGCAGAATCCAGCGCGCGTGATGAATGCCCAACTTCGTGTGATGAGCGTGGCTGATGAGACGCGCTATCGTCCATTGAAGCCGATTAGTACCGGCGGCATTATTATGCTGGCCGACACCAGTTTGGAACCGGAAGAGATTGTGGAGAGCCTGGCACCATCAGGCCCAAAATACGAGGGTGAAGAACAGGAGCCGACACCTCCGGAACCCTTCGAATATGTTGAGGAGTAATTTCTTGTCGTTTCATCTGAAGTTTTTTTTAAATATGATGTTGGTTTTGTAACTGAAAATATTTGTTTCATGTTTATTCTATCCACATCTGGCATAAGTTGAGCGAGTTCGAATAATAAATTGATGCATCAGAATAGCAGGTTTGATGAAATCCAGCATATTTAAGCAGGCACATATAATGACCGCTGCTAATGCGGCTTTGGGAATGTACTGTAAAGCACTGCTCAGGGTCACAATAGCGATAATAACAAACGATCCTAAAACAAATGAAAATGTATATTAAATGGTGCTTATGTACGTACAGATGCTTGTTTAATGTACTTACCTGTAACTATTCCTCCCATTGGAGTACGCACACCGGATTCGGCATTCAGAGCAGAACGGGTAAATGCTCCCGTCACAGCGTACGACCCAAAAAAGGATGATACCATATTGGCCGTTCCCAGCGCCAGAAATTCCTGTGTTATGGAGATATTGTAATGATATTTGTGAGCAAACGTTTTGGCTACAGCCAATGATTCCACCATTGCCAGGAGCGGCACCAGTACTAAACCCGGTCCGAAGGTTCGCAGGATTTCGCTCAGTGCCAATCCACCAACGGCAAAGTTCGGCATTTTGGGAGCGGATAGTTTAGCAGTCACGTTTCCGGTTGCAGACAATGCTCGAATCCCCGATGACATTACCAAGTAGTTGAGAAGTGTCGCACTCATTACCACAATCGCATACCGAGCTATACATGCAATAATTATGGTAACAATTTTAGCCCACATTGTGAAAACATATTATCCTTCCGTTGTGATGTATGCTGTATGGAAAATTCATTGTTAAACATTTGTATGGCTGCGTACTTACAGACTCCGCAAAGGTGAATTACGTCAGCAAGGCTTCTGTACCATTTTGGTATGGATCCTTCTCGAAGCGGAAGTCGCATTCCTTTCATTAACAATAAAGTTGTGATGCTTATACATCCTAGTAGAACATCCCAGCCGCTATATAAAGCACGGTTTCTGTTAACTTACACGCGCACGAAAATTTATTAATTACCCAGCATGGAAATAATACTATATAGCAGTTTGCTGTACCAGTCGATGGCTTTCGCACTTTGTTTTGCTCATGTGCTTTATGTATCCGCCAATTGTTTCGATGACAGTATCAGATGCTTCTCCAAATTTTAGGCCCATCATGTTTTTTACCTGGCTCAGGATAATAACAATCACTGCTGCTTGTGTAAAGCCGCTCACGACAGGAACAGAGATGAAGTTGATAATAAATCCTACTCAAAACACCCAGCAGTTGATATATGTACGATATTATAATACGTACTCTTGCAATACAGGTAATAATTATTTATATATGTCGAGTTAAACCAGCCAGATCTCATTTTCGTACACCTGATTAATGGAGATAAAAACATATACAAAAAGTTTAATAATTTATGTATTTGTAGATATAGTATGCGCATTTACAGAAAGTACAACATTTTCTGTGTTATACCTAAACGCAAGAGTGCCACTGCCAACTGAAAACATCCAACAAAAAAACACAACAGCACTGCCCATTCGCCGGGTGTCCCAACGATGCGACTAATGAACGTTCCGGTAAGAAGGGATAAGATCGCAGTTGGACCGACCGTCACATCCTTTGATGTCCCCAACAACGTGTAAACGAAACAGCCGAGATAAGCGGAATTTAATCCGTACTGAAAACTGGCCCATTAACATACTGAATATTCAAAATCATAATTATTGCTAAACTGTAATATCTGTGACCTTGCGCGCATGAAAGCCTAACAGCAATAGCATGCTGTAAACTGCTCACCTCCAAATCGATATCCGCAATGACTGCGTATGCCAAACACTGCGGAACAACGGTCAACCCCACGGTCAATCCAGCAATAAGGTCACCCACAAAATCCTCCCTGCTATATTTCGGTAGCCATTGAAGAATTGGCAGTTTTCGTTTGAATGTACCAATAGTGCAGCAGTTCTTCGTTTCGTTGGTGAAATCTTTCGGAGTCATGGGACCACCGAATCTGTACTGTTCCTCTTCCAACGAATTACGATCTGCAGAATAAGTTGCGCATGTGCCGGACCGCTGGCTGACACAGTTTTACGTAAATGGCATGTGGTACACCGCATATTAGAGGAGTATGAAAAACACGTTGATATTAATTCTAAGCTACCTGTGCTGTTTCCACCTAAACTGGTTTGTGTTTGAGACTGGAAAAGGGGTCGATGAGCGGATGGGTGACGGCGGACAATATGGGCCAAGCTAGACGGCAGCATTCCAGCGGAGGGTTTTTTTATCGGCTGAATGGTTGTGGAAGATTCGCGATGGACTTCCGACGCTGTTGAATGTGTTCTTGGTAGCAAGACTTCATCGGGCGCAGCGAGGAAACGAGGTGGTAATTTGGCAATTTCAGCCTGTATTTGCTCGATCCCCAGTTCCTGCTCAGCGTAATCGATGGTGTTGATCGCATCCACGTTGTCTTCTGGACCTAATGAGCTTGTAGCCATTTAGATTGCTGCTGAGGTAGGAAACTTGACGGAAAAATGATTATTGTCGATGCGCCCAGATTGTGAGTTTCAGAATTATGGACACGAGAAACATGACCTTTCGATTACGAAATCTCATCATAGCGTGCGGTTTCTTAGCGGACATTTTGCTGCATTCATTTCAAAAACAGCAAAACACCAGTTAACGAAATTTGGAAAAACCTAAATCATTTCGTTAATAACTGGAAGATTAGTTCTTAGCTACACCATGAGATTTGATCTTAGCCTACATGCTAAATTTGAATGCTTACTGTACGCTGTTTACAACAATTTGTTCGGCAGGCAGAATATGCGGAAGTGTGCTATATATGTCAGCTATGATATACCACTAGAATACTATATGAACACTGACATACATCGACGTGAATATTTCGTGTAATTTACATTTACTTAATAAAAGTTAATATCAGCACTGGAGAGCCACGCATCAAACTTTAATACACGACTAATTTCTGTTAATTAGTTTTGGGTGTTTTGGTGGCTTTTGGTCAGTTTTTCACTCGCTGATTTTGATATGAAAATGTTATTTTATTTCAAACTTACTCGCGAAAACACATTTTGCTATGTATTTTCTGCATTTCTTCAGCCAGGTTTAAAATCCCATACTAGATGAGACCCTAGCCGGATTTGGGCTACCTGCACTTACTCGAATTAAATTAAATCAAATATCGAAATGAAATATTATTTTACGGATTCGGGATTAGTAATTACAGTAAGTATAAAATACTTACTTAATTGAAATTTCGTATTTTACTTACACTTTACAGTACTTACTTGCTGAAACTGTTCGTAAGCAGTTATTATACGTTCGTACAAGTACTTTTTTGAATCCGGTCGCAACAAATTAAAGACTGAAAATGGTTTTTTTTACATACGCGCAAGTACATATGTATACATAGATTATAATATATTTTAATACTGTATTCAGGTACTCATTATTCCACTAATTCCAGTATGGAAGTCACATGTCTAAAGAATTGTCGCAATGTTATTAAAATATCTTATAAGTGGTATTTTTCGCACGTACAGCAATCTAATCACTTAATTCGTAAATCCCACGCTGGATTGCCACCTTAGTGGAAGTTCACTACCTGCTCTGTTTCAAATTCAAGTTCCATAAAGCTTTCACTACACGGTACGCGAATATCCTTGACCGGTGGTGAACCGAAGGAAGCCCGGTGGTGAACTGTACAGTAATATGCGTAATGAAGTCTGGTAAATTTTTAAAACTTTTTGGGAGTTCACATTAATTAGGTACTTTGTAAAGAATCTAGTATAGTATATGTGCTGCAGACAATCTTCGCCACTAACACCCGGCAATCGTTAAGAAAGATTACAAGCAAATCACGAGATCTGAAGTTTAACATTATAATGCACCAAAGTTTCTTCTGCAAAGATAAATTATTATTAATCGTCATGCACCCGCTAGTGCTGTAATACATATTATGAGGACGCTTTAATAATGCAACATAAAGATACACAGTAGACAGTAAAACTCTATGGTAAAACCAACTGCAGCACTGACAAACGTCCGGCCAAAATCATATCATGCAGTCCCTAGGTACAATTCTTTAAATAAATAACTTGACGCTATAGCAGATGCCACAATGGGTCAGTAACATCAGAGAAGGTTGTGTTCGCTACTGCTGTATAACGTCGCCTTTCGTTTTGCAGCTAGCGCTTTTGATGTCCAAGTTTTTCAATTGACTGGCTTCGGCTTTTCAAATTCTGTGAAAAAAAAATGGTCAGCATTCAGTTTATAAGCATTTACCAAGCCGGCGCAAAGTAGAGCCGCCACCAGTCCAGCAAAATTTTCCAGCACAATGGTTTTTCCCGAAGAAAATAAGCACATCTCTAGAATTCCTCTTACAGCTCAGGTAAAACTTAAAAATATAATAAACCTGATGAGAAACCATCAGTTTTGCAGTTTTTTAACCATAACCATGATAAGGTGTACAGTCATATTCTGCCTGTACACTCATAACATCCTAATTCAGGTTAGTAGCGGCTTATGAATGGTATAAATAGCATTCCTATAGCGTGCACGATGAAGCGTAAGAAAATTACACCTAGTAATATGCAGTACAAACTAAAAGATACAAAAACACAAAGGTCTGATAGCATTAAAAATGCAACGCTCACTTTTTAGAACATCCTTCGTCTGGTAGTAAGCAGCGCTGGCCAATTCCCGACTAGCTTTGGGATAGCAGACTGCGGCAGCCGCGCCCAGTCCGATTCCGGTATACAGCAACTTGCGAAAAACTCCACCTATGGTTACAAGACAAAAACGATGCAACCAACCGACCTCCAGGAACAGTGATTTTCCATCCTTTACAAGGGCTATTATTGCTCTGGTCACTTACGCCTGTAAGCTGCCAGGAAACCAATAAGGCCTCCGGCCGAAATAGCCAGGGCACGAGGCAGAACCCTGGCGTCATCCCGTAACATATCTAAAGTACCTGTACAAAAAGCGAGAGCGGTATCATGCTATCAGCTGCGAAATAAAAATGTATGCATCTACCAGCATCTTATAATAAAAACGAGCACAGTTCTTCCACGACTTACTCACTTTGACTATGCGCTTTACCAGTTGCGTATATGTCGGACACCCGCTCTCTCACTTTCTGCAAATCATGGCAAGAATTATTTCCAGATAGTGCACCAGTAAGGCGAACCTTCAAATGCGTTGTAAAGTAATCATTTAACTGCTGTCTGCTCGTGCAATAGCGACGGTGGGCGAGGAAAACTGCAGAAACCATGCAAAACTGTTTCTGAAAAGCGTTTGCTGACATACCTCTGATCCCTCAGGAAGTACGGAAGCAACGGCTTGTCTGACTTGGCTTATCTGCTGCTCTAGGAAGGAAGGAGGAGTGGGCTCCACGAAATAGGCCTGCTGGCTAACAGGCGCTTGTTCCTCATAAACGGGGAGCTGCAACCATTGTGAATCAACACCAACAAGTTACATCGTTAAATTAAAATACCATCAGTCATCGCAGTCACAAAACTCCCGTCTAGTGGACTGCTGCGGTTCCTGTATATGAACATCGACAGGCCACTCACGTCGGTAACTTTCAGCATCACACTGACGCGGTCGTCTTTGCGGCCAGCCACAGGCGATGAAAGCAGAGAAGCTCCGAGAAGAATACCAGTATTCCGCACTGCCATTCGTCGTGCTACGAGCATTCTCAGTGTTTTCATAAACTCCTTTGCGACAATTTCAAGCCAGCCAATGAAAGATCTATCAAGGTAATAATTATTACTTCTTATAGCTCAGTAAATGACTCTTATATAACATTGAAACCAATAACAATATTCACCACCATAAAACTAGAAAACCAAAAAAAGCAGAACTTCCAAACGAAAAAATCTTCTCCTTCTACCTTCTGAATCTCTTCCACTCCAGTGACTCCAGTTTTGGATTTCAATGCCGTCACGTCGCCGTGTAAAGGAAGCTTTTCAAGGTAACCGCAGCCCAAGGGAAAAAAGTTGTAACACCCCAGGGTGGCTTGCTGGTGACTTCACGATTTAAGAATTTTGAGTACTCGTATCACGTATGAATATACAGTACTGTACTTTACCGCGGTATTTGTGCAAAACGTGCGCGCAGATGTTTTGGTGCAGATGTTTGCATTTTGATTTTGTTTCATTTTCATTTCAATTGCATTTAAAGTTCCAATTAACCGAAATCTGATAAGCCTTGCCAGTCGGTTGAAACTTGGGCTCTTTATGTAGTACGGACCTATACGGTAGTCTTCTTTCGACTTTCGGTAATAATTACTTACCTTGATGACACGCTTCGCTAATCGTTTTCCAAGCTATCTTTTTGTAGGCTACTAGTACTGCGTTTTGAATTAAACAACAGGACTAACCATAAGCTGTTAATAATTTTATAAGCAGGCAGATTCATGTTTTTTCCTAGATTGACGAGAAAGCATTTTAATAACATTAGGAGAAAGCATTTTATGCAATCTTTCTGTCGTTACAATTTTTGTTACTGATTTTCTTGTTGATACCGAAGCAGTGCCGCGCTCTACAGGTTTAGATAATTCAAGGGTTCTTTACAGCTAGACTGGTAAAAGTTTTTAATTAAAATATAAGTAGTTATGGTTTATGGTCAAAACGTTGACTGGAAATCAGAAAAAGTGAAGTTTGATAAAGTATATTGTGCCTCTGTTTAAGAATTATATAGTATATATGCAGCTGTATAGGATTGAAGAGCAAGGGAATCACAAGTGATAATTATTATTGCTAACCATAGATCCTGATTCTTGATACGGAGTGATTTCGTCAACTTATATCTGCAAACGCTAAGCACTGAACCTATAATATATGCACTGCGGTGGTACTTACTACTCTAGTGCTTTTATCGAGATGCCCTTTGATCACTGAGAGATGCCCTTTACGAGTGCCTGTAACAATTAACAGTGTGTTTTGGAATAAAATACCTATGTTTTTATATATGAAGTACAGGATTACAGTACACATACCTTCTGCACTTTCGTCTGCCGGTAGTTTGTGCGGTCACTTTTTATGTGGATGAATACTGGTTGGTCGTTGCTTGTAAAACAACGACATATTATAATATTTATGCGCGCGTCGAAGAATACGAGTATAAGGTGCTCTGATCAGGAAAATGTTACTGGTCTAGTTCTATAGCTGTTATTTCTTTTGTTTATACATTAGTTTAGATTAAATTAGTTTGCTGTTCTTACGTTTAGGCTACTGGCAAAATGGTAAAGCGTCGCATTGGACTTGTGGGTTATGGTCATGTTGGTAAGTGAAATACCTGACCACTATAAATTGAAAGGTTTAATTTAGTGGTTTTAACATAAGAGTACTGTATTTTTGTACGTGAATGGAGAATACACTGTACTACCTAATCCCTACTATTTTACGCAACATAAACATTGTTCAATATTAGAATATATTTGGTTTACATAAAGTCTTTCTGCTGGCATAACGGTTCAGTTTCTGATTAATATTTATTACTGTTACTGCAGGTCAACATTTACACAATTTTATTTTACGACAATCAAACTTGGAATTGGTATTCATCTGGAACCGGACGCGTGATGTGCTAGTGAATGCTGAAATTCCCGAAACTCTAATCTTAGATGACCTCGACAACGTGGGAAGCCGGTAAATACAGTATTTTCCAAGAACATGCATTCGCTCTAATCTATGATGTGGGGACTACATATACTTCGCACTCTTCTTCGCACTCTACATACTTTACGAAAAATTTAAAACTTACTAGTTAGAATCCTTACGTTAACACTTAACAGTACTTCTGAATTTTTTACCATCGAAAACGCTTACCAGAAACTGTTGCATGAATGTTTTGCAGAAAATGTGATCTTATCGTCGAAGTAGCTCATCCGGATATTACAAAAAAATATGGTGCCGAATTCCTTAAGCACGCGGACTATATGGTATCGTGCCAATAATTACGTTGAATTAAACGAATTATAAATTTGAGTTATTTTTAGGCTTCCAAACTAAGACTTATTAAAATATTTTTATTTGTATAAGCTGTGCCTAACGCTATAATACTTCTATATAACCTGCAGAAGTATTGTAATGTGTACCGGAAACGTCAAAAATAAAAAATCCAAAATGTACTGCAAATCTGCATCAGCAGAAATTTGTGGACTGATTGGTTATCCTTACCTTCTCGGTTAACTTCTAAATTCACTTGCAATTAATTCCTAGATTGGATCACCCACTGCTTTGGCCGATGAAGATCTTGAGTATAGTCTACGGGAATTGGCCAACGAAGGGAAGCATGGGTTGTACGTACCGGTTGGGGCGTTGTGGGGTGCAGAGGACATTCGCAGGATGGCCAATGCAGGAATTTTGCAGGTTTCAAATAATATATGTCTTCTAAACTGAAATATCTGTATTTCTGCATAAAGCAGTTTTATGTGGCTAGTGGTGGTTTGCTTAATTACATCTCTAGAAGCATATTAAACAGTTGTATTAAAGTATAAATGGTCTTCTAAATATGCGATCTACATTACAGGCATTGACAATCACAATGACCAAACACCCGTCGGCATTTAGACTTTCTGGAAAGCTTAACGAATTGAATGAGGAAGCAGCAAGTACATCCCGCCCGGTGACCCTGTACGAAGGTACAAAGAATACGTAGTTATTCGTTACAATGTGTGTGGAATCGGTTGGCTGAAGGAAGGGCGTATGATTATTGATTATGGGCAACCGAATTTGTTGTTTTTTTGCTATACAAATACATAATTATTTAGAAGTTTGTCATAATAATTTTGTCCATGCACAGTGATGATGCACTTGGTGATATTTCGGTAGTATGTACACAATGAGGATTTCCGGTTCCAGGAGGAATACGGGCTCTATGTCGGCTAGCACCAAATAATGTCAACACCATGGCTGCAGCTGCTCTGGCAGCCCACAATCTGGGATTCGACAAAGTTCAGGGAAAGTTGGTCTCGGATCCCAAGTAGGTCATGCGGCATACATTTCCGGTCACCAGTTCAATTAAATGCAGATCATGACGCTCACTCCCTTGGTGCAGGTTAATGGCCAAATGGCGTTGGTGGTTAGACCTTTAGAACAGCTAAGAATACTCACACAAAATTATCTAGTTTAGAGGAGTTGCTAATTTTTTACTCATCATTATTCGATGGCTGACCACGGACCACGATAAACTGAACTCATGGTTAGCTAAGCAATCAGTAACCTGCCTCTGATTAGTTTTACGTACGTTGTTAGTGGTTTAATATTGGCTATCGTATTGTAAACTATTGGTGTTTCATCTAAATTATTATGACCTTCAATAGGGAACTTGGGTGGCATATAATAACAATAGAGGTACTTGGAAGCCCACAGCCTAATGGAACTCAGCTAAGTATTAGGACAGAACGAAGAAATCCCGCGGACGTGGGGGCGGTCACCGGATCGGCTACCTACGCTTCCTTTGCTAACAGCCTTCTTGGTAAGCTATATTCGGTAACTCCAGTGTGCAATTTCTGCCATAAATAATTATAATTATACCTTGATTTAGCGGCATATGGCAGAGGAGCCGGATTTCATGTATGTTGAATCTGTGGAGTGTGGACCTTCGAAACATTGAAAAATTAAATCGAACCCCCAATTTTTTGCTTAAGCTCCATTTCCGGATCCGAACAAAACCGGCGAACGGCTTGACGGGCCTGAGCCTTGCACGCGTCATAGGATGCTTGTACGGCTGTACCACAGAACGGTCCAAAATAATTTGAACAGTTGCTAACTTGGTGGTGTTATAAAATACTTACAACATTATTATCAAATAATATCATATTACTGTATCATATTATTTTGTTTCACATGTCTTTTCCTCAGTTTCCTGCATAGTGCATCCCAGTCCCCCGGATGACGCCATTTCTAACATATAATTTATTATAACAAAGACAGATGTCTGAGTTGCGCCTGTTTTCAATGTTTTCATGATAGTAAACGGCAGCAGTACAAATGTACATGTACAGCTATCCATAATTACCACTTCCCTCAAAAGCAACAAATACTATAAGGTGCTTGATTAAGTGAGCTTGGTTAAGTGATTGGATTGCCTGGAGTCTTGGAGACCGCAAAACTTTTTGTCCTAACTGTTAAGCAGTAAAATTTCTAAACGTGAATAATTTAGGATCATATCGAATGCGTAGTTAATAATAATAAACATTAAACCGTTACAGTTAGCGGAAACGCAAAAGTAAGAACGAGTACCGGAATGAAGGCCGAAGGGTATGGTAAAAGTGAATCTAAGTCTGGACCATTATTATTCAAGATTTCGCGCTTAGGATCTCATCTCCGAAGTTTATTTAACCACCAGCAAAAGAACAGAGGACTCGATGGATTAACAAAAGATGTTCGGAATCGCATATGAAATAATAAGGTATTATTAATCGAATAGTCCAAATCCCATGTCGTCATCCTCTTCTTCTTCTTTGTCTTTTCCCTTCTTCTCCTCCTTTTTGGCTTCTACAAACGTAGCTCGATTAATGATGCACCTTATTAGCGAATATCTTATCATGAAATCTACTATGAATGAAGTATTTTAAAAATTTTCTGATTTTCAACTGTGAAATCGAAAACATCTGCAAACTGCTCAGGATTACAAAAAGCCTTAATTGCTCTTTGCACGTATTCGCTGTACCTTCTTTAGCGGCAGGCTTGTCGTCTTTCACGACGGTGGGTGTAGCACCAGCCGCTGGGGCTGCTGGTCCTGCGGCAGGAAGAGCTGCTAGTTTCTTGGAACCTGCAACACCAAAGTAAAGTACAGCACAAGTCCTCCACGACAAACTACGGTCCTTAAAAAATTTCTGATCCTTCAGTAGTGCCCAACATTTATGAATTTCTTACCTTGTGCAATAACTTCTTCCACATTCTTTCCTTTAAGCTTTTCCAGTACAAGTTTTATTCTCTGCTTATCCGCATCAATTCCGACACTGCTTAAGACCTTCTCGATATCTTCTGCGGTAGGGTTGGTCTTGCCGCCCAGAGTGCATAAAAGATACGCTGCAAGGTACCGCATCGTGGGAGATAACGTCTATCACGAAAGATCTAAATAAAAAAATCTGGGAACCTTTTGAGAACTCAAAAAACTTCAGAGAGCCTAGAAAGTGTTCAGTGGTCCGATCATCGATTTGCGGTTCTCTGAGGATGCCGATTGAGCAAAATTTTCAGAGTTGTGCACCACGTGAAACTGCACATACAGATTGCACTGTGACGTCGTGCATAGTGCGCACAAAATGTGCGTTGTGCATGTGGCGCAGTAGACAGTTGACACTAGACACAGTGCGCGGAGTCACGCCGGAGTGCCGCGGACACAGTGTGCCCCAAACCCAAAGTACGTACTGTGCTTGCCGTCCTCAAAGACGATCCAATGAATTTTGATTTTTGAACAAAAATTTTGAAACGCCAGATATACATAGATAATGACGTTTAAAATTTAACCTGCACAACAAATTGTTGTTCACAATTTAACATTTTTGCCATTTACCAAGCGTACTGTAATCATTTTGACAGGAATGGTGCCCTTTCAGCCAACTCCTATTGGGGCAGGCTGTAACACAACTCCGAGTGGGGCAGGCTCTAACATTCGCATCATCCACTGTAAATCGCTCCCGAGTGGAGACTCTCCACTGGAGAGTCATCCGTTGAAAAGTGTAAGCTGTAACTTGTGGCGTCTACGACTCAACGTAAGTACAGTAGTCTGAGCGTCACTAGTCTCTACTCTAGACTCTCAGTGTACTGGTACTAGCGGTGGTTGCGAACCACATTATTGCACGAGCGCCAGTACCACTGCATGCAAAATGGTATTGGGATTGTGGAATTGGAAAAGCGTGACGTACGCTATTCGTGGCGTCAGACAAATTTTATGCTCTTGACGAAGACATATTGCAGCACCTCGCGCTTCGCGCTCGGTGCAAATTATTTTTTTAAAATAAAAATACTTAATATCGTTAATTTATTTATTATTATTCTTATCTTTAATTTTTTTCGTTTTTCGCTTGTTTGGGTATTATTACTTACTTTTGTAGTTCGCATCGAGCGCCCAGCGAGATTGCCTTCGTCAAGAAGACTCAAGAGCACAATTTTTGTGAAAATATTCGTTTCTCTTACTGTCTTACAGTCTGACTGATGAGTTTCTTTTCCGTTGATAATGCTGTTTTAACTCGTAAATTATAAATACTACTTTATTGTTCTTTTAAGTTGGGGAGTTGGGATGCGTACCTGACACGGGGTTTAGCCTTTCTCAACATCACCGCGTAGCCAACTCTTGTGAGAAATTCCAGAGTTACAGTTACCTTTGGAGGGGGACCGAAATGATGTCTAATCTGTTGTAAGTTTGCAGTTTAGCGAACAGTTCTCATTTCTGATTAGGTGTTCTTTATGTTACCGGTTACGTTATTTGACAAGCTGGAAGGTACAAATCAGTCAATAAAATTAGTGCATAGATCATCTATGATAGATGATATGATCATAGTTATTCTTTCCAGGTATAAACAACTCTGTCGGATGTTGAGTCAAGGCGCCTTGTCGAAAAGAAGCATTTTTCTGACCGCTTTTGGGTTGCGCGACAATAATCCTGGCTACGATCTTACTGCTGCCGAAGTTACATCGGCAGCTTCTCATTCGGCTTTGGGAGAACAGATTAATCTTCTGCACTCCGATGAACCACCTATTCCGGTGTATAAGCCCCGCAGCGGTGAAAAAACTGAGCAAAAACGTGCAAGATTACTGTACCAAAGCAGAAAACGAGGAATGCTAGAAAACGGTCTCCTGATGAGGTAAAACCGTAAATTTAAATAAACTGCTGATGGCAAGTAGGAATTGTATCTTGTGTATAACTGTTAATGTTGTTCACGCACTGTTCTTCTTGCGACTTGCCGCTAATACGCATCATATTTTCAGTGCGTTTGCGGATCGCTACCTTTTCAATTTTGACGGAGAAGAACTTCAAGCCTATGATAAACTAATCAACGAGCCATCGAATGACTGGGAAATATATTACTGGGTTGCAGGTAAATACAGTAGGGTGTACGAACTGCAGTTGGCCTGAATCCGATTGAAAATTGTTTCCTATGCTTTTTTTGAAAGATTTTTACTTTACTGGTATTCAGTTATATTTTGCAGATATAGCTTATATCTGCAAAGTATAACAGATCTCAAAAATCCGACTCTATCATCTTGTTTAGAATTTTATGGCGAGTCCAATCGTATTCAGAAAAAATGTCGGATGAAAATTGATCACGAAAAAAATATCGTATTCAGAAAAAAGTGATCACGAAATCTGAGCGATACTCGCCTTTATACATAATGTGAATAACATTTTGTAAGGAATTCATATAGACATGATTTATATCACACACATAGAACCCTGTTTTATTTTTAGTATTTTGTCCTTTTTGTTGAGTTTTCTTTGATCTTGCAGGTGTTAGACCGGTTCCCCAAGAATTTCAGTCCAAAGTATTGGATAAGCTTATACAGTTTGCGCGTAACGAAAAAAAGGAGATGCGTATAAGGCAACCTGATCTTAAAGAAACTTTTTTTACGTCAGATGTCCATGATTGAATTTTTGGAAGCGTTGAAACAGTTGAATGTTTAATCTTTTTGCGATGCTGTGAATTATTACTGCAATATGTTCATAAGGTGGATCGTTGTGGGCTTGTGGTGAAATATACTACGAGTAGTGCTAATCTTCCAAAAATTGTAAAAACCCTAAAACGATATGCTTGTTCAGTTGCTCGCATCGATTGTGACGATTGTTTTTCTTTATGTATTTTGCCTTATCATTTAAAATTGATGTTATAATTTGGTAAAAATTGTGATGATTGTACAGTTGTACTTATGTACTCGAACTTACCGAATTTGTGCTTACATGCCGCTCGCCTTTGATACTCATAGTCTCGTACTGTTTACAATCGCATCTTAATTTGTATGGCTGAATATTGGACTCCTTTACGAAGCCATTGTCTGAAATTTGAAAATGTTAATATGCCGGTTTGGCTCTGGGTCATCCGATGGTCAGCGATGTTAAGTATTTGGCACAGTTTCCAATGACGATTACAGGCAGGGGGAGTGGATTCTACTGGATTGTTGCTTGAACTTGCTGATTCAGTTGCTTGCGTTCAGCCATTCAGATTTTACTGCATGCATATCGTGACTCAAATCTGTAGTGTTGTGCTGTACGGGGCCTGCAGCTGCATTATTGGCTGGCGTGTTGTTACACTTTTTAGCTGTAATGAGCTCGTCTGTTTAAAATTGGTAGCGACTTTTACGTGCTTTCTGCATAGTGCATATAGTATCTATGGTTTTCATAAAAACACTCCCGTAATCCCATTAGCTGCTTATTAATCTTCAGATTTTACTGGCAAACGAAGCGGAAGGGTACTTCTGGAACCTAGACTGCGCCAATAATCTTCGTGGAAAGTTCGTTTATTTTGGAGTTTCGCGAATAGAAGTTGTGTGTTGTGGACTTACTGCCAGCTGGGGACTGGGCTATCGATTTTTTGTTATTGTTGGCTTTCGAAAGATATCTGTATTTTTGATGCGCTTAAATTTCTCGGGTGATGTCCATCTATCCTGCAAAATTCGATGTGATTTTGACGGAATAAATTTGGAATTTTCCTGATCTGGGCGAAGAGGATTTATCTGTTTTGGAATGATCTGAAATGCCCTACTGCCATGTAACGGAATCATAAGGATAACTCGAAGCATATCGACTGATCGTGAGTGAAATGACATTTACACGAATTCGTTGAGTACTTAATTTTTCGTTACTAGTATTCTTAAGTATCTTAAGCGGTAAATCCCTTAACGTACTTTTTCCTAAATGCAAAGTAGAAAATGATAATATCCCCATGTATTCTATTTCAGATCTAATTTTTCTTATATTAAGTAATCCATAATAATTAAGCGACGTGGGAAAGCTGATTCGAAGGTAATCGAATTATTAAACAGTTAAAGAGCGATAATAATAGATACAATAATACTAGAGCTTCAGTATTATTGAATTTCATGAAATTTCGGTCGCGCTTCCGATTGTGGTTAACATTACTAGTACGTACTAATAATTTTGTTATTGTTAGTCTGAATGCGCCAGGATATTTTCAGATTCAATTGGCACTTGCAGTTCGTAGTTAATATTAAATTTATTATTATTTTTTGAATCTGCTCTTTATTTGTGCAGTTTCGCTGATCGGTCTTATTCGTTACGTACTGATCACTGCACTGCATTAAATTTTTTGTGCATTATATTTACTACTGTATTTAGACAATCTGCTACCACGTTAGGGTATTTGCTGCAGAAATCGTAATAACGGTGGGTTTATTAGCGTTTATGAACCAGCTCACTTTTTATCTAAAATTGCAATCCCCACTGGTAATTGCGGCACTGGACAATAATACAGATATGCAGTATATCTGCAAAATCTGTGCTTGGAAATGGTATGAAGAAGCCTTGTAGGCGCAAATATGCATTTAATATTGGTCATGGACACACAAATCGATATCCAGAGCACAGCCAATATGTCTTGTTGAACCAGTAGATTATCAGCAGCGCTATCGGAAAACCAAGGCAATTAAGAATTCTCTTTTCGATAATTTCCAGATGCCGATAAATCAGCTATGGCTGCTGCTGTTTGAATCATGGTTGTGTTTCACATTTCTTGCGCAATGGCTGCATCTGTACTTACGAAATGCGCGTGTACACCATACATAAAAGAGGTGATTTCGCGGAGCACGTAAGTTCTGAAAATACTAGTGCAGTCTGTCTGGTTTGCGTTCATTTTGTGTTGTGAATACGATTATTGAACACGATTATTTCAAGCCACGAGATAATGGTTTTTTTTGCTGCTGTGAATAAAATGAGTATGTTATAGTTGATGGAATGAGTTGTGTATGCTCTTTAAAAATACATATCTATATTTCGATGTTGGTCGCTGAAGACTTAACAAACTATTTATTTTGTTTTTACGAGGTCAGTAGGAAAGAATTACTAATTTGCATTCGATAACTGCAAAAACTGTCACCAAGTACTTTGGTGGTAGCATTGGTACACAGATATTATTAAACACCATGCCATTAGGCATTTGCGTAGAATATATATTTCAGTTTTCTTAACAGTTTTGTTGATCTTATCGTTAGTAGTGTAGTACGTATCCGAAATGCGTGAATAAGCGTAGCAGATCTATGGGTTTCGCACTGTGTTGTCATAACTTTTACAAGATAGATCGATTTCCGATTTGCTTTGCGAATCATGTTAAGCAAGATTGAATTCGGTATTAAACGTGGGTGGGTCACGGATCGTTATCAGAGAATTCGCTGTGTGTATATAATTTTAAAGTGTAGCGAGCTGGTCCTGATCAGAGAGCCAAAATCCGGACTGGCATAGTGGCACAGAAGGAATAAATTTAAGAAAGAATAGGGTAAACTATAACTAATTGTAACTATAACTAACTAATTTAAACTATACTCAAAAAATATATGCGGAAGTAATTTATAAGTATAATATGACAAATCGCTACTGTCACAAGGGTGGAACAAAATATATGAAAAGTTGCAACGGCCACTGACTTATCCGTGTGGGGATTAAGCATCTGTTTTACACTCTTTTCTTTATTTTCCGCATTGGGTTAAATGTTACAGTTTTGCTTTTATAGAATACTTTTATCATAACCAATCAAAAATAGGTCACCGTCTGTTACTGTAGCTGCCGTTTGGCGTATGCCGCTGCTTGTTTTGTGAGTTATGTTTGTATTGACGAGATAAGGTAAATTAACACGTGAAACGATACTGTTGCGGAATTTTGATTCACCGGAATGGATCAGTGGGAAGAAGCATACACAAAACTGTTCCAGCTGCGATGATTCGATGATCGATTAGGGCTAGGTCCGTATGGATTTGTGACAGTTAACTCGTTAGCGTGAAATGCCTCTTTGAGTTGGGGACCAAATACCGCGCGCTGCACCGGAAGTACTGTGCATGGCTGGGTATTTTATCGGAGTTTGATTATGCCAGCTGTGTAATGTGTACAATACCGTTGTACGAGACCGTCTGACTACCGACGCGAGGGAGGGAATTGGATTTCGTAATGGCCATTTGCTTGTGTAAATAAACGGCGACTTTTTCTTAACAGCGGTGTTTTTTTCCGGCTTCTTTTTGTGTTAGGGCTTTCGGATTGTTGTTCGACTTATCTGCTATAGTGCTGGCTGCTTAGCATGCGGTTTTAAGGCATTTACGAACTGGATCAGCCGGTTTTGAATTCATACTGTGCGTCCAACTTGGTTTATTATATCGTCTGTTTTATGTGTTTGGCAGGAATGTGAAAGCCTGCTGGTGTGCCGCCGTGTCAGAAGGATTATTATGATTTGCACATTACGCCAATGTCAGTTATGCCCGTCGTGGCCAAGCCTGGGAATCTGAAGGATCCGGATGTTGCAAATCTTTTCTCCAAAGAGGATCCCGAGCGATTGTTTGTGGATCTCAGGGAAATCGGACATGGCAGCTTCGGGGCGGTTTATTATGTAAGCTGAGCACGTTTTAAAAGATCTTTTTGTAAATCGCTAGTTTGAACTGTTTTTTTTGGAATTCTTGACGTCTGTCTGTTGGTACAAAAAACATATGGCCGAATTCGTAGTTTTAAAGATTTTTTTACAGTACTCACGTGTCAGTGTACTCTCACTACAAAACTTACCTTTTAAATTTGTACGAGTAAAATTTATTTACAAAATTTTGTTGTTTTCCAGGCGCGAAACGCTATCACAAAAGAAGTTGTTGCCATCAAGAAGATGTCCTACGTTGGCAAGCAGGCAGCGGAAGTAATTATTTTTGTATTTTGGTATACTATTTCTGCTTTGTTTGGATCTTCGACCTTTCGGTTGGTTTTTATAGAAATGGCAGGATATTGTTAAGGAGGTGAAGTTTCTCCGCATCGTGAAACATCCCAACACCATCGAATACAAGGCCTGTTTTATCAAAGAGCACACAGCCTGGCTGGTAATGGAATACTGTTTGGGCTCTGCGGCGGATATTATTGAAGTGCATAAAAAACCCCTTCGTGAAGATGAGATTGCGGCGATCTGTCAGGGCTCACTACTGGGATTGGCTTACTTGCACTCCCTGGGAAAAATTCATCGTGATATTAAGGCTGGCAATGTTTTGCTGACGGATTACGGCGGGGTTAAACTGGCTGACTTCGGCTCGGCATCGTTCGCATGCCCTGCTAACAGCTTTGTGGGAACACCCTATTGGATGGTATGCCAATTATGGATTATTAAAAATCAGATCATGTTAGATCATTATCATTATAGACATCATCATTAGATCATTATAGACAAACTCCTAAAATTGTTTGTCTATAATTTGCTGTCATTGTGCTTATGAGGTTTGTGCGTTATAATACTCGCACCTATCCCTATGCTAAGACGTCCCTAACAATGCGCTTTCGAAGTTCTAATTCAAAATTGAAAAGCTTAATTAATCACATGGGAAATTTTGGTTACGATTTTCATTACCATTAATGTAGTCAAAATCTAAATAAAAGATCGACCGAAAATCGATTGATTTGTTCAGTTTAAATCTCCCGTTAACCGAAATTCTTGGAAATATGGTTGCTGTAATTGCAACAGGCACCGGAAGTTATTTTGGCCATGGAGGAAGGACAGTATAATGGGAAAGTGGACGTTTGGTCGATGGGTATTACGTGTATTGAACTGGGTGAGTATATATCTGAACGATTTGTCTCCTTAAATAGTCTTGTTATTTATGAAGCACCTATGTATTGCTTGGCCAGTAGCTTCGAGAGTGCTGTTAGGGCTTTGGCAATGTCGAGAAGCCGTGTTTTTGTCGGCGGAACTTATTAATAAGTTGTTTGTGGATGTTGACATTCTCTAGACGGCAATGTCTAGATTACAAGTGTCATGTTGCTCTAGTTTGACGGTTTGATTCTGTAATCAGTATGCTTCGCTTGCAGCTGAGAAGAAGCCGCCGTATTTCAACATGAACGCCATGAGTGCTCTGTACCATATTGCCCAAAACGATCCTCCTCGTCTGGCCAGCGCTGACTGGTACGCAGCAAGCTTGGTTTTGTTGATACATACAGCTGTCCAATCAAAACCGTGATGGTTTTTGTAGGTCTTCGGAATTCCGCAATTTTGTAGCCACTGCACTGACCAAAAACCCGGACGACCGACCTGACGCGCTGCAGATAATGGAGACGCCATTTATTGTCCGTACTCGCCCAGTTACGGTGTTGCGCGATTTAATACAGCGCACCAAACAAGCTGTACGCGAGCTGGACAATTTGAATTACAAGAAGATGAAAAAGCTTCTTATTCGTGAGCGCTTGCATCGGGACGACAAGGATCCAGAACATGGGCATCGTAGAGATGTGAGGATATGGCTGCATAAACGCTGCTCTGTTATTACTGTAGGAACTGCGCTTGTTAGATCGTTTTGTTTGCAATTTGTCAGTGAACTCTGGATAACAGCTACCTTTTTTGCAATTTTATGAAAACGTCATACTATGAGTTCGAGCTATAAATCAATAATCTGAGTGGTGGTAAAACGGCTCGAGAAATTTCTTAACAAAAGAAACAATATTCGACTAATTTAAGTTACCTATTATATTAAATGAATAAATAAGACAGTACTGCTTAAATTTCCATATAAATGCGATTTTCATCAATGTATTAGCATATGGTCGGTTGCTCGTTTTAGGATGGGAACGGTTTCACAAACAGTCCGTCGGACAGTCTGCATAGCATACACAGTAGTACTGTGAGTGTGCTGAGCAGCGGGGGAAGTGATGATAGCATACAGCCATCCAAATCTGGCATCAAAAATGAGAGTAACGGACGCGCAGCTTTACAAAAGTCTAATGAACGAGTATGTTTCAGAAGCGCTCTCATCATCGTCACCTGTTTATAACCGCAAGACATTTTTTGTCAAGTGGCTGTTCATGAAATGTATTTTGCTGTTCATTACAGCCGGTATCGGAAGTGGCCAGCACCGGTGACCAGAGCTCGCAGAATAATTTCTTGACGATTCGGCCAACGACCATAGTCACTAAGGAGCAGAAGGAACGGGAAAATGAACTAGTCGAGCAGATGAGCGGCTACAAAAGAATGGTTAAAGGGCATCAGAAGATTTACCAGCAGGTAGAATGAGACGATAATTTGATCCGATACATTATGATACTGAATTAAAATAATCGCATATCGCATACGTACTTACTTGAATCCTCAAACCGGTGACAAGCAGGGTTCGTTGCTAGTAAAAGTAAAAATGGCAGAAATGCGAATTACTATACTGTACTTAAAAACGGGAAAGTACGTATACTGATTTTCGTATTTGAGTTATTTACTAAATGAGTATTGTACCACAATTCGGTTCACACGTTTAATTTATGATGCGGATGGTTGTTGCCGTGTTTGATTGATCCGTTTTAACTTGTTTTCGTGGGCATAATGAGTTTGATTTATTGGTTGATTGCGATGGAGTCGACCTTTGTTTACAGTCGCCATATGATGGATGAAATTAGCAGCTAATTTAGATATAGATGCATTTCGTTAGCCTACTTAGTCATAGAAAATGTGTTGTTGTTGACAGTTCGAAACCAAGTGCAAAAATGAAATGGAAGAGCACAGAGTTCGACTGGACCGTGAATACGAAGCATTATTGCAATCGTTTGCCAAAGAACTGGAAAAACTACAGCTCAAGCAGCATCATGAGATGGAGCAGAAAGCAAAAGCGAATATTATCAATGAAAAAAAGCTGTACAAGCACATTCTACAACAGCATGATGAAGAAATGCGTACTTACCAACAGCAACATAAACGGGAATACAAGCAAAGCAAGGAAAAAGTGCGAACTGTAAGTTGTCCGCGAAATTCAGTATAAAACATTTTTTATTATTCTTTAATTTTTGGTTACTTTTAAAGTATCTGGATTGATTACCCTATCATGAATAAAGTAGTGTATGTGCGTATAAAGGTGGCAGGCTAGCAGGAAGTGGTCTCCAAATTGCGTAAAAATAGCACAAATGCATTGGTTGAATATGTGTTTGTACAATACTGTTATGTGGCTGTATAAATCGCCTAGGATCTCAATGACCAACAAATCAACACGCCGAAAAAAGAGCGTGAGGACATTGTGCGACGTCATAAAGAGTCCATTCACAGCCGGCACCAGGAAGCTGAACTGAAACTGCAGCATGACCAAAAAAGTTACCTTGATCTGGAAATGCGTAAATTCAAAAGGAGAAAGCTACTACAATACCACGCACTCGAACAAGATTTACTACAAGAGGTATGACTCCAGTTTGCTGCCTTTAAAATTGCCGCAGTAAATGGCTTGCTGTTTTTTTGCTAACAAAATTTTTTATTCTTAATAATCTCAAGCGTTCGTTTCAGGAGTTGAAGAAACGCCAAAATCAGTTGGAATTAGCCCATTCCATGTTGTTGCGACATCATGAACTCACACAGGATTTGGAATACAAACAGTTGGCGGCGCAGCATGCACTGAAGGAAGACCAGTTACGAAAACAACATCACGCTGAAGTAACACACCAAAACCAGTACAGTGAACGTTCCGAACGTGAACTGCGCAAGAAACACGCTGTCGAACAGAAACAACAACCCAAGAGTCTCAAGGTAATTTTAAGGCTGACAAAATGAAAATTTCCTCCGGCATATTTTTCATAGCGGTATTTTTTGTAGCAACGGGAACTGCAGGTTCGAAAACAGTTTTTGGAAGCCTGCAAAGTGCAGACTAGACAATATAAAGCACTAAAGGCTCAAATTCTGGAGTCCACTCCCAAAGAAAAGCAGAAAGAAACCATAAAGAGGCTCAAAGAAGAGCAGCACCGCAAACTGGCCATACTGGGTGAACAGTATGAGCAGAGTATTGCGGAAATGCTGCAGCAGTCTACGGTAAGCTGCGGAGCTCTATCAAGCTCTATTATTACTATAGTGGATTTTCAGTGAAGATGGAAATTGATTTAAGCAATGGTAAAGATATAAATTGATTAAATGAATGATAATGGAAAATTCAGACAAAGTAATGTTTTTTTAGGCGAAATATTATGTATATAATGACACAAATTGATTTTGTCAATTTTGATGGATCGAAAATATTTTTAAATTGTCCGATTACCTGTCTGTACATTACTGTTTATGCATTAAAGAAGTGGTGTCATTTAGCTCCGTCTAGACGAAGCTCAAGAGTTGGAAGCCAGGAGTCTGCGGGAGCAGCTTCACCAGGAATACGAATTGCTCTTGGCATACCAAAGCAAAGTGCGAATTCATGCGGAGAATCAGAGAAATAGCGAGAAACGCCACTTGGAAGAAGCTGTATCTTTACGAAGGGCTAGACTGGAGCAAAAGGTGGTGTAGCGCAGTTGTTTTGACCGTCTCGTAACGGTTACTGTGCTGCTTAAGGTTCTGATGACGATGTTATTCAGATGGAAGAAGAAGTTCAGCAGTTCCGTCGGGAGCGGTCTGAGCGGATTCGCCAGTTGCACAATCGTCAAGCCCTGGATTTAGAACGGTTTGATACAGAAAGTGTTCGACTGGGTTTCAATGCTCTGACACTGGCCGAACACAGTCAACTGGATGACCTGCTCCGTGAGGATGACGAGCGGAATGTCAGCGCCAGTCGGCTCAGCCTAGTCCAACTGCCACATTCATCGTCTTCGCATTTCTCGTCACGTTTCTCTTCCACGTGATACGGGACGCTAAAGACCGATATCCTTGGGGACCTTACAGAAAGTATGCACTGTGGTATTCGGGACTGTTGAGCGGTTTTGCTGTTCAACTGGAATATGTTTTAGTCATTGTTTGGCCGTTTGTGCATGTTTGTGTTTTTATTGGCGATTAGAATGTCAGGCATCTCGGTTGCTTTCTGCTGGTGCTAAGCAGCGGAATGTTTCTTTGGGTTTTATGCTTTTTTTATCAGTGAACGCATGGGTGTATTTAATTGATTGAGGTATAAACGAAGAGGAATTTAAAAGTGACTGCCGCAGATTGAACAGCTTTATTCCCGGAAGCAAGAAAAACCTCACTACCATTACAGCAATCGGCGAAAGCACCGCGCACATTATCAATCTGTTCTTGATTATCACAACTGCAATTTCTCCACGAACTCTGACCGTGCCTACGGCCGATCATTCGCACTCAATAAAATTCTTTAAAACACCAAGTCCCAAAAGAAGCGCTTGATTAAAATACAGATTCAATTTCTATACCCGAAAAAACGAAAGCCAAGAAAAATAAACAAAGACAACCAACACGGTACCACGCCGCGTACCATCCCCGCTCTGTGTCTCTCTACCACTGTGGCACTGTCCAACCAACGCCGATCAATGGTCGAAGGTCGCGCTACCCATCTATCTTTCCATCGGCTTCTGTCCCTCGACCAACAATCACCGTTCAGGCTTGTGTGGCCTGAGCGTTATTTGCCACATGTCGCCTATTGAGAGCTAATTTTGTACCATTATGAAGCCCATTATTTTGTCGGTGCAATTCCACATAACAAGCCCGACACACCCTGACCGGGCAATAGATTTTATCTTGAGGTAGAGGAATCTGATAATCGGAACAGTTACTGCAGAACACCAATCCGCATTTCCTACAAAGCAGAACTTCATTAAACAAAACTTCCAATAGCTATGACATTATACGTACACCTATTACTACGAACGGCATCGGCTCCATAATACTTTGGCGAAAATTAGCTACCGGATATACGGTCAAGGCGAAATGTTTTACCTGCAATGATGCTTTCGTTTACCCAACCAGAAACGTGTCCCGCAGTTGGTACAATTGGTCACACACTGGTCTGGGACCCATGGGGTTACGAGGGCTTCCCGATCGTCAATATTATCCCAGCTCACGTCAGATCCATATGAAGTACCATAATCAATAGTATCCGAACATTTTTTCGGGATATCAATACAGTTCAGCCCGTCTTCGGAGCAGGAATCACGCCGGGTGTGAGAGGACGGCCCATGTCCATTGTTTAAACCGTTCCGGTGTCGCAGCTGAGCTTTAAGGGCTGCCACTTCGTGCCGTAGTGAGTCGACCTCTTTCTGCAGATACCACAAAACAGATATACTAAAAGCCTACGATGTCGGCAATATCTCGAAAATCTCAGCAAAGCTGCCAACAAACAAACCTGATATTTATTACGCATCTTCCTCAGCTGTATCTGCGATTCATCGTGGAAAATTGCCAGTCCATCCGGCCCCAGTTGTTTCCTAACCGTAGCCAGATTATGCTCATGGAACGAATCATTCATATCACTGTGAACGCTATCTGTGCTCGACGCGGAGGGCAAATGGCGGGATGTCCGTCTGGGTCGTGTCGGTGAGCTAACTGGCGACGAATGATGATTCACTTCCACATATTTCAAACTAGGCGTCGGCGTGATGCACGGCGAACAGAAGCTCCTGGCCTCTGATTTTAGAGGAATACTCGTCCCTGGTAATGCGCTCGCATCGGAGAAAATGGCTGAAGCCATAAGTGATTCGCTAATTGATTTCGCACCGGCTGATGCAAAGCGCATGAAACTATCGCGCGACAGGTCTTCCTCGCGCACCATCACATCACCGTCACTCTGATTGATCACACCGAGCTTGACCTGACCGGGCTCATCTTCAGCAGACTCTTCGGCTTCGGTATGAATGTCCTGACTGGAAGGGAAGCGCTCCAACAGCAGCGTATGATTATCTTCATCGCCGGTTATGGTGTCGGTCGATCGATCCATTGTGCCGTCGGATATCGTCTTACTAGTCTCCAAAGACCGCGCAATCGGAAGGTTCGGTGTCGACTGAGAAACGTTGGGACTTCCATCGTCTTCATCCTCTGTATCGTTCGTTCCCAGTAGTAGATCGTCATTGGGTAGTGAAATGCTTTGACGTAACGGCGAAACGACAGGGTTGTTGGATGGAACAGATGGGGTAATCGTGGCCACTGGCCCATCCGCCACGGGTTCCGTCGGAAGACAATTGGAAGCAATTTGATTGAGACTGGATGTCCTGTGAATATTCGCTTCAGTGCTGACAACGGGCTGAACCGCATTTATCAAGTCTGAAACAGAACGGGTTCGCGGCAGGTTAGGATTGCCAATTTTAGGGTCGTTCCCAATGCAGATGACCTCCGGGGGATGGACGTTGGCTGACAGAGGGTTGAATTCCGTGGCGTATAAGTTCAACCAGCATTTCAATTTCCGCACATTGTAATCAGGTCGTAAGACCTATAAATTAAATGCTGAATAAAGCACAATACGAACCATGCGAAATCCAAGCAAAAAATTTATTGCACAGAAGCTGCATATCGACTATTAAAAGCTTTCCCGATAACAGATAGACATCTCACCAAATCGCGTCTGGCATAGAGCAAATTACTGAAGGACTCATCGGCTTCCTGTTGTAGGTAATTCCACAGAGAATAGGTCCTATCATTCACACTGTTTTTCTCCCGCTCCCGAGCAGTATTACAAAGGAATGTCCCAAAGAAACAAGAATACACATGATGTGCCAGATGAATCTACAAAATTTAACATAGCACCATGTAAAAAATGAAAACTCGCTTTCTTCTTCAACGCACTAAATAAACTTCGTTAAACTCAAATTCCACGGGGTACTGATGCAGCAACTGAAAGACACAGTCCAACCACTGCAGAAAGATGGGGCACCGCTCTGTTTCATCTGTACAAAATCCATGACCAGAGCGATCGGCAAACTTATGCCCAAACTCCAACCACTGCCATTCAATTAGCGTTTGGAATCCCTGCAAAAGATCCATTTTAACCCAATATAACTACAGTCTACAGCCTTAGCATCTCAATTCTAGTACTTTGATTGTCCGATAATGGGAATCCAACATCAGCATGGCCAGTGCAACAATCTGCGTTGTGCGGTCCCAACCATCTGAGCAATGCACGAGAACTGGTCGCCGTTCCACATCCACAGCACTGATCACATGGCAGGTTGTGCGCATAATGGCTGAGATGTGATGCAGCCATAGAGTTTTATCCAAAGCCGACATCCAGCTACAAAGTCACAATAGGTTGTCATCTCAATAATTTTCGCCGATTCAAAGATTCCAGTGGAAGCTTCAGACCAATCTTAAATAACGTCGAACAAGAAAAAATCAATACGTTATACGGTACGTTCCTTATCACTAGGTTCTGTTATTTATTGTTTATAAGCTTGCAATTAGTCCCGGTATAAATGGACTTACTCTGGTCGGTCCGCAGGCGATGTGCACAACTGCCGCAACTGGACAAAACTCTTTCGTACAGTATGAATATTTGCCATACTCATAAACTGGATCTCGCAGTTAGGGTAGTATTCTGTAACCAAAATCTTTTTCATAATGCTGAACTTTCATAATGCTGATCAAGACAACGACCAGCATTTATTTTACAGTAAAGACATCATACAGCACGATTAGAGCACATACCAGCGTATTCACTGCCGCCTCCTTTTGCACGATTAGCGACCGCAGCGGCGTATGACCTGGCATCCAAAATCAGCAGTTTTGGAACATCTGCATAAAAATTCGTTTAAAAACACCGTAATAGCATAAAAAATTTTGTTAGACTAAAATTATTAAAGCTCTTGTACAGCGTGACCGCAAGAACTGAGGTCAGTATGCGTCAGACTTTCATTAGCGCATACGAGTATGAGTAGCGTTTTCTGTTTCCATTTTCATTTCCGGCTACACTAAACTCCATATAGAGCGAGAAACACCAGACATCTTCGTGACTGGCCTCAAAACCTAATCGATAACTCTTGCGAAATCAGTGTTTCAGTCCCTAATCTACACCAGCAGAATCGATCGATGTTCTCCAGACAACAATGTGGGATGCAACAACCCAAGGCCTGTTCAAATCGAGCTTACTCGACACCGGCAAAACATTGACGCATGAGATCCACTAAGAGTGAGCCAACACTATTGCTTCGGTTTAGATGATCATGAATGCGTTAGCTCTCCGTAAAAGACTGTGGCAGGTTTGCAGACAAACGAAAAAAATCACAGCAAAATCCCGCAATCTTCCGACCTACCTGGAGCGCTGGAATCACCATTGGGCACGTGTCCATTAGCAATATTCTGTGGTACAGTATTCCGATCATAAAAGCAGGCAGTAGTAATTGCCTGAAGAAAATTCTCATCCTGCGAACACCGCCACCCAAAGAAGCCCAACTCAGGTTGACTACTACGCGCGATAACGCTGCCGTTCTCTTTATGTCTAAAACAGAAATATTGTGCATACAATCCAGGTAATTGCGTAAAGTTCAATCCATGAAATACAGGCTTAATAGGGTATGCTTACCTCCATATTATCGACGGAAAGCGCCGGGAACTGCGGAATTCCGCGATGCGTACAAGATCGGTATCGCTTATGCAATTGGGAACAATGTGCAATCGCGGATAGGTTGGAGAGACCTCATATTTGACGTTAATCTCTGATATTCGCCATGTTGATTCTAGATCGAATTTCATCCGCGCGGCTTCACGACTGAGATCAAAAGCGTACCTAACAGGTAGAACATGAGGAAAAATGATCTATAATTGTAATCGGAACAATTATGTATATTTCCCAAGGCAACGCAAAACTGTACCCAGCGGCAGCTAGCGAATTAAAACATCGGCCTTCTGCGTTCTTTCCCAGACCGCTTCGTTCTTCCGCTTTCCACGCATAGAATGCAAAGGCAAACAAATCCTCCAATTTTTTTGGCATCATAACAGCGTTTAAAATGCGCTTCTGCCACTCAAATGTTCGCTCTGGGCTCGGGAAAGTGCACCTGACATGCAATTCAAATTTATCCAACAGTCTGCGAATCTCACCAGTCACAAGTTCCAATCTTACCGAACAGTAGTACCATTTTTACAGGTCAACACGATGGAATTGGTGTAATTCTGGATATCAGCTTGTTCAATCATTCGCACCGGAAGATTAACGTAGCTCTGCGGATACTGAATGAAAATCCTGTAATTTGACAGTGCCACAATCCCATTTTCTGCCGTTCGTCCCAGAAATTCGATAGCTTCTCCACTGATCAGGGGAAAAGGAAACGTCAGATCCGCTTCATCTGTAATGCAGGCCTTTTTGGGGAAGTAGTCGCTGGCGTTCAGCAGCAAACCGTGGGAATCCAAATCACTGGAATTCGAATCCACCTGCACGTGATCAAAACAACATGATGTCAGTGCGAAGGCAGATTCGGAAGCGATAGGGCTGCATTATATGACCGCTGATTACGCCACCTTGACTAACAGCTTGTTTGCAAAATTATCAATATTTATCAGGTCAAAGGAAACATCTAATCTCCGATGCGTGTGCAAAATGGCTCAATACTAAACCATTAAACCATTATTAATTACCATATTCTAAACAAAGACATTTGAGCAATTACAACTCAACAACTTATGGTAATTATTAATTAAATAACTCAGTTATAACTGGCATCGCTTTCAGAATTTTTAATGTAGTACCATAATGACAGGTAGATCAGCAAATGTGGCCAAATGAACACTACACAGACAAATAAACACGATAAACCAACAGCCAAAAGGATCTTTCCAAACAGGCGCGATGTTAGTGCTATTGCAGCTATTCCCAAAATTTCATCCAAAGTAAATAGGTTCATTTGGAATAAAACAGTGATGGTCTAGCACCACTTTGTCTACGTACCCGGTTCCCGGGAGACAGCATCATTCAAATCCTGAATGTGATCTAAAAATACAGTGATCCATGTAAGAAATACAACAAAATCTCGTCGCCCCTGCTGTACAAATGGGGCGGCGGGGTGCACGTCCGCCACCCTCAAACAAGCTGCCACGATTCTGTGCATGCGAAAACCATCTTTTTGGTACTTATCTACAGAGCTGATCATCTTAGCAACAGTAAATAATCCACACTTCTAATAAGAGCACGAATCTTAAAGCATAACTGTACTGCTAGCCATACGCGGAAACTAAAAAGATAAGCAGCTTTATTACTAAAAAAACTCAGATGCAAAGAAAAAACATCGCTACACAGTAAACCAAACCGTCCAGGAGTCAGATTAACCTATTAGCTTAACCTAACATATTTCTAAATCTTTCCTAAAATTTTGCATGACTGTTTCACAATTATTGCGAAATAAAACCATCCACACACACGCCAAACTAAAGGCATAACCGCCATAACGTCGAACAAATAAGTATTATATTTTCCTATTATGTAGTAAACTATGTACAGAGAAGTCTCAGAACCAAGACTAAAGTGCACCTGATACGAATTAAATTCTGTCAATGAAGTGTAAACAACCTCAACCAAATACAAGAAGACAAATTGCTGATTTAATAAATGTTCACTACAAACCGATTAATATAATGTAGTAATGTAAGTAGATAAATCATAATTAAAAATTTTAGTAATTATATAATAGCTAACACTAACTGACTAACAGCACAAAAAATGATTAAACAGTGAAAACAAATGGAAATGAATTCGTTCTAACCAGATGACTGGACTCCATACCCTTTTGAAAATGATATAATTATTTTATCATCCAATGTTGCTGTTTTAATAAATCAGCAGACGAAACGACGGGGGAAAACTGATTTTCAATGAAATACTGTCTATTGCATCACACTGATCAAGGCAGGCATTCCAGTGATTCCACCATTTTTTCTGGATGGGGCACAAAATCAAAACAATGAACGGTTACACCGTTATGCTCAAAGACGCGGACTATACCAACAATACAGCACCAAAAGTTCATAACAAAAGAATGATGGGGACCACATTTAATTAACATTTCGCGAGTTCCACTCCAAAAACCAGAATAGAGTCAAATTTAGTCGAGACAGACAAGGATGTGCCGTTATTTTATCACTGCATTTCTCTTCGATCAAGAGACCGAATTTCAAAGCTCCTAGTGCTGCGTGGGGTGAAACCAGTGTTCAAACCACACACACTGATTAACATGTGCTAGCTTGCAGGCGGTACACAGAACCGACGGCCGACCAGCTGTTTAAAGTGTTTTAATATGCCCAAAATTTTCAGTTGCGCTGCTGGGTCGGGTTAACCGACGGTCGGTGCGCTACCACGTTGCTGATATTAAATTTTGTCCTTAGTCGGCCGCCGTTTGTACGGAGTGTGTGCTACGGCTCGCTGTCTGGCTCCGTCTGGGTTATTTCAAAACACACGAATGTTTGATTTCCAGACAACGTGGTATGCAATTTGTGATGGTAGTTTTTAGGGTGTTTGTTGTTTGAAAACTATTCAATGCCCTGTTACGTACGTTTTCTCTTTTTATATATTTAGAATTAAGTGGCTCATTTTTGCTGAAGATTCGGTTAAATTTGCTTTTATGTATACGACGACTTCTACACTGCAACCACTCTGCGTACGTACGTGTGTAATTCTTCCTTGATTTGGGTTGTTGCATTAAATCACTCGCACCTTTGAAGTCGTGTTGCATCTTTGCGATTCGTTTAAGTGGATTATCAGGAGTGCACAACACACCGGTTCGGCAGACACTGAATCTTCTAATTTCCCGGTATAATTTGGAAGCGGCGCGGAAGTTGAGTCGGCCGACCTGCTGTCTCTCTCCCGAATCTGGTGATTCCCGATTCCCCACTTCATGCTTGGCAGTGCTAACTTGTAAGTTTGGTAAGACGTTCTACAGACTGTGCTCACGGGCTTCTTTTGCTGAGTACAATGAACTTAATTACTGTGTCTGCAAAACTGCAGCGGTTATTGGACGGTTGTCCACTAATGTCCACTGCATAGTGCATACCCTTATCTTAAGACACCTCTGAGGTTGCAAGTGTTACTATTAACTACTGTGAAAGTTCAAACGAAAATCCTTCGTTGGTAGTTTTGGTTGATAGTCGCTGTTACGGAAATTCATGCTAGTTAACCAAGTTGAATAAACTAGTGTTGGGTAGTAAAAGTCCTTGCCAATATACTTATTTTTACTATCTGCTTTTGGAAGTCTACTTATTTTTACTTACTATTTAAAATTTCTCGGGACTTTTACTTACTTTTACTTACTATTTCAATTTTTCCAAGGACATTTACTTACTAAATTAAAGTAAATTTACTAAATAAATGTAATTAGGACTGAAAGTGTCGAACTGCGTTAGTTTCAAAGCGCTGAAAAGTACTGAAAACGGCGCAGAAAATTTTCTTATGCATTAATAGAGCTATACAGCGATGCAGGCGCATACTGAAAAGTAAATACTGCTGCTTTTTAGGGCGGTAGGCTGTCAGCCAACTACTGCGCACACTCACTTTACCTGCGAGAGGCGGCGGCTAACACGCCAATTTTACATAACGCTTGATAAAACGAATTAGTAAATAATTTAGTAAATGATTTTTATTTAGTCAACGCTAAACCTTAATATTTACTTACTTTTTACTATTCCGGCAGCACATTTACTTACTTTTACTTATTTTGTTTCCAAAACCTTACTATTTACTAGACTTTTAATATTAGGCGGACTTTTACTAAGTAAATGGCCGTTATTTAATTTTATTTAGTAGCACAACACTAGAATAAACGGTTATTTAAGTCGTGACTTGTTACTGCAGCTAGCCAGGGATGATGCTGGCATGATCTAGCACAAGTTGGTGTTTTGGGCGCGATGGTGACATTTCGCCGTTCTCGATACTCAGCCGCATTGCTCTGAGCCATGCCTTCAGATTTGCCTAAAATGACCGAATACAAATTAGTTGTCGTTGGTGCTGGCGGTGTGGGAAAAAGTGCCTTGACGATTCAGCTCATCCAGAACCATTTTGTGGAAGAGTAAGTTTTTAATGGGTATTAATTAAGTTTTGCCTGAATACGTGATATTTGATAAAGTCGATATTTCGTACTCGTACTGAATATTTTATTTCTGTAGATATACTTATTATACCTGTAGATATACTTATTATACGTATTATACTTATTATACTTACTATACTTATTATTTCTGTAGATAAACTTATTATACCGTGTGCCAAATTGATTCTGCAAAACGAAATCATGATGTTGCAACGAATGACGGCCTTTGCTTAGATTTTTAACACATGCTTTAACTATAAATATTGTTTTATTTCTGCGCAGTTTTGATCTTCTGTTCCTTTTCGGTACTAATTACTAACTATCAGTAAGTCTTTTGTCATTATTTTTATCGATTGTTAAAATAACGACCATAAGGAATCGGTAGTGACCGCATAATGTTTAAGTTTTCAGCAGCCTAAAATCAAAAGTTTCAGCTTCCAGAGTGTAATTGTTATACTTACTGTGGGCATAATTAATTTTTTTTAACATGAGTAATTAGTAAATTATATAACGTTTGATGTGTGAGAAAGGTTTATATGCAAACATAATCTTATTTGACTGTTTATCTGTATTCGTTTTAACAAATCTGGCGTTTGTATATAAAACAATGGTACATCGTTTTTCTGCTCCTGTTATTGTGTTTAAATTCTTTTATGTAGATATGATCCTACTATCGAGGATTCCTACCGGAAACAAGTGGTGATTGACTCGGAGACGTGTATTCTGGATATTCTCGACACTGCTGGTCAGGAGGAATATACTGCAATGCGCGATCAGTATATGCGCGTCGGACAGGGATTTCTGCTGGTTTTTGCCGTCAATAATCCGAAAAGTTTCTCGGATATTGATCGGTACCGCGAAGAGATTCGCCGATTAAAAGATTCTGATCACATTCCGATGGTGCTTGTTGGTAATAAGTGCGATCTTCCAGCTCGTGTCATTGATACGGCACGAGCGCAGCACTTAGCCGATGGGTATGGTATCCCGTTTGTGGAAACGTCGGCCAAGACCCGGTTGGGTGTAGATGAGGCATTCCATACACTTGTGCGGGAAATTCGCCGGGATTTAAGTCGACGGGAAGTGCCCGGCAAGAGAAAGAAGGAAAAGCATTGCCAAATTTTGTAGTAGCTCATTGCCGTGTGTCGGTCCAAATGCCAGGTGGTCAGATTGTGACATCTCCCGCGCGTGCTAAATTTCCCGCATTTTGCAGCTGTTTTAATGGTGATTTCTCGGTGTTGTCAGAGGTTTACTTAATCTCCATTATTTTATCTTATGTTTTGACTGTTAGTGGCTAGTGAATTTATGTGCCTCTTTGGTGGTTTTATTTGGCAGCTTCTTGCTGGAACGCTGATGTTTTAAATGTATGGTATTTCATCCAAAATGCAGAAAAGGTTATATGGGTGAATTTTTGGTGTGCATAATACTGTTGTTAATCGCGGATTCGCGGTGTAATGGATGGACGTATGTACTACTGATAAGTTATAAGTAAAGAAGCCTTTCAGAAGTTATTAATAAAAATGTTCCGCTCGTACTTTAAAATTCAAAGGCCGCTTATGTTCGAAATCATCGTTCGCTTCGAATTCATTTGTAGTCCTGTTGTTTCAGTCGCATAAATAGACCACTTAAAAGTTTATTTTGTTACCTATGGTTTTTACGTCTTTTTTCGGCAAAAGTAGTATTATGTATTTACCAATAAACTGCAACAGATGCAGAACTAACGAACGATCGGAACTGTGATCCGGACGTCATCGTCATCATCCCGTAATGAACAGCTGGTGGGAAGTAGAGCTGAAGCGTTGCTTACTGCTTTCCGTACTGTAGTTAAACTGTACTGTAAATGCCATTTCAGAATTCGTAACCTTTGCAAAGCATCGCAAGCAACAAGTTGACGCGCGGTTGACACATACCCGTAGTCTTTAATAGTTTACCCGCAGTCCACCGGCACGGTCACCACATGCTACTTACTGGTTACTACCATAATTATAGTAACCGGAGAACATTACGTCAACAAGAAACTGCTGTCCACTGAGTGCCTCAGCAAGGTAGACGTCCAGAAATATAAAGATGTGTTAGAAAATTCCATTAAAACACAGAAATCGTGCTGCAGAAATGTCGCCCGGTACAGGAAACTTCTGCACCGAACAAGCTCCTGTTTATACGAGTACAATATGAACAGTGAGACACGTAATATATAGAAAGCCTCTAATATTATTAATAGGGGCTCATGGAATTTTCCGCCGCATTCGCTTTACCGGCTCGCAGCTGCGTTTTTTTTTCTAGACTCTAGAGCATGTCATTAATGTCTGTCGATTAAGCGATAATTTTGGAAATTACTTTGTTGCAACCCCGTCAACTTATCAGAAATTTTTCGAACCACACGTTGTCGGAATTTTAGTTTTATCCTGTAGGATTTAAATTTAACTGCCTTTTGAATCGGCAGTAGGACTGGAAACACAATTGTACCTTTCCTCTTTCCTCTTTACCAAAGTCTCCGCCCAAGCGCGTTTAAGGCCCGGTGTACATACGTAAGTAACTACTTTAACTAGCTGCAAGTGCAATACGCAAGAGTGCGCTTTGCTGCTGCTGCCTGCTGCGCAACTGGGAAAGTTGTACCATTAAATTGGAGGTTTGGAACATCAATTTTTTTGCTCGTAGCGTGAACCTTTTAATTTGTTCATTCCGGTAGGTGACTAAGTTTGAAGTTTATTACTTAGTTCATGCGTAGATCCCGTTTTGCATAAGAGAACGTGTGTTGTGTTATAGAAGGTTCGATTATACATTTGTAGATGGCTGTCTCACTTAAGAGCAACTGAACAGTTCACAAACATAGCACTGCTTTGCAGGTTTCTGTCCGGTCCTCAAAGTTTGCGATTGTGCTTCTCTGGATAATTTGATTTATCAGGTAGGGCTCGTGAGATTCAACTTTATATTTTCATGGTTAGAGTGCGGTGCGTGCAGTGATCGCCGATCGGCAAGTAGATAAGAAATTTGGAAGCGCAACAGATCGTCGGCAGTTTTGAAGGCTGTTCCAATGTTGGCTGCGTTGTGATGCCAGTAATGGGGCGACGGTGCATACTCGTAATCTCGAGTTACGAGTTACGAGACATACCCAAGTAATTACCGCAATTACCGAACTACGATTAGGACGTGCCTCCTTATTGTTATTTAGATTGTACTGATACTTTATGTGACATCCATATTTGCTTTTCATGACAGCCAGCATCGCCACTTCAACAAACTGTTTGTTTAACTTGGTTTATTTTATGCTGCGCTTGCAGAATTTCTTGGGAATTTTTAAGCGGAGATCAACATGGCTGCTCCAACGACAGACTTTGATCGCCGCAAACAGGTAATATTCTGCAATAAGGATTAAGGTGAAAGAATTAAGGGATTTCTTAACAGATTCAGAAACCATTAGGATATTTGATTTAAAAATGTTGCACCGATATAGCATGTTTGTATGGTAATGTAAAGCAGTGAGGTTACAGTTCAGTAGCGACGACTGACGGGTATGGTGGGGAATTAGAAAACTCGCACTTGGCAGATTGCCTTCGGCTACGTTCTGTATTGGCTTTAGATTGCTTTTCCAAATTTTTAAGAAATTTGTACAGAATTCAGTACTGCGCTGAGAAAAGGGAGAACTGATTAATTGGTACAAATCTTGGTTAATGTCCTGTTTGCAAATAGATTTCAGTGCGTGGCATTGCGGAAGTGGAATCGGTGGCCAACATCAAGAAAACCTTCAATCAGCATCTGCATTTTACATTGGTGAAGGATCGCAATGTGGCTACGCCACGGGATTATTTCTTTGCTCTGGCACATACCGTTCGCGATCATTTGGTTGGCCGTTGGATCCGCACGCAGCAGTATTACTACGAACACGATCCAAAGGTAAACCTTACTGCATTTTCATCTAATTATTTTTGTAGGAATTTGTAATTTACTGCAGAACTGACATCAACGCATTTCGATACGGTGAGTGGTTTCCGTTGAGCCGCTGCCTGTGTGGTGAAAACCACAACAATTTTATGCAATAAACCATCTTCTGTTTTATTAAGATATGCAGAACAGGCAAGTACTTATACATAGTTGGCCACTCGGTCTGTAGACGTGTCCCGTTTAGCCACAGAGACAAATTTACGTCTGGAGTAGATGCACGGAAGGGTTGTTTTTCCTCGAGTATCACTTGTTTTTTTCACTTGGTGCCGAATAGTTTGGTAGTGAGCATTCGGTGAAGAACAATTTTTAGTTTATTATTGGGCCTCGAGGAGGAAACTATTAGGCTCCAGATAAGATCGACTGCCAAAATTTTGCCCGAAGCGCTGTTTGTTGTTTACCAGAAACTTCAGCACAAATAGGTTGTTGTTATTGATATAATTATCGTATTTTTAGTGATGAAACAACAGTTGTTGGGAATTTCCATTCCGGAAGTGTTTGTTTTGGGATATTAGACACTAGTTTTAACACTTACCATGTCGATGTTGTGCAGATGCATAGAAGATAAAAATAACTTTTTTGAAATTGATGGCGCCCAGTATGTACTGCATTGTAGATGCCGGTTATTACAGCAAACACTCACTAATAGATAACAAAGTTTACATCTGGCATCTCTTTTATAGCGTGTGTATTACTTGTCTTTGGAGTATTACATTGGTCGGTCGTTACAAAATACAATGGTCAATCTCGGAATCCAAGCGGCATGTGACGAAGCGCTGTACCAGCTTGGTTTGGATATTGAAGAATTGCAGGAGTTAGAAGAAGATGCTGGTCTGGGTAACGGTGGTTTGGGACGTTTAGCGGCATGCTTTATGGACTCGATGGCCACCCTCGGGTAAGGTAAAATTGTTACGTACAATTTTGGCAGTCGATCTGATCTGGAGTCTGATGGTTAGGTTGGCTGCTCACGGCTATGGAATTCGCTATGACTACGGCATTTTTGATCAAAAAATCCGCGATGGCGAACAAGTTGAAGAGCCGGATGATTGGTTGCGTTTCGGAAGTCCCTGGGAAAAGGCTCGTCCGGAATATATGCTGCCGGTGAATTTCTATGGTCGTACTGAGAAGCACGAGCATGGAGTCCGATGGATTGATACAGATGTATGTGTTGTCGGTACTAGCAACTTAAGTTCGCGTTTTACGAGGACGTCTCATTTCGAACGGTTGTCAATTCTTGCAGGTGATTTTTGCCATGCCGTACGACATGCCTGTTCCCGGGTACATGAATAACACCGTCAACACTTTGCGGTTGTGGTCAGCCAAATCTCCTCATGATTTCAATTTGAAATTTTTCAACGAGGGCGACTACATTCAAGCCGTGTTGAATCGAAATAATGCGGAAAAGTACGTATTTATTGGTTGAAAACGCTCTATTCGCTATATGGCGATTTTCTCGTGGAACTGGCGAAATTAAAGAGTATTATATTCCAAATCTGGTGATAGTAACCTTTATGCTCTTACTTGCAGCATTTCACGTGTTCTTTACCCAAACGACAACTTCTTCTCGGGAAAGGAACTCCGTCTGAAGCAAGAATACTTCATGGTGGCGGCCTCCCTTCAGGATCTCACCCGCCGCTTCAAATCATCAAAGTTTGGATGTCGTGATCCAGTGCGAACCTCTTTCGACGCTTTTCCAGATAAAGTAGCCATTCAACTGAATGATACCCATCCGTCTTTGGCCATTCCGGAATTGATGCGAATCTTGATTGATATCGAAGGCCTTACATGGGAAAATGCCTGGGAAGTGACTGTGAAAACATGCGCCTACACAAACCACACAGTTTTGCCAGAAGCTCTGGAACGCTGGACCACGGGACAGCTCCAGCATCTTTTGCCGCGACATCTGGAAATTATTTACCATATTAATTTCCTCTTTCTGCAAGAGGTGGCTAAGAAGTGGCCCGGTGATAATGATCGTTTACGGCGAATGTCACTAGTGGAAGAAGAAGGCGAAAAGCGGATTAATATGGCCTTTCTGGCTATCGTCGGTTCTCACGCTGTTAACGGTGTGGCTGCGCTGCATACAGAGTTACTGAAGGAAACGATCTTCAAGGACTTTTATGAATTGTGGCCGGACAAATTCCAGAACAAGACTAACGGCATTACTCCAAGACGGTGGTTGTTGTTGTGTAATCCTTCGTTGGCAGATATTATTACGGATAAGATTGGAGATGAGTGGGTGCGAGATTTGAGTCAGTTGGAAAAACTTAAGCCTTTGGTGGATGACCAACAGTTCCTGCGTCGACTAGTGCAGATTAAACAGGAAAACAAAATGCGATTGGCTGGCTGGATTAAGGAAAAGTTCGGCACCTATATTAATCCAGCATCCATGTTTGACATTCAAGTCAAGCGCATCCATGAATACAAAAGGCAGATGTTAAACTGCCTGCACATAATCACGGTACGTTTCAGTTCTTTTATTTTGTTGTGGAACAGTCGTTTGCCTTTCCTTCTGTTCCGGTTGCTAATTTGTTTGGGCTCTCTTATGTTCCCCACAGAATTTGAATATTTGTATGCCGTAGATGTACAATCGCCTGAAACGCAACCCGAATCAGCCCTTTGTTCCGCGAACGGTGCGTATTAATAGCCAGCTTTATGTGCTTTATGTTGTTTTTTTTAAAAACTAATTATGGAATCTGTCGAAATAGGAGTTACTTACAAGAAATAGCCTACATATATCCTTTTGTGCAGGTCATGATTGGTGGTAAAGCTGCTCCGGGTTATCATCTGGCCAAGCAGACCATCAAACTGATTTGCGCTGTGGCTCGAGTCGTTAATAACGATCCTATTATTGGCGATCGTTTGAAAGTAATATTTTTGGAAAACTATCGTGTGAGTCTAGCGGAAAAAATCATCCCAGCTGCTGATCTCAGTGAACAAATTTCACTGGCCGGAACAGAAGCTTCCGGTACTGGTAATATGAAATTCCAGTTAAACGGATCGCTGACCATTGGAACGTTGGGTAATTTGTTGTATTTTCTCGAGCTATCCGGCAGGCTTTTGAGCGCTTCTTGAGTACGGTATTTTGCAGATGGTGCTAATGTGGAAATGCGGGAAGAAATGGGTGCAGAAAATTTCTTCTTGTTTGGAATGACCGTTGATGAAGTGACCGAGCTCGGACGCCGTGGGTAAATCCTTAATTTGCTGGCGATGAACGATATTTTTACCTCCTATAATTCACCTCCGTCCGTGTTCTTTTAGATATAATTCGTTTGACTATTACAACGGTAACCCTGAGCTGAAGATGGCCATCGATCAAATTCGCAGTGGATTTTTCTCGCCGAGCCATCCGGAAACGTTTCATGACGTGGTCAATGTTCTGCTGCACCATGATAGGTGAAGTGCTATATTAGTGTTCAAAGTCAAGTCGATTCGCATAATTCGATTTTGCTTCGCTGAAAACTAATGCCACATATTACAGGTTTTTCACGTTGGCTGATTTTGATGCCTACGTAAAATGCCAGGAGAATGTTAGCGCAGTGTATGCCGATCCCATGAAATGGGCGAAGATGAGCTTGATGAATATTGCAACCAGCGGGAAATTTAGCACGTACGTCAGACTATGCGCTTGATGCATACATGCACTGTTTCGTTTCACTTTTTGGGACTTAATTGTACTAGTAAAAAAGCGACTGGGATTGACACCTTGTATTTCATTGTGATAAATTGTTTAATATTCTAGTGACCGGACAATTTCGCAGTACGCTCGTGAAATTTGGGGTGTTGAACCGAGCTATGATCGCCTTCCAGCGCCCCATGAGCCGTTGTTCGCTCCTAATCTGGGCAAAGCCGGCGCGAAGGGAGCTAAAGAAGGAGGTGAATCAAAGGCTCCTGCAGCCAAGGAAGCTGGTGACGCTGTTTCGAAGTGATAAATCACGGAAAGTTTAGTCGGTTACGATGGAAGTATTTTATTTCTTTACCATGTTTGCTTACTTGCCTTTCGTTTTACAACCGTGGACACTTTAATTTATTGTGTTTTTTCATGTCTTTATTGTTGCGAAACTGACTGGTTTGCGGGGCTTCAGTGAAATTTTTTGGGGGATTTTGGCGTTTTTTCGTGTTTTCATTGCTTAATAATTTTTCCTTGTAATAATTTATGACGTATTAAATTCGCTCAAAAGCCATGCTTTTCGCAAATTGTTTTCCTCCCAACGAAATTTCAGCTCTCAGCCACCCCAGCTTTGAGCATTATGCGCCGGAAAATCATAAAATAACCGTCATACATCACAGTCAAAATCGGAGAACATTCGTTCTAAACGATTGCATTTCGTGGACAGCGGTCTCTTTTGTACGCTAAGCGCGCACTGCACAGCCTGCAGCTTTCCTTCGAGACTGCTGATCTCCTGTTCGTACAGCCGGATCGTTACATCTTTCTGTGTCATTTCAGTTTCATACTTGGCCTTCAGCCGATTGATCTCGGTGGAGCGTTGTTCTCTGGACCGGGAAACGGTGTTTTCCAGTTTGGACTGCAGAGTTTCCGCTCGCCGTTTCACCTCATCGGATTCGTGCTGTAGTTCTTCCTCGCGGATTTCGAAACGGGCTTGTTGCGCATCCATGGCTGCCTGCAGTTTGCTAATACAGGCGGCTCTTTCCTTCAGTTTGGCATTGACGATGTGATGCGCCTTGAGGGAGTCTTGCAGCTGACAGTCGGTGGCTAGCAATTGCTCTTTGAGGTCGTTCTTTCGCTGTTCCATTCGTTCCAGCACTTCTTCCAGTTCACGGTTCCGACGCTTCAGGTGTTCAGTTTCGGCCGGGTTGGACAAAGTTTTGGGCGGCATTTCGAAAGTTTTCTTCATTTTCATTACAGTATCCTACATTAATAGACGCAATGCAACACTGACGTACACGATAAAATTTTATCGTGTACGTCAGGTATGTACTGCATTGCATTTAAATGCAATGCAGTACATACCTGCATAAACATAAATTAAATACATCTCAATTATTACTTCGGTTCCTGTTTTGTCGTATTTTAATCTTGATAAATAATTAAATTGTGACAGTGGGGATTGCAATATTGGTGAATGAAAAAGATTTGCGCTCTGGATAAGTTTTCACTTCAGCTGACCTTAAATCGCTGACTTTTGGAAATGGAGGAAACCCTATTAGCGCTTAGGTAATTACGATGTTATTACCTGGAGGTCATCCAGAATTTTATCTTTAATTTTAATGGTTTCTGACAGGGATTTAATCTCTGTTTTCTGCTTGTCGATCTCCTCATCGCGGAGCCGCAGCATTAGCAGGTCCTGCTCTTTCTGGCAACGAGTGTCTTTCTCGTTTCCACTCAGCTGAGCGCATAACATCGTTTGCTCTCGGCCAACATCGTCCAGCGCACTTTGCAGCTTTTCCTTCTCATTTTCTAGCACTCTGACCTTTCTTTCCAGAACTTCCGCGGTGTCCTTGTAGATGGCTAAAGAGCATTTTTCGGCATGCAGCACAGCAATGGTTTCTTTCAGTTGCGGTATGCGTTCGCACTCTTTTCGTAGCATTTCCACTGAACACCGCAGCTGATCAGTTTCCTGTTGTTTCTGCTGAATGACGTCGTCCGATTGTTGCACTTTGCATTCCAAATGTAGACATTTATTCCTGAAGCATTCTTCGTGCGTTTTTACAGTGAGCAGTTCACTTTGCAGTTGACTAACATTTTTCCGCAACTGCTGTAACTCATTTTGATCTTCTGCCGTTACCTGCTGCAATTTAGTATTTTCTTGACATCTGTTCTGCTCGGTGCGCAACTTATTCTCTAGTGAGCGTATTTCATCGGTGTGGAAGCGGCAAAATTTTGCCGTGGCTTTTTTTAACGCGTCATCCACGGCTTGCCGGGTTGCATGTTGTTGTTTATCGGCATCCAGCGAGCTTGACCTTCGACAATGCGACAGTTTATTCAGTCGCTGCAGTTCTTCTTTCAGACAGCTGTTTTCCCGCTGCAGTTCCTGCAAGGCTGCTTTGTCTTTTTCCTTTTGCTGAGCCACTGTGCCCAGCTCTCGCTCGCGTGATTGCAGGCATTCCAACTTAAAGGTCAAGTCGGAAATGACGCTGATATTGTCCTCCAGCTTTCGCTGCAGTTTCCGCCGTTCTGTGCATTCATCGGCCAACTGCGCTTCCAATTTATCGGCCCGCCGCTTGGTAGTATCTCGAGCATCACGGCAAGAATTTAATTCGTCGCGAAGACCGCGCATTTCTCGTTTGGTTTGATCCAAATCCAGCTCCAATCTGGCACAGGTGTTGCTTTCATATTTAATCTAAGCAATACACAATCCGTTTCATCTTATGCATATTGCACCAAATTTAATAATAAAATAAATGTAAATAATACATTGTTTCATGCAGGGACGGATTTAATAATATCATTGTTTGCTTTTTACCGGTTCCGAAACTGCAGCGTTTTGCTCTGGGGTTATTATGCCCTTTGCGCAGTGTGCAGAACTGCGTCTTTCCAGTGCAGAATCCCCAATTGAACGGCGGCTTTCGAAGCACTCGGGCGGAATGAGTTTTACTTTCGACGGCTTTCCACCGTATGCTGATATCCGAAACGTATCATTTCCGTGACGGGTCTGACATGCACCGCTTACCCGACGCTCGTTACTTCCGTTTTGCGTCGAAGCCGATCGTGCCGCGTATGTGCATTTCGACTGGCGCGCGCGCTCTTCGAATTCATCCGTGCTGCTGCTGGATGCGGATGAGGCGCGGCCGTGGGTTTTTTGACTCTTTTTGCCCGTAACATTTTTGACGATCTTTGACAGCTCAGATTCCAGTCGATCTAGCCGGGTGTTGATATCCTTAGCTAAATTCGACACACTTCTGGACCGGCTGTGGTCTGCACGTGCATTATTAGGTGGCTTCGACTGCGCATCAAATGCCGCGAGTGAATATTTACAAGGAAACTGCAGAGGCGTTGGAACGGGAGATTCCGGGTTGTTAACGTCCAGAAGGAAATTGAGATACGGAGTCAGATCTAATCCAGCGCAAGAATTTCCTGGTGTATCCAATGCAGCGGGCAAGGCCGATTTTTGTGCATCTGGATAACAGTTCATTTGTCCCGCGGGTCATTCTCCTGCAGAAAAGGGGCTGATAGCACATATGACCGTACGTATTGGAAAATCTCTTGATCTGACCAAACATTACAACAGTAGATGTGTCGTTTTTAGTAACTGAACTGTACTTAATTAAGGCCGCCTAGCCGGACATATCCAAATTTTTTAAGTGGTCGGATTAATCCAGGCATCACCTCAACGAAATTAATTGCTATGAAATTGTAATACTGCAAAAAGTTAGTGCGTATACAACTACGGTACGATGCACTATAGTGCGCATACTACATAAGTACATACCAGCCACTTCAAAATTTCTGGCACACTTTTCGACAATTAATAACAATAAATAATGTTATAGACAAAGTGCTGTATGAGAGCGAGTGCAATATATACAAGCTTGACTAATTAACGTGCAATAAGTAATCAACGGGCTTGTATAATTTACGTTGACTGCTATATCAACTATGTCACACGTGCCTATTTTGCTGAGTAAACTTTCCTGGTGTATGATTTTTTTTATTGCAGTCTATTTGGTACTTATCAAATTAGTTGGTTTTTTGAATTAAATAAACTGTTCTGAAACAGCATACAACTTTTGACGTATCCATTGTACATTTACCGATTAGTCCGTTGAATTCTCATCAGCGTATGGCAGGTCACAATCCATGATGCATTCATGAAAAAGGCTTGTGTCGTAATATAAAAGGGGGATCCACAAAACGCAAATTTGCGATTTCCAGCTCAGAATTGTGATTAAAGTTAACACATCCAGCCGTCAGAAAAAATTGAGTATAATACAATCGTCACCTTTCGGCCACGACTCTTTCGGTAATCGTCGTAAACCAACATGGACATACTTACCACAGCCCAATAATAGTACTACTACGTTTATGCCATTAACATTATGGAAAACTTTTCAAATTTGCAGCCAGAAGATAATGTTTAAGGTAAAATCGGTTCAAATAGCAATGCTGATATTGAGATTGTGTGAGCATGACTGCTGAACATTTATATCGCACACCGTGCATCAAATGAAAAACGCATCCTTAAAGGCAAAAAAATGAGTGTTGCGCTTCGACCATGGCAATTTTAGGCCATACTGTTTCCGTATACATGTATTCATAAGACAATGAAGCGGCAGGGCTTACAAACAGTTGGAATACCCATAGCAAGTATTTCGGGAAGTGCATCAATTATTACTGATATAATGCATCAACAAAAGACCAAAAATAAATATCAATCTGATGAGTGGTAACAGTTACTTACTTACTCTAGAGTATTCGTAGATTTTTAAATCTAATGTCAATAAAGCACAATATTATTATCGAGCTTGGTGTATTTATGTACAGCAGCTATACTTCCCGATATTTAGTTGTTCTAATCACTGTTCGCGCATTTTGTCATTCTTACCGATATTTCCAGAATTCATTCATTCATTTCCAGAATTTATTTTAAGCAAAATATTGACTTTTCATAGTAATTTTGTGGCTTTTTGTTAGCTCCCATAACCGCGCTTACTAACTTGTGCTGGACGGTCTGGAGATTGTCCATTTTATTTCATTAATGTTGATGTTATTTAATTTGATGTAAAACTGCGCACTGCAAATGATCGCTTGTTTTACTATAGAGAACAGTCAGTCAGTACAGATATAGTCTTTATAAGTAGAGGTACGCACGGTACATATTTTTAAATGACGGAGTTCGGGGACGCTTGAGAAATCAAATGCCGGTAAGTACTTACTAAAACGCACCCTAAAAACGAACTCATGTACATTGCCAGGCGACAACGGGTCATGCGAAAACAGTTCTGGAATAGAACCATAATCCATAGTGCAAATAGTCCATATAATACAGAATCGTACCTATACTGCAAAAGTATGTGCAGTAATCTGCACCGAGCGCGAAGCGCGAGGTGCTACTCTATGCCTTCGTCAAGCGATGCACGCATTCATAGCATTCCATAGCAGAGTATACGCTTCCCGTAGCAGAGTTTGTCTGTCGCCCACGAAAAGCGTCGGTCACGCTTTTCCAATTCTACAAATTTTCATTTCCATTGGCAGTGGTATTTCATAGCCTACGCGCTGTTTCAAAGATGTCATTAACATCGTTTTCTAATGGTACTGGAAGCGCGCAATAATACTTGGTGTCGTTAATACTTTAGCACGAAATTTTCTGGTCAGAATTTCGATAAAAACCATTTGTTTTTATCCACAGCGAAATTTTTTTTGAATGTTTTCCTAAATGTAGTGTTCTATAGTGTTTTCCTCAATGTAGTTTCCCAGAATGACAGTAGATCTCGGGATCGTAACAATAGTCTGGAACAGGCCAGCGCAAAACTTGCACCAGCGAGCTTATATTACATATACGCTGGTAACCAGCGGCTGGTTACACCATTCCCGAAGAGCGCCATCAGAACTGGGTTCGCGCGCCATGTCGATTCATAGTTTCACATTCCCAGCGGACCGGCGCTCGCGCTCGGTGCAAGGATGTGGTTAACAACCACCACTAGTATTTATTAATAGTACCTAGATTACAGTATTATTGTTGGTACGTACAAGCATTCGTTGCGTTAGTGGAAGAAAATTGGTAGACAGTACCTCAGGTAATTAAGTGGCGATAATGTTTTAAATCTCCAGAGTTTTGTGGGAATTGCCGGTTTTCAAAACGGATTTTAGTTTTTATAAATCTTAAAAAGTTTTCACTTTAATTTTGTTTTAGATGGTAATAATTTTTACTCCATAATCTTGGATTTTTTGCGATTAGCTTTTTCATTTTCAGATCGCGTTTTACTTTTTTATGTAAAACGATTTGCAGCATGCGCTGCTTATTGGTCGACAACATCATAACAGTATTGACAAAATCGACTTATGATCAGTTATTATCCAATTGTGCATCATATCATAATTATTATTATCAATAGCATTATAGCACCATTAGCACATAATGTTATTTAACATGTATATATCACATCTATAATTATTATATACTTGTCCAGCAATTTGTAAGTATCGCGTTTTACGAACGTCATTGCAGGATTCTATTGTGTGTACATAAGGCTGTCGGTGATTTCTTCGGCTACCGGCTTCGGATACGATCATGGGAATCAATATAGTAAATCACACCACCATCTTTATTAGTAACAAGCTCAACCTCGGCCTCCGGCCTCGGTTGAGAATTTTTAAAACTGAAGAAAATAATGTAGTAGTTTTATAAAGATTTAGGAAACGGCATTTAATTGGATCGGAAAGCGGTTTGTTTTGGATTATACAAACGGTATATGTATACACGTTCTGTTATAATTAACGGAACGTGTATCGGTAAGAGGTTAGACGAAGTGTATTACGTACTGAAGTAATTTACTGCGTGATTTTCTGTTCCGCCAATGCATACTTATGTAAAAAACCGACTAAAAGGCGACCAGCAAAAAAAACGGAACGTGTATACATATACTTCAATTTATTGAGGTGCCATCGCTAAAATCGTCGTCAACAAAGAAGGTTGAGCCAAATAACATATCAGCCAAAAATGTTATTAATAACATATCAGCCGGACACCACCTCCGTCTAACCGCCGACAGTCACTGCCCCTTTGTCTGACCGGCGAAAATCCCTATCCCTCTGTTCTAACAGGCGAAAATTCCTGTACTTCTATCTGACCGGCGAAAATCCTGTAGTTCTATCTGACCCGCGAAAATTCCTGTACTTCTATCTAACCGGCAAAATCCCTGAGATCTATCTGACCGACGAAAATCCGTGTACCTCCATCTAACCGGGGAAAATCCTTGTACTTCTATCTGATCGGCGAAAGTCCCTGTACTTTTATCTAAACGGCAAAAAACCCTGTATCTTCTTGGATACTCGCGCGAATTTAAGGATAGTAATTTTCTGGACCGCCCGCACTAGACATCGGTTTCTTTAATATCAAAGAAGCCGACGCCTAGTGCAGGCGGTCTGGGGCAATTTTCTGTTCCTTAAATTCGCGCGCGTACAGTACCTAACCGGCAAAAATTTCTGTATTTTTGTCTGACCGGCGAAAACCCTGTACTTCTATCTGACCGACGAAAATTCGTGTACCTCCATCTAACCGGCGAAAATCCCTGTACTTCTATTTGATCGGCGAAAGTCCCTGTACTTTTATCTAAACGGCAAAATCCCTGAACTTCTATCTAACCGGCAAAAATTCTGTACTTTTGTCTGACCGGCGAAAATCCTGTACTTCTATCTGACCGGCGAAAATCCGTGTACCTCCATATAACCGGCGAAAATCAGTGTACTTCTATCTGATCGGCGAAAGTCCCTGTACTTTTATTTGAACGGCGAAAGTCCCTGTACTATTTAAACGGCAAAAATCCCTGTACTTCTATTTAACTGGCAAAAATTTCTGTATTTTTGGCTGACCGGCGAAAATCTTGTACCTCCATCTAACCGGCAAAAATCCCTGACTTCTATCTGACCGACGAAATTTCGTGTACCTCCATCTAACCGGCGAAAATCTCTGTACTTCTATTTGATCGGCGAAAGTCCCTGTACTTTTATCTAACCGGCAAAAATTTCTGTACTTTTGTCTAACCGGCGAAAATCCTGTACCTCTATCTGACCGGCGAACATCCTGTACTTCTATTTGACCGGCGAAAATCCCTGTACTTCTATCTGATCTGCAAAAGTCCCTGTACTTTTATTTAAACGGCGAAAATCTCTGTAATTCTATCTAACTGCCAAAAATTTCTGTATTTTTGGCTGACCGGCGAAAATCCTGTACTTCTATCTGACCGGCGAAAATCCCTGTACTTCTATCTGATCGGCGAAAGTCCCTGTACTTTTATCTAACCGGCAAAAATTTCTGTACTTTTGTCTAACCGGCGAAAATCCTGTACCTCTATCTGACCGGCGAACATCCTGTACTTCTATTTGACCGGCGAAAATCCCTGTACTTCTATCTGATCTGCGAAAGTCCCTGTACTTTTATTTAAACGGCGAAAATCTCTGTAATTCTATCTAACTGCCAAAAATTTCTGTATTTCTGACCGGCGAAAATCCTGTACTTCTATCTGACCGGCGAAAATCCCTGTACTTCTATCTGATCGGCGAAAATTCCTGTACCTCCATCTAACCGGCGAAAATCCCTGACTTCTATCTGACAACTGAAATTTCGTGTACCTCCATCTAACTGGCAAAAATTTCTGTATTTTTGGCTGACCGGCGAAAATCTTGTACTTCTATCTAACCGGCGAAAATCCTGTACTTCTATTTGACCGGCGAAGATCCCTGTACTTCTATCTGACCGACGAAAATCCCTGTACTTCTATCTGATCGGCAACAATTCCTGTACCTCCATCTAACCGGCGAAAATCCCTGACTTCTATTTGATCGGCGAAAGTCGCTGTACTTTTATCTAAACGGCAAAATCCCTGTACTTCTATCTAACTGGCAAAAATTTCTGTATTTTTGGCTGACCGGCGAAAATCCCTGTACTTCTATCTTCGAAAATCGAAAATTCTTGTAAATGAAGCAAAACGGCGAAGCTAACTCTGTATATAAATAATACTAATTATAAGAACATCTGCATGTCCTGTCCTGCTATCTTCGAAAATCGAAAATCTCTGTAAATGAAGCAAAACGGCGAAGTTAGCTCTGTATATAAATAATAGTAATTATAAAAACATATGCATGTTCAGAACCAGGCTACCAACCACGTTAATTACTGTTACATTAATCAGTCCGTTTTACGTTATGCCTTTCCGTATTTTTGTATCTCCACTTTATCCAGTATATTAACAGTATTAACTAACGGTACAGTGATCTTTGGCTTAGAAGTGTAGTTTTACCTCATGCTGTTAGTCAGCGGTTTTCGTTCGAAACGATTCGCATTTCCGCCAATCCAATTTTAATTTCTAAAGGTAAACCAATCAGCGAAATTCATTTCGAACGCGGTTCGTAAATCGGAGGACGAAAAGATCGAAAAACGAAAGTCGTTGACGCAGACTACACGATTTTAGGCATTTTTTGAGCTATCGTGTAAAAATTGGACAAAAAAACGGCTCAGTTAGTTGCGAACGGTGTAGGAGGAGTGTACTTTTTTAACGATAAAATTTGCATTCCCGTAAAATGAACCAGCCGACTGGACAAACTGAGTATGTGGCAGTGTGGCTTAACAATAATATGCATATGTTCGTACATTGCCATGTGTCAGCGGTTTAGGTTCGAAAATTACGCATTTCCGCCAATCCTCTGTTACTTTCTAATGGTTCTCATAATAATCTATCCTACCGACCTACTCAACGACAGAGTATGAGCTAATATCTCAATGTGGCATAGCTAAGTCTACGAATCTACGCGAAGCGAGACTGCATCTCCGACGATATTTTAATTAGAAACTCCGATCACTGCCAAACTCATAATGAGAGAACTGATGATGAAAGTACTGCCACTCACGGACTTATATAGACACGGCGCATCCGTGTAGAAACAACCAAAAGTAAATCCGAACACAAAAGAGAACGATCGAGAAGGTACAGCGAATAATAGAAAGTACGAGTCAAGCCGTCACTTTACGTACTGTACTGCTATATTCCGTCACCCCCGCAAACGGCTTTTGGGGAACCCAACACAAAAAGAACAGAAAAGAAAGGTAAAAACAGGAATAATAACTAAACGAGTTCTCATGCTCACGACTGGGCAAAGGTGGGCAAATCCATCCACCGTCCAAGAACGAATGACTGATCCTCCTCCACGGGTGACTGAATGAGATGGAAAGTGAGGAGAGGATCCTGGACGGGATGGAAGACGAGAGTAGGCAGGATAGTGAGAAGGTTGGCAGAACGGCAGTCGGAGATCGGAGTACAAACAGGAAAACGTCGGAACGCAATAAATGAAGATTTTTAGTGGCAAAGTTAAATTTAATGTAAATCGCCGATGAAAAATTCAAGGCAAAAAACATCCGCGATGGAGAAAATAAAAATAAAATAAAACACCACTTTGAATTTGCGAAATACCAGCAACTGCATGTATTCAGTCAGCATTGCAACTCAAGGCGGTTACCAATGCGACTCAATCCGCAAACGTACAATCACCGTAAGACGGCATTCAAAAGGGATATCTTCGGGAATAAATTCCCAGAAAATTTACAGGCGCATTTGGAAGTTCTTCAACCACACACGGTTTTTCGTCATACACCATTTTTACTTCCTGACCGTCAACTTCAGTTACTGCATTTTTAGAGTCCGCTAAAGTTGGATTCACAATTTTAGGTTTTCTACAGTCATCTGCGTCGGTGCGTCGATCAGTCCCAATATACTCGTACTGAACCGATTTTGTAGTGTACGGGCTTCCTCTCTGCGACTGAGAATTATTAATTTCAACTTTTTTATTCTGCGAATTACCGCAAGCTAACTCTGTATATAAATAATACTAATTATAAGAACATCTGCATGTCCTGTCCTGCTATCTTCGAAAATCGAAAATCTCTGTAAATGAAGCAAAACGGCGAAGTTAGCTCTGTATATAAATAATAGTAATTATAAAAACATATGCATGTTCAGAACCAGGCTACCAACCACGTTAATTACTGTTACATTAATCAGTCCGTTTTACGTTATGCCTTTCCGTATTTTTGTATCTCCACTTTATCCAGTATATTAACAGTATTAACTAACGGTACAGTGATCTTTGGCTTAGAAGTGTAGTTTTACCTCATGCTGTTAGTCAGCGGTTTTCGTTCGAAACGATTCGCATTTCCGCCAATCCAATTTTAATTTCTAAAGGTAAACCAATCAGCGAAATTCATTTCGAACGCGGTTCGTAAATCGGAGGACGAAAAGATCGAAAAACGAAAGTCGTTGACGCAGACTACACGATTTTAGGCATTTTTTGAGCTATCGTGTAAAAATTGGACAAAAAAACGGCTCAGTTAGTTGCGAACGGTGTAGGAGGAGTGTACTTTTTTAACGATAAAATTTGCATTCCCGTAAAATGAACCAGCCGACTGGACAAACTGAGTATGTGGCAGTGTGGCTTAACAATAATATGCATATGTTCGTACATTGCCATGTGTCAGCGGTTTAGGTTCGAAAATTACGCATTTCCGCCAATCCTCTGTTACTTTCTAATGGTCGACCAATCAGCGAAATTCGTTTTGGAGCCGTTTCGTAAATCGAAGGACGAAAAGATTGAAAAACGAAAGTCGTTGCCGCAAACTAGATGATTTTAGGGATTTTTTGAGCTATCGTGTTAAAATTAGTGTCGAACGGTGTAGGAGGAGATGTTGGCCGAAAAAACGGCTCAGTTAGCTTTGTATATATAAATATTGGCAACAGTCATCCAGTTAACAAAAAAGCGAGCGCTGGTACATTACTTCATAGTTAAAATTTAAACATTAAAAAGCAACATTAAGCCCCTAATCTGTAAATCAAATTTGTCACATTTATTCCGACGAGCATCGATGGTTGCACATACGTATGACTTTGCACAAAGGTCATCTGAAGAACGACGCTACTTATGCAGGTAGAAATGCTTAAAGACTGTGTAGCATTTTTTCCACTCGAGCGAAATCCATGCAGTTCCTCAGTTCCTCTTAATTTAACGCGGTGCATCTATTATAAAATTCTTGCAGTCGTAGCACCATTGGTGGTGAATACCGCAAAATCTGCCACGTCAAAACTGCAGGTGTAAAACATGCACCACCTTAAAATGGCAAAGTCCAGTACTATTGGTGATATTTGTGGCTACTGTGCTTAATTTGCAGAATTTTATTTTGCCCATTGACGAATTTAAAGCAGGAACGCAGTGAAAAACTTTTCGACAAACTGAAACGAATATAAACAAAGTAATTATGGGAGTGCAGTCTGCGGTTTCGAGAATAGTACTTGCAAGCATCAGTTAGCATCCGTGGGCCGAACTATCACTTACCGTCAGCATGTCCATCTTCCCACTTTTAGGCGGCGCGCTCGTGTTCGTTTTCTTTTGCTTTAGCACACGTGGTGTTGATGCTGTGGATCCAGACTTACTGACCTTTTCGGAAGAACTATATCGGCTCGACCAACAAGGGAATGCTGCAGCAATTAATCAGCACTGGGCTGTTAACACCAGAAGCACCAATGGAAAGTAAGTAAGCTAACCATCAGTCTGATTATGCCGGCAGGAAAGCTGCTAAAGTTATTGCTACTTATATTTAATTTCTAAATTTGGGTTTTCTGAAAACTGGAGAAATAAGTTCGTTTCCATCATGCAAAACTGTAATGAACAGAATAAACGACAGTGTGAACATAATTCTCCTTTAGGATGAAAAACGTTTCGATACATTACTAACCGGCATGACATGCGTACACTTACTATTAAAAATTTATTTATTTCGTTTTCTGTAATGTAATTCTGTATCCGCTGATGCCGATAAACTGTTTCAGGTTATTCACCAAAGTGGAGCAGTCGGTGTTTCAAAAACCAACGTATAAAGCACTTATCGCCTTGTTTGACAATTATAATCCAGTCCTAGGCCAGGCGGAAGAAGTAACCGCTCAAGAAAAACAGGAAGAAACGGCATTTTTAGATGCTATTATGGCAACACCGGTCATGCAAAAAGCCTTTGAATACCTGAGCAAAAAAAGTACTTATTATATCTACGCTATATTAAGCTTTTACAGTACAGCAGTATATTTAATTTCATCAGCAGTAAAAGCAATATTAAGTACCATTGATAATGATTTCTATTACGTGCAGATGATATATTTTGCATTAGTTACGTATTGCTTATCAATATTCTTAAACAGTGTTGCCAATTAGAAACACTGATGCTTCACAACATCTGCAACAGCCATTTCAATAAATTACAGATTTAGTACCGGCGACCAAAGACAAATTCAAAGATTTCCTGCGGATGATCTGGTTCACCATTTACCGTCGCCGAGGACAACCAGACACTTCTGGCTTCGAGCATACATTTGTGGGAGAAATCAATGGCACCTCTCCAAGCGATAGTGTAGAAGGATTTCACAACTGGGTTATGTTCACACGAGAGGAAACAGCAGGCAGAGCGAAATACGGCCGGTGGAAAGGTCAAGCTGATGTAAGCTGTTGGTCGTTAGTGTCTAAAACATTTGCTCACCGAGAGCAAAAACACTATTTTCGTAGGCAAGAGCTGCAAAAATAGCAGACGTTGCGCAACATACACCATCCCTCTAGATCTATATTGCTATATTTATAAAACCGGAACACTATAAATTATAATGATAAATGATAACACTATAATTAAAATTTTTTCGTACTAGGTGCCAAGTACTTGTAAATGGGTAATATTAATGTTTTCTGTAAATTGCACGTCATTGCAGCCGGACCTTTACGGAATGCAGTTTACATGGAACGGTCACACAAAAATTAAATCCACAATAGCCATTGGGGAGAGCCCGGAAATGTCCATCGCTGTGCTAACAACGTGCTTTGTGGTGGCTCCCAATGGAGAATGCAGTCTGCGAATGGGCGGCGCCCCGGTCAAAGTTCTCACATATAAATGGGATGTACGCGGAAATCCCAACGAGTTTTATGTTGCGTCGGCTTATTATGATAACTGAAAAAATTATTTTTGAGAAATTTATTAAGCAGAAAATATAATTAACAAACCACCGATGAATTTCTGGTATCCGTGCGACTTGGAGCCTTTTCGGCTCGAACCGCATTTTTACAGCACGCATCCCGGTAATTCAGCATTTATCTACCCCTTTGGCTGATTAGTTTATCGATGCTTGCTTACCATTACTCGGCCTGCACAACAATAACTTCTGACTACATACCTAACACCGTGCTACGGTGCCTGGAGTTTTCCGGACAGAAAACACGTATGAAATTTCGTCACAAGTCTTCGGTTTTTGTTGAAATGCCACAAAATGTCAGTGGTTGGTTTGTCTGTGAAGCACCACTTAAAGAACACTACTTCCTTTTTTTAGGACAAGCCTACTCTACTCTGTATAGTCTATAAGTATGCGGATACCCAGTTTTTTATGCTACAAGAACAAAACATAAACTGGAGTGTGTATTGCTCTGTACTGTCATAACAAACATATTGCATTCAGAAATTTCCTTTATATAATACGGTAATAATTAAAACTATAAAAATTGTAATTTTGATAAAACAGGTGCATGAATTTACTGATACACTTCTTTCGACTTGTAGAGGTATTCGACACTGCCGAAACTGTTGCTTGAAAGACTACGTAATATATATATGCCATAGACATAGGGTCAAAAACAACTTCAAAATAATCAAAACTCAAAATCAAAGAACAGTGTTTATAATATTATAGAGTTTTATTGTCCGCAGCTGTGCTGACACAGAAAAAAATATATATGTATAAAAACTATGTAGGTATATGTATGTAAGTAATGTAACGGCGTATGCAACCTGCAACGTGATGCCACAAGTGCTACTATTGATAATGAAATTTCAAAACTCCTTTTTTAGGCTGTCAAAATCATAACAAGGAATGTTCGGACATTACTGTCGATACAACTGGTTCGTTATTAGCAGTTTATTTCGTGTTTATAGTTTGTATTAGCTATTGAAAAATATTTACTTGCAGTTTTTGACTTTTGTTCATGGCCAACTTTTTTCGTATGCAATGCAAGCGAGACAACAGCCAATTTATCTGCGCTTTTTGACAGAAAATGTCGGATACCGTGTCAAAATACTGATCGATTACTAAAGGAATTTACGTCAAAACCCCGCGGCAGCAGGTCAATTTACGAGTTGTCTCCTAACGTACATGTCGACATCTACACCCGTAAAATTGATGGCCTTGTGCTTATAGAAATACCGTACATTCAAATGTACAATACGCTAATCGCTATAGCGAAACGATACTTATATAAACAGAGACACATGTTTTGGATAACTGTGAATTTTTTAATTTGACTGCCTTGTTCATTGGTGATTCTGTGTTAACTCTTCGTGCAAAGCATTCGACACTGAACACTGGCCCGGGTCAGCAGTGAACACAAAGTCTACCGCTTCTGCATTTACTGCGACCTATTGATCTCTAAATTTATTTTTCGGGTGTAGAATAAGATCACCAAGATGTTGACATTCTTCCGTACCGGCATGTTTGCAGGTGTTGCTGCAGCCATGATCACTAGTTGTATATATTTTGTGTTCTTGAAGTATGGTTCCGCCATTTATCTCTCGCTTTTGGAGAAATCAACACTCAGTGGTAAGAATGAAAACGATTTGTGCTTAACTTGTGTTGTATATTTCTAGACTGCAGAGTAACAATAATATATAAGTAATTATTCCATGTTGCAGAACTTCTTTTCAACCATGAAACATCCACATTCTTGGTCAGCCTGTTCCAACGCTATCTGAAGTTAATATTTGACATCGCCGTGGCAGCGGCTGTCCTTAAACTCAATGCCATATGTATGGGAAAGTTCGTCTATTTTATGGATGCAAGCAATGCAAGCCGAACAATCAAATCAACAACCACTTCTGACAGTGCCATCACACAAGGTACATATAGTATATAACAATTCTATTAATAATTTTACGATATACTGTTACCATAAAAGTATCGATCTTATACGATCACAATAATTTGCAGATTAATCGCAATAAACTGTTGACTACGTATAACTACATTGTACATTCGTAGTTATTATTTTCCATAATTGAAAACAATTTTGATTTACATTCTACTTGAACGAATTTGCAGCTGTCTGCGACATTTTTGGGCAAACATGGTTTGAACACCCCATCATTTGCGACGATGATTTCACGGCTCCTCCGGTGAATTTATTAAGAACTTACGGCCACAACTTCTAATTCCGACCCGACATTGTATGGATCAATCAAACTACCGACGGCTTCTTACGGATTGAAGGGCAGTGTTCGACTCTGATCTCATGTTCCGCACTTATCCACGTTTTATGATTTTGACTGCCTCCGCTTTGTAAAAAAATATCGACGCACAGAAAATATTTCACAACAAATTGTGCTATGAACTTTATTAACAGAATAAAGAAATATGGCCAAATAGGCAAACACTGTGATGTGCAAAGTTGAAAGTAACAGGCAGATCTCACCACATAAAATGTTGAACGTTTTGGGAACCATTCCAATAAAACGGCTTATAAATAAACAAATATAAAGTTATGGCATTAACGGCTTGAAACAACAAAAATTCTAATACTAACTGCCTATAAGACGGTCTGAAAAAATGCATCCGAAAAATCAAATAAGGCACAATGAAATAACGAAACTCTAATAGTTGTTGTGGCACCAACGTTAAAATTATCACAAGGAAAAAGGCCAAAATTCGGAAAAATTTGTAGTACTTTAAAACGTCAAATATAGCCCATAATCCATACAAATACACCGGCGCCAAAATATATTTTACCCTTTCGTCCTTTTCGAAAATTCTCTTCCAGATATAAAATATATAGTGGCGGTTGTCCGATATTAAGTAGAGGTGTACATAGGAAAAATATTTGATCGACAAGAGGATGCCCTTCAAAGCCACGATCATTATCAATGGATACTGGTAGCAATGGGCCAAAAACCTTTGCAGTTTCGTCGGAGAGCACACAAATGGCGAAGCAAAGAATAGGACAAAAGAAGCAAAATAGAATAACTGCGAAATATGGATCACTGGCTGATGCGCCGAGCGGTCACCTACAACGATGCCTTGGTTGATGATCACGAAAGTCAGAAACGCCAACATCACCAATCCATATCCCCAAATGCGTGGCACACTCTCAAAAATCACGCCCATAAAAAATCCACAAAGTCGTCGAAAATTTGCAGCAGTTGGCATCCGTTTCAGGGAAACAAATGGAGCAAAGAGAACCTAAAACAATAAAATCTTGCGATGGCTGTCATGCATTTGTAGACATTCTAGCCAACATGCAAAATGGACCATAATGTACTTCTACTGGAAGAGCGCTTCAGTGGTTCAGCAATTGGGACATCGAAGTTACAATTCATCAAAACACTGAAGATAATTTTTTAGCCATTTTTTAGCCAGCAGAACGTAAATTTTTCGGACAAAACTGCAAAATTTCCGGTTGTTACGGTTCCCTGTTTTATGTAAATGTATTTTCACGATAACGACAACTTATGAAACAATTTTTCCCTTAAGCTGAACTTCCATGCAGAATTTCCTAAACCGACCTGCAAATCTTCATCGGGGGAGATTTTCTCCAATTGGTCTTTCTTAAGCACATTGGCCATAACAATTTGATAATTCCGCCATATCTCCCAGAGAGCGAAAAACGCCACCCACATCACATTGGTCTGTCGAGTAAATACTGCTGCAGCTGATGCCAAGGCTGCAAGGCTTCTTGCCTCGCGCAAGTGAAAGAAAGCGCTGAAAACAAACATTCTATGAAAGAAAGTAAATAAAAATCTTATATTTCTTCATATTAGGTGGTCACTCACGTTAAAAAGACGAAAAATGTCGACGCCTGATCCGTGTAGTACAGAAACATAAAAAAATACAGCAGCGGAAACGTTGCCATGTTCACAGCTGTGAACAATAATTTTCCTTCGGATTCCCGCTGTAAAATTAATTGTCAATAATTCTGTTCCCGTTGTGTCTCCAGTTAAACACGGAAAGCACTTCTACGACCGCTCCACAATAAACTATCCGTATTAATTTCCATAACTGTTTACGAAATCCACTCTACAGAGCACAGCCTTTCATTTATTTAGCATTAATTCCGCAAGCGTTACTGCGTAACATCAACCAGAAATCTGCAAACTAACAGTGGAAACTGCTTACCTGGCCATGCTGATGATGAAAAGCCTTTAACACGGCCAAAAACAGGGGTATTGTTGCCAACCCGAAGAAGAAATTAGTCAAACGTAAATTCCACAGAACACATGGATGTTTTATCGGAATGAATAGGGGAATAACTTTCCACAAAGCCAGGCTGACAAAATATAACCCAGGAAGGGTTGTTAATTTTGGATCCCACTAAAACACAAATTTCATTTTTGGAGCACGCCTGTAACCGCACAGGTCCCTGTCCGCATTGCACTTACCTCACTGAAATTTCCATTACAGTAACGCAGAGCTTGCGGAATATGGAATTCCTCGTCCACGTACGGTTCCGGAGCAGCATAATACATGTTAGAAAACAACTGGAAACTGACAATCCCACAAACGATGACGACCGTAGTTAACAGACCACGGTTTTGATGCATAACCACAAGAGTGTCTTTTGAATTTTAGCCATTTCAAATGCCTGGCGCTTGGCAAAAACCTTTCTAATAAGCAAGATAACCTCAGAAGCTTTTCTTTCAAGTGTAAGATTGTAAACTAATCACAACAGATAAGCCAACCAAAAACAATTAAAGAATACTGCGAACTCTATTCTCTAACTGTCTAACAATAAATGTTATTACAAAATACAAATTAATTAGTATAAACTTGCTGAGAACGGAAGTCGAAGTGAATACTTCTTACCGTCGGGATCGCAACCACCAGTTATGCGCTGTTACGTGAAAACTTTCCAATTGGTTGTGCTGGCAGTTCGCCTAAACCCGGTATGATTATTCGCCTAAAGAACTTTGGGGTGTGGCAATAAACTGCGTCGGTGCCAGTTGCTCGTTGTGGTTGTAAGGCAAGATCGGAAAACTTCCACATTTTTCAATTTTCACTTTTATACATTTTCTGTCTATGGCTTGTCCTCCGCGATGATGTCATCATTGTCATGCATCGAAGGTCCTTTGCATTTGCTGATTAGTAGCTCATAGTTTCTCGTAGACACTTTTCTCATAGCTGGTAGACGGTAGTTGTCGACAAACATCGGGAGAATTACCAGGTTTCGGGCGCAAAGCATACGAGTGGCAGTGAAACCAGGAATCTTCAGCTGCCTGGTCCAGTTTGGTGAAGTCTCGCTGAACAGTGCAACAGCTTGGAAAGCCGTTGGAAGTTTGGAACATTCATACAAGCATTTCTAAAGTAAAATGTTTGGAACAGCCGGGGGTTTCGGAACCGGTTCGGGGTTGTTCGGGACTTCTGCGAACTCCTCACTGACGACGGCTACAGCAGCGAAGGATTACGAGTTACCAGCGCCGCCGGACGACACGGTGCAGGCGTTGCGCTTCAGCCCACCATCCATCCAGCAGAACTATTTGGCGGCTGGTAGTTGGGATGGGTTGGTGCGCGTCTGGGAGGTGAACATTCCCCCTTTAACGGTTAACCAGTTCGGAGCTGCGCCGACGAGCATCAACGTACAGGCGCTACCCAAGGCTCAGCAGAGCGCTGGCGGACCCGTTCTTGATCTGTGCTACAGTGATGTACGATCTTTCTGAGCGAACTGATTGGGTTCTGGCGTTATCTCAGATGTTTTGTTTTTCAGGATGGAAGTAAGATATTTTTCGGATCCACGGACAAGACTGTGAAGATGTGGGACCTGGCATCGAACCAAGTGACGCAGATTGGCGCGCACGACAACGCCGTCAAATCAGTCCATTTCGTGCAGGCTCCCACGTACCAGTGCGTGATGACGGGAAGTTGGGACAAAACGCTGAAGGTGGGGTCTCTGAGGTGTCTGTGCTTCTAATCAAGTAGGCTGAGTTTTGGCGTTATGCTTCTCGTCCGACGATATGTTAAATGTTAAAAATTCTAATTCGGGATTATTGGATTTGGGTCTATTCGGGCGGTGCTTGATCGGTTAATCGACCAGCATAATAATATCACAGTAAACAAGCATGGTTACCCGAATGAGCGGTTAATTTATTGATTTTTAATATGATTAGCGTGTTTTCAAATTTATTGGATAATACGAGTAACGCGTTTTCACATATTTTAATGTGCCCGTGGGTAGACCTTGGGATATATAGCCGTAGTACGGAGTAAGTACCGATGATAGAGGATACGAATTAATATTGACGTAAAAAAATGTAGAACGCAATAATCAATATATTACACTTTCATAGTACCCGGAAATCGATAAGCAGTTTGTATGCTAAAGTGCACATTTAGTTAAATATTTAAATTTGTTGCAGTTTTGGGATGCGCGTCAACCAAATCCTGTTGGTACGCTGCAGCTGCCGGATCGTCTTTACGCTGCTGATGTGGTACGTTGACACCCAGGCTAGTTTATATATTCCATGTTTTATACAAGTAACGGTTTTGGATATTTTTCTACAGTATTATCCTATGGCGGTTGCTTGCACCGCCGGGAAACAATGTGTGGTTTATCAGCTGGATAACCAACCGCGCGAATGGAAGAAATTGGAGATCAATCTGAAGAATATGGTAAGTATTCAATGTACACTTGGGTACAGTATCGCCAGAAAGTAGGAAGAGGCTTATTAGGACCGTAAGGTAACCTTGTGGTGTTTTTTGCCTTATTTTAATTTTAAATTCTGTTTTTTGGAGCACGTTTTCGTGTATTACACCTTTAATGCGTTGCTCTTATTTATGATGTTTGTCTGCAGCTGCGATGCGTTTCCATTTGCGTTGACAAGAAAACCAACCAGCCCACTGGTTTTGCTGTGGGAAGCGTTGAAGGACGTGTGGCTATTCAGTATTTGAACCCCTCGAATCCGAAAGATAACTTCACTTTCAAATGTCATCGTGTGGAACAAGCATCCAACGTTCAGGAAATCTATCCGGTTTGTGACTGTGTATAACAGTGACTCTTCTAATGCAAGATAACTTGAAGATGCGTTCAAACTTACCATACTTTTATTATCTAAGAAAAGTGCTAATTATTTTACGAGACGAATTCGATACTTCCTTGTTGTGAGAACGAGATGCATTGACAAATTATGAATTCACTTGGGCATGGCTACGGCCTTGATATGATGCTACCGTTCCAGGTGTTAGTTTCGTTGTTTTAAATTTAAAATTTAGTACTTACTACATGACATTTTCTTTATATACAGTCGAGAAGGTTACTGTAATGCTAAAGCCACTGATTCTACCAATCTGTTTATGGGTTTTCTGCAAGGAATTGTTTGTATTGTAGGTTAATGATCTGGCCTTTCATCCGGTCCACGGAACGCTGGCCACGGTCGGTGGGGATTGTCGATATAGCTACTGGGATAAAGATTCGCGCGTTAAATTAAAGGGATCGGAAAAATGCGCGCAATCCATCACACGCTGCTGTTTCAGTGCGCGAGGAGAAGTGTTTGGCTATGCTGTCGGTTATGACTGGGGTCAAGGCCATGAATATAGCAATCCAAATAAAAAGCCCCAAGTTTTCCTCAACTATGACTACGAAAACATGAAGCCACGCAAGAAAACTTGAAATAATGCGACCTGGCGTTGCAGCATACGGTGAATCCGTTATTTTCTCGCATTCTTAATTGTTTTGTATATTTTTCTGGTCTGTAGCGAATATTCCTGAGAATATTCCTATTTTTTACGGACATATTCCCTTCTGCGATGTCAAGATAATTATGATTCAAGCGTTGATCATTTGAAAATGGAGAAATCCGAAATTTCTATTAAAAAGAACAATGCTTCTGATACTCGATCCGATACTCATGCGGTGATTATTCGTGATTTGGTTCGTTGTGAAATGATGTTCAGTGTTTCCATGGGGCATAAAAGACTGATGCCCGATTATGTTGAGTTCCATCCAGGGCTTGTCCACTCTTAAGTTCTCATGAATAAGTGACGTATGAATGAGTGTGATGTTAGACGCCAAATGCCAGTTAGAAGCCATATTAAGCGACCCGTCACGCATTGGTGAATCGATACTGCATCGTTAATCGAAAGTTTAATGTGAGTGAGCTATTTAAAAAACAATTAGGTTAATTGAATATTGGCTGACCATTTTTCGGTGGATTGTATCGACATGCACCCGAATGTGAGTGCGTAGACGTAGAGCATCGAACAGTAACTAGTACTAACTACTGCACTGCTGTATTTTAAACCTACTATGAAGTTTTATTTATGGCTGGGTACTCGGTGGTTCCTAGTTTCCTACTAAAGGTCAGTCGCTGATAAGTGGTGACCATTTATTAAATTAGAACACTAAATTTAAGTGACAGACTAAACTGCTTTGCAGGCTAACCAGTTTACGGTTCGCATCCATGCGCTATGAGCTCGCGAAATGTAACTCAAATTAATTACAAGAAATCATACAAGCAACTGGTCTTATAATATGCAGTATTATGATAAGTACAATCATTATTACTAATGCTAACGATATTACAAATAAATACTTACAAGGGGGCTAGCTTTAGCCGGTTTACAACTTATTGGTTGTATTAAGGTCGGAGCGAAATTACATACATGCATATACGTAGGTAAGTGATTTCGTTACGTCTTGCAGATAATAATATTAAAGATAATAATAACAGATAGTAATATTGCAGACAAGTAGCACTGTACAAGTATTATGTCTGTATAAGTCTGTATTAATGTAGTAGCTAGTTATTAAAGTACCCGCGTATGTATATGACATTTTATATGGATCGATCGTTTTTTGCTACTCTAATTGTAAATAATTGCAAATATATAATCGCAATCGTAATCAGAAGGTGAAATTTTATTACCTTAATTTCAGTAAAGTATTTTTTCAGTACTGAGAGATTTAGTTCTTCAAAAAATATTGCTTATGCGTGGGTGAATGTAATTCAACCCGAGGGTAAGCTGAGCATTGCGTATCGCATCTAATTGCTTTTTTTATCATAACTGTGAAAGTTGTCGGCATGGTTTTCGATTACAGATTCACATAGGTTAGCATACGTATATATGCAAACAGCCAATGTTTATTTGGAACCAAGAAGAAAACTACTACTCTAGTAGTCTAATAGTACTGCGTTAGCTTTCTCCCGATTGTTCAGAGACGTACTGTATTTTTAGCGCATTACATGCATGCATTCATAACGGTTAAATTTTAGGTTTCGTTTCGTACGCAGCTTGAGCGAGTTTGTGTTCGGATTTTCATAGAAATTCAAGTACGCTATACACATGTCGGCATGCAACAATTCCGCGTACCAAATGATGTATGAGTCCTGTTTCCTGTATTTGACTGATCAGTCCCCATGGATCATAGCATCTAGTGATGTGCCGAAAAGATAGCCCTGCTAACGTTTTACCCCCGTCAACGACGGATAACGCCCGGTTGTAATAGTTGTCGGATAAGGAGCTGCAAGACCGACGAGCGGCGGAAATGCCGGTTGAATTGAATCTTTAAGGACTGTCCACACCACCCAGAAAAAATGGATTTAATGTTGCATAAGAACAGGAAAGCCGTAAGAAGAAGATGGACAACGATATGCAGTAGTGCTGTTGATGCACTAATGCGTACGATAAATACAGTAATACATGGTGTGCATCCATCATCATAAAATTTTATATATCAGCTGTTTAGTGGCTGGCTAATTCATTCAAGTCTTTCAACCGGCATTTCTGGGCACTTAATTGCATTGGGCAGTATATGCACGAATTCTATGTAGCTGTAGAAGTGGCATTAAAGCAAAATAGACCTTGGTGCTGCACCCACTGAGGCGAATATGGGAAGAATACGTACGTGATAATAAAGTGTGTATCAAATGCTGCTATGCATGACAAACTCAGCTGGTGTGCAATGGCGAAAAGTACCGGGAATAGTAGCTGGTTTTATCAATTTGGGCTGGGGTGGATAGTTTAGTTTGTCCGTGGGTTTATGATGCAAAATTGGTTAGTAAATTTATACAGTTTGCCAAATGTCCCTTTTAATAGACATGAATGTGTACGCCCTCTCTGTTTGAGAGTGTGCGGTGTAATTTCCTGTTCTTATGACACTCTAGGGAGCGATTTCCCCGGCTTAACCACGCTTCTATGGGCCCCGGCATTTTTATCCACAGTTCAAGTTGTACGGTAATTTTTTGAAAATTAATAGGGAACACAATTCACCCTGTTGGCTTATTTGTCGACGTGTTTAAGTGATCAACAACAGCGACTTGCGATTGTAGACTGTCTGTTGTTTGCATTGAGCTTGCGCGCGGCAACGTTTATTAAAGGATTTCTACATATACAAGGTCTGATCCATGGCATTTAGGTATGGATTATCACCGTGGCGGCACACGCATCGATACGATGCTTATGGTCTTCTAAATGCTGTCGAGACTGCATTTACCGTATGCAAATGAAGTCAGCGTGAGGTTTATGATTTTTACGACTCTTTTGACACCGTTAGTCTCCATATTAAGGAGGACTCCATGATACTAGTACTGGACGTGGCCATTTATCGCCAACTGATTCTGGTTAGTGTTCCACTTAGCATTTGGTTTTTCTTGCTTTCTACAAAGCAGAATGCAACAAATCACGCGTCAAGCTTATGCAAATCCGACAGCCGATTACAAATTCCATCTCCAGCAATTAATTGTACCGAGAAAAATAAGTTGCCGAATGAATCATAATTTGCACCTTTGCATGCTTCTGCTGCCTTAACAATATATAGGTCCAGCCAATTTTTATCAGTTTTTATAAAACTCTGATATATTTACCTATTGTTTTAAAGCATATGTCGATATCATGTGCCCTTAGATATTTGAGCTAGCTAAAACTAAACGCGTAGCTAAAACTTAATAATATTATGCAGACAAACTGATATTTTGACTCGGTAATGCTAATATTGCATTTCTGCATAGTCAACGAAGCAGTTCCAGGCACAGTTACAGTAAAGCATACGGATATAAATAAACCACTGAAAAAGATGACTCCGGGTACGTTTAACAGGTAATCTGAAGGCAGTACAGAATATTTTAAATAGCATATCTGTTCTTAACGTAATATGAACATTCGCCATGTGAACGTTGTGGTATGTGCACTAAAGCATCTCGCAAGTCGCAACCAAACATACTCGAACCTCTTATGCCGATTCACGAACAATATATTACTGGATCGAATTTTATCGTTATGTTAATATTCGTTAGAAAACAACAAAATTTGTTGCGTCAAGCAAGCATCACTGCTGTAGTCGTGCAAATGAGTTATGATTTATCTGTAAGGATGAATTATATTTTATTCTGATGAGTCCAATTAGATCGGGCGATGGTCAAACAGCAAGAAAGTTACAGAGTTCTGCAGCAGTACACGAAATTAAACAGCCATCAAAGTTCTAAAGGGCACCACTTCTTATGAAACTGAATTATAATTTTATACATAATTAGCTACTAGGTATATAGCATGATTCCGGTGACAGTTTCTTGTTTTACGGTTGCATAAAAACTGAAATAATCTGTGAGCAGCTAAGAGGATGTGTGTATAGTACTCACAATGATTCTTATAATTATTAATAGCTAAATTTCGGCAAAAAAACGCAGAAAACGAGTTCAAAATTAAGCTTACTGCTTTGCATTAACTAGTGACACAATGTTATTGTTACTTCGATGCCGTAATTGTAGCGTATAAATGGAGCATATAAATCTGTTAAAAATTCTAATATATCTATATAATGATCGAAAATAGTACTTCTGATTACTGCAGTAATTGCAACACCTAAACCGAATGCATCCCAGCAGTAAACTCAGGGAATGCAACCTACCTAAATATAGTTAAAGGATGCCGTGTTGTGGAGTCGTGACTATCGGTGAAGTCAAAAAATCAGCGGTTGCCGGTTTCTAGCGTTTAGCCCAGCATAAGCACGCTTTGAGTAAAGGTTACCTACGTCTGCAGGGACTCGATATAGGCAAAAGATGTTGACAAGTCCTGACAGCTCGTGCATTTCCTCCTGTGAATAATCGGCATTCTATGCGCTACATACAGAAAAAAGACGTCTCACACGCAGATGAAACGAGCGATCATTAATAAAATAATGTCAAGGAATGCCCTGCACCAGCGCACAGTACTCCCTGTTAATTTGTCACGCAACGAAGAACTTTAAACCTTCCGATACAATCGAGTCAAGACGTTCTTCCCATCTCCGGCTACAATATAGATCTGCTTGTGGGTCCGCTAACAGTTGCATTCACGATCAGCAATGTCCAGCTGAATTCCTTGACATGCGGCTAAACAACATTGCCGCCAGTCGTATTGTATAGGATGTGACAAAATGCGACATGACGTTACATATGTACCAGTTCCTCGAATCGTTTTACGACAACCGCCCGAGCTTACTTCTTTAACCACGCAGTAATCAATCTTGTTTATGGATTTGGTAAAGTTTGCTTCCTGTGGATTTTAAAGTCACTGTGCAATGATCGCTTGGGCTTCATTAGAATGTTGTCCAATTGGACCTTATGCTCGTGTATTGTACATTCATCGCCTATGCATACAGACACATATGCGCGCATTACTGGCTCATTTGTTGCAGGCCATTCATACCGCACTTCACAGTATCACCATCATTTCTGGATCTGGCTGGATTATTCGGCGGCCTGCTCTACATGATCCCGTATTATCCATCTATATGATTCAAAGTCGATGCCTTTGTTGGAAGTCAAACTAAGAGGTATGTGAGATAATTTAAAAAGTGCCAAAGAAAACCGGCACCGCACGTGCCGTATCGTAAAGTTCCTTCCAGCGTCAAACACACCGTCAGATGAAAATCCGTAACTTGTAATTGGTTAGACAATTATCATAAATATATAAGCAGTAAGCAGTTTATATAAATATTCAAATATTTGAATTGAAGGCACCAAAAGCCGCACCAGTCGGAACTTATCGATCAACAAACATCAAAATTTTTTACAAGTTTCAGAGCGCATGTAACGTTGTTGTATGTATTTTTAACGTACGTATGCGCCAATATAGCTTCGTGCAGCAGTCTATGCTCTTAACATTATCTGACGGTAAATTACGGTATTTGCAATGCAGACATGCATATGCATTCAGTTTCTCCAATGAGTACGGTAAGATATCACATACCTACTGAAAACATGATCCTAAAATTCCGACTAGGTAAATCAATTTCGCCACTAAATATAGAAGTAACTTACAGTGGAAGTAACTACCTATATGCTTTGTAACGCTGCGGTTGGGTTCTACAGAATAACATAAAAAACATTGTGCTTCAGCACATCTCTACATACGTTTTCTTGTTATACGACTACACGGTCATCCACTATTAAACCAGCGTGAAGTTAATGATATTTATTGCTATTAATTTCTTGAGTTAAACGGTGCCGGTGACGATCGATCGGCATTAGACAAAACTGAAATAACTAACCTTACCTCGACGACGAGCAAGTGCTATACCATATTTTGCTATAGCTACTGTATAGCTCCTCTGTATTAACGTACTAACAAAATTGTTGCCTTGTACTGTAAGCGCACAAGAACAGGAGACAGCTGTTCTCGCAGTCTTGCACATAGCGCAGCATCAGTAAATTAGTAATAAATATGGACGTTACTTTATTGTGTGGGTATTACTGTATTGTAATTTTGCGTTCCAGACAATACGTTTTGTACGTGGTCACTGGCACACTGGCGGTGATATATAGTCAGTAGTGTATAGCTTGTCCGTCTGATCTAGTGACCCAGTCCTACACTTCCGCTGTGACGTCACGTTGCAAAATCTGACTGTCTCATAAATTCTCCGGTTTTTTTCTAGCATTCAATCTATGAAAACTTCATCGCCCTAACGAAGCGACATGCCGCGAATTCACTAGAAAATATGAAAAATGTTCAGTTCTCGCAATCGGGAAAATAATCACTTGGCGTTCAAATTCAACAATTCTTTGACGAACTTACGCACATCAACTTAATTATGGTTTTATATACAGCTTATTCCCCATGCGCTTATGCTTGTCTAAGACATAAATTACCTGTTACATAAAACTAGTTACGTATTAAACCTTTCAAGAAAATTAGGCAGTAACTACGTATGGCAAAAATTTTGCAGCAAAATCAGTAACTGTGTATCCCACTGATCAAAATTGTACGATACCTTTCCTTATTGTAATTTTCCGTGAAGAGTTGCATAGATTGATATCGTCTATAGTCCGTAGAATGTGGAAAAATACTGTTCAATACTTCTATCCTATCATTACATAATAGTGCATACAATGCATGTATACCTCAATAACGCGTCCAAAATGCTCCTTCATATGAATCTGAGTGTTTTTTGATTCCTTGAATAATTAAATTTGATTTCCTTGAATAAACTGTTTCCAGCTCTCATACTTTTTGCCGGTTTCTTAGGTTTCTCGAAGGATTTGTTATAATACGTATTTATACAGGCATTACTGATACTGGAATAATACTGGAATACTTAATAATGGAATACATAATAAAATATAAGACTTGTCTGGGCTCTGAGGATTTTTAATCGAGAGTGACGACGTTACTGCAAGATTATACTGCGATTATACTCGTACTATACTAGCTGGATAACAATGCATAAAATTAAGTGTCATCTACTGGTGTATTGGGGATCTTCTTTGGGTAGTTCTTTATCAGTTTTTCCGTACAGCGACGTCTACTGAATTGATTGCTGCTTTGTTTCGATCAGAATTACCGGAAACTTGTAATGTTCGACTAAAATCAGTTTCATTTCCGAATCCCAAACCGGCAACTTTCCTGATGCACTCTGACAACAATAAGCAGCGATGCCTGTAATGTTATGAGGCTTTTTAGAGTGCATATACAAATAGTTCGACAACGCATTTTGCCACAACGTGTTGTACACCTTCGTGTCACTGCATGGCCATTGACAACAAATGAATACTATACCGCAAATCTCTTACAGCTGTGCTCGTAATTGCAGGACGATATTGTTCTTTGTTGACATGCAAACGTCAAATGTTTTAATACTGATATCCTTTTAAAATCAATATTTTCCTCTCTACAATGTTGTGTAGATGGTGCCCATCGCAATCACTGAAATCAGCCACAGAGTACTGCCATATTGTAAAGTTCTATGAATTATCGACATAAAAACACTTATACATTGATTATTGCAAAGAAACTTATTTCCAATTTATTTAGATGTAACTTAGAAACATTAAGTGTTGTCAGAAAAAATTAGATATCAACGGTATACATTAACCGTATTTTCATCTTAAAAAAATTATTTATGTGTCTGAACTCGTGCATAACAGTTATTTTTAAACCAGAAACTGTTACGAGGAGTTGAAAATAGATAGTATTGCACTGTGTACTTAAACTACCAATACAGTCGAGAAGTAAGTGTATTTGTATTAGTAATATTCGGGAAAGTTATCTTATGTAAACTTTTCGCGTTGTCCCAAATTGAATTAGTTATACCAGAGTCTTCCAATTGGTACCAATTAATGCACGAATGTAATCAGCATTGGCATAATAAATACCGAATTTTGCATTGCATTTTCCACTATATCTCACCGATATGTATGCATTGCTTTACACCACGCTACCTAGCACGCCATAGGTTTCTTTAAGTTAACAAGATTGAAGTGTGCACTCAAAATATAATTAATGCATTCAGACTAAGTCAAGACATTCATAGTGCGCGCTCGTGCCTGAATATTGCATACCGGAATAATTAAATTTAATTATATACTCGTACAAACTAATAAAACAATATCCACGCAAGAGCACGCACTATGTATACCTACTGCTTATACTCGTACTACAGAGGCAACTGCAACTTGGTTTGAATTTTCGAACAATAATTCTGCTTCTTTGCCAGCCTTGTACAGAAACAGAATTATTGATCCTCACCTTGCATCGGCAAGGTGAGGATCGATGCATTTACCTTATCATGCAGATGCGGGAATTGTGGGTGGAAAATGGTGTCATTTCTAGCACATTTGTTCTTCAGTCATTATGCCATACAGGATTAATTTATAAACTTTTATGAACCCAGTTGCAAATAGGAATTGCTTCCTACTATGTCTTGATGTGCCCGGTGCCGTTATTCCTACACTAAAACTATAAAGATCTCCTGGGCCAGAAATGCCCGAAAGCAATTCAGCCAACTAACAATAAGTGCAAATACTTTGTTTTTTGTAACCAATAACTTTCGTGCAATAAGGTTTTTGTAACCTACGTACGACTTTGCTTAATCACGCAATTTTATATGCTTCTATCTGTAGATCTACACATATCTATATACTGACTGATATTAGCTAGCTCTCGCGTGATATAGAACTCATAATATTAAAATCTAACCCTTGGAAAACACTTTTAATTATAGAACCAAACAAAATATTTTCTGCTAATTTTTGGTTACGAAAATGGTAAGCGTACTTAATATTGCAGCTGTCAATAGCATCGTTTCTGACTAGCTTTTCTTTCTCGATTAAAATGAATAATTTTACGACTTTTATTATATGGTCCGCTCTGTAGCCTATATAGCCTTTGAATTTTGCAGTTAGTATTGTCAATCGAATGTGTGTGGTACCAAAATCAAATTTTCTAGTGTTTACAGGAAGTGCACGCACATCTCATACGACACACCGTTTAGAAGTGTAATTTTCACCTAGCTGCTCTGCTGTTATACGAATAATTTAATGCTATTTGGTAGTATTCTTTTCCATATCCCGTATGCCCTTTACATGCAACCGACTCCCGTATCGATTGTTGTCGCAACTGTACCGGAAGCGGTAATTTAACACCACGGTGCGATAGGAATGGCTCCTAATTGGACATGGGAGCATCGAATTGATGTAAACAATTAATTCCCAATTGCAAGTACACTTAAAATATCGCAGCTAAGTTTACTAATTTTCTGTAGTTAGCTACTTACGACGCCATGCTGCGTGCTTCCACCAGATTTCAGTTGGGAGAATTGCATTTTGCAACCTATCGGATTGGATTATGTGTATGCGAGTGTCGTACATACTTAAGCTTGCACGAAGCTGGCATATAGAGATCGCCAGAGATCTCTGAATTTCTCTCTTAGAACTGGACGTTTTATTATGTATGACAAAAGTTTCCCGATGAGTTTGCTTTTAATTACGCTGTTTTTTTGTGGGACAGCCGAACGAGAGCTGTAAATATGTTTATGGTGTGACAATCTGGGAGTGCTTTCACAACTTAGCCCTACTGCATTATATTGCCGCTCACTGCTGTTGTCCGCTGCGCGCGTTGTCGTTGTTCCGATCCCTTGAATACATACATATATGTCCCATTTGCCTGCACACATATGCATGATCGCTAGTAAGTCAAAATGATCCCCTCAGGATAAGCCGGCAAAATCGAGGTTAGAGAGAGGAGAAAATGTGATTTGTATAAAGTTGAATACGTTGGGCAAGAGTTGGCTAATATTGGCGGGGAGAATTCTCAGATTGGAATGATTTCCTGATAGATCGGGAGATTTAGTCAGCTTTCCCAACTGAACCCGGCCCCCAGTTGTATATAGAACACATGCATACCGCATACAGTTAGAAGGGGGCTTAAGGACTGCCATCGAATGTGCAGTGATGTGTACACAATCGCATCACTGGATAAATACAAACATTTATTTGCCTAGACGAGAAAAGACTCCCCGTTCTTAAGTATGTCCTTGAAAGTGCGACCTTTGTGGACGAAAAAGCGAAATACGACTGTTGCTGCTCGTGGATGGACACTGATGTAAACGATGCTGCGGCCTCTAGCTGGCTCATATTACGTCTGCGTATGCGAAATTGAAGGCCGCGTGTGACCCTGTTACAGCATCCTTGTAAAGGGATATGTTTTTGTTTTAACGGTTACATTTACCATTTCCTACCCGATTATGGTTACCGTTATCGTGGATTAATAGCGTATCTGGACAAGGCGACATACAGTATTACTCCGGCGATTCGCAACTGATCTGTATACGAGCGGACATAATGCATATGTTTGTACGGTTACGCTATTAAAATTCATGAATGGATGGGATATATTAGCAATATGACGGATTGTTGGTTATAATACACCATGAGCTGCGACAATTATTGTTAAAGAATAGGTACAACATGGCGCGCGTCAGCCGTGGCAAAGCGTTAGTCCCCTTTCAACTGGGGCTTTGATTGAGCAGTTTCCGGCAACTTTTCATCTCTCTTTTTCCCCCGCGCGGGCACCGAAATGGCACTGCACCGCACAACGCTGGCCGAGCGGCTTCCCTGATATGTATATATGCATATTGTTCTGTTGATTTTCGGTCCCTTTTCGAGCGCTGGCCGATCACTCATGTTGTCCACTGTTTACGCATTTGCATGCTTAGAGCCCAGGCGAGTTTGGGTCGGGTTTTTAAGGAACGGCACAATACTCCCGTAGACCAGTTTGCCGTTTCACTGTTATATGCAGATTGCTGCTACTCAGCCCAACCGGAATGCGGCCAATATGTATGAGCTGAGACTTAGGAGGTTATGTGGACTCTTAAAATCCACTTTTTCCTGCATTCATCATTTGCCGCTGGCTCGGTTATATGAATGTCATTGCATATGATGCAGCCGCTTAGTGCCAACAATACATGGCCATGTTCTTATTTTTGAACTTTGCATGCTGATCAGGACTGGCAAATCAAATATGACATGCAGCATGGATGTGTGCCACGGCCGTATTTAACATGGCCACACATGCCTGGGTGTGCTTTTTACGATCTATATATGGTATTTAGTCCGGGGATCAGTGTGCGATCCCGTAATATAGCGTGACCTTTGTTGCATCACTAGCGCTTCAGCTATTCATCGCGGTTACATATGGTGCGCCGTATCACCTGTCATTGAGCATCCCGCGATCGATACCTTTTCATTCGATATCGTCTTCGTTAACCCTTTGATCAGATGCGAAGTTCGATGTATAGAAAGCGATACTGGCATGAAATGCGCAACAAAACCCTTATTGGTGGGATTATGATGCCCATATATGAATCAGCCAAATAAATTTCCACCAGCATCTCTGATAAACAGGAACGGAATAATTGTTAAATCGCAGTCACTATGGTTCTGGTGCAGAAACGAAGCAGGGGAACAAACAGGTAACAAATCCCACAAATCTAGCGTAAAGCGTGCATGTTATTGCATAAAATAACTGGTTATGCGCTATTTTGTTTTTTTGTATTGACCGTTTTCTTAAAATAATATAGGTAGGTTGTATCATTAATGAGGAGGTGATTTTTTGTTAGAGTTGAAAGTTGGCTGTCACATATGCATGATTTTATAAGGCTAACATCTATGGTAATCTTGTGTTACAATAAACTAGTGGTTGAGTATAAAGTTAAAACAATATAATTATCTGATGACAGCGCACTACAAAAATGGCGTATATTGCACAAGCATGTTAGAGCTTTAATAAAATAACTAAAAACGCAGAAAATTTCTGCACACAAAAATTAAAATTAAGTTTGCAGATTGATGGTAGATGGTGAAAGACGTGTCAAGCATCCTTTTGCGGTACCTAATTGCGCTTGATAACATAACATAAGTAAAAACAAGAAAAGAAATCACTAAACAGCGAATGAGATAATGTGTAGTTTTAGTGTTTTAGTGTGTGAGACTGTGAGTTGCAGTACCACTTTACTGCTATTTTGTCACTGAAATTTTTCCAGCCGACGTACATAAGATTTTTTATTCGGATCGATTAAATTTTAGGTTCTGTTGCCGCTTCGCTGTTCAGCCTTGTATCCATTTGTGCGGTTTAATTAGATTATGTTCTATTATATCAGTTAAGTAATCCCGACCTTTTCTGACAACTTGTAATGGTGCAACTTTTGAATATGTATACAACCAAGATGTCGGGTTGGACCTCTGCATTCCAAAATCTTTCTAAAAAATATTTTTATAATTACAAGCATCACCCACGCATGTCTGATATGATGTCAAGACCACTTCATTACACGACAAGGCGCATTTTTTTTTCTTCTGATAAAAAGCTATGTTACGCCTTCACTTTCTTCGTGCTATTGAAGTAATTAGTCTTTTTGTAATACGCTATCGGAATTTCGGTACGAGCACTTTCAAACACATTTCATACACTTTCTGTAGCATACTCGTATAGATATGAGCATATCTCTATGACATTGTACGAGTATGAGCCTAGTTTTATGCCTGGGTAGCTGATTTAACTGGTCTTCACCTGATTAAGCTATACTTTGCTCGATCTGTGAAATTTTGATTTGCCTAAAATTTGCTTTACTTGTAATAATCGTCAACCATAAATTATCCAGTTCTTACACAGTGCATAATCATATCACGCAGTGGACACTGTTTCTATAGGGTTTCTTGAAGTTTTAATCCCTTTTGTTATTGTTGATTTAAGTAACTGAACCTGATACCCGATCCATGTATATGCCGCTTGGCCGCCTGGTCCTGTCTAGTGAAATGCGCTTTCTGCGGAAATGACAATAAATTATGTACTTGTATACCCGAGTAAAACAACTTGCAAAAGAAACGTTAACTTAACGTTAGGAAACGGCTAAAATTGACACACATCCGTTCACCTAGCGGTACTTACATGTTAAACTAACGTTTTTCCTACAAGCTGTTTTACCCGGGATACGATGCCATGCACAATCCTAAGCAGATTCAGACCGTAGCTTATTAAGATATTTAACATAGTATAATATTTATATTCATACTAGCGATGCGACAATGCCGGCATAACATATATAACAGACTAGCTTTTTATAATTGCCTTTTTATAATTTAGTTGTATTTGCAAGTAGAAAATCGTGTTTGAAGCCGCTCAAATTGCGCACCACATAATTATGTTACCGCACCACATAATAATGCTATTATGTTATATCTGATCTAAATTAGCCGAAATGATTTATAACAGCAAACTGCAAGGAAATTTTAACTTTTTTTGGGGTTAATGGTAAGGAGGTAACCTTTCCCGTTTTTCAGCGTTAGAAAAGTTTCAAGAACAATGTTTCGAAGCTCACAATCATTTTCGCACCCTTCATGGATGTCCTCGGTTGAAGTGGTCCGAAGAATTAGCCCGACAAGCTCAACACTGGGCCGAACATATCGCGGAAAAAGGAGTTGTTCAGTACAGCGAACAGTCAGGTACGTATGTGAATACGTAAACAAACGTCGCTTGAGCAAACAAATTCCATTTGTGAGTCTTCATACAATTACAATTACTGAAAAATTTTTTGGAGCATTTTAAATTTTGTGGCGCTCTGACGCTGTATACGATGCTTCGTAAGAAAATGTTGCTATTGGCTTGGGATGTATCTGTACGATGTCATCGTGCGGAAGGTACTATTCTTGTTTCCAGTAATTATGCAGCTTTGATTACTGTATCTGAAATCTCTATTCTGGCAAATTGAATTGGTGTTTAAAAAATTGATTGGTATCGTTAGTTTGTATAGTACAGTAACAAGCTTGTGGTAATGCGTAAAAATTACAGGAGTCGGAGAAAATATCTGCATGCTCAACATGAGTCGAGATGCGGAAATTCGTGGCGATGTTGTTACGCGAATCTGGTACAACGAAATCCGCCAGTACGACTTCACGGAGCCCGGATGGCGGAAGAGTGAGTAGAAAGCAGCGAAATACTGCCGATAGATGCTGTACGTGGAGTCCGTCAATTCGTCAACCAGCAGGACTTGATGAGTTATTGAAAAAACAAACTGTAGACGGGAGCCATCATACTAATCGTCAGCCGAGATATTAAGATGAAAAGTTATCAACACTTTCCGCCTCATTAGCGCTCAATCGGGTCATTGATCTTCAGCATCGGTCCATTCGTTAACGGCAATCACCATATCTTTTATTTCGTGCGCATCATTTACGTCTTACATCTGCCAAACCCAATTTCACGCTCATTCATTCTTCATCCACAACATTGCTATATACTACACTGCAGGCCGTAATTCCTAATTTCAAACGAAAGTGTTCGTTTGGTACAGAGCTGTTCAACCGCACGAGCTGTGGTTGTCGCAGTGGCTACGCCTACAGATACGGTACGCGAAGCCACCTCGCGAGGTGGAGTTGCTGTATCGCAACGAGATTCGCTTCGAATTCGGGACGAGGCCTAATTATTGATATATCCGCTTCCGATTAGGTATTGTTAGTTATTACGCTTCTGCGTTGACTACTATGCTTTACATGCCTACATGGTGCATCAGCATCTGCGTGCAGCACGACGTTTGTACATGTACAGGTTTCCAGTAAGCCGGCAGCTCTTTGACAAACTGGGCATGATTGGCCAGGGTTCGAATAAATTTACGAATTTGATTACTTAATCTCTTAGTAATCTCTTAACCTAAAAATCCCCACAAATTTCTATTTCTTGCATGGTGTCTTTAAATGAAACGCAAACTGACCACCGGTGCTCGCAAATATCTTGCTGACATTGTCGTAGTCCAAAGTCACTCCGAACCTTGAAACGGAAGCTATCGTGAAAGGAATATTGCTGGGCTGGAGAGCCGCTTTCACAGAATATGACTAACTGTGGATCGACATGATTTGGAAATAATTCTGTGGTTAGGGATTATTAATTGGGCTTGAATCTGAATACAGGAGCAGTACTGACACCCTGCACAATACGTAAAAGTGGCAGAATTTCACCGAAGTTTAAGCGGGGGCAAGTGCACATATGCAGCAGATGAGGCAACAGTTTTCAATGGCAATCAGCTGGTCGGCCCGTTTGATTAGATTGTGTAAACGGGACTAGCGCGTTGTATGGCGTACACATTCAATTTGTGTCGGCGTGGCGAAGCGCGGTTATGTCGACATGTACTCGTAGATAGAGCATGTCAGCAATTGTGATGAGTGATGGACACAGCTTAATATCTGTCGTTGATATTTGCTTTACATTTTTCCTCTTCTTTAATACAGATACGATCCATTTCGCTCAAGTTGTCTGGAAAAAGACATCGGAAATGGGATGTGGGATGGCGCGGAGCACGAAAAAAAGTACAGATTTTGTGATTATTGTGGCCTATTACCGTTCCCCGGGGAATGGCAATCTCCCCGGAGAGTTTGCTCAAAATGTTCCCGCGCCAAAATATCAAGTTCGTTTCAACAGTCATGATTCCGTCAACGGATTTCTCACGTAGAGTGATCCGCTAGTGTTTGCCTGGCCTGACCGACTGTTTGTCCCAAACCGGCCACCATACACGGCAGAACAATGCATTTCCTAATACGCACTTTCCCCGTGTGTGCAGTATATGTGTGTTGTCAGCGGCACTTATCCCGTTTTTGTTTTCTATCCTGGACACGAGAGATTCGCGGCATTTGACTTTCGTCTGAGTGGATGGAAGCCGGCGCATAAAAACATCTCAACGCGGGTGCGCAGTGTTTAGGCGCATGGCAGAGTGCTGGCGAATTGGCGTTCGATGTGTTTGTGCGCCACTGTGCGCCGCGCGCGCAATACTGCCAACTTGCAAGTGCCGGCAGCCATGCAGAACGGACACTTCTCTTCCAGTTCATTTTGCGCAATCTCGTATCCCCCACTCATTGAAATTCCCAAAGGAACATGCCATTGAATCATTCAGGAATGAGTGATGACATTCAATATGTACAAAACTGAGGGTTTGCTCTTTCTCTTTTGACTGTTCCATTCGCGCATTTTCCTATCGGACACAGCGTCTGCGACAACAAGATCGATCAATGATCGTTTATTTGGTCATAATATGTCTTCTGTGTTTAATGTGCCTTTCTTACTATATGTTTCTTCGTTATAAGTGTCTCCTGGAATTGAAACGTATTCCCTCGCATTTCTACGACAGCAAATGCAGCAAAATTAACAAGTTTTGTTGCACGTTGGTCTGTTGTGTGATAGCCGGATTTTTTACTGTATTGTAGACTTAACCATATATGTAATAACTATGTGGTTTTTGTTCACTTTTTTGCCACTGTGCTGTATGTGGACGTACGCATGGATCTATTCGGAAATGATTTGACAATTACGGTGTGGGTTCATGATGTCTAAAACCTGGACAAAAACTTCTCTTTAGGTCTGCCTTAATCTGAGTTAATGCATAGTATCGAACGTTTCTGCTTTTCAGACTTGCAATAATTATCACTTCATCAGCACAATTTTGTTTTGAAACCCATCTCGTATATAGCAGTTATTCAAGTCTATACTCGTAGCAAAACGGCATGCTAAACCTCAATTCTACTGCCTTAATCTGCATAGTATCGCGTTTCTGCTTTTCAGACTTGTAATTATCACTTCATCAGCACAATTTTGTTTTGATACCCACAGAATCTCGTATATAGCAGTTATTCAAGTCTATACTCGTAGCAAAAACGGCATGCCGTCAATTTACTCAACGCAGACGCTGCAACGGTGCGGTGTGCAATTTGAAAAATTGCGGTGCGATTTCGAAACAAAATTGGTACAGGCGGTGCGGTTTTGAAAAAACCACACCGGCGCCACCGGTGTGGTTGGGTAACCGCGTTAACATACACCGGTAACCACCAGTTAACGAATTTCTAAATTCGTAGTGTTTTAAAATTTAAAACATTTTATGCGATGACGCTGCTGGATGGGCACATGCCCACGGGGAGCACGGCTGTGGCGCTTGTAAGTCAGTACCGTATCAGTCGGTATGACAAAGTAGGTAGTACTCAATGCTATTGCTCACTCACAGTCTCACAATCACAAGTTTCAACTTGTAGCTGCTGCAACAACCGGGCTGCCATAAGATTAAAGAAAATGTGTAACATTGCTGCGTAATAATATTGGCGGCTTGATTTTCCACGCTCTACGTTGATTTGGTTCGTCACAAATATTCTTAGGGAAATTGTTTTCGATATTTCACGTCTTCATTACAGTTTTCCTACGATTGGATACATCCTGCTGGTGATGCCTTTAGAAGGCTGAAAGCTAGCAGTGCTAAAGTTCTGGCGATTGATAAGTGATAAAATTGCTAATTGTTGCTTTTTTCTTCTACTAACGTGTGCTACACCGGTACACCGGTGCGGTGCGGTGAAAAAATTGCGGTGCGATTTTTATTTTCACCGCACCGTCCGGTGCGATTTTCGCTTTACACCGGTAAGGTAAGTGCGATTTCTTGTAAAAAACCGCACCGACGGCACACCGGTGTACACCGCACCGCACCGTTAACAACCCTACGCTGTGCTCTCGCAAATTGTACTAACTAATTTTAGAAGACGACAAATAGCTAAAACAATCAGGCGCTTGTGTTTGTTAATAGCTGTCAACTGTAATTAAATCGAACACCTCCAGATAGCACGGTATTCATTATATCATACTCGTATAAATATCATATTTTAATATATACATATTTTTCATGCGATGCTGTTAATGAAAAAGGAGGCGATCACATTAAAAAAAGTACGATTTCAAAAATTACTGTTGGTCAAAAATTACGATCATCGTAGAGATGTTTTTGCAGTGTGTAGGTAAATGTGGTCCGATGAAAATTTAGCGCAGAATTTCACAGAATTATCGGTATGTACTTCTATTTATCCGATAATGCAACTGATGCCGACTGTCGAGCGCCGACAAGGCTAACACGCATTGTTGACTCTGTACTAATTTTGCAATCGTTGCATCCATGTGCCGACAAGTAAGATGCTATTCGGCGATCTCTGATTCCTCTGGTAGAAATGTTACTTCACAATAGGGCGGACAATAGAAATGTTACTTCACAAAATGACTCGTTACAAAATAATCCCCTGTTGCACATGTTGCTTTTGTGCTAGCATTTATTGTCGTTTACGCAGTCATTGTTGTACTAACCGTTTGGGGTGTATGCGCGGACACAAAGGAGATGGTCGTATTTTTCTCGACAATGCCTCCGTGGAACCTCAAAAACAATTCAGAAGGCAAACTTTATGTGACCGCGATTACAATTTACTGTCGAGTTAAAGATGCATATTTGCTGTTAATGCTGGTATAATTGCCGGTGCTGATATGCGAGAAATCGAAGATAGTAATTTGAAAGGTTTTCGAGTTTATTGGATCTGCTTTATTTTTGCATTTTCGTTTGTAACATGGGAAAATACTGCGGTAAAATACTTCTTTTTATCTGCTGGACTGTAATTCTGGAGTGCTGCATGTACAGCTGCCATCGCACTTTCAACCAGGACAACGTCAACGCTATCTTGAATCTTCCACTGTACAATCGCAACACGTTCCGTTGGTTGCTAAAGAAACTGGTGTACCGTCTCGGAGGTGACCACCTTCCCGTTAATAATCGTTCTGATAAATCATCGACATTCCGGAGTGTGGCGCCGCGAACTTTACAAAGTTCCTTACGCGGCGATCCCATGAGTGTTCCAGATCGGAGTGAGCCGGCTACAGATGCAGTGACCGAAGGAGAAAGCCCAACTGTTTTTGGACGCGCCACGTTTGCCGGTATGGATCCCCAGACACCGTTGCATGTGATTCCCGTATCCAAGCAGTTGCGCATGCACGATTTTGCCAGGTTGCTGGTTGCATGATTGGACACCGGCATCGCTTTCGCTGATCAGTCCGAGATGTGGATCCACAGCAGAAATCCTGAACAAAATCAACCAAAACACATTTGTTTAACTGCTTTAATTTTGAAAATAGACTTTAAACTGTTGAGCACTGTGGTTGTAGCAAGCGACTTGGAAGCTAAGGTCACTAGTTCCGGATTTTTCAGAAGTACGGAAAAATTCCCGTATACCGTAACATTAATTGATGATGATCGCGGTGGAGATCATGATTACTTACGCTTCCGCGCGAGGAACTGAGTGATTGTTGAAACTGATACAAAAATGATGTTACAGACAGCATCTTGCATTTTTCAGCTAAATGTAAGTTTATGCAAAGCACGTCCGAGTCTTATACAAATCACAGACAGGCTTTCATGTTGCGCGCGTATTCTCGCAGTTGATCTCGCACAACGTCCAATGACGATTGTCAATTTAGATGGTTCTATTATTATTTTATTAGTTGAAATTTTCTTAAGCATGAACCGTTAAGCATAATTTCTCTATTTAACCATGAAAAATCAATGTGCAATAAGGGAAACTGGGTGGTAGCAAACACTAAGTAATAAAAAACTAAAGGTATATTAATTTTCCTACAGTACTCTGTTCGCTGTGCAGCCTGTGCTCTCTTCACAACATTGATCCAAAAACCGGGCCGTCGATGGTTTACCCATTTTTTTCATGTTAAGATACGGCGTGTAGAAGAACTTTTGGAAGTTATTGTGAGTTCCTAAATTTCGATATAAAATTGCGATCTCTTTACAGTAACTTTGTGTTGGCTGGAGTCTAAAAACAAGCATGAAAACCGTACGACACTGATGGAGTGTACGAGTATGGATTGCTCGTTGATTAGGTTTTGTTGAACTGCAGGCTGCTAAAACTGCCCAATCCCTACGATTATTTAAAGACTTTTGGATTATAATTACATTATTTGTTCTGGTCTGATAGTGAAAATGGATGGCTGGAAAAACAGATCGCCATTGGCTTACTGGGAAGCCCGAAAGGGTAAGCTGATTGTTACATGGGTGCCTGTGATACTCATTGTGATTTGTGGTCGACACGGTCTGTGCAAAATTCTGAATTAACAATAAACGTTTTCCGGTACAGGAATAGGATCGGCGCTTCCTCAGGTGTTGCCAAAGCGAACAGAGCCATTTGTGGACTTGAAGTTCGATCTGTACAGTGATGCAGTTGCCTTCGAAAGGGACCGCTTTCAAACTATCTCGGAGGAGCATAATGTTGCTATTGTGAGTCTGCTCCATGTTAAGTGGTTTATTCTTTTCAAATTTGTAAGGAATTTTAATTCTTCTGTTTCAGGATCCGACAGTGCTCACCTTCGCTAACCGTGAGAAATGCGTCACCTGTTGCTGCTGTTTTAACATATGTTGAAATTTTAGTTTCTTTATTAGACTACAATCATCCACATAAGCTCCTCGTGGCGGACGAAGAAGGGATGATTTATTTCCTGGACACGGGAACCGAGTCTTCGAAACATAAAAGTCTCGCTAGTATGTTGACGATATTCTTCAAATTAAAACAGTACTGTAGAGTAACCCTGCACTTGACAGCTTTTTTTACAGCTCAGAGAGACGTACGCTGTGCCATGTGAGTGCAGTGCAGTCGGCTCTGAGCCAGCTAGTAATGGAATTTGTTCAGTTTTTTTGTGTTGGTTGATTCGTATGGATTTGACCCTGACTTCTCCAGGGCATGCTTAACGAAACAACCAAGTTTAAGTGATTTCTTAATTGATAATCGATTTCTAGCATTGCGAATCCACAACCACGCCATCTTCGACGCCAAGTTCCGTCCAGAGGATCCTAGTTTGCAGTTTATCACAGCTTCTGGCGATATGGGATGCGCTTTGGTCGATTTCAGTACGCAGTCGGTTGTTGGCACTTTCCTGGGACATCATCAGAACGTGAAGTGCTTAAGTTGGCAAAAAGATTCACAGAACAGTACGTTGTTATTTTGAAACTTTAACTGCGATTTCGTCGATTGCGGATGCAGTCAGCATTATTCTGCTTTATTGAGGTGTTTTTGGTATTTGCTTTTCGATTGTTAAAATTCTTTAGTGTTTTAAATAAGAAGGCAAAACACAAGTGGAATCGGCTGATGGTACGTTCCGCTGGCATTCATTGTTAGATGCCATTCGTTTTAATGTTCATTTTGTAATTTTACTATTTGAATTAGTGACATTACCAATGAAATATAGATGTCGTCGATTTACGAAGTTTTTGAAACGTTCTTGTTACTTCCACTGGATATCAATTCGAATAAATAAACGTAAAATCTTGTAGGGATAATTACTTGTCGTTTAGGTTTTTCACCAGTGCCAACACTTGCCTTTTTTTATTTAGATGTTTTTGCTTCCGGTGGACGTGACGGGCACGTTATGTTTTTCGATTTGCGATCCGGACTGCATAGTACGATTTTGTCGTTTTTATAAGTCATTTTTGGAGCTGATGTCGATGAACGTACGTTTAGATGGTAGCCATTATCCAGTGGGATACTTGGTGAACGCTCATTCCCAGTGGACGCCTCGGCAGCCTGCGCTGTTCCGACGAGCGTACAGAGTATCCATGCCGAATGTATCTATCAACATTGACAAACTACGTGAGGTTTACACTGCATTGCCAAAAGAATCGAAAAACCATAGAACCAGCATTACCGATATTATGTTCCAAACGTCTTACGCATTCTGGACCGCTGGCACTGCAGATAGGTAGGACTGGGTATTTTGGATTGCGGACAATAAACCACAATACTATTGTGTGGAAACCGAATCCATTGCCCTGTTACCCTTTCGCTAACATTAATATTCTTTTTACTCTAGCTCAATTAGGCTGTGGGATTTGCGTCGTTTGAACAGCGGGAAAACAGATTCAGTCATGTCTATTCACATGGATAGTGGCTTACCGTTTACATCTTTATGCATGGATTCCACTCGAACATCGCTTTTTGCCTCATCAAGGGACAATGTGATATACCAGTTTAACATTGGGCCTTCTATGGATCCCAAGCCAGTCGCACAATACTTCGGAGCTTCAGTTTCGTCATTTTATGTCAAATGCTCTCTCAGTGCGGATGACGAATTTCTTGGGTGTGGATCCTTGGATGGAAAAGGGTATATTTTCAAGGTGACCAATCGATTTATGCAATGGACCGTCGAATCTACCTGTTGCGCTCGAAATATGACGGCTGTAGCTAATCCAAACCATAACTTTGTTCTTTGTCTTTTACATTTCCAATACGAGTATGCTTTAACTGATAGGTGAAACAACCAAATGCTGCTCCGGTTAATCTGATTGGCCATACAAAAGAAGAAATTTCGGGAGTTGCTTTTAATTCTGTGGACCCATATCAGTTGGCGACCACAGCTGAAGATGTTATTGTTTGGCACGCGGAGCCCTATCTTGACCGATGCCGACCCAGTGAGGTCATCGGAACTGCGCGAATTGATTTGAGGGGTATTCATTCATGTTTTATTGTTATTGAGAATTTCTACCGCTGTTAGATTCATGCTACCTTTGTTATCAGTGGTGAAGAATGTTCAACGATATTGGCGGTACAGGATCATGTCTGTAGGTTTGGAGCAGCGTACGCCGAAACTTCGGAAACGCGAGCGATCGGTATGCACGGCCGACCTTCGCATGCCGCAGTTGAGTGTCTGGTTGCGGGAACGATCCAAGGGAGGGGCATGTTCCCCATTATCTTCGCCGGCAGCAGAATTTAGAATATCTTCTGAAGTTGATGTTACCCACAGCCAACAGTCAAGTGCTGCACCAAATGGGATAGCTATAAGTCAGAGCACACTGCAATCTGACCGCGTAAGTTGGGATGTACATATTGCGCTTGGGTAATAATGTTGTGATTTGATTATGTGCTTTCTGTATGGAGGTGTACGTATAAGAGAGATTTCACTGTAGTGGAAAACGCTACCGTAGTTCAACGGCTGGCGGTTGTTTGGGATTGGTAAATTGAAGTCTGATTGGCCGTTAACGGAAGCCTAATTAGGACTTCTCTTTGCAGAAAAGACGGACAAAAAATCTCACACTGTCTCCATTTTTCAAGCGGGTACGAGTCGAACAGTCACCGTCAACTCTTCCTTGAAAGACAAATCGTATTGTGGCAAATCTTCCGAAATTATTCTGTAACCTTGCAAAATTTTGCGCGTACGCCGCGTCTCGTGATTAGATATTGGTGTTAAAAGTGGAAGAATTGTTGTATATTGATTGTATATTTCTGATGGTACTTGTACCAGTACGGAATATTTTTATAGACATTTTCTATACAGAAGTCTGTTTCAGTGGTTATGTAAAGTCTGTTTGCCGGATTATTTTTGCGGCTCCTGATGATGCCAAACTTTCAATAGTACGTCGTTCTCGTGAAATCAAAAGGAATAGATCATTTCATATCCTTTATTCTACGACGTAAAGTAAACTGCGAAATTATTTATTTCGATACAGCTGCAAGTGGTAACCCAGTTATGAGTGCAACTTATGACTAGTACACAACTTCTAACCGCATCCAAAATCTCGAACTTCAATAATCTGTATCTACGACAGCGACAATTTCGTATGTTTTAGATTCACAGGAACCCGATACTAGAAAAGACCAGGTAACACTTTGCAGGTCGCCGGGAGGTAGTAAGTATATTACTATGCTGCTAAAACTAGTAGCAATCAAACAGTTCTCTAGTAACATTGCATGATGATCAAATAATAAAGCTGCTACAAGGAACGGAACTAGAAGGACATCGGGTAGGTAATGTACCGAGCCAGCAGGCACATATTGCTGATGGAGCAGCCATTACATTAGCACCATAAGACTACACGGCAATATAAATATTGTAGCGATCTGATTTACAAAACCTTCGAGGCTTCAGTCATCGAAGGGTTTTTTCAACAAATCTACATGCGCCTGAGCCTGCACCACTCCGTTTTCCACAACAGAATGCGCGCGGTGCTTTTCCGCTGCAATACTATCCCGATGTCCATTGATCGGCTCACTGACACTGATACTGCGTTCCGGTTGGACTTCTATTTTGCTGAAGTGAAGGGGAGATTTCGATTTTTCATGGCGATTAGCATGAATGATATTCGGGTCCACAATTTCTTTCCGAGACAAATTGTACATCGAGTAAGTTTTATCGGCTGTGATTTCCGCTTCGATGTCCAAAAATTCGGGCAGTGGGATCGCCTCCGTTCGGGCGGTGTACGTTTCCAGAATTTTTAAGCCGCGAATCCTGCAGTCATTAAAATTTACGAGATTCGTTATGGCGCACGTATCAGTAAATCAAGACCAAGCTCAGTACAGTACTGTAAATGCTCGCGTTTCGCCTACGTTCTTCCAACAATAATTGAGCAATTTCAGATCACAGTATTTACAATAAAATTCGTACGTCGACAAATGCAACAATAGACAGAGTATCGTTCAATTACGGCATCCCCAGGCGAGAACTGCACTGCACAGCTAGCATGCAACGCATACTCACGTACTTGCTAGGATTCTTTTCGGTATATATATCAAGCTGGAAATATTGATTATTCCATAGGAAACAGCGTCGCTTCTTGTACAATCGATAATGGGAGGGATCACGTTGAGCAAGGAGCATCTGCGTACACCAAGGATAAACAAAAAGCGACAAAACGTAAATGTAAATGTCAAAATGTGTAACTATACGCTGCGTACAAAATAATCACGCTCCGTGTTGAGTGCGCTGCTCGATATGTTCGTGTTTATCACCAGTTGTAACCAACCGACGAACGGTGTGTAGGTACTGCCAGTGATCTGTAAGGCAAAATACAGTATTAGTGATCCGTGAGCATCCGGAAATTACATTTACTATTATTTACTACCAACCAAACTCCAATTCCTCAACACTGAATGGTAGAATACCCAGTAACAAAATAATCATCAAAAAACTGACTTACTATTTTGTCCTCGTTTACGGAGCCGCGCCTGTTCGAATTCATGCGATGCGGTAATCAGATAATCGTGTTCCACAACAAAATCTTGAACTCATGGAAAGCCTGAAAGTTTCTGGGCTACAAATGAGGCAAAACTTGCATCCAAGACAGATAAAATGCTACCGAATCAGCCTGCATCTCACGAACGAGAAACTTTCTTTCCGACTGTTTGGCAACAAACGATCACCGGTATCGAGTCCAAGACGAGCGCAAACAGACTAGTAAATAAAAAAATCAACACAAATAATTCGCTAACCCTAAAACAACGAGAATACTCATTACGCCCAGGCTTACTTGAACAAGGCGTCGCATCTTCATGTCAAATGTTGTTGTGTTGTCCATAACTTCTAGATAAGGATGACCGATCCAAGCCTAAGCAAACCAGATTTTATGACAACAACCCGTGGATTGTTTGTAAGGTTTTTCCATACCTTCATCACTTTTTCATCTAGTTCTCGAGCCAAATTGACACCTTCACTGCGGCAAGTGTGATTCGCCAAAGTGTAAAATGTTGCGAATTGCAGTGCAGTTCTCGCAGTGCGAATTTCCAGGGTGGAGAACTGCACTTATGTAATGACTTCCCTAATTGTTTCGGATTTTGTCGGCCATGGAACCCAAAAAAATGCGTGATACATACAGTAATTAAGAACATACGAGTACAACGTTTTACGTGTTTATTGTTTATGTGTTTATGGGTTTATGAGTTTTACGTGCCTTTAATTTGTTTTACTAACCAACTCAGCCTTAAGAAAGCATGACATTACTCAGCAAGTCAGCATCAAGCGACTCAGGGGGTCTAATCATAGAGAACATATTCTGATCCAAATTTGCCCCTATATGTGCCGTTCCCGTGGTAGATGCCGTGGTTGATGAGGCTGCAGAACCGGAAAAAATGACCATTCTCGCTTCACCACGCAGAACAAAAAGGGATTCAAACGCTCAAGCTGAACGCTCACGCATTCTCGTAGGGGATGCAGTTACAGGTTACTGCCACTGTTATCACCATTCACCATTATGAGTAAGCAAGTTTTTTATCGTTTTGAGTCTTAAGAACGTTTTGCTTTTACATCGTTCTGAGTTTTGGTTTGAAATCAGAAAAAAGCAAACTGACATTTCCTGGTAGTCAGTCGCATGGGTTGTTGGATAAATACGTGAGCAATCTGAAGAAAGTTATTGTGAGCATCAGTTGAACTGCTTATCTGGTTAGGCTTATTTTGTTTCCCAAACCGAAATCGGGGAATATCTGAATATGGAAGGTGGCAGCGGTGACTGGGGCTTTGATATCGATGGATCTGTTTTGGAAGGAGTAGGTGGAGTTTAGTCACTCTACTTTCATCACGCTAAACACGGTACGAGGGGTGGCCTTGCGAATTTCCAGGGTGGACAGATTCTGCGGATTGCTGTGGCTCTCAGCGCTCTTCTGCAGAAAACTCTGCGTGTTCATAGAATTCGCGCTGGGCGAAAAACTCCTGGATTAAGGTACAGAGTAGCGAAATGCTCTTCTGGCAGGAAACCGCAGAATTCTGGAATTGTTGGAACGTGTGGCGTGTTTTGCAGCAATCAGCACCTGCGTGGCCTGGAGCTCGTGCAGCGCATGTGCAATGGCAGTCTGCGCGGAGGCCAGCTGCAGTCGGAAGAAATTTCGTTTTCACCGGGAAAGCTGACCAGCGGGGAATTCATTGCCGATGCCGCCACGGCGGGGTAGGAACATCGTAAAAGTGATTTTAATGTTAGAAATGCGACAGTGCATGTGTGCTTCGCTGTACAGGAGTGTGTGTCTGCTGCTGCAGATTGCGTTGCCTTGTGCGCTCTTCGCCAACGGCGCCACTGTTCTTCGGCTGAGAGGAGGAACGAATGCCGATGTGAGTTTGCCTTTTTGTCGTAAATCGGAATTTTTTGACATTTTCATAGGCCTGGCTTTTTTAAATATATTTTAAAACGATGGATGCAAAGTGAAGCTATGTTCCAGTGAGCCGGAATTTCGCGTTACCGATTGTATATTTTCTAATCATTTTTAATAGTTTTCGCCTTTATATTGTTTACGTGTTGATGAGGCAGCCAATTTTTGTGGCCAACAGTTTGCTCCGCCAGTGGATTATGTGGAGAAAGTACTTCTTCCCATTTTAACCCGATTCGGTATCCAAGCCGAGATGAATATTTTGCGCCGGGGATATTATCCGAAAGGTGGCGGGGAGATCATCGTGAAAGTGAATCCCGTTGCGGAGTTGTCGGCTGTACGGCTGCTGGAGCGCGGCACGGTGTCGGCCGTGAGTATTTTTTCCTACGTCGCTGGACAACTTCCTGTGCATGTCAGCGAAGAATGTGCCAATCATGCTGAGATGCTGTTAAGTAAGCAGCTTCCTGGACTAAAGATCAATAAGATCATTAAGAAAGAGACGACGGCCAGCGCTGTGGGTACCGGAAGTGGCGCATTGTGAGTCAATTGCCGTGTTGCGGGCTTGTGTCTAGCGAATGAAACCGATTATCATCCAATCGATTTTATAGAATAATCGTGGGTGATTAATTTTGGCTTGGCTTTCGATTAGTTTAGTAATGTTACACTCAGCTGGTGACAGTCAATTACGTGTAACTGGTAGTTAATGAAGTTACTGGGACTTTAGGATTTCTGGGGTAAAAAATTTTGCTTTTTCTGGCATGACATTTCCGACATCCTGAGAAATGTTTCATATCTGCTGATTTTGAGTTTTCAGATGATTCTGTGTTTTTCAGTGTTTGGGCTGAAACATCAACAGGTTGCGTAGTTGCCGGCTCCTCAAATGGATCTCGAACAAAGCACAGCAAGGAAGTTGCGGTTGAGGCTGCTAATATGGTTATTACCGCTGTCTCATCGAATGTCTGTGTGGATGAGCACTTGCAAGATCAGGTTGGTTATGAACTTATGCGCGTCTCGAACTTAATCAGTTATAACATTGGTTAGCTGCTTTTTACATTAGTTTAAATTAGTACGAATTCGCTGATTTAAACAATTTTAAACTCAGTAAAACTTGTTTTATATTATCAGTTAATCATCTTTATGGCGCTGGCAAAGGGATATTCAGAAATTTTAACGGGTCCGCTGACGCTGCACACCCAAACTGCAATTTTCGTATGCGAAAAAATGCTGGGAGTGCAGTTCCGCTTGAATGCGATGGAGAATGGGAATCAAGTGATCGGCTGTGAAGGAGTGGGTTTCCGCAGTGTGTCTGCATGATTTCAGATATGGTTTGAACTTTGAACACAAGGCGATGTGCATTTGATCCGGTCTGCTCATTTCGTGATAATTTTCTTCGTTCCAGAGCCTGCTTGGTCGCTCAATATTGTTTTCGGTTTATTGTAGTGGTTATTTAATAGTATTTTATTTGACGGGAAGAATGATTATTTCGGTCATGTTTTGCTTAGTATTAAACCGGTTTCTAATGTTGGGAAAGTTTAGAGTTAAAAATAAATTCGCATCCGATTTCTAATGCGTTTTCTGCAGACCGGGCATAGCATAACCAGATCGGAACAGGGTGTACAGGTTTTGATGTGTCCGCAAGGTATGAATGCCATTTCCGCCGGCTCTTCCATGCAGATGATGCAATCTTTTGCTTTGTCGCAAATGTCAGACGTCGCTGCAAAGATGCCAAAACCGATTACTTGTACCGATCACGTTTCTTGTCTTCCGATCAATTCGGAAGTATTTACATATGTAGGCATACGCGCTGTCGCGAACGGTACTGCCGGCACGGTAAATTTACAGCCATACAGAGAAGCACAAAAATTATTGTAAATTAAACCGGATTAATATTTTATTTTTGATTGTTCAAGTTATGTGTGAGCTATGTGGCCACCACTGTAATGTGAATGAGTGGATACTGGATAGTGGATACGTACTGTTATGAACTAGCTTACCTTCGAAATTTTCATACGTTTGTTGTTCGGCATTCACCATCGTAGCACTCGTAGTTTCGTTCTCGGGAACATGTTGAAAATCGTCCGAACTGTTGCAGAGAACTCATGTTTTTCAAGATTGAAGCGATATTGAATAGATTTGAAAAGTAAGTGTTTACTAAGTTCTACCTGTAAGACAAGTCCAGTATCAGTTGCAAAAGGGATTCAATTGTCAGCTCTTGTAGCGGATTGTTTTCTCGCATTTCCAGTTCGACTAGTGCGTTGAGGATTTGGTCGCTGTTGAAACCCATGCTTTGCACTTCACGTATCACTGAAGATGTTTTAAGATTCCCTCCTTGAACGGAGGAATAAAATTAGCAAGTAAAAAATAACAGTTTAGTTCTTATGGGTAGTGCTTAGCTTACATGCAATACCAGTGCTAAAACCGGACATCAGGCAGATATGATGCCATAATTTAATCAAATTGTTATTAGGACAACGCGAAAACTTACAAGTATAATGTGGGGTTAAACATACAGTAAAAAGGGACCTCAAAAAGGGTAACTGCATCATTTAAAGAGCTATCCCTTTGTTTGGGGAAGAAAGCATTTGGTCTATGTAAATTTATAACACGCATACTGGAGGCGGTTTCCTTTTGTGCGCAAGCTAGCGATTCATTAGATATTCGATCGGCAGTTGAGCTGGTAGCCGCGGTATCTAATCACAAAGCGCATTATTTAGTTACAGTTGCTATGAGTTGTGGACTGTACAATACAAGCGCCAAAATGTAGAAGGTGAAAACAAAAAATCTTTAATTGCTTAATTACCTTCTTGTGGATTGCTTTGTAAAAAGACAAACGCTTTCGCAAGCTTGTCCTTTTTTGGACGTCGTAGTATCTGAAATGAAAGTATTTTTGTTTGGCTATGGCATCTCATTACTCACAATTTGTCCGTGTCTTAGTTAAGAGCAAAAAAATATATCGTTTCCTTAAGAATTTGTACATTGTTCTGAAAATTAATTTGCGGTGTCGCACAGAACAGGTTTTTACTCGCGATAGCTTTTTACCGTGTAGGTGTCGTGAACCAGCTCCTTTTCAATAACAATCTCGCTTTACAATATCAATTGAAACCATATACGTATAGTTTAAATACTGTAACTATAGGTATAAGTATTGCTGACAATGTAAATTGTGTTGTAAAGTACAAACTACAAAGTATATACATGTAATTGCGCAGTACATATGTACTGTATCAGTACAATAAAACCACCTTCCCAAATAGCATACTTACTCGAATCTACCTGTATATAAAGCGCAAAGACATTCAATACCTGGGAAACTATTGTCACTTCCTCTGTGTCCATCGATATCGCCATCGTCGAAGGACAAACTTTCTTATACAATATGTACAAAGTATTAGATCTAATTTTCCACCTTTTTAGACATAAGTTTCAGATTTGTAGGCTCTGGTATAAAATGTATTATTGGTTCCTATACGACCAACAAAAATTTATTGTGCGTCCAGGAAAGTTGCATTTGCAGCATCATAAACAATGTCCATTTGGTCGGCGAGAGGCGTGGATCCGATCATCCCATCAAAATACATAGATAGATACTGAAAGTGATGTTGTAGGACAATGTACTGTATAAAAAAATAAGTTTAAGGGTGGTCCACACGTGCCAAAAAACAGAATGTACCGTGTACGTTATCCCAGCACACATAAGCTGATTTTTATAAGAATATTAATGTTTTAGAATTTTTTAGAATCACCTACAGGCATCTTTCTGCGTCGCTATAATGAATAAGCATCTCACGGGATACACGTACCTTGTCAAGAATCATGTATATAATCAGTAACTGGTCAGCAGTTTTTTAAGGTGATCTATTAATAGTTATACTTCTGATTCATCTTGTTCATTGGACGTTTCAGGTACAATTTACCGTCTGCACATTTTATACCGGAACACATTGTGGCACGTCTTTAAAATTTTTTCTATAATTAAATATAGTAGTCTTTTAATTTTGGGCTTTTACCCAAGTCATGCAATACGCAGTGCGCACTAAATACTTTGTGAAATTTAAACAATATACTCGAGTCGCTGATGAAATTACGGGATGTAATGGTTTCCCAATCATGGTGACCTTTTGTTCGCGGTTGCTTCCTTTCTCCCTCGATAACTGCTCCCTTCTAACTAAATACAATCTTCCAGAATGAAATTTGGCAATAATAATAATTTATATCGTATGTCCGCAAGCATATATATTTATTTTGATTGAGTACCATGTCGAAATACTGTAATCGACATCTTCATCAAGAGTGCAAATACTTACAGATAGACGTATATAGCAAAGAATTTATAACCATGCTACTGGATATGAGCAAAATTTTACTCACAATCAGTTGGTCGATCAGAAGTTTTGAACCTTATTAGTTATTACTGTTACGTATTTAATATACTCAGATATGACTAATAACCGTTACGTATAAACGTTTATGCAATCATTGAGAAATCAGAAAATTGATTTGTGAGCCTGTGAACGCTCCCATTTTTACGACAAAAACATATGAGTGGTGAGACTTCCGGTCTACAGAACTGTTCGGTGCAACCCATGTGAAGCACCACAGTGACCACACTGTGACTACAGATTTGTTGTCACTCTCACCGTGTTTCCGTTCATTTGGTCGTACCGCTAACGGTTAAAGAATGGTATTTTCACTATTTTAATACGAGGTTTTTCGAATTTTGTTGTTCGGATGCACTGCATATTGCCGCACATTAGTGTACTCAATTTAGAATTTTGGAGTAGAAGTGGTGTAACGGCTGGTATCTCGGTTTGTGAGCCGATCTTCCCTTGTGTAGCTTATTCGCTCTCGATTCTTGAAATGTCGACCGATAACAGCAGCACACAGGCGAACTCTGCCGCGGAATTACCTTCAAAAATCATGCAGTCGATCGAAGGTCGCAAAGTTCATTTGGTCGTTCTTACCGGGGGTAAGTGCGCGCTGTGACAGTAATCGGTGTGAAATTTGGTGTAATCGGAATCAGATGTGCGCGATATGATAAACGGGGACGAATATTATTTTTTACTGTGAAAGCGAACGGGTTCGACTTGCGCGCGGGTACGAACGCTGCAGCTGCGCTCGACTGTCGGGTCTTCGAAAACGTTGTTACATTATTGACGAAACCAGTCTTCTAACTCTTCGATATGGCGAAAGTCGATGATGGGACTTAGTTTTGATCACTTCCTGATGGCTCATAGAATCACCTTTGCAATTTGTTTGCTACATTTCCAAAATGTTCGAGTACAGTTTGTTGTTCGGTCCGTACACTTACGGCTGCTGAAAAGTTGAAGTTCCGGATATACTTTATCTCAGCTATATAATATGCGAGAACGAAACGTATATTTATTATGCTACTATATAAATTTTCGACGTTATTTTACAGGACCCTGTGCGGGTAAAACTACGGGACAAGCCAGTCTGTCGTCGTTTTTTGAGAATCTCGGATGGAAGGTTTACAGAGTACCGGAAGCCGCCAACACGCTGCTCAGGTAACGAAACAGTTTTTCTGCCGAAATTATAGTCAAACAAGGTGTGATTAATTCATACGTGATTAAGTCATGATTGTATTTTATAGTGGAGGGGTACGATTTTCCGAGCTGAGTCCACACGACTGTATGCGGCAGTTATTTTCACCGCTTCGGGAGCGGAATTAACATGCCGAAATGTCGTAGGTCACGTGTTTCAAGAAAACCTCCTGAAAACGATGATGCAAATTGAGCAGACATACATGGCGCTGGCGGAAACGTGTGCCAAGAATTGCTTAATTATCTGCGATCGCGGCACGATGGATGCTTCTGCCTGTACGTCGGTTGTGTTGTGCTAATAGGAAAGAATTAGATCTGATTTGACTTGCGTGAACTGTTTTGTAAATGGTTGCATTTAATAACTGCTATTGTATGTGTGATTTGGATTAGATCTGGAACCGGCAGCATGGGAAAAGATTATGAAACAGAACAATTTGAATGCTGTGGATATCCGAGATAACCGCTACAATCAAGTTATTCATCTGGTACGTATACCAGCGTTTGATTTGCCGCTGGTTGTTTGGGCATCGTTTGTGTGTTTTCGTGATTCGTAATCTGTTTTTTTTGAAAAGTTTTTGGATCATTTATTTTTATGTGTAGGTGACAGCTGCGAACGGTGCAGAAACATTTTACACTTTGGCGAATCACACTTGCCGCAGTGAAGGTGTCAATTTGGCTCGAGAACTAGATGAAAAAGTGATGAAGGTATGGAAAAACCTTACAAACAATCCACGGGTTGTTGTTATAAAATCTGGTTTGCTTAGGCTTGGATCGGTCATCCTTATCTAGAAGTTATGGACAACACAACAACATTTGACATGAAGATGCGACGCCTTGTTCAAGTAAGCCTGGGCGTAATGAGTATTCTCGTTGTTTTAGGGTTAGCGAATTATTTGTGTTGATTTTTTTATTTACTAGTCTGTTTGCGCTCGTCTTGGACTCGATACCGGTGATCGTTTGTTGCCAAACAGTCGGAAAAGAAAGTTTCTCGTTCGTGAGATGCAGGCTGATTCGGTAGCATTTTATCTGTCTTGGATGCAAGTTTTTGCCTCATTTGTAGCCCAGAAACTTTCAGGCTTTCCATGAGTTCCAAGATTTTGTTGTGGAACACGATTATCTGATTACCGCATCGCATGAATTCGAACAGGCGCGGCTCCGTAAACGAGGACAAAATAGTAAGTCAGTTTTTGATGATTATTTTGTTACTGGGTATTCTACCATTCAGTGTTGAGGAATTGGAGTTTGGTTGGTAGTAAATAATAGTAAATGTAATTTCCGGATGCTCACGGATCACTAATACTGTATTTTGCCTTACAGATCACTGGCAGTACCTACACACCGTTCGTCGGTTGGTTACAACTGGTGATAAACACGAACATATCGAGCAGCGCACTCAACTTACGGAGCGTGATTATTTTGTACGCAGCGTATAGTTACACATTTTGACATTTACATTTACGTTTTGTCGCTTTTTGTTTATCCTTGGTGTACGCAGATGCTCCTTGCTCAACGTGATCCCTCCCATTATCGATTGTACAAGAAGCGACGCTGTTTCCTATGGAATAATCAATATTTCCAGCTTGATATATATACCGAAAAGAATCCTAGCAAGTACGTGAGTATGCGTTGCATGCTAGCTGTGCAGTGCAGTTCTCGCCTGGGGATGCCGTAATTGAACGATACTCTGTCTATTGTTGCATTTGTCGACGTACGAATTTTATTGTAAATACTGTGATCTGAAATTGCTCAATTATTGTTGGAAGAACGTAGGCGAAACACCCGAGCATTTACAGTACTGTACTGAGCTTGGTCTTGATTTACTGATACGTGCGCCATAACGAATCTCGTAAATTTTAATGACTGCAGGATTCGCGGCTTAAAAATTCTGGAAACGTACACCGCCCGAACGGAGGCGATCCCACTGCCCGAATTTTTGGACATCGAAGCGGAAATCACAGCCGATAAAACTTACTCGATGTACAATTTGTCTCGGAAAGAAATTGTGGACCCGAATATCATTCATGCTAATCGCCATGAAAAATCGAAATCTCCCCTTCACTTCAGCAAAATAGAAGTCCAACCGGAACGCAGTATCAGTGTCAGTGAGCCGATCAATGGACATCGGGATAGTATTGCAGCGGAAAAGCACCGCGCGCATTCTGTTGTGGAAAACGGAGTGGTGCAGGCTCAGGCGCATGCAGATTTGTTGAAAAACCCTTCGATGACTGAAGCCTCGAAGGTTTTGTAAATCAGATCGCTACAATATTTATATTGCCGTGTAGTCTTATGGTGCTAATGTAATGGCTGCTCCATCAGCAATATGTGCCTGCTGGCTCGGTACATTACATACCCGATGTCCTTCTAGTTCCGTTCCTTGTAGCAGCTTTATTATTTGATCATCATGCAATGTTACTAGAGAACTGTTTGATTGCTACTAGTTTTAGCAGCATAGTAATATACTTACTACCTCCCGGCGACCTGCAAAGTGTTACCTGGTCTTTTTCTAGTATCGGGTTCCTGTGAATCTAAAACATACGAAATTGTCGCTGTCGTAGATACAGATTATTGAAGTTCGAGATTTTGGATGCGGTTAGAAGTTGTGTACTAGTCATAAGTTGCACTCATAACTGGGTTACCACTTGCAGCTGTATCGAAATAAATAATTTCGCAGTTTACACTTTACGTCGTAGAATAAAGGATATGAAATGATCTATTCCCTTTTGATTTCACGAAAGAGAACGACGTACTATTGAAAGTTTGTGACTGGTAATCACCAATCAGGCATCATCAGGAGCCGCAAAAATAATCCGGCAAACAGACTTTACATAACCACTGAAACAGACTTCTGTATAGAAAATGTCTATAAAAATATTCCGTACTGGTACAAGTTGTACAACGCATCAGAAATATACAGCATCAAAAATATTGCGCATTACAGATCCAAAAAAGATGATCACACGGCTACCAATAACAATAATTACAACAATTCTTCCACTTTTAACACCAATATCTAATCACGAGACGCGGCGTACGCGCAAAAATTTTTGCAAGGTTACAGAATAATTTCGGAAGATTTGCCACAATACGATTTGTCTTTCAAGGAAGAGTTGACGGTGACTGTTCGACTCGTACCCGCTTGAAAAATGGAGACAGTGTGAGATTTTTTGTCCGTCTTTTCTGCAAAGAGAAGTCCTAATTAGGCTTCCGTTAACGGCCAATCAGACTTCAATTTACCAATCCCAAACAACCGCCAGCCGTTGAACTAGCGTTTTCCACTACAGTGAAATCTCTCTTATACGTACACCCTCCATACAGAAAGCACATAATCAAATCACAACATTATTACCCAAGCGCAATATGTACTACATCCCAACTTACGCGGTCAGATTGCGGTGTGCTCTGACTTCTAGCTATCCCATTTGGTGCAGCACTTGACTGTTGGCTGTGGGTAACATCAACTTCAGAAGATATTCTAAATTCTGCTGCCGGCGAAGATAATGGGGAACATGCCCCTCCCTTGGATCGTTCCCGCAACCAGACACTCAACTGCGGCATGCGAAGGTCGGCCGTGCATACCGATCGCTCGCGTTTCCGAAGTTTCGGCGTACGCTGCTCCAAACCTACAGACATGATCCTGTACCGCCATATCGTTGAACATTCTTCACCACTGATAACAAAGGTAGCATGAATCTAACAGCGGTAGAAATTCTCAATAACAATAAAACATGAATGAATACCCCCTCAAATCAATTCGCGCAGTTCCGATGACCTCACTGGGTCGGCATCGGTCAAGATAGGGCTCCGCGTGCCAAACAATAACATCTTCAGCTGTGGTCGCCAACTGATATGGGTCCACAGAATTAAAAGCAACTCCCGAAATTTCTTCTTTTGTATGGCCAATCAGATTAACCGGAGCAGCATTTGGTTGTTTCACCTATCAGTTAAAGCATACTCGTATTGGAAATGTAAAAGACAAAGAACAAAGTTATGGTTTGGATTAGCTACAGCCGTCATATTTCGAGCGCAACAGGTAGATTCGACGGTCCATTGCATAAATCGATTGGTCACCTTGAAAATATACCCTTTTCCATCCAAGGATCCACACCCAAGAAATTCGTCATCCGCACTGAGAGAGCATTTGACATAAAATGACGAAACTGAAGCTCCGAAGTATTGTGCGACTGGCTTGGGATCCATAGAAGGCCCAATGTTAAACTGGTATATCACATTGTCCCTTGATGAGGCAAAAGCGATGTTCGAGTGGAATCCATGCATAAAGATGTAAACGGTAAGCCACTATCCATGTGAATAGACATGACTGAATCTGTTTTCCCGCTGTTCAAACGACGCAAATCCCACAGCCTAATTGAGCTAGAGTAAAAAGAATATTAATGTTAGCGAAAGGGTAACAGGGCAATGGATTCGGTTTCCACACAATAGTATTGTGGTTTATTGTCCGCAATCCAAAATACCCAGTCCTACCTATCTGCAGTGCCAGCGGTCCAGAATGCGTAAGACGTTTGGAACATAATATCGGTAATGCTGGTTCTATGGTTTTTCGATTCTTTTGGCAATGCAGTGTAAACCTCACGTAGTTTGTCAATGTTGATAGATACATTCGGCATGGATACTCTGTACGCTCGTCGGAACAGCGCAGGCTGCCGAGGCGTCCACTGGGAATGAGCGTTCACCAAGTATCCCACTGGATAATGGCTACCATCTAAACGTACGTTCATCGACATCAGCTCCAAAATGACTTATAAAAACGACAAAATCGTACTATGCAGTCCGGATCGCAAATCGAAAAACATAACGTGCCCGTCACGTCCACCGGAAGCAAAAACATCTAAATAAAAAAAGGCAAGTGTTGGCACTGGTGAAAAACCTAAACGACAAGTAATTATCCCTACAAGATTTTACGTTTATTTATTCGAATTGATATCCAGTGGAAGTAACAAGAACGTTTCAAAAACTTCGTAAATCGACGACATCTATATTTCACTGGTAATGTCACTAATTCAAATAGTAAAAATTACAAAATGAACATTAAAACGAATGGCATCTAACAATGAATGCCAGCGGAACGTACCATCAGCCGATTCCACTTGTGTTTTGCCTTCTTATTTAAAACACTAAAGAATTTTAACAATCGAAAAGCAAATACCAAAAACACCTCAATAAAGCAGAATAATGCTGACTGCATCCGCAATCGACGAAATCGCAGTTAAAGTTTCAAAATAACAACGTACTGTTCTGTGAATCTTTTGCCAACTTAAGCACTTCACGTTCTGATGATGTCCCAGGAAAGTGCCAACAACCGACTGCGTACTGAAATCGACCAAAGCGCATCCCATATCGCCAGAAGCTGTGATAAACTGCAAACTAGGATCCTCTGGACGGAACTTGGCGTCGAAGATGGCGTGGTTGTGGATTCGCAATGCTAGAAATCGATTATCAATTAAGAAATCACTTAAACTTGGTTGTTTCGTTAAGCATGCCCTGGAGAAGTCAGGGTCAAATCCATACGAATCAACCAACACAAAAAAACTGAACAAATTCCATTAGCTGGCTCAGAGCTGCACTGCACTCATGGCACAGCGTACGTCTCGTCAAGTGCAGGGTTACTCTACAGTACTGTTTTAATTTGAAGAATATCGTCAACATACTAGCGAGACTTTTATGTTTCGAAGACTCGGTTCCCGTGTCCAGGAAATAAATCATCCCTTCTTCGTCCGCCACGAGGAGCTTATGTGGATGATTGTAGTCTAATAAAGAAACTAAAATTTCAACATATGTTAAAACAGCAGCAACAGGTGACGCATTTCTCACGGTTAGCGAAGGTGAGCACTGTCGGATCCTGAAACAGAAGAATTAAAATTCCTTACAAATTTGAAAAGAATAAACCACTTAACATGGAGCAGACTCACAATAGCAACATTATGCTCCTCCGAGATAGTTTGAAAGCGGTCCCTTTCGAAGGCAACTGCATCACTGTACAGATCGAACTTCAAGTCCACAAATGGCTCTGTTCGCTTTGGCAACACCTGAGGAAGCGCCGATCCTATTCCTGTACCGGAAAACGTTTATTGTTAATTCAGAATTTTGCACAGACCGTGTCGACCACAAATCACAATGAGTATCACAGGCACCCATGTAACAATCAGCTTACCCTTTCGGGCTTCCCAGTAAGCCAATGGCGATCTGTTTTTCCAGCCATCCATTTTCAATACCAGACCAGAACAAATAATGTAATTATAATCCAAAAAGTCTTTAAATAATCGTAGGGATTGGGCAGTTTTTAGCAGCCTGCAGTTCAACAAAACCTAATCAACGAGCAATCCATACTCGTACACTCCATCAGTGTCGTACGGTTTTCATGCTTGTTTTTAGACTCCAGCCAACACAAAGTTACTGTAAAGAGATCGCAATTTTATATCGAAATTTAGGAACTCACAATAACTTCCAAAAGTTCTTCTACACGCCGTATCTTAACATGAAAAAAATGGGTAAACCATCGACGGCCCGGTTTTTGGATCAATGTTGTGAAGAGAGCACAGGCTGCACAGCGAACAGAGTAGACCGCGTGCGATGACAAAGTGCTGCTTGTGGCAAAATTCAAAATGCACCATTAATTGGATTTACGCCCATTTTTTTACTGGAATTTTCAATATTTTTAAGTTAAGCAGTTTGACATGGTAAAGGTGCTGTGCGACTGAAAAAAGGCAGTAGCAATATGCATGGAGAAACATAAATTCAAAGATTGTTATTCGTAACTGCTAGACAACGGGAGTACGGCACGACGACACAGTAGATTTGGAATTTCAGACACTCTCGGCATCTCCCGAAGATGAAAATGAAAATTCAAAATTCGGTTTTGGAATTTTCAGAAGATGACAGGTTCAGCCAAAATGCTTAGCCTGGCAAATTTCCGAGCCGAGCTAAAACTCTGACCAATCACAGCTTCCTTGGCGTGACGTCAATTTCAATTTTCGGTAGCACGATCATTTTCGACTTCCGGTTGCATTTTGCTTTGGAGCAAATCGCACTAGGTACAGTGTCTACGGAAGTTCGCGCTTTAATGTGACGTAATCGCGAAGGCGTGGTTTCTTTAACGCGCAAATCAGGCGCCCGCGGTCCCCGGTCGGCAAAGATGCAGGTAGCGGCATGCCTTTCGCATTTCTTTAAAACGACCAAGCAAAAACCTAAAACGGTTTAAACTCAAAATTTTGCGAACGGAGATGGCAAGTAAATAAATTCCCCTTTAACACGACTGCGAACATTACAAAAGAAGTTCTGTCCGCAATCCGCATTACTGTATGTTACACAATATGTGTCCAAGGTCTAAGCCTCCTAACCTCCAGTCGGTCCAGACACGTAATCAGAATCGGATATGGTCAACGGATTATGGAGGAACGAGTTTCACACTTTGCACTACTACCTTGTTGCATCGGATACCAAGATATGGTTTGTCGTTTAAAAAATCCCCTGACGTTTATACAAAACATACATTTTTCAGTGCGTTTAAAGTTACTACAGTAAGGCTGAGGAGGGTAACTAATACGTACTTATGGTAATAGTACAGTAGTAATTGACCGAATACGAATTTAACGAATTCGCATACGAATTTAACATGCAACCTTTGTTCGGCTAAACGTGGGAAAATGCTTTTATAACGTATAATCTGCATTCAGTGAAAAAGTTACAGAAACAACATGAAGCTTTGATTCTTGTGGTAGAAATGAATGGTTCAATTGTTTAATGCGTTCACATAGAATGATATAAGTATAAAGCGCTGTTCACGACAGTTAATGGATAAAAACGTTGTAAACCGGTGGAACATAGGTATACAGTAATTCCCTTAAACCTTGAGGTTTCCCCAGAATACACAGTCAATCACAGATTAAGCCTTAGACACTGCTAAAAAAATTTTGAGAACTGAAACGACACAAATTTTGAACAATCACACATATAAACGATCATTTTTATCCACCGCATATATATTTCACTACTTCCGGACGAATTTGTGCTCTAATTCCATAATCCCTATAGACTCTTTAGCGATTTCGTCATAGTCAGTCCACTCCTGGGGCAAAATATTAAAAGACACTTGAAAACACTTAACATAGGTCTCTCAAGTCTGCAATCAGCACTACCACATCCCGTCGCACCTTTTCTGACAGGTCAACATCCGAGAATTTTTGACTGGAATGAGAAGCGTAAACGCAATATCCATGCTGCAAACCAATCAATTAAAAAAAATTAAACTCATGATATTAGTTCATGCTAAATATCAAAAACTCTAGAAGAGAAGTTCTGAAAAAAAAATTTAGATTTTCGAAATTCTAATCTACGTACCCCGAAATCGAAATTAACGGGTTCCAGTCCGCGACAGTCCAAAGTGCAAACCGACTTAAACTGTCCGCTATCTCCTTCACAGTATGGAAATGAGGCCGCCTTTTCCAGTATGTCTGAAATTCAAAACGGATTTTCAATTATTCGATATACATATAAATATGTTGTCACGAGTATTCTAACCGTAAGCACAGTTCGAATTTATCAGCGATCAAAGGTCGACATACCGACTGTGCCCTTGTTCCCGCAAAAATTGCATGTTTCAACCAGGTTTGATTCACCGCGACTGTTGCTTTGTGGAAACTTTTCCTTGAGAAAAAGAAAAACTCAAGGTAGCAAACCAGAAAAAACTGGCCCAGCGCACTACGTAAGCTGCGTGTAAATTTTAAATAATATTTTGCGCAACACTGCTTTTGGTTTTCACAATTTTATTGTGTCGCGCATTCTATTATCACAATCAAAAAGAAGCTGGACTCTGTTTTGTCAATGAATATATATCACCCGGCCCACAAACATAATCGTGAAGAAGTTCTTGATGTTTCAGCCATTAACTGTCGCCTATGACACGCTTACGAACAACAATCACAAGTCAGAATAATTGCACATGACTTACAGTTTGTTTTAGTTTCCTTACCCATGGCGACATAAAACAACATTGCGTATAAAAACACAATTAAAGTCATATAGGGGCAATAATGGTGCGCTTACAATTAGATCCGCAACTTCAATTTAACTCACCCCGATAGTCACAACACGAAACGTATCGCGTTCCTCGTTGCAGCCGGTACATCTGAACTGCGAAGATCGAAATAACGGTTAAAATTAAATGCATTTATTTACTTGTTAATTAGTAGATACTGCAAACGAAACCACAGCATATACTGTATACACTTCTACAGTTCTACTAACCTTTAATACTGTCCTTGCATACTGTACTTGTACTGTACTGTATACTGTACCACACCCGGCAGTATAAATTTGTAGATAAACTAATCATAACTCTCATTAGTATCAGCACGAGTGCGCACGCAAAACCACGATCAAGTGACCATCATTTTTCAGAAAACGATGTCTCACCTTTATTCGCCATTCAAAAGTTTGGATCGAAGCCGGAACGAACTCCTTCACATTTTCCAACTGGCATCTGATATCTAAGTTGAATTTCTACAACCCAGAAAACACGAAGGTTTAATTAGCGCTCACTGGCCGTGGAGCTATCAGGTTCAATCAGTATTATAAGGCCTAGGACACAACACATAAAGCAGCCACAGAAATGTTACATAATAAAACTTAGAATTGCAAAATATTAAAAAATACAAAAGTCGTGTTTGTCCAGTGTCCTCGCTAAAATATACAAAATTTAAATATGATTACCACAAGAATTCCAGACTTTTTATCATTTGTGAGAACCTGCTAGCTTCGTCAAATACTTTTAAACATACCGGCATTCGTGATGTCGTGCCGAAAAGAATAGGCGTAGAGATGACAGATTTTAAACAACGGTGCGAATAACAATTATATGCACTAGAAACAGGAACAAAATGATGGTGATCCAGCGGTTCTTTCAGAATCTCTCACGACCACTTCCGTCCGTCTACTAATCTACCAACTGACTGCAAATTTTAACTCGTTCTGCAAAGTCACAAATCGTTCCATACGCGGTCCAAGAGCGCTGCTGAACAGGTGCACCTACAAAGCATATTCTTTGAGTCTTGTAACATACAGTAACTGCAAGGATATTCGGAGAAGAAAATGAAAAAACGTCCTTTTTCATTTATGAACTTCTTGTCGATCTTGTCATTCTTGTGCAGTGTAATGTTTTCGTTTTTAAAGCTTGTAATTTTTTTCTGGCTAACTGCCGCCGCCAGCAGTCCGCAATATACAATGGAAGTAGTAAACGGGATCCCTTACGGCAAACGATGACACTAATTTATTTATGCAGCACCGGGGTTTCGCCCTCGCACGAAAATCATGCTAACGTGGCGACTGATTGCGAGTGCGAATCTCACGGTCAGAATCTTTTTTCATTTTTGCGGCTACTAGCCTTTTTTCCATTGCAAATCCACAAAACTCTTTTGCTTTTAATTGGTTTTCCATGAGGAACTTTTAGTCAGTGTTTCCCATCTGTATTTCAAGGTATGGAGTTTACAATATGGTGTATGGTAGACGTTTTTGCAAAACTTCGTTCTATAAGTAGCAGGCCACATGCATTGCAACTATGCCATACTGCTTATTTTATCCACCGCTTTTTTTACCGTATTTTTCAACGTTTAACACTTTCTTGACCAAAACTTTCACAGTATCTTAGAAAACATTAACTTATTAAACATCAGTCGAGAGGGGCGGCCTAATCACTGAGAAAATTTGATCTAAATTTGCTCCCATCGGCGCTGTCCCCGTGATCGATGCCGATGCCGTTCCGCTAGCAGCCAGTAGTGAATCAGTATAAATTATGTACGAGTACTTCGAAATACTTGTATTTATGGAACTACTACGGTAGCACTTGTTTTATTTACGACCGAGACATCATTGAATTTTGAAAGTAAACCTCCTTCGTATTTAAGCAAGCCTAATTTTTTATGTTGGGACAGTTAAGTGAATTGTGGCTATGTGAGCTTGTATGTTTTTAGGTTCCAAAGGGATTCGAGATTTCAGCGCCTTACCCAAGCGCACCACAATGGTAAACTGATATCACGATTGCAGAAACTGCAGATTTCCTGATTTAAATTGAGTGCTGTACTTTAATGAAAAATGATTTATGATAAATCTGAGTTACTGTAAAGTTATGGATTTTGAAAGTTGTGTGCATTCTTGTTTTCCGAGTTAACGATTGTGATCTTCGTGAAGAAATCTACCCGGAGACCGAGCTTCTGTAACCGAAAATTAGCATGAAATACAGCAGTATACTGATATCACTGCGTGTACAATGTACACTGATATTATTTTTGCAGGAAATACCGAAATCCGAATTTTTTGATGTGTCGACATATTCACGATATTCCGGTGAGTACAGTACTTAAAAGAAAAACCCTTTGCATGCGTTAATATGTATGTAATAGTTAATATGCGTATGCGTTATATGCGTTATATGTATGTAATAGTTAATATGTATGTAATGCGTTAATATGTATGTTTTTGCATGCGTTTGTATGTAATAGAAGTTTTTGCAGGCCCTGTCGATGCTGCCATCATACCGCTGATGTCGTATCTGCTGCTGGGCGCCGGGTTTTTCTTCATGGCTTATTTCTTCGTGTAAGATTAAGAAATCTATTATTTGCAGTTGGCTGCTTGCTATATTCTGTGGTTTGGACTACTGCAGGTACGAAGTGACATCTACGAAATCTTCGCGAGAACTGCGGAAGGAGATTTTGGTTGCCACTTTGGCCGCTCTGTTTTTAGGAGTTGGCACAGTTTTCGCCCTTCTGCTTGTTGGAATATACGTTTAACATTTCTGAACAGTGACGCTTTTTTCGTTTCCCTTTTTGTTGCGCTTGTTAAGGTAGTTTTCTTATAATTTTAGAGTCTATTAATTTGTCGACTGCTTTGCAATCTGTTCGTTGTTTTTTCCATGTGACCAGCATGTCTGACTGAAATTTTTGCAGTGTCCAACGTGCGGCAGTTTTATAAGGACGTCACGTCATTGTGATGAACTTCTGGCTGTGCAGCCTGTGCTTGAATTTCGAAACGGGCTCATGTTGTCGATATTAAAACCTGCTTTTTATTTTATGTCATTTTTAAGCATAAAAAATTAGTCAGAGTTTGTACAGTATCGACGGACGCATCAGACAAAGTTATTTCAGTTTTCGTAGCTGGCACTGATCGGTAAAAACGCGACCACGGTTTCATGATCCCAGATAGCATCTATCAGGTTATCCTGTCCTTTGTTCTCCCATTCTTTGGCAGCCAGATCGAAATACGTCAGAGACACCTGTCGGTTTTTGACCAGATTAGATTTTTGTTGAGGCAGACGATCAGACGCCTTGAGGGACCCGCCTCCGATGACCGCAAGATGTTTGCCGGTGAACACATACTGCTGGAAGGCTTTAGCGAATGGTACATCCCAGTTTTCTCGCTGCCATCCAGATTCCGGTGTAAAAGCAAACACTTCCTTCAAAATAATTTGTTCGCCTGCTTTAACTGTCCAGCCGCCGACGGAGTAGACTTTCTTGGCGTGATAAAACATGCAATGGTCGTTGCAGGTCACCGGCAGCGGCAGCAGTCGTGACCACAGCGCATTTTCTGGATCATACGCCCAGAAATCCCGGCAAGGGGAATCGAAGTTTTCCAGTCCACCGGAAATCAGTATTCGATCTTTGGTAGTGCATAATGCGAAATTTTCCGCCGAAAACGGACACATGCCGATGAATTCCCAGGAATTGTTGCATAGGTTGTAGCGTTCATATGTCGAATGGCCGTCCTCGTCGCCGCCAAAAACGTACACAAAATTTCTGCAATAAGCGATAGCCGGCTTCAATTAAGTTTTCAGCGTACATCTAGCTGGCACTCTACATTGTCTACCACACATCTAGCTGGCACTCTACATTGTCTACCACACATCTACTGTATCGCATTATTTTTAAATTAGAATTTTTTTGTATAATTAATTATAATTTCGCAGTTGCAGTACACATACTGGCCGCGTTAAAGTTTCCTCACCTGAACCAAACCGAAACACACCCGGATCGGGCTTTCTTCATTGAATTCGCCAGTATCCAGCGATTGTTGTGCACATCGTAAATGTACACTGAAGATGTGCGTGATTCGTTCATATTATCATCAAAATAAGCTCCACCACAAATGAGTATTCCTCCATCCGGAAGGGGACAAGTCGCAAAGTCCACGGTGCGATATTTCATCGGCAAACGCGTCAGCGGTTTCCAGACTGTTCCGACGTTACCAGTTTTGTTGTTAATCGTGACAAATTTAATCTCGTTAGTGGGACCATCCAGACCAAATCCACCCAGCATCAGAATACAGCGCTGCATTCCGCGAGGTACGGACGGTGGCGGAGATTTGCTGCTGTCGATGATCAACTGTCGCAGCGGCTTGACACATTTGACGGAAACGGCACGCGTATCGCGCATGTGAATGCGATCCCAGTAAATGTGGTTTAGGAATTTTTTGGCATATTTCTCCCGACATTTGTAGTTGAACTGAATCCACTGCACGACAATGTTCAGCACCGTGGTTTCCAGCGAGGTAATCACAGTGTCCCGCAGTAACCGTATCATAAAATCACCTTCAAACCGCAACAGAACTTTCTGGTCGATATTGGTCAGGTTTCTGCCGGTAAAGTCCAGAATACGGTTTTGCAGCCGATGTAGAGAAAACACCACAGCATGGTGCCAAATGTCCACGCAACTATCCAGTTCGATCGAGTCAATCAAGAAATTTTCGCATACTGCGATTAATTCGTCCACCTACATTAATGCCAAAATTAATATTGCTCGATTTTACTTATGATTAGGAAATTAAATATCTATGTTTTAAATATTCGAAAAAGAACTTTAGCTGGTCCAAACTGACGGTGGACTGTGAAGATTGACTACGCAAATGACCAATGTCCAGTTCCAAATGTACAATCGATAACAACCGCCGCATGGTGCATTTGGATTACATAATCTAGTACAATATTTTACCTGTGTGAGGGTCGCAATTTTCAGAGCCTCTTCTAGAAACTCCATTGACAATGTGATTTGCCCAGAATAAATAAACTGGAGCAGCAGTCGGATACCCTTTTCCGTTACTCCTTTCAAAACGATGGTTTTCTTCTCCGCTTCCACAAAAGCATTGTTCCGCAACATGGCGTTAAAATATGGACTGGCGGAGGCTAGTACGCATTTGTGCGCGGGAAATTCGATGCCGGCCTCTTCGGCCGACAGTACAATATCCGTCCATTGATAACCAGCTCGTAACAGATCCAACTGGTGTAACGTTCGGGCTGTGTATGACCGAGTTATCCGCGAACAATCCATAGATACAATAGTAAATTGGGAATATTGTAACTACAGGATATCTGTGAATATTGACTACGGGTTGCGAAATATGAACACTAAACAGATTTACAACAAGGCTTCGGTCAGGATTAAAGAACGTAATTCGGCACCAGCTGGTATCTATCAAATATCAATCGTACTAATCGCACCAATGATTTGTGGAAGCGCTATTAAAACGAGACCGGCTACGAATAGATCAGCCAAAAGCAGGAAGTTTACACAGCCATGATACAGCGACACGGCCTTGATCTCTTCCTAGTCTACTGGCCCACATTTCCCTCCATTTCCTGTTTAGAGAATGTCGTCATGCGAGCGTCTTTAACCAGCACTATACCGGCTGCCCGAGTACAGACAGGTATGCTCCAAATGAAATTGTTGCTAACTTGAAAATAACAATAAGGAAGGATGCCAATCATGTCGTCAGTCGTAAAATCAACATACCCACTGGTCCCTCGTCAACCACATAAATGAGCAAATCACACACACACTATCTATCGGAAATCTAGCTCTGTAAGGTTGCGCAATACTAGTACTATTAATTTCAACCGGGATCAACTTTATAACTACCTTTTCAACAATCTGCTAAAAAACCCAAACCAAGGCAACGAACTTATTCGAGAGCAAACCCATACTAAAACATCAAAACACCACTTTTGTACACTCGATAATTTCGCTCGTTAGGTCATTTTCAGCTGGGGTTTGAAAACCGCTTCCGGTGTTCGACTTTTCCCTTATCCATATGGAATGCAGGTGTCACAAATGTCCCACATGGGCAACGTTCACCTACCAAAGCATATTAATTAACGTAAAACAGCAAGCAATCCCGATCGAAATTTCAATATTATACGTATTACGTAACACCACAAAAACAGGAATTATTTCCATGCATTTACTTGTTCTGTTTGTTTATAACATTTGTTGCTTACCAACCCACGAAAAGGTCCCCACTTTCTTTTTGCATTTTGGACAATTGAGCTTTCCACGTGTTTCCATAATTTCGTCTTTCATCCATATCACAGGTTCAATGAACAGTTCACCTCGTGAGCAAGTGCCAGATTCTGACAACGGTTTGTTGACTTTTGATGGAAATGCCGCGGAAGTGTCAGCAACATTAGCATCGGATGGCCGGTGAGTCAAAAGGTTATCCGGCAGAAATAGGGGACACCTGCATGAGTGCATCGAAAATATGATTGTCATGCTTATTCACTGCCTATATATAGATATAAACAAGTACAACCCACGCCGAATACAATGTTTCACGCTATTGTAACCTATGTAGTGACAGACATACCGACATATTCTACAACAAAAGCATTCTCGTGCAGAATCCGTCGTTTGCGGTGAATCCACCAGCACGGATTCTATATCGCCCTCCGGAATTCCTACAATTTTACAAAACAAACACATACCAAATTACCAATGTAACAATGAATTTAACTTGCCGTTGATCACTTATACATGCACAAACCACCAAAGCTGTTTAAACGATTAAACAAACACTCTGTGAAAAAGCATAACTGTAAAACCGATTTCTAAAATTAACGCAACCTGTTGGAGCGGCCATCTTCAACTTCCACTGACGGTACAGTCTACTAGACACATCGATTTTGTTTCCCATCAGTTCATATAAGCGCAATTGCTCCAAAAAATTTGAATTCGGCCTGAAAAAAAGAACTGTAATCGTAAAGTCAGTCTATAACAGCACTCGTAGTCGATTTAACAGATTTCTTGTACCGTGAGTACCGCACCACGAGTACAGGACTTGTATAACAATAATTTACACAGACTATTATAAAAGTACGAATTGAGCGGTTAAAAAATAATCTCGATTTCACTTCGTTCGTGAATTCAACGACACTGTAATTTTGTGGAATATAGTCAATAAGGTACAGCAATTAACAGCACAAAATCAGAAGTAAGTAAATCAATCACAAAACTCACATCACTCCAGGGCGGTGTGTCCGTATCAAACCCAGAGCATCATCAACGCCAAAACACTTTTCCCTCATCAAATATGCGGCAACGACTGTCACGCTTCGTGAGATTCCTGCATTGCTGCAACAGTGCCAAATGGAGCATATGGAAATTTAGTCTCTTTTACTAAAATAAATTTCGTAATTTCGAGTAAGTCAAAAATAAGTTCGTCAAAGTCGTAACAATGCCGCTGCGGCCTTGCAAATCCGAGCGTGTCGGTTTTCTCGGAGGTGGCAACGTGAAATATTCACACCGCATACGTACGTACCAGTGTACCAAAACATGGGTTCGCGTTGTGCGGTTGTCGTGGATAAAAACAATGGCTTCGTCAAAATGAGAAAGCAAATCACAACAAAATGAATCCTCCACTTTAATATATTTGTAAGAGCGGCATGCATTTGCGACTTCCGGGGGAAGGCGTTGAGTGTCAACAGTCAGAATCGCTGATTTGGAAAGCGTATCCCGTGTTAAAGCCAGTTCGGTGCTTACTGTAGCCGCTGGACTGTCAACTTCCAAGGAGGAACTGGAAATCGCTGAACATGATTCTTTAGCGGCATCTTGCAAGGCACAGATGGATCGGTAACTTCCTAGATACAAATTGTCCGCCACAAAGGAGAAGGAATCAGGCTGCTGGTTTTCGCTGTCCATTATTGATTACAGATTTGTAGTGTACTGTGTACGTAATCTGAATGATCTGTGTCTTCTTCTCCATTAACACGTCATGATATTACCATATCTGCGGCCGTTGTCTGGTTGCCAGTGCCATAGTATCCTCCAAACCAAACACTTGCTGCAATACTTATAAAAAAATAATTAGGAAACTGTATTAACCATCAAGTACTGTTTCATGAATCATGATAGCCGCGAAAAGATATAAAATTGTAGATAATTATAAAGTAGGTGATAGCCCTGTTATTGCACCAACTTACTGAAATGCTTTCGCCGCGGGCGAAAAAAACAAGGAAACTTCTGTTAATGGGTATAGTCAGCAAAGCGCAGTAGTCTACAGACTCTACACTATATACTCCACGGTTAGTCACAACAAAAAATTGAAGGGAAACAAAACATCTTCGGAAAGTGAAAAATTGGTGGAAAAACTGGTTTCTGTCTTTCTGAAGAAACGATCCCCTCCGCCCTTGGGAGCAGGTACGTTGCTCCTAGGAAACGCTTGCTGTCAAAAACACGAAAAAGCTGCAAGACTCGCAAAACGTGTTTACGTACAGTACTTATTTTAATTTTTAACGTACTTATTTTAATTTTTAACGATGAGTTCATAAACAGGACAGACTCATAAGACTTAAGAGGACAAGATATTTCGATGAAAGAACACTCTACGCCAACGACAAAGGAAAAGGTTCTGTTTTAGAATTAAGTTTTGAACAGTTTTGCCTGTCAGTCTGTCACTGGTAAAGTACCATCGCTACTTCACCAGCACAATAAATACTGGCTGACAGTGGCTGACACAACATCGAACGGCAAAAAGTGGAGATTTGGAGTTTGGGAGTTTGACCTCTAGCAAAGCTGCCATTGTAAATTTTTATGGACTGTTATTAATAATCCCATATCAGATTTGAGGATCGGAGAAAGAAGATGGCTCAGTGGAAAGATCACGGCATGGCAAAAACGTGGGTGATGTTCCACTCTTGCGTTCTTGGCTGAGACACAATGAAAGGCAGTGCTGCGGAATTTTACTGCGTCTGATCATTGGTAAAACCTAACATGGATTTGTTTTCAGAGCCATGCCAGTTCAGTACGGCTTCGAGGACGTTAGCGAAGAAGATTCTGCTGCCATTACTGTAATACTTATCGAGGATTGTGTAAGTGACTGGTGTGGCGTTAAAGTAGAATGTCTGATAAAAGTCATCGTTTTTTACGCACACATTTTATTTTGTAATTAGAGGATAGCAACTTCAAAGTGCTTTTTCTTGTATTGTACGACTTACTCTGTAAAAGTGAGTCTGCTCAATACTGATCTGTATAGCAACTGAAAGTTTTTATTCTTGTGTTTTTCCGTTATTGACTTCCATTGTGATCTTAATTGCACAGGACGAATATCAAGATGCTGTTCAAATCCAACAGGATGCAGAACTGGCCCGGGTACTTTCCGAAATGCCTGTATTGTATGACGAATTGCCTTCGTCGGCATCTGAGAAGCGTGACATGGTGAAGCGAAAAGTGCATCCTGATTATAATTCGGGATTGTCGCCCGTGGATCCAGAATGGGAGATGCTTGACCCAACTCCAGACATACATGCGTTGTTTATACAGTTTGATCGCGCGTACTTTGCGAACACTCTCGGCAATGTGGAAGTGAAGTGGAGCAAACAGATGATGTCGTAAGTTAACGGCTAATATAAGATTTCACATTTCATCGTGCTTCTAACAGTTCGATATGTTTAGTTACTAGTACCCTGACTTTTTTTAAAGTCCTCGGTAGCCATTGCTTTGCGAGCCGCGTACTTTAAATTCTACCTGATTTTAGCCTGCGTTTAAAAATTTAGGTTTTAATTTAAGTCTTACGTATGTATGGTATTCGCTCAGAATATATTTGGTTTGCACTAAAATGATGGGTAATTTAGATGCGCTGGGATTTGTCGCTATCAGTATCGAGCCGGATACTGTTCCATTGGGCTCAGTTTACCCTTGCTCAAGTTGCGTCCGCGGAAAGATCTGGTCGAGACATTACTGCACGAGATGATTCATGCGTATCTGTTTGTTACTAACAACAATAGCGACCGCAACGATCACGGAGATAATTTTCACGAGCACATGGATCGCATTAACAAGCAAACGGGTGCTAACATTACGGTCTACCATTCTTTCCATGATGAAGTGGAGCACTACCGCCAGCATATATGGCGTTGCAACGGTCCTTGCCAGTCTGAAAAGCCATATTTTGGGTTCGTCAGGCGTTCACGTAATCGTGCTCCATGCGCCGCTGACAATTGGTGGCCCGCTCATGCTGCCAAGTGTAACGGAGTGTTTATTAAAATCAGTGAGCCGGAGGGGTTTAAGAGCAGGAAAAGAAAAAACCCAGATCTAGAGGTAGTCCAGCAAGATGCTGTATTACCTGGACCATCGGGAGTTTTAGCGCCGCGGCCCTCTGGAACCTCTGGTAGTGACAAAGGAGCCCCTTTGCACCAAGTTCAGCGCTGGACAACGCGGACCCCGGGTTTACTGATGGGCAGCGGAAATGAGAATAAAAGCACGACTCTGCTTTTCAACCTCCGTACTACAGGCGGTAGCAGTGGCATAAATTCTACCAATGGTATTGATGCCCTTGGTGGAACTAATCGCCTGCCAGACCAGTTGCCTGTTGTGAAAAAATCATCGAAACATCAGTCCTCACTGGATAACTACTTTGGGATTACTGGGAAAAGTGCGGTGAAAGGTCCGCTAAAACCCAGTGCTTCGAATTCGGTGGACATCATTGTCATCGATTAATCGATTAGCGTGAAGGTTACGAAACTGCATAGTATGCACAGTATCCAAGCTTTGAATCCTATCAGCCACTTTCTTACGTTGTATTTTGTGCGGAATTCCTTGCTCGGAATACGCAAAGCATCTCTTTTCGATGCCTTTTGAAATTTATGTGATGAAATACTGATACTGGTTTTTTTGTTTCACTTTGTAACATGTGGATTTTATTCTTTACCTGTGTATTTTGAATTATGATCTTGAGGAGCCTTCCTTTTTTTCGAAATGGGATGTTAATACTGCTACTTTTTGTAACCATTGCTCAAAGTTTGAACTTCAAATGAATCTCGCGTTTGGATGTTGAGATCAGTGCCCCCACAGCTACGGTAATATATACAGCAAATCCTGAAGGCGATTACGGCTTTCTTGTACAGAGCTTGTTGCAACTTTTGGTACAGTGCGAAAATACTTTTTGAACTCAATGAGCTGCATTCGCTGTTTTAGTTTTTTTTCTCGTCATACGTAACCCATACGAGTACTGCAGCATTTTGTACCACAACATCAAGACAAAAACCCAGGTAAAATGACTATAAAGATCAACAAAAAATTTTTACGGAACATGCAGATCGACTGGATTAGGTCCCAAATTAAATCTACTACAACATGCGAGTCATTAAAAAATTAGTATCATTCAAACGAGGAGGCGCAGAAGTATAAGCATTTTTCGTTTTGTCCAAAGCATTTTAAAATAAAAAACAAGCATACTTGCGGCGCTAACTCCGAAGGTCATTGCGCTCCCTTTGAACTGAACAAATCACGCAAGTAATGCAAAAACTTCACACAGATGACCTTTGGCTCATAGATAAGCGTCACCTGAAAGGAAAACAAAAAACATAAAAACTTACGCCATGATACAATAACTGAACTGAATAAAGGAAACTCAACAAACCCAAGCAAAAACAGAATAAAACAGCCTACCCGGGAGTTTTCATATAAAACTTGAGCGATCACTAAGAAAATAAAATGCAATATCAAAAGGCCATTGTGCATTTTTGTAAGAAGTACCAAAATCAAATTTTCCAAAACTGGATGCAAGCTTCTGCAAACAAGGTATTACGAGCCAGCCTAAGAAAGATAACCACTACGGTTGTAGTGTTCTAAAAAGTCAAAGTACGGCAAAACTTGGGCTAATTGTCTTCTGAATGTTATACTTCTGTAAAACGCTTGTGGACCGAACAGTAATGAGCACAAGAAAGCTGCAGATTTTGCGAATTCACACAAACAGGTTGGACCCGCGCTAATGAAGGAATGGACGACATGGAAGTACTGTGCGGCAGAAACCGATTCTTGGAAAAATGTCGTGTGCCAGGGTGCGGGTGATATTGTACAAAAATTCGGGATGATGTGGTGCCATCCCAGGGCAGCGTATTGCTACGCTTTAACATGCTGTGGTCAGGCTGACGGCGTACTGCACTGCGGGAATTCGAAGCAGCAGGGAACTGCCACACCTTGGAATTCTTCTGATTGTTTTTACGTCTGTTTTTGCTTGCTTCAGCTGTACTCATACGAATACCGGACGGCATACTGGATTGCGGCTTGCCTGGCGCCCTTTCGGGATAGTACTTGTTGTCGGCATAGTCGTATCGGTAGGCGTAGTAGGGCGTGGTGTGGCCGTGACCATTGCCGTTGGACGCGGCGCCGGCGCCGGCACTGGTAGCCAAGGGTTGATAACGAGCCCCGTTATAACTGTGTCCGCCGGCGGCGACACTACCGCCTCCGCGCGCACTGGCGGCTGCCGCGGCACTTCCGGCTGCAGCGCCGTTCGCCATGCCGGGGCGTTTTCGTCGGAAGAATCCGCACTGCATAAAATTTAACATCAGCACGAATACAGGCTGCGCAACGTAGCGGTATTAAAAAAAATTTATGCCAAGAATCCAAGACCAGAATGTTATATGGCATGCTTAGTAACATTGTAATTCCGTGATTTCCGTCATCATGAAATCAGGGAACTATGTCTTGAACAGACGCAACTCTGAAATTACATATCAAAAATTTCTCTAGGAAACTTCGCGTAATACACATCTAACAGCTAGCAATCACATGCAGCCTGATCATTATTTTACATGTATCGAAATTGGTGTAAATGATGTCCATCTGTTATTCAAGAAGTTAATTGATCGAATGTATGCAACTAACAGAGTGCTTCACCATCGTCAGTATATTATTCTGGAGTGTACCATCATCAGTGTTATTATGCCACAAGGAAGTTTTGTGTGATCAGGCATCTAGCTTACCTTCCAACAGACTAATATGATGACGACTAGTAATAAAAGCCCAATAAGAACTCCAACCAGGATCATCCACCATGGGATGGCCATTTGCACTCTGGCTGGATCGGAAGGGTTTATATCCGTTTTTATCTGCAGGAAAAATCAATATAGTACAAAAATATGCTATATACACTCATTTAATACGGTGTACCTAATATTACAGTAAAAAACTACTTACTAAATGCGTTTGGGGGAACGACCGTGGTATACGAAGGAAACGATATTTACTACTTATTTATCGTCAATACTTACTTAAGTAACCACCTGCAAGTAAGGCAAAGAAACCGATGTTCTGTTGCAAAAGCACCACGACTTATAAAAAAATTTCCATAGTAATTTCATGATAAAAGTTCCAAAGCAGAAATAAATTAATTACACCAAAAGCAAGTAAATTAAGTAAGTAAAGTAAGCTAACAGAAGCAAAAGCAAACCGATTTATATCACTGCTGAATTTGTAATTTAATTATGCGCTGCAGTGCAGTTTTGCACTAATTAATACTGGATAAACACATCAGGTAACTAATTACCGCACATTGCAAAAGTGACCCACATTACGGGAAAGAGGGGAGATGTCCACTCATATCAACCAGTAAAGCAATTAAAAGGAAGAGAATTCAAAAATACTATGCTTTGCAGACTTTCCAAAGAGTTCCGAAAAGGCTTGCGAAACATATATACTTCAAAGGAAAGAGAAACAGAGTGCTAAAAGGTTTCGTTACTGTAACATACCACGACCGAATAGTGCTGATTAGATCGTGGTTTTACGGAATGCGCCAGGGACTGAACATAAACAAGGGCGGTAGATGATATGGAAATGTCATCAAACTGCATTTTCCGCAGACTTTCTTCCCATAATCGCGCACGGACGGTTATAGCCACAGTTTGTCTCTCCGCCAAGCCGTGTATATCACAGGTAATATAAACACATTCGTAGGCATTGCAAGCCTGCCATGAAGATTTAACATTAACAACAACTTCACCAATACGACAAAAAAATTCACGCGTTATCTTACGTCTCTTCTTAAATGGGACTCCGTCTGATCCAAATACGAATCGGTTTGGCGCTTCTTCTGCTCTTTAGGTTGACCTTGTGCATTATCGGTCGAACGTGGTCCGCGTGTCGGGGATGCTTGGGAAGGTGACTGCGCCGGATGGATTCGTTGGTGAAAATTAAGAGTTTCATTTGAATCAATCTGAAAGTAATGGATAAGGTAAGACCATTACATCCAAAGAAGGTAGTTCACCGCTTTGAACAGATTACGTACAATTTGTTCTGCGTAAGGAAATCGTTATTAACAGGGAAATTTTTACAATAAAAAGGGGAAGCCAATAATATAATAACTATCTGTACACGAGTTTTGCACCAAAAATTTACTTATTAGCAATTTTATCGCGTTTTTGCCGTTCCAGATTACCGACACACCTCAACGCGTTCAGTATTTGCCGGCACTTTGTGGCACGTTACGTTTTGCCCATCAACGAACGGTTGCTCCATCAAATACAGCAAATGCATTTTCTTGCGCGTATACGAAGGCCAGTGTATGCGTACTTGAGCTTTCTCGATCGTGGTTGGTCCATCATTATAAATCTTCAAAATCAACAGAACACTGAATTTGCGAACTGAAATAAGATCACAATGAAATAATTCGCATTAAAAATTCAAAGGTAACAAACTTACCGTGTACATATGCTTTACTGCTGGTCCAATCTGTCGTTCTGTGTGGTAGCGCGTGGGCGTTGCGCAGTCGACACAGTACTTGACTTGCTGCGGGGAAGATGAGCTACAGCACAGAACCCATTAAAACTGTAGCACTCCATGAATGTCTTGTCAAGTGGCAGCTACATTCCAACCGGAAGCGTCGTACTAACCCAGAAACGGCAAGCGATGCGTCGGCCGATATTTTCAGCCGGAAATCCATGTTGTTGTTCTTCTGGACGTAACGCGGGTTTTCTGCGTTCGAACTGTTGACTTTAGCAGAAAAATTCAGGACTTCCGCTTCCAGCTGGGAAGGGACAGGTTGCAGAAATATCTTGAACGATGCCTGTTAAATATCCATTACGTGGAAATTGTCATCATACAAACATAGTTTGTAACTCAGAAAGTTGAAGAAATCGGTTTTGACCTTTTGTCCGGCCGGTAATGGATTAGCAACGTCACAGATCACAGTATTTTCTCCTTTTCCACTCCGTTGACTACATGTAACTCCAACATGCTACAAAAACAGTTCAATGATTGTGAACATTCTTTGCATAAGGTCGAGTCAATGTTGTCGCCCACTTACTGTATGTTAAAAACATTGCGCATTTAAAAAATAACTACGTTGACAAAGGTCTCATGAAAATTATGCAAACGGGGGGCAATATAATATCTGTACATTTTTGGCATATGTACTCGTACTCGTAAAATGAACCTTAACAAAGTTCCATGTGAAAACGCAGTACGTATGACTGCCTTCCGAATCAGCTATTCGTTAGAAAAAAAACGTCACTTGATAAGTCATTGGGCTAAATAGGCGAAAATGACCTAATTATTTTCATCGTAAAAAAACGTTTTCAGGGTTATGTACCGGCTGATTGGCGTCTTGTTGGGCCTTGGCGTACTGGACTCCCGGTGGCAGATTCAAGAAAAACATTGTTTCGAACGCATCTTCACCCTCATTCTCCACATTAACATCCACGCTTAATGGATCCGACTTCCCCAAGATATATTCCGGCTTCCCTGAGCTTCTAAATTACAAAAACAACTTTTGTTTTTGTTACTTTTATTATTTCTGGCTATCTTTTCGACAGAGTTACAAGTGCAATGAAATAAACAGTTCATGGTTTTCTCCTTACAGGCGGGTATTCAGCCGTAAAGCAGGGTGGCAAACATCGTCCGGCCCACATTTATTGCCAATGCGGATTTGCTTGGAAACTGACGTGGAGTTCAGCTGATCCAGAATGGGCGTAATATCCCGCCGCTGGCGGAGGGGCAGCGCCTGCTGACCTGATGACCATGACGCCGCGCCACCTGGACTGCTGGACCAGGATGGAAAATTGGCGTCGACAATGCGATACTTGGCTTCCATTTTAATAGGGCTCAGCTTGTCCCGAAAGTAATTCTGAATTCAAAATAATGAGAAAATTGCATCCATCAATGTGCATGGTGGAGTATCAGTTGACGCACCGGCATGTAAACATATACACTGTTGTTTCGCTGCTGATTTTTGGCCAGCTGGTATGTCGTGTTGAGTCGGCTTTTGCCTTCTTCATGTCGGAAGAACGCTCGCGGCACAGGAGAACCCGAATCCAAAATAGTTTCCACTTCGATGGTTAAATGGTCGGGAACATTGGTACCAGAATACTGAACAAATGTGTTGAGCACGAAACTGAAAAACGCAGTTTTAAAATTTATTGGAATTTATTTTTTCTATTAAAAATATGGAACAATCATAGTTTGATACTTTACGCACCAGCTCACTCGTGTTCCATTTCTTAGCATGCAATTTCCCTTATTCTCCAAATTCACGGTTGTAGGCATATCAAGCAACGTTGTAACCGTAACCACCGGACGAGACTTCAGTATGACTGCGCGATCAGACTTATAAGCTCCGACAACCAAATCTGCAAAAAACGCCTATACAATAATGCCGCGACAGCATAAACCGGCATACTTGTTCTGAGTTTGTTCTTGATCTGCGAATACCATACAATTTTTAAAGTATTTTTGTACTGTTCCAATTGTATACCTGGGTAAGAGTTCCCATCGAGATCGCTGCCGCCCGCCAAGGAGAAGCCGAACGTCGTCAAATGGACATCGATATCACGGGCGCCGATGACTTGCGTCGGTTTGCTCACAATTCCGTTCTTCCCACCCATGTAGATGTAAACGAGGCCGCGTCCGTCCTCCCCCGCGTATGGTGCGCCCACGGCGATATCTAAAAAACATTTTCCCACTTCAAATCAAGGGCCATCAGCTGCGCTAGGATGCGTCTCAAGTGTCACAGCATACGCTCACTGCCACTTGCGACGGTTTTGTAATCTTCTCTTTTTTAAAAAAAGTTCCTTGGTGCATATTTAGTACAATTTACAATTTACCACAGATAATTCCGCACTGGTTTTCGGTAATTTTACATATCTGACAGTAATTGTTTTTCAAATGCGATTGTGCATGTGCTACATACATAATAAATCTGCACACCGACAAAAGCGATTTTTACCTGCGAAACCATCCAGATTTAAATCACCGGCAGAACAAAGTGACATTCCCAAACGCCCACGATTAAAATCGCCATCAAGAGTATCCGGGCTGGAAAATCGATGCTAAAAATCAAGAAAAACTTGTACGTTAGTGAACCCGCGTAGTAAATCCAGCACTAACACGGAGTAAATCCAGCACTAACACGGAGTATCCAGCACTAACACGGAGTACACACCCTTTCTAATTACCCCGACTAACAATCGCGTCAAGTGTGCATATTTTGATACATCGGCTTACCGTCTGCTTTTGGTAATATATGTAAACTCGTCCTTTTTCAATCGCATTATCGTTTGAACTGTAATTCGTAAACAATGGTGCTCCAACAATCAAATCGTCCAGTCTAGAAATCGTAAAAAGTATTCTGCAACGTGCTCTTCTCCGGACAAGATTTTTGAGCTAACCTGTCTCCGTTGATATCGGCCACCGCTAACGCATATCCAAAATAACTTCCCATCTGCTCACCCGTCAAATTTAGTAAGTTACGCAACTGCATGTCGAAAAGAATGACCTACAAAACATCACACACACTGGTAATTTGCTACCACAAGCAAAAATACGCAGCTAAACCTACTCCTGTTTGTAACAGTACAGAAATAAAAGTGCTTCAGAGAAACAGCAGGACTCTTGCTTACCGCTCCGACGAGGTTGTAGCCACGAGGCATTCCAACAGCAACGTCTAAATGTAATCAAAAAAATTTATTACAGTAGCCATAACTAAGAAAAAAATTGCATTAGGGCTAATTCATGACTCTTTATTAAGCGGGGACTCCAAGTTTAAATGATAATCCAAAAGTTGACCTTTAAGCAATATGGGTGGTTTCGCGAAAACAAAAAGTATTTGTATAAATTGTACCATCCACTTTATCGCCGCTGAATTCGCCCACTACGGTTGAATAGCCGAGATAGCTGTCGTCGTGGTGTGGAGGACTTTCTACAGTCGCCAGCACTTCATCACGGTTCGTGAGTGAAGCCGAATGTTCTTGCCCTGTAACACGACTGGTCTACAATTGCGCAGCAAACCAAAATTATTCCGCATCATATATGTGCTCTACAATAAATTTTACAAACCTTGCCAGTACCACGTTCCAGGTGCCCCCATAAAAAGTCGACTTCCATCCTGAAAAGAGCGAAAAAATAATAACCATAAGTTGGCGAAAATATACTGCAGTAGCCCGCCATTTGGAACAATGCGCTTGGAGCGACCTTTACAAAAAGTAGCAGTTTTCTTCTCACCCTACTGACTGCAGCGGAAAATCCCGCTTGGCAGCTGCCTTGCTGATGATAGCCAGAAGATCCGGATCCTGCATGGTAATATTAGCATTAACACGCTTTAGTAACGAGCGCTTAAACCACAAGCTATACTAGTCAGAATTGCAAGTAGACAGATATCCACGAACATGCAAAGTGCAAACTCTCATAAAATTAGGTAGACAGAGAAAAATGGTCCATATATGTTGATAAAATTCCGTCAAAGATTCAGGTAAAGCATACATTAAAGATATTTTGCAGAAATGCGCCCACCTTGCCGGCATGGTGAATACTCCCTGAATTCGGTGAGGGATTCGGTTCCGACATAGCATGTCCCTACTGGTTCTCGTTTGGAAAAACTGGGTGAGAAATATACATAGCGGGGTGCACAGACCTGCAAAACGTTTTTATCTTTTTCATTGCTGCATCGCACAATCACAGATGAAATTGACTTATGTTCGTCCGCAGAGGTACGTTTTGCGCTAGTTCATCATCACCGAATGCCAATGGGGACCAAGTGTCATCACGGACAAAAGGATAGCAAATTTCATAACTGAGTTAGTGCCTAATTAATTGTTATTCACATAACGGGAAAAGTTGAAACCTTACTAGCAATCTAAGCGTGAGTACGTACGACAAAAATAAAATGTCAGATGTTACTATAGGTAAGCCTTAGTTGATTGAATTATGGTTTTGCTTAAAGTTGCCGCACGCAAAGCTTTTCGAAAAGTACACATTCAACAAAATGTCACAAGCCATAATATATCGATACTAGCAGAGTATCGTGTACCATACTGGTTTTTACCGTGTAATGCGCTATCAACGCTATTTAAAAGGATTTACATCCTTTAGTTAAGTTAAAAGCTCAAAAGCTTTCACATTTTAAAAGGATTAATGGAGCAGAGCATAAGGGTTCAACTTGAGGCTGGACGCAGCCGGCTAATCAGATCAACGCAATGAATTTGTTTGCACTGCGACATATTCAGTTTTTAATCGTAACAGCAAACAGGTTTGAAAGTCGCCACCACGGACGCCAAGAAAAACCAAAACGTAAACTGCTTATATTATTTTTTAAAAATGCATAAGTGCAGTCAGAAAGCTATTGATGCGACAACTCAAACCGATCGAAAGCCATAAAATATGCATTTTTATCACACCAGTCAGATACTACCGTAACATGGGTGTGACGACTTCAAAACTTATAATAGTTTAGTACGTACTACGTACTTAAACATATCAACTGGACAAGCAAAATTAAAAATACCGACTCCATCGCTACATGCTGTATCGATGCTAAAATTGGAGATTCACAATACTAGTTCAATAATTTTAAACTCAATGAATTTCTTTATGGGTTTTACTGAAAATGTGAGTAAGATATCGCTGCTTTTTGCCGGTGCTAACGAGCTGGACTGTCGTCAACGGGTGATACATTAGCGTACGTGTTACGACAGCGGCTGACTCAGAACTGGTTGCAAAAATTTCTCAAGCACAACACACTTGTCATTCGAAACATAACTTCGATCGTGGCGGCACTGTACGGAACCTATTACCTGCAGCGCAGCATCCATATAAGGCAAAAGAGCACATAAAACAGATCTGTTACTGATCGACTACCTTACAAACGATGCCGCTAACATCACGATAGTCAAGTTAACAGCAACTGGTCATTCCAAATGCTCACGGAGTTAAAGCATCATTAATACTAAAAAATAAAAATTTCTCAAATATAGCAGCAGAGTGTTTTTGCACTTTCCGAAATTTTCTCTTAATTAAAAAGCTGAAATGCAATGCTTTTTTCACCAGAAGTTACTTACACTAATAAATTAGGGTACAGACCTGGAGTTGATTACAATATTCAGCATCACTAAATTAATAACATTACTTTTAAGCGTTTCCACAAACAACAGGATCGTTCGATGCTTTAAGGAAAGACAGATTTGGTGGCAAACACGGCTGGTTTGATGACAACACAGTGGAAGTGAACTATGCCTTAAATCATAACCTTGCATCTAACTGGTCCCCATTTCCAGAAATAAAAGTCTATCATTCAGGTTATTACTAAATGCGAAAACATGCATGAATTTGTAATCACTTACTGCCACAGGCCCGTCTGGGCTGGCAGAAGCTATGCTGGCGCCCAACCATTGACCGGATTTATCATCCAGTGGCTCGTTCGCGCGCGTCATCGGATTCGGCACGATATTTGGCCCTGAAAAAACAAATTGCTATATTCGAAACATCATACAAATAATCTCTGTGTTTTATTGGAATAAATATTTTATCCCTATTCAAGTTTGAAGTAAGTAATACACAATAGGCCGGTTTATCGAATTTAGCACTCAAATTCTGTACTTTAAACCATAAGGTAAAACGCATAATTACATTTGTAAAATTGCAGTACGCCGCAGTATACATGGAATATATTTAATTAACCATAAAAAATGGAATTATTCAAAATGATAAAACATGAAAAATTTGCAGAAGTTGTCTTACTGAATTTTTGAATGGAAATTTAAAATTTAGCACCAATCTAACAAAACGACAATTATTTGGAATGTAAAATTCTTCGGTCCGTAATGTTTACACGCTGCTTTCCTTGCAGAATTAATCATCTGCACCCGTAAACCGTAGGCGTTTTACAGGTTTATTAAATTAACAATTATTTATCTTTGCCTAAATGCGAGTGTCCTAATGTAACGCATTAAGCGCCTTTTGTGTATAGCAGAAATCTGCAAATATCGGCATTAGTAGAATATTATTTGAACTGCTAGGAGATGCATTCATCAATATATGGTAACGTAAACATTTGCTTAATAAATCATCGTTACCTTTTGAATCAAAAATGATTTCTTGGCACACGGGCTGAGTTATTGAGCATTTAAACACTGATCCGCCCTTTATAACATCTGCTTGCGTAGTCTGCGCTTCCGGAGCGCCAACGAGCAACCTAAAATAAACAGAAGCATACCATTTAAAGTTTCCTTCAAAATGACGGAAACACCGCACCTTGCGGAGATTCTCTGAGCTCAGAAGGCGGAATACCTACTTCAACTTCCGCACTGATTAACTGTAAAACTTACTGGACAAATTTACAAAATTGGATATCATCATAAAATCCAGTAGATAAAATCCAGTCGGTATGGGGAATATACGTTTGCTGACTCCTTATATTTTCAGACGGTGCTGAGATTTTAGCGCACAACACAAAGGCCGGCAGATTTTTTATGACAAATTTTAAAAGAAAAGAATTACCATAACTATAAAAATAAACTGAAATATTACTACCCTTTATTACGCTGACACGGATATTTCAGTTTTTAATTTGTGTGGTGTGCCGGTGTTCGATATGCATTACGTATAATAACACGATAAAGTATGATTCTAAAAGGTGAATTACGAAGAAGGAAATTAGTTTTTCCAGCTATTAAGTAGACTGCAGTGCTGCACGAGTCGCCTTCCAACACGCTGAAGCCAACCATATTATACGATTTAATTTGCCAATAATTTTGATTTTACTTTATCACCTTGTTTATTACTGACATAACAAGAAAGGCGAAAACTGACGTGCCAGAAATAATCAGTACCTTAAAAAATAATTAAATAAGTACTATTTTTGTTGACAACGTACATTTGCTTGCCCTTGTCGGTATGCTGGAGTACCGTGAACCCGAACATGGAGCCGGCTTCTCCCTGATGGGTGACAGCCGAGCTCAGATCCAGGTTGAAGGCACTGACGGATATGGACGATAAATTAGCCATTGCCATCACAGTTATCACAATGAGCCATTGATAATACGGGCACAGTAGCGCCCGGCCGGACCATATTGGTCGTCCGGCTGCCGGCGACCGATTATTCCTGTCCGTTAAACTACCACGCCCATTACTCCGGAAATTCCTAACAGAAGCATCCATTGTAGCGTGGCACGGGGCTGACAGTTGCGATGCTGTCAAATTGGTCAGCCAACCAATCAAATTGGTCAGCAAAACAAACTCCAACAATAGTCGCACACTGCAATTTGGACAGATCACGCAATCATTTCGCTCGTCAAATTCATAACTTTATATCCAAAAATTAATCGATATAATTTGGTCCAGTGGGAGTGTATAAATCATTCTTCAACCATCATATCCATCGTAAGAAGAATTTACTAAAATATTCCATATCTGCTATAGTGTTTCGGAAGGTGAAAATAGTTTCGGCAGACAAAAAGAATAAATACGAAAAATAAAGCGGAATTCGATGTGAGGTAACAAACGTCTGCTGCAAGTAGCATCAACTTTCGTGCGAATCATAAAATGAGTGGTCAGCGCTATACATCGCCAAGAAGATGCTGCTGCTCTGAATCAGATCTCGTCGAGTCACTAACATGTGCTAACTATTTTGGACAACAGCTAAATAAAGATAAAAATAGCCTCTCGTCCCCTGTCAGATTCTCAAGATGCCGACAGGATTATGCTGCGACTGGTAAGTAACACATGTCCTGTTTGCTTGACCAAGCATTTCGTTGCGCGCTGGCTTCTGTTCCCGCTGCTACGAATGGAAGACGTGTGTATGTATGTGTGCAGCGTCTAATGGCCTCCACCATTTATCGTGTTAACAGTTGGATAGCAGCAACCGCGCAACAGTAGTCCAACACATATGTCCCACATTATTAACCCGCCACTAGTACAAATGGGAGGGATATGGCACTCCGGGAACATACGGCGTATAATAATTACACCACATCCGCTCTAGCTAATTCGGCAGTCAGTTGACGAGAACGGGAAGCGGCTTCAGCGAAAAAGATTTGTTTTTCACCGTTCACAAAATAGTACATCTCGACGAATGGTCAAGCACTTACTGACGTCGACGCCGCTGCCTGCCTCCGCCATTACGAGCGTATAGGCTTTAATGTCAAACAGTTAGTATTTTCTAAAAATACAAACATGTCTGATTCGCTACGCCGATGCAGTTTGTATTGTACACATAAATTCGGATAATATATCGAAAGTATGCAATATCGTAAAATATCGCACTGGCGTACGAGAAAAGAAAACCGGTTGGTGCTATCTGCACTGCCGTGCGGCATTATTGATACAAACTCGATTTCGGTTAATTCTTCTTTAAGCCAAACACTGTAAGAAAACTATAACAATTGTAGCGCTTTTTGCGCAGTTTTCGGATCATAATTGTAGTTCCGGAGATATACTTCTATATATTTTGCAGTCTAACATAATTCAGCCAGCATACATGCTCGCGGTGTGTTGCGCATAGCACTGACAGTGTCATTTTATTCTGAAATATGTAGTTGTTCAACTTCCGTTTACCCGCGCAATGTAAATCAAACACTGCAAACAACTCAAAAATTTCTGACGGTTAAAATTTGCTTTAAAGAACACAGAACTTAAATTCCGAAATCGACCCGGCAAATTAATTATCAACTTGATCGGTTCTGACTTCTCAGTGTACGAATCTTCCAGCTATAATTTTATGACTGCGTACAAGTTAGTACCATGAATGACGCGACTGCTTGGGTGGGCATGCCGGTACAAAACACATGCCGAAGTTTCCGTAAAATCTGAGCGATATTTTGAGAGGAAGGGATGTGAAAATCAAGTTTAACGTGCAATTGAAGGGCGGATAATCGTCGAAGATAATAATATGCTGTCTCCTTGCGCATTATGTTTGTGATCGAGAAATCAAATCGACGAATAGGATACATAACTGCACACACGGACACAGGCAGTCCAACAGTTCACACAATCATAAGATACAAATATAATCCATTACGGTTGAAAAAGTGTTTTGAATTTGACAAGTATGATAGTCATATTACTGTTATTATCTAAGAAAGTAAAATATTGGCTCCAGCCAGTCGCATCCCATGAGCGTTTTTAATGAAGTGCGGATGCATCACATTAGAGTATTAGACAGACATGCGCGGAGAAAACTTGTTCGCCATAATAAATTAATTAATGCAGTAGATAAAGTGGTAATCACTGCCTTGCACCTGTTTTTGTTCAACAATCTGAGGCAGAATTCTACTGGATTTCAGTTATAATGTATATTACAGTACAACCGAACTGTAATAAGTAGCAGTTGAAGACTATCGACTCGTGCAATATGGATGACGGGCGACTGTTCTGCCATATTAGACCATTGTAAACCGTTTCAGACGATTATTCCTGGTCTTACAAATGCAATTAGAAATCAAGAAGTACCAAGAACTTACTATCTATATAGGTAGACTTACTATAGGTAACTTACTATAGGTATCTCACACTATAGTAAGTACTTGGAAGTACTGATAATCGCCATGATTTACCACCGCAATCTTGAACTTTAATTAACTCTGTTTGCAAGCACTTCTTTTATCAGACCAAGCCATTTTTTCCTTTGGCTAAAACATTACTTACTTTACGTTCACGAGTTCAATTGTGAACTACAATTTACTGTATACCTTGATGTTTCAGCACAGTAATCTTGACCTTTATATCACTTCCTTATCCAAAGAACACAGATCAAAGAAAACAGAAATCTCTCCGGAAATTGTGCCATCTTATCCGCCTCTGTGATAACTCATGAAATTGATTCATAATTTCTAATCAGCGTATCGAAAAAAAACGGAGAAAAGAAATATGCGCATCAGTAAATGGAATTCATAAATTTTTGCAACCTGAGCCGGAAACACCGCAGCTCACTCACATTAACAACGGGACCATATAGAAAATATCTATTACGAAAACAAACTAGGTATATAGATATGTAGCTGAACGACAATACAATATAAAGCTACCCCAAATAGATCCGTACTCATTAATTAGCCTTAGACAATTAGATCCACGAATCCTGATTAGCATTAGCAAACTGTCGAATCATCATAAAATTTCAGCATAATCATGGATTCTCTGCATCGATCAAAATCGCGCATCATGTCAATAAATATATCATATACTGCAGTAAAAATATCAAACAAATTATTAGAGTTGTGGGAATCTTCAAGTACAGTAATCAGTGTCCACGGTTGTCGTACATTCTTAATTTTTACAGCGCGCTGTTCCAGTACCGGGATCACTGATCACCGGATCCCAATTCAGCAGGCGCAGAAGGAACAGGGCGCTTCCGTAAATCAGCAACGCTGGCCCCGAACGATCCCGATTCCACCACCCTGTGCAGTTTCTCTTCGCTATCAATATCAATATCTTGATCGTCCTGTAACAGACACAGAAATACTGACTACTATAAGTGTGGAACAATTACCTTCTGTCACCAGAACTAGAAAATGACTTAATATTATATACTAAAGTAACATTCGCATGATCGCATCCATCTGAACTGGGAAAACAGAGCAGAATTCAAATCTATTAACAATGCAGTCAGGCAGCACGCGTGTTATTACTGCATCGTTAATAATAATACGAACGAACTATACGATCTTAACAAAAGAATTTCATAAATGATCTATTCTAGTATTGAGGTCATCCAGGTTTAATGCGACACCTAACTAATAACATTTTTGTTCTTGTTCATTTCCCCCATTCCAGATCATTCAATCGCATAATTATTATGTAACAGTTAATACGACCTACGGTGCATAATGCGTATATCTGTATATCGTAACAAATTTTTTAACTTTTACGCGTTTCTTCCTTATCGCTTGAAAGATAGTAGATACAGCCTAATAAATTAGGAAAACTTCATATAAACATTAAACATGGCTTCCTTATGAATTAGAAGATCACTTACTCTTTTCTGAAGTCCGCTGCGTCTCTTTCAGAAAAACAAAAAAAACAGTAATAATAAAGTTATCATCCATCAATACACTTTACGCAGAAAATATTATGATGGTTACAAAAAAAAATTCATTTGTACGCAGCAACTGTAAAAAATAAATTATCAAAAGTTCAAACTTCATGCATAAAATAATCAGAACTGCCAAAAAGGCATGCCATAGAACGATAGAAGTATACTTGATAAGTTTTAAAGGGATCGCACACGGTTCTTGAAATCACATTTATCACGGTTATGTGCTTGAATTTTCATTCAAGCTTGTTCGCTTTTCGGCTTCAATACTACTGTTGACTGTTAACAATATCCTTGAATAAATTTTTTTTAATTTTTTTAAAGCCATGCCGGGAAAATCAATATAATTATGTGCTTAAACGAGCATAAAGAGAAGCTCAACGTATTTCAGCTAACACTGGGCAATTAATTGGTAAAATACAGAAACTTAGAACAGAAGGAAAAGAAAGCCCGGAGGAAAAACAAGTAACCCCAGTCTAAAGATAAGCGGTCCTTGCTAGAATAATGGCGCAGAGCGCATGCACACATGAGGACACAGAACTGAAACAGTGCGAAATTCGGATACAGCAACGAAAATTTTTGTCAAACCAGTCGCCATTTTATTAGTCTTTACCTCATCAGGAGGAGCAGAGGCTGTTGGCTTAGTCTTGATGACTCCTTGTTTATTCCGTCCGCCAATGGGACATGCGCCATACCCAAGGAACTTGGTCTTCAAGGGCTCCAGCCACGGTTTTAGCCAATGATCCAGTTTATCCAAAACTGGTCCCATGAACGGACGAAGAAACCGATAATACACCCACAACAGTGCCGGAATAACGATGCACGGGATGCAGACCATTCTCCAGCTGTTTATCAATTTGACGAGTTTCGAAACTAAGCTCGAAAAAGGAAGAATTCCTTTGCTATCAAGGAAACCTTTAAACTGACTTCTAACCAAGCAACCGTAAAAATAACTAACACTGTCACAATCCTGTTTCCCGCAGTCGACAAGATCTGGAATGATATCTTATACAAGAAGAAAGAATTGAGAGACCAAATATTCTAATACACAAGTTTCCTGAGAAGAATATTTTCAATAAATAAACAAAACCTGCATCCCTGGGATGTATTGTAAATTTGTAACTACTGTATCTAATCGGGACTGTGGCAGATTGTTCCAGAAATGAATCACTGGGAAAGCTCAAAACGAATCGATATTTTTTTTGCTACGACTATCCGTCACTATCGTGTGCATAAAATTTCGTATCGTACTCTTTTGCACGTATGTACAGGTGCACATAGAAGTATTGTTTTCCTCATATCTACAGTATAACATAAAATTTTGGAAGACAAAATCACGTAAGTGCCGCCGAGCTTTTGTTACGCATGAACATTATGCCACCCTCCTTCAGGAGGCATGTCGGCCTAGCCATCCATACATTTTTCTTTTGTTCTCGTGCCACGGTACAAAACAATATTTTTATTTTTGAATTGAAATATATTTTGTGCCGTGTTCGTACTGTTCATTTCATTGTTTATGTCATTGTGGCATCGTGAAACGGATGTGGATCTCCCAGTCTCTGGAGACGGATGGATGGGTCGAGGATGGTTGTGTTCGAACTTTGCCGGTGTTATGACCGAAGCAATCTGGGCTCTTGCCCTTACAACGCTCATGGGATCCTTGATCCCATGATTTTTATTAACTTGTTGTTGTTCCCGCTTTGTAACGGAACGGTCTGGACTCTGGGGGAACTTTATGGAATGCTTTATGGAACGGTCGTGCCAAAAATAACGCAATCTCTTTTTTATACGGAGAAATTTAACGAAAATTTATTACTAAACCCATTCAATCAATAGAAGTAGTGTTTATAAATACTTAAGCCAAACAAAAGAAATAGAACTACACAACGCAAACATCACCATCACTAGCGTCTAAAAGACGTCCAACAAACCGGAAGGTTGAAGCCGTCTCATAACGATAATCAAATCAGGAATTCAGAAGAGACAAAATTTTTTGGCGCTGGGGCGCTAGCCAAACCATTATGCGCCAGGCGACTGGTCTGTGGTGGAATTAGCATCCTGCTTTTGACTGGGCTTAATAATAAGATCCTCGTACCACGCTGCAAGCTCTTCAAACTGTCGCGGTGCCGGCCCATTTCTCCGGAAGGCATTTGGACGATCAAGAGACTTATTGTACCGGGGGTTCCTGTAATAACCACATAAAAATTACCGACCAGAATGTTTCTTAATCGGATAAGTAATGTGGTCAGCAAAGCAGGAAAGGAAAGCCCGTATGTATACCGTATTTTCGCAAATTTTCGTACAAACTTACATTCCCGTTTTGTAAATGTTAAGATCACGATCCAACTTCCTTTTCATAATAGACCGGAACGATTTGGGAATCCTGCAAGCACAACACCCATATAGCCAGTCCTACAATACCCATACTCATACCCAATTAAACGTAACAATTAATCAGCCCTGTCCCTTACTTATACACTATTACAAAAAAGGTCCAATACACCACGTTTACTCACGTATTTAAATCTGGAATGTAGTCTTCTGGTGCGGCACAAGCGTCCCGCTCGTCTTCAAGCCGCGGTTTACCCATAATAGCAAACCGGTAGGTGGACATATCCTGAAGGAATCGAGCAGTAGAGGAGCCATCCGCTTCGTCATTTTCGGAAGAATTCTCCAAGAGATCCCAGCCCGGATCCGAGGAACTTGGAAAGCGCATTCCGCAATGAACTTCACTAAGTTTAACGAAGGATTCTTCCATAATGATTGCCTCTTCATTTATTCCATCGGCCTCTTCTTCCACCGCCTGAAGACGCTTGCCACTGGCATTTTTTGATGGAGATTCTAAAGGCATACACACATCCTGTGTGACAGTTGTTGTTTGCTAATAGTGACACTTGATCATACCGTACCGCTCACTTGAGGCAGTCGTTCAGTACGGTAACGGGAAAGCAATACTCGTTTGCTAAGATCATTCCACATCGGAATGCGTGCTCGTGTGGCATCCGAAATACTGCCAAATTCGGCAACATCGATGTTAACTGATAGACCGGAAAGGTGCACCTTTTTAACTTGATTGACCATTGAATCCGCGAGGTAACGACGAAGGGGAGAAATCGTATCGCCATCGTCGACTCGGTTATATGCCGGAGCTAATAAATTCAAACAAAATGTCAACAAAAGTGCACTTATTTCAAAATCAGTATTAAACTGGCCACCAAAGAAATTCATTGTACAACGAATATGAAAACCAGTTGACCCGCATTTTTATGAAATCATTACAATTGATCGCATCTGAAACAAAGTTCGAAATTAAACCGGATAACGGGAGCATTGTACACCAAAAACCAACATCATTATTACGAGAGCACGAACACTGGAAGCAATGCGAGTGCATACCATTAAGATTACTGCGGAGTCGGACCGACTGAATCGGTGAAAGACGAACCGACCCAAGATTCGGGTAATATGACAACGCTTACCTGGTGCAATTAAACCACTAGTGAACTGCCGCTTCATTGGACATAAACGTTCATGATTATCCAGATCTTCCTTGGTTTTGAAGTAATGCAGCTGCGAGAACTGGCATTGCAAGAACCCTTTTCCATATTTCTACAAAATAAAAGAATGAAACTTCAAGGAAAATATCTGCTTGCAAGTCAGAAACAGTAAAGATGCGAGGAAAAATACACACGCCGCGGGGCGGAAACATACCGCTTTACAATCAGGGATGTGATAAGGCAGTGTTTTACGTTTCAGCTTATGCTCCGGAACGATCGGGCACTAAAAAAATTAACAATAACGAGGGTTTGTAACCGAGGTTCAGTTCGAAACCATCTAACGTTTTTTTTACAGCTAAGTAGTTTGGTTAATGTTACGATCTAATGAAAAAGACATGCGTACGAATTATTACGAACTACAATTGTACAATCGTACGCCTTACAGTTACGATATCGTCCCGATCGAATCCTTCTGCCTTATACACAGCTCGCCGTAATTGTAGATTCATGGCTTCGAACAATGCAAAGGTCAGCTGTTGCACGGCACAAACAACATCCAAATCGGAGAGTCACAATCCCTGCAATCCATGGAGCGACCGAGATCCCATAGAGCTGCGTGAAAATGTCTTATCCATCGACCATCGATCAGTCGGAGCGAAAGTTCCGCAGTACTACAGTAGCATCCAGGATATCAAAGAAGAACTCACACAGGGAAAACATTTCAATTACGGGTTACCCAAGAAATCAACGCTTTTCAAGAGCCACGCAGCGGATCCTCAAAAATCTGGTGTGCCTCAGTAACCTGTCAGTCTGTAGAGTCAGAGAACAAAAGTACAAACTGGAAAGGGTTTTTTCTTTGGAAAACAACGTGATACCGACGCAAGCAATGCACGGATGCGCTGGTGTCCAGTGCAATCGTGCGACTGCAGTATTCGCTGTTCGATGCTTCGTTTGAGAACTCTATACGAAGTTGGTGAACGATGAATACAATAACGCAACAGGTTGTACGTACAACCTGTACAACCTATTTTGACGGGGTGTTGTGATCTCGTGCCGGTGGCGTATTGCACCGAATGGTCGGGTCGGCACCTTGATAGCTGGCTAAAAATCGTGTTGACCCAAATATTTTACAAAAGGTGAATTTTGTTGAGTGACGGGGACGAGCTTTTTGGCTACGGGAATGGCTATTGTTGTTAAAATTAAAACCGTATCTGACCGTCGTCAGGAATAGTTCAGATTCTGATTAGCCGCAAAGTCAGAGTAGACAGGAATGCTAACGGATCTATGAAACTAAGCGACATTGACCGCTCTACTGCTTACTGCTTTTACGCTGTAGCAGGTCCGGTCACGCTCGCATCCCCTCACCTACCTGCGTAGTTTAGCGCAATGGCTGCCATGATCCCTAAAGAACATGAAGAACTGCTGGACTGGGATGTGGATACCGGAGAATTTGATGTTGACGAGAAAACGGTAAGGTCGATAAGCTGTGATCGCCTTCATTGTGTGAAGTGGATAGTTATTCTTGGTTGTCATTGTTCTGCTGAATAGCTGGAGACAGTGATGACAAGCGTCCCTGGAGAGCGCCCTGGAGGCCAACCGGAAACTAAAAAGAAACCCTTGCGGAAAATACCTTTGGAAGATATCAACATGGAGGGCGTCAATCCTGTTGATTTTATGGGACAATTGGAGGAGACGGATGAAGACGATATGGAAGAAGAATCAGAAGGCGTCGATAAACCGAGAAGACGATCGCGTGAGCACCGGCGACAGAGCGACCTGGATCATCACAAAACATCCTCCTCAGCCGACAATGGTGTGCATGGTGAGTTAACTAAGCACCGATTTTGAATTCGAAGGATTCGTAGACAATTGAATTCACACTCATCTGACTTTTGTTTCTTTCTGGTAATAGACAGAAATAGCATCAATATTTTCTGATGAATGACAAAGATTTCGGAGGCATTTTATATCGACGCTGTTATTGTGATTTGACTTCGGTTAGATACGTGCAATTTGAGAATCACTTATCACAGTACATAAACAATTTAATATGCTACATATACTCCGATGATCCTCTCAAATGCGAAATATTTGCAGTCTTCGAAGATATGTCTTTGTTTTCAGAGATATGAACAGGTTAATTTGGCCGGACAGTGTAGCTCAATTATTTGGAGGGTTTTTCGAGAGTGCTGTTGCTGAGAATACGAAGCACTCCTAAACAGACACATTTTGAATTTTTTGTGACTTTTTATTATGGGACGATAAGCATGCCCACATAATCCCTTGCCTCATTCAAGAACGCGACTTGCATCATATTATAATATAGCTACAGGATCTTGCAAACGCAAAACACTGTCTATGTTTTTGCTGGATTGGCCCAGATCGAAGTTCATCATCATTTTCTGTCTTAGAAAAATCAATTCAATCTGTTGTGTTACAACTTACGACACTGTTTCAGGATGTGTCGCCTTCAGCTGTGGTCTTGAGGCATTGTCCATTTTCAGCTCTAACTGGTATATAGAAGTACGGATTACTGGTATCCGCTATAGGTTTTCACGAGCAATTGTTATAGCGATAGGCGCTTCCCTTCCCATGCGACTGTCAGATTGAAACTGGCAGTGTGCACTCGATCGATAGCTCGATTCTTTTTTCGTTGTGAAAATAGATTAATTTTTTATGAAAGAAGTTTCTTCGGATGCAAGTGTGATTTGTATCATCATGATTTGCTGAACGTGTGCATTTTGAAGGGAGTTTATAATTACATCGAGCGCCCAGTTGACCAGTAAACTACTCTGTACATGATGAACAGTTACTTAGTTAAACTGACTGACTGCTGTTGACCTTATCAAGGATCTGTAAGGGCATTCTGTCGCGTTTATGATAATTCAACGATTGATTTTAATGATGCGAACGGATAAATAAATAATTCGATTATGGATAATTTGATTTTAATTATGTCACGTGCAAAAATTTGCGTATCGTGACTATCGGCATATGGTTTTTTTATGTTTTTGATTATTGTTGACTGGTTTCATGATTGTATTGCAGGCTGTCATTAAGTTAAATACAAGTCTGATGTGTGTAGGTAGTTGCCCACAAGCAGCACCAAAACGCACTCGGATCAGCTACAACGCGGAAGCATCTTCCGTTCCAAAGCCACGATCTCGCTCTCCGAGTCCAGTGAAAGCGGAACCCAGCAGCAAGGACTCTACTGCTGCCAAGCCGACTGTCGTGCAAGTTGCCAAATCTGTTGACGCGGACGGAAAAGAAACTGGGCCGGCTTTGATCATCACGATTCCTTTAAGCAACAAGGAAGAGCCGTCATCCGTGTTGGCCAACATGATTACTCCTGAGAAAGCAGAGACGGGTTTCACGACGGAAGGAACAGATAATTATCTTAAGTTTATCTCATCCTTGTTGCCAAAGGACGATGTGAAAAACAGCGATCGAGATCGACGCAGCAGTAGACGGCGCGTGTCGGCGTCGGGACCGTTGCAGACTGAGAGCGAAACTTCGCGTGGTAAGGATCGTAAGCCCGATACGAGTTCCGACAAGCGATTCAGTGACGAGAGATCATCCCATCGGTCGAAGGGGGATTCTGGAACGTCTGTGCGTCGTCGCGACGATCGTGATAGTGACCACCACAGCACAAAGCGGTCCTTCTCCACTGAAGATCGCCGCGGGTCAGCGCGTACGTATGCAAGCGTTGTCCCTCCGGGTGGGGCGCAACCTAACGCGGAGTCAAGAGTTTATCACCGCCGGGAGGATGTCCATAACGCCAGACCACCAAACCCTCCTGTGACAGCCTCTGAAGCGAACTCTCAAAAAACATTTTTCCAGAGTAGATGTGCGCAAGTGAAGGAAAAGGTATTTGTGCATAAGGATAAGTTTGCAATTACTCCGGAGGACTTGCTCAGGCAGAATGTGAGATTTTTCGATACTACGTCACCAGACGCCGTGGACCCTTTTTCTAAGACAGAATTTAAAACAGCGGCTGAATGTACTGATCGACCGCTGAAACGAAGAAGTGATACCGGTTTGGACAGTTCTGTGGACTGCGGTTCACCATCTTCTATGCAAGACCGAAAGCGACGCGGCAAATCTCTCCTTCCGCTCCCTGCTCCTGACCAGCGAAATGTTGAAGAGGGACCAAAACCTACCGATCCTCGAGGATATCGTTCTGGTTTCATGATAGGTATTCCACCGCCGGGTTATGGTGGGAGCCCTAACGGGGGCCCTTTGATTCAGTTTAACGGGACGAATTTCATCTCGAACGGCACGGTGCCACTTGCTGGACCACCAAATCCTCATCGTGCTATACCGAACGCTGGCAGTGCTGTGCGGGGCCGGTCGACATTAGGGCTACTGGGACCGAAAGTCCAGAACGCCGGCATCATACCGGACCCTAGGTATGTGCCGTATTTTTGGACATTTAGAATGCTTTCATGTCATCAAATTTTGGTGGTGATTGTTAATAATAATGGTGGCTTTGGTGTTTTTATTGTTAGGTTACCGTTTCCGAATCGCCGGCGGCAATTCATGCCGATGGTGAACGCTGAGCTACCAAATATTGACACTTACGGTACACGTGATGCCAGCGCAAGTGATATTTCTGGCGGAATGAAAAGGTCCAGCGGCTACGGGCGTGCGGTCAGCGCATCAGACTTCGAGGCCAACTATCAGGATTCTGGCATTGTTGTTGGTAAGCAGTCGACTGGTGAGCTTTCTTTTTCTGGTTACGCTTTCCGTGCGCGCTATCGTGATCTGGACATACCAGACCAGCCGTACTGTATGGAATCGTTGCGCGAAGAGGACGGATCAGATTTTGACCATCTGCTAGAGCAATCCATGCGCAACAAGACATAGTTTATCCTTGTAATGGCATGCTATAGTGCGTTCGTCTGGTTTATTCACCGGTATAAGAGATTTTTTCTTTTAGGATCGTGATAGGTACTATGTCGGAATAAGCTAGCTTCTGTGGTCGTTTATGGATAGCATTTTCCTTTCTGAGTTGTGATTTTTACTTTGATTTTTGCACTGGCGAAGTGATAATCTGGTGATTAATTTTGTAAGTACGTAATAAACTTCAAGAACTGGTGAAGGTCAACTGTTTCGGGCTTGCTTGCTGTTAGGGCTAGGGCTGCTCTTCTTTTTTGTTCTTACCCCGGGATATCTGAAATGGAAACCAGGATGTCCGGAGTTCTAGCACAAAGGATTTCAGTTAAGTCACGCTGTGGGCGGAATCGAAACTGCTAAAAGTTGTCCATATATTTTATTTAATTTGTCCACTGTTGATAAAGATAGAATTTCATAATCGACTTCGAAAAGACGTTGTGGATCGTTAAGTACCAGTGGCCACTGGTACGGAAAGCGCGGGTAGTCGTATTCCGGCTTGAATCTAAAAACAAGACTTTGTTAAAGGCAGACAAATCGCGCCGATCGTAACAATCAGTAGCCACCTTTAATTCCCCAAGGAGAAGCCGGACAGCATGTTCGCTCGTAGTGCTTACGAGAAAGCTGACGTTTTCCAGGACGGTACTTGCTGTTACTATGTCGTCCACATCGTAGCGGAAGGTCCACCAGTCGTCGGCTGACGAAGCAGTTCGCGCTATTGCTGTTGGATAAACTGTGCATGGGCTGCAGTCATTCACTGCTGCGTTTTGTTCACTTAAGTGAAGACGTATTTTACGGGTTACTAAGCGCTTCCTTATCGACAGGATTAGCGCGAACTGGTTGTTCCCATCAAACGGTAATTTTGCGGTAACCTCCACAAGTAATGAACTTTGTAATGGTGCCGCGCAAGCGAACAGAACGCATTCTTGATCAGATTTCGGTGGAAAAAGTATTTCCAACGAACTGCTTCCATGCCAGCTATCCTGATGACACAAGCGCATTCGATAACAGTTATCCGAATGACACTCTCCATTACTCCAGAGAGGTTGCAGGCCTTGTTCACTTAAATTAACCCACATTCCATCACCTTCTGCCATCCCGTTATCCTGTTTCCAAAACCGTACAAAACATGAGTAAAATGTTGGAGATAAGTATTTGTACGTTAGACCAGAAAGAAATCGACTGGTTCAATTACGCCAGCATTACCATGCTATATAACCTTTGACAATAAGCTAATGTACCTTTTGCCCAGCACGGTGACGACAGTGTCCGTATCCAGCACAAAATGTTGTATGCAGAGGAAGGCTATATATTTTGTGCTGCGGCAAAAAGGGTGCGATGGTGTCCCAAAACTTGTTCTGATTATCGAAGAACTTATCCTTTTCGTTGCACTCGAGCACCCAGCCGGGAGCGAATAAGGCCACAGACATATCGTGGTCATTGATTACTTCCAGTGCTAAATTCGTATTCCAACCGCCGCCACCGTAGCATCCCCGTCCGAACACATCCACCCCGACGAAAACATCATACTTGCGATATGGAGTGGCGGTCTTTTTGGCTTTGGCCAAATCGGACAGCGACCAGTTGTAATTAAGAAATATTCCATCCACGACATGAAAGAATTTCCTAACGTGCAGCCGGCGATATACGCTAATGTCTACAGGCTACAGTAGCTGCGGTATAAGAAAAAATCGGAACTTACATGTTTTCCTCGTTCAAGCAATTTTGCCATTTCAAACTTCCTGAAAGGTAAAGATACGGAGAGATCATTAGTGTTATATGGATTGTACCAAAAATATTTGAAGGATTTGCAAACCTTTTATGGTTATGCTATCATACCAAATAACCGACAAAGGCTTTTGAGGGCGATGGCAAACAAGACGGGAACGTTGGTGAAGCAGCCGCAAAAAGTTTACCACCTGATCGACATTCTCAGGCTACAAACAAAGAATAGTCAAAAACTATAACCGATGCTTAACTCTCTGTTGATGTAGAGAAGATTCCATTTCGAGTCTGCTGCTACAAAAAAAAACTACATACTGGTTTAGTGCCGTAATATTCTCCTTTTATTTACAGTATCTTAAGAATATTTCAGCCTTCAGCAGGCTGCGAATTGCGAACCTCTATTGAATTTTCAATATTTATTAGCCACCCTTCAAATCCGTAGTAATCGGCAATCTGAACTAACAAGGATGCAACTCTTGTCAGCAGGTTTTCATCATTCAATAAACGCTGCCAGATGGCTTTTCCATCATCCCATTCGGTGATAAAGGTACCTGAAAATGATAAAGAAAAGGTGCAACAAGCACCTGGCGCTGGAAAACCTGAAACACATCATATTTTATATCTAACTCGTATCAGACGTAGTTTTATACGAGAAAAAAGCTGTACCAAATACAGATACGCCATTTTTATGAGCAGCATTAATCCAACCAGTCGGCGGGATGGTCACCAGGTTATGACTAAAAAAAGTAAAACCCAGGTAACCGATAATAAAAGTGTGCCTGTTGTTGTTTACAACAATATGTAAATTCTTAGCACTGGTTTTCGTGAAGGTTAATAAAATTAAAAACAAATATCTGTACATGCTTGCGATGCGACTGTACACAGTTGTAGCAGTTACCACTTACCGGTAACTGTGCTATTACTTAAACCGACATTTATTTTACGCTAATTGCTGTACATTTCAACTGCAATACGACCTACAGTATAATGCGAAGTTACGAACATTACTTCATAATTTTTAGGATTAAAAACATTTAACGTGCTATGAAATCTTGAAAGACGTTTATGTACTGTATACGTATAGATATAATTATATATATAAATGTCGTACACAGTATTTAGAACTACATAAAGATTTATAAACCCAAAACTAGCAATATTGTAAATGACAAATACAGCTTCCTAAAAATTCCAGAACCCATAACCAACCTGAAATAAATAAAAGCGTGAATGGACGCCCAGTGGTAAAAAATGTAGGGTTCGTGAGGTTCAGTACGGCATCCGTTCGTAAATCTGCAAGCAAAACTAACAACTGTAAGCAGGCTGTAAGTCAATACCGCTCACGGGGCTCAGAAGTGACAAAGTACAGGCAAGTTGAGGCAGCTGATTTGAGAAATCACAAAATCTCACCGATCACAGAGATATCCGCCTTGCATATCATGACACATCAAGGTGCGTCTCTGGCACTTGTTTTCTGACCACGCATTCCGTTCGGGAAGAGATACAGCGGCAGGACATCCGCTGGCCAACTCTGGAATCCAGTTGAGCAGCTCATCCAGAGTTTTTAAGGGCAAAGTCTCAGCTCTGGAGTCAAGTTCCATGGTCGTCATTTTTAACACTGAAATTTTAAAATTTTTCAACACTGTTCACTCACGTACCAGATCGGAGGAAAAAAAACTATGAACTTAAAGCGTTACCCAAAAATCAGAAAAGAGTCGAGCGACGAAACAAGCAAAGCACCAGATCGAGATGCTGGCTGTTCAGAGCGGTTTCAAACGGCGATCATAGCCACAGCCACAGGTTCACCGATCACGGCAGCAGAATAAACGTCCACGATAGCTTTCTACTTCGAAAGTAATCCCACAAATAAGCTTTGGAAATCGAGACGATGTGGAATAAAACTAAAAGAATTAAAATCAATTAGAAATATTGTGATTTCTGTTTGCAGTTTAAGAAGAAAAAGAATGTTCCTAAGTCAGCCACCTCCGGAAGCCAGCCGTTATGTACAAAGGCTAATACTTACAAGGCTCTTCTTACAAGGGCGGACGCCTGCGACAGGAGAACACTGCTGATTTTATAAATGAAATTTAATTATGAATTTCTGAATTTACCGAAGATACTGAAGAAATAAAAATTTGCAGATGACGGGACTCGAACCCGTGCCAGCTGCGCCTGTAGCCGTCCGTCTTACCAATGATCTACACCGGCGTGCATTATTAAGTATTTCTTTTTAAGATTTTAGCGCACTGTGCGACTGCCTATCACTCTTACAATTTTTGTCTTTTTAAGTCTTTGTGATCACAGATTCACAGGATTTTACTAAAGTGTTAAAATCAGCATATATCATAATAATAGATATGTAATATCCTAAAGATTTATTAAGGACTAAAATTTGGTCAGTTCGGAGTACGAGTACCTATACGAGTACACCAGTACAGCGATTCTTTGTTATATAATTCATAATTTTGTAAGTGTTGAGATCGACAATAGTGCCGAGCCACAAAATTATGCAAACAACGCATTGTGCAACGCATTAAAGAATTTAATATGGTGCTGTCCCTTTGTGATAACACAACTATAGTAACGTTGGAACAGCCTGCATTCAGGTACAGCATACTGCAGACCACCGGTATGCTTTAAGAAGATAAATTCTCTATCAAGCTTATGTGACCGTATTGTGCAAGAGCGTACGTTTTTAACGACAGTGATTCACTTCTGTAAATACCAGATAGCAAGTCACTTATTTAATCATGGATAAGGAACTATAATTGGGTCTACGGTTACAGTCACAATGTAGTAAAAAGATACAGCTCCGTCAACTTTTGAACACAATTCTAGATAAAATATCAGTATGATTGCTCTGTACGCGAACGCGTACTGCATTAAACAGGCAGCAAATTTTTAGCAGACTTCTTTTCTATTATAGCACACACATATTTTTATAATGTTGATATAGCAAGCAGATGAGTCACACCGAAGATATTATTACGGAGCTCCTGTATCTGTAGGCGTACTGGATAAGCATTGTATTAAATTAATTAAGGATGAATTATCAGCACGGAGCTTATCGGTGTCGCGTTGCTATATTACCAAGGAATGGTGCACATTGGAATAAATTATGCTACCAATGTTGTGACCGCAGTCAGATTATTAATTTTAGCCAGCCTTGTGCATTAATGAGGAAGGTTGGAAATGACAAAATGCACAATGCAATAACTCAGCCGTGCTGGATGTACAACGCATTGACTTCGGAATATTCCAGCTCGTCCATGTTGACCTCTTCATCGCCGGTATAATCACCCCTCTAAATTAAGCGGTCCTCTAACATCACCATCAGTACACTCCTTGTTTTAAGGTATGCCCTTTTCGAATGTGCTCGATGATACCTTAAACCAGGATGACTATAAAAAGCATCATGCGCAACAACTGTTTGTCATATCGAAGTTTGTAATCCTGTTTTCGATTAATGTGCATGGTGTCAGTAAACTTCTCGAAAACGTTGAATTAATAAATATAATGTGCATCGCGTAATCGCACAATGATGTACGTACAAAACTTCTGCATGGACAGATAGGAGGACTAGTACAGCGGCAATATGGAAAACACTCCACCTCCTGTTCCCCCTCGTCCTACTCGAGACTCAAATAAGCGGGGATCTGAGTCCCCGTATTGTCCGTTGACAACATACTCGGGCAGTCCATCGAACAGAACGAATCATAGTGATGGATGCCAGCTAGAAACGATCCATCAGTCAGGTATTGCGCAAATCTGTGTACAAACATATTTAACTGTGCTAAAAAATCGTCGACGCTTTATGACAGATTTCCCCCTTCTTTTTGTTTGGGCTTACTTAAACACCCATTTTGAAGCATTGCGTGTGCCGCGCAGTTTATCATAAATATAACAAACAAATTTAGAGGCTTGCTAGTACAGCTTTTGAAACTTTTGACAGTCTTTGCGACCTTGGAATTGTTAAGATAAATTAACGAGTTTGTAGTGTATGCCATCGATACACGTACTGTATTATTTTGTATATATTTGTAAAGGTGACATGTTTGCGGTTAACAGGAATTAAATACCTCTGAATTTAATATAAAGACGCGAAAGCAACAACGAATTTAAAAGGTTTGCTCGTTTTTCAGAGAACGTTTGTGCAAGTGCATCTGGTGCAGCAGAAAGTAGTGCTCCCAATGTGACAAGGCCGACACTTTTATCGAGACCGTCGCATTCGAGACCGCACACAGTGCATGGCTTGTTGGTCGGGCAATCTGATATCGGCGCTACTGATGCTTCCATAAATGCTCCATCCGGTGCGAATAACGTAAAGCACAAACAGAAAGGGCCTTCTGTACCGCCACGTCCGGCGTCTCTGCATCCGACATCAGAATCGTCCCCAACAACTCTTTTTACTACGATAACCAGGTACGTAAACTGGCGATGACTGATACTGCGAAGATCATTAACTTGTTTCACCATAAATTTGCGCCGGCGTCTGTTCACTAAATATGAACACATCTTAAATTGTCTTGTTATGCTCATCCGGTGCAGCAGCCGATCGGAAACAGCTATGTCCAATGCCATTTTGTCACCCACCGGGGAGGACTCCGATTCCGATGTGGAGGACAATAATGACGAGATAAGCAGCAATACAAAACAGCAGCTTCCTTCCGGAAGTCTGACGAATATGGTCAGCACAGTGAAGATGAGCAAATACGAAGCGCGCCTTTCCACATTCGCCGCATGGCCTCTGGACCATCCGCAGGATCCTAAAACCTTTGCCAAATATGGAATGTTTTACACGGGTAATTTACTGCTGCTAATTGTTTTAAAACTGGCGACAATGAAATATGGATGCCGCCATTATACAAAACATATCATATCAAATTTAAGCAAATTATCAAATAATATCAGTTGTATCATGTGCAGGCGTAACACATTAAGATGACTACCTACCGCCAGAAGCGCAATCTGTTAATACGTAGTGATGATGCTATACTGCACTCTGCAGTTCACTTATTGACAATCAACTCCCACAGTTTTTGTCGGCAGGTCATGCAGACAAAACGCAGTGCTATTCTTGTGGCATTGTCATCTGGGGTTGGAAGTCATACAAAGGTTTGCCGAAAGCGCCTCTGATAGCGCATAAAAAGTTTTATCGCAACTGTGGATTCCTAAAGAGTCGCTCATGGGCCGATGCGGCATCCAAGCTGAACCTAACCGGAACAATGATGGAGTGGGAAAAGGCGGACGCGCCATTCATGCTGTTGCAGCAGACACGGCTGGATAGCTTCCTGTCCGATTCCAACTTACTGTCATATCTGCAGTCGTCGGACCAAGCCAAGTGCTTTGCCGAGGCAGGATTCTATCGCAATGCACCGCCCAATGCGGCAGGTTTGTGTCAAATTAAATCGAGGCAAAATGTTTCGTTAATTGAGATTTGTCCAGTTATTTAGCACGAAACAGTACATAGGTGGCAAAATAAGATACTCGTACTGGTAATTATGCTGTGGAACCTGTACTAATAGGATTTCAAACACATATACATCACAACAAAATAGTTATCTGATTTTGCAATTCTTTGCACTACATAAGGAAAAGGTAAATTATCCTCCATGATTTAGACCTATAAGGTAATCCAGAAATATATCACTGGCATAATTATACCACATACATATACTGTATATGCGGGTTAACGGTGTATGATTTTATCGGTATGGTAAGACAGTTGCATTTTCGAAATTGCAACGGATACCGCCATGAGTCGACATTTAATTTTTGATTTCAGTTATAACTTCTGTTGTTATAAATTATTTTTTCAGATACTTCTGTCATTCGTAATCCCGTTATCAAATGCTTTTACTGCGGATTGCATCTGTTACACGGCGATTTCACGAAAGATCCCTGGATTCTACATGCGCAGATGGCCCCAAACTGCACCTATGTCAAACGCAAAAAAGGTCCTTTATATGTCCGGAAAATTCAGAAAAAGCTAGAAATGGACCGTCTGCTGGAATATGGTGCAGTGTCCAGCAATACCAGCACCGAAACGGATGGGGGTTCGACTGCGTCGGCCTTACCAGGCCCATCAGTGATAAAGAAGTTCGTCGCTCGAAAGGTCCTCCCACGCCTTAATCAACTGTACAAAACCCAGTCGGCGCCCAGTGCTGTGTTGATTGACACATCCGACGATCTGCCAAGCGTTCGTACAGTCAGAGCCAGTGTTCCACTAGCAAGTAATTCGATTCCGCCACCAGATGCAGCGCTCCAACACGCGCAACCGGAAGTTGGAATCCGCACTGAACCCGTTGCAGGGACAAGTAATCTAGTACCTGTCCGTTCTGCGCCGGTAATACCGACTGTCAGTAGCAGTACTTCAAGAGTAACGGAGCATGATAGTAATCATGACTCTCATGTGGAGGATTTCCAAACCGCTAAAAGACATGCAATTACCGGCGTATTGAAAATGGGTTTCGCTACGCAACAGGTCGAGGATGCGCTTGCGGAATGGGACAGAACTGCTTCGCATCAGCATCTGACCGTTGAGCGATTGGTGCAAATCATTTGTGAATCTGAAGAAAGGTAACCCAAACGAGAAATGCTCGATCACACGAGAGTTTAATCAATTGTACTTGTATTAATCAACTAATGCTTATTGTTAGTAATCGATGGCTGGTATCGACTGTTTTTGCGTATTTTCCACATCGGTGTGCAACTTTTTGTGTACCATACGAATACGATGCACACTACGATAAATGTGCAATGTTAGGGGTACATACATATATATAGTAAGTTTTCCGAATTATAAATAACTGATTTTTTTCCAGAGAACTGCCGCTGACAATTGACCGGAGTGAGCGTCCTAGGACAGTTAACGATGCAACAGAGCAGATGCACATGATCTCCATATCCCCAGCTGATCCTACCTACAACACCCATACTGGTGACCTTTTAAATTTTGACCCAGATCCAGTGCCAACTGTAGCTTCTGTTAGCAAGCCAAAGAAAAGGACGGAAAAAAACGTTAACCAACGACAGATTAGTGGGGATCGAGTGTGCATTATCTGCATGGAAGAACAGTCGAATTATGCGTTCGTTCCTTGTGGCCACGTGCAAACCTGTCTGCAGTGTTCAGTTATTTTAGAAAGATGTCCTTTGTGTCGGCATGAAATCAAGGATCGAATACGCATTTATCTGTGATTTTTTTGTTGTAAACAACACGCGGCTGTTTGTTTGGTAACTAGAAGTATTCCAGTAGCTTGAAAATTGTTGGAATTTTGACATTAAAACCCGAATTTTCGTGGTGCATTAAATTCTAATTTGACGCCTCAAACTGTATTTAATAATATTTCGTTACAATTTTTGTACTCTTTTAACACCTGTCTGACCTTACAACGTGCACTCCCAAATGAATATCTAGCTGCATTCACTATCCGCAAGCTGTCAATCGATTTTCCTGCTCGGGATGAGCTAAACCTGTGCAATCTGTACGAAGCAAGCCACACTTTTATCGATCGAAAACCGAGGTACCACCGTACTACAATTGCGCCATTTACGTCGTCGCGAAATCCATGATAACACTGTCAAAAAGGTAAGTCGTGTATGTACCAATGTATGCAATACCGATCGCACCTGCATGGACAGCCGACCGAAAACAGTAATCAAGCAAATAGAAAAATGGCAAATGCTCCGCTCAGTATCTACATGCAGGCACTTTGGTATTGTCAGCTAATAAATACGTGTATTTTTATATTGTATTGTGTTTGGAATTCACTATAGAATACTTCTATGCTATTATTACACAATTCATCGCAGTGAGAAAAACTTCGTTTTTTGCTGATGGGATTCGGCTTGTTGTATGCAGATTAACACAATGCAGTCCGTTTCTGCTGCTGTCTCCAGAATGCAGGAAGTACTAAAGACAAGGCGATGCTGTGCAGGTGTTCCACCGGGACGATTGTGGCTACTATTTTCCGTGAATATTTTTGCAATCTTTATTTGGTGGTTTGCCATTTTAGGTATGAGAAAATCTTTTTAGTGTATAAAAAGTGCGTGCTGGGTCACGTATACGTAATTTTCCTGAATTCTAAACCCGTCGAAATGTGAGTCACGTATCTTGTGTACATGTAAGTACTCATGTGTTGATAGAAATGGACGTGGAAGTGTCCGATACACGCTACTGGCGCCGACCACCCTCCAGCACCAACTACACATCCACATACGGCAGCGTTTTCCGTAAAGGTCAAGCCTCCATGAAAACCTACAGTCTGTTGTACCGCGTGTCCATTCTTTTCCACCTGAGCTCCACTTTCACAGCCTGCATCGTTTTCTTGCTGTTTCGTGTCATTGTACTGCGCAATCCGCAGCGTTTATGCATGTACTGCGAAGTCGCCAAGGTGGGGTTCAGTGCGGAAGACGTGAACAACTTCCAGAAGAAGATCCAACTGTTATGCATCATTGCCTGCATAATCGACATTGTGGGATGGATATTCGATATGCATTTGCTGTACGGCCTTCTATCGCCGGGTGTGACCGCGACGCTGAAGAAAGCTCAAATTGCGTATCACATCAGCAATGCAGCCGCGTTGATGTGCCATATTTACGGAGCGATGGCGACGGTACGCCTGCCGAAAGCATTCTTCGAAGAACTAAAGCCTGCTTTGAAAACATACTGCTTTCATTGCTTGTATCCTGTAAAATTGACAGTTGATTAAACTTATTTTAGGTGAGAATTTTTTTAACCAAACTACTGTGCAAGAAATACAGAGTACACTTTTAGCTACCGAGCCGGGTGTATAAAAAACCCCGGCCTGATCCAGTCTTTCGTTTACACTTTAGTATTTGCAGTGTTCGTACATTTCACAATCATTCTTCATTCTCTTTCACAAATAATTTCTGTATAGAACAGCAGCATTACTTAAATAAAATGTCCGCATTTCCTGCAGTCAATAGTCATACGTGCCACTGTCACAGCGTCAATCGTCTATGTTAAAGCATTCAAATGGTTTATACTGCCATTAAACCCTTAACAATCTGCACTGCATTTTAAGTAACAATTACGTATTGTAAATCACTTATAGGAATACCATAAACTAGATACCATTTCGTCAGATCAAAAAGCCGAATTCATAAACTGAACGCCTCCAGCCAATAATCTCAGGAAAAGTCCCGATATGGGTCATGATCTGTTTCAGCATCATGATATAGGGTAATGCACAATTAAATGCTTCACCAGGCAAATAAAAACAGCTTTCAGGCACCAAACAACGGCACATAGCTACCGGGATATTTTATACAAAACAATCACCAAATGTTTAATTCACTTAGGAAAGGAACGTCTTGACTGTGCCACGAATTCCCCGTCGACAGAGGCTACAAGTCCTCAGAGAAGGTGCGCATTCACTGCAACTGATTAAGTGGCCACATGGCAAAAATACTGTCGATACTTCTCTGTCCAAGCAGATCTTACAACGTCGCTGCTGCTTTAGAATACGATTTTCTTCGGTAAGTTTCTCTACGGAAGCTGGAAAATACGAAAACGGGTGTTGTATCGCTTTCCAGACATCAAGTCATAAATAACCCATTCTCTTACCATCCTTCTCGGCGTCTCGACTTAATGAACGCAGTTTGGCAAATAAACCGCTCACTGGCCGGGGGATTTTGCCTTCGGGTCTGTAATAAGCCAATTATGAAACTTGGTTTCACAAAACACTGTTCAGACTGTCAGGCAACTTAACCATGTACCGTCTGTTCTTGTTTTCGACTTCCAAAACACCGTTAATCAATTCCTCAACGTTGTGCACTTGTGCATCGTGATTACGGGCGTGCCGGTCGCGGAGGGCCTGCTCCACGGAAGGCTGCGCGAATCCCATTTCCAGTGCTCGCTGCACGATACTTTCCTCATCGGTTACCGGCGTCGTGGGTATGGATTCAACTCTAGGGTCTGTTGAAAAAATAGATTTATCCAACGAAAACAATCCTATAAGACAGTTAACGACAATCTTAAAACGCTCTGTAACTTACTCTTACATAAATAATTTGAAAGACTTTTTAAAAATTAATTTAAAGAGATATTATATCGTTGCTCGCTCTTGTTGCTTGCTCGCGAAAGGAAATAAATTTTCAAAGATTTTCACGGTATTTGCTTTTTATTAGCAAAGTTTTGACCATGCGAGCATCGCTCATAGAAAATAAAATGAGATAAAGAACTTGTCTCAAAACAAACACATACAAGAGAAAGAGGGCTTTGTGTTTAGCTTTTTTTGTTTTCTTGAGACTAAGACAGTTTATGGCAGTTACAATTACAGTACAGATCCGTTTTGGGGATCACTGCAATTTGTGCGCAAGGATTTACGATGCAGCGTGAAAAAAAGACAAACTGTTCTAACGACACGATGGCGACGCGACCGCCCTGCTAACAAATGTTGGCTAACTTGTAAGTAAAAGGTTGTAGACTTGCTGCCGGCTAGCTTATAATGACATTCAAAATTGCTTCGCTTTCACATTAATCATTTCCAACTTTGTAGTATAATATCAAGTACGAAATTTTGTTTACACCAGTAGATTTGGAAAACCTGATATAAAAACCAATGTTAAACAAATAATAAAAACTGAATGTCTCATTCGGATTTAATAATGAGCTAACCCGATTCATAGAAGCAATGGCACTGGGTTACAATTTTCAATATCAGCGACGCAGAACTACTTCAAAAATTGGAACGACATCCTGTTTTATTTTATTTTCGCTAGCTTACCCGGTAAATTCTCGCCCATGGAAGCCTGAATTTTCTCCACAAAATCGACACCTTTGATTTCCAGAAGATAAGGACATTTTGGGAACCATTTTGCGTGCTCTTGCCATGCTTCGTCCTGAGGATCCCAACAGCGCAAACCGCCGTCGCAAAAAAAACAACGAACGTTATCATTCACGCCTACAAACAAAAGAAAGGAGTTATTTTTAAATAAGCGAAAAAATTAAACTGGCTTGGCCCCGCAACAAATCCAACCGGCAACAACAAAAAATACACGAAGTAAGGCCATAAAGTGTAAACCGGCAACAACAAAAAATACACGAAGTAAGGCCTACAACTGTTTAATCACCAATTTATTCAAACAACTATCGCATATGAACCATTGGAACATTTGTTTTAGAATTTTTCATTATTGCCGATAAATGTATGTCTAACCGGTATAAAAGAAGCCAGCGTATGATAAGTGCTCCGGAGTTTGTATGCGATTGGGAGGCCAGTTCTTGAATGTCGCTAATCTGGCTTGATAATCACTCAGGTATGGTGAAATGGGAAACTTCAGTGGCACGGCATTCGATGCAGCAGCGAACAATCCACAAACATCCTGACCATGACCGTTCCACGTAGGCGACGACTGCGTTGATGAGTATTCACTACTATATCCCTTCTTCAAAAAGCTGCACCATGGAAATGTTTGTGATGCTCCGTGAAGGGATTATCCCCTAACTGCCACATGCCTAGTATGCCACCGCAGAAAGCGCATTTCACACGATCCTGATATCCGGTAAAGAAAAACCCGGCTGTAGAGAGATCCGGAAGGAGAAATAAAGGAGATCGGCCATTTAGCAAACGAAACGCGGCGCTGATCCTCGAGCCGCATGTCTCGGCCATCCATCATAGCATCTGGTATGTCGTTATTCAAGCCTCCACTAAACACTGACGAGCGCCGGTGTAGACTACGGTAGGCGCTATCGGCAGTATTGTAACGACTCCGGTGAATGTCATCACGGGATCCTGACTGGTAAATTGAAGAACACGGTGTCGTTGGCCGGCTGACACTGCGATCAAAGCCGCTATCCATGGATTCCAAGAGCTGCAAATGCAGCTTGGATTCCAAACCAGATTTATAATAGGGAACATTGCGGGATGCGCCACGAACGAAACCACAATCGGGGAATGCCTTCCGATGCCGCTTCATTACGTCCTGCCAAACCACCCCCAAAACAGGATGAAATAACAGAACAGACATTTCAAAAACTCTCTTAACCCAAAACTATTCATGTAGTTAAAACTGACAGAGTAACAGTAGCATACAAATAAACCATTCATAAAACTTATCGTAATGACGTAGCACCAAAATCTTCATGTAAAATTTACTTTTTTTAACGGCATTACACTTACATCGCCAAGATTCCAACTGTCCAAGACGTTATCGCAAGCGAAACATTTCACTTGATCTCCGATTCCAGAATAAAAGAATCCTGCTCTGGCCAAGCGTTCAGCTGAGACGGGGGCCACAGTGGGCCACCGAACGAACGTCATCAAACGGTCTTCCTCTTTGTTCATATCTCTTTGATTGGTTTGTGTGTCCACCACGGCAACCGGAGTCGCTGCTCCAGCTGAGTCTGGCTCTTCGGGCACCGTCGCTATGGAAGCCATAATGCGCTGCCGACAAGAATCAAGAATCGTTCGGATCGCCGGCGAAATATATTCTGGCCATGCCACGGATGTTGGTGGACAGTCCAGCATTGAGATATTCGGCAAAAAACAGAAAAAATGCCTAAAACGACATTAATATGTAAAAAAACGGCAAATAAACAGGTTCACGCTCGGACAAACGAGTTTCGTACGAAGAAAATCAGCCGATTTGATAATTACGACTTTTGCTGACTGCTTTTCAGTCGATTTACTAGAAAATGCTCTCGGGCAGTAAAACAGCAACCAGTAATTCCTGTCGAAATGCCTTCGGGTCATGAACGCGCTACTCGGAAAATGGCGAAAGCATGCACCAAACCGAAACGCTAAAACTACTGTAAATTTCATGAAAATAAACTTGAATACGGAAACGACAAACGTCGAAAAACAGCATTTCCGCATGCTTCAAAAACATTATTGCTTGTACACAACCCGATGCTCACTGGCGCATCACATCCCGCTTACGTACATTTACGTAAGCGGTGTGGTACATTTTGACATAGTGCTTTCAACTTTAACGGACATTAGAAAACCCATAAAGTAAAAATGACCTGCGTGCATGCAGTTCAGTGTTATTAAATTTTGTTATTTTTCATTTTGAAGCTGACCAGAGAAAATATTACACAGTCAAGGTCATAGTCATTTTTATCAAACGGGAAGGCAACAGACGACCAACACAGTTTTGACTTAAGAAAATATGTAACATGAATCGCAAAAAAATGATATAGATATGTCTCATACAAAGCTCGAAGTTTATGATGAGATGAGTTCAAAATGTATTCGGAACTACCATTAAAATTCTGGAACTGACGATTTTGAGCCGGAAACGAAACTTAATCAGTATGTCCAGACCAAAGATGTTATGTAACTTGCCCTAGTAAAACATGTACAAAACTTAAAGTCATAACCTGAAGTCGCAACAAAATTATACACTTCAGTTACTACAGAGCTTGCATAATACATAATATTCTATAAGTATATAATATATTAGTAGCTAACATCCACTTCGCAGTAGGATCAAATCAGCCAGCAATACCTCGTACTGATAGTTTATCAAATTAGCCTGAAAATCACTGAAATTCAGTATAAAAACATCCCTATCATAATTGTTAGCAACCATCGTAATGATAAAAGGCAAATTTGCGTAAGTGTAGGCGAAACTAGCAATCAAGAGTGAATCTCATTAAAAAACCGATTTACCAATTACGTACGACTCGTACAGTATTTGAAAAGCTGCATCACATCAATACTTTGAGCAAAAATAATCATGAATGTTTAACTTGAATTATATTCTAAAGCCAATTAGAGCACCCACCTAATGGCATTGTATTCCTTCCGGTGACGATTCTGGATTACCAGGGCATTGCCGACTGCCAGTGCTGCAACTACCTCCTAAAATGCAAATCTGTAACAAACAAAATCATGAAAACTTCATACAATCTGTTAAAAGTTTGACACAAAATTCATTGACGTTGCGGATGCGGGAAACATTCATGATCGCTCTAACAGGTTGCTCCGGCTCGAAGCTCATGAGTCATGGGAAAACGAGAAGTGAACAGAAATGGTTAACTGCACCTACTGGCTACTGCGTTAGTATATTAAATCTGTGATTTGACTATTTCTATCGATTTTTGTCTTTTAAAATAGCATTTCATTATCAGTCACTGATAACAGCGCACATTAAGAGTGTACTGTGACAGAAAAAAGTTCAAAATAGCTGGGAATTAACAGTAAAAAAAACCTGAGAGGATGCACCTATGAAGGGTGCTGTACTGTAGTCAGTGTAGTGGTGGTGTTGTGCAAAGTATACAGTATACACCAGACACCACCCTCCATTGCACAGCAATAAAAATATGATAACTAAGTTACAAATTAATATCAGTTTTTTATTCGACACCTACATCTCTGAGCAGTGCTTTTTCAAGTTGCCTCCACAAATATCGAAGAAAATAATTACTATAATATAAGCACTAGATCCACATGAAAGAAATTTTCTATTACCCGTATATGGTCGCAGGAAACGGTCAGAAAATCCTGGCTAAACCGCAACGTTTCAAGGATCTGAATCTATGACATTTTCCCGAAATATTCTGGAACAGCAAAGGAACAAATCCAAATGTTGCAGCTGATAGAATAATAAATTGTCTTAATTAAATAAACACGATTATACGTATTCCACTTACTCAATAATCACAAAGTCGCCAACACAGCTTGAGTTACGGCATCCTCGAACCAAATCAGCACGTAAGTAGTGTTTTTTTGGACTGTTTCAAACCAAATTCATGCAGGATAAAACAGATTTAAAAAAGCGGAGGGAAGGCATCCAAAGTTTAGAACGAAATAAAAGCAAGCAAAATTGGCAAACTACCGTTTAATCAAAGCTTTGCTTGGCTAAAATTGTAAAAAAGCTAAAATTATAAAAAAGTACAGTACTGTACTTACAAACCAACCGCGATGACGTAATAGAAGTTGGCAAAAGTCGACCGCAGTCTCATTGTAGGTTGCCATTACGACGCAAGCGCAGCTGATTTTTACTGCTTGTAGAAATACTTGCTGAATAGTCCAGTGTGCCATTGCATTTGAAACTTTGAAAAAAAATTCTAGTCGCTAGTGACTGCAGTGTAGTTGCAGAACGAAAGGATACTGTTAGTGAATTTTTATGTTAGTGAATGACTTTGTTAACAATCAAACGGTAGCAAATGATAGCTTTGGTTGATTTGAAGTTGTTTCTGATACCCTATACATCTAGACTCTAGAGTCTATGGACCGCGAGCGGCGAACTGAGTGATTACTGCACTTGCTCGTGCTGCGTTTTGATGGTAAGGCGAAAATCTCGGGAAACTGTGGCTTGTTTTATCCTGTATGGATAAGGCTATGAAAAATAAATATTTAAAAATTCCTCAGGTTCTGGGATTTCTGTTTTAATTGGGCCTGTGGAATGGCGAAAATCGCCACTACCTTGTGGACGCACAAGAAAAAAGCCGCTGTACTGTTTGGAGCTATCGCGTGGGGGACAAATTATGGCTTGGAAAAACGAAGGTACAGTCGCCTGAGTTGCTTGGAGTTCAGTCGCAAAAAATGCCTATTCAAGTAATTAACTACCCAGTTGAATGACTAACTACTCCACAAGTTTCGAGTCCAGTAAAAATTTTTAATCAAAAACATATCCAACCATAAGGCTCTATACACTCCATACTCTTCCGATAGGCTACTGAATCTACTCTACATGCGTTCTGCGAAAATGCCTTTCAATTTCTAATTATAAAATGCTGTTGGTTTTGCAGGATTCATGAAATTATGCGAAGCTTATGTTTGGAAGCAAAGGTTTGCAGTACCTGAATACCTCATGGATCATGGAAACTACATATGATCTACTTTAACTGTATCGTATACTTGTAAGGCTTTGCCGTAATCGGTAATCAGTGACCGAAATATTGACAAAGAATGCGTGCATTTTATTTTTTGCCTTATGTTGTTAATTTGAGTAGTGTGTTGAAGGTTTTCTTAGGTGCATTTTAGAGTTTTTAATTTTACTATTTTCAGTTATTGTTCACTACCGGCATTGCCAATAGTTTTATTGCAGAATCAAATTTTATTTTTCTTATGTTAGAAGTTTATTTCATATTATACAGATCCGGATTTATTCTGAAGGTTGTTGTGTTTCTTTCAGCAATTTGGTGATCGGCCGATTCCCATCGGTCAACAAGTGCGGAAGGCAGTTGTAATTTTGAATTATGGTTCACACAAAAGTAAAGCCAGGAAGCTGTATGAAAATTATGCAGCACCCTTGCTCAATTTGGCTGGAATACAAACCACGATTTATGCCACGGATGACACGACTAAACTGCGTGAATATCTGGAACACATTGAACAAACGGATGCGGTGATTTTCGCAGGTGGTGACGATACTGTTTTTGAATGCATCCAAGCTTATTTCAAACTCGACAAGCCGGGACTATCAAGTACACCGGTGGGAATACTGCCGCTCGGATATTCCAATGCTGTTTACAATGCCTTGAGGCCTGAGAAACTGGAAGATGTACTGTAAGGAAACTTGCGCAAAGTACAGCCACAAATTTTTTTTGTTAAAGTTACGCAGATTCTAGTGTCAAGTATGTGGATTAATTGGAATGTTTTAGCTAAGCAAACATCGGTACAGGCCCTTTCTCGTTATTTGACATCTGTCTGGATTCGATCTTTCAGAAAAATTGCTCAAGCCGCTATGGCAGCCGCAAAAGGGGCATGCGCCGCCAGTGATGTGCTCGAAATAAAGGTGTGATTTTAAATTATCACTTAATAGGTAACGGTCCTGTCAGACAATAAAAAGCCAGGGCGAGTGCAACTGTATTAAAAATTGAATAACATAGTAATAAATTGAATATTACATAATACGAAAATGAAACTATGAACTAACTATGAATGTATTGAATCGTTAAAATCGCGTGTTATATTGCTTACATGGACGTTGTTTTGCAGAATGGTGACAATGCCGAAAAGGACTATGCAATTGTTGGACTTCAATGGGGAAGCTTAAGAGATGTGGAAACCGTTGTTCCAAAGTATGTAAATGTTCCGCTGACGGCTGACACAGGACAAAGCTTCGATTTTATTGCGAAGTCCTTTTGCATAAGATTTTTAGCAATTACCATACTTTGTATTTCATTTTAAGAAACTGGCGATATTTCTGTAATTTAGGTACTGGTATCTTGGTCCGTTTGCACCGCTTTTTACCTACTGCTTAGCGACTGTGAAGGTAAAATCCTCAATTGTCATTTTGTTTACTCTAGATAGATGACTAAAGTTTCGGGAAATTGTTTTTAGCGTTCGCTTACGTCAATTTCGACCGTGCTGCAGTATGTTAATGTGTGTCCCGGCTGCTCGAAGTGCGAGCAATTGGTTGTGACCACCACTACCATTACGAATGCTCCCCGAACTTGGTGGCAGAATATCATTTCTCGTAGGAAGCACGGTACGGAGAATGAACTTGCGCACTTTGCCTCATTGTTCAACGGGAAACAGTTGTATTTTTATTGCAATTTACCCCGTGCTGTTGCCGTTTTGGTAGCGTTACTGGTGGTACACGAAGTGATCGCTAACGAGAAGTAACTGTGGTTTTTGTGTCTAGATTTAGCGGTTCCACACAGCACACTCCCACAAAAATTTTCTGACGAAGTTAACGAAGACTGTGGGATCATCCACGAAGATTCCTTAGTCACGGAGGATTTGCATATTTTGACACGGAATTGCACAGTGCCTGTACATTTACATGTACGTGCTGCACACGTTCTTCAATATTTAAAGATATTTTCCCATTCTGAATTGTAGAGTGATGAAAGGTATTTGTACTTAACGTTTCGGCGGCCTGATATTGACACTTTATGGAGCAAGTCCAAATTACGGTAATCTTTGATAAACTGCGCAAGACACTGTGGTGCCTTATTAGACAACGCAAAACGGTATTCAAAGGCAACAGCAGTAATACAGTAAATTAAGTTGCACTCCGTAGCAGCAGAACGTTTTAGTCATTTTTTCTTCACTATCTTTGATGATCGATTCTCACAAATTGTTGCAGGAGTCGGTTTCTAAACGAAGTGAACAAACTGGGAGATGTTGAGCATTACGCTAAACGAACTCTTCAAGAGGTCCGAATTCTGCCAAAGGAAAATGATTTAGTAAGTATTCAGGTCGGCTTTCTACAGCAGATAACACTAAACACATATTAGCTGTGTTGCATGTTTTCGAGTTTCGTTACGTGCAGCCCATAAAATGAAGTATGCTTTTAAAAAGTGCCAGTGAAACTGTGCTTGCTTTACAAACTTTTCCGGCCCAAAGTGCAGAACCCTGACCGAGTTTCAGTGAAGGGGCCACCGATCACTAATATGCATTCAGTTCAGTTGCCATAATTCCAGCAATCTTTTTTTCGAAACTTATGATGGCGACAATGCCTTGCAATCGTCATCCTGATTCCTGCAGGTACAACATCCTAAAATGGAAATCGACGGCCGTGTTGTTGAGATCAAAGGTCCCCTGCACGTGAAATTACATCCGAAGAAGTTGTTTCTTTTTAGTCCGGAGGTCGGCTAAAGTTCTCCCGCTCGAGGACCAGACATAAGGTTTCTTTGCTTCTTTGCTTTCTGTTTATTTTTTACTTGTTTTTCCTTTTCTTTCTGAAGAAGTCGTTGCGTTTCTCTTTCCTAGCAGTAATTAAAATAACAAATGAATTAGTTCAACGATTAGTTATGTAACCAGCTGGAAAAATTGAATAAATGGAAGCTGGTTAGATGTGCAAAGCCCAGTTTGAACTTTTTTCCTTGACTGTGATATACTTCCCGTGTGACAGACAGTTACCATACCTGCATTTTATATGATTCAGTAAACACGTTCACATATCCTTCTTTCCTGGGAATCAAATTCAGCTCTTGTGACATCTATCAGTAAAACCAGAAATTTGAAAATAAAAAAAAACGGACCGATCAATACTTCATAAAAACTGGCAAGCAATTCCAGAAATACTTACCAAATCTAACGTAAGCAAATCTATTTCATCAAGGAAACCGGTAGTGTTGGCGTAGCCAACTGCCCACTGCACAGTGTCCCGTGCATTTTTTTCTTTCTTTAGTACTTTATGCACAGCGTCCGGAATTCGCAGGACAGCGTCACCCAAAAATAAGATATTTTCCAGAACCAAAGAAACACCTAAATCAATGCAAAAAATTAACATTAAACCCGTAGCATGCAATCTCCAGTGAATGATTCAAACGTCGGCTCACTGTCTCGATCCTGCTGCGACAGCATATCATATTGGGATGCTTCCAAATTTTTCGGCACCCGAGATTTCGAAATTTCCAGAATCTTCAGAAAAAAACATAAAACGTTGCAACATCGTAAATCAGATTCTGATCGCGAATTCCGAGTCTTCCGACCTCTAGAATCTTTTTCACCATTGGCTCGACCATCTTGATTTGCTTTTTCAGGTCGGACAGTTCTGATAATTTTGTCACGGCTTGTCGTTGCTCGATCCGCTTTACACGCAAAACCTGACGATCTACGGTACACCAATGGAAATATTAAAGCTATCAAAAACCATAACGGGAAAATTTTCCCAATTCTTTGTTCTTGCGAATACCGAGTCTTTATTCCTTACATAAGAAAATACCATTTGTTACCGTAGGCCTCTGCGCAATGTCGCTGGCATCAGTGTCTTTCCCAAAATCTTCGTGAACAACAATCATCAGCAGCATTACAGAAAAACTGAAACTTATCGCATCTATACCCATAGCTGGAGTACAATAGGTTGCGAATAAGACTACTCTAGTCAATATGAAGTGCAGAACCAGTGCCAACAAATGTTGTCAATTTTATAGGTGCTCAGTTACTGCCCGAAACAAAAATTTATTAAGTTGAAATTTTTTTATAATTTTTTTAATAACAAGCCAGCTGATCGCTATAATTATCATTTACATGTTGTCACTTGAGTGGCGAGGCAGAAAAACACGTAACCGCCTCTTATGTGTTTTGGTTGCCGTTGACCACATCTATATAGCGCGTTCGCCCGTAACAGCTGACTACAGGTTATTATTAAATATTACAGTTTTTTAAGGACAAGAAAGTTGGAAAGACTAAGGCTCTCAAAGCAATCACGAAAATTATCATCGCGAAAAATATTTTCTTTGTATCTAGCATTGTTGAACTGTCTTTTCTGGAGTTCTGGAACCTAGCACCATTATTATGTCAGGTGCTTATGATAATGTTCGCGTAGGCAAGCTCAAACTGAAAGGAGCTGGCAAATTTGGCACTTCTGGGTAAAGACTTCGTGTACGAAGTATTTGACAGGTTATTAACAAGGATTAAGATCTTGCAGATTTGTTTGCAAATGTAGCACTGCTGGATTAGAAACGTGTTTTATCCTTAAATGAAAACCATAAAAATTATTGACCGCACATTTGTTATTTGCTCAGGTCTGATGCCAGAGAAAGGCAAAAGAAAAGGAAGAAAGCGACTGTTGTGGTGGATGAAGATGCGATTAGACACGGTGGATGGTGGAAAGTGGAAGAGTTTTCTCAGATAACTGGGCCTGTGGCTATCGAACTATTCCCTTTTTCTTACATTAAGGCACTTGATGACGGTAGTTTCACTCTTGGAGCACCCCATCCGGAAGGTACTGGTGTATAAAGTCATGAGCTGCTTTTATGGGTAATATATGTTTAATGGGCGGTATAACCGTATAAAGTAGGTTCTGTAGACTGTATTCGTATGTATACAGTTTATTTTGATCGGGGAAATTGCTGGGCTTTGTTGATTCAAGTGTTTTTTACTCATACTGTAGCAGCGGATTGATCCAATTTTTTATTTCATAGGAGAAGGACCTAATCCGGAAGAGATTCTCATTGCTGTTAGAGTTTCGGACACAAAAATCGCTCTAAAATCAGGATACGATAAGTACCTTGCTGTATCGGCCAGCGGCAAACTGGTCGGTAAAGCCGAAGCCATTGGATCTCTCGAACAGTGGGAACCTGTTTTCGAAAAAGTAAGGGTGCAAAACCGGTACAAAAAACTGGGATTACTGCGGACGGCCTCGCCATTTGCACACAGGGGTGCGCTTAGGAATACGTATAGGTTCTACTGTCGCTTGCCATCCAGTAAAATAAGTATGAAATAAAATGAATATTTATATAAAAAATAAAGTACGAAATTAACTTGGAGATCGGAGGTAAACTCGTACGGGTTACATTCAGTGAACCAATTGGAGCAATTTAGGCAAATTTACCTACGGTATTTCAAAGTAAAGTATAGTGCTCTTATGACGGAAGTTTGTTAACAGTTTGTTAACAGTTTATTTAATAAAATTTCCCTTTGATATTGCTTCGTTGAGTTTTTCGCGGCAAGGATAGGGGATGAATATTGTGTTTTTGATGTCCCACGTTTCTTTCTTCTTGTGTTTTGTTTATTCTGGTCTTAACTCTGGTTTGCTGCCATAATGCGAACGTTCTCGAAAGCAACTGTGGTAAAGTGTGCACGATTGCAAATTGGAGGGTTGCTGTTTATAGATTAAAATGTGGAAGGTGCTTTTTCAAGTTTGTTTTGTTGTGCAGGGAGAAATGGCCCTCGCGGCCAGTAATCAGCGGTTTCTTACATGCAAAAACGAAACGGAAATCATGGCTTCAAGCGACACGGTAGGCATGGACGAGAAAGTGAAGGTAAGAGTTTTTTTCCGGTCTCACATTGAAACTTTCTCTTTTTAAGTATAAATTTCTTAGCTTTGTTTAAGCACTACTAGTCACATTCTTATGTCCACACTTCACAGATTCGATCAAACGCACAAAGAAGTGAAAAAACTACGGATGAAGAGGACACCGATGCATCGCAAGTGGAACTGCATTATGTGTACGCCATAAACGCTCGCGATTCGCAAAGTGAACACTGAACAGCGTAATTTAACAACATCAAATAATTATTTGTAGAAAGCAGTTCCAGTGTTTTCAAGACAAGAAAATAAAACTGAATCCAGGAGCGGTGGCTGACCTTGAAACTGCCAAGAAAGAAGGAAACGTGCACGAAACTATGTTGGATAGGAGAGAAAAAATGAAATCTGATCGCATGTGTAAATGAGCAATCTATTTTGTTAGGACTCATGATATTGTAGTTTCAGCGATAGAAATGGTCAGGAAAGCACTATCATTTGACATTTTGCTATTGATTTACATGACACTGGGAACGAGACGGATTCACCTTCAAGGTTTTTTATTAATCAAATCCAGAATACTGTTCAGCTCGTCTTTTTGACTCTGAAACTTCAGCTGTTCTCGCCGCCACGCTTCGATGCTTCTTTTGTATAAGCCCAGATTAAGTTTGGGTAAAAGGAAACGGCCAAATTCATTCTTTTTCATCGTCGATTCGACGGATATTAATACATCAGCAACAGATTCGCGGCACTTCATATCTCCCGTTTTCCATATGACATCGAAAACGCGACTTCCATGCTTGTCCAAAACCAGCTTCGGTATAATACTCACGAGCTTCTTCAAAAAAGGCTGAGAAAATCCCTTACGATTGTTCTGAGTTTGGATTACAGTTTCCTGTGAAAGAATGTGAACACGAAAATTAACGTAAATCGATATGAAGTACCAACCACATTCAGTCTGCCCATAATATTATTCGTTCAGATTCAAAAACTTACTATTGTGTGACTTCCACAGGCATTACAGCACAGCTGCAACAATAACTGAACATCCATTTTCAGAAATCCTTGGGTTATCAACGACGGATCCTTAAATGAACATAAAGCCTGTAATATCTGCGATCCCGGCATACTCGTGTTCTCAATCGTGCTCTGTTAAAACAAAAACCATGTAAATCATGAACACGTTAGAACGAGAAAGGATCTGTTTATCAAAAAACGGTTTAAGGGCCACGTTTTCTCACCTCAATGTGTTCTCTAATATTCTTCGGATAAAGCGCTCCAGTACAAACGAGCACAGCGGCAGTTTTTTCATGAACTGCCCACGAAGCCGAAATCGACGAGGAATAAAACGAATTCAGGGCTTTACTAAATACGTCCTGACACTGGTACCATTGTTTTTCATCCTCAGAACTTCGGCAAAGTCGCTGTTTGGTAGCAGAATTGGACAAAATCTGAGCCAGTTTTACCAGTAACATCCCATGTCCGCTTTCTAAAATCCCCGCACAATTAGCCGAGACTGCTTTACACATTTCACAGAGAAGCGCGACAGAAGAACAACTCATAACCATTCGGATAATAGTATGGTGGGCGTAATGGTCACGCACTAGTCTATCCAGTACTTCCTGTCCAGCTGAGATTTTTCCAACCAGATTTTCAAAGGCGATCCTTCCTAAAGCTGCAATTACTAGCTCGGCGATCCGTGAGCCGTACTTGTCCAAAGAAATCTCGTCAAAAATGGAAACGAATTTTCCTAATAAATCATCAAGATTGCGTTCCACGTCTTTTGCATCTTCTCGACATAACAGCGACACCGGGATGCTAACGAAAAGCAATGCCTAGAACAAGACAAGAGCAAATAAAAACTACTCAAAAATCATCTGCGAAGTAATTCACTCAACAGACTGTATAGAACAACAATTAGAGACTACAGAAATCCAAACGCAGACAGGCTGAATTCAAATAACGGGCCTAACCGCCAACATTAGAACCACCACATCATAAAACTCCTTCCGTGCTTTAAATGTTCGGAAATTCGTTTTGCACGGACACCATTTGACAACAAATAGTGAAATTCCGAAAACTGTACGCAAAGCAAACTGAAATACTCAGACCTAATACACTACCAATTGCTCCTCAATATTACGAACATAAATGAAAAAGAACCATACTCGGATACATTAAATTACTTACTATACCTGGACGATCACTGTCCCGATCGAAGATGTGCAGATTTGTGGCAAACATGCACTATCCATTGTCAAAAATTCCATTATTCCATCCCAGGCCAGCAGCAAATTCGTTTTATCCAGAGCATGCTCTCGCTCTTTTAGAAACTCGGAAAGTTGTGCACTGTATTGTTTATCGTTTCCCGCATAAGATATTGTTACCGGCTCCAAAACCAAATCATCCGCATTGTCCGTCTGCGATACAAAATCGTACAAAATCCCGTCATCGGATATTCTAGCACGTAATATTCCTGCTAATCTTAGCAACATTTTCTCAGCGATATGTGCAGCATAAGTGCTTTGCAAAAATATTTCCGGATTGTTGAGCAGAGCCCGGAGAAAGTGTTTCAGCGAACGATTCAGTTGCTTTGTTGGCTTTCCGATTCTCGCAACAGTTTCAAATATGGCTTCCAGAACATGACTTGAACAGCTGTGAGAGCAGAGCTGGCTCAGCAGATGCGGATCGTTTTCAGCATACTTCGATAAGAGCGTCATTAATCGCAGTGCTCCCGAAGCTCCGGTTAACAGCAAAAGATGTTCCAAAATAAAACTCAAAGTCTTATCCCGGGAGAGAGCAATTTCCTTTCCCTCAATTCGATCCCATATAGAGTCCAGAACTTCATCTAATGACTGAAATTCAAGAATAATTCTGGAAAATATTGAAGCAATCTTACCATCAACAAGTTCGTTTGCGTCACCGTTCGATTTCTTTGCCGACCTAGACACCATCCCTTCCAGATCGACCTACGAAATGAAAGACCCGTACATAAACCGACAAACGATAAACCAAAATCAATCAAGACATATAAAAGAATCAAAACTCTTGCCAACAGACGTATATATACCCTAATACCAGTGATATATTATTTTAATACTAATTTATATTAATTTTGGTATCTATATTGTTTTTATGCAAAAATACATATTTACAGCGCTATGCTATTTAAATTTTTCGCTGCTTGGACTGTTCACCCAGATCGTCAGGCTTAAAATTTACTACTTTACTGGCTCGGAAATTTACTGCATAGTCTGTACTTCCACTTTGTACCTTGATTGCAAGAAAATACAACCGATCTTCACTGGATAGCTCATCTCGAAATGCAATTTTCGCATCCACAGAATCCACCTTCGAAGGGAACTTGCGTTCCGGCATAGCCTGTACCTCAGATTTCCGTTCTAATGTTCCCCGTTGTATACCGGCCCACCCAACATCGGACAATGTGTAGTCAGGTTCCGACTTGATGTGATGATACGAGTCCTGGTTTGTAGAATTGCCCTTCTCGCAGTGAATGGGAAGTTTGGAGGGCCGCTCTTTGGACGAACTTTCTGCATATCGAGAACCATCAGCTTCTGACTTCGACAATCCTGGCGAAAAACTATCGTTCTGGTTCTTGCGCTTCCGCTTCGGCATTTTCCAAAATAATCGGCAATTCGGTATGCGCGGCCTGAAGTATTACTTGTTTACAGCAGCTGATGAATTTAAGGACCTAACAATAACATTGGTCAGGTTATCATCCTGGTTTTGGAATCTGAATAAATTCCATAAATTTTAACGATTTAGGTACTCGCAATAAAATTAAGTACTTAACTAACCAAAGAATTCAGAACGTCAGCAGTACACCACTAGCGAATTTTAGATTTCACAAAACAAGTTACGTCCAGTTCGACGTTCGGGTAGAGGTTGGCGTTACGGGTTGATTTACGTCCGTTCGCGACGTAAGGCGCCGTAAGCCAACGTCGTTGGCTGACGCGTAAAAACTGTCTGCCTTACGTGGATCTGTGCAACGGCTCAGCCATATGTTAGAGCGACAAGCCAGCGTATGCTGCCTGTGGATCTTTTTTGTGTGCTCTAACCGCCTCCCCGAGAGCAGGTTGGTCACGCTCTCGGCACTCTCGATTCGATTTATTTTTCAGCTGTACGTCACTGCAAGTGTGCATCCGTACAAGCATTTTAAACGCCGTTTTGTCTGCTAACGTACTGTTTATCTGACGCGGTAGTTTCTAGTGAACGGAGCCTAAACCATGTGAAATCTAAAATTCCCTACTATATACCTATTCATGTCAAAATAGTTCGCTGTTTGTCGTTATTAGAAGTTTCGCAAAATTCAAAAACGATCAAACCGGCCGAAAATCTCAAACCGGAAGCGGTAACAGTGTCTCGGTCGGAGCCTCGGGGGAGAAGTTACGTGCAGTCAGATGCATATTATAGGGGTAAATATTGTCAGGTTCACTCCTTACGGGAGTTATTATGTAGCACATTTATTCCCTGCATGTTTTCCTATTGGCCGGCGTAGCCGCCGGAGCTGTTACGTAATCACTCGCTATTATTCACGGCCTATAAAAGCCGGGCATTCTCTGTTATGGAGTGAGTGGCATTTTCTGATCTTTTGCTTTTGTTAATAAATTTGATCTGGAAAGTGCGGCTCTTTCGTTTCGTGTATTAGCAGCAAGTAGTTTTGCTGGTCGTAAGCTTCCTAGGCTAGGAAGTAGCCATTCTTCCCCCCTAGTAGAGCGGCACTGGCAGCTCCCTCCCACTAGGAAGTAGCCAAGCTTCCCCTCGGACAGAGTGAGAGTGTTGCACAGCTTGTGACAAGTGGCGCTCCTTGAAAGAACTTCCACCTATTGTTTTACCGGTACAACGGCAGTGTTCATCGGACATCCAGCGACATTCTGCCGTCGTGTGAGTACCCTGATTACCATCCAAGCCTATCTGGATGCACCAGCCAAGCGACCCTGTGGAACATCAGCAGCCGCTAACTAACCGTCAGAAAGCCGAAGTTGCCAGACGGAGGAACAACCGTGCTGTGTATCCATTGCCACCTGAATATTTTCACCCACCCGAGGTGGTAAGTCAACCTGAACGTTCTTCCGACTGCTCGGAATCCTTAAATTCACTTCCTTCGGAAGTTTTTAATTTAATATCAGAAGACGACTCTGATACTCTCGCCGACGCCATGTCGAACGGTAGCGATAATAACGTCGATAATGTGGTACCAGCTTCTGGCGATAGCCAGGATGCTCAATCAAGGAACGATCCTATATTAAAACTGGTCGATGAACTGCAAAAGCAGAGACGTGATAGTAACAGGACTGAATGTAAAACCGCTGAAAAGCTGGATCTCCTTAACCAGGCCAACTGGAAAACTAGCGACCGGTTAGATCATTTTATTAGCGGCAATGTGGAGACTAACCGGAAACTGGACAGAATTATCGATGCGCTCGAGTTACTTGCCACCCGGCGAGACTCCTCGTTGTCAGAAAATCGCGGCCGACACCGGGAAGATCGTGGAGGTTTCCAGCGGGAACCAGAGCAAAATCGAACCCGCTCGCCGGCAGATCTGCGCACGGCTCGCAATCCCTTCTGCTCAGCAAGCAGTGATGACGTAGACGCGCGCGAAACGGTAGTATACTCGTATGATCGAGACAATGTGTTACGTGGTAATATTGGTTCGAATTTTACTGCCGCACAGCAGAAGAGCCAATCACGTCAGCCCGCTGTTTCTTTTCGCATTAATGCGGACAATAGCAGGCAGTTCAAGCCAGAATCGAATCTGCGCTCTACGCAGTATGATGACGTATATGACTGCTCGTCGCAGTATGGCAAACACCCGTTTGAATTGCCACACGTTGCCCGTATGGATCGGAATAGCAACGCGATGCAGTCTCAGGCAACCGCCCACGAGCGGATGTACCAGCGCACGGGCGCATTACTCGGTCGAACCGAGCATTCGGGTACTCATACTCGTAGTATGCAGTACTGTGCCTCAGTAGGTCAACCGGATCACTCCGGTCGCGGTAACAATTCGGCATTCCTTCCACGCGGAAGCTGTCGTGATGACTCTGACACAGATGTGGATGCTGATGAAAATCGCGACTGTAGTCGACGACCGAGGGAGGATGGACGACGTCAACCGAACGGTGTCCATGTCCGGGCTGCGGCAACTGCAGGACTTGTACCCAACCAAATGGTTGATAATCTATACGGAATACTGCAAACGCAGCCTAAATGTATAACAAAAATCCCTGAATTTAAGGGCGACAAGAATGAGCGAGTGGAAAACTTCATCACTCGCTACGAAGAAGTAGCTTCCATTTACCAATGGACTGACGCCCTGATGGTGGCAGGTCTAGTGTCAGCTCTGAAAAGCAGGGCGGCTGACTTCTATGACCATGTGCGCCGTCAGTATCCAGATAAACTTTCATGGGTACAGTGGAAACTGAGGCTTATGGAGAAGTTCTATGAGCACGACCGCGAAACTGTGGCAGCACAGACATTGACTTCGCGGTATTACGATCCTAAGAAGGAGTCTATTAAAGACTATTATCAGTCTGTAATGGACTTGATTACTGACAGTGGGTCAGCATTGGCACCGGCGATGCAGGTACATTTCCTGATAAACGGCTTGCGCTGCGTCCCGGACCTGTTCGATCGTGTTGGTGTAAGCCAGCCGCAAACGCCTGCCAGCTTTCTCATCCAGGCACGCAATTGTCAACGTATACTGGCAATGCGCAACAGCGATGCCCAAAACGGGATCAGCGTAGCCGTGCCTGTATTCAACCCTGGCCCCCGCCAGTCTGGTGGCAGACGGAATTCGTTCTCCGAGAGGAGACCTGATGACAGTGAAACCACTGAGATTTCTCAGCATGCGAGCGAAGCGAATAAGCGGCCGAGCGAAGCGAGCAAATCTCCGCCCAGGGCGGCTGCACCGCTTAATGTAACGTGTTTTACTTGCGGCAAGCAAGGCCATTACAGTCCAGATTGTCAGTATTACAGAGCGGATCCAGCTACTCTTCCCCAGGAGGTCAAAGACTTTCAAGCCCAACGCCGTCCCCGAAGATCATCGGATCGGGATAGTGGAAGCGGATCTCGCTCGTCAAGCGCTAACGGTTCAAAAAACACTGGCCGCCCGTAAATGGAGGTCATACGGCCGCGGCACCCGAAATCCCTCCAAAACCACCGGATATTTCCCCACCGGATGTGAACGTTCAAAGCGGAGACACCACTGTACAAGCACAGAGAGGTACCGTGGTAGATGATGGAAACTCACTAAGTGAGAAAACACCCAAGATCATTAAAAGCGTTAAAGTGCCTGTTACCATAAATGGTATCTCTGTCTCTGCTTTGCTTGATACAGCAGCTGACACATCTCTCATTTCGCGAGAGTTCTGTGATGAACACAGCATTAGCTACTGTACATTACCAGTAAATTCTAATAGAGTAGTAATGCGCGGTATTACTGGTAGCTGCAAGTCGCTTTCGTTGTGTACGAGTATATCAGTACATCTTTCGAATTTAAAATCGTCTCACGACGTATTCGTTACAGAAATGAAGAACGAGTTGATACTAGGTTGGGACTTTATATCCCGTAACCCGACTTCCTTGGATATTCTCAAATCTGTAATACTACAGAATGAACTAGAAAGCAACATTTTTAGTTTTGACATTTACTGGAAAACACCACTTAAGTGGACAGATACCGCATAAGCGGCATTCGTACAGCAGGTACAATCTGTACAACATCTCCATAACTCTGGAGTAACGGTAGTACCACCAGTGAGCAACGGCGCATATGCCGCTGTATACTTGCACCAACTACCGGATACGGCAGATGCAGACGTATTAGTAGCTGCATTGCGTACGTTGCCGGTTATCATGTGTACCGATGCTACTGTTATTCCTAACAGTCACACTAATATGCAGTCTGGATATCGCGCGCATAATAATAAGCGCGTTACCTTTGCAGTAGATGAACCAGCGCAAGCTGACGTTAATTTACTCAAAACGGAGTTTGATCTGGATTCTCAAGAGTATACAGATACTGTAACGTCTCGGGAACGAGTTACTATATACAGTACGGAAACCGTACGCTTACCACCGATGAGTGCTGTGGTAGTCGAGTGTAAGCCTCGTACTAAAATTAAGCAGGCTAGAATGGTGGTATTTCCTAACCGGCAAACGCTGGAGCGGAGTAAAACGATAATACCAAACTCGGTAGTAACAGTATCCGATAACCGGACGAGCTTGTTTGTAATGAACCCTTCCAAATATCCGAAGATAATTCGAAAGGGATCACACCTCGGTACAGCCGAGCCGTATGAGGAACTACCCGATCCGATTCAAATGAATGAAACGAATGTACGACAATACTCCGATGAGGAGAACGCTGAATTAGAAGATATCCTTAAAACTATTAATATAAATCCCGAACTCAGCGATGAGCGGCGCAACCGTGTATTGGCTATACTACGCGATAATCGCGATATCTTTCCTACGAAAGACCGGCCGTACGGTTTTACTAACTTTAGTGCGCACTGCATCGATACCGGAGACTCGAAACCGTTTAAATCGACTCCACGTCGTACTTCCTGGCAGGGGCGAAAACTCATTCAGGATGAGGTGCAGAAAATGCTTGACAAGGGCATAATTAGGAAGTCCAACTCCTTGGAGTTCCCTGTGGTGATTGTACATAAACCGGGTAACGGGGTGTTCGATTTTGCATTGATTTTAACATGCTAAATTCTCTAACGAGAAAGAACGTATATCCACTTCCGTTACCAGAGGACCTGCTAGAAGCAGTCGGTAACAGCGAATGGTACACTGGCCTTGACTGTTATTCGGGATTTTGGCAAATCCCGGTCTCCGAGGCGGATCAGCCCAAAACGGCATTCGTCACTCAAGACGGGTTGTACGAATTTTTAAGAATGCCGTTTGGGCTGTGTAACGCCCCGGCGACATTCCAGTTAACAATGGATACCATTCTTGGTGCACTCAAGTGGACAATGTGCTTAGTGTACATCGACGATATCATCGTTTTTGCACTCACATTTGATGAGCATTGTGACCGCCTTCATAGGGTGTTAGCTACTATCCGCGAGGCGGGCCTTACTATTCAACCGGCTAAGTGTACTTTCGCTTACCGCGAAATGAAATTTCTGGGTCATATAATTGACCGAAATGGTATTCGGACAGACCCAGAAAAAATTAGAGCAGTCCAAGATTTTCCTGTTCCCAAAACAGCAACTGACGTTAAATCATTTCTCGGCCTAGCGAGTTATTACCGGAAATTCATTGCCGGTTTTGCACATATAGCTGAACCACTGTATTCCCTAACCAAGAAAGATACTGATGTTAAATCAGCGTGGTCTGAACAACAGGAGCGTAGCTTCCACCGTTTGAAAACGGCGTTAACAACGGCGCCGCTGCTGGCCCGGTTTGATCCGGAAAAAGCGACGGTAATTGAGTGTGATGCGTGTGGCTATGGCATTGGTGCTATACTCTCACAAGAGGGACATATAGTCGCATGTGCAAGCCGGACACTCTCTAAAGAGGAGAAAAATACCCGATAACTGAGCTTGAATGCTTAGCCGTAGTATTTGCAGTATCAAAGTTCCGACATTATGTCGAGTTTACCAGTTTCGTGGTTCGAACAGATCACCAAGCTTTGACCAGCCTTTTGAAGGCGCGTGGTACAAACGCCCGGTGCGTCCGGTGGTCACTAATGCTCAGTGCTCTCGATATGAAAATCGAGTATCGGAAAGCATGCCTTCACGGCAATGTAGACTGCTTAAGCAGGTTTCCGGTAGATCAGTCGTCTGAAAACGAGGAAATTGATTTACCCCAGGAATCGGACAGTCTGCAGTCATTCGCAGTTAATTGCGCATGGTTGTCCGTAATGGCGGCTGAAACCATAGTCCAAAGCGAACCTGCCGACGCAGACACAGAATATCTCCGTCTAGAACAGGAAAAAGATCAGAATATTACTCGTATTATACGGGACATGAAGGACGAAACATCCCCGAACAACAAGTGGTATAACGCCGAATACTGTTTGAAAACAGTGTACTGTACCGATACAGACGATATCTCACGGAAAAAACACCTGTGCTTCGTATGTGCCCTGGGCCATGGGATCTATGGCTAGAAGCATGCACGCTTACGTAAAGCACTATGTCCAGTCGTGTGACCAGTGCCAAGCGCGTAAAGTGCCGCACTCTAAAACTGCAGGCACAATACAGTTTATGCCGGTACCACCTCCGTTTCACACGGTTGCAATTGATATTCTGGGACCGTTCCCAGTGACCGAACGTGGAAATAAGTACATAGTAGTACTTATCGACCATTTAAGCCGCTTTGTTGTAGCTTCCCCTGTGGTAAACGATACCGCTGCCTTAGTGGCAGATTTTCTTGTAGAGAAAGTATTTTTCACGTTTGGGACGCCCATTAAACTGTTGCACGACAGAGGGACCCATTTTCGAAATGAACTAATTCTGAAAATCACCGAACTCTGCGGCATTAAGCAGGTTATGACTACTTCGTATCATCCGCAAGGCAACTCACTATGTGAGCGTCAAATGGCCCCGCTTGCGGAAGGCATTGCAATGTTTACTGCACCGACGCAGAAAGATTGGGATTTATATGTCTCTTCTGTTGTGTTTGCACATAACGCCGCAGCACAAACCACCCACGGATTTTCTCCGTTTTATTTGATTTTCGGCAGACACCCGAACTTTCCGTTCGATACTCTATTTAAAGTGAGAGAAAGTCTGTTATACCACAGTTATCCTGAATATGTGCAAGATCTGCTAACACGGCTATCAGCCGGATATGAAATAGCGAAATCGCGCATTGAACTGCAGCAAAGCAGAGATGCTAATCGGCTAGACGCCCACCGAAAGGTGGTTACTTATAGCCCGGGCGATCTTGTACGGGTACGGCAGCTTACGCGGAAAGTTGGTAAAAATACCAAACTTTCCGAAAAATTTGCTTATCCGTACGAAGTTATTCGCAAAATAAATGATAATGTGTATGAGTTGAAGCGGTTATTTCCCGGTTCTAGGCGCAGCCTAGTGGACAAATATAACGTTGACCGGATACAGCCGTATATACAGCGTCAAGTAGGTGACGAAGCCAATGTAACTGCTTCCGTAACTCCTAAGGAGGAGACAGCTGATAACAGTTGGGAGAACGTTCCGGAAAAAACTCCGGTAAAGTTGCGGCGAAATCCTGTCCGTAAGGCCAGAACAAAGAACGTTTCGTTGAGTGCACAAAAGCCTCGCTTAAAGCGAGTTGGGCACCAATAAAAGCAATGACTTCATTCAACCGTCGTACTGTATACGTACAGGCGTAACTTTTAACATACAGCTGCAATTATGCAGATTATACGCGTTACGTAATACTACCTACGGTAGTACAAGTTCACTGGTTTGACCTGCATTCGGCAGCACCGGCACTGAGGCTGTACGACTGCCAAGACAGCAGCCTGCTTAACACAGCACAGCCTGAACAATGACAATGGCCAGACTGTCAGTCTGATTTTTCATCTCTGGCATTCGCATCTAACTTTAAATTTTAAAGTGACGTGTGCAAACGCACATTTCACCGTTTTTCCCGCACGGTTTATACTGTCTCCATCAACATGGATCCTCAAGTGTACCCGTGTGCCGCCTGTCGTTTCCAGATGAACCAGGCTTACCGAAATACTGGACAGTTCCAGATTATTCCCTGCATTCATGCAGATTTCGACGATGTCTTCTTGGCGGACATGGGGGTCGTCCCCGACGAAGACCTGCGTCGGGCAGTTGTCGCTGCTGGCTCCGGAATCAAATCCGGATATGACCGGCTTAAGGCCTGGCTCACGAAGCCTGACGAAGTCAGAACCTTCTTGGAGGACGTGGGCAAGCGCTTTCCTGATCTGGTCGATCCACCAGGGATGGCAGATTACCCTCCATATCTGGAGTCCGAAGCCTCCGACGAGGAGCAGCTGGCCAACGAGGCACCGCTACCTCCATGTATGGAGAATTCTCCAGCTGTGGAGGCTGCACAGAATCCACTGAAACAGCAGGACCTGCACGGCCGCGTTATGCGGGTTGCCGAAGATGGCACATATCGCCGGCCATATGCTGGATTGTACTCCGAACAGGAGATGCGCGACCTTTTGCAGCGAATCGACTTCGTCAACTCTCCTAAACATGGAGCTATACTCCCAACCGTCGTCCAATGGTACATTGGCCCATGTACGTGGATGGAGGCATCTATGGAGGGCTATCCGTTTAAACTGCGGCTGCAGGAACAGCAAGACGGCTCGACCTTACCGCCGCAACGAGCAGCGGATTCCACCATTGGCAACTGGGTAACGGCACACATTGCCTTAATGGACCCGGATCAAGTCAAACGGCGCCAGGCTTACGAATGCTTCGCCAAGCGCATCGTGCATGTGGCTCGCAACACGGCGAACAGCCCAATGGTACAGCTGGCACTCAAATTGCCTATTCCACCAGGCACCAGATCGATCCACAGCATCCTACAGCGTCACCACATTCCAGTGGAAAACAACATGCCTGCGTGGCCCACACGGGATATCTTGGTTGCCGACTGGAGCATCCCCGATAAGAAGCACTGGACGGTGCTGAACGAATGCGCTGCCTGCCCTGTCTGCATCCCGCAGTATGACTCTAGCAAAGAGATCAAACACTGGGCGAGGTGGGAAGGATTGTCGGCTGAAGAAGCGGAAAAGCTAGCGGCCGAACTGGACCTCCAACCGGGAGACGAACGAGAAGATGAGACTATGGATGCCGACGATTCCCGCTAACCACTACCAGACTTTGCACCGGACTTTTCGGGATCGTCCAGTTCTGGGTAACCAGTAGTTTGTTGTGTTTTTATCCATTTACTCCATGTATAATTAACCTTTTGTTAATAACACTGCTATGCTAGCAGACTTCTCTTGTTTTAACGGCTGTGGGTCCAGCCTTCCCGCAGCGAGGGGATGTGTCAGGTTCACTCCTTACGGGAGTTATTATGTAGCACATTTAATCCCTGCATGTTTTCCTATTGGCCGGCGTAGCCGCCGGAGCTGTTACGTAATCACTCGCTATTATTCACGGCCTATAAAAGCCGGGCATTCTCTGTTATGGAGTGAGTGGCATTTTCTGATCTTTTGCTTTTGTTAATAAATTTGATCTGGAAAGTGCGGCTCTTTCGTTTCGTGTATTAGCAGCAAGTAGTTTTGCTGGTCGTAAGCTTCCTAGGCTAGGAAGTAGCCATTCTTCCCCCCTAGTAGAGCGGCACTGGCAGCTCCCTCCCACTAGGAAGTAGCCAATCTTCCCCTCGGACAGAGTGAGAGTGTTGCACAGCTTGTGACAATATTAAGTAGGTTGCGTTTTGCACGGCCGGACGATTAACGGCAAAATTAACGACAGTTTTGGCGTTGTTAATTTAAGGCTCCGGTGATTCGCATAAGAGGTTGCGTTATGCACTAAACAATTTACAGCGATAGATATTAGCGTGGCGAACTGTTGTGTTTTGACAGTCATTTTTCAATTTTTGGAATCGATACCGAAACGATTTCATGTTGCACCGTAAAAGTAACAGAAAAAAGATTTTTTTGTGGTAGAAAAACATAGATTAACACGTTTATGAACGTTTTCACGCAAACACTATTCTAAAGCAGTGTTATCCATTTATTGAATTTTATTCTATTCTTGAATGCAGGACTTGTTATTGCGTTTGTCAGATGCCTCAGTACAGTCTCCGTACACTGCTACTCCAATAGTAAAATACTCGAATTACTGTATTTTACTTATTATATGGAATAATTTTTACGATTGTGAAAGTTAAAGTAAAAGTAATCCATAAGAGTGAAAAGTTTAAAGGGACCACTGGCAGCACTAACAGAGCAGTACTGTTGTGATTTTCGAAAATTCGAGTCGAGTGGGCAACTCAGGATTGAATGCCCAGGCAGAAATTCACTGGATACACTGTCTCGCCTACGCAGTCTTCGTGCTCAATGGTCTATGTGGGCCCAGTCGTTCATTACTGAATTTTAACGTCGTTATTAACGAAACGATACCCCCTTCGTTTCGTTAATAACGACGGGTACTGCCGTTTAAACGTTCGTTAATTGTACTCCGTCGTTAATTCTATCGTCAATCGTACCCCTTCGTTGATACCGCAACCTGCTTGGGGTAACCTTATTACGTCTTTCTCTAATTACCCCGATATTATTAATAATATTATGTTACAGTTGTCAGGTACTAGCATCTAGTAAGTATCGGAAAAAGTAAAAACTCTAAAAAAGAATAAACCAGTAATAAACATTAACATAAACATAAACCAGTAATAAACATTAAAGAATAAATCAAAAAGAACAAATTAGTAATATTAATTAAAAAAGAATAAATCGGTAATATCTACAGTACATTATGATAGAAGTGCCGTACGAATAATGTAATATTATGATGATTACGTTAGCAATATTATGAATTTAGTAATATCATTATGATAGAACTCTGTATTGTATAATAAGCGCTGACAATTTGGCAACTCAAAGGTGACGCTGGCAACTCCCTTGGGAAAAAAGCCATACGACTAGTGATGGAAACAAAAATATTTGTTGCTCCAGTTTTATTTTGCTACTAATCACATCAATACACTGTATACGTAGTACTTGAAGTAAAGATATTTTATCATATTTCAAAACATCTACCAGAAGAGAGTTCAGTCTAACCACTGACGACTAATAATGAATAACATGCACGGCTACGTGGAAACTGAACGCACGCTTATGTTCCGCCGATATTCGCATAAACATCATCCAAGAAGCGGTCGCCGGGGTGCAAAAGTAGTTTTACAGTTTATACAAAACAGATTTGTAAACTCAATCAAGATCATCCAATCATCACTAAATGGTAAATGTCGATATAAAACTTTTCAAAGCAAAGAGATGTTCAATAGTCAATCACAAAAACACTACCCAGTGTTTTAACCTTAAGAAAAATTTAACGACAAAACAACCGAAGACGGGTAAATACTTGCTCCATAGGACACAAATTTGTACATCCTGATGCATCAATTTTCTTCGTTTCCTTGGCGTTCAGGCAGTTTCTTTGTTAAGGTTTCCATAAATTCATCAGCCAAGGATGGCCACGCCAAACTGGAATCATACGCCTGGACACTGGAAAGGTCAGGATGCCGGTTGGCCAAATCACAGACTCCCACAAATGTATCTACAGCAAATCAAGGCTGTAGCGCCTACCCTAGTTAACAGGGTGGCAATGAAATCGATGTAACAGATGTGAACTCACCGAGAGAAACACCTTTCGTTCCCGAAGACTGGAAAAACTCCGCAAAATCCGGAAAGAGAGCCCACGAGGACTTTAGCATCACTGAGAACAGTTCCGCAGCAACTTCAGTCGCAACAGCTTTTTCTCCTGGTTGCTAAAATGGTAAATCCGCCAAAATAAAATAACTTGCGTGTTCGTGTAGGGACATCGTCAAATAAGCCGTCAGTCTCAAAAATAGTTTTAGGATTTTAAAAATATCGTACTTTGGCTAATCCAAAAGCATACTCGCACAATGCAACAAGTTCCGGACGCTTTTTGATCTCCAGAAGCATTTCCGGCATCTTCTTTTTGAACTTTTCGTTGCTGTCGCACCTATGACAAACGCAGTGCAACAAACCTATAGCCGGCATTTGACCTGTTGACCGTTACCGCAGATCCATATTAAATGGCTTACTCAAGTTTAGCCATCACCGCAACCCAGGAAGATTGCGAAACCGTATCCTCTTCCGATTTTAAATCCAGTTTTTTACTTAGTACGATCGCCGCTACCTGATAAAAAACACCAAAAATTAAACCACAAGCACGGAGCACCTATGCATGCAAACCAGAGCAAGTTAGCAAGTTAGCGGTGATCCATACATCATTGGGGTCCATATCCACAGCTGCGCAGAATTTGGCCAGTCCGTTGCGTGAAATTGCAGAGGCACCTGAATGATTCAGCTCACGGTCACATTAAAGAAATTCAGACATTCCAATTCTACAAGTAAGTAGCAAACATTGTCACAAGCATACTGTACAGTAATTTCCGTATTCCGTATAGAAGTACAGTAAGGAGCGCTGTCGCCAGAATGTTACTGTACATACATTAGCAACATTATTTCTAAATTTGGATCATCAGTTTTTAAGCTTTTTTTTTAAAATCAGCCGGCCTTGTTATTAACTACATTCTACATATGTACTGCTGAAGTTATAGCTGACATAAAATTGTAAGTTGTACTACTTTACGCTTACGGTAACTTACCCTTTTTGCTTTTTGACTTCTCCGCGTAGTGACGAAACCATTCAATGCATCGCGCTTCCGAGAACGGTGATGTGTCATTTTCGCAAGTTTTTCTAGAGGAAAAAGACTGCATTATGTTTCGTTATCTCTTTAAGCACATACACTAAAATAAAGGTCCCACTTGTCTATTTTTTCGCGCTGGATCGTCTCGCGATCCCCAGCTGCACTGACATCATTTCCCAGCGAGGTCTTTGCCAGCTTCGTTCGCGGCGCTTTAGGTTGAGCAGCAACCCTTTTTGTCCCTTTTTTGTTGGGCATCTTGACAGAAAGATTTCAAATGAGAAAGCTGGAAAACAGTGCGCTACAATCAGACAAATCCAAGTGCACCAAAATTGTGCAAAAAATGAAACTGGGTATATATGACCATAACAAGGTTAAACAAAACAAAACGGTGAAAACGTAGTATTCGCAGAAAAAATAAAAAATTATAAAACTGCAGAAGCTCCTGTTAAAACAGCTTGTCATGAATGTCAGGAGTCAGGACATGAAAAATTTAATTATTGTCGTCAGTACTCAAAACCTTGCTGTGCGGGGTAACCCCCTTCGTGCGACGTTTACGGGTAATACGGTTTTATTTTTGACGCAGCACTTTTCGGTACCGAAACTGGAAACACTTCTTGAACCAGTTCAAAATTTTTGTTAAGGTACTTTTCCTCGTTTTCGGAGTGTCCACAAGTTTCAACGGATTTTGACTACTGCAGTAGTGCCTTTGTTTTGTATTTCAGACGTGCTACCTAAGGAGGAAAGCCTGCGGCTAGAAGGTGTCGGCAAATTTGAATAGCGCTCGAGGTTTGTCCTGTGTTTTCGCCTTTTGGTTCCCTGCAACAGTCTGCACTCTGCAGCTCGGAGTTTTCGGACAAGCATTTAGTTTATATTTCCGGATTTCACGTAACAGGAGGGACTGAAAATGTCATCCATCGGTACAGGATATGATCTATCGGCATCCCAGTTTTCTCCTGATGGTCGGGTGTTTCAAGTCGAGTATGCCTCTAAAGCTGTCGAAAACAGTGGGTACGTCGATGTGACTGAATAGCTGAGCACCTGTTTAGTGTATAGTGAGCACCAGTAGCTGTGCACAGTGTGCACCAGTAGCACGATACCAGTACTTTTAGTCGTGGTTTGGGTAAATACATGTAGTACCAAACTTTTGGTGAATAGGGATTTAATTTTGTGGTTTTCCATAACTTGTATCAAGTAATCTATCACGAGTTCCGTTGTTCCTCTGTTGCTTGTTGCTGAAGATGGACCATGGTATAAAAAGCTGTTTAAGGCGCAGGCATAAAACCAAGTGTGTTTTTTAAAATCCATTAGTTCAATACTCAAAAATGAAAGGTTTCATTGATGCGTTAACGAGAGAAATTGTGCGGTAATTGGATGGTGTTACAGCGAGACTGGTTGGTAATACAGTATTAGCTTTCTCTGTGGTATGTAGCTTGCTGCAACAAATCTTACGGTTTCGTTATAAAAGTGAAACAAACCCCAAAAATTAACAGTAGGTCAGTTTGAATTGTTCAGAAGTGGGTTTAATGCTTGTTGGATTGGCTAATGCATATTTCTTTAGAACGGTCATCGGGATGCGAGGAAAGGATGGCATCGTCTTCGCAGCAGAAAAGTTGGTAATCACTAAGCTGCACGAATCTTCCGCAAACCGTAGGATTTGGCGAATCGATACGAACATCGGAATGGCTGCTGCGGGACTTATTGCCGACGCTCGTAAACTTGCGGAAATCGCCCGAAAAGAAGCATCGGACTACCGTAACCAGTATGGAGTGACCATACCAGTAAAAGAGCTGACCAAGCGAGTATCAATGTACATCCACGCTTATACCCTGTACAGTGCTGTGCGTCCTTTCGGGGTGAACTGCTTGATTGGCGGCTACGATAAGGTCCACGGAGCCGAGCTGTACATGATCGAGCCATCAGGTGTGTCGTGGGGCTACTATGGTTGTACGGCGGGCAAAGCGCAGCAGGGCGCCAAGACTGAAATTGAGAAGCTGAAACTGGTGGATATGACGTGCGATGAAATCGTCAAGAAAGCGGCCAAAATCATCTACGGTGTCCACGATTCGGTCAAGGATAAAGATTTTATTCTGGAAATGGGCTGGTGTTGCGAACAGAGTGGAGGCATTTTCGAAGAAATCCCAAAGAATATAACATTAGAAGCTGAAGATTTGGCCAAGAAGGCTCTGGAGGAGGATGAAGACACTGAAATGGCCTGAGCTACTAGTTTTTTAAAGTTAGTTTCCAGCAGTGTAATTTCTGATACCTTATCCATCTTACTTATGTTGTTTATCATTACGATGTAATAATTAGCGATGCTTATCTTAATAAACATTCAACGTCCGTTGGTTCAAGTGATTATGATTGAGTAGTACAGTGCAAATGTCGGTAATTTTGCATTTTATTATAAAACTGAAAATACTGTGTAGTGAATACTACAAGAGAATGATGAGACTGTTGCACATCAGGCCCAAACGGTAAACTCATTAACGATAACTGATAAGTATTATTTATGCTACTCGTAGTTTTTTTTTTGCAACACAGTCACAAAGTGTTACAGTTAAACCGGTGCGGAGCCGCCCATAGTGGCCTCGTTATTGCTCAAAGAGCAAGATTATCTTATTGTAAATTTTTGTTCGGAATCTATCGATATTTTGTTTTAAAATGATCCCGAGACTTCCAAGCGAAAAAGTTGTACGTATATGGACTATTGGTATTGGAACTTGAGAAGTACTGTGGAAACAAGTGTCGCTCTCTGCGGTTGCCACCCCCCACCGGCTACAGTCTAGTCGACAAGCGGGTAGCATTTGGTCAGGGCCTCAACGTTCGGATTTCAGACTTTACTTCGGAGTTCGGAGTCTTCGGACTTCCCAGTTTTTAGGATTCGGTTTTATTCGGATTGTTCAAACCTTGTTTCCGTTCGAATTATAGAGAACTGCGACAATGGCAAAGAACTGGTAAATATTTATACCTAATATGTGGGCAGGTGAACCTGAAGTCACTAATATTGCGAGTTGGTTTACTCATCGTTTAAATCATTAAAATATGATTAAATGGTTGTATAGCTTGGGTGCACAGACGTCTATGTTTTTCGGACTTTTGTCACTTTTCCGTTAATTTTAACTGTCATAATGTACGACCGTTATTTACGAACACACGCGGACCCTACCGAGTCGTTACACTATCAGAATTCTGCGTCGTCAAGCCAAAAGCTATCGTACTCTCAACTAGCCGTTGGTGGCAGCGGGGCTCCTGGCGCGAAAATTGCGGAGCCTTCCAATTTTGGTCGTGTGAGTTGCCATCGTTGTTTCTGCTTTCACGGCCTGCTGCCTGTGTTAACTTTAGCTGTTGCAGGATATTTCAACAGAAATTTCCAGACTGCCCCTGGATCTTCGTTTCGCCAAATTATTTAACATTTTCACGCGCTCCGATTTTCGCGATCTGCAGGAAATTTATTATCCAGCCGCTGTGGAAGCCGTGTTCGGATTCCAGTCTTCCTCGTCTACATATCGACAGCAGCATGCGGTGGTCTCGGGTCAGTTTCAGTCCGATCAGCCGTATATTCCTGTGTCGTTCTGCGATATCAGTCAGAACTACAAGCTGGTTTACGATGCGGGATTCCAGTTGCTGAACACGGATGGACCCATTTTCCGCTTCCTCATCTCTGTCTCGGGCGGACGCGTTAGCACCTCTCCGCGCTACTATTTTCCCATCTCGTGCTTGTCACATGCCGTCCGAAAGAGCTTGGAAAATGGCAGCATACCATCGTGGTATCGCGATAAAGTTCCTCAAAACGCCGAATTATTCTCGGGTGACGGACTGGATAGCTCGGCGGCCATTTCCCTGAGTGCTTTTGAATTTTATTTCGCCCATTTTGCCTATCATCTTGTTAATCCGGATTTACGCACAAACGTACGTCGTCAGATTTCATATGAACAGTGTGAATTCATAATTATTCATCAGAGTGCTACTGCAGGTTTTCATCACGTTTGGTGAATATTTTTACAGAATCCAGCGGAACCAGACTGCTTATTTATGGCGCTGGTGGATAATTACAGTTCAGTATTTTTTAATGCATCCGCAATTTTGGATAACCAGCGTTTCGCGTCGAGTCATTACGCTGGTGGCGGCCCACTTCGCAGGTATCGTACAGATTGTCGCAAATACAGTACTTCTATGGATGTGTCACTAAATCGTGAATACGAATAACCTGAACTTTCCGCGTTCGCCATTTTGTTAATTTTTTTTTCACGTTTTTGACTTTGTAGATCTTTGGGGTTTTTTCAAAATTCTCGAACGGGAACGGAATCAGGCGAACCACTCGGTCCATTACCTCAAACACATCCGCTCGCAACATCGGAAAATTTGGAATGCCTTATCAATGTGAGAACTCGGAGAGAAATACCGTATGACTCATCCAAACCCGTCCTGCTTAACGAAATTTTGATGCCGTTTCAGACGTTCGTAGAGTTTTGGCTCAATACTAGCGGATTTACTTCGCAAAAATACAGCAGAAAATATCCATCGACACCGCGTTACAGCGATCGTGGGCGTCATTCTCCGTCATTTGGACAATCTCCACTGTCGCCTGGAGGATCACGACGTCGGCAGCCCGTTTTGCAGAATGTTCCGACGGTATTTCCACCCACATGTGCCGTACAGGCTTTCAGGCAGATCGTGAAAGTTCTGCACGAATTCGCTTACGCTCCGGTCGTTGAACGGGCATACCATAAAAACATGGAGACAAATTTACTGGATATCAAGCGGTATTTAGTAAATCTCGTAATTTTGCATTCTGATTTAGCCACATACGCAATACGTTTTTAGTCACATCATACCTCAATTGGTACAGCGTCCACTGTATGATTTGTTGAAGCTTACGATGCGAAAGTATCCAATGGATGCAAGCTTCCGTTATGTGAGTTCGTGCTTATGGTAGCTATTATCCTTATTTGTACATAACTTTATGCGTATTTTTTCGTTAACTGTGTATATTGGTTTTAATGACACTGAATATTACAGATCTATGAGCTGTGGCTTACTTACATCCAGCCATGGCGGTATGAAAACGTGCTGACGGATATCCCCAATAGCGATGATGTTGTTATCGTGTCAAAGGATTATCGGTGGTAAGATTCGATATAAAAGTTCTCATCTGCTCCGCTATAAAATTTATCGGACATCCTTGCTTACGGGTTAAGCGCAAAAAGTAACGCAAGTAGCGCAAAAAGTAACTGCGAACATGATGCTGCTATTGTGCACTTTCGTAGGTATTCTTTTATTATGGAAAATCTGCTGTTTTATACTACGCTATTCCAGGTTAGTTGCCCAAGAAATGTTTTACTTTCGGTTTCGTGTACTTGTGTGCGATTATGTCTATGTTAATGGTAACCATTGGTGTGCGACATCTACTCCGAATACGTGACCGTATTTTAGAACTTCGTTGATCGCATGCTGCGTGTGGATTTCTCGGTTCCGTTTAATACTCTGGCTGTTTATCGCATTGGGAAAGTTTTTTGCGATACGGAAATGTATCAGCTCATTCGCAATGTGGAAGACCAACTGTTTGGCGTCAAAAAAGTAGCACCTCTTCGATCGGGAAGTTCACCTACGAAAAGTATCGTGAAAAACCATTTAGCGGATTTGGAAGGACCGGCTTACAACTACATCTCCTTCTACGACGCAGAAAATATTACGAAAGTTCGTAAATTCTTTATCAGTTTCGACCTCACAGGTTTGGTATGTTTAATGTTATAGGTACGGGAACTGCTGAAAGTGTTAGTCGCCGCTGAACGTCGAATTTCCCGCAAATTGATTGACAGTCGTGCACTACGCGTCCACAATCGCGCGGATCTGCAGTATTGGAAGGATCTCATTGTAAATGGACTTAAGCAGTTGTTTGGATTGGTTGCCGGTCCGGTTCTTGGGATGAAACTGCAGCCGTTGGAACTTGAGCGAATGTCTAAGCATATTACAAAAGGCATTGAATGTTTTTCTGCCATATTTGCGGTTCGTACCCATATCTATCAGTACAGTGCGCAAAATATTTGGTTAATTTATTGCTCGTTATCAGATTCAGTATGAAGAAATATGCGAGGAAGAGGGCGAACCGGTGGTAGTACCAGCTAGTTCTGGTGAAGCAGAATTCCTGTTGGATCGACCACTTGCCCAACCAGCTGATTCTGTCAACCGGTTACGGTCTGTCTCCACCAAACGACGCCAGTCGGTAAACACAATAATTTAGCTGTTTTATTACATGAAGTTGCATAAAATGTCAAACAAAATGTAGTTGCATCAAATGTCAATATTTAATTACAACCGTACTGTATAATCAGGTTGTGGATTCTCTGGAATCGTCTCGGGTCTCTTACATCACTGAACCGGAAAATCAACCAGCACGAACATGGGAAATTGCGTTTTTAATTCCTCTACTAAGCGGTCTTTCGCACCATTTAAATATGCTAGTATGCCAGAGTGCCTGACAAAATAGTGCATGAGTTAAATTGAGTTTATGGAGTGTTCATTTTTTTAGTATGGATCGCAGATTGAAGAACTGTACAACAGACAGGATTTCCAAGCTCGGCTGGTTCATCCGCTGATTCAACCACCTCATACTCCGGTGCAAGTTTATGGCGAAGTGCACGGGTCTGCGTTGCCGCCACGAATTAGTTTACGTCCATTGGCCAGTACGTACGTGGTGGGGACCATTGTATTCTTGTGGTTTTTCTTGTGGACCACCGATATCGGATACCTGCGGGGCGGGCTCTTTGTCGTCTTTATTTTAGCGGCGTATCTGGTGTCCAATGCCATTGTGGAGCCTTATAGGGATAGACCGACTCGTTCGTAAATCGTAATGTACGGCATGAAGTTGGAATCTTGGGGAGGCCTGCATTCCGGGTTCTCGCTTTGCGGAAGTGTTGAATGTTGCTCATCTTGTATCCATTGGGCGGTTTTTAATTGCATTATTTGGTTTCGTATTCATGCTTTGATGGTCCTCTTTTGATGGCATTTGGGATTTTTTGAGTTGCATATGCATAACTAAGGGCTACAGATGTGTCCCTGCACGAAAAATGGTTATTCAGATTATCCAAAAATATGGAGCTGTGGCTTCCACAAACCGCAAAAACCATGAAGTAAGATAGAATTGTTTCGTGGACAACAAAAATGTTTATTAAATTTTACACTACCACTAGACAGTAATACTGTACCATCATCTATCCACACATTTTCCCGCGAAATATATACGGGAGTAGGAACTGAGCGGCTGGCGATCGGAGAAAAGTAGACTAATTGGCTATTTGGGCGTGACGGCTCTAATGTTATGAGAGAAAAAAAAGATTTGATTAATTCATTGCTGGTATACGAAATCATTAAACCGATTTTAAGCTAACCGGTTGATCCCAGGTATCGGTGCACGTTTGAATTTTTATTCTGCATCGAGAGGAATGCGTCGTTTGGCGAGAACTGTGACAGCGAATGTAACGAAGTTGTGCTATGATGCAATGCATTCCTGGACAATTTTTCTTCAAATGGGCTGATCAGAACGCTGGGGTTTGTACTGACTGTGTACAGCTTGCTTGCTGAAAACAGTGAAGTCGAATAGGGTAATAATACATCAATTCCTAACTAAAATTAAATTAGCTATTCGTATTTAAATTAATGGTGTACACAATCATTCATCTCAACTGACTTTAGCAATTAGTTAAATTACCGTGAACCTAATCTTATTTAATAAACTACTAGTACTAACAGTTGGTTGATTTATATTCTATCAAAATAAAATCCCACAACTACAGATCTGAATCCGATTAAATTGGTGACCTTTACATTGTACCGTCTCGTATAGGCATATGACATTGGAATGGTACGTTTACTACTTACGAATAGAGCTTTCGTCGATATAACTGGAGTGTTTGAGCGTCCTGGATAGTTTTGATAAGCGGCGTGCTCGTGGCAAAAATATCAAAATCAGTACAGTAGTCGCGGTTGTCAACAAACCAAAGGCTAGGCAAGGATCCTTCAATCCAACAAAACCTCGTTGTTAGTTTTATGCCACAGTTTCATGCAAAATGTATTTACTGCATATATACATAACTTGTAAGTTGGTCACCTCATAATGCGGCCTTCGAGATCCAACGGTGCCAAGTAAAATCCAGCAAATCCAAATAGCAACCACCGACCCAACACAAACGGAAATAAGAAACGCTTCTTCACGATATATAATAGTGCGATAACGCGCTACCGACGTGGCGATGCACAGGATGAACAGTAGTACCATCTGCCACACAAGCGATACCAATATATCCAGGAGCGATGTATTACAAGCCGTTATATCCGGTTTGCCTACACTAATCATAACTGTCCTTGGTGGGATTAGGATCAACCACTCGGCGGCAATTATTGCCTGCACCGCGACCAGCGTCCAAAATAATATCAGCTGATGCGACACTGGGACATCGCGATTTTCTTGTATGATATTCAGTGTTTTGAGCAACAATGTGGCGAACAATCCGCCATAACAGAACCCCGGAAGAAAACGGATACTGCCGCAAATGGAATTACTGGGTACCGGTATGAAGATGAAGCAGGCTGCATATGACAGAACAATGAAGAATAGCGACGCTTGGCTGAGCCAAAGATTTCTGGTGCGGAGATTTAGCGATAGAATTTTGTATAATGTGTAACTCCACAGGCTGAATGTTATGATAATCCCAAGTGATGCAAGAATAATCAGTACGGTCAGCCATAATTCTACTCGGTATCCAACTGCATCGAAAGTCCCCATTTGCATTCAAGAGATCATTGGCCTTCAGATGCATAACGGTGAAGCTTGCATAAGTTATATCTGTAGCCGCTTAATCTAAAAAAACGCATGACGATGTAATTAAAATATTAGAATGACCATGATTCCCTATTTCGTATGGCGATCCGTATAGAATTCTATATGTATATTGAAATTCGCATTTTATGTTATTACTTTACAGATAAAATTTGTTAACGAGAATCTACTGCTGAGCTGAAAACGCCGAATGTACAATAGCATATGTTCAGTCGTATATCCATTTCAATGAATTTAAACGCAGTAATGCGTGCAATTCAGTGCAATTTATCTACAGAATATACGAGTATTTACAGTCTGCCGTCGGACCACACTCGACTGATTGGAGTAACTGCTGCAGCTGAGATCTGGATTTCTAGCTTTACGCGCACCATGTAGAAAAATTTCGTGATTTTTTTTACTGTCATTACTTGGCACACTTTAAAGTCTATGGTTAATTAACTGAAACATCCGCACCTCAAATTAATTTTTCCGCATTTGTGTTACACGATGTATAACACAAATTATAAACTATTTGTGTTACAATGTATACGATTTATATTCGCTGTACTTGACATTCGTTTACTTGGACTAATACGAAAATTATAATAGCAACAGCATATTTTTTCCTTATCTTAAAAGTTCGAAAAATGCGTTGATACCTTCTTACACTAGTAGCTTGCTAGTTGCAGTTGTTGGAACCTGGAAAAATGCCGAAGGCACTGGTATTCCATTGCTACGATCGCCTTAGCACGGTAATTGGGAAAAGTAAGACGATTGTCTGGCGGTAATACGGTACATGCAGCACTGTCACCGCTTACCATAATTGTATCCAAAATTAACATTTCGCCATAAGTGCAGGTCTAGAAACCGTTCCGCAAAAAATAAATCTCATATATATCCAGGATCACAGAAATCGAAACACGGATAAAAGTTATAAGTAAAAGAATTGAAATAATATGCGGTTGCTGTTATCAACTCAATTGCGGACTATACATAGGTGTAACATTCTAAGGTATCAAACAAATCAATACACCAAAATACTTTAGTGTTGGACAAATTTTTTCACGGTGCTGTCGTAACGCATTTGTCCAGTAAGAGCGCGTCAAGTTCAGCGTGAATTCGGCGACCACGTTCCGTTTGACTACAAGAAAACAGTACGCCAGTAACTTGCAAATTTACATATATGCATGGGCGGATTTTTTTTGGGCTGGTTTCACACTCTGATACCTGTGGCTATTCATTCAGATATGTGGAACTGTAAATAAGTACCAGCTTGTGAAATTAAAATATCTATAGATGCAGCATACCGGTGTGCATAGCTTATACGCTGTGTCAACAGCACGGTTTGTCTTTACAGACAACATTAAATCATTTTTTTCGATTATGTCTGCAAACAAGTTCAAGGGTTTGTTACAGGCCGTGTTCAAGAGATCATAAACATACTTGTATGTTGACTGCTGGTTAGCCCAACAGTTGTGCATGTAGGGAGTGGGTTATTGGCGAAAATTAATGTAGTTTTAAAGTAAACGAATCTAGAAGAGCATGCAGAATAAGCGCAATTTTATGTGGCGAAAAATTACAAACTGCAGGCCTAATTGCAGCGTATCTTTAATAAACTTTACATAAATGAGTTCTGCAGAATCGTACAATATCGTACTCATATGTACGTGCACGCGGTCGAAGTTAAAATTAGCTGAAAAGCGTTAAGGGGTAAAAATACTGACAGAAATAATTTGGTTAAATACCCCAAATAATCTTATATAACACCTGTACAGAATACTTATAAGAAATATCTGTACAAATTCCATGAGCAACAACAAGGACAAAAAACGAGATGAGACATTATTGTCCACATGACACTGACAGTTATTACTAATGACTAGGGCAGGCAAACCAAAACAACATTACAAAATGCACTAGGAAGAACGGTGGTTAGGGAACCATCCGGATTTGTGCGGCAGTGAGCATCGGGATCCAGAAACACATATAGCCACGCCCGTGATCTGGTCAGTCAGTACTCGTACTGAGCGCCAGATATCTATCGAGCCTCAGCTCTCATTTGATAATCCTTAGTGTCGAGCGTTATCCCGTTCAGCGGTTCCAAGTCCAGTTCTCCTTCCAATGACAGCGAAAAATTCTGCAATACTGATGCAAATACGAGGAAGAGTTCCATTTTCGCCAGGGATTCGCCAGGACACGATCGCTTTCCTGTGCACACAAGGTAGCATTGTAGATCAGACATGCCAAGTTTTTGTCTTTGATTTGATTCTGTCATTCTGGCGTTATATTAGATCGGCATAATTTATTCGGTTTATAGAAAAGTTTCTAATGAAAACTGAGCTTTTAAACTGATTCTTACAAAGAATAACGTACCTGTTGAAAATGGAATGAATTGCTTTGGTATTATAATACTAGCGCCGTCAGCTGACAAAAAACGTTCGGGAATAAAAGAGTTCCCATCCATCCAGGTATTTGAATCCCGGTGTACGTGCCAGAGATTTGTGAAAATCCAAGCGTCTTTGGGTATGAAATATCCACCCAGTTCCGTTGCTTCGATGGCCCGGTGCGGCACTCCCATCGGACCGATGGAGCTGATGCGCTGTACTTCATGCAGCACCGCCTGTGTATACGGCATCTGGTTCACATCGGTCCACAGCGGCAGACGCGACCGTCCGACCACCGTGTCGATTTCTTTATGAAGTTTTTCCTGAACCACTGGATCAGAAGCGGTATAGAGAAACGCCTGCAGGAATGAAACGATGCCATTTAATTAAGATGCACTCAAGACTCAACCACTGTTCCGGTACATTAACGATATTTGCCATTTTTTCAATAATGATATTTACCCATCTTAATGTCGCACTCGTTGTATCATAACCGGTTAAGAAGAGCTCACGTGCCGCTGCCACATATTGCTGATCTAGAAAATATTGGAATGATAATTACAGTGCGTTCTGGTAGCGAATTTCGTGCAGATGTCAATGTATGCTGTCCATGACAATGAATTCGCGACGGTTGTTTTACTTACCGGTAAATAGCCTCGGTGCTGAATAGAGTTCCTTTTCGCGCAAACGCGAGGCAATGAACGCATCAGTGTAATCACGGGTAACGTTGCTATCGTATGTTTCCAAGTGGCGTGCATACACATTCTTAATGTACTGTCCGGCGCAGTCCAGGGCTTCGATCACCTTGGCAAAGCTTTCCCGCACCTTGGGAACGATGATCAGCCAGGGGAAGATGTTCAGAATACCGGCGACGCCAAAAAATCGGAAAACGGCATTCATTTGGTCGTAGAAGTGCTGCGTCGTTGTCGTCGTTTCCGCGTTGTCGGTGAAGCGTTGTCCAAACAGTACAGCGCAGATGACATTGCCCACCGCGGTCCGAATGATATTTTTGTTGCAAAACGGCAGGCCTTTAAACTGGGAAATGGTGGTAATTAGACGCTCCACTTCCTCCCGAATCTGTTCTTCCATGATGTTTTTTCCCACGCCCAACATTTTAAAAGTCTTCACCGCGAATTTGCGATGTATCTGCCAAGTGTTGTCAGGCGCAAACGAAATTCCTAAAGATTGTAAATAGCGTTAATGATTATAACCATAAAAACTTAAACAGGTAATAAGAAAAAAATTTTTAAGTGAAAAAAATTTATATTTTCTACAAATTTAGAAGGTGCAACGATCAATATGTAAATTTATTAGGTGAAAAATTGATGCATAAAAACAAACACTAATTGCAGAAGTATACAATTTCCGCTTACCGTAGCCATTGCTGGTTTTTCTGGCTGTGTACATATCCGGTCGTCCATTAAATACAGGTTGTGCAAAGGCTTCGCGAATAATCTGCGCATCGTTCAGTACAACCACCAACTGTGCCCCCATCCGGCAACTGTAAATTTTCCCCAAGGATTTCGCCCATTTGGAAAAGGTTAAATGGGGAAAGCGAGAGTTCAGAAACGGAAGGCAGCCCAGAACAGGGATCTGAAAGGGCGACGGAGGCAGAGGAAGCCGGCCAGCGGAGCCTTTCTTGGAGTACAACACAAGGTATGTCGCCAATATCACCGGCAGAGCAAAGATAAACTGCACAGCGAGGGTCTGATAACACTGAAAATCCAACATGTTTGTTGTCAATGCAGAGTAAGTAATGCAAAGTAACCATCAAAGTTTAAGAAAAACGCAATTGTGGAATGTCACCGTCAAGTGCACCTTAGCATCTTCGAATTCGTGATACTGGACTTACTTATATATGGTTGCGGCAGTTAGGAGTTAATCGAAGAGTTCAAGGTTCGGCACTATTCAAATTAAAGACCGCCCTGGCATTAATTAAAACCCACTATTGTGAAAGCGAAAGTGAATCCGCTGACAGATTTTCCGCTTCAGGCGGAATAATTTTACTTGTAAGTCCATAAATCCACCAAAAACCAAGTACTATGCGACGCGTATAGTTGCACACGTATCTGTATTTGGCGGTTTTGTAATGTTTTCTAATATTGCAACATTGAGTCCAATGAGATATTCAGTGTATCGTACACACCAGCGGCCCATTGTTCGCTAAAATAAATAATTATCGTACTGCTTAAGCAGCAATGTCGGTACGTACGTCGGTAAGTACATAAGTACTTACTCATTGTTTTGTTGGGTATATTATTATATGACCAATACAGAGCCACGTCTGATCAGTGGCTACAATTCCTAGCGGAAAAATGCAGAAGTGTGTTTGTCGAAAAAAAAACGCCAATATTTACCGGCGCACCGAAAATTTTCCAAGAAACTCAACGTGTGACAAAGCAGGGTGAGGGAACCATAGAGCAAACAAAATCCAGATCAGGTTTAGCTGTTGTCTCATAACATTACATGAACTTAAGGTCATATGGACACCTGATGTGCTGTCTGGCAAAAGCAACAATATTTGCACGCAAAACTCCGGAGGAATACTGTAATACATGGGTCACAGAGTGCCATTTACCCACAAATAAAATAACCATTTATGAAGTCTCATTTAGATATCAGCTTGTTCCGACCCAGTGTTGGCTCCTCACTTTTTTAAGTGTTCGTACATCCAAGTACCGTTTCCACTTTCAGTAGCATTATTTTACATTCCCACTATATTTAATTTTGCGGCTCGTGCTTTTTTTGTTATGAAATGCGACTGCTTTTTGGTTGGTTGCGTATCTTTATTTTAAACTTTTACATGCAGTGCCATTTACACTTAAACTAAGATCTCGGTTGGTTAATAGTTATAAAGTAAGCCGATAGTGGCGAAAGAATTTTACGTTAAAATCAGAAATTGGTCTGCAAAAGCAAACCTGCACATTCACTATCAAAAAATCTAAAAAAGTTTCCCAGCTATAACTGGGCACATGCTAAGATTCTATCAGAAACGGGTACGTGCAGTTGGCAGCTTCAGCATCGACACCTACCGGTAGCGTTTTGTGCGGGAAGACTATAACTACGAGTGCTGTTCTGTGCTACAAAGTTCACTAGTGCCGCGCATGCGTGAAGATACCCGAAAGGATTGCTAGACATCCCAACACTCTGCACTGTATGCACACTAGCATCAGATTATTAGTAAACACGCGCATCACTCATAAATAAAGTTAAATATTAAATATTGCAAACCAACAAAATTAAGCTTTGCCAAATTTTGCAAGTTACGCTACAAAAACGTTTGAGTCAGTCTATAGAGGAATGTCTAAATCGACTCATCCATTCATCACCGATGTACTTATTCTGAATATATCTGTACATGTATTGTTAGAACAAGTTCAGGTACAGCGTGAGCAAAGGTCAGAATTTAATATTAGGAAAGTATTGTGAATGCGAGATCTAAAAGTGTATAATCAATGTTATTTCTTGCTCGTCCAGGAAAAGCAGAAGTAATGTTATCGGCTACGCTTACAACTAGTACAATATTACAGCCAACGTTGTGCGTATTTTACAATCTTTGCTAGTCGATAGTATAAAAACATTCGGTTTAGCGAGTTTCAAATTAGCAAGGAGAGATTTCATAGTCACGACGTTCACCTTATTACTTATTATTTTTGTCATTTAGATGTTTCTAACTTATTAGATTTATGAACCCAAAATAAATTTGCTAATGGTGGTGTACTCCAATTTATCAGATAAAAGATTGGAAGTTCATCAGGACTGTTTTTGTTGTTCCCCTGCCTTACCAATCCTGCTCTCATTCAAAATCTGTACACCGCAGACCTTTTTTCCAGTTCGTGAACATGTTCACAACAATTCTGCATTTTATATTTGCAAGAGAGCTCGGTTCAGATTGCCTAGATCTTCTTACTACCTTCAGAAATAGTGTTAAATTAGTCGAACAAATTTGCGGCGATAATTGCATGTCATCTCTGCTGAATCACTTTTTCGAAAACTGCTTTGTCGGTGTATATGATCATCGATCTGATGTATGAGCGCGGTGTTGTCAGCAGTCTATACAAGTACCGCAAATCTCGGTGTTATTTTGTTTGATAGATTAGAACAACGCCTGTTACATGTCGATTTCTAATGCTTTCGTAATCATTACTAAAGTATTCAGTTAGCTTCCGGCCAGACTTGTGATTCGTAGTAAACACACGTAGGAAGTGTCTACTTCGCTTGCGGTGGCGGGACTGCGGTTTAACCGTTGAGTGCCAAAGCACAAAGGACATGTAAATTTGAGGTCACCTCCAAATATCATCTTTTGACCTTGACGTTCTGGGAGTTCGTTTAACTCAATAATTAAATGGCTTCCGGCCAAAATTAAAGGCATTTGTTTACTTGAAAGTCGTTCCAGTTCCTTAATGAGATTCTTTTCGAAATCAGAGTAGGAGTTTAATGTAATACTGTTTTCTCAAGGATGTCCTTTAGAATAGAAAGAAATCTCATTAAGCGCTCACATTATTAGTCCTAAACGCGTTATGTTGTTAGCTAGCTGCTTAAATAAATTTCTTTTATAAAAATATTGCAAATACCATGTTATGCGGCAATGTCTAGAGTTTTTGGAATACTGCACATACTTAGTATCATTGATATAATATTAGTTTAGTTTATAGAACGAATACGAAATTGTGTATTGCCAGCCAAGTTTTTTACGACGACACTCCGTCGCTTTGTAAAATTTGCTAATTATCTCGGTCTTACTAAATTACTTAAGTACCTTCTTATCTTTTTTAGTTAATCGTGAATTAAAAAATTAATTAAATACGCACACGAACGCAACCTACTATCAAGGGCGGAGTGCTCCACTTAGCAGCTTTAACATACGCAAATTATAGGCGATACTGTAGCTTGTGGGTAGAAAACACATAGTTACAGACCATCTAGAGTAGATAACTTTGCGTAATTGCAACTTCATAGGTAGAAGTATACCTATAGCTAGAACTTTTTTTGCTCGTACTGCGCATTATTGGTCGTGAGCATCATGTAGTCTGTCAGTTCAGTACAAAATGATGCGCAGTGCAAGTTAACTCTTGTAAGTCTGATGATATATTTTAATGTATAGATTTTTGCTTTCTATTCCTAGGTTGAAAGTAGATTAATTTTTATGTGATATATACATTTGGGTTAAAACAATATTTGCAAGTTTTCATTGCAGTTTAACTTTTATCCTTTAAATATTTAACCAGAACGGATAATGAGTCTAACTGTTTCAATCACATTTAATGATCATTAACGTGACGTGTTCTCAGTAAAAACTAAAGAACTCCAAATATCTATAACTTTTGCATTATTGACTTTAGCTTCCTTAATTACACTAAAAATTGGCGTACTAGTTACTACAGTAGTATGTACCAATCAGGGTAAAACTGTACAATGGCTATGGCGATCTTAGGATATGTATGTTATTTGGATTGCTGCGTAATACTGAATTCGAACTCACAGTTGTATGGCGGATATGTGCATCCAGTTTTTACGTACCCGGTTAAAGAACTTTCCGATAGCCAGTTAGTCTCCATGTTATTTTCCAATAGCTAGTTTCCCTGATCCGATTGGTTTATAGCGCCGATGAATACTAAGTCTTATAATCGTAGATTGTAGTTCCGCTCCAGGCCGGCCACTGACATCTGGAACACTACATTCATAACAAACACAGCAACATTCTACCGATCAGACCATACAAACAAATATTTTATACAGTACTTGTACAAGTATAATAGTAGTGTACATTGTTTGTATTAAAACTGCGGCAAGCTAGCAGTAGGTTTACAACAGAACTGATTGAAAGTTTGTTTTTTAGTTGCACTTGATAATTGCATACTGTTTTCACTTCGGTAATCTTATGACTGAATTCTGAAAGTGTCCTCTATCAGAGACTGTACAATACAGTGGAGAAGCCTTTATTTCGCCGGCAGAGTCACATATACGACTATGGCTATTTACCGTGTTTATTGCACAACTTTATCTTTTTAATACATCCACAAAATCAATAACTTTAAAAAGCGCTGAAACTTCAAAATTTGTGCTGTCTGCTCTAAAAAATTGCTTGCAGTTAATTGTCCACGTTTGCACAGTAAGGATTGACTATACAAGGTAGTGGTCAAAGAGATTGGTTATCGATGATTATAATTGATATTCAGTATGTAAAATTTTTGCTCTAGGTTTTGATTACTATTGTAAGTTCCTTAAGGTACTTCCTTCCTTAGCTTCGATTTGCGTACACATAATGTTACACAAGCAGCATTGATTTAATAAAAAAAGACGCGGGCGAGCAAAGCAAGCCGACTTGATGAGGTGCAATTTATTAATGGAGTTCCAAAAACCAAACTACAGACAGCGGCGAGATTTTTATAAATATGGAGTAGGTGTTGGTACTGTTTTTCTTACCAAAAGATTAGTAATGATATCCGGCTTTTCGGATTGGAATCGTTATTCAAGTAAACAAAAGGGTCACCTTGCAAACCTTTCCGAACATCTTATTTGTCATAGTTAAACGCCTCATCTTTGGCACAAGCACATACGTTTTTCTTGTGTTATAGTATTTGTCCATTCGTCTTACGTTGTGGTAGGAAAAATCTGACATGCCCCCGTCATTCAGCGATTTTCCACGCACGGCACCTGTAGTAAACACTAAACATCAATGACACACCGAAAGCAAGGTTTCTGCAACCGTTGATTCCACATCACTTAATTTGTACCAGCACGTTACCGGAAAAGATGAGTACGAGTAAGTAGTGTTTACCGACTTACGATGGAGTATTGCCAAGGACTGAATGCACGCCAACTTGCACCTAGCTAGACATATACGACTCGTTTCAGTTCAGCAAGTAAGTCGGTCCGGCATTTTCCCAGAAGATCCAGCTGCATTGGCGATCCTGAAAAGAGTTGTAAGATACCGGTACTTCAAGAATTTGTATGACATAAAAGAGCGCGTAGTCGTAGTTATAGGACAACAACAAAAAGGAGCCAAAATAATTCGCAGCAAACTTGCCGGCCGACGTTCGCGTACACTAGAGTACGAAATTTCTCAACTAGAATGCGCTGTATACTCTGCGGTGCTTTTTGCCGGAATTACTAGTTTACTCTTATTCGACGAAACCAAAATGGTGAGGTTAAAGTGTAATTATGCTGGCACTAACTGCATCACTTACGCTTGCCAATTAAATAAATGCTGCGTGTGCTAAATAAATAAACATTTTTAAGCGTCAGTTTTTTATGATAATAACATGAAAAACGAGAATTATGGCAAATGCACAAAATTTTAAAATGTGTTTAAGGAGTTATACCATGGAACAATACATTAAGCTTTTTTGCATATTATATTACCACAGAAAATAAATGTTGTGCTGTAGGGCGATGGTGCAACATATTGCAGGCTAAGGGATAATTAATTTAAGTGTAGAATAAGTAGCGTTTTACTTGAAAATCTGCCATGCATCAACAACATTAATTACCTTTAATGATAAATAAACCGCAGCGAAAGTTTGCCACTAATTCCATTTCGAAACACAGTAATATGTAGCCACTCCACAACCCTAATTCAGTGTTTTTGTTTAAAATGTGCCCATGTACGTATGCAATAAGAAAACATAAGATCCAGTTTGGAAATTCTGCACTACGTTTTCAATTAAGACCAACTGAAAAGGCTTTCAATTTCCTGTTAGGCAACTGAATGCATAAATAAACTTCGCCAGATCGAACACAGAGTTTGCTCAGCTTTAGTATCGTCATCCTACAACTGCAATCGCAAATATACTATTAAAGTATTTATCCTACAATAGTAATCGCACCTATAAACAGTAAAGAGAAGGTTTATTGTAGCATAATTTCAGATATTTGAGGAAACACGAAAAGGGCCAAACTAAAAGGCACAAGCCCAGCAAGAACATGATCCGGATGCAGTTTATGAAAGCATAGAATTAAGAAACTATTTTTCCGAACAACGGCAGATTCTTGCGCGTAATCGTTAAAATCTTTTTACTACCCTCTAATTGTAAGGAAAACTTTAGGTGTAGCTGGTCTACCTGGCTGTTACGGATGTTCCGCTAATCCGCTTCGATATGCGCCCGTCGTACATCTTGAATACACCCGCGGACGGTCCAGGCGCACTGCGCCCGATTCCTTCACACAGGGTTTCCATAAGTTTGCGCGGATACAAGTGCATCATGAACTTCCACTAGGTATGTAGTATTGTTGCTTGAACTGTAAGTAATGGAAACCAGCTCTCTGAATCCCAGGCGCAACCAGTCGAGTTCCAAATGCGGCAAAATGTTGGAATTCGGGTCACGGTGTTGTATTCGTACATTCTGTTAAACCTACAACTTCCGGTCACTTAGCCGTTCCGTCTTGACCGAAGGGGAATCGGAATAACTCATGGGAGACAATTCCTTCCATTTGAATTTTATCCTGCGGTTGCGCGAAAAATCCTTTACCAACCTCGGATCCATACCCAAGGAAATGGCAGTTGTTTGAATGCTACACCATTCAGCTTATGGAAACTCATTTTAGGATTCTAATTGTAAAATGTTTGCACGATCCGGAAGGGCTAGTATCGTAACTGCCGTTTCTAGAGCATACATAAATAAATAAGTGCTCCATTAAACTCGGAGCTGTGTATCGTGATTGAGAATTGTTTGGTGTAACAGCATTAAGGAAGAGAACCTTTCCTGGCACTTTTTCTTTATATACAGTATATGTGTACTACGTACTCTTTCTACATGTCTTTTTCGGTTACACATATGTACACTATCTAGTTGGCGACCTGCATTTGTTCTGGTTGTAAACATAAACATTGCCAAGTAATCGCAAACGAGACCATCTTACGCGAAGCCGGCTTACAATTAAAAGCCGTCGGTCGAGGTATTTTCCAACGCTACTGTTGCACTGGCACAACGAACCTGTTAACTTGGACAGTAATACAAAGTAGTATTCGCACACATTTACGGTACCAGCGAAATATACTGTACGGAAGCTCCTGCAGTATATATACGAGGGCCATTCAATATATTCGTAGCACTGTGGTTGCAAATAATTCTCAGAATTATGATCTAATTTTTTAAAAACTGTATCATTCATAACTAGATCATAGGGCAATGGCCGAGGTGATACCGCCTACGGCTGGCGGTTGGCATCTATCTGTATAAGGCTACCCGGAGTGAAAAAAAGTTGTCTTGAAAGTGCGCATGTCAAGTTATTATTGAAAAAAGTTCTTAGAGAAGAACTGTAGAATTTCTTTTCATCTTAAGTTATTTGTTCTCTTCCTTAATTCATCGCCACTACGTTGTACTATTACGGACTGGTTACTACGATGCAGCTTCGAGCACTCCGCTTTCTCAACTGAGGGACCACTTTCAGGAGTTTCCCTGCGACGTCTAAAAAGTACTTTAAATAAAAGCCATGATCGAGAAGCATCTTGAATGAGCTAGAAAGAAACAGCAAATGGGCAAAATATTTCAGTAGAGGTAGCGTTGAGTATGGACTGCAGCACCTCGCTTCGGAGATTTGGAGACTGACTTTCGCTCGAAATTATCCATATGGTTTTCACGCGCACAACCAGTCTTCCACAAGTTCATTGCTTTAGTTCTCGCCCTCAAGCTGACGTATCCTTAGAAACTCAATTCATTAGCATACCTTAACCTTTTATGAGTTTAACAAATTTTAGATTTTTAAGAAATCTTTCCGTAGCAAAAACTGAAAAAATCATAAAGAGCTCCAGGAAGATTGACATGAGTCGATCTCTTCTCTACCGTATAACTTCTTTGTGGATCCATTTCAAGATTTAGTACATAAATGTTTGCAGTGTATATAGACTGTAGAAATATACTTTATGGCAATAGTAAAATAAAAAAAATTCAGTGGAAGATGGCGCGGCAGTGCTACGAATATATTGAATGGCCCTCGTATAAATATTTTATATGCATATATCAAGCGAGATTACTGTGGCGCAACAGCACTGACAACAAAAGGCACGCATGCACTGAACAAGCGGATTATTGTACAGTTTACAACCATATGAAAAATAAAATCGTAGGCGATTGGAAATTCGGAATAGTCGAGCGATAAGTTTCAGTGGTCGTTTTAAGTTTTAATTTCTTGCGGGTACTACTAAAATGTATGTTAACTGGCATTGCACACAGGTGTTTCAGAAAGGCATTCTATAGAAAGAAGAAGGCAACATAACTTTATCCCCGTTTTGTGCATGCTATACATTTTTTGCTACTAAATCCAAAAAAGGGGTAATCGAAGTGAAATGAAAGATCAGTCTCTAGCATAGCAAATACATAGCAAATCAAAGACGGTTTGTATTTGTTACTCTTGAGACAAGATGCCATTGGTCAAGGCAGATTATAGAATAGATTATAGCTGTATCCTGTGAATCCTTACGACAACCATACTCAACCAAAAGCACCGCCGTATTTTGTGAGTGTTTGTATTTTAAACTGGTAACGGGATGTTCTGTAGGTGCTGATCACGAACTACTTTGTAGAATAAACAATATTACCGTCCTTCTAAAATTCTGTTTTATATTTCACTTATATTTTAACTGCGAGTCGTACTTAACGTAAGCTTGCTGGGTTCTTCTGTACTTTTACTGAATTCGTGAGTTTTAATATTTCATTCGCGTAGAAATATTTTTACTAGCAAGCTGCAAGTAATATTACTTTTTCATGACAATGGCCATCCAAATAGCAACAGTGTGCGAAGCTGTCTGTGACATTGGTACTGCTTCATAATTAAGAAAAATTTAGACATCAGTAGAAGCAACAACTAATAAAATTAAGAAATTTAAAAATTGAAATAGTAGTAAGAAAAAATAAAGTGGTAAGAAACATTAAGCAAATTTGGGATGTTGTTAAGAGAATTTGGCGCAGCAATTAAAAAACTCACCCAGCTAATTTGAATATTTATGCATTTCTGCCGAATCATGTAAATACTCGTGTCGCGATAGTGGTCATGGCTGTAAATAATGTACGTATCAGTATCAATACAAATTTTATAGTCGTCTGGGCTGCAGTTACATGCAAAAGAGTTTACATTAATTTAATATTTTAATAACACACGATCCTACCTTAATTGAAACCGATGAAAAATCCTAACTATTTTTTAGACATAACAACAGCGATATTAAATTTAAGGTATATGCGAGCATATAGTTTTACATTTGTTCAGGAGGATTCGAAACGCAAACGACAAAGTTAATACAGTATGCTTCCGCCTCCCGGTAAACTGCTTGCAGGCATCGTACAAAAGAACAAGCTTTACATTCTTTTTATGTTCTTTACTGTAGCAGTGTCTTCAAAATTTCGTCAACCCGAGGGGCATGAATGCGCTAAACGGTACAATGTTGTAAGACCATCTTTTTATCAAACGTGCTATTTGTAAGAACTAAAAAACAGGGAGCTCCCATATATCCCGCGTTTTAGCAAGGTGTACAGATATTCTGTATATGCACGGGCATAGAATTTGGAATTTGTTATCCTTCTACTGCCATAAGAATGGCGCATTTGTTCTCCACGGAAAACAAAAACAGGCTCGGCCTACAAAAATAAAGTTGCATTTGCGCCAAATCTGGCTGGCACCTGCATTTTGACTACCTCTCGCCGAAACAGGACAGCGCTGCAAAATGGCGACGGTTATGACAGGATACCGGGATGTCGACGAGTAAGTACTATAGCTACCTTCGCGTGAAAAAATTACCTCCATTGTGCAGCCAGTGCGGCTTGCGTTACACTAGCTCGTACACTATAATTATCTTCTTAGAGCGTCAAACTATCCCGGATCGTCGTATGCGCGGGCTCTCTCAGTTCGCAGTCCATCGCTTCATGAGCCACTGGAGGAGACCCCTCCTCCGAAAGGATACAGCCGGAAGGAAATGTTTGTTCTAGTCGTCTGCAGTTGCTCCAGTATGTTTATGCATATGGGACTTAGTACGATTCCGCTTGTTCTTCCCATTGAGGTAAGCCAAATTGCCAACATACCGTTTTTAATCACACAAATACGCACGCACAGCACAGCTGTATTAATTTGTATTGTTACCGGTATTTTTGTACAGTCTTAACAACAAAAGTATGTAATTATTTCTATACTGCGCTGTATATATGAAATTTCTAATTTCAGATTACGCGGAAAGGAGTACCCTACGAATTTTGCGGAGCGATATTTTCCGTTTTTGCCATATCAATTGTGATACTGGAACCTTTTCAGGCTAAAATCGTACGTGAGTTTAATGTTCAGCGCAATATATATATATTATAGTTTTATAATTTTATTGCATCGTTTAGTTTAAGTGCAGAACATGTAATAGAATTTATAGCAAGTCCCTATTAATAATGCTGTTTTATCCTCTACTTGTAGCTTCCTTGGATCGGTACACGAAATTCGTTTGTTTACAGTGCACTTCTTGGAGGAGTTTGCTATGTTTCATTTGCGTGAGTTTGTCCAAGTAGTTCTCAGCGTTTGTGATCCTGACGTTAGCAACATTAGTGCACTATAACTCCTGATGCACAAACTAATTAAAGAATATTATTCATCTTAGGATGATCGATTTTGCAAACACCGTACCTGGATTTGCTACTCCTGCTATTATAATCCGTTTTGTGGAAGGTTTTTATTACGCAGGTATGATGCTTTAAATATAGAATAAATTCTAATCGCACTTTGTAGCTGCTCTTTATTTTTCCGGTACCGTACGCGGTTTAAATAACGATTTATAGATCACATCATATGCCAGAAGTTGTTAATTTGTTTTAGTGTTGATTACCGCATCGAACGTGATCGTCTGCCTAACGTTTCCTGACCGCGCTAGCTTTGCATTTGTAAGTGACCGAATAATTCATTATCACTTATGTGTTGTTCTTCTTGGCAGCTTTTCTGTAATTTTGTTGCATCTTTAATCAAATGTACTTTAAATTCATTAAAATTCATTAACTTTAAATCGGTAGAAACTCAACGAATAGTGTTTATATGTATTACATACCATGAACGTCGTCCAGATGATACGTATACCATTTTTTGTACAGGGCGTTCTGGAAGGATTCGTGGGCGCTGGTTTCACACTGGGTCCGGCTCTTGGCGGTGTTTTGTTTAAAGTAAAGTACTGTAACAAAGCATACAACCAGTCTAGTGATAAATATTCCGCTCGGCAACTTAGTCCAGCCATATTGCTTTAATGAAAATCAGTCCAAAATGTACTTTTATTGCGCTTAAACTCGTTGTCCTTATGGCCGAATTATGATAAACTAAAATTTAAAAAAAAGCGTTTGCGCAGACGCTGTGTACTTGTATCCGGTTGACAATACATACGAACTGAATTTCGTGTATATTGTTATTCGCACTATATTGATCTACGTTCCATGTAAGGTATTATTTTCCGATTAGTTTTGTGGATTTGTTGCTCCTTTTTTGTTGATTGGCGCCTGCCTACTAGTGACGGCCGGTTTGGGATATTGTGCCCTGGAACAAATCACTGGTAAGCAGTAGCAATAATTTGAATGCAAATGGTAAAAGTTATCTCTATTTGAAAACGCTTATAACTTATGCTCTGTTTGTGCTATTGCTGGCACACTCACATACAGTTTCAGATTACGAAAAATATTTCTAGGTTTGAATCTGGCTGCAAGAAAAAAAGAGAAGAAAAGACTAATCCGTGATACTGCATTTATTGGGTGCTCGTTGTTAACCATGGCTGCTGGAATCGTTTGGGGAACGTTCGAAACCGCCCTGGAACCTTATTTAGCCACTGTAAGCTAAGTTTACCAAGTATAAGTACAGTCCAGAGATGAAACTACAAATCAATATAAATATAATATAAGTACAGTACAGAGATGTATAAGGGCAGTTGATGTACGTATAAGGGCAATTATTGTATAAGTACAGTACAGAGATGAAACTACAAATCTTTTTTTATTGTTTGAATCGGCGCTACCAAATAAATCACAATGACCTATCGCAGTTTTAATGTTAACCAATAACCAAATTTGATTCCAGTATGAGAAAGGTCCATTAGTGGAGGGCTTAGTGTTTGCTATCGCTTATTTGGCATATGGTGCTATGGCACCTTTGTGGGGGTTCATCTTTCGCAAAGTGGAAATGGATTACCGGTGGATCCTCGTTGGCCCTCTCGTGGTAGCCCTGTGTTGGATGGTCCTTGGCCCTATCCCTCCACTGTCTTTTATAGGAAAGTACGATAGCAAAACTGACGACTCCTTCTTATTGATAAGAAATAATTGAGTGGTTGACCTTTGCAAAATTCTTTCAGGCGACTTTGGCTGGACACAGTCTGTCTATTCGTGCTGAATACGGCAATCGCATACATTTTCGTGTTCAGTTTCGATACGATGCTTAAAAGAGCAATGTGAGCACACTCTTTTGAATATATTATATATTAAGCGCGGACTTCGGTACCAACGACGTACCTCAAGTCTCATGAACACTTAATTCACACTTGCCATTACCAGATTCTGCGGGATGGAAGGAGACGTTGCAACATATGCCTTAGTAGTCGCTGGGTTTTTTTCTTCGATATACATTGGGTGAGTTCAAAGACGTGATCAGTTCTTAATTAGGTATTGACCCGTTATAAAGTTTTGTAAACTTTCGTTTTTGAGTGCTTATCAACCATTATTTTGCATTTAGAGAAGCAATTGGTCCAATAATTGGTGGATATTTAACAGCTAATAAATCATTTCAAGCGGTGGCCACAGTTGCTGTCTTCATTCAGTTTGCGGCGTTTGCGCTTGGTGCAATTATTATGCTGATTGCATGGAATAAGATAATCAGGAGATTACGGCGCAAACTGCACCAGAAATTTCCTCGATGGGTTTCGCCGCCTGAAGATCCGTCAGTGGCACGGGAATCCGGCGAAACCAGTCCACTCCATTCGTCCATAGCCGACGAAGAGGAAGAGTATATGAATATCTTTCAACCACCCACACCATCGCGGAAGACCGGAGCTATACGATATCTGCCTCCTAAATCATATGGAAGCATTTGCTAATGGCATTTAATTTTTTGTTGAGCACAGTAAAATTTACTACTTGTTATTAATCGTAAGTTAAAGTTTATTTAAACTACAGTAGAACAGTATACAGTATAACCGCGTACGCACGTCCTATCGCATTTAAGTACATGTTACGGTAAATTGTCTCGATTTTCCAGCAAAATAACTCCACGCCACCCGTATGTCAATGTCAGAGCGCTAAATCTGGAAGTGTTTGTACAGGCTCTGTATTGTACACACGTATAAGCTGTGACATTTTTATAAATGAATTCACAAAAGTTAAAATTAATTTGAAAAAACGGTAGAACTAGGCTGGTTCGATCTGGGAACAATCTTCATACTTACGTGCGCTTACGTGCAAAATTTGAAAACTGCTTTGTAATGAGACTATTTCAGTTTTGTATACCTTTTATTTCCCCTTGACACATGCGGTTCATTCAAACGTTTTTGGTAATTATCATGTATTAATAATTTATATTATGGATTATTTATTGGTATATTTGTATTAATTCACCCATAACTTCGCAACCGTATGTTGTGCACCCCAGCGGTTTTCACGCGAATTTATACAAATCACCTGAGTATAAAATATTGTAAGCAATCCCAAAAATTGCGTGAGAGCGAAATTTCCCGTGAACGTACGCGAAATGTACCATGTACCGGGCGATTTCGTAACTGTGTCTGTAAGTATCACATAATTATCGTACCACGATACCTCAAGGCTCAAAGGACACTTTTTTTCTAATATGTGGTCGTTAATTTTATAAGATAAACCCTTTTTAACTGATTTCATTTGAAACATGCCTCTGAACCACTACTTTAATACCAAAAATTTCCCTGTTACGAGACCAAAAAAGCAAAAACGAGTTAAGCAAAAAGTGTGATGACGGTGGGATTTGAACCCACGCCTGCGAACAGACTGGAGCCTTAATCCAGCGCCTTAGACCACTCGGCCACGTCATCTTCTCCGCAACGATAAACTTTATGCCGATTAAGCTGTCACTTTGCAACAATATCATTTACTCGTTCACGACTCTTACTGGTTATTAATTTGCTTCCGTTTAGGCTGGTAGCCTGGTACTACTAAAATAATGGCTGCGATAAACTGCAGAATAAGACTTTCGCACAATTGTCCTACAGTCAAATTAAAGTAGTTCTGTGACAGGAACTGAATGTTTGTACAATAAGGATCTTAAAGGAGGGTTACAATTTCAGTTTAAATTAAGCAGGCTTGTAAATGTACACAATTCCGTGACTCTACGCATGCGCCAATAACTTCTGTATAACTGAATTGTACTTCCCGCCCTTTATTGTTAACTGAATTCCGCATGAACACCTTTTCATAATGTCATAACATGTTTCGTTCCGAAATAAGCATCTAAAACTATATGTTTACAAACTGTAAAATTATATAGTATATTAAACTAAGAAATAAGCTTTAAAGAAATCATTAACGTTGTGCAAGCTAATGAAGTCTGGGTGCAAAAGTTTGGTTGCACATACAGTACATGGATAGTGCTGAACCATTCAAACCAATAAGTTTTATTAATCGTATTTTGCTAATATGCAAACCCATGGGGCAACGAGATTACTGTCATGTTGGCAGTTGGTGCCGAGCCTCCATGCTTGCTGGTGCCAGCAAAATCGACATCCAATGCCTAATTAACCTTTTCTTATTATTTAATTGATGTGTTAGGTTGCCGAATAAATTTTGTAGAAATATCCGATTCTGGTTGCGACAAGTGTGTGCACAACCTATTGTGTCACATACAATAGGGCATTCAGTGTAGATGAATTTTATAATAACTGGCGTTGGAGTACGGTATCTCATAATTATCTGTATGGTGTACTCTGTATGTACATATTTTTACAATGCCGCTAGCGACGACATCCGATGGGTTTTACGTTCAGGTACGATGCATCTTTAATACTTGACGATAAGATAAGCTAAAGCGGCAATTGTGACTGCCTTATTAGCGCTGCACTATTTTCTCACTTGGTACTACAGCGCGGTTCTAATAAACATATCAAGCGTGGTGAACAACGGCTTATGATTACTGCAAAGTAGTGATGCTGCGTTTGGCGCATTTATCGTCGGTGACGATAGCAGTGATAAAAATTTTGTTGCTTTCATCTTTCACGCAGCGCACGCGGGTAACAATTTATTTTCACAAACTGCAGATGCCGCTTAGCACATCTGGCCGGAACGTCATCGAAACGCCACATGCAGGTATGTTTTCTTATTCGTATCTTCGGCAAGAATTGGGTCTCGCACTGACTTTTGTTGTTCTACATAAGCTGACCTTCACAACAACGGTGCGAGCTTTTAAATATCCGACTTTTAGGTACTTTACCGTTTGGAATTTGGATGTTGTTGCGCCGGTTATTCGTCGTACTGCACTTGAACCTAATTCTTTGTATATTGTACACGGGACTGGGACGTCTTCGTCTTCCTAATAAAAAAATAATAATTAACTGCACAATATGGAAAACTCCATCCAGAATCGCGAGACAGTTGGAGTGGAAGATTTCGTACTCCTGGAAAATTACCGTAGCGAGGACGCCTTTGTCGAAAATCTCAGGAAACGATTTCAGGAGGATTTGATATATGTAATTTCTTTTAAGCTTATAAATCTGTAAAAACGGCGTTTGGTGAATTATAATAAGTCAGGCAGGTTACTATCGTCGTTATTAAGTAATTGTTTCCTTGTTATATGCGTTTCAGACCTATATTGGAAGTGTCTTGGTATCCATTAATCCATACAAAGAACTCCCAATTTACGATGCGAAGCATATGGAACGCTACCGCGGTCAAAATTTTTATGAGCTTCCACCACATATGTATGTACTCGTACCTACGGATATACTTGCATTAATATAGATATATATGACTTACCACTAGTGGTACTAAGCTGTTTTTGGACAAGTCATTGAATATTGGGTACTGCATTAAACTTATATCGGATCGGTACCATAGTTATATTAAGTGAAGTTTACATGCATTACGTGTTAGCTGTATTCAGATTTTGCTAAAACACTAACAGACACATGGAGTGGTATACTTATATTGTAAATCCTTGTCTGCCTGTTCTCCAGTTTTTTTATTATTCTGAAGGTTGCAGCATCGTGTAGTTTTATAGGAGTATCTTATTAATGAATACTGTGGAACAGGTACCAATATTTACAAACTAACAGTAAGTAACAAGAAAAGTCGAAAAGGATACCACAAGTAAATGCATTGACTGTATGAAGGGATCACATAGATATATGCATGTGTACATCCGTAGAACTTTATAATATGCAGACTTAATTGAACGATTATATAAATGCATTAAAATTAATCGTGCAATTTAAGGGTTTCTACAAAAAAACATTTTTACTGTTGCAGATTCGCAGTGGCGGATACAGCATATCGTGCTGTCGTTCATGAATATAAAGACGAGTGCATTATGATCAGGTCTGCACATATAATCAACAAAAGCGACTGTTTACAACTCGTGCTCTAATAGAAAAATTGTGTTGACTATTAATATTAGCATTGTCGTAAGCTAACTGCTTGCTTCCATTTCATACCTACGTACAATACTTCTCATACTGTAACTTCAGTGGTGAATCCGGAAGTGGCAAAACGGAAGCGACGAAAAAGATTCTGCAATACATTGCACAAGCAAGCCGGCATTCAGGAACTGTAGACGATGTCAAAGATAAATTACTCGCTTGCAACCCCCTGTTTGAGGTAAGATTGTAACCAAATATACTTCTATCGATAATAACTACACCACGAATATGATTCCGCACAGGGTTGTTTAAAGTCCTTGCAAAGTTTTTTCATAGAAGTTTAAGTTTTTCGCGTTGGTGACTTACGTTATTTTTCCAAAGATTTGATCACGCAACGATGTACTTTATATTATTCCAGATTATTTCATAAAGATAAAAGGTGCATCAGGCTCCGGAGTTATAACTAATCCGGCAAATTGTCATGTTGTAAAGGATGCAATCGCATGTGCATTTTTGTTACAGCTATTTTTTTATGTTAAATAAATGTCGCCATGATTCTGGTTAAATTAAAAATTACAGGCTTTTGGAAATGCTCGCACAACGCGCAACGACAACAGCAGTCGTTTTGGGAAGTACATGGATGTGGAAATTGGAGTCGAAGTAAACAATTTAAACCATACTTTTGTGAAAGGTCAAAACCTATAAGTACAGCGCAGCTAAACAGCTATATTTGTTGTTAGAGCGTGTAATCATTGCCGTTACTCTAGGGGTAAGAGAGGAAGGAACGAACATACTGTACATGTACTGTACCTCTCCTCATGCATATTCACTCAGTCCTGTCGTACTCCTAGCTAGAGTAACGGCAATGGTGTAATGTTCAAACAGTTGTGCTTTTGCACTACTTATAAGTTTGGACGAAGCAATAATTAGTTTGTACATCAGAAAATCAGGAATGTACAATCACATGTTTCTTAACGTATCCGCAAAATACTGGATTATTGCTAAATATAGAGTTTCGCTTATCCATCGAAACCATTAATCCCGATGAACATACAGTATTATTTATTTAATTTTATTAAGGTAGAGGCTTGTGGAATAATATGCGGCTCACCAGCGTACACAGATAAACTTACTGTGCTTTGTATTGATGGTCACAGGGTTTTCCTATCGGAGGACATGTGTTGGATTATTTACTGGAGCGAACTCGGGTTGTATTTCAAGCGCCGGGAGAACAAAATTTTCATGTATTTTACCAGTTGCTGAAAGGAGCCGACCAAAACCTTCTTAGCCGGTTAAAATTATCAGGAAACTGGAAAGATTATCATTATCTGAACCAGGTACACACGTACACTGTAGAGCGCCAAGCTTCGACAACGTCGCGCTCTAGCAGTACATACTCTTAGGGATGATGAGTCTACGGACTCTATGATGATAATATTTATGAGAACTCATGCTTTACTTTATCACAGCGTAATATAATAGTCTATATTATACGAGTATTCGTGTCCGTAGATATAAAGACTCTTATGTAATTACGCTGTCTCATTTTAATTGTGTGTATAACTAGATTTCTACTAAATTATCATTATTTGATCACAAAACTAGAAAACACTTTGCCGCTTAAGGTTTTACTTGGTTTTAGGGTCTAAACCAGCACTTAAAGCTTTTGCGTAAATTAAGCCAGAGTGATATATTTTAACCTGAACTTTAACGCTAGGGATGCCGAACTGAATCAACGCAAATATCTCAGGAAGATGCGCTCAACAAACGATGGCTACAAGAATTTCGCGAGATTATCCATGCGTTCGACGCGACTCATTTCACACCGAAAGAAATATCTGATCTGTTCACCACAGTCGCTGCCATACTGCATTTGGGTAATGTGCAGTTCATGGAAGACGGAGACTATGCCGAAATGAAAAGCGCAGAGGAAGTTGTGATAGTTTCCGAGGTATACGAGTACCCCTTTGCTCAGCTGGATCGCGTTAATTTTGGAAATTTTAAAAATAAAAAATTGAAGTTACTTTTAATTTAGCTTTTGGGCTGCTCGAGAGATGATCTTATGCAAGCCTTGACGCATCGCGGAGTCCATGCGCGACAAGAAAAAGTTTGTTTGCGATGTTATTTGCCGGTTTCCTTTAAATTAGTTTATCTTAGAAAAATTCGTATTGGTCAGGTGCTGGCGAAATTTAATCGAGAGCAAGCAACTACATCGAGGGATTCACTAGCCAAAGCTGTATATGCCAAAACGTTCCAGTGGTTAATCCAGCGTGTGAACCAAGCGCTGCAGGCATCCAATCAGTCCCGATCAGCGGTAATCGGTTTACTGGACATCTACGGGTTTGAGGTGTTTGAGCGAAATAGTTTCGAACAGGTTGGTGTTTGACTGAGTGGTGCAACCTTACTCGTAAACAAATGTCTATAGTGGTCAGCGAAGTGTATTATTTCAGTTCTGCATTAACTACTGCAACGAAAAACTTCAACAACTGTTTATCGGTAAGCTTGGCACACGGTTATTCGTTGTTTATTATTGGAAAACCGGAAATAATTACAGAGCTGACACTGCGCTCTGAGCAAGAAGAATACGTGGCCGAGAACATTCCATGGGAGCAGGTGGAGTATTTCGACAATCAGATCATCTGCGCTCTGATCGAAGCCAAACCAGTGGGCATAATTCCACTGCTGGACGATGAGTGTCTGCGTCCCGGCAACGCCACGGATGCCACATTCTTAGAAAAGCTTCGCGAAAAGCACACAAAACATCCGCATCTGCTAATCAATCGGGATAAACAGCAGTTCACAATAAAGCACTACGCCGGGAATGTAATTTATGATGTGGAAGGCTTTCTGGATAAAAATGGAGAATTACTGCACCGTGACCTTAAAGAGATCATCATCAGGTGTCGGAATAATGATATCCTAAAGAACGCGTTCACCAACGAAGAGGCGACCAGCTTGAAACGCGCACTGAGTACAGCGACACAGTTTAAGAACAGTCTCAAAGAATTAACCGTCATCTTGAAATCGAAGGATCCGTTTTATGTCCGCTGCATACGTCCTAACGACCATAAAGCATCCAGAAACTTTTCGGATACGATCGTCCGGCATCAAGTGAAGTATTTAGGTCTGATGGAGAATTTAAGGGTGAGACGCGCTGGCTATGCATACCGGCGCTCGTACGATGCGTTTCTGCGCCGGTACAAATCCTTGTGTCCGGATACGTGGCCGCACTACAACGGGCCGGCAAGGGAGGGCGTGTCCTTGCTGTTAAATTATCTGCAGACACCTGCCAAAGCGTACGCCATGGGAGTTACGAAACTCTTTGTCCGAATGCCACAGACGATTTTCGCCATTGAAGACGCGTTCCAGGAGCGGAAAAATGATTTGGTAACCAAAATCATTGCACTGTGGCGGGGACGACGGCAGCGGCAGGCGTACCTTCGCGACCGGGAAGATATCATCACCGCGCAGAATGCAGTGCGCCGCTTTTTGGCCGTTAAATTGCTCAACAAACGTCGTGTGGCGGCGCGGTCGCTCAGAGAATTCATCAAGGGATTTATGGAACGACACGGGCCGATGACGGATCTCAATCGGAAATTCTGGTTACAGACCAGAATGGTCTACTTGAATAAGTTGGCGAAGATGGCTCTGCCGGTGTCTGTTTTGGACAAATCATGGCCAACGCCGCCGCCTTTTCTGAAGGAAACATCAGATTTATTGCGTAGTCTTCACATGAGAAATCGCGTTTTGAAGTATGTGAAGCATTGTAGTCCAGAGCGGAAGTTCCTAATGGATGAGAAGGTCCTTGCGGAGAGGCTGTTTAAAGGTCAGCCACCGAGCGTTTAAACCAACAAAATTATACTTGCATATAAACACCCTAACGAAATTTTGAAATTTCAGGCAAGAAAACTTTGTACTTGTCGTCTATTCCTCAGTTTTTCATCACCGTCCGTTTGGGTGCGGAAACGAAACCCTTCGTAGAGCAGTTTGAAAATTCCATCCGGCAACCAACGGAGAAAACCGTTTATGCCACTGACTGCAGGAAATGGGACCGGCACGGACTGAAGGAGCGCAATCGCGCAATGGTGATCACCACACAAAATTTGTACTTTCTGGAACCTGGAAAAGCCGGGTTCAAGAAAAAGAATGCGTTCCCGCTTTACACTGTCGACAAGCTTACTGTCAGCGCAAACCGGGATTCTGTACTGATTCTGACGGTAACGACGCCGGCACAAGGCAAAAAGCCCGAACAGACCAACGACTACATCTTTCTTCTGCCAAATTTGATTGAATTCGCAATGAAATTTGTCCTAGTCAGCGGCAAGGAGAGCATCGTGGAGGTCGTGCCCAATGGGCGTTGTGCCATTAAAGCGGGCGGCCAGAATGGATGCGCTGTTGACTTCGGTCTGGGCAGTGTTGACAATATTTTGGGCCATAAGAAGATTTTGATAGTTCAAAGTTCCACATGATTTGAAGTGATTAAGTACTCGCTACTTACAAGTTACAACTATCCATAAACTAAGTATCGCGAATCGTTTATATAATTAGCTACGTTCGTACCTACCCAGAGTGCCTACGTACGTACCTACGTAATTACCCAGAGCGCTTATTATTTTAAAATAAAAAATCGTTGTTGTGAATGATGACATTCGGATGAATCGGATCATACTTTTTGGTGCTATTTTTACGAATTACGTATTGTAAGGCCAGCCGGCGCGAGCCAGTCTTCTGGCGGCATCTGGCCTCTGCAGAGACGAACGGAAGGAGAAAATATAATACTCGGCAAATAACTTCAATACGAACCAAACTGAAAGGCAGAACTGGATTTCAAGCTCACACACATCATTATTTATGCATGTACTGCCAAATAAGGGACGGAAACAAAGATACTGGAGCAAACTTAAAGGCGTCTCAAAGAGGAGGGACGACTTCCTTCACACAGCTCTGAGCATATCTTGTTAAAATTATGTATAAGACGAATTTTATGGCCAGGGAACCGGAAGCTGATGCAGGGCACATACATTAATAGTACTTATTCAAAGCCATATTCGTTTCGGTTTGATATCGACGTGACAACGGAAGACACTAGTTCGCGGCTATACCGGCCGGAATGAGTATTAGTGTAGCCTTTGTAAGCCAGGAAATGCGACCGGAAGTCGGTATTTTAGCACCTCAGCGACACAAGCCTTGTCCAGGCACAGCCCAGTCATTCGCCGTCACATTGGCTCTTTGATAATATGCCACGTAGCAAATTGCCAAGGCATTCGTTACGGACTAAATTTCGTAAAACAATTTTAGTCTTGGTTCGCGAATTTTTTACAAGTACGAAGTATGAAAAGCGGGCCAAAGCCATAGATTGGAGGCAGCCGCCAAACGAGGGCGGATGTCTTAAGCGCTATGACACAGTATTCCTGGTCAGTTTGCAGTTTACCGTATTATTACTATTATACGTACATTTTGCAGGCAGCGCTGCAAATCTACGCTAATGGGCAATGGCATTCCGACGAACATCAAAAACTTTGGCGCGCCTTTTTAACATGCGATATTTTCAAGCCGGATAGAATTTCGTCCGTTATGAATCAAGCAAATTGGGACTCTTAGTTTGTTCATGAAGCACTGAAGACTGAAGAGCAGTTGGTTTACTGCTACAAATTAGTTTCGGAATCATGGAAGTAGTTGCGGATGATCCTCGCGATTCAAGCCTCGCCGAGACTGATCAGGATCGGGATCCAGTTAATCGAGATGCCCACACGAATCCTGATTCCCGGGAGCAGACTGAGATGCATTTAACGTCTGAAGTACTCCGACCGCTGGAAAAGGAACCAGAACCAGTGCCGTTCAACGCGCTTGTTGATGTGGATTCGCATTTGCCTAGTGCATCGAGCAGTGGCTTGGAAATAACTGCTAATGAAAGTGGGTACTTTGTCTGAAACTTGTTCGAATTTGAGTTTTCGTTACTTGTTGGCTGTGTTTGTCTTTGGGTAAATTGTGTACGCTCTTTGCAGATAATACTCTTCGTATTGACGGAAGCACCTCGTTAGGTGAGCATTCCGAATCGTCTCCGGTGCCTAACGATCTCCACCAGAATCTCGACGTTCCGGAGAGGGTTATCGTGCATGAACAACGTGAGCATTCCGATGAACCTTGTAAGGAACAGTAAACTGCATATTTGTAAAAGCATTTATTAAGTTTTTTTTCAGTTGAAGTGGGATATGAACGAAGCAGGTCGTCCAGAGCTTATTCTTTGTCGTTTTTTATTAATTAAGTTTTAGAATTTAGAGTATTATAAATCTTTTATAATATATGGTTTTATGAATTCCTTTAATGCGATTTACATTCTTTAGGGATTTTACATGCGATTTACATTCTACATGCGTATTGGATATATTTAAGATTCAATACTTTACGGTTTTGCGTAATATCCATACTTCTAGGCAGCCCTAAGACCAGTCAGGTGCAGACCGCTACCGAAAGTCCGTGCGATCTTTCGTCGTTGCCCGAAGAATTGCCACACTCGGTAGAGCCGGCTACCGATTCACTGCAGGAGGTCGCAAGGTCTTCTTACCCAGATGAGAACGTCGACCAGCGGCTTGAAACGGGGCTCCATCTTTCTGAGGATGTCGAGATGAAATCCATTCAGCCGGCGCCATGGCCGGATACTTGTCAGTCCTGTTATTGCAGTCGCTCGCCTGTGGATTCTAGCAGCTTTCACCGGATTGCTTCCACGTTTCTGCGAGGAACTTTGTGCCAAGCCGTTGTACAGAAGGGCGCACAGATGCAAAGTTGCTTGCATACATTGTCGCAAGATGACTACGCTGTACGCTTTGAAATAGGGGCCGATAAAGTTGTGGCGCTGTGTCATTTTCATCAAGAAGAATTACGGTTGCATCATTTGTGCCCTGTCTGTGCGACCTTCTACGATAGCGGACTAATGACGTTATGCCGTGGAAATGGTACAGATTTCCATTTTTTTCATCGGACTTGTCTCAAAGCCGAAAACTGGTCATTTGCGCACTGCCCACATTGTGGTAATTCTGTGGACTCTTGCGAAGAGATTAATGGATTTCCATTAGAGTTACGATTTCCACAGCCGTCCAAAATTCCTCCGCTTTCTGTTTTGACATTCACCGACCGCGTTTCGCCGATGCCGGCCGTTCCTCCACGCACAATCTGTCGTTTTAATGACAAGCTGGTTTTCACTCCAAAAGGATTGTGGCGCGACACGGATCTTCGCCGTATGGCAGATCTTATGGCCAAGCTATCGAATCTGACATCCCGGGAGTTCATGCAGAAAAGAGATGACGAAACACTACTAAAGGCAGTGGAAGATGACGATCCACTGACGGTAAAATGCAATCGACATGGAACAAAATTAATATTTTTTAAGTAACTGTTGTTAAGTAAATAGATTTAACGATATTTATTTATTTTAATCTAACAAGTATGCGGTTATTTATTAATTGGTATTATTACTGTTATCAATACGTGCCTTCAGCTTCTGTTTATCTATGATAATTTTGATTTTTATGGTCTTGGTTCTTGATTGTCAAATTTTTGCTTTTGCATTACTATTCTGCTAAATTGAAACTTTGTACAGCTGGCGTTCTGCCTCCTGGACGTTGGCCCATGGACACCAACCAACAGTAAAATGTCCATGTTACCTCAAGCTGTCGATCTAGCCTGCAGCACTGGTCACTTGGTGTGCCTTCATCTGTTACATGTGGCCGACGTACCGCTCGACACCGTGGATGAGAAGGGCTTTTCTCCGCTGATGCGTGCGGTTATGGAGGGACAATTTGATATTGCTCGATACTTGTATAAGGAATGCCATTGCGATCTGGATCAAACAGATTCAGAAGGAAAAACTGTGCTGCACCATTTACTGGATTCTAGTTCGGATCATCACTTGATATTTCGACTGGTAGATTACGGGCTGATCACACCGTTTTTGATTAAAATTCTCACTGAAGACAGCCAGGATCTCTTTGTCCCGGTGTATCTCCGGGTCCATGCGGAACGTTTACTGCCCGAGCCGAAGGATCACTTTGCGAGGTTCCAGAAAGCCATCATGAACCATGATGAGGACACTGCCGCGACAATAATCATGTTTCACTTTCCGGAAATATTGAAGCGACCGCTAAAAGACCTGAAGGACTTGTGCGAGTAGGTTTGTCATATTTCGAAAATCGGAAAAAAAGTGATTGGTAATCTACAGCTCATAGTTCGCAGCGTTGTGCGTGGGGCATTTGTGGCGTTCGTTGTAATGTTGTACCAGTATGGTAATACAAAGTTGTTCGACTCTTGTGTGGGAAGAAGATAAATGTCACTTGAATGCACGAGTATTTTTGGCTTAAAACCATGCGTTGCAAATTACTACCAGTATTTAATTTATTTTGTTTTGATGCAGGAGTTGGCCATCTATTTGGGCTCTAGTTGAGCAGAAGTGGATAGCCAGTGAGAAAAACTATGTCGTGTGTCATGATATCACCAATGGTAAAGAGCGATCACCTATTCGACTAATTGGTCGACCGGAGGATTCATCGCTGGAAAATGACTTTACGTATGTTTCCCGCAATGTGTACCCTTCGAGTATTAAACCGCTGCTGGCACGCAACAGTTTGATTTCGTGTGACTGCGGTCCCGTCTGCCATCCTGGGGGATGCAGATGTCGGCAGATGAGTTCGCGGTATTATTCGGATGGTCGACTTGGTCCTAAACATCAGGATGATACACGGAATGTTGTTTATGAATGCCATGAATTTTGCCAGTGTGGACCGGAATGCGGAAATCGAGTCATACAGAAAGGCATTCGTGCCCCATTGGAAGTCCGTAAAACTCCCAACCGTGGCTGGGGACTTTTTGCTCGCTCCTTTATTTCGGAAGGAGAGTTCTTGGCTGAATACTGTGTAAGAATTAAAATTTGAGAACATCCGATGACACAAAAAAGTCACATGAAATAAGACTTCGGATCTCTGAGAATGTCAGTTATTGGATCGGTTATTTTTAGGGGGAAGTTGTTACTGATCAGGAAGTTAACACTCGGGAGCATGCTGGGGTTTATTTATTTGAATTGCGTGATTGTGAAATAAATGGCCAGAAAGATGGAAAAAACAAGGAAACTTATTGCGTGGACGCTGACAAAATTGGGAATGTGGCTAGATTTATTAATCACAGTTGCAGTCCTACGGCACATCCGATATGGTTTTTCCATCAGATCCAGGACTCACGGTTTCCGCGTATTGGATTCTTCGCAGCCAAAGACATCCATGCTGGCGAGGAGGTAATTCGTTGGCAGTGCACTTTTATGGCTGCTTCTTGTTATTTAACCCGGGTCCGTTACTAGGAACTGTTACAGTAATTAAAGTGTGGTGGTTTTATGCATAGATTTGATATCTGCTGTGCTGTCCGACTCATGCTTAAAGCATTGAAGTTATAAGTTAACATTAATTGGTCTCAGTTTTGTTGAGTTGAAATATGGTTTTGTTGTAGATATGTTTTGATTATGGCAAAAGCTTTTGGACCATGAAGAATTACGAATTCAAATGCGAGTGCGGCTCGTATGAATGTCGCTACCGTCCGCAGCCGCCTGCTACCGTCGGATTAGGTTCGCACTCGAAGACCGCTAGCGGCACTACTCCTGCTGCCACCAGTCATGGCTCTGGCAAAAAGACAATGGGTTCTGACACAAATGGCCAAGAGGCTTCCAAGCGGCGGAAAATGTAAATTTGTGAGCTGTGGACTTTTTGTACAGTGTTCTGTGCTAGGGTTATTTTCTGAGTACATTATTGTTTGGATTATTCAAGTTTCTCAGACTGATCAATTTTTTTGGTTTGCCATCGAATTTTCCATGGAAGCGGTGTAAATAAAATAATACGCTGTTATTCGTTACGGTGTACAACTGGTTCAGGTAAAGACGTTATTTTAAGTTTTTTTGGTATACTGATGCTGATATCTCGTACTGATGTTAACAAAGGCTGTCCCACGTCAAGTAGTTATTGATAGGTTTCTGCAGTTTTTACGAATCTCCGAGGTGCTATCTAAATCTTAAGGCAACAATATAACAAAAGGGTCGCGTGCATGTGTCGAGTGAGGCAGTCTACGCGTCTGATACCGGGTTCATCCGCATTATACACATAATCACTTAATAATTCTTTTTTTACTATCTTTTGTTGAATTTGCTACAAATATAATGTAATCAAGCCAGCATTGTTTTCGTAGTAGACACATTCACGTGCGGAGCATTCCAGCGGAGTACATGAGATTACAGTAATAAATAGAAACCCGTAACGACTTCCCATTCTGACAACAAATACTTCTTTAACTGTCCGATTATGCATCGTGACAGGCATCTTTAGGGAACAATTGTGCGTCTAGGAACTACAGTTGTCGGCAATGGCTGCCAGTCTGCCGTCGACAGGTCGCGACAGATGAATTGTCATTTATCGGGCTGTGGCGCGTAGTAAATAATCGTGCGTATCTAATGTTATTCCATTCGAATGCGGTTCCAGACTGCATTCGCCCTCGAGCTCCAGCGAGAACTGCTGCAGTACCGTGGCAAATATTAAGAACAGCTGCATTTTGGCTATTGATTCCCCAGGACAAGACCGTTTCCCTATAATTAGACACTTCATCATTGACTGACCTTGCAGAAATTTCGATACTTTTGCTTTGTTCATTTGTACAGATGCATTGCGTAATATTTGCGCTTGTGCTTGCGGCACTATCTTCAAAGAAATGTGCATACTTTGTTTGACAACAAAAATTTATACAGGTTAATCTAAGTACAGTGTATAGCAAACATAAAGTGTAAAGATTCGTATCATTACGATATCCGACAATCTTTGTTGTCAAATATTACGACGCAATGCGCATACATATTCGTTTCAAATTCAAGCGAAGCGAAGTCAGTCGAAATTTGTATTTTCACACTTATGTATATTTAGGAACCATAAATGTTAAAAAAGATCGAACTGCGATGTGTGAATCATAACTGAAACTTTGATGATTAATTAATAAACAAATTAATCAAGTGAGCATTACTTACCAGTTGAAAAGGGGATAAAATCCTTTGGAATAACTAGCGACGTGCCGGTAGCATCGAGAAATCTGTCCGGATGGAATTCGTCCGGTTGGCTCCAAATGGCTTCATTACGATGAATATGCCATAAATTGGTAAAAATCCATGCGTCTTTGGGGATAGTGTAGCCACACAGCTCGGTTTCCTCCACACTGCGATGCGGTATGCCAAGCGGACCGATGGAGCTCAGCCGTTGAGATTCAAACAGAGCAGCCTGGGTATAGGGCAATCTGGCCAGATCGGCGTAATTGGGATAGCGCGCCTTCCCGACCACTTCATCCAGCTCTTGCTGGATTTTGGCTTGTGCTGCTTGGTCTCGCGCAATGTACAGAAAAGCCTATCAACAATGAATTCATTAATAATATTCTCAAAGCTATGCTTGTATAGACTATATACCACGCACATGCATTTTGTATACGTACAATTTTTCCGCGTTAAACTGCTGTATTGATAAATGAATTATGGAGGAATTATGAATTATATAATATTATTGAAGATGTACACAATAGCTTCCGCTGTCTGTTTGTTGATTGATGCACAGCTGTGCCGATATATGCATGTACTGTACATAATACGCGTAATTCGCATAGCGTAGGTATTTACCGGTACTTGGATGCATTAGATTGATCATCATTCTTACCCATGCTGTGAATAAGTCTTATGAATAATTATAACAAGTCTTGTAATAAGTCTTATAACTTACCCATCTTAAAGTTGAAGTAGTAGTGTCGTACCTACATTCAATCAAAATTATGGCAATTTTGATTATTAAATAATTAATTATTTATTTAATTATAATAATAATTAAAATTGCGAATTTACCCCGTAAGAAACAGTTCTCGTGCAGCCCCGATGTATTGCTGATCTAGATGAGATAATACAAATCAGGGTCAACTTCCTTTCCTCGAATGTATACGTATCAGGTACAACAAACAAAACAGCATTTTACCGGTAAAAAGCACTGATCGACCTAGTCGCGTCTTCTCGTCCTTTCTGGCCTTGATGAAGGCATCCGTGAAATCGGCAATTACCGATGAATCCCAGCAGTCTTCTTGGTTTTTGATGAACTCCGCAATGTACTGCGCTGCTCCCTCCAGCGCATCGACCACTTTGGAGAAACTGTACCGGATCGTGGGGATGATGCGTAGAAACGGGAAAATGTTCAGTGCGCCGGCTGTGCCGAAGAACTGGAAGACGGCGTTCATGTTGTCGTAGAAGGTGCACGTAGCACGATTCTCTGCATCGTAGCGCATCCCGAAAAGCACACCGCACAGCACATTCCCCACCGCCGTCTGCAGAAAGGTCTTGTTGTCAAAGGGCATGCCGTTGGTGGAGGCAATGCTCTTCACTAGGCGCTCAGTTTCTTCGGCAACTTGCCCTTCGAACTGGCCTTTGCCCACTCCCAGTGTTTTGAAGGTTTTAAATGCAAACCGGCGATGCACCGGCCATGTCTCGTCAGATGCGAATGATATTCCTACAATATTCAAAGTTCACATATGTTAGCTATTGGGGTTTTGTGATTTCGCCAGCTAGCTTTGAAAATCTATGCTGTTTTATTATTATCATGTGCCCCTGAATAAGCTGATCTTCTATAAACACGCCTCTGTACAGATACAAGATACGTAATCTAAAATACAATTCTAGAAATCCGTCGGCCAGATAATTCATTAAAATTAAATTAAGTGATTTAAATTGTTTTGTCGTGAATTTTACTTAGAACTGATCACGTACCCATGCCTTTGCTGGTAACTTGTGCGGTGTACATATGCGGACGTCCGTTGAAGACCGGCTTGGAAAACGCCTCACGTATTAGGTCAGCATCGTTCAGCACGATGACCATATTACCGCCCAGCCGGCAGCTGAAGATCTTTCCGAATTTCTTGGCCCATTTTGTAAACGACACATGCGGCAGTGCATCCAGAAACGGTAGGCAACCGATTATAGGAAACTGGAGTGGTGAAGGAGGAAGATTTTTCTTGGCGCGTCTCAGATACCATAACAATCCTAACAACACAACAGCGAATGCAATCACGGCACACTGATAATCAGCCGGCATGTACGCTAACGGTCCCGACCATAATGCATACGTAAAGGTCTCCATATTAATCATCAAGTTAAACGCAGAAATTGCCCAGTTACTTGTGCATGCAAAAATGAAACAATCTTATCACGAAATAAGTAAATCCGAGCGGCGAAGACGAGACAAAACTAGGTCTGATGCTGACCCACTGCACTAGAGAAAAGAACAACTTATCTCAGCAAACTTTCTCTTGTGATATCTATGCCGCTTCGCTTATATAGTACTACTGTAATAGAAGGCCGCTTTCGGTTTTCTTTAAGAATTTCCTACAAGTCAAGTGTGATAGTGCGCCTGATCACTCACGCACCGCGCAAGAAAGGCGGTACTTTCTAGTATCAGTGCGTGGCGTCACAATAATATTTTGCACAACTTTCCAGAAGTAAACGTTTGACGGTCATCTAGTACAATACGATATACTCATAATTATATGCGCGACAGGGCTTTTAAATTAATTTAGCCAATAGGACCGCTTGGCGTCCCTTTATGTCGTATCGCTTCTAAGCTGGGACAAGTGTAACGGTGGAAAATATTACGTTATCCGTCCTTCCGGTGCGGGCACTGTATTGCGTAACCGGTGTATAGGTGTTCACAGATACGCAGAGGTGGTTTACCGAACTGTGCCCAACGACTGCGCAGAGTTTGTACGGCACTGGTAAGGGCATTCAACCTGTTGCTCGATACTTCGAACAAACTCATGGTTATATGGAAAACACGCCGGTCAAGCTCGAACAAGCTGACAAACTTTAACTTTATAACGATGACCGTTTGTTCGTTTTTATTTTTGTTTTGTGTAATATTTCGAGCGAAATACACCCTTTAAGTGCCGTATAATAGTCGGAAAAGAAGAAGATACGCGATACGTTACTGCGATGTTTTCACTTTTCAGGTGATTTCGAGAAAACACGCAGATATTAATGTCAAATGGATCTGGTGGGAAACAAGTGACTAAAGCGTGTTCTCAGCAGTCTGACCGCACGTGTCGTCACACTACCATCGATGACGCAAAATCTTGCTGGATTAATATTAAGTAACATTTGTTCACTAAAATCCTATCATCGCACTCTGTTCCAAAACAAGGATGCTGGCTACCGCACTAGACGATAACGCTTACGAGTAACACCTACGATAACACATGGTTTATTCATAAAAATTCACATTTTTCTTACAAAAGTATATGCTTTCAAAACTGGTTCAAGGTCACCACTGAAACGTGCGCGGAAAAGCTGACAACGTTAACGGCGCGAATAGCCACACATCATTGTCAGGTAGTTAAGAATGAAGAATCCTACTGTAGCAAATAATAAATAAACATCATGGTGTACGAGTATGTAAAAGAAGTAAGCAGGTACAGAGGAGAGAGGAATCAAAGTTGCAGTGTAATAAGAACTGAATTTTTATTCGGCAGCAACCAGTAGTCATACACACCCGCCTGCGCGGATTTAAACTAATTAAAATTAAAACTGATCAAGCTATAAATAAACAAACCAAATAAGAATGGTTTACATTTAAACCAATATCTGTGCTAAACGTGATCCTGATAGGCACAGACTTTACGGTATTTTTTCGTCACTATGTAAAAATAATATGGAGGTGCCCGAATTACATTAGGCTGAATTGTATGCCATGTACGAGTATTTAATTTTAATAGAATAACAAAAATCACTGTTATTTTGTATCAGTTGCAAGAATACTAGATATTACGAGGATGCAATATTACGAGATTCTAGCCATTTTCAGATTTCTTTTGGATTCTGACTTTTTAAATGTTCTTTTTTTGTCGCGGTAGTCATTGGCCATAAAATTCCTTTTAAGATTTTGAGCCGGCAGATGGAACAGCGCACTTCGGCAGAAGAGTAAAAATGGGCCGAAGGTTACTGCGGCAGTGGTACAACAAGTTAACGTTAGCGCATACGGCATTCATCCATGACATCAAACTATGAGCATAGTCCTGAGGTGAACATCCTCCTGCATGTACTACTTTAAACTTACTACGGAAATTTCACCTCTAAAATTCGCAAAACTTTGTTAAAACATTTAGTTCGTCGAACTTTGATTACAACCAAAACCGGTTAGGTCGGTCACGTGACGCACAGCTAGACGGGCAACACGTAATTTTCGTCTGCTACGGGGTGTGACGAGGTGACAACTGGAACAGCCGGCACTGTGAATATCCTCATGCTCAACAGTACTGTATAAGGTGCTGGCTGTAAGTGATAATAGCTGCGCTGATGACAGGGGAAACTTTTGAAAAGGAAAAAAATTCTAGACAAAAATAGCAGTCTAGTGCAGTGAACTAATATCTGTAGCAATCTTTAGTCGGTGGTTATTGCATTTTGCCAATCTTGAATAAAGGATACGTGCAGCGAATGCTTGTGTAGGTATTTTGTTTCAAATTTCCGGAAGTTGTCTATCGTAGGAGGATCAAAGGTCACGCATCGGTGGCCAGGTGCCGAATGGAAACTCGATGTATGTACAAGTTGATTTTTATAGAATCTTTCCTTTTTCAGAGTGTCCCTGCTTATTATCGCTGCCATTACTTATGTCATTTTCGCGGATTTTTACCATAATTATTGTTTAGTTCGCAGAGGGTGTGCGCCAGTGGTGCCATGCCAATCGATAGGTGTATGAACGACCTGGATACGTTACAGAAGATCTCAATCTTAAACAATTCCGCAAGTACATGATTTTGGACGTGTTATGTCATCGTTCTGTGTGCGCGTGCGGTTTTCTGGTCAAGCTGATTTCTGAAATTAATTCACATTTGTTCGTGTGTTCGTTCGTCCAAACATCTAGTGAAGACTACTTTATCGGTTATTTACCTTCCTTTGGCCACATTTTAAAAGATCGTTCCGATGACTTAAACAATGTTATCTCTTCCAACTGCTTATTTTTTATACACACTATGGTTTTTAATCGAGCAAATTCCGTTGCATCTATAAGATTTCAATTCAGTTGTGAGTGTATAATTCTCTCATTGAGCTTTCGCTTTCCAGAAGATTGTGAAAAAAATTATAGCACAAAAGTAAAACTGTTTTTGCAAAACTTTATTTAGTTCTAACAAATGGACGCTGCTATAGGATAACGGGTTGCGATCGAATTCGTTGGCTACAACTGACAGGCGAAGATTTCAAACCATGCAGTACATAACGGTTTTTAGCCTGTAGACATGATTTTTATATAAACAATCCATTTCCTGGACGTGGTTCGTGTTGCACCGTACTTCAGCTTAATTAGTCAACGTTTCTCCATGACCAGTAGCGAACACTCAATTTTTTAGCTGTTTTCAAATAAAATTAGTCAGTAGCAAACTTACTACCGGTAGCCATCGTTCCGGAATTCAAAGGGCACGGAAATTCTTCACTGGTTGCGTTAAACACCTACTCAATATTATATAGTCAATAATAAAAGAAAGACAAGTGACGCACACATTATCAAATATTCTTACATGTCTCAAAAAGATTTCCAGTTAAAAGCGAATTAGGCAAAAGTAGAAATAAAACCATGTATTTTATAATTAATCGGCTGCCTATCAGCTAGCGTATCATTTTCGGTATTGAGTCTACTGAGGTCGCACAATAATTATTCTGTAACATCGTGTACGGTATGTGAATATCTAAGGTATGTTTTATAAATTATGTATAGATATGTACATTATAAAATCAATATAATCACATTTACATGAGTTAAAATTATTCAAAGTAATTCTGGAAAAATGAAGTTGAGCGCCGCGTAAAACGCCAGTCAATTGCATTGCGGTATCGCGGTGTGCTGTAAAAGCTCTGTCATATAAAAGAATAAACCATCATAAAGAATAAACCAAAGAAAAAACTGTTGAATGCTATTACTTTTATAATTAAAGCTGATATTATTCCCTTGCTTAATTGTGGTTGCGAGTTTGCTTTTTATTGCAGCTTACGGTTAACTTACGGGGCTGCTAATGTATTCGTACAATAGCATGCATAAGCCTACCGTTAAATAAATCCTAGTAAGGAAATACCCTAGGGTAGGGTTTTCAGTAGATAATAATTTTTTAAAATGCAGACCTTAAAATTAATTTTAATATAGCAAGACCGCCAGTGGCCAGAGTTCTTTTGTTTGCCGTAGCGCCTCCTGTAACCATAAATGTGGTTGTTCAGAAAAGTGGTTCCTGTGCTTTACCGTATACATAATTCAATCACACTATTCTACTTTGTAGAATCGCTGGTAAAGATTTGCGAGATTAAAAACTACTCTAGCTAGCAAATCTTACTCATTTTGTACTCCCGCCTGCCACACCCAGGCAGGCCCACACCTTATGGACTATGATTTTTGTTCAGGATAATTTTAGAAGTTAAAATTGCCAGATTTGATTTTACGCATCTGTTAAAGGTTTCTGTAAAATAATAATTTTAAATGTATCCCATCGTAAAATTGATGAACCTTATATTTACAGATATGTTTATAAGATATGGGTACGTGTATTGTACACGATCTTCCCTCCTTAACATAATTATGCAGTGATAAAACGCCTGTGATAAAGATAGCAACGCCACTCTATTTGTAGTTTCAGTTAAGTACGCAACCAAAACGTTCTGGTTTTCAAATCTTCTAGTTCATCGTAAGTGTCAATTATGCATGTGAAACATGATAATGATGCATAAATACTGCAACAGGATTTTTTAGTTTGCCCATTTACAAAAGATAATACAAGTGCAAAATAGGATAGTCATTCCTGGTGATCAAGACAATCTAATTTAGGTAGAACACACCCGCTTTAAAAACTGAATTAGTGGACAATTGCGAAGAAATAGTTCCATAAATCCATCCTAGGCCTGAATATATTATTTGAAATGTGAAGAGACAAATGCTGACACACACCTCCAGAATATGGTTTTTGTCCCCCCTTTTATAGATGCTTGCAAAACAGATTGCATTTTAGACATCTTTAGAAGATTTAAATATTTCTTTGTATATGTCCAATATTACATGCGAAGAGAGATTTTGGTGCGTCGCAGCCGGCAAAAGTCTCAAAAAGCGAAAAGCCGTTACAACATTTTGGATTTTTAGTTGATAGTTTTATGTTACGTAACATAAAACTATCAACTAGAAATCCAAAATCTTGTAACGGCTTTTCGCCAACGTACAGTACAATTGAATAACTGTAATTACTGATATTGAGTATATTCACGATCAATATCAGTGATTACAGTTATTCAAGTGTACTGTACGATGCTTTTTGTACAAACAGTGGATAGTTTCGTGGATAACCCATTCACGTGCAATGGTTTAAAAGACAATGTTCGCTCGTGTTTTAAATTCAAACAAAGAATGTTATAACGTAAGCTCAGAAACCATTTCTTTTGTGGAGCTCGAGCACGCGACAAATACCATAAAGTACCTCTACAGCTACGGCATACAGTACATGTAGTGTATTGCATGTATAACCATGGAAAAGTTCCAATAAAAATATTGCAAATTAGACCTTAGTTGGCGAAAAAGCTAGTACAAAGTTTCTTGGACACATCGTCTGTTTCATGTGAATTTTACACATTAACCATTTTTAACTACATCCAAACACATAAACTGCAGTGTTGCAGTTTTTGCATTTGGAATCTGAGGTTTTAATCACGGAAAAGGCCAAATTATGTGATGTGATGATGGAAGCAGAAATGACTGCACGGCATAGTCAATTATGTTTTGTTTTTCTCCACTAGCATTCGAAATGTGAAATTGTCTTATATTCAGTTGAAGATGTAAATCACCTAAACCTCATCACCTAATTATTTTATCATATTTTAAGGGATATACCTTAAAATAAGGTATAGGTATAATTAGGTATAAGGTAAAATAAGGCTTACATTTTAAGGGATATATGCAGGATAAAATGAAATAACCAAGATGACAACAATTATGACCAATCTGCAGCTGCGCAAACGGCATATAACAATTTTGTTTAAGTATAGCTACCGTTTTCTCACTTTATGAACTCTTTTTCATGAATTTCTGCTTTATAACTATACACTTTGTGCTGGAATTAACCACTCCTGTTGCACATCATCCTTTATTATAGCGATCGTGACACACTGATAAAAATTTAATGTGTTTTAAGCCGCATATTTTATACTGCAGTTGAGTATGCGTATACACATTGCACATTCTAGCGACCACTATAACTTAATGCTCTTTTGCTAAAAAGAGCCCGGCGCCGCGATGTAAGATATTCTACTGATATATAACCAAATTGTTGAACATTCGCAGTTCTCTACATTGAGTGGCACTTGGCAGGGATCCGAAGCAATCTTCGTCTCTACGTCTCGATTTCACTTTTTAAAAATGCCGGGAGAAAATCCAGGGGAGTTCAGGATACATCAATTATGGCACAATGAAAGGCGATAGTTTAAAACCTTAAAGCGGACAATAAATTCTAATTGCACTGCGAGTTATGCAGCACGTAGTCAGGGTCAGACCTCTATAGCGTCTTCGGTATGATAATGCGCGTTGCCGGCGGCGCATCACGACTTATTCACGAGATCTTCCAATCCGCAACCATCCATGTCACAATCACTTTTAGCTGTTCGTCAAGCGAACTGGCAACGTTTGACAAGTCGTTACTTGGATTAAAAGTATCGAATTTTAATCATATGCACTACATTGAAAAGTACATGACCGAAATCACTGACTATGCACCGCATCATTACTACCGGCATTTGAGAATTACTCGATAGAGTTGCCAATCTCTTTCTTAAAACTCAGTTAACCAATGCCAGCAGGATGTCGAAATTTGCACTATCCAGGTACGATTCACCCTTAACCGGCAACAGGTTATGCCAATCATTAAACAGTACTTTAAAATTGTCAAATAAATCATCAACGCGTTTCGGGTGTGTAGAAGCGGTTATCAATCAAATCATGCAAACGGCGGGGATTTGCTCTACACGTGCAAACGATGTGCTTGGCATATACGCTACTAAATATCTGTGGGCATCCAAATGGCTGCTTATAACTGCTACGGTAGCCTTCAGCAATCTGGCAGTAGTCTGGGAAGATGCTGCCGGTTGAGTTCTTTTTCAGAGAAAAGTTCACTTACCCACCAACTACTGCGTACTGCGCAGTCGCACCTGCAGACCCATGACCTCCGGTAATGTTCCTTGAAATCCACATAACGAGCATACAAAAATCTTTGACAGTCACTTCTGAGTACTTGTTTTCCTTCTGCAGTTTTATCGTCAGCTTGTATTAACCCGAAACATGACAGAAATATAACGAACACAATGTAAAAAAACTGTTTATGGATACTTGTAAAATTGTTTATTGATGTGCAAATAAAGGGGTCGTACTGCTGAAAGGACGAAATAAAGTAATGCTCCACAGATGGTGACCGTAAAGAACTATTTCCAAAGCAAACGATAAGGATCAAATTAGTACATCCATCTACTCACGAAAATTGATTTTTGTGACGTTCGTAAATTTTTATATAAACGCACGCTGTAAGTAAAAAAATGCACATTACTAAATTATTACATGTAGCGTGATGGACGCGTAACGAAATGCGGCGCAAACTTTTCAAACCCCTGACACCTAACCGTAAGGTAGCAAAGTGATCTTTTTCGTGAGTTCATCTACCCAATTTTACAGACACTACAGACACTAAATTATCACTCTGCGAAAGCTCAAAAGAAAATCTGATCGTTCGTTTTTTCTGTACGTCCTGTCAAATAAACAGTTAACAGCATTAAACAAGAGGGTGCTCAATCATTACACACTACACAATAACAACAAACATATAAATTTTCGTTTCTTGTTTCTAAATCCACAATTACCAGTAATTATAATTATCAGCTGAAAATACTCTGTATGTTCACAACAACAAATCTTGCAATAACAGTACAAAACTCGAAAGAATTGTAAGCACCACCAGGATAGGATTGATCGAGGAAAATCAGAATCATCCGAGAAAAAATGAATATTCATCTCGAATATCACATCTCAGGGCTATAATGAGTTGCGATTAATTAATCGCTGTCACTAACAGTCTCCCAATCCTCGTCGTTTATTTCCAGTTCTTTCAGGCGTTCTTGATGAGCCACATCAAAAAGATAATCGAAACTGGCATCATCTAATTCAGCACTGTACTTATGCGGTTTTTCTTTCCTTCCTTGATGCCGCTGAAGCTGGAAAGAATTTTATAATTAATGCAAATCTGCAAATTTAAAGCGATTATGCTTTCCAATAGTTACATCCGGTAGCGTATTTGGTGGAAAATAAAACCCAAAGCAAATGACACAGGTGACAAATATGGTCATGCACTACGAAGAACCCGAGGAAGCGGACATTCTGATGCTGTACATGACCATTCTAAATCGGAATAAACGGCTAGATTAACAAACCTCAGCAAAAAGCTCTTCGCCCGTTCCTTGCAGCCATATTCCAGTGATATCGTGAAACAAGTCTTTGATAGGTAAAACTCCCTCCACGCCCCAGCGGGAAAAGAACTGTCGCAAAAATATTGTTTAGCATTCTATATATAAACCGCATAACATTTCCAACTGAACCCTGCTGCCGCTCACATTAAACACATTCGAGCAATCGCGATAAAGAAACTCCAAAGCACGAGGATGAGCCGGTTCCACTGACTGGCTGACATCGATTACCCAGGTCTTGTCTTCAAACCATAGCAAATTATATTCCGAGAAATCAGCATGAATCAGCTTGCACTCCGAATACATCTTCTTCATAATCTACGAAAACAGAAAGCCGACAGTGGCCATTATTCATTTTAAAACGAAACTGTGCTGGATAATGCTTAGAGGATCGAATGACAGATTTGCGGTGCCACGTTCTGCGTACCGTATAAATTCGCTGCTTGCACACCATAATACAGCAGAAAAGTACATTCGATCATGTGAGTTGCTGCTTTGTGGCGCAGGATACGAACTATAATTTTGTTATTTCCATCGGATTTACAAATCGAAACATATCAATATCGGAACAACATTTACCATTAGCCGCCATGCAGTCGCATGTAAGTAGAAAACCGCGAAAGCAGCCCCTTATTGCATATCAGCAGAATATGTCTCTGCGTATCACATATTGGTTTATCAGAGCGAATGAGATATTACCTCAACAGTTTCTTTATAAGCTTGCTTTTGTTGCGCCAAAGACAGCTGAACTTCTTTAAGTTTAGGCGCCGCCTTTTGATCCTTTCCCAGAAATCTCATTACTAACACATGTTTCCGGAGAAATACCGGCTCGGGACAAGGAATACCACAGTCAGACATCCTGCAAACACATCATCCACACGCACTGCAGTCACTGCATCCTGGGGGTTTTCCAGCGGACTTTCGACATTTAACGTTCGTTATTTAATTATACGCATTTCTACGCACAGTTAGAACTCCTTAAACAATTCCTTATTAAGTAGGTTTATTATAGACAAAAAACTATCTTCGACTTACCGCTTCAAGTTTAGCATCTCCTTCTCGGCCCAAAATTTGACGATTTTTCGCGGATTTAATTTGCTGAATCTCTCCTGGAACCGATAATCATCGCGAATATATGGATCACGCTTTCGGAATTCATTCAACGTGGTCTTGAAAACTTTGACAGCACATTCTTCAGGCAGTTTCAAATCCTTGTCTTCAATGTGGCCGCCTGCGGCATGGAACACGATGGACTCTTTACCAGTGCTGATTACTCCATTGATATTCTCCAACACACCACTATTGACCAATTTGTACATCAACAAGCGAGTTTTCGGATCAACTGCCAGTGTAGCTGTGGCCAGATCTTCCTTGCGATCCTTCAGGCGCTGGCCGCGATGCTCTTCACGTAGTGAATGGACCTTTAGCTGGTTGTATACACGATTAGGTAATTTGGAGTCGTAATGGCTGTCGTCACCGGTAACAAATCCCGGCGGAAAATCCATGACACGATCAGCGTTTCGGCGACCGCAGATGTCGGGATCATGTTTAGTAACAATATTTTTACCTAAATTTACAGGGGACTAAATAGCAGTTTCTAATAAAAGAAATTTTAATTAAATGTAATATCCTAATACAAGATTACCTAAAACCAGTAAATGTTCCAAGCTATTGATCTCTTCTTATTCAAATACCTTTTCCGGCGTATCCCCGCGCATTAAACTCTGGCCCTTTTCCGGATACAAGTTTTGGTTCATCAAAGTCAACAACATCACTTAATTCTTCGCGACTTTCTATTGGGTGCAAATGCCGATAATGCGACAGGGAAACGGAAACTTTACTAGGGCCATTGTAATGCCGTTCCTTCCTTTTCAGTATTTCATCGTGCTCCAGATCCAACTCGTACTGCAGCATCTGCAAAACAAATCTCCAGAAATTAAATCAACTTTTCGTCAACCTAAAGCTGCAAAATATATAGATAACTTAAATTTAAGTATTCGTAATAACACTCGTAATAACTTTAAGTTAATGCAACCAAAAATGCAACAGGCACGAAAGTACAAAATTAGAAAAAAACAGAATTTAAGTGTGGCAAAATAAGACGCAAGAATTTTGAAGTTGTGCATTACCTGTGCTATAAGAAAATCGTTTGATTCTTGCTCTATGGAGTTCCCATCAGAAATTATGTCTGGAATGTTCTCCGCGGATAAAGGATGTTTGTCGTCGCTTCTGAGAGGTGCCGCTTCTAGAAAAGCATAAATGAATTCTCGTCCTATGACATCTGACACCAAATGATATGCACTAATTCTAGAAATTCCCGTAAGATATTGCTTCGGCTTTCATCCTAATTTTGATATTATGAAATACAGATCCTATGTATCTGGCAAGCGACAGCATTCTGGCTGCCAGTTTACGTACTGTTTCACTCAAAAATTTAAAGTAACTCTGTAACTGCGAGATTTACCTTTCACCACACGTGAAATATCATCCTGGTTCTTCTTGTTTAAATCTTTAGCCAGCTCTTCACTCATGACATCCGCCAAAGAGGTAGTGGCTACTGAAGGTGAGCTAGGAATTTTTGTCCAAGGATTCCCTTCGGAATCACGACGAGGTTTAGAATCCATTAAGGATGAATAAAGGATCAGTAACAGGGTTCGGTCAGATGTACCAACCGGGAAACAGCAATGAACTGCTGCGGAATCAAAAACGAATGGGTTTCGGCTGATTTTACTGTTAAGAAGCTACAGTATCAGAATGCCTGAAGTTATAAAAATACTAACAAAATTTCTGAAAGCGATTAAAAGCCGAAATTAAATGTGCTTTCCATGTTAATTCAAACCGTTCTTATCTGAACTCTGACATCAGACTTTTGCTCAGATTCAACTTGTGGTAGTTGCGCTACTCTACTTTATAGAATCATACGTATTGTACACTTGCGTATACAATCACACAGTCATATAATTTTTAATACACAGTCGACCTTGACCGCTTAGTAAGTACTGTATTTACGTTAATTTCATAAGGCATTCCTTTGTACACTCGTACAGAAGTAGCTGTTTAGGAGTATTTATTAAAAAAGTCGGCTCATAAAAATAATTAAGTTTTATTACTGTAACTTATAATTACAGATAGATGCAATCTTCTGTTTTGCATTCGTAGCATACAGGGGCGTTACTGTAAAGCAGAATAGCTAGTGCTTAACCGGCAAGAAACCTTCCGCCGTTATTATAAGACTGATAAGTAATTATTTAAGATCTATATTTTAGGTACTTCTGATTTCGTGACATCTGCAGCTTCTATAATATCTTAAGATATCCTAAAAATAACAGCAAGCGATTTCGACCCCGCAGCATTGGGGAATCAGTCTTAAGTCGAATCTATAAATACGTACTGTAAGTCATCGGTAAGTACTTAATTCTTAAGAGGTACGGTACCTAATACTTACCTATGAACATTTCGCATACCTAACGCACAGACGCAGTATTACAATTTCCGCGAAGGTTGGCAAGAATAGTTTTTTCTAGCTATTCAAAACGAAAATGCTTACTGTATATCCGCTTCCTGCGAAATTTTTGCGTTGATTATTGGGGAGATTAATATCTTTTCCCTGTGTAGGATATCTTATGGGATAGCGCGAGTACTCTGTAGTGTTTGTAATACTCTGCATTGCAGTACTAACCGGTAAGCAGCGCCAGCAGCTGGCGTCCAGACTGTAGTCTATATAAAAGGGCTGGTGCTTCGTAAAACTTATTAATTTTATGACACTTGAAAGTTGTCACTTGTGAGTTGTGATTTGATAAATACTCGCATTATAATACTGTAATGGTTTTTCCTCTTTTTCACTTTGTGGCTGATAGCCTGATATACAAACTATTTATTATAAACTGACATGTAAGTGATAATGTGTTATGCGTTATGTTCTTGACGAATCTTGCAATCGTAACACTGTAACAGTTTTACAATTTTTATTCTTACGTTACAGCACACTCTTTTGGCGCGAACTGAACAGGATAGGCTGTTTATGGCTGCTCTTCATCACCTGGAATTACTTGTTCGCGATGGACTGCGCTTTGTACGTCAGATGAGCGAGCAGTACAGCTTGCGGGCGTTTGCGCGGCGGGAAACCACGTTCGCCTCACAATGGGTGCTTGGTTCTGGAGCGGCGACCTTCGTAATCACCGAGCCGAAGACCGTGCGCTCGGGACAGTTTCCTGGCGAACATGTCGGTCTGCAGTTGCAACAGGAGAAACTGCATCGAGGAATCGACACGGTTTTCGATGTTGCTGTGTGCGTCAAGGATGTTGACCGAATACTGAAGAACGTGGCTGCATTGGGAGGCGAAGTGTTATTACCGAAGACAGTTTATCGTAGCGACAATGGTACCTGTGAGATGGCTGTGATAAAGTCGTGCACTGGAAATGTGGTGCACACGTTGGTCAACCGCGAAAGCTATCGCGATTCCTTTCTGCCTGGGTTCTCTTCTATTTGTGATAATGATAATAACGACGATCCGACCGAAATGGTCCACATCAAACGTATTGATCATGTCACGATTGTGTGTAGACGCGGGGATCTGGATCGAGTGCTCAACTGGTACCAGAATGTTTTCGGTTTCTCAAGATTTTTTATGAATAGGTGAGCTGCATGTCAGCAGTTATTGATTTCATTGTGTATGACGTTGTGGTGCAATTATTGTGTCGTACTGCAGCTTCTTGTATTATGCACCGCCAATTTTTTTATTTAGACAGGCATTGATTTACTGTTAGTAAACTGTACTGCTTACACTTGTATGGCGCAGCACAAAATATTAAACGTCTTTGTAGATTTGAAAGTTTGTATTATTTTGTTTTATTTGTGGAACAGTTATTTGTTTGCGCTGCAGGTGTTACACTTACGAAATAATTATATTCCTAGTTTTAAAGTACAGTATAGCTGTTTGAAGTTTCCGCAGTTGTCCAGAATTTCCAACCGTGTAACGATTAATGCGAATTTCTCTAGATCCGAAGATGAGGATGAAGGTTTTGTGTTGGACGGGGAAATCGGATTGCGGCTCAAAGCAATGGAATACTTCAAATGTGCGGAAACGATGCTATCCAGTGATCCAAGCGATGAAACAGCTCTGCGGCTGGTTATTGCTGAATCTATGCCTGGTCACGGTTCGTGAATCGGTGTGCACATACGTATTATCTGTTGCGGTGGAATGTGTTCTCGGTCGAGAAGTGCGAAAACATAGTCTCTAAGCGGCTGGATTGAGTTAAATCTTCTTGATTTCACGCAGATGCGAATACTAACCAAGTGGAATCGTTCATTGACCAACACGGAGGACCCGGCGTCCAACACGTGGGATTGTACACTGACGATATCGTCGGGACAGCCAGCTTATTTAAATCTCGCGGTGTCCAGTTGCAAGTGCCGCCCGTCATGTATTATTCTCATGTAAGTATTTCATTTCTTGACGAGCAAAAACTTTCATTTTATTTTTTGAATGCAGTGCTCGGATTTTGATTTCGATTTCTTGAACCGGTTCTCTTATCGAGGCTACAGATACTTACATTACAGTTTGCATTTTTGGCAGCTGGCTAAATTAAAAGAAATTGAGTCATCCGGCGAGAATCTGTCGGTTTTACGGGAACACGGTATACTGCTAGATAGCGAGGCCGATCCGAGGAGTGGCAGTGACGAAAGGTACGACAGATAATGTTCGAATTACGTATACTTCGGAGTATGGATGGATAAGAAACGACAGATACTTACCATTCAGGTGTTGCTTGGTCAGGCTTCAGTGTTTCGGTGTTATGGTTAAGTGTAGTAACGTTTTTGACATCATACTTACGCAGGTCCTGTTTCAGGAGATACTTGAAGCAAATTTTTACCAAGCCAATATTCGACCGGAAGTCTTTCTTTCTGGAACTGATTGAACGACAAGGTGCTTCTGGGTTTGGAACGGGCAATATTGCCGCATTGTGGTGGTCGGTACAACAGTCGTTGAATGTACCGGTTACGGGTGCGCAGTCAATCAGATAGCTGGTTATCGTATTTATAGTTGCGAGTGCTTTCGGTGGTATTGAAGACTAAAGGGGAAAGTATTTCCTTTGCATTTTGAAAAGTAGGAGAGTTTTATTTCTGGGAAATAAAGCTATGCTTGGAAATCCAGACAAATAAACTGGCTTGAAAACAGCGTTCAACTTAACATTAAGCATTAACCTAACATTTCATGACCTACCCGAAACGTAGCATTGAGCGTGTGAGGCTCTAAAATTACTGTGAAGAGCGTCTCAAATCTGTCTGTGTTTTTTTCCTAGTAGCTAAATCCGGAAGCATTAAAACGTTACTCGCCGTAGTGATCTTGTTATGGGTACTTCGAAGTAGTGCATAGCGATGCTGGTGTATATCGACCATAAGGTCACGAGCGGATCTTTGAGTTGGTCAGTCCTTCGTAAAGCTGCGTGTTCCGCTTATTAATGTTATCACTGTGTTATCGCGTACAGCAGCACAGTTGTTTTTATAGCCATGCCACTGTCGTAGAAGCATTTGAAATTATTATTGTTATTATTGTCCAGTGTTTAAAATCTACCGTCGAAGATTATAGCAGTTTGTCAGTTCGAATTTCAATACACAGAAACAAAGATACCTGGATATTTAAGCAAAATGCGGAAGTGCGAAACCCATGCGGATGATTTTTTGTTGCAATGCTGATGCAGAGTGCTAACCGGTTAAAACAGTGGACTGTATAATAAGCTTCGTTTATTCATCATTTTACTTTGATCAGCAAGTGCTGAAACCGCGAATCCATGTGACGTGGGTTTGGTAGGTTTTTGGTAGCTTAAACTAACAATAATACACAAGTCTAGTTTTATTCTGCATTGCGAGTTTTATTCTGCATTGCGAAGAGCTGCTGGTGATAAAGCAAAGTGGTAGATAAACTGTTACAGTACTGTACGATATTTTAGAATCTCGGCCGGTGCACCGCTTTTCGAAAAAAACATTAGAGGTGGCGCATTAGTTCAGTTAAAGCGACTCCGTTGTTGCATTGAATGCTGTATTAACATTTTGTGGACCTGCAGCATAAAATTGAGCTGATTGATTGTCATTAATTTTGTTAGCAACCGCTCTACGTTTGTGCAGCTGGCAGCAGGTAATCGTAAGTGTCATATACTTACTTAATCTATCGTTTTCAAAAGAAGATTACCCCAGTTCTTTCGCAGCCTTGCCTTTGTTTCTGTGGTATGATTGTACGTTGAAAAATGCGCAAAATTATAATATGGAACAACCAATGAATTGTATTTTAATGGCATTTGTAATAATATCAGCCAAGAGAACCGAATAAAGCTTGTACAAAGCATGCTACCTTTGTGTTTAATCGTAAGATGCACGTACGGATCTAATTATACTAATGAAGTAGCGTAAAGAAGTATACTATTGAAGTATACTAATGAAGTAGCGTAAAGAAAATTTGCTTTTCACATGTTTTTGGGTCAAATATGCCAGTTCTTTTAGCTGATCATGACAGGCGTTTAATACTCTAAGTACAGCACTCACTGTGTCCACCAAATTTGCTTCACCTAGTTATTAAATATTAATCTTAATTGTGCTTCGCTAAAAGTCTTGTGCGATAAAATGGGTTGTGCGGTTTACAATTTGTGTTCCTTGTGTTTTTAAATCAGGGCATTCCGTAATTTATTCCAGTTCCGAAACTTTGTGATTATATAACCGGCGTGTGCATGATTAGCTATGTATTGTAGACACACAGCTTTGTATACTACTATAAGAGTTTTGTATACTATCTATAAGAATCACGTTAATTATTATGAGAATACGAGTGACGCAGGAACGAGTACAAAATTTTTCTAAGGGATTCTAACAGTTTTTTTGCCGATGTATTGAACAACTTGCAGACAATTTACAAACGATATAATTAGTGCTCTTATGCAACACTCCTGTCAGTTTTCCTGTATTGTACAGACTAGCGGGCGGTTTCGTCCAGGTAAGCATATTGAAATCAGATATCAAAAAGATACAATTGTCTACCGTACAAAGTTCATACGTATCGTTGTGAACTATCAAATCGCTATCGTTGATCCGATGTGAAGTACACCGGTGCATGCTAGACTTGGAATGTGTGTATGATTTTAAATTTAACTACTTTGTATATCTTTCCTTTGATTTCGCTCATTCGCTCCAGATATATAGGAACTTCATTACCGGAAGTTTCGCACCGGTAAACGAACATCGTTTCTGACATTTGTTGCTGTTGTTGGCCGTCAATAATTTCGCATCAGGTAGTTAGAACTTTATTGTACTTGTACGTTGTAATTACGAATTAGAGTACCCCACACCGAGTTCAGGTTTCTTACGCTGATTACAAACTGTCATGCCGGTTAACACGAGCATGTTTCCCCTGAAGTGGCGACTAACGTGTGTTGTACGCAGTGTTTATTCACACTTCAATGTGTCTCTACTGGCGGATGTTTTTCATGGTCACGGAGACTGGTTCATGACTGAAGACATTCACGGCTCAACTTAATTTATTTGACCATGATAGAGTGATTTTTGTAGATTACTGCGCAACAACACTTAAGCCATCCGCACCATGGGTAAATTCGGATTATGTGTTCTTCTCCTGCATCTGAGCGCGTTGTCAGTATGGGGACAAAATGAAGCCGGTACTTGTCCGGCGCCCGGTCAGCCGGGATACACGGTGGGATGCAATTCCAAGACTGCCAGCATGGAGCAGTTCCGGGCGAAGAGCATCGGTCCAGATGACATTTTGACCACCAATCAGGGTGTGGAGATTGCTGACAATCAGAACTCTCTGAAGGCCGGCAGCCGCGGACCAACTTTGTTGGAAGATTTTATCATGCGGGAAAAGATCACCCACTTCGATCACGAAAGGTAGCCAGCTAGCGTTAACTGCCAGCCTCGAATGAGATTCCTTCCACAGATTAGCGTGTGAATATTTTACAATTTTTGTATTTCCGCAGTCACAACCGATATATAGTACATCAGTTAACACACATTTAACAGATTTTGCGAAAAAAATTCTTATGAATTTGATGGAGACAGTTATGGTTTTCGGTACTTTGAACTGGTGATCCGGTTTAGTGGCTTATAAACGAATGTAATTTTTCTGTATTTGCAGGATACCAGAGCGTGTTGTGCACGCGCGTGGCGAAGGCGCTCACGGTTATTTCCAGGTGTACTCGTCGCTGGCCAACATTACCAAAGCCAAATTCCTCCAGGATCCTAACGTGCAGACGCCGGTGTTTGTGCGCTTCTCCACGGTGGGAGGCAGCCGCGGGTCAGCTGATACTGTGCGAGATATCCGTGGTTTTGCCACCAAATTTTACACGGAAGAAGGCAACTTCGATATTGTCGGCAACAATGCACCGGTGTTTTTCATTCAGGACGCCATCAAATTTCCAGATTTCGTCCACTCAGTCAAGGTAACCAACTCTGAATTTCTGTGGTCGGCCTAACGTGCAAAGGGTAATTAGATTCAATAAACAGTAATTTAGGGTAAATTAAATTTCCGCGGTTTGCTCAGGCTGCACGGATACTGCGGTTAAGAGAACCTAAATATATGTAACCGGTTTTGGAAACTAGAAACGGTTTCTCACCTTCGCAGCTGCACATCTCGTGCTTTCAGCGTTGCATAATCTTATACAATAATTTCATCTGCACGGATATAATTATTATTATATGCGCGACCTTGTAGAGCGACTTCGGCAATAAGAAATCACAATAGTCACAATAAATCAATAAGTTTTCCAGTCGCACTTTACTCGTTTGCGTTAAGGTGGTTAACAGGTGGCAATGAGCATGAAAATTAACTGCAAATGCTGCATATTTGGTTATTTTTAATTAAGGGTTGCAACTAATAAAGTACGTGCCAGTGGTGTTAATTAACACTACAGGCATGGGTGATAACTTTTACGTACGAATACCTAGCCCCTTACTTAAACAGAAATGCGTCAGCGCTTCAGATTGCAAACAAAACTAGTAGCTACGGAACTAGATCGTTATTAAGGTACACATTTGATGTGGTTCCAGTTTTCCAACTCTTTTTCGAGCTTTTTAAGCTTTCTAAAGAATATTTTGCAATCAAAATCTGCATGCAGGTATATAAATATGTTTACTTATTTAAAAACCGCAGTCATGGCCGCAGCTTTTAACGTAGGTGCAGGCGCGACCTAGCTGAACAGGCTTTGCTTTGTGTAGTCTCAATAATTATTAAAGTAGATTTGATAAGATATAGATATAATACAAGATTACGTATTAATACAAGTGGAACCCTTGAAGACATTTTACATTATCGCACAGATGTCACCCGGCTCTCATTGAGCCTTGTGCTGCAACATCCAGAATATTTGGCATATTGGTATTATTTATTGCTTATGTCACCGCTATGATTATGGCGATACGTTTATCTGGCTGTTTTATTTTGTTTGTGCATATCTAGCTTGTGACCGTACACCCAAAATTTAGTATTTTGCATTTTAACGTTTGCTGAGTCAACAGGTGCCGATGGTACTGCTTATGGAGATTCTTCAACTGATAAACACTACTCGTAGTTTTGAAAAAATCGTTGTTTCGCTAAAATTTGTTATTTCAACCGCTTCTGTACGCAGTCAGCTGCGAAATTTGTTGTCGGTATTTGAACGACATGGCAATTTTTTCCTGCTTGACTGCATGGATTAAACGATGAAATGCAGTAAACGTGCTAACGTTGTTTTCCTAGCGTTATTTTCAGGTTAACGAGTGTATTGTATTCGTACGCAAGGCTTTCTTTTGCTGTGTAAGAAAAGTAAACAAACACTTGCGCGATAATTCTGTAGCTGTAAAAGTCATAGAGATGCGTGCTGTTGCAAATTAATTTTTGTTCTCAATGAAATTGTACACTATTCCAAACGCTAAAAGTAATCAAATTGTAGTGAATGAGAGCGACTGTTATGCAGAGCTCAGAATTACTGTCATTTACAGTACGAATACTTAATTAGTCCAGCAACTGTAAGATAGCCAATAATTGCTTGTTCAGCAATTACTGTGCTACATTTTTATAAACAGTGGCAGTCGTTATCCATCGATACTTGCGATAAATTTTCCTAAATAAATTTCTTGATTGTTGATAAAAAAATTTCTGATGTTGATTGTTGAATTCTACAAGCAGATACATATTCACATAATGTAAATGTGCATATATCACAGAGGCGCACAGCTTTGAGTTTAAAATAACATTAACAAGTGAAGCTGCTGTTTAATATACGAGAAAGTAAGCTGCGAGAATATAATTTAGTGATAAAAACTGCTTAGTATCTAATACTAGCTATTTTATTCTATGTGTACCGCCACTACCGGTAGTACCGACAATATGTATACTTTGTACGGCTCGTATTGCCACAATGAAATTGTTTCTGTTTAATATACGGTGTAACTGCAAGATTGTTTGAACTGATTTCATTGGATTCATTTTCGAGAAGATCGCCAATATCTGTCGTACGCGGGGTGTACAAAAAGGCTGTTTTTGCAAAAGTTACATTTGACTGTCAACAACAAAGCTGATAGTGTCAATTCATTTAAATTTGAATAGTTTGGATTATGATTCGATTCACATGTACAAGTCCCGTTCTAATAATTATTAATGACTGTACTGACAATGAATTACTGACGAGTGACGACCAGAATCAAACTTTGAAAACTTTGAAAAATAAATGTTGCAGTTGTGCAGGAATATCTATCGCATTTCACGTACAGATGCTGGTCCTGATGGGTGTTTTTTTTTAAAAATACAACTGCGAAAAGCATGAGACATTATGTATTCAATGTAAAGTAAGTAAAGTAAGCACTTCGCACAGGAGTTAGTCGTATAGCTGACAACTGTCAATTCATACTTCTGCCAAGGAATATAGGACATAATATCTCTTACTGTATATATCTAATATCTCTTGTATATCTTGCTTCTGCTATACTGCTGTAATCGACTGGGAAATCTTTTAGTGACTATAATATTTCTGGGCATCGGCCACGCTCGGGTGATGTGTAGATTTTATACGTTTTATCCTCTTGAATTACACAGCCAGAATTTACATAAAGGTATTACGTTAATCGGCGCGGGGACGATTTTGCACGGCTGAATTAGAATTAATTTTGAGTTTATTACTTGACGATTCAAAGACCGCGAACACTTATTCTGGTGCTATAATATTTTTGATAGGTCCTGTAGAAAATAGGATAATGAATTAAAGCAAAAGCAGCTACACGGTTATATAACGAGACTGAGTGACAGTTCATGAATCTCTTTGTAGCCGGAACCGCACAATGAAATCCCTCAAGCCTCGTCCGCTCATGATAACCTGTGGGATTTCGTTGGTCAGCAACCGGAAACAATGCACGCCATTATGTGGCTGATGAGTGACCGTGCCATTCCGCGATCACTGTCCATGATGGAAGGCTTTGGCGTCCACACTTTCCGCTTAATCAATGCCGACGGTGTTTCCCGCTTTGTGAAATTCCACTGGAAACCCAAACTGGGTGTTCACTCACTGGTGTGGGACGAAGCCCAGAAATTGGCCGGCAAAGACTCCGATTTCAACCGTCGTGAACTGTGGGAAGACATTGAAGCCGGTAATTTCCCAGAATGGGAGCTGGGCCTCCAGGTCGTTGAAGAGGGCGATGAACTGAAATTCGATTTTGACCTTTTGGACCCCACCAAGATCATTCCCGAAGAACTGGTGCCGGTGCAGCGCGTTGGCAAAATGGTACTGAACCGTAATCCGGATAATTTCTTCGCCGAAACCGAACAGGTGGCGTTCTGTGTGGCGAACATTGTTCCCGGTATTGACTTCACCAACGATCCCTTGATGCAAGGTCGCCTGTTCTCGTACCTGGACACCCAATTATCGCGCTTGGGCGGACCCAATTTCCACGAAATCCCCATTAATCGTCCAGTGTGCCCCTTCCGTAACAACAACCAGCGCGACGCCATGCATCGTACAACCATCAACGTCGGCAAAACCAACTACGACATCAACACCCGCAACAATGGACTGCCTAAGCAAGCGCCATCGGGCAGCGGTTTCTCCAGCTACCATCAGCAAATGGACGGAGCCAAACTCCGCCAGCGCAGTCAGTCGTTTTCAGACCACTACTCACAGGCTACCCTCTTCTGGCAGAGCATCTCCCAACCGGAACAGGACCATCTGGTGTCGGCCTTCTCCTTCGAGCTGAGCAAACTCGAAGCGGATGCCATCCGCATCCAAGTCCTGACCAATCTGCAGAATATCGACGCCCAGTTGGCCAAACGCGTCGCCGATAATCTCGGCATGCCGCTGCCGCCCAAAGAACAGAATGCATATCCCAAACCCGTCACGCCCTCACCGGCTCTTAACCAAGCCACTACGGCGAAGACCAGCATCGAGACACGGCGGATTGCCATTCTGGCGGCGGACGGCGTGGACGGGCAGTCCGTGGAGGATATTAAAGCCTGGGCAGCTGAGAATAAAGCCAAAGCCAAGGTCATTGCCCCGCATGCCGGCAAGTTGCGGTCGGCAACCGGACAAGACATCCAAGTGGACGGCACCATTGTGGCCAATCCGTCCATCTTGTTCGATGCCTTGTTAATTCCCGGTGGTAATCAGAGTATTAAGACGCTGCAGGAAGATGGCGGAGCGGTGCATTACGCTTTGGAAGCCTATGTGCATTACAAGCCCATCGCCGCGGCGGCGGAAGGAGGCGATTTTCTGGCTCACATTGGGCTGATTCCCCGGCTTAAACATCGTGACCTTCCGGAAGGGATGATCGTTGCCGAAAATGTTGACGATGGCTTCAAGCAACAGTTTTACAATTACATCGCACAGCACAGATTTTTCAATCGCCAGCGCGTCAAAGCCATTCCAGCCTAAATTGCCGCCTTTTTAGAAATTGAAGTATTGTTTTTTTTTGTTAAAATAATGATATTCATCAGTGTTATCTATGCAGTGTATGATACTAAAAAACACGTCGGTCGGTTTTGGGATATGTAAATTTGTTCTTGTGACATTAGTCTCGTAATGAATTGATTAATTGATAGGGTGGAGATTTAAACTGATATTAATGTGTTAGTATTGAAACTGATAATATTATTGACTGTACTTACCTACAGTACTTCGACACATAGGTGTGCTATCAGCCTATCACGTACTGCTCATGCACATGAACTGTCATGTCTGTATGCGTTCTCGATGAAATCTTTACTCGCAAAGGCATTTTGGGAATGTGTGGAAACAGTTTACCGGTTTTTTTATGTGTAACGGCCTATTAAATGGCAAAGAATGGTAAAAGTAAAAAACATCGAACAAAAGCTGATACAGTACAAGTGAAACGAATAAAGAACGTGGGGCTAATTTCATTACGTAACATTTCCACATTTTACAGCGACACGAGGTCACGCGGATGCACAGATTTACTGCCATACCGGATTTAGAAATGTTACGGTTTGCTGTAAAAATGTGAAAAAAAGATCTGTTTGCAATTGCCCAATTATTTGCATGCTCTTGTACGTATCAGCAGGCAATTTCACAACATGGTTATCTTCGTGGTCTGTATTTTTTTGTTGTTTACTACATTCGCTGCTTCTCAGCCGCTGACTCAAAAACAAAGGTGTAATTTTCTTGAGGAGGGAGGGAAAATATGTGCTCCCGACGCGTGCCGCAACGCCACGTGCTCCTTACTACCGGAAGCCATCTGCTTGTCCGATCAATGTGGATGTCGTGCTCAGTTTTTCCTTTACACCTCGGAGAAATCGGAGAAGCCTTACGAATCCGTGACTTTGTTGTGCAATGCTGCTACAGAAATCGAAGGTTTGTACATATTGCCGGCTGCACGAGATAGACTCAAACAAAATAAGTAGATGCTAACCATTGTAGTTACTTACCGTTCTTCTGTTTCACAATACTATATTTATATAAATATACACCCTAAAGTACAACAAGAGTTCTATCTGTGCGTATCAGGTCTCTGGTAATTATTTGTATTGTACGGACAGTACGTACGGTTTCAAACAACAAAATATTAAAGCATATAAATATTCTGTTTACAACAGTGTCCGGTGATCCAGAATTACTGTGGCGTTAAATGATATGTAAACTACAAGTGAATAACGAAAAACACCAAAAGAGTTAACCTCGGATGCGTGCCGCTATTCTCGTTATGAATTAGTTAAGTAGAGTACTTACAGTACTTACCTTTGTGTAGAAGTATCTATATATGTTTATCTATATTCTCTATCCAATATTATATAGTCTATGAAAGTCTTTACTTACTTACGTAGCAGCCTATTTCAAACCTCCATTTACTTATTAACGTTGTGTATTTATGTACCGTACGTGAAACCCATTATTGCCTTTATTATCCATTTTTATGAATGTAGCGGCGAAGAACACTTTCAAGAATGTACTGAACAACAACGAAAGGGCAGCGGATACACTAGCAAGAAACTCAGAATTGCAGAAGGATTTGTTCAATGGCTTAAAGACCTTCATCGTGGATATAATGCAAATCATAACTAACCATCTAAAGAAAGAAGTCGAGAAGAGCCCCATCACCGAAAACCTACAGCGTTACGAGCACGCTCTTGGTCGGCTCCGAAAGATGAAAAAACAGGGATTGACACTGGACGACTATGATAAGATACTTTTATAATGTTGAGATATTTAAAATTCACTCAATAATGTCGGATAAGGTCATCGTAGTGTGCCTGTAAATTACTCCCGCACTTACTGGTTAATAAAAATTTTAAACGGTCCACTACAAGATGATACAATAACGCAGATTTAAGCAGTTGCAGCTCCTTTCAAACTGCATTGCAAATTGAAGTTAATAACGACAGGAATGTCAGAACCAATAGTTTGGCATAATAGTTTGACATTATTATTATTATGCATTTTGTGTACTTACTCAACGAATCCACTATAATCTAAATCTATAATCTAAACATTTTAATCGGCAATAGCCGTAAAAGTGACAAAAGGTGCAAGCTCAGACACACTACGTCACTGTCAAAACTTTAAACATACTTATACTTCAATATTACATAATACTAAATCGTAAGCAATAAGCAGTACTCGTACTTAATTTTTGTGTGTGTAATTTGGTATGTCCGCTCGGCGCGCTACGTCAGATGGTGGGATTGTCGGCTTCAAGCGGGCCCTTTTTGCAGCTGGTACTAATAAATTTCCTGTTCATAACATAGCTGGTACAATTGTACAAAACTGTTGCAAACTAGCTGCCGTCAAGTATTTGCAATTTTTTATTCTTTTTATGCCTGCGCCACAGCTGTTTTAATTGCTCGTTTTACTGCTTATTCGGATTGTAAATTTCTTCAATCTTGCAAGCTAGATTTAGGAACGATGAGTCACCACTCTGCAGACCAGAAATTGCAGTGATTTCTGAAGATATCAGCTTTTAATGTCGAATCATATCCGATACCTTTGAGTGTTGTTCGATATCCGATACTTCGAAGTTCGAAGCAGCGAGTTTATCTTTTGCCATATGCTGTTACACAGCTGAAGTCAGATAATTGTCTAATAAGTACTTGATAGAGAAAAAAGGGAAAATTTTAAAATGGTCTTTTAAATATTGACGACGAACGTGAGTGCGTGCTTCACTGTACTGTTACTCCACCCGCACATTGTTGCTGTTGTTAGTCGTATTCCGCATTTCCGATTTATTATTCTTTTTTTTTGGTGAACGGTTGCAATGTTCTGGTGGATCAAGTGGAACCTGCATATGGCAGACTAAGGGAAGCACGCTGTGGCTACATCGACGGGAATTCTAATTCAGTAATTACCGACAATTGTGAAATTGCTAATAGCTTTCATCATTAAGAACCTGCGCGACATTGGGTGGCCTGCCAACAAAAAATGCCGTAATCTTCCCTGCGTTATTGGGTATTGTAGTGCTCTGAATTGATAATCAACTACGGGCGTCGCGTTCACGGTGTCTCCTTCGTTAGGACCGCGATCTTGTTGGCACATTGATGGTGCGTGTTCGAAGAAGTCGGTTTCTGAAGGGTGTCCGTTCGGCCATGGCCAAACGATTCAGTGGTCGTTTATACACAGCAGAACGTCGGGTCAGAGAGGCGCAACATCACAGCGATCCTTCGTCGTGCTGCAAACCTGAAGTAACCATCTTCGCCACACCGAAAAACCATGAAATCACTTTGGAATGTCATTCTGTTAAGCGCCTTAAGGAGAAGGAGCCACACATTGTCGAATGGATGTTTAGTTTAACGGAGCAGAACATGAAGTCTTTATACGAGTCGTGCGCATGGGGCTGGAATCCAACGGCGAAATACAAGGAAATGACAGAATCTGGTGCGTGGTATCTCATCGCCAAAGACTACAAAAATTCCTCCCTGGCAGGTTTCTGTCATTTTCGATTTGTTATCGATTACGGCGTAGAAGTGCTCTACTGCTACGAGCTGCAAGTCGAGCAGCAATACCGTTCTGAAAAAATTGGCAGCAAAATTATGCTCATGCTGGAAACGATGTCTGCTCACTGGAAAATGAAGAAAGTTGTGCTCACTGTGCTACGTCATAACCCACGAGCGATTCGTTTTTATATGGATCTGGGATATACGTTTGATGAAACTTCGCCGTCCTGCGAGGAACCCGAACCTCATTATATTTTCAGTAAGCCCACTTTAGCGAACTGATTAATCCTGGTAATGCATGCTCCCTCTTTAAATGCAGTTGTATTGTGTTTTGATTGCTGTGGCACTCACGTATGATGGGCAAATTTTTGCACAGTCCCAGTTTTCAACGCAGTTGTCTTTATTCAAATCGATGGTTGTATAGAATGTGTAACAGAACGACAATTAATAAAAATACACGGTTTATTCTTCCTGGCCGATCTTTTTCTTATGTTGGACTTTCTTTTGCTGAACCCGATTTTGTCGCTCTGCCTTGGACAATTTCGCACGATTGAATCTAGACACAACAAAACAAAAAATATCACTAAAGATACATGTCAAAATCGAAATAACTAATCTACAATCTATCCTAGTAATCAAGCGCAAGTCTGCGCAACAAAGCAGTACCATTACCGTAAAATATTCTAAAGTCAGTAGGCATGAATTTACCGTTTCGATTTCCCAGTACTTTCTTTCTTCTCCTTCTTTTGTGGTGAAGGATCGGCTCGAATCTTGGCATGAGCCGCCTTGTATACGCCTTCAACCTACAAGAACAGCAGCGAAAAAATTGTTACCCAACACTCCAAAACTGCGTGACAGGCATAGAGGCTTTTTCTACTGAGGAATCATCTAAATATTCCAATCCGGTCGCACTTATTACATCTGTTTTGGATACTTTATCCAAATTAATGCAAACTGTACAAAATGCTCGTTCAATCACATTGTGGTTCGTGACCCTAACACAAACCCTCACCTTATCAGGGGTAATTCCGGCAGTCACAAATCGGCCAAACTGTTTCTTGAAAACATCATCATCTTCATCCTAATAATAACGAAATTTCACGTAAACATTAGGAAAGACCCTCCGAGGAAGCTGCAGTACCCCACTTCCACTCATACGCAGTAAGTAATAATACCATGGAGCATTGAGGTATACTAGTAACTTTGCCCCGCCGCGCCGCAGATCGCGGTAACTGTTGCCAGAGGGTTTTGAAGTGTTCTATTTTACGTATTGTGTCAAACAATAAACTTATGGGCAACGGAAGTTATTTTCCAAATTATATTTGTCAGGCCATGATAAGTTTATGTAAAAAAAACGCTTCACAGGACTTTTCGCATTTAAACACAGGCATTCGGCTTGAATAACATTTTTAAAATAAAGTTCGAATGAACCGCTTATTAGGTATCCATTCAGCTTTAAATATCATGTCGCAGCCTAGATAATATCATGTTTATTTACCTTCAAAGAAGTCATGTAGTTTGCCACATGACCACCGAAAATGTGTCGTCGGTGCACTTCTGCGTCGAATTTCTTTCCTTCAGAATCGTATCCCGGAAAACGTCGGTTACTGAAAAAATCATACGAGTAAACGCCGTAAATCAAAACCGCTTTGCAGTCAGAAGGCAACGTTAAACAATACTTCCTCCTAAAGTCAAACTAAATTTATTTTGAACAACAGAAGGCTTTAAACATATCCGGCGACTACGATTTTAAAACATTTTCTGCAATTACGAATCTGATACAATTCACAAGAGCGAAGCAGTACCTATGAGGGATATTCAAGCCGCCATCTACTGCTCCTTTCATAGCAGCAAAAATCTTGGCGCCGGTAGTGGTACGACTCAAGCCAACATCCAAATAGCATTTAAACGCGCCCGGTTTTCCAGGAACATCTTCGACGTGAGTTTCCTCTCCGGTTATTTCGGTCGTTCCTTCGTAGACCTTATCTAACTTCAGTTGCTTGAGAAGCTGAAAGATTTGATGTTAATATATGTATTCAAGCTTACAATACAAACCTAATCACTCTCACTCACTCGGCGTGCCAAAAGGAGACCAGTCGCGTAGGCTGCAGCATAGTTCGTCAAACCCAAGCTGATACCGAACCGGGGTAGCTCATGTGCATACGCCGCACACAGAACCTTATCACCCTCGATTTTCGCATAAATAATCTAAAAAATAGTTCGTTGCAGTCCGTATGACGCCAGCCTATACAATTCACGAAACACAACACCGACCTGTGCGATGATGTCCCTGTTTGTGATGCGGACCACCATGCGGTACTTGGGCGTGTTGTACTTGTTCTTATCTTGGGTGATCAAGGCCTTCCTGGCCTGATAGTCAGTGCGGCCCTCTGAAATGAATTCCCGATGCACGACAAAGCGAGGGCGAAGAAACTCTTAACTTTCGCGATACATATCAAAGAGAAACTAATGGTCACCAATCATCCGATAAATTCCTCACGTACCTCGTCGTCGGCGGAACTTGACCTGGAAGCGCTTGAAGTACGCTTTGTTCTTCACCACTTTCACGAAACCCTACAAAATCGTTATTGAGACAGAACTTCATCTCTGGAAAGAATGCCACTACGTACCATTCTGGAGTTGTTCGTTAGGTCTCTGCAAAAAAATTCCTACGATTTGCGAAGACCCTGCACTGAAATTCAGCCGGAATATCCGGAGCACGCATGCTGACGAATGCACACTGCGTCGCGCATTGGGCACACTGGCACCGGAATATTGTCCCGTGCTCGAGTGCGCATTAATAAAACCACCGTACCAAGGCGGGAACAATATTCTGTCCAGAGATCGCATATTTTCTGTTGGTCGTTGGATTCTGAGTTGGATTATAACTTTTTCTGTAATGTTTTCTTACTTTTACGGTTTTTACCATGCAAAATTTTGAAATCATTATTAGAACAATTTTTTCGTATTCTAATCAGCCGGTCCACATTAATTTTTCTGAACAATGCAATCGGAGCAGCGGAAGGTTTTGGACCATATCTTTTATTCCCTTGGCCGGTTTTCCTTCGACCGTGCGAAGGAGATATGCGTGAGTAACTTAAAACTAGTTTCCTCTTTCAGTCTTTTTATCAATGGTGATCTGTTACGTTATCCGTCCTTTTACGGTTTCCAGTTGTTTGTTATCTTCACTTTTATGTATCTTGTTCTCTAGGATCGGGAGAAGGATGCAATCAAAAATCCGCAAGGCTTTGCGGCAGTGTGGAGTCAGTTTGTGGTTAGCTTGAGTCAGTTGAGCCTTGCAGAAAAGGGTTATATGATGTTGGTCTTCCTGACACAAACACCAAATAACAAGAAAGCCTTCCGGAATAAAGAGGTACGATTCGTGATGGTCGCATCGTGTATTAGTTTTTTGTATTTTCTTTTTACACTCCTGTGATATCTGAGTAGGTCAGAGTGATACCATCATTAAATAATGCAGTGCGGTTGGTTTTTCTTGAATTTTGTGTCCGCGGTTATTAATTCGACGTGATATTTCGTTTACAGCTCCCAATGAGATCGTTGTACGGGCAAATCAAACATGATTTAGAAAAAACAGTGGACGCGCTTCGCGGATTACCACCACTTGAGGGTTACTCTGACGATCTTGCTCCTCCTGTTCTCAGCCATTTGTGCACCCAGTTGAGCCACTTCACCGCGGCCCGACTGGACATGTGCGATGTGTACGTTGTGCAGTTGTTATCGACTTTCACGTGATTGTAATTCCTGGTTTTGACGAATTCGGATGGTAGTGGCACGAAAACACGTCTAAAATGAAAAAAAAACTGGGGACACTGGAGTCTGGAACGTTCTCACATGAGAACAAGTACCGAAAGACAGCAGCCGTAAACTGCTGAAAATTGACAGCTTTGCTGTTAGGCGTCCGCTTTTTAAGTCCAAATTCGAAACCTCTGAATTCGACATTTTTTTTAGTTATATCTGACGACTTCATTTAGGGCGATAGTGTCGTGAAATCTGTATGATATTTCGGTCCCGTCACCGTATTTCTTTTCTATTCGACAGGTATGAAAGGCTGCACGAGATGGGACTGGACAGAACAAATCGATATCCGGAAGTCAACGGATTGGTGGACATGGTCATCGGTGCGTACGGGAAGAAATTCCATCATCCCTGTCTTGCTATCCTGGAATCAGCATTTTCGTGAGATAGTAGAAGTTACTAATCACCTGCTTTGCATAAATTTGTGCTGAAGTGTTATCATTCTGCCGCATTTTTACAGGTACGAGACAGAGATTCTCAAGAGTTTGATTGATGCCCAGCTGAGCATGGCCAACTGGGACTTCCTGGCATCGTTGGTGCACATTAATCAGGCCCATCGTCGACTGGCGCTATGGCCTACCAGTGTCCAGGCTCCTGAGTCCTCACTTCCGGCGAATTACAAAATCGCTCCTTTGAAAAGTATCTCTCCACCGGCTCTGTATACATGGTTTGTGAAGTATCAGACGGCTCTATTGGCCAAGGTATCACATAAGAAAACTTCCATCAGTGCGTTTGCTTATTAGTTAACAGTTTCTTTGCTTGCAGTTTAGCCTGTACTTCCACGATGTGCTGAGCAAGCAAACTGGTTTGGCGGCTGAATTCCGAACCCTTTTAACTAGGAATAATCCAGATTATTACAGCAAGTAAGCTTATGCATGCGGCGCTCGGTTGATAAATACTCTGAGATCTTAAAACGGTTGATTGACTTAAGTGGAAACTTCAGCTAACCATAAGGCTAAAATATGCTAAGGCTTGTAAGTCCTTTTCGTTGTTTCAGGATAGCGACATTCCAAAGGAAAAGTGATGCATCGCACATCTGTTTGGTTCTGGATACAAATGGCATGGACTACCGAGGTCCCGGTTATCGCTTTCCAGGCGCCGAAATCGAGAAGCCGACTGGTTTGGACACTTATCCTGTGATATTCAGTTATCCTGCGGTATAACTTTTGGCCGTAAAATTAACTCTGAATTACTACGTAATTATTGATGTACAATATCTAGGAAAGACCTACGAAACACTGGCCGTCCATTGTGATGATTTTGGCTAGTAGATCCGATCAGTTCGAAGGACCCGATAATGCTATATCCACTTATGACAAGATTGAAAAAGAAAATAAAATCGTAAGTATAAGCGAGTTTGCAGCACTACTTGCCGGGAATCTCGAGAGGATTAGAATTTGTTGTAAAATTCTTAGCAGACTGGTTTTGCCCGTAATTTAATTATATTAATGTGAAAAAATTTTTATTGTCTTGTTTAATTTTTATTGTGTTGATTTACTAAGCAAACGTGCCAACAAAATGTCAACACCTCAAGACAGCAGCATTCTTACAATATGAATTTTGAAATACCGCAGAAGTAATTTTATGCGTTTTTGATGTAAGTTATTGTATGCATATTTTTCTCGTAGTGCTTTTAGAGTTACGTTTATCTATTGTTAAACGCTTTCGAGATGACGTCAATTTTGAAGGGAAGATTTTATATTACAGACTATGGAGCGGACATATTTTATTGCCAGAATAGAAGAGCGATTTTACATCGTGTTGATTTTTGAAATTAAGAAGTCGGAGAAGGATTCCGCGGTGAACCTTTTCCTCAGCGATATGGTCACTCAGTTACGTGGTTCCGCTGTACTGGAATCGTTAAAGCCTGTTTAAAACTTTAATGGTAGATATTGAAGTTATTTTATACTCCTATCGATGTTTGTGCTTTTATTTTAATAGTGCACATTTCTGTCTGTGATTAATAAAATGGGACATTTAAAGCGGCTTTTTTAAGGTCATTTACGATATCTTGCTCAAGATTGTACATTTCTTCATAAGTTGGGGCAAATCCATCCACTCCGTAACGATCAAGTTTTGTTTTCATCTTTGTGTCTTGGGCAATACTTAAGAAGGCGTCTTTTAGTTTCTGCTTGGTTTCCGCTGCGAAGTGTTACGCAAACAGAGATTGTGTTATGAATTGGTTGTACTTGTAAAAATCGTGAATGTGTATCTTCTTACCGGACAACTTCTTGTCGACGACGATCGGATAAATTGGCAGGGATCCGGGCAGCGTTAGTTTGATAAAAATATCATTGCGAGCTTGTGGGTTTCGTTGGAAGTACATGAATGCCACTGCAGAGTTAACTGTTGCTCCTTCGGCTCGTCCGTCACGCACCATTTCGATAGCCGCGTTATGCGAGCCGGCTTCTCGGGTGTCGCCGAAAAATGAAACGTTTTCTCCTTCTTTTCGAAAATGATGCCGAGGATAAAGTGAACCACTTAGAGAATCGGATGTACTACAAATTCAACCACAGCCAAATTATAACATCCTCTATTCCTACGCTTCAAGTTTTAACAACTTACATTAGAAATTGTAGCAAAATCAATAGTAAATACTAAATGTTGCAATCAAGTTTCACAAAATTACGTACGATGCACCGTATCCAGTATTTACGGCTCTGTAGCTGCTCTTACTGGTTAACGAAGTAGTCGTAGAACATGCTGTATACTACGCAAATCCAGTTAAATTGGAATTATGAAATTTCTTAATCCTGCCGAATGAAATTCATAATCCTTGATTCTACTTGTTGCAATGTGATATTACGTACAATACACTTTACCTACATACAGCAGGATGCATGCAATGATACAAATAATATTCGAAGTAACAACCATAGTTGCAGAGAAAACACTTTCCGTTACGTACTGTTATACTATACAAGAAACAGCCTCGGCTTCGCCTCCGCGTTTCTTTTGGTCCATGGCCATTTTATTTGAATTTGAATGCATATTTATTAGAATAACATCTATATTTCGTCGAAACATGATCGGTGCATGCAATAGGGCAAACACAAATTTTATATGAAAATCAGTTCATGATTCTCTCAACCTTGAAAGCATTCCCTTTGGCTGTACATGCAGATAATTTTTACGATATCCGCTACCCGAAAAAGAAAGCCGAAATATCAGTCTATAAGGTATGAATTCGAAATAGTGATAGTGCACTGGATCAATAAAGAAATGAATACTATCTGGCCGGGTTTTGAGCCTTGACAGAGTTACATCATCATAATCAAGCAAGCAAGAGAACAAGCTTACGTTTAATCAAGCGAGCGAGCGAAGCGAGCGAAGCGTTTTTAATTTAAAATGTGTGACGTGACGAACCGGAGAGCCGGGTTCCCGGGGTCCAGGGGCGAAGCCCCTGGCCGGGGTTTGGGGCGGAGCCCCAATAAGCAGGGGGTGCGGGGGGCGCAGCCCCCCGCTGAAACAATTGAGAAGGTAGTTTAAAATTCAAAACCTAACCCGGTCCTTTTTGACGAACCCGCCATAGTAATGTACGGGGGGTCCGGAAATTTAGACCCGGTGCGGATTTTTTTAGCGACCCCCGGGTGGAGCGTTTTTGGGGAACCGTGACGTAAATTATAACCCGGTCATTATTGACGAACCCGCCGTAGTAATGTATGGGAGGTCCGGAAATTTAGACCCGGGCGGATTTTTTTCGCGACCCCCGGGTGGAGCGGTTTTGGGGAACCGTGACGTAAATTATAACCCGGTCATTATTGACGAACCCGCCGTAGTAATGAATGGGGGGTCCGGAAATTTAGACCCGGTGCGGATTTTTTTAGCGACCCCCGGTTGGAGCGGTTTTGGGGAACCGTGACGTAAATTATAACCAGGTCATTATTGACGAACCCGCCGTAGTAATGTACGGGAGGACCGGAAGTTTAGACCCGGGGCGGATTTTTTTCGCGACCCCCGGGTGGAGCGGTTTTGGGAAACCGTGACGTAAATTATAACCCGGTCAATATTGACGAACCCGCCGTAGTAATGTAGGGGGGGTCCGGAAATTTAAACCCGGGGCGGATTTTTTTAGCGACCCCCGGGTGGAGCGGTTTTGGGGAACCGTGACGTAAATTATAACCCGGTCATTATTGACGAACCCGCCGTAGTAATGTACGGGCGGACCGGAAGTTTAGACCCGGCGCGGATTTTTTTCGCGACCCCCGGGTGGAGCGGTTTTGGGAAACCGTGACGTAAATTATAACCCGGTCAATATTGACGAACCCGCCGTAGTAATGTAGGGGGGTCCGGAAATTTAAACCCGGGGCGGATTTTTGTAGCGACCCCCGGGTGGAGCGGTTTTGGGGAACCGTGACGTAAATTATAACCCGGTCATTATTGACGAACCCGCCGTAGTAATGTACGGGGGGTCCGGAAATTTGGACCCGGGGCGGATTTTTTTAACGACCCCCGGGTGGAGCGGTTTTGGGGAACTGTGACGTTATCATCTATAACCCTTTCATTATTGACGATCCCGCCGTAGTAATGTACCGGGGGTACGAAAATTTGGACCCAGGGCTGATTTTTTCAGCGACTTCTGGGTGGAGAAGTACTGGGGAACGGTAACGTAAAATATAACCTGGTCATTATTGACGAACTCGCAGTGATATACGGGTGGTCGTAAAATTTGGACCCGGGAATTTTGCCCGCTGTAGGTTGTGGAGTGTTTTATGGTTACGGGTCCCGTAACAGGTAACTTTTACCGTGAAGAGCGCTTGCAAACATTTCTGTTTACTATCAGTAAAATTACCATAACCGCAGTACGTTACCCTAGACGAGGATTACTGTTACCATAACAGATTACTTTTTATGCAACGGGTTGTCATTACCGAATTTCTATAATAATTAATCCTTAGGGTAACGGGTTACCGTTACCGCAACCTGTTTTGTAATGGATTACTATGGCGGGATACTGTCATTGAAACCGTTACCGTAATGGAGTACCGTGCATGTTATTGTCACCGTTGTGGGTTTCCGCAACCGTTGCTGCTACCCTTTACATGCTACCCTGCTACCCGAACAATCATTTAATTGTTGCTTAAATAAACTTAATGTAAAAATCCTGAAAAAAGCTAACCTGAAATGGAATTAGAATGACTAACGCTGACTGACGCCGTTATTCATCGAAGATGAACTACAGAAATTCGCGCTCACGAGGCTTGCAAGTTACAAATTTATTTAAAGGAGTACGCTTAGAAAGCGCACATTCGAGAATATTAAACAAAAAAGGATTCTAAGGCTTCTGAGTAATTTTTTGAAATAGTTTTGAAACGTTGCCATAGCAAAACATCTATTTAAGAAACCCAGCGAAGTCAGGAGTCATTACTACCATTACTAACATTAACACTGCATGTGTTACCTGCATTGCCGCTGTTGTTATTCATATTCTGATGGTTCATCGTTGCGCGTTACCGCTACCGGCGTTACCACTCAAACTAAGCGTTATCAGTAATAACTGTTACGTTTGCCAGACTGTAACAATGTACAGTAACTGAGTCTGTTTTTGATAGTGTATCATGTCTCGTTACTGTTGAAACTAAAGGCGTAGCCGAAGGCGACGCCAAAACGTGGCGCTAGCGAGCGCAGCAAAACAAGCGGAGCTGGAAGTAAAACAAAAGGGTTCTATGGTTCTGTTAATCTGAAGGTATGTGACTTTATTGGTCAAATCAAACTTAAGGCAAAATAAAAAAGAAACAAGAATTACAACAAGAAAATTTCTTTCAGCTTATCAAGGCCTTCCATCGTGCCCAGTGCCCAGCACAGACGCCGCATTACCCCGTTGAACATCTATCGACAAACGCTGACGTTAAAACTCATGCGAGCGTGCTTCGCCGGTTTGCTGCTGAAATCTTTACCCCAGTTCTTTGGCAAATGCGATTGCTGACGGCCCCCACGGGCCCAGGGTTTCAAAGGCGATTGAAGCGAACAGGTAGCGGCCAACCAGGTACAAATTCAATCTGGATTTTTTATCCTCTGCTTGCACGGCGGCCGTTCCCGCTGTGATCGAGTTGGCTTTGACATGTATGGCGCAACCGTGTCTACACATGTCACGTCCCATGCTAGGCACAATCCACGTTTCCAGGCAAATGCCGTGCAGCCGTCCGGACGGCGCTCCGTGGTGTGAGAAGTACCACGAGGCTCCAGCTTTGCAGGCACGCCGGCAGATATACATGCTCGACAAATGATGCTATTTAATCCGCCGTGACGCGGGTGTCTTCCGGCGGAGAAGACACATGACAGCCCATGATGCCCGTAACCATCTACGCGTTTGAGACATTTGACGCAATCATGAGGTTCGCAAATCGTGGCGCTAAGGCAAAGACCAACACTGATCATGAGTTCGTCGTCTCCCGGCAGGTTGCCGATGTGGGCGGAAAGTTGTGCGTTTAAGCAGATGCCGGCTTCTGGCCTAGACTGGGCAAGCAGGCGTGCTGTGTTGACTTCATCGCCCTCGAACACCTGCAACAAAGTAGAAAGGGAAACGTTACATAAAGGCATGTCTCACGGCTTTTGAGACTTCCGGAACGCGGGTTCGGAAATTTCAGCCTGACGGGCTTTCAGTTTCCAGGACTCCACTGCGCCGGCGACGTCGGTAATATCGTGGGTATGGAGCAGCGCGGACAGCAAACCGGAAACAGAATTGAATCGAAGTCAGGAAGGCTGGTAGGGATAATTCTTCTGACCGGCGGATGCCAATTCCATCTCTGCTAACTGGGAGTGTTACTTGACCCCAAGGCGGGAGTCGTTGTGGTTGGTCCGTACGTTCGAGATTTTTCTTGCAGTTTCACTTAAGCTTTTTGTTACTGTAACGATACGGTCGCATAAACCGAAGGCAGAGCCAAAGGCGACGCCGAGCTGCGGCGCGAGCAAGCGCAGCGCAGCGAGCGGAGCAGCAAGTAAAACGAGCGGATTCTATTGTACTGCTGTTCTGAAGAGATTCTCCTTACAGTTCAGGTTAAACTTTTGTTACCGTGATGATACGGAAGTGGAAACCGAAGGCGGAGCCGAAGGCTACGCCGAGCTGCGGCGCGAAAAAGCGCAGCGCAGCGAGCGGAGCAGCAAGTAAAACAAGAAGATTCTATTGTCCTACTATTCCGAAGAGATTCTTCTTACAGTTCAGCTTAACCCTTTTGTTACATGATTATACGGTAGCAAACTACCGTTTCCACCGAAACCGAAGGCAAAGCCAAAGGCGATGCCGAGCTGCGGCGCGAGGGAGCGCAGCATAATGAGCGGAGGAGCAAATAAAACGAAAGGATTCTATTGCTCTTTTATTTAAAAGAGATTCTTCTTATAGTTCCGCTTGAACTTTTTGTTACCGTGTTGATACAGAAGTGGAAATCGAAGGCGGAAAAAAAGCTACGCCGAGCTGCGGCGAAAGCAAGCGCAGCGCAGCGAGCAGCAACTAAAACAAAAGCATTCCGTTGTTCTTTTCATTAAAAAATTGTTTTTACGGACGAAATTTCCGTTGTCATTTTGAAATTTGCTAGCAAACTATTGTTTCGAGGAAAACCGAAGGCAAATCCGAGCGGCGCCGCAATTGAAGCATCAAATAGAACAATAGATTTATTTTTCTATTTCAAAATTTTGTTGCAATCTGCATAGAAATTTAGATATCAATTTTGCAAATGAAAACGAATTATTTGATTGCTTGATCGAAGTTTCTCGCTTTGTGCAACAACACCCTATTTCAAACTTCAAAACAGTCTCATCCATAAAGGTTTGTATAAATCTAAATACATAAGTACAAATAAAATAAACCTCAGTGATTGAGAGTTTTGATTCTTTTGCGGAGAAAAAGAGAGGAGATCAGCGTTAAAGGTCATTACTTTTAAATACACCGGTGTTCACAGAAATTTAATGACGTGGCCTTGCCCTCACCAGAATTGCGTATAATAGGTAACTTTCAACACGGTAAGCAGGATGGTGAAATTCCCCGTTTTTGAAACGACTCTTACCAAAATTCACAAAAGTTTAAGACTTTCATAAATTAATGTCGACATATTTTTTTGAAAATTACGCGATTCATGAACTTTATTGTAGACCAAAGATTCTGGCAAGCTTAGTCAAATCAACATCCAAGCACTAAAACACTTTTGCACCAGGTGGAGTTGAGTTAGTACGTCAAGACCAAAAACGACATTGGATTGCTAACCATTGTTTTATGCCTGAAACGGTCACTAGGTTTTCAACACCATGGTAAGTAAATATGAGTTACTCGACCGTTATGTTCCAGAATAAAATCGACCGAATTAAACTGAAAGACATAAAAATAACATGGCACCCTTTACCCAAGAAAGTGATCCAGTTGGGAATCGTTACTGCGTTATTGTTACCTAGGTTGCTACTGCCCCCGGACATCGAATAAGCTGTTGAAACGATAAATCGTTTGCGTAATAAATCAAGCCAAACCAAGCTTTACGAAAAACATTTTCGTCTCTAAAACAGAAATCTGCGCCGGCGCTTCTCAGATCCTGTGTGGTTACATCGGCATACGCGGTTTGTGTAAATAAGTGTGCCAATTTATTCGCAGCTAAGATAATCTTTCCGTAAATTTGAAAATACTGAAATTTAAATGGCTTCCATGCGCCTAACAACTTGAAAGCAATGACCGGCATCCTAAAGTAAAGAATTCGGTGCGAAATTGACGGCAATGTGCGGTATGGTATTTATATTAGTAGTGCCGCGTCGCAGTTGCTTGCTTGGTCACATCTGATCATATAGCAGTCCATTTGTATCACCAGCGGGGTCGTTATTATCATTTATATCAGTATTATCATCATTGTCACGGAATGAGATGTCTCGAGGTGGCGGCATGCTCGTATCGCGTTGCGCCGCGTGCGGGAGTATGGAGAGACTACCGCTATCCACCAGTCTGCTAAACTCATGCCAGTCAATCACGCCGACTTTCCACTCAGCATTAAACTATTATAAGTAACCGCTTAAGCTGCTTATCGGCCAAAAAATCGGCTCTACAATGTCGAGCGTAACCGCAAACAATATTTTGGCCAATACACAGATCAGTAATTCCTTAGGCTTAGTTAGCTCATGGTTAGCCATCGTTTATTTTTTTTCACGCAATTTTCAGCCAACAATAAACCATTTCATCTTACAAAATTCTGAATATAGTTTCTTGGAGCGCATGCACCAGCACGAAGCTCAAATAATATTATACTTTTTTTAACGGAATCAAAAATAGAAAACATTCAAAAATATATTGTATCGGCATAATTCCGAAAAACGGCATAAAACTAATGATATCATATCGGCATCGTAGCGGTGGCAAAACTGATTTGAGCAGCTCTGCTCATAAGCCTTCCACAGCATATGAAACAGCTACAAAAAGCGTTTAGACTCTCAACTACTACTGTTGCAGTCTTACCCAACCGCGTCTTTACAAGAAAAAAGTTTACACGCTCGCTCGCTTGCACTAAGGGCGGTTACGTCCTTTATACTAGTTATTAATTATTAAGGAAAATTAACAGCGTACTGCATACTGTAAATATTTATACAACATCATTCGAGTACGGCGTACGCTGATCGTTGTCGCTCTCATACCTGTACGCCCATGCTGTTCCCCTAGCATTCCGAAACTCTTTCAATCGGTCCCTAAAAACGCGATATTAAGTAATTTAAATAAATGCAGAAACAACAAAACTACGGGTATTTAGAATGTACTTGTCCGCAACACGAAGAACGACATCGGAGAAATAAATAGGCTTGCCATGTGCGTTTGGGTGCCTATGAAGCGCTCCAACCGGCAGTAACTCAAAATTTTTGTTCTTTGCATGAAGTTTGGTGCGAATATAATCAGCGGCACTAATGAAACCTGAAATATTTCTGCACGTTTTGTGTACGAAATTATTATGTACAGTACAGCAGTATTCGCAAATTGTACAATGTACAGTGTTACTTACCAAAATCGGCTTCGTCGTTGTCGAAAGGAGATGACTTCTGGGTGACTTCCGATCCACGCCATCTGTGACGTAATAAACGTAATCAGTACTCGCGAGTCGTGAACATAAATTATGGCAACAAATGCAAAAAAATATTATGCTAATGGCAACTAGAGTTGACTAGTTGCAATATTAAAATTAAAAATAACTTTTGGAAATATTTTCCACGCTGTCGGCTGTATGTGTATAGCCGTATGTAGCTGATGGCACTTTTAGAAAAATTGCTTTATAGTGTAATCCGGGCGCCTAATGGTAAGTACGATTCAGTTCTACATTTCTCCTTACCGTTCTTCCTCACTGATAGTATCTATTTTGCAGGATAGTTTTTGTTCGAGGTAGTACCGCAAATCATCGAAATATTCTTTTGGAAAATCTGGGATCAAAGTAGTGAAAACACGAAGAGGAATAGTGCATCCTGTTTGATCGCCCATTTTTTCCCGCTGCGCACGTGATGTGATGCCCTAACACCAGTTTTGCACAGGAAAAATGATATGATCATATGAATAATATTGTTCAGCGCAAAATCCATGCACTATAAATATTTGTCGGAAAGACGATCACAATAAGTAGAAAAATATAATAATATAGATATAGAGTGTAGTGGGACAGTAGCACTGTGGCACTACTGCAAACTTTAGAAGTTGGATAATATTATACTTGTTGTACTCGTAATAATAATAATCATTATTTATATGGCCAGGAATGGTATCTCCGAGTCCGTACAATGTAATAAGACTGTCAACAAATGCAAATCCAGCAATACGCAGTTTTTTCAAGCAGTATTTACAGGCTAGTGGCAGATGCTAGACAAACGTACAGTACGTATAACATTATTATTGTTTGTAACAATTATGTAAATGCTGACGATGAGAATAGTTACACCATGATGTACGTAGTAACGTACTAAACAATTTGACGTGAGAAGGCCTAGGGTACGCTACGTCTAATACGGTAGTAGGTTTTTATGATATTTTTATAGTGATCGGAATAATGAAGTAGAATACAGGCGAGCACCGCGGTACATACGATACGAGTATCTTAATCTATGCTATATGTTGACGAAATAATATGTACTTTAATTTACAACTTGCATTTTTACTATGACTTATGAGTACTATTGTACTAATTACATGTTCCTACGTTTAATACGGTAGGTTCCATGTTTTATTTTATATTCTTTCTATCTTTTTATGCCCAGTATTGTCCAACTGACGGCAGGAGGCACATACTGTAACTTGTTAAGTTTACCGTGAGGGAATATGGACCGTTGGACGGTGGTCAAAGTTTGTTTCGGATACGGGTTGGGGAGGGGGACGGTTCGGCTGAGCGACTGTGGCTGAACTACCGCTTTACATAAGTAGCTACTCGTACTAAGGGCTGTGAGCATGTGAGTCACAGGCTGTGACTTTGCTGCCTGCATATCAAATTACGGTACGTCAGTCGCGTACAACGGTTTTATCACTTTTATGGGAGTTTGTGACAATATGAAGTTGTGCGGTATGGCTGTCGCTAATGCTCGTATATACAGCATGTCGCTTCTGATCGGTAACCTCTACATACAATACGTTTAAGTGATCCATTTTCTGTTAAGTTTTGAAAAGATTTGTGGTTCGAGTAATAATTTACTAAATCGCCTGGCAAATAGCAAGATATTTTGAGTTTTATCGCGTTTATTCCATTATGCAGAAGCAGCAGCAGAACCGCCTCGTTTTACGAGGTGACTGTGGACTGTGTTGAGCCGTGTAATTTTTGGTTGTGTGCCAATTTTTAACCGAAAGAGAAAGCCGCCCGGCAGATCTTTGACAAAGACAACAACGTTGTAGTCGCTAATTGTACAATGTTACCATCCGATCGCAACAAACCGGCTTCCGGTCTTTTTGTGCCCGATGTTGACTTCCATCTCGGCGAAAAATACTGTACTGCAATCCGAAAAGCAAGATCTCAGCCATTTGTTATAATGCGTGTGCGTTCGCCTGCAAGAATGATGGCTCTTTCGAGAAAAAATTTTCTGACGTGCATTTTCATGGTCTTTATGTTCTACGTTGTGATTTGCTTACAAGAACTTCGACGAAATGTTCACATAATTTTGGAACCCCATTCCCCTTCCACATCGGTATCACGAATTTCCACCAGTTCGCAGTCCTCGCAGACGGAAATATATCGCATTGTCGGCGAAAATGGGCAGAATTCGGTTGCACGCGAAGGCGACGCGCTTCATTTTGGAAGTGTAAAAACTTTTACGCTTCATACTGCATCCCTTACCATGCATGACCAGTCTGGCAACGAGCCTAATAGGGAAAGCATAACGCCATTACAGTTGAATGATTTGCATATCAGCGTGAAAACATCCAAAAAGTTCCATCGCCAGCGACTGGATATTATTTTGCAGACGTGGTTCAAATACGCAAAAAATCAGGTCAGTATTAATTAAAATTGAAATTGATGAAAGAGCACGACCAAATTATGTTCGACCAGACTTGAAGTCCCTTTTGGGTTGTCTGCTCTTGTGCCGTAATAATAATAATTTATTTCCAAGATTTATTTTATTAATGTTAATTTATAGTCCTGAGTACATAAGTGCGTCTTTCAGCTATATATAATATTTTTGCGCATTGTTTAGAATTGAAACGGGCAGTGATTATTACCATTTATTAGGCACCAGGAAAGTTGTCGCCGACTTGCCATGTGTGTAGTTTGTCGGCACTTTTTGACACATTTATTTGAACATTAGACTCTGGTACCGTACATTCTGCGTTGCTTTTAATGAACATCAGTGTGAAAAGCGACTTTTAAAATTTGATTTTGAAAGCATTTGTGGTCTTCTGTTCTCCTTAAGCTCGCGAAGTTCGTGTGGGATAAAAAGCAGGGCATGCAATAAAAATGTAGAAATGCTTGCAAAAACAGTTAAAATGATTTTTATTGTTCTGCACTAAGTATTTCATAGTGTCTTTGTCTGGGGAAGTGTGCGCCTTTCTCTTATTAGCTTTTGTTTGGAAACCTTATCGACCATCTGCTCGAGTCTTGCCTGTCTGTGCTTGGCTAATCAACTGAATTTCTGCAGTGCTCTATGAGAGAGACACGGTGTCCTGTGTCCACTCTCGTCTGTGCGAAACCTTATTGGTAGAACAAGCATTGATATTATTAGTTACTGAATATTAGTGGCACCGGAGTAAACCACGTCCAAATGGCAGCTGGAGCAACTTTCCGTATGTTGTTATCTGGCAGTTGGATTGCATTGGGTGTTAGCTGAAGGAAAGCGAAAGAGAGAGGGAGATATGAGAGCACTGGAAAGATGGTATTTGCTTTGATTAGTGTTGATTTCGTTCTGCAGGTGGTTGTCGCGGTTTCACTTGGCTGTGTACAGTATGCAGTAGACTATGGACTAGTATAGAGAAGTACTTAACTATTTTACAAGGCAGTAAAGCTGGGAAGAAGAAGCAAGTGCATAAATTCCTGGTTCCTGAAGTCGTTAGGTCTGCCGACCGTTTGAGGATGGACATTTGACCATATTATTATAACCATTATTATTAAAGTTGCCTGCCAAGGAAGACTAATCGTTAACGGTTATTTGGCTGTTGGCACTTGGCACAGGGAAAAAATGCTTTTTAAAAAAGGAACATCTGAGGTCATTCTTTGCTGACAAACTCCTTGTTGCAGTCTTACTCAAAATCTGATAATAGTGCTCGTATGTAGTCTCACAGTAATTTACGGCTATCACCTTACATGTACTGATAGTAGTGAGTAGTGACCGCATTTGACCGTATATCCGCTCATATAAAAAAATTTTATTTCAAACTTGTACAAGCAAATAAGTACCATTTTACTCTTAAACTCAAATATCCAGTCGCTAGAACAAACAAAACAACTCTTTTAGCTCTTTTGCACCACCAACAGTTCCGCTCACATTAATTCTGGCTGTTCTGAGTTTGTTCTGGTGCTTGCTGCTTGCGGTTAGTTTATATTTGTACAGTATCGTGATACTTATTAAGTTTTCCCGCAAAATTTTGGCTGTTTTCTTTTACTTATGATTCTAGGACTAAGTGTTAGGTTTCAAGCGCATCTTACGGTAAACTTTGTGCTATCTATTCCGCCACAGTTATAAACTTTTCATTGAAACAATTTCTCATTGTTCGGCTTTTCAGTTGATGTGACTTATGCATTTGCGATTATAGATATTTTCTTCTTAAGAATATACTCACAAGTCGTATACTTTGCGAATATTTTGGTTTTATTTGCAGTGGGATGGGATTTCGTTAGCTGCGCTGCTATTGTGTCGTGCATAAGTTGTCGTAGATTGTGCAGAGGCTGATTTAGACACAATTTATAGAAGTACACACGAAAGTAAAATGTACTATAGGCGTATCTGAATATGGGAACTGGGAATGCTGTTGTCTTCACAGGATGATTTTTCGTTTTATTGCAGACTTACTTCGTAACCGATGAACAAGATGGAGAATTTCAGCTGAAAACAGGTGTTTATTAAACCACAAAATCTGAACTTACAGTTACTTACTGTATATATTTGCCACTTGGCGTAATTCTTGTCATGAAGGGTGTTGTGTTCTCTTTTGTAGATGGCCATCTGATAATCTCCAGCTGTTCGAATTCTCATCATAGGTATGGGTAGACATGTTTTAATTTCGATGATAGCACTTTTAATCGCTGAAATGCGCTTCAGCCCTGGGAATACTTATCATAAGCAGGGCAATTTGGTTGTTGAATCTTTAACTAGTATATACGTATTAATTTTCTGATAATAATTATTACCATAACATGACTTAATAAATACTTATTATGAGATGATGGTTTAGGAAGGCTCTTTGCTGTAAGATGGCGATGGAACTGGATTTCTTCTCATCACTAAACAAAAAGTATGGCTTATTTTGGTGACAGTTCGCAGGACACAAGTATTTGATCGTACTTTTTTAAAAAGCTGACACAAATTTACTGTGTTAGATGGTTTTGCCATTTTGATGATGATAATTATGTGAACGTTTGGAATCTCTTGGATATGTTGCGCGGTTATGATTACACCGGGCAGTGGTATCTCGGTAAAACCAGCATCAAAGCTCCCATAGAAATTTCCCATTTAAAATCAACTGGCGAAGTAAGTTAATTTGAGTTCTGTTTGCAGTCATGTAAGCATGTTTTGTGTTTGAAAAAACGAATTGCGCTAGCGAAATAACTATAGCGATAATAATATTTCGCCAATTCGCCGCATGGTAGTACCCTTGGTGGTACCATACCGGCCGTTAAACACGGCACAATGCTTATGCGCTGTCCACAATAATGAGCCGGCACGCTGACCATTTTTGTTCGGAAACTGTAGTGATGGTTCTGTACACGCTTGTACAGAGCAGCAGCCATTATTAGCAGAACCTTTCAACCTTGACGTGGTATCAAATTGACAAAGATGCCTGCCGTGGAGATACATGAAAGCGACCTTTCGCTTTCTCGCTTACGATAACTTTAAAGGGATAATGAGATGCTAGGAAAATCCAGACGCGTGTCCAGCACAGAGCTGGTCACACGACAATTGCTTCCCACTACCTTATTTTCCTTTGGTCGAAACCTCATATCTACCGGCTTATCTGACAACGTTTGTTTTGGCTGCAATTATTCATTTGTAGTAGCTTTGAAGCTGCATTTTTTCGAAATCTCACAAGAAATGCGAAGGAAAAATCATTTCGCAGCAAGAGTTGCAAATGTGGATATTTTGGATTTGCAGGACCAGAATGCTGCTTTTTGGTTTGCTACCGGCGGTGCTGGTTTTTGTTTAAGCCATGGATTAGTTGAGAAAATGAAGCCGCTGACATCAGGAGGGAAGTTCATGAGCATCGGAGAAAAAATCCGGTTGCCTGATGATGTTACTATAGGCTATATTGTCGGTGAGCAGTGCAAAATTCAACCCTAATTTTCGTATCCACTGTTGTGTATTTTTGATGATTTGTTTCAGAACACCTTTTGAAAGTTCCACTTACAATAATCGAGCGCTTTCATTCACATCTGGAACCTCTGTATCTCATGGACCTGGAAACTTTGAAAACCCAGATCAGTTTCGGCTATTCAACGTATCGCGGAAATCAGATGAACAGGGTATCGGTTTCCGGTTGGAATAGCGAATCAGATCCGACGCGATTCCTTTCTCTCGATTGTCTCCTTCGCCCTGATAATGAAAAAGGAGATTGTCCTACTGTAACGGTCTCTGTTTAGATCCTGCCTTCCTGGTTAATAGGTATGGCAGAGTGATAATATTGCTCCAGTATCTGCTTGACTAACAATTAATCTGTGATGCCTTGGAGAATTTTTGCACATTGTTTTTTGTACGTTTGGAATGCTTTAATTTGTGATTTCTTGTACAGAATCTTTTTGAAGTTGACAATTGTACGAGTGGATTTTCCGTTGTATATGAGAGAAAAGAAAAATAATTCACGAATATGCATCAAGAATCAGAAATTCAGTTATACTTTTTAGCAGCTATTAAATAAAAGTATTAAGTACGGTAGCATCAAAAGCCATTGCACAGAAATGTCGATTTGAGAACACAGATCGAGACTGTACTGTAAGTGTAATACAAGTATGTCAGTTTACATTCAAACGAAAAAACAAGGGACAACCGGCAGTGGTGTCTGTTTTGTTTCGGGATAAAACGATATTACCAGTGCCCAATGGCAACTGGTAAAAGCTAGTAACTCGCCTTGAAAACAATCAAGTAAAGAGCTACCATTCACAGCCATTTGAAAGACAAAACTGGAAAAGAGCGGAAACAGTTAGACAGAAATTAAACTTTTCGACGATCTATTTCCATCTCGCATTCCGCAATATCGTTTATGGCTTTCTGAATTTGCGCCAGGAATAATTCGCTGAGGCCGATAGACTGCTGAAGTATGGTAACCGATTCCCGGTTTTCCCGGTCTAGGCGCTTTATGACATCATCCTGCAAGTTAATTCCCGATCACGTCAAACGGTAAATCAGGACTGCCATACTGCGTAAGTAAGTACAGTTTACTATACACAGACTCACCATGTTTTCCTTCGCGCCAGGTTCAGAAGGCAGCAAATTTATAAGTAAATCCATCTCTTTGATAGACTTTGTTATTAAACTGGCAAAGAGAAACGGCAGATCTGCAACAAATGTCAAAACTCAAAAGATATCAGCACTACAAAACAAACATTACGAGTATCTCCAGCGACGGAATGAAGTCGAAAACTACGCATTTCATAACAGCAAGAGGAACTATAAATTAACAAGTAAGTGAAAATTTCCACAACAAGGAAATCTTGGAGCATTGGCTATGGAATAAGCTTGGAGATTTAAACACGCAAACTTATGCCAGGCATAATGAATCTTAACCGAGTTATATAACTCAATTATAATTCATTTATGCTTATGCGAATCGGTCAGCAAGCATGGGAACAACCAGGGCCGTCGCGAGGCCCCCCCCCCCGGAAAAAAGTGTTAAAATTCCCATATCACATTTACAAAATTCGGGACTGGCGTGATGGGCGCCATACTTCGCCCTCGGGGAGAACAATAGCGCCCCTCCCTCCCGAAAAGCTCGCGACGCCCTGGGAACAACCAAGGAAAGTCACACAGGACTACCTTTTGCGCTGAAGTTTGACGCTTCACCCTTGGCAGGCGTGGAAAGCAGTTCCAAACGCCCAGGCAGCACAGAAGGTAGTGCGGTCTGCTGCAGCATTCCTACGGCATTGCACATGTGCTCCGCGACCTGAAATGAGCAACACTAGCTATAAATTAAGCGAAATTTTCCACAACAAGCGGAAGGCAGTAATTTCTACAAATATACCGTAACAAATTTGAAACAAGCACCTGATTGATCTGGTCCTGCACTTGAGTTACGCGGTCGCACATGGTGCTGCTGACAATGAGTGAGGAATGAGGATCACTTTTTTCCGTTGGCTGCACACAGATGCAGATGGATCACTTTTTTCCGTTGGCTGCACACAGATGCAGACTTAACACTATGAAAAGAAGAAGACTAGTCTTCGCATAGGAATAGTGTTAACGGCTTGTTTTGGGTTTGTCTATGGAGATTAGCCTCCAGCTGATGCAAGTCGAGGCGGGCGTCGTAACCAAAATGTTACACGCCTTTGATTCGCCCATTTTAGGGGAGTGGTTCAGTATTTTCCGGAGGGCAAAACCCTGCAGAGTGCAGTAAGTTATGCATACATAAAGATACTGTATACGTTATAATACAAATACTAAGTGTATACGGCTTGCTTTTGAATGGTTAATACCTTATAAGAGGATAGTTTAGCATTGCAGCCAGTGTAACTGTGCAACCATCCACAGTTGTTGGTTTAGTTACTTAAGTAAGCCACTGACCGCTGGTTGTGTTCCAGACTATATCAACTTGAACGTTATCGACTCATTCAATTTTGCTGAACCTCCCAAGCATGGACTTTGTAATGATATTAGCAATTACATTAAACGCAAAAGCCCTATATACATGCACAAAGATACAGGATCAGAAATTCATCAGATTTTCTAGAAAAGGCCTTTTTATTTGAAACCTGGCAAGGTAAAATTCTAATAACCGGTTCCCAAGCACCAGAGAAACTTCAGGCGCCGGCTATAGAGTAAACGTACAAAAGTTGCATTCTTATCATTTACTCAAAGTGAACTTATTAATGTTTCATAGGCGCGTTTCCGCATGCATTGATATTTCTTGACAGCGACAAAAGTTGTTTCAGAAAACAGCTTGTTCTCCTAAATTTTTGAAGTTGGTCTGATTTAAACAATAACTGATCGAGACGCAAGAGTTGGAGTTATCTTGCAAGTCCGAAGAAAACAACCAGCATTCAGAAACTGCATTAAACCGTCGCATGTTTGCTTCTTTGCGGTTGCATCAGTTACAGTGCGGCTGTTAACGGATTTTTTTTAAAAATATCAAATTTTTCAATTTGGTTCAATCCACGCACACTTAAGAAGCTAATTTCAGGGAGAAAATGGGTTCTAGAACGAGCACATTCTCATTTCTGTAGCACGCTGCTGGAATGAAAATCTTCGAAGATTCGTAACTTTGTTATTTCCGTGCTAAATTTTTTTGTATGCGCTTAAAAAATTAAAATAATGATACTACATACTGCATACTACATGATACTACATACTAAATATATTAATGCGTACTCTTTAGGCAGAATAACTGATTTTCTGGTTCCGTTTCAAGGTTTGGCACTGAGAGCATACGTGCTTAGCATAGCCGCCTATTTGAAATCTCGAATGAGTCTTCCACAGACAGGTATGTTAATATCAAAGGCTCATAGTGAATAACCCCGAAAATAAAAACGAAAGATCAGTTGTTTTGCCTAAAGGTATGCGTTATTTTTATTTTTTAAGCTTATACAATTGTATAATATTTAACCATCCACCAAACTTGTTGCAATCAGGTGCGTGCCGCAATTTAGTTAAAGACTCCCGTACACCGTTCAGGAACAAGCCGTATACAGACTATAGAAAGTCTCATGTATGCCCGATATATACCACAGCCGACGGAACTATTTCCGCGAGAAAATGCCACGAAGTGTTTTCAACTCCAACCGATAGTCTGCGACAGATTACGGTGTTACTTCTCTCATTTGGCTCACCGCCGTCTTAAGTGGGATTCTTTTTCAGCTCACCGCTTCCAGTCGGTGCAAAAGTTAAAATTAATACGAACTTACGTAAAACAGACTAGCAGAGGAAGAGTTTTGTTTATCAGTTTATATTTGCAAACCGCTACACTGTATAAGCGGCTACAGCAGCAAAAACTAAAAAGTAAGTACTGACAAAATGAGTACTGTACTGGATAAAACATTTTAAAAAAAACAGTAGCAGAGGCTGCAGTGTGCAGAGCCCAGCGCAAACGGCTTCAGATGGCAGTTACATGGACCATAGTTTTGGCGAAGTTAAGGAGAATTTATACTATGGTAGCAAGACTGAAAATGAAATTTTCAAAATTCTACAGTGTAATAAGTATAGTTACATCTATTACTGGGCGAAAGTTGAGTAGATTCAGGTAGCAACGAAAAAACTTATTCAAGTTTTTTTGTTGCCGACCAGGAGCGATTTGGCGGGCTAGCGTATCTTTCTACAGTACTGCCACCTGTGGTCAAAATTAGTGAATGAAAGATTGCACCGACATGTGCTTTCTTTCAATCTGGAATATGCCTTGTGGCTGTTATATTCCATGCCAGATTGCAAGTGTAATAGGACCAGACAAGGCTCATGTTTACACAGTGAGGACGAATGCCGCATAACAAAGGCGCTAGACAATGGAAACACGTAGCGCTATCCCGTGAGTGCACACATTCAGTGTGGCGGCACTGCAAGCGCAGAATCGGTAAGACCAAAGGAAAGCGCAGAACAAAAGAAGGTTCTTCGCCACTTTCTGAAAAATTTTCCAAAATCGACTTCTAAACTCAATAACAATTTTCAAAGATGTTAGAAAATTCTGACATTTGATCAGATTCAAGAAAATTCATTTTCAAGAAGAATTGTGGAGCGTTTTTGTGACAAATGTTTGCGTATTCTGTAAAAAATAAAAGAAAGTAACTTTGAGTGTAAAAAAGTTTGTTTTTTTCAAGAATGGTTGAGTTTTTTGGAAAAAACGCTCCACAGAACTTTAGTCATTTTAGCGGAACACATCGCTACGCTTGAAAGAAAAATTTCAAAAATCTGCTTGAATTGTTATTGCTTCCGTAAAATAACGGCTTTTGATCAGTGACTTTTACATTTTAAAATTCTCTAACCAATTTCAGACTTTCAATGCATGTAGCGAAAATATCATAGTGTTAGGTCAGATGAGTAGTTATGATGCAGCACAAGCGCACGCATTGCGCCAGCGAGAATAGTCAAAAGAGGTCGAAATCGGTATAATCTCTTCTTAACCTGACTTGGCATTATGCATGCTAGGCTTTTTTGCATTTTTCTTCAAACCCATTTTATTACTTTCGAATCTTGTTATACTCCGTTATATATTTGTTCAATCTACAAATTCTGAGCTATCGAATGATACCAATCTGGATATCCATAAAGTTTTCATTTTACTTACAAGGCCATTTACTTGTTACTTGTCCCTTTTCCTTTTACTCTAGCGAATACGCAGCCGCGTAGATGGCAGTTACGTCAATATCTCTTGTCAGCTTCGAAAAGCGGGCGGAAACCTTTGCGACACCAATGTTGCTGCCTGTGTATCTTCGACTGTTTCTTTTTTCCAAAGTTTTGACTTTTGCATGAGATTCCTAGAACAAGAAGTGCTAACAATAAGTTCCAGTCGTCTTCTTGATTTTATTTGGCCTGGGAATGTAGTAGCTGGGATCAACTCTCGTGTGGGTAAATAAGTTTGCTTTGATCGGGGCACAATGACGCTTCACGGGAATGATTTCGCCATCATACGCGATGAAGGAATGATCCCAGCAGTCGAAGTTCTTGCGGATGTGGAAGAGTACGCATTATTAACCGGAATTTCCAAACCAGCATTTCCGCGATCGAAAATAGCCGATAAAGACAGAGAAATGTACCGAGAGTATGTGGCTCGTAGACTGCCCTACTTGCACACTGAGCGTGATCGGGCACGTTCGCCAGAGCGGATTCCAGACATGGTTGATAAAGTGGTGCCGGAGCGTATTAGAAGTTTGTATTCCGCAGTAAGCCACATCTCAATCCCAAATCGTTTTTTACGTATTATTTTTCCGTATTCTCTTACATTTAATCCGAACGAGTATAATTCCCAAACGGCTGTAGATGCTGGATGGATTAAATGGGCCTGAGTGGAATTTGTTGCCGATTGACGCGGAGTTTTTTAGTGCAAGGGATGCGATTTTGGAGGAACTTACAACATTGGGATTAGTTCAGTACGTTCACACCACGCTCATTTGTTTAAAAGTATCAGGATAACCTGGGTGGAAGGACTGTTACTGAGCATAAGCATGAAAGAGATCGGCGGTCTGTTGAAAGTGTATGGCTGAATGCAGATGTGCCGATTCTGCTTGCTTGTTAGCCAGGAGCCACCCATTTGTTTGCTTTGAGGTTTTGAATTCTGCTCTTAAAATTAATGAAATAGGCGGTAAGAATTACGAACTTTTGATTTACTGGTATTAAGAAGATAACATTGTTAAGTTGCACTGCACAGTGTTAAAAGACCTTTGACGTATTCCGTGATTTTTTCTGATAGATGAGACAATAAATTGTAATAGATAGATAGTATGTTTATATAGATGATCATGAGGCAATAAATTGTTGTAGTTACATACTGTTATTCTGTACGTTAAGTAAGGCACTGCTTGATGCATATTTTGACCAGAGTCTCGAATAAATGGTGATACTTATTAACAACCGTATTTTCTTGTGGTAACCCGCCAACGGATTTTCTTGTAGGGCTGCATGGTACTTTATCGTTGACAATTTACCAAGCGATAGAGTTCAATTACGCGGTGCTCTCCTTAAGATTATGCCCGAAAAACTTCGTACTGTATGGGTGAAATCCGATGGCGAAACGAAATCGTCCAGAGTCCTGGAGTTGGTTAATCGTTTAAAACTTCTTATGGAGCTAAGCCGTGCCAACCAAACGGAACAAAACGAATTTTTCTCCGACCTGAAGCGGCTGATTGGACCTCAACAGTTGTCGGATGCTGAAATGGAGAGGGAATCGATGCTGGAACCAGCGGTAATGTCAGCATCCGAAATTTCCGGAAAGGTAGCCGACGAAATATCGTTCTGTGTTGTGAGTGCACCCGATTCACAACAGAGTGGGCAACTACCGAGTGCGGCAGAAAAGCCTGTGATTGCTGTGGATGATGCTCCGGTAGTTATTGTCGAGAGTTCTGCACCGGCACTGTCTTCCAGTCTTGCATCTGCACCAAAGAAGCGCGGTCGGCCACCAAAAAAGAAGCCGGTTGCCGATGCCGATACTGAAGCACTTGCGTCTTCTTCGTCCGTCTTGCATGATATCGCTCCGACTCCAAGTAGTGTCACCGATGAACCGTCTGTTGCTCCTTACCCCGCCAGTGACGTCCTGCCTCCTCCGCTGCGATCGTCAGAAAGTACGCGAGGCAGAGGACGCCGCGGTCGACCGCGAAAAAAGTGATATGCTTTGCACTATTTTGAATCTTTTTGTGCCGATGGACAGGCATTTTATCTTTTTATCTAATCTTAAGTTGAAAGTCTTTGGTACTAATAGAACTCCTTATTGTTGTTTTGTTTATCCTTTTCTGATGTTAATGTACAGCGTAATGATGGAATGCACACAGGCAGAGATTTTTCGAAGTAAAAGGTATTCCTGTAAGTACTTATATTTTGCAGTACGTACTTGCGAGTTTTGCACAATACAGATATGGACCATATCCAGTTTTGCAGTCCAGTACTGTATAGACCAGTTTTGCACAATATAGGCCGTAGGCCGTATGCACTGTCCATTCTATTTTAATTAAATCTGTACTTACAATAAATCACTAGTAGCGGCAGCTTAGTAGTGACGAGAGGTGATGGAAAGCGCGGTACATACTGTATTTTTAAGGGTGTTCCACCCCTTGCGACTCCCTCCGCTCGAGCCGTAATCGTGCCGATGGGTCATTGTCCGAATGTCTCCAGATTTCCCAGTTTTTTTCCATTCCGAGTATGCGGAGACCTGGTGCTGATTTATTTACGAGTAAATGCAAATTCTGAGCGTTGGGCTCTCAGGACTATTATTGGCGATTTTGTATTTTGATCATTGTATTTTGAGTAAGTATAAGCTTATCTGTAGACTGTAGCGCATGTTTTGACGCTATAGACAAGGTTATGATTAACCCCAGCTTTCCTGGTTGATTGCAGAATGGGAAAATCGGAAAACCTTTACGTAGGTTTGATGGGTAAGCGATTAACCGTGCCATGCAGAATCGTTTAATCTAGTATTTATGCGCCGGACATAGGTCAAACAACTACTGAAAATAGTAATGTTATTCCCTTGTGCCTGCAGTTGTTTTCACGGCTGGCTTGATTGCCATTACTGCGGCGCAGCCTTTCCCGAATTCGCAGTATCCCATGGCTGACGAAGCTTCCCGACCGCGTGGCCCTGTTATCGAGCCTTATTTTCACGGATTCTACAACAGTACCCCGCACTTCGTCACCCTCATCATGGCCCTGCGCAGCCCGAACACGGCCGGCATCGCCCTGGATGTCAGTCCACCTGCAGTTGCGAGACTCGATTGGAATGCTTCCTTGCCGCGCGTAACCGTCCTGGCATCCACCGCTTCCGATGAATTTGACAAGGCCAGTGAAGCGATGCAGCGGGAGGAGGGTTGTCGTGTGGCGTGCGTGGATCATGGACATTGTGATGGCATCACGCATTTCTGCATTTGCGAACCATTCTGGACACCGAATCCTTTTCGCCTGCATTATCACCGGTTTGAGACAAACTGCGGTAAACACATAATTATGCAGGGAGCGCAGTGTGGCATGCTTTGAACTGTTAGCAATATATAGGAGAATCACTGTTTGCTTGAGTGCGGTTTCTTTGCTTACTAATGAATTACGTACGTACCTGCGGCTACGGCAGTGATTGTCTTTCTGATTGCAGATTGGAACGTTTTTGTAGTAATCGGAGTTCTGGTTGGAATTGCCGGTGGTCTGCTTTTGCTTAGTGTTCTGTGCCATGCCTGCTGTCGCCGCATGTAAGTGATTTCGTGCATCTCGAAATGTAAAATTTAAGGGGAATTTTGAATACTCGTAAGTGGTCAACTACACTGGTTTTGTTAACTCCGGTATCGTAGAAGGGTTCAGCAGCTGCCAACGGATGCGCTCATTTTAAGATAACCATTTATTGCATTGCACGGTCTTGTTTTTGTTAGGGACAAAAAGGAATCCCCGGCGTATCGTCGATACCGTCTGCTCAACGAAGATGACATGGAAGGATTCGGTAAAACGGGTGCTGGAATGCGTGTACCGAAACGTGCACAACTGGCCGAGTCGGACGAAGAAAGTGAAACAGTTTTCGAGGCCAAAAACCCCAAATATTATGCACAAAACCAGTACGGCACAACTGTTCCAGTGAAAATGCCCAAGAAGCAGTCTGCCGGTGTTGATTAGAGAGTTCTCATTTTTTTCTACCGGTGGTGCATTTCGTAATGTTCTCCTGTTTTTTTCTTCGTGTTTCGTCTGCGATTGCGTTCGTGTTTTATCCCAGTGGTGTAATTAGAGATGTAGCTCTTGGCTTCTTGCTGCATAAATACATTTGAACTTCGAACAACTCACGTGAATTAAATGGACAACGAAAGATTATCACAGCTTTCTCACATTTTAATTCATTTCTTACAGGTTGCATGAATACTGAGACACAACCAAATTCAACGAGCTTCCACTTACATTCGAGTAGCCAACAAATCCAATGTTTTTGGATTTTTATTAGTGACAAATTTCAGTTCATCCCGTCCTTTCTGCGTCGCCACTCGTTCATCCGAAAACCATCGCTGTTCCAAATAATAATCCATGGCGTTCGTGAATTCCTTATCATTGTAATCCGTTATAGAAACCGGTACAAAGGGATCCATGGCTTCCCAGCCGTCTTTTTTCAGTAAATAGCGTGGAAAGATATTCCCGGAAACATCCTTTAAGGCCGGCTCATCCACCATGGATACCCTGTCTACGGTCGTCACAATGGCAGCATTATGCCAGTCGTTCTTTATGGCATTCTTAATATGCGTGAACAGCGACAAGGACTCAGGCGGAACCGTGGTGCGGTCGACGCGCGGAATTTTGGTCGGTCCCCACAACGCATTGACCGAGTCCACCACCACCGCCACTTTAACTCGATTATCCATTGCGTTCAGCTTCATCTCTTTAACAATGATTCCAATACAGTCATTAGCGTATTTGGCACGTTTTATTCCTAATTCCACAACATCCAGCAGCGGGGCGCCTTCGGGTGTTTCCTCGCGTTTAGAAAAAATATACTTTTGGTGGGTGAGGATTTTGTTGGAGGACTCCGCTGACCCCTTCAAGAGATCGCCGTTCTGTGAGAGAAAATGCTGCAGCCATTCCATACTGTCCACCGGCAGATCGATGCGTCCGGGTTTAAAGGTGTTTTCCTGAACTTCTTTGTAGCGGCGACTCCAGTAGACTAGGCGCGGCATGTGAAACACCAGCCATCTGTTGGAGAGAAAAAAATGCAACAGATACGCCAGTGTCATCGTTTTCCCCACACCATCGCGTCCAAACAAACAGTAGCGCACTGGTGGAAAGGCCGGATTGGAGCGTTTCACGCACTCGATCACTTCCAGTCCGGGTTCGCGAATCATCAGTGCACATTCCTGGAAACTCTTCACGTTGTCCCGAAAGAGCGAGGGCAGAGTGCGAAACCCGAAGTATTTGTCATAGTGATCATTGGGAACGGTATAGTAAAAGGCTTCATGATCACGTGTGTGATCTGCTGGATTTTGCAGAGTAGTGCGTTTGGCAGTGATTCTCTGGACCACAGTGGGACTTCGAGTGGGTTCTTGTGGATCAAAAGGCATACGATTTTCTGCACCGGATGCTTCTGTTGATACCGGCATAGGTTGCACGACTTGCTGATGTTGGAGGGAAGGAAATACAACTCTGAAGCATCGTACGGAATTTTCAAATGGAAGAAATCCAAAGGACTTTGCCACACGTAAAGACAACATGTTGTAAGGCACTCCGCGGTGCAATTTGCAAATCACGATGTGGAATTAAAGATAGTCTCGAAACATCCCAAATCCTCTCCAGATCAAAAAGGTTCGGTTCGAAGTTAGAATAGCAAGGTAAGTACCAGAACCGATCACAAGTAAAGTATCAGCAGTTCACTGTTTACGTGAAGCTGTGAATACAAAAACCAGAACATTAGCTGCCAAAACCAAAAAATAAACGCAATAAACAGCGGTAGCTGTAGCATTCTGGATACTTCTATAGATACAGTATTTGGTACTGTGGTGCACCAAAGCAAACTCTGAGCCTCGTGCTACTGTCAATAGCTAGTATTGTATCTACCGGATATTATTTACGTAATCTATATCTATATTTTCTTTTAAAAGAGATTTACAAAAGTAATTCCTTTTTATGGTATCCCTTGAAATCGTTGTTGGTCGGCGATAGTTTGATCACAAGTATTTCCGCTAATTTCATACATATGTATAGATATACTATATACTGACGAGTGATATGGATATCTATCTATAGATATATACTGTACTAGTGCCTGATTTGCGATTCAATAATAATTATTTATATTAATTTTTGTGTTGCTATACTTAATTGAAATAATTTTAGCTTTAACTATTACGTTAGTGATGTTACTTTTTTTTAGTACTGTTAAAATTGATAATATTATTACTTTTTCGTGGAATAAAAACAGAAAATATCAGACTCGGGACGGAAATACTGCATTACTCCAAATAATGCTAAAAAAGTAATAATAATAATAATATCTCTAAAAAAATCTCATTTCGAAAAAGCGTGGGCCATGCGTCATGAGCGTGAGTAGCAACGTAATTCTATTAAATTTTCATATTTAATGAAAACGTAGCATATATACTAGTATTAATCTACTTTTATTCATAGAGCCGTACTAGCACGGTTCTGTTACCTCTGTTGGATTTTTTATTAAGTAAACTTAGACATGCTATAGATATAATACAATGTTATGTATATAATATCTATAGAAACTGCATCTATCTACGTACCGCATGTCGTGGTTGAAGTGAACAACAAAAACAAGTGAAATTAATGAATTATGAAAGTACTCCACTGTATCCTGTAGGCACAAAGTGGTCAAAGTCCTTAGAAGTTAGAACCACTAACTTTTAAAACCATTACAACTTCTAAACACTGTAGTGGCAATAACGCAGCCTTTTTTCTAATTTTAATTTAAATAGCGCATTACAAATGCATATTGGGCTGTTCGTTTGCAGGCGTTTGTGAGTGTATACAAATCCCTATGCAATACTTTATTAATTTGGCTGTTGCATCCGTAGTGTAATGGCGCGTTTCCATATTCTATAATTAATTGATTACAGTATGAAGTACAGTACAACACGATCCGTAATGGATATACCGCAGTATAATGTGTTTTTGTCGAGAAAATAATAATCTAAAGTTACCTGATGAGCAATTCCAAACGCTAGCACACGCAAATGGTATACTTAGTTTCTTGAATTTCTTTTACAGATTACCGAGAATCACAAGTGCAACACGTGAGCTGTACACATAAAGTTATTATCTAGAACAAGACAACGGGAACACAAGTACAAGAGATGATGTTCGTTAAAAATTTATTATTTCGTTTTAGCGGCATAATATTCGCACGTGCATGGTCTAATAAGTGCTTCGAGAAAGAGCAGAGTAACGGCGTACAAGCAGAAGAGTCGGAAGATGAACATGTTTCTCCATCAATGGGATACTGCATATGGAACCATTAAATTTTTCCGAGAATGACGAAATACATACTAATGGAATGTTGACATTATGTATATGCTAAGCAAATGACATTTTTATATGCTGTACATGGAGTAGGATCTCGAACGATCCACGTTGCATCGATTATACATATATATTGTGGATTATTCTGCCGAGCTCATTTAGAGGGTTTTTACTTTGGCTTGCTGGATTGAACCATTTGGGAAGGCGCACAGCAGTTTTCTGCGTTGCTTCACTAAATGCCGTGAAATTATTAATTGGAATATGATCACTTTTGCTAAATAACGAAGAAAAGCCCGGTCTCCTAGTGCAATTTACAGAAAGAACTGCGAAACATCTGTATCAACACTTAAGAGCGATGTGAAGTATGTTCTACGGATCCCACTCAAATTTCTTTTAGTGATATATTTAATAAGCTATTCTCATCGTTCCGGATACTTGGGAATAGTCGTCATGCTCAACTGGCAACCATTTCTTTGATTTGACGTTTCCATTTTGCAAATGACTGTTGACTGTGCCTGGTCGTTCCGCTACATTCAGTCCCGCCGCGCGCGCGCTCCCCTGTACAGTGGTATAATCGCTAAAGGTCATTGGTGAGGGAAAAGAATGGAAATTTTTCAGCCACTGATTTTCCTCACTATCTGCATAAACTGGATGGATTGTGCATCCAGTAACAGACGCCATAAACCCAATACTGAAGCAGGTAAGAGACTGGGCAAAGTGTGTATAACAAATGTGCTGCAGCAGAGAAAAAAGTTTACGTAATTCAACCAGCGTTTCCCCCCAAGCCAATAAGCAGGATTCCCGCGATCTTGATATGCATCAGGGAGGACCACATCAGGGAGTCCAGTTAGCTATGTGTGCGGCGCACTAACTCGAATGGCATATAAGGCAAACTGCCGACAAACTCGTTGGCGTATACGATGTTACTATCGCTTCACCTAAATCATTTTCAGTGTTATGTATATTACACTTTTTTATATGGCACATTTGTTTTATCAATGGGAAGATGCCTAGCTATAGCTATATTGTTCATAACAACATGACCGTTTTTCAAAATTTATGTTGATATTTAGTCTTCAGCAATATCTGCAAGATGCAGAACATTTCAACGTTAAATAAATATTCATTTATTTACGACGTACTGTTGCTGGATGCCGTCTTGTCAACCATAACTTTATTTGTTATGATTCGTCAAGAATGTTGCAAAGTATACCAGTATAATTAGCAGATTTGTTTTATAAATGCTTCGTATCATTTTGCTCTATGAGGCGCTCAGTCAGTATTTCCAAAATTTCCCTCGGACATCTGTGTTAAATGTGCCATTTCCGGACGGAAATCTTACTCCATGTGATGTTGGCTTACTTGTTTTATGCTGCGCTGTTTCAACCTATTCGCTCTGGATGTATATTGCTGTGCATTTCCTGTCGCTGTATATGATACTATGTAATTGTATTACGATATTACGAACCTTTGACAAAAAGACTTTGTAATATGTAATTATACCGACACGCGTTACATACATATTCCTATATCCACAGAAAGCTCTGTACTCATCGTTAATTAACTGTCGTTGACGTTTACCTTTTATGAATAAGCCTGAGTATTAATTAAAATTATAACTGTGATATTCAAGTTAAACAATGAGACTTTCATAAAAACGATGAGAATTTTTTCACTTTTGCAGAAAACTTTCAACCTTTATACCGCCCATTGGAAAGAAATTCCTAGTACTGTATACGTAAAAAAAACGACGAAACTAACAAACCACGTATTTTTCGTCCTAAAATTTGTTTTAGTCAGAATGATGCAACTATTGCAATAATTCTTTATTTTTCAATTTTATTCTTTGTTAATCGAATCGATTTACTTAAAGCAAAGGTGTATAGGGTACACCGTGCTTCAGTAATGTCGCCGCGTTCGCACGTTTTATTAGTGCGATGGCTATTGCCTAATATAGAGAAGTTATAATAAATACTTAATTATAATAATAGTTATTATAATTTATGAAAACCAAAGAGCCAACAGAGCAACAACCCACAGGTTCCAAGAACAGTGCTTATTGTGCCTTCGATTACTTATGCATTGCATTGTCAGTCTACGCGGCACTTTTATAATCGATTTGCCCTTATTGCTTTCAAGGATTTTGTTATCTTTGGCTTTAAAACAAATAAGAATTTCGGACGATTAAATAACGTGCTGGTAAAGATGTGTGTGTTCGTGCTACAGCTCATGAAACTCTCCGGTTATGTCCCAGAAATTTGGAAAATATTGATAGTGGCTACCGGCGTTGCCTGCGTCCATGCATCACAGATGCGGACTGCAAAGGGCGCAAGAAAAAGGTATGTGTTCTGTAGTGCTCAGATTGTACAACGCATAAATGCAACCAAATAGTAAAATATAATTCTTTTTTAAACAACATCCTTCATGTGAGGATGGGTCTTCTAACAGTTGATTTGCAGTGCCTATGCGATGGAGACTGCGGCATGAGTTGTATAAAGCAAAGTAAGGGAACGTCACATCAAGCATACGTACATACTTAACATTGTTGCCCTTGATTTGTACACAATTCCCGCTGTGATTCGCATCTGGTGAAGATTTCCTGCCGAGTGACGCACTGGATAGAATTTAGTTACAGACATACTTCGCGGTTGGAGACAAATGAGCGTTGTCAGAAGAAATATTATTACGTATATAAACCGGTAGAATGGAATGAACAATTATATTGAATATATGGAATGTCGAGTACACAAGTCTAGTAAAAGGAATGTTTTACTTTAGCAAGCGTTAAATAAAAACGCGTGCCCAGTAACAATACTTGCTTTTACAATTTTTGACAGCTTAAAGTGCTTTCGGGCGACAGCGTGGAACAGTTTAATCTGCAGGGCTAAACTTACAATTTAGAAAAGAATAAGCGGCCAGACAGATTTTCCTTTAAGATTCTCCTATAATTTTCTAATATTTTTAGTGTAGAAAAGTGTTTTTTCTCCCAGTGTTGCGCACGCAAAACTAAATTTTAGCATTGTGCTCGCTGGAAAAGCGAACATGCCCTCACGTTTTGTATTTTCGAGTAAAACAGTTTGTTATTAAACGTTAGTTAAGGCCAAAATTCGAACAGTGTTCGAATTTTGGCCTTTAACTAACGTTTAGCTAACGTATTTTTTACAAACTGTTTTACTCGGGATTATTTGAATGTTTTCCAGTATAAGAAACCGCTAAATGGTGCTTTGGCATGGACTTCTTCAAATATCGTATTGATAATAATTGTAGGATCATGTATCGCGTAATCCGGGATTAAACGCTCTGCCAAACAAATATCCGTCAAAGTCGGACGGTTGTTCCACAACTTAAGCCGTCTAATCCATACACTCGCCTATAGTAAACTAAAGCATTTTTCTGGTAATGGATTTTGGTCAATACCCAGACATAATTTGCGCAACAACTGGCTGTACGTAGAGTTAGATTTTTGGTGCGTAAAAGGTGGAATCAGAAAAGCAGTTTCGATAGTACGAGTACATTGCATATATAGCTCAGTTAGCACAGCCGAAATTGCTCTTCCTTTTCCCGTGCCACACGATTTGGTTACGAGAGTACTATAATTAAATGCAATTTGTAGACACGAAATGCGCTCCGCTGGTTGATCCTTTAAATGGAAAAGTCCACACAACCGGCATCGAGGCATTCGGCGCCAAAGTTTTCTATACATGTCAACCTGATTTCAAATTAAAAGGACCAAGATCTCGCTCTTGCCAAGGAGATGCTACCTGGAGTGGTGATATGCCGATATGTCAACCAGACGGTACAAATTACCCGTACACTTAAATGTTCCGCTTCCGCTTACACTAACATTCAAAAAAAAAGTGTTGTTAATTATTTGCAGAATTTTCTGCTGCGTATCGTGTACAGCTATGATATACCGCACAGAACGATTCGTTTTTTTGCAGTGAAGTGCGAAGATCCACCGGAAGTCCCTCATGCACAGCACAATGCCGACTGGCGACACCATACTTATGATCTCGACACAATGATCCAGTACACGTGCGAAAGCGGCTATGCTATCGAAGGGTTCGCGCGCGCCAAATGCATATATTTCAACGGCACGGCCAAATGGTTCGGTCCTGATTTGCGCTGCGTCCGTAAGTTTCAGTGCCACTAGTGGTAACTGTAGCGGCTGCTGTTTCCACAGAAGTGCACATTGCGGGTCACTCCCTAGCGAATACAAACCGACGCCTTGTTACCGTATCGTCACATATGCATATTTAACTGTGGAGATTGTCACAAAAAATCTTTGTCTAAGTCTATCCCGTAGAGGAAATCCTCTCGAGTCAGCTCCTAATCCGGTGGCTTTACGGAGGATATTGATGACTATCGCATATATTTAGCGTCGACGACGTCATATTATTGTACTAAATGTTTCTGCCATTGTCACTCGTACCGAGTACGAAAATCTCCGGGGAAACCCACTGCACTTGTGTTCTGAAGCGGAAAACTGCAAAATAACATGTAGAATGCAGCATACAGAAAGTAGAAAGTATTTGCATAATTATCTGGATATGCAGCACGGGATTGTGGCCACCCGGCGGATATTGCCAACGGATATCGTGAAGGGGATCTATTCTATTATCCGCACCGGGTTAAGTTCCACTGCTATCCGGGATATAACCTTATTGGCAAGCCTATACGCCACTGTCAGGTGACAATGCTGCATATTGCATAGCTTATTTTTCTTGTTTGCCGCGCGCACTCTCGTAAATATTTAACTTTATCTTGGCTCACTATGCAGCGTAACGGGAAATGGGACGGTGAGAATCCACTTTGTAAAGGTAGGAAGATTGTCCATCCCAGCAAGAGTTGTGCCGTTTATATTCTATTCTATGTGTGCTTGTCAAAAATGGAGCACTTGTATGCATATATTATTAACTTGAGCGTGTACTGTGTACATGTTCCCCGTAGCTGTGGAGTGTGCACGACCAGCCGACCCATATAATGGATTTGCCATTATCACCTCTTTGAAATACGAGTCAACAGTGATCTACACATGCAAACCGGGATATCAGCTGGTCAAAAGTGAGGAAAGACGATGTCTAGCTAATCAGACTTGGAGTGGACCAGAGCCTAAATGCGAAGGTGATTTTTAAAAAAAAGTTTTCCGCGATTGAGTGTAACACTTGCTTTTAATTAAAATGGTTGTGTACGTCGTATGCTGCTTGAAAAGATCAGACTTTTCTCTAGTGTGACTGTGACCGCCAGTAACATTATTATTCTTCAAAAGGTCACTTCATTAAATACTGTGCAACGTAAGAACAGCACGTCAGAAATTTTAGCCATCGCGTGTTGCTTCTTTAGTCACAGCGCACAGTGGCCTTGCAATTGAATTTTATAATATACTGTACTAAAGGAGGACTAGCTAATTTATAGCACGAACCCGATTTGTAAATCACCTATTGATAGTGAACCGTATGTATCGTATGTACGGTTCACTATTTCTCACGCTGGTTTTTTTTATTTTTACAGTGATTAACTGCGGTCCACCTCCGCCCATTAATAACGGAGGTTATAACGGATCTTCAACAACATACAACTCAGTAATATTTTATTTCTGCAATAAGGGCATGAAATTCGGCGGGACAGCCAACTCTGCCAAGTGCCAAGCTGACGGAAAATGGTCGCATGCGCCACCAAAATGCTACGGTAAACTAACATGACATCGTTACGAGTACGTAGCAGTAATTTTAATTTTACGAGCAAACACTCTACTGCGGTCATTAATACGAATCACAGTGTGTTGATGTTCTAGCTTCCTGCATCATTCCGTATATTGAAAACGGTAACGCCAATGGGTCTCCAGGGGAATATATTAGTCACGGAGACGTACTAAATGTGTCCTGCCTGTCGAAATATGAGCTGGCCTACAGCACAATCTCTCCCAAGTGTTTCAACGGCAGCCTGCTGCATATTCCCACTTGTCAGCCGGCAAGCTGTAAAACACCTCCACCGAGTCCTCGTCAAGGCTTCGTCATTGCTCCCAAAACAGATCATGGCATGAAGGCGCGTTTTGCCTGTAACAAAGGCTACCGGATTGTTGGCGGAGATACAGTTATGTGTGATTATGGAAACTGGACAGGAGAAGCGCCGATCTGTCAAGAAGGTAATTTTAATTCATAGGTGGTGAGACAGTCGTACCGCGTCAGGTGTATAAGTTGCGCTTATATCGATCCGAAACAAAATGTGTACTCTACGAGAAATGAGCATGAATGTGGTACGATATTAAATCAACGTTAATAACTTTGTTTCGCACCGCGGGTTATGGCACTATATATAGTAAAGTAACTTTTTCTCGAGTATTACTGCAATGATTCAATTGCCACGGCACCACAAATGTTCGAATTATACAATGTGGCTTGTTACAGTATATTATATATATAACAGAGTTTGATAATATTGAATAACGCAGTGATTCTGGTGATGACAGTGTACTGTCCATGGCCTGGAAAATTAGGCAACGGTACCGTTTATCTGGTTGGAGCAATGGGATCCTATGAATATTACAGCTACATCAAAACAGTCGTGCAAGACCGGCAGATACGCTATGAATGTAGCAAGGGCTATTTTCTACACGGGGGTCCGGCTGGTGCGACTTGTATTGATGGTAGCTGGAGTCCGCGGGAAATGCCGAAATGTTATCCAGGTAAGCGAACACAAAGTACCACAAACAGTTCTTGTACCGTCCATTTCCTTATTCATTTGCCCAATACGTACTCTATGCACGGACCAAGTGCATGTGGTAAGATACTGCTATCACACCAACCAGAGTACTTTACCTCTGTGACCTTTCCCAATTTATCGGCTACCTGTGGACTGAAAAGCATGCCCTTTTCCATCTGCTGAATGTTATCCGTTTTGTTTAACGTCCGTTTTGCTAACCGCACTGTAGGATTACATCCTCCACAGTCCTTATTTGGCCCCCGCGTGAAACGTACCGTGCCGAAAGGTACATACACCGTGGTTCACCGTTTATTCATTAATTTTTCCTTTAACACCGCATCATTGTTTCTTTTCCTCTCCTTTAAAGGAGTCCAACCGATGTGGCGCAATTTTCTTGTAGCACCTTGCAGCGGTCTGATCTCGGAGAATTTTGAGCAAAGTAACCTGCTACGCGACCCGGACGATGCGGCTCATTTCACCGCTGTCGTTCGATGTCGCGCTGGATTCACACCTAATGTCCCCAACGGAGCCGCTGATTGCCGAAATGGCACGTGGAAACCACGTAAACCCGACTGCGTGCCACGTAGGTTACTTAACTAGTTCAGCATTCCAGTATAATTGTTGCTGAATACCGGTAGTGTTTGTATGGAAATCAGCTAGACAATGATTTAACGGAATAGCATCTGTTAGAAAAATAACGAATTAATGATTATTTACAAGTGCCTGCGCTGTGGCGAATTAAAATAATATGCAGGAAGGTTGTGCACGATAAGAACGGATGCAACCATTCGTAATACGTATTTGCCGGCAAATGTACGTTTACCGGCTTTACGTACGGAGAAAGCATAAGGGGGCATCCATAAATTACGTACGCAGAAAACCACGGTTTTTTCACCCCTCCCTCCCCCTTCGTAGCGGTCCGTCACGTTTGCTTGACCCCTCCCCCCTGGTCCGCTCAATCGTAACACATGGAGCTGCCCACCACCTCCCCCCTGGGTTCGCCGGGGCCGTCACAGCTTGTCACGTTTTTTGGACCCGTCCCTCCCTGGTTCGCTGCGTACGTAATTTATGGATCCCCCCTAACGGAAAAATTTTGAAAAGGCAGTACGTAGCTTAATAATAACCCTATACCATATTAGAATTTAATTTACAAAAATTGCTACAGTTACTTGTAGAGTTCCGGAAACCATGAACGGCCAGTTCGTGCTTCTGCCTGGAAACCAGACGGTTGCCGCATGGACGGAGCTGGTCGACAGTGCTGTCATAGATTTCTCATGCATAGCAGGATACAAGATCACTGGTCCAGAACAACTCCATTGCTCAGCGGGCCAGTTTGTTCCACCAACTATTCCTGAATGCATTCCGGCATCCTGTCATCTCAGTGATATTGCTCATGGCTCATACAATGGCGGCTATCGGAGCGGGCTGCAAGTGTCGCACAACAGTATTATTGGCTTCCATTGTGCCGATGGATATCGCAAATCACCCACCACCGTCGTGCGCTGCGATCTGGGAAGGCTAACGCCCAGAGCACCGGAATGTATTGGTCAGTACCAAGAGGTGGCAGTTCCAGCAGCACTGGTAGAAAATGCGGAATGCGAAGCCGATGGAAACAAATACCGAAGCGGCAGCGAACTGGAAATCCCCTGTTATCCCAAAGGTCACTCGCTTCATAACGTCACGCACCAACATAAAATCATCAAGTGCTTAGATGGATTATGGGTCGAACGAAAAAGCTTATGTGATGAAAAAAACGAAAAAAACATCACCCGCGATCCGGCAGGTTGTGCTATTCCCGATAGTATTCCGCATATGTACGCATACAACGGAAACCAGCGTATCAATCTCGGAAAGGTGAATGCCGTGTTTCCCCGCGTTTTTGATGAGAAGACAGAACTGCTGTTTCATTGTGAGCATTTGGGAATTTTCCGGTTGTCGGGTCCGCCGCGAACGTCCTGCATGGACGGGACGTGGAATAATGGAATTCCCCAGTGCGAGAGTTTAATTACCAAAGAGCCGCAACTTCATGCAACACCGGCTATACTGTACAGAAAGACAGCTGGGATAATTGGCATAAGCAAAAATGGCGAACTTATTGTTTATCCGAGTACGGATGTCCAGTTCGACTGCTTATGGAAACGGACTGATGGAACGCCGAGCTGGATGGTTTCGCATCAATTCCGAATTTATCCTAAAGGTAGTAATTAATAATATATAACCGATATATTATTAATATACTCCGATATATTATTATTTATTTCCTCTCTAAATTTAGGTTCAATACAAACTTACCATTAGACCAATAATAATTGGGGTAACGTATTTTAAATATGTATATTCAAAAGAAGCCACTTTCCGTTTGTGAATTAAACCAGTTTAGTAAGTTTATGTAGAAATACTATTTTTGTTAACAAAATTTGGTACACATAGTAATATTTATCAATAAACGCAATCTTGTATAAAGGGTGGGCCACCGGCCCGGAAGACGACCGCGACAAACAGTACAGGCTGTCCATCTACCACGCCGCCAAAGATGATTCCGGCATCTTCACCTGCATGACGCCGAAAGGGAACTCCAACAGCATCTCCATCAAGGTGCAGGTGGTGGAGTGCCCGCTGATAGTTCCATTTGTGTACAAACTGGTGGCTAATACTTCATCGACACGAATGGGAACCCATGCCAGTTTTAACTGCTCCCGAGGTTACCGCCTGGACGGCCCCTCGCATCTCGAGTGCCTCCCAACCGGCAACTGGTCCAACAGGATACCGACCTGTATACCGATTATGTGTCCGATGATCACAACAACCGACCAAAAGTTAAGAATTTACAGCACATCAAATGACATCCATAGTCTGGCTGAATTCGCTTGCCCACCCGGCTACCGACTGCTAGGCTCTAGTGCAGCCAAGTGCAACGAAAACGGGAAATGGACTAATGATTCGCCCACATGTGAAGGTGATCTAGTAAATTAAATTCCTGACTGCAAACCAAACCAACCTTCAAACAGTACAATCACATAATTATTATTTCTAAATAAAATTATTATATATGGTCAGTAAACTCAGTAAGTGGTTGCTTAAATATTTAGACAACGGGTGTATAATATACGTTGTATAACGTTATAATACTAGGCGCACATGGATAAACGTTCCAGTGTGATGTTACAATAACTGAAGAAAAAGAACTCGCATAGTTTTAAGGTATTCTGTCTACTGTTTCTAGCTTAACTAGGGTAATACATACAAGGTGCAGCATCAGTGCTATATAGACTGTGTGTTCAGTTTCTTACGGTTGCTTTCGGCTGGTGGTGTGCAGTTTCACAGCTAATTGTTTTTTTCCAGAAATTTTATGCCCTGATCCACCAGCTCCAGAACACGGATCAGTGATAAAAGAAAACCGGCGATACGCGGTGGGAAACGTTATAGAATACTCATGCGATTCCGGTTATGCTCTATTGGGCACCCACATCGCGGTGTGCACCGACAGCGGACACTGGTCAGTCGAACCACAGTGCACACCGAGCTGCAATTATCCTGGTCACCTTTCTAATGGCCGGATATCCGCTCCATGGATTCTGAAATTCCACTATAACATTGGAGAGCAAATTGGTTTTGAATGCAGCACCCAGTTTGTATTGAATGGCAATCAGAACATAACATGCCTTAGCGATGGTCGATGGTCTAGCGAAATGCCCGTCTGTCTGCAAAAAAGCCAGTAGAATGCTAACGATGTAAACTTCTATCGTATCCTGTACGTAAATGTGCCGAACGTTAAAAGTTAAAGTGCTGCGTAAAATAAGACGAGTTCTATTGAAATACTTTGAACCTATTTCTACCGTATGCAAGGCTTGGAAGCATTTTTGGTACAAGTACTCTTGCACGTGTTATTTTATTAATAAATGCACAATCAAAATTATTAATTTAATTGGCCTGTATTATGGACTGAGTAAGTAATGTCTAAACAAACACCAGTCTAAACAAAATGATGTGAACAAGTGAATTATGTTGTTTACAATTAGGTTAACAATATCTTTCAATGCAAATATCTGAATCAAAAGTGCAATTTTGTTAACGCGTGCATGATACCGTTGTAAGACTAAAAGACTGTAAAATTAACTACATAAATACGTAATAACGTAATACGTAATATCTAACTTAATAAATACGTAATATCTAACTTAATTATTGCATAATGCCGAAGCGTTAGACAGACACATTCCGCATGCGTTCGTTCAAATAGGTATTGATATTTGACACATCATGCACAATATCTAGGGAAGGGGAAAATAGCTATCAGAATTGGACACCAAATTAAAGTGAACAACTATGAAACCTTAACTTTTTTATCTGTGGACCAAATCTGTAATCTTTTCATCCCAAATCCGAATACACTTTACTATAGGCATGGTACACACTACGGATTGCCACGGAGTTTGATCGTATCGTAGTGTTATCGCTTATCCGGCAACGCATTTTTTTCCATCGAAACATCGTACAAAGAAAGTAACACGCTACATACTCGTAATACGTCATAATTATTACTGCTGACCATGAAATTTCGACGACGTGACCAAAACAAGAACAATAGCGAAACCTGGAATGTTGAGAACCATGCGGAATTAGAAATTCGCATGCAATTTGTTATCTATCTGTGCAAAATGTATAAATAAAAGTTCAATAAACTAAATTCTAAAATAAAGACAGTAATTATTATTTCGAGATTACAAGGTTGCAAAAATTAATGAGACCCGCTCCTGGGTCTGTCGCTTTTACACCCCCCTTGGGTGGATCAGCAAAAGTAATACGTACGGACTAAATTAATATTGTGTTAAAACTACTGTACTTTTGTACGGGAATGAGTTTTGCAAAGCCTTTGTTTGCACCGAGCGCGAAGCGCGAGGTGCTGCAATTAACTGATCGTCAAGTGATGCACGCTCCATAGCAGAGCATACATTTCCACAGCAGAGCCAAAAACCAAAAAAAGCGTACGTAACACTTTTCCAATTTCACAATCCAATACCATTTTCCAGTGGCATTGGCGAAGTTAACCAGAGAAGAATTGTTCTTTATCTTTAACAAAATGCTCCAACCAAACAGTTGGCTGGTGCCAAGAAGTTGGTAGCCGTCTCTGTAGCTCTCTGAATTTCAGTACATGTAATATTGTACTTTGGTTTTTAATTTTTCCGCATACTTACTATGTGGAATTTTGACACAGATCACTCTGTGAAATCTGTGTTTAGTTTTTGACGGATTTGTTCATAAAATGACAGCGGAATAAAAATAAGTATATATCTATTATTATATATCTGAATAAAATAAAAAGTTCGAAAAACATATCTGCTGTTTGCAATTCACCTATTCAGCTTTCAACATTTGTCGGTGAGTATCACTCCCGCTCGGTGCAATGATGTGGTTATCAACCACCACTAGTACTAGTTTCTCCTAACATTGACAGAGGATACCAGTACTTGTTGAGCGATAAAAGCCATTAATCACGAAGTACATCTAAAAGTTTGGAAGTGATCGAACTCTTAACGATTTTATTTGATTTGGAACCCCAAAAACTAACGATCACACTGCTGTGGTCTGTGATTTCATTAAAAATTACGCCAGCGTAAGAGAATGTATTCGGTATTTGAGCCGTTTGCACGATTTTCGCGACTCCGCAAGATCGAACTGCTTCTGTATCTGGCAGTATGGACCAGCGCCGTGGCGTACGCTGCATACAATTTCTTCCTGTTCTGCCAGAATTATCGCAATTATTTGCAACACGCATCCCATTTGTACCGCAGCTGGCTCTACCAGACCTCGGTGCAAGACCGTGGTGACTTTGAGTGGGGATACTGGAAGAGCAGCAATTATCTGTGTGTCCCGTTGCTCATTCTACGCACGCTGCTGTACAGATTCTGCGCAGTGCCCTCGCACCTGCTCCTCTTGTTCGATCTCACTGCGTGCACCATAACCATTGGTCTCCACGGGACGCTCTTCCAGATTGGTTTGTCGGGGTTGTTCTTCTTCGTTGCACTGGCCAATCAGCCGTTTCTCGTGTGGATCCTGGCCATCGCCATCTGCTTCCTCCGCTACGTCTATCCAGGCCACGACGTGTTGTCGTCCATGGACATCTACGACCATTACCGTGTGGAGTGCTCCACGTGCTATCTCGTGGTGCGATGCATCTCCTTCGCCTATGACTATTCCAGTAACATCGAGCGCATGGAAGGACAACCGCTGCGGAAAACGCTGTTCCAGTTTCTGCGTTATGCTTTCTTCCTGCCGCTGATGTGGGTCGGACCAATCGTGCCGTTCTATGAGTTCAGCGAGAAGGCGGAAAATCCCAAACGAATTCCCCGAAACGAGTTCCTGCTGTTTGTTCACCGTATCGTCACGTCGGCCATTTTATTTGAATTAATGTCTCATTTCCTCTATCCGTTTAGCGTGCGTTATTTAATCGGGCGCCTTCACGGAACAATGAGTCGCTGGGCCTTGGCGGGTATTTGTTATGCCCTGGGGCAGTTTTTCCAACTGAAGTACATGGCGTTGTTTGGTCTGTTTAGTTTCTTCTCGAAACTGAATGGCGTGGATTCGGTGCAGTTTCCGATCTGCGTCACCTGGACACACCGTTATTCATTGATGTGGAAATATTTCGATCACGGACTGTACGTGTTTTTACGGCAGTACATTTATCTTCCCTTTGCAAAGCGCCGCCTGGGAAAGCTGGTCAGTTCGTTGGGTTGCTACATGTTTGTTCTGTTCTGGCATGGAGTGACACTGCACATGTTCTGCTGGGTGGGACTCAACTGGATTGCTTTATATTTGGAAACCACCCTGTATGAAAAAGTGAATCACTTTCGATTGCGCGCGCTGCTCAATGCCCCCATATTTGCCATATCAGTCGTTTCCAATATGTTCTTTCTGGGGGAAAGTTATGACTTCGGCTATGAAGTGCTCACTCGGTTGCTGGTGTTTAATCATCCGTTAAGCATTGCCGGCATACTGTTCGCGTTGTATTGTTGCTCGGCGATTGGTGATGTGTTCGAAGTGATGAAGTACCGGCGAAAAACATTTGCAGCTGAAGTTCCGGACCACACGGCGATAGAAGACGAACAAGGTGCCGGTGATACCGCTGTCAATGAAAAGAAACCCAAAAGACGTACTGATGAAATGCCAGCGAAATCCTAAAATGATTATCTTTGCTGCAGCCATTTGCTGTAACCTTGACAACAAACCTTGCCTTTCTCATTTTGTTTCCATTCTATAGCATAATCTCTGTGGCCACTGGCCAAGTATTCAAGTGGTCGGATTTGCCCAAAGTATTTTGTTGATTTTATATTTTGTAAAACATTTGCACCAGAAGTTTACAGGATATATGATTATGAGGTTTTTGCATTCAATAAATCACAGACTACAAATTTCGTAGTTATCACTTTTATTTTCGCGACAAACCATCTTTAGAGTGACTTTAAACCTTTCAAGTACAAATGCATCATGGCAGAAATATTCAATTTAATAAAAAAACCGAACTGGAAACGCAATTTCCTACGGGAAGACTTAACGAGCTGGTGGTGGTTTCTCCTCAAGTACGCGTTGTTTCGTCGTGATAAAATCTTCAAAAAGTGATACATCCAAGCCAAGTTGTTGAATCTATCAATAGGTAGGCACCCAATAACTGAACCATTCGGAAAAGTACCAGGTAATGCAGCTGAGCACCAATCACAGGTACACTTACGCGTGTCTCCATCTGCAAAAAGTCCAAAGCCAGCTGCAAGCGAATTTTATCATCATCACTGACACCAGTAGAATCCACAATAACCCGAGTCTTTCGCAGCTTTTTCAAACTTTCTTCCATTCTCTTTACAGCATCCAGCAAATCCAATGCCATACCGCCGTACTGTTTAGCAACATTCGCAATGACAGTCCGAGAACAATATTCTATTTGCGACGGTGTAATTCCTGATGATGGAATCAGTTTGTTCCCTAACAAATCGAAGGCAGCGTCCACATAGGGAGAATATATCGAAGGAGCCTGTTCAAATAAATACAAAACATCCATTTTTACAAACAACAAGCAAAAAAACAAGCTTCAACAGGTACTGCTCCATTCGTCAATGTTAAATCCTGACGTTACAAACAGAATAGTTTGGTCGCTTGTCATGACCACTATCAGTTCATAAATTAGCCACATCCAAACAAACCTACTTCTCGGTTCGTTTTTCTGTATATCCGAGGGATATCTTGTAGAGATTTAAGTATCTCCATCATATCCAGCACAACAGAAGAGGCCAGCTTGTCCAGGAAAAGGCGCTCCAGATTGCGAAATGCCGTCAGTGTGTCACCGAGGCTATCTACGATCAAACCAGAGACGTAAATATGTAAAACCAACATTACTTAAGTGCTGTTTTCACTACATCTGGACCAAAAGATGTAGGAAGGCAAAATAAATAAACCTGATGTTACGAAATGCGAGACCTCACAAGTCAGTATGCAAGGAAACCTACCTTGCATTGACCTTAATACAGCTGACCTATCTACAGGGAATTCCACAAGATATGGCGCAACCACAGAGTCCGGAAGCATTGGTACACGCTCGAGCAGAATCGTTAAATCACTCAAAATATCTGAGGTTACTGACGAAATGTCAGAGATAGCCACGGACTTTTCAAGCCATGATTGATAGCGTGCACAAAGCAGAAGTGTCAGTTTCCAAAAGCGATGAAGTAGTTCTGGAAGGCAGACCTCATTGTTCCAGCACTTTTGTATGGACTTCCACAAAACGATTGTAGCGTCTAGTTTAAAACCACTCTTTCCATCCGTTGTCGTGATATTATTTGACAAAACTTTTTCGACCGGCGCGCCAATTTCCAAAAATCTGACCTGATAATAAACAGGAAGCGACCATTTCTCCAAGAAGCTGATTGTCCCTGGATGTCTCCAAAATCTTTCGGCGAAATCTTTTTGGACCACAGAAAACAAACCAACAAAGCTGGACATAAACTGCTTGCTGGCTCGGTAGTTCTGATGAAACTGATCCGGAGAATCCGGCAGAAAATAGGCACTGGCTTCGACTGTTAGAAGATTTGCAACTGCCGTCCAGACTGACTGCATTGCGAAGTCAGCGTAATCCACGTAGATTAAAAAATAAAACTTTTCCTCAATGGCGGCAAATAATGAATTGAGCAGATCTTTCAATTCGCTATCCTGAGAACGCATTTCCAGCACCACCTAATTGAACACCCATGTCACCGGTTAAAGTTTAAACTATGAATTCTTACTTAACAAATATCCCTCTTGAAGAGAGGCCAACTGTACGAATATCGAAACAAACTCACAAGGAAAAATATGAATAATCAGAAACTGCAAAATTTCAAATGTCGTCTTACAAAAACTTTGGAGAATGCTCCGGGCACCACGTTTTACCACAAAAGTCTCCGCACACCACTGTTCGCATCACGTTTTGTCTCAGCCAACATTTTTATGACACCACCACGTACAAGACACTGAGAGCACCACCTTATAATTTTGCAGACATAAGAAATCGGTTGTAATACGACTAAATCTGATGTAAGCCATGTGGGTATTTTTGTCTGACTACGATACAGAAAGTAAGTAGTTAAAGAGCAAATATGGCTGCTTAATGGGAAGTCCGTCCCGGTAAAGCGGACCACGGTTAGCTATACGACTATCCAAAACCTGCAAGGAAACGGAATCGACTTTTCCCTTTTCGATCTAGCGTTTGCGCATGAGTTGGTCAATGGAACTGAACCGCAGCACAGTTTCTATTCTGGAGAAACCTTGAGAGAGTGGGTAGGTAATAACATTATTCGAAGCTAAGCGTATACAAAAACCGAGGGATTCGCTACCCATAACGGAAGCGGTGGCCCACAAGTGGCATTAAAAAAAGAGGAGCCAGACCGCGAGACGAAAGAGCATGTCTTTTTTCCCGCCCGAAATAACAGTTGGCTGATTTTTTCAAAATAGTGGCGTCCAGAGCCTCTGGTGGTATGCACTCTGTCGGTGGTTTTTTTAAAAATTTTAAAAAACATTAAAATGTGGTGTGCGGAGCATTCCGAGCCAAAACTTTTTTGCGTGCCCATTCGGCAAACCCAATCCAATGTTGACTGATAACAGTTTCATAACCTTATTGTTAGTTTAGCCACTAAATAGTATCATTTAAACGTACCGACGTTAGTGCAGGTTTAACCGATCCCTCCGCAACGACTTGGTAAGCAGTAGGTAGCCGGCCGATGTGCTGATAAATAATAGAGTAATCCTGAATTCTCTGAGCCACACCGGACTGCACGCCGCTCAGTAAATCTTCTCCCAGTATTTTTGCAAAAGACGCATCAGCAATGGTTAGACGCTCTCGTACCGAACTGTACCAAGAAGTGTGGGCGATGAGTTTTTCATCCTCGTAAATTCTGAGGAAAACATCCGAAAGACGGTACAGCATGGGCAGACGCTCTTGCGCCGATGTGCTGTCTGCCAGCTGGATATCTAGCTGGTGGATAATTTCCAAGCACTTCATGGCATAAGCCAAACACTGCAACTGCTTTCTCATTGACTGCACATCCAGGCGACGCTGTATTCTGCTTTCCAAAGTAGCTATATGGCCCTCAATATCCATAACAAATTTCTGCAATACTCAGACGATAATTCATGAGGTATTACGAAATTGATGCTACACAAAACCAGCGTTCCGGTCCATTTCTAACGGCACTGCATCTAGCATTAAATGTTACTCCCCTGCTCTCATAAGTACTAGAAATTATGCCACTTGCCTGAGCTTGGGAAAGATGAGTTTCCACAGGATATTTTATTTTTTCGACGTTTTTATCAATGCCAACCTACGGTTTTCAAGTAAGCTTCTAGCAAACAATTTTCTAGAAAGCATACAACGCGCAGTGAGACTGACCAGACTAGATGATAAGTGGACGAAATCAGCATATTCGCGATCAATCAGCTGCACCAAAGCGGACTGTAGTATTTTTCGATACGTCGCAAGATCGTCTTTAAGAACTTCGAGCGAAATTCCACGCTGTGTATGCGAACTAAGGAAGTTATCCACATCAAAGGAATCCTGAAAAAAACTTCATAATTATTGCAACACATCACTTCAGCAGCGCAATATTTCACCGGCAAGGGCCCGTTCTGTTTCATATACAGTACTTATGACTTATTAACCTCAAAAAAGGCATTGCGATCAAAACACAGCGAGGACAGACCGCCATGCGACACAAACAAGCGATCCAATGGATTAGATTTGAATCCGAAATGGGACTGAGATCTGTTTGATGCTAATTCGTCAGGCTCCGGCATTTTTATCCAAGGATTGATATATCGCACCCCGATAGAACAAATAACATTCGCTCGGAAACAGGATACAAATTTCCTTTGCAGAACCGATCACTTCAAGACAGTGGTTGTTATTAATTTTATAAGTAAAAGTTGTAAAACAGTACGAGTACAGTACATTATAAAAGCCTTCAGAGGCCAGACTGTAGCAGACTGTCTGTACTCGCGCACTCATGCAATTCAAAATGTTGTATTTTAAAAGTAAAAAAGCAACCCTTAACTGAACTGATTAACTCTTACCTGTGGAAGTACTGTACATATCTGTAATTTGTAAAGTAGAAGTACAGTACTCGTACTTAATGTAGTTTAAAGTTTAAACTTAATAAAAACTTTTGTTTTTCAATGAATCTTTTTACTGATCGTTTTGAGTGTTGCTATTGTTCTGGAAAAATTTGTTTGCATCTGAACGTGCAAATCGTGGCAGCCTGGCAGGGGGGAGGGTATTATGAACCTAGGTATGCTTGCTCGACCAATAATAAAAAACCTTTTTTGTGGCAGAACGGCTGGTTGGTCGCAAAATCTGCACTGGTAATGTACGAGCTTGTCTCCGCCCGGCTGTATCGGCGTAGCACACACGGGTCTGCCGCAGACCCGTGTGTGCTGCGCCGGGCGGAGACAAGCCTGCGCTGCTGTTCGGCCGGGCTAGACTTGGCTTTGCAAACGAACTTTTATAAATTTTTCATTTTTGCAAAGGTTCGCTGACATACCGAAATAATTTCTAAATTCTGTTGATTTCGCCTTTCGGTCGAAACTCATATTAGTATTAACATTAAAATAAAACATTTGTACACATGACGTTGTTCTTAATAGTAGTAGGATTTAATTTTTCCAACATGAGCCAACCAGATCTGCCAGATTACTTAATCCAGTACGTAGTTCTCCGCGGCGATCTGAAATGGCCTACCGGTGCGCTGGTTGCGCAAGGCTGCCATGCTTCATGTGCTGTGAACCATATTTTCCGCGATGATCCTGAGACACAAAGGTTCCTAGCAGATCTGGACCGCATGCACGTGTGTGTCCTGAAGGTAGGTACATCAGGAATGTTAGATATGCGGGACCAGTTGGGCAGCGAGCCGCGCGGATAATTCAGTTTAAAAATGAAACAGTTAACTAAGTTCACCACTCGTAAAGTGATTATAAGTTGTAGAATGTCTGTACTTTCTGTAGAATGTCTGTGATTATAAGTTGTTGAATGTCTGTAACTCGAAAATAAGGGAATCGAAGATTCCGCCGGGCTTAATGATGAAGTAATTTGCGTACGATGCAACAGTGTTGAAGCAATGCCTGTGCTTCGGTGACACTGTTGCCGGATGAATGCAATGTGCTGCTGATTAAAGCCGACATGATAAATACGATATACTGTACTTCAGAATCTACGTTAAGCAGAAGGTTTTCTAATTTTTCTTTAGGGAGGACCAGGAGCATTTATATGTAGTTGCGTGGTCGATTAGTGAATTCTTAGATTTTCTAAGCTTCCGGGTACTTGAATTACCGTTGAAATATTACCGGCAAGGTTCTTCGACCTTCCCGGAAGTGCATGCAGTAGTACTCGGGCCTTGCACTAGTACAAGTATGTACGTAATATTATGTTGTTTTTGTCAGGCAACCGATGAGAAAGTCCTCATGGATTTGGTTGAGGAACTGAAATCCAGAAGTATCGGCCATAAATTGTGGATTGAAGAGCCAGAGAACGTGGCGAGCTGTTTAGCCGTGAAGCCTTGTTTCAAGCGCACCGTCGAAGGCCTAATGAAGCATCTGAAATTATTTAGATAACAATGTAAGAGCACAGAACAATACAAGTAGAAATTTCAATGTATGCGGGTTCGTATAGAACTATTAGCTGGAATGATGAGTTCACGATCACCAGCTCTGATTCTGTTGTGATAGAATAATCTCGTACTACCTCTAACGCTCTGATCTCTGACGTATATTATAAAGAATCATACCAGAAGGTTTGTTACGGTTTGTTATCAAGTTTTTGGTTTGCAGACTGACTAACTGCAAGACAATTCGCGAGTTGATGGGAAGTGAAGGTGAGGAACTGTGACCGTTTACATTATAAAACCTTTTAAGAGTACTCACTTCCATCTTAATAAGCCGCTTGGCTGGAGAAACATCTACAGACAAGGTGCTATGGATGGGTAAAATGAATAGGACTTGTGTAAGGGAATGAGGAGCTCCTTCTCGTTCTCTATAGGGCTGTCCTGGACACCAAGGCCGTTAAAATGCATTGTTTTAACTACGGGATTGTGGTCGGGCGAACTGTGTTGCAATATACGCTACTGTACTGTTGTTTGTAGTGTCTGATGTTTTCTATATTTTGCAGGTTCACACAGGTTGCCGGTTTCCGTGTCCATTTGTATTTCGAAAGCTATGAGGTAAAGAATAAATGTACGTGTTGCAGCCTTTCTTCAAGGTCTGTCCCGGTCTGAGAAGGATGAAACAATCTGTCAATCCGCTGAATTCATTTGATTACACTCTAGGGCGAACTGAGATTCTGCTGCTAGTTTGAACTTTGTCCTCCTCTGGTTCGTTACAGCACCATAACCACTTATTTCGTTTTTCAGGAATTTTGGTTTGTGGAGAGAGCTGTCACATCAGCAGAAGTAAGTCTACATTTAAAAAGATTTTCTGTCATTTTAGCCTGTTCTTACCCATGATGATTATATCTTTGCACCTCCATCCGATACGTATTGACGAAACTGCTTTTCCCACCTATAAAAGCGTATGAACTTGAACAAGCGGCTGCCTAATTATGAATAATTTTGGTGACCGGAACTTAATTCAATATTTATTTAGTTTTCTTTTGTTGCAGGATCGGAGATGGGGCTTTTTGATGTTTTTCCATTTAAGTGCGCTCGGATTGAAAAACCCGGTATGTGTGATAGAAGTTCGTGATTGGGATTAATTATTTTGTAGTACGGAGCATTGGGATGAGTTACCTACATGCATTGAGTAAAAGTGATGCAAAATTCTTGTTTTCTGATTGTGTGATCAGATTGAATGTGCACTAACAAAGTGTAAGCAGCGCACTTCGTAGCGTTAATGTTCTTTTTTTTCCAGATCCTTTTTGGACGGTATATCCTCTTATATCCTACCACAAGGTAAAATTGTCTACCAAACGGTGGGCTTTTGTATTATTCGGAACACATACCGTATGAAAATGATGCTATTTATCAAGACAAGCATATGTCTGATACAATGTTGATGTTTCTTTCAAGTTCTGATTTTTTACGCTGATTTTTTTGTCGTTATAAGAATTGCATTGAAGCACTGTTAATCTTTGGACTTCATCCTTGTAGGATAATTCTCCAGAAAAGGGATGAGAGGATAATTCATTTGTTCTTTGCATGGTCCTGATGCGATCCTGCTTTTTTACGTGCGTATAACTAGTTTTTACCTTTTATCTTAACCGAATATTTTGTGATGATTGCATAGTTCATATGAACTGGCTGTGATAATATTTTATGTCAATGTCTTTCGCTCCTATCTGAAGCACATAGAACTTAGCATAAAAACTGGCAGACATCCATGTTTGCTACAGAGTCAACGGTTTCTTGCAGAATGTGACCAACTAGGAAGCGTTTCCACGTGGGGAAAATAAAGGTATGTGATATTTACTTGTACATAACTGAAACAACTGACAGTGAGGAATCTGTGTGACTACTTTCGGGGAATTCTGTTTAATTTTTGTCAGTTGTTTCTACCTCGGTATGGTTTGTTAAGATCATTCAATTGATACTTAAGCAGTAATAACGCCGGTAACGAATTCGCGAAGCCGGTGATTAGCGGTCTTTGGGGCTTACAGGCGCTAAAACGCTTTCATGGGGACTCAAATTTGAGCACTGCCTACCCACCCTTTATGAGGCTATATTTAAATCATGGTGTTTGACTGCCAACTATTTCGGAACTTCAATGTAATTGGTGCCTTTTATGGTTTCAGGTGGTTACCTGAAATTCTGAAGCGAAATATCGATGGTGAGGAACGGTTTAGGAAAGTCTTTGATGTTGTACTCTGAATACTTCCTGATGAGTTACTGCCCTTTTGCTATGTGAATAAAAGATGAATTCAATTACAAGTGACTGATTCAATGTTGAAACATTTTATTAGCACCTTCAGGCTTTTACTATACGTCTGATTGCGATTACAATCCTGATTTTTTTTACAGGGCTGACATCGAGCAAGCGGGAGGAAAACAGCTTCAGTTTTAGGAAATTCCGTGTTCAGTTTTAGGTAATTCCGTGTGCCTTTTGACTGTTAAACCATGATTTTATTGTTGTGTAATAAAAATATTTTGTGCGCTCAACTTTTAATTGCGAAAGTTGTGTTAAATGCATAGAAGGTTCTTATAAGTATATAAATGTGCTTCATAATATTTGAATTAAAAAAGCTCCACGTATGGTAGCTTCTGTTTGCTTGTTCGCTTTGCTGGTAAGGTCATCTACTGAATGCAAGGCTCTTGTAAAACTGCCAGTTTCTGATGATTTATACAGACCTGTTCTGACTTTAATATTGAAGAATTACCATCTCAATCTGAACGGCAGTTTAATTTTTGCCCTCAAGTTTTTTCTATTTAATTGACCAGGAAGCCATTTGACATTGATTGTATTTTTTTGTAGCCCGCCTTCGGAGCCGGTTCATTCTTGAAAAATCTCGGGAAAAGAAATTTTTTCATGGTACAGTGCATTATTTTTCAGATGTTTTTGCATTCTAGCGGAAATAATTTAGATGATGTTTAATGAAATCACATTGGCTGAAAACATTATGACGAGCCTCACCAGCACTGATTTTGACTAAACCTGTTTTTAATGCATCCGCTCTAATGAAATGAGGCACTCTTATTTGATAGTTTTACAAATGGAGCTGATATAGACTTTCATTTACAGATCTTTCTGCTGGGTATCACCAAGTTCACGGAGAAACAGCTGGTCAATAAATGGTGAGTCGGTTCATTTCGAGAACCGGGTGCTGCAGTTCTACAGTACATATTATGTGGGAAAGTATTTAGAAATCACTGCTTACCACTTGGAAAAATGATGATGAAAAATTCTTTGACAAGCATATGTCTGATGTGTTCGAGATGTTAATTTCTTCATCTGATTTTCTTATTTGATAGAAAGGAATTGAGACTTTCCTTCCGCCTTTGCTTCATCTTTTTCTTCACTAATAATAGTTATGTGTTTGTTTCAGGCGAGGGGCTGATGGTGGATCACGGTGGTTTTAGGTGAAGCTGATACGAAGGTATGGACTTGAGCAACATGGCCCAAGATGCTTGGAATCTACGTGTTCAGTATCGCACAGTATAAGCTTGCATATGATGAGATACAGTTCTGCTACTGAATAATTATTGTTGAGTTATAGCCCGCTGATTATGCCAGTTTCAGACTTTATCAATAGTAGTATTTTGATTCAGCTGTTTGCAGTCTTTTTTTGAACTGTTGCAGGTTCGGTTCCCAGCTTGCCGTAATAAATGCGGGTACGTGAGTGAATTTAAGAGTTCTGTGGATTTTGTTAAAATGTTTTTGATGAGAAAATCATTTTATGTCTTCTTTCCCCGAATGATGTCGATGTGATTACAATCATGAAATTAGATCTGATGCAGCAAAACCTTATTCGTGATTTAGACTAAATGAGAAAAATGTATACAATCATTCTTTGCTTTTCATTAGCAGAAAGTCAGTGTCTGATGTGAATTATGAACCAGCAGAGTGATCCTGTGCCTTGTCTTCGGTGCTCACTGAGCCCTGAGGTAAGATCGAGGTTTACAGTTACTGGTGTACTCGTGTTTACAGTTAATGGTGTACTCGTACTGAACTAGTACTGGATATTCAAAACTGGTGTTGCGTGATGAACAGTAGGGTAAAGTGCTTTTCAAGCCGATTACACTGTGACGATTTACTTTCTGAATTAGCAATAAGTACTAAAACAGTTCACTGGGTTGTAAGACCCTGAATTTATTGTTAGAATACAGCAGGCTTTCTGTTGCAGGTGTAATGCACGTAACACTCTTCAGTGTGACCAAGCATTAGGTTTTTTTTTGGAACAACGCAACAGAGGTGAATACTTTAATTTCTTCTACTGTAAATAATTTTTATTTGGAGACAAAGGTCGTGCGCACTTCGTGATGAAAGTGACATACTGAAAGTTTATGTTGATTTTTCACTTGGTCTGTGTTTCTGATATCGTGATTACAGATTACTGAACTTAAACAAATTTCTGCGTTCATACGTAATTCTTGTTTTCGTGAATTTTAGAGATTATAAAGAAGTTTTTAAGTGGACGTTCCTTGATACAGACAGGTAGGCTTAACATGTGCTTTTTTGTGCAGTCAAGCGTAAAGGATGATACTACTACCGCCCCAGGCTTAATAATAGTGCTGATAGATTAGACACTTGTTTCTGATAAATGATAATGTAAATATTATTAATTTTGAAACTGTCTTTAAATTCGTTGAAGATTGGTTTATATACGATTTTGTTGGCTTTTAGCAGGAGACTTATAAAGACTGATTGCACCTGCCGGCTGGTTTCCCATTCGGTGAGTACAGGATTAATTAATGCGGTATTCAGGAATTCGACGTAAGCTTGGGTGATGATATCACTGCCTAACTTCGCGGTTTCGTACAGAAGGGGCTGCGAACCTTTATGATGCTGGCAGAACTTCCTTGGATGTCTGACATTAGTTAATATTTCTCAGGGGCGCTGTTCGATTTTTAGCGATTTTCGATGATTTTTGTTCGTTTGTAGGCTCTTGCCCCAAACCACGCTGTTGCGGATACGTAGTTTGGGATTTAAACGTCTTCCTATGCATAAGGTGTGTATGGCGGAGAAAAGTATCGTTGGTTATAATAAGAACTTTGAAGTTCAGGGGAAATAATTTACCGTATTTATGGTTTGTTCTTGCGGTTGTGTACTTTCCCTAGAAATTTGGCATCTAGTCGGGGAAATAGCTGATATAGTTGTTTCCTCCTGTGATGCTAAAAGTTGTTTTTTAGGCTGGTGGGTCGAGATGTTCGGGAGCTCGAAAGGACAGTGTCAAACTGGTGAGTAACGTTAAATAAAATTTAAACTATAAACAGAATAGGGAATGCTGGCGGAATCTTCAAGCATTTGGCTGGAAGTATTCCTGATGTGTTCCGAAATTGTTCAATGCGATCCTACTCAACAGAGGACACTATAGTACTGACGTAGTGTTCTTTCGCTCCAGGACCGACATTCTAGTAGACATGTGAAAAGTTTCTCATTATTGTGCTCCTTGTAGGTGTGGACCGGTATTAGCTATTGGAAGCTAGAATCAACTGCGCTGTCATTTTGGTAAGAGTTTTTTGATCGGAGAAGTTCTGCGATGAGTTCAGTTGACATGATGACTATTTATAAACCCTGCTCTCTGATACGCTATGACGAACCTTCACCGTTCGCTTTACCGGGAACTGAGTTGTTATTTGATCGTTTAAAGCCATTTCTAATAGTTTGGTAAGCTGTTCTAATGGCAGTTTTCTTCTTTTGCAGGCCTTCAGTGCAACTGTTTGGATCCGGGCTGCGTTAATCGTCTGCATCGGTACGGTCATCCACCAAACTATTGGGTGACTTCCCGGATTCTGGAACAAGCCATTGACGAATGAATTTCAAACATTGAGCACGATCATAGTACCATTGAAGTGAAATATTAGAACTCGATTGTTTATTGTTAAGATAAATATTTATATTTTAAAGTTGCTGTTTTTGTGGTTTATGCCTTTATTGACTCTGAATACACTTACAGTTCGTACAATTAAAACTACTTACTTCAACGATGCCAAATTGATTATGATTTGTTTTAACGAAGTAAGTAAACGTCGCTCCAGTTTCGTTAGTCAGATGGTTTTTTTAGCTGTTGTTTATTTTTTGATTTTTAGTTACTCAGCGAGCTATATTATATTTAACAATAACAATAGAAAATTAGACAGATAAGTACATCGTGATGTCAAAAAAGTTGAGCATCGGTGATAAAGCAAACAACAAAAGCACGATTATCGGAGGAGAAATGAGAATGAATCAAACAGTCTACATACACATTAAATACAGACATTTAGTTCCATTGAGTTTGCAAAGAAACACTCCTGATTTCCTATACGTGCACACTTCGCAGTCTTTTAGAAGGAAAGAGGCGGGGAATTCATGGTGTTCGCGTATTTCTCAATTCAGTCACGAAGCTGGTGTCACTTTTTCCAGAACGCCGTCGATTTACCCTAACAATAATAAAAACAAGTACGAGGACGAGCTTAGTACATGTGATAGACAAAAAAACTAGCGAGAGAATCTGATAACCATTTGCGTGCTGTGCAACACTGTCAGCCACCTTAGGCTGGCGGTAGCCGCGCGCCGTCACGCAGCCGTTAGCTGAACACGGTCTGCTATTTACGGTAACGCACACTCGTATTGAAATTTAAATGCGAGTTTTGTTTTGGTTTTATAACTTTGTTTATAATTGGTTCTCCGCAAAATTTCCAGTAACCAGTGACTGACATTAATTAACCAATCTCTTGATAGTAATGTTATAAAATTACCATCTAAATATAAAGATTCATCTGGCGAGATGTACTACGATGAGAAATTGAGAATATCACCGACGTACGGCTACCTGCCAGTTTGTTTTCTGCACCTGCGATGGAGATTTCTTTCACGAGTATCAGCGTTGTTTCGGGCCTACCGTTGAGTGAGAATTGTGTGGAGGAACCTGCCAGCGACGTCCTCAGAAAAAGAGAAAACTTAAAGATTCTCGTCTGCGCGCCGAAGCAGGGCTTATTGCGACTGACAGTAAAGTAATCGCAGCGCTCGAGCAACGGGAAGCAGAAAAATAAGCGAAAAAGAAACACTCGTAGCGGACTTAGCGATGTGACAAATACTCCGACTAAAATTAAAAAATCTTTCAGAATGGGTAAAAAGTGAGTACTCTGAAATTTCACATGTGGTTCTACAAAGTCAAAGTTTTACTGTAAGAAATAAAGCGTGCGGTATTTAATACTGGGGTGATTATTTGTATTAAATGTGATGTATTTACCAGCACTGACAGACCTGGGTGGTTGCCCGTGTTGCACGGGCCGGGCATGGTTATCAGATTCTCTCGCTAGTTTTTTTGTCTATCATATGTACTAAGCTCGTCCTCGACGGAATGATGAAATGCGCATTATTCCAAATTGAAAACACTATCCCAAAATAATAATATCGCAAACTACAACTAGCATTCAAGTTGGTGGTCACATCCATCACACTGGCGTTATTAAATTTTAAAACAATCACTGCAAGTGCATCCAGGTTTCACGCCAAAATACTCAAACGGGTACTCACTACCCATTACCCGCCGAACAAAAACAGAGTTACGGAAAACTGAGTTTGCTTACAAATATGAAATATGTACTTAAAAAACGCGCGTATCGGCATATTAAATGTTTCTCACCTTCCTAGTTCGGTACGACATGTTAAACACCGTAACGGGTGATACAAAAACTATCAGTATCATGAATGCGTAATCATTATTACCTCTTCAGGATAGTCGCGCAGGGTTCGAATGAAATACTCTCCGGCACGAGCGGCAGCCACTGAGTGTCGCTTGCCACTATGCTTATCCGGTTCATTATGTCGCATATTCAATCCATGCAGACGCTTGCCCCCATCGGTGCTCGGAACAGGTGAGGACACAAAATGCTTCACGGGTCGATCCATCTTATTTTTACCAATAGGTGATGCCGGTTTGGGCAGCGGCGCCACAACACGGGACGGTGGCCCAACGGGCTTACTAAGTGCGACCGGAACTCTGTGAGTGCCAGTAGGCTTGACAAATAGCGGCGCTGGAAGTTTCGCTTTCATTCGTAATGGACTGTTCTTATGGATCTGATTGTGGGCAGTCAGCTGAGGGTTGTTCAGACTCGCAGATAGCAGTGGGATTGTTGCTTTGGTTGCATGAGCCGTCGCGTAACTGACGCCTTCCGAGGAACGGTCGTCTTGGCTGCTGTCTTCCGTCACCGGCTCGGTCAGCGCCATTTCCGGTTGTTGAAGCGTTCCCGTCACGGTCACGCTGCCGTTGTCTGTGGTCTGCAATCATACTACACATCATTCATGGTCAAATGCGCAATTTAACGCATTTCGTGTTTCTCACAACCTCGCGACGAATCCATGAAAAACTCGAAATATTTTTCAAAAAATTAAATTTTATTTTAGTAAAGTCAAAATGTCTTTCATAAGAAACTTCAACCACTAAAGAGATTACTGTTCAGGCTCCGCCTCGTGTGCAAGCGCGTGCACGTTCGGTATCGGCGACCAGGCAAGTGTGTACTTTTGTATTCCAATTTGAAATACAACGTGGTACAGTAGTTATGAACTTATTAATATTCTTTTGCCTTGAAATTCACGAAGAATTTGAAAACATCAACAACTACAGCCCGATATTCAGAAGCGAAAAAGTAAGGATCAGAATCATCAGACGCAAACAAACAAATATTTTCGCCATCACTCGGGTTATTTATAAGATCTCATATTTGTTCACTTACCGTAAGTCACATAAGTGAACAAATTCGGGATTCAAGACCTTCCAACCGTAAGTCAGTAAGTGACTTACGAGTTTAAGAATACACTACGGTAAAATTTAAACGGTAAGTTTATACTGACAATTGTTAAATGCCATCGCCTTGAATCTTACCTCAGTTTTCCAAGTCTGTACTATCTGGACAGGAACTCCGGTTTCACGTCGTCCGTTGAACCATTCGTCGGCCCCATCATACCCATACGGATTAAAAGTGGGATCCGAAAAATGTGGGATCGCAGGAATGTCCAACTGATCCAGCCAGTTCTCACCAGCACCGACTAGTGTCATTTTGATACAAACAACCTAAAAACAACACTGCCGAACCAGGCTCAGTACTTTAAGCTTTCGGCAACAAAAAATGCCTTTGCAATTTTTTACCCCTTTCGAGCGAGAAAAACCATGAAAGCCTAGTCAACAAAACCGAAAGCAATTTCAAAAGCTGTGTCCGTAAGACTGAACTGTCTTTGTGGTGCGAGCTCGCTGCTACGCGCTTCAAAACGTCAGAAATGAATGAATGAATGAGAGCGGGGCGCGTCAGTAGGCATATGCTAAGGGGCAAACATTTGACGTTACGAACTTCCCTATCGGTTAGTTGTAGCTTGCACAATGTAGTCGACTAGTCGTACGCTGTATACGAGAGTGCTTTTAATATTGTTCTTCAATTAAATTGCATTAATTTTGGACTCATTTTTTGGTTTGGTGATTAAAATCGGGCAACAAATCCGGAAGGCGGAAGCGACCAAAAACCAAATGTTATCGTTTATCCATGGTAACGTGGCGAAGTGTAGTCTCGGGGGTTACTGTCCAAATTCAAAGCGTTCAACGGTACACTACTACACGGAGTACACGCACGTACTTCTGAACAGCGGCACAGCAATGCACAAGTGCAACGACTCGATGACTCGACATCCGTGCCAGTTAGCGGACTTATTTCCTGGCAGACGAGTTGCGACTTGCGATCTCTTCTTTTTTGCTGTTTTTCCTTCAAAATTGGTTCAGTAGATGTTTTAAATCGAAATAATTTGGAAATTTGAGAATTCTATTGCTGAGAGAATATCTTTCGAGCTGTCAGAATGGCACAGGGTGGCCAGTTAATTCCCATACGGTTTCAAGAGCATGCACAGGTGGGTGTTTTTGCCTTATCTTGCTGTGAAAGGATTACGTGTACACGTATGGTTCCCTGTAAGCTGCGATGAGTTTTCTGCTCCTGATACGGGGATCCAGCCAGTTGTAGCCGCGCGGTCTGAGTTGTTTCCTTGAAATGAAAAAGTAGTTTTTTTAATTTTTGTAAAAATTCTTAAGTGCGGATGTGTGTGTAACCGTCATTTTGAGTGACGCTGCTGTTGGTAATGGCAGTGTGGAGATTGAATTAGAAATCGATTGTATCGACTGCGGAGGTCTGGAGCACCCTTTTCATTTAGATCACTTCTGCAGAATGGATCGATTATTTTTATGTTAGCAGTTAGCGCATACATCTAGATTGTGGTTGTCTGCTGCAGACTTATCCCAGTTGAGTTTGAATGTGAAATCTCGAAAAGTGATTGTCATCGGTAGATATGGTGTTGACGATAGTGGGCCACTAATGACAGCCCGAATTGATGCAGTTTCTGTTTTTGGCAGCTCCAAAATGTGGGCATCAATGCCGCGAACATTGGTTTCACCACGCTCACCATGGAGTCAGACCGGTTTATCTGTGTCCGGGAAAAGGTGGGAGATTCAGCGCAAGTCGTCATTATCGACATGGCTGACCCCACCAATCCCATCCGCAAACCGATCACGGCGGATTCAGCCATCATGAACCCGGCCAGCAAAGTCATCGCTCTAAAATGTAAGGACAATCTGCGTTTGATTATAAAAAACAAAAAAATGGATTAGGAGAAGGCTGTCAAAATAATGGTCTAGCATCAATTTTTGAAGTCAAAGTAATTTAATTTTTAAAGAAATCAGATTTTAACGGTAGGCGTAAATTCGGTACGAATTTTTTTCAGATGTTTTCGTTTTGTTGTTCTGCTTTAATTGTTGTACACACAATAGATGTGTGCGTCAGTGTAGAATCGTAGATCAGAAGGCAGCAGAGCTCTCTTTAGTGTTCCTTGAAGTTAGTTGCAAAGTTAATTCAACTAGGCATATTGCTCGATTTGTAGCCGGAAGAACGCTACAAATCTTTAACATCGAAATGAAGTCAAAGATGAAGGCGCACAACATGCCCGAGGATGTTGTGTTCTGGAAATGGATCAACTTGAACACCGTGGCATTAGTCACGGAAACCGCTGTTTTTCACTGGGGTATGGAAGGCGATTCCGCGCCGGCAAAAATGTTTGACCGACATCCTAACCTGGCTGGAAATCAGATTATCAATTACCGGGTGGATCACAGCCTGAAATGGCTTCTCCTAATTGGCATTGCGGCGCAGGTAAACTTATTAAGAATGTTGACTTCTGTTGTATATTTTGAATGGCGTTGAGATTCATGCTGTTTCTCTTGTTGTTAATAATATTGAAAATTATAAATTCGATTTATACCCATTTTAGGAATTGAACGTGTTTAGGCTCTTCCATTGCGCGAGTGTGATTCGTGTAGCAACTAGCGGCTGCATTCTGTTTATGTCGTGGTCATGAAATTTGTTTTTTTATAGCAAAATCGTGTCATTGGATCCATGCAATTATATTCCGTTGAGCGCCGGGTGAGTCAGCCAATTGAAGGACATGCAGCATCTTTTGCGCGGTTCAAATTGGACGGAAACGCGGAAGCATCGAATTTGTTCAGCTTTGCCGTACGACCGGCGAATGCGCAAGGCAATACGGGAAAACTCCACATTATCGAAGTCGGTACTCCTCCTCAAGGAAACCAACCATATCCGAAGAAAGCTGTCGACATCTTTTTTGCTCCGGAAGCGGCCAATGATTTTCCTGTGGCTATGCAGGTTTGTAGATGTTCTATAATTCGTCCGGATTGGTATTGTTTTGAAGAACTTAGTACAAGCGAATGCGATCAATGATGACGAAAATGGCGCACATCGGTTTGGTACTTGCAGACTAGCCAAAAATACGGCGTTGTCTTCATGATCACGAAGTACGGCTATGTCCACATGTACGACCTTGAAACGGGCACCTGTATCTACATGAATCGCATCAGTAGCGAGACCATCTTTGTCACGGCGCCTCACGACGCCACGTCAGGCATTATGGGCGTCAACCGAAAAGGCCAGGTTGGATAAGATTTCCGGCACCGCTCCCTGACATCAGTTAACTTTTCACGATTTTGTTTTCAACAGGTGTTGTCCGTGAGTGTCGATGACGACAGCATTGTTCCATACATTAGTCAACAGCTGAGCAATCAGGACTTGGCACTACGTTTTGCTGCCAGGAATAATTTGGGTGGAGCGGAGGATCTTATGTCCACCAGATTTAACACCTTGTTCAGTCAAGGAAATTATGCCGAAGCTGCTAAGGTGGCCGCTGGTGCCCCTCAGGTGCGTTACTTCTACTATCAAATCGAAGATCTTTATCGGTATTCGGTAATCGCCCGTTACCGCTGAAAAGAAACCTGTAGATTTACGTACCTGGCATTAATACCTATGGCATGACGCAGCTAGTGTCGTATGCAGGCTTCTTTCTTTCGAACACAAAGTTCTTCCGTGGAATGTCCAGCTTGCAAAAATAATGGCTTGCAGACCAATGATCATTTAATTTTTAGGGAGTATTGCGTACTCCACAAACCATTCAGCGGTTTCAACAAGTCCCCACGCAGCCAGGTCAGACAGCGCCTCTGCTGCAGTACTTTGGAATTCTCCTGGATCAGGGCAAATTAAACAAATATGAATCCTTGGAGCTCTGCCGACCAGTTTTGGGCCAAGGGCGGAAGCAGTTGTTGGAGAAATGGCTGAAGGAAGAGAAGGTACCGACCTATCTTAGCGAATTGTTACTGGTTGGCTGGGTTTTCAGTTTCTGATGTTTTAGCTGGAATGCAGTGAGGAACTGGGAGATCTCGTTAAACCTCATGACGCTACCATGGCTTTATCCATTTATCTACGAGCCAATGTTCCCGCTAAAGTGGTGCAGTGTTTTGCTGAGACAGGACAGTTTCAGAAGATTGTTCTGTATGCCAAGAAAGTTGGGTACACACCGGATTATATTTTCATCCTTCGTCACATCATGCGCACAAATCCTGATCAGGGTGTTGCATTTGCTAAGCTTTTGGTGCAGGATGAAGAGCCGTTGGCCGACATTAATCAGGTAAGGGACGTTTATGGATTTACAGTCCATAATCATCGACGATTGCTATCAAAACAAAAGAATCTATCCCAGAAGTAATTTTGCAGTAATAACACTTTAATGAGTTGTTGGAAGCAAAAAGCGCAGGCATTTTGCGTTTGTATGTTGCTTCTTGTGTGCTTACAGATTTGTTTGTTTAATAGATCGTGGATGTTTTTATGGAGCAAAATATGGTCCAGCAATGTACAGCTTTCCTATTGGAGGCTTTGAAAAATAATCGGCCGTCGGAAGGTAGTCTTCAAACGCGCTTGTTGGAGATGAATTTGTTGGCTGCTCCTCAAGTGGCCGATGCCATTTTGGGAAATCAAATGTTTTCCCACTACGATCGAGCCCATATTGCCCAGTTATGCGAGAAGTCTGGACTGCTGCAGCGAGCTCTTGAACATTACACGGATTTGTACGATATCAAACGGGCCATTGTTCACACGCATCTCCTAAACGCTGAGGTACGGCTTAGGTTTTCTTCTTGAGAGAGTAGAACCGTAATCGGAAGTAAGGTGTAAGTAATTGCGCCTGTACGCCTATACTGACATGATGACATTGGTTCGCAGTTGAGAAATACAGTGAAAGTTATGATATCGATTTTCTTTACAGTGGGTTATTCAGTATTTCGGTTCGCTGTCTGTCGAAGATTCAATGGAATGTCTGAAGGCCATGTTAACGCATGGCATACGACAAAATCTACAGATCGTTGTCCAAGTGGCTACCAAGTACCATGAACAGCTGGGAACAGAGAACCTTATTGAAATGTTTGAATCGTTCAAGAGCTTTGAGGGATTGTACTACTTCTTGGGATCTATTGTAAACTTCAGTCAGGATCCCGAAGTTCATTTTAAATATATTCAGGTTTGTCACTTGTTCTATTAGGATTCGACGCTTGGTTTTAATACTGATGCTTTATGTAGGCTGCGTGCAAGACGAATCAAGTGAAAGAAGTCGAACGCATCTGCCGGGAAAGCAATTGTTATGAACCGGAACGTGTGAAGAATTTCCTGAAGGAACAGAAACTGACTGATCAGTTGCCGCTTATCATTGTTTGCGATCGTTTTGATTTCGTGCATGATTTGGTGCTGTATCTGTACCGCAACAATTATGCGAAATATATTGAAATCTACGTGCAGAAGGTAATCCGAAAGTATTTTTTAACACCAGGAATTTTTGTTGATAAATTATGTTTAGGTAAACCCTTCGCGTCTTCCGGCTGTGGTTGGTGGTTTGTTAGATGTGGACTGTTCTGATGATACAATCAAAAGTTTGATCATGTCTGTGCGAGGACAGTTTTCTACTGATGAGTTAGTGGCTGAACTGGAAAAGCGAATCGGTAAAGTTGGCGAATGTTGAACTTTTGAGGAATCGTGTCATTTCTATACGTCCGTTGCTTTTAGTCTTAAGCTGTTGTTGCCTTGGCTGGAAATGCGCGTCCATGAAGGCAGTACAGAACCGGCAACGCACAATGCCCTGGCCAAGATTTACATTGACGGAAATAATAATGCTGAACGCTTCTTGAAGTAAGGTTTTTTGATTTTTGCAGCCTGTGCAGTTTTTGATACAACACTAAAACATTTCAATTTTTTATAGGGAAAATCCATTTTATGACAGTCGGGTGGTTGGTAAATACTGTGAGAAACGGGACCCCCATTTGGCCTGCGTGGCATATGAACGTGGTCTTTGTGATGCGGAACTGATCCGTGTGTGCAATGAGAATTCCCTGTTTAAGTTCGAAGCGCGCTACTTGGTGCGTCGCAAAGATCCAAATCTGTGGGCTGAAGTGCTGAACCCGGCGAACCAGTACCGTCGGCAGATGATTGATCAGGTCGTACAGACCGCGTTATCCGAAACACAAGATCCCGATGAGATTTCGGTTACAGTCAAAGCGTTCATGACAGCCGACCTGCCCAATGAATTGATTGAATTATTAGAAAAGATCGTTCTGGATAACTCGGTTTTTAGTGAACACAGGTAAGATCCCTGATGCAGCGTAGATGCGCTATGTGATTAGCGATATACTCGGAAGTGATTTTACTGGTATTAACCAAATCAGTTTTAAAATTAAACTTGCTGTGACTTAGTACATTACTTTCAGAAACGATTCGCAGTCTGTATAATTGTATTTTACAGAAATCTCCAGAATTTGCTTATTCTTACTGCAATCAAAGCGGACCGAACACGGGTTATGGAATATATTAATCGACTGGATAACTATGACGCTCCCGACATTGCAAATATAGCAATTGGTAACGAATTGTACGAAGAAGCCTTCGCGATTTTCAAGAAGTTCGATGTGAACACATCAGCTATTCAGGTAACATTAAATTTGAGATTCAGATAAGTAGCTAATAAATTTGAAACAAGCAGAATTAGGAAATCTAGTAAAATCTTGCTTACCAGAACTCCGTTTTACTAATTTTTTTCTTTAGGTTTTGATTGACAATATTCGTAATTTGGATCGGGCCTACGAATTCGCTGAACGCTGCAATGAACCCGGTGTATGGAGTCTCTTGGCTCGAGCGCAGCTGGACAGTGGATTGTTGAAGGAAGCCGTAGATTCATATATTAAAGCAGAAGATCCCAAAGATTACAAGGATGTCGTGCGCGTAGCCAGTGAGCTAGGTAAGTACGGATGTTGAAAAACAACAACAGCAGGCTAAGTTCGGTGTTATGTAGAAAAATGGGAGGATATTGTTCGTTATCTCCAAATGGCACGGAAGAAGTCTCGCGATGGATTTGTGGAATCCGAACTGGCTTTTGCTCTGGCGAAGACCAATCGCCTGGCGGATCTGGAAGAATTCATTTCGAGTCCAAATCATGCCTCTGTTCAAATGGTATTTACAGTTCGGTTTAAATTGTATCCTTGCTCTTAACTGCGCTTGCATGGCTTCTATTCTGAACTTCGCATGACTTCTGTTCTGAAAGTGGACTCGTTGCATGACATCAGCTTTGTCGGTACAGGTTGGCGATCGCTGTTTCGACCATGGAATGTACGAAGCGGCCAAAATTCTGTACAACAACATTTCCAACTATGGGGAAACTGGCGATCACCCTGGTGCGTCTGGGCCAGTTCCAAGGGGCGGTTGAAGGTGCACGCAAAGCCAACAGCACCAAGACCTGGAAGGAAGTTTGCTTCGCCTGCGTGGACCATCAGGAATTCCGCCTGGCGCAAGTGGCTGGATTGTACATTGTGGTGCATGCCGATGAACTAGAGGAGCTGATCAATTACTATCAAGACCGCGGCTACTTTGATGAACTGATTACTTTGCTGGAAGCGGCATTGGGCATGGATCGGGCCCATATGGGTATGTTCACGGAATTAGCCATCCTCTACTCGAAGTACAAACCATCCAAGATGAAAGAGCACTTGGAACTCTTCTGGTCTCGTGTCAACATTCCCAAGGTGCGCTGACTACAGTACCGTGTATCAGCGGTAATGCTAATGTTCGTTATTCCCTAGGTGTTACGCGCCGCTGAACAAGCGCATTTGTGGCACGAGTTGGTGTTTTTGTATGACAAATATGAGGAGTTTGATAATGCCGTGGTTACCATGATCCAGCATCCCACTGAAGCGTGGCGTGAAAGCCATTTCAAGGATATTATCACTAAAGTGGCGAATATCGAGCTGTACTATCGAGCCATTCAGTTTTATCTGGATTACAAACCGATGCTGCTGAACGATCTACTCATTGTGCTGATTCCTCGCATGGATCATACCCGAGCAGTGACTTATTTCCGCAAGGTACAATCTGAACTTCAGATCCTGAAGTATTGACATTATTGTAAAATAATAATTTTTTGTTTGTGTAGGTCAATCATTTACCTCTAGTGAAGCCTTACCTGCGCGCGGTGCAAAAGTTGAATAACAAGACCGTGAACGAAGCGCTGAATGAGTTATTTATTGAAGAAGAGGATTATACGGGCTTGAAGACATCCATTGATGCGTTCGACAATTTCGACAATATTTCCCTGGCCCAGCGACTTGAGAAGCATGAACTGATTGAATTCCGCCGAATCGCCGCCTACTTGTACAAAGGAAACAACCGATGGAAGCAGAGTGTGGAATTATGCAAAAAGGATCGCCTGTTCAAGGTATGTATTTAGGTAGTTCCAGGTTAGGTTCCAGGTTAGGTTTATTGGTACAGTACTTATCTATTTGGTATTGAACAGGATGCCATGGAATATGCCTGTGAATCACGCAGTACCGATTTAGCGGAAGAACTGATCGCGTGGTTTTTGGAGCAGAAGAACTACGAATGCTTTGCGGCTTGCTTGTACCAGTGTTATGATCTGCTCAGACCGGATGTTATCCTGGAGCTGTCCTGGCGCCATAAGATCATGGACTTCGCAATGCCTTACATGATTCAAGTTATTCGTGAATACTTATCCAAGGTAATAACAAAATAATGATCATGGAAAAGACGCAAATACTTTTCTTTTATGCACGTAAAATTGTGTGCCTATAGTTTTCCCAGTTTCGTGATTTATATTTTCGCTATGTCTGACTCTGCTTAGATATGAGGAGTTTCTTTCTATATATATGTAATGTCTATCAGGTTGATAAGTTACAAGAATCGGAAGTGCAGAGAAGTCAGGAAGCGGAAGCTAGTGAACAGCAGAATCGTTCACTGGGTATGTATCCCGAAGCTCCCTTATGTTGACGGCCGGTCCCAGCGCCCTGAACATGATGCCCCCCTATGCCGGTACGCCCACGGGCGGCATGGGACCTGGCGGAATGCCAGGAATGGGAGGAGTATACCAAACCCCATTCGGTCCGACAAGTGGATATTACGGCCCAATGTAAAAGTGAAAAAGCAGTGTCGTTCTTCGTGGACCCCTGCCACGCCCCGTGGTAATATTTATTTGGTGCGGTGTGTTATCGTGCGTTGTCTTAGGTTTTTGTCATAATTCTTGAGAATGTTCCGAATATGTTCTTGTAATCCTGATGTTGATCGCATGTCTGATGTCTCTTTAATCTGGAGTAACTGATTTTTGTTCACCACGATGAGGTGTTCTCATCTTTTGCTTTCTGACTGCTGAAATTCCATTTGCTGTTGGATTACACTGATTTTTTTCATTTTTTGCGTATTAAGTGCTATTTATAATTTTGGCTTGTGAATGTTGATTAATTTTTTATGTCACTCAGTAAAGATTAGCAAATGGTTAGTGGTTGTTGTGGAGTTTTATACATCGTATTAAAGCCCTATTGATACTGTACCGAAGCAGAGGAAATGGTCACCGTTTTTCTCATCAGTCATCAGTGTTGAACAATCTGATTTTTGTGGAGCCTGTTACGTATTTTCTCTTGGGTTTCGCATAAAATCACGAGCCGTTAATTTCCGCTTTACTGGGGTTTAACACAACATAGGAATAGCCTTCGGTCAGCCCGCTAAGCATCAATGGCAAATTTACTGCAGCATCAGATTTTAACGGCCAGAAAAGCAACTCTACATATTTAATGCGGCTATATTTTCCGCGCCAGTCTTCACTGCATGAATGTTAACCGCTGCGAATAAAGACGTAATTGATTTCTTGTTGCTCTTTTAATCCCACCATAACTTGCTGGCAAAATATCTGATTAAAAGAGTCGTGCGCCTAGTGAACGGTTCGCATAGCGGAACCAAAAAGAAGATTTACAGCTGTTAACTGCGCTTGATCCGGCAGCGTTCAACTCTTGATACAATGCAGCAGCAAGCCTCAAGGGCTAACTGACCACTGATGTTGGCGGTCTTATAAAACAGAAGTCTTCAATCTTGACCACCGGCGTCCATCCGTCGACGACGCGGTCGGTATTGAGATAGAGATAAATTCATGTTAGACGTGGTTTATCCCGCTAACAATAAGCCAGCAAAACAAAAAGATTAGCATTCCTGATTAGCAACAACTTTTAATGGCCGAACACGAAAAACACATAAGGTTCGAAGAATGCGCTAATGAGATACAAATCCCAATGATCAACAGCCATCACTGCTATTAATTTACACAAAATTCCATTCGCTCCGCGATGAACGGATGCTTCGACTGGCCGATCATCCGACATACAGATATGATGATAAAGTTCAAAGCCAAGAGTATCAAAGCTAACCGGCAGTAAGTGAGAGAAGTAAATTATAATATGTAAAATATGCATTTCGCCATAATTGCTAATCTAACTCATAATGCACTATTCAACTGATAATACAATACTTAAAACTTATAATGCAGAAAAGCGCTAGTGTTACTTTGCTAACATAGTTCTCCAAACCATTCGTGCCATTTAATAATTTTTAATGTCATATAGATACTGTACCAGCTCCCTGGATGATTTACAGTACAGTATGCAAACCAAAATGCTGAAGCGTCGTATTAACACGTATGCAAATTTATTGTGCAATAATTATTATCTAGCGGAAATTTAAATTTCATATGACTAGCCACTGTGTATGGTGCTAATGAACAGCCCCATCTCTAATACACAAATAACTGAAAATATGCACAGTCAAAACCTTGATTAAAAGAACTTTTGAGAACTCTGAGTCTATCTAAACTAACTGACAAGTGAGCACGTAGTCGATTTTGCTGATATTCGTAAGCTGCATTATGCAAACACTTTTGCCCGTTGCCGGTGCTTCTTCGTTGACTCCGCCCACTTTCCTGGGGCGAATTATGGAAGGGGCCAGCGGAGTCTTTGCTTTGCATGCGAAGAGTATGTAAGCGCCGAAAACACCGTCTGACCGCAGCAAGATGATCTTTCAATTATGAAGATCAGTTATGTTTGAGGACAGTTGTGAGGTTGCTTTGATTGGCGATTATGGCTATTCGCAATTCAACGCGATACAGTAATTGCCAGTGTTACGCGCGTCGGTCAGTGGATGCTTTGAGTGATTTTTTGTTTGCCATGGCACGACGGTACTGTGTAAATTAACAATTAGACCCGCTCTAGGCCAGCTTGACCACTACGTAATTCTACCGGAAACAGAGTAAATATATTCAGAAAAGTCAGAGAATTTACAATTGGCGTTGTATGCTGCTGCTGAATTGAGAGCGCGCGGTTTTTTCGGCTCCACTGTCCAGAGCACGGTAGTTAAGCCAATTTTCACCGCTTGACATGTCGATGGCGTGAGAAGATTTTTCTCTTTCATATTCATTTCTCTGTCTTTTAATGCTGACTTGATTCGGACATCACGGTTATATTTCGTCTTTCTGTGGGCGCTGCTGCTGTGTTCATATTGGACAGTGTTGATTGATGGCTTATAGAGGGCTTATTACGCCCGGGTAAAAAGCGCTCAACATACCGTTTTCGGCCACAAATTACAGAGGACACTGCTGTATACACCGACGCCCGAATTTACTGATTCTCCTTGTGACTAATGGTCATTTTCAATTGCTGCTGCTATTCTAGGGAAATTTTTTGCTAACAACCGGCATTTTGTACCATCACTGAATTTTCTTCATGTGGAAAGTGTGCCGTTGACATTATATTGTCATGGATGATGCTCGCTGAACATATCGCGGTACGTACAGCGTAAGATTGTAACGGCCTTTTAATCTTAACAAATAATTTAAAGAAATTATTTACACTAGAGTAGTAGAAGTACATAATAATCCAAAGTAGAAGTAAACTATAGCCTGAATACTGTTTACCGATGTACATCGATACTTTAATAGGTAAATGCAATTCTGTCTACTTTTCCCAGTAGCAACAGTGTTCACATCTCCCGCACATACCGCACTCTGTACTACTTATTTCCATCTTGTTTTGAGATTCTTTTGTGATTATAGTTGTATACTGCGATGTACTCTTAAAAATAAATTTTCCGCCTGCTAGAAGCTAGCTAGAATCAAGTGATGTACCGTACGAAAGTATAGACGAACGGACTTTGTCGTTTAGCCGGTTTTCCTTATGCTCCGGCAGATGCAGTAAATAAATGACACACTTAAATTCAGACTTTAATTACATACAAGCTCGGAATAATGAGATTCAAATATATAGATCGTTATCTCTCTCACTCTCTGTACACGCTTTGTAATCTTGAGGGCAGTGTTTAAGTGCGCACCGGTGTGATTAAGGGACTGAAGATGTACTATATTAATCTTATCGTAGAGTCCAGCACCGAAGTTGACCACGTCAAACAAAACGGCATCATTTAACCATCTTTAAGAGATCACGTTTCCCATATGGACATTGCAGATCAGGCGGGAAATTTATTAGGATCTATTTGGCCCTTATCCCTCATCTGCCCAGTACTGCCAACTGCACATACATTTATATATACACCGAAATAATAATAATAATCGGGAAGCGGCAACGCACTGTACTCTTGCTTCCCGGTCATCCGCTGTGCCTGCGCGGCTGCACCTGACGATGACGCCCTGGGCTGTTGTCCTGCTTGTTACGCTTCTCCCGGCATGTGGTCTGATATCCGGTGCGACCGGCCAATCATCTGATTATGAACCATTAGGATGCCGCGACAGACAAATGTGCTGCAGCGGACGTGATTCTTCCTGTGTTGTATCCGAATTCCACCCCAATTCCATCATCGAAGACTTGGATACGAATCGGACCATCCGGTGTTATTGCGACGAGTCATGTTTAACATTAGGCGACTGCTGTCATGATTTGCGTTCTTATTGCGGAGGTAAGTTGTCCTTATGTCAATATGACAATACTCGTATCAAGGGAAAATGTCAGGAAAAATTAACAAACATGTAGCCCACGTCGGCCTCTCTATGCAAGTCACCTTTCGAAAACAGCACAGTTGCTTGTTCTGTAATCTCTGCCCTTTAATACTATGGTAGACTACAATCGGTTCTGAGTCTCTGCCTGTTATTGCCGTATAACGGTATTTACTTTCTGGAGTGTTTTACAAAAAATTCCAGGTTCCTATTTCTGACGTTCTGTGCGCATCGCTTTGTTGGAATGTTACCTGTACAATAGTCCAGACATAATCGATAATCTTGTTTAAGAGTGGACGACAAACGCAGACATACCTAAGTGACCGGACTTTATTTATAGATAGTGCTTCTTCTTTGTTGCGCATAAGACATACCGCACAATACAATACCTGTATCACACGTAACTCCCTGCGAGACGGAATTAAATACTCATCAGACTTCAAAGAGTTTATTAGCATTGTAGCCCACGATACTCAATTACGCGCAGACTGTAGGCAGTCTGCAGGACTCCTCTAGCCAAATAACAATTAGGTAAGGGACACGGGACAGTCGCCTTGTGTTTTATTACCTTTTATAGCTCTGCTGCAGTGAAGCTGTGTTGTGTTCTTAACAATAGGTCGTTTGCAAATAGAAACTAAAACACTATTCATAAGGCGAATTATTCTATCTCGCAATGTAGACAAATACAAATGCACAATTAACATTGTATCTGCAAAGTACGTATGCGCTTTTAATTAAGCATTCAGCGATAAGCAGTAGGAATTCAAGTAATTATTCAATTTCTTTTTTAATTTTTTATGCACTAACTTTGCATGTAGGTGCGGCATCCTTTTACACCGATCGTGTAGTGAACCATAATAATTTACACTCGTATATTTTATTTGTCTTTTTCAAACCCAGGACGGTGTCAGCCGCTATTTTTCCTAAATTTAAAGCTATTAGACGGCTTGACCATTGTACGGACAGGCGTAACGGCAACACCCTTCTGACATTATGATACAAGAAACATAATCCTTGCCGTCAGCACGGCTAGCCATTCTGAATAAACATGTGCCCATCATGTTTCAAAGGATTACAAGTCCATGAATTATGGGACAGAAAATTGGTTTTAAATTGCAACAATTACTCAACGCACTATTTTCTAGACATGTCCCAGTGTTCCTGTGCTTTAGGGATTAATAAACTTTTGCGCTTAGCTGAATTATGTGCCCACTGAATGACATATTTTAATGGTCAGTTCGTTAGAGTAATTATGTAGTGCAGTGTGCATGGATATCGGTACTAATCTTGGGATTTGAAAAGTCCTCGTCTTAAACGAGTTTTATTTTAATTTGCACTTGTGTGATCTGCTTAACCGCTAAAAAATGCGTTTGCATGAACATAAAAAATTATAACAGGTATTAACTGGGCAATCGTAGTTTCGTATACTTCGGTATAAAATAACGTTTTTTTATTATTTCTTCGATTTTAACTTTTACGTTGGCAGTACAGGTTACCAGCGCATAATAGTTTTTTATGTAGTTTTATAAGAGTAACTTCTGTGTGACTTGGTTTTCAACAATTTGATTTTGTTAAGTTGCCACTTGTCAGTGAACTGATCTAGCAGAGGGGTTCTAGGCTCCAGCAAAGAATTCGCAAATGTATTATAATCGAAAAGAAATATTAGTGTAGTACGCACGCAAATGGCATCACTTGATACTTGCCGCGATATACGAGTAATACCGTTTTGCTGTTGGTTCTGCTGCCGCCCAGCGCTATTTACCATTTGATTTTCAAAAGGACAGATAATGGATAGTTGATTTAATTACAACGCTGATCGTTATCGCCACACTTCACCACTAAATCAAGCGGTCAGTTCTGGGTGATTTTGTAGAAAGTGATGAAGTGCATGATTTCAAAAATGGTATGCTAACCTACTTTTCTTCAAATCTTTTCAACAAAAGCCGACTGTAACGGCTGTCCAAGAAAAAGAAAAACCGGTTTCCAGTCAAAAGTACAAATAATTTAGCACAAAAAAAATAATTCTGTGACTGGCGTTCATAGTGACTGTACATGCGTTAAACTAATTTTCTGATGTGTGCACGTACGTTGATAAATTAAGTTAACTGCATTTGCAGATAATTTTTCTATTTATCCGCTTATCCGCGTATGTAGAGCCGTCGCAGGAAACGGTAAAAATACGTTACAATCATCATTTTATTTATTTGGTGGCATTACACCGCAATATCGCAGATACGTATCTTCCGTATACCGGCTTTCAAGCTCGGCATCTTCCGTACGCTGACTGCGCACAATGCATATAACAACTTTGGCTTACCATCTAAAACATTTGAAAGATCCTTTAAAATCCATAAATCACCAAGCGTGTGATCTTCCTTAAAATGTCAGAGCGCATATAAAGGGGCACTGTCATGTTTGTTGCTTTTGTCTAATGTGAAGCGTTTAGGAATCCCATAAGCCATTGTTAGAGGTCATAGCGTAGCTGCGCTCTTTGATTGGCAACAATGATCAGAAGTTAACGATGTGTGGTGCAGCTAAAAATGTTATTGATTGCATCGGGCGACATTTAAATGTATGTGCATCTGAATCTATCATCTCACCATGCAGTTAACAGTTTTTTGGGTCAAGCCCATGACCGCTAGCTGGATCAATGTAGCAATAGTTTTTTAAGAAAGCACTCAAGGATTCTTTTGTGCAGTTCACATGCGCCGGCATTGGTGAACCCGCTCCCATGAATGGAATTACGCTTACACCCGCTTTTCAGGAGAATCCATAGCACGATGCATTTCCGCTCCCACTTCCAGATGGATTGCATTCTCCGCAAGATTGATTATTGACGATAGCTACAAACAGTAGTGATTTTTTACATAGCAATAGCGTATCAAGCTTGCTTTGGTTTAACCAAATAGCAAATTTTCTGCTAGCCTATGAATGTTTGCGGCAACAACTACCGGAAATGCTCGAAATTATGGCCGCTGTCTTTTAACAGGGATGCGATGTTAACGTTTGTGCTTGGTTATGATTCACGTCATATGAGAATATCCTATTTAACTAGCTGAAGAGTAATTTGTACGAAGTCAGTATAAACTAAATTATTGTCTCTTATGTTAAATTAAACTTAAAAGCATCCTGCCTACAGAGCAAAAAACTACGAGCATTTTATAATTCTGCGAATGCATTTATACAAACAATATTATTTAAAACATACACTTTGGTACTGATGATATGCACGACGATAATAAACTGTTTATAAAAATATTATTTTAACTGCAAATTATCGTTCTGTAGTTCAAGACTGCATAGTCTCAGCGTGGGGAAATTGGAGTACGTGTTCGTCTGCTTGTGGAGTGGGAAAAATGAGCCGGCGCAGACAGGTTCTGCAGGAAGCATCGAACGGCGGACGCCTGTGCCCGGCGTTGCTGCAGTCGCGTGCGTGCTTCAATACAGAATGCACCAAACGGCACGAATACAGAGGTGTATATCAATAATCACACTAATAATTACAGAATTTACAGTGCTATTACGTATCCAAGAATTGAACAGTTCTCTAGAGCATAATATACTCAGTATTGCTGTTTGCAAGCCATAGTCGCAATAAAATAAGATTTACCGACTATATACTGAAAAATCTAATTTATAAAGCTTCGAACCGCATACTACGCATGTCGCATTTACTTAAGCTGTCAGTGATGCATTTTATATACTCAAAAGACAAAAGGATTATGCAAACTGAGCATTTCTCATTGTTTCTGTCTGATTAGAGGTTGCAGCGCTGCTCCCGGCCGTCTTTGGTACCGCTCGACATAACAATGATTCAAAGGATATTCGACACAACTTACTGTTGAGATATCCGAAGGATCCCGCGGAAGAATCCAGCCGAGAGTAAGTTATCATAACAACTAACACGTTTCTGGGCAGCCGGTTGAATGGTTATTGTCGGCCGTAACAAAACACTTCACGCGCTGCCGTAAACAATGTAATCTGGTTTCCATTTCAGGTATTGTTCGTTTTTCCAAATAACGAAAGCCGCTAAACGCTGCCAGCTGGAAACGTGGTCATCAATCTTCAAGGATAGTGTACGCGTTTGTGTGGAATGCCAGAAAGGCGCAATGAAGAATAACCTTGGCTTCAGGTCAGCACAATATCGGTGTAGTTGATTATTTAAACATGCGTTATCGATCGTGTAAGTAACTGTAGCAGTTTTTCGGTTAACCGTATCTGAGTTGTTATGCATTACAACAAACATTAATTTTAATGAAATAATGTTTCGCTCTAGTTATTGCAAAAGGAAGTACACAATGGTAACACATAGTTGGTAATTTGGTATAACTTTTTCTGTATGATGGATAGTTATACTTATACCCACCATTGTTTTACAATCCACGATAGGCTTGTTTGTCCATACATTTGAGAATAAGACAAATACAGTTTGTGGCTCTTACTTGCTTTATAAACGTGTGCATTTTTAATAATATATGCAAAATTCAAAGTATTTGTAGATCTGTTATACACAATAGGTCATTTTGGCGTGCAGTCAAGCTGGTTCCTAGTAGATTGTGTGTTACGAGTGATCAATCCAGTTATTCCCCTCTTGTACATAGGCGCAACGCATTACGTACAGTGTGGTTTGCTTAATAGAACGTCCAAATCCCTGCATGTACTTGAGATAAGATTTTGGAACTGATAATACTTAATGCCCAACATGAAATATGCGTTTAAGCTTGATGTTTGATATATTTCGCAGATGTAAAGGTCAAGGGCTATTAAATACGGAAACACGATGGAGCGCCATGTTAGCCAATGGATGTCACGGGAAATGGATATTAACATCACGCGAACTGGACTGCCGCTGCCCACAGAGCGATTCTCAGTCCTTCATATTCGTCTGACAGAGGCGGAGCAGTATGGGTTTAGGGCCTTAGGCCTATGACGAAGCCCAAACCGAAAAACGAGCAAAGCCCATGCAAGTGTCTCAGCAAAACCTTCTTTTATCCGGTTCGTTAAACAAAATTGTGGCATTGCTAAAGTTGTGGTCTTAATTTAGATGGTTTCTATGGGACAGTGTTTGTTAGATGTTTGTTTGTTATTTTCCTGCATTTTTCTAAACCTTGGAATTTGGGACCAAATACGAAGATAGCTGCCTGTTTTGAAATGCTGTCTCAAATTGTTTGTTATAATTGTTCTTTAAGTAAGTACGTGCAGTATTTGTGGATATCACTTTGCTAAGCAGATTTTTCATTTTAGTAAACATGTTAAGTTGTTAACAGTCAAAATTCGAACCGTATTTTAAAACATCAGAAAAAAAAACTACCGTAAAATTAGTAGGAAACAGTCATGTTATGGCTATACTTATGCAAAGAATGATAAGGAGCTGCAAAAAAACTATTCTGTTCGAAAAACCGACAGCACAACTATCGATTCAGACATCGGTTTAACTGCATTTTGAAGAACTTACAAATATAAAATTTAAAGCAAATACTACTGCAAAATGTCGAAATAGTATCGCAAAAAGATATCTATCCGCAGTGATTAGTCGACAAAACCGGTCTATCGCAGCAGCCACTGCAGCGCTCAGTATATTTCCAGTTCCGCACAAGAGATGAGACATCAACAGTAATTACTGAGCGATTATGCTGATAATTACCTCCGCATACAGAAACATTTACGGTACATCATTCATCTGATCCGATTATTGTCGACACATCACGGCGGCTGTTTTCGAGGGATTTTCTCCGGCTGTGGTCTGACATAGATTTTTTCCACCTTATTTTCCTTCAGACACGCATAGCGCGCCAAAACGAACAAGTAGTCACTGAGGCGATTGAGAAATTTCAAGGGCTCTCCGTCCACTTGTCCGCTCTCGACCAGAGCCACGGCTGCACGCTCCGCACGCCGACACACTGAACGCGCTTGATGGAGGAAAGCGCTGGTCTTTCCACCCGACTGCGTGATATAATGAAGAACACACTTTGCAACACTCCATTTGTAATATGAATACAAACATTGTTCTAGCGACAAAGTGTAATAACATGTATGACAACCACTCCAAATTGTACCGGTAAGATGAAGTTTTTGAGGGCTGGCAGGTCTTCCTCCATCTTATCGATCCGTTCTTCTAAGCTCGTAACATGGTCCATAGAAAAAACCGTCCGAGCTACCAGAAATCACCAGCTTTAACAATTCAGATATATTTCAATAAACTGCTGATTCTCGTAGGAAGCGAACTGCGGATTTAGAAGCTCCCATTCATCTATCACTAGCAGAAACACAAGCACATAAACATACCATTCACACCATGCATTGAATTACCTAAGTGCGCTTCGCGGGCTGATGTTTTCGGCGTGGCCAAAGCAGACGCGACATCCTGCAAGATGCACTGAATTTCTTCCAGTTCCTTGTCGAAGTCATGCCCAAACTCGGACGCAAACTCGCGAGCTACTCTGAAAACGGTTTTGCGTTTAAGTGCTGTAACAAGGAAATGGTTGCAAATTATTATGCTACAAAAAAGCTTTTATCATCCTGAAGTTGCGTTTTATAAGTCGCGACGGACATGGAATGGTTTGTAAACGAGAATGATTTTTCATTTGCCATCCTTTTGGAGGCTTGACAAAATTTGAGTGGTAGCTTGATTATCGCCAATTTTCATTTCAACAGAATTAATGTCAGCCACCCATTTTGAAAGATTTCCACGATTTTGTTTTGGCCACTACCTATATTTCCAAAATGTGGACTGTGGATAATTTAATCGATCGGTTTTCAGATGACGGTGTATTCCTCAACTCCATTTGACATTCCAACAGACAAAATAAAACTGAGTAATTTTGGTAGCAGGGATCCAGATAAAAAAGCTTCGTGTTCAATAATTATTAATTAAATAAAGCCTGTACAATCAAGGCAAGGTTAAACAAAAGGTACGGCAGAGCTTCTTTGCATCCGAGATGGCATATTCTTATTTCGTAATTGAAATTAAAAATTTTTTGCAACGCTTTTTCCGTGTTCCGTTGAGTTAATTGGGTAAAAAACGAAACAGCAAAGTTTTGCGACTGATGGTCACTTACCCAATTGTCGAGCTTAATTCGTCTGTACTTCCAAGCGCCTCGAATATCAAATCGGTCTTAGAGCGTCTTTCGCCGGTAAACGTGGCGCTCGTTCCTGTTTATGGAGAAAACAGCAGTAATAGTACGCGTGTACAGTAGTACACCGAAATTTACGGTGTTACCTTTATCGCCCGTTTTCGTGTAGATACGAAACTTGGGAATCGTTTTCGCTGATGAGTCGTCGCTGATTGATAGCCGCCACTTGCCATTTTGCTTCGGCACTCTAAACCAATATCAAGCCAACTAGAACAAAATCCCATGCTCAAGTACCACAATAATATTTTTGATGTAGAATACGAACGAAACAGAAATCCTTACGCCAAGAGTCTTGCTCTGCAAATCTGACTTAACAATACGCGCTGGCTCTGGATTATCGATGTCATGTCCGCAGAAAATGATTACGGTACTCAGAGTACTATTTCAAACATGCAGCTGCGAAAACTCCGTACCCGTACACCAGAAAAAGTCAATGAAGTCCAGTAAGTATTTTGACTCTACTGCGAGCATTAAGCACTAAAATTCTACCTCCAACAAAGACTCATGCACGAGTCTCGTCTTTCAAAATCAGAACAATAAGAGCCGAGACGGAGAGGAACTCCAAAATCCAAATGATCTGATTTTGTATTTTGCATTCTGCAATGTTGTTATTTTTGCATGCAAAAAATAATGCAAGATAACATACGTTTCCAGGTGGTCACAGTAAAGAAGCCTGTTCGATACGCGTCCACACATAGGAGGCGGTCAGCTGATTTTGAGTAGCGCGTTAGGGCTTCTGCAATCAGCTGTTCCACACCTCTCCCTTTTTTTGAAAAAGCTTTGTGGGAAAGTTTTGATTCGTTCTGGTCTTATATTAAACCGACATTTTCGGTGCTTTTGCTCTCGTACTGCACCACTTTGTTGTGGATTTCATTTTATTTGTGATCCAGATCAAGATGCATAATTCTGGGTAGGTCGGGGGTCCAGATTTCTAAAGAGATGTGTGCGGTTTCCAGTTTTTGCCTGCTTGCAGTTTGCTGCATCAAGCAAGTTTCCAAGTTGCATGCGGCTTTTGTAAATGATCTGTTTTTAACTGGAATTGTAGGTGCTCGTTATATTTGCAGGAAGTTAGCTGGTAAAACCGTATTTATCACCGGCGCATCGCGTGGAATTGGGAAAGCGATTGCATTAAGAGGTAAACCTGTGCACGATGTTTCGTGCAATGTTGGCTGCCATATTAGTCTGCTCATTGAAGCTATTGATCCGTCGGAAAGCAAACTTATTTTGAATTTTGAGTGCCTGCTTTTGTAGCCGCCAAGGATAAAGCTAATGTGGTCATTGCTGCGAAGTCTGCCACACCAAATCCTAAACTCGAAGGAACCATCTTTTCTGCTGCGGAAGAGGGTAAAATAATGGGAACATTTCGTTTTACGATTTATTGGAGGGAGTTTAAATTAAACGTTTCCTTTATCTGACAATTTTCTTCACAGTGGAAGCTGCTGGTGGAAGGTGTCTTCCTCTTCAAGTTGATGTTCGCGAGGAAGCTCAAGTAAGCGATAACAACGGAAGCGATGGAACTTGCTGTTTGACGCAGACTGAACCTGTCATTTTTTGTAGGTTCAATCGGCGGTCGAAGAAGCGGTAAAGAAATTTGGCGGAATAGACATAGTAAGTGCGCCTTCTTCTACATACTGATACGACCGAAGAAATACTTTTTCGCAGAATGCAAAGACATTTAAATTTAATAATTCAACATCATTAAATTCAAGAGTCTGCACAAAACCATAAACGATTTGTGTGTTACGGTACTGTATGTGCAGTGTAAACTTACTATAATACCGTCCAGTTTGCTAAATATTTTACGATGTGTATAATAGATATCGTAACCTTGGATTTACTGAATTCTTTCAGCTCGTGAACAATGCCAGCGCTATTTCTCTCACGAGTACTCTGGATACACCGATGAAGCGATTCGATCTGATGCAGCAGATCAATGCTCGTGGGACGTTTCTAACGTGCGGTTAGCGGTTTTCATGCGCCGTTTTGTTGTAACTACTACAACAGTTGTTTCTGCAGATCCAAACTGTGCATTCCGTATTTGAAGAAGAGGTACTAAATACATTTGTCTCCGCCATAGCTTCTTCGTCCAGGCTCAAATGTTCTCAATTTCCTTCTGCAACTTGTTTACAGTAAAAATCCTCACATTCTGAACCTGAGTCCACCCTTGAGTCTGCGACCAGTCTGGTTTGGAAACCATGTCGCATACACAATGGCCAAGTACGGAATGTCCATGTGTGTCATAGGTAAGATGGAAACACGTCAGAATAATAATGCTCGTTAACGGTTTGATGGTTTTGTTGTCGGGCAGGTATGGCGGAAGAGTTTAAGGATGATGGCATTGCGGTTAATGGATTGTGGCCTCGTACCGGTAATGAATGGTTAACTGCATTTTAACTTTATGTCACATTTTGCATTTTGTGGTGGCATGGTAGCGTTCTGTATGAAGGTATCATTAGTATTTCTACTCGAAATTTATAATTGTAGATTGTTTCTGAGAAATGGTGGAACAATAACGAAACGAAAAACCTTGACAAATTAATCTATCTGGCTGCTTTTTATCTTTTAGCCATTTGGACTGCCGCGATGAATATGCTGGGTGGAGACGAAGCCGCAAAGAGCTGCCGGAAGCCAGAAATTTGTGCAGGTAAACCCGTACATGATATTGATATCTAAATAGTATGGGAGGATGAAAAACAATTTTTACCACAAATTCACAATTACAGGTTCTTGTCGTGACTCTTGTGAGTGAAAGTGGAAACTTCAGTTAACGTTAGTTTCTGTTTCGCAGATGCATTTTACGCTGTCGTTACGAGAAACAGCCGAGAGTACACTGGTCACATTGTGCTGGATGAACATATACTGCGTGAGAGTGGTGTTTCCAATTTCGATGGATATGCTATGGAAAAAGGAGATCGTTTACTTCTGGACGGATTTATCGATGATGATATTGGAAAGGATGTCTTACCGGCGCACAGCGGCATTCGAAACAGAAGTGGCAGAAGCGCTGAAAATTCTGGAAATGTCGAAAAGAGTGCCACCGAAACGGATTCGGTTGCTGTCGTGTTTTCGGAGGTCGAAATGGTTTTGAAGGCGCAGCCTGATGTTAAACTCGACGGTGTTTATGTATTTGACATCGATGGTAAGAGAAGCGCGAATCGCTTTGCGGGCTTACAAACAGGCGGTTATAACGGCATCCTTTAGTTTCCATCAGCCTAGCTTCGTGGATATGGTTTTTAAATTTGAAATTGCTTTAGGCGAGAAATGGTTTTTGGATGGTAAGAAGCGTACCGTGAGTCAAGAGAATGTGCAGGCTGATCCTTTGTGTACAATGATTATGAAAAAGGACACCTTTATGGCCGTATTTACGGGCCGAAGTGACGCAACAATGGCGGTGATGTCGGGGAAGATCAAGGTGAAAGGAAACCTAGCAGCAGCCATGAAATTGGACAAACTATTTTCCAAATTCCTTGAGCGCACAAAATAACGCAACTGGCTTGATCACATTGAAAAACTTTGCATTTAACTCCTGATTATTTTCCGTGGTTTATGTATTTAGATTGCTCTCTTGCTTCGCACGAGCACAACAGCACAATCATAGATTAAACTTTGATAACTGGTACTATCTTGGTGATGTTCTAGACGACGTTTTTTGTTTGTCTTCCACGTTTAGTTTGTCATTCAAACGTGTTTTCGGTATTGTTGGCTTTTATCGGTCGTTTCATGGGGTTTATAAAAATTAACTATGATTTGCTATGTGGTGCGATGAAGGCAAGCCAGAACTCGTTTTATCGGCTTTTTCAAACGACTTATAAATTTATTAATAATTTCAGTGAAAACATTTCAGGTACATTTCTAGAACAAAACAGTTTGGTCCTTATCTAATAGGTTGTGAAATTCAGAATCATGCGGTTGCCTATTTAACATGGGAGAAATCTCAGGTGTAATCGCCAGACTTTCCCCAAAATCGGGATTTCTGACGATAATCTGAATGTCAATACTGCCTAAATTTCCGGCGTTGTCTTTAATGCTCGCCCTGTATTCATACGCTCCCGGTTGCAGCGTCATACGCGTCTGTAAAGTGCCGACACCCTCTCCGATGATTTCGAAGTTACTGCAACGAAAGGAATATGAATCCGCAAAATGAAGTACTTCTAAACGCAGAATAATTCGGCGCAATGTATTGAACAAAACATATGCAAAACAGATAAGGCAATAATACACTATTATAGCACTAAAATATAAATATGCAGTGCTGCGCATAGCAAAGGAAAACACAATGCCAACTTCTTCGGTTAAAATGACTACATTACCTGTTGCTTCCAGGCAACCACCGATAAATGCCGGATCCCCCCGTCACACTGTACTCGCCCAGTATTGTCCCGGATGGCAGCGAGGCCGGTAGTGTACCTTCGTACGGAGCATCAACGGTAATGACTGTAGCGCCCTGAATAGCCAACCCCGATTTCGACGATTGTCGAATAATGCCAAAATGATTAACCACGGGAAAGTGGGATAGCTGCAGAGATTTCTTTAAATTATTCGGTGTCTGATCGTTGTGCAAACAGACTGGCAACGATGCCGGTGGTCCCGGTTGACCCGGTGCGCGAACGTTGTTAACAATCTAACAAATAAGCAATATTCAAACGGGTATAACTGTCTTCTGTTTCGAAGCAATTAAAATAATATCAATGTCCAAGCGAAAGATAAATGTTTTGAATTTATACATTTATGCTAGTTGCGGAAGATCGTCCCATTGCGTCGGTAGCGGTGACCTGCAGATTTCTAACACCGTCCACCGGCATCAGTGCAAACACGCGTCCATCCAAATCAATATCGAATTCAGGACCAGCCGGCGTTAGGGAATAGACAATTCGTGATCCGTCTGAGCTTGACGCCTGCAAAGTACATATTTTTGACTCCTTTATTAACAATTAATCTTGGTACGTAATCGTACATTACCTGAATCTGGCCAATCATTGTCCGTGGTGGCGCAAATGGGGGAAGGGAGAACCGGAAGTTCGGCTGGGCGAATCGCGGTCCACCCATGTTACCGAAGGAAAACGGATTGACATCTGGAACCGCTGGCAGATCGGGATTGATGATCGGATTGGCGTTGAAGTTGTTGTTGATGCGGGTCTGCAGCGGGCAGGAGGGGGAAATGGTGATTTCCAGTTTCATGATGGCCGTGCGACCGCTTAAGTCGCGGGCAGCCACGTCGACGTTGTACGTGCCCAATCCGAGAGCAACGCGGCTGCGAATCTCGCCGGTAACCGCGTTTACGTCAAAGACGTCCGTCCCGCCAGTGCTCCATATAAAATAGCTGACTCTGTCAACTGGATCGGGGTCAACTGCCTACATACAGAGAAAAGAAGATTATTGTAAAGTCATGGAATCACAATTTAAATTTATATAACATCCAAACGCACGCGGTATTTGCAACGTGGCACTATAGCTAATATTATATAGCGGTACAACTACCATCTATAAAACTATAGCCATAGAAAAACACATTCAAAGGTGAACGTTCACTCAGGGACTACATCCATGAATAGCACTGATACTAGTAAAAACATTATCTATATCTATATTCGTACTAGTTGTACTAATAATAAGCACAAGATTGTATTAAGCATGTGATTGTTTGAATTTTTTTAGAGAATTGCCTGAACGATTTAATTAAGTACTGTATATAAATATGTATAATGTATATGCATAGTACATACTTGAACACGTCCAATGAAATTCGTGCTGGGCGGAGCGCACAACGGTGTTAAAAATACTGGCGGAGTTTGGCCGGCGGACGACGGCAGCTGAATGGTTAACTCAGTGAATTGTCCCCCGACGCCGTAGGGTCTAGAGATCGGACCGGGTAGGAAACGGGACGGATCAGAAGGTGGTGGTCCAGCAAACGGTCGCGGCCCGTTCTGCGGCATCTGACCCATTGGGAAATCCGGCCGTCCTCCACCTAATGCAGGAAAGTTATTGTTGGGCAATAAAAAATTCGGAATGGATGGACCAAAAGCGGGGCGATCGGGCGACAAAGGGAGCTGGGGATTGACCATGACAGGAAAGGGATTTACAGGCTGGAACGGGGGAAAATTTCCACCTGATTCGGGCCTTGAAGGAAAGATCATCTGATTGGGCGGAAGGAAGATCTGATTCTGGCCCAGCATCGCCGAGTTTGGGCCGAAATTGTTCAGCTGTTTAGCGGAGAACACCACGGCATTGGGATCTTCCGGATCCTGTCCGGCCTCAATGGTGATGCCCTTCTGGTTCGGTTGACCTTTCTCGGACGCCGAAATGTCGTCCTGGTGGAATTTCTCCAAGTCACTGAATCCATCCATTAAGCGGTTATCAGGCACCGAATTATTGATGAACGGTACTTTGACGATCAGATCAAACTGGCCGGATCCCGGGATAAAGGACGCTGTATTGGGGAACACCGGGCGTAGCAGACCGGGATCGCGATTGTTCATGGGCATCATGGCATCCGGTTGATCCATGGCCAGTTGCCGGTTGGGAAGCCGCGGTCCAAAGGGGCCGTTGAGAAAACCGGGGTTGTTCAACGCGCCCATGGGAATGTTGGGATTGGTCAGTGGTCCCGTTGCTATTAGATTTCCGTTTGCATTAGGTTCAGCACCCGGTGGGAAGTTACCATTGGGGAAAGGTGCGCTGTTGCCCGGAAATACACCGGGATTGCCGGGGAGCGGACCACCGTTCATATTAAAAGGATTGTCCACATTTCCGGTGTTTGGTGGCGGTATGTTCGGATTTATGTTAAAATTGCTAACAGCGGACGGGTTGCGGTCTGCGCCCAAAGGCGGAGGAAACGCCGGGCTGCGCGAATCAAAGAATGGCGGTGTGCCGGGTCGATTTATGGGTGGGAAGGGACCGGTGGGAAAGCGGCTGCGGTCGATCTGGTCGAACTGGTCAGGGTCCAGGGGAGCGGCGCCAAAATTAGGCGAGCACCTGCCGATGATGTTGACGGTGGTCTGACCCTGACTGCCTCGGGGATCGGTGGCGATAACGGTGATGGTGCGCTGGAAGTTCAGACCGAACAGCGCTGGAGTGGCAATACGGATGCCTCCGCTGGGATCGATGATGAATTCTTGAGGAGCACTGGACTGAAACGATACTCCGAAGGGACTTCCCAAAATCTGCGTAAACAGGTGACATTTATGTCAGTTACTTTAGTGACAGTAATATATACCTATTACATAAACTGTGAAGTGAAGTATACAAGGTCTTTTAAGCTGTTTACTTCGCTTGCTTTAGAAACCATTTTTATTCACTCTACAATTAATTTTCATAGCAATTTGTATTTTTATAATAATATTCTGCAGTACTTGGCTGCTTACTGAACAGAGTGTATGCACTGTGCTTTACGCGGTTGCCCAGTATCCTCATTTTTGTGATCTCGTGCTTACCATCACATTTCCCACTGCTGTACCGATGGCGCAGTTTGTCGTTACGAATTGGTAACTTCCCTGGGAAAATTGGAGTGGCGTCGGAAACGTCGCGCTGCGGCACTGGAAGTTAACAATTACCAGGGTCGTGCTAGACAACGCCGCCAAATCGATGGCGCGAACGGTGACCTGCCGGATCTGCTGGACAGTGGGCGGGATGCTGCCCACGCGCAGTATCCCGGTACCGGCATCAATGACGACCTCACTGGTTGGATTATCGATGGCGTACTGCACCCGGTCGCCGGCATCTGGGTCCAGCGCCTCGACGCGGCCGATTACCGTGCCAGGAATACAGCTGGTCACGGGGAAATTCAGGTTTTGACTAATAAAGAACGGCGGGTTCCGCCCACCTAAGGGAGCGGGCGTGGGGTTGGCTTGGAATACCGTCGGCACAACGTTGACCCGAATAACTGTTTCGCAATACTAAAAACCCCAGCAGCTGGTTTCACTATTATCGATCGTCAAATTTTTAATTACTTCTACGGTATTATTATTATTATTTATGTCAAAACATGCATTCAATACGATACTGAACGTATTTTTGTTGACGTTTGCTGTGCACTGCGGCCCGCGGGTAAGCATCGCTAATAACAGACTATCTATTGATACCGTAATTACCAAACCATATATAGATATAGGTATCCATACAGCAACGTAATTTCTTATTAATTTCTTTCTTAGTGCGTGGTTAATACTGACCGCTCCGTTAGGAATGGCGCCACGAACACGAAACTCCAGCGCAGAACGAGTTTGCGGTATGACGCTACCCTTTTTAAACTGCCGACCCGGCCTTGTTGACAATGGTGCCGGTCCGGTGAAAATTTCTCCACTGCCAGCATCCACCCGAAATCGATCAAACACCACGTCCGGGATTGTGTACACAATGGGTACGCCCACCTCGTACGTGGCGGTCACTTTTGTTATGAGGACACTTGGTGGTGTGTCGGCGGGAACAGCAACGGTCAGGAATGGGTCAGCACAGCGCGGACCTAAGGGAAATGTCCCTAGTGCTGGATTACCTCCTAACGGTGTCCCCGCGAAGTTTTGTGTGGTGAACTGACGTTTCGAGCCATTCTTCTGCAGATATGCACCCAGTGATAACTGGCAAATACATTGAAGCAAAACTTCACTGAAGCTTTAAAAACATTAACCAACGCTTAAGTCAAAAATTCTTATAATTTAATTTTTTGTTATCTATGTGTTATCGATTTGAATAGGCGCAGACTTATAAATGCATGACGCATCGGTGGCATTTTGTAACAAATTTATTTTCGTACCCTGTCCAAGTCCACATCAAAATCATCCAATAATATCCGACTGTTATTTGGAGATAAGAGATTAGCGAAACCCATCGGTGGGAATGTTGTGGTGGTCAGTGCCGGCGGCAAAGTGAATAGGACGGTTGTCCTAACCGTTGTCGGTGTTGTTGTCGCTGAGGTGGTTGTCGTTGTCGGTGTAGTGCGGATGGTCGTGCTGGGTGTTGTGGTCACCGGTAACCGAGTGGTGGTTGTTGCGCGCGTTGAAACAGTCGTGGCAAAGGTCATGATAGCATTGTTCTCCATGCTGTGGTTCCGTGTAAACGAGTCAAAAAGGGACGCGTTGGCCCCGATCCGGATGTTTATTAATACCGTGCAAATCTGAGCAAAGTATATCTTTCAATGCGAAAGAAAACTGTATTCGTCTAAGCAGTCGCACTTACCATATTTCCGTTAATACTCGCTAATCGTAAAGGGTAATCGCCAATATCCACGTCAAAAATCTGATATGCCGTGCGCAAAATTCCCCTACGGCGTCAAATTGTATATCTTAAAAATATCCAAATAGGTCGAAGACTTAAAAGTGCAAATGAATCTGTAGCGACGTCGTTAAGACTGACAATAAGAGCTACCAAAATTAAAAAAAAGGTCAATACCATAGATACCATTACGTACTCTTTATCCATTTTGAACAGTCCTTTTTCATTGCCGCTTATTATCCTAAACGGTTCCCATCCAGGACCACCATCAAACTAAAAAATCAAAAGATTTCGGTGTGGACCATGGTGACATTTCGGATAAAATGAAAGAAGGAAGTCCTCGAAGATACGCAATTACACATACGTCAACGAGTCGTCCCACTTCGTGATTTTCTTTGGCACTTAATGGCACGAATGCGAATTTACTGAAGGCATCTCCACATGTCTCCATCATAACTGCTGGAGTTGGTTGAGTTGTGAGGTTAAAGACATTTGTCTAAACATTGACCAAAATATATTACTCGCCCAGAAAGTACGAGCTAACTTCGGATAACAAAAGTAGAGTTACATAGTTTAATTAAAAATTAGCACACGGCACAGGTAGGCTGCGTTCAACCGTTCATCGGATTTGCGTAACTCACAAGTCAGGCTGACGAGGTAACTCACCATTCCGAACTGAGAAAATTGTGCGGACATTGGCGACAACTTTGTCGCCCAACATAATAAAATATAGATAAAATATCGGTGCATATTGTAGTAGTTGATAAGGAGATCACCAAAAACAGGAGGAGTAATTTCCGATTAATTATGAAGTGCCAGGTACATGTGTGACCTCACACTTAGTAGTTCCATTACCATAACAAAATGTTTATTACTAACAGTAAGTGCTTGACGGCACGGCCGTTACTCGATCTGCGCACCAGATACAAAGAAAATGAGCAAAAAAACTTTTGCTTGAGTACAGTTCAAAGCTGTTATATTTAGCAATATGTCTAAACCCGATAATCGACCAGTTAGGACAAGCGTCGCGTTAGGATAGGCTTTGTCATTCATCAAACACTGGATACATTTGTGAACCCCACCATTCCTATGGCTGCGACACAAACCAGTATAAAAAACAATACCATCTCTACGATGTGGTTATAATTCGCGCTCCAAGTGTAAAGTTGATCGTCCTAATCGACAGTCAATAAAAGTCTTGTGCACTGCAACGACAATCTATCCGGAGTAATTCTTTATTGTCTGATAAGCCGCTATTTTTTCCATCTATTTAGCAAGACTAGGCGTGTAACAACACTGTGCAAATCTATCAATCACAAACGACATCAAATGTGAAACATTCACCAGCAAACAAATTCAGCTTTCAACCGACAAATGCATACGCAATGAGCAGAATAAGAATACTGTACTGAATAGATGTGTGTAAACCGGCAATATACAGCAAACACGATAAAACACATACAGTCACAATAACAGGCACCGTCATCAACTCACTGGAAGATTCTGTGATTATGGAGATCCATTCAGTTTCCCACCAGATTCAGTTTGTTTGATTTTCGGAGGTATATGAGATAAGATGTACATCAAATCTTTGTCTTTCATCCGTTCTGCTTCCGAATACGGCGTGAAACCGCAGCGGTCTTTCTGACTAATGCTGCTTTCGCAAACACCAACGAGAAACTTTACACACGAAACACTTCTATGACGAACCGCAGTAAGGAGTGCAGTACATCCATTGTAATCTGCAATATCATTATTAAGAATTCCATCCTGGGAAATGTTAATGTTTAGAACAAATTATGCTTAAATATCTCAGAATAATTATTTCAGCGGTTAATCTGAAAACTACCTTCCTGATCCAAATTCGCGCCGGCAAAATAAAAACTCCTTAAACGATCCACTTCGTCTTTAGCGGCCGTGTAGCAAAGCTCCGATGCAATTTTGGTAGGACTTTGTTTCAAATGTGCACCGGCTGCTCGGAGAATTCGAATAATTTCAAAACGGTCGAAGCGTACGGCATTATCCAATGCAGTGTAACCCCTGTGATAATAAAAAAAAACAATATGACGCGGTACTCACAACTACTTAAATAAAGCAGAAACCGAAAAGAACATCATTTCCATATGCAGGTAGATTTCAGACTTACCACTGATCCTCTGCAAAAATGTTCGCTCCGTTATCAATCAGAAACTTAACCACATCCACAAGACCATTAGTTGCGGCGATATGAAGCGCTGTGTTCCCGTCGTAGTCGCCCACTCGCAAATTGGCCCCTGCCGATTTCAGACTTTCCAAGGTAGCGATCGATCCGCTTCTAGTGGCATTACAGATCAATGAGGGATACAACACCCGACGCAGCGCCGCCATTTCTTCCGATGAGGATACCTGCATCACTTGGGCCACTGCTTCAATTAAATCAGCATCGATGATGGACAACTGCCGTGACTGTTTCACAGTTAGTTCTCCACGCAGATTTTGCAGAATCATGGCTCGCTTTTGCTGGTAATCCCATTCTGTTTTTCCCAAGACGTAACTGAGTTTAGCCAACGCCGCTTCCGGTGTCATATCGTGTCCCGGGATGATCCCGCATTCCAGTAGCGCTTGACCCGTTTCGTACGACGGGTTGACCACGCCGCGACTGCATTGGCTGATGTTGATAATCAACACACCGCGATCGGTGGCTTCACGGAAAGCGTCTAAAATATCTTTTCGTTTTTGAGGACCATTGCCCGCCCCATACGTCTGAAGTACCACTCCTACAAACGCAAAGAACAAACCTTCAAAACGATAAAAGGCTGATAATCATGCCGCAACGTAACACATACTAAGATTCCAGAGATTAATAAGTATTAATTATAGTATACCAAACACGGCTAACTAGAAGCAGTGATTAAAGCAGTAGTTTACATGAAAGTACTCTTTCTAAAAAAGCGTAACGAACAATAATGCCAAGAAAATTATTAAGAACATTCTAACTAATTGTGTTCATTTAATGCATTTTAGTTAAAAGCTCATGATTTTTCAAGCAAAATCATAATACCAAGCGTGATTGATTGGTATTATGGCAAAGCCAACTACATAATAGTTATTATGCATTTATTACACATATGCCACTAGTTTATCTCGTTAATATGTCCCTGGGCGTAATCAATTAACGCAGTAGATCCCTTAATATAAAAGCAGATGTCTCTTCCATTATTTGCAACCAACAGATAACACCAGCCTTGTGACAACCATTTCTCACTCAGCGGGACTTTATTGTGTTGTAATTATATAGTCATAACTTAAGAGACTAAGTGCTTACCTGCTATGGGGTCTCGAAGAAAATATTTCACAGTGGATGCAGTAATGCTGGGAAAAAGTCGCAAAACGGCCACATTCTGTATCATATTTGTCATGAAAGCAAACTTGTTGAGTTTATGAGGCCGAAATATCGAATCCGTGTCCACATAAATTTTTATTTCGACCGATGCTATTGGCTTCATATTTGGCGAATCGAATGCATCAAATGCGCTGTTATCTACTTTTGTTGATCGATTCCCTCTTAACAACTTATGGTTAAAGTAAATACACACTTCAGGGATCTTGTAACATCCGGCAAGCACCAATGCTCCGATAAAATTGTCACGTCCGTCACTTCGCACTTCAAAAATCGGGATCTGTGATCCCGTTAAGATAACGGGCTTTCCCAGATTTTCCAGCATGAAAGATAAGGCAGAAGCCGTGTAAGACATTGTATCCGTTCCATGTAATATAACAAACCTATAAAAGAAACGTTAATTATTTTACGTCACGTATCTTAATAAGCAACTCGAATAATTATATTATACACGCAACACATTTATTATAACATATTTAAGCAAATCCAACAAACACAAACTTACAACCAGCAAAATCCAGGGTGCAATAATCAATACTGTCTCACCCCATTTTTATGGTGATTTTTGAAATACAATTAAACACCTAAGGAACTTTACAGCACACCAAATAACACTAGGTAGGGTAGGTTAGCGTCATGCCGCTAACCTAGGGTAGACAGTTGTCAAAATCCAAAGCTAATGCGGTTAATCGAGGCATGAAACAGACATATACATCGACAAAAGACCATGACAAAAAAGCAGAAATCGTATTTATCTGCTTGAAAGTCGAGAAATCAAAGTCGAATTTCCAAAGTCGAGAAATTAATAACGTGACAGGATCGAAGAAATCTACATGTAACTGACAGTAAACAATAATAATGCACTCGTTTTGTCAGTTGAACACGGTAGTTATATATAACCCATCTTCTGAGACAGCTGGCAATCATGATAATTAATAACATGCTGCTTCTTGAAAATCTAAAACTATTCAGAGATTCGAAAATCTGATAAAAAATCGATGAAAAAAAGAGCATAAACAAAAAGTAATGAAATAGTAATGTGTGAATGTGGCTGGCCACATGGAGATCAATCATGTAAATAGCCGAACGTCAATTAATTACGCATCCTAAATGCACGCACATAAAATAATCAAGCTACCCACTCAAAAGAGTCAGAAATGTACCAAAACCACAACTTCTCACCGTATCAAACGTTAGAAAATTAATCAAAAATTAATCATGTTGAGCGACATCCATAATTTAAGAAACATTTTAATTTACGTATTTCACGAAAAAAGCAAATGCATTGCAAATCTCTCTCTGTGCAAAAGAAGAGTACAGTCTGGCGTCAAGCCAATTATGGCAATCCGAATACCAGTAAATACATAAATTGCATAGAATGCCTTACCCATCAAAAGCTTCATATTGGTCGTAAATATCTTTCGCAATGTTGCTCCATTCCTCCGCTGTCATGTTAGAGGAATCCAGCAGAGGATCGTACTCTTTTACGTAGTACAGAATGGTCTTCGGTTCATGACAGTCAGGCAAGACGAGCGGCTGCAGATCCACATCGGGAGTGAAGACCGTAGCGTATGAGCTGTCGTGCAGATGCGGATACCTGTAGAAAAAATAGACTTAAGTAATTCTTTTTTCTTCTTTCCGATGGCTCCCGAATTAAATTACAGGTTTCATTGACAATTAGCCAGAACAGCGGCGGTAAACTTTGACTAGGTAATAAATTTCTGATTTAAATTCTAAAAACAACAGAGCTTCTACGCTTTTTCTGGTTTAAGGAAATTACTGTAAATTGTAAAGATGACAACAGATCATATCATCATAACTTTAAAAGCTTACTAAAAAACTGTAAGTCAGCAGCAAGCGCTACATTCCTGCAATAACAAAAGTCTGGGGAGAGAATAAGTGTAGACATTCCGTATTGAACACCAATGCGCTGATACAGCGATAATGTAAATCATAAGTGATAAACGACAGTACGCCAAAAACCTTCGAAACTGGTGCAAACCTTTTGATAGCATCCACTAAGAAATTGGGTTCGGGACAATATGCACCATTTTTCCAGCACATGCCTATAGTTCCTCCAGTATAAAGGACCAGAACTCTAGCATGCTTCTGGGGATCGTACTCCAGCGAATTGAATATGCTGATTTGTTCTTCCAACATACTTGGGTGCCGCTTCCGCTCGGGTTTACCAACAACCTCCGTAGTCTGAGTCTCCTTATGCAGCTCCGCATTGCTGGTCTCCTTATCCATTTTTTAGAACGAGATATGCCGACTTGAGGAATTAAATATCCTGTACTTTGGAAGTATCGCTGATAACTGCGACTGTTGGTGCGCGGCTGCGCTGATCGTCGCTGGAGATTTTGGTGAATTCCGAATCAAGAATGGTTTTCAAGACGTTGCTCCTTACAGTCCCGGATGCTCGACATACAACGTGGTGCTACCAAATCGCTAACAATAAGCTGAAACTTTTTCCACAGCTTTAGCAATCAAATAAAATGAAGTCGTCTTTCAGCGCGGCAATCTTCTGCAGTAAAACTGGCACTTAATTTGCAAGTTCAGACAATGAAATATACGCGCACAAAAGTTTTCTCCTGCTACAAGTTTTTACACTGAATTCTGTTATGCACTTATTGCACTGTACCGTTGTACGTCATCAGAAAAGGCGGTCTTGTCACTGTGTTGATGCGTAACTTTCAGTATCACCGTGACCGGATGCAGGATGCTCTGCCTTGCATTCCTCGATGTTATCCCTGTACTTTAAGCCCTCATTCATTTTTTCATTACAGTAAACTTTCATTATTCATCCGATGTAAATTAAACTTATAAAATTTGTTTACAAATGAATTCATAATTATTTTAGGAAAATGCCTTACGTTTTGCAAATAAAGGAATAGCGGACATTCAGCCAGCTGCAGTTGCAGTTGCGACCTTGTTAGCTAAAAACACCAACAATTAACAAATCTCAAAAGACTGCGATAATGCCGCCACACAAGCGTAAAATGCAAAATTTGTTAAAGAACTACATTAAGTCATGGGGACTTGTTAATTATAAAACTTGTTAATTATAAACTATTTGTATATACGGAGTATACAGGCTTGTCACTGGTACAAATACTAGTCCCGATTCTCATTTACCAGTTTTATCCTTATTTATACACAGTACGAATACTGTACACCAAATTTTATCATCCTCCATCGGGATCGGATTGACTAAAGTGATCTACCACATTGGCTTTGGGACTTTGGAAGGTTGGACGTCGACACTGCATTTCCCAGTATTGGTTTTGGTAGCCGTCTTGAGTAACAGTAGTTCTTCCGGTCACGGTCAACACCGACATCGCGTTGTCGAATCTGTTAGACCGGAAATGACTAGTTCGCTGGCCGAATTTGACCTTGTGGGTAAATATTGCGTAAGCACTATCTTGCCATTTCTAGAAGTGCTATGTGAAACTGTTATGCTAGGGCCACACTTCAAGTGCGAAGGCCTTCACACAGTGCGAAGACGAAAAGTGCTAATAAGTGTGAGCGCAAAATGTTCTAAGGGATCCTTCGCATCGAACAAAAAGTATGAGCGCCTTTCGCACTTTTTTCTTAAAACGAGTGCGAAGAGCGTCTTCGCACCATTTTTGGTGGGAGGGGATTTTCTTCCTCCTTCGCACAAGTGCGAAGGAATTGACCAATACCGAGCATCCGGATGTGGTTGTGATTATTTCAAAAACAGACATTGATTGTATTTGTGCAATTAGTTATTACGTAGCATCAACAATAAAAGGTCATTCCTCTGCCAAAACCATAGTACGGTTTCATCCGGGTGCAATAAAATGCTAATTTATTCCGGATCTGGCAAGCTACCATTTGCACAGATAGAAAAGCAACTTCGTGTAGTACCAGCCTTGTAGGATCTTGTAGGATGATTGGGATTTTAATTAGTTTCAGTACCTCGTAACGCAAAATATTTTTGCTGTATACTTCGTTTCCGGTGTGTACTCCATAGGTGAGCGAAAAATTCTCCAGCGAGCGGCGAGAATGCCAAAAGCATTTTCAACAATTCGGCGGGCTCGACTTAAACGATAATTAAAAATCACTTGATTATCGGACAAATTATAGCCCCCGAATGGCTTCATCAAATTTGTTTTCAGAGGAAATGCAGCATCAGCCACGAAAACATATGGCACTGTTTTCGTGCTGCCTGGTACAGCGCGAGGGGCGGGCAGTTTTATTGTGCCATTCGAAATTGCCTTTCCGACTGACCACGTAGCGAACGTCCCGCCGTCGCTTTGTCGTCCCTTTCCGCCCACATCCACAGCCGCAAACCGGTAGTTAGCATCCACAACTGCCATCATTACAATCGAGTAGGTTTTTTTGTAGTTGTAGTAGGACGATCCAGATTTTGCCGGGCACTGAATAAAATAATTCGATATATAATTCGGAAAGTTAGTAAGTACGTAAATAAGTATGTCATAGTGTCTGTATACGTGTATATGTTTAAGTATGTCTGTATTTCTATACATGTGTCTGTATTTCTATATGTATGCTTTTTAATGGACAGAATAAAATGATTTGTGAACAGCACTTATTACTTATAATAGGGCAGTTAATATCACCTTGATTTGCACATGCTTCCCGTCGATAGCGCCGCAGCAATTTGGAAAATTCCACCGTCGTTCGAAATCCTCAGCGCTTTTTGCCCATGTTTTTAGCGTAGGTGCCGGCACGTGTTCCTTACGCAAAAGATCCCAAATGAGTTCCAAAGTTTCTTTAAAAATTTTGTTGACGGTGCTTTTTCCTAGTCGATATCGAATTGCGATATCGTGCTGAGAACAACCGCTAGCCAAAATCCTGTAAACAAAATTATCTACCTGTAGACAAAATTATCTACCTGTAGATAATTTTATGCAATATTTGTACAAAAAGCTACACGTATATCTATATATACAACTTTGACGTACAGTAGATGTTGACAGGTTACAGTGAAACAAGGTTAATTTTACGTAAATGCATAAAATTATGTATGTGTACCGTACCTTATCGTTAGCGCAAGCCGTTCTTCAGGACTAATAGGATATTTGTGAGTTTGACAGCGAGCCAGTCCATGTTTTAATTTGTTGAAAAGGATGTCAAATGTCGAGCGGGACATGCGGAAGTAATTGAAATGCCGCTGAGGATCGTGTTGACGGAGATCTTTTATCAGAATGGCAAACTCTCCATTTATGCCCCGATTAATATTAATGTCTCGCACATGAAATTTTCGTGAGGATTTTTTGGCGAAATGGCGCGAGATCAAAACGCTAGACAGCAGAATGGTCAACAACAAACGTTTTTTTGGCAGAATGTTTGGACGCATTTTTCCGGGGAAGAATTCAGTTCGGAGTGAGAATATTATTACGGGTTATCTTATTATCCTAACAATATTCAAGATTTTGGCCGGTTATAAATTTACTGCAAAATGCTGTGGCTCTCGACCTGAATCCCGTAAATTCTGCGCTCATGGCCTGCTCAAGGCGGAGCTAGTCTCAATTTATTTTAAAAGTTCGATGAAGTGTGAGTGCTCACATTTTAAGCAAATTTTGTTCGAACTTTTCTTCGGTTCGCACCTCGCACTTTTGGTGCGAAGAAAAGCTTCGAACTGTGCGAAGGAAAAAGTTCGATGAAATTTGCATCGCACTTGAAGTGTGGCCCTAGCATTACAGTGTTATGGGAAACTGTTCTTGTGACCAAATGCAGTTTCCAACCGGACATAGTTCGGGTATAGTCAGAGGACGTTATCGATTACAGAACAAGTTTAGTGTATTCAGTGTATTGTAGCAATAGTTTTGCAAAATATATCTGTACTTGTCGAAATTTACAACCAAAACGTTTTAATCAACCCGTAAATTTAATATGAGCGTACAGAAGCGATACATTCAATCTGCCTATGTACTTATGTTTCGCACTTACTGTGCCGCATGCTTGCAGCTTAATTTACGTTAGCAGCTTTAATTCACATTGTCAGTGCAGCGAACGGAGAGATTAGAACAAAATCATTTAATTAATTGCAAGTACTGATCTCTTTTGTTGTCTTGCATTCCTTGCACTCCACCTTGCAGCAGTAGATGAACTTGCAGTAGCATCTTTCAATTTTCCGAACGACTAGAATAAAAAATTTTGCTTCAGATAATCTGATCCTTATCTGTACACGATCAAGAACTCTCAGCCAACTTAATCTAAACGCTTGCTGGTTAACAATGTACTCGTAGAAAAGACTCTACGCTTCTCAAACCGTATTCTTACGTCCGAAACCTGTAAATGCTCAATAAATTAATTTTATTGTACCTGTAAATGCTCAATAAATAAGTTGTACTGCAAATGCGCATCAGGTCATCACTAACTGTAGCCTACTTGCTACACCCAAAATTTTATGGAAATTATTAGAAACGAAACTATTATTATTTTATCGTAAAACAGCAAGTATCTGCGTAAATTAGCAAGCCGTAAATTTAGGACCGTACATTTACAGTAAGTATCTTTGTTACAATACTCATTTCTGCTTAACCGGTCACCTTTGTATTACCTACCTTGGGTTTGGTGTCCACGATTGCAGCAAACGTAATTGCAACTTCCCGGACCATTAAACGTCGCATTGCAGGTGCGACCCGATGTCCCACGAATTCCTGAATATCAAAGACAACGTTTTTGCCAGGTATGATCCTATCTGACTTCAAAGATAGTAACCAAATAATTAAATTTTATTGTACCTGTAAATGCTCAATAAATAAGTTGTACTGCAAATGCGCATCAGGTCATCACTAACTGTAGCCTACTTTAATTAGGCGGCCTCCATAAATTACGTAACGCATTGGTGACCAAAATTAAGCGTTACGCCTGGGGAGAAGGAAGCCAAAATTGGCGATTTTTGGCGTTACGTAATTTATGGACGTCACTTCAAGTTGCAAGAAAGCAAATCCAGGCACATTTCCAGCTTACCGTTTGCATAATCCAGTTTGCAGTAATTTGGTGACCTTTCAAGATACACCAGGCTATCCAAGGAAATCGGCCCTTTCTTTTTCGCTTTGCCTTTTCTTTTAAGCTTGCCGTTAAACTTTCTGGCAATCGGCACAGCCTTGTCGTACCGCGATTTCATAGCGGTACTAATGTTGCGGAAACTGGACAACTGTTTCCAGCACGTACGCATTTCGCAAGATCCACTGACACCTGTTGCACAAGAACAGTCTTTAACATCTAATTCAGTGCAGCAATAGCCCGGCTAGCGAAAGGACAGAAAACAGTAAAAAAGTAGACAAGTGTAATGCTATACAATACGTCGTATATGTAAATGTTCTGCCATGGCAGAAAGTGCTGTACTTGACTACGGTATGCGTACAAGAAACTTATAGAGAACTGTACGGTACATAAGGTAGTTCTAGCGTTAATTCATGAAGAATCAGAGCTAGCTGAGGCGTGCATTATAATCAGGAAACAGGGGAAGGATCGAATTCAGTTAGTTGTTACTATAAGTACAGCAGGTTCAAAAACAAGGTTCCCCATAACAGCTCTTCTAAATGATCATAATATTGTGTTGAACATACATACGTGCTTCGTACTGCTAGTAATTATTGTAATATTGTTACAGTAATACTTTTTGTTGTAACCGCCCTGCATTACTTCTCCAGCTTAATTTAAACGACTTCCATTAGTTTGGAATTATAGCTTACCGTGACATCGGCACTTTTTTTCTATGAACTGTCGGAATACCTGTAAAAAGCAAGTAGTTTTTGTGCAAGCAAAAAAACTGGTGGAGTGATAATACAATCAGAGACGCAGTTAGTGGATGAACATAGTGCTACATGTTTCGTCCTTTTCTATAAGATTTCCAGCACGTCCAAATTTTTTTCCAGCAAAATAGTCCTAACAGTAAAACTGCCAATTTTATGGTTAGACTGTTAGAGTATAAATACAACATTAATTTTGTAAACAGTGTATTTAACCAGAATTTATTTCTTGAAATACTGAAGAACTGGTCACATTCTTTTGTTTTCCAAAGTCTGATGCAAAGTTTTACAGCAATTTTATTGCAGCTAATTACTGGAAGGAATGAATACCGCTGAGTTAAGTTTCTTCTTTTTCAAGCCATAGGTGCTGAAATCGGTCACAGAGTGTCGAACAAATGGCGTTAACGATCGACATTACCATAAATTTCAGAACGCTCGGAATAAAATGGCATTTCGCTTTTGTGACCCACAGAAAATCTTTACTTCGCTTCAGATAATGCAGAAAGATCATTAAGGGAAATTTGTTGTGTTTAATGCCACATTATAGCTGCGTAGCATGTAGTAAACGGTTTTCCAGCTGGGTTCTGCGCTATTAGCATGTCTCCGCCTTACGCCAACGGGAAATACAACATTCCTAAGGAATGAGAAAGTAAACGAAACATATGTGTACTGTTGGCCGCCCAGGTATATGACCACTGACCAGCGTGACGCGAGTGTGATTGATGAGTTGTTGCGCGCGCGTTTTACGATATTACTATATGTTCTGCTGAATGGAAAATGCGGCTGAGTATTTCTGTCTACCTTTACCGATCCCTTCAAAACTCTACCGCTGAGCTCAATTAAACAGTTATAATGATGCGGAAAACAAATATTTAACTGTATCTACGATCCATAAACTAGAACGGTGTTTTAACAACTAATTATAACTTCCTGTGAAGGCACTAACAGACTGAAACAAATTCAATACCATTTGATAAAGAATCCGAAGTGCCGATGTGATTATATCGGTGTCACGGTGACAGATGCGGCACTGATCACGAGTCAACTCTTTAAGCATCTGTTAAATCTCGCAAACCCGGAGTAGATCTGGGACTAGAGAGGCGTTTACAATCAGTATATGACCGTTCTTTCAAACTTAGTTCCCGTAAAAGTGATTGCAACAGAAATTCTTTGTTACATAATCATAATTGAGACGGAAAGCTGTTTTTATCGGAATATTATAACTATATCTCGACAACATTATTTTTCATGTATTTAATTACTAGCCAGACTTTTTCGAATAGCCTAATTCGAAACGAACGAAACTTTCGTAACGAAAATTTTTTGTACATTTGCTTTAAAATTATAAATGGAAATTATGGAAGCCATAACGCTACAAAACAGCAAAAAATTTTTAGGAGGACCATTGAGTGCAACCTTTCAGAAACCAATGAAAAGGCAGGTCACTCCTTTCATTGTGCAGTGTCCTCTCGATTGTTGTCAGCAATAGTACAAGTCGTCTATTTTCACAGCAACAGTTAAAAAAGCAACGACTGCAATTTTCAGTACTCGTAGTGTGTGCGGTACACAGCGCAGGTGACAGTGCAACCGGCATTATTTTAGTTATCGAACATACCACAGCTCTTGAAATGCTATAACGATGTACGAGTAGTGTGCTCGTATCGGCATAGTAATTATACCATAATAGTTCTGGCACAGTTAAAACTGGGATCTTATTGTTGCTGTTACACTAACGCTACGAGCAGCATTACATTTTATAGTTCATGAATTAACGCCCATTTTAATCTATTTGTAAATGTTGACTTGGCTTACTATTCTTCCCACAGCTTTGTTGTGAAGATGCATGGCATCTTTTACACTTCGTGCATCCTGCCTCTTGACTTCTTCAGGTGCATCATTAAACTGCCGCGCGAAAGCCAACCCATAATCAACATTTTCGCTACATCCTCCCCATTTCCAGGTAGCTTCGGTGCCGGATAAGGACTTGATATGCGAGCGATTATCACATGAACAGTTTCCGATATTTCCAGAACTGCATCCCCGAACGACTGCTTCTACCAGTGAGGCGCTTGAGAGCGCCGTAATAAATGCCGTTTCTTTAGTACCTACAAAATATTCAATTACACAAATTACAGCTTAAGCAATTTTTACAAACAATACATATTTACACTACGCCTACATCGCGCATTATTAGAAATTACATCACACATCAGAAACAAAATTATAAGGTGCGCAGTTAAATAAGTATACTTAAGTACTATGCGCGTAAACGCTTTATGTATGCAAGTTTTTCAGTTTACCTTTGAGCAACTGTTTATGAAAAATATGCTTGTCGCCAGCAATACTGCAGTTCCATATTTCGTTGCGGAACTGATGCTGGCATTCTTGCAGGGTCAGTCTGGCAGCATAACTGATTTGCCTAAAGACTGCAGGACTCCTTTTGCACAGGGACACTTGGTGTTCCACAAGACCGCGGATGGAATCGCACCATTCCTCCGTAGACAATATATTTCTCTCATCCTTGCCGGTGTTCACAGGGATCACTGTAGTGGAGCGAAACGGAAAACGAGGAGGGATAAAGCTATCTTGCTTTGGTAACGAAACCACTCCGGGGTCGTTTCCGGTGTTAAGGCTGCTGCTGATAAGCCCTAAATACCTGTAATTCGAAAAAAATGCTGATCCGCCTTGTTCACACGATTACACCGCACACTATAGCAAATTCTTGATAGTAAACTTCGATAATTATTGCACAAAGGTTTTGTTATTGAAAATTGTCTCTGATTTTTTACAACAACTGTTCACATGATTGTGATGTACAAGTAAGTAAACGGCTCAAATCTCAATTAAACGGTCCAGTTCCATTTGGAGGTGTAAGTGGATTATGAAAGAATTCAGCAAGCAGCTGATTATACTTCTAGATCCTGTCTGTTACTGTCTATAATTACTGTCTTATACAATGTACTTATTGCGTAAAACTCACATCCACGTAGTTAAAGATGCGAAGGAAAAGCGGACACCGTTCAACCACAAAAGGTTATAAAATGGGCGGTATATTGAAGATCCCATTATGCACAGCTTCGACTAAATTCTCATAACTTTATTACTGCGAACAAAAACATTAAAAAACAGCACTCCATCTCAAAACAGGCAGACTTCTTAAAACCCAAGCTACGTGTTCAAAAGACTTTTGCAAAAACTAAAAGTGCACGTCCGGGCCACATGGTTATTACTAACTCAAAACTACAAGTCGCAAGTCGTTCCTTTCCGTGTAAAATGTAAGCACGTAAAGCGCTCTCCCGTACAGGTCATGCATACGCTAAATAATATTATTCATATGCAAGTTAATAGTATGACACGTCCCGTAGAAGCGGACTTGTCCAAATTGATAACACTCCGCTCCCCATTACATTAGCCGACCGGCCAATGGTAGCCGCGGAACGGACGTGGACTGCCATACGTCATCGGTCGACATTGCATGGTTCCCAGGGACAATTACATATGTACCTATTGCCTGGTTGTGATCAGTATTGGAGATATTCCATTTAAGAATTATTGTTATAATAAGCGCGAATATTTTCCACATGTTGATTTATTATTGGTTTTCTGTGTATGACTGGATGAATTATATTTGCCTTCCCATTTTGATATATAACTGTTGCAAATGACGCGATTGCGCTGATCGGTAAATTCTGCATAATGTGCGAGTATCTTGTAATTAATAATTTGCATCAGTGCACACTTGTTTGAATGGCAATAATTAAATAAGGTATTTTGTCAACCTTGTTCTAAGGAAATACAATTTTTTGAATGTAACGAATAAATTTGGGTGGTATGTCAAGTTGCTACTGTGTGCTACTCATGTACAGATATGTTTTCGACTTAAAGTGCGGCATCGTACAGTCGGCTTCTTTTTCTAAGTTTTATTGCAGCACGACTTTATTTGAGGTGTGATAATCCTGTATCGGCAATCGTAACCCGAGTTATCACGAGGATGGGAATAGAGCTATTACTCACTTAAATGGTCATGTATAGAATGGTTGTTTACTTCGCTACAGATGGAATAAAGTCGGCTTCGATTAACCCATTTACGTTCTCTTTCATTTATGAATTATCCACACAAAAGCGAGGTCATGTCTTTTGTTGTGCGATAGTTTATAGCGGTTTGCCTACCACATCGATCTTAAACGATAACGTTTTTCGATCTTTTTCTGGTTTATTGTTAATTAAGCATAACAGCAGGATATGTATATGTACATATTCTACTCCACATCACAACGAAAAACAGGTGTTCTAAAAAGAACTTATTATTCATACTAGTAATGAATTTTTCTATTAACTGTCTTCTGAAAATTCTTACATGACATTGTTTATTTAACAGTCAAAATAAGAGAGCGGTTATTCCGTTTCGGTAGCAATTAAACATACGAGTACAGTGAGTATCGTGTTGTAAAAAATGCAAATTTAATTTTATAAGAAGGAGAGCACAATCAGCACACGCAGTGACGCGTGATAATACAGTGTACATCGTGACCAAACGCTCTACAGGCGGACGTCAGCTGCAGGTGAAATATTGCTACACATATATGTATACTAACTGCAAGTTTAATCTTCAAGGAGGCGTTTTAATTGAAACTAAAATATTTTGGAAGCAACATTTAAATGACGGTAGCCTGTCAAAATTGTAAGATAATTTTAGGCTAACCATAAGCTATCACGACTCAAACTGACTATAAGGCCGTCTAACCAGCAAGTGAAAATCATTGTGCTGTGACCACCGGCCACCCTGCACTCACGGTCAGTATCGATTGTCAAATAGCAGTATCATAGTGTCATTCCAAATTAATTCAAATGAGCATCAGCAAAATCACCGTACAGTACAGTAATACTTTTGTACAACTTTGATGAAAACACCAGAGTTAAGTCAATGTGTTTTTGAGTAATAAGTCAACAAATTTAATATGATTTATTTTCAAACAGCCGAAATAAGAGAGAAATCGTTCAATCAGTAAAAGCGTTCATTTTGTACGGTAGTTTTGAACACGGCTGAAGGCAATCGAAACACAGTAAGTGAAAAAAAGTTTATTACGGCGGTAGATGTCCTTGAGATCAGTTATGCAGTAAAACTTCCTTACTTTTCGGCTTTAAAGAACTTTGTGTACGTGTAACAAAGTGGATGGTCATTAAAATGTAAATTAGCACTCAGCGTACTCTTGCATTCAGGTTGGTAAATAATAAAGACATGCTATCAGTATACATTCAACACACTGCAAGAAGGCACCGGACCAGTGCGATACCGTATCTGGATTTTAGTACTAGTAATACAACGGTAGCGTTGGCATTTGCACGTTGAATGAGTGCTCCGCCAGAAAAATTATATTTTCATTTTGTTTACTTATTTTCTGTGTTGATCATGTCCTTTCTCTTGGTTATAATTTAGCTTAAGAGAGCGCTGTGACGCAAAGAATTATGGAAATATTGATTGAACCTGCATGGTGCATGCATCTTTTTTACATGATATGTACATTTTCATTCGCATTTGCTTTTGCCTTTTGTTATCAGGTTTATTATGGGGAATATTGATGCCGGCTTGCGCAGAATTTGTGGAGTACGATCGTTCCGCTCAGCGTAGTAAGTTAGGCTCAGATGCAAAAGTTTTCTGGTGCGCCTCGTCCCTGGCCGAACTCAAAAAGTGTGCAGACCTACTCAAAGCCATTGATACCTCGGTTTTAAAGGAATTAGAACCGTTGAAATACAAATTCGTCTGCATTCTAAGAACAGGAAAACCAGAATGCGCTTCTGCTATTGAAAATGGTGAGGCAGACATCACGACAATGGAAGCCGGTGAACTATTCTTTGCCGGGAATCTCCAAGGGATTATTCCCATCGCTATTGAAGAATCCGGTGGCAGAAGCAGCAAAGATGCTGTGGTGCTAATTCGGCGGAATACTGTTTCATCCATCGGTGAACTGCGAAACAGATCTCTGTGCAGTCCGAGTGCGACATCTCTAGCCGGCTTCACAATTCCGGTTACCCGTCTAGTGCAGATGATCACATCGGACGAATCCATCTTGGACGTCGTAATGAAAGACTGCAATAGTTTGGTAAAAACGGCAGCGGATTTTTTCGGCCCGAGTTGTGTACCGGACGCTTTATCGCGCTGGATAAATCCCAGAGCTGACAACCCTGTTTCACTGTGTCAACGCTGTTCGGCCGATAATCAGTGCATTAGCGATTTCAGTGGCGGCAATGACGGAGCTCTCAACTGCCTGGTTCACGGTACCGGCGACGTAGCTTTCTTGAGTGCGGATATAGCCCTGAAACTGCCACCACTGACAGCATCCGAATTTGGGTTCCTTTGCGTAAACGGCCGGACTGCGCCCTTGACCACGGCATCAGTGTGTTCTTGGGGCAGTTTTCCTGGAAATGCTTTTGTTACCAGCTCGTCAAAATCTGCGGCCGAGCGAACTTTTCTCCAACAGTTTATTTTCAATCTAACAAAACTTTCGCCGCAAATACATAGTGATAGGCATCCACAGAGCGGCGAGCGGAAGTACAATGGTACGGATCTGATGTGGTCGGATGCCCTGTCCAGTGTACGCATCTTTTCGCCGGCTGAACAAAATGTGAAGCAGTTTTTTAGGGCCGGACCTTTTTGAACTGGCTGCAGGCGCGAAGTTGTGTCCGTTTCAGAGAATGCGATTTTGTGTAACCGGCCCGGAAGAATTAGAAAAATGTCAGACGCTGCAAACCGCGCTGAGCACTATAAATATCAAACCAGATCTCATCTGCATTTTGGCGCGTAATCACTGGGACTGCATGCAGCGAATATCCAGCGGATACGCGGATGTAATGGCAGCCGATGCCGCCGATACGCATTTGGCTGGGAGGATGTACGGATTAATACCGTTTATGCACGAAATTCACGATGACCCCGAACCATTTTTTTACGCGGTGGCTGTGGTGAAACGAACCGATTTGACCACTAGTTTGTTAGATCTGCGGGGACGGCGAACTTGCCATGGCCAGGTGTATGGTGCGGTCGGTTGGGCGTACCCTATTAATTTCTTGATTACGCAACATCGCGTCCGACTGGCATACGACTGTCAGGACCTCGCTTACCAGATATCGCAAATTTTCGAAAAGGCCTGCGCACCGGGAGCATTGAATACCGCCCACTACCGGAGTGTAATGCATTTAGAGAATTTGTGTGACCTTTGTATGGGGGACGGGGAAAATTATTGTGCCAGGAATCCAAGCGAACCCTATTTTGGTTCGAATGGAGCATTTAAATGTTTAGCAGAGGGAGGCGGACACGTGGCGTTTGTGCCTCACGGGATCCCAAGAGCTAACACGGATGGGAGAAATATGCGGACTTGGTCACGGGCGTTAGTGTCACAGGATTATCAGCTCTTGTGCACTGATGGCACGCGCGGTAGCATTTCTGATTTCAAAAAGTGCAATATTGGTCGCGTACCAACAAATGCTTTGTTGACGGCACGATCGCGTGGTCAAAAGGAAGTGGAATCGTATATCCTGCTTCTGGATTACGCTCAAAAATATTTCGGCTCAACGATGCGCGGTGATGACTTTAGTCTGTTCCAGAGCTATGGTTCACTGAATCAGGATTTAATTTTTTCGGATGCCACAACAAGGCTTTTGCCTATTCCATTGGAAAACAGGAGTGCTGAGAGTTACCTGGGAGAGGATTTTATACGATTACTAAAACGAGCTCAGTGTGCTGGAGCTGCACGGCTTGGCAGCAATTTCTTACTGTGCGAAATCTGGGTGGTTGTTGCGTGTATGTTCCATTTTATGTTTAACATGCAACTTTATTATACGAATGATAGTTTATTGTTTAACCTTTGAATACTTATTATACCGGTTGTATTTGCTGGACTCTCTGATTACATACACTTCGATCGGCGTTTGTTGCTGGAGGAAATTTTTTCTGTTGTTCGATTGTTCGACTGCCTAAATTTGCAGATGTTGTGTTACTCCATTAACGGTAAGGTCTATATCCTGTGGGTTTTGACTTTTGTGAATTTCAAAAATCTGTAGCAGAGAAAGAATAAGAAGCTAGTGCGATAGAGAAGATTTACAACCAGATCACCTAGTACAGATACGAGCCGGAGGAGGCTTTTAAGACTACATTTATTTGCCGCCAAACCGGCAGTGACTGCAGCCTGGAACACTCCAGGAATTCTGTTCGCTGTTCGCTGCCTGTCGCATTTTAAATTTACTGTAATCGTTTTTCGGAATCTGTGATCTTGAGTAAGCCATTGCATCAGACAATAATATATTATACCATGCATGTAGGCATGTACGTACATTCTGATCAACGGGAATAACTTATTTTCGGTTTCCGTGTTAACGTAATTGTACAAATAAACAATAAGTGCATAAAATAGTATTTCTACTGAATTGTCAGATTTTGCTGTGTCATGTCTCCGTCACACTTCTACCACAGATCCTTCATACGTATTTATATAGTATGACTTGTATCTATAATTATTTCTTTGCTGTATGTTTAGTGTACTTTATGGGTGCGCAGCCATCACAGAGACCGGTGATTGGGAACTGCTAAAGATTTCAAAGTCCGATCTGATAGAATGAAAGAAATACGTTTTAATCTTTCATCCTTTGGGAAGTGGACTGCCGAATGTCATGGGTACACGTTGGAAACTGCGCATCGATCGGCGGCTAGTCTAACTGATGCCGCTGCGAAAATGCAGCTGTGTTGGGCATTTTTTGATTTTTAAACACAGGAAAGTTTGTTGCATTCGAGCAACAACAACAGTTTTTATTTTCTTTAATTTGTGGTAAGTGGTAGCGCAGCGATGGCTATAGATTCGGGAAAGCACATTCGAGTCAGCTCACCAGGCAAAATTATTTTGCACGGAGAACACGCCGTAGTATTCCAAAAGGTAAGTGTCGTCAGTGAGTTCTGCTGATACCAACATATCCAAGCTGGCAAGCTCCTTGAAAATGAATTCGCAATTAGTGAAAATGTTTTTTAGGCTGCAGTAGCTATTAGCCTGGGACTGCGTACGCGCCTGGATTTGCATGAAACCGTTAACAACGAAATATCGTTTTCGATGGAGCGATTTCTGGAAAAAAGTAGTTGGAGCGTACTGGATTTTCCGCAGCTGATAGGTAGGCAGGCCTTCTGCATACAAAACATGTGTTTTGAGCATGGTTATGCATATTACATTTCTGCGCATTACTTTAAAACTAAGAATTGAAAATGGCGGTTAGAAAGTGAAAATTACGATTACCCATCGGCTATCGTAGAGAAAAAACTGATTTACTGAAAACTGTGAAAGAGTTATATCATTACTTAATACTCTACTGTTTTATTTACTAATGCACAAAGTGTTTGAAAAACCTTAGCGAAACCGCAGCGGGCACCTTCCGATCATTCTTGATTGCAGTATCCTTGATTAGCCCTCGATTTTACAAATACTCTTGCTGGAACATTACTTTCTAATTTTCGAAGTATTATTAATTGTTTTTGTTAATTTATTGTTCTATTTTTAGTAAATAATACTCACTTAAATATAAACAAATTGTCGTGGCGCCTCGGCGGACTGTATTAATTATTTTGTTGTAATGCAGATTCCGCTCAGGTCGACGAACAAGGTCCGGAAACAGTGTTGGATGAGCCACTTTTGGCGAGGATCGGAAGCTTTCTCGGATCTTTCCAGTCCAGAGAAAACGAAGCTAAAAGCAATGGAACCAGGGGAGGAGCATTGGATTCAAAACAGCAAGTAGCGCTTGCAAGCTTCTTCTATGTTCTTGTCAAGCTTTGCAAGCTCAAGCGGTGCGTGACAACATTTGACCACAAATAATGAAGGCCGTCTGCTGGTGTTAAGAAAGTTGACAACGTCGTTTACTGTTCCAGGCGGAATGTACCTCCGTCGGTATCAATTTGCATTTCTTCCGACATCGTTGTCGGCGCTGGACTGGGGTCATCGGCGGCGTTTTCTGTTTGTATTTCGGCGGCATTGCTGCAGTATTTTGACATTATCGCGTGTGATCCAAAGTTGTTTGATGGTATTTCCGGAAAAGCTACGCCGCTGCCCGACCAGCTGGCTCTGATTAATCACTGGGCTTTTCTCATGGAAAAAATCATACATGGAAACGCATCCGGTGTTGATAATACCGTTAGCACTTACGGAGGCATTATCAAGTACCACAATCGCGAAATGACCAGAATACCATGCCGATTGAAGCTGGATGTTGTTTTGGTGGACACGCTAATTCAGAGAGACACGAAAAAAATGGTTGATTTAGTGCAGCGACGCCGAAAGTTAGTAAGTTTCCGTCTTGTTATAAAGTGAGCCAGTTTCTTTTTCTTGTACAAATTTTTTTGGTTATGGCCGCCATTTAGAGAGTTTGCTTTGGCTTCCCTCGTGAAAAATGTTACAGGTTATTAGCATGGTTTTTTAACTGGTGCTTTTTAGTACCCAGATGTAATCGATCCCATTTTGGATTCCATCGATGGAGTATCGAACATGGCCTATCAGATTCTACAACATGGAGCTGGTGCACCTACCGCGGAAGAATACGAAGTTCTTTCGGCAAGTGCTCTGTACACTACTTTTATCCATGATTTTGCCGGTTCTAATCTGTAGCCTGATAACACTTTTGTAACAAATACAAAATTGCATACAAATAAAATAAAGTAATTTTTAAAAATACAAATACATTTTTAAAAATACAAATTGCATGTTTTTCCTTGACCAGGAACTGATTACGATGAACAACCATCTTCTCTGCGCTTTGGGTGTGAGCCACCCGGCTTTGGACGCTATATGTGCTGCAGCACAGAAGTGGGGACAAGCAGCCAAATTAACTGGTGCCGGTGGTGGCGGCTGTGCTCTTGTACTTTTTGATCCAGGTATTTTCGCGGAAGACAGAAACTGGTGGTTTCGCGGAAGACAGAAACTAACCCGATTTATTTTCGGCAGATATTGTGAAATTCGAACATCTTCGAGAATCTCTCATGACGGAATTTCGAAAAATGGATTTTCGGCCTCTGACTGCGGATATCGGAGGACCGGGAATTCTCTTTCACTCCGTTACTTAACTACACTGAACCTTTCAAGAACTAAAAAACTTGTGAGAATCAAAACTGGTTTCAAACACTACAATAAAAATATGAACGCGTTACATAAACTCTTCTCCTTCTTCTACGTCTTTCAGGCTCAATACTTCCAAAGTGCCTTTCCCTTTTGTTTCGGCCCTTATTAATTCGTCCACAGCTCGAAAAGCACCGGGATCAATCAAGCATACCTACAAAAATGTCAGTCAGACGAAAACCTTGTAAAATCAAGAAACAATATCATAGGCGTACGCGCCTATGGATTTTTAGACTGCATCAGTGAACCACAGAAATATTCGTACCACATGTAAGTCTCCTTCTGCCCAGTTTTCTTCTTCGACTTTTGATGCAAGCTTGGTCAGTTTTTCCTGAAGACGCTTGGCATCCTTGGCCGGTAGTCCGATGGCCAGGCGCATCTGCGCCCTGTCGATATTCATCGATTCTTTCAGTTGTTTGATCACTTCCAGTGCCTGGTGTAAACAGTTACTGTAACTGAGTACGTGATGCTTGACTTCTGAATGTTTGGAAATTGAAAGTAAAAAAACCAACCTGTTGTTTAGCGTTTTTGTTGGGTTTGACAGAATAATGAATATCTTTCATGCCTGTTTCAATCATGCTCACGGGATAAGGACGTTTAGTGTCGGGATTTATGCACTTATCGGCGACAATCGTGGCAATCTCTTTGAGAGTGGCATCCTGTTGCACTTGTCGTTCTTTGTCGGACACTTGCAGTTCACCTTTTGCCAGTATCTGCACAAGGAAATATTATCGGTTTTACTCACATGATCACATCGAGCGATATATGATGCAACAGTAAAAGAAGAAAAATGAATCCGAAAGACTGCATCGTGCATACGAGTACAGCACATGCAATCCTTTGCTTGGCGCTGAAAACAGAAAAATATTAGTTATCATTATTACGCCATCGGGTAAAAAATAAAAATCATAAAAGTTAATTCAAACATCAACTTCAAATCTGAAACAAACGAAGTGCGATATTTTGCGCAAAAATCCAGCTTCAGTTTAAAGAAATGTCGTACGCGGTCATATGTCTATGAGTACTTGCGAGATGTACCGTATTACAGTCCGTGAGAATTTAAAGTAAAAAATTAACTCACCTGTTTACATATTTCTGTTTGGTCTTCTATGGAGAAGGCTTTCACTAAATCTTCTTTCTTTGCCAATTCGCCTTTAGAAACATTTGTGAACACGGTATGGGTCTGAAGAACTTCGTCAATGTCTTTCTCCCTGAAACAAAACAATCAACTTTCATCTCACATCAAATTGATCAAAATATGGTTAGATCGAAAAAACACTGATCAAATCTGAGAATTTGCCGTAAAACTTTCACGCACGTTTATCATCCGTGCGTCACACATTTCGCAGTAACCAATTTCAACCATGAATCAGGATGCAATTTAACATCATCATTACTTTCAATATCAGAATTATCAATGAGAAGCTCAAAGAACTAGTCCTAAAAGAACTTACGCTCCATTTCTCCACGACAATACTTTATTTTTATAGCAGGCGATCTCGAATCTTTTGCCACCTTTTTTCATGCGAACAACAGCCACATTTGTGAGTCGTATCTGATTTGTAGGGGTAAAAATCGTAGCCATTTCCAACGAAAGTCCGGTACTTTTATAGGAGTAATTCTATTAAAAAAAAAACGAAATATCCCCGCCAATAACAAAAACCGCTGGTATTCACACAATAAACATTTGTGGTTTATATGGAACATTTGGCTATGACTGACAGGCTACAGTTTATACTGCATTGGGTAAGTGGCCCAATAGACGAAATCTGAGGTGGAGTCAATTAATTTTTTTTGGTTTTTCGTTGCGGTTCTGCTTGTGATCAAATTTTGAGTTTTTGTAAGTGTTGATTTCATTATGGGTGCGGATAACTGTTCGCATAATTTGTTATTTTGATCGTGAATATTTCGCCGTTTTTAATCTGGTGGTTTTTTTCTTCGCTGAATTGCGAATCTGGTCGATGTTGGTCCCACAATATGTCGGAAATTGCGTCGTACCTGATTGACTACTGCACCCTGTTTATTTTTACTGCAGCGTTTGGTTATTTTGTACAAGTTGTGCTGAAACGATATCATCTTCGCCAACTCGCGGCGCAGAATCCGACAAACAATCCTGAGCCCGGTAATACTGTTTCTGCTGGTGCATCTGGAGCTGTTTGTGATAAAACGGCAACTAGTGACACAGGAGAAACCAGTGAATCCCTTGACGAAGACCGTGAAGTACCGCAGCAGAAGCTTTTTTCCGCAAAGTGCGTCTGCAAATCTGAAAGCGATTCGGGAATATGCTGTAAGAACGAACTGAAAACACATGGAGAGAAAGTCTTCGCAGAGGCGAAGATTTATTACGGATCCGAAGGTGGAACAGCTAAAGTATGCCGGAAAGTGTTCCTTTCACGAACGTAGAGTGTACCATGTAAATTGTAATGGTTAAAATTTCCATGTCCATATAACTTACATAAGGGCTGTGTGTTTACAGAAATTTGCACAAGAGCTAGCTGGCGCAGTGAACGAGCACGTGAGTAATCGGAAGTGTGAAATTCTCGACTTATCAACTTGGGACCCTGAAAAATTTTTGAATGAGGTTTGTAAAGAAACATTGATTTGGCCGGGTGTCATTGCGATATTGTAATGATGTGCATGTACGACGTACGTCTTCATTGTTAGCTGTCAGCTGATGTCGCGCATGTCTTCATTCTCTCAACTTGGACGGACGGCGAGCCGCCTCCCTCGGCAAAATGGTTTGCCTTGTGGTTAAAGGATACAGTCGACGATTTTAGAGTGTCTAAAAGCTACCTGAAGGACATGAAGTTTGCAGTGTTTGGGTTGGGTAATTCATCATATGGAAAAAACTACAACAAGGTAATTATTTGTTTGGCAATGTGTGTTAAAAAATATTCTCGCATTTTGAAAGTTTGTTTCCAGGATCACACTGTGAATATTTTAGGTGGCGAAATCTGTATATGCAGATTTATTGAATTTGTCTGCGGCTCCTATCTCTTCTCTGGGACTGGGCGATGAGGACGTTGTGTCCAGCAAATATGGAGGTAACCGTGAGAAATTGTTTTTTTACCGTACCGTAGCGGAAATGAATTTCTAACGAAGATGAGGTAGAAAAACGAAATTTTGTAAGGGGTGAAGAGATTGTTCGGTGTTCCCTCATTAGTATGCTTTTGTTAGGTGTTTATGTTATGCCGGTAATGTCATGTTCTTTTTGTAAGTAGAGAACCATTTATCCATTTCGCTTGTGTTTTAATTTTTGCCAGGTATGCACGAAGATTTCCGCCAGTGGATGACTACGTTCCTTCGAAGATTGGACGGCAGCGACAGTGGCGGCGATAATGATAGTGAATCCTTAATTGATGACAACGTTAGTTTCGCAACAAGGGCTGACAATGAGAATGATCTGATTTTATAAGAAACATTGTACAGGAACTGTTTGAAACAACCAGCGAAGAAGAGGAAAATGGATATGAGTCGGGAGATGGCAAAGTTATGGATCTGGAAGATTTAGGAAATGTGGCCGACAAAATCAGCAGTGCAAAGGTGTGTAACTATGTACTTGTACAGTTGTGATTGCTATGCTTATTGCATAATGCGTTTATTATGGATGGCAATATCTTCTGTTCTCAAACAGAAAACGCGCGTGCTTGAGAATGGTCGTGCGAAAGTTCGCCGTATACGAAAGAACGATGATTCGAATGTTGCTAAAGAAATGGTTACTCCTGAACTGAGAGCAGCACTTTCTAAGCAAGGCTATCGCATCGTGGGATCCCATTCGGGAGTAAAATTATGCCGCTGGACTAAGGTATGTACGGGTAGATCAGAATATTACGTATGGTAGTGTATTTTACCCTCTCCGTGTTTTGTTTTATATTAAACAGTTATTACTAAAGGTACATAATTCAGTTGGTGGGCACTTGTTATCTTGCATTTTGTAGTCGATGTTGCGGGGCAGAGGAGGTTGTTATAAGCACACCTTTTACGGAATTGAAAGCCATCGGTGTATGGAGGCTACACCAAGTTTGGCGTGTGCAAATAAATGCGTATTCTGCTGGAGGCACCATACTAATCCTGTCGGCACGGAATGGCGGTGGAAAATGGATCCCCCGGAGCAGATCTTCTCAGAAGCTTTGGATAACCATATGCAAATGATCAAACAGTTTAAAGGTGCAGTGTACTCATATTATAATCGCTGACAAAAGCAATAAATGGTTTATTGTGTAGAGAGCATATTTCGAGGATCGATCATCGTAACGCAAAAATTTTCGGTTAGTTTGGTGGATAAACATGATTTTCCAGATCATCGTTATAGGTGTACCTGGGGTGAAAACGGAAAGGTTTAATGAAGGTCTGGAACCCAGACATTGCGCCCTTTCGCTTGTGGGCGAACCAATCATGTATCCGGCAATAAACGAACTGGTGCGGATGCTACATGCCCGGAAAATCTCCACGTTCCTCGTTACAAATGCACAGTTTCCTGATGCCATTCGTGCGCTATCGCCGGTAACGCAGCTATATGTATCGATCGATGCCAGCAATAAAGAAAGCCTAAAAAAGATTGACCGCCCCCTATTTGGAGACTTTTGGGAACGCTACATCGACAGTCTGAAGGCTTTATCTGAAAAGGTACTGTACTATAAAGGTATGCGTGACCGAATTAGACTTCATGTGAAACTGTGATTTTCTTTCATTACAGGGCCAGAGGACAGTTTATCGTTTAACTTTGGTCAAATCCTTTAATGTTAGTGAAATCGAAGGGTATGCCAAATTAGTGGATCTGGGAAAACCCGATTTCATCGAAATAAAAGTAAGCCCAGCTACTTGCATTGGATTTGCTCATTATCTGGTAGTTTTCAAAGGATTACAGTTGCTTGTATGGTTGCAATATTCCATGCATATTACAGGGCGTTACATACTGTGGAGATGCCAAAGGCGGTTTGACTATGGAAAATGTGCCATGGCATGAAGAAGTGATGTCGTTCGTGAAAAAAATGGAAGAATTACTACCAAATTACGAAATAGCCTCCGAACACGAACATTCCAATTGTTTGCTTTTGGCTGACAAAAAGGTATGCACGGTTCTATGATGTTTTAGTTTGTTCGCTTTAACAATCTTTCGGTTAGAATTTTTATTGGGTCAGATCTCATGTTTTCAAGAATCAAACCTGATGGGATTTAATAGCATACAAAATGTCTTTTTTATCGGTTTTTTGTTTTTGTTTCGTTAGTTCAAAGTGAATGGAGAATGGTGGACGTGGATCGATTACGACAAATTCCATGAACTGGTCCAGGAATATCAGAAGCATGGGAAGACTTTCAGGTCAGAGAATTACATGGCCAAAACACCGTACTGGGCGGTGTATGGGTGCAAAGAGAGAGGTTTTGACCCGGAAGAAGTTCGATTCTTCCGTAAAAATCGAAAAGATGTTAGTGGATGTTGATCATGCGCGTGTTGGTCTTTGTGTTATGGTCTTTTGTGTCAGCAGTTCAGATTGGTGCATAGTCATACTTTGTGTTTACCTTAGAAACCAATTTAATCGATAATGAGAAGAAAAGATTTTGTTGTTGTACTGGTGCATAGACAAAAAAATGCTTGACAGTTTTTTCAGGGGGATTTTGGCCAAATAAGGCGTTAAAGGCGGTACAGTAGCCGGTACTGCATCAATGTACTTATTACACTGGCTCGATCGGAAGTAACAACAAACAAGGGCATGTCTAAACACAAAAAAGCGCAGATTTACACAAAACCAAGTTTCTAATCCACCTCCATTCGCTCTGATTCGACTGGCTTTCCGGTGACGTTGTCCAGCAAGCCATTCATCGCTTTTCGTATCGCATCGCGCTGCTGTTCAGTACGGCACACTGCCAACATTTTCAGCAGTTCTCTCCTGTGGTGTCGCACGAGGAATTTTTGCGATGATCGCATGGTTCCGGAAATGTGGATAATCGCCACCTTTGTGATACAGTTCCCGATCCGATTAATATGACCCATAGCATCTTTCACCATCTCATGCGGCCCTCGCCGTGAACGCAGGAACACTATTCCAGTTTCCGGATTGAGATATTTTACTCTCATGTTACTTTGCTGTGCTGCAAGCCCTTCGTCGCCGTGTAATTGACGTAAGGCAGTGGCGATCGCTTTGTAGATTTCGCCGTCTTGCAGTTTCTGGACCGCTCTGGGACTTTCGGGTATGAGTTCCAACAGGAAATAACTGCAAAACAAGAATTCGTTAATGATGACGCTCATATATAAGTGATATTTTATTCATTATGACAACTTATGAGTAACTGTGCTAGAACTGTACTTATGAATAACTGTACTATAACTGTAGTACAAATATGAACGCTTTAATCATTTTCGTGAAAGATTTAAATACTGTAACCAAACATCAAATCCTCAACATTGTCGCCGTGAAGCACGAGTACGCACTACTCTACAGTCTACGAATACGCTGATAAAACGACAAATTTGCAACCAGCACACAGGCCTATGTATTATAAGAAAAAGCTTAAGGATTCTACTTCGGTCAACTAAAGAGTAAAAACTAAAAACTAGAGAAAGACACTTGCCTAATTCACCAATAGATCTCCTTAATCAATTATTATTAGCATAACGGCATAACCTCTCTGCGTTCGCCATGTACTACCTACTAATAGGTATGCATTATGTACTAGCAAAATCACTCATGTATAACGGCGTAAAATATTGTTTTCCAGTATACCACTTTATTGAGACAATTTAAATATAAATTAACTCGGAAATACTACACAAACAAAGTCGAGAAAACGTGAGCTTTCGAAATCAGAGCCATTGATCGGGCCTTTCCAAAGGACATGCGAACACCCATGCAACACTAGGCATACATAGTAGTGCGATAAGAAACAAAGAACAATTTCAAAATGCCGCAGTCTGCCGCTCAATATCCAGCAGCTCTTCAATCAGTGTATCAACCGAACACCCGATTTTCATGGCCACTTCGTATTTTTCCGTTTGATCCAATTCCAAATACAAACTTCCAACTCGTCCGTCAGCTACGGTCTTGATATTGCCCACCAGATCGAATCTCTGGTCAGGATTCGTCCGGGCATTCCAGTACAACCGCGGACTCAGGCCCGCGCGATGCACGCAGTGATTAGTGAGAATCGTCTCAATCATCAGAATGCGCCGGTATGTCTTCTCCGGAATGTTCATGTAGCACCCCACCGCGCCATCCAATGTGGTGAACATTGTCAAATGCTTTTTCGTCAGCGGTAATGCAGCCACCCGCCCGGCATCCGGATAAAATGCCGAACACCGCAGTCGAAACATATTAGTCACGAATTGTCCCAAATTGCATTCCATCCGCCGTACCAGTCGGTTGCCAAATGCGGAGAAATAATAATCCGGATCAAACTGAAAGATGTGGAGATCCTGCTGAATGTCGGTGACCGCCACGGTCAAACTCTGATTGTCCACGCAGAATTCTGTGGCATATGTGTGCATCTGATTGGGATCCGAGCTAACCAGGGACAGCGTCCGGTATTTCTCTTGAAAGCGCAAAATACTCACGGAGCGTTGCACATCTGCCATCAGGATGAGATCCTTAATCGACGACAGCTGATGGACGTAGATCTGTACATCCAAAAACGCTACTCCCACCAAACTGTTGCCTTTCAGTCCCCAAATGAACACTTTCTGCCCAATGGCACTGACAATGTACCCGTTAACTCCGCACAGCGCCGTAACCGGTCCCTTCTGTTCCTCCTCGTAAATCGCTTTCTGTTTCACACGCGACAAAGGCTGATCCGGTTCAGCCACAACGTCTAGAATGTCCAGGAGAATGATTCTCCCGCGACTCTGTACGTCTTCACCATATGCAAAATTCGTGCCAATAACTACATATTCTCGCATTCCTGTCTCGGTACCGTTTCGCAGGGGTAAGACTTTCATAGCGGTGGCAAACTCGAAATCCTGGAGAGCGTATGTAGCATCCGGAACCAGCTGCCATTCATCCGACATAACCAGGTGTATGGAGAATTTTGGAAGGAAGGTACACACAAACCGTGGGTCTCGTTCGGCTACCTCTGTGCCTACCTGGTCGACACTGCCATGGATAATTCGTTTATCTGGTGACAGTACAGCGCAGCAAGCGACATACGTCTTACTATCCATATGGTAAGACAGATAGTGCACCGTTCCCGGGACTTTGATTCGTCTAGTCGGCCAGTTGTGATCATAATTCCAAATGGCTTCCAGTTCCGCCACCTGGATTTGTTTCCTTGAGTTGTAATATACAAATCCCGCTGTACAGTTGGCATTACGAAATTCAGCAAAAGCTTTCACGGGACCATCCACTACCATGGGATGCAATCGCGGAATGTTGCGATCACCGATCATCACGAAGTATGAATATGGGAAACACAGAAACACCCCAGAATATCCCTGAATATTATAAAACGGACGGAAAAAACGTTTGGCTAATCGATTTTCATCAGCTTGAAGATCCTTGGGCAACCGCCGCTTTAATTTCCGCTCATTTGTCAACATGTCATGTTTGACCCGTGAAAAGGAAATCCTTAATCGCCGTTCGTTCTGACCATAGTAGAATGGTACGACATGGTACATGTGAACAGTTTCGCTGACGACCATAAAAAAATACGGCTGACTATGTCGTATCCCGAGGCCGACCAACAAAACTTCCTTCAGTTTCTGATCCTGACAAGCCGAAGCGATGGCATTCGGTGGTGCCGATGGCTGCTCTAGAGCACACACATCGTGGATAACTCGCGGAGCATGGATCATCGGATAGGTTTCAAACATCAAAATCAGATCAGGCAGACTGTAGATGGTCAAAGTATGATCACGCCGCACCAATAATAACCAATCAGTTGGCCCAAATGGCAAGTTCCTTGTGCGCAGCTCCATCAGACTACTACGAAATTCTTCTGGTGACAAACCAAATTTCTCCTTTCCCTGATCGACCTGCGAGCCACGGGTCTCATATAATAATTTATCTTCGTCTTCTGGCTGCGGTTCGGCTTTGACGGTCGTATCCAAAACGTCGGGCTCGATCACCATCTCGATCGTACCGACATTGGAAGGAACTGTCGTGGTGAACAACCCACTGTAGTCCACATACAAGGAAGCCGCCAAAATGCCGTTCTCCGGCAAATTGAGGGCGCTTGTGTTGACTTCCGTAATGATTCCGAGGGTACTGTCCCATTCATATAACATCAACATACCGCCGGTGGTTACAAAGACAAAGCGCTCATTTAATGCTGTGGCGAATTTCACTTCATCGTTTCCTTCCAGTGTAAAATCAACCGTTTCACATCCGGTCAAGGTCACAACGCGAGCATAGGTTCGCGTAACTTGAACAGATATACGGCCATTATGGAGCTGTAAAAAAATCCCAAAATTATTATTCAAGCTACTAAAACATTAATTAATGAGTTCGCATCTCTAATCGATACCACAAAACCGTACCTGACAGCAAAAAATCGTTGGTTCATCGCCTTGGAAAGGATGCTCTTCCGCTTCGACAATCTCGTCAACGCTGTGAAAAACTGACGTCTTGTCCGAAGTGCTAATTACAACGAGACTGTGGTCATTACTGCTATCGTCCTGGAGAGTCCACAAATCTTGCACATCCTGAATGTCGAACGATGCCAAAACATCTGGCCGAATCGACTTATGCATGGCGACCACATGGGACTCATTTTCGTATCCCGAACACGTTACCAAGTCAGCATCCTTATCGGAACTTCGAACAAAATCCTCGGCGCTATTCAGCGGTTCTCCAACGGCTGATGTACGGCACGGTCCCAAACTGATCAGCTCATCGCACGCTGTGAAATGATATTTTTTCAAAGGCGTGACGACACTAACAAAAGCGTTGGGTCCGTATATATCCTCGTCGTCTGTTATCGTCAGCAGCGTTTTTCGTGGTCCTGCTCGCCTGGCGGCAAAATCATCGTTACCATCATCTTCAACCAGAGCGGCTTCCGCTTCAATCCATTCGCTGGATGTTAGCATATAGAGAACGGAATCCGACAATCGACCACCCACAAAAATGTAGCCGCCTTCCAGCGGCGTAATACAGGAAGCGTAGCGATTATTTAGTACTTGCTGCCAGTGGAATTCTCTAACTGTACGCATGGCATGATCGTAAATAATAGTCACAACAAAGCCATTGCCATTCCGAAGAGTCAACAAGAGCCGCTCCGACTCGAAAAACGCGCAACTGGAGCCATCCAATGTGGCAACAACGGCCGCTTCCGGTCGTAAAGGGAATCGAGTACTCCCTGCTGTAGTACTATTCAAGGAAATGCCCATCGCTGGTACGCCTACAAACATAAAAACAAAATAAAGTAACTAGAAAGCACGTACAAGAGGAAATTTGCCAGATCGAGTATAAAAAAATTGCGACGTGCAGATCGTTTTGAATCTTGGCACATTTTTAATCCATACGGTACCTTGATTAACGTAAATCATGGCGCTTGTAGATACGACCAAAAGTCCGCCAATCGGCCGTGGAACGCTTAACATGTACTTGCTATCATACGGCAGTCCCACACAATTCCAAATAAGATGGAAAGCTCTTTCACGAGTATTGAGAGACAACGCTGCCACGTAGCAAGTGTCGCTATTGATGGCCACTCTCCCTGGCCAAGATAACACTCGATGGCACAGAACAGCCACCGTCGGCTCCAAATATCCCGGTAGCAGCTGAAAATCTTGGATAAACTCGTTGGGATCGTCCTTGATCTTCTTCAACGACAAGGCAAACGAGCGAAACTGCGACACGGGCTTGGGTCCGTTCAGTGCGTTATCGGTTCGATTGGGTGGGTGCACGAAGGGAATGACCAGCAATTGGGTGCGGTACAGACGCATAACGGCACACCGATTGTCCGGATCGACGCGCACAATGGGCTCGGCAGGGCCGAGATTCGTCGGCATCTCGTCACTGAAGCGCGCCGCTTCATAGTCATGCAGCGAAATGGAGCGTAGATCGTTGATTATAGGATCGTACTGAACGGCCGACAATTTGGCATCGGCGAAAGCTAATAAGAGAAGATCACGGTTGGAATGCGGGAGTGCCGACGCTTTCAAATCGGTGACGGTGCCGAAGACTTCGAACGTGGCCAGACATTCCAACCGGACATTTTCCGGAGAGAAGTTAGCAGTCACGGCAGATAACACTGGTTTCCGGACAGTGTACAGATCATCTTCGTCGTCGTCGTCGAACAACGCTTTCGGCGCTGAATCGGAGCTGTCCGATAATTGCTGCGTGGGAATAACGTTGACGCGATAAACCTGAATGAAGTTCAGTCCAGCTACAACCAGAGATTTTTCCCGTTTGTTGAAAAAGTTGCAGTAGACTGCGTTGTGAACTGCTGTGGGAGGGTGCAGAAATCGAACGATCCCGCACGACATTTTTCCTGAAAACCAACAAATTAGCGTTCGCTTAGTACAACAAAACCTGAACCAAATAGAGCGTCGAATCAACCACTACACACTGTGAAAAACACAGCAAGTAAATACGTCGGCTCACCTTGAACAGACCCGATCAGTGAGCCTGTCGTTTCCGGAGATAATGGCGCATCAATAAAAATCACGTCGCATCAAGGACTCACGATATCCAAATGGAAACTAACGTTATGCAAAGAATGCGATGCGAGCCAGATTACCGAAGCCCTGCGCAAGCGTCAAAAATGGTGAGCCATAATTCTTTCGCCAGACACCCGGGAAAGGACATAAAATTGTTGTCTGGGCTTCGCAGCCTATGCGCTGATAATAAATCCAGCTTGTGATAAAAACACTCAGCAAGAAAACGCCAGCATCGTACGAGTCAGCAAGACAGTCAATTATTTTGAACTACTTGGTTACTACCAGATTGCCGATGAAAGTTACGAAAAAGGAAGTATTTGATCAAAGTTCCAGATTTTACACAGATTCAACTGGAATACGTAGCATATGTATTTTCTGGAATTATCTGGGAGAGTATGGTAGGAAAGAACAAAGAACGGATTTTTTGTCTTTTAATGTTACATGAACGAACCGCTTACCGAAATTTCTGGCGAACCATTTCTGGAATAAGGTTGCAGTCTGCAGAGGCTGGTTGACGATGGAACAGGTTTGCATTAAAACCTTCAAAAGCTTCACCGCGAATCAATACCTGTAATTTGCGTAGTAGTAACTTGCGAACTTTTTAAATTTCCCAACGAACTATTTGCAGTTCACTTCATAACAATAAACGAAAAAATTAGAGAAGTTCGAAGTTGCCCAAACTTAAGAACTTGCAAGTGAGCGGCGGCTGATCCAAAGAGCGCAAAATTTCTGGCTGCCGCCACCCGCAGGTGTGCCGAAAACCGATGAACCGGAAGCGTTCCGGAAGTGCGGCGGAAGTACTTACTGTACTGTGGTCTATGCGGAGTACTGGTATACTATAATTAAAGAGATATTATATATTATATATATTATATAGATCTATATATATTTATAGATCCATATTTAAGATGTAGATATTCGTTTCCAGTGTTGGTTTACTTGATGGTTTGTATCACAAACTTGCACTTTTTGCGGTAGTTTCAAGTTCTACAGTGTTTGGGTCATTAAGCATTCATCCATTAGCAGTAATTCGAAGTACCTCCATTGCATAGTTATAACTGTAATTTATTTCCAAAATCCTTGCTGACACGAACTAATAAGTATACTAAACATGTTCAAAGCATATTTCTGTACCGCTCTCCCACTCGAGATGACCGCGCCTTTCGTACTGGTACAGTATACTCTTTCTTATTTTATTTTCAGTCTTTCTTTGTTGCAGTTAGGTTTAGTTCTTAATGACCATTGGAACAATATTCAAAAATCGAAAATCGACAGGATTGCGTTAAAAAGTCTTACATAACAGATACAATATGTAAGTACTTATTCAAATTTTTAGCGGTTGTAAAGACAAAAATTAAGGATCAGATATTATTGGTTGTACAAAGCCGATGCACCGTTGCGGCGTTGCGCATACATGTATCCACATAGCAATCAAAAGTAAGTAAGTTACCGACAACTTAAAGAAAACACAGAACGACGACGATAAAGGTTAATCTTTTGCCTTGTGGCGATTTTATTTGATCGCGACAATTTGTGACGAAGCGGAACACTGACCGTTGCGCGTTCAAGCGCAGCATCGAAGCGGCTTTGACATGACACGGCAGAGTTAATTCCAATCAGTACGAGCTGCAGTGCGAGATGGAAACCATTTGCCGCCCAGTGTAATGCGACAATTGCAATGTGATGATACAGAAGCATGAAGCACCGGAAACGGTGCCCAGTGAGCCTTCTTTCATTGTGTGCAGGATGTACAGGACATTCACCACTTTAGCGCGCATACAGCTGTGGATAGTACTGATAACCTTTACAACGCTGCTGTATTTTTCTGCTCGTCTGGACCAGATTTACGATAATGCTGTGGCATCTGAAGTAACGGTTTGCGGGAAGAAGACTGGTTTATCAGAATCGATTATGGACAGAATAGAAGAACGAATTCGCTGCCGGTTGACCTTCGCTTTTCCACGAAATCAACCAGTTATACAACTGCAGAACGATCGAAGAACTTTCAATTTAACGCATGATTTATCAGGAGCCGTGGGATTGGGAAATTTTATGTTTATGACCGCGACCACTTTTGGTCTAGCGGCGTCCAGTGGAAGAACACGTAAGCACTGCCGACTATGACTAAATAATTATATTGTTTACTCTGTACGTAATTACATAGCTATTAGGCTAATAGTATTTGTTCTATTTAATACTGCGTTCTCAAGTACCAAAACTGTAATACAAAACCCTGAGCAAAAAGTATAAATTAATTATATATTTCCATGGCTGCTGTTTTTAGTACACATTAGATCGATATCAATAGACGAATCCTTTAGATCCGCTCACTATTGAGGATTTCTGCTTTCTACGTTTCGGTGCAGTTAATATTCCAAGATGATAACTATTACATTGGTCATACGGGCCATTTCGGGGTATAAACAGCCCATATATTAATGCACCTGCGCAAAAAATAATAAAATTTAATACGCAGAAGATCGCCATTGAGTATTCTCTCTACAGCTGTATTTATGGAGCCTCATCCACATATGGCCAAATTCCTCCACTCATTCCCTGTTTTTGACCAAAAACCTCCAGCTGGTTCAATTCCGAAACATCGTGTAGAAGCAGCTGGAATCTATGAGACATCCCTGCCTCGAAAACTGGCTGTTAACAACACCGCCGCACCGGTCAAACGCATCATCACTTTAGCCGGCTTCCTCCAGTCGTGGCGGTACTTTCATCACATCCGCGATGAACTCTTCTATCGCTTCGTCTTCAAGCCATCCATATACACTCAGGTCACTCAAGAACTGAATACCAAACTGACAAAATACATGAAAGACACCAACCGATCACCACGGATGATAATCGGAATACATGTCCGGCGCGGTGACCTTTTAGACCCCATCCCCCACAGGTACGGCCACACGGTCGCCACACCACGCTATCTTCTGCGCATGACCAGCCGCTTGAATAGCCAGTATCCGAATAGCGTATTCGCCGTGGTCAGCAACGATCTGCCGTACTGCCGCACCATACTGCGCAATCTTGACAATGTGTTGTACATGGATGGCAACAATACGGCGGAAGTGGATTTGGCGCTGTTGACGCTGATGGATCATCTGATTCTCTCCGTGGGAACATTTGGTTGGTGGGGTGCCTATCTGAGTGAAGCCGGTGAAGTGTATTACTACAAACACTGGCCGCGGCGAGTCACGCCCATGAGTCGAGAATACAAGAAAACTGATTATTTTTTCCCAACTTGGATTGGTGCCGATTAGCATCAGATCACAGCGTAGCACTGTTAATTTTACCAAGTTTTTCTAGTCATTGATGCTCCTAAACTCACGTGTTTTCTTGAAGCAGCTTATGCAATTTTATTAATTTATTACCTTTGCACAGATGTAACAACAATTGTTGATATAGTGATATACGGCATTGTCCGCGTTGTTTTGTTGTTTTTTGCCGGTGCATGTTTTTGCGTTTATGGGTGTACCACACGAGTATTTTCTTTAGCAGTCAAACTGACGTAATTGTCTGCTCGTTATTGCATGCAGTACGTATTTTCACGTAGCACTTTCGGATTTAGAGAAATTAATTTATATAAAGCACAAGTACAGACATATAGAAACGTCTCGATCATGGAATTAAACAAAGGCATCACAAAGTTAACGCATTTTAACTGCAACAAATTTCTTTACGAAGTGCGGAACAAAACTACCACTAATTTGTCGTCGACTTCTGTGGTATCAGCCTTTCCGTAAATTTGTCACAGGAATAATCAATACTATCACAGCTCTGTGCATTCATTGTGGCCCACACTTTCCTAACCGTGACACTGGAAATCTTATGGAAAAAGAAACCGTTTCGAATAGCCTTTTCCGGCTGCGCGTCAAATTCATGCGGTGTCCGGCGCATCGATAAAAAACTACTGACATTCTTCCGAGAAATTCCTGCTTTTTCGGCACATAACCCCGTGAACCATACATCCTCCAAGTTAATAATGGGCATATGCCGGCAAGCCTCCAGCAGACCCGGTAAAATCGAGGCTCGAACAGCGTAAGCCGGACCGTGTGAGAATGGTGGGAAATAGTTCTTTCCATACCTAACCGTAGACATTGATTAAAATTCAATGACAAGCTTTAAAAAAACCTATACGATAACTTAAAAATACAGTACAAACAGAAGAATCAATTCTTCCAGTATGTATGCATGCCACAGTATTAAAGTGTGCATCTACATACTGTACATAGCTCACTGGTCAGCCAAAAAAAGTCATTTTGACGGGTTACTGTGTTGTGAAGTAAAAGTACACTTGTAGTAATGATAAATAATTCCACAGCCGCGCAGTCACATACAACCCAATTATACCGAGCAATGATATTAATTTTCTGCTGTTGTTACTATAAGACGTTTTTTCTGTTTTCATACCGTTGTTTGGGAATCATGTACTTGTCTCCGGGCTTCGGAACTTTATCAATGGTAATCCAGCCGTACACGCCCACCCGGGCCTCTTGAACCCGCGGAAAGCACTGTACAAAACCAGGAATATTGGGCAACATGTCGTCGTCAATTTTTATCACCCACTCGGCATCTCGATAATTTCTGTGAACGAAATTCATAATATTGTAAGTTTTCAGCGGCAGATTCTCGTACGCATCACAGAAGTCAATGAGCACCATGTCGTCGGGATTTTGCTGCAGTTCTCGCTGCAGCCAATCGGCTGTTCTCTGGTTGCTGGTGCGACCGACATAAAATGCCAGGGTGCTGGAACAACTCGGCTGGCTGTTGATCATGCGCTTCCATGTCGCGCGGATAGAACGGCGCGCTTTAAAACTACCTGGTGCCGTCACGATGGCGAAATGATATTTAACTGGTGGAAAGCGCATGTGCGTTGCAGAATAATAAGTGTCCAATAGTAAATGCGTTGCGGTGTAGTTCAGATACAGTTCTGACACGACAGACCGGTTGAACTGTGAGCAAAACGCATCGAATACTGGAGGAAATGCTGAGGTTAACTGACCATGAGTGGACGAAAGAGATACGGAAATTTCTGTGGGAAGTTTCGGTAGGGAAAACCTTTGCAGCGGACTCAGCAGCACGAAAATCCCGGCCAAAATGGCCAAAAAAAGCGTATTAAGGAGCCGCACGAGAGGAAAATTGCCCATTTCCTAAAGATTTCATATTAAATTCTGATCCTAGCTTAATCTACAAAAAGTCGTTCGAGTCTGCACGATCAGCTAACTAACCAAATATTGTCGTACCCCGCTCAATGTCGGCTGATGCCGGAAGTTCAAGACGACGATCTCTTAAGGTGTTTTTACAATGACCATCGTCTTGCTTCAGGCAGTTGTTGTTCGGTACAAATTGTAGTGTACAGTACTTATGGTTAAAGCTGATCGTGAGTCTGAAGATGTACAATTGTACATGGCACACAGTTGAAATCTGTGACCGGCGAGTAATTCCTATCGCTAACGTGGTTTATTTTTATATAATATGTATAACATTACTGTACCTGTACCTGTATAACACTTTAAGCATTTCCTCAAATGGTATCATAACGGATACAGTTTCGAAAAATTAAATCTCTTCTTAAAACACATGGTACTTACTAAATCATGGTACTTACTGTGGCAGTTTAAAATTTTAGAACAACATTTGTGAAGTGGTTCGGAACTTCGGTATACAATGATTCTCTTATGGATGTCCATTTGCTGTTTATGTTCTGCTTTCAGTTTCCGTTAACAATAAGTTTAAATGTAATCGGATAGTAACGAGACTTTTCACTTTTGGTACACCCAGACGCGTCCAAGATTGTGAACCTATGAGTTTTACATAACTTTGCAACGAGATGCCGTGCGCGCATATCGTTTTCACTATCGTCTAAACAAAATACTCATGGTCAGCTATTGGACACAATCAAACATTGTTAAAAAAATAATTGTTTAATTGCAAAGACATAAGTTTGTGCACAAGAAGGTCTTCCTTTGAGCCATGTACCGGGTCACTTCCCTTAATCGTAAAATGACTTTGAAATCAAGCATCAAGTTAAGTTTTAATGCCAAAATTGTCTTACAATTTTTAATGCTTACAGACGTTACAGTCTTTCAACTTTCAGCAGTTTTTTATTGTTTGTTCTGTTTTAGTTCTCTTTACAGTAACCCCCTCGTCTGCAGTAAACAGAATACTCGTACATACAAGCCGCATTGGATACCGCAATCTAATGATGTTCACTCGTTGGACAACCAGGACAACATAAAAACAGGATGCAGGAATATTTACAAAACAAGACAACAACATCCGTAAATGCACATCATTCATCATCATGCGCGCTACTGTCAAACGTAATCACACGGTTGCATCATTCCCTCGATCACTAAGACTGGAAACATTCTTTGGCGGCAGAGTCACTCCCTGCGATTCCAACCACAATCGGCGATAAGAATTAGTGTACTTGTAATGCATTATCTGTTGGGCTATTAATCCGGACACAATGGGAAGTACCAAAAAATAACGATGCGTCATAGGACGCGGTAACTTATTCCTGAAGACTTTCTGTTGAAATATCATCGCCACTATCCACGCTGCGCAAAAACAATTGCTTGATATACTGAATAAATGCCAAACGTCGATATACTACACTTTACACTCTGTAGTTTCTGTCGATGTACTACATCTCACATTTCCTTAAAATCCTATCAAATTTTATTATTCTTCGATAAAGATAATTCCGAAATGATCAAGATCCAATCACAAGAAAAGATCGACAGAAAATTAGGGCAAAAAAGTTGTTTGCCTTGTGTTAGAACTTAGCACCCACTATATCTAGTATGCAAAATTTTTTTAAAACTCACGGCAATTTTCGGGTGAAATTGAGATAATTTAAAAAGACACACAACAATCAGGTAATCAATTTTTTCAAAATTTTTTAAAAGCTGAGATAGGTTGTAGCATGGCAGTTGTAGCATGGTAATTACTACAACCATGGTTGTAGTAATTATCTCATTTATCAGTACATACTTACTTCCAGCAAACGTGTAGAAGCGGAGGGCTGGATCAATACCGACTCTGAACATGTGCAAATTCGTAGCCTGCAAAGTTACAAATGCTTTACATATCCATAGCCCACACATAGAACGATAGTAACATCAATTAATGAAAGAAAATCTGCCACTCGAATAGCTGCTCTATGGTGGATATCATAAACAGTTACAGTACCAAAAAACTATTTTTCATGGTAGTAAACTAACCATAAGAATTGTAGCTTCATGTTATTTAATGGCGCACATGACAAACAAGCAAACATTCAAACGACTTTTCGTGATCACATACCGCAACTTTTCGTCCATAGTCCTCAGAAGAAGTTACATTATCTTTTCGCAGGAGAACGGGAAGATTGTTAGGAGGCGGACGGCCAGGAATTACGTGGTCAAAAGGTGTACACCCAGTGACAACCATCTCTGCTATTTACTGACAGATCCGATGCTCCACTCGATCAGCTGACAAATTTATTCAATAGGTGACTGCAGGTCTAAGATCTTGAGTGTTCAAGGGGAGTCACGGTGTCACATTCCCATTATGGATAAACAGGAGTCGGAATACGAATTTGTATAATCAGAAAACTGCAAAAAAAGAGCGTAATCGGTAATTAATATAAATGCATACTGCGAGTAGTAATTGTCAGCAAAACAAAAACGTGATGATAGTTACTTCTAGGAATCTAGTACTTTCAAAACAGTAACAGTTGTGCTATGAACTGGACTTATCGCTATCGCAAAAGCTATTTCTTTCATTCGTAAACGATAGAAAACAAACATTCCTGCATTTTCCTGGGAAACTAACCTAGTCAATTTGAAGTACTACGGAAAACCTGATAAAACATCTTCCTTACGAACTTACGACCATAAAGACTGATAAAGTATCCTTCAATATTCCGAGAAAAGCCTCTAACACCCAATGTTTGCACGTCGTATGAGATTTCCAAGTCACCAAGTGCAAATTTTGGCTTACAGAACCTGAGAACTGTCTGCGGTCGTCCGTCCAGTTAATCACGCTGTACTTTGAGAATAACAAAACAAAGGACTTGAAACCAAATCTTCATCTGAATCACCGCTGTAACTAATCATAACCACAAGTGACAAGTTCACAACAACAAAAACGCTCAAACGAAACACTACGAAACATAACGAAAAACCCAAGTCACGCCCATAACAGTTTACCTTGGTATCAAAATAAACTACGAAGGTTAAACTCTAAAGTTAGCAAACGCAACGTCATAAAATAAGTAAAATCAAAATTCTCAACTAAACTTGTTTTTTTTTTAAACTGACTGAAGTAGCAAGCCGGAAACGGGAAACTGGACGAAAAATTTTTCGGGGAGCAGATGCAAACCGCCGATAACTGCCGCCCTGAAAAGAAGCCGTTCAGTAGGTAGCATAGACGAGCCTATAGGCCTGAACTACCCAATACTGCTCTCTGTAGTCCGTAGTCTCCGTACTCCGTCCATAGTGGGTAAGCTGGTAGAAATGCAATGCGCTTGTTGACTCCGCTACTGCATCTTGAGTCGCAACTGCGCTGCTAAATTTTGCGCTGCGACGAAATCAGGAACCTTGAGTCAGTTTTGGTTGTGTTTCTTCTTGATATAAAATTTATACGACCTTATCAGAATGTCTAAACGAGGTAAGAATGGATTTTACCAATAGATCACACATGAAATGATGTAGAACTTTTCAGGACGCGGAGGAGCCTCCGGCTCGAAGTTCCGGATTTCTCTTGGTCTACCGGTTGGAGCCGTAATCAACTGTGCGGATAACACTGGTTCGTGTACTGGCACTTCTGGGTTCTCCCTTTGAAAGTTGGTGTAACTGTTGTATCGACAGTAATGAGTTTCTCGACTAATTTTTAGGAGCGAAAAACCTATACATTATTGCCGTGGGTGGAGTAAAAAGCCGTTTGAACAGACTGCCAGCTGCCGCCGTCGGGGACATGATTATCTGCACAGTCAAGAAGGGAAAACCTGAGTTAAGGAAAAAGGGTACGAGACTACGAGTATGATTAAATTTTAATAGCGTAGCCTTAGTTAGATGGAACCTTGAAATAATATTGAAACGGCTATTAATACATTTGATCAAAGAATTGTCAGATAATGTTTCAAACGTATTCAATCACAAAGTTTTGACAAAACGCATTTTCTCCAGTTTTCATACCTTCGTTAATCATGGCTGATATAGTAAGTAAATTAATACTGTAATAATTAGTGTATTGTATTAGCTATGTTTTACGTGGATATGATGACTTGAAAATGGTTTCATGCGATGTCAATTTGAGCTCGATATCTGTCTGAAAGTTTGTTTAGTAGTAAATACCTAATGACACTCTTGGCCAACGAGTACTATAAAGTGTACACTATTTGATTAAATTGTTTGTGTGAACGAGTGCGGATAGAGAAACTTTGTTTCAGTTATGCAAGGCGTGGTAATCCGTCAACGAAAAGCCTTCCGAAGAAAGGACGGTATGTTTATCTACTTCGAAGATAATGCCGGGGTTATTGTGAATAACAAAGGCGAAATGAAAGGATCAGCCATCACCGGCCCAGTCGCCAAGGAATGTGCAGAATTATGGCCGCGTATTGCATCTAACGCCGGCAGCATTGCTTAAGAAGATCACTTGTTTAACTTTCTCGATCTTTTCTTTATGACTGTCTTCTGTCACCCATCTTTACCCAGGCATTTGAATAAAAGCTTCGCTATGCGAGTTGTTGGAGAGTCCCTCATTATTTTCGTATTTAATAATTTAAGCGATTAAGAAGATCGTCGTTTCCGTGGTGCTGAAAGCTTAAACGCAAATTTTGGAATCAGAAATAACACGGACAATTGAAATACAAAGATCAGATTAATGAAACAACAGACAAATTATGCAAATGTTAACCGCAGACATTCAACGGATAAAAGTCAAAATGAAAGAACTCAAAGGAAAATAAATTGTCACCGACTGAAAATTTAATTTTAAACTCACATTTAGACGCCACAAAAAAATCACGAAAATCCCACATCTACCCGGAATGTTATTGTACTGCTGCCACGGTCTCCGCTAACAACTGAGTAGTCAGTGCTTGTTCCGGTGACTTCACCTCAATTGTAACTCGTTCATCTCCCATTTTTATTAAAACGGCCACTCTTTGTTGCAGGATAGACATGGTGTGCAGAGTGGCCGAGTTGGCCACCTGCTCCACCAAATAGAACTGTCCACGGAAACAAATACGGGAAATCACCTCTGAAAAGTTCATTTTTCCCACCTCCACCTGATTGCGGGACGAAGTGTTTAATTGACCACTTTCCAGTAGTAACGCATATTCATTGTTGGAAATTTGCACGGGAAGCATAAAGGACGAGCAGGATAACTGGAAACGAAAATCTTTCATTTCAGGCACTGATGTGCCAGTCGCATCTACTTTCAAGTAACTGATACTTCCGCGTAGGCTCTGGGGCGTAGCAGAATCGGCTTTAAGCGTGAAAAGCAGTGTCACATTCCAGTTAGCCTTCGGCAACATTTGAGCGAACTTCACCGGCATTTCCATTCCTGCATCCCGGTCAATCCCCAAGCCCACAGAGTCAACCACTTCAAATGTAATATTCTTCAACGATGCGTCCGCTAGCTTGTTCGTAAACACAAAATTGCCGGCAATCTGTCGTGACGATGCATTGGAAATATAAGTGTCGTACTCCACTTTCACATTCTTATCTTCCACTAACGTTATAAATCGTGATAATGAGGTGGTCTCGTCCTGCGGTGAACTGTTAGCTGTTCCTTCTTGCTCAAGCCCAAAGGCTTCTTCGTAACCGGCTTTATCCACTACTTCTGGTACTTCGTCCATTAATTCCTCTTCGGCCGATCGAGAACGGGTTTTGGATCGCAATTTCTTTTTCTTTTTTCCATCTTTTTCTTTCGGGCGCTTCTCTTTGTCTACAGACGATGTTTTCTTAAGGGTCAAGGATTTTGGTCTTTCCACTTCCGATTTTGGCTCTTGAGCAAGCCAAAAATCCATATCATCTTTATCTTTTTTCTCTTCCACGTGCACTACTGAGGCAAGTTCCGCTGGCTTCGGCGTCGGAACTTCGTTATCCTCAATGTTTAACAATGATACTTCAGCCGTGACATTTTCAAAGACCTTCTCCGTCTTTTTCCTTTTGGTCTTCTTTTCATCCTTATCTTTCTTCTTAGATTTCTTTTCCTCTTTTTCTTTTTTCCCTTTTCTTCTTTCCTTTCCTACTGGGTCCTCTTCCTTTTCCATAGGAGACGTTTCTTGATTAGCCACTCTACGGTGCACGTATATGGGCAACCTCTCCTCCGCTCGCAGCGGAGATTGTATATCGATATCCAACGCTTTGTATGGATCATTGGCATTTTCCTCGTGGTCAGACCACGTAGCACCTTCAGGCATCTCCCCAGCGCCACGGTTAACTTGATGAGCGACGGCGCCTCCCTCTTCCTCGTCGCTTTCTGCTTTAGCCTTTTTCTTGCTTTTCTTACTCTTTTTACTAACCGGTTCTTCAGATTTCTTCTTCTTTCGTATATATTCTTGCGAAGATGTCAGTCCTGGGATAATTCCACTAGTCTGCTCAGTGCTCGGTGTCTCTGGACTAGAAAAAATGCTGCCAGACGAACGACGCTGGTTAGCCTTGCCACTTGCTTTAAGATAATTCGGATTGCTAGCTTGTTCTTGCAAACGTCGCTGACGCAATTCGTCCAGTTCTTTTTCCGATGGTTCAGGCCGACTTGGTTGTCTTTCTTCGGGAATTTCCTGCGCGACCAAATTATTACAGACATTATTAAGCGATTTTTTAAAAATTATTGTACTGGCATCTCAACAAGCGTGCAACAAACGCAATTATAATCACTTGACGTAGCCGACTTTTTCTGAATTCTTTGCAGTAAAAAAGGTAAAGCGCACATCCACGTGAAAAAAATACGAAGTCAAGATTGCGCGGAAACTTACGTCGAAATGTGCTGGCGGTTTTTTAACTTTTTTGAACATTTTTTTAGGCGATTGAACCCTTTCCAGATCCTCATCTGATTCTTCTTCACTGCTCTCTTTCGCTACAACAGGTTCATTAATCCATGCCTCCAAATTTAACCCATCAGGAATGGGAACTTTACGCTGAGCCTGGGCGGCCACAGGATTTAATTCTCCCGAATACAGCAACTGAACAGCGCCAGCAATTCTGTCGCCCCTTTCAGCCATTTTCCTCAAAGCCTGAACAACTTGGAGCAGTGTAGAAGCCTATAAGCAAAATACGAATTCACATAAGAATTTGCATTTAAGGACGCTTAACAGTGAAAGCTATTGCACCGATCTACTGTCGCGAAGCGTTATAAACAAATCCAGTCTGAGAGTTTTCACGAATCGATCACACTTAAAATACGTACTGTAATATACGGTACAAAGTGTTGCAGATCGATAGATAAGTAACCTGGTGCACAAAAATCAATAGACCAAAAAATGCAATAGATAATTGGCACTCAAATTACAGCGCCTCACCCTCTCCTGCACTTCAAGATCAGAACTGCCGACAAACATGGGCAACCGATCGACAAGCATCTGCCCGACCGCTTTCACGGTATCATAGTCGTCTTCCGCTTCCGCTTTGGCAATGACTTTAGAATAAAGTTTTCCGATATTCTGAACGTACACTGCCTGTACGTGTGCTGGATAGCTGATGACCTTCGACTTCAACATAGCTTCCATGGTCAAGCGTGGATCAATTAAGTGCCTGCTAAATGCCATTTAGAAAACAATAGAACCCACTGACTTTATTTTAAAAGGCGTGAAAACTTACTCAGAAAATTCACCACATATCCACGCCGCTGACAACAGCACTTCGTGTATGGTACTACCATGGGCAGTCAAAGGAAGACGATGGGCGTTTTCCAATAAAATAGCCTGAAAGATAACTCATCTAGTGTTTGACCTAACTCAACCGTTGCTATAAAATTCAGATACGGTTATACTTACCATTTGCTGCACTGTAAAATGGCGGATCGACGGCACACGAACAGCCACATCGAGCAACTGCGTAGCGATTTGCGATCCGTGATGAGTTCCTTCCATTTTTGTTAGGTCAACCAAAACACTAACGTACCTAAATTTCAAACACAAAAATAATTTTATAATTGCACAAATAATGAAACTTGAACGGTAAAAATAATACGCAACAAAGACGAACAATGTTTGCCGGACGAGCAATACCAGGAAAAACCATTAAGGAAGTGCATGATGGCCTTAATTAAACTTCGTTTTATACTTACCATTCGAAATCGACAACGTGCTGATAATTGTTCTGCGAACAGATATGAATAATTTTGGTTAAAAGCTCATCCCGATAAGTAGAGCCTTCAGCCTTGGCCATGTGATCCATCAGCTTTTTAACAATATCAATCAGTGTCTTCTTGCTGACCATCCCATATAACAAATCCAGTGCCCGCAGTCGAATGCTTTCATCCCGATCATCCAGACACTGCAGAATCAAATCTTTCAGAGACAGCACACTTTTCGGGTGGGCCTGGAGGATTTTAGACATGGCGAGTAAACCTAGATACTTCAGGTTTTGATCGGAATCCTCAATCAAAATGCGCAACTTTTGCACGCACAACTGAATGGATGATGTATGATCAGGTAATCCAGATGCCATGGACAGCAGCACGGCAATCACCGTATTGATGCATTCGTACAGAAGCGACATGGCCGATGTGCTGTGGATCAATGTAGTCAATGGTTCGATCAATTTCTTGCCCAGACGCGGTTCCAACGGCGTCAAAGCCCCGAACAGTTTGATAATCTTGATCAACATCCAATTATTGGTAGAATTGGTCATCAATTTAAAAAATGTCGGGGCCAAAGCTAAATAGTTTTTCGGGTGCTTTCGCGCCAGTTCACAAATGACATTGACCGCAGCAGACTGCACACCCGGATCGGGATCCTCAAGTTTTTCTTTTAGACGACCGAAACATGGTCGCAGCGCATCCGGGTATTTCAGAAAAACTTTGTACAGCAGAAGGACGGCACGCTTACGAATGTAAGGTTTGGATGAGGTCAGCAACGACATTGCCTGAAATTAAATTAAATCATTAAGATTTAAGATCACCTAATAAAACATAACAATTTAAAGCAATAACGATCAATCAAAAATCAAATGCAAGAAAGAATATTTAATGCAAAATTGGTGAAAACGTGTAAAAATTTTATTGCCTGCAGTAATACGATAGGTTAAAAACAACGCATGGCAACTTACGTCGTTCGCTAAATCTCTGGCTAAATCATTGGAAATAAAACAAGCTAGTCCGCCGAGTGCCACGCTCGCATCGTACAGATTCGGTGATGTTATATCTTTCCGTATCATATTCGTCGTCAGCATGAGTACTTCTGTATCCTCCGAGAAACTCTGCGAGGCAGCCAAATAGCCAATACGTTTACAGGTGAATTTCGTCGAGCTCATCACTTCAATAACGTTGAATGCCGCCCACGAAATATCGTAGCCCAACATCTGCAGATACGTCAGCTTCTCGATAGCGTTCATCTTCACCGCCATGTTATCCTGCTTCAGCTCCTGCTTAATCTCATCCAAGCACTGCGATATGTAGCGGGCCTGCAAAGCAAGACGATTACAGCACCACCATATGCGAGAAAGTGGCAGTGTTGACATACTTCGTTGTCGCGGTTATTGCGAATGCCCCGGACCAAATCCGTCAGGCTTTTGTCGAATAACCGTTCCAGGTTGCCTTTCACTTTCCGTAGAGCCATATCCATTGTTAAGGGTCCAGCCGAAGAAACCGCAACTCTCGGGAAAGACTGCGTCCACGGACGATAGGATCAGCTGCAAAGTTGCTGCCCCGTGTCAGCTTCTAACAACTTGCAAGATCACTGAATGACTGAATTCCATGATTATCTTCGTAAGAAATGTGCTACGGAAGGATATCCGGTCACAGCTAGAACCAGAGACCTACAAAAGTCGTGGTATGGTGAAGTCCATGCCTCACCCCCGAGCAGTATTGCAAAGCTTGTGACAGCGTAGCAGTAGTTGGAAAATTAAAATGCCAGAACTTTTACCTTCGAGGCAGACGCAAGTTGAATCTTTTGCTGCGTTGTACGTTTCGCTCGCAGCCCTTGTTTACGAAATTTAATTCTTCGAGTTACAGTTTAAGGAGCAATGGGAGCACTGCTGTTTATACAATTATCTCACAAATTTGGAAACTTTTCATCAAAGCGGCACTGAATTGTAACAGGAATTCTGTTGACAGAAACATTTTTATTTTTTCGAGACCTAACGATAATTAACACCGCTTTCTGTCCTTGGGGGCTTAACTGACTGCAGCGAGTCCCTGTAAAGTACACACCAGACAGGCAGGGCCAAAGTCAGGGCATCGTTTGGAGATTGCAGAATTAAGTTTGTTTTGGATTTAAAACACATATCATGGCTGCTTTTCAGTTTTCATAGCTCCGAGTCCTTAGAACTTCATCGGTCGCAATTTTTTTTGTGTTTAGCCGTTACGGTGATCCTTCTATTTTGAGGATAATTTTTATTTTATTGATTTATGACATCATATTTTTATTGATTTGCGTAACGGGATAACGCAGATCCGGATTACCAGATATACTTAATTTGTAATGTTATCGAATATCGACTGCCACTTTTGCGCTGGAGGATTTTAGTTTTTATGGAAATTCTCGTTATCAGAGCTGGGAGATTATGGATCGTGGAATCCTGAAGAAAAGATGAAAATTCTGTTGTAGTTTTGTTAATGTTTTCAGCGTAGTAGCGTGGAACAGGTTGAACCACTGGAGTGCCAGTTGTGCTGTACAGCCTGTACTCTGTGTGCAGTACTGTAAACTGTAAAGAGCGTTCTTGTTACCTTGTAGTTTTAGTTTCTCAGGTTTTGGAATTTGAATATAGTGGGGCGATGTAGTCATTATGTTTTCAGTGTAAACGCACTGTTTTATGATTGGCTTGTGAATTTTTTAGCTTGCTTTTGGTTTTAATTTTTGGCAAGTCACTTTGGGAATTTAATGGATCCCGGATTCGAGCGCCACTCGAATTTGATGATGATGCACGGGCAAATGCCGCAGCCCGGAATGGCTCCGATGGGGATGATGCACATGGCGCCTCATCCTCATGGACCGCAGGGTATGTCTATGCCTGACATGATGCCTGGGATGACTGCTGGAATGCAAGACAGAAAAGTTCTTCACGAGGCACCCAGCGGCCCACCGCCCCCGAAAAAGAAGAAAAAGTCAAGTGCCAAGTAGGTCTCAGCGAATCACGTTAATTAACTGTTAAAATTGGCTCATTATTGGATTTTTATTGGGAATGAAGATTGTGTGCGTATAATTTTAGGATCTCAGTATAAATTAACGGCCTTTTTAGTGAAATAAATCTGCGCTACCTCTGAGCGCGAAGCTGTTGCCTGTGCGTCGGGCATCACTTCAATGCTCCCTTTATTCCCTTCACAGTGTTTACGACACTTCATTTAATTTCTTGTAGTCTTGGTATTTATGCATATTTTTATTGGTTGGCGTTTATTTATCTTCATTTATGTCTATTTTCCACCGAGTTCAACTTAAACTAATTTCTTTACTAGAGAAAAATGCTATCGACAGCCGACAGGCTACGACAGCTGACCACGCTATTGACCAGTGACCACTAATTACACGTACATGGCTCTTTAGCCTTAACTGCAGAAAACGTAAAACGGGAGAGAAGGGGAGTTTTATGCTGTTTGTGCTTACGTTACGTAATTTTTTTCTGCTTTCGTAGATCTCAGCAGAACGCAGCTATTCCGCCGCCCCACGCAATGTCTGTGGGGATGAGCATGCCTGGTCAGATGGACTCCGGTTTAGCCATGGCTCGAGATACAGGCCCGATAATGGTGCAAAACCCTTTCGATGACTTTCCAGAGCAGCGTCATTCCGTTCCCATGCAGCATCCCGGCAACTTCCGCATGGGCGGCATGCCACCGGGGCATCCTGGAATGCCGCCTCCGCATGGCCAGCAGAGGATGCAGTTCGCTTCTCCTCCGCAACCGATGCCGCCCTATTCTCAACCGCCTCATATGCACCCCCATGGACCCAACATCAACGTGCAGCAGCTACAACATCAGATGGAAATGCGCTCCATTGGTCAGCAAGGGCCACCGAGGATGGGTCATCCCGATGCGGCCGGTAACACTATATATCCGGAAGATAAATTTATGGTCTTCAATTCTCAGAATCCCAATGCTCCGCCCATCTATCCCTGTGGACGGTGTCATAAGGAAGTCCACGAGAATGATCAGGTGGGCGGAAATTATCAAGTAATGACCGTAGAACTCGCTTATGACATTGAGACGGGGTTTTGTTTTGGTCATCTAGACGGTGTTTTGCGAAAGCGGATGCAATTTTTGGTTCCACCGCGCTTGCACAGGACTTACGGAGGCGGCTAATAAGTACTTGGCTATGGAGCATTATGCCGAGTGGATCTGCGAAAATTGTGTGCATCGTAATCCAGGCCCCTTCGTTAAACTGAAGCCATGATTTAAGGACAAAGATCCTCAGCGCCAAGGGTTGTTTGCCATGACGAAATGTATAAAATCAGCTATCATGTTCTGTTTGTGTGTAACAAATTGGTTGCTTTCCTTGTTCAGTAATTTATGTACGACGTTACTGTGTGGTTGTTGTTTTTGCATAGCACATTGTGCATTTTGAAGAATCATTTGGCTTCAGTCATTTTGATTCAGTAACTTTTAATTTACAGTTACAGTTTTAAAGATTCAACTGGTTAGTGGTTCACTTCAATTCCTCAAATTAAAAACCATAAGTACTTCTAGATATACGCAACGGTTTGTCTTCACGTTTAGAAATATACACCGGTAATAACTCGGATCAGTTTTGAGTGCGCTCACTTACTGTTTAATTTTTCTTACCATTTTTAAAAAAATTAGTACCCAAATTTCGCAAAATCGACATCTCCCAAAATAGTCTTTGGAGAATGGAGACTTTAAGTACAGACTGTACAGTCATTAAGCTGTCCAAAACTCTAAATTGGAAACCGCTTTGGGGTTTGTCGCTTTCTTCTTTTTTTGCAACTTTCTTCAGTCAGCAGTTAAATGCAGTGTATAAATAATAATTTTAAGTTTAGCTGCATTTAATGCCAATCCGCCAGTCCCTGGCGGATGATGCACTAGTAGTCAGTATACAGAAACGTGCTACTCTGCAGATGCTACGCGTAGGTAGGTACTTCGATGTGTAGGTGTTAGTTCTGAATTTTTATTTTTAAACATAGTTCACCGAGTTTCCACCTGATGGGTTGTTTTATGCAGTTCTTGTTTCCTTTTTTAGAAACCGTTGGTTCTAGCTTTTTTTACGGGAATGTCATACAGTTCGCACCAGCAACTGAAGCGACGGACAGGGAAATCTGGGAGCGAGCGTCGTATCTATTTGGGTCAACTTATAAGGGAAATACAAACCACCAAATCTAGATCGTCAAAGCAGCAGATCTTGGCGAATTTGGCAAATTTCGCTTATGATCCCATTAACTACCCACATTTTCATGAATTACGGGTGTTAGATGTGTTTCTGGAGCAGCTCCACTCGACCGATCCTCTTCTAATTCAGTTTGCATTGGCGGGATTAGCGAACAGCTGTTTGGATCCATACAATCGGGAGAAGTTAATCAGTCATGGTATTGTTTCTGTGGCCGTGGGATTTGCTGGAAACAAAAGCAGTGCAGTTTGTCTCTCCGCCTTGACAATCTTGTACTATTTTACGGATATTGGATGTAAGGAAATGTCGGATAGACCGGATTTCCTTGCAGTTCTGGATAGTTTAGCTTCGGGAGAAACTGGGCAAGTTCGGAATATAGCGTCGGTTTTAATCGCTGCAGTGTCCAGACAACGAAGAATGCTGACATCCTCATAGACCCATGGAAAATTCGAATTTCGGTGGAAAGCCGAGCTTTGCCTTCGTATTTCTCCAGTTTGAATGGTATGAGTAAAGAGCATGTACTGTATAATAAAAGATTGAAGATCATCGCAGGGTATTCGAGTGCTTGAGTCAGCTTGACTGCAGTTTGTGCAGCCAGAATATGTCTGAAATTTCTGTATCCGAGCCACACCAAGCAGCACACTGATATAATTATGTTGTTAATGTTGTTTAAGATTTTGAGTTATTTTGTTTTATGTAATGACTAATGAGTAACATCATAAGTCATTATCGGCAATATTTGCAGTTATTTTTGACGAGAAAACTCTTAAGGAGTGTGACTTTAATTGTGGTAAATCCGTAAATGGCACGATTTTGGTTTTGTTGGTTTTATTTGACTGATATTGATGTGTTATTCATGTTATTCAGTTTATCATAAAAGTTGTTATTTTCTGTCTAGGGTTCACTGGAGTTGATAGAGAGATTTTACAAAGACATTATGGAGCTTCGATTGAGCACAGAGATGCTAAGACATTTCGCTGGAGTGTGAAATCATTTACCACCTGAACTTAAATTACCCATTCACGCGTTAAATGAAATCAATGGCCGAATAATACGAAAATTCTGGACCATTATGTGGTTATGCCACTTCGATGCTTTTCGTTTTGTTTTAGAACTTGTGGTTGATACATCACGAATGACGATGTTGCGTTAAAGGCCAATCTCGCTCGGTTGCGTACGAGAAAGATAGAATTTGAGAATCTGTTAACTACTTAGATAACTTGCTTAGTATCTTGACTGAGATTACAATTGCTTTGCAAATTATCTATTAAATATTAGGAGGTAGACACATAATGGAAACGCAAAATGCTTGAACATGTTTGCGAAACGGTGTAATTCATTAACCAAGCACCATTCACTTCAAAGGCGAAACAGATTGTACAAAATAATAAAACAAAACGTATTGTATTAAATTTTATGAGTGCCGGAAGTGAGGTTAAAAGTCGACAACAAGCCGGTATTCGCAAATAGAGATCCTTCTATCTATATTTGTTGATACTGGTTGCGGTAAATTGTAAAGTTTAATGGTAGACAACTGAGCGTCGCCGACGTATGAATTGCACTGCAACCTTGAAATATTTATTTACAAAAATTTGGCCCAGCTTGTGAAATATTTTTATCAATTTGCAGCTTAAAAAACTCCGACTAGAAAGCACTAGTAGTCAGTTTGCTAATTCGCTGCGTACTACAGTACCGAGTACCCTACTACTACGAGTACAGATTTGAATTCCATCGTTTTTCTGGTAAATTCCAGAATGTGCATAAATTATTATGACAATCTGAATCTGCAACAACATTTTTAATCATTATTATCCCTGCAGAAACAGCTTTATATTGTTTGCGCAGTTTGACTACAATTTAATGGTAAGATCTCAAGTATCACGTTACGATGATTGTATCATGTATCTATATGTACCATCGAGGCATTACGAAAGCTACAGGCATAAAATCGACTGCGACGGTGTCAGGATAGTGGAGACGATGTACTGTGTCGCCCGTAGACTTACATTCAACTTTGAAATTCTAGAATTCCTTGTACCTTTGTTTATAAGTCTCCAGGAACACCTCAAAAGAAAGAGAATAATTTGTTGTTTCTTCTGATACTAAGTTAGCGCGGATCCGCTGCAAATTAGATGCGATATGAGTGTTTTTATTTAACATGGAAGTCTATGGAAGAAGCCTGCACTTGTGGCTATGCTTGTGGTGCGGATTTACTGTGGACGGCTGCAGTCTTCCGACTAAGTTGCTGACTATCTGTCACTATCAGTATGTGAACACTATCTGAAATACGAGTCCAGAAATTTATGTTTTCACTTGACTTTGTTTCCTGGACTTTAATCATTAAGAAAACGGCCATGGTTGCAGCTTAACCACTCTTTGAAGACACACCAGTACCTTGGCTCTTGGATCCACCATGTGCGAGGCCAAACTGCTTTTAACTCAACTTTTACCGCTAGAATTTTCGGGGACAGTGACGAAACATCATGTTTTTCAGTTTTAAACAAAAAAAACCCATTTAGACGCAAGGAAATTTCGTTCTGCTGGAACGCAAAGAGCGCGCAAGCCTATGGAGTTCGCAAGATCGGTCTCCTCCACCGTGACGTCATCGTACAGGCTGCCAGTTCGATTTTATGCCTTAGAGCTTTCGTAATGCCTCGGTACCATGTATCTACCACTATTGTTGACATTAGGCTGCATGCTAGCTCTAGCTTGCAGATTTCTACTCTCAGGGGCGTCACAGGTCTGGCAAAATGGGGGTGTCAAATTTTGACAGGGGGGCAAACTCAATATGAAAAATCAAAAAAATTGACGGGGGGCAAACGGTTTTCTGAAGTCAAAGTAATTTGACAGGGGTGTCAAATGACAATTTTTTAAATTGAACATTGATTTTTTGAGGCGAGGTTTACCTGAGAAAAATTTCAGATCTACCGGTTATGCTTAAGAATTTCTCTTATTAATAAATAAATTCAAAGCGCAGTGATGTTACATGTCACCGCCCGGCGCCCCTATATTCATATTATTGTATACTATTCATATTGCATACTATTCATATTGCAATACGCTAACGCAATATCCGTTCAGCTGTTGCCTATTCGTATAATACTATAATATATTATTATATATATAAATCAGGAAAGTTTCATATTTTTTGTAGAAGCCGAAGCGTAATATAGAGTAGCTGACCATGAGTAGCACCATAATACGAGCACCTCGTACCATGAGTAGCACCTCGTACGATTATGCCCTGTTTACTGTTGATTTATAAATTATTAGACCATGTGCGTTGGTTACTTGTATGGCCGACAAGTAAGGATCCATCTATACAAGTTACGTCATGACCGAACCCACACCGCGGCGATTCGCTGCCGCGCAAATTAGATGTATGCGTGTGTGAAGGCGGTGCCAAAAATCCATCCACGTAAGGCCCTTACGTGTATGCCTGTAACTCCACCTCTTTGCATGCATACATACAAGTAGCCGATCCAGCTGCCAGTCAACCTCGAAATTTCAAACGCTCGTTTTTCGTTTGCTTCTCAACGGATCTTCCCAGTCGACATATCAGAAGATGGAAAATTCAATTTAAAACTTTTTGTGATTAAATGTTCACGAGAAATCGACTTAAATCTGTCCTTTCTTGTGATTGTTTACTGATTAATAAGGCCTCGTCCCGCATTCGCAGCGAAGATTGTTATGATATAGCAACTCCACCTCGCGAGGTGGCTTCGCGTACCGTATCTGTAGGAGGCCACTGGATACAGCGCTACCTCGTACGGTTGAGCAACCGTACCATAACGAGATCGCTTCGAATTCGAGACGACGCCTAAAAGTTTCAGTAGATCTGAGCACGGTTGTTTCCTAGTCGTACTGTAAATTTGTAAATTTCTTATCGTAATTTAGAAAATTAAATAGCAGCAGCTCAAGCAAAATGATTTGACAGGGGAGTCAAAACTTGACAGGGGGGCAACTGGCTTCCAGAACCTGTAAAAAATTGACGGGGGGCAACCGGTTTCGAAAAACAGGGGGAGTCAAACTCCGAAAATTTGCCGGTTGACACCCCCCCTTTGACGCCCTTGTCTACTCTAGATGAGAGCGATCTTAGGGGGGATCCATAAATTACGTACGCAGCGAACCAGGGAGGGACGGGTCCAAAAAACGTGACAAGCTGTGACGGCCCCGGCGAACCCAGGGGGGAGGTGGTGGGCAGCTCCATGTGTTACGATTGAGCGGACCAGGGGGGAGGGGTCAAGCAAACGTGACGGACCGCTACGAAGGGGGAGGGAGGGGTGAAAAAACCGTGGTTTTCTGCGTACGTAATTTATGGATGCCCCCTTACCGCTTTTAAGTACGCCGATGAATTGTACTGACACTTACCCATGCTGACTGCCAGCGCTAAACGTTCGATATACTAATTCTGATTTGCTTCCACTGAAGTCATTAAAACCATAATATTTTTTGGATTATCGATCGACGATGTGGAACTTTGAGGGCAACGATGGAACTGATAAGAGTTGACTGATTACCATTCTGGAGAGAGCTGTGTGTGTTGACAACTGTAACGGTGTTTTGATAAGAGCTGTCTTGTGTGTTTTCCTGATCTGACTGCTGCATCAGATCATCCTTTTCTTACATATCCACATGTTAACTTAAGATGGAGACCCCGATGGGATCAGATAACGGACATGGATTGTCGGACGGTAGTGAGACGTCGCGTGTTACATCCAGCGGCTTTTTCGGTGGTCGACGACGTGCTTACATTGGAGTGGCCATTCTGTTCTTCGTCAATCTGCTAAACTATATCGATAGGTTTACCATTGCCGGAGTTTTGGATGACATTCAGGACTATTACCATTTGTCCAAAGCGCAGCAGGGCCTGTTACAGACTATCTTTATTGTCAGCTACATGCTGCTGGCTCCGCTGTTCGGTTATCTGGGAGATCGCTATTCCAGAAAGTTTCTCATGTGCATTGGAATTTTCTTCTGGTCACTGACAACACTTTTGGGATCATTCATTCCCGAAGGGGTAAGCGAAGAAAATTAGAAGCCTTTTTTATCTGGTTCAGCAAAACTTGTGGCTGCTCGTGTTTAAATAACGAAATGTATTATTATTTGTAGGAATATCGCTAATATTGAGCAGAAACGGTACTTATTAAAAATAAATTAGTGATAAATCTGTGCTGCGGTTAGTGCGGTTTATGATTGCCGCTATAGTATGCAAACATTTTTGTTTACACGTATTATATCACAATTCCACATTAGTAATTGTGGTGATTACACATTAGTAACTGTAGTCCATTCCGAAAGAATCGAAATCATCGCTAATGTTAGAGTATTTTAAGTACGTAACACTTTTACTTTGATTTGTAATTTTGTCGCGTAGTACGGCATATTTATGGCTAGTGGCAGCGTTGGTTACGTGTGGCGTTTTTGTAGTTATACTGGTTATTCTTCGTGATCCGCGGCTTGGTGGGCATTGGTGAAGCATCCTATTCCACAATCGCTCCGACAATTATTTCGGATCTCTTCACGGATAAAATGCGTTCGCGCATGTTGGGAGCGTTCTATTTCGCCATTCCCGTTGGCAGCGGTTTGGGCTTCATGATCGGCTCATCAGTGGCGAAAGCGGCTGGCGGATGGTGGTGGGCATTGCGGGTGAGTGCTGAAGTGTCGTTAAACTGGTTTTATCTCGCACAGTACTGGTTTAGGCGGACAATTATATCCTGTCTTGCCGCTGTATCGACGCATATTTGCAGGTTACGCCCGGATTCGGATTTCTTGCTGTATTCCTGATCGCTTTTCTGCTGCAAGATCCCCCGAGAGGTAGTGCAGAAGGCGGCACCAGCATTGAACCCACACCGTGGTCGCAAGATTTGAAATCTCTAGTTATTAAGTATGGGGCTTCCTTCCATTGCGTAATTCCCGGTTTTACTTGACACTTCCTGAGGGTGTAATTGTACCGTATTGTATTTCAAATGGTGTTTTGACATTTTAGCCGTAGTTTCATATGGTCTACGATGGGCTTCACTTGTGTGGCTTTCGTTGCCGGAGCATTATCGTTTTGGGCGCCTCAGTTCATGATGTACGCCGTCAGACTGAATTCTGGCGATCCCACGGTGGATCAAACATCGTAAGTGTGCGATGAGGAAACTATTATCACGAATTTGCAAGGACCGAATATTCACACACTGGCCAGTTGGAACATTAGCAAACCCTTCTTTTGTTTCAGTGTTTCGTTTACATTCGGAATCATCACGTGTTTTGCGGGAATCGTGGGAGTGGGCTTGGGTAGTTTTGCGTCGCAGAAACTGAGGAGTAGATCCGTTCGAGCCGATCCATTAATTTGTGCAACGGGAATGTTGGCAGCAGCGCCATTCCTGTATTTTTGCATTTTATCATCACGATATTATCCTAGTTTGACTTGGGTATTTTGAATGATTCTGCCGACAATTCTGCTGACATATATCTAGATATTTCAGCGTTTTGTTGTCGTTGCAGGCCCTGGTATTCTTTGGAGAAACGCTATTATGCCTTAACTGGCCGATCGTTGCCGACATGGCGCTGGTGAGTTAATCACCAAAACTACGTAATTGTTGCTGTACACGATAGTGCTGTATTTGAGGGATTGACGCATTGGAGTTAAGTAAACACGATACTACGGAGTACGGAAGGTGATAACATGATTCGGAATTCTTAATCTTTTTGTCGTTTCCCGATGTTTTCAGTTATTTACTTGCTGTTTCGATAAGTGTTTGTTGCACTTTTACAATGAGAATTGGTTGGCAACTTGGCATACTTTCAGTATGTTGTTTTGCCCCCTCGGCGGTCCACAGCAGAAGCCTTTCAGATCTTGGCCAGTCACACCTTAGGGGACGCTGTGAGTCCTTATATTGTGGGTGCTGTATCCGACGCTGTCAAAGCATTGCGACCCTGGGAAGGTGATTCTAACTGGAACAACTGGAACAGTTTGCAGGTTAGTTACGATTACGGAATTCGATTATACTAAATTGAGTTCAACATGAAGTGAAAGAAAAAACCTTGTTCAGGACGCCTTGTACGTGACAACGTTTGTCTGCGTTATCGGAGCCCTATGCTTCGTGATAACATCATGGTACGTGGAGAAAGATAAGCGGGATGTGGATGTTGCCATCAGTGAAGCAGCCTTTGTGTCCAGCGCGGTAACTTTATCACAAAGCGGGAACGGATCAAACTACGGAGCGGAAGTTAACACAGTCAGGAGTACGTGAGCCGGCGTCGCTCCTTATGATGGCATTTAAATGCCATCTGCTCCACAGTTGTGATAGTTTTTCCAGATTCCTTGTTAGGACGGTGATTTTATTATTTAATTGTGTAATATCTTTTGTTAACATTTATGAATGGCACCTCGCGATCGGCGTTAAATATACGTCATGATCTCCTTATCTACTCTGTATTTTGTGATTTTCTGGCGTGTTCTGAGATGCGCGGTGTGCTATCTGCTGAATATTTTTTATGCATATTGTTCAAATCGTCAAAAAATATTTTCACCTCCAAATTAATTTTATCGACTTTATGGGCATTCGTTAGGCTCAGCACAGCGATTTTGTAATTCATTAAAGAATGTGTTCCACTTACATGACAGGTAGACGATGTAGGTATTGAACATGCGAACTTGGGGATATTCTATGGAATATGGTTAGGAAAATTCCTTTGTGTATTGCACTTTGACCAACACTGCACGGACAACTGATGCTATCCTCTGAGTGAAAGGTAACACATGTTTCTACCAAATGGCACTTCCTAACCATAAGTTTTGTATGTAGCTGTTAACTTTTGCAGTACAGCAGTAATGCAATGTGTATTTATATAAAATGTTACTGTTCAACCGGTATGTGCAGCTGCATGTTTTTTAACGCTGGGTAATATTTTTACTAGAAACTTTGGAATTAAGGTATCGTTCATCATTTTATCGTGCATAATTTTGCTCTGGTGAGCGAAAATGCCGGCAGCCAGCTTTAAACTTGGACTGTGGGAGAGTCTGAGGAACGCAACAGATTTCATGAAGCACTTTTATCCAGCTTGGGAAGTGGCAAAATTGCTTGACTTTTCTTAAAAAAGCGATAAACACAGCCTCGAATGTGCACCACCATTGACTACGCGTCACTAGTTCACTTGGTTTTTACTTCTGTGTGTGCTCACTGCTTACTACGGTTTTAATTCGATATTTCACAGGAACTTCGGGAATAGATTCGATACTGGTAATTACCGTGATGCGGCAACTCAAACGTTGCAGTGGAACGCCCCGCATGACGAGAAACGATTGAAGAGCACTCTGTGTTGTTCTGTTTGTTTGGACATCTTCCTGGATCCTGTGACCTTGGGTTGTGGTCACTCCTTCTGTTTGATCTGTACAGCCAAAACCTGGCAGCACAGAAGTCGAGAAGCCAAATCAATTGTTTGTCCTTGTTGTAGACACGAGCAAACCGGTAAGAACAAAATTTATTGAACTTTCATATTCCTTGTCGACTGTGATGGTGTAATTTGTTCGAATCAGTCTAATAACTGATATTGTAGAATTCGCAGTGATCAATCGTTTGCTGCGAGAAGTTGTGCAAATCTGTTACCCAATGGAAGAAACCCATCGTAGACTAAGTCTAAGCAACGATGATCTACATATAATAAATGTCACTACTAAGCGGTGGCAGGAATACATCAACACATCACGCAAATATCACGGCCGGATTAAAGCCTTCCGAATATGGGGACAATGGATGTTACAGGATCCCTTCGTAGGACTGACCTTGTGGTTCGCGGCGTTAGTGCTGCTTATCTTGGCGACTAACTAACTCAAATTGACCTTTTGTGCAAAAGCGAGAGAATTGTACTTAGACTGTATATATGGAAATAAAATTCTGTAATTTTGTTTCGATAATTGTATCACGTCGCTCACTAAAGTATATTATGCGATAGGTCAACTGTTTAATACTTGCACGCATGTGTATAAAAATTGTAAGAAACGATAGTATTTTTATAGTCCTGCATACCTATGTAAATTATTGTACAATAATTGTACGATCATATAGTCCATACAGCCATGCTTTTGACATATGGATGCTACGATACAGTACTATATACCAGTTGCAAGTCGAGCAATTAAAGATGCGGCCGAAACGCTCGTAGAAACGACAAATGTCTTGCGCATCTAATTGGCATCCATTACGTACACTGAATCGCACTGCCGTGCAGTATCTTCATCCAAATAAGATTTAAGCATGTGTATGTTTTTACTTTACTAAACTAATGACTTGAATAGTTTTTGCGCCACTTAATTGCTGCTTATCGTAAGGGTGTTGGTAATGTTGGCTAACTTTCTACGTGCAACAATTGTCAAGGTAATAATCAGCGCCGCAGCCGGTCACACCGATCGCAACACACGCTGACCGCGCCACGTTCTGATTCCGGCGCGCGTCCACGGATAATGTTGTTTTATTTATTAGAGTTTTAAAACTTGTATTACTTTTAGCTGCAAGAAGTAATTAGCAGCAATAATAATTAATTGTGGAAGTGTTGCTGATGCACTGTTTGGCAGTATGATACTGCAGCTAGAACCCAGTTTTACATAGTTTCGCGCCAAATGCATGACGTAAATGTTCGTGAATGCAAAGCTTGTATAAGTGGCAGATATCGCTGGATTACGTGATCCCGCTATGAGAGCAATTAATTTGCCTCTCAACACTGCTAAACAAAGTCGTACCACCCGACTAATTTATTTAAACCTCAGTGTCTAAAGTTTCGATGTGATGTTACCGAATGTGAATTTCTCCGACGCGCAACGGTCGTCCTGGTGGAAATGAGATCGTGAGGAATACATTTGTATATTATGGACACATCGCGGGATCAACAAGTGTTTTCGGGGGACTATTGCAATCTTTACGGACATAAATGGATAACAATATAACAAAATATATAGTCGCTTGCTGATGAATATTGCGCAATAATAAGGAGGGTGATCTGATATGAATGGAAAGCGTGCATTATGCTGGTCCTGTTACGATGGGGGCAGCCACAGTCAATCCCGCTTTTGATTCCGAAAAGACAGCTGCAGCAGGTATGCATGTTTACAGTATTAGCACTCCGTCTACGCTCGGAGATTCTTCGCCCTCCAGCAGCGCTCAATCGGAAAGGTCATCGCCTGCATGCACTCAAGGTTGGCCGAAATTAGCACTAGATGATCGGACTTATCGGTAAGTCAAATGCTGTAACAAGTATGTATACATATAATGTGTGGCAAAACGCTTTATCGGGAATTCCGAATTAGTTGTTTACTTACTTTTCAATAATTAGAGGATTACTGTGTAAGCACTCTACCTAATATCTTGCAAGATCCACCCTGAACTGTACAGCTCGCATCGGGTGCGCTTTACCGCAGTATAATAAGGACTGAGTACGCTAAAAAATGTATCTAATAAGGTTCACAGGTCTGCTCGATCTAACCCATTTTATAATCTTAATTAACTGAGTTTTGTATAATATTATGTGTGTACGTCACCTTAATTTAGAATCATAACTTATAAGCATTAGATGATGTCATAAAGTTTGCGATATAGATATAGATATAATTTAGAATCATAACTTATAAGCATAATAGACGATGTCATATAGTTTGCGATATAGATATCATATAGATAATATGATAATATAGAACAGTATTAACATAATCGTAACAGTATAATATCTTGCATTGCTGCAATAGTAATGTATAGATGTCTTGCCCCTTAAACCGTCTTTCTGAGAATATTACCGTTAAATGTACATGTTTAAACTTCGGACAGGGAAACATGTCGTAACTAATTTGATGTCTGCTTATGCTTAGGATTGGGAAACTACTAGGGACATATCCATATTTGGCCATGATTATCGCCATCTCGGTGGTGGGCACCGGTTCCATGGGATTTCTCAACTTTCACCTGGAATCTCGGCCCGAAGAACTGTGGACAGATCACTCATCAGCGGCGTATATGGCAAAGCGGACTGCTTTGACCTTTCCCGTCAGTGATCGCATTCAGCTCACTATTCTCATCACAGCGCCCAACATTCTGACCTCGGATATTGCCAAACTGGTAGTAATGTTCTTTTTCTTATGCACTTAAAATTATCTTTAATCTTTCGGTTACGGTGAAACAGATGCAGCAAATTGATGACACGATCGAACATTTCAACGCGCGCGGCAAATCTTGGAGTGATCTATGCTACCGGTAATGCATTAAATTCAGTCACTGTATACTGCTTTGCATTGCATATGAAGTCACAATGCCACCCGCATTATGCCTAAGTACAGAGTATGTTACTGCAAACGCTTTTGCAGGAAAAATCAAGACTGCCAAAACTTCTCGATTTTGAATATCCTCAGCAAAAGCACCATGGAAAAATACAGTACGGATTATATTCTTTCCGTGATCAATCAACCCGGGAAAAGGTGGGTTTATATTGCGGGGGTGTGTCTCAATTCTGCAGTCGACAATAAGTCCACTGTCCACTCAACCAACCTTTTTGCGCCTGCTTTACGTGTTGTAGCAAAACTGCGACGTAATTAATGGTGAAAACTGTACTGCGCTGAGTATTCATAAGTAAAACGTTAAAAATAATTGGTGAATATAATTCGGGAATAACAGGAGCCAAATTAAATAAATTCCTAGTTTTATTCAAGCTTTACAGGTTTCACCCACAGCTTAGTTATACAGCATTTCTTTCCAACAATAATACGATTAAATCTTAATTTACTAGTATACCTTATTTGCAGAAAACTTACTTTGCTCCCTCCGTATTTTATTTCCCCCGAAGATGTCCTGTCTGGCATAAGTACCAACAATTCCGGCCATGTTGTTGCTGCGCGCGCCACTCGCATGGTGTATTTCATCCAGAAACAAGAGCCAGACAAAATCACACGGGAAAAGCCGGTAATTCTTTAAAACATTTATTCCTGAAGTGATAAGCGCGCAGCTGTCCAGAGAATTTTATCGTTTGCAGATAGAACCAGAGGAGATGCTGCGAGACATCATTGTTCGAATCTTCGGACAAGGATTTGGCCTGAGCGGGACATCGGTCACCGCTTCGATAACTTACGCGTTGAGTATAATCCCGAACAGTACAGATATTTAAAATAACCGCAGCATCAGACGTCTATATAAAAATTCTTTGTTTAAGATGCAAGTAAATTTTTTGCTTTAATCAGCCTAGATCGAAATTTTGTTTGAGGACATACACGTTGTAATTCGCTTCTGATGTAATCACGCAGATGCTAAAGACAAACGATCAAACGCGGTACAGTTCTTAAGATTGACCTGACCATTTATTTCGAAGTGTTCATGACTTGCATCGGTACTTCGTATGTTTCGAAATGCAATTCATAATGTTGCAGCAGTATAGCATTCAGGGTTTTAGATATATCATCTATATTATGTTTTTGCAGAGATGGGGATACGATGCACTCTGCCGCTTTTGTACCGTTCGATTACTTTCCCAGCCTGATTTACGCCTGCATTGCCTATTTGCTGTTGATATTCCTGGCGACCGGTGCATACAGTGTAACACGGCATGGATTTTGGCTAGCGATCTGCGGTCTGCTGAGTGTTGTACTAGCGATGGCTTTCGGATTCGGAATCGCTTCCGCTGTGGGATCACCGTTTACTCCCATTCATTTTATTTTACCTGTTCTTATACTGGGTCAGTTTTTAGTTTTTACTATACAAAATTATCGCTTTAATACTTCATGCGATGAAAGTACTTACAATAAGTAACACTTTTTGCGTTCATCATTTCGCGGAAATAAGTACTCGTACCGGTAAAGCACAAAGATGTAAAAACTTATTGAAAATTTAGGAATGTCCATATTCGGTTTCCTGGCTATGGAAGTTGAACTCCGTGCCATTTCCGACACCCGTCCAAGTTTGTCCGGAAGCGAAAAGATGGGTGTCACGATGCAGAGGAGTTTCGCCACACTTCTACTGTGCCTGCTTTCCAATGTGCTAGTGTTTGCTGTGGGAATAGGTTCGGTAGGTTAGCGCATTTTTAACACGCTATTAATTTAATTTTCTCTGACTACGAAAGAACCCAGTGTTATGCTGCAGAGACTGCCGGCCGTAAGGTCATTTTGCGTTTACGGCGTAACATCAGCGGTGGGAATTTTCATCTGTCAGATATTGTTCTTATTCGGCTGCTTGGCCGCATGGCAGCGTACGTACGAGAATTCGGCCAATGCCTGGATCTGCTGTCTGAAAAAGAGCGCTAGATCCGAAGAAAAAGCGTACAGTTTATATGCTTTCTTGAAGCCGGGCTTCGGGTTTCTCGCTTCCAATTTAGCCGACAATATCGGCAAAGTAAGACATAAAATAAGAAAGTATCTTTCAAAACAATTTTTACCGCTACCTTCTCCCATTGGTTCATTCGCCCACGTTGTTTAGTATCGTGCCGTTGGACTCCATTATTTTAAGAAATTCTTTTTAGGGCATTGTTTTGCTGGGAATTGCGGTGTTGACTGGCGTTTGCATCTATTTCCTGTTTTCACTCCGCATAATGTTTGACCTGGGACGGTTTGAGACCAAAAACGAAGCGGAAGTGCTGTTCCCGGACGACAGTAGTTATTTCCATTCGATAGATAATACTATGGCTTGCGTTTATTTGAGCAATATTCCTTATCATCAGCGACAATCCGAATTGAGGACCTTTCAGAGTTACCTTAAGGAGCATGCTGTTATACGGCCACGAAGCGTTTCCAGCTGGTTGGATTATTTCGACGGCTGGAAACAGGATGAACAAAGGTCACAGGAAAATACGGCATCAGGTACACTTTGGTGAACATTTTACGATCTTGTATTACTATTGATTTTTTTGTTACCAAATATGTAATTATAATAAATTTTATAGTGATTAAAATCTACTTAAATGCTTTTATCAATTTGCGCAACGCAACTTCCCTGGTACAGTTGAATCGGCATGTAAGTAGGAAACTGAAGTACTAGTGAATTTATCGTCGGATCGGCATATGGCGATTTTGCTTACGAGTAATATTCTGCACGTGAATAAAAAGATGGTGTTCCAGGTTTCTTAACGCTAAGATCGGACAAGGCTGCTTACTATCAAGATGTATTCCAGTTTGTGTTCGACAGGAAGTTCCAAGAGGATGTTCTGTTGATCAGAAAAAGTGACGATCAAATAGAAATTCAGGTACCAGTAATTAAGTATTATGTAATACTCGTAATTCAGGTACTAAAACTGTTAGAACTAAAGACAAATGTGTGCAAGCACCTGTTTGTCTTTGCATGCGGTATGCCATATGCTCCGAATTCCACTATATTTCTTACAAAGCACGTGCAGTATTGAAGCTTACAGTAGTGATACTCTAAAAGGAACTGATCAAATTAAGTATGATCATAATTTAGTCAGCAAGAATTTGCTTCCGCTTTCGCGCTGGTCTGTCGACTGAAAACTATTCTTCGGCTGTGGATAATATCAGGAATGTTGCGAGTGACTTGCAACTGGGCAGCGCCCTGGTGGACTGCAAAATGTTACTGGAAGTATCCGTGCAGAAAACTGTGATGGGGGAATTCTGGGTTATGTTTGGAGTGTATTTTGCTGTTCTACTTATTATCTCGGCGCTGGTTATACAAACTATTATTTCGGCGCTGGTGATTTTTATCAGCTATGCTTTAATCGCGGTACGTGGTCATCGATTTGTTTTAGTTGTTGTTTCGCTTAATGTGGTATATTTCGGTTTTGCAGATCCAGGCAGTTGGCTTACTAGCTAGCCAACCGGAAGTAACGATGGATAGCCTTTTATTGATTGTACTGTTTTGTATCCTCGCCATTGTGTGCCAAATAGTCTATTATACTGCAGCCAAATTCGTTCAGTTTTCAGCGCAACGTAAACGCAAAGGTCAGCGGGCACATGTTAATTTTCGGCAAAATACACGTGATTTACTGACACAATATTGCATCCATAAACACGCATCTACCAGGTTCTCTTTTACACATTTTAGCTCGTCTCAAAGCCACAATGATCTCCTCGGGGCCAGCATGTCTGGCGTGTGGATTATGTGCCATAGGCATTTTTGTGCCATTTTTTGCAAGTTCGGTGGAAGTATTTAGAGATCTCCTTAAGGTAATAAGTCTTCCCGTGAAGTTCATTCAGGATGCCAAATAATCTAGTTTGTAAAAAAGGTTCGATTATGGAAATTTTGAAAATACAGTAGTATACCGTACTGTGTCAAAGTAATCTAGAAATGCGCAAATGTGGTTTTGTAGGTTGCTTACACAAGTGTACCGGTCGGCCTGGTGCACGCATTCCTCTTCGTGCCCGTGGCACTGAGCGCCGCTACACCGGAATCCCTGACATCGTACACGATGCGGCTGCGTCGCCGGCTGCGCCGGAAACCAGCCCAATTATCCCACGATTCCCTGCATTACGACGGCGGAAGTGGTAGTGGCGCCGCGCAGCCAGCGGCGGTGAATCCGGAACCGCCTAACGATCAAGTGCACTTTGTGGCCCGCCACAATCCACCCGTGCTGCCTAACACGTCCAGCACGCTCACCGCCGGCAGCGTCAACAGTGTCAGACTGCACTATAAAAATGCCGAACTGCGAGCGGTTCTGGAGAGTCTGCCCAGTGTGGAGCGGGAATCGGTTGGCGAAGGAGGAGACGCCGGTGTGAGGCCGCAAAATGCCGGTTCGGTCAATGATTCCGACGATTCACTGGCACACGTGGAAATACCCAGTGGACCAGAGGATGGCGAAGGCAGACGGTGACCGGCGATGTCTTTTACATCTTCTCTAAATCACCCAACACAGACCTTTTTTAAATGATTATGTAATATCGTTTGTCTTAAAGACATAAAATATCTTGACATAAAAAAATTTATAAGCAGACACAACCGTATAGTGCATCCTTTTGATTTAGCTGCAAGGTGTACAATTTGTACACATTCCTTCCTACATCCCGAACAGATGCTGATGTGAAGTTGTAGCGTAAATAAATTCATTTAAAATATTTTATGCCAAATTGCAATGATACATACGAATAGAATCAATAGTTCTGTTGCAAACCAAAAGTTTATATCTTCGTCTTACTTAAATTGATGTCACTATAAATTCTGGTTGTGACCTGCAGCTAAACACTTGTTTATTATCGGTGTAAAGATGCTGATAGTTTTAGATTTTTTATACACCCTAGATTTTTTTCAGTACAAATGTTTGATTTGCCTGATTAAACTTTTAAGTGACGCAACTGACCGATCAAACAGACCGCATCGCTGGCTAATTTTGCGTTTGGGCATGTAAGTACGAGTAAAACACATATTTTTAAATTTTTTTGTATTATTTATTTCTTTGTTCCGTCCGTACGAAGAGCAGCTATCATAATTATAAACCCTTGCGCTCGTTTGATCGACACCGCACATATTTGTACGAAGCTGTGTAATTAGCGCATTACCAACCTCTAATCTAACGACCGGCAAATGTTGATGTGATACACATGATAATTGTTATGTCGACAACTTATGTCAAGGAAGAAGGAAGTGTCAAGGGGAATAGCCAACGCAACGTTAAACTGCAGCATGCGAAAAACAAGTATGCCGATTGTATGATTTAAGCCAGTCGGCGTCATTGCCTTCACTGTCTGGTAATCCGCAACAAAGCCAGCGACGCGAGCATGTTGTGTGTTTTTTGATTATCAGCGTGCGGTCGCGCATGTCCAATTGCGCCTATAATATTACGTACTGATGTACCGCTCTTGCAGTCTTCACCAACAGCACTCTCTCGCGCATCTGCTCGATCAATTTCTTTTCTGACTGCAACATCTTCTTTAGCTTATCTTGCCGACTGCACACAATTGCCAGTATCAAGTTTTGTACTTTTTATAAAACTGCCGTTGCGGGTATACATGTATACGATAATTTACTTAGGAGCACTGAATTGCGTCCACGTGCTGCTGATGCGCCGGTAGCGATCATTAGCTCAAAAAGTCATTATTTCCCCATTATCTTGTCCTCAGATTACGGCTATCATTACCGGTATCATCATCCCTGACCCTCGGAGTTTTAATCGCTGTACAAAATCTCCACCGGTTTTTTTCTGTTAAAAAATTCTACTCGCATTCGACTCAGCAGGTAAATATATATAAGCGCAGCCATTCCTAAAACATTTTGAGCTGTTAAGAACTAAATCACTTTGCAAGTTGCAGTGTACTGAGGGAATATAACATGACTACTCAAGAACCGGCGATCTTTCATCACACTCCCGGAACACCCATCGTTGTTCCCAACGCGGTAAGTGCCATTTCGAAATTTATATGCCTATAAACGGCTAAACACTGAAATTAGGTTATTTAATTAATTGTAATTTAATTTACCTTAAACTGTGATTAATCAATGTATTAATTAGAGCACTCACATGACACGACTGGTCTTTGTATACACAAGTGAATATAAATTAGAAAGAAAAGATAAACAGTTAATTGCTTCATATACCATAAGTTGCTGCATGTGTCTTATTTCCTAACCCAATGGTCATAATTATGATGCCGGTAACATGTATTACAGTATCTATGTGCATAAGTGCAAGGCATCAAGGTGATGAAATAATTTTGACCTTGGTTTCGTGGTAGCGCGAGTCTGACACTTTAAACGGATTACACGGCTACTTAATATAGGGTTTATGTGTTGTGCATTCGGCAGTACTTTAATGTTTACAAATTAGAAAATATATCTTTTAAATCAGGCAGACAGTAGTAAGTACAGATATATATGTACACGGACCAAAGGCAGCTTATTTACAATTTACAAACATACTCCGTATAAAAAATGTTGCATGAACATGCACGATGATTCAGCCCTACGTTAAAATTCAGCAGAATAAGAGCAAATTATAATTGGTCGTGGGTGCTTGAATTCACATTTGCCGTCGTACGTGTACTTTTATTATCAAATCGATGCTTCTTTGCAAGAGTTTACAAGTCATGACCACGTCACGTTGGCCACGGCTTGGGTAATCGGTTTGTGGTAGATGACCGTAGAGTACGGACATCGAGACGTTACGTTACGTTTCCTTTAATTAACAATTATCGTATTTAATTGTATAGTGCAAGAACTGAACTGTATTGGGTTAATTACTGTAATACTGCACAGGTTTTGATAAAAAATTAAGTACGTTTCAAAATCCGGCAACGTCTTTATACGAACGGGCGTTAACAAAAAACCCTCTACAATAAATTTTTCATTCTATCGACCTAAAAATCATTTTGCCTATCTCTAACAATTGTAAGACGTGACAGGTGGCCATTAGCGTGGAGAAGGAGACACTAATCGGCGAAAACGGTGAGCCGCTGTACCGTTGCGGGTTCCGAATCGGCGGTGGCATCGACCAAGATCCCCGGAAAAGTCCTCATGGATATCGCGACCATGTACGTATAATTATCTGTAGAATAGGTACACATATCGCATCAGTGCGCATGTTTGAAATTTGAAGTACCGAAGTCTGGATGCATGGTGGTCACCGCTCGGATTGGCGTAATTAAAACCGTATTATTTCTATCGTTTAAATGAATGGCGTGTATAATAACATTATTGATTATGTTGTGATTAAAAGATTATCTTGTTACACCATGCACGCACACACGTACGGCAAGGATAATCTGTATCTTCACAAAAGATGCGCTAATTCTGTAGGGAATTTATGTCACCGGCATCCACGAAGGAACTCCCGCACATCGATCCGGCCTGCAAGTTCATGATAAGCTGCTCCAAGTATGTGTAATCCCCCTCACGCAATTTTAAATGAAAATTTATACACATCGCCATTTCGAATTGTTTGCCTCAAGTCCATAAGTACAATTTTCCCATTTTGTCGAATCTTTGCGATTGTTTTTTATTTGAATACTTAACGATCCCTGCCATTTCAAAGAATTTTACATTGCAAGTGGCTGTTTTTTACTGAGTGTTTACCTAACTGCATCATAATTTATCCGATAACTGAAATCTGTATCTTTCACTGAATTATAGACCCAAACCAGTCAGGAATAATGAATTTAATGTTGTGAAAAGATGCGTGTACCGTACGTGTGTGTGTACGTGTGTAGGATGTTTCTCCATTTTTGCGAAAACGTTTTAACAAACACACTATCAAAGTGTACGCCATTACGGCCATGAAGACAAAGTGCTCTGATCTGTCGTAAAAATAAAATATTCGCATTTCTGTATAAACTATTGCTGACAATTTCACCATTTTACGTGTCACTTGTCCGAAAAGCTGAACTTTTTACAGGTAAATGGACACAATTTCACTATGGTCACTCATAAACAGGCTTGCGACTGGATCAGCAAATATCCCGTGCTTAATATTCTGATTGCGAGAAAAGATAATTAATTTTTAAATTGTTCACATCTACAGACTACAATATCCCTGATTTTTATATGTCAGCGAACAGAATATATCTTTAATGCTTGCAATGTGCGACCAGTGTCTTGTTATTTGTGCAAATTTACAGTAATCGATATTCCGCTGCCGCATATATTCCACATATATTGTACTGTAAATTATTGCTTTTAAAACAAAGAATTAATTACGTCATTGTTGGTGTGGACGGGATTTGTATGTGTTAGCAGTGTAACTTTTTAGATTAGTTGACATGATGTCTTCATTGCTAACCCATGTTGCTTACCATACCGGCAATCGGATAGTGTGATACATTAAGAGTTTTTTTTAGTTAGCTTCATCACAATTCTTTCGAATATTTTTATTTGCTAACAACCAATAAAATAAGATATAAAGAATTAATTGTAATTCCAGCCTAATCCGCTAACGGAGTTAATTGCCGTCTGAGTTACAAAAGTTCCCACTACCACTGTTTAGTAAACATCAATTCCGCTCGCAAAACAGCAGTCTTGCCGATATTCCAATGATAACATTCAACTCTGCTGAATGACAGCACAAGTCTACAGAGTACAAGTTCCGTCCATATCCATATCTCAGAAGTAATCGATCGATAATAAAAGGAAGTATAATCGTATTATCATGGATAGTCATACATCATATCCTCCAGAAGATCCAGTGTATAAAATGGGGATACTGCTCCTTCGCCATCGCTCTGAGAAGCCTGTAGATACAGATACAGATGTCAATATAGCGTGAGTAACAAATCCCAGATTCGTATCGGATTTATTTAATGCTTTATTGCTCTTTTATTTCATATTTCATTGAAATGGCAAAAGTCTTTCAAATATTGTTGGCAGTAAACAGACTATATCAAAACCAAGTCTCTACTAACTTATACAAACGAAAGAAGCAATGGAAAAGCAAAACATTTTAATGCCTGACATACTTACAGATACACAACAAACGGGTGCAAAATTTAAGATGTGCCTAAACGTGAGCACACAAATTCGGAAAAATAAGGAAAAATGAAAAAACTTACTTGTGCCGCGTCGAGGACATCCTGCGCTCGGTTAATAACATCAACCAAACAGTCCATCATCTTGACCTTATCGTTGCCCTCGGCATTAGCCAAATTATTCTCCACACGGTCAAAGATCTTCCCAATCATTTCTCGTAATCCGGTAGATGTCAGATGACGCAGATCCGTGGGATCAGGTTGCGGATCAGTTTGGGAAGCGCACGCCACCAACTGCAGAGCGGCAACTTTTGCCGACGCGTTGGCAATTCTTTGGCTCTTCCGGTTGAGCGGCGTGTCCGACGTATCATGCGTACTGGTTATCTTGTCACACAGCTGGACCTTCCTATCACAGCTTACGCATGACAACATGGTAATCTGTTGGAAAGATGGCTCGTCCGTTACCGTGGATTTACTGGACGTTGCTCGACATGAGTTTCTGGTTGTGTTGACAGTTTTTTCCGGGTTGTCGGGAATCAGAGAGGAACGGGACTGTTCGGAAGAACCTTTCTTTTTTCGCTGCTTAATGTTGGATTTGACCTTAGACGCGGCCTGCTCCACTGGAACAGACTTCCTGTTCATTCGATCATTTAATTCCGCGCTGTAATGCCGGCGAAAGAGATCCCACGTTGGAAGCAATTTGGCAATATCCCGGTCACGCCGGAAGAAATCTTTATACGCGTCCACTGGATTAGATTCTGAAGTAAAAACATAATCGCGCAGTAATTCCAGTGCCGCCGCCTTCTGGTACAAATGCAAGCAGCGTTCAAAGTCCGGCGGATGGCCGTGATCGGTTTGCTCGACGATCGTCTTGGTAGTGTCGGAAATGAGGAGAGTGCCCGGACAGGAACCAGCTGCACCGACACTGCGTTGACGCCAGCACGTGTACAAGGAGCCGTCCCGTTTGGAGATCTTCCGGGCAAAATTATACGCATAATCACGGTGTATAATCGGCTGGCTCGGACAACAGATGGCTACGTATTCGATACGGTCGGGGTCATCGCTTTTGACGCTGTCCGGTGCGTCTGTGGAAGATGTCACAACGGGCGAGGCAGTTTCATCTACGTCGCTATCGTCATCCGCAGCAGCTGGCACCGGTTTTGCGGGTGATAGCGAAGGCTTTTTGGGTCGTTCTTTGAGCACCGAACTTTTTGCATTTTGCGGTCGGTGCGTTCTTTCAGAAGGACTGCGGTCGCTGTTAAACAAGTCGACTTATTGCACATATTCCGCGCTAATTTGATTGCAACATATGTCAATCGTGTTTGGGCTTACGCTTTTGCAGTGCGTTTTGGTTCCCGAACGTCGTCACTGTTACGACTACATGGTCGCGATAATGCGGCACTTCTGTAGAACAAATCAGTTGTCGTTATCAGAGCTACTGGATCAAAGCCGGAACCCTCATTTAACCAAGCTTCAACGTAACAATGTGAGAATGACCACAGTCCACTTCAAAAATTTGTGTTCCCTGATAACTCCATGCACTTTATTGTACAGTGGTAATGGAGAAAAATGGTAAGTAATATAGAAAAAGTACAACTTACGTGTGACGATGTAATTCTTCCAGGAGATGAGAATTCTTTCTCTTCCTTTTCGTCAGGAAATCTCCTGAACCCTTGGGTGACCTGGAGCGCGTGCGAGAGGAATTCCGAGATTGACCCTCCGATGAAAGGGATTTATGTCGTTTTTGCTTTTTTCCAGATTTCCTTTTCGGACCTTCCGGTTCGTATGGCTCACAATCAGTGTCGTCATTGTCTACCTGCTTACCTTCCGGACCCGTCGATCCGTCAAAGGACGACTCACTGAAAAAACGAAGGGTATCACAACAAGTTTTTAAAAGCAAAATTTATACCAGCCAATGCTGTTGTTTCCAGATGAACTGCAAACGAATTGGCTGATTTGGGGATGTTACAATAGGACGTGCGCGTTCTTCTCGATTTAAGCAACCGTTAGCAACGTATTAGCTGCTAACAATAATTATTGTTAATACAGTGCAGTACATACCTTAAAGTTGCTGGTGGAGAGGTACAATCATAATTATGATCATTTAAAGCATCAGCAGTCGACACATGAGTATTATTGCAGTCGGCTAACGGGTCAGCGGAAGAATTATCCATACCACCGCGTGGAGATTCACCGGCATTTTCAGTGGACTGCTTTGAATTCGGAGAAAGTTGTATTTGTAAAACAGGTTGCACTGGGGTTAGTGCGCCTTCACACGCATCATCCATTCTGAAGAATCAGATTCAATATGCCACGGAGTCTTAGAATTGCGAAAGTCATTCTTCATCACGAAAGCGGCAGCAGAGAAAACAAGAAAGATACTAAGTATACGTTAGTTAAAGAAAACCCTATAATTATTCAATTGTTCAGGCGTCTTTATGAATAATGTATTTGCCATAATTCTGTCAGGAATTCCTTAATGAATACTATTAGGCTATTAGCAAACAAATACGAACCGCACAGTACTAAGAATTATGCCTTTTTCGAATAAAACAGCAACTAAAATTATCACGTTGCTTCTGAAACACACTATTACATGTATAACGTTACAACTCTCACAGATAGGTACATCTAGAGCGAGTAAACATAAAACACCTACGAGACTCGAACGGCGATTGTATAATACACACCATATATGTAAGTAAGTTAATGATTGTTGCAAGGTGCATACACGAGCGTCGAGCACTAACCGAAATTGTTCACAAGCCAGCGGACTTACGTCGTTGTCTGTGGTTTCTCGTTGCCCGATGTTTCAGCTGTGCAGCACTGTGACGTAACCGTCGTTCGACCAGAACTCCTGGTTCGCGTTTGCACCGTGGCCCGCTTTTCTTCTCTCGCCTTCCCGTCAACATTACCGCCGCCTTCCGCGTCTTCCGCTTCATCCAGCTGGCGTGCGCCACACACTTGATCCAGCGACGCAATCTTATTCAACAGACTCGAACTCCCCTCGCTCATCACACTCTCCGCATCCCCATCCGCCACACTGGACGCCGAACGGGAGCTCTGATCTTCCGACACACTACTGCTGCTCATCTGCTCGTCCGTCGCGCGTGCGACGTCGGCTGACCTTTTCGCGGCACTGTCACACAGCGGCGAGTGAGCCTTGAGAATGGTCACGCGCAGTGAGGACAGCATAATGCGAATGGTCGCCGGACAGGGAAGTCCACATTTGCCGGGCCCGCGGGTATCTTTGCAGCGGTACAGCACTTCTTCACAGCCCGTCCCGTGCCGCACAAAGGTGAAGGCTCGCCCGCGGAACAGCGCCGTGGGCTGGCGCATCTTACCCAGAGTTTTCTTGCTTAACCGCGGGAATTCCCAGGTCAGATCGGCATTGCTGGCCACCTCCAACTCCGGTGGGTGGCGATTTTTCTCCCTGATTTCCCGTTCGATCTGCTGCGCACGGGCGGAAGTGTTAGTACTCACATTCGATAAAACCGTAATTTCCGATTTCGGACTGGGCGGTCGTCGCCGCTCCGATGCGATAGCCAGAATCCTGGTGGTCATTTTCTCAGCTGGCGATTCATGGGGATTTTAGCACAAAAAACTAGGTTTTAATGGCAGACTATTTTCTCTCTTCGCTAGCTAAAGGTATAAGCATCGACGTATGCATGTTCTGCTGGAAGATCACGTTGAACGGCAGACAGCGTCATGAGTAGCTTGTCTTTTTTGTAGGTCATAAGAATTATTAAAGTATTGCCGTTCTTGGTTTCCGAATACATATTTTGTCGTCGGCAGCAGTGGAGGAGGCGTTGACCGTACTGGTCAAGCCAGATCAAGCAGCGAATCACATCGGTCTGCGTTCGTTAATGTGCCACATCAATACAGTATTTTCAAGTTTTTCTGCCCCGCAGCAATAAAATTTTTCCTTTTGCACTTTCTCTTGCTATAACACTTCTTATAGTAGGTTGTTCTCACGTGTTTACCGGTTAATACATGTACAGTATGTTTGCGTTTTAACACAGGTGAACCAAGGAAATTATTCTGAGCTAGTACAAGAAAAATGTAAAAATCAAGTATTACATGCACATACGGTTATTTTGTTATCTGTATCAAAACTACGGGCAGTCCGTTAACCGTTACACTCGTACAAATCAAAAGTTAGTATTCTGCGGAACTAAAACCCTCATGGCGAAATTTCGTTACTTACATGATTATCGCACAATAAAAAAGTTAGGTTGCAACTCTGTTTTAATGGTGATAGCAAATTACCTACTTGTTAAATGTTAATCGCAGAGTGCAACTACAGTGCATAAAAGCGTAGCACACAACTGCTTCTCCAAACTGACAAAATTTTACAAATTGTTGCAGTACACATCGGTTCTAGAAAGTCAAGAAGATATGCAACACTTGCTATACAGTATCTCATATCATACACTTTGAGTTCTTTGTGGACTAAGCAGACGAGAGACGAACAAGTTAAAATCTGAGGACGATTATTTAAAATACTGTAAAATCTCTAAATAAAACTTAATTAAAATTATCCAGCAATGATGAGGAGAATCATCGTTCCAATGTTCAGGAAAATCAAGGGAACTGAAAATACAGAAATGGAACAATTAGTTCCGTTCTAAAAAACGGAAACGCTTCATTTTTAGACCCATCCTAAGAGAAAAAGGGAAATGACATACATCTCATGACGGTCCTAACGGAGTTGATCAAATTGATGATCTGTGCTTTCGTTGACTGTGGAGGCGCATAAGCGCCTTGGTAATACGCCGCTCCAGGTTGAAGGTGCTCTCGTCCCCACCCAACTACATGCGAACCAGTTGGGAATTATAGAATACCAAATATCTAGAGAGATTAAGCACCGATACAAAATAAACATTAAGTACATACTCTTTCGCAAGAATCGCTCCTCATTGAGAACTGCGATTGCATTCACGATCAGCAAGCCAGCTTCCAACAACGAATAAAGGGTGAACGCCATGATTCAACACAGAAAACCTTTTGCTAGGTGGGCTCTGTAGTTTAGAACTTGCACCTTGTAGGCTCTTGTGAAACAAAATTATAGATAAGTATAGTATTATTCTGTACGAGTGCGAAAAACGCAAGTCTAAAATATTAAAATAACAACAGAAAACACAAAACTACATATCGGCGGTTTCAATAAATCACAGTAGTGTTTTGTTAATCGTAAGTAATTATTAAGATCCTGTTGTCGCAGTGAACCGCCAACGGCAGTTACGTTTTTTGCAAAACAGTCATGCCCGGACAAAATAATAAAGAATATCTACCAAAAATAAAAATTCGACAAAATCAATCGCAAAATTTTTTGCAGATCATCGATTCTTGTATTGTACTGTTTTAATCTGTGTATTCAAACATTGTACCATGCCGGAAATCTGGAATTGATTGTGGGCTTTTCTCGGTCGGAACGCTCGGTTTGTAATTTGTGCCAAACCAGAAGTCGCACAGTAAGTCATAAGTCACGATGATAAGATCATAAGTGGCTGTAAGTCCGAACGAGCTGTTGAATTAGAACGTGGCTGAATGATCTCACTCCCTGACTCTTTAAAACTTCGGTGATAAGATACCCTACGCTCGGAATTGTGATCTCATTCTGGTATTACACGTACTGATAAGTGATCGTATCAGATCCTATTTCCTGCCATCATAAGGTACGGTTTCTGTCAAAAGGAATGTCCATGTGCTAGACGCGTGGTTCTTTTAGATGTTGATGGGCTGCTGGGTTCGGGCGATATTTAAGCGATCGGCAGCGTTTGAACAATGCAAAGAGCATTGTCGGATGTTTTCGTCGTCACTTAGACCGCGACCGCGTATTACCCGTGCTCGAAAGAACTGGCTTCGAGCAGCCTATGCGGACAATATCAGACGAGAGACGATCGAGCAACCTGTGGAACCGAATCTGATATTTCGTGAGCGATTCCGGAAAGAAATGGATACGGTGAAGCTGGCGCCGCAGATATTTGATTATTTTCTGGTTCTGGATTTTGAAGCTACCTGTGATCGCACTCGCATGCCGGAGGTTCAGGTAGGGCACAGGTCACAGAGCCGTTACATGATAAGACGTTATAACCGAACTAAGCGTTTGCCACAGGCTAATTTTTTTGCTTTGTTTTCGTGTGTTCTACTTGTGAGCTCTGCTTACGTTTTGCATTGCTGTAGGAAATTATAGAATTCCCGGTTGTTAAAGTGGATGCTCAAACAATGGAAGTTGTCTCCACATTCCACCACTACGTGCTGCCGCGCGTAAATCCTGCGTTAACCACGTTCTGCACACAACTGACCGGGATTATACAAGATATGGTGGACGGTCAGCCTCACTTTGAAGAAGTCACACAGCTTTTTCAGAAGTGGATGGATGCTGAAGGTTCTTACTTTTTCGCAGTATAAACATTTACCGGATAATATTCATATTTTTTATGCTTGAGTACTGGTGAGTTTAATACTTACGGTTTAGTTTCGCAGTTGCTGTACTCATATCTGTATTCTGAAAAACTGCAACTGTTTCATCCTGTTTGTTTTACAACAGGATTACTGCATCCGGAATGCAAATCTTGTTTTGTTACATGCGGTGATTGGGATCTGGCAACGATGCTTCCCATGCAGAGCGACTATTTTAAAGTGCCTGTTCCCTCGTATTTCGATCGGTGGATTAATGTTAAGCACTCCTTTTCGGAATGTATTGGTCACTTTCCACGTGGTTTAATGTTAATGCTGGAAAGTTTGAATATTCAACATACTGGTCGGCATCACAGCGGTATCGATGACTGCATGAACATCGTGAAGATTATGCGTGCATTATCGGAGCGTGGCTATGTTTTTCGAATTAACGGACAACGTACAGCTGTACGCGGTGGTAAAGGAAAGAAATTCTGATGTCGCATATACAGTAAAAGCTGAAATCTCTGTGTTATGGATTCGAATTTGCTGTAAAGTAACGTAAGAAAGAAGAAGAAAGTCAGCAAGTAACTGAATTCTAAAGTCCCGTTGAAATGAATCCCGTTGATAGCACTAGTCCAGACTTCTAAGGATGTATGAAAGCTATTTTTTTAATAACTCTGAAAGTCTGAGCAAACTCAGCAAAGTGATAATCTCTCAAAAGCTCAAAGCAGTGATACTGCTTAGCTAAAGAGATTATAAAAATAATAGAAAGACTATTTTCGGTTAGAAAACATTCGATAAAATCAAATCACCATCGATCATCATCGGAAAAATCTTCAATCACGGAGATAAGCTCACCAGCTTTCCCGGAGTTTTGAGAGGAGAAGTTCATTGCAGGTTTCGTTTGTTCAGTGTCATCCTGCGAGAAATCTTCCGTCCATGTAGAAAAGTCGATTCCCTGTAACTCGTCAGTTAATATCTGGATGCTGTTTTCACGAGTGACCGTTACAGGCCCGACATTTTCAATAGTAGGAGTTGGCGATATCCACTCATTTTCCTTCACCGTCTCTCTACAACATAGGCGTTTCACCAGTTGCAAGCGGTAAGTGTCTATCGTTAACTGCACAGCTTAAAACAAAACAGCAGACACCTCAGCAGCGATCCGTGGGAGAAGAAACACATTTCCTGCATGTATTTTCTAGTATCTAAACAAAAAACAAATTCGCTTTATCTCTAAACATAAACCAAAACAAAATAGAAGTATACTCAAAACGAAGCAAATCTTTACCTGGTAAGGGAGGATAACTACCGATTTTGCCAAGAAAAGGCAAGTATTCAGTGAACAACGTAGACAAATTTATACCAGTGTTCATACCTACAAAAAGTATGATGTTTATTTCACAACACACAACCTAGAGTAGGTGACAGGGTGCAAAAAATGTTACCCCGTATCACATACGGCACGAATAAAAATTGGGTGATTTTCTAAGAACTAACGTAATGTCACGTCACGTAAGCCTTATCGTGCACTCCATTCGTATCAGCTGCGCTTTTTTCTACCGCACCATGCAGTTTCTCAAGGTCAGTAAGCTGGACTTACTGTAGGCCAAATCGTAACCGGCCACCCGTCGTCCTTCGGCTTTCCTCTCGACCTGTGGAAGAAGTGGCTTCTCCATTGCTTTAAATCGAGCAGAACCTTTCTCTACACCACCGATACGGTTGAGGTGCATTAAGCCGCGAATAACCACAGAAGTAGCGCAATCGCGCACTTTTTCCCGCGACTAAAAATATTCCAAAAAGGTTTGTATCAATTGTTGCACAACTGGAAAAATGCCTTACAGTCCAAGCAGAGTCGATTAGATCCGCCACGCTGAACCGTTCTGCGCCCGACACAGCATCACTTAAGTGTGGGAGGAAATACAGATAGTTTCCATTAATAAAAGAAAGCAAGTTATCGGTACTAGTTGGACACCGCTCAGCAATTTCTTCAGGAATGTAAGTCAAGGGAAATCGCCTTTGATCGTGAGCGGATGCCGGTAAGCCATTCACAACGGGGACTTCATTGGTGTTTCCTAAAGAAACGCAGTCGAACTGTGTATCAATCCAAATACTGTTTTGCAAGCATCTGTCATAAATGACGAAGAAAATCCTCACGTTTTACGTAAAATACACGTCCCACAGCGCGAAAAAGAAGCAAACTGGTATCTCGATTGGAAAAGCCCTTCCCGTGAATGGTTTCAGTTTTCTGCTTCTTTCCTCCCCTCTCGCTTCGTCGACCTTCAACTGCAAACTGAAGCGCGGAAACAGCACCCCGGATATCTCCGTTGGAGGAATCTATCACATCCTCCAGTGTATCGGGGCTAATAACAGTGCTCTGTAAACGCACAACACATTTGCAACAACAATGTAATATTGTAGGCCTAAAGTTCGGAACATACCTGTGAATATTCCGCCTTCAAAATCTGAGTCAATATTCTCTTCATGGAGGTTTTAACAACCGGATTAATACTAAAAGCAGCAAGCATTCGAGAATAAGTAGAAACATAAATCTGCCTAAACAAAGACGTACTGATTTCAAAACACCATCCCAAAAATGCACTTTACCGGATATGAGTGATGTTTAATTCACTAATAAGCGACGGGGGAAACAAACGCCACAGCTGCTGATTTTCCGCATTATTTTCAGTTAGAACAATCACTAATCCAGTACACGAACAAGAAACAAAATTTCTGCAAAAGAAAAAAAATGATGTACGCTAAATCAGGTAGTGAGTCACTGGGTTGACAACTTCAAGCGATGCCCACCCAGCTTACCGTAAAACACCATGCAATTTCGTCGGGTCTCGGAAGCAAAAATTCGGCAGATCCTGCGAAAATCATCGTGTGATACTTGGATCTGCACTATAAGTTAACTACAAATGCACGAGCCCACCTCGACAACAATCACCCGTGCATCTTTCCTGGAATCCATTCCAGGAGTATCAACTACGCTCTGCTGATTGTATCTGGATGAGCGTAGAAGGAAATTCGAAAACAAGGATTCATATGACTCGTAAAACGCATTGTCTACAAAAATCACTATCAATTCCAAATCATCAGAAAATCGTGTCCATTGCGAACCTCCATCGGGAATATACTGCACCACCGGACTTTCCCACTCCACTATCTTGGTGGATAATTCCTGAGCAATCAGTCGGACAGATGTGGATTTTCCGGAACCAGGTGGGCCTGTCATCAGCAAGATGCGAGAAGTGGTCGGATTCTGCAAGCCAGGATAATTACAATTACTGCATTGCGCGTGGTAGTACGCGCGCGTATTGCCTCAAATATCATGCATGTAAGCGCTAACACGCGCTAACATGCATCAAGTTAAACAATTAAACAAAGCATTCCGAAATAAAACCTACCGCCATATTTGTTATCCATGCCGCGATTTCCTCGATCTTCGGGTTTCTCACGCATAAATCTTTCTAAAATGACAGAAATACGACAGATGACTCGCTATAACTGAAAAGAACCCTTTTTGTGCAGCAACGAGAACTAACCAAGCTTGCACTTGCAGTTTCCTTCATTCTATGTTGCGCTGCACGTACTGTCCAAATTAATTGTCGCAAAGTGCTATTCGTACCCGTGATCTCGGTTGATGCTTGTCAATCCACAGCGCTGCAGCGAGTTGCTCTTTCGAGGTGCCAGCGTTGGTCGTTTTGAGCTTTTTGGGACCGGAATTTTGCGGTGACGAATGTACCTGGCGCCGTTTGGCAACAGGACGCACTGTTGCGGAGACAATTTTAACGTCATTGTCGTCGGGCGCCGATAATGCAACAGCTGTTGCGTTGCTGCTGGTGCCTTGGCGTGCTTGACCAGTGGCAGAAGTTGGACGTGGCTCGCTCACCAAACCAAAGTCAGGTTTAATCCACGGCTAGGGAAAATTCAACATCCAGGTCACTGATTCGTGACAAGTTGCAACTAACAAATTACAGCATACGCGATAAAGAAGCATACCATTTGTGCACAATTATAGTTTCTCCTGAATAATGCGCGCTTCAGTCACCAGTCGCGAGCCATCTACCGAAGGCAGTCTGGGATCAATCCGTAACAACTATCAGTTTCATCTGAGATGCGGTTCGCCGTCACATCACCAGCTTTTTTCTGTGTTGCCTAATACTGAGATCCAAAGGATGACCAAAACCTTACACAATATGATGTTACAAAATGTGAGAATTCAGCTTCAAGGTTCAGGAACAATTGTAAATTAGTCCAAACGACACAAAAAGAAATATTTAAGGATTAGCCAAAATTGCATCTGACTTGCCACCGGCTACCGCCTGGTCGAGCAGCTACGTCAGTTTTGGGTCGCACGACGCACAGTGCGTTAAAAAATCTTAAGATTAATTAAATGAATACTAACTATCTGTGCCAGGATTTCGGCCCCTCTCTTTTGGCGCCGGTGATCTCAGCTTCTACTCAACCAATTTTTCTGCTTCAAAATGCATTAGAAACCTCTCAATCACGCGAGTGATCTACGACCAATCGTTGTTTGTTGTCTGCAGAACCTCAGGACAAGTGGTCACTCAAAAGCTTGTTACCATGGATGGCATAGGGCTAACATGGGCGGGTTCTCGCTCTTGTGCTTACTAACAATTAAATTACAAATTTCCAGGGAAACAGCTTATTTTCTAACAAGCCCAGCACGGATGAATAATGTCTTAGGATTTCGAGCTTGTAAAAAGGTTCACTGCATATGTATTAACACTCGCACTCGTCTATGGTTTAATTACACGGAGTTTTGTTGTGTGCCGCGCAGGCGCAGCCCATGGATTTGTCCTGATCTGGTGTAGAACGGTCTGATATTCATCCAAAATGTTTTCCACACTTTGTTCTTCGTTTTTATTAAGCACGCAAGCAGAAAGAGTTACTTTCAATTCGGTAAACTGAATTTGAAAGAAGTGAGGACTTCGCAGAAAATATTCACAGCAAAGCCAAATCACGCTGCCACACTGGGAGGCTGCCATTTGTTCACCAACCGGAAGCGGTTGGAATTTGCAGTTTTTAAGTTTTCAGTTCATTTATTTTTAGTAAATGTTTGAATAAGTAAAAAACAAACTAATTTTCTGAGGAATTCAGGCTAAGGAGGAAGAAGTCAACTGCCAGTGTAACGTTCCATGAATTTCTAAATGATTAAATGTGCCTCTCAGGCACATGGACGAGGGCGAGTGTTAAATAATGGCACGATGTTGATTACATTAAGGATTACATTTGAGCAGAATCTGTTATTTTGCTTATTCCGCAGTTCGCTAATTTCAATGGCAGTTCGCTGTAATAACAATAATTGCAATATAATCCGGGGATTTTCAAACAGCCCATGTTAAGCTAATGGCCACCATGGTAACAAGCTTTTGAGTGACCACTGGACTGTGGGTAGTGGGCTTTCCCGAAAATTGATGATGCAGGAATACTCTCGACACTGAGAGGATTCTGTAGCACTTTAGAGCGTGCAGATTGGATGTGTGGAACGGGAGAACATTCGCTCCATCGGCAAAGTGTCAAGGACCCTTGTTACTTAGTTAGTATTCATATAACCATGTTGCAACATACTGCATTATTCTGATAAGAAAATCTGAGATAGTCGGAAGCCAATATTCATCCGTGCTCAGCTTGTTTAATAGTATGTATGTAAATAATAAATAGGTGATACCATAATATTGTTTTGCTTATTATTCTGTTTACGTTTAATAATAAAATCTGATCACTTGATTATGGGCTTATTATTCTGTTTACTTATGGCGACGCGTGTGTGGCTGTCGTTATAACCGGTTGCATTATTAGGAAAACGGTCACCGTAAACCGAATTTGTATTCTTATCGTCGAACTCGACTAACAGACGAGCGGAAATATGTATTACAGTTGTACTGATCATATAAAAAAGGACGGATGATATAAAATAAAAAACAGCTGCCAATAAAAACTAGTAAAAACAGTTAATGACACACAGGAATGTATCAACGGGATATAAAATACTTAAAACTTTATCGACTGAAAACTTAAAAAAGCAAAATTCAACCAGCTGCGAGAAAGTAGTTGCACAAAAAGGATTATGCGTTAGTATGACGATCAATTTCGTTCTCTGGAAGAGTTCCTGCAAATTCCACGGCGGAGTAGGAAGGGCTAATACCGGCGTTTACCGTAATACTAGTATCTTCAGCGGCTAAATTGGGTGCAGGTCTTTCGTTGACTACTGTCAGCTGTTCCATTTGCACTTCGTCTTCCACCCTCTGAAGTAACTTCATAAACTCGTTGCTGGTGTTAATAAATACCATTTCTCTTTTTGCCGTTCGACAGCTCTGAACAATGTTCCGTAGAGTACGCACCGTAGAATAATCGGTGGTCAGCAAATGAATACCATTAAAAACAATGGGCGGCAGTTTCTCGTCAGTGCTGGACAATCGCTCGTCCAGTATGGTGTCCACTTCATCAGCGCCAGCGTACAAAAAATCCGGGGCAACAGAAACCCCATAACGGAAGGCCGCTGGGTTCAACAGGTCCTTGGCAAAGATGTCCTTAAAGAACTCCGCCGATGGAAAGTATAAGGCGCTGTGCGGAGTAATGCTGACGTCAAATTTTGGTTTGGGTTTTTGAGGATCCTTGTCGCGCCGGTACGTGCGTTTGTATTCCACGGTGACTAGTGGGCGAGCCAAAGGATATACCAGCATCAATATAGAAATTCCAATGCCTAACGGTAGACCGTACTGTACTCCGAGTAGCAGGCACAGAAGCAGTGTAGAGCACAGTGGTATAAGCTCCAGCCGATTGACATGCCATAAATCACGAAAGATGCGGAAATCAACCATTACAAAAATGGCACAAATAATAACTGCGGACAAAGCAGCTTTTGGGATAAAATGCAGCACTGGACTCAACGCCGACATCGCCAGAAGAACGAACGCACCTGGTAAGAAGAGAGAATACGATAACATATATTATAATAAAACTGTTAAACCACCTCCAAAAAAACTTATTCATTCAGTCATACCGGTAAATATTCCGCCCAGCGGTGTCCGCACTCCACACTCAGCATTCAATGCCGAACGTGAGAATGCTCCTGTGACTGGATAGGAAGAAATAAAGGAACTAACAATATTAATGAGACCTAAAGTCATCATTTCCTGCGTGGAATCCACGGTGTAGCCAAATTTATGACTAAAGGCCTTCGCGACTACTACAGACTCAAAAATCCCAATGATAGGTATCAACACCATTCCTGCCCCAAAACCATCCATGACTTCGATAACAGTTTTATTGTCCGGTGCGAAATCCGGTACGGAAAATGCTGGTAGACCACCATGGACGTCGCTGGTTATGGTCAAAGCATCGGGATTATGCACCGTAACGCCAGCAGCTATGGCGGTCGCAATGATCACCACCAGAGCATAACGGCCTATAAAATAACACATGGGTTAACAAAACGTATGGTGAACGTGTGCAGTCATCCAGGCTCAAGTGCTCCATACCGTAGCACAAAACTTTAATAACTTCACGAAGAATTTTCCAAAATAATGGAGCCTGTTTATTGCGGAATACATCCCATCTCAGCATTGGTTGCAATGCTTTTAAGCACAAAATCGCTGTGATACAGCACGCCCCAAGCAACACATCCCATCCTCTAAAATGGCATTTGACAAGAAACTTGAAATGTCAATGTTATGTTACTTAAACGAGTATCTACATGCGTACCTGGTTTCCATAATATGCCTAGAATATCCTCTCACAATCCACACAATATTATCCCGACTCTTCCCGAAATTAATTCCCAAAAGTCCCTTCACTTGGCCCAGTATGATGATTATGGATGCGGCTGTAGTAAATCCACTCATAACGGGAGTCGAAACAAAATTCATGAGGAAACCTAATAACAAAAGGAATGTTTTCCATCCAATGCATTTATTGCATTAAGCCGGTCACCATACCCACCCAAATGAAGAAATCCCATTAATAACTGAAAACATCCGCAGTAAAAAGCAAGAAGGACGGCATATGTGGCAGAGGACTGGATGGCTCGATGTGGTACAAATGCACTGGTCAGCAATGATATCAGAGCGGTGGGTCCCACAGTAACATCTTGGAGGTTCCAAAGAAAGTGTACAAAAAGGGGCCCATAAAAGCGGAATAGAGCCCATACTAAAAAGTAGTACTAGAGTAGTACAACAGTCTTGCACACAGAAATCTTGTACACAAGCGTTCCTCAAAATTCGCAGCAATTTGTGAAGTTATTTTTCTGAATTTACCTCTAGAGGAAGATCCGCAATCTGGGCATACGCCAGCGACTGTGGCACCACGGTTAACCCAACCGTCAAGCCGGCTACCAAATCCGCAGATAAATCAGCCAGCTGATATCTGGGCAGCCACAACGAAATGGGAAACCGTTTCTTCCATGTGCTTAATAAACACAGTTTTCGCAACTGCTCCCGAAAATCCTGCTTGGACACCGGGCCTCCGTATGTTCGGATCTGGCATTCTTCCACTTCATCGTCATCCACAGGAAATCCCTTAGGGAAGCCGCCATTGGAGCCGTTTTGAAAATTACGGTTATCGTTTTTTCCAAAGGGTTTTCGGTGTCGCGGTCCGCTGGTCAGTCCGCCAGCGGCTGGTTTAGCTTTGCTGGCGGTGGCGTTAAATACCGTGTGGAAGTTATCATCATCGGTATTGTCAAAGGGCTGATAGTCAAATCCATTGACGTCACTCGTGTTCCGGCTGCCAGAGTCGAAACCCGACGACACCAAATCGTTCGTGCTGCTGCGAAGAGCTTCGTTTATTTCCATCTTTTCTGAAAAGTGTCGACAAATTTTAATCACTTTTGAACCATCCAGTTACGGGACAGCTACTGAAAATCACAACACAACTAAACAAGTAAAGAAACCAAAACGCACGGCTGGACAGTTGATACGCACGTACATAAATGGATGTACTTTTGCATACGGAAATCCATACTTCCGTCGATAGGCGATGAAATTAATGCGAACAGTTTTTACAGCAAAAATCAAGAAACATAACATAAAGTTGCTTACTGTAGGGTTCCACGAAATAGATTACAGTTCACAAGTCATTCAATTAAACGAGCCAGTCTGCTAGTGTACCAGAATGCTTTATAACATTCAGTACCTAATTCATAATCATCAGAAAGCTATATAGCAAATGTTTGCAGTCCATATTACGGTACAGTATCATAAAATGAGATAACGCTATCGAAAATGGATACTGAGTCACTTCTGACTCAACATATAAACCTATGAACTATAAAAAATGTTTTAAAAAATTCGATCACTTTATTTTAAACTTACAAGTTTCACTTCCAGATGAGTCCGACCCGTGTACAATTACGTGTAGTCATTGGGCAACTCCTGACTTTTCAAGGAGATCGTATTCCAGGCTCATACATATTTCATAACTTCACTAACAGTAGTGTCTTGTGTTGTACCGTAGAATCTGTAAGCGTGCAAAAGAATCTTTCATCCGCGACAAACCACCTTGACATACGATATGCATGAATTATAAAGTCTTGATAGTAGTTGATACGAGTACTGATGAAAGCCATGCGACGCGTACGGTGCTCACCTTTCTAAATTGCTCATCTGCCACCTTGTAGGTTACCCACATTTGGCTTACGAGGCAACAATATTATTAATGTTAAGCTACCAGCAAACACGTAGGTAGTAAATACTGCTCGTAGGTAAGTATATAGTATATCGTATATTAACATATTAATACTGCAGGCTGTATTGGCTGTATTATAAATTAATTAAGCTGAACAATACTGTACTTATGGTATAAATGCACGTTAGTCCTATAAAAATTTATAGATTAATCTAATGATTACAGTACCTATGTAGGATCGTAGATATCCCGAATGATCGAATCCCAGCATTGCAGCAAAATGATTAACTACTAACTGAACTAAAAAGATCGATGTAGCGATTCCATGTAGGTAAGTAGTTAAAGCATAGAAAGTTTTTTCCAATTTTATTTAAGTTTTTTTTATTTAGTTTTTTAGGCAAAAGAAGCGAGGATGCGCAGTCGACCGACAGTACTTTTTCAAAGACAACCAGCGCATGTATCTCGGCAGCGCGCGGATTACAGTAATTGCAATTAAAGGTAGTACTTATCGTTAGTAAATAGTACTCGTACAGTCGTACTTACACTTTTTTCAAATGGTTTTCAAATGATTGAACTTTGCACAATCTCACGAAAATTTAGTACTACACTTTTAAGTAAAAAAGTTCTTGTGTTCAGGTATTTTTTATCTCTCGCGGTTATTCTTATAGTTAGTCAATTTCGTACGGCCGTGTAAGTTTTTGCTGCCACCCCCGCACCGTGTAGTTATTGTTGATTATGGTGTAATTATTTATTATGCGAAAAGTTTTCGAACCTTTTTTAAGTGGCAGCTGTTAAAGTGGGTTGTCAGCGGGTGACCGCAGTTTTTTTCTTCTATTTTGGCGTCCGCTTATACTGTTTTTAAATTTTTAGTATAATGCCGTATAAGCGACATCGTTCGGATATCGGATGCATGATGAATACAGTGCGATCTGTACTAAGCGGTCAAGCTGTTTTTGATGTTATGATGGCGTAGTTGGGCATCGCCAAATCCTCGTCGAGCCGTGCAGTTCTAAGACGTACTGGGAGTTCTGAAATCATTTACAAATTACTGCCGATGTTGCGAACGGTGAATTAGCGTGAGCGGGATTAATCAGTCAGCCACTGCCCGCTACCTTGGAAGAAATGGATTTGGCGGCTGCACAATCCGTCACCATCCTCTGCATGTTTGCTGCTTGCTTCACATCATGTATTGTTCCTTCTGTTGTACACATCCACACCGAACCACATTCCCGAAAGCGACGGATTCTTCGGGCTTTGAAACGATACTGCAATTGCCTGTCTGGTGGTGTGTTCGCTGGCGCTTTCTTCACCCAGTTCTATCCACATGTCGTGAAGGAGTTTACTGAACTCATCCCTGATGCACATTCCATATGGCACCATCCTCTGCAGTTGGGGCCCACGGTGGTTTTCTTGGGATTCCTGCTTACAGCGCTCTTGGAAAAAATTGTTGATATTATTTTGCGCCGGCTAAAAAAGCAACAAACGCGAGGCGACGCGGTCAATCAGCAGGAAATGAATGATGTGTCCGTCGATGGGCCGTTTGTTCACGACGATGATCCCGGTGGGAGTTACAGCGCCTTGTAGATGTGGTTTACTGCCCCTTAAGAACCATATATCTTTGATATCACTTTGACGCGTATGCTGTTGTAATTATGGGTACCATTACTTAGTACTTACTTTCGTAAATTACGGCTTTAGAGTACAGTTTAGTTGCTGTACATATCTATATCACATATGTAACTACACTAGCTCATTTGTCTCAAAAAAGAGCCAAAATATGTAGTTAAGAACAAGTCGCACAAAAGATACTTTAAAAACAGCAATAAAATTTAAAGTGTAGTTGTTTACGTTTGCTTTATTGGTGATATTTGATATGCAATGTTTTTATTACTTACTTTAGGGAGATGCACCGCATTGAGCATTAATTTGAAAAAATTGCTTGTTAGAAACGTTGACTCGCGACAGGATACAATACGATATTTTTAAACAGTTTGAAGGCATTTGCTCGTTTTCGCGTGCTTTTAAATTGTGCTACGAGGAAGGTACTTACAAGCATCTTCGGTAGCGCGTTTGAATAGTCAAGAGACTCAAGACACTTTGAATAACTGTACTCGTATGGCTGCAAATCTGGCTTAACAGTCAACCGCGGAAGGCTGGCAGGCCACGTTTAACTTGGCCACTGTCAATCAGGGCACCCATCCACGGTTGACGGTGAGGTGCACGCAGTTGGGCAGCATTCCACGGTTGGCTGTTAGTGAATCATGCTGTCGCACACTTGACGCACAGTGTTCAAAGAGTCTTGACTATTCGAACGAAGATGCTTGTTCCCGAAGATGCTTGTTCCCTCTTGTTCCCGCTTGTTTCCTCGTACACAAGCTAGCGGAGTCCGACGCTTATATTTTTGCTGTTTTGTAGAAGATGAGGACAGCGTGGATACCGATCCGCTTTCACCAGCCACCCAACTAACCCGACCGGCTTCGAGAAAGGAAGCCGAGGCGCATAATCACTCTCGTAGCACTAGCGCCGCATCCCATGGGCATCACCATCCTCATCACATTTCACTGGAAGAATACCAGGGAGCAACGCGGTTTATCGTGCTTTTGGCATCTTTGGGAACCCATTCGGCGTTTGAAGGAATGGCGCTGGGCCTAATCAAAAGCGTCAGTCTTCTTTTTAAATTGTTTTTCAGCATCTTAATCCATGAATTCCTCATGGCTTTGGCGCTGGGGATCTCCCTGTCGCAGCAGCAGATGCGTTTGCGCACCCGCCTGGTGTTTTGTCTCATCTTCTCCATCACCATCCCTTTGGGACAAGTGGTGGGATTGCTAATCCAACAGACACCGGAGACGCCGGTAGGCACAGCGTGTAATGTGGTGTTGAAGGCCATCGCGGCGGGTACATTTCTCCACGTGATGTTCATGGAAATACTTCCGCAAGAACTGCATGGTCATTTCGGAGTTATTGAAGCCATGTGGGTAATTGTTGGATACTTGTTAATTCCTTTGACATCGCTGGCTACGGGGGGAGACCACTGATGTGAATATGGACATTTGTTAAGTGGTTAGTCAAAAATTCGGATGTGATATTTTATGCTTTCTCGGTGTGGTTTTTATGGCTGTTGTGTGGCAGTTGCAACTTTGCACACTCCCAAAGAATGTTATTAGTTAAGTACTGTTGACGAATTCGGTTACTGTATCTTTTTTCAAGTTTCGGTATTTTATGATAGTGACATTTTAATCTAACATAACGATATTCTTAAACCAAGCCAATCAGTATCTAAAAGCATCACGATCGGGCCGTTACCAGTCATTTTGCAAAAAGAACCGCATCACAAGAAACAGATAATCCAGGTTTTGCGATTACAGTAATGTATAGTACAGGAGAAATTTCAGCTGTATGATGTGCCTTTAATTGTCAGTTTGTCTTGCAGACTTTTGTACAAGCACTTCGTAGAGACTGACATGCGAGTAACTGCACACGATCACAAAAATGCCGTAACTATTTCATTAACGTAAGAAGACATTTGTGTGTATATTTTTGTTCGGAATCTTATCTTCAAAACACTTTAGTTTTAAGCTCTGCTTAGTGCTTACATGGACGCAAGGCGAGGACAGCAGGTGGATGCACAGCAAACAAGCTGTGCGGATTCAAAAAATACAGTCTGTCTCAACCGTAACAATAAAAACGGGTGTGAAAGTACTTAACAATCGGACTCACAGTAGTAAGCCAGTGGGGCAAACGTGAACGTTGTCTCGAGTTTCTACTCTTCCAACTCATCTTCCGAACTACCTGACACGGTTGGTGGTATCGCATCTTGATTGTCTTCATCTAAATCAAAGTTCTCGTCGTCGTCGTCATCCTCAGCAGATTCATCTTCGTCGCTGTCAACATCATGCTCGCTACCGGAAGTACTGCTGCCTGGTGGACTGGGTAACGCCGATACAGACATCCAAAGCCGGTAAAACGGCCGTCCATCCGCTCGTCTGGCCCATCGATGATTAACGTAGTCCGTGTAGAAAACAACAGAATCCTCGCGACGAACCATTTGTAGCGTATTACTTACTGGACTAAACTTCGTCAGCTAAAAAACGAAAATTTACGCAAATTAAGGCATCGATAAAATTGCGAATAATACTACCAATCCACCAACAAACAACAACGCCTGCACTTGCCGGTAAACAATCGTCGTCGTTATCCATATCAACATATACAATCGTTCCACCACAATCTTTGTCCAGACGATCACAATCAAAGAATAAGAACAAATCGAGCACTGCCCCCTGCTGAACAGCATCGTAATTCTTTAGGGTATAATCCTGATGAGCAAATCGCTCCAACCGAAACTGAACAGTTCTAAGAAACCCTAAGAAAACAAAAGCTGCCAATTACGAAGAAATACCGAATTAATTTAGAAATTACACACTAACATGTGGTATCGGAACTATCTTCTCCAGAAGGATCACTACTGGATCCAGGAACAGCGGTAGCGAAGGGCTTGTTCTCCTTGGCATTCTCTTCCGGTTTTTTACTTTGATCTGGAGGTCCACTAATAATCGATCCCATATTAATGGCAGTAATATCACTGACTGACTGGAGGAACTGGTCAGTCAGTATCGTGTCCACCAGCAGATCAAGACATTTAAAATCTTTTACAAAACGCTGCCGGAGATCAAAATATCGATAATGTCTAAATATCGATAAAAAAATGCAGAAAATCAGAACAAAATAAGAATACAACAGTACAAAGGTCTGCAACAATTATCACCAACCCGGCCTGATTACGATTAGATGGAGTCATCCATGGAATAAGGTGATCTTTTTCCCTCAGCTCGCTAACCAACGTACGGTAAAATGCCAGCTGGTCACATACAAGTAATTACACTTGTGGATTACAGGTGCAATGGAACTGGCTTATAACAGACAATTTTTTTCATGACCTACATCCAGAATTTCCGGGATATTAAGGCGTTGTTGCTTGAGAAATGTCTCCCGACATTTAGCTTTCCATATTTCCGACTGCCTGTCGTCTTGGCGAGCCAGTTTACATATTCGCGCGTTGTTCTGATCAGCCTAAAAACAAACAAATTCACCAGAGCTCTACATTCCCAGCATACCTATTACCGACGCGGCTGACCTCAGTGAATTCCATAGAACCGGAAGCTGGCATGGTTTGGTATTCAACAATCGCTGCCGCTGATTGCGGGGAATGAAACCATCCAGTTATGGAGAGGCGAGATTTCCGGGGATTAACGATTTCACTCACCTGAAACGAAATGAAGCAATAGATTTAACCAAAGTAATTCCTTAAATTTTGGCAACTGCAGTAGTTAACAAGCGCAACAAACCTGATGAAATGAATCATCGCGCACGAGAAACAACACGAGGGAATTCCGCTTCGGCGGAATGCGTTTAACAATCTCTCCAGGCACCATAACGAGGTCAACACCTACAACATATTTTTCTTTGTATGCCCGGCGTATCTAAGGAGATCTTCTCTTCTTCGTACAAAGACTGTCAAAGAGATCCAGTGTGCCTCCATCAGCGACATCCCAATCCTCTGCATCCGTCAAGTAATAAACATAAGCCACTTTCCGCGTGGTCAGTTTGTCGTCGTGACACATCAGTCGGTCTATAACACTTCGATATCAAGGAAAACAATTTTTTATCCACAAAATAACTCATTGTACCTGTGTAACGGTACATAGCGCCGCGAACATCCACTTCGTCGCTCAACGGGACACCTGTTATTGCCGATACCCAGTCATGCACTTCGTTTTCCAAAGTTCTGCACAGCATGGCAAATTCAGGAACAGATCTGAGCTCTTTCGTCTGCAAAGCGCAATTTCTAATTCCAAGCAATTTTTTGTAATCGGTAAAGCATACCTGCGACAGCTGGAACAGATCTTTGTGTATCGCCTGAAATTTCTGTGAAAGAAGTTCATTTTCCACCTGTTCGATTGCTTGGTTGGCCGTAAAAAAGTTCGGAAAAATCATGTGGCTGAACGGTCGACGAAAGACCATGTTTTTCAAAAGTGCAGCATGTTCCGCTCCGGTGGCGTCTAAATTTGCATTAGCTGCCAAAAAAATAAAAGTTGCAAGCAAAATACTGAAAAAGCAAAGAACAAAAGATAAAAAAAACTGAAAGCTTTGAGCAGTGCCTACCAGTGTCTCTAACCTGTTGCAAACAGTTTCAGCAATGAGCACACGGCATTCTGAAAATCCGAGGTGCAGTATGCAGGATTTATAGCAAGCTGGTCCGACGCTTGTATAACAGTGTTTTCGCTTTTAATGCGCTTGGCAGAGCTCGAACTATGGAGACCATTGCATGATTGTGAACGTCCAGGCAAATCAATACTAGCATCGTCCACTTCGCGTTTAACTGGTTTCGGGTTAGTTACTACTGCTTCCTCTTGCTTAATGCGGTCCATTTCACGGTGAGCAAATTTAAAGAGGAAACAAAAACGTAGCCAACGATCAATTCCCAAGTGATCTAGCAGAGCATTCCAAGTACCACTAACCGATTGCGAAAGCCATCAGGAAAAGATTCACGATAATATTTGACACATGTTTCGGGCAAAATTTGGAAATTCAATTCCGCTTCAAAAACTTCGCTCTAGAAATCGTTTGCCGCAGCTGTCGAAATCTCGATGCTCAAATCGGCAAGAACACAACAGACCGAAAAAGCTTTTTGGAAAGAATACAGGGAAATACTACTTTTCACAGCTTGCCGTTTGACTTTGGTTCACACTAGCGCATACACTGCAGTTCCTGGTTCTGCGCGTCATCGCGGGAACAGTGCAGAAAGGGATGGCAAAAAAGTCACTTTAAAAATCAGGGGGTGAACCAGTCGATCGAGTTCACATTATCACATACAGCAAATAATAAATTCTTACTTTTAACTTTTTCACGAATATAAGTTTGCATAGTTTGGTGGAGAAAGAAGTTTTTCCGTGTTTTTCGCCACGCTGTGTTAACAAAACACCGTTCTTGGAATTCGGCATAAAATGACTGATATTCTGCAAGGAAAACCGGGACAGGTGCGTGTAAGAATCAGCTGAGAAACTGAACGGATTGATCTCCGCGTGAAAGTGTTGTTTTTTGTTGCAAATGAATGAATATCGGTAATAGTGAGAGTCCACTTACTGCCGTCAGATCTTCTTTAATAATCGTAATGGTTCTCTTTTCAGAAAGTCTACAATATATCTTCGAACATACGGGATCGGTTTAAAGGAACCGGGGATTTGATATACAGGAATGTGTTTCGCCGTACATCAACATTTGTGCTGGCCATTGCACTTGGTGCATTCTTCTTCGAACGAGCTTTTGATAAGACGGGAAATGAAATATTTGAGCGATGGAACAAAGGCGTGAGTAACCGCATAAGGCTGCGTCTGTATGCGAGAAATGTGCTCATACAGTTTTTTGCTTTATTTTCGTTTAAAAATTAATTATAAGTGACTTGGTGTGGTTTGTTCAAAACGATTTGCTATTTGTGCTTAAAAATTTCATGCAGGGTCGGTTTTTTGAAAAGGGATAATTACTGTAAATTACAAAAAGAAACTCGCCATAAGTTTTAGAGTTCCCGTTAATGCTAGTGTAGTTGGTTATTTTAAGTTTTTTTTAAAATTTTACAGTATCTGGAAAATTGCAGCTTGCGGTAAACGACTTAATGAGCGGTGAAAACGGACCGTATATCGGCAGATAAAAAAAGTTCATTGTTACTGGCTTACTGCTTTATTTTGGCTGTCATAAATCTTTCATATAAATCTTTCATAGTATATGAAAGATATTCTTTAGTATATTGATATATGACCTCATATGAAGGATTTGCGACGTACCGAAATTCCTTTAATCACCATACATGCGCAGGTTTTCTTTGATTTTAGAAACTGTGGAAAGACATAAGACATAATTATGAAGGCAAGACACCTGCGGTCGAAGAAGAAGAGGCGCCTGAAGAATCAGAATAGTCAGCAATTTTAAGTGGCGAAATGTTTCGACATGCGCTCTGATTTACTTATTATTGCACTGCTATGAGTGTGTACAATAATTTTGGTGTGGATTGTGGATCTATGCATCTTCAGAACTGATAACCGGTATGGATACTCTTGATCCATGTACTTCCTGTTTTAACCAGTTTGGCGTCCACTATCACTAATTATGCTTGCGGAATTTCGATACCAAGAATTTTAAAAAGTGTGACTTTAGAACTTTGAACAGATAGGTGTAAGTAATGCCGCCTCCGTTCTGCCAGTTCGTGCTATCAGGTGTCAGCGACACTAAACATATTATGAGTAGTAGACAAAACTTTTATTTGTTCATAATTTGAAATAAACTGTTGCACACCATCGAAAGTAATTATGGTATTATTCAGTTGTGGACTTCGCAATGCACCTCCATTTGAACGCTTTTCAGGCGTGATTCGAAAACCAATGTCAAGATAAACTTAACTATCCAGAATCACTACGAGTTATAAATCCAGATATATATATGTACTGTAATCGTAAAAGTATTACATGTCATAAGTTGCAAAACTCAAGGCGTATTCGCAAAACCCCATTCATCACATCAGCACGAAGGGAAATTTGAAAGACCATTTTGATTTCCGCACATTTAGCCAATCACACATCATCACGTTCACTCTTCACCACATTTAGTCATCCGCACATTTACTCATCATCTTCGTTGTGTGCGGTGTCGTTAATTTCGCTCAAGAGATTCTGCTCTCCCTGCAATAAATCAGTATCAGACATCGCCCGAACAAAAAATGATATCGCCAGAGATGACAAACCGGAAACAATCATGAGACCCTAATCCGTCGCAGAGGCCACAATATTTTTACCTCTGGTTCAAGAACGCAGTCTCGATAAAATCCCCTTTTGAAACGAATGAGATCTGCCCAAAGTAATCTCGTACTGCACGCTGGACATTTCCCTCGCAACGGCACAAGATATCCTGGATCTTCTTTGAGGAAGATTTGCGACAGACAGATCAGATGAAATCTCTTGCCACAGGATGGTAACAAACAGGTTACAGTGTGCGATTCCTGTAGAACACAAGAGTTGAACACTCCACTTCTACACGTACTACCTTTCGTCACCTTCAAGTCCGTACAGGCGTTACACTGCAGTAACTATTTAACTACCTTTCACTCACTTCTGTATCAGTGCACGTTTCTGCACTAGAAGTATGCATAATACTCACTCAGTTTTCACTGCTCACCACTCACCAGTAAAAAACATCTGAAACTCTGGTCACCAGTATAAAATATCAAAAAATTTAACATTCAATATATTATATTAAAAACAATTACTTTCGTACTCATATTGCGTTTACGTATTATAGTAACGCCATGATTTATTTATGCATACCTGTTGTGCTGTTACGCTAATAACCGTTGGAAGCCAAACATCTATTTGCCTCTCACCGTTTTCAGTTTAAAAGCTACATTTATTAACAGCGAGAACTAGCAACGACATCCGTACCGTTGTTCCAGCTTTGACGACTACTAGTATTCCAGGCACATCTGCGACTCTCACATCCGGTCCCTGTGAAGTGCAAACACCATCGAACCAACATAAACTTAAATAGTTAAAGCTAATGGTTTTGATATCGTGCTGTACCGAAAGGCTACCTCAAAAGGCCAACTGCAAATGCCGCACAAAGCAGAACTGGAGTCGTGGTCCGATATTTCAACATTTTCTTCCACTGGGAGATCGCAAAAGCCGTTCGGAGTAATTTTTTTGGCTCTGACGGTTCCACTTAGGATACCAATGTGGTCAGGAGGCTGAAGATGAGACGGGAAGTCCACTTGAAGGTCCTGAAAGAGGTCACACTCCAATGTCACAACCGAATCATGAATTTAACGTTCTTAACAATAATCAACACACGGTTTCAACAGTACTTCTAGTGCGACTGACGATAAGTCAGCTTTACGATATGTACGCTACGTCGAACCTACGTGCCAACTGCCGTCGTCAACGGTGCAAGCACGCTTGAAAATAAATTTAAAATTCATAAATTGAAGTAGGTAGCACACTGCATCACAGTCAGCTAACCAGTAAGTTAAATTAGTTTTAAGCCCTACAAGTTGTGAAGTACGGCCTAACCGATCGCAACCACTGCACAGTGAGCGGAAGTCTGTTCCATGGCTCCACACAGAGCATTTCCATCATTATACGAATCCGATAGGCTAATCTGCAAAATGCTTGAAGTGGACGCGAATATTAAAACGACAGTACAACTGAATATTTCCCATTCTCAGTACGCACGCAGTTTCGCGAGCTTTTTTCTTGGTGACATGGCGCAGTCGGCGAGACTCTTCCGGATGCTGCCAGGCCCATTCAAACTGCAGCGCAGTAATGTTCGTCATGAAACCGTACACGATAACTACAACCGTCCTAGAAGAACACCACCACATAAAGTTAATACGACTAATTTCCTCAATTTTCCTCCCGTAAAACTCAATTCTACGGGAAAATTTACGATAAAACTTTTATCATAAAAGGAGCGCAAATTAAGTTCGGATAGAAGCTGTACCATGGGCCTCTCCGAGCAGTTCTGACAGCTCCTCCATGTTTGCGTCCCTTATTGTGCTGCACTTGACGACGGTTCGGATCGACGGTATATCCTACAACGGAACAGAAATGTCACAATTTGTCTTTTGCAATAAAATTAAAATGATCTCACTACTCACTACTGTAGTGACTCAACCAATTCATGCACGATCGCACTCTGTCTTCACCCTTACCGATATACGTTCGACCTCTAAAATAACGATTCGTGGATTCCGAACGAAGCAAATAGCAACCATGAAAGTTCTCAACTATGCGCTCCATTACGAAATCGATAGATAAACACAAAAAGCCATAACACCCACAAAGAAATTAAGCGTAAACTGTAAACATGAGTAAAGTACTCGTACTAACAAAGGAAACTGGGAAGTGGGAAACGTTTTTCACCCATGGTAAGACTCAAGAGTGGTAAGTAGAAAAGGAGTCCTAAAAGCTGAAATTATGCACCTACACAATACACATCCTACAGCAGGCTACTCCATTGTACCCGCCCGTGACGGCAAATGTGTCACGCACCCTAGCATCAGTTCCGATTTTTGTCTAATCATCCTCTTGCCAGACTTGCGTCTTGGCCAGATTTTGCAGCTTGCAGGTTTTGTTGTGTTGCGACTTTGGGACTAAGTCCTGCAGATCCTACCAGTTTTGACTTGCTTTAACAATTTTCAATCTATCGAATATTACGATATCTGAAACGTACAGAGTTATTGCCAGGAAGACAGGAATTCGATTTGATTAGTCAGTCTGCAGCGTGCTATTGTATCAGGGACGGTTCTGAAGTTATTGAAAAATGACTACCGTTGAAGAGTTAATGAAGGACGAAGTCCTGTCAGAGTTAGCTGACGATATAGGTATGTTCTTAGCGGCGAAATGTGATTGCGTTTGTAACTATTAGTAATTTTGGAACGCTTAATATGTAGCACGTCTGACGAATGACGAACTGCGTAGTCGTGCACGACTTCTGGACAGCGAAGTGAAGATAATGCGTTCGGAGGTGATGCGGACAAACCACGAAATCCAGTCCATGAAGGACCGTATTAAGGACAACACGGACAAGATCAAAATGAACAAAGTTCTACCATACCTTGTGTCGACGGTAGTGGAGATCTTAGACGTGGATCCGAAGGAGATGGCCGAAGAGGAAGGTGCTAATGTCGATCTGGATTCTGTGCGCAAAGGAAAGTGCGCCGTCGTGAAAACATCGACACGTCAGACCTTCTTTTTACCTGTGGTCGGTCTGGTTGATCCGGAGGAACTTAAGCCAGGAGATCTCGTCGGTGTCAATAAGGATTCGTATCTCATTTTGGAAAAATTGCCAGCGGAGTATGATGCGCGCGTTAAAGCCATGGAAGTGGACGAGCGTCCCACTGAGCAGTACACGGACATTGGTGGCCTGGACAAGCAGATTCAGGAATTGGTGGAAGCGATCGTCTTACCTTTGACCCATAAGGATCGTTTCGAACGACTGGGAGTTCAGCCACCCAAAGGTACGGAAAACTGGCTTGGTTACTTACGATTATTTGTAGGCACTATTATTCAGTGTGATTTTCTGCGATATTAACAATTGTAACCTGTTACTTTCTGCACTACCTTTTCGTTTTCATATGTTATCTTAGTTACAGTAAGAGGAATTTCTGAGAACCTCCGAGAAGAATTTGTGTCATTTAATGAGTTGAACTGATTTATCCAACATTTCTCGTACTGAATTTTTACGAAGGGTCAATACGTATGAAATCGGATACGTTTGATATAGGCCTACGGCCTACCGTATACTAACAATAAATGTAGTAGCGTTGCATCGCGGTTAAAGAGCTCTGCTATTTGTAATTCGCCCTAAGATTTTTGAATTCTTGTTCCTTGCATGCATTATTCTTATGGTTTTCGACGTTTTGTTGGCTAAAATTATGGTGGGAATGACATTTTGAGAGCTATTTTGTGAACAGGTCACGATTATGATTTACAGGAGTTCTACTTTACGGGGCACCGGGTACCGGCAAAACACTGATGGCCCGTGCTTGTGCTGCCCAGACTAAATCTACCTTCCTTAAACTGGCCGGTCCACAATTGGTTCAGATGTTCATTGGTGATGGAGCCAAGCTTGTACGCGATGCTTTCGCCTTGGCAAAAGAAAAAGCTCCAGCTATTATTTTCATCGATGAATTGGACGCCATCGGTAAGTGCTAGCGTCCGCGTATTTCTTTATGTACCGCATTGTGAATTATGCATTGACTTTTTCAGGAACTAAACGCTTTGACAGCGAGAAGTCTGGTGATCGCGAAGTGCAGCGAACGATGTTGGAGCTGCTCAACCAAATGGATGGATTCAGTTCTTATGCTGATATCAAAGTACTGACCTCGTCCGTTGTTTGTCTTGGTTTCATTCATTTCGAGTTATGACATGTAACTTTCGCGTCCACTATTTTTAGGTGATTGCCGCGACAAATCGCGTTGATGTGTTGGATCCCGCTTTGCTACGCTCGGGTCGCTTGGATCGTAAAATTGAATTTCCACATCCAAATGAGGATGCGCGGGCTCGGATCATGCAGATTCATTCGCGGAAAATGAATGTAAGCCCCGGGGTAAACTTCCAAGAACTGGCGCGGTGCACGGACGATTTTAATGGAGCGCAGTGTAAAGCAGTCTGTGTAGAAGCGGGAATGATTGCTCTGCGTCGGGAAGCTGTTCAGGTAATGCATGAAGACTTTATGGACGCTATTCTGGAAGTTCAGGCGCGGAAGAAGAGCAATTTGAATTATTATGCTTAGTTTTTATTTTCTTTTGCTATCATGTTTCTTTGCTTTTCTTATAACATTTTTGTGTAAAGGCAGTTTTAGTCACGGACAGCCTTGAAATCGGGAATAGGCGATTTCTGATGAATAAAGGTGTTCTTTCTTGCTAAGAACTTATCGTTAGTATACTTGTACACCTAGTTACGTTGTGCTTTCGTAACTTTTGCGTTTTGGGAGTTTTCGAAACCAGAATCTTTTCAACTAGCTCGACACATAAATGAAATACAGTAATATGAACGTATATGAAAATTTAAACATCTTCCGCGAATCTTCCGTAATACAAGAATATTCTGTGAAGTACTCCAAATTAACACAACCGATTTTTTTACACTTAAACTGCAGTACATGACCGAAATAAGTACATACTCGTATTGATGTTATTAAGTAATACAATACGCTCGCTGTAGTACTGTTTGCGGCATACTCAAATAAAAATTATTGTTTCGTTGTTTGTAGAGCAGCTTTCAGTATATCGAACAACTGCTCGCATTAAAAATTTGTACGTATGGGTAGCTCTTTACCAGTTAAATTTCAGTTGAACTTTGCTGGAAGCTTCGACCGCGGACAGTATTTACATTAATAATACTAGTACTTATTTATTACTGCTAACTTTATGACGCACTTAAGATGAAAGCCGATCGAAACAACTAACAATACTATAGATACAGGACAAAAGCATTCAAACTTCGATTCCTAAAAAGCGTATCCAGATTTTCCGTCCATGTTTCGCAAAGTTTGAGGGAGACGCCCTAGTCTAGCTGGCATGAGAAATCGATCGTGAATGGGTGATTACTACAGTATGTAAGTACGCCGTTCACCCCTCCCCCAGCTCATGTCTCTGGGCGGCTGGCAGTTACCCATTTCTAGAAATAGCTTCTCTGGTTGGTTTGATGATTGGTCTGCCTGGCTCTGTGGCAACGGTACGACACACAAGCTGAAATAAAGCATACGCCAGCGGCAACGTGCGCACTGTACAAACTGCAAAGGTCTTTGGAAATGTAATTTTTCTACGCATCGATGGACTACAGCTTTATCCGTACAGTATTACCGATTTGTAGAACCAGTTCTCAACAGCTGCATGGAATGTTTCAGCCATCTTGCTTCTTGTGACGTGATCATATTCGACGAACTGTTGTTTACGTTCCTACTGTTAAAGTCACGAAGCTTTAACGGCACAATTCGACATTCTGACGTTCGGCCAGTTTTGTCATTACTTTCTTGCCCAAAGATTTTGTTGCAGTATTCCCAGTGTACATACAGTTAAGGAATTGAAACAACATCAAGTATTAAATTAACCGAGATAAACGAAAGATACTGGAAAAAGCTGTCCGGAGACCCGCAAATTTTTCGACAGGTGAGTGATAATCTGTTTTTGGTTTTCAAAAGTTTGTTTATAGATTCTCAAGATATACGCCCTGATTTTTGTGTTGATGTCGGATTTATTTGAGTGCGTTAAGACGGATTGTTCAATCATTTTATGGTTTTCCATGCAGGTTGCAGGCTTGCAGCCATTTCTGGCTGTTCCATATTATCTTATCGACAACATGCGAGTGAAACGCCTGCGCCGTCTGTGCTGATTGCGGACTGTGCGTGGGTGCAGTTGGACATGTAACCGCACTGTTCGGCGTCAGGCGCTCTCGTTTGTGTTGTGTGTTAAGCGCAAGCGCTATCTTCCAGTTTCTTTATTGATTTATTCCGAATCGATTCTTTGAAAAGGGCAAAAGCCTAATACGGTGCAAAGCTGATTAACAGACGACCAGGGATGTGTTTTAATTAATTACGGACCGTATTAATTGGTAGTTAGTTGAGCAGTTACCTAGAGACTACGACAGCGTAGGTATATACACCACACTATGCACTATTTCGGCTCGAATCCCGTGCTTCGTACCGAGAAAATCCATGCCTCGGCTTGTCGTAGCCCTGCCCTACGCCTTTCTGATTGGTCTTACTTTAAAATGCACCAATCAGAAAGAGAATTTAATTCTCTTTCGAATGGTGTATGGCTTATCCAGAGTACCACTACATTGAGCCACTATAAACGTTGTAGACCCAGTCGCACTATACAGAAGTTGCTGTTCGGTTGCATTTATCTTTTGAAATAGGACGATTTACCACAACTTTACCAAATCCACAAGTTTGCAAACTTCATCATCTTTCGATTTCATTCAGTTTTGGGATGAAAATCTCCCCGGGAAACTCCGGGTCTTGAAATAAGTGCGAACTGTGAAATCTGGTGTTTTGTACGTCAGGTTCCCTGGCAAACGGCATACTGATAAACTTGCATTTAGCGTGTCTGCTTTGCTGAAACTGATAAAACTTGATACATACTTTCAAAAATTTTGAGTTGTCTAGCTTGTTACATCTTTTTAGAATTTTGGGAAGCCACAGAACATGAGCTAAAATCGTCTGTCACGATGATTAAGACATTAGGGCTACCGCACACGAGTTTCTGTGGCTGGCCCTATGCTTTAAGTATGCAGTGGAGATCGGCTCATATTCGGGCTGGCACGGCTAAAAATGCGGTTCCTCGTAGACCCTATTGTGGGACGTATATTCCCATCATTCCTGCTTTTTGGAATAGAAATCTTTTTCTTTCGATTTATTCAAAAACACTAAAAAATTTCAGATTTTTTTCTCTACAAAACAAGCCTATGTGAGATACGATTGAGGCCATACAGAAAAAGTGGCTTTTCGCTGATAGAGTCTCTACAGTTACCTAATCACATATTTAATGTTATGCTTTCCAGTATCTCATTTTGCGATTTTTGCCGGTATTATAATTATTGTTCACCGTAAAATCTGGGAGATATTTTCTTGTTGAAGCTCCGAAAATTTTACGTTTTTTCTGCAGTAAAAGGTAGTACTTTATAATTAAATTAATATTAAACAATAACCAAAAGATGGCAAATTCAGTTATTGTCAGTGTAGTAGAATCAAGTTGTTGTGAAAACAAAAGCGAGCCTCATGCTACACATTAAAGTGAGATTACGCCAGGGTTTGGCGGTTTACACGTGATTTAAACAAGGAGAATGTGCCGGAGGAATAGTTAGTGGACCTCGAAAGCAGTGGCAGAAATCCGATGTGCAAAATTGGAAGCAGTGTTTTGTGTAGACCTGTCATTTCCTTCGGCATTCGGAAAACGGGACAGCAAGTCACGAATTTAATGTCAATTTCAAGCGAATTCTTTTGCATTTCTAATCATACATACTACAGACAGTTTTAGGCTTTTAGCCAAAAATTAAATGAGCATAATAAGATCCTGTTTGAATAAAAATAAGTGGCAGTGGTTTCTAATTTTGAACGGTCATCGAAGTTCAACCACGCATTGACAGACATCCGACTGACCAGGTGGCATTCTTGGCAATTGTATGACTTCGCATAAATGGACGTACAATTGTACTGCACCATTAACGCTGTGCAGCACATTGCAGTGTCCACTGCGAGAAGGCAGATAGATGGTAGTAGAATTCCTAGAATCTATGAGCACAAAATTCCAGATGCCGGTATTCCGGTTATTATTATTATTATTATTATTCATCGTGGAGCAGGTAGCCCATTTCCGGCTAGGGTGACATTCTAGCTGGGATTTTAAACCTGGCCAAATAGCAAAATCGAAAAGTACGAGTGCAGATAGACAGAAAAGACGTCCTAAACAAAATTGACACGGTTCAAAGCTTGCTTAAAGGCACCAACTGTATGAATATGGAACAGATCAGAAAAATTAGAATCAACAAAAAATGTCCACAATTTATTAAGTTTCCAAGCAAAGGTCGTCTCGCCAACTTTCTTCTTCGCTACCGCCTTGATCAGGATGCGGTTTCTACTCCGAAGGTTGTACGGCTTTATACGGTCATCAAATTCCACCATCTCAGAGATGTACTGCGGCACATGGAATTTTTCCGGATGTTTGATCTTGTATAACCATATCGCTTCCTTTTGTTTCCATCTCGTGAAGAGCGGTAAGATCCCATGTTGGTTCATGAACGATTCCGTGGGTATCTTTGCGTAGTTTGCAGCCGCTCGGACACCGTTACGATGCATCGCGGCCAATTTATCACGCAAGCGCACAGATGCCCCGCTCCACACTGTAGAGCAGTAGTCCAGATGCGACTGAACAAAGGCATAGAAAAGCGCAATGCGTTGGGATGTTGGCAGGCCGACTTTAACACGATTTAACAGTGATATACCGTACCGAACATTCTTCTGGACCTTTTAACATGGTCAGCCCAACTGAGATGTTCATCCAGTATCACTCCAAGATGTTTCACTGACTTTTCTGGAAGTAATTTATGACCGTTCAGCATTACGCTTACGTTGGTTTCGCGATTATGCGCTGAACTTATTAGTAACAAATTCGATTTTTTCTCGTTGACGAACAACCGGTTGGAATTAAGCCACTCACAGACTGCCGGTAGTGCTTCAGTTAGATCTTTGCTGCGTCCGCTTTCGTGTTAGCAACAGCATAGCAGATGGTGTCGTCAGCAAAGCTTTCTAAATGCACGTTTGGTAGCCTCAGTTTCAGTAGGGCATTAATGTAAATTGTAAATAAAATGGGACCAAGTATAGACCCTTGCGGAACGCCTGCCCAAACATGTTCCCACGAAGAGAACTTCATGCCATGACGTACACGTTGCGAGCGGCCGGTCAGATACGAGTAAAACCATTTTAACGCTGAAGACTTTACTCCTATATCACGGAGTGTCTCCAACAGAGTCAAATGGCACACTGACGGAAAAGCTCTTTTCAAATCAAGAAAAACAACTGCAACACACTTCTTGCTATCGACAGCCTTTTTCCATGTCTCCGTCACTTTTAACAATAACGTTTCACATGAATGGCCGTTACGGAAACCGGATTGGTTAGGTGCAAGAATGCCTTCTTTTTTCAAAAATTTGTTCAGCTGCAGTTGGGCGCATTTTTCAAACAATTTTGACAAATTACACAAAAGTGAAATAGGACGAAATTCATCCGGTGTTGTTGGATGAACAGTTTTTGGTAAAGCGATTACTTCCGCCAATTTGAAAATTGACGGGAAGACATTTTTTTTGAAACACTGGTTTATGAGATGGGTTATGGGCTCGACCAGTATAGGGGGAAATTTCAGCAAGAGTTTATGTGGTATACCTTTCGGTCCCGCACATTTTCTCTTACTTAAGATTTTCCCAAACATTTCAGCAACCACGTCTGGAGTAAGCTGATCAAATTCAAATGTCGCCGTATCAGCCTCCTTCGGGATGACAGCCACGGGGTGCCGTTTACCGTGCTCCCCCATTGTAGCGAAATGTTTGTTTAAATTATTTAAATCGAAGTCCAGATTACCATTTTCGTTGTTCTTTCCTCGCAAACGGTTAATTTCGCGCCACATTATTTTTGAATTTTGTACATTTTGTTCGAAATAGATTCGCTTAGCGTTCTTAATCTCCGTAAATAATTCTCGCTTCAAGTTCTTAAATTGTTGACAATTGCCTTGATACTCAGAGGCACTTTTCGACAACTTCTTCCGCTTGTATGCGAGATTTTTATTTTTTATCAGACGTTTAATGCGACCGTTAATCCAAGGTGCACTGCTATTCGAGGCTCTTTTCGATCGTAACGGATAGCACCTGTTAATTATTTCAGCTAAACCACCAACAAATTTTGAAACTTCATCATCGACGTCCGGATAATCAACGTAATTAACGTAATTCTTTGTAAAATCAAAAACTTGACTTTTGAAAGACTGAAAATTAGTCGCTTTCCAATCACGAAAGTAAATCACTCTGTGCTCCGGTTGTTTGCACTGAAAAGCGGAGACCGTTTTGCACAGCATATGATCTGAACAACTTACATCTGACGGTTGGCACGACACGTATGAATTCTTAGGACTGCACAATATTACGTCAATCTTAGTGGATGTAGTGCTTAAGGTATTATCAGATTGTCTCAAGCGATGTGCTACCCGAGTGTGTCCGATTACCTTATCTTCGAAGGAAAATTCATCTACAAAATCACTGTACAATTTGACATAGGGGCTTGAGGAACCAGGGAGGAATCGATGTTCAGATCCCCATGATTATATGATCGCTGCCCGGATATTTTAACAGTACTTCCCGCAAATGATTGAACAACGCTTTGGTTTCGACAGAATTCGAATCAGGCTGACGATACACGGTCCCAATAATAATTTTGCGATGAGAAACAGTGAGTCGTAACCACAGACATTCAAATCCCTTAGAACGAAACTTCAGCTCGACAAGCTCAGCCGTTATATGTTGAGGTACGTAGCATAGAATCCCACCACCGCGTGTTTTACCATGAATATCAGGTCGATCGCTACGAAATAAACAGTATCCGGGAATGGAAAACAACTGATCAGAATCCGAAGGACGGAGATGAGTTTCAGTGACAGCGAAAAACTTCGAAACATTGTCATCAATGCAAAGATAATTTGACAGTAAATCAAGCTTATGATAATTATCATAGGGCAGCCCCTGGATGTTGAGATGGTGAAACTCCATAGGAGAGTTTTTTGCCGACGGCATGTTAAAGGCTCAACACAGCGTTTAATGTCATATATCAGAAGAACAAGCAAAAAATTTTACGTATTCTAGTGCCAAAATGGAGCAAGAAATATGAAAAGTGAAAGCTTAAAGTAAGATTAATAAGCACTGGCTGGTCGGATCTAAATTAATCCAGCCAGCCAGCCAGTCCCGCATGAAAGACTGAAGAAATGCGGCTACTTACAGTGATCTGGTTTCTGGTGGTTGGGCAAATCAAAGTTCTGTGCACAATATAATACATATCTGTATCTGTAGATTGTATAATATAACGTCTATAAGTAAGTTGCAGATATCTATATACGTAATTATTTATCTGTTAATTTACGTTAATCCGACTAGTGGTTCATTTGGAAATCAAAATGATTTGACAAGTTGGTCGGAAGTCAATGTAAAACGTGAATTGTGAAAATTTTTACGTATGTGAGTTTTTTGGGGGAAAATTTGTGTATTCTGATTGGCATATTGTAATGTTTACCGTGAATCATCAGTCATGATTCCTGACAACATACAACGCATACACTTCTGAGGATTGTTGACGAAAATATTAAAGGGCATTTTACCACCTAAAATGTATTCCGTTTCAACTTACGAAGAAACGATATAATGCCGTTGTTGAACGGGATTATACCCGTTGCATTTACCGATATGATAAGGACAATTGTGTAAGTATACGATATATCAAATAAGTGGGATTGCGTAAATATTCGCGTAATTTAAGTGCATACAGTACTTTATAATTTATTGCCAGAAATGGCCCAGAATGATCAAAGTTATGGAGCCTAATGGCAGATGTACTACTTCGTGTTTTAATAAAAGAATCAATTTTATTTACAGAATTCCAAATATGGCTGTCGTACCCAGCGAATCAGTTCTGCTTAAACCGGAAGTGGATCATCTGAAAAGTGGATCAGCTAGTGCGCCAAATTTGTTGCTGTCCCGATCAGTCTCGGCAACAAGCGATGAAGGAGTCGTGTCTGACCTGGAGCATCCAGCGCTGCACTGTACAGAATCAGGTACGAGTGCGGTACGACGACTGTCCAACCGGTAGCTTTGATCTGGCCGTGACGTCTGTCCTGCAGACTGCACGACACTGACACTCCAGAAAACGAGCGTCAGTTGACCGTTGCTAGCGGTAAAATTAACAACATTCTCTCATTCGTGTACATACAGAAGAAATCATGTTTCCGGTTTGCCTTGTAGTTTAATTATTTCGGTTTGATAATGTGGTCATAGAAATTTTTTCAGCAAGTAAAACAAGTAGAAAAACTAATGTAAACGCAACGCCTTGTTTAAATGCATCGGAAAACAGATACTGTCGAGTACTGCACTTTCCTCGATTACGAATTGAGTTTTATGGGATTATTGGATATTGTTTTTCGATTGATTACTGGAGCAGTTTTGAAAATTTCACAGTATTTTTATAAGGGCAATGTGCTGAAGGCTTGAGTAATATGCCATAAAAATGAATACCGTAGACTGCTTTTATACTCAGGCTAAGAAATTAGGATATGTTGATAAGATCCCGATGATGTTTCTTTGTTGATGTGATATTACTTTTTATCTGGTGTGAACGCCCTGTAAATGACCAGGCAACTGACAGCTGGCAACCACATGCGTGCTTGGTGATAAAAGTGGAAGAAAGCAAGTTTCATAATCTATGGAATTGTTTATAGATTTATTAGATACAGTTTTGACTTTTTAGTCTGTTAATAATTCGTGCCATGCAAACTTTGCTTCAGTTTTCTTCTGGCAATCTTAACTCGGATTTGTTTGAAACAATGCCCCTATTCTTGAAGCATGCATTTCTGCCTATGGACCCAGTTCTAAAGTGGCTGTTTCTTCTTATAGACCCAGTCATCCGGCGACGGAAATCGCATATCGCCGAAGATAGCGTAGACTGTGACATTCTCCCCTATCGTCATTCGCGGAGCCCGGATTCGTCATCGGACGATGAGGCCGATATGCGAAATGTTGGCAATCGGCTGGAGAGTTTCAGTCGGTGGCCCTTGACATTTTTATCGCCTTCGTCGCTGGCGGTAACGGGATTCTTCTATACGGGTGTGGCAGACCGTGTGCGCTGTGCATATTGCGGTGGAGTGCTTGCCCAATGGGCGATGGGAGATAATCCCATCCACGAACATCGTCGACATTTTCCCAGCTGTCCTATGTCCAGAAAATCCTTTATCGTGCAGAACCAGACTTCCGATCTTGTTGGACAAGATGTTTGTGGATTAAATTTTACCGTGCGAAGCGCTGAAGACGATCCTTTATATGTTCCGTCTATGGCGGAATATCGAGATCGTTTTGGTACATTTGCCAACTGGCCGGAAGACAGGATACAGTCGCCGAGAGATTTGGCGCTGGCTGGACTGTTTTATACGGGACGGAACGATCGGGTGCAGTGTTTCTACTGTGGACAGCAGATCGAGCGCTGGGATCCGCAAGACGATGCATGGACAGAGCATGCAAAATGGTCCCCCAGCTGTGGGTATTTGGTGGAAAAAAAGGGGCGGGATTTCATCGAGGGTGTTTTGGAGCGATTTGGATTGTCCAATTCGTCATCCGGTTTTGAAGGTAATTTTGCTTTGTTGGTTTGTAGACATTTTTTAAACCTTATGAGTAATACCGGTGTCTTTTTGCTGAGTTAGTTGCTGATTTTGCGTTTTAGAGTAATTTCCAAACGTGAAAGTCGCATGTATGAAATGTTTATCTGATGGATTTGTCGAATAATTTGTGATTACTTGTAGAAGCTCCCTCGTCATATTCATCGTCATCGCGGGGTTCTAGTTATTCTGATGCTAGCATGTCAGATGACGACGATTTGGAGCCCGAGGAACGGCTTATTAAAGAAGCGTATCAGCGGCAGTGTAATCCAGATTATGTCCAAGAGGCGTTACAGAAGCGCCGAAATTGTGCATACCCAAAATTTCGAAATGTTGAAGAAATCATCAAAGCCGTCAAAGAAATCGAGACGCAGCATGAGTGAGTTTTTACAGCTTTCGTTGGCTTGCTTTATTTTAACATATCGGTTTTTCAGATTGAAAAAAAAATTGATTGAAGCAAACAAAATAGAGGCCAAGACCACAGAAGTTCCATTAAGTAAGTGCAGAATTACTAAAGATTAAAATACGGCACATGTAATTTGCTGGCGGCTGTAAAAGCCCAAACAATACCTTATTTCGATTTTTTTATAGCTTTGGAAGAAGAAAACGAAAGATTACGCCAGGAGCGTCGATGTAAAGTGTGCTTGGACAAACCTTGCAATATGGTGTTCCAGCCGTGTGGACACGCTGCCTGTTGTCACACCTGCTCCGAAAAGCTACAGTCTTGTCCAGTTTGTCGACAATCCATCCAGTCGAGGATGAGGGTGTATTTTTCTTAGTGTGTATGGTGTCACGGTCGAGTATCTTCTTGCTTTCTCTGATAGTGGCACAAGTTTTGCTTGGTCTCGATTTATTTTCGACTGTGATGTGGAAAGGAATCTTTGAGTGGTTTGCATATTTTATGTTTTCATACTTTACCATAGTGTTTTTGTTCCTAGTTTCTCGAGATGAGCATAGGCGAAGTGGTTGTTTTCTGTACGGATGTATTAGTTTGGGAATATTGTGGTGCTTTTCTGGTGTTTCTTGCGTTATTTACTTCGTGGAAACAGAGGTGTTTATCAATAAAATTTTCGTAATTGAATTGGGGAGTGCGTCAGAAATATTTCAAGCGCAATATAATAAAGAACGTAAGTATAGAAATGTGGTAATTTAACAATTAATGATCCAGGTTCTGGTGTCATTATTTTTTCATAAGGGTGTAGGCTGGATGGGGTTCTTTATTGCGAAGAAGGTTTGCGACCATTATGCATGTTTAATTGACGTGTGCATGAATAACGCATGCTTTTAAAAGTGAAGCATTATATCGTTACGATTCAAAAGTAGGAATGGCTTCGGTTCTGTACCTTCAGCCCGAGAAGAGTTACACGTACAGTGGTACACTATGATCCAAAGCTTCTCAAGTTCTCATTCCCTGCTTTGCTGACAGCATGACAGTATCCCTTTTCTCTAACGGAATCCACGGGAGCATTTATACTTTGACTACATTTTGCTGCCCTGTGCTTATACGTATTTCGGGATGGATTTCATTAACACAGGAAGAGTAACTAATTTGTAAAGTGCGATAAGTTCATTTGCACGTGTTTACTAAAGTGCACAATACATACATTTTGTCGCGCCGTTACTGCGAAAAAATCTGCGCCGTTACTACGAAAAAACCTGCAAACTTAAGAGTTGTTGGCACAGGATGTACAGTATAACTGTCGGAACTACAAAGATCGACATTTCTGCATCTCTGTTCACCACAGTCCTACTCAGAAAGTGCCAGTTAAAGTAATAAGGTATAATATCAATTAAAGGTCACTTCTATGCACCAGGAAATTTCCTGGCGCATAGTCAGTTTGCTATGCGCCCGGAAATTCATCGCCGAAATTTGTTACAGCTAATGTATATTGTATATATACTTATTTATTAAACCAACGCACACTTCCTTCTTTACAAACAATCTTGCAACTTGTAAGAAGGTTTTTAGAGGCAGTATGCGCTGGCCCCAAATGTTTATGGCAGTTGCAAACAAAAGAAAAGTTGCTTAGAAAGCTGCAGATTACCATGAAGTATTGAAGTTGTTAATACTTCCTAATTTTCACTTCCAAAAATTCGAGGCAAGCAGCCAATGAAATCAAGATGCAGCGTTTCGCTAAGCACCGGCCAAAATTTCGTTTTCAGTGCTTCTGCCAACTGAAGTCTCCGCCTCAAAAGCAAATTTAGAATATGACAACAGCACGAATTAAATGTAAAAACCCGGTTGGACAAAATTAAGGTCAAAGTGTGTCTTGGCCGTTGGCAAGCAGTTTTATGCAAAAAGGCACATCTTCCTGGTGAAAAACCAGGAAGGTACCGGAAGTTCAGAACCACCAGGTCAAGTGTATCAAAAGCATATCCTTGGTCAATAAGATCATCCAGCGATTCATTCATCTTCTACTTTAACGAGCCATTGGCCAAGAACAAAAAGACAGAAATAACAAAAAATACCAACAGAATAAAATTTCTCGTTTGTTTTTTAAATCTTTCGTGATCGCGAGTTGTGAAATATGAATGTAGAATGTGCATTTTGCATTTTCCAGAAGGTTAGTCGTACACCATCTCAACTCTGGGCTTTCGGTTGCACTGAACACGTTTAAAAGACAGCATTAGTACAGTCACAGGCCCGGCACAAGGAATTTTTGGATGGGGGGGGGGCGGAAGGCCGCCGGGGGGTTGTCAAGCGCCCCAAATTCGCCGGGGGGCGGACGGATTTTGGACCGTCCGCCGGGGGGCGGAATGAAATTTTTAAAAAATTTTAATAAAAATTTTTGAAAAAACTTTTTGAAAAAATTAAAAAAATCCGAAAAAAATTGAAAAAATTAAAATTTATTCCGCCCCCCTGGCGGCTTACCTGCAACCTCGTTTTCCAGTCCGCCCCCCCCCCCGGCGGTGAAAAATCGAAAACGGGGGGGGCGGACCCCCGCCCCCGCCCCCTTGTGCCGGCCCGGAGTACAGACCAGACGTTTTCCAATCGCACAACTCAAAAACTGTTGTTAACAGGTTATTAAAATTTGTTTCTGAATTGACAACCTCACTCCTGGTGTAATCACCGCCCGTAAAATTATACAAAGATAACTTCTACGTGCAATTAACGTGCAGTACGTACTTCTAATTTTAACTAACAAATAAATGATTTACGCTTGGTGCACAGAAAGAGCTGGCCAAGCATTCCGAAATGAAAGATACAAGTGTACAGACTGTATATGTATCTGAGGAAAGGTTATCCACTAGTTTATAGAAAAATTTAGTTTTGTTATTATTTTTATTGTAAGAAGGTCATTATGCGCTCAATTAATAAATGAGCACCCATCTGACCACGCGCCAGGAAAGTCCCTGGCGCATAGCACTTTCGTAAATTAAAATACTTAATAATTTTAGTAAGAGCAGTACGTAGAACAGTAGGAAAATAAACCTTTCTGGAAAGAGCGCGTGCATGGTATGACCAGATCTTATTGTTAATTCCAGAATTCAGGAATAGAGGAATCGAAGGCGCTTGCGAGAGAAACTGGCTGCTTTGGGATAAAAACTGGAGCCAACTAGTGCCGAGTATCTGTATATGTATACAATATCTATATATTGAGTACAGACATGGTTCTGTGCGACCGCTGGTAAAATTCCGATTACGAGATGCTCTCCAAAAGTCATCTATATTGGTGCCCCGTATTAATTACGTTTTTGATTGTGCACGTGGTTCTATAATAAGCAAGCCAGTACAGCTTGTTTATTATAACAATTATCAAAGATAGTAACAACATAATTTTCATAAAATGGTGCAGACAGCGAATCAACCAATGGGGCATTTACATGCGAGCGATTCTGTCGAAAACCTATGTATTCCGTGCGTCCTGCGAAAAGTCGAGTTCTCCATGCAAAACCAAAATAGGTAATGTTTCCGTCTCTTTTGAATAATATTTTTTTTAATTAATCAGAAAGGAAGGCGAAGGCATCCTCGTCCATCCTCACTCGCAGTTGAATAGTTTGTCCTTTCGCAGCCATGTCACAATCAGTCTGTGGGCTCCGACACACTCACTTTCGGACCGGGAGCTTCTTGCTTGATCAAAGTAATTCGGGAAGAAGATGTGGTAGAAAACCGGCAAAATACGATCATACGGGCGACGAGGTGCACTAGCGAACCAGGAATTGAAATTCAACGAGGAAATGCGGCATCTATTCTGGGCACAACACCGCGGCCTCGGTCAATTTAATCCCATGGTCTCTGATTAGGCCGCTTGTTCTCGCGGCTTGCGGACATTGTTTGTGCTTCTTTATCTTTAAGTGCGTCAGTATTCTGAAAGAAATTAAAAATTTAATGAATGAAAAAATTAGCTGAAAAAGTTCATGCTAGCATAAATTGTATGTTAAAGAAGTACTATAAAATTTCATTTTGAGTTTTCCTAAATTTTGAACTGCAGCTCTGATCTGAACCAAATATACGGCTTCCACCTAATATCCCATACCAGATCCCCTATCGCTCGGGGCCGATAGTCCATGCCGCGCGCGGTATATCAAAAGGTCACGGTAGATGTATGCTGAGATGCTCACATCCGCTGTGCAATGGTGCATAGCGCAGTTATTTTCGGTATTAAACGTAGGGAAGAGTTGAGATTAACTTGGCTTTTGTTTGTACATTAGCTGTTTAGTTTACCCAATCGACCTGTCACGGCTCGATGGGTTATTTAAAATACCAGAGCTGAACGCATAGTTGTATACAATACATGTTACATGCCGGTAATGAATATACCAGATACCCAACAGCAAGACAGCACACACGCGGTGACAAGTTTAGCTTATATAGTATTACCTGCTGGACTTCGCCTGTTACACGGTAGATTTGCATTAAATTGTACCTGCTGTTTACCTTTATCACGATCAGCATTGGGTATGCAGTTTAAAGTCGAGTGAAAAGGAAATGCGGCGAGCTCCTCGCGGTATAATCGTGTTACACACCGATGCAGATTGTGCCATTCTACATTGCACCATTTTCAGTTTACTCAACCAAAGTACTGTGTTGGTGTGATGTTAGCTGGCTGCACTACACGCATCATGCATGGCGCGATAAAATTTCCAACAGGTAAACTCAAGTGCCGAGGACATTGCAATTATTGTCAACCATTAGCCTGAACTCTCTAGAGCTGAATAACATGGGGTACTTGGCTTATCAGCTGGCGACTAAACGTCTTATCGTATCATTCTTCACGAAACGATGGCTAATTGTGGGCACTTCCGTTTCCCTTTAAAAAGATAAGGGACACTGATGCATGCTCGTCTGGTTCACCGCTGTTGCGAGCGTGCACTGTATAGTCATCGTTGATCTCTTCTGTTTGTGGTTTACATTATTCCATTACTCATTAAGCATTATCAGCGTAGTAATTCATCAAGATATTGCAACTTGTGACGACCCTTTTTTTCCTCGTATGTTTTTCGACGGTCTATAATTAAATTCTGTCAGTTTTGTTGCATATGCATTATCTGAGCGGCTAAGGCCACAAGGAAATCAAAAATATTTCACTGGTAAGCAAATATCCTGAATATTTATAAACTTATAACGGTATATACTGTTGTGCTGGAAACTTTACAATTATGGTTGATGTCTTTATTATGTCGTAACGGTCAGGGGAAAAATATCGTAGCAATTTTTACGAGGATTTCTAACGTACTTGTAAATTGCGACTTCTGTTAGAGACTTTGTACCAGCATGAGTCTACTGTCTACGTACCTATCTACTTGTAGAAATACGGCAGCCGGATCTATAATAATTACGATGTATTATCTATGTATTACTGCATGTAAACGTTGTGTTTTGCTGTTAATCTTGAATCGACTTAACCTCGTCAATAAATTAATCGAGTCATAGACTCATAGTACAGAATTTGAAGAGCTATTGTTATAACGGAGATTTACAAAATTAATTTGCTTGTACTTTGTACGTAGTTTGTACTACGAAGTGTATCAAAGTGTAGGGAACGTGACAACGTCGAATACAGCACACACATTTTTTACCAGGGATCTTGGTTTTGCTTGCAGAAACGTTAACGGCAGAAAATTTGATAATGCGAAGATTATTTTGAAAGGTTTATATGTCGCGAAACTGATGCGAAATGAAAGGATTATTTGCTCGAAAGAAAGTAAAGTCGCCTGACAGCGATGCATTTCCCCCGGATATCGGCAGCTATCACGCCGATCATGACTCCTTGGCGCGCGATCGCTACGCACCGGATGCCGACGAGACGGGCTCACGGTCATCTACATCGTCAGCCACACGCGGCTCTCCCGGCCAACTGAGCCGCCAACGGACAAACAGCGGCGGTGTGCCCAACGCGGAGCTGGCCGGCGATCGCAACGTGCACGGTACCGGTGGTGGTCATGGGCAGGCCCATGTGCATGCTGCTGTCGGGGTGGACGGCGCCAAACCAGCGGCATCGGCGACGCAGCAGACTGCGGTTATATCGCCCGCAAACAATAATAACACTGCTACTGCAGGGGCAGCAGCGGCGTCTGGGATTAACAAACCCAAACTAGTCTTTCATTGTCAACAAGCCCAAGGCAGTCCAACGGGATTAATTTCCGGATTTACCTCTGTTAGAGAACTGTATCAGAAAATAGCCGAATGCTACGATATGGATCCTTCTCAAGTGAGTCTGTAATATGTACGTACTTAACAATTGTATTAAGTTTTACCTACGTTTACAGTAGTGACTGCATTGTGCGGCTGGCAAAGATGTAGTTTTCGCGCAGTGGGTTTTTACGTTGACCACAACCAGTGCTGACGGACAATTAAATTGAGCCCTTTGAACTTCCCTTTAATAATTTTTAATTATTATTAATTTTGTTACGATTCTATTTCTGCCTGCATTAATTGAACCGGCCACAAAAAACTTATGTATGTCTGTGGCATTGCTTAACAATCACTACGTTGTGGGCCGGGATGTTAAAATATACGGATAACTAGAGATGAAGATAACAATAATGAAGATATTACGCAGTTAGAAGTTTTAGATTTTAAAATGCTTGCGATATTTACCTTAAACGATAAAAGCTTTTGCAAAAGACAAAAGACTTTTAAATGATTAAAGGCACTGACCAACGACTTTAAAGGATTTACTTGTGACAGTATACAGACACATTAGTGATCGATTTCGTAAGAGAAATCGTGGCATTTAGGTGTAAAAGACAAAATTTATGCAATTGGGATTCAGCAGTTTGGTGAGAAAGAGTGTCAATTACATTTTTTTACGACGCCAACGTTGGATGGTTGGACGGGAAATACAGTACTAGTAGTTTCCGTGTCACACATGAGCTGACCATCACAGCTGAGTAACACATCTAATCGGTGCTCAGTCTCACACTTGGTATCACCTATAGGGTAACGTAGAATCCTGCATTACGATACGTGTGACATAAAAGGAGGCACAATTAAAGGAGCTAATCGATAAAATTTAGCTCGTGTTCCAGAGCCTTAACAAGCGAGTAATTAGTATTTACACATTACTCCGTCTAGAAGAATAGTACTTACCGTACTGTTGCCCAAGATTTTTAGATTATGCACTGCAGTAGGTTCGTGATCGAAGGGCTGATCGTTGGATTGCTGCAGAAGTAGCATGAAAGTTATATTAGTTTACAAAAGCATTAATTTTGTAATTACCGTGAACCCATTGGCTATTTGGCCGGTGTACAATAAATGTACATGTATTGTTGTACTAATTTTTGCATTGCATTCCGTTCCAGTATACTTATAGAATTAAAAATAAATTAGTATGTATAAAAAAAAGTGTACTATATACCTGTACAGGTATAGTTCTTTAGGCCGAACTTAAAAGAACCCATACATGTACAAATAATGCGTTAAATGTTTAAACGACTCTAGCTTCTTTTTTGTAAGTTAAAGTTTTCATGGTACGTATGTACGAAAAATAGTTCAATAAAATGCTGTTTTGCCTTCTCATACTGGGGTCATTTGACTGCTGTTTATGTCACGAACGAATATTAATTTGCAAATTGGATGCTTTACGATTTTGTTATGATTTCTATGTAGTGACAGTACACTTATATCAGACAATAATGAAGTTGACTAGTTTGCCACTTGAAATCTTTGGATGCGTTCGTAACAGTTTTTTATGTGCTGACCTTGCGGTTCCTATTTCAGATTTTATTTTGTACTTTGAATACCCATAAAGTGGACATGGGACGCCTTCTTGGTAAGCTGCAGACTGCAAGAAAATATGCATATGATAATTATCATATTTATTGTGCAGAAAATGAAAAATGTACTATAACTGAACTTTAGTGTTTGGTAGAGGGCAAATCAATATCCCGCATAAAAAATCTTATTAAGTAATTTTTTTCTATATATATAATAGTTTTTTTCAGTTTTTGGCCCTTCGTTAAATCGTAATCAAGTTAAATTAAAGTTGCGTGCCGACTGTGATTCAAATTACAGTACGTACTTAATTAAAATACTGATAGTATAATAATGATAATACTGGTCCTACTGGTAGTTATGATCGTACAATGTCGATAAAGTGTTTTAGCAGTTAGAGCACAATGAAACGTTCAACACATACGCTGGGCTTTTACAAACGATTGTCTCGAATAACGGACACTGTTAATACTCGTATATCCAATATCATCAAATGACTTGCTACTACATATACACCTGGATTATAATAAACAGACTGATTGTGTTGCACAGTGTGGAAGTGTGTCTGTAGGCGGACAGATCGGGTTGGATGATTTCATATTTGCACATGTCAAAGGACAAGCCAAAGAAATAGAAATTATTAAAGAAGAGGATGCTCTAGGTCTGACCATTACTGACAACGGCGCCGGATATGCGTTTATTAAGCGCATCAAAGAAGGCAGTCTTATGGACAAGATCTCCCACGTACGTATCCAACAAGAAGACCGTATGCACTTATATCACGCATAAATATGATGCCCAATCCGGGGCCAAAAGATCATCTAATCAGTTCGACAATGCGTTGATTTCGCACTTTCCACCAAAACTAACATTGCACTGCTAAACGACATAACACTGGATACGTAAAAAAACACTAGCATTATGTTACGGTAGCTACATTCACACCATCGATATAGGTGAGTGTCGGCGATCACATCGAGAAAATCAATCAGCAGTCGCTGGTTGGCTGTCGGCATTTCGAAGTGGCACGGAAACTGAAAGATATTCCACGCGGGTCGACCTTTACCGTGCGTTTAATAGAGCCCCTCAAAGCAGGCTTTGGTAAGAGTTTTTTTAATAGTTAAAGTTGCTGTGTTGCAAGTGCAACTGTGTGGAATCGCTATGGATGGTATAAATTATATTCACGATGGGATTTTTGTCCGACGCACTGCTGCAGCGGCCATCGGACCACGCAGCGCGAAGGGCGCGAAAGCGGGCAGCGGAGCCATCGGCACCGGAAAGGCTACGCTCAGGCTCAGAGCAAAAGGTCCTGCTACTGTTGAAGAAGCGGTAAGCAGAAGTTTAAAATATTAACAGATTTGCATGTATTTTGTACGCTCTAGACTTCTGCACCGTGCCTTTCTGAGTATATACAGATATATCTAAAGCGCTTATGGTTTACTGTTTAAGTAAGTAATGATGATAGTTATCATACTTAAATAAGAACGGAGTCGCAGAAAGCAGTTGAGTTATAGTTAGCTTACGAATTTTAATACGTCAAATTTTTATCCGTTATCATACGATAATAGTCATAAAACATCGTGCAATTCAAAACTACCACTTGCCTGTTTTCTACAGCCGGACGTGGTGTCTGCGGCAGTAACAGAAAAGATCAATGGACTACTGGAATCTTTTCTTGGTATTAATGACATCGAATTAGGCAAGTATATGTCACTTCACAGCAAGACCGCCTGATTTTACATGGGTTTTGGAAGGTTAATTGGGGTTCATATTTACAGCTACAACGATTTGGGAAATTGGGCAGGGCAAGACTAACACCCACGATTTCGCTCTTGCACTCGGTAATACCAACCAGCTCGGCGCAGATAATTTTGCCGCTTTGGTTTTTGTATTTAAGCCCGGCAATCTATCTAAACGTACTTAATAAAGCACCCTTTCATAATATTATAAAAGTGGCGGTCGATTGTCAGGCTTTTGGTTTGTTCTGCAGATGGATCAGAACTGGCAGTCTTTGGATTTACCGACGATTTCGTTTTTGATCTTTGGGGAATTATTAGCGACGCGAAATCTGGTCGACTGAAGGCTGATAAACCCAAATTCGAGATGCAGCTGTAGAATTACACTATCTGCACATCCAACTTGGATTTAATTGTTTTTGTAGAAAGTGCGCTATAATTTCTTTTCCTTTCAGATAACTAAGTCGACATCTCCGACATGATTTTGACAATATTTTTCACAGATAACTATATACTAAAATCAACAGAAATCTGTTGGCTCTGTTAAAAAATTGAACCCAAACCATAAATATTACTCTAAAACATTCAAAAACAAAAAAGCGGATATGAAAAAGTCAATAAACATTTGGAATAAAAACAATCAATCCATCTGAGTCGGATTTATTCCTTCAGGAGGGAAATCCAATAATAGCAAGGCAATTTAGTGTTGAAATATCCTAAACAGAAGTTCCATTTCCAGGCGCGGTCGGCTCCCCCATGAGCGAGCGCATTCATTTACCAACCTGGTCCGAAAACACATACAGATCAGATCAGCAGCCTCCATGAGGTTGTACGTCTATGGAATTACAGTACTACAGGTTTTTTTTTCAGTCTTAAATATTTCTTTATTACGTCGCGTATTACATAAGTAACAAGAACAAAAATCCTTGACATCATTGCCGTTCAGCCAATTGAAAGGCAAAATACACATCTTCCTTCTCAACCACGTCACTAAAGGTACCGAGAAAGATACTGCATTTCCTCTCTGAATCTCGATACCAATTTACCAGTAGTACTGGTACTACAGGTTGTTTACCATACTAAAGCGTAATCGCTGTACGGTAAGCACCTGGAATAATTGATTGCATATCGCTCAGAATTGTTTATTACTTGATCTCATACGGATTTCTCAATCAAAAAGGAAAGAATAACTACTGTCTACTCCGTAATATGTGATACGGAAATGTACTTCTGTAAAAAAATAAAAATTTTTATAATAAAAAATGCCAAAAAAGCTCAGTTCTTTTGTGCGTATGGGTACTCAGTTCCAACGTTTAACGTTTAACGAAGCGTGCGGTGTTCTATACAAAACGGTATAGCAGAAATAACTTAATACTGACCGCATAATTTTCTCATCGAATTCCATGAGAGCGTCCTGTCCAAATCTTTCTTCCTTAGCGCCAATATCATATTCCATAATATCTGGTCCCAGAACCACCCGCAAACCAACTTTTGTCCAACCATTGTCCCGGTAATCATACAAATGTGCTCTGATGATCGAGCATGTTACCATTGCCAAATTCTCTGCAAGTCGACTCAGATCCACATCTTCCCGGTACGTCACGCTGTAATCCTTCTCATCCGTCAAGAAGACTTCGGTACAGCGTACACACAAAGTACCGTTCAAAAAATCCACTGAATGTTTCAATGAAACACGTCGACTGTCCACACCTGACAAATCCTTCCCATCGATTGGACTGCGCACACTGAAAGCACAAATCGACATAATTTAAAATTAAATCAGCAAACAAACAGACCCATAAGATTTGCAAATTTCAAAAACCAGTCAACATAAGGGATAAACATTACAACAGCAACAAATAAATAATCATTTCTCTAACAACAAAACAGCAAAAATCTTTCCCACGAAACAGTACCCCAGATTGCAGGACTTTTGTTCATCCGTCCATTCAATAACAAGCGCATCTTGGTTTGTCGAACCTTCCGGTGTAGATGACTGCGCTTTGAACACAATAGTCTTCATTGCCTTGAGTGAAACTTTCAGCTCATCCAGTCCACGAAATGTGATCTGCACCATGATTCCATCTTCCACGACCGAAGCCCGGCATTCAGTGTGGTCCATACTTTTTAGCGAGCCATTAAAAATTATAAAGCTTGTTCCGGTAACTGTCAATGTTGAGAAACAGTGTACCACAAACCATTTATTATCCTCCTCATAATAAAGCTAATTATACCAAAATTCTTACCCTGTCGTCCCTTTGATTGAATGTTAATAGCCTGCGTTTCGTACTGTCCATTTTCCAAATTTTGTATGCATACCAGGTGCGCGTCGGCTCGTTTGGAGAAATCCAAACCAATTGGTAAAACATGTTCATTGCTCGTTTGACAAGCCTTGATAATCTAGCATGAATTAAGAACCATTAAAAGAAATGCCCACACAGGAAAGGAAAATACTTTACCTGATCGTAACGGTGCCGCGGAAACCGTACTGTTATCAAACCTTTCTCCATGCAGGACTCGGTATCTTCCATGCAAGGCAAATGGTATTGAAAATTTCGGAAATCACACAGCAGATTCATCACAGTATGGCCAATCTCCTCGTAAACCGCTTTTCGATCTCGAAAGCTGACTAACGGACAAGGATAATCTACACGTATCAAGCACAAATTATTATCAGTTATTACTGGTTAAAAAAACGAAACGCAGACATAAAAGCAATCATTAAGCAGTGTTCTGCTGTAATTACATCGGTATTGGGCCCCTAATCGCAGCATAAGTCGGAGAGGAAACAGCTTGGCCCACGGAACTTCCCATTTGGTCATGAGGACGCCAAAGAGATAGGGTGGCTCCGGTAACCTTAAGGACGCCAGACACTGGAAACTCGGTCGGATAAACAGGAAACCGGCGTTGTTACGACTGCCGAGGAAGCCACTTTCGTAACCCGACAAACCCACAATGCTATGTCCCAGATTTCCGATAACATTTCCTGTAAAACTAACTTCTTTCTGAATTATCCAAACAACGCTCAAGTTAAGTAAAAATCGTAGCCATTAATAATCTGCAGGGTACGATTTGCTGTCAAGCCTGCTCGAAAAAGTGTCTGTGCGCTGCGTTTCCGGGTTGTGCTGTACAAGAATACAAAATTACCTACCTTGTTTTGCATGCAGAAATATTTCGTTAAGGTGGAGGAAAACATCACGCGGGGGCAATACGTCCATATCTTGCTTTTCGAGCAGAATGCAAATTTCGTCTTGTCCAACCTACGAGTGGAAAATGGCTAATAAAACCATAAATCAAACACCCCAGAGTATCTGTAGTCAGAAATATTGTTGAGAAGCAAAGTCTGTGGTCTTACCAAACGCATTCCACTCGTGGAATAAGACCAAACAACATGGCCCATGCAGCATTTTAAATCCAGAATTTGCACTGAGACTTTCAGGCACGAGTTAACAAAGAAGTCGACATTTTCCGATGGACACATTGTGAATTTCAGTAGCAATGTTGGCAAGTCCGGATGTTCATGCAGTACATTATCTGTCATTTGAAAACGGTTTTCATATGGTTTCATACAGTCTGATAGTCAATTATTTAATAACAACAACGCCACATACGTCCATCTGAAGTTAGTTCCATCACTGGAAGGATCTCCCGGTTAATAAACAACCTAACCACGTGGTTAGCGCTGGACCGTTTTGGGGGCGATTTACCTTTGGGTAGGGGTGGAGCTATAATTAACAAATGAATCTATACATAACCATAGTTGGAATCCAGAGCAACTGAATACCCTCTTCAGGCGCACCAGGTGATCGTCGCTGCCGCTTGGCATTCATCAAGGCTAACCGACGAGCATTTCCCTGTGCTTCGTGCTCACTCAAATCCCCACCCGGGCGGATACCATCGAAGAAGACGACACTTCTGGGCTCCAGACTATTCCGGGGTGGTCGATCCTGGCGACGAAGTACGCCGGGTGGCACCGGTAACGGGGCGGATGTGGAGACGCTGACGGAAGGGGTCGGCTCGTCGCCGGGAGGACCGGTGTCCATCGGGGCGTTCTGGCCGGATTTGAACAAAAATGTCTCATTACACAAGGCACAAATGCGGTCTTCCTTGTTGTCCATGTACTCTAATTTAGCCCGGTAGTTGCCACAGGATGCACATATGACCTAAAATATTGCGCAATCAATGGAAAGAAATACTGTTAACATACTGTTTCGTCGAGTAGTATTTCATTAATTCGCACTGGCGGCATTCCGTACTCCTACGTTCTTTCAACAGTTTCAATGTCGTTGTCTTACACTTCCACAAGCACGGCAATGATGTCTTCTCTTGACCAAAGTAAACCGCAATCCACACAACATACATATCGGAGCAAATTCGTCAGGTACCCATTCTGGTTTAACTTTGCCGAGATTATCTGCTGAAAATATCACAGGTGCCTCACTGGACGACGTGGAGGGATTTTGCGGCGCGTCGTTTTCATCGTTGGCCAGTGACTCCGTTGCTGACACCATCGATTCTTCCATCATACTGGATGAAGCCGTTTCTGCAGGCGAAACAGAACTGTCGTCTTCAGTCACAGAAGATATTATGGATGATTCAATGGTCGGAATCAGTATTTCGTCGCCGGCCGACGCTGCTTCAACAACTGGAATGGATCCAGCACCTACACAAAAAGTACACAATCTCATCAAACCATTCAGAACATAAAACCCGTGATTATTTACGCACTCACCTTCCACTGAGATGAAATCCCTGGCCAGCTCTTCCGATAAAGAACGCTCGCTAAACGGCAATGACAACTCCAAATCGTCAAATTCGCTGACATCGATCAAAGTCATGGGAACAGGAGGGGCAAGTTCTAGGGGCGGAGACATACGGATCGGATCAGCATCCTGACTCTCCAATAATAAACTCGGCTCCTCAAAATGAACGGGAGAAGAGCTACCCGCTTCGCGGTTTGAATAATCATCACGCGGAGTCACAGGCGGTGAAGAATCCAAGGTCTTGAGAAACTGATCTAATTCGCTGTCGCTCACATCTTCTGTCGTATTCCACGATTTTTTATCAAAACCTACAGCTGGGCGTGACGAAACTTCTTCTATAGTCGATCCAGAACGAAGCTGGATCTTCTCATCCCTATGGTGCTTGTGGACAGGCTGACTCTCGTCTACCAGTATCGGTTCGGATTTCTCCGCTGCCTCTGGAAAGGGCACACCTGCTACAGTTCAACCACTCCGCGAATTTTACATAACCGACAATTTAAAAACCACTGAAATGCTATACAAGCCACTTTATTCGAGACAAAACGCTGCTGCAATCGGACGGATTACATAAGACAATTCCACGACAATTAGAAGCGTTTATTTGCCATAAAAGAAATCTAATGAGAGAAGCAGTGAACTACGGCCTGAACTAAAAAGTATGCACTTATCCGCAAACGCAAAAATTAATTTCAGGTGTTGATAATCAGTATACACATAATGAATAATGAAATGCATTTTCCCGAATCATTAACCATAAAATATATAACAGAAGTGTCAAGACTGAACGCGATCACTTGAAATAATAAGAAGCATATTCAGACTTATTGGCGAAATCGCATATAAAAAATTAATTAACACTAGTAGACCCCGCGCAAACTGCGCGGAATAAATCGGCAATAAATTGTTATTTATGGAAAACTACAAAGTACAAACCCATGACTGCAAATTTAGTTTTATTGAGCGGAGCGTATAAGAATATTAATAATAATAAGTATAGTTTGATTAGTTTCATTGGCAGAGACAAACGGTATTTGCCCAATACCTGTTTGATTATGCTTATCATAACTAATGTCGTAAATTATTCTTCATTTTGGGCCTTTGACCATAGTTCACTGACAGATTGGTAGCAGTTAGAAACTTAGAATGTATCACAGTTTAATAATTAAATGTTTAAGGCCGTTTTGAGAAAACATTGTCGCGTTCCGCTGACTTCAGATTTAACCTTAAATTAGACCCGAAAAATTTGAAAATTTCCAGGAATATGTCCTTTTTGTTTGCAATTATAAAACAAAGTTTTTAAGCTTCTCGCAAATCAATCAGCAGCATATACCGGTCAGTTGTCAAGAACTGCAAATAAAAAAAGCTCCATAATTACTGAAATTTTTGTAGCCGTATTTCAGTACTTCTACTGGTTCAGATACCATTCGGAGCTTCGTTAAATTTTAGTTAGTGCGTCCCGACAATACAATCCAGTGATGCGACCGTACGACCACCGATGTCAACCTTTAGACCACTTAGAATATAAAAATACTTTCCAGTTTCCTCCAACTGTTTACACACAAACAATTTAAACCTGATGAAGACTTCAAAATTTCGTTGTGTTCTTTGGTGAATTTTTTATTGATTAACGTCGACAACTTAAGCAGCAGTGTCTTGCTTGCGACCCCCGCTGCAGATAGGCGCCGCCTATGATTCCGCTTTCTGTTACGTGCTTATAAAATTTGTTTCAAGTTTGGCAAAAATCTATGCATTTGTATAGTACATCCCCAACGTATTGTCGCATCCCCAATCCCAACCCCAACCCATCCCCAACGGGCCCAACCCAACCCATTTAACGCCAACAACATCCCCAACCCATTAAACGCATTGTCGCTTCACGCTTACGTCCTCACAGATGGTTCATAATGTAGCTTGTCGCACCCAGGCGCACCGGGGAGGGTATTCCCCTAATTTTTTTGTTTTGACCTTTGATGGGAGCTGATCTGGCGGATTGCTTTATAGCTGGCGGAAAGATAGATTAGAATGCGGATAAGCTTCGCTTTTTAATTCTTCTGTTTATTTTAAATTTTTGAATGCTAAAAATGCGGTTTTTGTTTTCATAAAACCGTTTTTGTCTACGTTCCTTAGCGGAAAAATATCCTTTCTGAAAAATATTTTAACCTTCCCTCCCTCCCCCTGCGGGAGGCTCTCGCGCTCCTCATTTAGGTCGCCGTGAAAAGATTTCCCTTGGGCCGCTTTCTCCCTCCGGGCGGCGGTTAGACTCGAATCTTAGTGCGTACGCCCGGTGGGACTGGGACTCGCTGTTTTGCTCGAGTAGTCCACATCATTTCCAGCGAACACCAAAATTCTCAAAATCGACTTTCAGTCTCTCACAAAATGATGTTTATTTGCGATTTGAAAAAAAGGGTAAAGTATTCCACTTTATTGGCACGGCAGCAGCACGATATTACAAAAGTCAACCGCCCTTTGGAAGCAGTTTTAAATGTTAATAATACATCTAATCAACCCGTTGCGAAAGGCAACTACTTTATCTTTGGAATTTGGGTCGCTCCCACTTTCCAGGAGATTCTGCATGTTCAGTCTTTAAGAAACATCACTTTCAGAGCCTACATATTTAAAAAACTAACTCTTAATAAAAATCTTATGAACTAAAGGCAGTCCAATAACTAACGGACACCAAAGTTCCATCAAGCGTAGATGTCTTTTCCTGTGCTGTTCGTGACAGTGGTGGCTTGGGTGGGTTTGCAGTGGTGGGTTCTGCACTTTTCCCGTAGACTTTGTATATTAAGTTCTTTTAAGATTTTCACTAAAACTTCACATACTTTCAAAAAACTGACTGGTTTCTGCAAATCTGCAAACTCGCGGCTGTTGAATGACATATAGACATCAAAGTTTGGTTCAGTGGCTCGCTCAAGAAAGGGTGACAGAAATGGAATTCGCTAAGGCTTATTTTATTAATATATAGGATACCTTGCACCAAAGAAACAGGAGTCGGGATAACATGGGGTGTTTGTTCGGAGTCCAACGCAGGATCATCGCGCACAAACGAAATGACCGGTGTGTAGGACACGTCTTTCTGTTCATCCGGTTCCATATTCAATGGGGTTTCAGGCGGCAGAACGGAATCAGAGTAATCATCCATGAAAGAGGTAGGAAATGCGCTGGTCGACGGTGTGAAATGAGCGTCCACCGCCTCCCGCACAGTGGTAAGGGATTCGCTAGGAGAATGCAAATGCAGGCCAATCATAATGAGCTCCGTGGTGTCGGATCCCATGGACGCTGGACCTAGTTCTTGACTACTACCCAGTCCGCTATCGGGGAACGACGACAAGAACTCTGGTTGCACGAAGAGGGAATGGGGGCGCTCAACTGGATGCACTGTGGAGGCTGCTGACTCGAAATCCGAGAGATGAGGAGACACTGGAGAGTCCTCTGCAATGATAACAGATTTCACAGCATTTGTAATATATCGTCATCCATAAAAAAATATTCTGTAACAAATACATACAAAGCTTTTCCTTTGCATTGCGCGAGCTCTTGTGGAGCAAAAAGCACGAGAATTTTCTACGGATCGATCACGTGCAAATTACCCTCAGCCCATCGATCCACGATGGCCACGCTTCTGATACTAATGCACGTATGATAAATCACCTCTTTTTCCTGATTACCCTACCTTTCTCCTGTTCCTCCATCTGATCCAGCATGGCATCGATATCAGTGATGTAGGCTTCCATTTGATTAAGACAAACAGTAGTGATTACTTTCCAATACAGGAAAGACGAAATCCACAACACGGGCAAGACACAAATAAAAGTGGAGATGATGGTAAATACTCGGAAATCTGCACTACTTACGCCATTAACGAAAGACCACGTTCAAGAACGGTATCAACATTCAATGCGATATATTGCAAATAATACTTATCGAGACAAAAAAAAATTGTCCATGAGTTTCACGTGTATAAAAATATTCTTTGCTTCACTCGAATCAGGTTGCGCAGTAGATTGTTTATTTATCGTTAGGTACGTAAAGTCACAAAACAAAAAAACTGGAGCATCGGCTGTAGAATAACTGTACAATAGCGTACACTGTGCTTCTACAATCTACAGTAAGTAGATTGTAGAAGCACTATACCTACTTTCTAGTTTCTACCGTAGCCGCTTCATCTTGGCAGAGTGGCATTTCCTGCTTTTGTCAGGAAAGTCAATGTATGTTATAATAATTTTGACAGTATGTAGCAAATCGCATGTGCCTTTAACCCGCTATTATTTTTATAAATTTTATTCTGAATATTTACACCAGCGAGCACCACTCAGTAATTTTTATTATTACTCGTATTATCAGATAATTATAGTAGCCATAAAAAGCGTACCGGTGTACACATGTCATAATTAAATGAATACTAACTATCTGTGCCAGGATTTCGGGTGATCTCAGCTTCTACTCAACCAATTTTTCTGCTTCAAAATGCATTAGAAACCTCTCAATCACGCGAGTGATCTACGACCAATCGTTGTTTGTTGTCTGCAGAACCTTAGGACCAGTGGTCACTCAAAAGCTTGTTACCATGGATGCCATAGGGCTAACATGGGCGGGTTCTCGCTCTTGTGCTTACTAAATTACAAATTTCCAGGGAAACAGCTTATTTTCTAACCATGTTGCAACATACTGCATTATTCTGATAAGAAAATCTGAGATAGTCGAAAGCCAATATTCATCCGTGCTCAGCTTGTAATATATTATGCGTATTAAACTTACCGTATCTGAATAAAAAAAGGAAATCGTTTTTGTAAATGTGTATAAATGCGTAAAGTTTCTTATTTACTTGTTAGCACGTTAGTTAGGAACTTGGGAGAGGAAGTACAGTTAGGTAATCGTAAGTAATCTGTGAAACGCAGTGCTTATGAAAATAACAAGGAATGGTTATCAAACGCCTCGGTATAGTCCTATAGCTTACCATTAGTTGACAACAGCTCCTTAACTTTTCGCAGAAGAAAAAAATTGTTGTACTTTGTTGATTTTTTAAAATTTTAAATTACGATCTGCACAGGGCAGTGGGACTCGTGCCGTTTTAATTATAGAGATAAAACTGCCGAAGCAAGGCTTGTTATTTTAGTGACTGCAATTCGCAAACACAGCACATTATCATAATCCAATATAAAAGGATACACTGCTAAATAAACTAACTTCGTTTGTCTGGACTTTCGACTGAAGGATACTTTCAAGTTAGGCTAGTTAGCCTCACCAATAGTTTACCTCTTCGAAATTGTGCGAGCCGGTATCGGCACTTTAATTCAACGACATGACAAGAAAAACGGGGTTATCGGCATCAGTGATAGCAATATTAGGAGCGATAAGGAATGTCGCCGATAAAAGCGTGTGTCGCATTTTGTACTCTTATTACACTACGAGTACATCACATCATGCAGTTAATATATAAAGTATACTAGCAAAAGATAGTAGTTGTCGATATAATAGGTTAATTGTACAAAGAAAAGTAACCGACTTGCAATAGACAAATCACGTGGAGTTATTACAATTCAGCTGCAGCGCCAACTATGCGCGCCCAGTTACAGTATTATCAATATCACTATCATTACGGTTCACTGCAGAAAGTTTAATTCTTGCACTATCAGTATATATCGTGCAAACTGACGATCGAATTTCTGTTTCCCTGTGATGGTGGTCATTATTGTACGTTCCGAGATGAAGATGCGGTTGTTTTGCTGCTGTGTTCTTTTAGTCATATTTCCGGTTGTCTTTACACAGCAGCCGCCGTTTTTCGATTATGTCCAGCAACGGGCACGGGTGGCTTCGGCCAGCGTCGAGCAGTATTCGGAAGTTTTGAACCGCTATCACGGAGTCAGAAATCTCTTGAAAGACAATCCGGAAATATTACTGGATGTCTTGGGAAACTCCCGGGATGTTCCTTGGAATGCCAATGTTTCGCGCGCCTGCGCAGATGATATGTCCCTCATCATTGCGCAAGCACAGAACAAACAAATGTGGGCGTTCCAGTGTGAGTAAAAATTAAAATTGGATCAGCAATGGTTAATTCGGCCTTATAGATCTAAATTACCGAATATTTCAGCGCAGGAATATCTTATTAAGATCAATAATCATGCATACAGTAAAAAAATATGGCTCCCATACAGGCACTTTAGTATCATCCTTTGCAGAGACACTACAATCTTTTTTATCAAATTCTACGCAAAATAAAATCGCAACTGTATTCGCATCGCTACTTTTTGTGATTCATTCTACTTTTCCTGTACATTATAGACCATAAGTAAAAAGTATGAATAAAGAGTATGAATAGAAAGTAAATTGCGTACATACTGCAGTTCCATAAAATAATGCGAGTACGATGTACGTCAGTGTTGTGATAGATAGCTAGAGTGCAAATTCTGACTTGACAGTTTTGGACGCATCTGGTAAGCCGGAGGCTGGGATTCTTCAGGGAAATTTCCAGTGGCTGGGATCTTTCGACGAATGTCGAGCCATCGAAGCGGTTACGAATAACGCTACGGATTTCCGTGGAAAGTACTGTTTAGCTGCTTTTGGACCTTATCAAAACACAAGCGGAACGGTATGCTGCTTTATGCAAATCCAACAAAATATCTACCTAAATCTACACGCCGGTACTGGAATAATAATATAAGATGCGATCATTTGCTTTTTCCTATTGTTTTTGCCGCTCAGTATCAGCACCTGATGTACATGTACTTGTACAAAACACTAGAGTAGAGGAGGTGTACTAGTAAATCAATTATAACTAATTTTAGTAAATTGTGCAAATCAAAACTATAATTATTTGCGGTGCTCACAATATTAATACTAGCAAAAAGTAGCAAATTAGCAATAATATATTTAATCAAAAAAATATAATTTGCGTGCAGACATACAATATGAGTAAGCATGCGCGCTCACTTTATGCGCGCACTGAACCAAATTATAAGTTCGAAATTCGTTTTGACATAATAAGGATCCGGCAGCTGGAGGCGAAATGGGAGCGGGAATGACTATGCTGGCTCTAAAAATTGGATTTTGTTATCCTGACAGTTGTACGGACGAGGATACGTTCTACATAGCTTCCAACTGTACGCAAAAAAGCATACTAGTTTGTTTAACCGCATTTTGTAGCTTTTATTAATCAATATCTTGCAGTTGTTATTCTAAGTAATTTGATGTATTAATCTTTGTAGTGCTAACGATGATCCCAACAAATCTGATCAACATGACCCTAGAAGTGTATTCTTCGACCTGCCAACCGCGCTACTACGAATACGACACAAAAGCCATTGCTCTCCTGTAAGCTGACCATGGTATCACAAAGTCAAACATCCCTTCAGTGTGTGCGGCTTTTGTCGGCCTTTTAAGTGCGTTTTACGTATACCATCAAGCCTGAAGAATGTAGCCGTCACTTACGATTTTTTAGATGCGTAATAGGCTTTTTCGGAATGCTTATAACCATTGGAACATTGTACGATGTCTTCATCTATCGTGTCCTTGTGAAAAATCTTAATACTAATCCGGCGGATATTACTTCTGTTACTACCATTTCTGCAACAACGACGGCAGTCATGTACCCGCCCATCGGACATGGTCACCCTTCCACCGACAGTATTCCCTATGTCGCAGATATCAGCGCATCCGATGATGCACCAACGACGACAGTGATCGCTTCCGACACCACCGTCCACACTAATGGCGACACCGTGCATCAGCACACCGAAGTCGAAAAGGTGGAAACTGATGCAGACGATGCACCACTTCTAGGGTCGAAAGAGACGCTAATAAAAGAAAAGGTCACAGTGGAAACAGTGAAAATCGTTCCCGTGCACGAACAGCTCGGTACTACCGTACATATATAATTCAAGAATATTAGAAAGGGCACAGATTATAAATTTTCGTAATTTACGTCGCCGATTTGTTGGTGGCTTCGAGGTATGTCTAATAGGATACTAATACGAGTACATACTATTGCAGGAGTATTATCGGATATCTTGCTGGCATTCAGTTTATATGGCAACGGGAAAAAGATCTTGGACACTTGCAGCACCAATGATCGATCTCTTTCGTGTATACACGGAATTCGTTTCCTGAGCATGACTTGGGTTTTATTGGGCCACACTTACGGATTTGGATTTATGGTTATCCGTACGTTCAATCACAACACGTAATGAAGGGTCAAGGCTTCACTTTCGGTATTTTTTAGGAAATCTGGTGGTGGTGGAAGATGTTTTAGGAAATTTTTGGTTTCAAGCGATTGCTAACGCCACTGTGTCTGTCGACACGTTTTTCACAATGAGGTGATCACAGCAGTTTATTAGGTTTGATAAATGCAGAGTTACTCTTAAGCGCAAGCTATTACATATATCTTAACTTACAGATATAACAACGAGATTACTGCAAAAGTTACATAAAACAGGAAAATTTAAACATCCGCATTTGACCAATATTAGACATTTTTGTTGTAGTGGCCTACTTGTATGTTACTTGTTTGTCCTAAACTACGAGAAAACCAAGAAGTTCCCGGTAATTCAGTATTACATCCACCGCTACTGGCGGTAAGTAATGCATAAAGCTAAACATTTGTTGCTTGAGTTGGCGGAAAAACCAAGAAAGCTCGCCTTGTAAATTCCAGGTTAACAGCCGTATATGCAGTGATAATGGGAGTGTATTTGTCGCTTTTCAAATACCTCAATATTGGACCCATGTGGAATCCTAACGGGATGGAAGTAGACAGTTGCAGCTACTCGTGGTGGACCAATCTGCTCTATGTTAACAATTTGGTGCGCACCTCCCAGCAGGTCAGTTCAAGATTCCAAGTGTATTAAATTGAGTGTCAACCATAAACTATCAGATTTCAAGTGTATCTGGTGGTTATTGCAGTGCATGGGATGGACATGGTATTTGGCCAACGACATGCAATTTTATTGGGTGACTCCGCTAATTCTTTTACCGTTAGTGAAGTAAGTCCAACCCTGTTGCACCCAATGTGTACTCCTCAAAAACGGCATTAAAAGTTTGACCAGAATTACAAGGACTGTCTCGCAATCCGTCTTAGATTACCTATTGCCGGTTTCGTCAGCATGGGGATTTTCATGGTGGCTCATTTGGCGAGCACTGCGGTCATTTCCGCCGAGTATCACGTGAATCCTAGTATTTTGGGAAACGGTGGAGACCTAACCAACATGTAGGATTTAATGAAAATATCTCCCTGTTTGTGCAGTCAACAGAGAAAGTTAAGTGGGCAGTTTTTAGGGCGGAAGGAACGAATTTGTGGGATTATTTCAACCGATATTATATTAAACCGTGGTGCCGAATGGGACCTTACATTATTGGCTTGCTCTTCGGATATTTACTTGCAAAATATAAAGAGAAACCAGTACGAATGTCGCTGGTGACCGCATTCTTCATTTGGATCGTCGCCGCGGTTTCCGCTACAGCCGTTTTGTATGGCTTGTGGCATGTGAACCAAGGAGAGGAGTCGCTGGATTTACCGGCTTCCGTTACGTACAACACTCTGCATCGGAGTGTTTGGGCGTTGTGCGTTTGTTGGGTGATTTTCGCCTGTGTTCAGGGCTATGGTGGTAAGTGTTGCGAGTTTCAGTAACACATGATTCTCGTTGATTGCACAATTGTCCAAAACCGGTGCATGTATTGCATGCGAAGTCGTAAAGGTCATACTTGTCATACTATTAGCTATTGTGAGTTCACTGGCTTAATAAACTATGGAGTATGTTCGATTTTTACAGGATTTGTCAACACTCTATTATCTTGGAAGGCTTTCATTCCTCTCAGCAGATTGACTTACTGTTGTTACTTAATCCACATCCCTATTATGATGATCTATTATTTGGGATTAACAACCACCGAAGATTTTTCCCACTATTCAGCGGTACGTTAATTAAGGATTTTACTGTCAACATAAAACACAGTAATATAAGATTTTGTTGTTCGAAGCACGAAACTTAACTTATGTTAGGAATATCCTTATCCTTGTTAGCGAGTATACCTACCTAAATATACAAGACTTAGTAATTTATGTTGAGTGTGGAGTATATCTATATAATCTCCAATGTATTGCTTCCGTGACGGAAATCGACGGTGCAACATTCTTAACAGAACGTGGTTTTAATAAAACTTTTCTCTTTTGTAGGTCTACCATTTCTTTGGAACACTGTTGGTTACGTACGGTTTTGCCTTCATTTTTACGGTTGGGTGTGAATCGCCTTTACTGGCACTGGAAAAACTTATTGAAAAACAACTGAAAAGGAATACAAAAAAGGAAGAATAACTTTTCCGACAGCGATTTTTTAAAACGTTAAGCATTGGACTGTGATTTTGTTTCATGGGGGATCGGTTATCAATCAATTACCAAAGTTATTTTTGTCACTTTGTATGGTATTATGTAATTGTGCACTGTTTTGTTGATTTTCCGCACTGTTTGTGTACTATTGGATAGTATTCCCTGAGCGGAAAATGTTACTCCAAGATACTCACACTGTTACTCATCCTTCGTGTTTCGTTGTTCCTGTGTGCGTTTTAAACCATCCTGTTAGAACATACACGTGGTTGTCGAAATGTTTGTCAAAGAAATTCGTTATGGGTGTAGCGTCCGGCGACCCGCCTAAACGGAATAAAAGTAATGTTATGAAGTTATAATGAGGAGTGTTATCACAAAGGTCTGGCGCATCCGCGCTCGGCACTGCCGGCCTCGTGGACGGCTAATTTTATTATACCTGACCGCTTTTTCAGTTTATAATGCAGAGTACGGAAAAATACAGAGAGAACAATAATTTAACAGTTAATCGTTCAGTTAATTTGTTTTAAGCACGATCAAAAATCGTTTTTACCATTATAACTGGGCTGCTGTATGTATAATTACACCTGTGCCCAAGTGACCCTATTATAAAAGATATCGAAAGTTGAAAAACTGTCTTGAACAATTAGGAAGTTCGATGCAGTTCTGAAAATAAGTTATGGCGCATGCCTTTACAAGGACTAAATGAACAAACTTGGGATTGAATAAACAATGCCGAACCTGGGAATTAGCATTTAATTTGCACTGTAGGTACAAAGTGGGCCAAGTCTTAAAACTTTTAAAACTTTTAAAACCCTTTAACTTGGCCCACTTTGTACCTACCCTCCATACCGTACATCAATAATATCACAGTATAAATATCATAACGATCGCATCGAGCATAAAAGGGTCAATGAAAGAGCAGTGATTTATGTATTTTATTTGCGATGTGGCACGGTATTACTACGGTACACTTCAGTTAGACACATTATTTTTCGTTCTTATGCCGTTGATAAGCTACGCGTAATATAATTAATTATCCTCAAAAAAACACTGGCGTGCTTTTGGTCGAACTTATGGCAAGTGCACGTGCACTTTCGTAAGCAGTCCGCAAATGGCCACGTTGAGGCACTTTGTATACCAAAACTTTAGTGATTAAAAACCGAGTGGTTCTGTGACACTAGATGAATAACTTCAGCTTGCCGCTTATGTTAAGATGTTATCCCAAACAAAGGCAACGAACTTCCGGAACACGAATATATGGTACAACTGCATGCGTAAGGTTGGTAGCTAACGGAAAGTTTCTGTTTAGTATTTAATTAGCGGTTCTCGTATGCGTTAACCTATTCGATTATATGTATGTAGTGATTCTGTGCACACCTACCAGGAAACTAAATTTAAATAAATGGCACCGGTTTCTTGGCTTTTTTTTGTGACCTTTGTGGTTGCACCGTGCCTTTCAGGTAGGCTATGCCAAAACTTCGCTTTCGATTCATGCCAGTCCGGAAATGTAATCCGGTTACCTTTAAGTCGCTCTGAAATGATCGTGCAGAAAATCGGATTTAAATGGTTTCGCCAGATTCAATTTTGAAGAAATTATAACCTTGCTAGAATAATAAATGTACAATAATAGCCCGATCATTAATTTTAATTGCATCTGGTTTTTCTGCAGCGCCAACTGAACAGGAAGGAACTAGCGATAAGCAGCTTGTCTGGCATGAGCAGCATTGGCAGAGTGGGCCAGTAGCGGTGCCAGTCGCCAATGGCGGCCGCCGTCCAGTCGTTGTTCCCGTCGTAGTTAACACTCAAACAGGATGGTACAATGGCCGCCCCACCAGTGACCACGACGAGGATGACGACGATGTGACCACCAACGACTGCTACTGGAATGGTAGACGCCGAGGTGATTCCCGCTGCCTGTCCTGGTCCACATATGGGCTAAAATGGTTTTTCGACGACGATAGCGACTACAGCGATCGTAAGTTTTTCAAAATGTTCGGCTGGCCGAGACATCACAGTCATGATATCCACCATGAGCGACGTCGAGATCGTGATCTTGACGGGAAAGAAAACTACAACCATCCACACTGGGATCATCACGCTAAAGCCGAAATTGTGCGACGCCGGAAGGATCACCATTAGAAACATCTCGTTGTACAGTATACAATGCTCAGTACCTCACGCTGTGGTCGACGAAATGTTTATTATCACATTTTTTATGACGAAATGTTTTACTGACTGTTGTTTTATGTTTGCATAACAAAAGCGAAATCTCTACTAACATATCTGTACAAAATTAATCTCTATGGCACTTTTAAGCATAAATGATGCAAGCTGAGTTCTCTTGCACAGAGCAACCACAAAATAAAGAAGCTGTAAGAAAGGCAGAAGATATGTCGCAAATCACCTAAAGAAATAGGTTTACATATTAGAGGATCACTAGTTCAGATGGATTCCATAAAATCGGCACCTGCAAGGCAAGCAACAAATTTTAGTATTCGTGTGCTTTGATTTGATTCATGTGCAGATCTCTTCAAATAATGATTAAATGCATTATATGTTCAGAGATGAAGTATAATTAAATCCACAACGAAATTCCAAATTCTGCCAGGGATAACTGATTTAAATCATCATTTTTTTTCTTGAAAACTCACAGGCCAGTTGTTCTAGTGCGTTCTACTCACCTTAAAATCTAAATGTATATTTGGATTCCAGACTGCCAATCGCTGACAAAAATAACACCTACGAAAAAGATGATACACTTTAGAACCCGGCTGCTTTTTTATAGAACATTTCGTTAAAAAATTTGGCAACAAGTCAGTAATACAATTCACCAAAAACTCTGTCTGACAGGGATAACTAGTCATCATGTTCCACTTGCTGTACGTATGCCAATCTATGTACTCACTTGTCTCTTTGCTGTAGCTTCTGAGGATAACTGCAAGTCCCATTCTATAAAGCAGCCCCAAAGAATGACCAATACGAACAGCCATATCTAACCCATGAGAAAACTATTCGGTAACACGGTTCAGAACCCAAAACAATTCACCAGCATTATGTCTGACAGGGATAACTGACGTTATTCATCATAATATAAACACTAAAGTGCTGAATATACGAATAACAAACTTGCATAACTTACTCATTTTTCTACCACTGCACATTTCCATACAGACCAGGATCTGTCAAAGGCTGCAGGAGATACAACCATATTCCGAATCCTCCCAAATAAGCTACAACCATGACAATCTTCGCGCCCAGAGGCACTGTTCCGAATGTCTCTATTTCAGGCACGCCGAGCACATTGCACAGGGCATGCGTAAGGATCGGTGCGGCGATATGGCCAGTGCGGACGAAGAGGTACGCAGAGTACAGGCCGAAAAGGGAAGTATAGGCGATCTGAAACAACGTAGCAATGACAGCACGCAGCGCCGGGGTCCCCAGTCGTATCCGGTCGAAGATGTGATGCAAATGAGCGACGCCGAAGGATAACGGACTTATCAGGATGGCAGCACGTGGCCCATAGCACACAATCAATACGGGAATCAAGCATGCGCGATATACAAATTCTTCGGACAACGGAGCCACGACCTACAATAAGAAACAAATTAAAAAAATTAAAATTGTCATAGTTCCAGAAATTCATTATAACACTTTGGACCTATTGAGGACGCATCTAGAATCGTGGAAAATTGTTGGGAAATTTGTAAAAGCACATTACCTACGTAAGATAATCAACCACTTACATAAGCTCGCCACCAGATGTGGGAGTAAATAGTGTCGCGAAGTACGCGCCGCCGGTAATACAGATTTCGATAAATTAGAGTTAGGAAAGCTCGATTGTATCCCCTCCAACGTCCAGCAAAAAAATCACCCACGATTGGACCAGCAAAAAGAATCACTGCAATATCAGGAACTCTTCCAAAAACGATACGATCACAGAAACCAGCTGATGTTACGCATTTAATCTACATACGTGTCAAAATCACCGGCAAAACACTCGCGAACAATACCCCGTTAAATCGCAATCCTATCCGATTCGCGAAGCAAACCACAAAAGATTTATCCGAGCATACTCCAGAAAAATAATGAAAGACTGCCGAGAGGCAGCATGAAATCACAGATGCGCAGAATACTCGCTGAAATCGCGACCTGATCTCCGCGGGATCATCGCGGTTACGACTTGGGAAGGCAATCAGTTTCGCACCCAGCGGATGAATGTACAAGCTTGCAACATAGCAAAACGCGATGGAAGATCCTATTATCCAGGTGAAAACAATTTCGGCACGATCGCATTCCGGTATACCGGCGCCGGTGAGGTTTCCCTGTGTTGCTCGGCTTAGATGTTCCGCATTCTCCATGGTCTGATCTTGGTAAGTTGGTTGGAAGCCAGGAAGTGGAACAAAAACTTCTTTCATGGAAAAAATCTAAATGACATTTTATGATGATATTTAACTATTACCGCTTTCATATTAACCGTAAATAGTAACTATAAAAGAAATACATTTTTCTGCTATCAGTCAGTTTCTGACAGCAAGTTGCTTGATTATATGGTGAGTTGGTGACCTGCCGTCAGTTCCCCAAAATCTGAACCGCAAAAGAAAATCAAACGGATTTGAAAAGCGCACTGTCTGGCGGTGGGCCTTTATTACAGATTTGATTGGGCCGCACCGTGGGTCAGGCCCACCCATTGGGCTGGGTTTTCATTCATTCAGTCGAAGATCAAAGCATGCCCCATTCTAAAAATAAAAAATTCCTTGTTAGTTTTCATGATTTTGCATAAAATTTCAAGATCTTTGCGGTCCTACGAGTTTACTTCGCATTGGTTTTCCTGTTAACGAGAAGTGCTGAATCTCTGCGAAATACTGTCGTCAGTGCCGTGATATTTTAATACTTACTCCTCCTTACTTACCTACTAGGGCTGATCTTACGGCCTTCTCTGAGAGTTGGATTTCTGGTCATCGGATTGAACAAAAAGCATCAGCGAAGTGAGTGATCTCGCCTTGTTTTGTTAATGGTAAAGTAAGGCGAATGAGCTTTAGCTGTTCAGCCTTTAAACTTTCTGTCCTAAAACTGAAACAAATTTGCGCCTGGTACGTATTTAAACGGTGAAAGCATCATTTCGATCGCTTTTTCAGTTTTCTCTTTCATAAACGGAAGCGTGCGGCGTCCACTTGCCCATCGTAGTTTGGGAAATGCTGTTCGTGATATCTTAATTAATAAAAAAACGCGTCATGTTCCGTCACCATAAAAACTGATAAAACATAACAATCTGAACTTAAAAATCTTAATGACTCACTGGTAAGCACAGAATTAGTAGCTATCTCGAATCATCGCTATCCGCATGAGCACGTAAATCAGTAAATATTTTTGGATTTAGCACTTACGCGTGTGATCCTTATTAGCCTGCTGACAGAGGAATACTCTTATGAGTACATACCTGACTCAACAGGAAGGGAACGTAGGAGTACTTGATGTATAACGGTGCAAACATGGTTATCGATTACTAGTAGTGGAACGATAAGTCCCATGAATTCTGAGTTTTTCTTCACAGTTAACTTCAGTATTAATGCAATGCTTGAAATTTGTAATTTGTTTCGCAGTTTATTTTTTACTGACAACGAAAATATATTTGTGATCATGTAACCGATTCACAATTTGCAGAGAATAAGTGGATTCGCTCCTATGAAATAGAAGAAACGCATAAAGATGGCTGTAGACAGCGGTGGTTCTCGCGTCATGTTACAGCAAATTCTGAAACCGATCGAAATTCTAGTCTCCCAGCCGTACGATGCCCTGCCTGATTCCGATTTTAGGCAGTTACTGCAGTACATCTCCCAGCTGAAATCGGAGATTCTCAGCGCCCAAGCGGATTACCTACCGTTCTGGGATGCCTACGTCGCCCTGTCCTATCATGCCATTTATCAGCATCGTCTGCACATCGCCGAGAAGAACGACCGCGCTCTGGAAAACTTGGTCAATGCGGCCGCGAAATTGCTGATGGATTACTGCATTCAGCGCTTACAGAAACCTGTGGGAAGCAGTTTCTTGACGATGGCGGACTGTTTGAAGCTGTTAGCTGCGGTGTACAATCTGGGATCACCGTATGGGAAAAATGAAATACTGGCAATGTTCAAACAGTTGGAAACGGCTAAAGTACCTCCGGAAGTCAAGCCAGCGGACAGGAGCGATGTGGAGCACGAAGAAGAAAAGAAAGATGTGAAAAGAAATGTCCACATGGTGCCTTCAGTCCCCGTTGTCAACGTGAAGAACTTGATCACTCCGATTATTCAGGGCGCCTATGAGCCGATTTCCGAGTTGGGCATCTCCGCGGCCAAGGTGTCAGGCAAATTCAGCGAGCGCTACGGCAAGAAGATGTACTGGTATTTGTGTGAAAATCGTGTGGGGGATACACTGTTAAGCATTCTGCAGAATTCCGCAGTGTTCAGTGCGTTTATGGACACCGACATCGGTGCGATCAACTTCTTCAAAGCCGTGATCACCAAGTTGACGGACGCCCGACAAATTGTGGGCAGAGCGGATATTCTCTCCTCTGATCTGGATGTGGCGTTCCAGATGAGCAAAATCCCACTTCCCGACTGCTGCTCACCGGAGAATTTGGAGTTTGTATGCAGTTTTGGAATTAGCTGTATCACGAACGCCTGTAAACTGTTAACCTCTTTAAATGTGATTGACTGTCAAACTGTCGCGGAAGAATCGGATGGAAGTCTGCAGCGGCAGCTCAGTGAATCGCGTTTGTCCACAATGAAGAAAGCAGAACAGCTGTTGACCGTGTATGAACAGCTGGAAAAGAGTATCGCCGTCAACAACCGAGAAGCCGCTCGGAACATGGTCACTGTGTGTTGTCGTTATTTTTTTGCCAGTCTCGAGGGAATTCTTGTGGGAGCCGACCTCGACCTTACAGCTTCGTTGCTCATTTTCTCTGCACCGGCACTGTATCTTCTGCGGCAGCTGCTGATGTTTATGAGTAAACTGACGGATGATTTGCGATCCTTCGAGATTCCTTTGCTGGAGTCCTTACCGGTTACGGTTCCTAATCAGCTGGTTTTGTCGGAAATTTACACTCCCTGGTACAGGTTGGTTTATCTGATGCGGCAACACGATACATTTGGCGTGATTATTCGCTCCTTATCCATTTGCCACGGACAAGCGTACCGTCGGCTGTTAAAGTGCGTGAAGAGTGCACAAAAACAACCGTCTTCCAGTCCATCACCGAATGCATTATGGGTCAAGTCCGAAAGCAGAAGTCGGTCGAGAAGTCGAGATTCCGATTCGGACACTTCACCTCGTCCAACCAAGCTGTCGTCTAGTCAAGACAATTTGATTCCGGGATATCTGTGGGAAGAGAGCATTGAAGGACCGATGGGCTCGGAAATGTCCAACGCCTCCAACGGGATTTCCCAGGATACGGCCTTAACGGAATCTCTTCTGGATACTGTCTCAAAAATCTTACATTTTCTTGATCGCGAATTTCTACAAAGTGAACATGGGATGATGGAGATTTTATTGCGGGAGTTTTTCATGGCGAAGCATGTGACGCAAATGTTGCCGATCATGACGACCAGTTCTTTTGAATACGTGCCTACGGGAGACATGGATCCACCGCATCTGCGATCTCTTGTTGCGAAATGCGAATTAACGCTGGATATGTTTCTTCACAATTTGGTTACTACAGGTAAAGAATTACTTATGGTTAGGTCTTCGAAATGTGTATCGGTTTGAGGAATGAATTTACCAAATAACAGAGTTTTGGAATATCCGTGATTACGATGCTCACCGGTGATTGATAATGGTGGTTTTTCCTGAAAATTTAGGGTTCGTCAGTGACGAAATCATCCTTAACGTGCTGAAATCTGTTGGATTGGATCTCTCTCCGGCCAAAAAAGCTGAACCATGGCCTTTGTACATGCCAAGAGTTTTTTTGTCGTTTTTTGGACGTGTTCTGCTAAAATGGCAATTTGATCAGCAAGATGATGCTCATGAGAGCCCGCGGCATGCACCGGTCTCGTCGACAGCTACATTGACAATCTGGAACCGCTTATGTGTGGCGCTTCAACAGCGAGCGCTTAGAGAACAATCGGACACCACACAGATACCGAATTGGTGGAGGAACCATCTGGAATTTGAAGATCTGAATCCGGAGCATCTGTATCTGCTTCTTCTGGCTTTCCATGGTTTGGCATTGATGCAAAAGAAATCTGTTCTAACACTTTTGGCTTCTTCGTTTGTTAGTTGCGCTTGCAAAATTAAAGAATGGAACGAGCGGAATTTGTTGATTGTTTCGCGGATCCTGGTGACGATTGAATATTTGATGCATCGTCTGTATGAACCATCGGATTCGTTGATGCGACAAGTGGAGAGTTTATTGTTTCCCGCTGTTACCCAATCGAAAATTCCCGATATGCAGATTCCGGTCTACGATGTGGCGCAGAGAGTATGTGAAATGTCCCCGGTGGATCAAGCCAAATATCCAGATTTGTACAGAGTTTTTTACTATATTATCACCCCGGAAAATGCCCATCAGGATCCTTTGACACTGGATGGGTTGGCTTGCAGTTTTCTCCTGGCCCCAAATAAAACCCCCGAATACGCTGACTTTTACCATGCCTTGAATACCCTGTGGAATGCGCTGCATGGAAAAACAGTGCAGGAGAGCGAGAGCCTACGGCATGTCGCTACTTTTAACTATGCGGCACTGCTTCTCTGGCGACTACTGCGAGTGCTGCCGCCGTCGTTGGCGCACTGGGATACGTTGCGGAAGGATGGGCAAGAATTTGCGCTCGATTCAGTGCAAAATATTACTGCTGCGTTGTGGGCGGCACGGTTGACCAGCAAATCATACAAGACTTGGTTAAAAGATACATTCGTCAAATTGGGTAAGTACGTACATAGGCAGATTTCTTGGCAGATTAGATTTCTGTGGTAAAAACACGCAAACATTTTTAGCGAAATAAAGCAACGTGCGTAACTGCGTATTAAGCTTTCCGTTCTTCAGCCTACCCGAAACGTAAAATATAGTTTCACAGTCCGCTGTACACAAAAGTGCTGGAATCAGAGATCGCAGTCTATGTGCATAGGAGTTTTGTCTGAATGGAAATTGGAAAGTAAATAGGAATACAAGTCTATCACAGTTGCAGTACTTGTACCAATATTTTGTGTTATCGTTTTCGTTGGTATTTAAATAGGACAAAGCACAGTGAACGCGGATTTATTGCTGTCCAACTGTTCGGACGCTGTCGGTTTCAACAAAGATCTTCATCGTTTACGAAACTACATGGAGTCGTTTTTGAAGTACCAGCAAAAAAGGAAAACAGAAGCTCCAGGCGCACCAGAAATGCCGGCAATTGATGCTTCGCCATTGGAAGAGACAGCCAAATCCTTATTATCTGAAGGTGGATTAAGAACGTGGCTGCATGATGGACCCATAATCAACGATCAAGATTTTCCGAAGATTCCCTCTTCACTAAGTTTGGTGTGTTTGATCAGTAAGGTCCAACAGGCTATGGAAGAATTGGTGCGGGATAATAATGTGGACAAATCACGCTTGAACTCTGCTGCCACTGCTCTCGCTCCCTTGGTTCTGGATTGCATTATACATTATGGACATTTTTGTGCGTCTAGTATTATGAACCGCATCGCGGAAAGGATTACCACGGGCGGCAATACTCTGCAGGTAATTTGAGCCTTACTTTAACGGTTGAGCGTTAATGTTGATGTGCAGTATTTCTTTCGTTTTATTTTGTTCTAGGTGTATCAGCAGCTGTTGTTCGTGTGCGGACAAAACAGCGGTACTCTTCTGACTAGCGCAAACCATGTCCAAGAAGCTGTTCCTCCCTTGCTGACCGACGTCCTGATTGAATGGCAGATGAAAGAAGCCGGTAATCAACCCATGTTTCCGTCCCACAAGGAATACCAGCATAATGAAGCCATGACCTTTGATGGATTTGTCAATAACGTGATTACGAACCACATGATCGGGACCACCAACATCAAGGTCGGCAACGCCTCCGGACACAATCTGTCCTTGAAGTACACGCTGAACATTCTTGTGCAGTTCCTTCATGAATTGCAATCGTGGCTCCCTGTTAGCATCGATATGGTGCTGAAGGAACATTTCCACAGAGCTATGATGCCGGTTATCATGGGATGTTTCATCCCCGAGGATATGGAAAAAATGGCCACCACGATGTTGGAACGGGTTCTTGGTGATAGCACCTTTCAGTTACAGTACATGAAAACGCTGATGTATTTGGTGTATGACATATTGAAACTGCTGCGAGATGACGTGGTCAGTGCGGATATGGATCCCACTGGAATTGCAAGCAAATGCGTGGAGACATTTAATGCTTTACTGGATACGCAAACCGGACGGGCAGCTATGGCAGCAATCTTTCAAGAGAAATCGTTTGATATTACGGAAATCATGCTTTCTATTACGAAGTCGCAGTTCTCTAATTCGTATGACGTGATGGTGTTGAATTTTGTCAATCGTATCCTTGTGGAAACAGCCAAATCCTCCGACGATGCCACATTGGCTTTATTGAGCCAGTCGTTGAGAAAAATCGAACAGCGATCACCCGATGTTCTGCAGCTATGGATGGATAAGGTTCTGCGTAACCCTTCGTGGAAAGACGGCAGTGAACGAAAATGTGTGGTTTTCTTGGAGAACTGGGTAGCGTTTATACAGGTAGCTGATCGACCACTGAGCGAAATGCTAGCTGAAGTCTTGTTAAAGGCGCTGACCGCCATTGTGTCGCCAAACATGGGAGTGTCTGGCTCGGACTACCCATTGTTTGCGGAGCTGATGCCGACGATGGAAGTGCTAGCCGCGTCGTGCAAAATAGGGCATGAGCTCTTGTTAACATCATCAGTCGCTTGGTTGAAATCATGTGTCCAGTATTTATCGCAGAGGGAAGTGAAGGATAAACTGGATGAAGGCGCGACAGGAGGCACGCTCGAGCAAGTGCTGAATGCGGTTGGCGGTTTATTGCTGTATGTGGGACGGATACTGTCTGCGCTGAGGCACGATACGAAACGAACGGCTTCACCCGATCCTGACGATTTGGATGTCGAGTCTAGTGTGGTGGACGAGAATGATGAAGATGATGAATCAGCTCACGGAGAGGAATCCGCCGATGAAGTGGATGATTCGAAACTATGCACTTTCACTATTACAGCAAAAGAATTTATGAGCCAGCACTGGTAATGATAAAGCTTCCTTTTTTTACTGAGGAATTTTTGGCTGTATGTAAATGTTTTATCTAGGTATCACTGTCATACCTGCGGTCTGACTAATGGACAGGGAATGTGTTCCGTGTGCGCAAAGGTGTGTCACAGGGGACATGATGTCACGTACAGCAAATTCGGATCGTTTTTTTGTGATTGTGGAGCCAAAGAAGATGGATCATGTCAAGCTCTGCGGAAACGGAACACAGCAGTAGTGGAAGAAAGCTCCAGCATTCTGATTGGCAGTCGAGCGGTTGGTGCATTCTCATCCACTTCCTTGGGTGCATCCAGAGGGATGAATGCGTCTACTGGATCATTTCGACGGTCAAAAGAGATGGATGAGCTGAATCACCAGTTGCAGGAACAATTGAACAGTCAGCGCGAAGCTTTGACTCGCTTGTTGAATACCCTTGATATTACTTCGGTTTTGATTTCGCTAATGGGGCATCTTGTCAGCGGTGCTAACGGTGTAGTACGGGCCTTGTGTTCCAGTGCTGGACGTTCAGAAAAAGTCGCACAACGCCTGAAAACACTGCACTCGTTGACTTTACCAGCTGCTGGAAAGGCGGTTGTAGAGCCTAGCGATCGACTGTTGCAGCCGTTAATGGCAACTCAGGAAGGAACTTTCGATAACATCAAAAATGGCATGTAAGTGAGCGAAGTGTTGAGATCAGTGAAATTGATATTTCAGGATATTTTCCAGTGATCGAGTCGATCTTTTTGTAGCAGCGAACCCTCCGATATGTCGGCACGTACTCAATTGTACCAGGCAACCGTCCGACGACGAGTAATGGCGGTGTTTTCTCATGGTCCAGCGAGATATTTGGCCATGGCCGTGGAGAAGAACAAAATTTCGGTGTATCAGTTATCCCATTTGCTGAAACAAGTCTGTGACCGGCACCAACTGCCACTGAATGGCAGTGGCGGTGGTTCTCCAAAATTGATGCTGCCCTTTCACGGCAATGTGATTTTTCCTTTTAACGTGTCGGGAATTCTGGTTAATCCGCTGCGTGATGGTCTGATTGCCGTTACCGGAAGTAAAGATTGTGTTGTTGTTCTCATGAATCCTGAGCTGAGCACGCATGACCAAATCACTGTTAATCTGGGATCGTTCGAAAGTGGAAATTTTGTTGTTAAAGCTTTGTGGATGCCGGATTCGCAGACCGAATTACTGGTGGCAACTCTGGACTTCGTTAAAATCTTTGACTTATCCAAGAGCACCGAGAAACCAGTCTACGATTTGTTGATTGCCAATGGAAAAATCCGCGATGTGACAGTGGCGTTTTTTGGCTCCTCCGATGGCCCCCACGTGATGATCATGTCGTCTACGGGTCAGGTATTCGCCCAGGAGCTCAACTCGCACGCGATGGCCGATACGGATCCTTTCTTTGTGACAACGACATTAAATGTGGCTCACAGTGATTTGCCGCGCGAAACTTCCAGGACAGAAGAGAGTGGCACCCGAGGTGGAGTGGCACTGTACTATTCACACGCATTGCAGTTGCTGTTTCTTAGTTATGAGCAAGGTACGTTCATGATTTTTCAAATTGTGCGGCTGACTGAAAAATTAATGTTTATCTGTAACTATATAATTACGTGTTATTTGTGATTTATTTGGAATCATCATCGTGGCCGTTCATTGTTCAGTTAGATATTATTTTACGTGGTGTTCTCAGTAAATGTTTGCGGTACGCGATAATGGTACTGTATTTGTATCAGCACGTAGTGAATCCGACGAAATGTAATGGGTCTCATCGGTCAAATCAGTGCTAAACCTAAAGGGCAGCTTTCATATGGTCACCGGTTTGAGAGGAATCGCGACACGGATGGTACCCCGTGATGATACATACCTATTCACAGCGCTCTGGATTTTAAGTCCGTGCGTATCGTTTTCCGCATTTTGATACATGATTTTTTAATTATAGGCAAATTGTTCGTGGCCCCGCTTACCAGTATTTCCAGCGACAACGCTGTTATTCCCGCAACGGAACTGAGCTTTTCAAAACAGAAAGGAGACACAACTCAAGGAAAATCTTTGTGTTAGTACCATTTAAAATTTGTTTGTTTGCAAACCTGAAGCGTTACATTCTGAAAGTTACTGTGTTTGTAGGGTGCTTTTCAGAAAACGGAGGCTTTCCCGGTCAGATATTTGCCTGGCTGCAGGGTATAAGCGTTCCCATCGTCTTGATTGTCGACAGAGAGGGGCTGTCTTTTCAAAACGTAAAACCGAGTAGCACCAAAGTGAAGGCTCTCGATATGGTGGTCACTAAATACACCGCATCTGACGGGCCCCAAACGATCTTGGCTTCTCTGAACGAAGACGGTACCCTGAAGTTCTATTCCCTCCAGTCCGACTCAGCAGCAGTTTGGATGCCGAGTGAAAGTACTATCGCATCCTCTGCAACTGCAGTGAAATGTCATGCGCCCATGCCGAAAAGTAAAGAGTCCCCAACCTCCAACCCTTCTTTTCCCGTGGACTTCTTCGAAAATTGTACACTTCTCACCAACATTGAGTTCGGCGGAGACCTGGTAGATGTTTACCCAAAAGCCAAACTGAAGTCGCGTTTAGAGCAGAATACAACGTATATTGTGAGCGAAAGATCGGCGGGATTTGATCTGGAGATTACTAACCTTGATCACAGCTATGCGTTTTGCGGGTTCCGTGTGGGATTGGGAGCGCAAGGCATGGACAAGTATCCGGCATCGGTTAAAGTGTTTGGCCGGAATAAGGTCTTTGTTCTTCAGCGTGGAGCGCGATATTTTGACTTCCCGTTGACCGAAGAGGAATCCGTACTGGCTGATCGGAAACTAACTTTGCATTTCTCGCCCGCGGAAACAGGAACGATAACCTACCTTGACTCGATCGTGGTGTACGGCAAGCCCAAATCAACGTTGGGATGGGATAAAGAAGGAGAGCAGGGGCCGAATGCGGAGGCATCGAATAAGTTGCTAACGACGAAAACCTGTGCGGTTGTAAATCTCTTCGATACCGTCCTTGGCCGAACGCTGAAGGCACTGGAGTTGTCGATATCCATATGGCCGCTGGATACTGCTGAATTACGCAATAATATTATGGACAAGACCATTAATCTGATTAGCACGTGTCAAGCCTTGCCCCAGGTGTACCATAATGCTAAGTGTCTGCTGTTTCCCGTTCATGATTTTCAGCGCTCCCAATTTCATTCGGCGAAAGACGTAGCTGTCATCGGGCACTGCATAAAAGTGCTGGAAGAATTAGTCGGACGTACGAAAATGGAAAGTAACACCAACATAGACAGCCCAATAGATTCGTCTAGTTTTTTCCATTTGTTAGCTAGCTTGCGCCCCATTGCTGCTAAACGGCCGGCAAATCTGTACCAGCAGTTGATTGATACAGTGGATGAAACGAAACTGGAGACGAGTCGACTAATTCTTGGCAAAGATACCGTAAGGAAAACCATGCGGAGTGAATCACGTCAGTCCACCATCAAGACTACTTATTTTTTGGAAAGCTTGTCCAGTCTGTTCTGGCACATTCACGCATCTCTCCCCAAAAAAATTACTGTGGCTAATGTTGTACAACTGCAAGAGCTGCTTCCGATTGAATTGACTGTTCAGTATCTTGTGGAAATTGTGCACGTCATTATGGTGGCAGATCCCGAAATGATTCCGGTAGGAGTAAAGCTGTATATCACATTCATCTGCTGTAAGGATCAAACGGTTGCGCTGGCGGCGAAGAACACTGTGTTAAAGACTCTGCGTCCCAAAGAGATTAGCGCAAAGGCAGTGGTGAAAGAGATTCAACGGCAATCGCGAGAAAGAACCGACGAGCCGATTGTTAACGCGCCATTGTTACCGGACTTGGAAGAGGGGAACGATTCTGAAGAAAACGAAGCAGATGAGTCATTTCAAGCCCAAGAACAGATTGGTGGTGAAGGCGAAGTTAGTCAAAACATGGAAGAAATGCTTGGAGAGCTGCAAATGGTCTGGCAGATGGTTGAGCCGCATTTGGGTGGAGCGCAGGCATTGGAGGATTTCATCGAGAATCCCAACAATCTGCAACAGGTTTGTTTGCACGCTGAATTGGGAATGTTTATCAAACTGCTGCAGCTTTGTGTGTGTTGCATTCACAGACAAGATTATTGTTTGGCCAGTTCTGTGTTTTTATTTTTTGTTTGATGTGGTATATGCAGCTAATTTGATCTTATTCGTTTCAAACTGTTGTATTTCAGATTCTCGAGATTCCACCCGACGCGGACGATGAAGCTATGCTGGATTTAGCTATGGCCTTGAACATGCAACCGGAAGATGTCGGTCATGAGAATGCCAGCAGCATTGGTGTTGCGAGTATCCAGCCGCAAGTGGGTGAAGAATCAACCGACAGTAATACTGATGCGGAAGGCGCCAGTGATGACGAAGCCAGCAATGCGCCGACCGAAACCTCGGCCCTTCGGCCTCAGTCTCCTAACGGAGCGCCGTGTTCGACCCATGGTTCGGATGAAGGTAGTGGGGGATCATCGCTTGCGGGCGATACCAGTGGCCCCAACAATCAGGCAATGGAAACGCCAGGATCGGATAACGTTTCCACCTCCACTTCTCAGACCGATTTGTCATCGCCAGCTTTTTCAGAAATTACTGTAAGGAAGTTGAAGCGCGCTGTAATTGAACGATTGCAGAGTATCGTGGGAACCCTGAACGATGGATTGTCGGCTGTGCCAACGATGCAGCTGTTGTTCAACCTTTGCGTCGATCTAGACCCGGCGAAGTATGAGGAGGATATGATTTTGTTGGATAAAGTGATTTATTCCGTGGTAGCCGCACTGAAGATTGATCGTGAGGACAGACAGTCATTTGCTGTGCGAACGCCGGAAAATGAAGTTGTTATATTGTTGTTGCGTTTCTTGTCTGTATTGATTTCTAAATCTGCATCACGTTATCGAAAATACCGTTCCAACCATTTGATTCCTACGTCATTTACCAACCACTGCGCGACTGTTTTAAATGGAACGAGAGTTCTGGATTTGTGCCACTACTTGTTGAAGCTATTGGCCGATAAAAGCAAAATGGAAACGGAAGGGGAAAGCAAGAAAAAACCGTCAGAGATGAAACTTTTGAAACCGAAGGCTATGAACTTTCCGCCGGATATGGCGCCGTTCTTTTTGAAACCTTTTGTCAAATCTTGTGGACATGATCTCTTCCAGGATTACACTACTTTGCTGACAGAAATGGCTCTTCGTTTGCCGTACCAAATGAAGAAGGTCAGCTAATCACCTACTGCCCACTATAAACATTTCATATAGCACATCTGGCACGTAAAAATTGTCGCTGAGATTTTTTTATCTGTTATTCAGTTAGTTATTAGTCATATCAGATACTGAAGGCACACTGGGCAGTGTGGGCACTATTTTGAGATTTTTTACTTACAGTATAGAAATCCGCTACGAAAATTAGCTAAAAATTTTTAAAGTTCATATTTCTAAACACTAGAGTATTGTATACACTAAAGAGGAGGTTCTCTTACATATAAGTGTCATTAAGTGATATAACATTCGAATGGCTTTCTTTTTAGGTAAGCGACGCGGAGCGACTCAGTCCTCCCCCAAGTTTTGATCAGTCGTGGTGCTACACGCTATGCGACTATATGTCATTTGGAGCTCCACATATGGATCGTCGTCCACCTCGGAAACTGTTGATGTTGCTTTGCGGATCCAAAGATAAATATCGTCAGATTAGAGACTTGTACGCTTTCGATCATCACGTTAAAGAAGTAAAGAAATTATGCGGATTCCGCGGCGGAGTGATGTTGGAAAAGACGCTGGGGGATTTGGATTACGACAACCAGACCAACGTGGCCGAACATCTCAAAACGTGCTTAGAAATGGCTTTGGCACGAACCGCCAACTGGCAGCGGCATTGCCAAAAGGAGCGCAGTACGTTGGTTTTTTTGATTCGCCTGGCTATTTCACTAGATGAACCGGTGGCGACAACCATTTTACAATTGCTTCTGGCGCTATTTGGAGTTAAGGACAAGATTCCGGCTTTGGCCCAAATTGAAGAGGGCCGGTGGTGAAGGCTGTGGTTACGTTACTGAATCAGAGTTTAGGTTAGTCGGATTTTGTTATGTTTCTGCAAGGGTAGCCACCACTTTCTTTAGCGTCGGCATTTTTTATGTTATCAGATGTCATAGGTCTCTTTAATAAAATTTTCCATAGTGGTTTAATTATTTTTCTGCGAAATGATGCATGTTTTCGCTGTACGTGGCGATACTGCTCTCACGTTTATTGTGACCATGTTTGCAGACTCTTCGTTGCTTAAAAGATTCATCCGATGTTTTCTTCTCCAAGCCAACTCCAGTTCCATGCGTATGCTGTCGCATCATTTCTTATACGCTTATTATCGCAACTCTGACGCCAAATACCAGGACACCTTAATTGGTACGATGTGGAAGTTATTCGAAGAACTACCGACATATGGCCACAAAGTAGTGGACTTTGTGGACCTTCTTGGCTACCTGACCGTGAAGAATCCCTACCTGGGCGAGTCAGATTGGCGATCAATCGTTGTCGCGGTGATTAATATGTTGAAATCACAAAATGTTGTCATTAACAATCATCCCAATGCGCGCATCTACCAACAGTTGAATGAAATCACTGGATTGGAAGGGTATTATCTGGAAAGTGATCCGTGTCTTGTCTGCAACTGCCCCGATGCTCCAACGCAGATGGTGAAGCTGAGCTCCATTAAGGCCGATGCCAAGTATACCAGTACATCTCAGCTGTACAAACTGACCGGGCCCTTCGTGATCGACCGAATTGTCTTGAAGATAACCGAATTGAAACGAGCGAGAATGGTAAAGCTGATCAATGTGTACTACAGCAACGTGGCTGTCGACAACATTGTCGAACTGAAAAACAACATGGCGGCATGGAAGAAGGCCAAAAGCGTCTCAGTGGCGCATGCCCAAGCCGAAGTGAAAATCGAATTTATGCTGCCTATTCAGGCAACCAATCTGATGATTGAGTATGCTGAGTTTTATGACAATCCCGGAATGACTCAGGAGACGCTGCAATGTCCCCGATGTTCAGCTATGGTTCCAGCCCATCCTGGAATTTGTGGGAGTTGCGGAGAGAATGTCTTTCAGTGTCTAAAGTGTCGATCGATTAATTATGAGAATCGCGAACCATTTTTATGTCACTCGTGTGGGTTTTGCAAATACGGCAAGTTTGAATACAGTGTGAACTGTCGTCCATCCAGTTCTGGTAATCTGGATCCAGTTGTTAATGAGGAGCAGCGCCGCAGAACAATTGGTTAGTGTACTATTTGACAATTGTTAACGCTGTTAGCGTAACTTACTTGTTAGTTCGTGTTGTTTGTGCAAAGGTTCATTCTTATTGTTTTACAGCTTTGGTCGACCAGCTGCTGACCAAATGCGATTCGCAGTACCGGACTTTACAAGTGCATCGGAATTCCATCGAAAGCATGCTTCTCTCCCTACAGAAAAACGAACGTGATGGGAGCAGTGGATTGAAACCGGACGGTCTGGGTGTATCGCTTCCGAGCTCAATAGCGAACAATGCCGCGAACGTTAATCCGACTATACAAGCGGTAGCCTATCGTTATAGTGTTGAATGCAAAAATACTGTGCAAACAATGGTGCAGCACATTCAGAAGATAATGGCTTGTCGAAAGCTGTTGAAGGCCTATGACCGACGTTTGATGCGAAGTACATCCGTGGTGGAATTTAGTTCTAAGCCAGCGGTACTGGGAGCGGACCAAGTGGAGAAAGTGCGAACAGTCAATGGGTGCTATGGCTGTGCGACAGCTGCCAGTCAGTTCTGCGTTCGAATACTACGGGTCATCGCCAAAGTGAAAAATCAACACTACTTTAGTGCGTATCCGGGACTGATTAACGAGTTGATTGAAAACCATTTGCATCGAGGGAGCCATGAACAACGAATGGAAGTGAAACAGTTGATCAACAGCCTGATGCAGGGATCGCAGAGTTCCGCGGTAGAGTTCATCACTTTGTTGCAAGAACGAATCGGAAGCATCCAGAAATTCTGCACACTGAATCCTTCGATTGGCGCATCGATTGGAAATGAAATTTCAATACTGGAAATGGATACAGGGGAAGAAACGGATAAGCACTGGGAACTGAAATTACGGTGGGTACAAAGGTTTTAACCAGTTCGATAAACAGAGAGCGTTTTACGGAACTTGCACTGATTTCGCGCGGTTGGGCAAGAAGAATGTAAAATAGGAAAGAAAACTGAAGATGTTACAATAGGCATTTTTACGGTTAGATGAATTCTAGTTTGTAAATTCTATTCAATTTTTACTGTCTTTTTACAGGTGTGTTGTGCGTTTGTTTTTGGACGCCGTACAGAGTTCCGTCGCTGGCGTGTTGGAATGCGTGGCATTACCGTGCCTGAAAATCATCCTGAATGCTTTGAAGGGTGAGCTCAAGGGACAGAATGTGGAGGCCTTATCTAGTCTGCAGTTGCCGCACATCAACAGCATTGTCCGAGTGATACGCTGGTTGAAGGGAGACGCCAGGAACTCATTCCAGGCCTGGGTTAGCCGGTGTCCCAAGAAACTCGGCCCTGCAGGCAATGTACGGGAAGTACATCTGAGCCAGAAGTATGGGTTAAGATGGCGTGATAAAGTACGGAATACTGTGGAAACGGATAAACTGGTTTTAGCGGAAAATTCGTGGTTGAAGAGGCTTGTGTTTTATCCCGGTTCACAACAGCTACGGGCCTTGGCTGTAGAGTTGCTGCAATTTTTCTTGGCCTGTCCGAGCCGCTCATATTTTGTTTATCAGTTTATTGGGTCTTTATTGAATGATCTGGGCGAGGCGGGAGAATACGCGGCTGAGTTGATTCAGGTGATCAAGGTCGAGACGGAAGGGAATAACCCTAGCGTCTTCGTGGCATGTCGCGGTATTTTAGAAAGGGTCACAAGCCTGATAATTATGGAGATCGGCAAACTGACGGATTTGGAAATGACAGCACTCAGTGGCAGCCTTGCGCAGGGATATGCTTTGAAATATCTTACAAATATTCTTGGTGAGTATTGGATGTTGAATTAACGGTTTCAGTTATATATTCCATTGTATGGTTTTGTGGTTTAGCGCTCTGACTGACAAACATATAAAAATGTTTTTTCTTCGACCAGTTTGGAGCAATGGTAAAGCGTTTTTAAGGAAATTTATTGACGAAATTGTGTTATTGTAGCGAATCTATTGCGGCGGGACGATATTCGCACAAAGAATCGAAACAGTCTGATTGGGCCAATTTTCAACGGATATCTGGCTCTGCGAAAATTGACGATTCAGCGCACGAAGCAAGTAAATGAAGCGGAAGAAAAGTTGCTGGAGATTATGGAAAGCATGACGTCCGGTACGGAAGAAGAAACGCGATCCTTCATGGTGATTTGCATCGAGGCTTTGAAACACTGTGAAAGTGGAGATTATCGAACTCCGCAATTCATATACGAACGTCTTTGCACGATTATTTTTCCTCAAGAAAAGGAAAAGACAGAATTCAGCCTGGTTATCGAGAAAGACCCGCAGCAAGAAGACTTTTTGCAAGGGCGCATGCAGGGCAATCCATACCCTTTATCGGCGTTCGCCTCGCGTAGTGAACTCGGTGCGACCGAAAGGGACGTGTCTATGCGCGATATTAAAAACAAGGTAAACATCTGGAACTGTCTTCTCCTGTAAATTTTGTTGGCCTTCGTAGCTGGTGTTGTAATCATCGTTCAAAATATGTGACACTATAAGCAAAGGTAATAAATGTTTTTGGCATTTAGGTTTGCCGGGATTGTGAACTGGTGGCATTGTTGGATGATGATACCGCTATGGAATTACTTGTTGCCGGAAAGATAATCTCCCTAGATTTACCAGTGAAAAGTGTGTATAAGCGACTTTGGTTGAAAGATAATCCAGAAGGTTCGCCGATGCGTGTCATGTACCGTCTTCGCGGTTTGATGGGCGATGCGACAGAGGAATTCATTGAGGACCTCGGCAACCGTAATCAAAACAACGCTGACCCGGAAGAAGTGTACCGCCTGTCCAGTATCCTTACAGAAGGCGATGGTTTTCAGGTTAGCTTAAATATAAATTCCCAAAGCTTTGGAGCTCGAGTGGTTACATTGGTGTGTTTTTGTAGACTGTAATCGGACATTTGTCGGAATTGTCCTCTCCGGCTGTGGCGGATCAGGGTGGACCATTGATCGATGTCATCTTGAAAGTTCTATCCTACGCCATTCATCTAAAGATCAATCGCCAGGCTCTGATTAGCCATGCCGGAGACTGGAAGGTCTTCTCCACCTTCATTGCCTTACTAAAAAGCACTGTTAAGGCCCGGCAGAATTTGGCCCATCCGCTGGTTGGCATAATGCAGACTGTCTTTAAAGAGGGTACTGCCACTCTCTCCGCTGATTCATATAAAGAATTTGTGCTGAATTGTGGCACCAAGTCGGATGTTATGGATTTATTGGAGATTTTGGATACACTGGAGGTGGATTCCAAGGCTACCGAGCAGTTGTTGCGGATCGTACCGTTCTTGTGCTTCTGCAACGAAGGAAAAATGCAGATTGTTGTCGATTATTTTACGCCGGCGCTGGAATTCTCCCGAGTGGATGGCGATCAGTTACCTGTTGCAGAAATAAAGAGCCTGGAGTCGCTGTGCCGCATGATTGAGATGCTGGAACCGGATGAAGTGTCGGGTTCGTTTAAGGATTTGTGGATACGAATTGGGTTAACTAAGAAAGTCGTTGATTATTTCTTGTCCCATGGTGCGATAATAACTAACTCCAGCGCAGAATCGCAGGAATTTAAGCGATGTGTCAACAAAAATTCGATGAAGTAAGTGTATTTCCCTTTTTCACCGACATTTGTTCTTATATCTGGTACTGGTTTTCGTTCATATTGGAGCATTTTCAAAATGCCTTTATTATCGGACTAGTAATTCTGTTTTTCACGTGGTGATTCTTACAGGTATGTTCTGCGATTGTTAACGGGATTGGCCCGTGGGCACGAAACCACACAGGTTCTGCTAAGTCGAGAGTGTGTGCCCGGTATTCATCGATTGGAACATGTCAGTACGCCGTTATCGGTATTGGCTGAAAATTTAATGGAAGTCATGAAAGAAAACCAAGCAGTCCGCGAACGTATCGAACAAATTCGTGACCAGACCAAAGCCGAAAAGAAACGCCTGGCCATGGCCATGCGAGCCCGCCAGTTGGGTGCTATGGGTATGAAAACAAACGACAAGGGTGAAATTGTCATTACGAAACCTGCCGTTAAGGGCTTAGAAGATCTGGGAGATGACAAAGGCTTGCACTGTTGTATCTGCCGTGAGGGCTATCGTTTCAAGCCAGATAAAGTACTGGGTGTTTATACGTTCACCCGACGGCAAAATGTGGAGGAACTGGAGCAAAAATCGCCAAAGACAGTGGGCAGTGTGACGGTCACCCATTTCACTTGTGTGCATGTCGAGTGCCACTCGGCAGCCATCAAATCCACACGGGAGGAATGGGAAAAAGCTTCCTGGCACAATGCTAATACCAAATGCAATGGAATTTTGCCGATGTGGGGACCGGATGTGTCGGAAAGTGGCTATGTGCAAGCTTTGGCAAAATTTAATCAACATCTGCAAGATTATACCGGTAAGAAACGGTAGCAGGCAATTTTGTTGCTGTCGGCCAGTCGAAGGTTGTTTTAAACCTGATTGTTGCTTTTAGCGTTAAAGTTCAGAATTTGAGCTGTACTCACTGTGTCCCAGTCATGCCCATATCTTTTGGGAAAGCGAAGAAATCTGTCATTAACCCAGTTTTCTGTTGGTGTATAGGAGTTCGGGAAATTAGCTACACGTTGACGGTTCATGATTTGAAGTTAGCGCTTCTGATTTTTGCGGAAGAACGGTCGTTCAGCGAATATAGCAAGGGTGGCGGCCGGGACTCTAACATGCGTCTGATCCCTTACACTCTCCACACAGCACTCTACGTAATGTCCAGTCAGCGCAGCGTCCCGAAGGAGCGTACCGCTGTCCAGAATTTCCTCAAAATGCGACCGCCCAGCTGGCGTGCAAGCTGTCATTTGGCGGAGTCACCGTTGTATTACGCGGCGCTGTATGTTCTTCTGCACGAACGAAAACAATGGATCCAGGATCGGTTGACCATTCTCCAGCGGCTACTGGTATATGCCCACGAACGACGCAATATCGCCAGCAATGAGCCGCAGGAGTATTCTGTATATAAGACGTGCTTCGTCTTCTTCGGCCTGATTGATTTGATTTATTCGCGGATGCTAGCCAAAGTGCCGAATGAGGGCGAAGAGTGGACAGAGCGGTTGGTAGGCTTCATTCGCCACGGCGATGTGGTGCTGATGGAGGGATGTGAGGCGGTGTTGAGAGTCTACGAAGAGGAACTGTTGCCGGCCACGTCGGCGGCGGAAGTCATGGATATTCTGCACCTGCTGGATGTGATAACCGATCCCCATGCTTTCATTGCGTCGGCTTTGACGCCTCAAGAAACAGCATAGATACGTTTTATGGGCGATTCGTCTGATTTGTGCTTTTTACTGGGAATAATCTTCTTTTCATGCATTAGTACGACAATGAGCACCACTGTTATTGATTCTGATTTATTTACTGAAGCTATTCAGTCCATTACTTTTTTAACCTTATAATAAATTGTACCGTAATTTAGAACGATAAAAGTGAAGTGCTGGTAATTACTCACCACGATAAATTGAAAAAAGTCTTCGACATATGTATGCTCGTCACTGAAATTAGCAATTACCGGGTATTTACCATTTATGTACAAGCAATTTCGGCCTTACTGCGCAAACAATGAAATTCATGAAAGGTAAGTACTGCTGCACAGTGTAAGCCTTGTTGCAGAATTGGGTGAACGGCTGGAATTTAACTAAGGACTTATCCCGCATTCACAAAGCATCTGGACAAATTATTGGTTGTCAATTCATACCATCCTTGAAAAAAATGTTCATTAAAGAAACAAAACAAAATGCAGTGGATTAAATGAACACCCAGTACACCAGCCTGTGACGCACAGACGTGCAGCTCGAGTGAGTCGGGTCTATCAACCTTCGTGCGAAAAATTGAATCTCCACAATAAGGAGATTGAAATATGTCCTTGGGGTATAAGTTTATTACTTCTGTTGTTTGAGTTAATTCTGATTAGTAATAATAGACAATTCAGCATTTAGGTCTTTCATTCATTCATTGGTAACGCTGTCTGTATCAGCGATCACTACACTGCTAACGTGTTGTGCCTGCGGGACAGCTGATCAACCCTATGAAGAACTAAACGGTACTTACTTTTCCCGTTGGCTACTGGATCTGATTCGTTCAGTGATTATTCCCTTGGACGACCGTCACCATGGGATTTTGGAGTTTGTGGGGATCTCTTCCAGATTGCTGCCTTGCGTTTTAGTGTGGCTCGCATAGTGGAATTCCCCTAAACTATTCTTCATTTTTAATAAATCAGGGTTTTCCCGTGATTGATTATTATCACATCTGTGATCTGGTTGTCTTGAGCTTGTTATCGGGATTGGAAATCCATTTGTGGTTTTGAGCCGCTAAGGTGTTAATACGGGGACTACACAATGCCTAAACATAAACGCCCTCATTCTCACAAGTCTTCCAGTGGCGAGGGAGTCAGCGATTCCGCCAGTCGCACAACGCTGATCAGCTCCAAATCCACTGAGTCGCACACTGCCAGTCTGGCCAGTCAGGAGCCCTCTGGCTGGACGGCGTTTCCGCTGCATGTGGCTGTTTGGCGCAATGATTTGACGCTGTTGAAACAACTGATCACGCAGATACAAGAGCGTCGTTTGGGAGGTGTGGAGCGAACTTACTCTGCCAGCAGCCAGGTATATTGCGCTGTTGTTGTCGATGCGATGACTGTGGTTTTTAACTGCGTACACGTGAATCTTCGTCACAGATCACAACTTCAGTTGTTGAGATTTTATTTCTAATTCTAGGCCTTTCCTGAGAGTTCAAAACTTTTCTTATGACACTTATTGATTCACTCATAAACTGCTACCAACAAGAAATAGCAACGCTTTTCTGTAAAACAGTAATTCGAGGTTAGCAGTAAACAGTATTACAATAGAAACAGCGTCGATCCGTGGGCAATAATTACCACTAGATGCTATGGGCCCAAACGACACGACAGACTGTGAGATTTGTAGGAGAACATCGCGGACTTACCAGCGGATGTCGATCTGGAGAGTGTTGATCCACGCGGGCGCACAGCGCTCTTGCTGGCCGTGTGTCTGGACCATTACGAATGCGCTAAGATGCTGTTGGAGCACGGAGCCTCGGCCGGTGTCCGGTTGCGTTATATGGCTCCGCTGGGAACGGAAGAGCTGGCCGATGAACCGCCCGAGACGTTCAATGCCTGGTCGGCGGTGCACGAAGCCACCTGCACGGGTGATGTGCAGTTGCTGTCGCTGGTGCTGCAGCACCGGGACGCCGAGCGGCAAAAGGTGTTGAGTAATCTGGATGAGAAGCTGCTCGAAGGATTACGCAGCGTGCCCGACTTCTACGTGGAGATGAAGTGGGAGTTCGCTTCCTGGATTCCTTTTGTGGCGCGTTTGTGCCCCTCTGACACCTGCCGAATCTATAAAGTTGGTTCAGTTGCCCTTAATCCGCATTTGGATTTTACATAGTGAAAACTGTAAATATGCTAGCAAAAATTGTTTGGCTTTTCATATATTTTATTTCTAATTTCTGTGATTATTGTTAATATTGGGAAGCATTATTTATATCAACTTACCGGATTTAATGAGAGCTTTGTGTTAGACTAGAGGGAAAACTGATTTGGAATGGTTTTTTCGATTATTGGGCTCGGAAATGTATTGGTTTGTTCTAATATTTCAGAAAGGCGCCAGTGTGCGTTTGGACACAACATTGGTTGGCTTTGAGAATATGTCGTGGATTCGCGGTCTGCGTTCGTTCCTCTTCACGGAGAAGGACGGGCAGATGTCGTTTCACGAGATCGACCATGATGCCAAGGTCGTCAGGACGGAGAGCAGTCGGCTGGGCGCGGAAGGGACCGAGGGAACCGGCCGCCCAATGACTGCTCCGTCTGAGGCAGTACTGGCTCAGCGCATGCGCACACCCGTGATGCTGACGACATTAGATCCGAAGAAGATCCAGTTTGATCGAGTCAGAAGTGGACTGCTATGGCGGAGCGACAAAAGCGAAATGGTCAGCGGATACAACTGTAAAGTGTTCGCCGCCAGCAATGTGACCTTTGTCACACGCTCTAGAACGGAGCATCTCAGTGACAAGGATATCGTAAGTTTGATATGATTTTCATGAGAAGTATCATATCATTATTGCGGGCGTTTTGGGGTTACTAAAGTAATGGTGGAAAATTGTGTACGATTTTGTGACCACTGGATGTATTGTAAAATAGTGGATTGTATTAACGTTAACCTCAGACACTCGGCAGAAGCCAAGAAATGCCATCCATCTTCATATTTTCATGCTTATTTCTTTATGTACAGAAAAAATTGAGGGACCAAGCGGCTAATCATCCGTTAAACGGTATAATCAGTTCCGTCCGTGAGAACGAGAACAATGTGGAGCAAGAAGGATCTGCTGCGATGCCAGCTATGGTTAGTTTCGCGGATTTTTGGTTGGTGTTTATTCTTTGTCGCTGCTGCAACTGGGTGTAATTATCGGATACAGCTATTGAAAAGTATTCCAATGCGGTAAATTTAATACTTTTAGGATTCAGGCGGAATAACAATGGAAGAATATTTCGATACCCGAGTGTCCCTGGATGAACGGGATATTGGCCGACCCAAGCAGATGTCCAAGCGGTCTAAAACCTTCAGAGCTAATATGTGGTTATGTGATGATTATCCTCTTTCATTGCGCCAGCAAGTTCTGCCGATCATTGATATGATGGCGGCCACAAATATCCATTTTGCCAAACTGAGGGACTTTATTAGTCTTCACTTGCCCACCGGATTCCCGGTGAAAATAGGTGCGTGAAAGAATTTTTACGCTGTATCTCCTATCTAATTTGAATATTTAGTTAGTTTCTTTTAATTTCAGTAAGAGATAGCATTTTATTTCACATTCCAACTCTGTAAGCCGTTCAGAATAACTGGAAGGGTCATTTTCTTAGTTTTAATAATTCACCTTTGACATACTTACCTTTGACACCTCGAAATATGTTCAATATGGTGCTCAGGTGCTCTGTATGAATGCTCGTATAATGTGTGGATTATCGTGCGCGAATGGTATGATAAATAGTCTGACCAGTATACGAATTTTCATGCTTGATCTGTGGATTTTTATCGTTTTCGGTTACCAGATTATGTATGCGTGAATGATTGTTAACTTCTTATTTTGCAGAGATTCCATTTTTTCATGTGATAACCGTGCGGATTACATTCGATAACATATTCGGCGCTAGTCAACCAGTGGACAACGTTATGTTTGCCGAAGGAGAAAATGAAGCGGAAGCGACCTGTGATATCGCTGATGCGGTTTTTGAGATTCCGGCTGATTATGAGATATCGGCGGAAGAGGGTTGGTGGCAAGATGATCTGTTGTTCGACGACGATCCGGAAATGGATGGGGAATTCAGTGACGCGCTGCCTGGAGAATTGGCTTTCTCTGAAAGCCAAATGCAGGAATTAAGTCAAGCCCTGCAGAATGGATCGGAACACGAAATGAACGGTTTTAGGTGAAAGAACTATGTTGTAAATAAACAGCGCACGTGAATTTTATCTTGATTTACCGTTAGACATACTGTAGTAAGTACTAAAATTTTAAAACTGACATGATTCGGGATTAGTCACTCACAAAAATATGGCCATTCGGTGCTAAATATTTTGTTGCTTAGTTTTTAAATGTTTTTCTGCTTTTATTGCTCTTATATTGTCCATAATTGTGGTTGATGTAACAGGGAAGGCCAAAGACAAAACAGGCCAAAATCAGCCCAGACGAAAGGAGAAACCGAGCAAGATATAGATGCCGCTTTGCGGCTTTCCGAAAAAGAAATGACTGAACGCAAGAAGCGCGAGGAGGAAGAAACTGTGCAGCTCGAGGAAGCTTTACGACGCTCGTTGGAAGAAAGATAAAAAGGAGTAGTACTTGTAACATTTACACTCGCTCGAGCGATATTGGGGAAGTTGATTTCGTATTTGTTGTTAATTTCGACGGCTTCTTTATGCTGAAGCAGCCGGACAGCTTATTCTTTTTAGTGTTAAATTTTTTCCCGGTGATACAAGGTTTGGACCTGAAATTGCCATGGAACTGTAAGTAATGTTGGAAGTGCTGCAGACAAAATTATTGCGATAATATGATTTAAGTTTTTTCGGAGTTAACCGATACAGTTTTACACGACGACGTGTTCACAACGAAAAAAGTTTTCAAAGAGACCAGATTCAAATAAATGTACATATTGTGCGCAAAAAATAAAATAAAGTTAATTTTTAATTTTGAAATTATTCGTTAAAAGTATTGTATTAGGAACGGATGGCTTTCGCTTCGCACAGCCCCCGACCAGAGCCTTGTCGACATGATGCCGCAGTTGCTCCAAAACCAAGATTACGAAAATTCAGACATCTTTTCTCGGAGGCTGGTATACGGCTAGTGCAGCGCGTTATCGCGCGCTGGGTTATGATTCATAGAGATAGGCACGGGTTTTTAAAAAAACGGAGCTGTGCAGCGCGGTATCTTGAATACGTGCCGTATGGTTGTTTTGACCATTCGGAGCGCAGATATCCTCGGATTGTGATGACACACGTTACCCGTCGTTATCTACTGCGCATTATGCACAAAAAACCTACACAGGCGTTGGAAGATTCCCGAATGTCTGAATTATCTTGGTTGGAGAAATGGTAAATTCGGCTTAGTAATAGTAAGTACTACATACCGTGAACCGCTAGAAACAGCGTCAGTTTTAACGTCAGTTTAACGTCAAATTGTCCCATAGCGGTTTACTCTTACGTAGCGCACTAGCACTGAATGAAGAGTATGTACTGAAGGACTGAAACTCAGCAGTCAGCACTGTCTTCAAAAAGCGAAGAAAAGCACTGAGTTATCATTGTCCAGTTGGACAATGATGTCCAGTCTGTTCCTTGCAAGGAGCAGAAGTACTCGTATTGCAGGCAACTCGTATTACTACTGCGAGGGAAGTACTCTTGCAACGTAAACAGTAAAAAACCACCCAAAAATCCGTTGCCATTTAGTCACTTATTAGTACCAGTACGTTTCTCGTGATACGAGGCTACGTACTGACATTTTGGTAGAAAGTTAGAAACAGTTGTCTATCTTTTTTTAAAAAGCGTTGCTGTACCATCAGCAGCTTACAACGATTACTATCGTTATTTTTTTCAGTTGTTTGTAAGAAACCTACTGCACTGAGTGCAATTCTCTGTCCTGACTCCAGCGACTTAGTTCTAACCGGAATTCCGAACATCAAAAAGCACATTGCAACGAATTGCTAACAACTGCAACCTATATTTTTTATTGGAAACGAAGAACAAATCCAAAGGCGGTAGCCGCAAGATTTTCACGTGGCTACAAAGTTGAAGAAATAATGTTTGGTATTTACGAATTTCAAGCGAACTGAATGCTAGAGTATTCATTTTCAATCTTTTCGTTTCAAGTCCGGCATAATGCGCCATAATTACTGTTTCTTTCAGTCTGTCAGCGGCGGTTCAGCTGGCAAATTCGGGTTTTAACAGTACTGCCGTTATTAAATTATTATACGCTAATCAGCTCCAATAATTTAAAATCAGATGATCCGCATCAAAAATTTGCGACCGTATAAAAACGTAACCAATATCTGAAGTCAGTCTTCTTACAAAATATCAGCTTCAACATACACGGACAAAAAATAGATGATCACAAATACATCACCGAGAGAAAACCTTTTGATTTAGAAAAGTGCTCTGCATAAATCACCACATAAAATAAATCTCTTTTTACCGGACTCTGGAGATAACAGAAAGGAATTCATGCAACTGAAGCGACATGGTCAAAAACCACTCGACATATGCCGTGAGTATCAGTAAAGACGAAGGACGTGCTGATTTACTCAGCAATTAAGTTACAACTTCTCCATGTGCAGCGTCGGTTGGCTGCGTTGTCTCATGTGACTGCAGCGTTATCGGCATCAGCTGGCTTAATGGCCACTCCATCCCTTTCCGGTCGCTCAGTGGTGGATGGAATGGCACTCGGCCGACGACTGACTAGGTTCGTTAGGTTGTTGAAGCTCTGAGCAATCTTCAGTTCAATATTTAAACGCTGCAGCGTAACAACTACCGCGAAGATGGCCATTAATATTCCCACGAGACCCGATGCAGCTAACAGGGAATTAAATACGGAGATCTCCATCGTTTTCGCGCTCTGGTCACGATCTGAAAAATATAGTTATAAATGCCGACCCTAAAAGATGTCGAGCAGCTAAAATATCAAAACACGGAAATTCAGACTACTTTAGATGGCAACTCCAGAAATAATCAGACCAGGCTGCTAACCTAATTTTCAAATTTTTAACTTAATAATTTTTTAAAATATTCCAGAAAACTGAATATGGCAAGAAATATTAATAAAAGTATTAAACATTATTTCTGCATATTTGTCAAAATTCCAGAATATTTTAGTAGGGTAAACCAAACAAGTAAGTTCCATAGGTAATTCAAAAATCCTCGCACTGCCATGCAAAAACACATACTTTAAAAAGAAATATCTATCTTTATATTATATCTGGGAGTGGAGCGGGAACGCCGGAATGGCAGATTGCAATGATTAATGCGTTAACGCGGCATGAACGTCGACATGCGTGGCTGTCAGCAGTTTGACCTTGTCAAAACTGATTCACCCTAGTAGACTTAATCAAGCAAATTTTAACGACGCCGGCGCATCTTAAATAAATTATGGTGTTGGATGGCCGGAAAGCTAGCTTAATCCTTGGCATTTGTTGCCACTCACACTAGGCACCTACCCGGCTGATAATCCGGAGCTGTGATGAAATCCGCTGCCTGGTTATACACCAACACCGAGCATGTCAATTCTGCCACACCAATGCCGCCCAAACAAGCGCTGATTCCAAAATATAATTTGGCGATTCTGCAGCGCAAAAGCAAACGAAGCCGTCGCGCCAAGGTCAAACCTCCAACGACGGAATGCACAAAACAACCCGTTCCTCCCCAAAATCCTATTCCCCATTCGTATCGCAATGATTTATGGGAATGCGCTGCCCAAAATAAAAAGAAACATTTTCGATCCCGAACGCACTATAACATTCAAGACTGCAGAGTTAATGCGGCGCTTATGAATGCTTTTGTGGGGTTATAGTCGCACTTATGTAGTACTTCGAAACTTTAACGGTTTAAGTTAAACCGGTTAAACCGTAAAAGTTTAAATTAAGCAGTTTAACTGTTTACTAACAGACTGTGTGAGCACGAGTACCGTACCGCAAGCTAAAACGCAACTGTACCGTAAACGAATTGAATTTATTTACTTATTAATTTTAAGTTATATCGATGCGATGATCGATCTACAAGTGATTCACATTACACAATTTGGGCAAAATGCGGCAGTACAAATGGCTGAAGCAATAGCCGTCCCGTGGTCCGTGTACGAGACGGCTACTTTAGTTGGTATGAAACTAATAAGGAAAAAACGGTTATCATGGTTTGATTGTATAGGTGAGCAGTTGGACTTGAATCATGAAACTGAAGTTTCAGCTTGAAATCACAATCTTCAGATTTCATTAAACTAGTATATCCTTAATCAAGCAGTTATATTATGAGGAAATCATATTAATTTTTTTAAAATTATTAAGATTAAATAATGTATACTTCATGACTGCCTTTGGCTTTGCAAATTGCCACTTTGACTTGCCTGTCACTTACCAACTGCCTGAATGGCAAAATCAGCCACAGCCACAGTGAGTCCAACGCAGTTAATGATGAATATTATCTCTCGAAGGGAAGCCAAGTCAAAACTAGCTCGTTGTGATTGAAAGCGATCCACGAAATCCACCTCTGGAATCTGAGGTAGTTCCAGAAACTGCTGACTAGTTTTGTACAGAACGCTACTCTGCCGCTGTGGTCGCTGGCTGAGATTGACGCGTGTCCGACTGCCCGAGGACGACATCTGGCTGACGCTCTGGTTGAAAGAGAGCCGCCGTCCCGGACCCTTAGCTTCTCCATTGGAAGCAGCATTGAGGGGAAAGGATTCTGCTTTGCTCGCATCATCGCGATTAGAGGCGACCGAAACGGTGGATGGTGCAATCATGGTGTACGAGTATCTGCATGGACATCGCGATGAACCAGAGCAGCTGCTACGTCCAGGAGGCACGATAATCACGTTTGGAGTTAGACCGATAACGAAGGATGAACAGCAGAACAATAAGAAAATACTGCAAAGTGCAACTACTACTCAGCTACGGTGTTCCTACTTAAAAAACGCAGAACTATAATCCAAATTTTGGAATGTAGATGCGACTGCTTTTGTACCGTTACACGGTTACATCAACTGGAATGAACCGAATACTGTGGAACCAGGAAGCTAAACAGAAAAATGGTTAGCATGTGGCACCCATGATATCCAGATTCCAGAATGCAGAAATGCCGCCTGCTAGATTTTCCTTCGGGATATTCGCACACTACAATACGAGTACAGCTTGTGGTTGCGCGTTTCAAGCCTTGATTCTCACAATACATACTATTACCATAGATATACTTATTATTACTGTATAAAGTAATTCATGAGCTATTCTAGGAAAGCGCTGCGCCAGCCTGACAATTAATGTATCATTACGTATTAAATAAAGTTTTAAAAGTAGTGTACCACTGTACATATTATATTATAAAAAAGCATCTGTAAGTCTGTAACACTAACAAACCTGTCCCTCAAACAACAAATTCGCCTCAAAATCCAAACGCTAAACCGAGTTACCAAAGGCGCAGAATAGGCGTGACGTGCCGAAGGAATATGATGACATACAGCTAGATTACTGAAACGGTGAAACCCAAGCGACCAAGCCCACTTTGCTGACATATTACCACTACTGTATAGTGTATCCTACTATAGAATTGTACGCATAATTAGAATAAATTTAATAATTTATGGAAGAGAATTTGCGAGACGGGGATGCCGGGTTGTATACATCACACAAGGTACTGTACTGTAATTTGCACTCTCACTTGTGAAATTGGAGTCACTTTTCCAAGTAAGGAAGTCCATGGATGTGTTTCACAATGGACCATCGATGAAATAAGTTTGTTTTAGTGCGAGTACACCATTTCTACCAGTTAATATCAAAAGTCTTCATATCATTGAGTAACTGAGAGGTTGTCTAATCTGCAAAACTTTCCCGCCTAAACTGTTAAGGCCAATCCATAAGAAGCCGGCAGTCTGTGAACACTGAACGGTGAATATCGTCAGACCGGAAGATCTTGTAAGGCAACTAGAACAAGTGCAGCCTGTGCAGGTATTTATGTACTTGAATTAATTTTTTCCTTTGTTAAATTTATTGTAACCACAGTCCACAGGCGATTAAAATTCAGAGTTTTTTTCTGTCCCGATTACTAGTTATTATCATTACAATAGTAAGTAATACTCGTACGGAATGAACGCTAACCCAGTATGTATGCGTTTCCAGCTTCAAGGGAAGTTGGAAACGCATTCATGGAAAAAGCGTTTCATAGGGATTAAAAAACTTCAAAAAATCGTCTGCTCATCGCTTGTGGTAATGCCGGCCCTTTACTTGTAACCTTTTCTTATTTCTCGGTTTTGCTAGTCCAGTCAACTTTTGATTTTTATCAGTTGTTTGCCACCTTCACCAGCGGAATAAGGTAATGTGGAAACTTGCATGACGTAATCACGTAAATTCGCATTTTAGAATACCATTTCCATCGCAACCCGAACACTTGCGAGGGAAACCCTAGAATTAATGGGAAATAGCTGTACTAATGTTAAGTTAGAAAGCAATCTGAAAAATTCGAATGTTGGCTGATTTCTGTGTAGATTCAGGAATAGCTTAGCATAAAGCCATGAACTTAGGCAAAAGTTCCTCAAATTTACTAGTTGGAGACAATGGACCGTGCCTCTCAACCGGAACCTTTTGTCAGTGCTTATCTGGAGTTCTATCTAGGATGTACGTAGTTAACTTAAATGGTAAGTACGAAGTAAGTCTTAACTACTGCCGTAGTACTTTTGGCTTGCCTTGGGAAGGCTCGAGAACGGCGAAAAGGGAGCCATGCTGCAGAGTGCGGTGAGTCGCCCGCGACCTTATTGCGGGGTCCTGGCTGTTGTGCGGGTAGTGCTGGTATCCTTGTACTCTAATTAAATTTTTATAACATGCATTTTATCATGCATGGGTTCGGTAGTTTTAAGCGCGTCCGATTCTTTCGATCGCGTTACTGTACGTTTCGGCCAAATGCGATCGCGGGTACCTGTAGTCTGTAGATGAACTTGGTACTGTACTTAAGAGGTGCTAGAACTGTACCGTAATAATCAGTAACTGTTGTTTGAGTGGGGGCGTAACCCCCTGCAGACCAGCTTATCGAGGTTCCGCTCCTGGACCCCATACACTAGCGGCAGCCGTTCTTTCTTCCCTTCATCTGTCAGACTGTCACACTGTTGGTTTACAAAATTAATTACAACCACGGCGGTACTACCAAGAACAGTACCGCCTTGTTTCACGTTTTAAAAAAACGGCCGCTCGCTTGTTTGATTAGTTTTTTTATCGAAGGTTGATTGGCAAACGTTGCTGTATTTACGTTCAACACTGAATTGCGAGTTTGTTCCACCCTGAGAAGCGAAATGGAATCCCAGGCATTGGGAGCGATCCGTGTTCGTTCGGACAGCGCAAAGAAGGTAGCGTACTATTACAATCAAGATATCGGGAATTTTTATTATGGACAAGGCCATCCGATGAAGGTAAAGTGATCCTGCGTTTTGGACAAGGCATCGTATCACGATTGTTACTTATCATAACTTATGTAATGACCACGGCATGCTGTCCGGTTGCAGCCCCATCGTATCCGAATGGTCCATAGCCTGATCCTTAACTATCGACTGCACCTGAAGATGCAGTGCTTTCGTCCCCATTGTTCCGGAATGACCGAATTAACACGCTTCCATTCAGATGATTATATCCGCTTTCTAAAGACGTTGTCCTTTGGCGACGAAGGGAAGAGTCCTCCGTCTAAGAAAGTACTCGCGGAATTCAATGTCGGAGAGGTAATCATAATGTTCTTATAATAATTTACAACAGTGCCAATTCTGCCGCCTTCAATATTGGATTGCCTGCTAGGATTGCCCCGTGTTTGATGGGTTATATGAGTATTGTCAAGCATACGCTGGCGGATCAGTAGCAGGTGAGAAGTCGAGGAATTTAAGCTTCTCAACGTATTCCTCGCGCTGAATTTAACTACTGTACGGTTCACGGTTGTATCAGATTTTTTATCAGTGATTTATCTATAATTTTAAAGCAGTAACTTTCGATTTTTTGAAGAGTGGTTTTTGCGCGTTTTAACAGTGGTCTATATCGCTACTGAATGCTACTATTATTAACCAGTTTACGGAAATCTTCCTCCCCACATAGTTTCGCAGCGTACATTTGTTTGGCATAACTTGTGTATTATTAACTGAAACATCATACAGCGTAGTGGAAACATCATACTGTATTTTTGTGGAGATTTCGGCTATTTTTCGTTAAAACATACGTAAATAACTATAAAAAAAATAAACAAAGAAAACTAAGGCCTTGTCCCGAATTCAAAGCGAATCTCGCTATGGTACGGTTGTTCGACCGCACGAGGTGGCTATATGCAGTGGCCACGCCCAGAGATACGGTACGGGAAGCCACCTCGCGAGGTGGAGTTGCTGTATCGCAACGAGATTCGCTTTGAATTCGGGACGAGGCCTAAGAAAACTGAGAAATTTTAGAATTGGTAGAGCGCCTCAGAAAGAATTTACTCTAGACGTGTGATTTTAGGTGCTAGCAAATTAAATTCGGAATCTGCGGATATTGCCATAAACTGGGCCGGCGGACTTCATCACGCGAAAAAGCGGGAAGCTTCGGGCTTCTGCTACGTTAATGACATTGTGTTGGCCATTTTGGAATTGCTCAAGTTCCACCAGCGAGTATTATATGTGGATATTGACGTCCATCATGGTGATGGCGTGGAAGAGGCCTTTTTCACAACAGACCGCGTTATGACCGTGTCGTACCATAAGTTTGGAGAATACTTCCCAGGCACTGGAAGCGTAGCCGATGTTGGCGCTCAAGGGGGCAAGTATTATTCGCTGAACTTTCCTCTCCAGGCCGGTATTGATGATGACAGTTATGAGGCCATTTTCGTCCCAGTGATGACCAAGGTGTTGGAATTTTACGATCCGGGTGCCATTGTTATGCAATGTGGAGCCGATTCCTTAACCGGCGACCGGCTCGGTTGCTTCAATTTGACGCTCAATGGTAAGTGACAGCAATGTTACTTTAGTTTTTCTTGGGTGAATGGCGACTCCAGAAAATTGTCTCGCAAAAATATTCGGCGAAAGCGTTTTCTGGTTGATTCAAAGTTTTATGAATGTTCTAGGGCATGGGAAGTGCCTGCAGTTTTTGAAAAAGCACGGAAAACCCTTGCTTCTGTTGGGTGGAGGCGGATACACAATCAAGAACGTTGCACGTTGTTGGGCTTTCGAAACTGCGCTAGCCATAGGAACCGATATCGCTAACGATCTCCCTTATAACGATTATTTTGAATATTTTGCTCCGGACTATAAACTGCACATTCCATCCAGTAATATGGAAAACCTTAACAGCAAAAAGGAATTGGAAGTGCGTAGCTTTGATGCGCTTGATATATCGAATACCGTATATCGAATACCGTACTAAACTTCGCTCAATTGCTGTTTGCAGAAAATTCAACAAACGTTACTGGAGAATCTCCGTCATCTTGCGCCGGTGCCCTCGGTCGGCATGTTCCACGCTCCGGCATCAATGGATTTCAGTGAACTAGAGGATATGGAGCAGGAGTGTGCCGATCCGGATGTGCGTGTCCCGGAATGCGTACGAGATAATATCAAAGAGAATGAATCGGATATTATGGATATTCAGGAGGGTGGCGTCCCTTCCGGTAATCGGAATCGGAGTGGACCAAGCGTCGTGCACAGCAGAGTACGTTGCATTAGCGAAACGGATGATTCGTTAATGGACTAGAGTACGTCCATTAGGCAGGCAGGCACTGTCTGTGCTTACGTGTGAAGGCTTAAAACGTTCTCGTATACGTTCATCCAGATACGGACCTGTGTTACTTTTATACGTATGTTGGTTGATTTCGTGTACAAGTGATCGAAATTGTGGATAGACCATTTTTGTATGTCTGCTTTTCCAGGCAAGATTGTTTTTGCTCAGATTATTTTTCTGCTTAGAATCAATTTGGTGTTTTGTGTGGTTCAAACAGATCAAAATACATCTATGCGGGGTTAGATACATAATAATAATGTTTCACGTTGGGTGCAGTTCATTTATGATCAACCATCCATTCCTTAACAATACTTATTGGTAACGTTTCCTTTACAGTATCGATAAATTTTAACGGATCAGCTGTAATATTTAGCACTTAGATTTTTGTATGCGTGGCTTTGGATCGTCATAAGATTGGTCTTGAATTGTACTAACCACAGTACTAATCTTAAGTACTAATAACCACTTTACAACAAAGCACTAGGTTATTAGGTGAACCGAAAACTTGAAAAGGAACGGCTTCTTACGAATTCGGTTTGCTACAACGTATTCGGCAGACGGCAATGTAGACGGTTATTGAAAAACTAATTACTTACTTATTTGATTCGGCTACAGTATGAACGGGCATGAGTTGTAGTGCCTGTTGTACCGCTGCCGGTAGGAGCATTTTAAATTTAGTAAGCTATTTCTTTGGACTGTTACAGCAGTTATTGTTACTGTATCTGTGTTTTTAAAATAATAATTCCCGATCCAGTTAATATTCTTGGCCATGGAATGAAACTAATGAGTGGAATCGAAGAAGACGCTCTGGGATAGCTATGGAAAGTCAACATTTTGATCATTAAGAAACTGATCGTAGTACCGGTACGATTCGATATGAACAATTTTCTGTTAAAACAGTGCATATTACTGCTAACAATGTAATAATAATTCTGGATTGCTTCACAAAATAAATCCACATTTATCTTCATATTGGATCTGCAGTCGTGCAAACATAGTATTCGGTCACATAACAAGTAGGCCAAGAGGAAGTTTGTCTGTAGCTTTTAATTTAATGGACTTCTGTTTCTGACTGGACGATTTCCATTCGGAATTTGCGCATGATCCATCGCATGGCAAACGCAGTGAACCCTGATCCATTACAGCGCAGCCAGCCATTCTGCACGTACAGTGCGTACACGCCGCCGCCACTGCTCCCATCCCGTCCTCCGTCCTCTTACATCAGGTCCCCTTATCTGATGCGAGATACCGATATGATCCTCATAAAACTGAGGCATCTTTCTATCAGATACTTGAGTCAACAACCACCACTACACAATTATCCGTATCAAGATTGCCCAAACAGCCAGCATTCGCCATTAATGCAGTATTGTGCGCTGTAGCCATGACTTCCGGCTGCCGTTGTGTAGGTTATGTTTGCCGACGATCTTTCCCGGGCTTTTATTGGCACTCTTGTGGTCAATTACGCAAGAATAGGAGAGTTTTCCATACTGTCGCTTTAAGCTGGTTGAGTAGCGCTTATACGGTATTTTACTGGTTCGTTGCTTGAGAGCATTAAAATTGCCAACCGATGGTGTAAAAGTCTTATAATCAGATCGTTGTCGTGGAATGATCGCCAAGTATTATTGCGCCCTTCTTGAGCGAGATGTGCCATAAAAAGTTGAATTCGGCTTTTTGTGCAAAATGTGTGAAGAAAAGAATGGGTTGATCCATTCCATGCTCATATTATTATTTATTAGCAATTCATGCTTTTATGCTCATTGTCAACAAATTACTCTTGAGGATGTATTATCCCGGCAGAGGTCAGTATTTGACAATTGACATCGATACATTTATCGCCAGTTAAACTCCCTGCTCGCCGAACAGTGCTCGGCAATATTACCGGCATGCCGCCATCAGTGATGAACCTGCAATATTCGTAACCTTACAATAGTTCTTCTTATATTATAAGATTAAGATTTGTGAAAGAATATGCGTACTTAGTACGTACTAGAAGTAAACGGATTTTTCAAACGTAAGAAATAAGTAGAACCATGAAATTTGATGAAAACATACAATTTTTTGTACGGTACGGCTGAATCCTAATAATTGTAAGGGTGGCTGTAAATATACAGTATACGCTGATAATACTAATTGCAGTACATTTCTTATCAGGTACGAGCAACGAGCAGAGTCTAAGTGGACACGAAATGCCGTTTGTGATTCCGACACTTTAATACTTGCTTAAATTTTTGCAGTGTGCAACTTAAATCGCTTTATTATGAAGCATGAATGTTTGTGGAAACTTACAACACAGTACTTACCATTAGATGTGGGACACTGTTTATTTCATGATTGAATGATTCACCGAACAGTGTACTGTAAACCATACGGTATATTTAGATTTTAGAATTATGAAAATTAATCCAATCCATGTTTAGTAAGTCATACGAGTATGGTTATTGGTTAGTGAGATTGAGCAACGTAAATGTGTAACATGCTTCATGCTTTATAAAGGGCACTTATGCATAATGAGCACTGGTTGTGCTGGGAAGTGAGAACTTCAGTGCAACTGGCAAGTGATTTGTGCAACATACGAGCAACCATTCAGGCCATTTTTGTTGTTTTTGTTCTTTTTATCGACTCCGCAAAAACTGTGTGTATAAAAACCGAAAACCATGTGTATAAAAACCGTACATAAAAAACTAATTATTAAACTACGTTACTGTAATACTGCATGCTCGGGCTCCCTGAACAAAGGAAATGTATCCGTAAAATTGGGTTTTCGAAACGCTACGAAGTCCGGACTGTGCATCAGCCGCTATTAAATGCCATGCCAGCTATAGATCGGGTATTGTATTGTACGCGTGCACGCACGACCAGCACGCACATTCACCGCTACGAAGCTGAAAAAAAAATTTCACAAACAGTACTTTCTATTATTCTATACGAGTATTTCTATTCCACAAAATTGCTTGTATACTGTTCAGCATTTTCAAACGTACCCAGTACCCGCTACTAATAATTAAAAGTCTGCTGTGGCTGCTATAGAACCTATAGCTGAATTTTCTAACTTTTTCGAGATCAACTTCAAAACAAATTCTACGCTTACGTTGCCGTACAGTCTACAGCAATTTAACAGGAGCACTTGTTGCAGTTTAAACGAGACAAGTACATTCGGTGACCCTGCCAGATTGGATCATGCTCTGGTCAACGGGACTGTTCCCTTGAAGCGTGTGCCCCGGAATGTACCGGCTACTAATTGCTGGCCGAAGGCCCCATTCGCTTTGCTGCGCGCGGCTACCGGATGTCCAGGAGGCGGCGCTTGGGGCACCGGTGAGGTAAGGCACCGGCTCCGCGCGGCCTCTTCCGTCTCCCAGCAGAATCTGCTCAGCGCACAAATCACCAAAGAAGCCGTCACACTGGAGTTTTGCGTCCGTGATCCGCCAGCCGACACGTCGGATGAGCCGGTGGACTACGACTGCAGCCATGTCAATGCCGACTTCCCTCCTGGCTCCTACTGCATCTTCAACGCGCAACAGAAATTTAACATCTACGAACGCTGTCCACCTGGCTTCAACTGGAGCGCCGTCGGCCTGGACGACATCGGCACGGTCAACCGGCGAACGCGCGGGCGCATGCCGACCGGAGAATTCTTTGACACCTTTACGCACTATTATTTCTGCTGTCGCAACGACTCGGCCCCCTCCAATCACATGGTGCTGCCCACGAAGCGGCCCTTCATCCTGTTTCCGCTGGGCGTGCACCGTGCCTGCCAGGAAGTGGTCGGACTGCGGGCCAGGATGTTTTCCATCTATATGGATGCGGATCACGGCTCATATGTCAACCATCCCAATCGATTTTGTTCGCCGTTTGCGGAAACGGACAGTGTCATCGAGGGTGTAGGGCCCTGTGCCCGCGAGAAACGCGGAAAGGGATTACAGCTGCACATGTGCCATTACAGTTTATGGTGAACACAGAACAGAACAGTGGATCCGGAATGTCTGGATGTAAACCACAAGTGTACATACATTATTGCTTAATTTACAAACCCGTCAAATAAGAACTACATATTGGTAAATTAGAAATGAACGCACTTAAATTGTTTGTGCACTCGGCAGTGAGTCGGCAGACTCGGCACTGCGAATGTCGATGGAATGTACAGTAATCTGATGAAATCTTCTCGCAGCCGTGTTGTGCAGTGCAACAAAACTACTGAGCTCACAAACTCGTGAGAAAAGTGTTTACAAAAAACCGCATTCTCAGTTTCAGTCTGGATTGCACTTATGCAAAATCCTTCTAAAATGCCATTGAACTCCTCATAGAACTACGCACATAATATTATGCGTTTTCTGTATGTATCCCCGATCTAATTTAATTACACAACACATCCGACAAAAATGGTCTTACGTACAATTATTGAAAGGTCGAGACACAAAATTTCTTTTCATCGTTTGCACAGTTAACGGAATGGCCACTTGCCAGCCACTCTATTCACGGCAAACCATGGCTCAGTTTAATTTGCAACAACAGCTAAAACACTCAAAAGCAGCACAGCAAAGATGGATCCACGTTAAACTGGCTGAGAAGAACGGTAAGTTCAGCTGATTTAATAGGAGAACTTCGTACAATAATTACGTCCCGTTCTCTAAGTCTGCTTCATCTCATTATTCGCTTGTTCACGAATCTCGGCATGATGTCCCATTTATGAGCTTTCGCTTCATAACGATTTTTCCAGTCCTTGTGATTCTGTTTGAAGTTATGATATCGATCCAGATACCTGTTTAAAGTATAAAGATTTACAAGAACGTTCATCAGCAATTTATTGCTCTCTGCTAATTTACTAGTTCTGTTACTACGAAATCCAATAACAGCAAATGTCAAAACCAAACGAAACCATTTTCGTGCTCCGAAAATGAAAGATTCTTAAACCATTCGACTGTAAACAAAGTTAAATTCGATCCTAATCCCAACATCAGAAACTGATCGTCAAGCTCCTGTTCATTCATTTCCCGTCTCTTCGCTTTCTTACCTGAGCTGTTTTAGCAAATTAGTCCACTTTTCAGGATACACCATTGGCATCCAATGCAAACCGTAGTTTCGCCGGCGAATTAATCGCTGCATTTCTGAGCCTCGAAATCCTTTGAGCCACACAGGACCCTTAAGAAGATCGCGCGGATGCAGCGTTCCATCCCCAAGAATGTCGATATAATCGTTCTGCCCGAAAGCTGCGCGATGAAGAGCCCATGAATTCTTGAATTTTGTTCGTGTCCCAGAGATCGGCTTCAGTTCCGGAGTGGGTTTAATGCGCGGTAGAAAGCCACCAATATGATATTTAATGTGATTTTCGAATCCAAAATGTCTTGTCCGGATTCTGTCTATAGGAGTTTCGCGGTAATGGCGCACTTGAACGGGTTCGCGTCGAAGGGACGAAAACAGAGCCGCCAGAAAACGCTTGCCGTGCTGAATCATCTTATTCAGTAATATCTGGATTTCAAGGATACTGTCATATTAGAAGCGGAAAACGGAAAGATCCTTGAAAACTGAAACAACACCACGTCACAGTTTTATAATGGATAAGGATATCTTCAAAAGCTAAAAAGAATTGGCAGGCTTGATGCTGCCTAACAAAAGATTGCTTACAATAACAAAACTCAAAAGCTGAAAAACATAAACAAGACTACAGAGTACAGAGTGAACTGTAAAATTTAAAAAAAAACCGAAAAGTTGAAAGAACGCACGCACGCATCCAGCCGCCCAGGGTTGAACCCTTCCTCTGTGTACAGTTTCCTGGGAAGTTTGGAGCACCGCCATGAATTATCAATTTCGAATTTGGGAGCGATTTGGTAGCGGTGGATACCGCGCAACGGCTGTCTCCTCTGTACGGCGCTCGGATTTGGACACCTATGTATATGCGCCTATCGCTTCCCGTTTTATGACTTTTATCAAGCCGCTGAAGTGTGAGCGAGTACTTGATAATTATCGACCTGGCTAAGAGTGTAGTGTAGTGGAACTGAAAACAGTGTTGCTTAACTTGCTTTATCGTTTAAAATATTGCTTTTCTGGAGGTGTGCATTGATAAAGTACTTATATGTAAACAGAAACCTACCGATCCACTTCTGGTGGTAACACCCTGTCTCACTACTTTGTTGTGTGGGAATTGTTTCTTACGCTTGCTCCTCTTCGGAGTCTTCGCCTGTGATTACCGTTGTTTTGGTTTCTTGGATACGCTACAACTTCCAGTTGTCGCTTTGCTTTATGATTATTCATGAGACGGTTGTAAACTTGGTTACAAGTGTGGTCCACGAAGCGTGGACTGAATCGTTAACAAGTGCCTACTAGTACTAGTTCGGTGCGAAAATCTGAAAATGGCGCGAGATTTCATGGCACAAATGCTGGATGAACTCATGGGCCGGAACAGAAACGCTGCTCCTAATGAACGCAAGGAATTACGATGGGATGATGAATCTGTGAGTCGATTTCTTATCTTTCAGTAATTTGCGGATCGCTTCTAATTTCCGCAGAGGATCACAATATACAAAATTTGATAAAACGGAGAAAACTTCAGCGGCGTAGGGAGTTTTCGGTTTTGGGGGACTCTTATCGAAGTTATGGACATAGCGGCTAGCCTTAAAGAAACTGTCCTAGTGAGACTAATTTCCTACAAAACGCGTACTGTGCTATTACTGTGCCAGTACAATAGCTGGGCAGCAAGATGCTAGAAAGAGTAGGGTACTGTTTTTAATTAATATATGCATCTATAATAGTTTTGTGAATTTGTAGGTTTGCAAGCATTTTTTGGCGAACTATTGCCCTAACGAGCTTTTCACCAATACTAAAGCTGATTTGGGTATTTGCAAGCTTCTGCACGACGAAGAGATGAAGAAGAGGTAAAATCTTTTGACTATAATAACGCAAATCAATCCCTTAATGCATAAATAAAGAGAAATGCTGTCTTGCAGATACCAGAGTGATCGAAAAAAAGGCACAATGGGATATGAATCTGATTTCTTTCATTTTTTGCGCACAATGGTTCAAGACGTTGATCGGCGTATTGATCGGGGAAAAGACCGTCTAGAAGCCACAAAACAAGTCTCGGTGCGTGCTTCAACAGTTTGATTACCAATTTTTTAGTAAATTTTTGTTATTGTTTACTTGCAGGCCACCAATACTGGTACGAAGTATGACGATAAAGTGAAAGATTTGTCCCAAAAAATCGAGGATTTGGTTCAAGAAGTAGGTGCTACACTGCGCATCGTTTGCTGCAATATTTTGTCTGATTCTGTTTTGCTCTAACAGACTGTTTATTAATTGCATAGCTAATGAGTTGATCAACTTGATTTCTTTGTTAGGCTGAACGTTTGGGAACCGTGGGGCGAGTGGAAGAAGCCCAGTCAAAATTGCGACAGTCAGACCAATTGCGTAAAGATCTGGATGGTTTGAAAGCGGTACGGCGTAGATTTATCTTCTCTAGAATTTTTTCACTAATATCTGCAATGGCGTGTTAGACGCTGGAGTTGGCTGTACAGCAAGAGAAACAGCTGGAAGTGTGTCAGACGTGTGGGGCATTCTTGATTGTCGGAGATGCACAGCAGCGCATTGACGATCACCTGGCCGGCAAACAGCATGTTGGCTACGCAAAGATCCGTCAAACTTTGAAAGATGAAGAGGTACACAGGCATTCTATCTGTTGCTGAAAACAATATTTCTCTACTAAAAATATTGTGGAAAACGCAGGACCGGGTTCAGAAGGAACTGGAAGACCGGCGCAAAGAGCGTGAACATCGTCATGAAGACCGTGGAAATAGTCGTGGCCGCAGTGAGAAACGTGATGAGCGATCCAGTAAAAATGGTCGAGATCGCAGCCGTGACAAGTATGCCCGATTATTAGGATGCCTAGAATGATTCACCCGTAACTTGCTTGCACTCGCAGGTCGAAACGATCGGATTCTCGTGAGCGTCGACGACGCAGCAGCAGTCGTGACCGGAATCGTCGACGTTCTCGCTCCCGTAGTAATAGCCGCAGGAAGGTGGACAGCGGGCGACGCCGCAGTCGTAGTCGCTCCAAAGATCGGCGTGAAAAGCGAGACTCCAAGCAACGCTCACGTTCTAGGGATTCCAAACGGCGTCGATCTCATTCGCGCAGCAAAGATGATAAAAAACGGCGTTCACGATCTCGAGAGGAAAAGGATCGTCGACGTCACCGAGATGGTTCCGTTTCCTCAAGTAAGATTAACACATGTAGTAGGGATAGAACGTGTAATATATCGAACTGCTTATATTTTGCCGACAAATACAATACGTTCATGAAATATTAATGCGACATGTTTGTAATTTCACCTGGTTTTGTAGATAAATCAAAGACGTCGAACTCGAAGCAGGATATTGCTGCTCCCAACAATGTGGAAGCTCAGTTGGAAAACACCTCACCCGTCTTGGATGCCATCGAGCTGCCGAAAGGTAACACTCCGTCCGAAATGCAGACGGATGAGTGAGTACGTGTCGGTCGGTGAGATGACGCCCTGAATGCATGCACGGTAAGTTGTGGATTCTTTCCTTACTAAAATCGACCATCTGGAGCAACGTTTCCGCTTCCAGTGTACAGGAATCAGAAGACGATTGATTGCTCATTGCTATTGTGATTCACGATTCTGTGATAATATGGAGGTACATTTAAGTCTTTAAAGTCATAGTCATTTTAAATAACGCTGCCCCGCGAAATCCTTAGTGGAATTTTAATAAAGGTTTTTTCTGTGTTTGAGTTATTCTGATGAATAAGGACTGTCATTCTTGCCTATAATAATATTTGGCTGATTGGGTGCCGTAACAGCGTTAGAAGTAGTGATTTGGGGACCATTTTATTGTACACCATAGCTGCTTATTTGATCAGTGTTTGCGATAACCTGGATTTCGAAAAGTTCACAGGAAATATTTCGAAGTTATTTTTGCAAGTACTGTAGTAAATAGTGTCATAATTTCTCATTCGTATTCTTTCAGTATAGCCATGCGGGTGAATGTAGTTCAATGTTTCATAAAAGGGACATTACTTTAGTATGTTCTTATTAAAAATTGCTTTTTGCATTTGTTTCAGTGCGGTATCTCAAGTATGTTCCGGGTGAAGACGTAATCATGACATCTGTTTCTTGCAGTTCCTCTGAGAAACGTATTGTTTGGTTTGCAGGCCTAAAGAGAAACGTGAGGGTGTGCACGCTTCACGCGATATATGGACAAACCTGTCAACTGTTTTTTTTATGTATGGATATGCTACGTACATCGCTCTTACGTTGTTCTGACTTAACAATATAGATTTTGCACTTTGATTCTGGTTCTGGGTACAAAAGTATTCTCTTGTTCTTAAAATCTTGAACAATATTAATGCAACGGTGAATAAACATTTTTTATTCCAAAATTGCATCAAAGGTATAATTGAGTTTTCGTTATTCTACACTGGATCCGCATCTCAGTAAAAATTTTTAAGAAACCATACTCTACTGTAGTAAACATTTAATACTGAAATGTAAACACTACATGCCACGTTTGCGCTCCGTTTCGTTATGGTGGTGTCCTGACTGGCAAAACGATCACTTTGAGATTTTTAATATTCTTAAACTGAAAGTAAATTCAGAAAACACAAACCAGTAGACACTAGACCCTGAAGTACGGAGACACCTTGGGCTAAGGTACTTTTCATCTACTTAATTAACGATAAGTATGTGCAGAACTGCACATGACCAATATCAAAACCGTAACTGGAACGAAGAAGTTCAAAAGGTTGCAAAATGTAAACCGACAATGAAATTCACTTCTCGGTAACTGACAGAAACAAGAAATTCAACAAGAAAAACGATAAAATGGAATTATGCTTCGGGTCGCTGAACCGGAGGAGGGGAATCGCTATCAGGAGCACCTGTAATGGAAATACAAAGTGTACTGTGAAATCGCATGCAGTACTTATCGTTAGCTATGACATGCTGTACAAGTTCGTCGGTTTAAAATTTTGACGTTAACTTTTCATTTTAATGGTAGTAAACAATTACGCCGTACTCTAGCGACAAGTACTAACTGTAGTGTGCAACTAAAAACCGAGAGACGTTATTGTCATCACCGGCAACAAAAAAAGCAGTAATGTAGGAAACGATTCAAAATTGAAAATTCAGATCAGATTGCAGACAATGTCTCACAAACGAACACGACCAAAGCAGTGAAAAATTCAAGCAAAAATATCAGCTTATTCATGCATAATTACCCCGATCGGAACCGAGACTGCCAACGGGCATAGACTTCTCAGGCTGCTTAGCGGCAGCCGCTGCGTAGGTGATGGGGCTAGATGGTCTCGGAACTGCTCCATCGCCCGCTGTAGCGGGATTACTCATTTTCTCCAGTCTAGAAAAATTAATGATAATGTCGCATTGAAGTACTTAAAAATACGGATAAACACGAACTTATGCTGTTTTAGCAAAGTGCAGTCTCCTCCTTCGTTGGGATCAATAGCATATATGTAGAGGTAACCATCGGCGGAAGCTACTAAAAGGCGAGGAGTCTTCTGCAAACTGCCAAAAAGCGGTTACTGACACGAACAAAGTAATGCAAACAGCAGATTCTTTATACTTCGCAATCATGCAGATGTTGCGAACACCACTAAATGGGTGGCGTACAACGGCAAATGAGCGTCCCTGATTGACAACGTCCGAAACTTGAGCGGGCAAGTACGTGGCAGCATTCATGATGGCTTTACCCAGGTAATTCATCCAACTCTGATTCTGTTCCGGAGGCCTGCGAAAAACGCGGATCAGAACGGGTATCAAAAGGATCAGAACAACATATTTTCTCGTGTTAGTACTTTTCGCCTTGTTCCAGCTTGAACACGTGTACAGTCTCCGTATTGCTGGAAGATGATAACAACAGGGCATCTGGGCTGAATGACAAAGAATACATGTCCACGCAACTACAACAAGCAGGGAAACATGCAAAAATCCACAAAAAACCAAAACGACGGCCCAAAAATACCGCTTCATCCCCCGACGAAGTTCAAACAGTTTATCTCCGGAAGGAACGCTGAACACCCGAATGACTGTTCCCTGTACGCAACAGAACGATTAAACGAGCGTGTCCATGTGACCCAATACGTCGCTCAATGCTAACTGACCTTAGTGGAAGCAGTGGCCAGCTTAGTGCCATTTGCATCAAACGCCATACTGGCAAGAGGGCTATCATGGGCATTGATCATCGCGGCAGCACGCTACGAGCGAATAAATCAGGAGTCTGGACACGCGTAAAGGAGAGCGCAATTTCAAAAGACACCAACCAAATTTGATGCGTCAAATATCTGGACTTCACCAATGGTGCTACTTCCTGGATAAGCCAAATAACAGTTTTCATCCTTGGGTACCAGACAGCAGAGTCCTTTGGGATTGGGAGGAGTATCGCGGATAGTGTGTAACACTTCCATGTTCCGAATATTGTGAATGTACAAGCTCTCTTCCAAGCAAACCAGCAGACGCTGAAATAAAAAATCTCTTACGTTTCAGCGTTGTTATTTACAGATGCCCAGGCTACAAGCCTTCTGTCCAGTCCAGTGTCCACCATTCCTCATAAACTGGCTCTTACTTACAAGTAACAAAGTGCTAAAAAAGGAATTTTCTTTACCGTAAGTACGGCAACACGTTTATGCTCCATACGTACGCTCCTTTAATATACAATGCCAGCTTGGGAAATTGAGCACAGCCTGACTAACGTGCCTCACGATATGTAATGACTAATGACATCATACCAGATAAATGGATTGCCAAGTGTCAACTTATCATACCGTATGTAAAACCTGCCTGTACATTTGTTGTTTAGTACAATATCCATTTTAAACCTGTACTATTAATTACACATATTACTAAAATAATCATTTTAGAGATTGCTCACCAATCGATTAAGACGAACTGCCAAAATGGTATTGGAATAGCTGTAATTGCAAATCTCAGTGCCTTTCTTGAAATGGCACACTTTCAGCATCCGATGCGCATTCAGACTGACAATGGCCACGAGGCTGCTGGAGAAGAGTCTTTCCACGATGCACACATCCTTTTCCGTTGCTGCGAAGAAAATTTTATTGCTGGTTCAACTTACAGATTCAGTGCACTCACTGTTTTCATAAATCAGTTCCAGTTTCTCCACGGAGGCAATCGAGTACAATTTGTAGCCTTTTCGTGTGCCGATAGCCAGCGATCTAGCAGAAAAAACAATGGACGCGCTAATCACGATCACTCACTTCAGCGCGACGGACTTACGTTCCATCCTGGTTGAATCCGACAAAGAGAACTTCGGTCCTGTTCGGTTCATTCGATCCTGCTTCTTCGCTCTGATTCATGGTTTTCTCCAAGTCCAGAGGCAATGTGGATATTACTACAGATTACAAGTACTACTTCACGCTGGCACCTTCCAGATGTGACACTAATGACTCTATCAGATGGCAGTAATTTAGTAAATAAAATGGATGTGCTCTAACGAAACGATAGCAACCAATACATAGATTAGTAATGCTTCCCAGCTTCCGCGACGTTTGCCACGTAGGTGATACAAATGAAATCGAAATTAACGAGCACAAAACTAAAACTTCAAACAAAATTTATCTAGCTATCTATCAGCTTTAGCCTTTATTTAGTAAACATTTCTCAGAGATACAACAAAATACGGTGAATACACTGTACACTGAGAAGAGCAATCGTACGCGTCTTATTGTTACAAGTCTTAACAACCAAATAGCTCTCACCTTTTTGTTGCTTCCCAGGATGGCAGGCGCAGAACAAACTAAAATCTTACTGCTGCATCAGAATAAGTACATAAACCCAAGGATAAACTATTTACAAAATGCTATACAAGGACAAGGTAACAAGCAAAATTTATATATATCATTATTATCTGGGTACACAAAAAACGCTGTCGTAACAAGGACGGAGTTCGAAAATCTTGTTATAAAATGAACGAGGCCAAAAGGTTTTTGTTGCTGTTTGCGATGCAGTGTTAACCAGAGTTCAGACTGTTCGGTTCAAAATAATATCAGCTGATACTGGTCATCATGTGCTTCGGTACATAAGCGTACATTACAGTACATTTATACTTATTGTACATTTGTAATTATTTTTAATATTATGTATTGTACGTATTTTATGTATTTAATTTGAGGGGTATATCATTCTATGTATTACATAGTGTTAGTAATTAGAGTAAGTACCCGTTATGAGTATTGTACGTTTTATGAAAATGAATTACTTAGGTTTCGCTGCCGCCCTCCCGGTGGTTGGTTATCTTCTTCACAAAGCCTTTCTGCTTTATGGTCGCGAAAGTCCCGTTTTTACAGGATCGTACCGTCGTAGACTCGTAGCTTCGCAATCTGTTGTCAACTTGCCATGAATCTGCAGTCTGCGTCTCTTAAGACTTGTCAGTTTTTGCTCTTTTGGTTTTCGCATGGTCTGCCTCAGAATTTACCGTTTAGCTTTCTGTAGGATCGCGATTTTCATAAATTTGGTCTGGTAGGTAGCATCATATCATACACTGTGAACATTTGCAGATTACCAAGTACTTACTGTAGTCTGTAATTAGGTAACTGCAGACACCTGTCCCGATTCCCGAATATGAAAACGATTATGGATGGATTCAGTTCGGTAAATTCGAATAAGAATGCGCACAGGATTACTCAAGTTTTACGAATTTGTTGATTTGTAACTTGGTTAGCTTTCCATTCGCAGTGTGTAGGGTTAGACCTTTACCTGTAAAAGAAAAACTCAAAAGAACAAGCTAAATGAAGTTAGGGCTCTGTTTATTTGCACTGCAGGTACAGTAATAGACAGACAGAGTTAAACAATTTGCGGATTTGTTATTTTATTAGGTAGTACACTAGTACGTGGCGAAATCGCTGACTGAGTTGAGAACGTGAAAAGTTGAGAACCAAGTTCTCAACAGTTATTGTAATTGACTCATATGAGTGATTTTTCGTTAAATAATTGCAAAGTTAGATTTAAGGTCTCGGTATGGAATGATGAATACATAACACTGCGACAATCAATGTTGTGTAGCTCGCTTGTGTTTTAATTCCTCACGATTTATGTAGAAAGTGTGAATAATTTGTTGCTAATAACGCGAATAAAAATTTTTATACATCCGGCATCATGCAATACAAGTACTTACTGGTTTACCGAATTGTAACCGAAATAACTTTTACAGTGGCTATTTTCAGTTAAAACGAATTTTGTCATTTGACTGGTGATAAGTGTAGCCAGTGATAATTTGCGGTAAACAGTGCATCCGAGAAACTGTTGACTTGAAGAAGAGAATTACTTCGTTGAGCTCTGATAATGAAATGAGTTGGTACACAATATTTATTTTTAAAATAATTATTTATTAATATTCTGAATGTAATTAGTTATTAATAACTTGAAGTTCGTTTAGTAACAGCTCAAATGATTTGTTTGTAGTACGGGCTACGAGTTTACGATGGTGGTTCACTTACAAATCACAACATTTATCCGCTCAAGTACTTCTACGAGTAGTTGGTATTCGATCTTCTAATTTATATTCAAGTTTTTTTTGTAACCGTACGAGTACAGTAGTTTATTTGATTATTTCTGATGTAAACATTAAAAGTGCCATTTGTACGACATACATATAATATGAGTGCTGCCGTAGAATGTGTCGTACAAATAATACTTTTACTGTTACACTTTACAGTGTAATAATACACAGTACTTTATATCAATTATAATAATATCTAAACGATAATATTCTATATTCGCGTTATTGAGTATGTACGGCCGGCAGGGACTACTACGAGTAGCCTTGCGTTTTGAGTGCTGCACTTACCGAATCTAAAATTCGCGCTTTACGTCTTGACGATAGTGATTATTGTCAGTTTTCTCACTTTTTTCTGTTGTTGAACTGATCATAGCAAGTATGGTACTGCAGGCCTTAAATCCTTAAGGCTACATACGTACGCTTACGTCTACAGTTTACCGTGAATTGTAAATGTACTGTGCTGCGCTTACCACTTACCAGTTCTGCTGCGATTTCGGTAACTTATTTCTGTAATCTGAATTAACCCGTAATCAGTGAAAATCGTCAATCAGTATCTTATCCACTTCCGCATCTGCCTGCGGTCTTCGTGCCTTGGTTGGCCAGTGTGTGTTGCATTACTGTTACACGCACAATGTTAGCGCGCAGTATTCAGTTGATTGTGGCACGGGGGCCTTCGCCAAGCTGCGCACTGTCAAACGTTGCTCCTCTTTTCCAGAAGGCCAGCACTCTTGTACTGGATAACGAAGCGTCGGAAAACAACAGAATGGAACCGGCCCTGTTAGCACCAATCACTGAAGTAGATCCCGAGATATACGATCTGATGCGAGCGGAAAAGAAGCAACAGGCGAACGCTATCAGCCTGATTGCTTCGGAGAATCAGACCAGCCGCGCGGTTCTTGATGCTTTATGCACAGCTCTGCAAAACAGATATTCCGAAGGATATCCAGGCGCCAGGTAAATGTGGTGGCAAAAGTAAGGCTAGTATACCGTATTCGTGTGTGAGCTCGAAAGAGGGCGCTTTGTTAATTTTTATATTTGGTCTTTTTAAATACTGAACACGCGTGTACCATTCCAACATTCCGTTATTATGGTACTGTCGGTAAGTATGCATGTACTCTCCCAGTTTGCAGATGTGAGCAGCAATAATTGATACATGCTTGCCTAAGCGGGTTACAAAAATTTCGGGCATTTAAATAAGATTTTAATGCGAAATAAAGTTTGGACCTGATTTCGCAGGTACTACGGTGGGCAGGAAAATATCGACAAGGTGGAAATTATATGCCAGAAACGTGCACTGGAACTATATGATTTGGATCCTCAGAAATGGGGAGTTAACGTGCAGCCATATTCGGGATCGCCTGCTAATTTTGCGGTTTATACTGCCTTGGTTAGTAGAGATATAGATCTAGATTTTTTTGTTGCGACGTCGAGAGAACGGGAAGCTGAATTCTTTTGTTATGCTGTTTCGTGCATTAGACGTTTAACAAGTACGTAATTGCGCAGCGCTTTAAAGGCTAAATAAATGTTGCGCTAGCTTTGTGACATTTTATGCTGATGGTGTTTTTACACTTTGAGAATTACACACTGAAGTATTAATTTAGGTTGAACCGCATGGACGGCTAATGGGACTGGATCTACCAGATGGAGGACATTTAACTCATGGATTTATGACGGATAAGAAACGAATCTCAGCCACGTCGTTGTTTTTCGAAAGCATGCCCTACAAGGTCAATCCAGAAACCGGAATTATTGATTACGAAAGACTGCGAGAAAATGCAAAACTTTTCAAACCTAGATTGATTGTTGCCGGTAAGTGTTACTGAGTAGGACTTGTACTAGGTAGTTACATTTAATACCGGTATTATATGCACACATTGCGGTTCTGGTGTCGTATCAGTGTGCATTACACTTTAATGTACCTACCTTTTTTGCATTCGAGATGAACTGCTGCGTTTGATCATCAATATTAGCTAGGTTTTTAATTAGGAACGAGCTGCTATCCTCAAATTTTGGATTATCCGAAATTCCGGGAGATCTGCACTGAAGTAGGGGCGTTGCTTATGGCCGATATCGCCCACATCAGTGGTCTCGTGGCGGCTAAAGTTCACCCGAGTCCTTTCGAGCACTGCGACATTGTTACTACGACCACACATAAAACTTTGCGAGGACCACGAGCCGGTTTAATCTTTTACCGAAAAGGTAAAGTGAAAAAAAAATTAAATTTTAAACACGCAACATTAATAGTTAAAAATAACAGTATTTCCGTTGCATTGGTAGGCGTCAAATCTGTCGATGAAAAAACCAAAAAAGAAATCATGTATGATTTCGAAAAGCCCATCAATGAAGCAGTGTTTCCAGGGCTGCAGGGTGGACCACACAATAACACCATTGCCGGTAAAGATGATAAAACTCTTGAAAACCGACTCCGGTTTGAAAACAAAACTCTTGAACTGGGGGTGTAAAAATTAACATTTCAATATTTTAGGTATTGCTGTTGCACTTAAACTGGCGAAGACTCCAGAGTTTACCTCGTATCAGCAGCAGGTTGTAAAGAACGCCAAAGCTTTAGCAAAAGGCCTTCAGAAACGTGGATACAAGTTATCAACCGGTAAAATGCTGGCAATGGCTTTGTAGGCATACTTGTATGTTAAACAGTTAGTTTCTAGATGGAACGGAAACGCACTTGTGCTTATTGGATCTGCGTCCGGTGGGACTTGATGGAGCGAAAGTGGAACGCGTGCTGGAAGAAGCTATGATTATCTGTAATAAAAACACGTGCCCGGGCGACAAGAGTGCCTTGAAACCAGGAGGAGTCCGTTTGGGAGCGCCGACGATGACCACCCGGGGACTAAAAGAAGACGGCTTTGATACCATTGCGGAATTCATCCATAAAGGTAATATAAACAGGTAAAGGTTTAAAGGTGTGTAAACAGATGGGACTGACTGGTGTGTTGCAGGAATAAAAATCGCGGACAAAGTGGATCAGAAAAATGGGAAACGAGCCACGACGTCTAAGGAATTCTATGGGCGACTGGCATCTGATGAAGATTACAAACAGGAAGTGAAGCAGCTGCGAGAAAGCGTTGTGCAGTTTGCTTCCCAGCTTCCAACGGCTGGTGCTCCGGATGTCTGAAATCTGAATCTTTTTGCTTGGTAACACTTCATGCCTCATGGTAATTTGCCGCGATTCCATCCATTCTTCTTTGCTCATTCATATTCTGCTTACTGCTCAATCGTTGTTTTACATTGTTTTAAAAAAACGTTCTGGTGGCAAGGGGATTTCACTTTTTTAACTGTTGTAACGGAGACTGGAGATTCGGTGTACGCATTACCATTTGCGCTGAAGGTAGAGATGTCCTGTGCGACGCTTGACTCCACCCTTTTCATGCTTTTCCGAAAACGAATCCTTTGGAATTATTGGCGCTGTTGGCGGTTCGTCGTGTTTTTTCGTATCACGTTTAGGTTCTTTAAAGCCGAAGAAACATATTACGGCATAAACTGCACTAAGTCCAGCAATGGCCAACAAAGTGATATCAAAGGTCTCCATGGATCCAAACCAGTTTGATATTCGTGAAATATCCAATTTGTACGAATTTCAGTAATACTTTTTAAGGATCTCCACAACTTTTCAAGTTTGTGTGTAACTCAGTGTAGTGCATACAACGTACTATGTAATGTCTACCAGCAATTTTTCCATGATCACAGCTTGTGTAAATGCTGTACTATACTAGTCGGCTAAAAGCCAAGCTAAAAATACTTCCCAATCGATAGTATTCGATACACGATAGATTTTGCTCAATGTCAGAGACGATGAGCATGCGCGTTACAAATGTGGCACAACTGCAGACTGCACGATCGCTAATCCTAACGCAACTTACAATCGTTAGCAGTAACAATTAGCGTTTTGTGCTGTATCTTTTTCATTTAGTGCCATGTCTTTGTTAGATTTCGTCCACGGTAAATTAAGGCATTTCAACCCATGTAGTTCACACTGTCTCCAAGAAAACTGGGAAATGTGCAGCATATTAGAAGAAGCTTGTTGCAGCAGAATCGCAATAAAATCGCAGCTTATTATTAAGTAACAAAGGTACAATCAGTGCCACTCAGAAGTGCGGTCACCGTATTAGTAGGCGCGACTTCAACACTCGGCATCCATATAAGACACCCTTCTGATTTTCAGGGCTCCAAATTAGTTATGGAAATGCAGAGACAGTATACAACCCAACTCTCAAAGCACCAGTAGCTTTGAATTCCTTACACAGTGTTAACGAGAAAAATCACTCCTAACACATATTCGAACAATAAAACAAGCCACGAAACTTACTAAAATGAGAGAAGCTTAATTAATTACTGATACAACGAACGATACGTACAAAATCCTTTATCTACGCACTCCCAGCCGATCCTTCACATTCAAACGCTGCCTTAAATCGCCTAAACCGAAAAATGAAATGCCTTGTGAAATTATGCCAACGTCCAACACCACACCACAAGAGACAAACCTGGAGGCAGTGCTGCACCGTTCTGGCTTCGACCATTACCGGCAGCAAAACCTAAACGACTGAATACAGTCGAAGATGATGAACTGGACCGCGAGACAGCCGGCACTTGCGCTGTTGTGAGACCAATACGACTGCGGACATTGCTGTCGCCTGAACCCAGGCGGTTAAAAATAGAGGGTGACGCGGAAGTCTCCATGGCGTCCGATACCAAAGTAGCCACCACGGGCTTATCTCGCTTAATTTTCAAAACAGAACTCCTTAATTCTTATTTTACAATATCGTAGTATTTCAGTGCTATTACGTTTCTTACCTCAGTTTGGACAGGAGCGGCGGTGCTGAGTCGGGACATCTTCGACTCCAAGACGTGAACCAAGTTTGTATTGCCGGATGTCTTGACGCCCTTTGGGGTTAACCGTGAGAACACATCTGCAAAAGATAATCGCATTAATAGCGCCAAACCTCATCGGATCAACGAATTTTACCCCGCTTGGCACTAGGACCAGCTCCAAGTCGGACGTTGAACATAACTTCCTGTGGCGATTGAGCCCGCACTATATAAAACAAAGAGACTTACACCATGCTGTCCGCAGTCGAACACGTACACAAACGCATCCAATCGATTACTAATTTCCTACCTTGCTTTGGTGGGAGAGCGGAAAGTCGCTTCACGACTGAAAAATAAAGTTTCATAATAATAATTTCGCCCTGCCAGAGTATCTGGCAATGATGAGCATACTTGCGCGTTCCTTATCATCCTCTTCTACAGGGCGCTTAGAACGGACAAGTATTACTGTTCCTCTGGAATCTCCCGTAGCTATAACAGTGCGACATTCACAGTGCGAAGTAGATCAGAACAAAATCAGAAGGATAATCATACTTTTAACAATAGAGCGGAGTGGCGCCGTTGATGAAACTTCGCTTTTACCAGTCCTAATGGTCACAGGAGGTTCCGGGGCAGTTATCTACCACAACACAAACCTTGTTATGTACGAATCTAAAAGCATTTTACCAATACGGCTATACCAGATTTATCGATGACCGCCAGGTAAAACAAATGCAAAAAATTGAAACGACCTACTCACCTTGCCCACGAAACTTATATCGGGTTTATGTCTGCTGTTCTCCACAGGTTTCGCCGTTGAGGAGACAGTGCGTGAAGGCAAAGCTTCCTCTGTGTCCATTCGCAAAGGCGCCAAAGTGAAACTCTTGGGAACTGACGTGGACACGGCTGCGCTGCCCGGAGCATACTGCTCGCCGCTGTAGCGCTTCGCGGCCTGGAGGATAGATATCTGGTCACCGATGGTATTTATGCCCATATCGGTGAGGTAACCCTTGTCGAGATTCTTCAGAATGGCCCAGTTGATACGCTCTTTGACGAAAATGCCAGCATACTCCGATGCTGCATGCTCTGGGATGCCGCTGTCCAGAAAAAAATTCTTCCATTCTGTTAGACGGGGATCTCCGGAAGAAGCTGAAGAAAGCGGATTCGAATACATGAACTATCAAGTACGATTACAATGCACAAGCTCAGCAAGATTGATAGCAACATTGTTTCACAGTTATCAACTGCGCGACGCCGCGACATAACTACATGCCAACACGTTTAGGCGTTCAACCAAAACTAACACATGAGGAGATATGTTTAGGCATAATCACTGCCATAATGCCAATAAATGCGCTGATGTACTGTACTTTAACTTATCACTTATGAAGTTACCAGCATGCTGCATGTGTTTGTTAAAACCTCGATAGGCTATGCATTTTGACAGAAAAAATGACAATGTACATCCAACTGTCTAACTATCTAACTTTACTTAATAGTGAATTTAAGTATTTTTCTATATTTCCTGAAAATTCCCTAATATCTGATAAACAAACCATAATAATCAGCAAATTCTTATGTATCGTCAGTCGTCACTATCGTGGTCTCATGAAGGGAAATAATGCTTACGTACATTTAGCAGAAGCACCACTGGGAGTTTTGGCATCGCGACTGCAGACCTTGCTCATGGTTGCTTTATGATCACAAAGAAACTGAAATATTCCAGCTTTCGATAAAATAAACAAGGATTCCTTTTAACAAAGTAAGTTTTGCGAAGAAATCTTCGAAGGGTTCGTGCACGATGCACAGGACTTCAACCATCGACCAATCGATGTAACTACTCATTAGGTGCTAACGCCACTCCCGAAAAAAGTAACCGAGCCAAAGGGTTAACCAAAAACAGTGCGGAGACCGGATTGATAATTTTTTTTCCAAATTTATTATGCGATAACTGTGTTATAATAAATCTAACAGCGAGAATGTCGTGCTTGAAGTTGAGTTTTCGGACAAAAAAATGAATAAAAGTTATAAAACTGTGCAAAAATTTTCAATCTGTGCAGCGTACAGTCTGCGTACTGGAAATGCACGGTACGTGTTTAGCCGGTGTGGTGAACGGCCTACGAAGGCAGATCGATCAGTTTACGGGTAATCGGCTCTCTGTACCGCTCTAATTTCGGATTAAGCAGTCTATCTTGCGCTAATTTCCCTAACCATAAATACTTTATTTTATACTTACAATCTTACATAATAACAGATCAGCAATTGTCAATAAAAGTAAAAACCTTAATAATATTGCGAAACATTAAAACTCAAATTTTTAAATTAGAAAATGCAACAGGGCCCGTAAATCGCAAGTTACACTAACAAGTAATAACCGGATTTGAGATTTGCATTTTGCGAGCATTTGCATTCTGCAGCCCGGCGTTTGAATTCTGACTTCGGTTACGGTTTCAGCTGAACTGCTCAAAAGCCCCTGTTTCGTGACGATTGGTCGGCTGCCTTGAACCGATGTCCGCTTAAATCATTTTGAATGATATGTTGACGTCTGGGTCTGTGAATGGTGACGATGTAATAGTAGTAATTCTTCCTCCTTACAGGTTTTTACAGTTCTACTTTTCGATGTCAAAAGTTCAATCAAAAAACCACGAATTTGGTTAAAGGATTAACATAAAGATTTGGCAATCTTCTTGTAGATTTGTGGACATCAAGAGAGAACTTCTAGGGGCAGTGCGAGCGAACGAACTGATCTCCAGAAAATTCACTCGCTCCGAAATTGACTTGAGTTGCTGTCTGATTGCAGCGAGCTGATCGTGAAGTTCGTGAACCATCATGGAGAACGTCGCACTGTCACTAGAGTATCGGAATGCTCAGATGGAACTGCGAGGAGTTTTGGTAAGGAAACACTGAAAGTACTCGTGTAAATCCGTCAGTTGATGGTGTGGGATCAATTTCTAGACTCCGGGCATTTTGAAGTTCACTTTTCAAGGAGGTACCTTCGGAAACAGTAAAACTCGCAAAGTTCTCCAGCTTCCGTACAACGAATGGGACTCGGTCATTTGGATGCGCATTGCTGGAGGATTTGGACTGAAATTCTTCCTAAATAACGGTCAAATGTACCGTTTCTCTGGTTTTGTGGATAAGGTACAGTAGGTTTCAATACCTTTGCGAATATTATTCTGTTAATTATAACGAATATAATTACAGTTTAATTAAAGGAATTACATTAATATGACAACCGACTTTCGTGTTATTATTCTCAGTGCGACTGTTGTACCAAGTGGAAATTTCAGGATCACATCAATTAAAGCGCGAAAGTTAATACTGTTTGTTTTGTTGGCTGTGTACGTCGTACAATGAACCATTTCACTACTGACTATTTCCTTTCTCCGACAATTTTTTAGGAATTTGAGGAGCTGCAGAAGTTCATGAAGAAAAACTACAAAGTGGATCTCCGACCTGAAGAGAAGTCTGTCAAAGGATGGAATTGGGGAAGTGTTAAGTTCAATGGTAAGAGAAGCGTAAGGAGTTTCAGAACTTGTTAATATTTGTTCAGCTTGATTCGTATCTGTGATGATGGAAAAAAACCGTCAGCTGCATGACCAAAAGTTTGCGTTATACGTAATAATCGTCCTATAATCAGTATTCGAACGTTTTATAAGGGTCGGTGATGGGGTTTAACGTGGAACGGCAGACTGCATTTGACATTCCTTTGAGTTACGTATCACAGTGTACGACTCAGAAGAACGAAGCCATCTTGGAGTTCCATCCTAACGATGATGCCGCTGTTTCTCTGATGGAAATGCGTTTTTACATTCCTCAAGAAGGAGCTGAAGGAGACCCAGTCGAGGTGCAGTCGTGATACATTTTGCGATTAATTTCTGAACATTGACAAAAATCCGCTTGTTGTGCGCAGTCATTCCACCAAAACGTCATGTCCAAAGCGGATATCATTCAAGCCACCGGAGACGCACTCCTTTCACTTCAGGAAGTTCCTTCGCTTACGCCCAGAGGTCGCTACGAACTCAAAGTGTATCCGACGTTTCTGCAGCTTCACGGGAAAACCTTCGATTACAAGATTCCCTACAATTCCATTCTTCGTTTGTTCATTCTGCCCCACCCGGACAATCGCCAGATGTTCTTCGTGGTACGTATTACTTACGGACCTAGTAATTAATAAGTGGACAACCTGTAAGCTGCAACCTGTGGGCTGTGAAGCTGTAAAGAAATAATTATCCCGCTTAGCTGAGTTTGGATCCACCAATTAAGCAAGGCCAAACGCGGTATCCTTTCCTCATCCTTAATTTCAAGAAAGATGAGGATCCGTTAGAAGTTGATCTGGAAATTTCTGAGTACGTTAGATGGTGAAATGTTCCGTCTTGCTTTTGCTTTTTTTGTCACTGTTCACGTTGCCGCAGATCTATGACATCTTAAGAAATTTTATGGCAATTTTAGGGAAGATTTGAAGAGCAAGTACGACGGGCGTTTGGAACGGCACATTGCAGGGCAGACATACGAAGTATTGGGTCGTGTGTTGAGAGGGCTTGTAAACAGAAGAATTACGGTTCCGGGGCAGTTTAAAGGCGCCTCGGGAAGCTCCGCCATTAGTTGTTCATACAAAGCAGGTCAGTGTTTAACGAAACTTCCCTTTTGCCTTTTAAGCCTCAGGCTCTGTTTAAAATTGCAAGTTTCAAATTTTGACCATGTTCATTGCAGCCGCTGGAGTACTGTATCCACTAGACCGCGGCTTTATTTATGTTCATAAACCAGCCTTGCACATAAGGGACGATGAAGTTGCAGCGGTGAATTTCGCCCGCAGTGGCGGTAATACGCGGTCTTTCGATTTTGAAATCGAGACGAAAAATAGCATCACCCACACCTTTAGCAGCATTCAAAAGTACGTATTGCTTCATTCTCGGCTCTGCGTTTAGTTTATCCATGGCTGATGTGCTTTTTAGTGCAATGTTGTTGATAATGCTTTTAGAGAAGAATATTCGAGACTGTTTGACTTCGTTAACAGTAAAGGACTGCGAGTGAAGAACCGCGGCGATAAGGAGGTTGGTGCTTCTGTTATTTCGAAGATCTTACAGATCGGTGAATAACGGTTAAATTTATAACGCTCCACTGCAGGATGTATCCACTCGGAAAAATCTGGATGAAATCTTGGACAGTGATGTTGAATCGGAGCATGATGCTTATTTGGAGCAGGTCAAAAAAGAAGGCGCAGAACGAGATATGGATGAGGACGAAGAAGGTTGGTTTCGCTTTTCCATTACGTAACTTAATTGATTTAAGGGCCATGAGGATTTGACTTTTTGAACAGTATGAATTTCGGTATTTTTTAACTTGTGCTTACTATTCGCAATAGTACAATACACCTGTATTGTGGTGTGAGCACGGGAATGCAAGCAACTTACCAGTTTATTATCTTTTTGCAGACGAAGATTTCAAACCGCCTTCTGAAACCAGTGATGTTGCTGAAGAATTTGATAGCGAAGCCAGTTCCTCTTCGGAGGACGAAGAAGGTGAAGGTGGGGAGAAGAAGCCCAAGAAGAAAAAAGAAAGAAAAACGCCGTCATCGGGAAGAAGAAGTGGGTGACGATGAACGGAAAAAAGCGGATAAGGTTAAAAAGGCCAAAGCAAAGGTACGGTGTCCTCAAGCTTTGTTTTCGAATTTCGATTGATTCATGCAGTAAAGCGTAATTTTTTTAGAAATAAGTCTGGATTGTTAACTTTTAGCCTTTTCTTCTTGTGTTGTGGATGTAATCGCTGTATGTTTACGTGATGCCATTTAGGAAGCCAAGAAAAGTCAAGATCCCGATCAACCAAAACGCCCGGCATCTTCCTATATTCTTTATTCCAATGACATTCGTGCGAAAGTTCAAGCCGACAATCCTGGATTACCATTAACAGAAGTGGCAAAGAAAATCGGTGAAATGTGGAAAGCGTTGCCAGATAAAAAAGTGAATAGCAGTTGATGTGGCTCTTCATTTGAATTCAATTGTAAGTGGTGTTAATTTAAATCTTAATCGTGTAGAAATGGGATCAACTGGCAGCCGAAGCCAAGGAAGAGTACAACAAGAAGCTGTTGGAATACAACAAAAACAAGAAAGAACGGGACTCGGATACCGAGAAGGGCGCAAAACGGAAGAAGACGAAAGACGAAGGAAAGAAAAAAGCGTCGAGCTCAGCTACCACTTCCAAGGGGAGTCCGATGAAAGTCAAAAGTGCTGAGTTTGTTGATACGGATAGCAGCTCCAGTTCCTCCTCAGACGCTGAGGATCGCAAGCAGAAGGAGAAGACAAACGCTAAGAAGACTAAAAAGGTCGGTGTAGAATGAATGTATTCTTAATATGGGATCGATCTGACAGTCAGAGAATCCGTTTATCTAAATCTCCTTGTGATATTTATAGAAGTGTGTATTGTTAGCATTAGATTTCATTCGCTTACCTTGTTGTTTTTGTTTTTCAGGATGAAAAACCCGCGGCTAAATCCGATAAACGAGCAAAAACACCTGTGGAGCTGTCTTCGGATGATTCGGATTGAATTGTACAAACACGTGTTGAACTTCTTCGAAAGTGTTTTTTTACTGGAGGGTTTTCTAATTTGATTGAATCTGAAGCGCTTGGTTTATGGTTGTAGAAATGTTGGGTTTTGAAACGTTTTGAGTTTTTATCTGCGATGTCATTTCTGTAACGTACATTTATCGCCCTGTATGTATTATAAAAATGAAACCAGTTGAGCTGCAAGATATTTTTTTACTAACCGTGTTAGAAATTACAAACTAGTTGTAGTCCTTTTCCGGGTTGACAGACAATCGAATCTTTAAGTAGCGCAACAAAACTCATAGCTTGGCGGTACTAAAGAGACGGTTTCCGTGCAGTACTGGTCATAGTTACCTGTTGAAAGTTTTTCAATTACTTAAAATACGGTAAGTAAATATTCGATTAGGCTTACAACCAACTGCTTAGCACTCTCCATATTGTGTGAATAATCAATAGGAATTTGCCAAATTGTCGGTCACGGTTTGCCGGTTGGGCTACTCACCAGTCAGCAGAAGTAGGTAGTACTCTCCACCGAACAATTTTGTTTCTGAACTAACTTTAAACTTTCAAAGAGTTTTTATATTTATGAAACGAAAAACCAAAACGAAACTTCTGGGCGGAAATCTTCATTTGTCAGCAGGATTTGTCAGTAGTGTAACGAGTACTTCCGCGTATATCGACCAGACTTAAAGTCCCGTTATCCGGGTTGTCTCACTTGTCTGCTCTTGATCTAAGCATACGCATTAGCGAGCAAAGAATCTTTGACATCGTCCATGGTGATGTAACAATAACTATCATTCTGTTACTCCCATTTATGCATATGTTCGGAGTTGCAACAAAAAATTTTTTTCTCCCTTTACACAAAACTGATGTGGAGAGATACATAAAATTGAACCATCAACAACTAACTCGTATTACGCTAGATTAAGCCAGCTGTGCCCAATGTCTGATGCAATACTAAAATGGGTATACAACTTCGCAACGAAACCAAAAATAAAAACCGAACAATAGAGTAAAAACAAAAAAAGGGAACGGGAATTAACAAATCGGAACAACAATTAACAAAAACTGTAACCGCTGACGATCAGAAATGTAGCCCGTGATCGATCCCCTGACTGACATTTTACAGAGGTAAGCACTGAAATCTACTAATTAAAATTAGGGATTATGGCAGATCTTCCAACATCATATCATCATCGCCATACATTTCCTCGGACATGGGCGAATTTGTCTCAACATCATCAGGTTCATCGTTAGTCAGGGAATCGACGCTGAGCAGTTCCGGCGGCACATCATGCATGTGAACACTGGGAGCATGATTTAAATTACGCAAATTTTCCGTAACATGCCGTACAATGCTCTCCAAGTACTGTCTGGTGTTCTGATTCTCCGTCGTCTGAAGCTCGGGATGCAAGGTGAAATCGGGTCTAAATGCTTCCCAGTATTCTGTTATAGGGAGATCAGTATTCAGCTCTGTGTTAACGAGAAGGGAGGTTTCGTATGTCCAGCAACGAGCCACGTTCCGCACGGTGTAACCGCCGCCACCCAATACAAGAACAGGAAGATTGAAGCGTTTCATATACTCTACACACTTCCCGTGGCCTCGAATCGTCAGAGAGAAACTCCCTAAACGATCGCCGGCCAAAGAGTCCGCGCCGCACTGGAGAACAACTGCGGAAGGTAGGAAAAAACTCATCACTTTGTCCATGACGGGCTTAAAAACATGATCGAAGTAACTGTCGTCGTCGATTCCTTGCCGAAGGGGAACATTGACGGAATAGTATCGCCCAGCGTCACAACCTACTTCATACATGCTGCCCGTGCCGGGAAAGAAACGGTCCCCGTATCTGTAAAAAAGGGTAACAATCAACAAGTCGATTACGCGACATACTGCCACTTGCCAGTAACATTCGGTTTTTCTAATGGTAACTGCAGAACCTATGGAACCACTGCAGTGCTCGACTAGATGTAAAAGAGCAGTAACAACTCAGGGTTGACAAAACATGACAGGAAGATCAGAAAAAGAACACTAATCGTACCTGTGAAAGCTAACTGTCATTACGCGATCGCACAGATAAAATGCTTCTTGGACACCATCCCCGTGGTGGATGTCAATATCAATATATACCACTCTCTGGTGATATTTCAACAGCTCTAGTATAGCCAGCACAATATCATTAATGTAACAAAACCCGGACGCTTCCACTTTTTTCGCATGATGTAACCCGCCTGCCCAATTGATGGCAATGTCGTAAGCGCCTGTATTCAAGGTGCGTGCACCGTCCAAACTTCCGCCGGTGTAGGCGGAGCAGTAGTCGAACAAGCCAGGAAACACCGGGCAATCATCGCCCACGTTGAAGTTCTGCACTGGAACGCCCAGTTTGATGAATTCCGGGAGGGTGGCTGGCGTGACGGTGGAGAGGAATTTAATGTATTCTTTGGAGTGGAATTTCTCCATGTCGATCTGCGACGCCCGATGGGGCCGGTAGACATCCATGTGTTCGTCAAGGTTGTATGACACCACCAGTGCATGGGTCAGTGCCAGGCGATGTGGCTTCATCGGATGGTTGGGACCGTAGTGAAAGTTGCCAATGGAGGGATCGTGGAAGTAGGCGACCCGTTTGCCCCCTTTTTGGCGAAAGTAATATGGGGCCTGCTTCTCTGGTTCTTTTTCTGCCACTGTAACAGTCAAAGGCGTTCAAATTCGCAACACTCAGCATCTAGCGCTACTGTAAGTACCCATTTGGATTACAAGCCACAATGAAGTTCACATTCTTTATGTACTACACTGCATGAACTACATGTATGATGCACTTAAAAGTTAATACTACACTATAATCGCTTTTGCAAGATTACCGAATGCCCCTTTTGTCAGTTTGCTCCCAAGGAGATGCTGACTGTTTTACCCAAAGAAATAAATACTGTAACGTACACTTACTTTATACGAGCAACTAGCAAGGAACTCACCTGGATTTGACATGATGGATGGATCGCAGTCACGAAACAGACAATTTGAGGATCCACTCATCCAAGGTGGAAGGAACTGATTTTGCTGTATTCCCCCAAAAAACTGATTAAAAAGATGCAATTCAAGAAACTCGTTTCTCTCGGCAGAGATGTCTGCTATCGCAAGTAAAGGTAATGACTAATGAGTATTGTAGACTTCTGTAGAGGGCAGATTCTGTAGAACATCAAAAAATGCGAAGCTGCTTTTGATGTCTGCAACTGCCTTGCAGCAAGTGAATTCCGACTCAGTAGTAATGTTACACTGCATCCAGCTTTTCAAAACAGATCGAAATATTTTCATGCAAACCTACTTCGAAATTTCTAGAACAACTTATATGAAACGAATAAGGAATATATTTAGTTGATTTGAATTGTGAGGTAAAGAATACACGAAATCAATCATAAATACAGTATTAATGATAAGTAAATACTGTAAACCGGAGACTGGAGTCGTTACCGTAATCAGATAAGAAAAATTAATATCAGCCAGCCAGACCGGATCATGTAAACCGTTCAAAACCGTCGGCCCGCCCGGTGCTGCGCAGCAACTGTTTTCGGTGACACAGCCGACACCAGCAGAGCGACACTTCCAGCTGTAAGCAGCGAGAATCAACCTTCATCGTACCGTATCTCATCCAGGCCCCAGGATCACATTTGGAGGCACATTTTCTGTCATTTGCGCAGTCATAGAGTTATAACTCGGTATTCTCCTGCGAAAAGTGCTTTACCCTCGGCCTCCACCCGAATTCGTGGTATTACACCGCATCATTTTTGATTGTGTGCACCATTAAGCTCTCAAGTCCCGCTTTTCTTCGATAACTGGTGTGCTCAAATTCAAAAATGGACGGAGACCGTGGACGCAGTGTCGATGCAGTGATCTTCGGTGCCACGGGCTTCACCGGGGAGCGCGTGGTGCGTGCAGCCATTCGCAAGCAGAAACAGGAGCCAGGTTTCACTTTTGCTATCGCTGGACGAAGCGTGGACAAGCTGCGACAAGTCCTTAATCGCTGCAAGCAGATCAGTGGTAAGTGGACTTTTCTCAGTGGTGAGCGAGGTTATCACATATTAGTTTAGTACTTTAGTTCTTTCCTACGCTCGATCGGTAGGTCTGGGTGAGTTCGAAGTCAAACTGATTGAAGCCGATGTGAGCCGTCCTGAATCGATTCTGGAGATGTGCCGACAGGGGAAAGTGGTCATTAATTGCGTTGGACCGGTAATTTTGGTTTTGCTGGGCTTAGTAATTAGTTGGACTTGGTTTTCATTGCGTTGATATGGGCGATTTTTCAGTACCGGTTTTATGGCGAACAAGTCGTTAAGGCATGCGTGGACGCAGGCACTCACTATGTGGACATCAGTGGAGAGCCTCAGGTTGGGTGTTGTCGGCGGCTTTGGACAAAGGAAATTGTCAGCTTATAATTGCCCTTTGTATGTAATTTCAGTTTTTGGAAAGCATGCAGTTACGCTACGATCAACAAGCCCGAGAGAAGGGAATTTACATCGTGGGTGCTTGTGGATTTGATTCGATTCCGTCGGAAATGGGCGTTGCTTTTACGAAGAAGCATTTCGATGGTGAGATATCAGTTTTCGCACATCTCCGTGCGCTTTCTCAGTCGGATTCCTTACAGGTGATCTGAATTCCATTGAGACCTTTCTCAGTTTCAAAGCTGGTCCGGAGGTATGGATTCGATGAGAAATTTTTTTAAAAAATGATATTTTTTGTTATATTGCCCTGGTGAAAACTAGAGTGCTTGACGAACTCGACATTGTAATCGCTTTGATTTTCCCGGCATTATTTTAACCTTTAGCGATTTTTTGTCACTTGTGCAGCTTATGCTGCAACGCTTTTTTACATCTAAGGGTACGTCTGCTCATTATGCCACCTGGGAATCGGCTGTGCATGGTATTTCTGCTGCTGCTGAACTCTCTCCTATTCGAAAACAGCTGTTTGCCCAGCGTCTGCCTCGTCCTACCCACAAAGTGGAGGAAAAGTAAGTGAATGCCGCGGCTCGCTTTTTATTGTTTTTCTACCAAATTCCTGATGTAAATTGTTGATGCCAAGTCTAAAATCAGTGCTAAAGTGTTTACAGATCTTCGTGGTTTTACTAGTTCAAATCGATTTTTAGTGTATCGCATTTTTGTTAACCTGACGCCGGAATAAGTCGGTGCATTTGCAGAAAAGTTTTCTATAACGAAGATGTGCGCGGTTGGGCGATCCCATTTCCCGGCGCGGACCGCTCAATTGCGCGCCGCACCGAGTATCTGGAATTTACAGAACAGAATCACCGACCGGTCAGTGAATTTCCGCATCGTCGCAGCCGACTTTTTTTATTTAGAGTCTAACCACAATCTTGTACAGGTCCAGGTGATTTCCTATCTGAAAACCGGATCGATTATTAATACGGCGCAGATTGTGATTTTCGGAGCCCTTTTCATGTTCATGGCGAAGTTCAAATTCACTCGCGATCTCCTGCTTAAAGTTAGTGCTTCCTGCTTTGCTTTGGTTGGAATTATTTTGTAACGTGCACTGATACTTTATGTTTGCTTTAAATAGTATCCCAAAGTGTTTTCCATGGGCTTTTTCTCACATGAAGGGCCGACTGAGGAGCAGGTTAGTATCAGATAGATGAGCAGTTAGAGCTTGTGTTGCATCACTTATTCACTTGTATGGCATAAGGCCGAAATATGCTGCAGATGCGTAACACCAGCTTCCGCATGGAGATTGTCGGCCGAGGTTATTCCCAGAAACTGTCGTCACCGGACGAGGTCCACACCGCCGTTCCGGATAAAAGGATTGTAGCAGAAGTTACTGGACCGGGTAGACCGTCTTTCGCTTTCCCTTGCAATTCGGTTTTGTGAATTCACTCGTGGCTTTTTTTGCAGACCCTGGTTACAATGCCACGTCGGCTATGGTGTTGGAGGTTAGTACATGCATTGCTTGATAAAAATTCATTTAATTGATAATTCCGTATTTTGTTTTATAATCATATGTCAGTTAACGTTAATTTTCATGAATGCTGTCACCGGGTTATGTGGTTTTTTACTACAGTGGTTAAAGTACATTAGTTTTATTACACTGATATATCGCTGCACATCTGTACAGTTTGTACAGATGTGCATACGATCATGCATAGTATTTATTGTACTTACCAAAAAATTACCGATTGTCACTATTGCTGTTATTTTGGTACTAATACTTGTAGAGTGCTATGACAATCCTGGAGGAATCTGGTCAACCGAAATCTCGCATCCCTCGGTAATTAGGATATTTATCGAGTATAGTGTTATGAAAACTAAGAAGATGTTATGTTTTCTTTGGTTAGCTTTGGTGTTCTTCCTCCCGGATATGCTTTTGAGAATACCGGTTTGATTGGCCGCCTGCATGATCATGGAATTGGATTTAAAGTCATTTCAAAGGATGCCTAAATGGATTTGGACTTAAATGGATTGCGTTTCTGTTTAAATTTCCTAAAAGTTTATTTTCCGTTTTTGTTTGTGTAATTATCAGTCTTTGGGTAAGATTTTTAATTTAACTGCCGGTGATTATTTCGGTAATGCGTGCCTCGAGCCGGTCGGTAGATGCGTTTTAACTGCATTTGATACCGCACATGTTCACTTTGCTGATGATAATGATGTTTCCTGTTTTCGGTTATTATAATATACTGTTTTATGGCGCCGGAAGCTACTTTTATTGCGAATTTGATAAAATTTTTATTGGTGAAATACTGGTGTCCGCTGTCTAGTGTGAATGTGAATGCGGCCTTCCGCCTTAACAAGGAAAAATAAGACGGTCGGTTTCCCATCAAGAATGGAGCCAAAAGGTCTATCCGTGAAAGATCACAAAAGGCCGGATGTGGTCACACTTGTACCGTGTCCCGTGTGAGAGCGGAAAACCACCAGTTTAGTTGTGACGTGCGTCAACAGTCGACACACTTGCGGCTTCGGAAATTAACCGCACCTATGCTAACGTTTGGGCAGCAGCCGAGCACACGGAAAAGGGAAACGGACCAAAGATGCCTGGTTGCAAGTTGCTGCAACGCAGCAACCGAGATATCATTCCCGCAGCGTTCGAAATTTTCGGCCCATGGGACGACGGAACTAAAAAGCTACTCCAGTGGAAAGGGTTAGGAACGGTACGGCCATTGAGAAACGGGCGAGAGAGATTTTTTACGCAGCGGTTATCTATCCAAGAACGGGGAAACGCGATAGTACATTAGTACTGTATGGTTATACAATTCCCCGAGAAGGATTGCATTGAAGAAGCGTTTTTGTTATAAATCCCGTTCTTAGTACTCACTTTGTATTTACATGTGATATTATTATTAAAAATTTTGCTTGATTTATGTTACTAGTACGTTTTTTATTCATTAAATTTAAAATGCAAAAATTTTTGCTAGAACGTTGCCGATTTCGAGGAATCTCACTCACAATCAAGCCCAAGTTATACGGTGGCCGCTGCCCTAAAGCGATTGGTGACATACAGAAACCAGTAACTAACGGTAAAATTTCGTTTTTGAATTTTGTGACGTTCGTATTTCTGATTTTAAAATTAATTCTAACGAATCTAATCCACAACACTGACATCAGAATATAGTTAAGACCTAGCTGACAATTAGAACATAGTTTAGCGAACGAGGTAATGATTGCTTTGACTTTTGACTCTTTAGTCTTAACGGCTACACAGCCGTGATAATTCGTTGCGTGAACGAAGCCAAGACAAAAAGATGTTTAAGAAGCCACAGAAGAAAGCGTTTCGCCGAAAGCAGAAAGAAGCAGACTCGGATGAGGAATCCACGGACAGGCTTAACCTAGAGAAACCAGCGGTCAAGGAGGAGCCTGAAGAAGACGTTCAGATTGTCTCCGCGCCATCCGACGCAGTGGGCTCCGCTGTTGCGGCCTCAACGACGCTCATCTCCAAATTAAGTTTTGAATACGACTCAGGTAGCGTGTGCGGCGTCCACTACCAAAAGCTCAGTTTTTATTCTTGCGCGGATGTTGCATTTAGGCGATACGGAAGAGTTCCGCATTAAGAAATCAAATCGCAGTCGCCGCATTGCCAAACAACTGAAAGAAGAAATCCAGGCTGGTCCCAGCGACAAGACAGTCAAGCACGAGCGGGCCAGTGGAGACAACGAACTACAGAGCCAGGTACGGACCAAAAATTTTTTCATTTGCAGAGCAGAAGAATGGTACCTAGTATACGCATTGAATAGTTTGTTCGGTGTTTACCGTTAAATTGTACAAAAACTGCAAATTACAGTGTCTCTGTCGTCTGCTTTTTGTGCTCCCACTTGTATTAAACAATTTGAAAGTGTTAGAACGGTTTTCATGATGTTTAATTTCGCTGCTCATTTGTAGCGATATGAAAAAAGTACAGTGAAAAGAGAAAGCCCAGAAATCTTCGTGGAAGCAGAAGACGAAGAAGGTATTCCATTTTATCAACACACAGTGATTCCTGGATTTCATGGTACAGCACAGTCACGTGACATTGCACCTTCAATACGAATGGGGGCAAAATGAGACTCTGGCGCTGTTAAATCATTTATCATCACTTTAGGTGATCGTGCTGCCACCCAGAAGCTCATCGCGGATGCCAAGAAGCGCCGCGAAGAAGCTCGAAAAGCCCGTGAACAAGAAAATGAATATATAGCTCTTGATGACACCGAGCGGTTTGTAGATAGTAAGTCTCGTTTGATTAGGTGAGTTTGATTCTGCACCGGCTGTTTTTGCCTTGCTTTATCGTCAGATATTGTTGGTGTTCGTGCATTTCAGTGCGCTGTCCTATTTGTAGGGAGGATGAGAACGACTTCAGCGATGAGGATGCGGAAGTCGTCATGTCGTCCACTTCGGCCGATCTCACGGGCGCCCGAGGGAAAGAAGCCGAGATTCGACGGAGAAACCGGGAGATGTTCGAACGGGATGAATTAATCGGTACTGGATCTGTTTCTTGAATTGCAGTTTGGTTGTATCTGCGGTTGAACTATGGGTTATTTGGATCGGAATGTGTCGTCAACTTCACGATTTTATGCATGCAGGAGAAGTTTTGGAAGACAGTGATGAAGAAACGCAGCGCTGGGAAGAAGCACAACTGCGCAAGGGCGTCACGCTGCCACAGGTGGGACTAGACATTTCGGAAAACGGTTATTGGGAAAAAAATTGGGTTTTATTTTATGATACATTTTTGCGCACTAGATTGCTGTTTGTCTGTAGTTTGGGTAGTTTGGGTTTGAAATATTTAGTATTCGTTGACGCTTTACAGCTCTTTTCGATGTAGATTCAAGCCTTTACTGAAGATATCAAGAAGCCGGTAGCCGAGGAAGAGGAATATGGCTATTACGATCCGAATGCATACGTGGCCTGGAGCGAACCGCAGCAGAATCCTGGAGTAAATGCAGTGGAGGAAATAAGGAAGAAGATAAAAAATCGGTAAATTTTTCTCTTTTTGTTTTTGCTTTTCTTTATGTCTATGCAGAGTTTTAGCAACCGGGAAAGCTTTGCGTTTCTCTTATTTTTGTGGTTTGAATTTTTACTAGAATGGAGAGTGCCAAAGATCTGCAACGAAGACACCAGCAGCAGATGGACAAGCTTTCCGTCGATCTGAAGGATTGCACGGACGCAATAAACAGCTTGGATAACGAGCTGGCTACTGTATCTTTTGAGTACAAGTTTTACCAGGAAATGCGCGGTTTCGTGTGGGATGTTATTGACTGTTACAATGATAAGGTTAGCCCGATTTCACGATCAGTTAACAGCTGGCCACCTCAAACAACCTGATAATCCCTGAGCGTATTCACCTATAGGTGCCGTGGTTGTATCTGTATAGCGCAAATTTTGTACACTTGTAAAAGCCATCTGTAACAGTTAAATGTCAATATACAGTCTGGGTGATTTTTTTGAATCTGGCTTCTTTCAGTTGCCAAAAATCATTACCATTGAAGAAAAAGCAATGGGCGCCTGGAAGCGCGGTGCCTCAGCGTCACGCGACCTGCGACAACAATATGTGCGAGATTTGAGTGATGAGATCCATGGCAAACACAGTGAGTGCTTAAAACTCGTGTCTGCCTATAGCTGTAGAGGCGTTTACCGTAAGTCCGTAAGTAATTAGTTGTGGCATATATTTTAGGTATTGATATTTTGCCAAATGTGAAGGAAATTAACGATCGACGGGGTCGGTTGGCGGACTATCGGGAGCGGAAGTACGTTGTACTTTAGACGTATTCTGTCGTTTAAAGTAATGATGGTTTTCTGCATACGAAGGCGAAAATTAGCCTTATCAGCCGGTGTGAAAGAGGATGATATGGACTTAGACGAGTACGAACCGCGGAGCAATCATTTTCCTCCATCAGTTGGTTAGTAATTTGGTGTGCTTAGAGGATTTTATTTATTTCTTTGCAGGACAGATTTTGAAGCCTGAATTAATGGTTATTAGTGATTAGCTGGTGTTTTTAACTGGATAATTTTTGTAGTGCAAATATTGGCTGAGAAGGAAGGCATTTTTGAAGACACCGTGGACGATTTCCGTTCGTTACCGAAGTTACTCTCTCGCTTTGGTAAATGGCGCACGAGCTGTGGAAATTCGTACAACGATGCATACATTGCCCATTGCTTCCCGAAACTAGCTGCGCCCCTTGTTCGCTTTAATCTTTTGGAATGGAACCCTCTTAAAGAGGTAGGCAATAGGCGGTAGATGTAATAATCTCGTATTACAGACTAATACATTTACCGACTATTAATTAAGTGATTATTAGGCATCTGTACAGATATGTCCTTAAGTCCTTTTGGTGTTTCTGGTTGTATATTTTGTTTAATTGCAAGAGGATGGTGTTTGATTTTTCTTTGTCCGTATACATTATCGCCGATAAGAGCTCAAAAATCTATCTGCATCTGTAAAAGGAGTTTGTGCCGAAGTTTTTGTGATTCGCTGATCAATTTTGGCAGTCTCTAACACCTTTGACGGAGATGAAATGGGTCCAAGATATCCTGCTCCATGCTTTTGTCCCGACTGACAATGGAAGCGTGCAACCGCAAGATGCCGATATTCGCATTATCCCCATGCTCATTGAAGACGTCGTTTTCAGCCGTTTATTAGGTATGCTTCCGGCATTAGTTTCTGACTTTTAAGTTACTGTACTCTTGCAGTTTTTAGCATCGCGTTTAAGTTTTGCTGGATAGGGCGTATAGTATTGGTGTATTGGGCAGTGCATAGCATATGAGCGCATCGTCGGAGACTTCTTTGGAGTATATAATTTTCACCATTAAATTAATACCCGGATTATTTTGGATTTTCTCGGAATTTTTACAAGCCGGCAGTAGCTGCTGCTTTTCCGGGAGCGATGATTTTGTTGCTATTCTTTAGCTTGGCTGGACGTGTGGGATCCGTTGTCAAGAATGCAGTCTGAACGACTGACGACATTCCTCAGAGAAACCTTATTGCATTTCCCACTCGTAGCCGTTAACCGGAAACCTGTACAGGTACCATTATAATCAGACTTACACTGTGCCCTTCCGATTGCGTGAAGACGGGTGTTTATTTGACGATTCATGCATGCAGGACTTATTTCGCGGGATCGTGACACGATTAACTAAAGCTATCGAAGATGATGTCTTTCTGCCTGTCTATTCTCAGAGGTAAGGGAACCTTTATTTAGATCGGACGTGAAGCATTCAAGTGCCTGTCTTTGTTAGAATTTTGGATGCCGATCCGGAAGCAAGATATTTTGTGAGCAGTCAGTTCGATTTCGGCTTGAAAGTAAGACACTTCGGCTGTTCGCATTGTTCGTTGGTTTATTCATTGCTCGTGTTTTGCAGTTATTTTCCTGTATCTGCCTATTCCATGGTATTCTGTCGAATGCGGTGCTAGTGGAATTATGTATTGAGAAGCTATTAAACCGCAACCTGTTGGTGCCTTTGCGCACATCACACAATCGATCGGAAAATGTTAAACGCTGCAAATCTGTAAGTCCAGTCTTGCGTTTGTGAAAAAGTTCAATTGTGAAATCACCTTCGACTGAACAAAAATGGTCTGTACGTTGAAGGGCAAATGGAAATTGTATTGTTTAAATGCTGCATGATTTTTTGTTACCACTAATTTTGTAATTTCAAACATTGTTTAAAAGAATTCGCTCTGATCTGTGCTTTTTCATGACAGATTTTTGAACGGATACCTGAAAACGGTCTGGCAGACTTTCCCAGTACGACGGTGCCCAAGCATTTTGAGATGTTTTGCCATGTTATGGTGAATTTGGGTAAACAAAATGATAATAGGTACGTTAAACAACCGATTTTCTATTGTCTTGCATGATTTATGATTACTGTACTTTTCGTATGAAGTTTCAAGTATCAGATCGTATCAAATGCGGCCACAAGTGTGGAAAATTTTCAGGGCAGATGTGCGTACCCTATCAGAAATTTTGCAAAAGCTGAAGGATTTTAAAGGCGCCGAAACTCTTGAGCGACAATTAGCGGAAAATGGCTGACACCGACTATAGCGAATTCCGAAAGATGTTCAGTTCAATACGCTTATTTTCGTTCAGACTGCACAGTTGCTTATTATAAAGATTTTATATACCTCATCGCATTTTATGGTGTATGTCGCTTTATGGCGAAAAAAGGCATGCCTTCTTATTTGAGAAATAATACTTGCAGGCATTGCATCAGAGAAGAGCCGAAACCAGATAGCAAACAACAAACACCGGGTTGTAACTGGTGTCATAGAGTAAGTCACAAACACTGAACCAATGCGGCTTCCTCCCAAACGCAGACCGGTAGGATGTCATTTGTGCTCGGGGTCAGTTAGGTATATCCGACATGACAAATGTCATGTCCACCACAACTGGACCCAACCAATACTGTCCTCGTAGACAGTGGGATAAACTGGGATTTTCATCCTTTTTTGCAGTTTCACAAACATCGAACTCGGTAAATGATAAAATGTACATTCATGACATGAGAATTTTAGTCCGGTCGCATCAGAGGTATTTTAGGTAGGAACTCAACTATTAATACCTGCAAATAACACGTTTCAATGAATTTAAATTTTTGCACTACGCTTATCACATACATATTATCAAAATTAAACAACTGGAATGCCAGCTAAAAATCTATCACTTAATTCCACCCACAACACACAGTAACTGCACACTCCATTAATGCATTGTGACATGTGAGAAATTCTCTTTGCAGCCGAAATTTCACTGGAAGATACAAGACAAAAATGTTTTCAAAATTCAATGCTATTCAAAATTTTCAATTCAATATAGATCCCATGTAGAACTCGAAGTGAAACAAAAGCCATAGAATTAAACGATTTGTCGTTTTCATCACAGCACCGTTAAGATCCGCATTTAATCTTGTTTTCCTAATTTCTGTAATCGGAATTTATGAGAAGAGGCACGTAGCACGTGGGCGTGCATAGCGTCAGCTAATTGTGTGTAATTTGAATGCGGATGCCGGGGATGGATGGATGGACCATGTCAACCGATCCCATGTCGTACGCATCAACCGGTACAAGTGTGCATCGTGTTAATCGGAAGCGACTTACGTATTCGATCATTCCCGTGGCATCGCGTTTCTGTTTGGTCAGACGCCAGTGGAGGCCTAATCGATTATAAAGACGCTGATTTTCGTAATCCAGAGCCTTCTCGATCATGGTACGCGTCTGTAATGCAGCAAGAGCAAGGCAAAGGGATTACACAGCCTATCAAGTGCAACGCGCATGCCACAGCGGCTTACCCGTCTCCGTAAACATATCACGGGCCACAGGGAGCATCCCAGTGTACAGAAACAGCAGAAGCAACCACAGATTAACCATTTAACACTGTTGGGAAGGGCACGATGGAGGATATTGTTTATGCGACAGATTGTCGCTTTGTACTCTTCAGGCGCTACCTGTGGATAACAAATGAATAATTATGGAAGTTCATGGAAGCGGAAGCGTGCAAATGCTCACTCGCAAAGTGGCTTATAACAACCGATCAAAACAAGACAGTGGTAAAGAAACAGCCTACATAAACGGAAAACACGAACGTATACTGCAATTAAGAATTCACCGTATCACGTAAATCTAATCAAAATCTATTTCACTCGACCACAGGTACAAAGCAGCACTCTCAACAATTTTTACAGGATTCGGGCCATCGCCAAATAACACGCACAAACATAATTCGCTAAGGCAAAGTATATTAATAAAACGTGCCCATTGGATCCAAATTCAGAACGGGAAATACCGCACAGTTTCTTTTGCACGCGCAATAAAGAAGGCGAAGACTTCAATTAAGCAATTTTGTACCTTGCTGGTAAGAGCAGTCTGAAAGTCCGTATCAAATCGATTATTTAATCCAAATCTGCAAAAGAAAACTGGTACAACACACAGATATATGAAAGTCTTGAAAACAATGCAAAATTTAAAGTTTTATCCTGCTCTAAATTTTGACAGATTGCTTTGTTATAACAAACTTTCAAGCAGCTCAAACAAGTACTAGTAAGTGTTACTCCAGTTCAAGTAACTAACAAAAAACTACCAATTTTACCATGCTTTCGCATTTACAGGATTTATCGGTACGATACTTACTGTACGTGATCTATTATCCACAAGTCTATCCTCATTGACTTTTACGATCCGACCAAAGTACAGTGTATGATTAAGTACTTAATTACGATTTTATGGCTAATCGAATTTCCCGACACGCGAAACCAAAATTACAGCGTTTACTGAGATTCATAGTTAATGTATTTGCATCAAGGGATAAAGTAATGTTCGTCATTCCAAAATAAAAACTCACAGTAGTGACAATACAAACTTTTCAACGACGAGCGTAAGTAATCAACTATTCACTATCAAACAGTCAGAAAAAAACTACAAATTTACAATCAGGACTAATCAATCAACTGCAACTCCGTTTCAACAGCAGAAATAAAAACTTTAAAAAGCGATTATTATTTTACCAACTATTTTTAAAATAACAAACCAATAACACTTGAAGTTAAAATGTCCTGTACCTCAAAATGACAAGTACAGATCCATAATACAGAACTGAAACAAAAACTTCGTAAGCCACTAAATTTATAATAGGCTCTCTCGCTGCTCGCCTAAATTTATAACAGCTGTAGAATGTTGTTCACTGATTTCAAAAAGACGAAACATGCATACATTGTCAAGTTGCCCGTTCCTCTCACAACAATGGGTTCGGGTGCGATGTGCAGTGGAGGATTATCACGAGGGGATTCCTCGACGGGCTGAATGGCATCAATCTCGTGCTCTTCATAGATCATGTCATCCATGGCGTCCATAACCCATCAACAAACAAATTAGCCCCGATCACAATGAATTCTTTGCCAAACGTACAATTTCCCCAGCAGAACTGCTGTGTTCTGCTGCACCATCGAGATCATTCAGTATCACAACTGGTCGCCAGAAGAAGAGAGCACGGAAAGCTTACCAGTGTAGCAATACCAGTATAAATTATTCAAAACAAAATAAACAATAAAAATTATAAATCCGGAATTTAAGACCACAGAGTGCACAGAATTACCATCTTGGTAATCACTAATCAGTCATACATCAGCTGCAAAGTCCGACGCTTGGCAGACGCATCATGGTATTTCATGTCATCCAAAACCTTCCCTTAACAAATCACATGTGCTGTGCAGGTTAAGAAGAAGAACGAAGAAATCTTAAAAAACAAGAAACAAAACGATGACTCTAAAAACCAGATTAAGAATTTCGATTTCACGAACACATCAACATGTAAAATTAAAAGGAAACTATTCTATTTTATGTAAAGAGCGTTTAAACCCAGTTTGACTTTGTTGGTTGCTCATGCTACAAATATTTTTGCTTTGTACTAGCATGATCTGACTTGCGAGTAGCGAGCTGATCCTAAATCAAAACAAGCAGATCCTACGTGCGCTCAAAACACACTCCCGTGGTGGATTGCTCTTTCGTTAACAATGTGTTTTGAACACCGCCCAGACTTACAGTACAGTGAGTCAGTGACCACATATGTATCTACAATTTACAGGATCTACAATTTACAGGGACTGCGACAGAAGCACAGGTAACAATCAAGACAGTTTTAGCATAAAAAAGTACGCATGACCATCCTAATAAAAAACGAAATTAGATGGAGGCTGCAAACACATTGCAGGGAGTTTTTTCTGCCAGTCGGGACAAAAACAACTGTTTTCTCCTGCTGAGTTTAATAAATAATTCGCCCAGATAACCGCGGAAAAAGCATATAAAGTTTCTTGCATGGTGAACCCATGAAATCGAAGCTATGTTCTGTAAGACACAACGCGCCACGACAATAGCATGGAGTGTGCTGCTGAGTAACAACCCCGTCATCATATAAGTGCAAAAAAAACCTTTCAGCTTTACTAAGCGTTTCGCAAAGCGACCATTAGTTGCGGAAACAATGCAATATTACGTTAACTTCACTGCAAGAAAACTGACAACCATCAACAAGCATCCCAGCCCGAACGACACAGTTCACTTCCTGGAAGCTGCTGCTGCATCCTTCTTATCAAAGGTTTCTGCTCGCACTTCCTCCAGCACACGACACCATTCCAACGCGTAACCCTGAGGATCTTCCAGGTAATACGTGCGATTTGGCTAAGATAAAAGCAAACGCTACACACACCCGCGGGTCACGCAATGAAATACAGTCTCAGGCTTACTACTGGGAAGTGCATTACCGTGTGTACAAAGAAGGTTTTAAAATTCTTCGGCTCAGGTCGCATGTCCACTGACCAAGGTATTTCCCCCTTCAAAACCATTCCCACTGGGTCAACATAGTAGAAGTGCGGGCCGGTCGTCAACAGAAACATTCTTCTCCTTGCGAACAAACCCTTCAAATAAGAATGTGGATGTAATCATAATCACCAAATTATGAAATTCGCAGCGCTGAATTCTTAAGCCACTGATCACCAGACAAGCGAAACTAAACTCGGCTAATGTACCTTTCGCTTATCGATAATCCCTTGTTTCAAAATAAGATGGTTGTCCACAAAGGGATGCCAAATGCTAGATTTCGCCTGAGCAGCGAGACGCTCGGCGTACTCCTTGGGCGGTATGTCTAAAATACCGCCGCGGGTTGGAGCGGGAGACGGCGTGGGCATGGGTGAACCTTTCGATATGCTATCGCGCAGTTGTAAATCGAGCAGCCTACTCAACTGCTTCTCATCGAAGCCGGGTCGCACGTTTGGCGAAATCTAATGCATAAATTCGTAGAATTGCCGTATTCGCATGTCAACGATAACTGCGGAAACCACCAAGATAAACTGACCACAAAGTCACTGCGAAGCTCTTCATTATCACCGCTAGCCGGGAGGTAAGGCGTTATGGGAGGCGGTTTCATGAGGTGCAATTTCTCCCAAGGCAAGCCTTCATAAAACGGATGCGCCTTTAAGGTAGGATAGCCACCCATTTCAGGACATCCGAGGCGCCTTTTACTATCCTCATCCTGGAAGAAACAAAATGAATCGAACCTACTTGTGCAGTATACAGAAAACGATTATATCTTTATGCGTACATTTTCCTAACTGGCACGGAGGAAAAATTTTAATAAATCCTGTACGCTCCTATGATTGCAACTTACCAATAATTTCTGTACCAGATCTTTAGCCACATCGTTGAAACCATCAGGAAAGCTATAATCCAGCTTCAGAATCTTCTGGAAAATCAGGTATTCATTTCTAAAACGAAAGAAAAAATTACAAGATTGCAGCGCAGTATTATCGCAAGAATCGGGTCCATGACATACGCCGCTCGGAAAGGAGGTAATCCGGCTAGAAGCTGGTACACAAGACAACCAAGCGCCCATAAATCCACACTAAAATATAAAAACTAGAATCATCACATTGAAATATAGGTCCATTATAAGAAAATTCCTGCCTGATGGTGGTGTCTTTATTGGTGAGCAATTCCGGTGAGACATAATCAGCCGTCCCTACAAAGGAGTTTCGTCGCGGTCTCATCCCGGGTGTTTCATCATCGTCTAAAACTACGGGAACATCCACCCTGGTGTCTGGTTGATCGATCATCTTCGCCGAACCAAAGTCCGTAATGAGTACATGCATTTGTTCGTTCATTAGAATATTTTCCGGTTTAAGATCCCTAAAATTATTGTTGCGCTTTAATTGTGCTGAAGGAAATTATAAAACGATCTCGCCAATGTTTTTCACCTATGAATCACACCCAATTTGTGCAAATGCTCCAGCGCTAGTACAACCTCGCCGGTATAGAATTTTGTACATTCGGCATCGAAACAGCCTACTTTATGGAGGTATGGCAAAATTTCGCCGTTTCTGGCGTAGGTCATCACAAAATCTACAATAACAGCGGTAATTCAGTGGCGGAGTTGTTGTCTGGGGTTTTTCCCACTGCAATCTGTCCAGGGAGCTTACATAAGCGATAATGATCGTGGAAGGTACAGAATAATTTAACGAAGAATGGGCTGTTATGCATCCCAATCAGCTGCATGATCTCCTTTTCGCGTTTTATGTAGGCTTCCTTCTTTTCACGTCGGATGTGAACCTTCTCACATACTTTAACTACAAAACTTGGCTGATAAATAAACACACTTCTGCTGAATTGCATATACAGAACGTTTGAGTTGAACGACCTAAATCTGACTCGTAAATGTTTTTTACGAGCTGGCTTACTTACTTGCATACTGTTTGGATGTGTGAATATCACGCGCAAGATAAACCTGTTCCGAAAAGAACAAAGACATACTGTACAGTAGATCAAAATTCTTCAGAACTGACAGATGGCAAAATCTCATTCAAACGAAAAAAGTATATCTTCATCTAAAAAGCCGAATTGTATTTTTTTATTTTTAAACATAATAAATAAGACATCGTAACACATTTCCCTGCACTTGACAAAGATTTGCCCCAGTACCAACTGCGATCATAAAGCGTAATAAGGAGACAGTTGCAATTTGCAAAACAAATAACATACGAGTACTGCAAAGGCACGCAGACAGTACTGTAATTATTGTTACTCGGTTAGTTACTGCTGGAATAACAACATAATTTATTGAGTCTCACTAAGCAATCAAATGTTAAAACTCACAAGCAAACCAAATTCAAATGGATTATCGCATTTGATACAGACAAGCGATAAACGCAAAAATAACTAACTTTAAATACGTACTTTGCTGTTAATACTACCTCGATACCTGTTTCACGCGCACATCGATTATTTATTTTAAATTATTTTAAAACTGTTTTCACTGTTCAGTTAATGTTTCAACATAAAGTTAATGTTGTATTTTCAAATACTTACACAAATTGTAATTAAAGAGTGCACCTCTGACCTAACAGCCCTACCTTAATTTCTACTTAATTAATTAATCGAACAAATATCGTCAATAATTCAAACCAAATTCAAGCTCGACTTTAATTTAAGAACAGCCATACCGTGGAAAATGAACCTTCGCCGAGCACTTTTTCAAAGATAAAATCATCAGCCGTCCGCTTGGGCACAAGCGGCGGCCTGGGCGGTCCGCCTTGCGCCTCCGTCCCATCTGTGGCGTCCTCGCCCGACGCACTGGCGGCCATGCCAATGTCCTGATCCAGTGAGGAGCCCTTGGCCAGATCCGGTTTGGAGGCCGTGGAGTCCAGCAGGGATGCCGAGCTGGAGGGGCTGTTGAACGCCACCGACGTCAGGGAGGCCGAGACATGGTCCCCATTTGGCACGACGCGATGGGGGACGACGACGCTGGTCGTGGAAGGGGTCGAGGAGGAATCCCCGGGCACTAACGATTGCGCCGTCATCCCACTGAACACCGCCTCCGTCGGCTGAACCATCTCCACGCTGTCCCGGAACTCCAATGATACTTCCAGTTCAAATGGCAACTAGAACGTCAAGTCAAAATGCGTTCTATCACGCTGACATCCCCATGGAATCCTTCATGCGATCATGACGATGCAGACGCGAGCCTGCACGGCTGGGTTGTTGGCAAGTGGCAACTTCAATTATCTCGAAACAACCCAAACACAAAGTAGTGAATAATAAGAAGCATAAGTAAAGTCGCTTCTTCCCGTGGCCCATGGGTTGCGGATTGAAACCAACAACAAGTGACTTGCTACAAGTCAACAACTCAATGACGAAAGCAAGTAAAACCTACAGTACAGTACTACCGATAAATCATAAGTAGGTCTGTCTACTTTTATCTACCGTCGCCAGTCGATGCTACTCGTAGTTTTTCAAAGGTCTATACAGGTAACCGTCGCCACGGTCATAGTAGCGGGTACCGGGTGGATCATCGGAAAATACTGTATACGAGTAAAGTAATTAACAGGTGTGAGAGTGTATGGACTGTAGTCACTGTACACCATACTGTACAGTGTACATAACAATAATGATTATTAGTAAGTATTAGGAACATTTAATAAATATCATGGGACAAATGCAAACTAAGCACTAAAATAAAAGTATCAGAACGAAGTCAAAGCAGAAACACTTCCTCGATGCTATCCTGATCGGGAATAGTACCCATCACACAAATCGCATGTGGCGCTGATTCACTTTGCTTTGTGCTAGTTGTAAACAATGCACCCTTAGATTTTGAATTTTAAAGTAAATTTCCGTGTGTTAAGTTCTTATTACAGACGGACGGCCTCAGTTGTGGTATTACTGTCCTTGGCTCCTTGCTTTAAGTTTAAGTTCGTATAATGTGGCATTAAGAAATTGACCCGACCCAATTTCACTCCGTTTCTGTTGATGCTGTGTGATGCTTCTGTTTTTCATTTGTTTAATTGATAGCTTTTGTGAATGATTAAAATGTATTTCACTCCACATGCACAACCGGAAGTTGGTCCAAATTCTTCGTTAACAACTAACAAGTGCACAAGAATCCAGTATCTGCGTATTTCTGTTGATAACTTTATAACGTTCGCTGTCATGCAAGGTCACGTTGTTACTGTTGTCCGAAGCGACTCTGATTATGTCAAGGATTAACAACAAAGTGCTAAAAGTAATAAAAACCAAGTACTGTCGCGTTAAAAGTCTATCATAAGTAATGACGCTTAGAATTCGCAAAAATAGCTGACTTAACATAGATCGCCCGATGCGCACTGCAGCATTTAATACCGCTTCGATCAACTGCGGTCTGCGGATACCAGTTTCACAGCATATTACTACTGGAATAGCCGGATTGCGGAGAGAAACCCTCTTTCCTATCGCTGTCATTTTCCTTTCCATTGAAGTAACGACCCAGGTACGCGAATAGCTGATCGATGACCTCATCTTTGGATCTTCCCGAGCTGGCCTGTTCTTTTTCAAGGACATCCGTGACGTTTTCTGCAATGACCGTCAGTGCCGCTGTTTTCAGGTCCACCGCCCCGGAGGCGCATTCCTCGGCCACATGCAGCCGGTGTCGCGCGTTGTCTTTATTGACCGTTCGCACCAGATGGTATTCACAAATCTTCTTCAAGCAGCCCAGTCCATAATTATCCGCCGCAATCATTAGACTGTCCGCGCGCTCAGGTATCCGCTCGGTGGACGCTGTGTACACATACTCCAGTAGAATGTCCAGTGTCTCCCAGTTCATATCCGGAATGTGGATCTTTCCCAGCGTTTTACCATTGCTGTGAACAGCGCCCGCCAACAGTGTGCGGAACTTGCGCGACCGTGCTGTCAGTATACTACTGTGCACGGGATGCTCCGTGCGATCAGTAGATACCAAAATGCAATCGCTGCCGTTCTTCGTGTAGTAAAGGTCAGTGAGGTCCTTGAGCAGACTGATCACGCTGTTCTCTTGGAGAATGGCCAGCGTGTCGTCATCTGCCCCGAAACGACTGACTCCGCCCTGCAGGAGTGTCCCTGGTGATGCTAAGAATTTGATTCGAGCTTGCAGTCGCAGTATATCATGGGTTAGGTAGCCGTTCGCTGTGTCAAACAACTTTTCATGGCTAATGAAATCGGGATAACCCCACGAAGAGATGCGCTCGGGACCGAACAGCTTGATCTGATGGTGCGGCGTGCAGGAGAAGATCGGTCTTTCGTCCAGATCGACGATGCTGCAACATAATAACAATTTTTATACGATTTTAAATGTTTTAAATTTATAACTTTGCTTATTTTTTGTTATTGCGTAATGTGTCATATTATAATTATCACAGCATACCAGCGCGCTAAACTAAATTACATACACACTGTAAAAAAATAATAAGTACAAATATTAATATAGAAGGTGCCCACCTGATAATGAAACTAGCCGGTATGCTTACTTCCAGCTGTGTCTGGAAGCACACCTGCACTTTAACATACGGCACAGGCGCGTCCATTGCCGCGGGAGCGTGCATGTGGAGCGGGATGACCTTTAAGAACCAGCTTCCGTCATAATTATCGAGATTAAGCTCTTCGTTGGTAACGGGCAAGGAATGGATGGGTTCCGTTATGAATTTCCGATAGGAAAAATTAGCAATATTGAAGTTGACAACAGCCTCCACCAGTGTCCCATTGAGGTCGGTGTATGACACTGCTGAAATAATATTGGTGCCTGGCTGGTTGTGGATATGGGAGTGAACCGCAGTAGAGGGCATGTCAACAGTGTCCACTTTAAAGAAGACCATGCCGTGATTACCAGTTGACCACAATCCGAACCGTGCGAACGCGTCTGGTCGGTATGCAGTGGCTTCTGAGCGGGAACGAAGCAAAGGTCACGATTTCGCCGACACTGCACATGCACATTAATTAAATTATTCTGCTCTGACCATACTGTGTCGCATGATAGGCATGTAATTTTGCCCACATTCGCTGCTTCTCCACGCGCATGCTGACGCACCAAAGGCACAACCGTGACACAAGAAAGTAAAATTTTATTTCTTGATTGCAGTAGAAGTCTGTACGTCCTCTGCTGGTTCAAAAATGTACGTAGAAACGATAGAACTGCCGATCGACACCGCGCCGATGGTAGGCTGGGCAGTCATATGACAGCATATGAAGAGGCTATTATAAAATTATTACCCGCATTAAATAAAGCTGTGTTGTTAACTTGCTACAGATTGCGTTTTACAAGTACAAATAAATGTAACTGATCGTAAACATAGATTATATCTCCTGCATGCTCGTCCATGTGAGTCCGCAGCTAACAAATTACAAATTCCGGTAGGTACGTCGTGCAAATTATTATATACATGTACGGTACATGTGCGGCAAAAAACCGCACAATCAGTAGATGTTCCAGTATGGTTTTTGGAACATCCATCAATTCCATCTTTAATTTAATCCAAAAGACAATGCAAGTATAAAGTTTGGGGATGAGTATGACGGTGTAGTACCGAACACGCCTTCAGCTTCTTTCTTTGCAATCATTGCATGAAGCACCGCAGCAAAATCGTCTGCAAATTTACAAGAGCGTACAAAATAGTAATAGTAAACATATCTGACGTGCGATTTTGATGTCAAAGGTTGTCCGAGCAGAATGCTTTTTGATCCCATGGCACTTCTTTTCCAGATTTGTTTCTTATTTTTTTATGACCGGAATTATTCCATACGAGAGGCACTTGCCTACACGTAGATGCCGCGCGCATGTAGCTTGCCTCTAGCTGTCAAAGCCCGTGCACGTGCAGATCTTGTACGCGTCGAGCTCGAATGCTGCATGCGTATTGCCGTGTAAAATCACCAACTAGGCGTGGTGTCAAATGGTTGAGTTGAACAAGCGAGGATTTGGGAAGAATTCCAACTTCGACAAATTTTTGTCGTAGATCAAAATGCTCCTATCCTAGAGTAGTATATGTAGTTCCTATTTTAGCATATTCCCGCACATATTTTCAGCAGGCTTTATCTGGATGCGTTCTTAAAAGTCGTCCAGCTGTAACACATATAATGGCTGCTTTATCGCTACCAACAAAGACAACTCCCAAAAGAGTGGCGGATAGTGTCGGTACAGTACTGAACACTGACATGGCTGAGTCCCAGCAGTCATTTCTTTTGCGATGCTTTTCATTTCCGATTCCGTGCATTAAACTTTTGTTAATTTTAGGACTGATATATTCTACCATGAAGAAATGGATATACCAAAAAGACGACACCAGAGAATATGGTAAGCATCGGGCAAAGACTGAGTTGCGTGTTGGTTGGTTCACCATGAGAATGATGTGCTGTTTTGAAGGCTTGTACCATGATGATTTGTACCGTGATGGACATGACGATGTGCGGGAAGCGGTTCGTCGTCTGCCAGCGGAACTCTTTGACGCCCGCGCGCACCGGCTGCACCGCGCCATTCAGCTTAGTCGCAACAAGATAGTCCTTCCTGAACAGCTGTGGACGAAATACGACGATGTAAGCAACAGAATCGCGTCGTCTTTTACGGCGCGGAGAAAGCAGGGATGGATAATATTGAAACTTTTGAATGCACCGCAGCATTGTCATAAGGGACTTACAACCAGTAATGGAATTTCTTAATCTCGCGTAAATGAAGAAAGCAGTCCATATAATCACTGGAAATCAGCTTACGTGACTATTCGCTCCGGCGTTCTCAGCAATTTGCTCTTCTTTTACAGCCTGGTCATCATTACTTGACGCCGTACCTGAACGAAGTGATAGCGGAAAAAGCCGAGCGTGCTGCATGGAATAAAAAATGAAGATAAGAATGTGTTTGCTGTTTGCGTGTTTAAGTCAAAATGATTGTTTCGGCTTGTGTGCGATTGTAATGTTTTCCTCCATAGCAAACCTGACATATGTTTCGTAGTACAAGATTGCCTTCCGTTCTATGGCTTGAATCCTGTTATCCTCTGAATTAGATGTCTTTAATAACGTTTGTACATACTGGGCTTAGCGAGGCCGTCAAAAAAGGACGATTACAAACATAAAATAGCGCTAAAAAAGTACACAGCTGCACAGCGTGACCGGTCACAAATAAACGATATAACAGACATTCCAAAAACCAGAACGGAACATTTCGGACTTGCGGAGTAAAACGACAGAACTCCAGTGCCAAATAATAAAATCTGTGTAAAAATATCAGGCCCAACAAACATAATCACTTTGCTACCAATGTCTACATCGCCCGCGTCAGCGCAACAAAAGACTCAACGAGAACACACTGGCGTGCCGCAAACAATGCACATTAATCTCCGTAAAATCTACATTATGCCATTGGAATAAAACTGGTAATCATCGTAGAGTTTCGTTGTTATTGAGGCAATACTGGATGTGACCATATTCTCCACCAGCTGTTGTAAACTTTCCTCCGTTGTATAAATGTGCAAACGCTGCTTTAATCCATTGATGATGCTTGATCCACCGTTTTTGAAACAGGGCAAGTCAGCTGAAAAGTCACAATATGCTTGCATTACTGTAAGGCTGGAAAGAACTGCCAATGTAAGTACATCTATCAAATCCTCACTATAAACAAATTTGCGTAACCGGAAAGCTCAATAAATCGCTAAAGATTGTTCAAAGTATCTGCATTTCCGATGCGTTATAAACAGTAGTGATTCCTCAATTATCTGCAGTAATCTACTTCCGGCAATAAACTATGTAACTTCAAGCTGCCGACTCGCACGCAGTTAAGCAAGAAAAGGCCCTGGCACGAAGAACTGATTTTGTAACAAATTCGAGACAGCACTAAGCACTGAAAATCACTTACCGCTCTGCATAACTTCAAAGAGGGATATAATTTTATCACAGTGTTTTCGAGTAGCGATCAACCCTTTGAGCATCTCCAGCTTATAATATTCGAACATATCACTTCCCACACCACCCAGCACGTCCACAAAATCACTCGTCAGCTTAAAATGAGAATTCTCAAAGCCTAAGCTGCGTGGCGACTGCGACAGGATAAATCCAAAATCAATATGGATCAGATGACCTTGGGCATCCAACAATATGTTTCCGTTGTGCCTATAATAAGCAATCATAGCGTAAGCAACCAGCTGCAATAAGTGCTGATTATAAGCCGAACCAAGCCTCGGTGCAACTAAGTGAATGGAAAGCTTAGATTTAATACAAAATTCTGAAGAAATAGTGATTATATAATTATTGCACATACTCTGTAAATATGTATTAAGAGCGGCAAGATGATCGCAAAATACATTAATTATCTTCGCTGCTTCCATCTTTTAACTACCAATAAACTGGTAAGTACCAATGAACTGAAAATTTACATAAACAAAACCATGACGAAGGAACTTCTGCTTAAGGTCTGAACTCTAATACAATGAAGGGGTGGCACCAAAAACTTAAATTTGCACAACCCAGTAACAACGCCGTACGGCGGCCCGTACCAACTGCGAAGAGCAAAACATCAAAGCTAATTAATACTTACCGATCCTTGACCTGCAACAAGTAGGATACAAGGCAATAGGCTGCAAGACTATGCACGAAATTGAGCTGCGCTTTGAAAAAATCCTCTGTGGTCTGACCACCATATTCACGGATGAAGTACTGTAGCAGTGGCAGTTGACTCTGCTTTTTGATCTGATGCAGCGAGACAGCGTTAATAATCGGCTCGATCATGCCTTGATCCTTTCCTGTCACCAGGATGTGACAGGGTCGCACCCACAGCTTCAGTTTCTCTGCTTCCCAGATTTTCTAAAAACAAGCAATTAAAATGTTAACAAGGGCAACCAAAATTTATGCCGAATAAATTCTAAATATTCACAACAAAAAACTGCACATGAAAACCACGACGAATAATAAATACATTATAGCCTACTTCGATTCGATTACAATTTTGCATGTATAGTGTGCACCTGTAAAAGCCTTAGCATTTGATGCGCCAACTGTTCCTGGCGTAGATCATCCCCGCATTTCACAATAACTGCCAACAGACGCCAATTGGGCAGGTGTCCATAAGGTGAATTACGCCGGATTCGGCTCTGTTTAATTTCCCAGGGCTCTTTCATGGCCGCTGCCGAAGGGTCTTCATGGTCAGGCTGCAGCAAAACATCAATCAGTTTACTCGTTCCCCTTGATCAGCAGCAACACATAACCAGTAGCCACCTACCTTAAAAGTGCCATCATCGGCCACCAGGCTTTGATTGAGGCGTCGCACCACATCGCCCGCACTGATGGTCATTTCCCGACTCTCCAAACTGACCATGCTTTCTTGCGACCAGACGGATGTTGTCTCGCCATTGAATGACCGACTGCCATGATGCAGAGGAAACTACAAGCATAAACAATGCGGCTAATGTCAACACTCCATAGACCACACAGAACACGTGAATTATCTCAAGTGTGGTCTGTCAGTCAAGACAAATTATCCGTAATAACAGTGGACTACAGTTCTTTTGACAACGGCAGTTCAAATCCGAAATTCAAGCTGTTATAATCAAAATTACGAAGTCGAACGCTAATTAAATATGATGCCATATATCCAATTACGCAAATGGCAGGCCAAAAATTCAGTTTTAACGTAGCCAACACCAGTCGACGCAATCTGATTACAATTTTTTGCGTGGAATGTGTGTTGGTTGGTTGTGGTTCGCCTATCTGTGAGGCGAAACGGCAAAACCAGTTTTCAACGAAATACTCTTCTAGACGATACTATCCCTGCCAAAGCCAGTGAGGTAGATACCTCTTCTCACCTGATTCAGTATCTCATCATCCTCTTGAGACCAGCATTCCCCGTCCTCGTCACTTTTATTTGATGATATTCCCTCATCGCATGGCGACTGGTCGGCGATATTGTCTTCGGATTTGGTCTGCCGCATTAGATTCTCCTGAATCTTTCCGGCGACTGGACTGCAGAAAACATCATCCACCAACAATACCTCGACGAAGATTAAATACGGCGCCTGCACGATACCACGTAATCAGCATCTTAATACGTCACTGTCACAAAAGATTTCCGGGAAATTGTTAACAACATACTTTGTCTTTGGAATTCAAAACAGCCGCAGCATGCGGAGGTATCCTCACGACATGATGGGGTGTGTTCCAGTACAGCGGCAGCCAGACACGCGCCGGCAGATTAATGTTGATAACACCCAGATCGGCGGTTAATCGCACCGTACGTCCATCTTTAGGCGAACGAGTCAAATTCTTTCCGATCTTGATTAGAGCTTTAATAAATTCCATCTCAGGCGCTAATCGCGGCGCCTAAAAAGTCCACACAACACATCATCAAACATGTCGCCAACAAGTCAGCAAGTGAACACTCGGTTTAAATCTGACAAATACGTTGCGGAATATGCGTAAACGGTAAAAGTAAATAAAAGCTATATAGTCGGCACCATGCTGTCGATCAGAAACTTTCGGAAACATTAACGATAATAGTGACTTTTTATTCACTAAAGGCGTGTGTTCCAGATGTACTTAATAATTATAGTGATATACTCTTTTCAGTATTAATATAGTATTAATGCTTGTCATCAAAGGTTTCTTCATAACCGCCTTATTACAAAGGCAAACTCACTCGATCTAAATACAATCCTGAAAAAGTTTGCAGTATTCGGGTTCGCGAAACATGATAATTTTTTGAAATTACAATACCGTGAATCAAAATTTTTATTAGTCTGTCTGCTGTGGGCTCGAAGTAGTATCAAGTTATCATCTATTGTATCAATGAGCCACCGTCATGAAAACATAATTTCACCAACCTGACATGTACACTCAACCGGTTCTCCCCGAAGTTCATGCATGACATTTGCTGTCGTTTCGAAGCAAGTGCATCCCGAATGAAAGGCTTTCGCCGACGTTAAATCACCGATTGTCGTCTTAACCGGTTCCTTATTACCTGTCGGCGTGGAACAGGAATTAATTCCTAGAAATTTATTGATCGTCGAATTTTGCTGGGATTTGGGTTAGAGAATAACAGAAGGCAATTTCAGAATACGCAATGCACCTGTAGCATCGGATTTAGACCGATGATGAGATTTCTTCAAACTACCCAGAGGGCTAATACAGCCTAAGGATTCAGACTCCCGAATAGATCGCAGTGCGGGTACACACGGTAGCGAAGGGGCTTTTGCTGTCCTGTAACACAACCGCTTTTTATTTCTCATAGCTTTGTAATTCAACACCGCTGATGATTAATTATCGGCATGCCCATTAATTACAATTATTACTGAAAAAATCTTTGAGCCCCATCCACTTCACTTCCTGTTTATTTACAGGGCTTACGGAAAAACAAATGCAAAGGACAATAGGATACCATTCTATAATTCCTATCTGGAATTTCCATTTAGCGTCTAAAAGAGTGTTAGCAGACGAAAAGTTGTTCATCATAACTGAATTCACAAGGCTCCTGAAATTCCAACGCGGTTACCAAAAAGCAAAAACTGGTAAACAAATTTTAAAAATTCTTCTCACAAGGAGCCACTGTACAAATTCAAAATATTATGAATTGTAACGCCGTTACCAGGTTCTACGATGCCCTACTCCTAGGCAAGCATCAAATGAAAATTTCAGCCAGCTCACCAAAATTCAATTTGATAGGTTACCGAACAAAAGTGCCAATGAATGCCCACAACACCCACGCAGCAGATTAGCATGACAATATGTCAAATCACATGGCGTGGCTGTTGTCAAAAGCTTAACGAAGCGACCACAAAGCCGGGAAGCGCACCCACAACACATTATTGACGTACTTGACTGCGAATGTTTCGGCCAATATGGCATCGCGAAACTTGACAGCAGGTGTTTTGCGCGTTTTCCTCCCTCTCATCCAGCCATCCTGAGTATATGCATCGATCAGCCAGGCGGTCTTCAATGCCAGATCCGGACTCTGCTCACATCTGCCACACACAGAAACACATTTACTTCCTGACGTCATTTCCGTTACAAGTACTTCGGGAAAATATATTTGACTTCAGTTTCTCCATCGGAATTACGTAAACAGGCATTAAATATCCCAAGCATCCTCTGATAGGGATCAGATTTCATTAAAGGAACGCTTTTCCAAGGTTAGCAAGCATTATCTTAACAAACTGTACTTCGTAAATCGTAAGACTAAAGGGCGACACGTACAGACTTATAACTAGGTAGTACGAAGATTATACGAAGTGCTAATGTCCGTATCGCTAGAGCTGAAGCAAAGCTAGTTTTCCATTTTTTTGTCAATTAAATTTCTTAATACTATCTTTTGATAAAATATGCTACCTTACTATGAGTTGATAACAGCAGAGAGATTAGTCGACTAATAAAAAGCGCGTTCACACGTCAATACGTATAACACTGCACAGTGCACACGTCATTCAAACAGTATTAAAGTGCATGCTGCGCGGCAGCTTAATATCTCCACAAGTACCAGCTGTGGAAGAGCGGATAAAAAAGAAGAGGAGATATTAAAGCTTTCTTTCGGGTTGAATTCTGCAAACTGAAATCTCATAAAAATTTTCATAAGTGCGCCATCACAAACGTTTACCGCGTTGCGTGTCCGCTGCGCAAATAAACTTTCGACAACATGACTAGAAGTCACGCAATGGTTTGCTCGCCCGAGCCACCACTCTTTCACAAAGGGTAAGTAAAAAATGCCCAACGCGAATTTCTACGTGCTTTGTAGACCATAAGCATAAGTCAAACACATCAGCAACCAACTCGTCGCTAAGACAGTTATCCGCATTCCATCGAATACACCAAAACAGATTTGATTCAATTTGGACGTACAAAAAGCAGAGTATCACTTATCTCGACTTTCGGCACTGCTTGACAACTACGACACTTCCGTAAGCCCTGCCGATAAATCCATTACGGAAACTAGTGCCACTTACCGATACTTCAAATATGGCAGCAGGTAATCAGACAAATCGCGTGTGTCAATGCACAAATTAATCAGCTGTGGCAAGTAGAAATCCACTTCCACGGGATCCAGCGTAAACAACCGGTTCCCTGAAAAATTGAATAGTTTTTTTAAGTACAGTAATCCTATTATTTTCTGAATACAGATAAAATTTCACACACATAACTACATAAGATAGCTCACTCGATCTTAAAAGCTTTCCTGCCAAACGAAGATTCAACAGCAATGCAGCTTCATCGCCATTAAAATATGTGTGTGATGTGCAGGTCGGCTTGCCCTTTTTGCGGCGCCAAAATGTTGCCTTGTTGTCAATTACGTACCACTTTGACTATTTTCGTGAACTTGTGAACTACATGTACTGACGGGGATATGCCTTTTTTTTATCGATAAGAATATTTCTACAATCTTAACAGCAATAAATTACAAAATTAAACTTACTGAAAACCACATGGCTCTCTTGCTATTGTACGATATGTGGTTATTAAAGAAGGTGTTTCAACTTATATATTATGTTACTGTTAATCACGAAATCGAGACATCTAACTTCCGACCTTCGATCGCAGGAATAGGCAACTTAAGCGCGATCATAAGCGGAATGTCCACAAAGGTACGCATAGAGTGCACATATGGCATAAGTTATCAGTACCAACCTAAATACTGCTGCACGCCCGTATCTTTGGACTTCGATCTGTAGAGATAATGGATGGCCAAATTAGCATCGAACAAATCCGACTGAAAAAAGCGCAGCAGCCAGTTAGTGTGCTCTTGCGACGGTGGAGGAGTCAGAGGTGTAACGGGGTGACGCTCAGATTGAGTGATATATGATTCCTCGATCCTGAAATTGGGCATTTACATGAAGAAGTGTATCTGTAATCTATACCGTGCTATGTTCAAAAACATCGACTCGAGCAGTTCGCTGCACCATCAATTAGGAACTTTTAAAACAATTACTATCATCTAGTGATACCATTGAAAGTAACATTTATCGTTTCCAGGAAATGACTGCCATAATGATAAATTCAAAGCGGTATATGTAGCGTACCAACATTCATTCTTCGTGACGAGCAATAACTATTCTCTTACGGATCGACTTACGAATCCGAGCGATTAATCTCCTGGGACATAATATCGTTATGCACCATCGTGACCGGAATGTCCCCCTCAAAACTATCAACGATGTCATCCAAACCGGAATGTCCAGTCAATGAACTAACTGACTGTGTACTGCTGGTGCGACGATGTGTTTTACGGTGTGGCAGTGGTAGCCGATCGGAAACGGAGCGCAAAATGGTCGGATGCTTGAAAGACGACGTGATAAGGCGTTCTTCCACCACCGTCCCATTCCTATCGGCCAGTGAACCGACATTCTGGAATAGATTGCTTAATTCCTGCTCACGGCCGTCACCCAGTTGGGGATAGGCGGCGGCGTCATTGTCCTGACACCGGGCATCCGCTTTGAAGCGCTTACAATCCGATTCCTCCATACGCGCTAACTATAATCCCGGACACGCTTTATCACAGCATTATTTCCTCATCCAAAATGGATATTAAACGGATAAGCATTCCCGCAGTAAGCCCATTGGATGGTCGTTAATGTGGCTGCTTCCCCATTTATCTGAGCAAAAGAGCCTTGTCAATCAAGCTCACAAAATATCGGACATCAGTCACATCAGTGAAAAATCACAGTTCAGTCAAATTTACTAATTTTTCCAAGTAAATACTTCAAACGGAGAACGATATCCAAATTAACGTTTTTAATGTAGACCGTTAACTTCCGAATACGCAAGGACGGATGAATGCAACTATTTTAAAACTTTTGATAACTAATTCTAACAATAAGTTACACACAGTACCAACACGCATTACCAAATTAGCAGAACTGATGATTCAGATAGCCAAAGCGGAATAAATCGAGCAGGAAGTTTGTATTATAAGGCTAACAATTACAGGTAAAATATACAGACGTAACAGTTACTACAATCACCGATACCGTGCATCCCGAGATAAAATTATCTTTATCGAATTAAGTAACCCATCGCCTTAAAACCACATCTCTTCAATCTGATCAACGTTATGCTTACCATTAAGGTACCGTACTAATTTGAAAGCCAAACGCTATAAATAATAAGGCCCTTCGATTCTTTTCGGGTCTTGGCCAATTTATTAATGAAACGAGTGTGACACAACTCTTCATCGTAAAAGGGTAACAGGTATTACAATCCACCCGGAATTCATAAAACTAAATACATATATATCACTTATTCACCTGATTAACACAGCTCAAAGTCAGAACCTCAGGCTATAAAAGGGAAGCACATAACCAAAACTTTGCATTAAGTACATTAAATCCCAAAAAGCCAGGAACACGACTCTTGTTCGGTAGTAGACAGGTATACACGTACTTTCAATTTTGGTATGCTCACGAAAACTGTGATTTTAAATTATTTATAATCAATTTGTCGCTCGCCACTGACGCCAGTAGCGACGGTGATCACAGATGTTGCTCATAGAATTTCCGCTACTACTCAAATCGTTACAAAAAGTTTTAAAAAATTACAGATGAAAAACGCTACAGTACTTACAGTTACGGGCACTGATAAATTCATACAGGAAAGGGAAATCCACATAATCCGAAAATTAAAACCAAATAACAGGAGAAAATTCAGAAATCAATAACCAACCACATTCACATCGTCAGATACGTCGGAAATAAACAAACAGGCTGAGGCGCTGAGCACTCAATAGTTTTTATAATAGTGTACCGGTGCATGGGAAACTTCAAAAGAGAACTCAGAAAACTAACATCCTAACAATCCGTCAATCCCAAAAGAACGGCGACAATTTTGAAAGAAATATGAAAGTTTTACCATCGCAATTTGAAGTGGCAAATAAAGGTAGCGGAATGCTGCAGTGAATCACGTCGATCCACAGGCTGTGGAATAGCCGAAGAAGCAAATCGTGCGTGATTCACGAGAGGTTTGCGTCATTCCAAATGGTCCGACTTCGACTTCGACAAGGACGCTTTCATAATCACATGTTTCGCTCTGTACGAGACAAGCACTCTTCCCTTCAAAATCGTAAACAAAAACGGAAAACGTATTAAGCACTAACCAGTAAGCAGTACTTAGTATGATTACTTAATTAAAACCACACTGTAGACACGTAGTAAATCAAGCTTCTATAAATTAATTACTGACCCTTTCTTCCGATGTTTTGTGGGTGATTGAAGGTGCCGGTTGTTCCCATGCTCAGCGTCTGCATGGAATTTGCAGGTGGTATATGTTGTGCAATGCAGTTGTCGATGGGCAGGTTTTCACGGGCAGGTACGTATTCACACGGTGAATCCGTTGAGTTTTGCCATTTCAAACGGTTAGTATTTCAACTAAATCGAATAGGTTTAATTTTGGGGCCGCGACTAGTCTGAATTATCCAAACGATGGACTTGGAGGAAGATTTCGCGACAACGCAGGACGAGCGTAACTTGGAGTTGCAGATGTTCCGCGAACGGTGGAAACAAGAACTTGGCGCAAAGACTGCCGTACCCGCCGGCCCAACAACAGGCGGATATCACGAGGAAACTTCGCATGATCCAAACGTAACGGATTGCAGCCGATCCACATTTGAAATTGTAAGGATGTACATAGCACGAGTCAGTAGAATTTTCCAGTGGTGAAAACTTTCTGGTACTAACTTGGTTCTGCTTGTGAACATTAGGCAGCAGAAATTTTTCGCGAAGGAATGAAAGAAGAGCGCAATGGACGCGTCTACGAAGCCATTAGTCTTTACCGGCACGCCATGCAGTTGGATCCCGATATTGAGTTCAAAATGGAGAAATCCGCTGCCGTTAAACCGAAAAATCGCGTGGCTGATGTGGCACCGCGCCAGGTGCCCACATTGTCTCCACAAGAAATGGATGATGAACAGGAGACTGAGGAAGACATCCTGGAACGTCTGCTCACTTACGACACTCTAGTGTACGGAACGTGTCTCCCGGAGTATCCTTTAGGAGACACCGACACCCATATCAGCGCCTTGCCGCTCGAAGTTCTGCAGTACATTACGCAGTGGCTCGTCTCGTCCGAACTGGATATGCTTTCCTTGGAACGTTTTACGATTGTCTGTCGGGGATTTTACCGGACGGGAAGGGATGATGCAGTCTGGCGGTTGGCCTGCATGCGCATCTGGGGCAAATTATGCGAACGCCCCGAAGCGCTGAATTACGGATCGTGGAGGCAGATGTTCATTCAGCGCCCGCAGATCCGTTTCAATGGAGTATATATAAGCCGCATTTCGTATATCCGTCCTGGTGAAGCGTCCTTTATCGATCAGAATTCAAATTATCGGCCTTGGCATACGGTGTATTATTATCGCTTTTTCCGGTTTTTCGCCGATGGCACTGTTTTGTATGCTAACACGCCAGGTAAACCAAAGGGTGGCAAATTTTATAGTTAATGCTGTTTTCCAGTCGTTTTTGGTTTAAGATGAGCCCTTGAATGTCGTGCCTCGATTGCGGACCAAACAACAAGCGAATATCTCCAGCAGTACTGGTTGTGTTATTTTGACAGGATGTTTTCGGTTGACTCCCGATGGGGAGGGAGTGACTATTTATCTGAAACGGGATTTGTATAAAGACGATATGGGGCAACGACAAACACGGAATAAGCGCAACAGCAAGAAGGAAGGCACGGAAACGCTGGTGATGGTAGGCTACTGGGCCAGGCGGCGGGAGCTATTGTTATTTCTGTGTTCAAAATAAATGAGACGTTATAAACATAACATTTCCGCAGGAATTGGCTATTCGGAGTTCGAGAGGCCGATTGCATGGCAGACTTGACTGGAAAAGGTATTCCATCACACGGAAAATTGGGTGCGTGGTTTCGTTTCGTATGTGTATGCTAAATTATTGCCGGTTTAGAAAGCAAGAATTCTAAAATAATAAAAGCTGGATTTTCTTTTTAGCAAAATCGAAACGCATTCTCTGGTGGATGTTCATCAACAGTTTCCATCATCGTTTTTTTCACGCGTGAAAAGTTATACGGGTTCGTCTGAAAATCCGTTGGAGTAAGCACGAAATTACAGCGATGTGATTGGTGTGAAATGGAATATTATTTATAGTTTGTATTTTGATGATACAGAATGCGAACTACTTTTAAATTTTGTTTAAAAAGTGGTTGAACGAGTCAGAATGACAGTCAGGACTTGACTTCTCGAGAGCATTTTGTCAGTGAGGTGATGAATGATATTGCAGTTGGTGATAAGGTGTTTCTGGTGGCATTTATCGTGGCCAGACGATCGCCGAAAAACTGTATTTCAATACACGCTGAACAGTTTAGACTTTGAAGTGAGGATTTATAAACAGAATAAAATTTGGGATGATTTTAATTACGGCAACTGTCAATCGTTCTGCTGCATCATACTTTCGTCAAATAATTTGGCTACGGAAAAGTTTCAAAACATCTTCACAGTTCACATAATATCTGACAAGCATATACGGTAAAACAGTAACACGTAAGTTGTACTAAGGGCATCTATTTCACAAAAGAAAACCGGATACAAGTACTTAATTAGCCAGCCGACCACAGCCAAAACGTGCGACAACATGAGCAAAGAAACCAGAAAGGATCACCGCAGTTTTTGTATTCAAATATGGTAGATACAGGAGGTACAAGGTAAATCGCAATCCGTCCTGGACGGCGTTTACTTCGATGCAGCAACAATAAAAAATATTGATTTCCTCGGAGTATGAGGATGTCGACTGTACTGCATGGATTTCACCTTGCGATCCTCCACATCAGCAGTCTGCCACACACTGCACGCCGTATTCCCGAAAATCGCTCCACCGGCAGGAATGCTACATCCAATTAGTTTCGCGGTAGAAAAGAAACTCTTAAAAACCTCCACTTCCTCCTGTATGCAGCTTTTTTCGGTCAGCGGCAGTCCAGCTGGCGTGGTTAAACGGCCGGTGGTGAAGAAGAGGGCAAATATGTCGACAGCATCCTTGGTCAACTTATCCGGGCGGATTTTCTTAAATTCGCGCCGGATATCGTCCATGTTGCCCTTATGCATCTCCCGGTCCAGCCATATGCTGGCGCATTTGATGGGCTTCCCAGCAAACACATAGGCAACATCCACACGCTCCTGCAGTACACAGCGCACGCTGCAGAAGGGAGTGTCCAGAACTTCTGGACAGGGCACACCCAGGGCGCTACAATTTGTAACAAGAAAAAAGCCCCTTGGCTGGCATGTCGTCGCGTCGTCGCCGGTCAGATCGTCCATGCTGTGGCGCAGGGAAGCAAAGTGGGCAACGCGAATGGCGTGGTCGAAAACGGTTAAAATAAGCCTACAACAGCTTTCATCAGATTACTGGAATCCCGAACCACGCCATTAGAGTCTACCTTCGCTTTTAGTCGTCAAAGGCGCTTTGTGCGAAGACTGCGCAAACCATAAATGCAGATAAAATGCATTTTTAAAAAAGGCAAATGTCTATCGGAGATTCGGAATGCTTTCCTTAATTATTTTCCAAGGCACAGAACCGCTTGGTTATTACTTTATGGTCCCGAATTAATCGTACTTACTTTCGTATTATGAGACCACGTATAGCAGGCACATAATATATAGCGAATGTCCTGTCCCTTTTCATCGGCTCATCCTTCCCGTTAAAGGTAAAAATGTTAACTCCCAAGACGGGCACATGTTCCAAGAAGCGTTTGGGAAAGGAGAAGCCTTCGCCATTGGCTGGCTTAGGCGCGTCGGAGTTGGAGTTGGGTAGGAGACTGTACAGTGTGTCTTTGGCTTCCCCCATGTAGCCTGGCGGGTGCATGTCGGGATTCTTGATAATCATGAGCAAATAGGGATCGTTCGGCTTCTCGACCCACATGTCAAACAGCGCTGCACCGATGAAGACGCGCGCGTCCAAAACGGGCATCTTCCGGCCGACAATAAACGCAGTATTGTTGCGACGCTGGATCTCGTCGCGTGCCAGAGGTAAAAATGAGCTACACACTACCGCACAGGACCGCAAATCGAGAATGGGGAGATGGCTGAAGACATGCTTAGTAAAGAACAGGTTGGGATTCAGCAAGCAATATGCAGCCAGAGATTCCTCGTCGCTGCGAAATGCGCAGACGTCTTCCTTGGCTTGCTGCCAAACATGGAAATAGTAAATAACGCTTTACACTTACAGTACACTAAGCATTCTACAATAAAACGCACCACCATAAATTGGGAAACATTACTTGATTATGGCTATACACGTACCTCCTTCGGTGACACAGATTTCTTCTTTTTTCGGGAATGTTTCGCTCGCAATTCCGGTGCTGGATGGATTGTCCAAGTCCTGATATGTTCCCCGTAACCACGTTCTACATTGGCTGCGATGCGTGCAAGATTGCTGTTCATCTTCGCTCTAGTTTAAAGCAACGGAAATTTAAACATTAAATGTAGTGATCAAAACAATGAAAACTCATAACAGCAACACTGTAATTATTAGAATAAAAAGGTACTTAATAGTTAATACTACTATAATTTACTAAATTTTATTTGCAAAGAAGACCAAAAAAGAAGAAAGTTTTGATTTTTCGATTTTTCTAGCGTTGCAGTAGGTAAGGATCTGGCTCAGCCCTGTTCCTGTTTACAGTGCCACTTTACACCGCTAAACATGCTTTAGCCTTTACTATAACGGATGTCAAAGGTCCGATTTCCTCCGAAAAGTAGCTGCATTCCATTAGTTTCGTTACAGTTTTTAGTTCAAAATATATTAACCTTTTTATTTTAATTTTGCCAGTGCTTGACCATTTCATTCCGTCATCCCTCGAGGCTTCATCCTAAATTCCAATGACCCCATGCAGCATGTCGTGTGGGTGCTCAGAGCTACAACGATTCGCGTTCGCTACTGGCCTGCTGTGTCGTGTATTGTGATTGGGAAATCCTTGTTTCCTGATGATCATATGATTTTTGAACCAGAAATCATTTAGTTGACCGTTAAAATCACGTAAGATTACTTGCCTTTTTACTTGTTTTTCCTGTAATTTCTTTTATGAACCAGCTTCCCTAATAATACTTTTTGTCCATTGGCGGTGTACCCTGTATGTATTGTTGACCAGGGTTCTTCTACGACTTACTGTTTCTTTCTGTCGTATGATCAATTTATCTATCGTCAGCTGACTCATTGCTAACACCATGACTCGATGCGGGACTTGTCATCAGCATTTGGTGCAATCGAGTGATATGACATACTTTCGTGGGAAAGTCTTTTGTGAAGAGTGCAACGCTTGGAGCCATGGAACTTGTCTGCAGCTGACGTGGGAGCAGCTGAAACACCTGAAGTATTACTGCCCGACATGCGAAGCCCGCCGTTCCGGAAGTGGGTCAGTTAGTGCGGCTGAAATCGGCAGGAAGGCTACCGCTGCTCCGCGTGCGCTAGCTGTGAAAACGGCTGTTCGGTCTCTGCCATCCAGGAATACCGCACTCCGTAGCAGCTGCAGTAAAGCTGCACCCGCCCCGAAAGCCGCAGTTAACGTCTCTCCTGTTGTCAAGACAGGGTCAGCTGTCCAGCCGACTGTCGCGTTTACCGCGATCAGTGAAGCCAAGACCAAAGCCGAACACGATCGATTAATTCAGGAGTACGCCATCGGAGACATCTCGTCCAGTGAGACGGACAGCTCGGATGAGGGTAACTGAGCAGTGTTCTCAGGGAAAAGAACGATCAGATCTGCATTTCAAGCGATGACCAGTTGTATTAATTTTGAATTTTTGATTGTATTTTTTTCCATAGTTGTCCCCATGCAGTTATATGCATATCTCTATGTACAGGTTTAGACGCTTGTGTCCTTTGGAATTAATATTAGGATATCATGTTTGTTTTGTTATTTCGGAAAATTTTCAGGAATTATTGCAATTGCAGTTCGCAGCATTTTATTTTGTATTGTTGCTTTCACTTACTGAGTTCGTTTTGACTTTTGACAGTGATCAAAACTACCTAGTGCACAAACTACCTAGTGCAAGGTCGGCATAAAAATAAGAACTTATGTTGCAAACGACACGCAAATATGCTGCAAATGACACGCAAATTAGAATACTGTATCTTTTCCAATTTTCTCAATAATAAATAAACGACACATAGCGACGTAACTGAAGAAAGGACGGTAAAATCAATGTTAAACTCAGTAAAAGCAAAGAGAGTCAACAGACTATGGCAAACGCCGAAAGAGATCAATGTAACACCGGTAGGACTTTCCGTCCGCCAGTAAACGAGGTACCGCAACTGCAGACTTAGCAAGTCTGCAGTATATCACAGTTTGGTAATCCGTTCCGAATCCAAAGGCCCCGTGCTGACCGGAATAACCACTTCGCGCTTAAATCGCTTTTTTAAATACTCAATAGCAATCATCCTTTCCGGCATCGCAATGGCCACAAATCCAACAGCGATCAACACGCAACCAATTGCTTGAAATTCATCAAACACATGGTTCCAAAATAAAGCGTCGACAACTGCAAACATTTTGGTATCTTACCACAAATGCGTAGTGAAGCGGTATTGAATGGAATATAGTACCATAATTAAACGGTATTCCTAAAAGCTTGCTGAGAGTCATAATCAGTGGACTTGTCAACGTGAGACACAGATTGAACATGGAAATGGACACTGCAAAAAAATTGTCACAGCGACTTATTAACGTCTAACGATACCTTGAATCCACCGATTCCTGCACACTTAAAAATAAAGTCGGTGCATGCAGTCTACATCGACAGCAACTATCGTAGGTATTTACCTAACGTCAGTGATGAAGAAATACACACGGTAGCCCAGGGAAATGTTTCCCAATTCCAGTACTCCACGCCATTTACATATAAAATTATTACGATAGGCCAGGCTATCACGGTAATAAAGGCTGCCATCGTCGAGGTAAGCAGCAGCGCCTTTCCAACATCCTCCGACTTTCCAATAAATCGTTTAAAGGCAACCTAGAGTACAGCAAATCCTATAATATGATTTTCACTGCCACACTGACTCACAAAGATTTTGTAGCAAAGCCCGACGAAAGTTTTCACAGCAACCTCTAGATACCGTAGATCTTATACTGTTTATGTGAAGTGACCTTATTAACAAAAATTGTAGAAGCATACAACCCACGTCACTAACATTCAAAAAAACTCTGGACGCACGTATACCTAAATCCAGATGCGTCTGCTCTTGAACGTATGTAACTTCATATCATGTATAAAGATCCCAAAACGGCACCGATCAAACAAATAGCAATCCCTTCCCAACTCAAATCGTCTTTCCCTTGTGAATAGACCATAAATGCCACGCCGCCCAAAGCAATCACAACTGCGATAACCTGAGAGAAAGGCCACCAGTTTCAAATCTATGGTGCGAAATGTTAAACAACATCGAACAAAATTCTGGTGAATTCAACATCATGTCAAACCGAAGCGCGACATACTTTTAAAATGTAAACCGGAGCTCTGAGAATAAGAGATGATAGGAGATAACAAAAAGCTGTTTCCGAACAGAACAATGCCTGGACAATGGAATTGTTGAGGAATTTCACGGCGAAAACATGCGCAAACTGGACGGTGATCCATAACATGGCCAGCAGACCAGTCGGGTATACAAAAGCCTTCGGGGTTAGCCCCTTTGGTCCAAAAACAGTTTCACAACTCCTGTAAAGAATGAAATAAGCCGGTTACCGCAGCGAACTAGTAAACATAAGGTGGTCCAGCCTATCTACAGAAAACAAAATAATTGAAGTCAAGGTCTGCTTTATTAAAAGCATAGTGTAGCATGGAGATACATCAAATTCAAGTAAGTAGTATTACTTTTTGTTTAGTCGTAAGTTAACGATGAACGTAGAACGCTTGTTCAATTAGTTTTATGTGCCGACGATGGTGCCAATTCAATAGTGCAAAGAGAAACTGCGATTGTTTTAATTTGGAGGCGAGGTGAACGGCACTTCTCTGGATATGAATCTGAGATAAGAAATCACTCCGGAATAGTAAATAACCGAAGAATGAATACAATATCTGTACACTTATCTCAATAATGATTTTCGTGGAAACGTTTAATTATTTTTTAGTCAAATCATTTTCTCTTGTACGGTTGCAGTACAATTCCCCCTGATCAGCTGATGCAGTATTGATTATGTTAACTGCACTCTGTCATGACACTGCAGATCTATCACATCATTTCCACATCTCTTTTAAACAAACCTGAAAATTTGTACTGAAGTTAAGTATTCCGGATATCGTGGGAACACCAACCTTTGTTAAAGGCAAGTTTAATGATGACCAAGCACATCTCATGATAAGTACGTAATTCAACGTTTTTAGAAGGATTGCAAAATAATTATGCGAACCATGACTATGCAGGCAAAAGTTCTACATACAGCGCAAACTATGACTTCGCAATCAATACTTCTCAGTTCTCACATATGTCAGTAAGTACGTTCCAAACTTCCAATGGATTAATCAACGAATTTGTGCATATCACAATGTGACTAAAGTGCCTTCAACTTGAAGTAGGTATTCCGTTGAAAATTCAAACATGATATAATTATGGAAATTTTATTTCAGCTTGTTTATGGCTTAGGCAAACGCCAGCAGTTTCTTAATTCTGAAAAATCTGACCGTACATACTGTGGAACTTGAACAGGTGAAGGTTGCAGTATACGGTTACCAGTTATCGTAAAGCGTGCATCTACCGTAAAAATCGAATTATAGGCCCCCCCATAATAGAAGCCCTCCCCGTAATTAGAGCCCCCCTCAAAATGGTTCGAAAATTATAAGCCCCCCCGAAACAGAAGCCCTGGGCTTTAATAAAATGCACGGAAAATGAAATTTCTGAGCACCGGCATGTACCGGTACCTAGCAATTATCATGTAATTTTTACGACCTTGCCAATAAAACACATTTGAAATATAATAGCCCCCCCAAAATACAAGCCCATGCCCGTAATTAAAGCCCCTCCGCAGGGCGTTCCAACTTTTGAAGCCCAGGGCTTATAATTCGATTTTTACGGTATCTCACCGATAATTTATGTGGAAAAGTTTTTTACAAAACTTTTTTGCCACAGAAACTATACTGTATTTAATATTGTATACGATATATAAAAATTATTATTTTCAACAGGTTTTAATTTCAACAGTAATAATTACTATTTATTTTGAGTACTGCACGCAAGTAGTACAGTAAGCTTACGTGAACGTTTTCATAAATGACGTCGGCTTGTCAGTTTTATTCCGATAAGCGCGTTGGATGTACTTCAGAACCATGAAGGTGGGAAATACAATAATTCTCCAAGCACTGCGAAAGTACACGATGAAAAACGGTGCCGAAAAGTCCTTAGAGTAGGTCGCTTTAGCGAACTGGGCAGCTGACAAGACGGTGATGCAATGCACGACAACTAATCCCAAGCCAAGAATATGTTTGCTTTTATCTGACATTCCCTGCAAGCCGCGCTTGCGAACAGCCTCCGTCGGGTGCACTGGCTCCTCCGTTATCCCTAAAAGCATCCGCACGCCCTTTAACCCAAAAAATACGAGAAAACTGTGCAAATACTTTCTTGATTTACCCAAACTGTATGAAACCACAATGGTTGTTATACGAGTAAAATTATCGCAGTATTAACAAGTAACAGTTCGAAATCACCATAATCTCTTGTGACATAATTAAAAATCATTAAATTATTAGCGTCACGCAAACCAAAAAAATATTAATTTGTTGAAGTTGCATGTACACGTGCTACAACAAGGAGAAAAGGCGTGCAAATAAGAAAACGTTATCAGAACTCTATCAACCAATTCCGCAACGTAAGTAACTGCACAAACCTGCACTTGACGTTATTTTTATCAAGTCCTGCAGTACCACCACACCATTTCCCGTGCTGGCTATTCCTGCTTCCTCATCTTTGGCTGCGCTGTCGTCTTCCTTCGGATCGACAGAAAGCCCTGTTTTAGGAACCACAGCGAACTCGTCATCGTCCCCGATAACGTCCACAGTGTCTTCGTCTTCGCGTTCGGGTTTCTCCGGAGGTTGCATTTCAGGATCCGCACGAAAAATGTAGGGATGATCATCTGACTGATCGGGTAGAAGCCGCATAAAGCCTTCTGCGTCGCGTAATTCCTCTCCATATTTGCTGATACGGTGTTCCATCGGCTAATCAGTGATTACAGATGAAGCGGCTTATCAACGCGATCACAGAACTATCAGATAATCTGCCTTATCACAATGATTGTACAATGTTTACTCCACATTTATGTATCTGGGCACCGTGATTAATTACCCAGAACGAAGTACAATCTGTGTAACGAACTGCTAGCACAGACTTCAGCGACTTGCAGATATGCAAAATTTTCAGTTCACACGAATCCACTTCCACACTTCCCAAAGCCACATCAGAAAACTGCACTTTTCTATAGAACTACTTCAATGTATAGTAGCAAAACTTGCTGCATAGTATAGTGTATGAAGTTATGAACGAGTAAACCGAAACGGAAAAGTGAATGCCACTGCCATAAAAACTTTCCACAAATTTTATGACACAGCAAGTATTTGCTGGTGTAATGCTTTGCGCTAGCTTGCATCATTTATTGCATCATCATTACGCCGCCCATAATTTCTCGCCTGACCAGTGTCCAGCATCATTTCCTATTTCTATGGTGAAAATTGACAATAAATGGTAATTATTTCTAAGAGCGCATATACAGTAACAATAATACTGTGGGTAGCACATTACGAGCATAATACAATTAATGTCACAATACAGTACATAATTTTGCACATTATACTCGTAATTATAAAAATCATTATTATATTTTTGTTACATTAATAATTAGTCTTATAAAGTTGCACAAATTAAAGAATAATCATCAACATCCGTAATTAGCTAAGGCCTAACTAATTAGCGTAGCCATCTAATTACAGTTTCCGGAATTTCGTCTTTTTTGTATAGTAATCTACTTTTGTATGGCCCTTGGTATTAGTACCGTATTGGTATTTGGTAAGTATGGCTTTTTCCTATCTCGGAATTTATAATATCGGATACGTTTTTATTATCGTTATATTAGTATCATCTACGACAATTAGAGTGTTACAGACGAAGTCGTAAGAATGTCTGAGAAATTAAATTTTAATTTATAAATAAATACTGTATCTCTTAATGTTGAGAAAATTCGGGAAAATAGCTTACAACAATCCTATAGGATTTTTATTTTTATACACAGCGAATGCGAATGAAATTACTGCGAGAAAGACGTGCTTCAATACTCGCAGCGTACTTTTAGCCGGCATGCAGAACTAAAGTTCAAATAAGGAATTGTATCCGAAAAGCTAAAGTAGCATATTGTGTACCATATTTTAGGAAACGTTTTATGTCTGCTGTTTTTTCTTAGCAGCAGCCATGGACATTCGCAAGAGATCTCTGGGAGTATGGACGTAATGATTCTTTAAGGCTTCCTCGTCGGGATCTTTTCTCAACCTTTTGCAGGGCAAACGTTTGCGAACACTTTGTGTCCAGTTGATGGGAAGTAAAGTCATGAAAAAGCCAATGGTAATAAGCACGAATCCGGTAATTTCTATGGCACGAAATTCTACTTTGTTGAAGAAGTGGTCCACAACTACCAAAAGTCAAAATAAATCAGAATCGGTAAAGCTTTTCAAATTTATCTTGAATAACGCTGGTCTTTAAGCGGACGATAAAAGGGCCAAAAACTTACGCTTAATAAAGGTTTTTGAACTACTTTAAAAGTTACAATATTTGTAGAAGTATACAGTTCTTAAAATTAAAAAAAATTATAAATTTCAGAGTAAAATTTACCGGCATTTAACGGTAAGCCGAGAGCGACGCCGAGTGTTATGAATAAAGGATGTGTAAGAGCGATCCCATAATTGACCAGAGCGTTGAAAACTAAAGAAGATGAAAATTAGCGCGATCAGTTAGGGTCAAGGAAATGCAAATGTCCTTACGGAATCCCAGAGCCGCACTTCCTCCAACGTACATCCACGGTATAGTACTGAAATTCCATTTTTCTACGCCGGTTAACTGAAGAGTCAACGTGATTGGCCAGAAGAGAATCAGATTGAAAATTCCTAATCCGGTAAGCAATAACGATACTTGGCCGTAATTCGCATCACCAATCAAACGCTTAAAAAGAACCTGGAGTGATAGCAAAAAATTCTTCGTGTTGTTTCGCACTACAATATAACTGGTACTGGACTTTGAAGAAAGTGGCGTAAGACATTGAAGAAAGGTGACTGGCATAATTATCCAAATGCAAATTTACACGGGTGAAGACATCCCAAGGATAATATTTCTTACCTTATACATTGCTGATCCAACCGCCGAGCCTACGGCCAGTAATATTCCAGACAGTGCCGGATTATCCCACAGGAAGCCGTCAACGTAGCTCATTATTATAATGCCCGCCAGGGAAAAAATGGACGCAAATAGCTGCAGCACCAGGTAACCAATCAAAATAAGTAAAGGAACAAAGGCGTTTACATGAACATGCTGATGTACAAGCATCTACATCTAACTTGTAAATTAAGGGGAGAAAGTGCTCCGGATCCTTACTTTTAAGCCGGCGCATACTTGCAGTTATTTTTATTTTAAATATAAAAAATACCTTTGTGCCTTCGAAACGTTCGTGCAGAATTGTCCAGGAGAAGAAAAAAACAAATGCCGTATTGGAAGAAAACAATGCTGACACATCGGAAGCCGCCAAAATACTAAGTGCGTATGAATACATATAATTCGTCGCCGCCCAGATTATAGCGAAACATCCACATCTGAACGCTGCGGTCCAGCCGCTAAACGATTCCGCTCCAAATATTTTCCAAGCCGCACTGTATGCACATACGAAAATAAAAAAAAAGTAACATTCATGAATTGCAATCCAGCCAAAAAGACAAATGAAAAATCCTACACTACTCATACAACGCATGCCTAACAATATTTTGATAAGAAGAATGTACATATATAACAAGTATTGTTCTACCGCTAATCAGTAACATAAATGTAAATTTCTTACAACATTTCTCTGCTCCGCGATCAGCATTTGTACCTGCTAATTGCATCAACAAGCCAAATTCACAACGCCAAACAAAAACAAATTAAATTTTATTAAATATTTTTAGCTGTTATTTCGAGTGTGCTCTGTGCACTTCGCAATAAACATTACTGCAATAATTTGATTTTCATAATTTTTGCGTCTGTGGACAATAATGCGATATGTAAATACAATAGTTCTCCACTAGCTATAGAGGGATGCAGCGGTTTACTTTATGCTTGGCCGGTAATCACGGTTTTGGCATTTGCAGTTAATCCAGTTAACCGCGTAGTACATGGGATAACACAGTATCATCCAGCTGGTGTTGAACCAAATGAGGAAGAAGGGCGCGAAGAAGTGTCCCGTCGATGTTAAGGTGGCTCGGGTAAACTGCGTTGCGGACACCCATGTAATGGAAACCACCACCACCAGTATCACGCCATAGCCCAGCTTCCGGTTGCAAAATCCATCTGGTTCTTTTGGTTTGCGCCGGGGAAGTCGCGCGAGTTTGGCTAATTCATCCGCCGACGGTGACTCGGTTGGCTGATCTGTGGTCAAGAAAAATACGGAACTAGCAGATGACGTTAATAATTCATAATGATTTGCTGAAGAAATCATTTTGTTAGCACAACGCCTTTGGTAATCGTAATAACATAATTATTATAGGACTCGATCGCAAGTATCAAGCGTTTCGCATGGAGCTTTATCCACACTGAATATTATTGTCATTTACTCTAATGTCGCTTTTAAAGTTATACAAGTAGGAAATCTGAATCGGTGGTAGATTTCACTTCTGCACGTACGCCAACCTGTAAGGAGGTTAATCACCTCCAGCAATACGCTGCATTATCCTAATTACAAGTAATCTTACTAGGAAGAAGGGCAAAATAACTGTAGTTGTAATCCATGTTCGAGATGCCGCGCACTACATTGCAAGTCTACACGATGCAGGATACTGCAGGAATGGGAACAAACGAAGGTAATTACATTCTCTTATACTGATGCAACAAATATCGTTCCTTCAGTATAAGAAGGTGTTGTGCAATCACGTAAAATGTGAGACGAGTTTGGTTGACACATGAACAATTATTTTTTTACACACATATGGAGAAATATTATGCACTTAATATAAAAACGGCAATAAAAAAGGCTTGTAATTTTAAGTGAGACAAAAAAGAGATTCCGAAAAGAAATGTGGTGCATGCATGCATACTAATTTTTTGGCACGGAAAGCTCGAACAAAGTTCGGTGCATGGTGAACCGTCATGTTTTGATGCTATAATATAGACATCTAAGATAACCGTCATGCGAACCCTCCTACGGAAATCAATAAATCCCGTCAGAATTCACATCCCTTTGTGGGATCTGTGGGAAGTATATACATCGTCATTTCAATCATACACCAGACTATATTGCACGGCCACAGCCCATAGATACGAATACATTGTATGAATTGTACACTACGGTACTGTCGTTGTAGTTTTGTTTGGCTTTGACCACTGTCGAAAAGGAGAAAGAAATTTTGTAGGGTGCGATTTCACAAATAGAAGAAATTTTTTAATTCAACTTTGCTACAATTTTTCGCCTAGGTGTACAGTACATTTAATGCGTAAATACGTATTTAGTACGCGTAAGCAAAGTATAAAACTATTCTAATCAGGCGTCGTGCATCAACGTTATTAATATCGCGCGATGCTGCTGTCAAATGACAAAATCTTGTTACACGACCGGTACCAAGTGTAACTTTATCCCCTCCAATCCGTGCTGCAGGTACAGAGTAGTTTGCTAACTACAATTTGACTTTGATACTTTGTAGTGTAGCATTGCTTTAATTTGATACTGCAAACCGTAGTAATTATTGTTATTACGGCTGGCTGCAATAGTCTCGAATGCTTGCGTATAACCGGGATTGTTACCTCCGACCACTGCATTTTCTATGCTAATTGCTCTCTCCAATTCCGAACTTGTGTGGCGGAGTGCCTCCGGATTGTTCACTGGCTCAATTTGAAAAATTTCAATTGCATCCCCATTGGTTGCATCTTCAGAGCTGGAATTTCGGGTCACTGACATTTCTTGTGAAAATGTCGGGGACAGAATCCAGCATTATACTGGAGTAACTCTTTGATTTTGCAGAGATCCAACAATCCAGTGACCTTCAACAAAATATCCGCTTCTGATAATAACCGAAAATTCGACAACCGCAATGATATCGATATCGAATGTCACAGTAACTATCGAGATCATAAGACGACTCGCATTCAAAGCCAGACTAAGGCTTTTGTGGAGATAAATTAACAAAACTGCAGCCGCATTGAGTTACCTTAAGTTTTGACTAAATCTTTGGTGTCATTACTATTGCTGGAATGCTCGGCTTTAGTTGCGATTCGTGCGAGTATTGCATTATGAGCTTGGAATATTGCGCTGTGCATAAGTAGACGTGCCAACAAAGCAATCGGTATATTTGTACAATCTGATACCGTAATATCTATATAACAATTTAACGTCCAAGAGAATTAAGACTGTAGAAATTAAGTAGTACGTATGTATCATAACCGCATGAGAGACACCGGTAGAGAGCCTAGAGATTGTTCACGTTATCGCGTACATTATTGCATCAACTATCCTGCCCAGATAAGGTTTTAGCGAACTAATTGAAAGGTTACTCAAGATAATAATTTTTTTGATTCTTGATGCAGCCGTACGTATGTACGTCTATCTTAATCTTTCTGTTTATAAAGCCGCCATGTGAGTGGCACCGTCGCCGATATGAATAATTTGTCACTTGTTAATTTCGCTTCGTTTCGGCATATGTGCACATGTACAATAATAAATAATGTACTTATTGTCACTGCTCATGGCGGCCCATGCCTTCTGGATGCATTATTTTTCTGACCGTGAATACACACACTGATTGTGGTGATTATAAGTCATAACTCATAAGAACGAAGCTCTTGATAGCATGATAGGCATTCTAAGAATCGTACTAAACTGTAGCAAGTGTTCCGCAAAAATTCTATGTGTGTACAGTGTACACCAGTTTTAGCACTTTTCTATCTGCATTACAATTCAGCGCATATTATATTTTCTGCATATACTGTAATTATGTGCTGTATAGACGGTATTTGTGTGTATTTGACTGTCTTCTTTCATATGAATCGTATTTATGTCAAAGAAACCCAGGAAAGTTTACCGGTTAATAGGGTCTACGAGCAGAAGATTCGGGCGACATTTCAGTAACAGAATTGCTAGAATGTAATCTTGATGCGCAGGAGGTCGGAAATCGTCACACTGTCGGCTGTTTAAGATTGATGTGCTGCACTTGCACCATTCTGACTTTGTCAGAGAAAAATTTAGTTTCCCTTAACTAAAATTATCAATAATATATAGTGGGGTGGTAGGGATGCCTATATATATATATGACCATCTATATAATAATTATTAAGGGTTATGATATGCCGAATGCTGCAAAACGCTTCATCTAGGTTGATCTAGCTACGATGTACTGTATAGTGTATACCTGAATTAGCTTTATGATTATCGGCACTTCGGAATTCGGATGGTGAGTTTTGACCATGACTTATCATCTTATGAAGAGTTACTATTCTTATGAATATACAAGAACTACCGGACCTGAGTATACCGGTAATATCCATGTAGTCATCCGTCAGGGGCAAATGTACTGACCAAAACAATCTTGACCATGCAAGCGAATTCGAGATTCTCGCCGCGATTGCAGACTGGCAGTGTGTCATTTTGACGTCACTAACAGACAGGGATTTTACTGTGCGCCAACAGGAGAACTACGCATGCGCTCTGTTTCTGTTCGGGTGCTGTCATATGCGCGGTGGTGCAATACCGTGGTCATAGCACTGGCGCTTGATTTAAGAATACTGTAAACATTTTTATCACGCGTTTTTTCCTCGTTTGCAGAGGATGGTTTTCTGTGAATTTTCATGTATCTGCCCAATTAACAAACAGCATAGTTTGCGAACGCGCGCTGTTTAAAGATTGCCGGGATAAGCACTTGTTGTTATGTGCCTACGATGACTTCCCGTCGCACCTGAGTCGCACGGCTCCCAACCGTCCCAGGGCGCCATCCCGGCGAGAATCATCAATTCAAGTCATGTTTTGATGTTTTGCAGGCCTGCACATGCTGGCCATGCAGCACGTAGCCACGTACAGTACTTATTAATGTGAGTTATTAAATTGTGGGCGTCTACTGCGAGATGCGAGCATAATGTTGCCGGAACTGGAAGACTTCTGGGCGCAGCCCCGTCAGCCCCCCTTTAATAGCACAACCATCAACGTGATCAAAACAAATGACATAAATTTAACAAACAGAACAAACAACAATAATGCAATGGGAATGGGCGGGAGGGAGAAAAATTTCCCTTCCTAAAACTGCAGAAAAGGAATTCAACAAAGCACACAACTCTCTAGCAACGAGCAAACATCTCAGAATCTCCGACTCTGAGGAAACAAGGCCACCCAACAAACCAATGAAAGCCGACAAACGGCCATAAACCCAAAATGGGAGGGATCGATGTGCACCCACAATTAACTGCATGATTAAATGCATTTAATCATTCATTGATCAAACTGCAGAACTGGCGTTATAGGACTGCAATCCAGTCTTATGGTTATAGTACGAGTACAGTTACCTACTGGTAGTCAGACTACAAAATTTATAGTCCACAGTACTGTATGTCCACAGATGGCAGGCTGAGGCAAATCTGTGGTTGCTAAATGATGTTTACACTTTATAGTTTGAATATTTCCTTCGTTTTCTGCTCTACTAGGTAGCGATTGGAGAATGCTTTTCCGGAAAGAGTTTACTCCGTTTCGACTGGTTTTCATTCCCGACTGATCGGATTCTGAAAGCTGAATATGCACAACGAAAGTGTGGCAGGTGGGCTGGAAAAGAGGCAACATGATCGCGTACCTGCCAAGATGCCGTCGCGTGTGCCCCAGTTCGATTTCCTTCCGCATTATGTTGTACGTTCTTGGCTTATTGGTAGCTGCGTTCGTTGTCCAGCATCAGCTGCATCCTGACTGTCCACCTGGTACCGACGGAGAACGCTATGTCACGTGGGAGATACCTAGCTGGGCTTATTTCAACAACCAGATTCTCCTACATGTTACGGTTGCGGCCTACAATCCTCTCCACAGCCGCGTGATCCTTTCGCCTGGGTTCCAATTCAATCCCATTCAGGTAAATTTTTTGTTTGTTTATATTTAATTTTCGGTGTCTTGAAAAGTGTATCATTTAGCTGCCTATCCGTTGTCGCTTCAGTGAATGATTAATGCCGAGATATCTGTTATTGTCAAATGCTGGCTGATTTAAATTCAGCTTTAAGTTGCGCTGTTTGAGTAGTTTGAGTTGCACTCGAAATGCACAAGAGCACAAACCACAGTGTTAAAAAAACTAATGGTTGTTTATTTTTTATACCTTTAACTTTAAAGGTATGAAAAATAAACAAGGTGGTTCTGAGCCTGCGACTGCAACAAGGAAATAGGAAGCTTATTTTTGCTACGTCGAATCAGTACTTCTATTCTTGCGATTGCACTTATCAGTTATGTTTTTATTATGAAATTGTTTTGTTACATAGGGCTTGCAGCATCTGGTGGTTTTACCGTTTGGTCGAGTATTTGAACAAAACCTCACCGATTTCCGTTCAAAAAAGCCTCTCGGAGTGTCCATGCGGCGAACTGTTTATCTGCAAGATGTTAAAAAAATCCTGGAAGACGGCTGCGGATACGCCACGGAGCTTGTCAACGATCGAGAGGATTTGTGGGGCAAAATGTACACCCGTTTTGTGGTTCGCGTCTTCCTTTTGGGTTTGCACCATGACGTTAGCGCGGTGATTTCGCGCTTCCGCTACACCATGCCGTTACGACAGTGTATTGATTCCGCACTGCAGACTCATGGCCGGAAAATCTCGCGCTCCATTGGCATTCATATTCGCACGTGGAAGCGGGATGTGTCGGTGGTCAGTCACGCTTGCGACACTATTAACGGGCATAACCCGCTGCGATATTTATTTGTCTGTGATTTAACAACGGAAGCGATTGTTGCCAGTATTGAACGGGTGAGGAAATATCCTTATCAGGACCTCTTCCTGGCTACGGATGATGTTGATCATCCCGTGGTCAAGAGTATTATGGCCAAATATCCCACAATTCAGTATGAGAAAAACGAACTGGATGAATGTCTGCGCGGGCAAAATCTCAGCGCTAAGGATCTGGAGTTTTGGTCGGCGATGGCGCATCCACTGATACAGAACGAATTGCTGGTCCAAGCGGATGCATTTGTCGGCTCGTTCTTCTCGACGTTTACCCAGGTGGTAGCTATTAAGCGCGGCATGGTGCGCGTTGAATTTTTTCAGACCGAAGGGCAGAGATTATTTTATAGATTTTTATATCCGCTGGGATTGGTTGTCGTCGCTGTTTTGATGCTTTTGCCCACGGTGTTTGATTTTCTTGTTAGGAAAAGTGTTTCTCGTGATTTTCGGCTTGTTTGACGCTGTGGTTAGTTACAGTAATTTGAATTTTTAATTGTGATTTTAATGTTTGTGAAAGTTATGCATGAACTGATGAACCTGTATAATGCCTTTGGAGTGCACACAACAGACTTTGAAGCATTGACAGATCTGTCGAATACTGTTGTTCATATCACATATGCGCTGGCTAAATGTGAATTGTGATGGTACAGCGTTATGTCACTACGCTGACTTGGCTGTAGTACAGACAATAAAATTGAGGTGTTAAAACACTAAACAGAAGCCGACCTTTATCTATTTTCTAAACTTAATTCATGACCCGGTATCACGGCGGTGCAGTACTGTATCTCCATCGTAAATCAGGTGTGTCCAGATAGAGAAACGGAAATGAATGCTCACAACCGTCGCATGTCCGTCAACTGCTTTTTATTGTTGAGAATTTTGTTATATTACTGGATGTGCATCTGAAGAAGCATTTGGCTAAACAAACAATTTTTGCCATATTTTATTGATATTTAATAAATACCTTCCATAAGCAGCTCGACAATCGGTGAAAGTTGGAAGCCCTAACTAAATGTTATTATCCCTATTAAGCGCAACTAAAAATTACTGCCAGTCTAAATGGGCATATTACGCAGTTTGGCTCAAATTGTTCTTGAAATTTGATGCAACCAAAGCGCATTATTCGATCGGAATTTCACGGTAGCCGTAATTTAAAATGCCGAAGAATTTAAAGTTCAAGAATCCATTTCGCAAACATGGAGATTTTGCAAAACCGGAGATGTCGCGATCTTTATCTACTGTCCAAGTAGTCATCCGGACTTTTCGCCAGATTTCTTTTGGGCGCGACATTGACGAGCTTTCAGGTAAAAAGGAGTGATATTTCGGTGGAGAAGTTAGGCTGACATGTGCATGTGTTATTAATAATTTATAGCGATATTTGCATCTGCGATCATTGCCATATATATATAAAAGCGTGCTGTTGCAGAAGTGGAGGAATACGTGGATGAGTTTGAACATCTGAAAATTCGTGACTTAAAGCAGTTCTCCATCGGCATTGTTTTTATTTGCGCCATTTCTACGTGCAATGCTATGTTGAATAATGTTGTAAAAAATACATCTACGGATGTTTTCTTCTCCCCGGCATTTGTTGTATGGCATCGAGCCTGTTACCGGATGCTCACGTTTCCAACATACCTGATGCTTAAATGGCTTTTCGAACGAATTGTAAAACGCTCTGATCCTCCAGTGACATTCAAACATCTAATTCTGTAAGTTGTGCAGTCATGAAATGCAATACATTAAAATACCGAAAGAGTGCCTATTTTACATAGACAAACAACTGTTTACGTAAGTTTATAAGTAGTACGATAAACTCTGATCGCATTTCATGCGTACTTGTACATACATACGAATGGCGTGCATAATTAAATCTGCTGCAGTTCCATGACCAGCTGAAATTATAAATTTTTATTTGTGTTAATTTGTTAATTTATGAAAGTAAAACTGTGTAAGTCTGGCTATGCATATGTATTTGTAGACGCAGTGTCTGGATTTTAGAGACGCGGTAAAATTCTACGGGGAGCGAAAAGTTTCATTTAGCCGATGGTGTAAAGATCTGTTAATCCTAACAGTTCTGACGGTGATAACCCAGTACGCTAACTGGGCGCCGCTGTACCGATCAATTTCCACCGGCACATTGGCTGCTCTGCAGTCCTCCAACATAGTTTTCGTATTCCTTTTATCGGCGGCATTCCTGAAACTGGAAATTGTCAACGCAAAAGTAGGGGCATAAAATTTACACATATGCACTAGTAATTGCAGTAGATCATACGGTATATTTGGGTGACATCACCCGCAATATAACCTTTCTCCATGCAGATTTTTGGAGTTGTATTCGCCATAATTGGGCTGGGAATATTGCTCCTTCTGGAAATTACCTCCAATCCAAAATGGGCATCTTCAACCGCAGTTATCTGGGGTGCAATATCTACAGCTGTATATCAAGTAGGTTTACGATTGATAAAAAACGCGTAAAACCATCTGACTTTAATTTCAAACATCGACCTATAGTCCTGTCATTCTATTTTTTAAGGGATAAATCAGAGAAGCAAAATTAATGCAGATAAAAATATTAATACTGATACATACATTTTGTTCGGTAATATTTTTTGTTACAGTAGTATTACTGTGCTAAAGTGTGTTATGCTGATTTTTTTTATTTGCTTACTGATTTTTCCATGCAGGTTTGCTGCCTTTACCCTTTAATGGCAACTGCTTTATGATTGCACAGGTGACCTTTAGGATTCGTGTTGGAGGCACGACAAACCTTGGACGCATCAGTTTTTCGGTTTCGTTATTAGGCATGCTAACGGCGATGGCAACGTGGCCTCTGGTGCTAGTTTTAAAATATACCAAAGTAGAAGAATGGGAATACCATAACCTTCCGTGGGAAATGCTCATGCGAACATCCGCCGCGGCTTGGGGTGAGACCTGTTACTTGATCGTGCTTCCTAATCTCAGCCACATGCCTTCTATAAATCACCACAATTAAAATGTCCAGTGCACGCTTTATGTAATATTAATTATTTTTCATGTTAGCTTTGGCATTTTTGATCAACCTGGGTGTTGCATGGACGAATCCATTTTTTACTTCCCTGGGATTCCTTATGGTGGTACCAATGACTTATGGTAAAAATTTGAATGAAGTAAAAAAATAATGCATTAATGCTTTTGCTTCGAAAGAGTGCATTAATGATATACACTTTCACTTCGAAAGTGTGTATATATATTGACTGTATTTATACATTCATTTATTTGTATTTGGATACGACGTAGTGACTTACTACTTACTAGCGAGGGTGGATAAAATCATCCTCTTTTGAAAAAGTGCATTTTTAACTTATTCAAAGTATTTTAGTCACATATTATTGATCCCAGTATAAGTAACAGCTTTTTTAATTACTTACTAAATTTTATGTGCATATATTAATTAATGGTTATGGGTAAGTCGGTAAATTGGCATGATTCGCTATTGCCGTAATAATATTGTTAACGTTGACAGTATTTCCTTCCGTATTTTCCGTTGACAGTATTCTTTCCGTTTTCCGTTTCCGTTGACAGTATTTTTCCAAAAACTCCATTAATTATACTGTAACTACTATGTGTCTGCTTAGTGTTCGACTATTTCTGGAATCAACGTACAACCTGGGCGATTGATTTTGTTGGATCGGGTTTAATTGCCACAGGATTCATTTTACTAGTTTTTGCCGATGTCCTAACCTGGGATCACTTCAAACAAGAGTGGCGTAACTTCCGAGGTAATCTGCAACTCTGCCAGAACTATACCGGCAGAAAGGTCAACGCCCATGTGGAAAAAAGTGTCAAACTGGAAGACACTACGGCCACTGCTCAACTGAAGCTCATGGGCATTACGGTCAGAAACGTCGAAGAGCTCAAACTGCCTGCAGCCTCTGTGGCCAGATCGGGATCATTTCGTCCAGTGGACACGACGTAGTTACTTTCAAGCTAGGGTGGATAAAATCATCATTTTTTGGTTTTTGTCGTAGAAATCCGTTTTCTATATGGCTGTGTACATATACTGATGGTGATGCCGGTATTACAGCAAAGTAAATGCACTGTTGCGGGTAGCAGTTTGACTCAGAAAAAAACTAGGCGTTATTATAAAGTTTGAAACTTCGTGATATTGTCTGTTTTTAGAGTTTCTTTATGAAATACTTTTTTTCTTTCTGCATCTAACTGAGTACATAATTTGAGCAATAATGAATTGGAAAAGTAAGCTAAAACGGATCGAGTAACCTATATGTAAGTAGTTTACCTTACCACTCCAGACGAGTTTAATGACCTTTGCTCTGATGGTCTAACAACGTCGTATCTTTATGCCAATTTTATAACTGAACGCGTTTATACGATTATTTTTTCCGATATTTTAGACAACAGTGAGCCAAAAAGTGTATCAAGGATGTGAATACGTTCAAACCGCAAAACTCCGCTGAAGTGGTTCCAAAATTAATTAGTGTCTTGCTGTCTCTGTTTTTGCGAAAACTTATTCCAAAACAGGAAGCAGTATTCACAACGATTCGTTCACTGCAATGATTAGCGTAAACCTCTTCTAGCTCTTGAATAGCAGTTGCATAAAATATGTTGAAGCATGTCAAGAAAATTTCGTCAACATCTAATCATTTATTGGCGGATTCTGGCAACGGGATTCAGAGCCATCGCGGCGATCTTGCTGTCCCATCTGCTCAAGCCAACGTTTCCGCTCAGCTTGCTCACATCAGCGATCGCTCTCCACCTCCTGGCCAACTAAAATCCCAAATCTCAGCTAACAAAGGTCGCCCTGCGTCAGCCAGTCGGGTTCGGCTTACAGCACAATTTTCGTACAAAAGCTACGGGAGCTACCAGTTGCGTCCAGGTGCGAACAGATAAAGGATAAACACATGATGCAATATTGTCAGTGACTTAAGTCATTTAAACGTATAAGGTTTATAAATCCACAAGTAAGATTTGTAAGTAAGATTCATAAATCATACAAACGCTTGGCTTGTTCACTGCTCCATTGTCAGATTGACTTTTTCCACTTGCAGTCTTACAAAAGTCAGTTTCTACTCACACCGAATTCGACCATTTGAGAATCCGCGATATTAAAAGTTTTATCATGGGCATTCTGTTTATTGGCTCATTTTCGAGCCTTGCTGGAATGGTCAATAACATAGTTCGGCAGTCAACAGAACAGGAATCGTTTTATGCACCCTCTTTCATCGTATGGCATCGCTTTGCAGTCAGGATTTTTACATTTCCTGTTTACCTTTGTATTAAGCGACTGAACGCGTGCATGTTTCATGGAGGAATTCCAGAAAGGTCATTCAAGGAATTCTATTTGTACGTCTAAATTCTAAAGCCAAAGCGGCTAGTCCAAAGCGCATTATAAGTTAAAAGCTTACTCTTCTAACAATAAATGGAACATGTAAAAATGATAACTGCGCATGCAGACCTAGACTCACTTTTTCAGGAAACAGTTTAGCCAAGTCTTTAATGTTAAGAAAAATCTCCCAATGAGGTTTACCATGTGGTCATTAATATATGACGAAACTTATTAATTTATACATTTAGGGACAGCGCGATGATTTACGGTGGAAGAAAAGTAACCTTTACCAAGGTTTTCTGGGACTTCATGCTGTTGGCAGCTCTGCACATCCTGTCGCAGTACGGAAACTGGGCGCCGCTGTATTATGCAGTGTCTACCGGAACTGTGGCTGCGCTGGGGGCATCCAGTTTTGTGTTTGTCTTCCTGTTATCTTCGGTATTTCTTGACATCAAACCAATTAAAACAAAGGTGCATATGCCGTGCCGTTGATTAATCGATGGTATATGAGCACTCTGCAAGTAATTAAGCAATCCTAAAATTGGTCTTACAATTAGGTTTTTGGAGCGCTGTTGGGTTTATTCGGACTGGCAGCGCTAGCTCTAATGGAGATCGTTGTTAACCCGAAATGGTACAATTCCACAGCGATAATCTGGGGTGCCATTTCCACTGCATTGTATCAGGTTAAAACATCGTTAAAACTGAATTTTCGAAATATACAAATATATGTATGAATTCTTCTATTAATCGAACAGTTAAGCAGTGAATTCGTTTTATCATGGGAAATGGGAAATTACCAACTTTATATTCCTGCATCACGTAAACTACGTTGTGGAAGCAGTGAATTCGTTTTATCATGGGAAATTACCAACTTTATATTCCTGCATCACGTAAACTACGTTGTGTCATTTAATAATTAAAAGCAGATAAATTACTGGAGCCCCTTTTGTGATCGTACAACTGTAAAGCACTTACTATTATTTAATGGTTTGACAAGATTTGTTTTGGTTCAAGGTGGTTTTTAAACTCCAGATCGGCGGCACGACCCACCTTGGGCGAATATACTTCTCCATTACAGTAATGTCAGTTATTTCCACACTATTGATGTGGCCAATGGTTCTTGCACTGAAATATTCCCACGTGGAGGTGTGGGATTATTCTACACTACCGTTGAAAATGTTGTTTACAACATCCTCTACTAACTGCCGTATGTTTTTAATTATAACAATATTGTCGTGACCTTTTAGTTTTATCATCGGTGGTATCCTTTAGTGTAAAGTACGAAATTAGGCTTATAGTAATAAATTGTGTGAATTAATGAATTAATGAAATGACCGAACTATAATAATTGCAGTTGTGATTTTCCTGACAAATTTTGCTGTTTCACGGATTAATCCGCTGTATACATCCGTTGGCTTCCTTATGGTAGTCCCAATAACTTACCGTAAGGCTGCCCACTTGACATCAGACTTAGCATTGCAACACATAATTTTTCAATTATTTTGGAAACTGTTTGTTGATACCTGCCTGCGCGTAATTGCTTAAGGTTACTTTGATTTTTTCAGTCTAACTTATTCTGATTTTACCTTACGGTTGTTAGTGTTAGATCGTTGTTGGAATGACCGACAGCAAACGGCGGTCGATATCATTGGAGCAACATTGGTGTTATCTGGAGTGACCCTGTTAATTTTTGCGGATGTTCTAACGTGGAGCAGCATACGACGCGGATGGAAGAACGTTCGAGGCAACCTAAAGATGTTACGGCGCTATAAAAGTGGATTTAAGAGAAACGTTTTAAAAATTTCACAGAAATAGCGTCCTGTCTGCTTTTGATGCATCACACTTCAACATTATTAATAAATTTATTGTACTTCTATGGATAATGGACTACGTATTACTTTGATACCGGATAAATAAAATTAACAATGATTATAATATTATACACATTTAATCGTCAATACTATCGCCACTGATTTATGTACACGCCAATTGAAGACATATAAACATGAGCTACATACAAAATTAACAATGATCGATGTTTTGCAGTTTTGCTTTCGGAAATACTGTTAGTGTAACTATGCTATAAGGCAGCAGCTGCTCGTCTTTTTTTGCATGCCGCGTGAACGTGCACTAATTTCTTACTAATGGACACCTAATTGTACACCAAGATGATAACTCTGCCACCATCTGTACATCGACACGCCTAACAATAAAAAACTTGTGATATTTGTAAGGTTTTGTTTTATGTTTTACCATGCAAAAAAAGTCATTTTACCATGCAAAACTTACAGCACAGTGCAGCGTGTAGAGTTGCTGTAACTGCTATCACCTAATCGATTAAGTACTGCACAAAGAAAAGCTTTTTTGAAGGACTGATCGGCTGACCTGCTTCTCGACATTGGTATGCATGAATCGCACATATGCAAAATTTCAGATCGACTTCATCGCTTCTGTGTTGCATATAGATATATCACGTTGCATAAAGATATTACATTGCATTATGCCAACATTAAACATGTACCAGTACATATACTCAGTTTTAGCAACCCAGTCGCCAAAAGTCCAAAACCGCCAGCGGGCCGAAAAAATGCAAATGAAATTGAGTTTTATCGATACGCTGTCAGTTTCACTTTGTAAAACGAATAAATAGCCTGTACCAATTATGTGACAGTTCGCTGTACACTGCGGTACGTAATTACAGGTAGATCATTATATCTATTTATATATTCGTTACGAAATACACGGAATCGTATCAAATTCAGTACTGCGCTGTATCCGAATTCGCAAACTAAGTCCATGTCTAGCGCGTAGATTGTACGAAAACCAGTACTTTGTTGCATTGCAACAGGTCGTCTAGCATGAATAAAAAACGAATGGGTCAAGAGTGACCTAAGCCCTCCTCATGTTATGTTCTACCCATCATGATTGGCTGCATATAAGCAACCACGTTCTGAAGTTACCTGCACGTGATTCATAATTTCAAAGAAAATAAGAAGTTGCTGTTTTTTTAGCGCCGTCGCATTGAACTAGTACATATAACTGACACTGTGCTGTACGACCACAGTTTGCACTGACAATCATTGTTTTTTGTCTAGTAGACTGCTGGGAAACGGTGCGCAATTATATCGGGCTTTCTCGGCACATGTGTTTTGTCGCCTGCAACGCAACGGACGCTTCGCGTTATTATTCGCATAAATTATCGAAGGTTATTACGTTGGCTTATTTTCTCCATACATACATGCATACTGCAGTAAACACCCAGTATTGAATGTGAATTGAAAGGCAGTGAATGGCGTTATTGTTCACTTTTTACACAGGCTGCTGACAGTATCGATGCATTTGATTATTTTCCGGTCTTCTCCCCCTACGAGCGTGCGACATCTTCCTGTATACGCCATCGATACCGGATAAAAATCACCGCCATTGCCAATTTTCTCAGGCGAACATCTTCAGTTAAAGAACTTAATAAGATACCTTACAATTGTTGCAACCGGTCTGTTTTACGGTTGCTGCATCGTAAAGGCGCAACGTAACGACTTTGTTATCAGCGTTGCAGTCGTTTTTCTATCAAGAAAATTGCACCCCGGAAGGAGCATCCAATGTTGATACGCGCCGGACGTACTATTTTGTCATCGGTGTTGTGCCAGCAAAGGTCGCAATCGGAAAGCGACGAGCAGCAGGCAAATGCGGTAGGCAACGGTGTCCACGCGCATGCGGCTGGGAGTAGAATGTCCATCCACTCCAATTCCAACGGCACACCTTGGCGACGCATATCCCGTGTATCATCCGACGACAGCGGCGATGATTTCAAAAAACCAGACCCGGACTGCGAGGAGGACAGCGTTCGCCGTAAGTAATAACATAAGCGCCACATGTACATACTGATAAGTGCTTACATGGCTGCAGTTACTACACTGTACAGTCTGTACTTACCAAGTACCAACCTCGCCTAGAGTGGCAGATCTATGCGGGATCTTACCGCAACATGGAAATACTAATATTGAGAATCTTTGAAAAATGATTCATTCGCGTAAATACTATAGACAAAATATGAAGTTGAATTAAAATTTGGTGCGTAAATTAAATATTGCACAATTTATACATAATTTTTAAGGTTTTTTGATTTACTGATTTACTGATTTACAATTAAAGTAGCGGAACTGTGACCGTTTTCGTCAACTGTGTGAATTTTTTTTACTAGAATGTATAAATAAAGGAATTGATTTATGAACACTGAAGAATTCCGTTGTTATCAATTTGGAAATGCAGTTTTGCATGACTGTTATTAATATTGAATAATTCAATGCTGTTGCAGTTGCAACGCACGTACTATACATTCATCTAATGATTTTTTTGTGGATTAAGTGTAGCACTTGTATTCACTTACTGCGAAACATTAATAAGTGTACGATAAAAGATCAAGCATCCTTGTCAGTGTGGGCCGCCGCCGTGTCGGACTATCCGGGCACGAGCAAACTGGACCGGAAGTTGAGTAGGAATTTGCGTTCAAGCCAATACACTTGGACTAATGTTACATGATGAACAAGTGTTGTCGGCGCTGAAAACAGACGCACTTGGCATAATTGGCCTGCTAGCCGATACTCCATAATTTCGTTATGTTAATATTACTGGTTACATTGTGTTGGATGGCGTTGTTACAGCGGACGACAAGCCTCCCGATGAGGATCTAAAGAGGTTACGTTTCAAGGACTTTCGTCTGCTTGTCCTTGGATTGCTGTGTATTGGTGGTATCGCCATCTCGTCGGCCCTCTTAAACTATTACGCAAAGAACACATCCACTACCTACTTCCACGCGCCGCTCTTCCTGATCTGGTTCCGTAGCAATTGGCGCATTTCGGCTTTTCCTATCTTCGTGGTGTTGCGCAAGGTCTATGATTTCCTGTTTAAGCGGTGTGGCGTCAAGCAAGAGACTGTCAAAGATCTTGTCAAGTAAGAATTCAAAAATAGCTCATTATCTTTTCCTGATTCCGTAACCAGATTTTTTATTAATCGTAAATGATGTGTTCGTAACACTGCACAGCTAAATACAATTAATGAGCTGATACAATTATCTTGCGAAGAGAAGGTACTTGTATATTACGAAATTGACCACGCTGTGTAATATCGCAAGCAGCATGTACTTGTAAACTATGGAGCATGGATATTCCACATCTTGCTGGAAGCAGTTTCTCAGAGTGCCTCAAGCGCCGGCAATACATTTGCGGGCATTTCGCCGTTCATTTACTTTTACGGTATTCACTAGTTTGAATTGTTGACAAGGTAATAATATCAAGGCAATTCGACGAACGCGTTGCGGATATCACACCTTTGTACATGGCTCAGACTTTTATTTTCGTTGGTGGTTATTTCCGCCAAAACATAGGCTTATAACATTAATAAAAAGTCATACCTGATGGGGAATTATATGCACACTTATATAAGTAAACTGTTTTCTAGCTTGCCAGTTTTTATTATACGGAAATTTCACAAAGCATCGAGTACTTTAATACTTCGAACTGATTACATTACATGACGTTTATACAATGAATAATATGCTAATTTTTATCCGGCAGTACAGGAACAATACTTGTGGTTTTGTTTTCAGGTTTCGCTTGCGTAACAGGCTATTTGCAAAATTTCATGCAAGCGCTAAAACCGCAAATAAAATGCGCACGAAAAAACACTACTAAACTATAGGTATGCACCTTTTTGTTACAGAAATGGAACAAAAATTTATGGTGGACGGAAAATTTCGGCAAAAATCTTTTTCATCGATATTGCATTGTTATCCACCATCAGCATCGCTGTACAGTATCTCACATTTGCTCCTTACCATTTTGTCTGGGCCGGAAATGGGACTGCTCTCAACGCTTCCAACGTGGCTTGGGTTTACATTTTATCAGTTATTATCCTGGGTGTCGATATTATGCCGGTCAAAGTGCGTACAGTATAAAGTAAAAATCGTATAAGTATTACCTACGAATGTTTTACGCGTTACCTGCTGTAATATTTGTAAGTTTTTTCTTACATGTTTGCACCGGGCTGGTAGATGACCTTTAAACGAAGGTTTTCTTCGAAAACTGCAATGCTTACAAGCGCAACCATATTATGTTCATGTTTTATATTTTACTTTTAGCACAGCAATAGCATATTAATCGAAAAGCGAATTCATTAAGCGCGTTTTGTTTATACAGGCTGTTAGAAGCGTCCACAGACAGTTCTGCCTATGGTTTATGATTATTCCAGCCGGAACCTGATTACTTATCGTTAGCTACTGTCTACCACCTAGAAATCATTAATATGCTTGCTTTAACCTCGCTGTTGATTATGCGAAAAACCAGTACCCACCCATTGATACTAAAAGTTCTGATCACTATTGGAGTTAATTATTCTTTCGAGAAACCAACTAATGAGCTTGTGTTGGCCAGTTCTTTTGTTGATAGCACATGCTGCATGAGGACATCACATGCTTGGCATTGCTGGCTGCGCCGGGAACGAGCTTGCAGTTGCAGTATACGGTTCAATTGTATATGCAGGGAGGTTGATTTTCCTGCCGTTTACTAAAACTCTACGCAAATTATTAGCTGCATGAAAGAATATTCATTTGTAGTACAAATACTTGAGTTGAAACTGATAATGGGTTCTTAGAAAATAATGACCGATAACTTTTTTAATGGGGGCGGTAGATCAGTGTATGTAAATAATGTGATGATTATCTAATTATCTAATTAATTTTAATTATCGCAAAATGGTAGCCCCGATAGTAAAATTTAATGGTTAAGATCCTGTTTTAGATCCTGGGAGTATTGTGCTCATTGATAGGAGTGGTACTCTTGGCTTACCACGAAGGTTTCACCAATCCAGATTGGGAGAGTGCTGTGATGATGATTCTTGGCGCAATGATAACTGCCGTATATCAGGTGCGTACATATTATTATTCATAATTTAATTTCAAGCTGAAACACGTACCACGCGGCCTTCTTTGTGATCACACAATTTATGTGTTCAAAACTATTCTTTGTACTACTGATGAATATTATGCAGTAGCTAAACATAGGTTCATGAACAATAAACGAGTATACAAAATATATTATTAAGCCGCTTTGTGGCTTCAGAGTTCAAACGCTGATAATTCGTAACTTGCCGCAGTACTGTAATTACGAATACGTGGTGCAGGTGTTGTACAAGAAACGAATCGGAGGCACGACAGATTTGGGCCAGATCACCTTTTCCGTCTCTACTTTGGCCTGTTTCACTCTGTTCACCATGTGGCCCATTGTGCTCATTCTTTACTTGACAAAGGCCGAGCGGTGGGAATGGGAGAGCATTCCTTGGGACATCGTTTGCAAGAACTCCGCAGCGTCCATGGGTAATTCAGCATCTAATATCTTTCAGTAAATTATAAAATTCTCTGTATAATTTGATCAGGTATTATTTTCAACAAAAAAATCTCTTCGGTCGCTTTATGAATTTCCTGTCTTTCAGCGTTTAATTACCTGATAAACCTGGGTGTCGCATGGACTAATCCAGTTTATACATCGTTGGGATTTTTATTGGCTGTTCCGCTTGCACATTGTAAGTGAAGCGTTTACTCAAAGGTCATGCGTAAAAGAATCCAACTACGGTCCGATGTAGCCGATGTCGTAACCTTTGCACTTTCCTTACATAAGCAGCGTCTACAAACACAATTATCTGTATCTGTATACAAAATGTCGATCTAAGATATACGTACGTTGACTGACTAAATGATTTATTCTGGTTGAGCAGTAAATATATTACGCAAATCATGCTTGCAATTTATAAATTTGCGTGAACGTTCTTTTTGTGTTGAGAAAGACCAACACTGTGAATGTATTGCAGTTTTCGATGCCTCTTTGGCTCATAAGCAGTTCGCCCCCGTGGAAACAGCCGGCACGGTGATGATCGGGATGGGATTTGTTGTGATTGTTTTTGCCGATCGCGTATCCTTCGATTGTCTACAGGGACTGTGGGCCCGCGTGAAGAATGGTTTTGGAGTAGCCAAGCTGTTCAATAAGAAATCTCAGCCCGATGAGGGTCAGCAGGTGATGAACGCCCCCGACCAGACTAATGCCGCTCCCATACCCACGATATCCGTCCAGGTTGATGACCCAGATCATCGCGATAACCGCTCAGCTCAAAAAGAATCGCAGGCGTAAACGTCCATTCCCGTTTGTAATAATTTAATTTTTTGTGTTCCAAGCATTCTCCGGTTGTCACGTGGTATTTAATTGTTTTGATGGCGCAAATTTTGCCTCATTTCATTTGCTTTCATGTTTGAATTTTTAAACCAAGTCGCAGCATGCAATTGGTCACATTCTGCTTACAGTTGAGTACAGTAATTCAACATGTACATGTTTTTACAGTCATTCTGGCAGGGTGGGTGGCAGTTGCTTAAATATACAGCTTGCTGCTATGCAGCAGTTTCGTCTTGTGATGTCTTGTTCTGAGTTTGCACCGCGCGTCTTTATTTGGAATGTCCAAGCATCTAATCTGTCATTCGTAAGTTTCTTAAGGTTCCTCTTAATGCGTTCCTGCTGTTTGCAAACGTTATATTTGAAAAACATTTGCTGTTGAGTTCGATGGTTTGATTACCGATCATAAGACAAAATAGCGTAGGATGCGCAATACCTGCATATAGATATAGCCATAATTATACTACTAAGTAGTATAATTGTATGTAGTATGTAATTGTATGTACTACTTTGTATGTAGCCTAATGTAGGTATGATCAGACAGAACCAGATGACTGAACCACATCATTTTTGCACTAATGAACGTGTCCCTCACGCCATATAGTACGTCCCGAAAGCGACGTAAATACCTTTCTAATATTGGCAACAGAAAGCAGTACTAACACTTTTGGTGCTTCTGTGCATGTGACGGAGTAACGACCTGTGACCTTTATCTAGCTAGCCTTTAGCTGTAACCTCTTCCTGTTGGTGCAGGCAGAAGAAAAGCAATATTTCGTGACGCATTAGGCTTAAGCTTAACTCAAAGGCTGATTTGTAACAAGTGAAAATTTTGATTTTCATGAAAGAAAATGCGAATATGTTGCGCACTGCCATTAGAATTAGCAATTTAGCACAGCAAGAATTCTGCGGCAGCTGGTCTGTATATGTGCAACAGAAAACGACAATTTTATATTTACATATAAACATCATTTCGATCAACCGCATGCGCATAGATAAATTACTATTACTGTAAATAAACATAATTGCACGATTAGGTCGACCCAAAGCAGATCGCCCATTCGATTAAGAATTTGGCAAAATCAAAGTCCAGAAGCCAAAAGCTTTTCTAACTGGCCAGCCTTTCTAACTGCATGCACATTTTCGTAATCTAATTTGCGTGTTTTCACAAAGCGATTACCACCGAAAAAAACTAACTCATATTAGCACTCTCTTGTTCTTTTTAAAATTGCAGATGAGTAGTTTAATTAACGAGTAAGTTTTTTTGGTAGTGTTTTGTTAGCGCGCGTATGTTTAGACAAACGCACGCGGTAATAATTTATGTTTGGGATCCTCTGATTCTGAATGATCGAGCCAACCGATAAGCTACAGTAGTGCCATATTGCATCAAATGTAATATGTCAGTTTTCCATTTTCTACCACACTGACCACGGCATAGCAGCAGCTGTATTTGCCAGTACAGTTCGCCAGTACAGTTCGTAATACTTAATAGTGTTTTCGTGGTAGAAACACTGAGTCATTAAGAACTGAAAATACTTGCTTCATACTCAAAATTAATATTATTTATACTTTATCTACTTCTATGTAACACCAGTACTATGCAGATATTTCGCAGAGTATCTTGTCTGAGTGTTTTTATGATCCTGGTTCATTTCCATGACGTTTTCGTGGGAACCAGCTTGATCCCTGATCTCGACGATCTCCGTAAGACCATAAGTACTGCGGTTAATTATGCGTTACATGTAACGAACGAATAACTGTAAGAAGTAAGGCATATTAGTGGTAATATTGTACAATATTACCAATCGTCTCTCTATGAAAACAATTCAAATCGTATAATTCGAAAAGACTCATTTATGTATACGAGTACCTCTATTGATCAATTTTTCGATCTCGTTTTTTCTTTTCGAACTATAAACCTGTAGTTAGCCATACAATAAAGAAATTGCTGAACGTATAATTATGATTATATAGATACGTTATTACGTATATCTGTACAACATATATATATATTCACCAGAAATTGAAGATATATTCACCAGATATTTAAGAACAATTGCATATAATATTTCTGTCGATCCTGCATGTCAGAAATCTCTCCAGCACGGCCACACATACGAGATACATGCAAATGCGCCTTTGAGCTTACGATTAGATAAGTGTACAATGCAATTGCTGTGAGTTGTGCACTCAAAAAAGTATACTTCGTACTCGTATTTATTACTCGTACATTAATTTCTAAACTCAAAATTTTGAAAAGTTTCTTGGTTTCATAGAACACGGATACAATTGAATTAAAAACACTCCTTAGCGCAACAAAAATAGTTCGTTTAGCGCTGCTGCTCCTTCCGTGGTTCCGAGTACGGAAGCGGCGTTGCCTTATATATAGACTTCTATATAATTCACAAATTATTTTTCTTCCGTGTTTTTGTGACGTATACAATTTATTTTTAGAGAAGCCGCTGCTTTCTAAATTGCTACGTGATTGCCCAGATGACCATGGTCGGAATGATAAACCAATTATTGGTCGGTCTTTGTTTACATCTACTTTTATTTTGTCTCTAGCATAAGTGGCGCAGTTTATCGTAAGGAAGTAGATTTGTTTAGTTAATGGCTTGTGTCTGTGACTGGGTAGGAATTTTATCTCAGGATATCAACCAAAAACTGCGATCAATATACGGCACATACACCACGTCCACGAGAACGACGCCATCCTTCATTGCCGCTTCATATGTGATCCTGGATCGAAAGTGCAGGGGCCCGTGTGGTACCAGTGCTGTAAATACAGCCACAACCCTTTCGGATTAAGACATTGTTTTTTATAAAGCCAGATACGTAGGGAAACAAAGGACAGTTTCACACTGGATACCCTGATGATTTCGCCATTATAACGTAGGAAAACAAAGGACAGTTTCACACTGGATACCCTGATGATTTCGGTTTATCGATAAATTAGATATTAATCATATGATCAAGAATCAGTGGCACGGTGTAAATGATCTGTGCTAAATTATAATATAATTTCAGACTCAGTCAACCGCCAGAATATTACACCGCTCTTATGTCAAAAATAAACGGGTAAGGAATTCCAAAATTTGATTGGAAGTTTTCTGTCAGAATTTTATATTAGCGGGGATTTTTCAATTAACGGTACATACTCGAAAAATTAGGTAATTTCGAAACTGCGGAACTGACAATGAGCATATTGTACTTACGCATCGCAGCAATATATGTATCATAAAACAGAAACCGGTAATAACAGTGATAATTCTGCGGCAGCTGGTCTGTATATGTGCAACAGAAAACGACAATTTTATATTTACATATAAACATCATTTCGATCAACCGCATGCGCATAGATAAATTACTATTACTGTAAATAAACATAATTGCACGATTAGGTCGACCCAAAGCAGATCGCCCATTCGATTAAGAATTTGGCAAAATCAAAGTCCAGAAGCCAAAAGCTTTTCTAACTGGCCAGCCTTTCTAACTGCATGCACATTTTCGTAATCTAATTTGCGTGTTTTCACAAAGCGATTACCACCGAAAAAACTAACTCATATTAGCACTCTCTTGTTCTTTTAAAATTGCAGATGAGTAGTTTAATTAACGAGTAAGTTTTTTGGTAGTGTTTTGTTAGCGCGCGTATGTTTAGACAAACGCACGCGGTAATAATTTATGTTTGGGATCCTCTGATTCTGAATGATCGAGCCAACCGATAAGCTACAGTAGTGCCATATTGCATCAAATGTAATATGTCAGTTTTCCATTTTCTACCACACTGACCACGGCATAGCAGCAGCTGTATTTGCCAGTACAGTTCGCCAGTACAGTTCGTAATACTTAATAGTGTTTTCGTGGTAGAAACACTGAGTCATTAAGAACTGAAAATACTTGCTTCATACTCAAAATTAATATTATTTATACTTTATCTACTTCTATGTAACACCAGTACTATGCAGATATTTCGCAGAGTATCTTGTCTGAGTGTTTTATGATCCTGGTTCATTTCCATGACGTTTTCGTGGGAACCAGCTTGATCCCTGATCTCGACGATCTCCGTAAGACCATAAGTACTGCGGTTAATTATGCGTTACATGTAACGAACGAATAACTGTAAGAAGTAAGGCATATTAGTGGTAATATTGTACAATATTACCAATCGTCTCTATGAAAACAATTCAAATCGTATAATTCGAAAAGACTCATTTATGTATACGAGTACCTCTATTGATCAATTTTTCGATCTCGTTTTTTCTTTTCGAACTATAAACCTGTAGTTAGCCATACAATAAAGAAATTGCTGAACGTATAATTATGATTATATAGATACGTTATTACGTATATCTGTACAACATATATATATATTCACCAGAAATTGAAGATATATTCACCAGATATTTAAGAACAATTGCATATAATATTTCTGTCGATCCTGCATGTCAGAAATCTCTCCAGCACGGCCACACATACGAGATACATGCAAATGCGCCTTTGAGCTTACGATTAGATAAGTGTACAATGCAATTGCTGTGAGTTGTGCACTCAAAAGTATACTTCGTACTCGTATTTATTACTCGTACATTAATTTCTAAACTCAAAATTTTGAAAAGTTTCTTGGTTTCATAGAACACGGATACAATTGAATTAAAAACACTCCTTAGCGCAACAAAAATAGTTCGTTTAGCGCTGCTGCTCCTTCCGTGGTTCCGAGTACGGAAGCGGCGTTGCCTTATATATAGACTTCTATATAATTCACAAATTATTTTTCTTCCGTGTTTTTGTGACGTATACAATTTATTTTTAGAGAAGCCGCTGCTTTCTAAATTGCTACGTGATTGCCCAGATGACCATGGTCGGAATGATAAACCAATTATTGGTCGGTCTTTGTTTACATCTACTTTTATTTTGTCTCTAGCATAAGTGGCGCAGTTTATCGTAAGGAAGTAGATTTGTTTAGTTAATGGCTTGTGTCTGTGACTGGGTAGGAATTTTATCTCAGGATATCAACGCCAAAAAACTGCGATCAATATACGGCACATACACCACGTCCACGAGAACGACGCCATCCTTCATTGCCGCTTCATATGTGAAATGGATCGAAAGTGCAGGGGCCCGTGTGGTACCAGTGCTGTAAATACAGACACAACCCTTTCGATTAAGACATTGTTTTTTTATAAAGCCATTATAACGTAGGGAAAACAAAGGACAGTTTCACACTGGATACCCTGATGATTTCGGTTTATCGATAAATTAGATATTAATCATATGATCAAGAATCAGTGGCACGGTGTAAATGATCTGTGCTAAATTATAATATAATTTCAGACTCAGTCAACCGCCAGAATATTACACCGCTCTTATGTCAAAAATAAACGGGTAAGGAATTCCAAAATTTGATTGGAAGTTTTCTGTCAGAATTTTATATTAGCGGGGATTTTTCAATTAACGGTACATACTCGAAAAATTAGGTAATTTCGGAAACTGCGGAACTGACAATGAGCATATTGTACTTACGCATCGCAGCAATATATGTATCATAAAACAGAAACCGGTAATAACAGTGATAATTTTTGTGTTATTTAAGGGTGCTGTTCCCAGGAGGAGGTGTTTCGTTAACGGATAGCGGCTACGCACAAACTGGAAAATTACTATACGCGATGGCGAAAGAGGTAGTTACAATATTTTTTTAAAAGTCAGAACTATTACCTGCAATAAAAAAACTCAGTTGCACACTGCTTGTTGCTTGTGTGCTGCAGATGAATGACAAAGGAAATTATTTCCCGATCTGGGGGACTTGCCTAGGATATGAGCTACTTACGGTGCTAACCGCTGATGGATGCTTTTTGACATCGTGCAATGCTGAGAACGTTAGTCTTCCACTACAGTTCCCGAGTGGTTAGTTTTTGCAATATTCATATCAATACGATTACAGGGATAGCAAAACTTATTATGTTACGGACGTCGTATGACATGCGCATGCTATTGCCGGACACACTCTTTTTATAGCGGTAACTGGTAATTGTTACACAGTGCCAGACCGTGTAAAGCTTTCCTCACGATCAATATAACTACGTACATATTCATCTTTCAGAGATAATTTTGAAAAGCTTAAGCAAAACAGATACTTTGAATTTATCATCCTATAATTATATGATCTCACGCGGTTGTTTGTATTCATCAACGTTATAACGTTATAAAGCGAAAATCAAAAATATAGAAGTAAGTCCTACTCTCGAACGTCTCTAGTACTACTCTCGAACGAGGTAATTGTGAAGGCCTTTGTATGTAGGTTACAAATTATCCAGAATGTTTTCACCGGCATCAAAAGAAGTTACGGATATTCTAGCCAATGAAAGCAGTACAGCAAATTCCCACAGGAAATGCCTTACACCAGCAAGTTTTTCTGCTTCCGGTTTAAAAGATAAACTGCGCCCGACTTCGTATTCTACCGCGCAAGACGGAGTGACCTTTATAGCTGCGGTAGAGGGTATGAGGATTGTTCCCTGTTAGAAATCTTGGATTTAACTGAAAAGATACTGTAACTAAACGTTTTTACCAATTATCTGGATAATTTTTATTGGTAGATCTGCAATATCCATTTTATGGAGTTCAGTTTCATCCCGAGAAGGCCCATTTTGAATTTCACCATCCATCAGCGTACTCGCACTCCCAGCACGCCATCTTAGCTTCACAGTATTTTGCAAATTTCTTCGTTTCACAGAGTAAGGCAGTTATACCGTAAAATAATTACTAAAACGAATAGGTACGATGTTTCATTTTAGTATCTCAACCAAAATCGTATTGACAAGAGATGGTGATTGAGTCTATCCGTCCTTAAGCAATTTTGTTAAGTTTACCATTGCCGCCGATATTAATCCCAGAAATTTAATTGCAGCCAGGATGAATAAACAACGATTTCAGAACCAAGAGGAGGAGGACAAATATTCGATATACAACTGGAATCCTATGTTTTCCAAAGCTACAATTTACGATCAGATGTATCTGTTTTAGGGCAAAACTGAAGAAATAGAAGGGATCGATTACCTGCAGGGCGTATACAGTTTGATGATAAGCAACAAGATGGCGTAGAGTAATACAATTGCGCTACGATAATCTGCAATAAATATATGAAAACACAAAATTTGATCGAATTCCACAAACCGACATATCGCTTCGGACTTACGGTTAGCCAAACTCCACGAACAAATGCAAATTATTGAATTCCACGAACATATTATGTTATCACACTCGACATATCAATGGTGCACGATCCCACTCTCGCTAAAACGACTGGACACCGCGTCCGACACACCGGATCGCACCCAATCTTCCAACTCCTCCGCTTCTTGCGCGTCGTCCTCGTTCTCTTTTTCTCGCTGCTTCGCTCGGTGATCCCACAAACTATCCATAGCGTACACTTCGTTCTGGGTCAGCAATTCACGCACCCCAATGGCATTGCTCCACCCCGTCCGAGAGAAGAACCAGTCAGTCATGGCCATCTCCTGCAGCTGCCACACATTGGCTTCCAGTCGCGGATCCCAAATGGACAACCAAATCATAGCCAGATAGTCCAGTTCCATTTTGCGTGCTTTATGCAGCGCCGCTTTCTGCTCATTTTTGGCCAGTTTCTCCAGATCACAATACTGATTCACAACGTGGAACATGCGATATGAACCGGTGTCGTTGAGATATTCCAGCGGCCGGATGTGGAAGTAGCGACGAAGTCTGCGTAAAAAATCTCGCGGTACTTTATGTTTATTTAAGTATGACCAGTCACCAATGGGATCCACTGACCAGAGATCGTTGTGGAGCGGATTTCCAGCGTGTTGCAACCGCATTTTCCTAGAGCGATCCCCAAACAGTTCCACTTATATTTTCGCTCGGATGGGATTCCGCAGGCTGGCTGCCTCAATCCGCGTTCGAGGAACTGCAGCGCACATACCGGCATTATGAGCGCACACGATCCCCGTCTGAACATCATATTCTTTACGGTCAAGGACAATGCCAGAAAACGCACTTGACAAAATTCGATAGAGTATCTAGAGGAGAACACGTTTCCGTTCCCATGGTCAACAACGACGGCGATGTTGAACTACTTGCCGATACTGTGCAGAAGATCGTGGCGAAGCTAGCACAGTCAATGATAACCTCCTAAACGGCCGTACAGTATAAACGTTATTTTCACTTATTCCTTCTAACCAGCCTTATGATTATAACTACTTAGTATTATTATTATATCATCTTAACTGTCTGTTGTGCTAACGTAGGAATTCTGTACTTAATTGGGTAATCGTTCGTATATTTCTTCCCCATCAATTGCTCGTTCTCTTCCTTACACTGGCTGACCTTTAATGTTTATCAGGGAATTTATTTAACCGTACTAGTATTATTCTAGGCTTCCTCGAGTGGTAATCTGCAAATAGGATCTACTAAAATTTTCTGTTTACGGTCAGCTCCTGGTATACGTTCGCTATTGTGTGGATTTCTTCCTTAATTCACTCGATCTCTACTTCTTTCACAGAAGATTTTACTGCAGCTTTCATATACACAATTCCTTAAAAAATTACTGTGTTGTCGAGTCAACTTGGAACCTTTTTGTACAGTGAGTCGTATCCGATTAGCATATAACTCACTGTACGAAAAGGTGCCACTCGACAACACAGTACCTTGCGGAATCTGAAATTTTCATTACGTACATTTCAAGTACAATATACTAGTATCTTAATGACAGTCAGTTCTCGTTAAGTCGTACTTATGTGTGTTTTCCCTCCTTTGTTTCTTATATCTTCAGTCGCCATGGCAGCGCATTATGGTATACAATCTTTTATATAATAAATTTTTTTCTTCAATCGCTCATAAATTTAATAGAACATGTTAAAATTATTTCGTGCTGTCGTACGATTACAGTTCTATAAATATTTCGCTAGAACTGCATAAATAACATGGTTAACATTTGTAAGATTAAATCTTTGGGTTATTGAATTCCAATGTGTAACGAGCGACAGAATTATTGAGCAACGGTCTTAATAAATCTGTTTATTCTTTAAAAGGTACATCGAGCGAGCATCAATTATCCCACAAGTATTCTTAAAAGTAATGCAAGTCCGAGTTCACTAACGATAGGTTGTAAGAAAATGGCAACTGCGAGTTCACTACTTTTAACTAATACTAATTTAGCTGTGTAACTTTTGCTTACTCGAGTTTATTGACTTGCATCTTAGATTCCGTAATGCGACTACTCAAAAATTTCTAATGTTCTCCAGTGGACATAATGACTCAATTTATACTATTTTACTCATTTACCATTACTTTCATATTTTATTTTAGTTTATTGACGCAATTACTATTACCAGCCGCAGCTTTCTTTAATTCAGCTTACTTTATATACCCTCGTAAAAGCTAACCGCTTCAGTAAAGGATACTTTACACATAAGGCCATCACTCTCAAAAATCTTACTGATATGCGTTTTTATGAACAATTTTTTTTTAACGAACAATTCAAATTCTGCATTGATGCTCTGATTCTTCGGTGAGAATATTTTTTCATAATAAGTACTCATCCAGTTAATCGATAGATTTAATCATTTAGACCGTTCCATTGTTGGCAAGGGTATATGATTGATAGGGTTTATTCCTAAGCCATAATTTACATGCTGACCTTTTGTTTTCGCCTGATGAGTGCTCTCTGATGCAGTGGAACGTTTGCATAAATTTTTCAAAAGTATAAAATCAAACCTCTTATGGAGATTACAGTAACCGCGTACCCTACTACTGCACATCACCATGCTGGCTGCTTATCAAGTTTTAATTTTGTTTTTGTATATAATACTACTAGTATATCGAAACCAACAGATCGCTTAGGTAAACCTTAAATGTTGCATAATTAGCGTTGGAAGCGTTTTATGAGCCGCTGTCTGTTATAGAGACTTCCTCAACCGGTTGATGCCGTTTCTGTTTCTAATAATCATCTAATATCATCTCTAATACTAACTCTACTACGATCATGTCTAATGCGCTATTATCTCTAATACTAACTCTACTCTACGTACGATACTAACTCTACGTATCTGCAATCGCTTTTATGATAGGCGGTATTTTTGTTTAATTGCTTCAATCTGCTTGTACAATTCTAGTAATTATAACAATGAATAAATACTTAAACCCTATTAATCATTTCCATGCTAGTGCCAACTTGTATTCATGCCTAATCATTTGCTTTCTTCCATGTCAATGCTCATTTCCCACGTACGTACTCCATGGAATCAGTTTAGCCTCAAGTCCCTCAACGAATGCTCACCCGTCTTCCGGACATGAATGACCCTTGACTTTACCCGCATTCGGCTCTACATCTCCTACATACACCGTTGCGATCCCACCGATTCCAACGCCACATATCAGTCATATGTATTCGCATTCTGCACCTAACTTCGGATCCTTCCTGAATTCGCAATTAGCACCCACCCTATCCGTTACAACCGTTATTTTGTCAATTGTCAAAAATCATATGCAGCAGCACAAATTGTCCGTTTGTCTGAATATGATCTCTCGTATTCGCATATCTTTCAATTCGGTCATTTGGGCCTTTTCTTCCGATCCGGGTTGGGGGTTGCGTTCCGTTGGTGGTGTCCGGCGCGGCTCGTGTTGAACTGCCCAGCGACCTGCGGTTGCCTTTCGTCGTCAGTGCACCGTACGGACATCGCGCGGCGCAGTAGACTACTTGCCCCGGCATCCGTCAAGCGGCAATACGTTTACACCGAGAGCTCGAAAGCGTTAACGTGTTATTAAGGCAAATATAAGCCCAAAGAAACTGCGATAAGTACAATAAAAAGTTATTTATTATTTGTAAAATGAAATACTTATTGATATAATAATCTATGTAAAACTTTAGAGTACATTCTTACTTGCTAATTATTATGATTTTAATTAAGTACTGTAATTCTAGTATTTCTTTCCAGCGACAAAACAGCCTTTCCAGTTTTGTTTTTAGCGGTACAAAAGTCTTAATTTTTTTAACTAATAACTCATTTGTTGGGAGAAGGAAAGCATGGGTACGTCTTACTTACATATCTATATTGATACGTACGTAATCGCATGCATGTCGTAGAAAACATTACTTACTAGTATTATGAATCTATGATACATCATTAAACTGACCTTGTGTTAATTATTAGAACAATTACTTAATTAACAACGTAGTATTGTACAAAGTGTGCAATCATGATCGGGATGACTTGCATTGTAGCACGTATCGCACACGTACAGTACTGTACCCGTATTCGTACATTCGTACAGGTGTTTATTTGCGTTAACAGTACGTTAAAAGTTTGAAACCCATAAGAATAGATGCTTCATTCACTTCACCAAAAAATTTCGCGGAACCGTGAATGGCCTATAAAAACAATTTTTATCTCCTTGAAAATTACTTGATAAAGTCACAAACCGAATATAGTCTTTAAACTGTTATCGGTTGGATTCCGATGCGTATTTTGTTACGATATTGCGAGTTAGTCGATATTCGGTCGCGCCCAATCTTTGCAAGGTACAACCAAAACCAACCTAAGCAGATCCGATGAACCGCAACGCCATGTTCGGGAGCACGTCTCACGGTCAGATTGATCAGCGAAATGCAAAACGCAAACGTAAGTGCTTGAGTGTTCGAAATCTGCAGTAATTAATAGAATAACTGTAATTATGGTATCTGCAGACTGAAGTGATGAATAGACTTGTATTGTACATGTATAGGATCCACTTCGCCCGTCGAACCTTCGCGCACCACGGGCTTGTTCGATTCGCCAGTGACATGGACTGGAACATTCGGATCCCTATCGAAGCAAAATGGCTCTTCGCTGGCCCCTGGCCCTTTCAATTTCGGGGCATCTTGCTCGGGGGCATATAGTTCGCGAGCCCGAGGTACGACGGTCGACTAGCATTGCATAAGACAAAGCTCGGTAGAGCATTGTGAAATTTTTATAGTTGGTAAACCTGCGCCGGATTTTAGCGCCGTTCCAGCTGTTGTGGATGGTGTTTTTCGGTAAGTAGGCCTGCAATGACACTTCTGTGTGCGAAAATTGTCTAGCATTTACTCATGGTATTCTGAGTCTGACCGTGAGCTGCTTCTAGGGAAATCAGCCTTAAGTCCTACAAAGGGAAATATCTCATCTTGTTGTTCTACCCACTGGATTTTACTTATGTAAGGCTTTTCTCGTATGTGTAGTTTATTTGTTTATTGGAGATGCTAGAAGGAAAACGCTAAATATCCATGTTTAAATTATGGCGTTTTAGGTCTGTCCTACGGAGATTATTGCCTTCTCAGAACGCTTGAAGGAATTTCAGGAGATCGACTGCGAAGTGTTGGCGTGCTCTGTGGACTCGAAATACTCACATCTGGCATGGTACGAAACGAGAAATATAATTAATTTAATTAGTTAATTTGTTTAACTGGTTTTATTTTATATAGTTAACGAATTTAATTTACTGAACGAATTTAATTTGGAACGTCCGGTACTGGGCTAGACTGGCTAGTAGTAAAACTTGCCAGTCCGGCTTATGCTGATTAGTCTGACTATAAATGATTTTGTTTTGTAGGGCCACTATGGCGCGTGACAAAGGCGGTGTGGGGAATGTGCGCATCCCGTTGCTTTCGGACATTACTAGGAATATAGCCAGAGACTATGGCGTATTTGATGATGAGCTCGGACATTCAGTCAGGTATTTATTGAAGTTTTTCCCTTATAATTCGAGTTCTTTCCTGATGCCGGCAGTTTACCAGTAGCTGGTTGGTGTTCTGAGTTCTCGTATTCTTGCGTTTTGGTTTTCTTAGTCTGATTAATTGTGTTTTAAACAGAGGATTGTTCATTATTGATCCGAAGGGAATCCTGCGTCACATTACTGTCAATGATCTGGCAGTGGGGCGTTCGGTGGATGAATCGAAGCGGGTTTTGGAAGCGCTGCAGTTCAATAACGAGTACGGAGATGTTTGTCCGGCTGACTGGAAACCAGGGGCGCCCAGCATTGCTCCCACTCCGGACGACAGCCGCGAGTACTTCAAACTGCACCACAAATAAGACCAGCACTGGGATGTCCAGCTTTGTTGACGGTGGGCACAATAGCGCCTTTTGTTGTAACTTCCGTGTTTCCACAGTTTTTTTTTGGATTGCTGATCTTTATTTTATCGTAAATCACAGTGTCGGTCTTTTCGGTTGTTCTTTTCGGATAGTGCTCTAGTTCCTGTCACGCGGAGATCTCTGGGCTTATAGCCTTGCGCGGAGTAGTATGCGGGACATATGCACTGAAGCATTCCATTTTTTGAGTAGCCCACGGGTTTTTGAATGAGCGTGCTTTTGTTGCGATTTTCGTATGGATAAAGCATTAAAGCGCAGTTGAGTTCAACACGACTTCCAATGTTCTCACGTTTCTAGATATCAGCGGACAACGGTACTTGCAAAGTTACCAGCTAGACCAACTAAACAAATGCACAGAAATTACGCTTTTATTACCACTGGCATTAATTGATTTATTATTATCATCACAATGACACAGTCCACAATGTTAACATTACTAGTATCAACTTATCAAGTGCTTAAGTACTGGTTGCCGCTGGCAAGCAGAGTGCTCTAGTTCCTGCTTACTGGAACTTACTGGATCTGGAACTTGGAAACGTTGATTAAACATGATTAACCATATCGGTGTCGTACATTTAGTCTACCGAAGGTCCGAATAGAAAACTAAGGCATAAGTTTCCGGCTTCCTCTAGCTACTTACTCACGTGACCATGAGTTTGTGAGTGTAGGCCCTGTAGGGTGCCTGCTCCATAAAAATTACTAGTTAGTCAGTACTTGTAATTATTACGTAGTAGTACTGTAGTAGTATTAATTAAGTAATTTTTAAATTTCTTTTAAAAATCATCTGGAAGTCTCGATATTCTGTAGTACTAGTCTCTACTGACCCTACATGGTAAGTAATCTGTATGTATGTTTGCATTACTATGTTTAACTATGTTTGCATTAATATGCATGTGTAAGTATTCTCTCCACCAATAATTTTACATCAAATTCGAAAATAGTCACTTAACAAGCATCAATCGAAAGGGGCGGCCTAATCACAGAAAAAATTCGAGTTCTGTGCAGTTCTGATGTGGTAAATATGCAGTAAGTATGTACAGTTCTGTATAGTCAAGCGAGCGAGCGAAGCGAGCGAGCGTTTTTAATATGTATGTATAGTGTATACTTCGTGTTCCTAACCTGCTTTTAAGTAATTCGTGTACTTATTAATTATGATAGGAACATTTTGATGTTTTTGAATTTTGAGGTTCTTACTTCTTATTGATTAGAACAAGAAGTACTTACGGCCGTTAATACGGGCAAATACTGTTAACAGAAGGTGCAGTAGTATAGGCAATGAGGTTCGACATGCCCCTTACAGCACGAATAAAACTACCGCGGGGACGGACAACCTACAGTCTGCTACAACTACGCCACGCTACGCCTGGTACGGTACTGCCTGGTGAGGTTTTGTACCGTACGCCATGCTACCAATAACAAAACAAATTTTGATCGGGCCGGCTTGTCACTAAACCCATACGGAAATGGCTGGTGCCTTCTTTATATCTGACTGGTTTCTACTGACAAGTGAGCGACAGGCTCGACGAAAAACGTGGATGAAACAAGCTTAGGGGTCTCGGGGCCTAGATGCGTAGTTCCTGTGTTTATGGATGACGACATCGACATAACTCTTGGTTATTTGTTCATTGTTTTAAATAGCATGTTTGAACTTTCATTCCATACCTCTACAAATTAGTAAGCATGTGCTGTTTTGTCATGCTTAACAAGGATTAATCACGGCTCGGCGCAGGAAAGTAAAGTCTAAAATCTAGATGGCGTTTGGTGTGTAGAAGGAGAGAAGCTTCGAATTGTGGACTGGAGTCCTTCTTCCGTTATCCTTCTTCCTGCCTTTTTTCCTGGAACCAGAACACAACAACGTAAGATGAATAATGAACGATAAAAAGATGTTTATTTTAACTCTTGGGTAAAACCGTGAAGGTTTGTGAAATAACATGACTGAGCAACACTAACGTGTAGCAGATCTGGATCAGATTTGGCTGCAGCTGCACAGTTGTTGGGTTCGCTGGCGCGAGAACTACGAAGTGTATTTGTACGAGTTGCTCTTGGATCTCAGGAAAGGATATTTTCATCTTTTCCCTTTATGTGTTGGCTTTTTGTAGTTGGTGCCATTAATGTGGGGCATAATGGCATTTGGTGAAGATCGACTACTGTGGTGGCCTGCTGCTATAAAAATATTAAAGTTTAAGTGATTTTAATTTGACATAACCGAATGTAAGCATAATGAATGAGGATTCCATTTTTGTTGGAGGATTCTCGTAGCAGCAAGTTTGAGAGACACCAGTGATTTTTTTTCACGATTATACGATAAAACAACTTTACTTGTTGGATTACAGTACTAAATAAATTATAAGTCCAAATCTGTATCTGTAGATAATACCGTAACATGTTTAGTTTCCGAATGGCCATCCACTGCTTTATTGTTGAGTGCTACTGCTGACTGACTACGCGTAAATTAATGTAATTCAGTAAGCACTTACAGTACTTACTTATTTGCAGAGATTATAGTTGCAGGGCCGTGTAATCCTTTTGATGTGAGTAATAGCGTAATTTTGAATTAATACAGTGTTCTAATTAAAAGGCATCGATTTACAAAAAATGAATTACGCGCGCAAAAATAGGAGGTTTTGTACTAGTACTGCAGCAGTTTTAATGGCACATTAATAGCATGGGAGTCTGACACAAGAATTTCGGTATTTCTACAAAATCGTAGTATCCTCATATTTTTGTTATGTTTATTGTATGGACTTATGCTGTGGATGTATGGCCATTGTTGTCGTTCGTAGATGCGGCTTCCGTTTGTTCAGAACTGCAGTGTATCGAAGCACAAGATCAGCTGGTCGCTGGTAAATACTAAATAGATAGTGGTAACTGTCTCAATTGAACATAACTGGACAAATAGAAGCTCTGCCCTTGTACAGTAAGATGCAGAGTAAAATACAGAAAAATGAAAGCAGTGACCACAAGAAAATGTGGAAAGGTAGATGGGAGATTATAAAACGCCGTAAATTTTTTTTTTACTTTTTTAACTGAAAAGTATGAGGCGTTTTAGTGCGAGCCCAGGAAACAGACATAAGAAAACTACTAGTGAGCACTAAGCATCTGCAGGTGGCTGTCATATGGACTGGAGAAACCGTTAAAACGTATCACACCTATAAAGAGAAATTATACGCCAATGCCGCCAGTGGTGTACAAGCTTGTCCGGTAATTTCTGTCGTAAAGGTACAGATAGCACATATTTAGCGCGAAGTCTGCGCTATAGCGATTGCCACTACACTACGTTTGGCGTTTCACGCAAATTTGTGTATTTCGCTGTATTGAACCGGCAGAAATTACCGGACAGGCTTGTATCGTTACCGTTTCCGTCTGCACCTGTTTTTGATTCTTTAGAAGTAATTCCACGGTTGAAGGATACCTTGTACACGGTAAAGACGCATACTTGGTGCTACAAGTAAAATTTTCTTCAGAGTCCATAAATATTTATTGTCCACTTTTCATGTCAAATCATTGAGTAGTGAGCCTGGGCCCTGTATGTACCGTGGACGTCTTTTGTAATCTATGCTGGATTGGTAATCATTAATGGACTTGTTGCAATTAAAATTTTTCGCTCTTTGTAAAATGTCCGGTAGGAAATATTAGAATTTTCCTAAAATGCTACAGAATGTCTTACAAGTTTCAATTAATTTTGTCTTACAAGTTTCAGTTAATTTGTGTTGTTATTTCCATATTCTTTATTTGTGTAGAATGGATGAGTTAATGGTGGAGGATGCTGGCGTAGTTCCGGACGTGCAGACCGAAATTACTTTAGGCGAAGGTGCAGCTAATGTTAACCCAGAAGAGGAGAAAGTGGCTACGGGCAAAGATGTCCTCTTGCCACTGAGCGAGGTGGTGCCCACTTCTAGACCAACTGGGCGCCGGGGCCGTGGCAGCACCCGGACTTCGGAAGCCTCTTCATCTGATGCGAACACGGAAGACTGGAGCGGCCGAACTCGTTCGTCCGGGCGCAGTTCACGGAAGAAATTCGATCCGGATTTTTGCTATGATAATGCTTTAGCTTTTGCGGGAGGCCGTAAACGTTCTGCTAAAAGTCCCGCTAGTAGTATGTCACCGGCTTCCAGTGCTAATGGAAAGCGTATACCTCTTGATAGTGACAACGGGATTGATGTCAGTAAAACTGGTAGCATAACTGATAGCATGTCGACAGTATCGCAAGCAGACAGCGCAACGACAACCGCATCGTCGGTTCAGTCAGACGATCCGTATTCGATTGATAATTTGGCGCTTGAACGTGAAGAAGACGAGAAGCCCAGTCTGCCGCTGAAAGAACCCACTCCGCCGGTCGAACTGCCCGCGGAACCGTCTGACGAGACTCCAGGTACGAATAGCATTGGCTGGTTGGAAAGGTCACTGTTTTCTGTTGCACAGTATTTTGATGCACTTGGAGAGTAGGTTGGGTGAAGGCGGATTCTGTGTGTTTACAGAGAAAATGGAGGAGCGTCCCAAAAGGGAAGCCAGCAGTCGCCGGGTCTCAGCCGTCGAAGACGACAGCGACAGTTCCGATGATGCAAACAGTAGCGTCAATCAGACAAAACTGTATTGTATCTGCAAAAAACCATATGGCAATCGGTTCGTAGAATATTTTTCTTGTTCCAGTGTGTATTTTGCGCAGCACGACACCTTTCCACAGCGTCAGTTAATACGCAGAAAATTATCCAATTACTTCACAGTTACACAACAGATGAATGTTTGAAATCCATTGAAAACAAATGCACAGCTGGTAACATACTTTGTAGTACTCAAAAGTCAGTCGCAAAAGCCTCTGATCAAGTCTGCCCGCAGAAATCGACAATTATGCTAATTCGTATTTCTTGAACTCTTCCTGGCATGCGCTTGCAAATTGCAAGTTTTACCTAGATATTTCACGGGACTGAGACTGTAAGTTGAAACATTGCATAGGTACCCGGTGGGCCGGTGTAATACTAATGCAATACGAAACACGAATATACGAAACCTAATTGCAAGAAATCGGAACGATCGATTACGATAATTGTGGTTTGATATTCAAGCCATAGGTGCTCACTAATGACGTGCGCACTGCGCAGTAAAAAATCTCTGTACCGGCAATGATATTGACTATTGGTCAACTACAAAAAATTAATGCTGATAAATCATTCGAATTTGACAATTATTTAGCGCGGTGACTGCCCTTTACAGAGTTATAACAATTACCACTTGCATTCTGTCATATACAACTTCAAGCAGGAAAAAAGGCATATCCGAAAAAAAACCAGCGATGTGGTTAAACTGCCTCGTCGGTAGGGATGTCGACAACACGGTAACCCCACTGACCACTCTTTCATTGCCGTTCTTTCATGCTTTTCGTACGCCAAAGTCTGCTGCCCGCCCGTAAATTTATTACTAGTGACGTTTGTAAAATCTAGTTATCCTGGAACTTGCAAGTGACCACTGGTCAGTAGGTGTAGCGCTGCGCAACTATGAACAGAATGCATGTTATGGACGTGGGATGTGTCATTCACATCTATCACATGAATAATTCATAACGGTATTTTGTTGAACAGATTCATGATCTCCTGTGATAAGTGTGACGAATGGTATCACGGCACCTGTGTGGGCGTCTCTAAAGCCCAGGGGAAAAATTACGCCCGTAAAAATTTGCCTTGGTTCTGTCCGCCATGCCGGAAGAAGAACACAGCGCTGAGCAATGCTGTTCCTGTTGTTAAAGTGGAAGCGACCAAGCCCGTCGTTAGTGCTCCATCCGAAGAGATTACATCCAGCGATAAAGAAAAAGGTGTGCCTCCTTCCGATAGTAGCAGCGGGAACGATGTGACCAGTGCAGAAACTAGTTCTGTGGAGACGGGAAGAGAAAAAACAGGAGCGAAGGAGACGCCACCGAAAGTCAAGGAAAAGAAGGAAGGAAAGGTCAAAATTGTGAAAGACTCCACGCAGTCGAAACTCAAGCCCATGAAAGGCGATCTGAAAGAATTTATTCAACGGCAAAAGTCTAATGAAGCTCGACATGTTAAGAAGAAAGTGGAGGAGAAAATTAAAGAAGAAAAACCGCTGCCGGTGGAGGCGGATAGCAGTGGATTGGTATGTGAAATGCCTTTCTCACTTATCTCTTACGTACTCATAAATTAACTGATTCGCTCGGTTTCTTTCATTGAATTTTGCAGTCCCGTGTAACAGATTTGTTGCTGATTAAGAGTCGACATTAAACCGTTTCGTGTAGACCGACTTCAACGATCTGGGAAAAAAGTTATTTGGCGTGTTTTTTTTAGAGACTTACCGCGCTGGGAAAGCCTCGTTTGGAATACAAACAGAAAAGGCCTTCGCTTCCCGTTGTACCACCCCCCAAGGTAAACTAAACCGAAAAGTTGGCTAAAAATGTATGAACTGAATTTAAGTCTATGATTTGCGTTAGTTGTATGAAATACTTTGTCTTTTTTTCAAATAATCTTCTGTTAGAACAGTCAGCACTTGAATATTGTGTTTTACATGTTTCTGTAGAATAATCGGCCGCAGCTCTTCAGTGCCGATATAAAAACTTCTGAACCACGCACACCGACGACGCCCACCATGAAAGCTTCCCCGGCTTCGTCACAGTCTTCTCACAAATCTTCCGAACCGACGCGACCGAAAATCCGCCGCCACCATTGCATGGTGTGCAAGAGCGCTTCGGCTCGGGAAAACTCGTTATATTGCAGTTCTAAATGTATTCACCAGCATGCCATACTGGCCATGCGACTGGCCAAATCTATCCCGGATATTCCAGATGATCGGGTTGCTGTGAAGGAAAAGCACGGTGGACGAGAACTGAATGGCGAGAATGCTCCATTGCGAAGCAATATCATAGGGTTCTTGGAAGGCCATCAAACGTTTTATGTGCCGGTTCCTGACGAGGTGTTGCAAGCAGAAGAGAAGGGATCCACCGCGGGACCACAGGATGATCCAGTGCGTGCCACGACTAAGATGATGCTCAAGGATCATCTCACTAATAGGTAAATACCACTTTTAGTAACTGTTTCCAATTAACTTTTTGCTGATAAAATACATAAATCGGCATGCCTTCGAAACACTTGTAGATGGAGAGAAGCACCAGATTTACAAGATATCAGTCCAGCTATGATATCGAAAATTGTCGATGAGCTGGAAGCCGGGCTTTTCCACAACTTCAAGGACACCGGAAATGCTTACAAACGGAAATATCGTACCATTGTTATGAATATTAATGACAAGAAGAATGAGAATTTTTTTCGTCGAATCCTGCGGAAAGAAGTCCATCCAGACAAGGTGGTGGATTTAACTCCGGAGCAGATGGCATCCGACTCCATGGCACAGTGGCGGCAGAATGAAATAAAAAAGGTAGATCGGTATTTAATTTTGCACCGTTAGATGTTAGTCAACATTGTTATGTAATAGGAGTTGGATATGCTAATTCAAACACAAACTGAGGACATCGATTCTAAACCGAACATAAAGAAAACCCATCGTGGAGAGGAGCCAATTGAAGAGGAATTTCTGTCGCAGGATAGGGAGATACTGGAAGATGTAAGAATGCTGTCAGTGTGAATATTTTTTGTTCTTCCTCGCATATACAGTATTTTCGAGTTTTCAAGCTCTTTTTTGTTAAAATACTATCCAAATACGTTGAAAGCGGTTTAATGAATTTCCAAAAATAAATACCATTTTAACGTCATTTTTGCTAAACTATAGAATAAACCAGATGAGAACGCCGAAAAGATTTCGCCCGTGGAATTGAAATCCAATTTCTCTCCCGCCGTTTTGTCCTCACCGACTGGCAGTACTTTTCCATCTCACATTTCACCTCGAGAATCTTCGGAATCGCCGCACACTGACATCATAAAGAGTCCAGAAGGAGGTGCTTCACGGCCTGACACCACCGGCGAGCACGAAGATCACATTTTCGATGCCAACTGCCGGATATGTACTTCGTCGCTGCCGGGATTTTCGCGGGATTTGGAGAAATACAGTTCCACTCTGCAGAGTAAAGTCAAAGAAGAAGAGAAAAATGCTGAACAACCTCCGCGGGTCTTCTATGGGCCAAGAACTCCCGTCGCTCATTCCAGTTCATCAACAGCTTCCTTTCGTGTCCCAGATGATTCTGTCCCAGCCAAGAAATCCAGATTTTCACGTTCCACGGAGACGTCACCGAATGCTTCATCGCCTCAGTCATCGTACGTTAGTTTAAATTTGTTTTTGCTACAGTACTGTAAGATATTCGTGCCGTAATTGCTGGTGATGCTTCATTTAGAACGTCGGAATTTTCTCCGGATGCGGATGAAGAAGCCAAAGCCTCTGCTCGCGGTGTGATCTGGCAAGGCGAAGTTGATACATGCGATCTTCCTATTGTGAAACTTGAAGGCTTTGCTGTTTACGGCCGAGCTTCAGAAGCCATGCATGTTAGTCTTAAAATAACACGAAAATCTGATTATCATTAGTACAACTGCGTTTTTAATGCAGGAAATTCCCAAGAAAGTGCGACAGCTTGGTCGAATCCAACCTGGACAATTGTGGCCGTACATCGAGCAAGTGAAGCCGTTGAAGGTGTGTACGAAATGTAAAATGAGCAATTACGATAGCGGTACAATGAGCAAAATGAGCAATTATGATAACGTGTTTTTAGGAAATGGCCTTGGTGACCTTTAAACCGCCACCCGGTCGCGTGAGCAGTGAATTTAATTCCTATCACTATTTTTTGACGACTCGCGGCCGGGTTGCCGTTATCGGACCTCTGCCTGCTACTTTCAAAGACTTCTACATCATTGCTCTTAAGGAAGATGAACCATTACCAGACGGACTGCGATTTCCGGAAGGCATTGGTATGGCTTATTCTTATTGAGATACTTGAAAAACTGTATAGACTTGTTTTCTGTAGCATTTGATGGCAAGCATCCCAAGATCTTCCTGGGTATAATCGTTTTCCACAGTCCTCTGCGAACTGGTCCGCCGATAGGGCGTGGAATATTTGATGTGCCTGCTCTCCCGTCAGTAGGAATGACGCGAGTGGCTAATTACGTATCTCCTAAAACACCAGACAGTGCCGAGAACTCACCCAATATTAATCAGACCAAAGCGGACCCGATCGTGGGAAAATTCCTCACCATTCCCCGTCAGCCTTCCCCTGATACGAGTGAACCGATGGATATTGAGGATGATGCCCCCACTTCCAAGGCATCGGAAGTTAAACCACTCGTAGTTACTAATGCGCCGCCTCCAGTCACATCTGCGCCCCTCACTACAAAAGTCACACCGGCAGATCTGTTGAAGGTGATGGATTCGTTGCCGAGCTTCCATCAGGGAGCCTTAAAGGAGGTTGTGAAGAGCGTTTCGGCAAAACAGCCTAGTGGGACAAAAGCGTCCAAACCAGCAGTTCCTGTGGATCCCCGGTTGGCACGGCTGAATGCTGCAGCGAAAGTAGCAGTCGATGGGCAGCCAGTGACACCACTGGCGCCAGCGTCGGCTGTGGAATCCGCCGCTGCTCCTGTTTACGCTCCTATTACTGTTCCTCCCCCGAGTATGACTTACGCGCCCATCACCGTACCGCCACCTAATCTGTCGGTGCCACCACCGGTTGTGTCGCAAGCTGCCCCGCCCCCAGAAAAAGACGACGATGGGTTTGGATTCTCACAGAAATTTATCGAGAATTTGTCGAGAATCCAACTGCCCCCCGGACTGAAAGAAGCGCTGAAATCCATTTCCGGGCCGGGAGAAGGTACTACCGCCCCACCACCCGTATCGGCACCGCCTGTGAGTGTTGCGCCGGCACCGCTGCCACCCATTCCTCCTGGTGGTTCTCTACTTGGACCCGGCCCAAGTGGTCCATTATTGGGAGTGGCCCCGCCGATGAATCTGGCTCCTACTGGATACAACATGCGACCACCTAGCTTAAGCCACCCACCTCCAGGTTTCAATCCCGGCCAGCCACCACCGGGTTTTCCGGGACCACGGGGGTCATTTCCACCGTTTCCTCCGCCCCTTGGACCGCCACCCCATCAACCGAGCAATTTTCCGGGCGAATTCAACCGACGTGCGCCACCTGGAGGGCCATTTCGCCAGCAGCAGGGTCCCCCTGAGGAGCATGGCGATTTTCGGGCCAGAGGTCCACCGGATCAACGACGGAATGAGCGCGTGGACCGTCGTGACCGAGACGAAAATGGACGTTGGCCAGGTCCGCCACGGTCCGGAGATAAGCGAGAGGATCGTCCTGAACGATGGAATTCGGATAGTCGTCGACCTAATAGAGTGCGAGAGCGAAGTAACGAGCGGAAAGAGCGTGGAATTCGAAGTGGTCGGCGATCACGGTCGAGAAGCCGATCACCTTTGGCGCGCCGTCGTAGTTACCGTTCAAAGTGAGAAACTTTACTGATATCGCAAATGTATTTAATAGTTATTGTGTTTGAATTTGGTTAGTATGCAATAAATTTTTCCATTTTGCGAAGGTCGAAGAGTCGTAGTCGAAGCCGAGAGCGTGAACGAGACCGGGAAAAACGGGCACGGTCACGCTCACGTTCGCGTAGTCCTCGTCGCGCACGCGAAAGTCGTAAAAAGGAAGAAGAAACGGGTGTAGATGAGTTCGGAAGGGACATCACACTGCGAAAGAAGCTGAAGCGGGATCCGTCGGAGGAGCAGAAGGACGAGAAAGGGCTAGATGATGATCATCTGCAGACAGATAAGGAAACCGGCGGAGTGGATAGTGGTGGTATATCGAGTGCGCGGGTGGAGGTGATCCAAGGAGACGGGAGCGAACCTGTGACGCCTTAGCCAAATTTATCTCTATGTATTCATGTTTCCTGATGGGCATAATTGGGTCTTTTGTTATTTTGCGTTTTGAACTTTGAATTGACCAATCTTGAATTGAATTGACTTTTGTTTGAAGGATTTGTCCGGTTTTCAGTTGGGGTTTGTATTTCAGAATTTAATGAGACTATGGTTGTGATTAACCTTGGCTTTATGAAACAAAGTTGTTTTCGAGGAAAACCTTAATGGTATACATTTTCTAAAGCCATGAGAAAAAGGTACAGCACAACTTAAGATCAATTCGTATACCGTTTGTTGACTTACGTTGTTGTGTTACTGTTGTATAAATATAAAAATAAATTTTCAGAATATGAGTCTTGAACTGTAGTGCACATTCTGCAGTCAAATTCGTTGCAAGATATTTTGATATAAATTCCTCTGCCAACATGAAATTCTAACACGAATGTATTATATGTTTTACCTTTATGCTGTGACTTGCTAAACGTTATCGTTGAAGCCATAACTTACTTATTAAATTGTACTTACTGTTAATACTTATTACTATGTGAACACTGCAATTTAAAGATTAAAACCAAAAATGTAAAAATCTAGTCACGCGGAATATACCCACCGCCGGCTCCTTACGCACCGTGGAAATTTCTTGAACGAACGAGATGATGAGCATATCCATAGAACACCGGTGGGGTGTAGTACGGTACACAGTACACACCGGCACCGTACATAAAACGTATAGGTTGATCCAAACAGCTGATTCATTCAATTTCACCGCAACAACGTTAACCCTTTACAGTTCGAAGGCTCCCAGATATGTTTGCATCGTTGGTTCACATGTACAGTAAGCTGTTTCTGACTTCGGAAATTTGCTTTTGGCTAATAGCGTTTCTTAAGATTTCAATCGACGGACTTCAGATTTTTCCCCATACTTCTGAAATTGCAGTACTGGGCTGAGTGGATATCGAAATACCATTGCAGCAGCTGTTGATTTGCACTTGTCATAGATTGTAGATTGTGATTTCAGTGTACTAGTACTGTCTAGTAGTACTGAATTCCCTGCAGTCCAGGAATCGAAGAAAACAAGGAACGAACCAAGCTGCTTGTTGGTGTGCGGTGGATGTATCGCCACCGTGTGGTTGCCTTGGTGAAATCCACATTCCAACCCGTCTCGAACCTTTGCACATCTAGCTCTCGGCGCGTTCGTGTAGTAGTCCCTGCCTCTCGCTGTTTCCCCAGAATGAGCAGCAGTGAGAGTCGTCATGCGGACGAAGTGCACCGCCGTCATTCGCGCGATCTCCTCACTGATTTTGTCCGACCGCATGATCTCCATCCGCTGCCGGGCGACCTGATCGAATTCAACCGCGATATGTACAGCCATTGGGGACTGTACGTGGGCGACGGGCAGGTGATTCACGTCCGCGGTGGCCAACCGGATTCTGAGATCAGTTGGACAGGCAAGGCCAACGTCAAACTGGATGATCTGCAGGTCGTGGCGGGCGGCAGTCGAGTACGGATAAACAATCAAGAACCACGGGCAGCGCACCGCAATCTACAGCCTTTGCCCATGGAGAAACTAGTAGAGGACGCGAGGAAGTTGGTGGGCACGCAGGTGCACTATGATCTGTTTAGGAAGAACTGCGAGCATTACGTTACGGAGTGGCGTTACGGTGAAGGATGGAGCAATCAGGTACAGCACATCTGCGAAAAATCAACCATCGCATGTCGATTGTCGTAATTATACCTTACTAAATTTTGTTTTTAACGCTGGATTTTGTAAACTACGATGTTTTATTTCATTTGTGGTTGAATTTGTCCGCGTTTTATACTTTGCAGGTGGACCAGGGAGTGAAAGATCTGCGTGATCTAGCTGTACAGGCCACTCGCGAAAATGCACCGAAAGTTGTGAACGCCTTACAGTCGTACTTGAATAATCGTGCCGGTAAACGGTAATATTTGTGTTTTGTAGAATAACTCTGTCAGGGCTCTGTTTCCTCCAAAATCGTTGTTTTAATAATTTTTATCTCAAAGTAGATATTCCTGCTAGTTACTGTGAACCTGTTATTTCCTTTACATGATTCGAGAAGCTCTTATCTTCTCTTTTTCAGCCGGTGAATCTGGCTTGGCGGTGTGTGCATTTTTTTTCCAGATCTGATTGTAAATACAATAAACGACTTGTGGTGCCTGTCGGAACTAAAACCAGAATTATTAGGAACTGTGTTGTGAGAAATTGGTGTTATGCAGAAAATGTGCGAAACAGAGTGAATGAAGAACACCAGCGCCTGCGGAATGTGTTGTCGAATCTGCTGCACAACGATCATGTGCGGACGCTGGCGGAGTGGCCAGTTCAACAGACAATTGCCAATCTCGCTGAGAAAATCACCCAAATGTTGCAGAATCGAGTTGCGAACAATTCCGCTTCATCCGACAGCAGCTCTTAGCGTCCGCTTGAAAGCACTGCATACGTGACATTTACGCTTCTTAGTGCGGGAAGTGCCTCTGTTATTATTTCCTGTTTCTTTTATACTTTCTAGCGAGTGCCTACCCAGTTTACACATAAATTCTCCATATTTTTCCCGTTGTTAACGACAACGTTTTTTGTGCAGAACTTTTAAATTTAAAAACAAGTCAACTGTTATCGGAACCAGTACACTTTTCAACCATTAAGCCAGATCTTGATGCAGAATGGTCCCTTTATCCTTGATTTCCTTGACCACCTTAGCCGAGCCGCTGGTAATGGCCATCCCGCTCTGACTTACCGACACCTTCAGCTCCTTCATGCTGTTTAATTCCGCCTTGGCTTTGCCCGAAACACTGGCACTCAGAAACTGAACGACCAACTGACCGCCGTGAAACTGGGAACTGTCGGAAATGGCGATGTTGGCATTGTCCGCGGTCCCAGTCAAGGTCACTCCGCTGGTCCCACTGGCCACGACATTGGCTGTTTCAACTGCTACAGCTGCCACCAGACTGGAGGAAGTTGAAACAACCGCGCTAAATGAACTGGTTGTTACCGTTCCTGAAACCAAAAATGACAAAAATGCTGGAAAAAATCTTTGTACATATCATTTTGATTCCAAGTAAAACAATTTCGAACAAATGGTTGGTGGGTTTTTTTGAAAAAACAAGAAAATTGCGAAAATAAGTAATAGCGACAACATTTGGCAGAACTGAACAAATTCCGGATGGAAACAGAACAGATAACGGACCCGGCAAAGCAAACCTTCGATCGACAATACCTTGCATAATAATTTGCGATGAGCCGTAACTAGCCACGGCTAAGTTATTTTTGGCGGTGAAGTCTGATTGCGTTATCAGCTGGGAATTACTGGACGCTACGAGACTGGTGACCGCCTTGGCCGTAACTTGGATCTGGATGTTGCCCGGGTCATTGATGTTGGTGTCCGGCTTGAAACGAATTGTCAACGTGCCTTCGGGACTGACGCGCGTCTGCACAGACTGGATGACAGTGTCCTGGCCAGACAGCATCACTTCTTCCTCTTCACCGAAGACCACCGTGACCACGAACGGACCATCCACCAAAACACCCGAGAAGGTCTTCTTTAGCTTCCGGTGCACAGTTTTCTGTGCTCCATTGCACACGTCCGACAAATAGCCACAAATACAAGCTAGAACTAAAATGTTTAATTTCCACATTGTAAACCAGTGGAAGCGGTAAAGGAAAATGTAATGTTCTATTTCAAATTCGGATGTAAATGTATCGCTTTTTAACAAGTACTTAATTCTTTGATAACGATAATAATAATAATAATAATAATAAGCAGCACAGCTAACCATAAGCTAGTATCCGGTCTCAAAAATTCGAGAGAACGAAACACTCGACATTGTTGTGCTTCGAACGTTTGCGGTTTAGCATTCTCCGTGTTCAAATAATTGCCTACGGTGCTGCTAGCTGGTATCGCAATTCTTCGAGGCACTGGTTGCTTGCACTTGTTAGAAAACAATTATATAATAACACGTTTTGGCTGTTTGGGCGGGTGTTTAGTTGTTTCGCGTTTTGATTAATTACTCGGTAAAACCGTAGGCACCGTATTTTTGCAAATGCAGGTGGTTGATGACAAAATATTTGATTAGTGGAGTGACCAGCCTTCCTCATTATGCATGCCGATTAGCATTTGCTGTCACTGTCAAGTATCAGATAATTGTTAACCTGTGATGCAAACATATGCGTTGCAAAGTATTACATCGTCCAGAATATAAATATATTTACATGTAACTGTTAAGTAATAAAATACGTAGTTTAATTTGTTTTGCGGCCTGCAGGAAATAGTTTTTTTCGGTCAGAAGTAAGTACAGCCCGTACAGATGTGTAAGCTACTTGTATAATTATTAACATTATTTTTATAGCTGTATGTATATATATAGATATAGCTTGTAGCTGTATATATATAATATTATTTTTATACCTGATATTATTTTCATAGCTGTTTATAGCTATCTTTTCCCGGTTTAATCACAGAGGTATTCTGCATACAAAAATTTGGTTGCATAACAAAACTAATTAAAGTACGACTGTACGAGTAAGTCGTAGATGGTTCATCACCGGAAGCCATGTGTTCAAGGTGCCCTTTCCGTCTCAAACAGGTTTCGCAAATTGTCCAGTTAATCGTAAGCACCAAACTTATTATTATTCGTTGTACGGCGACCTGAATCTTCGCAGTCGATCCGGATATTTATTCAAAATTTACACTCATAATAGTTGATACGAGCTGCGAGTTACTTGTCTAACATAACATGTACAACTTCGCACAAAATTAAAAACTTGTAAATGCGTAATCGTTACAAACGCATACATCCATTACAGAATATTATTTGCTTCCAGCTACGTTCAGTTAAATGGTAACGCCAACCCCAGTAACTATGTTTTCTTTTTTCTTCTCCTGTCTAAACTAACGCCAGTAACAGTCAGTATCCAACGCAGCTGCGATAACTTTTAGACAAGTTCACTCATAAAAATTCAAAATCACTAGTGCATCAGAGAAATAAGCATCGGTATCTGTAACCGCAGAAACAGTCTCTAGATCTCTGTACGATTTGTTGCCTCAGCAAAATGCCTTCCTTATTTTGTGGGCTATTCACTTTAGCCCTAATTGGAATATACGGTACAAAATGCGTCGGAGCGGCTTCAGAAACACGCAATTTGGAGGAGTTTACCGGCATCAATGCATACGGTCCCTTCGATATCAGCGTCAGTTTGGCCAACAAATCCTCCCTGAAAATCGAAGGCGACAGTCAGATTCTGAAATCTCTCAACACCACCATCGACCGGTACAAAACCCTGAAAATCCGTCTAACCGGTGAGACGACGGCCAACTACAAAGGCCCCTTGATCAAAATCACCGCTCTTACACCGTCCATCGACAATTTCAACACCGGCGGCGTGACACGCGCCAGCGTGACCAAACGCGTGGCAACCGGCAGCTTCCGTATCCTGGCCAATGAGAATTCCTCGGTGGCCGTGGATGTGGACACCGTCACGTTCCAGGTGCGGATGACGGATAGGGCGACGATTAGGAGTGATTTCCGTGCCACGGTCTTCCAAGCGGTACTGTACGGGAACAGTAAATTCAACGCCAGCGGCATTGCCGATGTGGAGACCGTGGAGATCAGTCAGGACGCGGTGTTTTACGGGTCGAAACTGCACGGTGGGATTGTGACCGGGACCATTCGCGGGTATGGCCGCGGCGAATTCAATTCCAAACAGCAAATCCAAGTCGCCGTGTACGACCAGGGGGTGGCCAATACCACGGGACTGGGCGTAGCCACGAAAGACGCCTATGGTCGTGCCAAGATCGACAACGCCAACGCCAGTGCATACCGGCACACGTACCCGACCGAGAAGCCACCCACGACCCGACCGCCCACGACCAAAGCCACGACGGCACGACTGCCCGATTGTGTGGATCGGAAGACGGTAAAGAACGCCAGTCCCGCGGCGAAGGTCAAGTTAACGGCAGATGATATTGCCCGGGCGCAGAAAAATATGAAATTTGCCGTGGGAGCGTTGCAGTTTGATGATACGGCCGCCGCGATTGATGCGCTGGAAAAGACATTAAGGCTGCTGCAAACTGGACACGAAGAGTTCAGTAATTAGTGACCTTCTCGATACGGATATGCTGCGGTGGTGAAACGCCCTCACGTAAATATAAGGGGCGTTTCTTTGCTAACTGTTAATTTAAAAATATTTTAAAATAAGTTGTCCCGTATGCAAAATTTTACGTTTCTGTTCGTACGCACGTGAACCGAAGCACTGTGAATTATTTACGGAACTCATACGAAATCTAGAAGCTGGCTTGCTGTTTTTAGCGTGACGATAATTCTTATTCGTTTCTTCCCGCTTTCTCAGCCCTGGATATTTTATACTCGTACAAAACATGCAGATAAAAAAAACTATCTGCAAATTACTCTGCACCGTCAACAAATTTGGTTTAAATGCCAGAGAGTATCTCGTTGTGATTGCAAACCTTCTGCTTGTGGACCAATGAGATACTGTAATACGAGATACTGTAATATCGTAGTTATAAATTAATTTTGCTGAACACAGATTACGATGCATTGCGTAAGGCTATTGATTGGACAATTTTGCCGAATTACAGTATAAATTTTTTGCAATCAATTTTTTTCTGCAATATTACAATCTACTTTTGCCGAATACAGTAAAAAAATTTTTGCTCGGTCCTGGCCGAACAAGTACATGATGGCTAGAACTAGGGTGCCAGAAACCAATGCGCTCATCATGCTCCGAAACTTCCGTATGTGCAAGTACTTCCTTATGCAGAAACATCTCTTACAAAGGGAGCCTTTTCTTGTGTTTAAAAATCAAAAAGCCATGAGGGCTTGATTCCTTCCGAACTGATTTATGGCTTTTCATCCTACATTTCTGCTGTCTTAACATATTATCTTTTAAAATGTTTTCATTCCCAACCAAAAAATTCGTCATCGCAAATTTTGTTGCAAATACACGGTCATTCGCACATATAAAATCCAAACGTAATAAATAAAACCAAGTACAAAGTTGTACTCAAGCCGATGTTACAATTACCAGGTCAACATCTAAATAAGGCATTCTGTGAAAGGGAACTTTATCGTAGTTAACAAAAACATCTGACCACAACGTAACGGTCATCTGACCTTAACATCTGAACAATATAATTAATTTACTGTAATATTCGCCCAACCACCAAATTACAATCCCAAAAAATGGACAACCGGTCCCAAACGGACCTTCATTCAGTAAAGCGGCATCGAACAAAAGCTGAAATGAAATGGTCAGAATGGAAATCCTTGGGGAAACGTCACGAATGCGGGAGATATAAAAAGCCAATCTTCAAAAATACCACCATCATCAAATATCATTCCGCAATGCTTCGACTCGGGAAGATGGGACGTTTGGACAACAGGTCGTCGATGGGTGGCGTCTCCGGGTACACTCCCTGCGTATCAATGGCGCTCTCTTTGGGGCGCTCACAATCCCCTCCGCCAACAAGCATCGCAGGCACTCTTCCATTCCCGTTGTTGTTAACATTTAATCGCATCGTATCCGGTGAGATGGGCGGACTCTCAATTTTCTTATCACATGAACTGTTGGAAAGCACTGATGGATTATCATGGGTCTCCTCGCCGCTGTTCTCAGCCGTCTCCTCAGACGGCTCTTCTTCGGAAATTGACTCCGATCGAATATAGCTGCGAAGTGTACTTCCGTCGGGTGTGTCGCTACCCCTGTGGTGATCGAACGGATTCAGACCGGCGTAGCGACCAATACCCGAATCAGAACGCTGTTCTCCGTCATCCAAGATCGACTCGGAATCGGTAACATGATCCATTGGTTCGGCCATTGATATGGTGGATGCTGCAGTTGAAGCTGTATCTACAAGCGACAAAAATAAATTTACAATTGATTTCCGATTTCAGTTAAAGCACCGCCGTTCACAGAACTTCCTGCTTAATCACTGGATATTACTTACAAAAAATTATGGCAGTATGATCTTATTTAGGTTATGTTATTTCTCCAAAAAGGAAGCGATGCATGTACTTAGTTTCAAAATACCGTAGTCACTCTGTACATAACAGCATTTTTGCAACCTACCATCCGAGCGCAGCATGTCTTGATTGGGATCCCCACTACCTCCAGCATTAACTTCCTCTAAATGGCTCAAAGTAATGGGATCATCGTGGTTTGCCGCTAATTTCAATGCAGCAAAATTATCCAGCAACACCACTGATTCGTTACCATCGCCTGATAATGTGATGGATGGAAGACGGTCCATCCGAGGTAATATCCGAGCCTCTTCAGCTGGCGACATTTCATCTTCCGTACCCATGGCCGGCATAGGTGAAGCGAATTCTTCTGATGGAGATGCTTTTGGAGTAGCCGAATCTGAGCCGACTTGAGCCTGCTGATCCAGCAACAACTGCAAAAATTATTACGTAAGTATCATACGCTCGGTTATTACACATTTAAGCAATACTACATACTATGTAATCTAGGTACATCAGTACAATTTCTCAGCACAATAACAGCAAATCACCAAAAACTTATTCAGTTCACAAATCACTGAATTTATATACGAGAAAAAACAGTAAACAGTAAAACTCGTATAAACAGTAAACTCGAATAACAGTAAAACTCCGATTCTTTCGCGCTAAACGTTAAAATAAAATATGAATCGTATTCTTATACGAACTTTCTTAGCCTTTAGCTTCTCTAAAGTATCGGGAAGATCGGCAAAAGTAGCCGGCAGTGAAATGTCCAACTTCATAAACTGAGCCACAACCGTCGCATTATGAGTAATCGGTTTATGCTGCAAACATAATAATGTCATTCCAACTGCGTCACTACGACATCAGGCCACCGGGAAAAAAAGCAAAAATCGATAACGATCTCGCACCTTCTTTTTCTCCTTCTTCCCGCGACCGACAATCTTCTGCGTCACCATTGAGTCAGAATACTTCTTCGGCAAGAAATATCCTGGTGTCTCTTCGAACAGCGACGACGATGAGGCTGGAGGCGGCGTAGAAGGACGGTTCACCGGCACAGCCAGTGCATCCTGAGTGGGTGGATTATCCAGTGACTGTGTGGTGGTGGCCGGGCCATTTGCATCATCCTGCTTGGCCAGGGTATGTATGTAGGCTAACAGATTGTTCACGATCTGTTTTAGACCAGCCAAAGGATCCCTGGGGGTGCTATCGTACCTGCAATTACGCAAATACACCGTGATATTTCTAGACTATACAGCTTTAACCAGAATTAAATTTATTGATACTGACTGATATGAATGCATACGTCAGCGCATACAACTTTTAATATTTTGCAAAGCGGTTTTCAAAATGGCGATTCCACGCGCTTTTTGCTATAATATTTCTTCGATCGTGAAAATATATGTATATACTATATATTATGTTATCATGCAAGTGACAATTCAATACGTTTTCAACAGTGAAAAAAAAACGTACGGCAGATCAGCTGGACGGCTTCGTAACTGCAGCTCGAAATGTTGTTGTTTCTGGCGCCGGGTGGCAGTTAAATGCTCCTCCCATTCAACAGTGCGCTGATTGTGTTCCTTCACTAACCGTGAGCGCTGCTTATTCAGAGACCGCATCCCACCAAACAACTCGTTCAAATGCATTTGGTGTTTCTCCTCTCGTTCACGGTACATGCGATCTTCCGCTTGCACATTGTGCTTCTCCTGGAGCGCATCCTGTGGTACAGAACAAATAACTTATAAAAATTCAACAGGAACTTTAAAAGTAAGCAAATAGTGGACGTTTGATTGCGCACCGCTCGAGTTTTCCGTAGTCCGGATAATGAGTTTTCCATAATTTCCTTCTCATTACGTAAAGCGTTGAATTTTCTGAAATAAAAGATCGGAAATTAATAAAATAAGCGACACGCACATGGTACGTACTGTAGGAGAAACACACCTGAGCTCGTTTTTGGAACGTCTTAACCTGTTGATTTCGTTGATGATCTTTTGTTCTTCCGGCAAGCTGAAATGTTTTGTGCTGCGCTCATGCTCCAGTCTGTTGATGGTGCTGTCAATCACCGCTTCGTTACGGTAAGTCAGCTTTGCTCGTGCGGTATTAATCTCCATATCCTACGCAATTTCAGCAAATAACATGCAATTAATTGAGTACTTCGATGGCTTCATAGGTCTCACTGTATGTACGTATGCATCGTCAAAGCTTTCTCATCTGATATAAAAATATATACTTTGTAAAAGGCTTTCTTCTTAAAGGGTTAAATCTGTCGTAAATTGATCATAAAAGCGGTTTATATCTGCGATTCTGTGTGTTTTCGTTTTTATCAGTCATTAACGTATTAATGGTAAGTATTCCATTCAGCATGGCTTCCTAATATCTGATGGATAATGATAATCTCTCACCCATCAATCAAAAAAATCTCCACACTAAAATGACTCAGAAGGGCCGTGGCGACTAGAAAGTGAATGGGATTACGTTTGGCATCAAACCACATTTTCTAACCGGTCGACGCAATAAGATAAACGGCCTGCCCCACCCTTTCTGTCTACCGTACTACCTTTCTGCCGGCTTCACACACCACTCGTACACTACAACCCAGGCTACCCGGATATTGTCACTGACTCTGGCCCACTTTTGCACACTGACCCCAAAAACACATTCCAAAAACAAAACCAAGAGACAGAGAGATCAACACAACCGCGTAAGCTCACATACCTTCTTCGCAAGTTCATCTTGGCGCAGACGAAGATTGTCGGAGGCAATACGGAGACGGTCATGAGCCGCCTGTATTTTCGCGGAAATCTCAGCCCGGCGATCGGCAGTAGCGGCTACGTCAGTCTCAAACTGACGATTAATGGCCACCTAATCAAAACAAACACGTAATGTAAGAACGCGACAAATAACGATCTTCTCTGGTGTGAAATAAAATTTCAAGGAGATAACAACAACACCGGTGAAAAATTACAAATTTTCACTTAAAGAATCACGACAATATTACGGTGTACTGCTGTAGGTATTCTAACAAAACACCAATACAACCAGACACCGGAAGCGACTCATCCATGCCACTAAAAATAAACGCTGAACTTTATTCATACGCTTAATCATCCCATTACTGCACAAGAAACTGCATTCATGTTGTAAAAAACGATCCCGCTGATAAAACAATGACACAAAAACGTGTTAAGTTTTTACTGTGTGCTACCAAGCAAAAATCAGAATTCGTTAAGCTGGCGCCAGATAACGCCATGTGAATTATTCGTTCCCTAATCTGCAGAGTCCATCTTTAGTCTTTACGACTTTACCACTGTAAATGTGTTGGCTGATGCAATTCGAGCCCAGATGTAAACTCACAAATGAAAACAATTATTGGCTAATAATCTCGGACCCAAAAAATTCGTGACGGTGAATGGAGTAAAAAAATGTTCACACTGACAAGAAAAATTAACGAAATCTTGCTACACCGTCCCATAGTTGTTTATTCCGTTAACGAGTCTAATATTAGGCTACATTTGCCTATTGCAGGCCAAATATGAATGATATACTATGCTTACCATTTCCTGCTCTTTAGCAGTAATTTTATCCTGGATGTCTTGTAAGTCCGCTTCATGTTGCTTTTTATTTGGCGGATGAGGCTTTCGCGGCACTGCAGCAGAAAACACCATAAGCCATGCTTAACATACGTACTTCTGTTTCCATTGTACGAGCTCGCATTTCCGAACGCTTAATACGTTCCACATTCATAAAAATCTGGTAAAACCATAACAGACAAAAACCTACCTTCAGGAGTAACAGCCAAGTTGCTGCTGCTGCTAGCGTTGGACATCCGACCTCCATCTCCTGACCGCCGCCTAGTTGGTCGATTCCACCCGGCCATCATGGATAACAACGATCCAGACCAGATGAGTGGGGCAAATTGATTGAAAATTCAAATATAACCTACAATTCAAGCAAATCAATTAAGCTGCTTACTCCATCTCGTCCTGTAACTTCTATACATTAATTCTGAAGCCTACACTAAATGCGAAATTCTTCTGATTAGTGAGTAAAACAGAAAAGGATTAAGTACGGTTTACATAGCCTTGGAAAGAACTGCTTCAAACTGCAACTTTCGATTTCGAAGGCGAAAATTAGTATTAACAGAGAAAGAGAATATATGTATAAGCATCCAGAAAAATACGTAGTCCTGGTCCGGATTGTCACTAAATTGTCTTAAAATTAACAAACAATGGATAATTCCGAGGTTCCACATCAGTCAGTGATGTGGCAGGTGCCTTTGCAGGCACGGCTTATCGCGCTTGAGTTTACAGTTTATTTGTTTGACAACTCAAAAAAAAACCTTCAACAAAACTGAAAGCATGTTATAGACTGAAAATTTAACTTTCTAATCAAAAAAATCCAAAACGATCTGCCACAAAGTTACACATTCAAACTTCCATGACTCTGGCACGTTTCTACCAGGTTCAGGTATTTGACTTTTGAAATTATGGGAACACCAAGCAGTGCATACACTATTACCGAATAACGCATCCGAAGTTGCCGTACTGATTGCAAAGTTAACGATATTTTCATATGTAAAATATTGTTATAATCATTGTAAGGTTCACATAAGAAACATCAACGACTTCACTATAAAATCAGCATTACAATTAGTGCATTACTGTACTTAAAGCGAATTTAAAATACGTATACTGTAATCTTATAATCTTATTCAATCACAATTACTTAATTTTAATGCTCAACATATTCACAGATAATTTTCCATAACTACTTACTAACTTACAGTTGCAAGTCTCAGTGTCAAGATACATCCAGAATAAAAAGGTATAAAGATGTATGCATTCTTCGATGAACTCAAAAATCCTAACAATAAAAAATAAAACCAAAACTCAAAAGAACAAACTCAAAGCACAACTTGCGAGCTGCCGAGCTGCACGTTCGACCCAACTCGCACCGAACATCTTCAAAAAGCATGACAGCTGCGTCATCTGCAAAGGCGTGGCTAGACTGAACGGCCCGCCCTTTGCCTACAATGTGGACCAATAAAGTTAAAGTAATAAACCGTATGAGTAATTTCCCTCCTCGTGATTGGTTCAGACCGTAGACAAGCGATTGTTCCCGCCACCACGGTTTTTTCACCTTGGCTTCATCAAACAGGACGCTCCGACGGTCACGGCATCGAGGCTGCGAGGGAAAACGCGTTAATTCGCTGCAGAACTTTTTTCTATATAATTTTTGGGTTTTGAATTTCTCTTGTTTGCAGTCTAGAACTTTATCAAGTACTTGTTCAGGATTTCAGTTTTTTTAGATCATCGCGAAACTTTGACTGGCATGGCTGCCGTATCAAACTTCCAATCCTTCGATGCTTCTGCTGATGTCCAGATTATTTTTTTGGGAAGAAAGGTGCGGTTAAAGTTCGTTAAGATTCGCCCTCCACTTTGAAATCATTTTGAGTTATTATTTTGAAAGTGCACATTTGAAACCCGCTGTTTTGTCTAACCCTTTAGCATGCTGTGCTTTAAGTTGCAAAAATTAGAAATGAGCATTCAACGGTTCGACGAATTTGCAAAAATGCAGCGCAACTGAAATTTCCCGTTTGAAGCTAACCAGTAAGCTTTACTATTCTGTAGTCACTAGGTAGTCAGTCTGCAGACTTTGCACTGTTTATTTTAAAATTTTGTACTGTACTTTACTTCTAATTTACTCATTCTTGTTACGTATATAATATATTTTGTCATTTACTGTATAAATTATATTATTCTGTTCTCGTTCATTCTCGTTGCCCGTAGTGGTGCCATTGCTGCATTGGTATTGCCAATTGAAAATTTTTAAAAGTAGTTGCTGCTTGACGACAAGTTTAGGTAATTATCATAAATTATGGGACCAACATTTTCGTAATGGCCCACCAGAGTCCAGATCAATAAAAAAGTGCGTGACTTATCAGTTATAGCCATTTGTTTTGTGAGGTTCGTTTGAGCACGGACCTGTGATTGTTACTTACTTTATGAAGTAGTTATCAATTAAGTACATGCTGTGACTTGCAAAAGCAATAATTTAATCGTTAATGGCTTGAAATGATATTATTGTACAAATACCCATCTTTGTAAATTTAAGAACTTATAAAATTATTTGCGCGAGCTTCGCTTATCATCTTATGGACTACAAGTCCTGCGAAGTTTAGTGACAGTTGTCGGTATAAGATAAAAGTACTAATACAAAACTTTAAAGAGTTTAAAACTTCGGTTTAACACTCGTATACGAAGTATACCAGCATCAGTGCCATGGGTCAAAGCTATACTCTATATGCTTTAATAATACGTGTTTTGCGCTGCCGTTGTGTTAATTGTTGCTCCTTTGCAGTGAGTTCATGCATTCCGTCCTTCTTACATCGACCGCGATAGTTTAAAGAAGTAACATCTGGAACTGATTGAAAATGTTTTACGCACATTTCGTGCTGAGTAAGAAAGGCCCTTTGGCTAAAGTATGGTTGGCCGCACACTGGGAACGCAAGCTTACCAAAACTCATGTGTACGAAACGGATATCGAAGAAACTGTGGAAAATCTTCTAAATCCCAAGGTACTGACAGTACTCTTTCTAGTATCTCATGTTAACAGTAAGCACCTTCGAAGTTTACGTGGTTAAGAATCTTCTGGTGTTAGATTAAATTGGCACTGCGCACATCTGGGCACTTGTTGTTGGGAGTAGTACGCATTCATTCACGCAAAGCGAAATACCTGCTGCAAGACTGCAATGAAGCGCTCAGCAAAATCAAACAGGCGTTCCGACCTGTTATCATTGATTTGCCACCGGAACAGCGCATGGCCAGTAAGAGCTCGATCACACTGCCAGCGCAAGAAAAAGAAATCAACTTCACACAGCGGGAATTTGCCATGGTTGAAATTGATTTTGAGCTGGATATGGAAGAACTCAGGTAAAACCCGTAGTGACACAATTTCGACTTGGCAGCTGATTCTGACGCAGATGACGTAATGTCTCATCGCACTAGATTTCGAATATCAGTATTCGCAGTTTGGGTCAGAATTATAAGACTTTCGGCTGTTTTCTGCATACGCTGTTCTAGCGTGTGAACACGTTGATGTGCGTCTGATTCTTTTACCTTTGCAGCGACGCTGAGCTCAAAAAGCGATTCGAAGCGAACCAGGCAGATCCTGACAGCATTACCCTTAAAGAGACGATTATCGGGCTTACCAAGGGAATTGTAGATGACACTCTTCAGGATGATTTCGGTACCACTTCATGACCGGTGTGGATCTGGTCTGATTTTAATTCGTTGCTATTGTTGTTGTCTTAGGCGAAATGAACCTGAATCTGGACGATCTGATGATGAGCAGTGTCATTCCTGAAGAACCGGTGCGTCCCGCAGACGGTGAGAGACAACCATCGCTCAGCGAGGAAGGAAAACTGTTACCGGAGATCCAAGTGGTTCCAGACTCAGTTGATTCAGGTATTTTAGGTTAAATGTGAACAAAGTCACAAACTGATAGTGATTGTGAAGTTCGTACGGCGGTTAGTGGGCGCACGGTATTAACTGGGTAACATCGTGTTGTACTCGTGCAGGGGTTGAGCCGTTTCCCGAAATCCCCGCTGTAGCACCCGGCAGTACTGATCTCCCACCCGGACAAGAGCTCTTCACCGGCGAACGATCACGAGCTACTTCTGGTAAATTGCGATTACAAGCAGTTAATGCAGTAAACAGCAACGCTTTGCTCCACAGTTGCCCATTCCATTGGTCCGTCTGAAGCTGCCAGTGTGCGGCATTTAGATGATTTGGCGGCAGTCTTTCCGGCACTTCCTGGTGGAAATCAACCGATTAAGGATCGTGTCAGAGCAAAGCGTCGGCGGCGTTTAATCATCGATGAGCAGAAAGTCATCTCCAGTGATCAGATGCGGGCTCAACTACAAGATCCCAGCGATATTGTTCGCACTCTTGAGCTTGGCCCAAGGAGCGATAAGCTGTTGTATTTACGGGAAGTTACTATGGGAGATAAGATGTGGAAATATCCAGGAATCTATTTTGAGGATGGTGTTATGGGATTGTCACAAAAGCTGACCAATGTGAGCAGTTCACCAAGTTTAGGCTTGTAGGATGACTGCTCATAAATTGTTACTTCGACTATTGCAGTTCTTTGCGGACGCTTTCAACCACGCTGTTGTACCTCGGACAGACCCGGCGGACAGTTTTTTCCCGGATAAGTTGGATAACAGTGTAGAACGGTATTCGCAGATATTCCAGGATGCACTCAGTACGTGCTTTCATCGGTTTGCTTGATTTGATGTTATTAGTATAATAGAAGATTTGTCATTTCATATAATTATGTTATTATAATCGCGTTCATTATTTTCTGGATTGTAAATTGGATTGTTTTTTAATACATCCTGGTACACTCACAAGTGCTTGTGTTCTAACTGGTGTATATTTTGTAGATTACACCAATTATGCAGACGATGCAGAGCTGCCTCAGCCAGGATTCAATAGCGTTCTCGTTCAAGATGATTTTGATGTACGATCACCGCAGTCGAAGGGAAAGCGATCCCATCATACAATGGAAGGGTCTCCGGACATGCAGGTGCCGGGCTCAGACGTTCTCTCATCCGATACACAGCGACCGGCTAAACGCCGTGCTGGTGACGAAGGGGAAGGGGAAGATGAAGAGGCGGTAAGAACACTTTCCGCTATGTTTATGAGATTAATTTACGTTTGAATTACCCAAGAGTTGCTCCTGTGGTAATCTAGCATGCGGAGGATTATGACAAGATGAGCAAGCGAACGAAAGAGGTTTTCGACCAGTTCTCTGCGCTTTTAACCCGTCGTCACACTCCTCGACACAGTAAATCCGACGGATCGCAGTCGGTCAATTTTGAAGAGCTTATCCGGGGACGGCGATCTCGAAAGGAAGTGGCGCAGCGCTTCTACAGTGCCCTCGTGTTGAAGAAACTGCAGGCTGTGGATGTGGAACAGGAGGTCCCTTATGGGGAAATCTGGTTAAAGAAGGGATCACGGTTTATAGAATTTTCAAAATAGATGAGTCATATCAGTGTCTTGTAATGGTTGTTCAGTTTTGCATTCGTTCTATCAATTTATAGAGGATCGTATTGTTATACTTTTTGAATTGCCTGCGTGTGCGCGTTATTTACAAAGTTGTTAGTATTCCTGCCGAAACATTGATCTGTCTCGTGGCATGAGTGCACATTTGTATTGCTAGAAAACTGCTGAGTTTGTTAAGTGCCAGTAAAACTGCCTGAGTGTAGCCCGAATAAATATGTTGTCGTTTGTATGTCTGCTATTAATATGTCAGACAGGCGGTAATAGAAACCGTCAAACAGTTATCGCCAGTAAAATTACAAAAAAAAGCGGCCTGTATCCAGTCGGTGTTATTTATCACAACGTAACCAGTAGTTTTGTGTTATGATGCACTTGTTAAAATTACAAGGCGAAACGTGTCAGACACGGTGTGTTAATAGAAAGTGAATCTGGTAAGACAATAAATAAGTGCGGCTGAACTTTACGGCGACCGTTAGTGCAGAACGTTTCCTCTTTGATATTACATAATAAAAAGGCCGGAGTCGTCTCTCTCCAGTTACGTACAATACTGTTTCGCCGGCCAGCTACTGAGTAGGTGAGGAATTGCCCGCAGCGTTTTTGACACTTGATCTGATATTTGCGGTCTGTCGCACATTTTCACTTGCCTTTGCTGATCTGACGGTGAGTAGCAAGAGGTTTTTCGGAGAAAAACAATAGATATCTACGAAAAAGCCTGAAAATGTCGGGATATGTCGTGTTGGTTTTGTGTGGACTGTTTGCTTCCGGATACGGCCAGTTTTCAGAGACGCGGCAAGTAGAAGAACCGTTTAACGGCATCGCCGTCGATGGACCATTCGCTATCAATGTGGATATCGGCGATAAAGATTCCATCGTGTTATCCGGTTCCAACAAGGATTTCATCAAGGCCGTGGAGACGGTCGTGGAGAATGGCACCCTGAAAATCCGCTTTAACAACTGGGACACAAAGTTCACTGGGATTCTTCAAATCGCCGTAACTACTAAATCCATTATAAATTTGGTGGCGGCCGGTCCGGCTCAGATTACGTCCCGTAGTAATATGAAAGGGCAAGTGTTCCGCATCGTGGTTAGTGGATCGGCTCAAGTGATTGCCAATATCGAAGCTAGTACCGTGGTTGTGGTGGTTTCGCAGTCGGCCAGCATGATCGGTTCCGTGACCAGTAAGAATATCAACGCCGTACTGGCCAACAGTGGCACTATCACGCTATCGGGAACTACGGATAACGCTAACGTTGTGGTATGTACTGCCTACTAATTTTAAGAATAGTAGTAGCCAAGTTACAACTAACGATACAACTGCAATTACAATGAGAGTACATGATATCGACGAAATTTCGTCGTTGTGTTTTCGGTAATCCAATCATAACTTCGCAATTAGGAAGTGCAGAGAATTTCGTTTTGTCGGTATAGGTCAGCGGTTCCGGAGTGTTCCATGGGTTCGGCCTGAACGCCGCGACCATTAGTACAACCGCCAACGGAAGTGGCCAGGCGGAAGTGAACGCCAGCCAGGAAATAAAAGCGTCAGCCACCGATGACGCTGTGGTCAGAACGCAGGGAACAAGTAACGTGTCTAAAGATGAACAAGATCGAGGAACAGTTCAATCGGCTTAATCGGACAAATGAATCGGCTTTTGAAGGCAGTTGACGTGGGTAGTTACTGCCAGCGCCTCACCATAATTAATTATGACATTACCTGCAACTAATTTTTAAATTGATCTTTTTAATCCTTTGGTGGTTGCAACGTTAGGTGTGTAGCGTGTGTTCGGCCAAGCTTTAAGCGAACTGCTGCATTTTATGGGTCGAAAAATTCGTGAACTGAGTGGAGAAGCGCATTCTACTGCTTTTCTAGAGCAGCGTTTTAGTTTGGCTGTCAATTAAAGGAAATGCTCCAGCGGTGTTGCATAAGTACGTTATCTTTTAACTCAAGGGAGGACAAAGGTTTTGGTTGTTTTTTCAATGCTTAAAATTTTAACTGCAATTAGTCTGCAAAGAAGTGTGTCCGCGTTTGCGCTTTATGTTACTTTGATCGAATAATAATTCAATAACTGATACTTTCAGTATTGCACAACAGGGTGCACATCGAGTTTTTAATTTGCTATTTCGCATAAAACCCTTCAACATTAAAACTATGAAAATCATAAATGTCGCTAAGCGTCCCACAAAAAAAAACAGTGCGTATCGACGTATTGTAATACAGCACGGCCTACCCCAGACTGCCAAAAAAAGCGAACTACCAGTTACAGTCACCCATAGAAGGGCACACAAAAAATACTAACAAAGCCATTGAGCATACTTATGCCTGCAAAAATACCGTCAAAATGGCAATACGGAGTTACTGAGAAATGTGTGTACAGTGAGAAAACAGACTTAACCGAGTTTTATACAGACTGTCCGGGATTCAGTGTAGAAATCCAGCGATTCCTTGCAGCCTTCTCTCCCAATCCCCGACGCCTTCGACCCTCCAAACGGCATATTCAAATCCCGGACCAGCCAGCAGTTGGCCCACACGGTGCCGACATGCAGTTTCCGGGCCAAGCGATGTGTTCGGCTCAGATCCTTCGTCCACACCACAGCGCACAGTCCGTACTTGACGGCATTGGCGCGCTCAACCACCTGTTGACAAAATCATAATCACAAGTGCAATTCGCATGCAAACTGCAATTACGCGGCACGTAAGTACAAAAATGTGCCAAGCGCGCACCTCTTCCTCGTTATCGAATGGAACCACACAGGTCACGGGGCCGAAAATTTCGTCCTGCATACACGGCGACCGGTCGGAAATGTTGCTAATTACAGTAGGAGCAAGATAATATCCCTAAAAGCATAATTCTCATAACGACACAGAGCAACATCTTGACATTCGTGCTATTCTGCCCGCCGTATATCATGCTTATGTCTCAGGAATTATTGCAATAGTGATTTAGAAACGAAACAAGCAAGTTAGTCGTTTCAACTAAAGAACAAATTTGTTTTCGCACGTTTTTATGGGTTTCTGGAATGCATTCAGGAACTTGATCGCCTCCGCAATTGATAGTTGCACCTTCACTTTCCGCCAGCTGGATGAAGCTTCTGACTTTCTCGCGGTGCTGTTCACTGATCAGGGCACCCATGTTTACGGATGGGTCACTCGGAACGCCCACTTTAAATTTCCTGCAACCATCCTATGCAATTTATGATTACCCGCACATTTGCACAACATGGCTTTACTTTGCAGCTTCTGTAAATTTCGTGAGGAACTCGTCGTAGATTCCACGCTGCACGAAAATTCGACTGCTGCACAAGCACACTTCGCCCTGGTTCATGAAACTCGAACGGACAGAACCAGGCACGACTTCGTCGAGGTTCACGTCATCGAAAATTATAGCGGCGTTCTTTCCTCCCAACTAAAATCAGCAGGAATACCAACATCTCTCGCTATCCGGTTCCAGTTATCCATCATGCCCGATTTACCTCGAGTGATAACTTTTTGCAAAAAGGCGCACTAACGGCCGTAATCCGTTGGCCAATCGGTGTACTTCCGGTAAAAGAGATTACTGGAACGTCTGGATGTTTGACTAATGCTTCTCCAACTTTCCCACCATAGCCGAAAACCACATTCACAACGCCAGCCGGAAGTCCTGCAGTTCACGGACAAAAATGGTTTTTCCTTATCAGCGGATATTCTGCCAACTTGCCGGATGATTATTTACCTACGTCCTGGAATACTTTACACATCATCCAAGTTGTGACCGATGTCATTTCGCTTGGCTTTGCAACCACCGTGCAGCCTAACAGATCTCATGATTAACAACCACTTTCGTAATTTCAGACCATCGCATACTGTTTACCAGCGGCAATCGCCGGCGCAATCTTGAAAGTGAGCAGATAAAGCGGTAGATTCCAGGGCGATATCAGTCCAGCCACACCCACTGGCGAGCGGTGAACGTAGTTTAAAGCACCATGCTGATCGTTAAAATTCGAGCTACGGCGAAACAAATGAACAAGTTAGTTTGTCCACCTCACGCGCATATCAACCACGGTTAAACGAAACTGGTGCACAGAGAAGAGCCGTTTGCTGTCACCAAAACATAAACAAATAGAAAACGGAAATACATTTAAAACTGAAACAGCGCTGTCATACTTACTGAAAGCCACCGCGATTTTTACTGGTGACTGCGCAACTTTCCCAACATTTAGATACATGTGTGTAACTTGTAAGAAAGTAACACTTACGTGGAAATGTAATGCTGAACAGCGGAAGCAAAAAATCTGAAATTATGCACCGCTCTGGGAATGTCGACTAATCTCGCCAATGCCACGGGTTTACCGGAATCGCGCGATTCAGCTTCGGCGAATTCATCCAGCCGCTGTTCGATTAAATCGGCAATTTTGTTGAGGTAGGACGCTCGTTCGTGCGTCGAAAGTGAAGACCATCTGAAAAACATTACCTACGCGGTAATTACGACGTGCTTCCGCGTGCTAAAACTGCCGAAAATAGCTTGCAACCAGCAACAGATTCTGCAAAAGCTGCTATAGCCCTTACAAATCCGAACGCAATCAGACTTGTAATGAATATAATTACTGCAAAACGCATGAAAAGTAGTGAGAATAACTTAATAAGTACCAAGAATACAGTAAGTAAAAAGAGTCAACTTATTATTGTTACTTACTTATACCAATGATCAACTACAAGTACTGAAAAGTGCTAACAGTACTTACTTTGGGAATGCATTTTTCGCCGCAGTAACTGCTCGACAGACTTCTTCGTCGCCGGAATCCGGCAATTGCGCCCATACCTGTCCAGTGGATGGCTCATAACTGTTAATGTATCCTAAGTTTTCGCTCGCGACAAATTCTCCACGAATGAAATTCTCCAAAATAATGACTTGTTCGCGTTCAGCAAGGTTTCCATTAATTCGAGCGGACGACATTCTTTGCAATATGTGTAGCTTAACTTAAAGGATATCCTGAATTCGTGGCGTAAAGGAATAAGCAGTTAATAATGAACCAGAAAGCCAAAAACAAATTATTTCAGCAGGAATTCTCCCAGCAAAACAACTTCGAGAAAATAGGTAACAAGTGCGGTTTAAGCTGATTGCAAAAGCTGTCAACAGACCGAAATAAGCGAATGCCAAAAAGCAAAAACAAATCAGTTCACCAGCACGTGTTATCGTATCAAACCGGTAACTGCCGTCCGCTGCAAGCTTTGAAGCATATTAAACAGAGGCATCTAATAATATGTGTGTTATGTAATACTTTAAACAGTTTAAAGTACCATCTAATAAACATTTGACATCATTGTAATAAATATCGGCAGACTAATCACTAATGAGATTACCGTACAATACGAGCAAAAGTGGAAAAAAATGTACGAGTTAGTGCTGTATTCTACATAGTAGCTTTCTGGAGGAAATAGTCGAAGATTTTCGACTGGAATTGCGCGCTAGTAATACTTATTGCATTACTGACTATGAATTTCTCTCATAATTTTATTGACTTGGTGTAAAAAAGCAGTACAGACTCGTATGGAAAATTAGCAAATAACAAACAAAGGAAGTCTGGAAGAAAGAAGGAAATACACGTAGAAACTGAAAACATTTAATACGAGTACATTTAATTTGGCAAGAGAAACACAATCATTTGGCAATGTAATTAAACATGAATTCAAGATCGCTGGCACAGTCCCGCTCCAAATCCGTACACTGTACAGCGCTGAGAATCTTGTCCCGTCCGAACAAAGCTCGCAAGGTATCCGGTCTGATCGTTTTTGCAATTCCCTGCAGAACAAAACGAAACAAAACGGTTATATATGTTAAGTTGTTATGTATGAAAGTGTGCGAAACGGTTATATATGTTGAGTTGATATGTTTACTGTATATCGTACCGGGTCGGTGGGACCGACTAATTTTCGGAACTTGTCGTATGTTCCACTCTCCAAATGTCGCACTTCCATTGCAACCGATGGACCGGAGGCCATGTGATCCACCCATGCCTATGAATTAAGTACAATGCATGCATGAAGCAAAAAGTTGAACTTTTTCTGCACAGTAATCGCAAATCCCAACCCCAAAAACAGAAAACTGTATTTTCTTTACCAGGTATTCTGGAACGACTCCTTTGTACAGCTCCAAGAAGCTTTCCGCCGAATTTCGGTTCATAACGACGGTTTCAATGGCGGTAACCACAAAATCGTTATTGAGAATGTGCTTAATTATTTTCGGTAGTGAACCTAGAAAAATCAAACATCGCTCGGCTTCTGACAACAAGCTAACAAATCACACGATTTAGACAGGTATATATTACGGTTACCGCGCTTCCAGTCTTATTACAGTACCTTCGCGAATAGCATGTGGCTTAATGAGACACAACATTCCCGAACCATCGCATATCGCGGTATTCGCCCGGGGTTTATCGAAAATGGAGCGTAACGTCCAGTCGGCTGTGGACACGTCAGGAGCGGCATAACAGAAATCCTGGATGTCGAAGCAGCTGCTGATTGCTCCCAGCACATCCTGGCAGTGCTTCACTGCATCCTGCCCGGTGACCTCAGCACACACGGATGGCGCACTACAGAGCCACACGCACTGTGAAATGAGCGTCTTACCGGCAAATACTGCTGATACAGCATTGGCCACTGCTAACCCACGTGAAATGACACTGTCCAACCAAGCCCAGTTTCAGGATTTCCTCTTTCTGCAGCACCAGCATTTTAATGCGGGTGACAGTCATCAAGTTGGACAGACCACCCGATGTGAGACTGTCCAGGACGGAGCCCATGTGCAGGTTGACTTTGAATATCACAACTGTTCTAACGAAACACACGTTTTTCGCTAACGGTAAGGTCCTGTTTTCAGTGAACTGCGCATCCAAAAGCGTGATCTGCATTGAGTACTTTATAGTTACGCGGCAGCAACTAACCGCTGAAATAACTTCTCCATGGCTTGCCGCGTAATTTCATCCGCAAAGGACATCACTAACAGCTGTCGGTTGAGAACCGACACCGTACTCCCAACATTCAAATGCGCCAACTGCACACCGGGAATTTTCGTTCGCTTCACAAATACCTTCCGTTTCAGCACGTCGACCTATCAAGAGTGAGAAAAATTAACAAATATTCACAAAAACTTATTCTTGTTTAACATATTTAGATATAAAATATTCGGTGATATATCTAGGCAGAATTACCGCTGAAAGTGCTCTCATACGGCCTTACCATTTCGACAGCCTCTTGGAAGGGATAAAATCGCAGCAGAAACTGTCGTATATTCCCTTCGTAATCCCAAACAACATTAAAAGCATAGCCCTCCAGATCCTAAGAATACCAGTTCACAACTTCACACGCTGTCTTTCATAATTTCATTTTGTAAACCTCAGTAAAACACGCTTCCCAATAATTCCCATGAACCGTACCATGCTGACGAGTGGCGACAAAAGTTCAAACGGATTCGCAGTGCGAAAGAAATTAAGCACTGCACTGTATAATCTCTAACTTTGTAGTACAAGTATGTAATTGCAGACGCATATGCAACCCGCGCAAACCTAAACAATTTATAACCTTTCCCGTCACTTTTCTAATTCCTCGTTATGAAATCGGCTGACCCTTTTTCCAATAGCTGAAGTTATTGTACAAGTACAGTAAGCACAATTTTTGTTTACTGCAATTGCAGAACACCAACACGAGTACTGCAACATGTAAAGAACTGAATCAGTCCATTGTTAGGGTTGGTGTTGTTTGGCAATTGCGAAAAAGAAACTACTGGGATTTCCAACTGCGTCCACGTTCCTGGTAAACCGGTGCGAAACGAGCCAATGTCCAATTTATTTTTTAAATTAACGGTAGATGCAATAATTGTATCAAATAGAGTAATAGACTATTGATTTGCAATTATCACTTATCAGTTGACGGTGACTCGGTATTGCAAGACAAAAGTTATCACGTAATGATTATTACTTATTTAAATATTAACTCAGTACAGTATTCCTATCCAAGCTAATCAGATTTATATTTATTAAAATTGACGATTTTAATTTTTTTGCAAAATTTGGGTTAGTACTTAGACTACTTACCATTAATTAATCGATTTTTGAATCATAAAAAAACGGCTAATCGATTCTTAAACCATAAAAAATAAAAAGCACCGGCCAACAGCTAACTGCAAACCGAAAGAAGTGGAAATGGAACTACAGGTCTGATAGCTGTTGGAACTGGATGTACAAATTACAACCAAATGCGCCGATGTTGTGGTTTCAGTTTTTCAGCCATCTGTAATTCTGTTTTCGACTTTTCAAGCTGAATTTTAAGTTTATTAGGAGTACCCATCTTTTTACGCTGTCTTTGGTAAAAACGGATGATATGTCTATTAGAAACGGAGCTGCGAAAAATGTCTATTAAATGTCTATGTGTAAAATGGCTTGGTTGTTCACTTATGTTGGCGTGTTGGCGGTGTTGCCTCACTTGTAGACCGTCGCAGATGTACGTACTGAAGTTGTCAAGTTGTGGTCTTTACCTTTTTATGATTTTATCGTTGACTTCATGACTTCACCCATTTATAATTAATTGCAAATCTACCATGACGATGCACTTCACAAAATGCCGATTGCTCCGGCAAATCCCATCTCGTCCTTGTTTCCTCTTCCGCTGCATTTCCACCACACCTTCGCCCAAATCCTCACAATGGCAGGGAGTTGTCGGACTGGAAATCCACGCGCAGATTGCTGCGAAAAGTAAACTCTTCTCCGGAAGCGGAACGACGTTTTCCGCGCCCACAAACACGCAAGTTTCACTATTTGACTGCGCTACACCCGGAACGCTGCCAGTACGGTAGAGCTTATGAAGCTTGTTTCCTCTTTTGCGTCTACAGTCCACACGCGGTTTGATAGGTGCTGAACCGCCGCTGCGTGGAAGCTGCGGCGCTCACCGCCATGGCGCTCAACTGCACCTTGCACCCAGTTTCCACATTCGATCGCAAACACTACTTCTACGCCGATCTGCCCACCGGCTACCAGATCACGCAGCGTTTTCAGCCCATCGCCACCAATGGCTGGATGGAGTACGCCATGTACGTTGTCGATAGGGATAAGGAGCCTCGAATGCGGAAAGTCGGTATCGAGCAGCTGCAGCTGGAGCAGGATTCTGGGAAGAGCTTTCACAACGCAAAGGACGGCTACAGCTTGATCGATCTGAATCGGGCTGGGATCGGGCTGATGGAGATCATTACGCGGCCGGAGTTCGAGAACGGGGAGCAAGCGGCGTTCTTCGTCCGTGAACTGACGTTAATCCTGCGGGAACTGGGCGTGTGCGATGTGAAGATGTTCGAGGGATCGTTGCGGGTGGATGCAAATATCTCTGTCAGGAGGCCGGGAGATCCGTTAGGAGTGCGAAGCGAGGTGAATACTTCGTGATGGTGAATGAGTGAAACTGTGTGGAATCTGGATATTTCGACTGTAAAATGACAGTAACGTAGTAATATTGGATAGGTAACTACTGCATAGTATTTTGGTACCATACAATTTTATTGTTTGTTCCTCCGTAAATTGCTGTAATACATTGTATCTTCTCTTTTCACAAGGGTAAGACAAGTTTTTTTGTTGCACATGATACTGTAAAACGGGTAGCACGCAAGTCAGAACGATATCGAGATCAGTTTTTCAGCATCTACTTGTAATTGCGTCGGCATCGGATTTTCAACATGTGTACTGCAATTGTGCAAATTAACGATTTGTGCCAAATATCCGATCATTTAATTTTCCGAAGTTATAGTACTAAATGTGTAGTTTTGTACCAGCAGTGGTTGAAATTGTTGCTTATAGTAAGTAGTGATATTGTAACTGTTGTGTTTCTTTTGACAGGTGAAAAATCTCGCAAGTGCAAAATTTGTTAACCGAGCGGTTGATTATGAAATCGCCCGACAAATTAAGCTGAAGGAATCTGGCGGAGAAGTGGTGAACGAGACGAGAGGCTTTGACTTGTCAACCAGTACAACGTTCCCCATGCGAGACAAGGAAATCCTCCAGGATTACCGTTACATGCCTGAACCAAATCTTCCGCCATTGCGCCTTTTTGATTCCTACTCGGGTCAGACTGTACCTGAACATCAAGTGGACATTGCTACACTGCGCACTCGTCTTCCCGAACCTCCGGCAGCCAAGCGTCAGCGCTATATTCAAGAACTCAAATTAACCCCTGCGCAAGCAGTGACCCTCATATCGGCAGAGGTAAGCGTAGAGAACTGTACAACTTTTCGCAAAAATGCGTTATGATAAAAGGCTGTTTAGAAAAAGTAACGTAGGTAATTTGATCTCTTGGATCTCGATCTCGCGTAATGCAGTATTGTCAGATTGTTATTCGTTAATTTAATATTATAGCAATTCTTTTTGGCTGTTTGTTCTTAATTCTTTTTGCCTATGTATTTCAGTTTATAATAAAACTTTGAGTGGGTGGCTTGTCTGTTACAGGGACTTCCGAAACTATTTGAGGGGATTCTCCAGAACGCTAAGTCACCAAAAACCACCCCGACCAATGTGGCGAAGCATCTGCTCACTGTGGCTTTGGCAACACTGAACGATCTGCACGACACTCTCGTAAATCGGCAGGTGGACGCGCAGCAGGTGGCTGTTCTGATCGATATGTTGCACGAGGAAAGACTTCCTCGAGTGATCTTTGTCAAATTGTTGGACCAGTTGGTTAAACAACCTGATGAAATCAGGGATGTGGAGGAGCACGTAATACGGAACAATTTTCTTCAAGTGAACGATGAAGCAAGACTTGGAGCGTGGTGTGATCAAGTTATATTGTCTCATCCGGACAAAGTTGAACTCGTTCGTAAAGGCAAGGATCGTGTGTTGAACTTTTTAACCAATGAAGTTAAAATTCTCTCTGAAGATAGAGCCAATTTGAGACAGACGAAAGTACTTCTGGACAAGAAGGTACGCGGTGATGGACCTGTTATTTTAAATGAAGATAAGGTGAAATAAGCTAATCGATGTCAAGTACTTTAAAATGCGAGTGCCGATCCCATTTGATTTTGTACGTACAGTACGATCGCGTGTTTGAATGCACGGGTTGAGTTTCTAAATATCTCTGAAATGTACAGGAGTTGCGGCAGTTTTCTGTGATACCGTTGAGTTGCAAAAAGAATATTCTCGTAAACTGTATGGCGTTTTGCAATAAATTTTGCTCTTGCTGTTTAGCACTAAATACGGCGTGTATCTCGCATCAGTGTGTCGAAGTTGTGTCGACGTTGCTAAGAAACAGTGAAAATACAGTAAATATCCTTTTTTGGTACCGAGACAGTGGTTCGCAGTAGCACTACCGTGATGTTTTGTAAAAAAAACGTGACCAACCCGTGACGTGACCGCATGTAAGGTATCTAATATTACTGTCGTTTCAAGTTTCCAGCGAACATCGTCAAAATGATGTTGATAGAAGTTATTTTTTTTATCGGTTTGTTCGGTTTATCTTGCGCCCAGAGCACAAACAGTCCAGATCCGATTACTGTCACCGCCGCTGTGGTGGTACCGTATAAAGATGCTAACTTTACGGGTTCTGCCTGGTTCCCTGTAGACGTCACGGCCTTCAAGAATAAAATGTACATCGACCAATTCTGGCCAGCCTGTGAACTGAGCTTTGAGGAAGCCCGGAATAAGTACAATGTAATCTTCGACGTGCAGTACTACACCTATCAGACCTGCCAGGTGATGGTGGCCTGGTTTTCGGCACACGTCATGACGGACATTGTCCGAAACCGATCGCGGCCGGTGGATGTCTTCATTGGACCTCCCTGCGCGCAGGATGTACTGCAGGCGGGAGTGATCAGCACGGTGTTTCCGACGATGGTGCTCACTGGTGGAGCGACGCTCACGGATAAACTTGAGGTGCAAAGAGATTGTGGAAAGTGGAAGTGATATTCAAAAAATGTTGCTCAAGATTATCTTCTTAAACTTTATACATCATTGTATGGCGTGATAAACCCATCAGAAAACATATTCGCATACAGGTCAGCGAATCTGGTTTTTTCGTAGCAATTTCCTAACGTGATTCGCTGTGCGTTTTGCACGTACACGCAGTGGTCAGGCATGCTGGACATGGCCCGACAGTTCAACTGGACCAATTTCGCTGTTGTTTTCGACGATGCGGATAATGCTCGGGTCATTTGGGCGAACAGCCTAATGATCCGATTGACCAATAACAACTATACGTACACCCAGTTTTCTTTCTATGCCGGCGTTGACGTGAACACCTTACTAGACTCCATCCAGAAACAAGCTAGAAGTAAAGTATCTCAATATCAATCAAAATTTTCATCAGTTTACTAATCGTGCACTGTCGGATTTGGTCGATTTTGCAGTTGTCGTTATTCTGTGTCCAACGCGAATTCGCGAATTCATGATCACTGCGCGTGCCAAAGGGATGACTAAGGGGGATTATATCTATTTTTCATTGAATACCTTTCCCAACAACAGTATACTGCAATATAAGAACATCGAAAATTGGCAGCACGGTATGTGGAAAAGTTTTAATTTGGCTCGTTTAGTGTATTCAGAATCTGGTCTGTGGCATTTACATTAAGTACCGTGGTATGATCACCCATGCATCGTTCAAATGCCTAGACGTAATGCAACTTTATGTCCTTTATTAATTTTGTTTTTACGTTGCTTTTCTAGCCCGACGCATGTCAAGCTATTAATTCGAGCGCTAGCGCTGGACTTTCAACTTTCAGTTCATGTATTATCGAATGCGTCTAGTTGCGACTCGGGAACACGAAAAGTATATTTTTCACTTACTACAGGTGATTCGAATGATACCATTGCCATGGAAGCCTATCAGTCTCTGTTCTTCTGGGCGGTTCGCGACGCTAGCAATACTCCCACATATGACGCCTTCCGCGCTGCTCTAAGAGAACGCTCGCTCGAGGGACCATATCCGGATTCCGATTATGATATTAATTATATCCTTTTTCTTTGTGTCTTGTTTTTGTTACGTGACCGGCGTCTTGGCGGTTTCCTTAATTTTTGCGTGCCTGTTGTGTACATTTCGCAGTGACCTTTCACGACTGTATTGTGGCTTTGTCTGCCGGACTGCGCAACGCTCACGATGCCGGTGTCGATTTTCGTTCCAACTACACTGCAGTGTTGCAGAAGTTTGTGAAAAACACATCCATCACAGGTATGTTATGAGCGTACTGTTTCAAAATCGAATTCGCACAAGCACTGTTGAATGTATGAAACTGTTATTATGTGCTTATAATCTGGATACAGGTCCTGCTGGTCCAATGCACATTGCCTCCAATGGAGACCGGAATGATGATTTTGCTTTGTATGGTATCACCAATCGAAATTCTGGGACGTATTCGGTAATTTCTTAATTTCATAAGCACTTCCACGCAGATCCTCTAAATTCTCCACGGCCGAACCGATTGAATAGTCTGTATTTCGTTATTCCACAAGGTTGTGGGGCAGTACCTGGGATCGAGTAATTCTTTTACACTGAACAAGGAGGCGATACTGTGGCCGGGTGCGAACAACACACCCCCATTAAACGAGCCGGAGTGTGGCTATTTGGGCGACGACCCCGCTTGTCACGTAGGTGATTGATTCAGTTGGCCAGTTTGCTTTTTTTACTGGCTCCTCCTGTTATTTGGTGATCGTAAAGCGGCGCCGTCCTGATATTTCATTCGCGATGAAATAGAAAGCGATTACACCGTGCCGATTGCCGTTGGACTGGCCGTTCCTTCCGGCATCATACTGGCCATTGCGATTGTGATATATTACCGTCGCGCCAAAGCACAGGAAAAAGAGGACCAGATGTGGATCGCCCACTGGCATGAGCTGGAGGTCGTCCGGCCTGGTGGACCGTCAGCCAACGAACACGACGAAGGAAGGAGCGAGGAGAAAGACGAAAACCACGAAACATCCGAGCATGCCGACAGTATGCCGGATGGAGGGGAAAATAAGAACGGCGATAAACCTCACGAAGGTTGGTAAAGCAGGCTGTGCTGTGAAACATCCCGGGTGGTGATTTGATTTGCCAAATTAAGCTTGATTAATATATATAATATTCCTTATACTGTGCACATTTTCTGGTATATTTCATGTACAGGAACAACAGAAAAAGAAGCGGGAATTAAAGTGACGATTAATACCGGCATATGGCGAAAGCAGGCGGTTACAGTGCGGTGGTCGAAGAAGCGTCGTTTACGGTTAACTAGAGAGATCATCCGGCAAGTGCGCGATGTACGCACTCAGGTGCACGATAACTTGATGCCTTCAAGGGGCGTGTCTGGAAGATGACCGCATACTGATCATATACGAAAACTGCGCTAAGGGATGTCTTACGGTACGGATAGTGATAGATTAGCTTGCTGGTGTGTATTCCTGTAGATATGGGTCGTATTGATAGGACTTGATAAACGATATGAATCTCAAGCTGGACTGGACACTGCGCTTTTCCCTAATGAGTGACTGCATGAAAGGTGTATCCTACATACATAATCACGTGCTGCGCGTACATGGCCGGGTGAATTCTATGTGTTGTTACGTGGATTCACGGTTTATGTTGAAAGTCGGAGACTACGGGTTGAATGCCTTTTTTGAGCTGACTTTGGCGGAATTATGGGCCGCCAAGCGTGAACCGGACTATCTGACGGCGCAGCTGTGGAAAGCGCCGGAGCATCTGAAGGCTGAGGCACAATCCCGCTACGAAGTGATCAGCTCGGTTAGTCAAAAAGGTGACGTTTACAGCTTTGGGATCATCATCCAGGAGCTGATTCTGCGATCGAAACCATTTTCCATGTATGCGATTCCCGAAGAAGGTAGTCCGCGTTTTTCGTTCCATGACCTTATTTGGTCTGTTCTGTCACAATGTTGGCATTAGTAGCTTTAAGCCGTTCACGCTAAAATTATCTAGAAATAATCGAGGCTATCAAAATGAGTGTCAACGAGATTCATCCACGATTTGTGCCGAAAATTGACGAAACAGCGTGCCCGGCAGAGTTGGCGGATCTGTGCGATCATTGCTGGGCGGTGGATCCAGCCAAACGACCCAACATGGTACAAGTGCGTGCCAGCCTGAAGGAATTGGGCAAACAACTGTATGCGAATAAAAATAGTTGTATGACCCTTTATCTACCATTAAATTAGCCTCCGGCATACCAGTGTCGCTAAAAATCAAGTTTGCTGTTTTAATGTGTGCCTTGCAGTGGAATGGGAGAAAGAAGTAACATATTAGACACTCTTCTGCAGCAGATGGAGGATATGGAGCTGAATCTGCAGGCGATCGTGGATGAAAAGGGGGAAATGCTGTTGGACGAGAAGAATCGTAGTGATGAACTTCTTTATAGCGTTCTGCCAAGGTGTGAATTTTTCAGCCTAATAATTTTTTGGACATTATAAGGACATATTTTCTGTTGTTTTGGCAGGGAAGTGGCGGAAGTGATTAAGAAAGGCGAAAAAGCCAGAGCCGAAAATTTCGAGCAGGTCAGCGTGCTGCATTGTTCGGTTCCGGAATATCTGGAACTGGCTGCGGAGAGTTCAGCCCTGCAGATGGTGGATTTGATCAACGACTTGGCTGACCATTATGATGCAATTATCAACAAATACGAGGCGTACAAAATTGATACGTTCAAGGACAACACACTGGCAAGTGTCGATCGACGTTGGAGACTTGTAAAAAGTTAAAGGAGTTGTGAGGCCTGATAATAACGTGTTCTTATTTTAGATTGTCTCCGGACTCCCCCGACGGAACGGAATCTTTCATGCCCGAGAGATCGCCAGGGTCGCGCTGAATCTCTTGTTTATGGTTAGGAGTTTTCGTGTCCGTCATCGACCTACAGCGCGTATCACAATCCAAATGGGTGTTCATGCCGGTAAGCGGAAACACGTTTTCCAATGCCATTTACGTCAGCTGCTTACCTCTTATTGTTGGAGTGTCGTTTATGAACCGCAAATACTGAACCGAAATACATTGCGGTTTTGAATTTGCGAAAATAGAGTACTTACTCGTAATATTTTACTAGGTGCTTGTGGAGATATTATATTACAGGTATTAGAGGTATACTTTTTAGGTCCGGTAATGGCGGGTGTGGTGGGGAGCCGTAGTACCGCGCTACCTGCTGTTTGGGGATACTGTCAGTGTATCATCTCAGATGCTCACCGGTGGCGAGGGTAAGCCTTACCCGCATTAGGCCAAAGCATCAGCTCTTTGAACTATGTACATTCTGTTGTGTAGATATGCGAATTCAGCTGAGTTTAGTGAGCAAAACATGTCTGGATAAAATCGGCAATTTCGAACTACAAGAACGAGGCGAAATCTTTATAAAGGGAAAAGGGGCGATGAAAACGTACTGGTTAATTGGAGAAGCAGGTGGCTATACTCATAAAGTACTGGTTACTGCGTTATTTACGTATTTAATTGTTTTATTATATTTTAGGTAATGTGGAGCTGGAAGAAATGCGGGAACGTTTCGAGCACGGTCTGGACGATTTGGAGTCTGCTACAGATGAGCAAGGTCACGAAGAATCCGAATAGACATTTTGGACGACCAAGGCACCATAAACGTAGATAGCTCATCCCGAAAGTTGAATAGTATCTGTTGCTCAAAACTGTCCGTATAAAACAATTACCGCGGTTGCACTTTGGAAATTCTTACTAATAATATGGACTGAATACGCGATCTTTATGACAATTTATCAGCTATTTCCAATAATTGCAAGAAAAATAAGTTATTCTGAGTAAATGCGTAAAACAAACATCAAGACATGAGCAATATACAGATGTTGTTAAAATTAGTAGTGAATCAGTCACTGGGAATTGTCTTATGGGCCGTACAAACGCTACCGCTAGCTACAGTATACTGTACTTTACGAGAGACGGGCGAACAACAACCTAACTTGATAAGCTGTTGTCGCAAAAATTTTAGTGTTGTTCCAAACTAATTAACTAACCGTAAGAAGTAACACACAACGTGTTTTTTACAAATTTTTGGTTCGAATACGAGTATTTACTTACTCTTACATACTGCACTCACGTCGGACGTCGGTGTGGCACCCGCATAGTACGTATTATTTTGGGCTACATGACAGGCAAAGAATTCGTATTAAACGTAAGTAAGTAACCAAGTGACCTTTAGGAGTCAGGTTAGGTATTTTATATTGTTTCCATCAGAATTTAAGTACTTAATGCTACCTAATAGCTAATACTAAAGTTCAAAACATAATAATATTATGTTTGTCTGATATATTGTTTGTCTGATATATTATGATATATTACATCAGATAGCAACGCAAAGGATGAGCAGATCTAGCACACCTTTATTGAAAATCGTGAGAATCAATAAAGCAACCAAAAAACCAACAGAAAACCACAACGTTTATGCGGCCTAATGCTAGGAAAGTGGCTGCCAGCGAGCTCGGTGTAATCGTGATAATGAGACGGCGTGCTGCAGCTGCGTATTAGCTGAGGTCGTATAGCACGGGAAATGCTCGTAGGCTGGGCACCGCCCCCACGAGTGCAACAGCAACGCTGATTGGTCAGCGTAGACAAAGTATACGCTGAGCTGTCAGCGTAAAGCGCGACACGAGTGGCGTGGCCACTTGCGTGTGGGCAACAGAGCAAGCCACGAGGCGTCTACCGCCATGAGTGTGCGGTCTCTGACATGCCTCTGGACGGGAGTGGGAGCTCCTGCAAGCACCTTCCCGTCTTTGGCCCTGGTCTGTCCGGTAGGACATCAGGATCCGATACCCGGTAGGGCCGGATGCCACTTTGTCTCTTGCCCGGTAGGGCCGCTGCCTCCAGACCCGCGGTGCAGTGCACCGAACGGCTGATATCTGGAGTGCACTCGGTGTGTTGGGGGTTCCAGTGTGGCTTTGGTGAGGCTTTTTCTATCGGTGATGAGTAAAAGAAATAAAGTTTTATAAGGCTCATGTTAAACATCGAAATAAAAGATTCACAATTCCGGTGAGAATTAAAGTAAGATCATAGGTAGAGATCCCAAAGCCAATTCCTTTGGTTAGTTTGCTAGATAAAAACAACAATTTCTTTGGTTAATAAGTCTGGAAAAACCAGTTATGGTTCAAAAACTAGACGCAAAAAGCTTATTCCGACTAGGCGTACCACAGGGCAAATTGTCCACAGGGGTCCTGGTCAACGGTCCGCTTAATCCGATAGGATTGGCTTGGTCCTGTGGATCCGGGGCGACGGTTCCCAGAGTTGTCGACGGTGTCCAGTAGAGTAAATTCAGCTGCGCGATATATGGAAGGCACTGTCGCATTCGCGAGGACGGTTTTCCCCTTCCTGGTTCAGGTATGGTGGACCGGTCCCGGTTAGGTGGTCCATATAGGGTCTTTAATTTGCTCTGATGGCCAAGTGGCTGTAATATACCTCTGTCAGGAGCGCGTGTAGAGCTTCTGTCGGTTGATATGCTCTAAGCAGAAGTGGTGCTCCCATGTCCAAGTGACCAAAAGAGTGTGATGGACCGGTCCCGTAGGGGTGGTCCATACTTGGTCTCTGAAATGCCTTGGACGGGATGAGATTCCTTGTGGATTTTGTTCTTCCGAGTGACCAAACAGGGGTGTAGTGGACCGGCCCCGTTGGGGTGGTCCATACGTTGTCTTTGGCATGCCTCAGACGGGAGCGGGAGGTCTTGCGGGACAATCCTTCCAAGTGACCAAACACCATAAAGTCGGCTTAGCTTTATGGTATTTGGTTAGTCCCAGTCCCTCTGGTCCATGTTTGGCGGACCAAAGTTGGATGGCGAACCAATGTTATGATGTCATTGGTATGAAGTCATCGGGAATGCCTTCACGCCCGTAGGCGTGTTCTTCCCATGAGTTTTGATTGCATAACTTGTTGTTTATGTTTTGCTATCCTTTTTAAAGCCTTTGATGTTTGGCATTTGCAGCCAATATAAGCGCGATTTCATCGCGAATTTTGGGAGCTGCTTTTTAGTTGAGAGTTTTGAGTCGATAGAGTCACCAATGAAGTCCATCGCAGTACACACTGCAAGAGTGCTTTTCCCCTTGTAACAACTGGCGTGAAGTTGATCATCAGAACTTGTGTGACCCGAGCCACAGCATTTGGATGTTCAGTGTAGGCCTGAAAAAGGTCATCGTTCCTGCCATCGTGTTATTTTTCGTTGCCCAAGATCTATGAAAGGTCAGTCTGAGAATTTCTACAAATTGTGGTAAGTTGCAGACCAGAAAGGTCAGCTTGAAAATATTACGTTTGAAAAATATTTTAGAAGTTGAGAGGTACCTAAAAATATTTGAAAGGTCAATTTTGACTAAAGAATTGGAGCTAGAAAAAAGTTTAATAAAATTGTTGTCAATTTGCATTTAATGTAATTTTGATGAGCTTTGTTTGAAATTTTTAAACGGATCCGTAAGTGTTGAATTGTGCAGAAGTGGTTCAAATGAAGATAGAATAATATTGCGCAATACAAATTGATGTGTTGGGTGTAGCGTGGTCTGGCCAATCACGTAATTGCACTCACTTATTGTTGAGGAAGTTAATGAGAACCACAGAGACAAAGAACAGGAAAAAAGTACGCTTACAGGTTTGAATATTTGAAAATTTGAGACAAAAAAAAGAAATTTGTTGAATTTGAGTTTTGAAGTGGGCAATTTTTGAGGGCAATTGAAACGAATAAATAGCAAAAAACAAAAACTACATTAAGGTTTGTAAGTTTTGTGAATCGATTAGTGTGCTTTGCGGCTTTGCAAAAATTATTAACTGGATTGCGGCGGCTCTCAAATCGCTACAAATCAGGGACAGTTTGCATTGCAGAGGCAATAAAAATGGCAAGCGGTCTGAGTCAGACCCCGTCTGGCCTGCAGACCGTCCCTCTGCAACGCTCTGCAGCCCGGTCCAAATCGCCTTTTTGAACATGTAGGTCCTGGTCGTCTGCTGCGCTCCCCTGCTCCCTATCAAAAGACACAGGAGAGGGCAAAGTCGCTCGGACTGGTCAAAACGCATATGGTCTGAGTGTAGAGCGTAAGTGTATGACTGAATGTGAGTGGAAGAGCAGTCCACATGTACCCCGTTTCCCTGTTGTTATTGTATGCGATGGCGCACGTTTTGTTTCGCAAGTCTTTTTCAAGCAGCAGACCAACGACGTCTTTCTGTGCCAGACGGCAGCGGCATTTGGAATGCAAACGTTGGCTGCTCTGCAGCGATTGAGAGCCGCCGCAATCCAGTTATTGAAAGAACTTGTGACTCAGTAAGCAGCCAGCGTAACATCTTTGGAAAATCATTTCAGCCAGAGGGGAAGAAAATTACAAGTACAGGTAGAAAATTAAAACAAAAATTGTCTGATGTTCAAGCAATTTTTGAATTTGACCAGTATCAGTTTTACAGTAGATCAAAATTCAAAATGTCGACGCACAAAGATTTTAAAAGCTTCATAAATCCAGCCGCCGGCCCGAAAATAAATTTACCAGAACCTTTCTCTGGTTACGCTCATGAGGATGCAGAGCAATGGTTAGAATCTATAAATGGGAAAAATTAGAGAAAGCAGAAAGATTCGTGCACGTGCTAGCGGGTACAGCTAGGAAATGGTATAAAAATACGGAACAGGAAATAAGGCACGATTGGGATAATTTAAAAGAACAGTTCATTAAAATTTTTGCAAAAATCGGTACTCGAGAAACGACAATGGAAAGCCTTATTAAAAGAAGACAAGAAGAACAAGAGGATTTCCGAGCTTATTTTTTTGAAGTTCTCGATTTGTGTGAAAAACTTGATATGGATGAAAATGAGAAAGGATTTTTTTATTCTTCGTGGGATGAGGGATGAACGGTTAGCTGCTCGACTAAGATTATTAGGAAAGAATACACCAAACTTAATACTGGAAGCTGCAAAAGAAGTTTACCCCGTTACCGGTATCGAAAAAATAAATTATAAAGTCTATCGCTCACAGTGTTTAGAAGAGGAAAAACTCCATTTAAATAAAAGAATTGACGAATTAATTTTGCAATTGGAAAAAATTAACCAAACAAAGACCTACGGCGATAGGGATGATTTACAAAACGAAAATGAAGACGGAAATAATTTTGATGATGGTAATTTTGGTAATTATTATGAAGACGATGACAATTGTGGAAACAGCGAAGACTGTGGCAACTCAAACTCTAATAGGGAGGATTTTCGAAAGCAAAATAACAATGGTAAAAACTGATGGGCTAATGATGGAAGGCCGATTTGTTTTAATTGTGAAAGAGCGGGGCACATTGCAGTAAATTGTTGGTTTATTAATAATGATAGCGAGGAAGGAGAGGGTATTAACGATTTCAAAAAATTTAATCCATCGAGAAACGACTGCAATGGCAAAGATTCAGAGAACCGGCGAAGCGGTAATGTTCATCATGTTGTACCGGTAAAAAATAAATCAGATGAGAACATGTCTTGTAAAAATATTTGCGGAGAATCTGCCAGTTCATATGAAGCGGAAAGTGAAAAGTTCTTGAAAAGTTTTAATGTGTATATGATTAAACCAGTAGTCCAGCAAAAGAAATTTCACCAGCATGCGACGAGAAAAAGGGATGCAAACTGTGGATATTGTACAAGCACTCCGATCGATTGTGACATGAATAATGAAGAACGGAATGCCACCAAAAAGTCTATCCGGAGGAAAGCTAGTGTCGCAACTAACTACGCGGAACAATTCAGCCAGAATCGACAGAAATCCTGGAGTTTCCACATTGCAGTGTTAAGTGTATTACTTTTGCATTCCGTTTCCGTCAACCTAG